ATATTTCAGAGATTTATAAAGAAAATTAATAATAAGTATAGCTTAATACAGTATAAGATATTATATAAGAATATATAATTATAGTAATTAAAATCATATAAATTAAGAGCCTTATCATAGTACTGTAACTAACTAATTAAATATGAAATCTAGATTATTAGATAAGTTTATAGAGAAGGCAAAAAATCTATTATAAAGATAATATAGAAAGTATAAGAAAAATAGTATAAAAATTTGTCTATTAGGCCTAACGAGATAATTTGGGGTATAGTAAGAAGGATTAGGGATATGATAGGACTAAACTTAAACTCTTATTCTTATCCTTTTGAAAACCTTAGTCCTAATATGTCTGAGATTGGCAGGGCAACTGGTTACCAATCTCATGGAATTAGATCAGATGAACAAGGCAATGTGGTCAAGCTGAACTAATTCAGGGTCTTCTCAGGAAATTCTCAGGATAGAAAGTGGAGAAGAAATTGGCATGAGATTCAAACTATTCTGCCGAAATACGAGAACTAAATACCTGAGATTTAGAGAAGAAATCAAACAGAACAAACAAATCAAGTAAAATATCACATGATATGACATAAATGAAATAGCGGAGAATTCCGGTAAAAAGGTGCGAACTCAGAGAACAAACACGTAAGGACTTCATTCTCTGACATAATATCATATTTAAGTGGTATATCTTTATTATTTAAATTTTTTAAAGACCTCATTTAGATCTTTTTCTTAAATAATATTAGATATTATATAATGAAAATCTAAATCCTAAAATCCTTTATATATAGAGAAGATACTATCTTGATAATTAATTAAAATACTTAAACTTATTCTTCTATCAAGTTAAAAAACCTTGGAATATTGTTAAGAGTCTATTTAAGGAAGTAAAATCTATTTAATTATGTCTAAGTTCTATAGGTTTATTAAATTAAATATAATATTGAACTTAAACTAAAAATTCTTTATATTTAGAATTATAAATATTAAAGAGAGATCATTATCTTTGGAATAATTCATTAAGACTCTTAATTTCTTTAATAGATCTTTAATCTTTAGATTTTCATATATCTATAAAAGTTTCGTTATTAATAGATAAGCTAATATATTAATCTCTCTCTAATCTAATTAGATTATGAAACTATCTTAAATAATTATTCAGAACAGATAAGATTATAAAGTCTATTCATATTAGGATTAATATAAAATTTAAAAATTTAATTATAATAATTTTGCTTAAAATACTAAATTAAAGTAGATTAAGAAGGAATATAAAGAAAAAAAGTCTGGATTTGTATCTAAAATCTTATAAGATCATTTTATCTAAATACCTTAGTTGATTTTTAATTAATATCCTTAGTCTTATGAGTTTCTATATTAGAGTATCAATCTATGATCTAATATAATGATCTAATCAATTATTTAAAGCCTTAAACCATTAGATAGGAGCTTACATATTATAGTAGCAGTAGCAGCAGCAGCAGCAGCAGTAGTAGTAATAGTAGTAGTAGTAGCAGTAGCAGCAGCAGCAGCAGCAGCAGCAGCAGCAGTAGCAGTAGTAGTAGTAGTAGTAGTAGTAGTAGTAGTAGTAGTAGTAGTATTCATTAACCCGATCTAGCTTACCTCTAGTAATGGCCGCTAAGCGGGGGTGCTACCGGGATTCTTCCATTTTTTAAAATTTCTTTCAAGATCCTAGATTAGCCTAAAATTAATCATGTTGGTTTAATTATCTAACTTGCATCCTTTAGATTAGTAATCTACTAGAATAGTAATACCATTCTAGAGATTATATAGATAAGAGAATAAATATGACTATACCATAATAGTACTATATATCTTCTTTGATTTTAATACATTAAAGAATAGAGCCCTTACGTATTCTTTGAGTTCTCACTTTGTCCTGTATTTTCCTGGAATCATCCGCTATCTTCACACATACAAACGTCACATGCGGGTTCCTTATCTTATTTATTCTGTTTGAATCCAAGTCTGTATCTCATGTATTCATTCCTCGTTTTTTTTGGGCAGAATAATTCTGCTTTAATGCCCTTTTTCTTCTCCATCTCGGCATCTTTTACGTCTTAGAATTTCTTGGAAGGACTCGGATTAGCTTAGCTTGACCACATAACCTTAATCATCTAACCTAGTTAACTAGTTAATTCCCTGAGATTGGTCATCAATCGCCCTGCTAATCTCGAACATAATATAATTGCCAGAAAACTTCTAGGTTCTACTTCGTGATTCTTTTAAGCCAAATGCCTTAGCTAATCCTCTTAAGCAAGCCCACTGATCTATAGCTATTAGTGACTATATGCTATAGTTCATATTTAGAATTTAGAGTTTCCTTCTATCCATCATGTAACTCTACAAAGACCATGGTCCGAGCTCTGAGTGGTTATTGTCATGCGAACTTCTGGCAGTTTTGTTACTTTTGTATCATGTTGATTCATACAACGAGAACTCTTCGTCTGAGACATGTGGTATTTTTCAAATCAGAAAATTACTAGATAGCCTAAGGTAGATTAGTATACATATACTTAGAAAGTGGTTATAATTACTACTCCAATTTTTAATCTCTAAACTAGCCTAGATAAAGGCTAATAAGGCATCTAATCAATTTGAGTAATTTGATGGTATTCGATTATCAACTCCCCCCTCCTAATACACATTTGACAATAAAATTTAGTAGTAGCTAATAGCCATAGCCTTAAGGCACTGTACACCGTACGATTTGTACTTTTAAACCATCAGTATTACGGTAACTATAAGTGTTGATGTCCTTTTTAGGACTGGTGCCTTCCCTGGCTGCTTAAGCTTCCTGTCTTGTCGCTCCATCATACAGTCATTCCCATATTGTTCCTGCTTCCATACTCGCAATTCTGCTCGCATAAGAAGATAACAAACTAAAACATAAGTAAGTAGATCAAGCATTGTAGGCAATTAGATTAAATCAATAGACAATTTCAAGTTCACTATCTTACTAAGAAGAACGGTAAAAATCATAGTAGGATCAAAAAGGGAACTTTATCTCGGCCAATCATGTCAAGTGCCATTCCCCTTACCCGCACCTCGGCTGACAGATTACTTTTCACCCGCAACTCCGACTCCGCCACCCGCGTTTCCTCAGATTATCGCAATTATTCCCTCCAGGATTCCATGGTGTACTCACAATTCCACCTCTAGAATCATGTCATTTTCCAACCTAGTCTCTGATATTGCTTTCCGGGATTCCAACGCGGATGAGCGGGGTTCGCAGATTTCGCATGCTCAGTCCCGTACCGCTCGTTCGTACACGAGCACCACGGCCACGAGTGTCAGTATATCCGGAGATATATCTAGCCAACTGCATGCTGGATACAGCCACCCGCTAAGCCGATCATGGCAGGCAGAGAGGCAGTTGACCAAGGTCGGTGCTTGAGCTCCACCTCCATTATATTCAATCTCATCAAGACGTCCATAGGAAATGCTTATCTACCCGCTATTCATCACCGACAATCCTGATGAAGAGACCCCGATCCCATCCCTGCCCAACCAGTACCGCCGGGGTGTCAATCGTCTCATCCCATTTCTGGCTCCCCTAGTCCGGAAAGGGCTTCGTTCGGTCATGCTCTTTGGTGTCCCCTTGCATCCATCAGCTAAGGATGCCCTCGGAACGGCCGCGGATGATCCCGCAGGCCCAGTCATCCAGGCCATCCGGCTGCTGCGGTCTCGCCTTCCTCAACTTTATATCACTACAGATGTTTGTCTCTGTGAGTACACGTCTCATGGTCACTGTGGAATCCTCCGGGAGGACGGGACACTAGACAACGCGCAATCCGTCGACCGGATCTCTGATGTGGCCTTGGCCTACGCTGTCGCCGGCGCCCATTGTGTTGCTCCATCTGATATGAATGACGGGAGAGTGCGTGGGATCAAACTCAAACTGATTGAAGCTGGCCTGGCCCATCGGGTGCTCTTGATGTCATATAGTGCCAAGTTCAGTGGCTGTCTATATGGTCCCTTCCGTGATGCTGCCGGGTCATGTCCTTCATTTGGCGATCGCCGCTGCTATCAACTTCCTCCAGGTGGCCGAGGCCTTGCCCGACGGGCGATCCAGCGTGACATGAATGAAGGCGCGGATATCATCATGGTCAAACCGGCTAGCAGCTACCTGGACATCATTCGGGACGCTAAAGACCTTGCTCAGGATCTTCCAGTGGCGGCGTACCAGGTTAGTGGTGAATTTGCCATGATCCATGCGGCTGCGAAGGCGGGCGTTTTCGACTTGAAAGCCATGGCCTTTGAGAGCACCGAAGGGATTCTTAGGGCCGGAGCGGGGATTGTGGTCAGCTATTTCGTCCCAGAATTCCTGGATTGGCTTTAAGGAACCCATTTCTCGCTGGGGATTTCGATCACGCTTCAATCGTCACCAGTTCATATTCCAGGGAAGTGGAAGACTGCTATCTCGATGACTGTCTTCCCATAGGCTCTGTTGCCTCCGCCAATGATCCACCCCTCCCTTCTTCCTACCAGAACCCAGATAGATACCCATTGCGACTTGTTTTTCTTCTCGGTCTCAATCTTTCAAAAAACGACTTGGGGGGATGATGTACACCCTCTTTGTCTAGCATATCATGAATCTCCACACCTATTTTTCATCACCATACAGACCACGCATCCATAATATATTCAAGAGCTTATCATAAGCTGGAAATTCCCCCCCCCCCCCCCAAAAAAAAAAAAACAGAGAAACGCCTCTTTAAACAAACTTAGGGGATTATATATGTACTGCATATCAATTCGCTTGGCTCCGTTTCCCCTCAGATCCCCCAGAGCGCCACGGAATCATGTACCTCGAAAAGAAAGAAACAAGGCAAGGACGAAAAGAGAAAAGAAAAAGAAAAGGTCAGAAAAGGATATAAAGAAAAGAAAAAGGGAAGGTCCACCAAGAAAAAGACGGGAAATAAAAAATCCGGGAATCATTGACCATAAGAACCGTGGCTTGTATATATCCCGACATCTCACATGTAGTTTGGCTTGAAACCTTGAAAACCGTAGGGAACCACATCACTCCGAACAACCTCTCCAGGAGCAATGTAGGCCCCTCGGCCAAGGGTCACGCCGGGATAGATAGTAGACCCTGCCCCAATGTAGCAGTCTTCCATGATACGTACTCGGCGACCTTCATATCGGCTCTGGGTACCTTTCCGCTCCTGCATACTGGAATGTGCCATGCTGGTGAGGATAGTGACATTGGATCCGACCCAGGTATGGGCCCCCACGAAAATAAAGCAATCGTCCACAAATATACAGTCATGGGAAATCATCACGTCCTCTCCAATACTCAGATACCCGTAGTGGCAGGTGAAGGGGGACTCCACTATTGCCCCCGGCCCGAGACTAGGGGCCGGACGACGCATTGTCGGCGTGGACATACCCGGAGAGCCTGGGGGCTTCAAGGTGCAAGTAGGTTGGGCAGCCAGGATCTCTTTGAGAAGACGATTTTGTTCCTTGGAGCTGAGCCCGCTCAGCGGATTGCAGGCATTGTTGAATCGGGCGAGTGCGCGTCGACATCGGTCCCTTTCCTCTACAAGTTGCACATCGAATGGGCGGTAGAGGTCGCCTTTCATCATCTTGTCCATTTCGGTGTCATCGCTGCTTGCCGTGCGACTAGATAGCTGGTTCTCAATGCTGAGGGCCATTCGAGCTTGTACCTGAGGGCTGTTTGTATCCATCGTCGTGGCCGGCACTGGTGGCGCCACAGCTCCCTGGAACAACAAGGGCATATTCCCCTTAGGGGGTGGCCCATGCGAGATTTCTCGAATCGGAGGCACTGCGGGATAGTCGGGCTTGGATAGTGTATCCCGCGGGAGCTCATGAATAGATGGAACCTCTCGATAATCCCCCTTGGCGACGTGCTCTGATGGATATGCATGCCCCGAGTGACCCGTATTGGGCCAAGGTCGTTTGGACCACGATGGGTGATGACTGGAGCCCGTTTCGGTGGGACTGGTGTTATATTGTGGAGCGGCTCGCTCGTCTTCCACCACAATTGGTCGCATCTTCCGTGAATCCATGTGCTCTGCCAACTGCCGGTCATGATGTGTTTCTGGCACAAATTGACCATTGGTTTCGGCATACCCTTCTTTCGACTGCAAGGGAACTGGCGCCTTCGAGCTTGAAGGTTTCTGCCATGTACTCCTCGAGGAGTACCCTTCACATAAAAAGCCGCCCCGTAGGCAGTTGTTACCTGTTGTCGATAGTAAGCACGAGATCCTCCCCTTCCAAGTGACCATGTCGGGCTGTTCTTCACAAGAAGATGGAACTTGAATATATAATAACAATAATAATGAAAAAAAGACTCCTCTCCCCCACCACAAGAAAAAGAGAGAAAATGAGAGAAAGGACGGCAGGGAAAACTTACAAGCTGGATGCTGCTCATCACATTTCTTTTTTCTACGCCGACATGTCATGCAGCCGGTCTTGGTCCGGTTGCTGAAAACGCGTTTGCGCTTGGGTGCCACCTGCACTGCCGTCGTCGGTCGCTCCGAGGAGTACGCCGGCGATGAGGAGGATTGCACCGTCGGGGCGGGTGTGGACCGGGATGCGTTCACGTTTCGGTGACCAGGGTCCTGTGAATGCGCCTCTCGTTGGAGCGCATCTACTAGTTGGGCGTCGGAGGCATCAATCTGCTGGGCCCGTTGGGCTTGACTCACTAACTGGGCATCGTATTCGGGCCATGGTCCATTAGAAATCTGAGAAGACTCGGGGGGATCTGATCGGCTGGGCCCATTGGGACCCGGTTCTATGTCCGAGACCGATCCTGAACCTGCCCCATTGGAGTTTATAGGCGCACTCAGTTCAGTGGGATGACCCGTGGAACTTCTGGCTGTCCCAGCTAGTTCTGATGGATGCCGCGATTCATGCTCCCGGGAGGAGGAGTTGGATCTTTTGCGCTTATGGATATGAGCCGATGCCTCTGGCGATGATCGTTGCGACCCGCGGTCCTCCGGACTATGTTCTTGCTCCGAGATCTCTAGTCTAGATCTCTCCTGGATATCTGACCCGGAGAGTGCTCTCTCCCTCGAACCGGAACTCCCCTTTTTGGCGGAGACGGACGAGTCCTTCCCATTGACCGCAGTAAAGCGCGATGGACTGTGCTCGGTTCCTGCCTCTGCTCCAGCATCATGGCTGCTCATGATTGGGGCCGTGGCGATGGCCGTCATTTCCCCCCCTCTTCCCCTTTTTTTTTTTTTTTCTTTGTTGTTGCTCTAGAGCTTCAATGACGATGGGCGTTTCCCGTTGTGCTGCGCTTTTTACTTTACCCAATGCTATGCGCTGGACCACCCGCAGACGCGCGCCGGGAAGTTGCCGAGACTGAACACGGGGGCTCTGAATCCCCGCGCTTGTCAATTCCTTGTCTGGCTTGCTCTCTTTTCGTCTTTCTGTTCCCAGGAGAGGGTTCAGTTCGCAGATTGCCCTCCAAATTACCCAGATAGATCGCGGCAACCTCGTCTGGGGTGGGGCGTGGGAGATGTGGGTTGGTTTCCGTGCGGCCCCAGGACCAGGCGCGCTTTACCGGAGACAGAAGATTCCAAGGGAAGACCAGTCTTTCTCCAAGATATTAGATCAGATGAAATTGAGCCCTATATGTGGAAAAGTCCAGGGGAACTAGATGGAGAAAGAGGGGAAGATAGAAGGGGGAAGGGGAAAGGAAAAGAAAAGAGTATATGAGAGAAAGAGAAGAAAGAAAGGGAAGAGGGGCTAAAAATAATAGGGAAATCGAAAAGAATACATTACTACAAGTATAAGAGAGAGAAGGAATCATAGAGCCTTTTCTCTCTTTTCTGTTTTCTCATTTCCCATTTCCCATTTCCCCTCTCCTCATCTTTCCATCTTTTTCTCTCTCTCTCTCTCTGTCTACCCTCCTTCTTTATTATTTTGCTCTGCACACCTGACCCCCAATGGCCCCCAATCGAAATTGGAAAAATAGAATAAAAAAACAGGACCCGGAGGGAAATGGAAAGGAAAGGGAAGTTGGCGCGCGATCGGCAAGGACGGCGTCACATACTCTACCAATCGGAAGGCGTAGGCGCCATAGGAAGGTGAGGTGTGCGCGGGTCTGAGACACCATCATTTCCCAAACGACCGGAGCGACAATGGCGCGCGTTCCCAGGCGCCCCGTGTCCTGGTGGGGCGCGCAAGTTTTGGGCTTCGGGCGGCTTTGGGGGGTCTGGAGCGGGCGCGATACCACATTCGCCATTGGCGCCGCGTGGGCGCATTGGGCGGTTATGCATCGCTTATCAGCTGGTCACCGCGCGCTGCACTTGGTCGCCATTGTCACATCTTAGTGTTCTTTCCCCTCTTCAGGTTTCTCTCCCTTTTCATGTCGTTCTTACGCCTTTTCCTTCGGTTTCCCTTTTTACTTGAATTTTTCCTGGAAAGATGATCTCGATGATTGTTCAGTTGTCACCTTATGTCATCTCTTACAGGATCATATCATTGGTGGCACCAATCACAATATCCCATGATGTAACTCTCCCTTCTCTCTAACTAGTGGAAACTCTCTTCTCTTCATCCCGGTCCAACAACGGGGCTATGACTTGCAAACCATCTATTTCTGTTCTCGGAATATAAATCCACATACACTTTGAGTAATTTCACATTCCAATCAAACTTGTAACCAAAAAATGAATAATTATCATAATGGATAACAAAATCATGACTAAGGCATAGCTCTCCCCCGGTGTTCCGAGTCATTCCCTTAGCTGCTTCTCCAATAATTGTTGTAGAGCACTCTATTCGTATAGTTCTTTCTCCTTTCGATCGCCTACCGCTTCATTTCATCATACCCTTACTCTTTCTTTCTTCTCTTTTTTTTTTTTTTTTTTTTTTTTTTCCCTTTTGTTTCTTTTTCCCCCTCCATCTCATTCTACTCTATTCCACCTCTTTTCCCTGCCATCACCATCGTCATCCAATACCACCTACAGAACCATGGGAAGCGCCCGGGAGAGCTCGGCTGACTAAGATCCCGAGTTCCCCTTCCAACAGACGAAGAAACGACGCGCTTCACCGCCAGTGTTGATAAGTATTGTCTTTTCTATCCCACACAGATTTTGCCTCAGTTCCTGGGAGTTCCCGTCGATCACTGCGAAAGCTTAATCTCCTTTGTGTATGAGAGAGGCCGCAATCTGCTGACTCTCCACGCCCCTCCAAGAGTTCATCTTTGCTACCCCACCAGTCCTCTCCCCTTCTCTCTCTTCCTTACTCTCTCCTCCCTAACCTCTCCCCCTCTTTTTTTGCCCCCGTCCCATTTTCTTCTACTCTCTACCCACAGCGGCGAAGTGGGCTTAAAAGTCCTTGCCAATTCCCCTTTTCTTGGGACCCTCTGTTGATCCTCCCTCTTTTTCGTTGGGGAGGGATTGCCGTGACGCCTTCGTGATCCCGGCGACTGCGCCAATATTTGCGGCGGGATGTCTGTTTCTGTACAAGAGCTGGACAACACAGTCCGCGCTTTCTTTGAAGGCAAGGGCGATGTGGTAAGTCCAAATGGACATCGGGGAACCAGAAAGATTGGAGACTGACGACGCGCAGCAAAAACAAGCCCAGCAGACCCTCACTGAAGTAAGCATGGCTGACCCACGACGCGATTTCCCGCTGAATTCTTACAAGACGATATAGTTCAAGCAAAATCCCGATGCTTGGGTAACCGTTGGCAACATTCTACAGGAAGCTTCCTATCCCCAGACCAAATGTGCGTGTTTTTCGTGCTGTAGCTCTGAGCGCAATTTATACTGACGTCCTCATCAGATATCGCTCTTCAGGTCCTCGACGATGTGATCATGACTCGATGGAAGGTTCTGCCGAGAGAACAGTGTCAAGGTAACCATCCAGCGCGTCCACTTTGCTTCCCAGGTCTCCCTTTTGTTTTGTGGTGACACTCACTAACAGGTATCTTGGTTCGCTTTTTCAGGAATTCGGAATTTTATCGTCAATTTCATCATTGAAAACTCAGGCTCTGAGGAGAAGCTCCGGACCGAACGCGCCTTTGTGAACAAACTCAATCTCGTCCTGGTCTCGATCCTGAAGCAAGAATGGCCACACAACTGGCCAACCTTCATCAACGAGATCATTTCCTCCTGCCATTCCAGTCTCTCCATCTGTGAAAACAATATGGCCATTCTGCGCCTGTTGTCGGAGGAGGTTTTTGATTTCTCACAGGATCAGATGACCTCGGTGAAGGCGAGGAACTTGAAGACCTCCATGACCCAGGAATTCGCCTCTATCTTCCAACTTTGTTCAGAGGTTCTCAACACCGCTAACCAACCGAGTCTGGTCAAGGCCACCCTGGAAACCCTCTTGCGCTTCCTGAACTGGATTCCCCTGGGCTACATCTTTGAAACACCCATCATCAACACCCTTTTGACGCGATTCTTGGGAACACCCGAGTTTCGAAACGTCACTCTCAAGTGTCTCACCGAAATCGGTGGCCTGCAAATCGGTGCTCCGTATAACTATGATGAGAGGCTAGTTCATATGTTTACCGAGACTCTCACGACTGTCTCCACCGTGATCCCCCTCTCTATGGATCTGAAGGAGACATACGCGCAGAGTAACGGCAGAGATCAGGAGTTTGTCTCGAATCTGGCACTCTTTCTGTCCAGCTTTTTCAGCGCCCACCTAGACGTATGTATACTCATTGATCGCCCCCGTTACCTGTACCCCTTTGCAAATCTTATTTAGTACTAACGCGATTGTTCTATTTTTCATATAGCTGATTGAGAAGCTACCCAACCAAGATTATCTCACGCATGCTCATTTCTACCTGATCCGTGTCAGCCAGATCGACGACCGGGAGGTGTTCAAGATTTGCTTGGATTATTGGACTCGATTGGTACAAGAGCTATATGAGGAGATGCAACAACTCCCAATTACCGATATCAACCCGCTCGTGACAATGGGTGTAAGTGGGTTGGCGAATGGGGGAGCGCCTCACCCCAGTACTCTGGCCAACTATCCCCTTCGCAAACACAAGTACGAAACCGTTCTCTCGAACCTCCGTACGGTCATGATTGAGAAGATGGTCCGCCCCGAGGAGGTGTTGATTGTTGAGAATGACGAAGGAGAGATTGTCCGTGAATTTGTCAAGGAGAGCGACACAATCCAGCTTTACAAAACCATTCGAGAGTGCTTGGTCTACCTCACGCATCTGGACGTGGTAGATACCGAGACCATCATGATCGAGAAATTGGCGAAGCAAGTTGACGGAACCGAATGGTCCTGGGTGAACTGCAATACCTTGTGCTGGGCAATTGGATCCATCTCTGGGGCCATGAATGAAGAAACAGAGAAGCGGTTCCTGGTCACAGTCATCAAAGACCTTCTAGGTCTGACCGAGCAAAAGCGCGGGAAGGATAACAAGGCCGTGGTGGCCAGTAATATTATGTACATTGTGGGCCAATACCCTCGGTTCTTGAAAGCTCACTGGAAGTTCTTGAAAACCGTGGTGAACAAGCTTTTTGAGTTCATGCACGAAACACACGAAGGTGTTCAGGACATGGCGTGTGATACATTTATCAAGATTGCCAACAAGTGCCGACGACACTTTGTGGCACTGCAACCCGGGGAGAATGAGCCTTTCATCGAGGAAATCGTCCGGAACATGAGAAAAATCACCATGGATCTGTCTCCTCAGCAGATCCACACATTCTACGAAGCATGCGGCTATATGATCTCTGCACAAGGCCAAAAGGGCCTTCAGGATCGCCTGACGGAAAATTTGATGGCCTTGCCCAATTCGGCATGGGACCAGATTATTGCGGAGGCCAACCAGAATGCTGCGATTCTCCAGGATGCCAACACAATCAAAATTATTGGCAACATTATGAAGACCAACGTTGCAGCTTGCTCATCCATTGGGACTTACTTCTACTCCCAGATTGGCCGCATCTTCCATGATATGTTGAACATGTACCGCGCCTCCAGTCAATTGATTAACGATGCTGTGGCCAGTGACGGTACGTCTTTCCTGAACCGCCAGACTGAATCCTTTCAATCACCACTGGCATGCTAACATTACCACAGGACAAATCGCTCCCAAGACACCCAAAGTTCGCGGTCTTCGCACCATCAAAAAGGAGATTTTGAAGCTCATTGATACCTATGTCGAGAAGTCGGATGATCTCGAAATGGTCAATGCAAGCATGGTGCCACCCCTTCTTGAGGCTGTCCTGATTGACTATCACCGCAACGTGCCGGATGCACGCGAAGCGGAGGTCTTGAACGTCATGACAACTATTATCCACAAGTTGCACGTACGTGATCATTGTTCCAACCTTTTTTGTGCCCTTTTTCTCTCCCTCATAGACTGTTGTTGCATCAGCTAACGCTTTCCTACGCCTGAACCCACAGAATCTGATGGAAGACAAGATTCCCGCTATTATGGACAGCGTGTTTACCTGTACATTGGAAATGATCAACAAGGATTTCCATGAGTACCCTGAACATCGTGTTCAGTTCTTCAAGTTGCTCCAGGCTATCAATCTCTATTGCTTCCAGGCATTATTGAAACTCGATGGTCCCCAGTTCAAGTTTGTCATTGATTCCTGCATGTGGGCATCGAAGCATGACAACAGAGAGGTCGAGAACACGGGTCTCACTATGTGCCTGGAATTGATGAACAACATGGCCGAAACTGACGTACAGACTGCAAGCATTTTCTTCCGCCAATTCTTCATTCCCATTCTTCAGGATGTTTTCTTCGTTCTTACCGACAGTGACCACAAGGCTGGTATGTATATATCTCCTTTCCCCCCACCCCCCTCGCGGAGAAAAGATATTAACCAATTCTCGGTCCACTGTAGGCTTCAAATCCCAAGCCATGCTTTTGTCCCGCATGTTTTACTTCATCGAATCTCAAAAGATCTCCGAGCCCATCTACACTGCTGACCAAGCTCCCGCCGGCACTTCGAACAAGGATTTCCTTCAGCAGTATGTCGCCAATTTGCTGCAGAATGCATTCAAGAATCTACAAGAGTACGTTACTCCTTCAACGAGTTTGCTCGATACGGGCAGTAGTCAAGCCGTGGCGATACTAACTATAGCAGAGTGCAAATCCAGCAATTTGTGATTGGACTTTTCGCCTACACCGATGACCTGAACAAGTTCAAAACTCATCTCCGTGACTTCCTCATCTCTTTGAAGGAATTTTCTGACGATAATGCCGAACTCTATGCCGAAGAACGGGAGCAGGCTGTCCGGGATGCACAAACCGCTGAGAGGAGCCGTGCCATGAAGGTAGGAGGCTTGCTGAAGCCGTCGGAGATGGATCAAGAAGACGAACTGTGACTGGATGAAGAATTACGGTCGGAGATCCCCAATTTCGTGTCAACTAGCTCTTCTGACAGGACGGGGAACCCGACGTCGATATCAAGAAATGACGGCCTTGATGGCTGGTCCCTCTACGAACTCTAACCCATGGAAGAACCAGCCCGTATTCTGCTGGAATCGGGAAGGGGCATACATCATAGACCAAACCTTGCTTTCTTGAGTCATTTTTTTTGCAGTGAGCTCCGCCATACCATGATGCACCTGTTGATCTTCTTTTGCATCGCCTCCTTTTCCAAGGTGATCTTGTTTGATATCTGTTAAAGAAGAAGATAGCTTTTCTCTCCCTGGTTTATTGACAAAAAATGAACAACCTCTAATGAGGAAAAATCTAAGAATTTAATGAATCCTGTGTATATCCGACTATAGAGTAAAATGTCAATATGTCATGTCGTTAGGACGAGTCAATCTATGGGCAATACGGGCGGTGAGATCTCGGAGAGTCTTATCGGCTTGACTTATCGGGATGGGCCTCACCACCAAAAAAGTAAGTTATCTTCTCCAAATCTCTTTACTAGTGGCTTCCTCTCAATCATGTCTCAAACTCGCCAGCCAAGGAATCCACAACACCAGACAAGCACCCAAACATCTCAAGACTTGTCGCTTCCAGGGACTCTTCGGTTGCGGGGCGAGGATGCTCCCAGCGTCAGCCCCGAGCCATCCTCCTCTCGACGCATTAGATGGAGTGAAGATGTTGTAGATAATGAAGGCATGGGGAAAAAAAGCTCTAAAGGTGAATCTTACTCGGTCCTGCTGACCTATCCATAGAGATAATTCTGACCTTCTCCCAGTATGCTGTATCTACCACAAAGCTCGACCTGTGGGCGAGAGTAGCTCCGAAGAATCTTCCTCCAGCTCGTCCGATTCAGACAGTGATAGTGAGACCGACTGCCGCAAATCCAGGTCAACCCATCACTCGCACCCGAGAGGACGGGGACCAGCAGGGGAGGGCTCGTCGGATCAGTCACAAGACCAGACTTCAGATGCTTGCACACATCAACATCGCCACCGTCACACTAAGCTCAAAAGGAAACCAAGCCCGAATGCCTATGAGAAGATGCCCAGATCATCGAAAAATTCATCCCGAGGCACATGACTTGGGGACACCCCGGCGAAGTAACCCTATCGCGGGATCTTTGAAGTGCGGGCTTGTTGTCGCTGTGGTCAAAGGTAGATTGTGCGCAACAGCAGTTCATGATGTTATCGAAGCCGAGATCGCAAGAATAAAATTCCAAAAAAAACCCTACGCTTACCTAGGACGGTACTGCTCGCATGGCCTCTAATCACTTACGCTAGCTGGCCTCAAGGGAAAGGGGTTCACAAGTTCTGAGAACATATTAGATGCTGTGGGTACAATTCAATGAAATGCGGCTCACCTGCGGGTAATAGAGGCGGGCTCCCTTGAGGTCACTAGCTACTTACGTACATGTATATGTAGCTAGTGTTTCCTGTCTAGGACTTTTTGAAAGGATCATCAGCTTAGAACAAAGACAATAAAATAGTGTTAATTCAGAAGATCCAAAACGCCAATGGGTATCTGTATCATGACTGCACCAAGCACAGCTGAAAGAAACAACAACTAAATACACGAGTATGTAATAAACGTCAAGCGACGCATTCTCCTTTTATACCATCATACTTTTCCTTCTCGCCGCCACACGAGTCTCTCTGCGGTAGCCGGTCTCCATGGCCGAACTCTTCCAAGAAAGGTCATCATCTTCCAACGAGCCATCTGCCTGCATGAGAGATGAACTTGCACCAGGAGGGGATTTCATCGACAGAGAAGATGGCTGCTCTGCAGCTCCGGAGACACCCCTTGATGGCGATGTGTCACGAGTGGTGCTTTTTGGGTTAGATGAGTGCCGCCGCGATTGCCTCCGTTGGGATACGGTCTCCAGCAATTGGTGTGATGCCTCGTCTCCCGAGGATCTACCAAGGGTCTGATGCGTGTGCTTCGGATTGACCAGGTTTTGGTTCGACTGGGGAAAAGGGCTGGTCGCCGGCTTTTCTCCTTGCAGCATACCGCCTGCCTCACCCAAGCTCTGCGGGTCAAGCAGGAAGCTTGAGGATCTGCGGGATCCATTTCGGCCCACGGCATCAATCAGTTCTTTGGTTGGGCGTCGCATTTTGTCACGCAGGTTGGGCTCTGCATAGCTGACCACTGCCCCCCGGCGTCGTGAGGATCGGGATGTCGCTGCCACATCTGCATCGGTGGCCATGATATCAGACTGGACGATGGGAGAATCCTTGAGTGAAATAAGCGCTGGCTGTTCAGACTGGACGGAGGGTTGAGAATGTCTCTGTCTTTGAGTATCGGAAATGGGACGAGGTCGACGCGCCGCTTGACTTAAGCTACGGCCTCTGGGTTTCTCGAGCTCCTTCGGTTTCTGAGGTGACACGGTGTTTTCATTACCAACCATCTGCATGGGAAGCTTATTGTCCGGATGCAACGATGCCCGAGCTTTCTTGGGGGAGCCTAAGCTGAGATTTGCACTCTCTGGTTGTTGGTGTTAGTACAAAAGCACATGTATAATCAGCAAGGTTGGAAGTGGGTTCCTTACTGGGTTCAAGAACTTTCCGTTTCATGGTTCCAGTTGCTGACCCTCGTTTAATGCTCACGGGAGTCTTTATAGGTGAAGTATCCTGATGCATCAATTGCAAGAGGTCTGTATGTCTCGGGGGACTTTGGCTAGGTCGGCTGAATTGAAACTCGTCACATTCTTGAACACCATCTCCATCCGATAGGGCTCCATCCTCGTCTGGGCTGAATTTTCGTTTAGATCCTGACTTTACCCGCCGGTCGTTGACGCCAGGAACGTTCGGTTCCTGCAGGGTGAAATCCCCTTTTTCGGGGGACACCGAGTCTGTCTTCTTTTTCTTCTTGCGAGTCTCGAGCGTGGGTGGGAGGCATTGATCGGGAATCGAGGAGGAACCCATTTGGTCTTCTGGCAGGATCTCGTGGACCTTGAGACTAGGCGATGGGCTTTCCGTGGCAGACTGTTGTGTTAAATCGACCTCAAACACAGGCTGGGCGGGGCTTGAGTCCGCCTGCACGAGATTCTGGATTTCTTGCGCTCTACATAGATTAGCGATGACTCGAAAACGGCCCGAGAGCGAGGAGACATACTCCAGAGTTTTTCGAGGATAGCATTTGTCTTCCAAAATGGCCGGTAGCCTCCCATCCTCCCCTGGATAATCCAGGTCCGCGGGTTGTGGTCGCGACCCCGCTGCTTTCGGGCGATCTGGGTCAGATTTGTCCAGCTTGCCAATCTTGCGAGGAAGCATGCCCAGCTCTGATGCAAGGTCATTCAGCTCTGCTACTTTGGCGTCCAGTCGGGACTTGATCTCATAAACCCCGGCATGGAGCATTTTCGCCGCCTCCAACCTTTCGGCCTCTTGGGTGACATTGATCACTTGCTGTCGCAGAGAGACATTCTCGGCAAGTAAATGGGCAACTTCTGACTCTAAGCTTCGGATACGAAGGGACTGCATTGAGTTGACCCGCGCGATCTCCTTATTTTGTCGCACAAATCTTCGCTTGACTAGGGAAGATCACCGCGTTAGGAAGGGGGCATGGCTTGATTTCTCTTTTAACTTACGGGCTTCGATTGACTCTGGAGGGGCCGTGTAATCATTGAGCCGAGCCATGATGGTCTATGCCACCAGGGTTGTGGAACGGAGAGTTGAAACAGTGAAGATGATGGAACTCGACGATTTTCCCCCAGTAAACACGATTGTTGACGTTTGTCTTCATTGGGACTAGTGCATGCCGACGCACGAGTGGATCCCGTGATTTTCTGTTTGTCCCATTTGCCATCCAGCTTGTATGATCGCCAAACATTCAATTGAAACCGCGTCACATTCCACTCATGGCCTACTCGTCGCGACCACCTTCCATGCTGCCTGGGGCGCTTCGCCAGCCGCAGCCCTCCTCGGCTCTAGCTACCCGCATTGCCGCCAAAAAAGCCGAACTGGAAAATCTGCGCCAACTCCGTGATCTGAGCGGGACCCTCGCCATGCAAATGCAGGCGCTCGAGAGCAAGATTGCCACGTTGAAGGATGGCACTGAAGGTAGATTGCTCTTCCCCGACCAAGTGTCGCCCGACTAATTGGTTAACAGCCGTTGCATGCGTTCTTGCCAATTGGGATAATGTTCTCCGCGCCATCAGTCTCGCCTCCAGTAAGCTTGCGTGATAGGGCTTATCAGCGATTACATTCCACTAACACCAATGCAGAGAAAGCTGCTGGACTTGACCCGGATCAAACCGATGACCCGAACGATTCTAGTTTGCCAGCCACCTTGGTTCGCATCCCTGATCAGGGTGAATGAACGATCGCAATGAATTAGCTATGAGACCCACGGCAATTATGAAGCATTATTTTACACGCGCTTTCCTCTCCCCTCACTTGTGGGAAAACCCTCATCTATTGGAAGCGCTCCGGGCTGGAGACAAGATAAGCGGTCATCCGAAGGGAAAGGAAGTCTCTGGGGGACATCTGTTGGGCTTATCTCAAGTCATTCTCGCACGATCCTCTCTTCCTTTCTTCATTTCCCATTTTCCCTCACAGCGTTTCGATTGCCTATCTTCCCCGCATTTTTGAGGGAACTGAATTCTCGCGTGACCCCTGTCGACCCAGCTGCAAGCTAAATTTATCAAGAAGAGGGGGTGCATGGAACTAGCAAGTTTAAGTAGAGTCCTGTATTAGGGATAGCGATCAGCCATAATCGCAGTAATCGAGCCACGAAAGGGCTGATTCGTCGGCGCCCCCTCCTAGTGATCAGGCACACGAAATCAACGCTCAGGCCTCAATGGTGCAGATGACGGACTTGAGACGATTGGACTGGACCAATGATGCCCGGATGCAAGTGGAGCCCGTCGATGGTTGCCCCTTCCAGGTTCCTGCAGCTCGCATAATTCGCTCTTAATGACTTTTCTTTTCGTCCTAAGCGCCCGAGCCACGACATAATGGCCCCCGCAATGCATCATCTTGATAGGCGTGTGGCATGCTATGCGATGAGCTGATGTTCTTTATTCATAAACCTTCCATCCTTCATGACCATTTATTCACTCGCTTTCTCTCTCTCTCTCTCTCTCTCTCTCTCTCTCGCATCTACACAATCCATCATGTCCACAGAATGGTCTCTTGATTTCTGTCTGGCCTGTGATCGCCAGACTCTTGGTGGTCCCTACTGTTCTCAATCATGTCGTCTAGCGGAGTTGGACCGTCCAACCCCCGATGAGCCAAAATCTCTCCAAACATCCTCCCACTCGCGTTCTTCCACTCTCGACTCTCAGCCTGAAACTCGATCGGCTCGCAGTCTTTCTTCATCTTCCTCCCAAACATCTCTCTCCTCACTACGGAGCCATGCGTCCAATACCACCTCAGACCACCTCCAGGATGAGCTACGAGATTATGCTAGCTCCTTTGATCCAGTTCGAGACCTCAAGCGACGGTTGACCACCTCCTAAGACCGCCTTGAAACCCTGGCCATCGCCAGCTGGCAACCACCTACATCAGCGAATCATTGCATATTTCGAGGGAAAAAAACCACCAGGCGTCATTGCTTCCCCTCCCAAAAAAAGGAAAATGGGATATCACTGGGTCTCTTCTCCCTCTTCATTCTTCACGACTATACCCTTGTCTTCATTTTCTCTCTTGCTATATAATACTCCATTTGTGATACTGCGATACTGTGATATATTGGCGTTGGATTTAATCTCATACACCGGACCAGAATGTTCCATGGGCGGAACTGGGGAAACTGGTATTTTCTGGATTTTTGTGATCTTAACTCTTTTGGCAAATACAGAATGTAGAATAATCAAGGCTGAATGGAGACCCGGAATGTGTCAACATAGCGCTTGTATACAAGTGGGGACTCATGCTCCACTCATCCCGCAGCATCTGTCTCCCAGCTCGCCACGCCATTGTCATCGGCTTGCTCATTGCGCCACCGCTTTGCCTAAGGCAGTCACGTTTTTGGGCACGAACCGCACCTTGTACCGTTGAGGAATGGCCACCAGACTGGTGGGGTCCGAGTTCCCACGGACGGGGTGCCAATCAGCGTTGTCGTGGGGTTCAATCCGAAAGCTGTTCAGGGTCCGCATGAAAACCAGATAGAGTTCTCGGTTGGCCAACAGGGAGCCGGCACACATGCGGTAGCCCATGCCGTAAGTGAACATTGGTGCGTCGGGCTGCTCCAACCACCGCTCTGGTCGGAACTCTTCCGGGTCGGTCCACACATCTGGATCTACATTGTCACCGTTAGCCTGCTGGAGGAGAGTCGGAGATGGTGCGATTCAAATTACCCATGTTGCAGGCCCAGGCATTCAAAAAGAACACGGTGCCCTTGGGGATCACTATCCCCTGATAGGTGATATCCCGGATTGATGTTCGGGGCAGAGCCAGCCGGAGAACTGTGAAGAATCTACGAGAGTACACAGAATGGGTCAGGTCGGACGTCAAAGCTTCCTCGTCTTCAACAAACTTACCGAAGACACTCCCGGACCAGCGCAGCAACGTAGGCACACTTTTGATCGTCATCGGCCGAGCACATGGGCTCGTCCTGGCCATACATCTCCTGGATCGCTTTGGCGGCCTTGTCCTGCACATCGGGGCGCGTGGAGAGCAGCCCAATGCTCCATGCGACAAGGGTGGTGACGGTATCCAGACCACCTGAGAGCATGGTCAGACTGATCGAGGTGAGCTCTTCCGTATTCAACTTGGCTTCCTTGTCCAGGATCACATTGGCCTGAATGCATGGCGTGTGGGTTCCCTTTTCCATCCGATCGTCCAGGTCTCGGTTCAAGGAGCCTAGGTATTTGTCTCGACGAATGCGCATCTCCGCTGCCTTCTTCGAATTCCTGCTGAATGGGTCCAATCGGAGGAGAGGGATATAGTCCTGTAAATTTCCTGTGGTGCTTCGGAATCGGCTGATCTCTTCTTCCACATGGGTAATCTCATCAAACAGCTCAGACTCTTGCGAGGCCACCCGCACTCCCCAGTTGAGCGTTAAGGCCAAACTTAGACTCAGGCGCTGGATCATAGGCATGGGATCGACAGGCGTCGCGCCACCTTTACCATACCGGAACAATTCTTCGACAAAGGCCTTTGATTCGATATCCAGATGGGAGACGTATGAATCCACCGAGGGCCGGTTCAGGGCGGAGGCGGCGCCCTTTCGGCGGCGCTTCAGAGAGTCACTGTAAGGCGAAGTTCCGATGGTCGTACCTGCAGTGTTTGAAACAATCTACACAATAGCGTCCCTCCGGTGGTTAGTGCATGTAATGAGCTGGTATGAGTGTAATCCTCATTACTCACCTTGTGAAATGTATAGAACTCTGGTCGCGAGCTTAGTGCCTGGGCATTTTGGCCGAAGATCACCTTGGCGGAAGCAGCCGAGTTCACAACCACCACTGGGACGTTCCCCAGTTGGATCTGATACACGGCACCGAATTTCTTAGACCAGACTCGATACTGCTCGGCTGCATTGACTCGGATCTGAGCCAGATTCCCAATCAGCGGCAAGCCTCGGGGGCCTTTCATGCCCTTGACACGGACCGATGCCCGAATGAACTCGTTCAGGATGACATAAAGGATAGGTGCCAGGAAAACGGTGATCCCCAAGGACTGCCATGGGTTGTGAATTATTTGCCCTTGAAGGGCTAACAGGGTCGATGCGATAGCCATGGTGTGCAGATGGTTGTTCTAGGGTAGACACGGTCATGACCTTCTATATAACCATTTCCCAACCGCAGATATGGTCGGCTGTTTGCAATGGAACATTTCCGTCAGAGCTCATTGATTCGATGGAGCATCTAGGTCATCGCAGCATAAGTACGAGGTTTGGTTGGTCAACCCCACACTTTCCCCAGGTTGCAAGCGTGCAAAGCCGAGTTGCCGCACGGAATTCCTCCGCTTTTTCGGAACTCGTGCGCAGTCCTGGAGTTCACTTAACGTAGCGATCAAGGGCTTTTTTTTTATTCCAGAATAACCTTATTACTTTGTCAACGTTTCATGTTGGACCTGGACTTTGTCCAGGTCAGGTTGATATCGATGTTCGGGGAGTGTCCATGTCAGTACTCTCTGTACATCTAAAGACACCCCATATATACATTCACATAGATGACCGCGGATTTATATCAAATCAATCATTATCCAATGAAGATGAATTGACATGTATTGTCTTAGCTACGAATCTATTCTACATCCCTTTAGAGTAGCATAGAATAGGAGTTGTCGAGTTGTCCGTGCACGCTAATGCAACGTCGAGGCCCTATTTAATAGTACCACGGCATAGAAGAAAGGAATAGTAATACTACTAGTACGAATGAACGACATAGTGAGAAACGTACAAAAAAGGGGAGAATTCATGTGGGGCCAATGATCTGCCCGAGTCCACTGTGACTCCCCTATCCAGGGACCGAAGCGATTGGAAACGCCTCTGACTTTTGAGCCTGGTTAGAATCCTAAGGGGCAAATCTAAGAAAAGAAAAGAAAGTAAAAAAAGAAAGCGTTAGTGTATAACGAATGGAGCTACTAGTGGATCAGCTTCTGCTCCACTCGTAGAGCTGTCCTGTGGCCCGTGGGCATTGTCCATTACGGAGTCCAGTTTATCCACCTGATGACTCATAGAATGTCCCTGGCATTCCACAGGGAGGTAACGTGAGATGCAGGAACCTGATGTGTGCGATGACTCCATAGGACTCAGCAAGGCAAAGGTTGGACAGGGAAGAAACTGGTTCAGCGAGGAGCACTGAGCTCATGAGTGGAGTAAAGGGAAACGGGGCCGCGATCGAGTGGATCTGAGCCGCAAGTCAGCTGCTCATGCAGAGATTTGCAGAGTCTCGATGGGTATAGAGGTGACGGCCTTGGTATATCTGAGTCCGTACTGAATTCTCCGCGCATATCAGTAGAGACAAGAATCAAATCCCAGCATAGACCCCGTCCAGCGTCCGGTGTATTGCGTTCAGTAAAAACCTGCTGGTCACATGTATCGGAGTGGGAATCCGAATGTCAGCGTGCGAGTCTCTGATTGGTGGGAATTCACAACGCCCACCGCAATGACGCAGAAGTCCCAATTGAATGTGAACCGGTTTGTGGAAGGTATAGCGACCTGGCCTCGATCTATGCCGCAGATCCTGCCTGGAATTCAATGTTACTTATCTCGTATATTCCCCAACCGGTTCTCTTCCCTTTCTTCACTTCCCCCTTTCCTCCAATCCTCTCCTACCCCTTCTCTCACACACACCTTAAAACAGCCTTGGATCCCAAGTCCAATTGGGACGGAAGCTTAATCCCCCGTTAATATCTATTCATCGAATTATACCCGCGGATAATGGCCGCTCGTCACTCGCGCAGGTTTCTGCGACCGCTTCTGTACACCTCGGCCGCCGCTGCCGCCGGAGCCGGCGTTCTTTACATCTCCTACCGTCCACGCAACATCCCCGGTCTTGAGGCCCCTGCTGTCCCCCCGCCCGGGTACCATGAGGGCAAATTGGTGCCCCCGAATTTCCCCACAATCAAATCGCGCATCGAGCAGATTAAGGATTTGAAGCGCAGTCAGGATGAGGAGTCTTACGACCTGCTGGTCATCGGTGCGGGTGCAACCGGTGCCGGCATTGCCTTGGATGCTGCCACCCGAGGATTAAAAGTCGCTGTGGTAGAGCGAGATGATTTCAGTGCCGGTACCAGTAGTAAGAGCACCAAGCTCGTGCACGGTGGTGTGCGCTATCTAGAGAAGGCCGTGTGGGAATTGGATTACAACCAGTCAGTGGGCTCTTAAATTCCCCCCCCTCCCCCCTCTTCCCTCCGCAAATTAAAAAAAAAAAAAAAAAAAAAAAGTCGACAAATCGTGGAGCTGTGATCCGCTGACAAGCTGCATTGCATCAACAGATACAAGCTCGTGAAGGAGGCGCTTCGTGAGCGCAAGTATTTCTTGAACACAGCTCCCCATCTCTCACAATGGCTACCTATCATGGTGCCACTCCAGAAATGGTGGCAGGCTCCTTATTTCTGGGCTGGTTGCAAGGCTTATGATTTCTTGGCTGGTTCCGAGGGTATCGAGAGCTCTTACTTCTTGACCAAGAGTAAGGCCATCGATTCATTCCCTATGCTTAAGCGTGACAATGTCGTTGGCGCAATGGTCTACTATGGTAAGATCCCCCTTTCTTCCCTGTCCGCAGCAGGGGGCGATGGAGACTGACTGGATTTGCAGATGGTGCGCACAATGATTCCCGAATGAATGTGTCCCTCGCCATGACCGCTGCCCTTTACGGCAGCACGGTCGTGAACCACATGGAAGTCACCGGATTGACCAAGGATGCCTCCGGCAAGCTCAATGGAGCTCGCTTGAAGGATGTGATTCCGGGCAGAGATGGTGAAGAGGCCCAGGAATTCAACATTCGCGCCAAGGGTATCATTAACGCCACCGGTCCCTTCACGGACTCGATCCGCAAGATGGACGAGCCCGAGACCAAGGAGATCGTGGCCCCCAGCTCCGGTGTGCACATCATTCTCCCTGGATACTACAGTCCGTCGAACATGGGTCTCATTGACCCATCCACCTCCGACGGTCGTGTCATCTTCTTCCTGCCCTGGCAGGGCAACACCATTGCTGGTACCACCGACGCCCCTACCGAGATCACTCGCCACCCCGAACCCTCCGAGAAAGACATCAATTGGATTCTTTCGGAAATTCGTGGCTACCTGGCCCCCGACATCAACGTTGACCGAAGCGATGTCTTGGCTGCGTGGTCTGGTATCCGCCCCTTGGTCCGCGACCCGGCCAAGTCCAGCTCTCAGGCCTTAGTTCGCAACCACCTGATCTCCGTTTCTCCATCTGGATTGTTGACCTGCGCCGGTGGCAAGTGGACCACTTACCGTCAAATGGCGGAGGAGGCTGTGGACGAGGCTATCGATGTGTTCAAGCTGAAGCCCCGTGAGCCGGCCGCAGTGCCGGATATCAGTGGTGTCGGTGGCAGTGGCTTGGTCGCGGATGGTGCTACCCTGGACGGTAGCTGCCAGACACACCAGGTCCGCCTGATTGGTGCCCACGGTTTCTCCAAGACTCTCTTTATCAACCTCATTCAGCACTACGGCCTGGAGACCGACGTTGCCCAGCACCTGACAGAATCGTACGGTGACCGCGCCTGGCAGGTGGCTGCTCTTTCCGCGCCCACCAATGCTCGCTTCCCCGTGCGCGGTCAGCGCATCTCGGCCCTGTACCCCTTCGTGGATGGTGAGGTCCGTTACGCCATCCGTCACGAGTATGCCCAAACTGCCGTCGACGTCATCGCCCGCCGTACCCGTCTGGCCTTCTTGAATGCCGAGGCCGCTCTGGAAGCATTGCCGAAAGTTATTGACCTGATGGGCGAAGAATTGAGCTGGAGCAATCAACGGAAGGAGTTGGAGTGGAATGACTCCATTTCCTACCTCCGTTCTATGGGCCTCCCCAAGAACTTCCAGAGCCTGACTCGCGAGGAAGTTCAGAACGGCCGTGTCCAGGATCTCGATGAGATTGAGCACAAGGCTGTGATCCGAACTGGTAAGCTTGAATAGTCATTTTCTCCACGTGCAGTGCATTTTTGCTGACCACCCCTTAGAACCACCAGCGGATATCCTCAAGAGTGACGCTGTCATTACTCCAGCGACCTCCAACCCCGAACCTGCACCCCTCAACAAATAGAGATGTGAAATAATAGAACCGGCTTTGTACAAATAGAAATGTTACTTTATTCCTGCAACGATTTCCTGATGTCAGTGGCAAATGGTATATATATAACAGATCAATGCGAGGGAGGGGGTCTGTGTAGTAGAGTCCCTTTTGCCTCTGCCGTTTTCCCTTGGCTGACATTATCATTTGCCGCGCGATCAGAAACCCAGGTCGTGAGACCAATGCTGGGGTGAAACATGATACTATAGCCTATGATCAGTACAGTTCAAGTTGCGCTGGATACATCGACACAAACCTTGTTTCCTTGAAGCTAGCTGATCCATACAGTTGTCGCCCGCTTTCGTATGCTGACGAGTCTAATTGGGAAAACGCAGTGCTAACATGCCTTGCTAGAAGTGTCTTTGCCATGGATACCATTAGCCAGCTGAAACAAGGGTTCATGCAAATGCACATGGCAGATGCTGAGGATCTCCTGACCGGAAACCATGTCCTGATCTGTTCTCTGATGATGAATATCTTCGCTGGGCACCCGACTTGTACCATTCTGTATCCATTGGGGCGCTTGTGTCATTCGTCCTAACTCTCCTTGAACTACCATCCTATCCATGAATCACCATCAAGAGCATCACGGTATGCCTTGGTGATCCTGATTGGGGCTTGCTGCTTGGGTATGGCTTTCTCTCACCTGCAGGTATTGCCATCAGTTCCCACCATAATTCAGCCATTGCCAACATGGTCGTTCCATGTGCCGGTCACGTTGCCTTCTTCACTCTCTCCTTCAAATTCAGAGTCATCAATAATCTTCTCAAAATCCCTTGCACAGCTGCAGACTTGTGAAGTGATCCTGTACAAGTTCTCAGGAATCGCCCTCCAAGTCCTTGTGGGCAATGACATCGCAGCTCCTGTCCTCAGCCCCGTGAAACTATTTCGTCAGATTTATATCGCTCACGGAGTGGCAATGCCAACAGTAAGGGTCTCAAAGATAGACTTCCTATCAAAGCACCGACCAGATCATTCTAGACTGTTATTATGGGCAGTTGCCGTCAAGACCATCTACGTCTTTATCTTCCGTGGTCCCAGTTTCATGCACCCCGACCCTCTGCCACGCGAAACACAAGGATCGTGATCTATGTCGGTTTTTGGATCTATTTAGGAAATGTGACAGGCGACCGAGATTCCTGTTTCCAAGGATGTGCTGCGCTTGGTGCGTTCTGCCCGCTTTAGGTCCATGACCTTGAGACTCATGATCGCCATAGGACTACCGGTCTGTTTGTTGGGGGACTTTTTCGGGTCTTTCACGCGTGTTCAGGCTTTATGTGACTCGCACTCTCTCGTTCTTGACCCGGAGACAGATAGTACCATTCGTCGGCAACCTTTCCTCATGCTAACGCTCATGATTGTGAATTTCAAAGGGCCCCCGGTAATCCTGAGATGGACAACCGTTAGTGCATGATCGGGCTATTTTGCTCTCTTTGGTCCGTTTACCAGAATCTACGTGGAGGCGTGAGTAGCTACTATGAGACCACTCCTTTTCATGGGCATGGTCTTGCAAGACACTTGATCACGAGAGGAGGGGGCAAGAATATCCAATGAAGCTTCAAGATCAAAGGTTCACGACGCCCAGCGACCCAAGCAGAACTGTGAAATTCTCATGGCGGCTGGCCTGTTCCTCGTTGAACCAGAAAGCCATCATCTTAACCACGAAGCATTCGACTCTTATATCAAATCTGTCCCAGTCTATAGAAACAAATACATTAATATACATGTCTAACCGACCAATCTCTTGCAGAATCAGGCCACCAAGTTCCCGGTCAAAAGTACCACGACGGTACATTTTCCCCCATGTCCCAATTTCCCCCAACAGCCAGTCGGAGAATTGCTAAGGGGCCCATGCAGCGTCACACGCTCTCCACCAAATCCTGCCAAATTAATGTCAAGAATTTCAGTCGGTTTACCCTCTCGAAATCCTTGAGATTCTTCAAAATTACATTTCCCATGCGGAAATGCCCTGTGGGAATGCATGTGGTCCCAACCGAGACTGGGATTGAGTCATGCATATATACCCCAATTCCCGCTGGAAGCGCAATGGCCTGCATGCTTCCCCCCCCAAACCCCTCCTTCATAGGCGAGCTGGGACTGGGGCGATCCAACCGGGAATATATCCTTGCTCCACCCAGAATCCCCCATCCATGGCCAACGGGGGATCCCTGCTCTGGCTAGGGAGATACTGTCGGTGTAGTAACAGTGACATGTGGAATGCACTGGACAAGTCGAAGCATAGCTTGATTGGGGTCCTAACAGAAGACCAAGCAGTCAACGTCACCGCAGCCGCCTCGACTGGAATGCGCAGGGATGCCCATCTTGGGCCCCCAATGTAGGTCACAGAGTTGTTCTGGCCTATTCAGCTGGGATCTTCCAAGTTATTTCTTGCCGCCTTTGGAGTCATGAAAACTGTTCCAATATCGATTCACGACTCGCTGAGTAATCGACTGGTGATTGATACGGAGACGAGGTAGAAAATAATTGAACAAGGCAAATTCATCTGAAGTCAAGACAATTGTGTCTTGTTCCGCTTGAATCCGGGTCCATAGATCGGCGATGGCGGCTTCGAGGATGCTGGAGGTTGAAGCATCCACCGGCGGATCATTAGTGCGGGCGCGATCTAAGGCCGTTCGAATGCTTTCCTGTTCTTTGGAGTCGGGCATGGCGAAATCAATCTGGGTTTATCCCTTCACAAGTGAAGGAGTGGTTTCAAAGACACCCAGGGCGAAAGTAAAGACAGAGGTGAAATGCATGCGACCAAGCAGGAAAACCCGAGTCTTTTCAATCATGAAATGGAGTCAAAGTGGAGCCGGGGGGGGGGTAAAAGAGAGAAAGGGGGGTGTGTCCCGGCTCAGTAAAGCCGAGATTATCACTGTGTCAAGGTTCGGAGGACCTATGGATTTAGTACTTATACTCGGTTGCACAACGGCCTTCATGCCGAAGAGGAAAGGAAAACCAGAGACGTGGAAAATAAAAACACACCCAAAACCCTTTCAATCCGGAATGAAGCTGGAGTGGGGTTCATAGAACGGGTCCGGCCGTGAGCGTTTACGCTGGCGTAACGGTTTTTTTAGGCAAAATGACATCGGGTAGGATCGAGCTAGGGATCGAGACGAGACCACGTAGGCTAGGGTTCAAGGGTCATATCGCTTAGATTGCAGAGGCCAATCCGACTCGCGCGAATGGTGCAAAGTCCGGTGCATCAGTTGAGTGGAGCACGCTCCACTGCTCTTTGAGGCTCCTTCACTTCGGCTCCGTGTCATTAGTTTCCATCAGGCCATGGCCTCGGCAATCTGTGGCAGGTCGATATCAAATGGAAATCGTTCAACCCGGAGATTGCTCTCTCCACGAGGATCTGTGGGTGGACTCGCTGGCGCTGATCCTGGGCATGCCCTTATCCATCTGGGCTGGGATCTCTTCCTAGGCCGTTTCAGAATGTCTTTCTACACGATCGATGGAGCCCCGTTAAGGTTAGAGCTGGCGAACTGCTTGCGTGATCTTCTGGCAACGACGACATTCGGGAAATTGGAAGGGAAATGAGCGATTACAAAGCCTGTGGCCCTACCGATTCGCACAGACCGGAAGCAAGAGCCCAGACAGGCTATTGCGCCGGAATTGAAGTCCAGTCGCTTTCCCCACAACCTAAAAAACTGCAATTTTTCCGTCGAGGAGTTTCGGAAGGCCGTTTGTGTGAGAAAGGGACTCCACACGCAACTCTAATACGTGGCTGATTCGATCCGCTCTCGAAAACAAGGAATCTACGCCCTCGGAAAGGCCATCGGAACGGCCATCAGAGTTGATTCGGAGCCCGTCCGAACGATCATGATGAAACGAGAGGTTTCGTTAGTGGATCGGACTCGGCCTTGCTACTAGTCGGGTCTGCCCTATGGGTTATGCTAGCTTGTATCGACATGGAGGTCCAATGGCTGTCATACCTCGGGAGGGATTGATCTATACTTAGACTTGATGGAAAGGAGTGTTCAGGTACAATATTTATATCGACCATTGGGGCACCTTGGAAGGCAGATCCCATCTCCAATACATTCTAATCATGTGTGTAATTATTCAATGGCTCCTGGTAGATAATGCCCAATCTATGACCCATACCATACATACTAGACATATTTATCAGTTGACGTGGGTGGATTAATCATCGCGATCCGGGGCGGAAGAGATGTTGACAGCTTCCCTTCAATCCCGCTCTCCCTCACCACAAACCACCCAGCATGCCCAGTAATCCCTCCACTCAAGGTGCGCTCGCTCATCTCTGATTTTGAATTGCCTACTTATCGTTTGCTAGCTGCGAAAGCCAAGAAGAACAAGAAGAAGGCCGCGCACGCCAAGGGGAATGCCGAAACCGAGTCGGCAGGCGCTCCTGAACAACTCGAGGATGCCACTCAGGTGCGTCATGGATCTATCCTCCATCCTCCCTTGTAACCCCGTGCTGAGGATTCCAGGACGACCCCGATGGACCGGACGAGGTAGAAAACCCCTCCACCGATGCCCCTCCACCCCAAGACGGCGCGCTCGATCAGTCGGCCAATGACCACGAATCCGGCGATGGACCACGGGAGACTCAAGATGCCCGCCCCGCTGTGACCGAGTCTGAGGCCGAGGCCGAGCCCAAGGACCGTTTCGATGCGCTGGTTCGAGACCGAGATTCCCTACGGGCCGAAGTCACCGACATGCGCAAATCACTAGAGGAGATTCAATCCAAACATCGGGTGGAAATGGAGGCGCTACAGCAGAAACTGGACGATGCAGAGTCCAAGAAGGAGCAGGCAGAGACTCAGTTTCAGAAACTCTTGGAGCGCGTGAATATCATCAAATCTCAATTGGGAGAGCGACTCAAGGAGGACGAGGTGCGTGAATTGGCTCAACTAATGCTTAATTACCTGCGCTCTTGCTCATGCAGTTCTTGTAGGAGGAATTGACCCAAGCGCGATCTCAAATTGAGGAACTCGAGGATGAGAATGCAAGCTTGAAGTCACAGCTCGAAGCCAAGTCAACGGAGGTTGCGACCCTCTCTGACGAATCAGCACAGCAATCCAAAGAAATCGCTACGCTCCGAGACCGAACAACCCTCTCCCAGCAGAATTGGACGAAGGAGCGACAAGAATTGATCGAACAGGAGTCCTATCTGCAATCCGAGTTCGAGCAAGCCAAGGAGGCCATGCATAATTGGGAAGTACTTGCGATGGAGGAGCGATCTATCCGGGAGAATCTGGGTGAGAAGGTCGTGGATCTCGAGGAGCAGCTTGGGAACCTCCGTGATGCCTACGAAAAGGCCACGAATGAACGCGATGTTCAGCAATCTACCGTCGACGGTCTCCAACGGGCCCTGCAGGAGATCCAAGCAGCACGGAAACAGGAGCTCCGTGAGCTGGTAGAGAGCTCAGATACTCAGTTGGAGGAGCTGAGACGATCGCTCCGAGAGGCACAGCAACAAGCCAGCGATGCGGACAAAAATGTTAAGACCGCACAAGAAGAACTGGATCGAGTGCGCCCGTTCGAGAAGGAAGTGAAAGAGAAGAACCTTCTCATTGGAAAGTTGCGTCATGAAGCAGTTACGCTGAACGACCACCTTACCAAGGCCCTGCGATTCCTCAAGAAGGGGAAGCCGGAAGATAATGTGGACCGGTGAGTCCTCGAGAGCTGGCATACCCTCGCCTGATATATATACTGATATCCCTAGACATATCGTTACCAACCATTTACTGCATTTCCTAGCGTTGGATCGATCGGATCCCAAGAAGTTCCAAATCCTGCAACTCATAGCAGCCCTTTTGGGCTGGGATGATGGTGAGTTCTTCTCCAAGGTTACTAAGTATCACCCAACATACTTACGGATGTATTCAGAACAACGAGAACAAGCTGGGCTCGCTCGACCAGGCACTTCAAGTATGCCTGGTAAGCTTCGGGTTCCTGGAACTCCTTTGCGGACTCCCAGTACACCCAACCTGGCCGAATTCATGGACAATGGAGCGTCCAGCAAGGAAACGCTAGCGGAGTTATGGTCTAACTTCTTAGAACAGGAAGCCGAGGTCGGCAATCTGAACAGCATGAGACGAGGAAGCCACCCAGGACCTGCTAAATCATAGTGTTCTCGGGTCTTCGGTTGTATAGAAACGAAGCTCAAAATACTAGGCATCACTACCATACCGTATAATCCCTACACATGCCTCTACAGACCTTGTTCTCTTATTTTCAGGCTTTCTCTACCCTTTGAATCAGGTCCCGGAATTGATCTGGTAGTTCAACAAGAAAAAATGATCATCTACCCATGGCTTTGCAGGTTGCTAAAGTACTCTGGACATCAAGGTATATGGTCATTGCGGTACGGGGAGGTCTGATTCTCTGCCCAGCTCCATTTGCAACGCGCTAGGATGTTGACGCAATCGCGGTTTCGGACCAGTTCACTATGCTAGAAAGCGATAGAAGGAAAGGCGAACTGAAAAGAGTTTCTCCGGGATAATTAAGGAAAATAAGTACATGGAGGAAACCAGATAGCGCTGGATGTCAGAAAGACTTTTCCCCCGCAACACAAATGGTAATAAGAAAAAGCCCGAATTCTTCTCGGTGACGGAAAGGACGAAAACAGAAGACGCAAAGGAAAAATGGGATATCTGCAAAGGCCGTCGAAAGGGACAGGTAATTTTTCAGAATGATGTCGTCCAGAGGTGACCATTACACATCACTCGCCACCAGGAAATTAATATCCGTTCATGGCCGCACGTTGCGAGTTGCGGCTGAGTTCGCGATCCGCCGAGGGGCTGATGGGCCGGCTGCCACCCGTGTGGCCAGCGGCGCTGCTCTCTTTCAGAGCCAGCAGCTGCTTGGCACGGAAGGTCTCGTAGTGGATTTGGCTGGTGGTTTCCACCAGATCCTGCAGGTGGGTACGGGTCAGGAAGTTGCGCAGGTAGACGAACTCGCAGTGGTTCTCGTCTTCGACGTTGATAACTCCCCAGCGGTTCTGGCGGCCGCGAACCTGCTTGCCGTTGACCACGATGGTCTTCTCACTGCCGACAACTGAGAATGGAATGATGTCCTGCAAAGTCATGGTCAATATCTATGCCAAAAGATCATGTTTGATCTCTCTTTCTCTCTTTCTTACCTTAATCTGAGCGTTGATAGCCCGCTCCTCATCATCAAGCTCGCCGTTGTCGTAGGGGTACATCTTCAGGTTGTGGAAGGCGAATTCCTCCTTAATGCGCTCCTTGAAAGCCTGGCGCTCCTCGAGGGTCAGAGAATCGGCCTTGGCGATAACGGGGACGACATTGACAACATCGGAGAGCTTCTTCAGAACAACAATATCGATGGGCTTGAGGCTGACAGGTCCATCATGTATTAGTTTGGGGGGTTGAAGTAAGAAGATTGGTGCTTCCTTCCAATTCCAGGAGAGACTCACGCGTGACCAGAGGGCTGGATGAAGAACAAGCAGCAGTGGATGCGGGTATCTTGAATATAACGCTCTCGCTGAGCTGTGAGCTCCTTGCGAAGGTATGCCGAGTGCTGATCCTTGATGTACTTGACAATGGGGTCCCAGCTGATGCCATGTTAGCGCGGGGGAATGTATAAAATATCCTAGTTGGAAATTGAATGCGTACCAACGGTCGTTGTTGACCTGGTCTCCGTAACCGGGTGTATCGACGATGTTTAGGCGGAGACGCACGCCGTTCTCCTCGATGACTAGTAACCATGTCAGCAATTGCGGTCTTGTGCGAAAAGATTCCTTGCTACCATGCAAACGTACTATGCGAGACCGTCTGGATTTCGGTGGTGGAGCGCACGGGCTCATTGGGGGTAAGGCGACCCTTGGAGTCGATCAGGTGGGACGCGAAGATGGTGTTGACAAGGGTGGACTTGCCCAGACCAGTTTGTCCTGTATAAGAGTTTAGTAATGATCAAGGTGGATCATATAAAAAAGAGCCTGCGCGTACCGACACACATAACATTGAACTGGAAACCACGCTTCAACAGCTTCCGCTCAATCTGGGAGGTGATGCTATCGAAACCGACATGGCTGTGGGGGAAGACGGTGGGCTGTTGACCCGTAGCAGAGGTGGTAGCGGCGGCCATTATGGGGGAAAAGTGTGGGAGAGTAAGGGAGGGCAATAATTCCAGAGAAGCAATGTATAAGATATCCCCGAAAGCAGAGCAAAGACCTCAAGAAAGAGCAAACCAGGTGAAGCCCCTTAAGTTGTGCTTTCATTATCGACAACTCAGGGGTGGACGCTATGCCCCATTGGGACTAGCGTGGACGCTGCGCAAACCGAATCTTTGGCTTTTTAGCAGTGCAAACCACCTTCCCCAACGTCAATCATCTCCACCATGGCTTTGTCCCTCGCCTCCAGAGCTGTCCCTCAGCTGCCTCGGTTCGGCTTCCTCTCGGCCGCAATCGCCTTACCCTCCATCTCCATTACCGTCCCGCCGCTCCTGTCCGATCTCTGGGACTCGGTCCTCCGCGCCGTCCCGAAGAAAAAGACCTCGCACATGAAAAAGCGTCATCGCCAAATGGCTGGAAAGGCTCTGAAGGATGTTCAAAGTCTCAATAAGTGTCCGGGCTGTGGTCAAGTAAAGCGGGCTCATCTGTTGTGTCCTAACTGCGTGAAAGGTACGTGTGTGCCTGGGAATGTTTATCGCCGAGGTCATGTCATGCCGCTAGGCTCTGGCGATACAAATTGGACTCTCTTTCTCCCTTTTCAGACCCAGAAGGAGGAAAAGCCAAGGATGTAAGGAAGCTGGAACTCTGAAACTAACGCCGAAAATAGATATCCAACAATCGTGGAAGTCGGTCCAAACCGCATGAATTGGCAATGATCCAGGATTCTGATCGCGCGGTCGAGTACAATTGAATCATCCAGTGGAGGACAAAAGACGGATTGTGTATTTCTAGAGTTGGCTTCTTCATTTTTTTTGGGATCTGCAGATAAAATCTATCTGCTGCATGGCACCTGGCGTCTGGTTACGTGGGGGACAAAGAAAATTTGTATTATTCCAAAGGTCCTAATGGCCTCCAATCAATTGTGATAAATTCCAATTGACAAGCTCCAATTTTCGTGTAGGATGTAATGACATGGCCTAGAGAGAGTAGATTGAAACCGTTGTAATTGTTACGAGTGCCGGCGCATGTCAACTGGGGTCGAAAAGGCGGACTGCGGGCAAAGCCAACCAACGTCATTCCGTAACCGCGGCGATACTTTCGAACCAACCAACTCGAGGTGCAATTTGTCCCAAACAATGGTAATCATAATCTTTCAACCTGCTATGAAGTCCTAACTAAAACTCGACAGTCGCGACAATATCTCGCGTGGGGCTCGACTGACAATGGTGAGTGATTATGGAATCTTCGAATGGTTATCAGGCTGCACAAAATCAAGCTAACCCCTCATCCAGCGCACCCCGTGGATATCTTCTCTCTGGCAGTGACGGACAAGCATGTCCTATCTGCCTCAGGTTCCCCGTCTCTCAAGGTCCATTCCACCATCGAGGCAGACTTCCCATTAGTCCAGTCAATCGACGGAGCTCACACTTTGGGCTGCCACCATGTGGTCACCGATGCCAAAGGTTCCCGCGCCGTCACCGCAGGCTTTGCAGGCGATATAAAAGTCTGGGCTTGCCAGGATGGCCATTGGTCAGCTGACGAGACTTCTTCAGGTATCGTCATCACTTCTAGATGAGAGGTTTATACTGACCCATTTCCAGCCAACCTAGCCAAGGTGAAAGTGTGGGCAATGGCATTGGCTGAGGACGGTCAGTACCTGGCTGGTGTCTCCCAAGATGGTCGAGTTGGAGTATGGGACCTAAGTGCGAACGGGACTCAAATTCGAGACCACGAGACCAAGGGCAGTTTTGGTACTTGTATCGACCTGGTAGGTCCTCGAAGAGCATCCCATCACATCCTCTGCTAAGATTTCTAGTCGCCTGATGGCCGCTTTATTGCCAGCGGCCATGAAAGTGGTGCCGTCTACATCTTCAGCACAGAAACAGGGCGCATGCCGTTCTCTCTGTCTGGTACGTGGTGCAATAAGCCCGGAGATTTCTATAGGACCTAACAAGATATGCAGGCTTGGTGAAGCCGGTTCGATCGGTGGCTTTCTCACCTGGAGGAAAGATTCTGGCAGCAGCTGGAGACTCCAAGGTGATTGTGCTGTATGACACATCCTCCGGGGAACAAATTGCAAACCTCTCAGGCCATGCTGCCTGGGTATTGTCTCTTTCCTGGAGCTTCACTGGAGAGTATCTTCTCAGCAGGTAATATTTATTCAATCCTTTGACCACGCCAAGTCTATCACTAACCCGTTTCCGCAGTTCATTTGATGGGAAAGTCAAGGTCTGGTCCATGGATACCAAGATGTGCGTTGCCACCCAATCCGAGACAGAAAAGGCTGTCTGGAGCGTGAAATGGTTGCCCAAGAGCAGCAGATCCGAGGCCTTTGTAACCGCCGGCGCAAACAGAAGTCTTGCCTTCTACCGCGAGGCTACCGGGGGTTGAAGAAAAGCGTTGTCTTTGCCAATGGCATACGAAAAGTGGCCTACGAGAGGCCCTGATGATTTCGGCGAACATGGTAATGCTCCAGCTTTAAAGCTCATGAATTTCATAACACAGATATCCATACAGTCTGAGAATCTATCTTTAGTTCATAGTCTCCACGAATAACTTGCGCATTCGTTTGAGGAATGCGCCAAAGTCTCGGTCCTCATTAACAAGATCAACCTCGCGCTCCAGAGCTTCACGGTTCACCTTGGGTCGGGTGTGAAAGACTTCGTAATCACGACTGGCTGTTCCCAATTCAAACCATGCCTCCGCTTCCCAGTCCTTCTCTACTACATGGCTGTAAACAAATTTCAACCGGTCCTCTCGGCCTGCTCCCTCAATTCGTAAACAGAGGTAATCCTGCCAAAACTCCAATTCCGGGTTGTTGAGCCGAGATTGCGCGTCCAGGTGTTTTGCGTGATTTTTCTGTGCCTCTAGTCGTTGGTTGATTGCCTTTCGGGTTTCCGCAATTTGCTGTTTGAGACGGTCTCGCTTGATGAGACGAGCGTCGCGTTCCATGGTGATCGTGGAAATAGCCGTGTGCATTTCAGCCGCCTCAGCCGCCTCTTTCTGAAGAGTTTGTTCGTGGGTTTGGGATTTGAGATTCAAAATCTCAATGTCACGTTGCCGCATCCGTTCGTCCTCTATGTTTACAAGTCAGTTAAAGGCGGGGAAAGTGAAGTTATACCCCCCAACGCACCTTGTAACTCAGCAAGATTGATATGAAACTGGTTTCTCTCCTCGAGGACCTGTTTGCGCCCCCGTTCAATGAATGCATCGAATTTTACAGTAAATTGTGCCATGCGATTGCGCAAGTCTTCAAACCCAAAGTTGATGCTAGGTAAGGAGTCCGCCATGGATGGCGCATCTGCCGACGCCAGAGGAGGGCGCATGCCACTCGTTGAGAGCGATGGATCGAACGAAGATGTCATGATTAGAGTTGCATTCGACGCGAAGATCAGATTCAAGGTCAAGCGCGTGGAGAGGGAAAGTGTGATGTTTGGGTTGCGGCGCAACGGCAGTCTTATCGTGGTTATCGCCTTATCGATAAGAAAAAACTCCAGATACTATTCGATTCTCCGTCACAGCTTCAATCACAGCTTGATATCTCAGCTTCCTTTATAATTGGCGGTTTTACCCTGCCGAAATGATCTGGCTTATTCTTGCGCATGCAAGCACAGCAATATCCGATGGATTATGAAGAGAGGGCCGTTGGGCCCATCCGCTACGTAAGGAAGACCAAATCCTGGAGCTTCCCATCGGTTAACCCAGCCATGCCATCATTGTTGTATACGGGAGTGACGAAGACGGTGATTCCATCGACATCAAAGATGGTTATTGCATCCAAGTCGGTGATTCCATCACCTCCATACACCGCCAATCCCAAGCTATTCAGTACACATGGTCGACCCCCCAAGAAGGAAATCAAATCGATCCTGAAGCAATACCCGGATTTGTACTTAGTGCGCTTCCCTTGGCTGCTTCATGAACCCCTCGAGTCATCGACAGCGAGAAATTACAATTTTCCCCCGTCAGCACTGCTGGACTTGGGGTACGCCGCAGTTTCCCCTCAGGATTCCAGTCACATCTCGATCGCAGCGACTGTGACCGGAGAAGATAGAAATGTCATCTCACTGCGCATGATACTTGAGGATACTCTGAAGCTGCCGCTTGTTGAATCTACAGTATTGGTCCCAGCCATCAGCGATGAAGAAGCGACTGAATGGTCGATACCAGGAGCTCGTATCCAACAAATATGCTTTTCACAACCTCCCGAGAGCGAGAGACAAGGCACGTGGATGGCTGCTCGCCTTCTTTACTCGACCGTGATATTTCGGCCTCTATACAGACGTGCTCCAACCGCACCTATCAACCTCTACAATGGTAATCTCACGACGAACCTGGCTTCACTACGGACGTCTCGCCTGGATGCGAATCCCCTCGTCGAGATCCCGATCACATGGACCGGGGGCCACCCGCATGCTGATGTAGCATTTCACCCTAGCCATCAAAACACGTTGGCTATCACTGACATTAGGGGCAACTGGAGTATTTGGGAAGTACAAACCAACAATAAAGGAGGCAAACCCAACGCCCTCGTTCCTGGCCCCAGAGGGTCAATATCAACACTCGATCAAATAGACACCGACAATGATAAGCCTGCTGACTGGGCATCCATTCAGTGGGTTCTTGATTCCTCGACAATCCTGGTTGCTGATCGCCGATCCGCCATGCTTTTTCATCTAGAGGGGATCGAACCTCGTGCCATCCAATTGAAATTGGGGACCCACCCTGTTGTAATGGAAGGCCCTGAAAGAAAGAGCCAGCCTGAATGGGTCCTTGATGTGAAGAGGAGCCCCCAAAACACAGCGCAGTTCTGTATCCTCACGTCAGCCCGACTTCTGCTCTTCGATATAACAACTGCACCGTGGGATCAAGAGGATAGGCACGAGCCTCTGGAAGCATCACTAGTCAGGCATCTTCATCGAGATACTTACAACTTTGACACGACCTTGAGGCTTAGTGATTTATTGATCGGAGACTGTACGTGTGCCGTTTGTGCATATTGATGCAATGCTGACCGAGACAGATTTGTATCTCGTCGTGTACTCCCGCGTCAGTGAGGTTGTTGAGGTATTTCCGTGTCCCTATGCTAGTGATCGACGGACGGAGGGATTCTTTGGTTCCGGTTTCTTCTTGAATTTCCAACCACCACTAGATCCGTCTTCCATAGGTGATGTGCCTTCTAATACATCGCTCCGCTACTCGACATTTGTGTTCAAAGAAGTCAATCATTCGCCTGCCCATGGAAGTGCACACAGTGATATGACTCTTGTAAAGCTTTTCTGGATGGATCCATCTTTCGCTGTGCATGAAACGCTTTTCAAGGGCCCATCACACCGGAGCTTGCGAAAGCGCATGGGAATCGAAAATCATGTCAACCACTATATCCTTCGTGCGAGTAAACGCCCCTTTGAGAGAGTTGGCGATGATTTTGTGGTTGACGACTGGCATGAGCCTGTAATGCCTCCTCACAATAAGGCCCGAACTACGCGGACTACGCAGACTATGGTCCGAACTCAGGCCCGGACTGCGGCCCGATCCACTAATCATCAAACTACCTACGAAGGCTTGCGCTGGACTCTCAACCTAAGTCTCCTCTATAAACGTTGCTTGAAGGGTGTTGCTGGCTGTTTTGCTCAGGCAAAGCTTGAACAGTCTCGGCCTACCATTGACCAAATTATTCGTGATCTGGATAGCGTAACAGTCGGGGACGCGAAACCCCGGCAGAACTGTCGATCACTGTAAGTTCTTTCGGGATGACAGACATCATTCCTTTGACTAATATATTCCAGGTTCCAGATTAGCGGTCGACCGGTGTCAAATGATATCGAGGAAAGTGTGCATGACACGAAACGTCTTGTATCGACCATTCTTCCTGACAACCCCGATCTTAAACCCCAACATCAATTTTTGATTCTCTCGCGCCGATTTTGCAATGTGTTTCCAGCCATGTCAGTAGCTTCTCGGGAGAAGAAGTCGGGCCTGGATTTTTTGGAGATTTATGACCAACTCGTCCATCAGTGGCTCACCAATCTCCCAAATGACATACCTCACTCGACGCGTCGGATGAAAGAGAAAATCATTCGTGGCGTCGCCCTCGATGTTTTCTTGGCAAGAATTATTCAAATCCCCAATGAGTCCAAGGTGGTCAACCCACAGATAGATGGACTCTCCAATGACACACCAGTCCAGGCCGGACCGGCATCCTCACAGCTTCTTTCAAGCCAAAATACCGAATTTGGGAGTCGGAGCTCCCAACCAGAGCCGGAAGATGAGAAGGCTCCGGCCACGGCCTTCAGTAGTCTCTCTGAATTCATCACCTTCAGGAAGCCCCGCCCACTGCCACGAAATGTCGTCAACGTGCTGTCCCACTGGCAGGTGGGGACTGATCCCTCCACCTACAATTGGACACAGGTTTCACAGGGACAGGAGGGGCTTCCTCAACGCCGGGTGCGTAAGAAACGATCACGGCAAACCCAATTATCGCAGACACCGGTCGCCACGCCATCCTTGTCGCGCATACCCAGCACTCCCCAAATTCGGACCTGGGGTAGTCAGCCTGAGGGATTCCCGGCCAGCAGTCAGCCCTCGATCAGTGACAAATTCATGACTCAGACCGAGCGAGGCCAGTTCGGGGCACGGAAAGTGAAGAGCAACAAGAAGAGGAAGCGGGCAGAAGGGTTTTAGCATAATCAAAGAATTAAAGATCAGAAGTGATATATCATACAATTAATACGCAATGGTTGCCAAACCCACTTCAAGCGGGAAAACCAATCGCAGAAATCGCTCAAGGGATAACGATTATAAATCCATCGGCGCCTGCTCTTTCTTCATCCCTTACTTTCAAAGGTCCTGATCGTCTGCATATCGGATATCCCACTTACCCGGGTCTCTCTGTTTTTCTTTTCTTTTTGGTTTTTTTTTTTCTGCCATTTCCACTTCCCCCGCACTCCCCGCTCCTCACTCCAAATCATGTCGGATCACCAGTACAAGTTCAATGTGTCCATGAGCTGTGGCGGCTGCTCTGGCGCCGTCGAGCGGGTTCTCAAGAAACTCGAAGGTAAATTACCTTGAAGCTCTCGTCCGCAACGAGACTAATCATCTGGTACAGGTGTCAAGTCCTTCGACGTCAACCTTGAGTCCCAGACGGCAAACATTTCCACCGAGCCGACTGTTTCCTACGATACCGTGCTGGCCGCGATCAAGAAAACCGGAAAGACCGTGAACAGTGGCGAGGCGGATGGTCAGACTATGAGTGTTTGAACTGGTAACACCACCCCGGGGAAACATGCGCTTGCGCCGAACCACGCACGCATCTGTTTCTAGCCCGCGTTTATGGTATTGATGGATTGGCCACAAGATAGGGATCTCATGTTATAAGCGCAATCTACCTTTTGCATCCGGTACATTCCTACCAACTCCGATACCAATACTAGTAGATGATTTGGTAAGAAACCTCATTCCAAGACCATAGACATTGAGTAATTTTGTATTGTAAAGTCCCATGAACGCAGACGTTCTAAGAAGATGCAGATGGGTATCATGGAAAACAGGATAAAGGCCAAAAAAAGAAAAAAAAAGAGGAAGGAAAGATGCGCCGAAATTCCACGATTCAATAAAGAAAAAAGAAAAGCCTGGAGAACGCCTCGTAAACCTTCAATCCATCACGAGCACAGGCCTTCCGTCCGACATCGAATATTGAGGCGGCTGCGATTCAACTCGTTGCACATAGATAGGGCGGTTCTGTTCCGCCATTTGAAATGTTCGGGGATCATGCACGCGTCTGCGGAGCCAGTTAGTTACAGCGGAAAAGGATCTAGAAGGAAGTGCGTGATCGGTTGGTTTCCAGTCCCAAATAGAAGGCTTACCGCGCGTTGCTAAGCCCGCTGCCAGGCCGTCTTTCCCGAGGGGTCGGCACACGTCCGTGAGGAAGGCGAGTCCCAGGAATAGTCTCTGGATGACTGAATGTCTGGTGAGAACTATGCGTCACTCGGGGACTTGGGAGACGTTGCTCGGAGGACGCCCGAGGCTGGTTATAATCCTTGGCAAGCATTGGGTCGGGAATCCTGGTCCGGCTTGGCTGGATGAGATTGTCTCCCCCACGAGTAGAGTGGGGTCGTGGGCGTTCAACAAAATAGTCAGCTGGGCGAGCCTCGCGAACATCAACGGAACGAACAAAGCCATCGGCGTACTGTTTTCCAAGGGGAGCATTATGAGCCAGAGGACGTTCACCATCAATATGGGGATTCCAGGGGGATGGACGGAATTCCTCAAGAGTTGAAGGACGGGCCTGATCCATGTGGGGGCTACGATCATCATAGTACGAGCGAACTTCAGGGCGAGGGACATCCGGGACCGCTCTAAATGCTCGATCACCAGCTGTCACCATGCCACTGGTTCCGGTAGAGGACTGGAAGGGATGCATGGAAATATGCCCCAGTGGATCAACGGGACGTGTGCGATCCAATTCCCGTCTAGAATCCAAGCTGATGACCTGTGGAACAAAGAAACCAGGCTGTCTTTCACGCTGGTGTCCTATAAGCAAAGGCTGTTCCCCTGAAGGGAGATGATCTCGACGGAGATATTGCGTATCCTGTGGACGATGCTCAGGTCCGAGTTCATCGCGGCGATAATGGACCTTTGGCACTTGCTCTTCAGAGACCGGGATTCCAATGGGTCTTGCATTCCAAGGATCGGAACGAGTATCGGGTTGAGGACCAGCATAGTATGTCAATCTTCTTCTCTTGCAGTTTTGATCATCCGGGCTACCTGGGCCAGATCCACTGCCATGATTTTCTCCTGGGTGAACTGGTGTTACAGAACGGAGCGACATCCTTTTAGTCAAATGCTCTAAACGAAACTCCGGGCGCCGTTTTTCCAAGGGCCAAGGAGTTTCAATAGAAGGGAGAACATGATCCTGGGAAATTGCTCCTGGCCGGACTTGGGAGGGCATCAGGGCTTCACTCCTGGGACCAAATTGGCTTTCATTGCGCTGTTGCGATTCTTTAGGCCCGCTCACAAACATGGGTGCATTGACTCGGTCATGTGGTGGCAGATGAATCCTTTCAAGTCGCGTTGAGTCAACAACCGACTGAGGTTTACCTTGTGGGTGATTGGTGTGGACGTTCCAACGAGGAGCTGTTTCCATAAGGCGTATCTCATGCGGCTTCTGCGTGGTTAGTGCTGGGGGCCTTCCCATAGGCCCAAACTGGGGGAATAGGCGCTCGCCTTCTGATGGAACACGCCTTTCCAGAGTACCTACGTGACTCCTGCCTGCAGGCAATCGCTGAGCCAAGGTTTTACCGTAGAGAGGGCCTGCGATGACTCTAGGAGTGGATTCCATGGTATTAGGGATTTCCCGGCGCCTGATAGGCTCCGAGTTCTCCTGAGTGACAGCAGGTCGCTTCGCATATAGAGGGCTTTGCTGTTCCGGGGAGATGTCACCAAGCCGGGGCTGCTCGGTGCGTTGAGCCTCAGCTCGGTATCTATGCAAAGCGCGGTTCCAGGCTTGATATCTGCTAAATCCTCGTCGATCGATGGTTTTCTGTTCAGGGATAATGCGGAAACCAGGTGGCGCCTCCTCGGAGAGCTCCTGGGTGGGATCCTGGCTGGTTACAAGGTCCGCACTTATAGGCTGGGTCTGAATCTCATGGGTCCCGGCTGTGTTGGACAGAATCTCCACGCTGTAGTCCCGGTGGGCGGTAGTGGTTGATTCTTCTTCGGTTTCACTGTCCTCATCATCTGATATGACGATGACTTCCCGGAAAACATCCTCCAGGACAGTCTCGCCATTCTCATCATCACCACGCCATGCAACAACCTTGGCCAGGGTGGGTTGCTCAACCGCAGATCTGGCTTCCTGGAATGACCCCTGTCTAAGAAGCCGGTCATAGTCAGTGTAGAGGTGGCGGACATGGGCCACCACTGCCAACTGGGCTCGGCGAGCTAAAGGTAGTTCTGATGCCGTACCGACTTTGCGTTGACCCTGACATCCACGATGTCAGGCATCCCCGATCTGACAACTTGTAATTGGGGTATTCCAATGAACATACCTTTTGAAATGAAGTTTTGATTATCTGAAATAGATCCTTGTCTGGAACATTGGGAAATAAATCCTTGATCGCGTCCCTTGCCTCTGTATTGATCACCTCTTGGGAGACCTCGGAGTCCGGTGGGCGGCGATCATCTACTGTACCAAGTGTGTGGAAGGAGACTGCCTTTCCTGTGCTGGTGAGATATAATCCGAGCTCCGAGCATACTGCCGCTACCACCGTACTAGGAAAATGATAGCCTATGCGGTGGACATGTTGAGAGAGATTGTGAGTATGCATATGAGGGGTTGTCTAAAAATCAATGAGCTGCGTCCTGGGAGCCCGCGCTAAGGCAGGGACAGTGAGTCGTACCGAAACTGCATAAATTTGGGAGCCTTCTTTCCGACACTGCTCCTTGCAGGCTGTAGTTAGGAGTGGGTTTCCGGCGGGGATGAAGGTATAGCCCGTAGGTGCTTTTGCCTCAAAACAGATCTGTATGACTTGTTAGGCCTCCTTCCCTGCTTCAAGACATATCCAGAGAGGCACGCACAACGCTTCGCAACTTTTTCTTCTCCTGGGTTACCGACTCCATAATAACCTTGTGCTTTCGAGCTCTCCTCTGGATGGCCCGGCTGGGGGCGCGCCAGGCCGCAGCCGAGGCAGCTCTCCTCACAACTCGGGCCATTCTTTTTCTTTTCCCACGGTTGGCACTTTATACCACACCACCTGTGAAGTTTCAACACATATTTCTAGGCCGGAGTGGTCGACGCGTTGGGAGGGAAGATCGAAGGGAAGATTCAAAGATCGCCAAAGTAGGGCGGTCAGGTTCATATAAAAACCACTTTTTGGTGAAGACCAAGTACACAAGATAATCAGAATGAAATTCCGTTGCAAAATGATTGGAGCCAGCTCATACAAATGAACCAGGGTACATCGAGTGATTGGGTTTTTATTTTTCCCACTTTGATTTTTTCTTATAGGAGGAGAAGTGGAAGAGAGGGAGAACGTTGGCATGAAGTGTTGCGGCCCAAAGTCACCTGTTCTTGTTTCTCTTGAGGAAAGTGGGGCCTGAGGCTGCAGCTAGAGATTACTGTATTCTATGTTCGGTGTTCTGCATCCGCTGCATGCTACCGTCCAATTATTCATCTCTTGCTGCTATATCAATGGACTCGAAAGTTACATCGAAAGGAGAGAGATCGAAACTTGTAAGATGCTGTTCTATGTACCTATTCCAGATCCGAGTGGCTACTCAGCAGTCATTCATGCACTGCATACCACGGTCTTGGAACCCTGTTGATCACTCCCAAATATTTCCTGATATCGTCATGACACATTGTCTCCATGATAAATCTTCTAGTACATACCATCAAAAGACGCATATACCCCGTAGTACCCTGTATCACTAAAGAGTCTGCGGGGTTTGTCTCTTTCTCGGCATAGCTAATTCACGTGACTAGAGCAGCAACTGGAGGCACGTACAGCTGCATACGGATTACTTCCCTCGATCGCTTTCCAATTCTGTCCCTTCCCACATCAGCTATGACAATCTCTTCCCATCGACCTATAGTTCATGCATATCGAAGTATTTATCGACAAGCCCTCAAAGCGATCCGATATTCTACTCCTGCCCGGCATGTCTTACGATCCACCATGCGGAGTGCATTTCGCTCGAACCACACCGAATTGGATCCCTCGAAGATCGCCAACACCCTACTCTTTTTGGAACGAGCCACCGATGTCCGCGGTCTAGAACACAAAATTGTGAAGAACTTGATGTTGGCGAGGTACTGGGAACAACCCCATATTGCCAGAGAGTCACGCGTGTAGGTGGCCCCATAACTGTAGTGGAGAACAGGATGTGTTCGATTTTGACTTGGTCGCAGATTAAAGGTCCTAGGTCTCGGCAAAGCAGAGGACCGATTACGCAAAAATGCTTATGAGCATTATAATCTGACCCTCGAACGCCTGAACGAGAGCCTGGGGACATGCCTGAAGTGAGGAGATAGATCCACTGCCTCCCCGATTCGCTGCACCACAGATCCTCCGTCAGGCGCCCGTACGTCGCCTTTGGGCATAAATGCTAAATGAGGCGCCAAAGCAGCTCTCCCGAAATGGGAATATGGGTACGTTCCCTAGCCTCCGCTCCTTGGACGTTGGGGTAAGTTCATTCCACTGAACTTCCCATCGGAACTTAGTTGGATGAGGTCCTCCACGCCTCGATAGTCAATCCTACTGAACTACTCGACGAGCAAAAAGAGGACTGATGACGTACTTTCTATCGGAGCTCTCATTTCATGGGGCCCTTAAATACATGCCCCAGGCTACAAATTCTTGACAGATATACATCGCGCTGCATGTAGGGCGGCCTAAGTCGATAGAAACATCCAATATTGTAGCAATATTTGAATTGTCGCTAATTTTGACGATGTAACAAATTTGCCTTTATTCCATAATTCTGATTCTCGAGTTTAATTCAAATACGTACAGCTACAATTCCAGGGCTTGCATTGTGTAGTGTACGTCGTACATACGCTTGCTAACTTAGTTTAAGTTAACGTTACCTTGACATGATGATTCAGCGTAATCACATGCCAGTAACGATAATTCACACATCTTCAATCTCTGGTCCTTCGAGATTTATATCTTACAGTTTTATGCTTTTAAGCTTCTTAGGAACGTGATATTGATATTTCTAGATGTGATTCCAGCCCTTCATGAGCAGCTTCATCTCGTCGCTGCTGACTGACCTCGGACTTCTTACCCGCACACCTCCTCGCCACTCTCAACCGTCGGAACTTCCTCAAAGCGGACAAACAAAGTCATCCTCAACCAGTGAAAACAACCAACCCACTATTATCGATCAGAACTCCGATCGTGGAGACTCAGATTCTTTCGCCGGAGATGCGGGGTCTTTGCCCAGCCCTCCTTTCTTTCAAACCTTACCGAAAGACATGGATGGCCGCACTGCAGACCTCTCGGTCACTCGACCTCTAACCCGCGAATCCATGGCCGGAGATCGAATCGACAATGTAAGCGGGTCCGATCGAAGCAATGATCAAATGAGCCATCAGGGTCTGTCTACTCAGCACGAAGAGTCAGCTGAATTAACGAACGGGTCACGCAGTACCGACCCAGGCCCGGAATATGAAACAAGGGACGGCACTCAACAAAGTCCGGGTCAAACTTTTGATATTGATGAGCTGGGGAAAACTTCGTTACCGGCGGACGATGGCATGGGGCTGCTTAGGAATAAAATCCATGCCATACGGGACTTGGATCTCAACAACAACGAAAAGGCACGAAGGGTTCATTACCTCATGACGGAAAGCTATAATTCTTCTCGACCACTACCGCCTCTTTCTCCAATGCTTGCTTCTACTTGCTTGGATGTGCCCGCAAGTCCATTATTTCAACAGGTGAAGCCAGTGGATTCGAGCCCAACGAGCCCCACACTGCCCGCGTCAAATCCCCAATATGAAAGCCTGTTCAATCTCACAGCCGAAGATTTGCAACCTACATATGTGCCGAGAGTTGAACCTGAATCACCCGTAGTGGAGACAGGCGAGGAGGATCCAGATACCGAGGTGTTGGACGGGGCGCTGCTAGGCTGCCAGCACTACATGCGAAATGTCAAACTTGAGTGCTTCACTTGTAAGAAATGGTATACCTGCCGTTTCTGCCATGATGAGCTTGAGGATCATCATCTGGTTCGCCGAGACACAGAAAATATGTTATGCATGCTGTGTGGCCATCCTCAGCCTGCTGATCAGCACTGTAGGCAGTGCGGTGAACAGAGTGCGCAATATTATTGTGATATCTGCAAGCTCTGGGACAACGATTGCGAAAAAAGCATCTACCATTGTAGCGATTGTGGTATATGCCGGATTGGCCAAGGGCTTGGAAAGGATTTCTTCCACTGCAAGGTAGGCTGGTAGCTCCTCCCAACAAACCCTATAGAAATACTTATTCTTCCCTAGACTTGCTGCGTCTGTCTACCAATTTCGATCGAAGACACACATCGGTGTATTGAAAGATCCACCCAATGCGACTGCCCCATCTGTGGGGACTACATGTTCACTTCTCCAGAAACGGTGGTTGTGATGCGTTGTGGTCATAGCATGCATCGGAAATGTCTAGGAGAATACTCGAAGACCTCTTTTCGTTGTCCAATTTGTAATAAGACTATCGCCAACATGGAGTCGACATTCAGAAATCTGGACCGGACAATCGAGAGCCAGCCCATGCCTGCCGAGTTCAAGGATACAAAGGGTCTCATTTATTGTAACGACTGCGGTGCAAAATCAGTTGTCAAGTACCACTGGCTTGGCTTGAAATGTGATTTGTGAGTCTCGAAAGTCAAATCCGGTAGGTTGAAAGTAAGCTAATGAACATAGGTGCGAATCTTATAATACAGCTCAAATCCGACTACTACAAGGAGATGTGTCTGCCGTACTTGCAGAGGAGGGGGTTGATGACCTCCCAACGCGGACCCGATCATCATCCTTAAATGCCAGTGAGGAGCCGACAATGTCACTGAGAGCACTACATCTCAACACGAACCCGGCACCTGAGTCACGCCTTGGGGTTCCAACACCTGCTGGACCAGATCAAAGCTCCGTACCATACAATATGACGCGCGGCCGTGCGATTTCCCCGGTCGTCAGTAACTATTTTGGCCTGCCTCCAGAGCGAGAATCCGAAAAGCCCTCATCTTTACCTTTTTTTGGCGGCCCATCGCGACCGGATAATGAGACAGATTACGGGGCTTTGAATTTCCTAAGCAAGAAGCTTCGAGATCGCTATGGATTCCTTGCAGGCGATACAATAGCCGAGGGCCCATCAGAAATGGATGAAGATGACGAGGCAGAGTCCTCGAACGATTCGGCCTCAGATGAGGATGAGGATGACGATGACGACGAGGAGGAGGAGGATGAGTATATGGATATTTTCGGTCACCGATGACCTTAATGAACTGTCTTCGATCGAAGGGTCGAGCGACACTGCACACACATGAACGGCCAGGCTGCTTGGTTGCTTTTTTGGCCAATATCGGTTATATTGGAGTATTGAATGACGCCCAATTTGATAGGGACGTCCCCAAAACCCGATCTTTGGTTGCTAGTGCTCCTCGAGTGGTAGGCTTTTTGGACAAATATCTTCCATTGGATACTTGGACCAGATGCAGGCGCCGAGCTTGGGCTGACTAGGCGACAGCCAAGATGGGCATGTGAATTCCTTGGGTTGGTCTAACATTTTCGACTCAAAAGCCGGGTTGCATTGGCATGGCATATGCATATTTTCTCAATTTAGCACTCGCACTGGCATCACGAATAGACAAGAGCAAACAGGAGAAATTCCACCCTAGCATTCTTCACTCATTTTGCACAGCTTAAAATATGATGTGACTTGACTTTAGGCCATAGATCTTTCCAGTCCCGGGACGACGGCGGGGATGCCCTCTAAATGACTGGCGGGGGTCTTCTCATTCTTCTCATTGATATCGTCGGCGACCAACGCACGAGCCTCACGCTTCTCCGAGCCTCCTTCAGACTCGCCCGCCTCGACGAAATCTAAGCCTCCGAAGATCTTCTCCATCCGTTCCAGGGAAACACCCTTGGTCTCGGGAAGAATGAAGAAGACGGAAAGCTACGAATCAATCAGCATCACCAAGAATACAGGAATGCAGGATCAACTTACCCCGGCAAGCACATTGAGGCCAAATAGCAACCAGTAGCTCTTCCCCCCAACTTTAGCATTGAACGAAGGCCAGGACTCCGTCAGCAAGATAAGCCAACATGTTTGACCAAGCATTGACAAGCCAAACCCCTGGAAGACGATTCAGCATCTGTATTCTTCATTTGTCTGGCTATTTTTTTGACTTACCTTGTCTCGAACATGCTGAGGGAAGATTTCTGAAACAATCGCGGGAGCAATGGGGCCGTTGGACCAACAGTAAGTTAAGCCAACGATAAACAGCATAGCGACTTCCACGATAGCAGCGGCTCTGTTTCCATTCGAAGGAAACGCGGTGCAGAGAGAGGCCATGATCAAAAGTGCTATGGCTTGAATCGTAAAGCCAGCCATCAGAAGACTTCGCCGACCAAAACGATCCACAGTAAAAGTGTTCACCAGCACGATAAGCAATTGGAGACAGGACTGGATGCCATTTATAGCAAGTGCCTGTGAGCCAGCATCCCACCCAAGACTCTCATAGATGAGTGTGGCATACATAGTGAGTGAGGCAATGCCACCGACCTAGAGACATCAGCCTTTCTTCTCTGTGCTCTCAGTGTGGGACATACCTGCTGAAGACTTGCCGCATAGAACCCGTATGCAAGACGCTTTCGCATACTTTTGTCTTTGATCAGACCAATGTACCCTGGGTCATATCGACGGCGGAACTCATGAGAGGCAACCAATTCATGGAATTCAGTCCGAATACGCTCATCCGTAGGGGCGCCTGATCTTAGTCGGCTCAACGCCTGCATCGCTCGCTCGGGTGTCTCGGGGTACTTTTCCAGCATAAACCGGGGACTTTCGGGGTAAAAGAAAGAGACGAAGATAAAAGCAATTCCGATGGGAATTTGGATGATGTTTGATACCCGCCATGCGATATTATAAGGGTGCTTGTGGAAGGACATTCCATAGCCAGCCCAGAAGGCGATGAGCGTGCCCAGTTGATAGCCAAACTGGGACACGGTACCGACAAAACTGCCTCGAAGCCTGGTTGGTGCGCATTCCGCGACATAAAGATTGGTTGCGATATAGACACAGCCGAATCCCAGACCACTGCACACAGTTAGCTTTACATCGGGCTTCATATAGGGTAAGACTAATCAGGAGCTCACGTCAAAAGTCGACCCAGAATTAAAACCCCAAAGCTGTTTGGAACAACCTCGACAATTCTATCAGGTTAGTCTCGATGGTTCTTCGGTTATCTGTGGTGATTGCATACACTCCAATGATCATGATGCAGATAGAAATCCGCAAAGCCCAGAGGCGGCCTAGCCATCCAGCTAGCGTACCTCCAAGGTAGACTTGGGCCACACCTGTCCACCAAATTAGATATAATCGATCTGAAAAGTGTGCATAGAGACTTGCCGGTCATGGCCCAGGGTATGACAGCCACCAGCCCAGATTTCGCGGCATTGATCCCATAGTAATTGATGAACTGATCATCGGCCAGAATGACGGTCATGATACCGGCATCATAACCGTTGAAACAGGTCGAAAAGACCATGCCATATAGTAACAACGCCGCGAAGCTGAAAGAAAGATTAGCCCAATCCTGACACGTGATCAATATCTACACCTGCCGGTCATCCTTAGGAAGAAACGTCTCCACGATGCCCATTTTGGCCTGAGAAGAAATTATAAAAGTGAGAACGGAGCACAATCCCCTGCATTTTTGAGAGATGATCTTCCCTAGCTGGTATATATGCTAACCCGGAGCTTCGGGACCCCACATGAATGGTCTGGAGTGCATGCGGGATCCCCAGAACATGAGAGCTTAAGCGGGTTTTAAATGTGGGGTTGAAGGGGGTTGACAAGTGGATAAGCTTCTGTACCCCGGCTTGTGTTCGGCGGAGCAGCCCCCCACCGGAACTCCACCGGAGTCTTGCCTTTCGGACATCAGCATCCCGCTCGGAGTATACAGTATGTCCCGGAGTAGGGACCGGCGGAGAGAACACGGGTTTGGCACAAACTACCGGGCTCGCTAAAACTCCGATTTTGCATTCCAGGGCCTCCCCGATCCGAGGTATAAGGTTGGTCTGGTCGATCAAAAGCTTTTTTTCCTTTTTCATCTCTTCTTTAATTCGAAGAACCGGATTCCTTTGGGGCGTGAGCAATTATGGATTATCCACAAGAGAGCTTTGTTGCGACGACATTCGCCCCGAACTCATTTTGGGCTCGTCGACGTGAAGTGGTGCGGGTTCAAACCTTGCGGCACCAGCTTCATATGCTCAAAGAGACTGGCCGATATGAAGCATTCAAGTTAGATTGGCATCCTAGCTACTCGGTCCCTCCTACAGTCTATCCAATCCCCAATCACCAATTCTGGGATTCCGATGTGGCCAAGTGGATTGAAGGCGCTTGCTACTTACTCATGGACCAGTTCGACGCAGAAATTGATGCGGCTGTGAAAGAGCTGGTGAAGATGATTCGAGGAGCTCAGAAGCCAGATGGTTATCTCAATATCCATTACTCAGTGGTGGAACCCGGGAAACGCTTTACCAATTTGCGGGACATGCATGAATTGTAATGTTTCCTGGAGACCTTGTGCATACGCATTGATGACTTACAGAGAACATTCGTTATGTAGGTATAATGCAGGCCACCTTATTGAAGCAGCTCTCGCCCATCATCTTCTCTACAAGGATGATGAGCTGCTGTCCCCGATTCTCAAGTATGTGGATCTTCTAGCTGCTACTTTTGGTGCTCAGGAAGACCAAATTCCAGGCTATCCTGGCCACCCAGAGATTGAATTGGCCCTCCTGCGCCTGTACAAGGTATCAGGAAACCCAAAACATCTGCAGCTAGCTCGGTTCTTCATAGAAGAAAGAGGAAACCCAAAAGGTGGGAAAGAAGAATGCCATTTCTATGATGTTGAAGCAAAGGCTCGCGGTGAAAGTGAGCATGATTTACCCATGTATTTCCCTGCCGCAAGAAGTTATTGGTACCAGCAGGCCCATGTTCCGATTGTCAACCAAGAGACAATTGAAGGGCATTCTGTCCGTGCCATGTATCTCCTCACAGCTGTGGCAGATTTAGTTCGAGTTTGCCAGCCTAGCAGTGAAATTGGAACGAAGTTCCTACCAGCTGTCCATCGATTATGGTCCAACATGGTGGAAAAGAAGTCTTACGTGACGGGAGGCATCGGGGCCATGAAAAAGTGGGAAGGGTTTGGGATTGATTACTTTCTACCTCAAGGTACCGACGAAGGCGGATGTTATGCTGAAACTTGCGCCGCGATAGGAGTTATGATGCTTGCCGAGAGACTGTTGCAGGTATTTTTGCTTTAACCGTTTCGAATTGTATGGTCTCTAACACTCACGAAAATAGATTGAACTAGACAGTCACTATGCGGATATCATGGAGCTGTGTCTCTATAACGCAGTTCTGACAGGCATGAGCCTGGATGGAAAGGCCTTTACTTATGTCAACCAGCTCGCATCTTCAGATCAGGATATCTCAGAGCGCCATGAATGGTTTGAATGCGCTTGTTGTCCACCCAATGTCACTCGAACGTTAGGTTTCCTCGGTGGATATCTTTGGAGTCACATAGTGAAGGATCAGTGTGCTGTTGTCAACGTACATCTGTACTCCTCGGCGACGCTGCGTCTTACAGCCTCCTCATCCACCGTGAATATCACGCAGAAAACAGACTGGCCATGGAATGGTGATGTGGATTTTGGTTTTCATACTGATGGGCAGCCTTTTGGTCTGGAGTTACGACTGCGGATTCCGGGCTGGGCGAAATCTTGGAAGGTAGAATCCTCAATAACTTCAAGATGCCTGATACAATCTCGGAAGCTAATCGCCATGAATCAGGTCACTCCCTCTCCGGAGAAGCTAGATGTTCGTGATGGATATATCTTCCTGAGCACCGAGTGGCTACAAGAGAATTCGCATTTCCGCTTTTCTTGTCCTATGACACCACAGGTAGTCCGACCTAATCCCTTGACATTGCAACCCGTGGTCTATGTCAGACGGGGACCAATCGTTTATTGCGTTGAGGACGTTGATAACTCATGGGAATCGAATCATTTCAAGGTAACACAGCCCACATGTATGCAGAGAGACAAACACTGATAAGAAACACAGAAAACTCTGTTTGATCCTAGTGTATCCTTGCTGGAGGAATCACGGTCTCAGCCAGATTCTTATCTTGCTATTGTTGCCGTGGACGGGTTTGCGGGTGAGCTGGACACCTCGGACTGGACCAGGCAAATTGCGGCTGAGCCTCATACGGAAACTGTCAAAGAACGAAGGAACTTGTGTTTTATTCCTTACTATCTACGAGCCAATCGAGGTGGGAAGGGGCAGATGAGGGTTGGATTGAGGGCTGTCTAGTTGCGATATCTGTACATGAAGATCGAATCTATGGTGTACCTGTATAAATGTACGGAGCAATACAGTGCCCTCAAGGTCAGGCAACTTAGGCTTCATGATACTTTCATCCACCATTACTGGACCCTGGGGAAAGCTTTTGACCGACCCATCAAATTGCTCCGCTCTGTATAGCACTAGGAAGGCCCGGGGTCTGGGCATAGTCTGGGCATACTCTTGGCGGCCAGATTTTGTCCTCTTACTATCCTTTGCACTAATCTATGCACCCCTGGAAGACAACGCTAAGCCCAACGGAGGACTAGGCCCCTACGGACAGTCCCTGCCAAGCCCGCTCTAGTTTTCTCATTCTTTCGTTGGCCAGAAATGGGGGTTAACCGAGATTCCTTTAAGCCGCATTTAACTGCCCGAATCTTGGTATTGATCCTTTCGGGGTCCAGGGTCCCGGACTCTTCCGTATTGAACTAGACATGTTGCGCTTCTCCTGACTTGGCTCGAAAGAGAATCTTTTTGATTCCTTTTGAAATTAGCCAATGTACCTATACCTCTCAGGCTCTCACCATGTCGAGTGTTTCGGTCAATGGCGGATGGACCTTTACTAATGTCGGTCCTATGACCACAACTTTCACACCAGCTCCAACCTGCACCAACAACATATTTGTCGGTGACACTGGAGGTGTTCCTAACCTCCAATGGCCTGTGGACTGTGCGGCGGATTCCTTTTCGGGATGTACGCCGTCCAGTTCAGTGACGACTGCCACCACGAGAAACCTCAATTCAGCTTGGGAAATAAACTATTTTTCACCGGGTCTCTACTGTCCATCTGGGTGGGCGACAAAGGGTGCAATTTCACACGACAAATCCACCAGCCGTTCGTCAGGCATCCTGACAGAACACCGGGTGAACAGTGGTGACTGGGATAACCCCGCAACAATGCTAGCGAGAATCATGAAGCCGGGTGAGACGCTTGCGCTTTGCTGTCCAAGGTGAGATATATTTGCACTTTGGGGGAACCCACAACTGACAGCGTATAGCTCCATGACGGCCGACTTTTATATCACGGGATGCTATTCTGAGATTTCAAGCTACACTCCCACGGCAGCCTGCTATAAAGATGCTCCTGAAGAAGACTATGGCGATTATACCAAGACTTTCACCTATAATGCCCTCAAGATCACGGAATATTTCAATTTTCCTACAGGCAAGACCGAGCCCACCGAAACAGAAATCTTCGATCTAAATGGGTGGTCAAATCTAGTCGGTTTCTCCGCTGTTCCCATGGTTACTTTGGTGCATCACCAGTCTGACCTGGACGCGGCCAAAGCTATCACGGCTGTGACTACGGCCGCTGTTAGCCGCGGTAGCGAATCTGCTACTAGTTCTGCTACTAGTTCTGTTCCCAGCGCCAGCACCGACACAGAACCTGAGTCTGATGCTGCCACTTCCTCAAGTGCCGCCCGAAGGCTGAATCCAGTGGGGCCTGCCTGGGATGGGCTGGGTGTTGTCGTTGGAGCCTCAATTGCCGCTGCGGCGCTGGGGGCGTTGATTGTTTTTCCATGATTTATATGCTCCTGTCTCGGGACTGAATGTTTGTATTCATATGACTATGTAGTGATCATAGATAGTGGACTGGATCCGTTGTGAAATCCGTACCACTCACCTCTGAATCTGAATATCAGAATCCAATGGCCTTGATACCTTGAGGCGATAGCAAGATCACGTGCGCTCTTTATCACCGTTCCTTCCCAAAACGGCTAGCGTTTATCGGGCGTCGCAGCTTCTCCGCCGAGCTTCGTCACATCCACTTGTGCCGCTGTTGCGGATGGATAATCCCTGTGAAATCTTTGAAATCGTTCATTCTCAATTGCATATCTTGAAGCCCTGTTGGCATTAGAGAGAACCTTCATTTGACCCTCCAAACCCCGTTCTTGCATCCGTCCCCCACGTGTCTGATCCCACGGCCCTGTCGCAGACTCGTAGCCATGGCGACTCAGGCGGCGTTGATTGCCGATACGATTATCGGTATGAAGAGAGCATTGCGCAGGGAGCGTGATGGTATGTATCTTTTCCTCTGCAACCCTGTCAAATCATATCACTGACGTCCTGTCCCTCGCAGACTCTGGACCCGATGATCCTATCATGCAGCCCACGAACCGTGGGAATAAATTGAAAGCAAACGCGAAATATGTTCGTGAGGGAGCAATGGGCTACATCAATGCAGAGGAGTTTTACAGAGAGGTATGTTATTCGGTGGAGACGACCCCTCCGCGGGCATAATGTGGCGACTGGAACGACTCGAGGACTGACCTATACATTCTTTTTCGTGTCAATAGAAGGTCGAACATGCAGGCTACACACGCCATATTCTACAGCGCAATCCTATACGCTATGATTCAGAGGGTGATGAACTCGACGAGGAGGATGAAGATTCTGAGGCAGATACCGCGGCGGCCGAAGAGAACCCGTTTTCGGGGATTGCACTAGAAAGTGGGTGATCTCGTTCATGTTTTCGACCTAACTCTCGTCATATGCTTACCGATATGAACTATTTAGCGCTTTTATGTCCCTTGAAACACCCCTCCGAGCTCCCCACCCACCCCTCGCTGTCCCAAGCGTACACTTCGCAGGCCTTAGAACAGATGGCAGGAGCGGTTGAAGAGAAATTGCGCCAAGAGAAGGCTCTACTATGGCGCGCCAGGAATCTTCATCGTCAGTTCCTGGGTGACGCGGGATGGATGCCCTGCGGCGCTGTGGAAGCGCCCGAGGACCGTTACATCTTTGAGGCTAGAGCTGAAGACGAAGACCCCCACGGATCTACGGGACAACAAAAATCAAGTAGACTTGCAACTTCATCAGCCAATGGAGATGTCAACGGAGGCCCCGAGATCCCGTCTACGGTATCCAGAGAAGCACAGCCCACCCAGAATGGGACGGGGAGCGAGCCCCAGACCGCAGAAAACGATGTGGAGATGGCCGAAACTCCAGCTGGCTCTGGGGAACCAACAGCAAACATTGAAACAAAAGAACCCAATAAAGCGCTCAAATCAGAAGAGGCTGATGCTACGGTGAACGACCTTCCACCCCACCCCAAGGGTGCAGACGAGCTCCAGGGAAATGGAAACAATCTCGGCCAAGGCGGATATAGTGCCAATGACGAACCAGACGAAATGGACACCTCTAAAGATGGAGAGAAGATCGATGCTAAGGGAGCAAATGCGAACCTGAACGAAACCCATGATGAAACCGAGCCAGATGCTGAGATGCACGACGGCTCATCACCCGAGCCACCCCGACGTATGACGACCCGGGCTCGGGCCAATGCAGCGAACCCTCAAGATGAAAACCAATCTCCATCCTCGGAGACCGCTAGCGCCTTTCTCACCCCGCATCCACTTTTTCTTATTCCAGACAACGTTCGCCCGGATGCGAACTTTGGCCTCCCTGCCACCGAGGCAGAGGAAACTCGTCGTCTTCTCTGGTCCTACATCCAAAAACAGGAAGAGACGGTGCGGGGGTTCGAGAATATGCTCAACTCCTTGTTCCGCGCGTGCCACATGAAGGCCGATGTGCTTGAATGGTGCAAGGCGGAGGGCCACGTGGGTGAGATGAGCGATGGCGAGGATTGGTATGATCGTGAGAAATGGGGTCTGGCCGAAGGTGAAGATCTCAAAAAAGGAACCGACGAGGACGAAGTGGAAACGGTGGATGACAGTCGAACGACGGCCAAACGAGGTCGCGGACGACGGGCATAATGCAATCACCCTGATCTTTGCCACTATTTTGGTCTTTGTTTTCGGTTCCTTTTCAGTCTCATAGCGTGGTGTTGGTGGTATTCGGTCCATGCAGAATGACTGTTGTGCATTGGACCATGGTCGGTGTCAATATACCCCCTGGACAATGGATAATAAAATCTTGTCTCTTATTCCTTCTTGATTTTCTTTCATTTTAATATTTCTTCCGAGTTGTTCAAGCTGTCCCTGTTTTCTGCGCATATAGAGTTGTGTTGATACACTTCATCCAAGTCGTACAGAGGCAAATGACCTCAACGCCAGTTTCACTAAACACAATTGAAATACCGTAACATATACCAACATCTGAATGATGTCACCTGGATAGACGTGCCGATATCCGAGTGCCCCTCTGTTGGCTTAATGCCGCAATTCCGTAGATCGACGTTCGGCTCTGTTCGAAGCGCGAGCTCCGAGATGGTTCATCTATATGAAGGGTTCCTTGCAAAAGCTCCCACATAGAAGTGCACCCCATTTCTCGATCTTCCACTCCAATTATATCACATATCCACCATGTCGAAGATTGACGTTCACCACCACTTCTATCCTCCAGTTTTCACTGAAGGTGAAGCTCTTGTGTTCATAGCAAAACCAAACGCAAGACAACAAGACAGCAGCTAACAAGATCCCTAGCTCTCAAAAAAGCAGGTGGTGACCCATCAGGCTGGTTTATTCCCGACTGGTCTCTTCAAGCAGACCAGCAACTTGGCAGCGCAATTGGCAACGGCACCACCGTGCTTTCCATGACTGCTCCAGGTGCATGCATCGAGAAGGATGTAGCAGCAGCAGCTCATCTAGCGCGTGCGTCCAACGAATACGCCGCAGCCATCCGAGACGCACACCCAAAATCATATGGCTTTTTCGCTTCGTTGCCTTCCCTCTTGGACACCAAGGCATCTCTTGATGAAATCGAGTACAGTCTAGATGTTCTCGGAGCCGATGGGGTGCTTCTCTTCACCCGCTACGGCAAGGACAACCATTACCTCGGTCATCCGGATCTCAAACCCATTTGGGAACAGTTGAATCGGCGACAGGCAGTAGTCTTGGTGCACCCAACCCACGCCGTCGATACAAACACGGTGAACTCTCATCTTCCACAACCCATGTTCGATTACCCCCACGAGACCGGCCGTGCAGCCATGGATTTGATCACTAATGGTACGCTGCGTGCCTACCCCGAGATGAGAATTATTCTCTCCCATGCTGGCGGGACTCTGCCCTGGTTGATTAACCGTCCTGCTGCCCTGCTTCCACATACACCAATGGATATTGGTCTTTCCACGGAGGAGATCCTGGGCGAGGCCCGGAAGTTCTACTTTGATACTGCTTTGTCGGCTTCTCACGATATGCTGGATCTTTTGTATAAGATTGCGGACCCGACACATGTGCTTTTCGGTTGTGATTATCCGAATGCGCCTGTGCCCAGTATTCACTTGTTCAGAGAACAGTTTGAATCTTATCAACATCCGGAAGGAGACCATGAACAGGTCACAAGAGAGAATGCACTACGTATTCTTCCTCGGCTGAAGCAGCGGTTATCAGAATGATCCATGATTACAGTTAGAAGTCTGTTCCTGCATACCCAAGGACTTTGGGCATTACTTACTCCGTATATGAAGACAAAGTGGATTGACTACGTGATTTGAGATCGATGTAAGATACACGAATATGTTTGTTAGACCTGTGAGTGGTATTGACTTTCCCTCAAATGAACTTAATGCCACGATATATCTACTACCGGGGTATGTACTGTGCTAAGACGGGAGATGGATTGAGGCTTTGGCGCAATGGGTGGATGTCTTTGAGGTCGCGTGAGGGAAAAAGCTAAAGGGCTGTGGCAGCCCTGGTCGCCGGCATGCTCAGGCCATTGGGCGAAAGGAAATGTCTATCGTCTACTTTTTTTTCCACCATCGTTGAAGATTTGGATGTATCCGTGTGCTGGATCACTAACATTCCCCTCGGAGTGTAGCTTTTCAGGTGGATGGGGTTCAGGCTTTCATATCTCGTTCTGGCCGAGAAGCTGTCATGTGCGGATTGTGGATGTTGAAAGTCCCAGCCAACCCTATTGTACATGCACTGCATTTACTGCTTCTTGCCTCCCTGCTTCTTGGCACGCTCACGCTCACGCTTGGCATAAATCTCAGCAGTAAAGGGGCTAGGCAATCATTGATTAGCAAACTTACGTTCTCAAGGAGGTTTAAGAATCAGGACTTACTCCTCCCACTGTAGAGCGAACCAGTACAGCACAAAGACCTGGGCGGTCAACAACAGACCGGCCACACGACCCTTGTACAGAGCGACTCCCAAGAAGTTCATAGTACTTCCCCAGTACATCGGCGAACCAGTCACGTTGAATGGAAAACCAGTGACAGGGGCGTCCATCAGAATGCCGAAGTAGTCTCCCAGGTAAGTTCCAGTCACACCAAGGGCCCACATGCTAGACAGGACCAACACGGAGCCCACCGCAAACAGAATGCCACCGATAATAGGCTGGTGTACGGGGGCATAGAAAGGCTGCTCATCCAGAGCGACCTGGTATACATGATCACGTAATATACCCAGGGAGAAGATGGCGAAAGCGAGGGCATAACATCCCCTGTAAGCTCCCCCAAAAATGCGAGTCAGGACATGGTTGTTGTATTCTGGCGGTGTTAGCTGTGTACCAGTAGATGAGTCGTGTCATCAACTAACCTGCACGGGCAACGATGCTTTGAAAAAGGTCAGATCACGTTTGTCAGGTCATTCCAGGGCGGGCTATCACTTACTTCCAGAAGATGGGGTTGAAGGCAATCGTCGCCGCGGACACTGCAAGGGTCAGCTCCCGCATCACATGCAAAATGCGGAGAAAGCAATAACATTTCACATTACATACATAATAGCGAGGTGGACGACAAATCGATAATGTCGGTGAGAGCAGTCATGGTGCAGGTGCTTGAGGAAAGACAGACTTCCGGGTGGAGGGAATCGAGGTGCGTCAAAAGAGGGGGAAGGTGGAGGGAAAGAGCAGAAGCGGAAGATCGCAAGCTTAAGTAAACAAAAAGTGACGTTTTCTCCGCAGTCACGGGATTCCATCTGGCGATCATTTCGTCTTCTGCCCTTTCCTTTAACCTTTTCGGCTTCGATTCGACATCGGGATCAGTCTCACTGCTCTCTCCCGGTTCACGTCTAAGGCCGCCCTATCCTTCATCCCGTTCAATGTTCAGTCAAACCCTCCCCTCTTGATTTGCGGCGACTTGCCGTCATGAGAGGTGGAGCTCTTGTGCGTGTTTGGGGAGAATGGCCCTTCAACGTCGAGACCTACTCTTAGCCGGTATCGGTGGATTTATTGCCTGGGGTCTGGTCGTACGCTGGCTACCGATTCTCCGTTATCTGGGATGGGCACTAGCACTAGGGGCTACACTGTCTTTAGCCAGCTTTCTGGCTCTGGTGCTTTTGACGACGCGAAACCAAAGCGAACCCTCCCACACCCTGAAAGAGGTCTCTGTCGCATTTATCAAACCCAATAACTGGCGCAAAGAGCTTTTTAATGCGCGGAAGACCACACGATACCGACCGCGACCCCTCTATCCAGAGTCTTTCGTGGTGTCTGAGGGAATTGACGAACTGCTATCTCTTGTGACTCGGGATTTTGTCTCATCCTGGTACCAAAATATTAGCCCAAGCCCTATATTTGCAAATGAAGTCGATAAAATCATTCGCGTTGCCCTGGAGAATTTCCGAGATAGATTACTCGCAGAGGACCTGATTTCACTGATCGTGTCCCGCATATTTCCAATTTTAACCTCCCACCTCAAAGAGTTCGATATTGCCGAGCGCTCTGTTCGTGGACGCAACCTCAGTCGAAACGTGACGGAGTCTGAGGAGCTGGACTTAGCGATTGCCAATAAGTTCCGCGAGGGCCGCCTGCATCCGGCAGTCGGTCTATCCTCGGTCGACCAGAAAACCCTCCAACAAGAGTATCTCCGGAAGATTACCGTGGGGTTTCTTCCTCAGCTGTTCCCGGAGAGTGCGCTTAAGAGCAGGGCCGTTTCTGTTTTGATTCGTGAAATCATATCATGTGCAGTCCTTCTTCCAGCCGTGACGGCGTTGTCTGATCCTGACACGTGGAATCAGCTGATGGAGGCCTATGGACGCTCGGCTTTGCAAGATCGGAAAACCGTGCGCAAACTACGGGCTGCGCTCGATGAGCATGCTTCCCCTGCCCCCAAGTCGAAACGGGGGCAACCCTTCCCCAAACTTTCGGCAAATGACTCTGAAAGAGCCTTTGAGCGCTTTGTTCGAGCTATACGACATTGCAATAATCTATCTGATGCCCGTCGGTTTCGAGCGCTAGTTTCTAGCCAATTAAAGAGAGAGAGCATGGTGGATGGACAAGATCAGGTCTACCTCAGACGCCTAGAAACAGGCAAAAGGGTTCTGGATCAAAAAGTAGCCAAGCTTGCTGTACCAGGAGAGTCTTCTCATATGCCTCCTGTGACAGCGAGACATGCTCGGCATGGTAGCTCCTCCACAGCTCACGAGTCTTCCCTGGTAGATGTGCTACACAATGCGGCTGGCTTATCTTATTTCATGGAGTTCATGGACCGTCAAAATTTAATGCCCTTGGTTCAGTTCTGGATAGTGGTTGATGGATTTCGAAATCCGCTGGAAGATGACTTTGGAGACGAGACAGAGTTAGCCTCGGTAACATGGACGACGGCCGATAGGAATGATTTAGCGCTTCTTAGTGAAACGTATCTCACTAAGCCAGAGCTCAATGTCTCCGACGAATCGCGTCGAGTAGTGAAGGCATTTCTAAGTGCAGGAAAGCGAGCAACTCCAGAGCAGTACCGCAAGGCTCGGACTGTGGTCTTGACCACCCAGTCAGCTGTGTTGGAACATATGAAGAATGCTTACTATCCCAAGTTCAAGGAATCAGACTTGTACTGGAAATATCTTGCGTCGGATGAGGCTTCGGGCGCTCAACAGCCGCCGGCCCCTCCATCTCCGCCAGCAGCCACTCTTGAGCCTCGAGAGAGGCGACCTCTCCCTCCTATTACAGCTCGCACGATCTCACAGCCGGCTAGCAAGCCGGCTAAGGACCTTCGTAGGGCTGCTGTTTCATCAAGTGATGTGCGAAGCATGGGCAAGCTCTTTGACGATGAAGATTCACCACGACGATCCATAGATTCGGAACGGTCGGCACCTCTTTTCGACGACGATTATGATACCGATCAGCTTGCCATGTCCACCAACAGTCTAGGAAAGGACTCACAGAATGGCGACAACGATGCAAGCCAAAATCATGTGCTCGAAACCATGGAGGCCGCTCTCAATGACATTATCATCAACGAGCCCAATAATCCAAGAGTGGAGGACCTCAAGGGCAGTGATCTCTCCTCATCTTCTCTTTTTGGCGGAAACCATGCAGAACCCTCCACGCGGGGCTCATCTGAAACCCCGCGTGTTGACGGGCGCATCAATGAAAAGGCAAAGAAAAGCATCGCCTCACTGGGTCTCGTTGACCATGCATCGCGACTTGGTGTATTTGACGACGATCTTTTCCCGGACCAGCAGAAATTCATCGAGGATGAGTATGAAGAACCAGTGGGCGGGGAAGATAAGGACCCAGCAGACGAAGTCCATGAAGCTGCTCCTGGCGATCTTGGACTTACCGAAGCGATTGAGGTCTTGACGACCGAAATCGACAAACTGACCGCGCAAGATTCCGTGGTCGAGGCGTTGACCCGAAAGGCCGAACTCACGAATAACACGGCTGAATTGAGAATTCTGCGCAAGTCCAAAGCTAGCATTGAACGTGAAGTCCACCGCAAAGAGATGCAGCGGCAGCAGTATATTATCCAAGAAAGTGATAACAGTCTCTACGGCCGGTCTACAGTCCGCATCAAATCCATCATGGTGGGCAAGGAGGAGGATGGCCGGGAATTCGCCATGTGTAAGACATTTCTTCCTTCTTTCGTTTCGTGTGGCTAACAATTGCAGACGTTATCGAAGTCCAACGAAATGCCGGTGAGCAGATGCCTGCCGCATCCTGGGCGGTTCCTCGTCGCTATAGTGAATTTCACGAACTTCATCAGAAGCTGCGCATGAACTATCCCTCAGTGCGACACCTGGAATTCCCTCGGCGACGTGTGGTCATGAAGCTCCAAAAGGAATTTCTTCAAAAAAGGCGCCAAGCTCTAGAGGGATATCTTCAAAAGTTGCTTCATCTACCCGAGGTATGCCGTAGTCGTGACTTGCGAGCCTTTCTCTCTCAAAGAGCAATATTACCGAGGGAAGACTCCCGCAGTAGCGAGGGTGATACTAAGGACCTTGTCACGCGGATCTACAATTCCGTCGCTGATGGAATGGATGATTTCCTTGGCAACTTTGGCGTCCTCGATCAATTATCCACGGCCGGCCAGAATCTCATTTCGGCCGCGACGAACCAGGTGAACATCAACGCCAGCACCGCCAACGATCCCGCCCTCGCCACTGAAGATGCTGTCACCACCGCCGAGGCTGAAGCGGAGCTGAACGCATTTGAGGATCGTGAACTCGAGCCCTTTATCAAACCCATCTGCGATCTCTTCCTCGAAGCCTTTGAGTTGAACCGCGGAAACAACTGGCTGCGCGGTCGCGCCGTTGTGGTCGTGCTGCATCAGCTGCTTGGTGGTACGATCGAGCGCAAGGTCCGGGACAGTGCCCGTTCCTTGTTCCAGGACGACTCCATGATGCGATACCTTGCTATCGCTCGCGATTCCCTCTGGCCCGGTGGTGTCTTGCGCAAATTCCTGCCGCGATCCATGGCCGATCGGCACAAAAGCCGCACGGAGGCCACCGTCGTCCTGGCGACTCTCATCCCCGATCTGGCAGCCAATGTTGTCGGTCGCGCCAATGCTCAAGCTGCTTCGCGCCGTCTCTTCGCTACCTTGAATAATAAACCTCTCAACACCCACCTGGCCTTCACTCTCCTCGACGAGATTGTCCTTGCCCTCTTCGGCAATCGGGAGCCCAGTCGTCTCCGCTAATCTCTGCCCTCTTCCAAGAATTACTCATGACATTTTGATCTAGCGAACGTCTTGTTTCTGCTCGTCTATCCACATTACCCCTCTGTCTATCACCAATTGCTTTTGAGTTTTTCTGTACATACCAATAATAGTGGCGCCTGGTGCCCGATACATAATGATGACACTCCATATTCGGTTTACCACAGTGATGCCAATCAATCGGTGGTTTTTTTTTTCTTTTCTTTTGGGGGCGTGTACAGTAAGCCGCTAGGATCAGGAAAAGGTGCTAAGACGCGGGTTGTGGGCCCCAGTGGATCCACTATGCTTAGCGCAACGCTCATTCCCGACGTCGAGCATTCTAGTCGGTAGCAACTACTCCACTTTCAAAAACATGGGTGACCCATTGGAAAATTAGTTGGATTATCTGAGTGAACTAAAAATGAATGAAAAGATGCAGGAGATTTCTCCGATCATCGGGTCTCACCCAGGTCAAGGAACATTCGGAGTCAAGCCGCGAATGATCAGGGGAGTGCAGGAAGAGAACGCAGACAGATCCATGACCATACAAGGAGAATAGATAAAACAATAAAGATCAGATCAAAAACAGCAGTCTCAGCCCGCGCCCTCTTAATTCTTGTTTCTACGCCCCAGAACCAGGAGAAACGCATTGCAGAAGTCGGGATCCCGTGGGATAAGATAAAGGCTAACCGTGAGATCATAAGGGCAATAGAAACAGATGGCTGAAGAGGGAGTTGACCCTTGTCGTTTCAGATAAGGAGGGAAACATCAAATGATAGGAAATCAAGACGAGGGAAGTGTCATCGGCACTGGGGATCGAGTTGGATCGATCTACTCTTCGTCCTTCTTCTTCTTCTTGGATTTCTTGCCACTCTCATTTTGATGTGGTGCAGTGTTCTTGTCGGTTTGGTGCACAATGAACCGTGTCCAGCACTCTTCCTTGTCCCACTCGAAGCCAGCGAGGAAGGGTTTCTCTAACTCATCATCGGCCTGGGTAAAGTTCCAGTCAGTGGTTGTTCACGAAGAATGCGGAGGGTAGAGAACAGACCTTCTTCTTGAACTGTTTGTGGATTGCTTCTAGTGCGTCCTTGATTGTGACGCCCTTTAGGTTGCGGGCGGTGACCTCTAGGCCCAAGGGGAAGTGTAAGTCAATCTTCTTGACGGGAGGATTTGTAAGTTTGAGCTTGAGGATGTCCTTGTCCTCGATGGTGTTTGGTGAAGTGTTGAGTCTCCTTGGGGGAATGTTAGTGAGTAGAACAGTTGTCACACAAGGAGACCACTGACCATCCAGTCTTCTGGGTCTCGATGGGCAGGGTGATCTCAATCTTTTGCTCCTCTATCAAGATGCATCAGTGGAGATGTCCGTGAGTGATTTCTTACCAGACTTACCTAGGTCCTTGATGTTCCAGACATCATCGGCTTGAGATGAGAGTCGCCTGGATTTCTTCTCTTTCTTGACTTCCGTTTCTGTTGGGGCCAGTGGCTTTTCGTCTTGTATGGACAAGCCAGCGATGGCAGAATCGACCTTGGTGAGTGGAACAGACATGATTGATAATTTGAGATCAGTGAGGATGATGGGAAGGAAGAGGATTGAAAAAGGAAGAGAAAGAAGAAGAGGGGGAAGAGCAGGTGACCTGGAGAGCGGGGGTTTACAAGTCAAGGATGTCATTCCGTATATACTGGGCGCTGTACTTCTAGGACCAGCTGCACTTCTTCCGCTACTATCCTCTTCATCGGCTTCTCATCTCAATCTCAACCTCTTCGTCCTTGTACAACTACTGGAATTACACTGAATAGCTTCATTTCCCCCATGACCCAAGTCAACAATTCCAACGGAAATGATTCGTATTTGCCTCTTGTACACGGCATCCCCGGATCACACGAGCAACTGACATCAGGGGGCGGGAGTGGGCCAATCTGGGTGCTGCACCCCGCATTCTACTCCACCCAGCTTTATTTCTGCGTCCATTCCACCATCCCATTGTCCAGAGGGAGCATCAGACCCGATGAAAGAGTGGAATTTGTAGCAAAATCATTAAAACAAGTGATTCTCAGGGACTCAATTCCTCGTCAATCGATGATGGAGCTCACATTGTGATTCATGCGTGAAACACACTCGAGGCCAGTCTGGACGGATCACCTGACATCATCAGCCCATTTTTGAGAACCTTTTGCAACATGCCATTCCGGGTTCCTACGTCTCTCTAGCGGGAATGACAAGGACTTCAGATCGACCGTTCCTTCACTTCCGAGCTCATTCCACCGAGCTGCTGATCGTCTGATGGGCCCGGGTGCCGGGTGGATCCTCCGTTCCCCACATCGGGCCCAAGCCACATAACTACCGCACATATAGCTCTTGCTCTGCAGTCTTCACCTTACGCAATCGCAACGAATAGCGATCTTCTGGTTTCTTTATCAACTATGCAGAGTATCCCGGAGTAGATCAACCAACCCCAAATTAGAACCACAAAGGGCGGCACGACACAGCAGCGCATAACAGAGTCCAACAGGTCACAAGGATCATGATCAGCCACTGGGTAGCAATGGGACGATGGCAGAATGAAGTGAGGTGCATGCCACAGCTAGATGGGGATATTGGAATTGCCTTGGCCATTGTTGTGGTACCAACCATCTTAGTTACTTCGTGGAAGGTATTGCAAATTCTAATTAGTTACCGGTTGACCTAGGGAGGAAGAACTGTCTCCTGATTGACTATTCGACGCCTTTCATAGTGGGCTCACTTGAGCAGCAACTCAGTTGTACCTACTTATTAGTAATATGGAATATCTGATCAGTGGCTACCGATTGTCCCGACTCTGAATTACAGACACAATACGATCCTATCGTTCTCAATCGTCCTCAATCAATTATATCCGTGCTCCAGACTACTAATCCACTTATGAGCAGTCCATAGCTATGGCGTTCTCAGGGGAGACAGCATCAATGCTTCCAAGTTTATAAATATATATCTGCACCTGTCAACTTCAGCTCGCGCGACCCTTAAAATATTGGACCCTTGGATCACGACAAAATGACCCAGCTCCTTACTCCCACCACTACTCAACATGCTACGATTGCTAACTGTTATGTAATCGACAATATTCTCAGCCTCCTTGGCATATCATCCAACTTGAGTGAGATTTAAGATCTGACATGCGGACAGTATACTACCTAGCAAGCACATGGTGCAGCCATTCTCAATAGAGATAATGGACCAGGATTTAGGCTATAACTATAGGACTACAGAATTATCACTTCTATTCTGAACGCAATTCCATTCCTTTTGAATATATTTTTGTTCAGTTGACCCCATTGTTGAATTCCAAGCTCTTGGACTCGAAGGCGGTCAGAACTATTTTTCTGCCGCCGCATCACGCATCTCCATCAACTTCCAGATCCGCGCAGTCACTTTTTCCAGCTCTCTCCACGCTGCTCCCAGCACCCTTTCTATCTCGTTCTACACCACCTCCTTTCACCTGGAGCTCAGTGGCCGTGAAAAGGGCAGAACCTTCGCATTTTCATCCACCCGATCTTCGACCCCTCTCAACACTCATAAGAGCTCTCTTTCGCGTGCCCTGCTCAATGTCTCTCTTTGGTGCTCCCGCTGCGGCGGCGACCACAGCCGGACAGACCAATACCACTGGCGACATTTCCAAAGATGTCACCCTCAACCAGCCCCCGGAGGATAGTATCTCGGATATGCGATTTTCGCCCACCAGTGAACATCTCGCTGTCGCATCCTGGGACAACAAGGTCCGAATTTATGAAATCAGCCCCACCGGCCAGAGTGAAGGAAAGGCGATATTGAACGCAGATGCGCCTGTTTTGAACTGTTGCTGGTCTCCGGTAGGTCTTTTCTTTCCCCAGTCCTCGCATATAGTAAGCTAACGTTACTGCCGTTCTCAAGGATGGATCCAAAGTGGTCGGTGCAGGTGCAGACAACATGGCCAAGCTCCTCGACCTTGGCTCCGGCACCACTACCCCCGTTGCGAAACACGATGGTCCAATTCGCGCCTGTCATATGTTCCCCAACCCACAAGGCGGATCACCGCTTTTGGTGACAGGCTCATGGGACAAGACTGTTAAATACTGGGATTTGCGGCAACAAACCCCTATCGCCAATATTGATTGCCAGGAGCGCGTGTATACAATGGATGTCAAGAACAAGCTGCTGGTGATCGGCACAGCTGACCGCTACATCAACATCGTCAACCTCGACCAGCCAACCAAATTCTACAAGACCATGCAATCCCCCCTCAAGTGGCAGACGCGGGTAGTCAGCTGCTTTGCTGATGCCTCTGGTTTTGCCGTTGGCAGTATTGAGGGCCGTTGTGCCATTCAGTATGTTGAGGAGAAGGATTCCGCCTCCAACTTCTCCTTCAAATGCCACCGAGAAACACCTGCCAACAGCCGCGACACCTGCAACATCTACTCCGTCAACTCCATCTGCTTCCACCCCGTCCACGGAACCTTTAGTACTGCCGGTAGCGACGGCACCTTCCACTTCTGGGACAAGGATGCCAAGCACCGTCTCAAGGGTTACCCGGCCGTTGGTGGTCCTATCTCCAGCACCGCCTTTAGCCGTGATGGAAATATCTTCGCTTACGCTGTCAGCTACGACTGGAGCAAGGGTTACTCGGCCAACACCCAGCAGACTCCTAACAAGGTCATGCTGCACCCCGTGGGACCGGAGGAGACCAAGCCTCGACCAAACCCTCGGAAGCGGTGATCGAGGTTGCAAGCAAAGAGAAAAGGGCTGGATTTGCTTTCCGCGTCGTGGGAGCGACTGGCGCTATGAGCATTTAATGAAACTTTATCATATCGGCGTGTATTTTTTTTAAGACAACTGCGAATGGGAATCTTTGAAAACTGATTTACTATCCTATGTAGTCCTGCTACAGTTCAATTTTTGACGTCTTGGCTTTGAAGATGGATAGAAATAGAAATAGTAGCACCAAACCTTCGCATCAGGACTTTGACCCGTAAGATTTATTGGGTCCTTTTACGTTGTAGACCCTACGGATTGATGGGGGCTTCACCATGCACAAAGGATGTATAAAACATCAGCTATATAATCAAATGCGAACGAAACTCCTCTTTTCTAAAAACACCAATTCTCGTAGATTCATGCGTGTATGATCGACATGCCAGTCGTACATCAAGTATATCAAGACCAAGCCCACTTCAACCCAACCGTGACCATGACCCAAACCCTCCATGTCGTGCGCCGCAGTTGGAAATCACTCTCGTTAACGCTAGTCGCTATCTTAGCCGTTTCAGCCTCACATACAAAACAAAAGACTTTAGACCATGCAATGCTTTCACGAAGAGGGAAGGGTAACCTGAGCGACACCGTCGGTGACCTTCTGCACCGCATCGTCTTGAGAACTGGAAGCTGTGACGCTGACACCCTCCGCGCCACCCTTGGCAGTAGCCTCGACACCTGTAGCGGCTTTGCTCTGCTCCTTCTTGGCCAGCTTCTTGGCCTTCGCGGCGGCCTTCTTGGCAGCGGCCTTAGCGGCTTCCTCGGCCTTCTTGGCCCGGTCAGCCTGGGAGCCACCGAAGGCCTCGCGCCATTCATCGGCCTTCTTGGGATCAATACGGGAGAACAGGTACTGGGCCTTGCCGATCTTGTGGCCGGCCTTGATGCTGCTGGGCTTCCATCCATCCTTGAGCTCCTCGAGGGTAGGGATCAACAGGACCGGGCAGTTCAGCTGCTCCAGGATCGACTTGGAGGTAGCGGGCATGTATGGGGAGAACACGGCGGAGAGCAGGTGGATCAAGTTCAGAACAGCTCCGACGACGGCCGCGGCACGCTCGGGCTCATTGGCAATCAGGGCGTTATCAAGACGGTTGGCCTGGATCAGACCGTTACCAGCCTCGGCGATGCGCATAGCAGTCGTGACACCGGCGCGAAGATGAACGCTCTCCATGTCCTCAATGTACTGACGCAGGTGAGTAGTCACCTCCTCCTGGAAAGGAGCGAAGTCCTCTGGGATGGTGAATTCAGGAACAACGGATCCGTAAGAGGCGGCAACGAGCTTGATGACTCGGTTAACGAGGTTACCAAGCTTCGCCAGCAGCTCACTGTTGTTGGCGTCAACAAATGACCGCCACTCGAAGAAAGTGTCTCCGGTTTCGGGACGGTTCTTAAGCAAGTAGTAACGCCATACGTCTGCGGGCACACCGGTCTCTTTGGCGTTGGTACCGAAAACACCGACTCCTCGAGACTTGCTAAACTTACCACCCTCGTATTGCAGGTATTCAGTGGCGCTCAGATGGTGGTTCATAGTCCATGTATCCCGAGTACCAATTTGAGTAGCGGGGAAGATGACACTGTGGAAAGGCACGTTGTCCTTACCCAAGAACTGGTACAGCTGCACATTCTCCGGATTGCGCCACCACAGCTCCCAGTCCTTGGTGTAGTTGGCAGTGATCGAAGGGTATCCAATGCAAGCCTCGAACCACACATACAGCACCTTGTTCTCGAATCCGTCCAGCGGGACGGGGACACCCCACTTCAGGTCGCGAGTGATACCGCGATCCTTCAAGCCCTCCTTCAACCAGGACTCAGTGATAATGCGGGAGTTCTTAGGCCACTGTCCCTTTTCAATCGACTCGTTCGCCCACTTCTCAACCTCCGGCTGGAGCTTGTCAAGCAGCAGGTGGATGTGTTTTGTCTCGCGGCGCACCGGAGTAGCTCCATCAAGCTTACACCGAGGCTTGATAAGATCAAAGGGATCGAGGAGGTGTCCACACTTATCACACTGGTCTCCACGCGCATCATCATAGTGGCACCGGGGGCACTCTCCCTCGACATATCGGTCCGCCAGGAACGAGCCGTGCTGCTCACAGAATGGCTGCTCGGCAGTTCGCTCAGCCAAGAAACCGTTCTCCTCGAGCCGCTTGAAAATCGCCTGGGAGATCTCGGTGTGCTGCTGGGTCGGGGTGCGACCGAAATGGTCGAATCCAATGTTGAACCATTCGTACACTTCCTGATGAATCTTGTTGTACTTGGCGCACAGCTCCTCCGGAGTCACCTTCTCCTCCAACGCCTTGGTCTCGGTCGCTGTACCGTACTCGTCCGTTCCGCAGATATACAGTGTTTGCCGACCGCAAGCCTTGTGGTATCTAAAGAATTTCAAATGTCAGCTTTCTTTGATCATAGTGGGGGTGCTGTGTTGAGTCATACCTCGAAAAAGCATCAGCGCTCAGCACGGAGCCAACCACATTGCCCAGATGAGGCACATTATTAACATATGGCAGTGCGCTAGTAATGAGGATATTGCGCTCGCCCTGCTTGGGCAAAATTGGGTTTGAAGCCGCCATTGTGGTTTGTAGATGAGAAAGATGGAGGGGAAGCCGGAAAATCGAGAAAAGTGGGCTTTATCAGCTCGTGACATCCGCCCCGCATAACTGTATCAGCCAAAAAAAAAACCCCCATCCCTTTGACTCATAGTCGCCCCCTTGCGTTTGTGACATCTGCAATTTTATACTGATAGTCATGGAGTCGAATCTCTTGGACAGCCTTCTTGATCTGGAGGAGCAATTCTACAACGAGGGTTACGAGTTGGGTGTCGCTGATGGCGCCGAAGCCGGCTACACGGAAGGAAGCGTTTTCGCCGTTGAGAAGGGCTTTGAGAAATTTGTGGAAATGGGGCGATTGTATGGAAAGGCCCTTGTCTGGGCCCAACGATTGGCTGATGCCAAACCGAACGATCTATGCGAGCAATCGACGCCACAAGTCGACCAGTCAGACGTCTTATCTCTGGATCCTTCGTCCATTTGCAAAGAAATGCCAAAGATACCAGCGCACAGTGCCCGCCTGGCAAGAAACCTAGCCACTTTGCTGGAGCTAGTGGATCCAGCTACCCTGGATATGAGCAACACGGAGGAGGCTGTGAACGACGTCGACGAACGCTTGAAAGGCGCCGCCGTCAAAGCCAAGCTCATCCAACGAGCTATGGGCGAAGGTGAAGATTCGCTTGGCGCTCAATCTTACGCCAAGGATGTGACAAAGCCTGGAGATGGTACTGGCAGCATCGAAGACATCAGCTCATTGAGTGTTCGCCATTGATACTACGCAAAGATTTGTGGCCTTTGCTGAGCCAAATTTCTTCGCCTCTTATTCTGGGCAAACAAGCCTCCAAAACCGGAATTACCAGCGGATTATTGGACAGCCATCATTCCCTCAATTGGACTTGCCTCCCGGCCCTGGCGCAATACCAGGTCCCGAGTTACATCCTTCGCCAGCATAGGCCATGTGATCAATGGAATCCATTGACTAGCCCTTTCGTTGCACCGAGGAACCTGGGGCTACCTCAAACATCATCTATTGAGGAAGCAAACTTCTCTCCTGGGAATCTATAGCTTGGGTAGTACAGCTGTGTCCCTGCTGAATACAATCTTGTTTCTACATTGGTCATGTAGAGCATGACCGTTGCCAGCGAATACAATGGCTGTGGACACAGTCAGAGCGATACAAGATTGAACTATGTTTTTTTTTCATTAGAGAATTACATGGGAAGCCAAGACAGTCAAATTCCTTGATTGCTATGTCTGCGTTCTATACAGACAAAATTATGCTTTTGGTATCATAATATAAGAACCATTTTCACATCACGAGAAATAAACATAATGAACTTTTGATATTCGTAAGCCCTTCCGAAGCCGTTTCATTATTGCTCAAGGCTGCGGATAGCCATGGCCATCGCACCCTCCTTGGTCTTGTGACCGCCAATGAATCCACTGGCATGCACAAAGATAGCACCGGCGGGGAGCTTCTCCTGGCCGGCCTGCTCAGCCTGAGAGGCCATCAGTCCATCCAGGTCCTGGTCACGAACGCCGCGCCAAGCCTCGGGGAGAGGTTTCCGGGACACAAAACTGCCCTCAGACTCGGAAACGCACTGCACACGCCACTTGGAGTCCTCGGCGCCGCTCTCGGGGTAGAGGACATAGTAGACCTGCGCGGCAGGGTCGATACCCTCGCCGCTGGAGGCATCCTTCTCGAAGTTGTAGAGGTGCTCCTTCCATGGAACACCGCCCTCGGGGAACACAATGATGCGACCAGAGGAGTGAACCTCGTGGCGTGATTGGTAGGCCGAACCGACGGTGGTGCGAGCAGGAAGCCATGAGTGGCAAGCGTGGTGCAACTTGCGAGCGAAAACGTTACCGATGAGCTTGCTAGCCCGGCCGAACAGGCTATCCTCGTCTTGGGCCTCCCCAGGTGGGCTGGTAGGGTCTGGGTTGTTCATGTCGCCGACAATGGAGGCAAGAGTGACACCGCCGTCCTTGAACCGCTTCTCCAAGTTGGCAGCAGCCACCGCCGCGGGGTCGTAGGCAGAGATACCATTGTCATTAGCATCAATGGCTTCGATGAAGTCAGTGTACAGCTTCTCGTACAGCAGATCTACATCCTGGTGGTCCTGGGGCACAGACAGCTTCTGAGCGATAATGGCACGACCGAAGTGCATGTAAACTAGACCAGCCGATGAGAGCTTGGTGTTGTGCTGAGGGAAAGTTGTGTCGAAGGTGCGCTGGTGGTGATCGTAGCGGTTGATCTCCGCATCATACACACCACCCACATCGACCACGGTGTGGCAGGTCTCCAGCAGAGCCGGGTCCCGGGTGCGGATTAGTGGGGAAGAAGCGTAAGTGGGCAAAAGCTGGAGCATATAGACCGCCAGGGCCTCATCGGCATGGAAGTGACCACTGGAAGCTATTAGTTGCAGACCCTTCTCGGCATGGCAAGTCTCAATTGGGGGGATACACACTTGTGGGTTCCAATGACGGGAGCAGTCTTGAGCTTCTTTGCAACAGTTTCAGCCATTTTGGTGAAGGTACGAAAGCGTAGCATATATGACAGGGCGATTAGGATTTGCTTTGATCTGGATGGTCAAGCTTATCTGCCCGTATCGGGAAACCAGGGCTTAGTAATAGGGTTGGGTGGACTCAGGTGATGAATGCCAGAATTCTAAGGATGCAATGATTGAGAGAACATGAACAGTGAAACCTGGAGGTTCAAACTGCCTATCACTGGAGACTTTGGTTTGGTCTTCATTTCCGGCTCTGGGGAAGACCAACACGACGTACTAGACACTTGCTTGTGTTGGCATCTCACCCGCATACCGTCAGGGATCTAGTACATTGCAACATCAATGGCGTTATCAACTTGGAGATCACATTATCACAGGAGGATCATAGATACTTTGAATATGACAGCTCCCAGATAGCGTATACAGACATACCTATAGTCCCGTATCTAGAACACTTTATAGACTCACCTTATTACTCTCCTTTATGTCATGAATTCTGGCGCTCTGACCGCCAGTCCAGACTCCTAGGCTTTGCTGCCCTAGCACGACACCACACCAGAGTTGCAATGCACTTGATTCAAATGAAATCTTGACTGAGATTGTCAGGCGTTCATGTTACTCCTCTACAGAGAAACCTCTTGATTTTGTGGAACAACCCCCATTCCATGATTTGACCCTAAACCCCCACGTGAAATCCAGAGATAAGCTGGAGAAGAGGAAAAACGAAAATAAGAAAAAAACCGATCGTGTGCCTTCTCCCCCTCTCTTCCCCATTCTCTTCGTCAACACCAAAAACGCGACTTGCTCTACGCGCCCCTGCGCGTTTCCTCCCCCGAATGTGGCTCTTTCGAGTCTTTTCGTCGGCCGTCTTCCTCGCCGTCACGGTCTCTTCTATCCCTCTGGCCTTTGACGTGGGCGGGAAGACATGTGGTCTGGCCTTCTCCCTATCTCTCGCAACCTTCTATTTCCTCTTCTCGCTATTGCGCCTCGCCACCCCTGAGCGCTCATGGTTCCGTTCGTCGCTTGTCGCCGTCATCCGCTCTACACAATGGATTATCATTCCGATCTTGTTGATTTGGTCTTTGAATCGGTTCTCGGTCGACCCGGAGAATAGCAGCGGGTGGGTGGAGCGCACCTTCAGCGGGAACCGCGCTCAGGATAGCTCCATTCAGGAATGGCTCTTCGGTCGGGATGGTCTGGTCGAAAGTGTGACCCTGGGCAACTGGGATCGACTTCTGCGATGGTCTACGCCTGTGTTCCAACTAGCGGAGGGCTTCTGCAGCCTTTTGGTGATCCAGGCCGCCGGCCAAATAACCCGCTGGCTTGTGAACCGAGGCGGGCGCAGTGACAGCTGGATGGTATGTCTTTTCCCCCTTTGCGCCGTTTGCGCTTGAACAGAGAACTAACTTCTTCAGATCGGTCTCCTCGTTCTATCGGCCACCGTGATCTCTAGCTCCGTCTACTTCCTTTGGCGCGTTCTTCAGTTCCCCGAGATTTCCAATGTTGACGCCGCCCTGATCGGCGTCTCCATTACTTGCGCCGTCATTCTGTGCGCTTGGGGGATAGGTAGTGGGCGTGGAAATCCGGTGGAGAGCTCCCTGCTGTTCGCCTACATTGTTCTTTGTATCTACCAGATCTTCACCGATTACCAACCGTCGTACCCGGTCGAACAGATTCCGTCTCCTTCGCAAGCAGGCGACTTCCCCCGCTTCCGCCCATCTTCATGGCATCATACACCACCCTTATGCATGCCCTGTCTCTGCTCCCCTCGATCATTCACGCAGCTTTCAACGTCATCACGGCTGTCTTCAGCGCAGTTACTCCGTCGGTCTTGATCTCGCTTGCATACCGCCTCCTTGTTCTGTATGCTTCAACACGTATCATCCCGGCGGTGCGTGAATCCGGAGCTCGTGCGCTCTCGCAGGAGGCTTCTCTTGAAGACTCCGATGCCGCTGGACAAGTTCTGGCATTCCTGAGCTATTTCTCCCCGTCGATTCTCATTGCTGTATACACCAGCCTTTTGATGCAGCATTTCTCGTCTACTTCACAGGCAATGGGAGGTATTGGCGAGTGGTGGAGCACTCAAGGCGCGGGGGGAAGCAATCTCTGGCGATGGATCAACCTGGCCTGCACTACGGCATTATATGCAGTTGAGCTTTGGCTTGGGGAACATAATGATCTTGACAATGGACTGACTGGCCACTGGAAAACCGATTGAAACCATACCTGCCTGGAGAGTCATCGGAGCGCACCCAACTTGCAATTTCATCCTTGCGTGTCCCCCAAGGTTTGCGGTACAGGCCTTCGATGCTTTCTGAATCCCTAGGTCGACGCATCCAACTTTAAACCCAGCGACTCCTTGAGCAGATATGGCTGTCCTTCAAAGCCATACCCGTGTACGTTTCTTCAACTCAGGCCGTTGAGCGCCCCCTTGGGGACTGAAGAATCGACCTCGATCTGGGACCTTTCCGGGAAAGTTAAATGCCATGTGCCAGGCTCATTTCAAATGGGGGTCAATTGCTTACTCCTTCCAGTCGATGGCGACCTAAATATTTCCCCTATCCCTAGTGCTATACACGGACATCGCCTTGGACCGCCCCCTTTCTTTTCAATTTTCAGCCTTTGGTTATGTGGCTGATGTTCAAGGAGCACTACCTCCGAAAGAGACCTTTTCATTGGGCTTAAATTTAAGCCCTTCTCCCCCCCCCCGGGCGCCTCCGCGTTCTTCTTCTGTTCTCCGCCTGTGACATTAGGTTTCGTCCGCTTGTTCTTGTCATGACCCCATGATACCAGTTGCAATTTTCTCGCTATCGCATTGCCCTATCTTAGCCCGATTCCTATACCCTTTGCCATTCATCTGGTCTGACTTTATCTGACATGTTTCTCTCTGCTCCGGCTAATTGAACCCTGGAGTTGTTCGCCGTAATGTTTGACCGTTGCTTGTCACTGTACATAAATATCTGGAGGCTTCTCGTGCTACCCCATCCCGCCCTTTTTGCGGTACGTCCGAATTAGAGACCAATCATATCGATGATAACTGATGTTATCGATCCAAACGATTATCTTCCCGAGGAATTTCAGAAGTCAAATTCAGTTCCACGACGTATTTCGAATGAATCAAACTATGATAAGACAGGAGAGAAAGCTTGAAGTATAGAACAGACGAGTACGGAATACATGGAATGCAAAATATGAACGCGAAGAGGAACGCAGAAGATTGTAACTAAACGATATGAACAAGCGAAAGGAGAACGATGCGCTGATGTTCTATGTGGGTATATGAAGACTCAACTTCATGTCGAAGTCATCGAAGACCCAGTTGCTGTGTTTTCCCTTTTGCTTAATTTTTTTTTTTGTCTTTGTATAGGTCACACCTTCTCTGTTCTCTCCGGGGCCTGTCCTGCAGTGCACATCCCCAGAGAAGATTCCATAGCGCCAGGCTTTTGAACAATAGAGGTGGGAAAAAATGAGAAAAAATAGAAAAGAAAACCAAGCAAATCCCTCCCGGAGAATGAAAAATAAAACCCATGAGATATCCATGCAATGCATCAAGAGAACGTTTCAATCACCGGCGAATGGGCACACCCTCTCGAGCAGGGGGTGGGCTCACACTCAGCTCCTTCTCCTGAACCTCCGGGTCCATGGAGCCCTCGCTCATGCTGGTACCACGGTGGAGGAAGCTCCCCCCTCCTTGATGGGGCTGCGGCTCTGGAAGCCGACCGAGCTGGGGTGGCCGCTAATGCTACCAGGGATCTGCTGGCCCCCCTGGGCACTGATACTGCCACCATTCCCGGTCACTGCGGGGTTGTTGGCACCTGGGGAGGTGGCTGTCAGGTGTGGAATGTTCTCCGGAACTGGGTGGCGGGAGCCGATGTTGGTGACGCCGACGTCCGAAGCTTTGCCGGCCTTGCTCAGAGCATAGTCGCCCGAGTCAAAATATTTGCGCTCCTATGCAGTGAAAAGAGAGAAATGATCAGTTATCGTTGTTTTCTCTAGGTCGAGCATGGTGCATTAAAGTCCCAGAAGTCGCCGAGGGGTGGAGGGGGCGAAGGTGGGCTTCATAGGTATGTGGGAGGGGTGTCGGATTTGAACTCACCTTGAGCTTGTTCTGCAATACATCCTTCTTGTTGGGCCTCTTGCCATACAAGGCATACAGACGCTGCTCATCCGGACTCAATTTCTAGGTAGACGAGGTTAGGTTAGTATGGAACCTAAACCAAAGAGGGGTTGCTCAGCGACTCACGCTAACGTCGACATCATTCTGCTTGAGGGGATTCATGATGGAGGGTTTGGGGAAGATAGAACGGCAAGTTGAAAAGCCCAAGAGGTGTAGTTTCAAACGATGGAAGAAGAAGAAGTGAAAGGTCGGGGATTGATTACTCTATCGATAACGCTTTATCCGCGCCCAATCTGTGATGCAAACTGATTTCGGTTACTTCATCCCTTTCTATATCACTGGCCAACTTAGTACTCTGTCATCTGATCTGTAACTGATTAATCCATGGCTCCTTTGCTACTTTGCTACTTTATTTCTCGCCTTTATTTGCTAGGCAATTTGTGTGCGGCAACATCGTACGTCATCACCATGACGAGCTTCATTTCCGCATGAAGGAAAGACATGAAGATCAATATTACTGCGAGACCATAATGCCAGAGACATGTTCATGCCCAATGTCGCCAAAGTCCCAAAGTCCTAAAGTCGCCATATCGCCGCATCCATAAGTTCCCAGAATTCAATTGCCTCGTTCGTCCAATCCCGAGTGGGACCAAACTCTACATTTTTTTTTCCCTCTCATCCTCCCACCCCCGCCATGGCTGATCAGAAGACCCGGGCCTTTGTGGTCGAACACCTGGATCCTGAACTGGGTCCATGGTCTGCACTGGAATATGCTGCCATCGCTCGCGAATCGCACGACCTCGGAGCTCGATTCCTGCTGAGCTCCGTGCCAGCCGAGCTGCAGATGCCCGCCGACCTCGCCGCCACCCGGGGCCTGGAGGTGGAGCAGCGCAGTGTTGAGGAGATCTTTGCTGACCGCAAGGACAGGGTCTGTCTATTGGATCCTTCGGCTCAGGTGGAATTGAGCCCGGAAGATGGAGAGACCTTTGACGTATTCTTGTTCGGTGGTATTCTCGGTATGGATCTTTCGTTTCCGCTAAAAAGCACCCCGCGATTGGGAAAAAAAAACCCAAAAAACCAAAAACTTGGATTCGCTGAGGAAAGGCTAACTTAAAAACGTAACTCTGTTAGGCGATGATCCACCACGAGGTATGTTTCCTCTTATACCATGAAGATTTGTTGTACTAATAGCAAATAGACCGCACTTCGGAGCTGCGCAAAAGGGCTACGTCGGTCGACGTTTGGGACCCAAGCAGATGACCACTGATACTGCAGTACGAGTGACTCGCATGGTGGTGCACGAGAAGAGTAAGTCGCACTTCCTAATTGCTCTTGGTCATATTAGGCTAACCTCTTGGAACAGTTCCCCTGGAGGAGATCCCCTATGTCGACTATCCTGAAATTCTGATCAACGAGCACGAGCGGACTGAAATGCCGTTCCGCTACGTGAAAGATGCTAGCGGCGAGCCGATCATGCCCGATGTGAGCAAACTACCAACCTCGAGAGGATCTTGGCTAATACCAATTCAGGGGATGGTGGATCTGATTAAAAACGATGCCGACAAAGGCGTCGGTGATCTTTTCTGATCTAGTAAAAAGTAACGTCTAATAGATGATAATATCATGATTCAGTCCCAGCTTGAGATATATTGTAATAGGATATAGACTACAATGATAGTTCATTTCAAAGCTTGAGTTTATACAAAGAGCTCTTATAGAGTCCCTTATCGGGCAAGGCGGCTGTGCGGTACTATACCTGTACGGTATGACTAATCTATCTAAAACGCCGCCCAATATCTGTATTTTACGTAGAATACACGTACCAGAGGGCATACCTGACCGGGTCCAGGCCACGCCAGCATTTCCGCTCCGTTCCTCTTCGACTCTCTTTCCACTATTAATCGATCTATATATATTTCAGGGGATTTGGAGTGGACTCACTCCGGGTACTCTTGTTCTTTTCTTCCTTTCAAATCCCTCGCGCATTTCCGCCCCATCCCTTTGCCCGCCCCCATATTCCGATGAACGCTTGATCTCGTCATTACCAGTCCGTCGCGGACCTCGACACTGCGCGCTTCCGTCGCTGGAAGACCATACGAAATATTTAACCATTAAGATATAGGGTGCAAGCTCTGGAGATTATGTTCTCGATGCCCTTGCGCCCTCGCTCGAGTGGGGCTCTGGCCATTCTGTCATGGACTCTCTCCTTAGTCCTAGGTCCGACATTGGCGGCCGCCGCCTCAGCAGCGGATTATTATGTCCACGATCTACCGGGGGCTCCTGAAGGGCCCCTGTTGAAGATGCACGCTGGGTAAGTTCCTAAAGCTGAATCCCGCGAAAGCGTGGACCGGCGGGCTAATCCTGGAGACATTTAGACACATCGAGGTCGACCCGGAAACCAACGGCAACCTCTTCTTCTGGCATTACGAGAACAGACATATTGCAAACAGACAGCGCACAGTGATCTGGCTGAATGGTGGGCCTGGATGCAGTTCCATGGACGGTGCCTTGATGGAGGTTGGCCCATACCGACTCAAGGACGACCACACGTTGGAATACAACAAGGGTTCGTGGGATGAGTTCGCCAATTTGCTTTTTGTTGATCAGCCCGTTGGGACTGGCTTCAGCTACGCGGATACAAACAGCTACCTCCACGAGCTGGACGAAATGGCGGCCCATTTTATGATCTTCTTGGACCGCTTCTTCGAATTGTTCCCGGAGTATGAAAGAGACGACGTATGCATTTTCCGCTTTTGTTATCTAGGAATTTTTGGAAATTCGTGCTGACTTGGATTCCATAGATCTACATTGCTGGCGAATCGTACGCAGGCCAACATATCCCCTACATCGCCAAGGCGATCAAAGATCGCAACAAGGTGGCCGAGGAGAATGGGAAACAGAAGTGGCCACTGAAGGGCCTGCTTATCGGAAATGGCTGGATCTCACCGGCACAGTATCCATCGTACTTTGAATTTGCGGAGCGTGAAGGTTTGATCGAGAAGGGAACGTCATTTTACCAACAGGTCGAAGCCGCGAACTCTGTCTGCTTGTCCAAGCTGGAAACTCCAGGGATCATGAACCACGTCAATGTTCCCGAGTGCGAAGAGGTGCTGCAAAGCATGCTCAGAATCGGACAGTTCGATGGCACGTGCATGAACGTGTACGATGTCCGTTTGACTGACAGCTGGCCTGCATGTGGCATGAATTGGCCTCCAGACCTGACATTGATGTCGCCATACTTACAGCGCCAGGATGTGGTGAAGGCTTTGAACATCAATCCTGCCAAGATGACTGGCTGGCAGGAATGCTCCGGTGGCGTGAGCAAGGCCTTCCACGCCTCCAACTCCGAGGCAGCTGGCAAGCTGATTCCGGGTCTGATCGAATCAGGAGTCAACGTGCTTCTTTTCAGCGGTGACAAGGATATGATCTGTAACCACATTGGTACGGAGACGTACATCCATAGCCTGAAATGGAAGGGTGCCACTGGCTTTGAGACCGCACCGGGCGAGTGGGCTCCGCGCCATGATTGGACCTTCGAGGGCGAACCGGCCGGTATCTATCAACATGCCCGAAACCTGACCTATGTCCTCTTCTACAATGCCAGCCATATGGTTCCCTACGACGCACCTCGTCAGACTCGCGATATGCTTGACCGCTTCATGAATGTGGACATCGCTAGTATCGGTGGGAAGCCGGCTGATTCGCGTATCGACGGCGAGAAATTGCCCCAAACCTCAGTTGGTGGCCACCCCAACAGCACTGCTGCCGAGCAGGAAGAAAAGCAGAAGATGAAGGATACCGAGATGCACGCCTACACCAAGTCCGGTGAGGCCATCCTGGTGGTGGTCATCATTGGTGTCACCGTCTGGGGCTTCTTTATTTGGCGCAGTCGCCGAACCCACCGGGGTTACCGTGGCGTCCGTCCCCAAGATATGGATATGCGGGCTGGATCCGTTCTTGACCGGTTCCAGAACAAGCGTACGAACGATATTGAGGCCGGGGACTTTGACGAGTCAGAGCTAGATGAATTGCATCTAACTGGCCTCGATCGGGATCAATACGCGGTCGGCGATATCAGCGATGAGGAGGACCATGTGAGTCCTCACGCTGGCTCTCAGAAGCCTGCTGTGGAAAACGATCACCGTGATTCTTTATGATAAGAAGCAGCACGTACGTTGATGTTGGTGTATTGGAATTGTGATATTTTTAGTTACTACGTTATCCCGGACCGATTTTCCATTCTATGTGGATTGACTGCATCTGTACAAAGGCGTATATTTCTGAATCTTCCCATAGACTACCAGGCAAATGATGATTTCAAGATTGTTGCATTCTTTGAGTGGGATATGATTTTTGGTTCTAGCTGCATTTCTGCCAATTTCTAGATTACAGTCCTTTCCTCATCTATATGTGAAGCCACTCGGTGCTTCTGCCCGACTGGCTAACGAAATATATACTCCACGGGCTATGAATATGTAGATCACTGCTGCAGCGTCCAGACCTTGACGCTGCCATCATCTGCAGTTGTCACCAAAACTTCTTCCTCTTCCACAGCTCCACGATCTGCGCGTTTGGCCCAAGCAGCGTGATTGATCTCGTAAATACCATGGGCACCATTCACCACAGCGAGTATTGTCCACTCCGTCTGTAGTGACGCCGTGCCCGCCACAGGCTCTGTCTCCATGGCATCCGCATCAGCAGGGGGAGATATAATCTGTTCCTGGTAGATGATGATCCGCCCATCGGCACCAACAGACGCAATAAGTCCAGTTCGTCGACTCCAAGCAACCGCATAGATCGCTAATTCATGCGCATGCGGTAGCAACGCATCCTCCTCCCATGTCTCATCTGTGCCGGTTGGCCGAATAATACTCGGAATTCCAGTAGCAGCAGACGACATCGCGCCCAGCTGCGCACTCTCCTTAGGCAGACGACGCCAGACCCGGACAGTACGATCATCCGAGCAAGAAACAAGTCTCGGACCAGAGAGCGCACGCTGTTCGCGCCATTGGCTCTGTAATGCCGCCGCATCAGCTCCGTCCGCAACAGTCGGAGTTGTCTCGGTGCCCTCCCAGTCCAAAAACCAGACCGTTCCTTCGTGCTTCTTAATACAAGCCACCTGACCCCAGTCATCCAGATCCTCACGCCACAGTCGGATTGTATCGTCGTATCCAGCACTGGCGAGACACTCTTCGACAGGATGCCACGAAACGCACTTCACGTCACCACCATGCTCCTGCATCACAGCGACAGTCTCGAAGTTGTTATCCCCATCATCCAGATCCTCCCAGATCCAAATCGACTTATCACGCGCACAGGTGGCCAACAGCATGCCAGACGGCGACCACGAAACGGACTTCACCTCGCTGTCATGCCCATCCAGTAGCACAGCAAAGCGCCATTCTTCCTCTTCATCACCAGCATCCACATCCTCCCCATCCATATTCTCATTGGAAATGTCTTTCCCCGCAACATCTTCAGTGCGCCCGTAGCTATCCCATCGTCGCCAGACGCCAACCGTAGCATCGAAACTACCGGTGGCCAAGACACTTTCGCCTTGTACATGCGGCTTCCAGGCCGCTGTCCGGACACTGCGCTTGTGTCCGCCTGTAATAGTTGAAAGGAGCTTGAAGTTCGTGAGCGAGTATACCCGCACTGTCTTGTCGGAGCTGCAGGTCGCGACGATGGGAAGGGTGGGGTGTGGTGCGGTTAGCCATGTGCGCTCTAGGGAAGGGGGTGTTAAATCCGACAGGAGAGTGATTTTAGGTGTCATTTTGTGTAGGACCGAATGAGCGATTGCGATTGAAGGTGGTGGAGGGGAAATTTTAGGATTGCGGTCGATACTAGGTACGTGGGGTTCTGATTAGATAGTGATAGCTATCGCCGTATCTCGCCTTTGCAAAGGTTATTTCAGGTATTTGAATACGGGAACTTGTATATAAAACCAGTTGAAAGTGAAAATAGAGAGGTAATCAACATAATCCATTGATGCATATTAAGAAGAGTAAAATACATTTGTCGAGTGTCCTTCACTGATCCAAGTGAATGTTAGGTGGTTTATAGAGGAAAAGAAAAAGCCGAGTGTCAATCCAAATGCTCCTATGGGGTAGTGGTCATCCCGACAGATTTTGAAATTATAACTTCTGTAAACCCCTGTTCGAACCAGGGTAGGAGCTTTCCACGTAATTACTTTTTGCAACTTTGATAGAGAACAGCACAGTCAATTAGGGAACCTAATTGCTCCTTGAATCTATCTATACAGTCCTTTTTTTTTAGCTCCTAAATTCATTCGGATATCTCAAGACACCTGGAAGTGGCTCTGACGACTTGGTATAACGGCAGAACCAGCAGCATAGATAAGACCATACCGAGTTTATTATGTCAATGTTTCAAACTGCCTATCTAATTACCACGTATATAGTCCAAAGTCCTGCCAATCTGCTTATACCACAGAAGTCCCAAACCCAAAACAATGAATGAAAAAACCACACATGATATTAATAGAACTATGCCTTCCAATCATGCCACTACTGCGAGGCCCCTTCTTCATATAAACGCTCATAAACGGATCCGTGACAGAGCCAGTCAACCTCGCGCACTTTCTCGAGCTCCTCCACCAGCTGCCCAACCTCGCCCACAAACTCGGGCATGCCTGCGCCAGCCAAGCTCTGGCTGGCCGTCGTCGTGGCACGCACTCGCTCCGAAGCACTAGAAGCGCTCAGCCGGGAGAGGACATGACTCCGGAGACGGGAGAGGATCAACCGAGCAACCGGGTCCGTGAAGCTGGGTGCGGGGGATCCGCTACCAGAGGACTCCGTGGCCGGGCCAGACGAGGTCTCGTATTGAACATGCACAGCCGCCTGGGGTGCAGCCGCAGTGCTTGCGGTCGCGACGGGCGCCAGCACTCGTCTGATTGTGGCGGCAAGCTGAGCACTTGCAGCGGGTGGCATGGGATGTGTTGATTCAAGGATAGACTGGACGCGGTCGGCGCGGATTTCATTAAAATCCAGAGAGAGAATACGATCAGCCTCTGGCTTCCATTGGGACCGTGCATCTCGTTTCAGTAGATTCTTAGCGGTCAGGAGGATGGAGGCTGTAGCCACAATTTGGAAGGCCTTGGCATGTAGACGCTCCAGTCGTTGATGATCCAGCGCCAAGGTCTCGGGAATCAAATCCTCCGATACAGTAGCATTGCTAAACACCAGGTCTGTGAGGCCGTGAGCATAGACTCGTGTGGCTGGTGGACGAGGCTCTCCGTGGATGTTCTCCGGGTCTCGCTTCTTCATTTCGTCGACAATAATCTTGCGATGCGTTCGCCAGAATCGCCGAACTTTGCCCAAGGTAATTGAGCCATCTGTGACGCCCTTTTCAAATGCACGTTCCTCATACCCGGGGGCATCTTGGATCAACTGGGGTGCAGCCATCTGAATCATGAAATTGGTGTGGTCCAGGGAGAGCAGGTCAATGATGCTCATCAGCCTTGCCAGTCGATCTATAGCGTCTCCCGAGGTGTCTTCTGCAAATGCCTTCACCGCAGGGTCGCGGTATGGGGCGCAAAGCCGGGGGAGAATGTTATTCATAAAGCCGAAGAAGTTCTCATAAGAAAAAGACCCAGCTTTGCACTGACTCTCAACAAGCTTTGGATCCAGGACTTCGCTGATCAGCACATACAGAGAATTACCAGGTCGAAGCGAGCGTAGGAGACGGTCTTGGATCACGGTGGCCATGGAAACTGTCCAGGCTATTCCTTGTCCAGCCTCAACATCTCGTCTCATCTGCTCACACATATGCTGCATAATTCGTCTTCGAGGGTCAGCATACGTAGATTCTTCAATCTTATACTCCTTGTTGAGGAGAAGCTCATGCACCAAGACCCGGTTCTCTGGAAGAGCTGTGAGGATCTTGGTAAATTGTTCATGCGGAGAGGATCGTTGCTTTTCTAGCTCCTGGAGGACTGCGGCTTCGACATTGTTGAAAGACTCGCTGATAGGAGACGTGACGCTCTCGGTCAAGACATCTCCCGACGAGGGTGCTACTTCAGCTGATCGAGGAATGGCCTGCTTCGAGGCAGATCTTTTCCTCTCGCGCTTAGCCTTTTTCAGCGAGTCCCGAACCATCTGCATGGCGCAGTCCGAGCCTGCAAGGCGCTTAAGGCGGGCCAGAAGAAGAATTTGATTCTGGCGAATACCTTCTCGGTAGTCTTCAGCAACGCCGCCGGCTGTATCACCTTTGACCGTCTGCCAGATCATCTCCAACTCAACGAATTGGGCAAGCATGATCTCAATCAGCACAGTAGAGTCATGGGACTTCCATGCGTGAAAGGCTGAGAAAAACACATTGTGAGATTCGCACAAAATTTGAAGGTCCGCAGTGATCACGGTGGGTGAGCAGCAGCCAGAAGACAGTAATCCCGCAACCTGATCAAAGGCCACGAGAAGATCACGCGCCTTCGAGATCAAATCTTGCTCCTGCTCGCCATCTCCGCTAAGAACCTCATCGGGATGGGTGACAATGAGATAGCTGCTGAGGAATGTGCGCACAGCGCCTCGTTCCCCCATTGCCCCGCCTTCCATATCATTCAAGCAGCACAGTTTCAGCACTTTGGTCATAGTATCAAGTACCTCACGATTTGAGACGAAACGACCAACGTCCTCGAAGGCCATTTCACGAACCCGATCCACAGACAAATTCAGGGTCCGGAACTCCTGCATGACCTGCTTCGCATGGTGAGTTCTCCAGACTCGTTGTATCTTCCGAGCAGCAGCGTCCTGAGTGAGTGATTTCGTGACCGCTCGGGCCATTTTCTTCTCCTCGGCGGCTGGCAGGCTGCTCGTGCGTTGGCGCCGATGCGTCTGCTGGTAAAGTGCTCGCCGCTTCTCAGCTTCTGCGAACTTCTCTGCCATCTCCAGTCTTTGGCGCGCGTAATCCGCGGCTTTCTTCTCCCGTTGTTCTTCGGCCTTTTTCTTGGCCCGCTTAACTTGATCCTCGCACTTGGCCGTAATATCCGCCAGCAGACGCTCTCGAGCTTGCTGAGCAGCCAAAGCTCGCTCTTCGATCTGCAAGTTCCTCGTCGCAGCTTTTGCCAGGGCAGCGCGCAGTCTCACTTTGTCCGCGTGCAGTGCCCGGTCGGCCAGTCGTGCTTTGCGGGTTTCAAGAATAGATGTGCGCCGGAGGTGTTGAGCTATGTGGTCCGCGCTCGGCGCGCCAGTGGAGGATGCGTTCGAGTGATGCGAGTGTAAAGATGATATGGAGCTTCGTCGCGACGAGGCAGCGGAGGAGCGCCGCACTTTGCTGTTTCGGCGGTAGAATCGCGCGGCGATGTGTGCCGGGAGGGTCAGCGGAGGCACCGGCTCCTCGGACAGCATTTCCACGTCACTCTCAGGCAAGGAATCGGGAGAGAGCGGGGTCGGGCCTGCATCAGGAAGCTGGATCTCGATGTCGGAGTTACGACGCATCATCGTCGACGTCGGCTCGAGGGACGCGGTGTACACGGTCTAGGGGTTCAGTTGAAAGGCGGCGGGGCAGGCTACTGATAAGCGATTAGACGGGCCTGGAGGAGCTGCCTTCCAAAGATTTTCGTACGGGCACAGTCACTGTCGTACCCTCGAATGTATTTGAGCTTGGGTAGAGGATAAAAGCAGTATGGAGGTCTTAAAGAGGGACCCCGGGGAGCATACTCGTGCCAGGGCAGCCGGGGTTGGGGTTTGCGGAGAGATCCGTGCTTTGTTTCAGAGTTTAAGAGAGGATTAATACATTTTGGAAATGGAAAAGGAGTGTAGAAAAAAGGAGTTAAGATGAAAACAGTTTGATTTGATCCCTACACGAAACCAGGAAATGGTATTGCTGATGGAATCCCATGGCCGCAAGCAGAAAGACGTCAACGCCGCTTAGCTAAGCGACATCGTGAACGTGCTTGGATGCTTTTTCTCTCTTTCTACGGCGATGAGTTCTTCAGGGTTTCGGTGCTGTTTCCGGTTAGCTATTCATGGCTTGAATTTTAAGATCGTTCATCATCTTGAGTCGAGTATAACTGTGCATGTGGAATTTCTAATCTTAGAACCCGGAAGTATATCAGGGCCGGCTCGAACACGAAGCCCTAACCTTATATATATGATCACTATACATTCTGATAATACGGGTCACTCGTGAGATTCAGCTGTGTTAATCTGTAGGTATGGTACCCACAGAAAATCCGCTGATTATGCAGAGACCAAATCCAGGGGGCCATGATCTACTTTTGAAGTCATTTGGGCCACGCGTCTTAAGATCCACTCGTTTTATTATCAACGTGTGACTGCAGTACTCTGTGTGACCTATATATATCTTGGCAGCTATCTAGGTAGATACCTGGATCTATTAGGCATGCATATGCGCTATTGGCCTCATGTACATACACCTGCTCAACATTAGGCAGGTGTGTCGATGCATATCCATAATATACCCATTCAGTTACATCTGGACAAGGTCAACTACTTGTTGTATTCTACGGGTATGGTCAATTTAATGTACGAAGGTGTTTTCCAAGGTTCGGAACTTGCAAACTAGGAATTGGAATATGTGATTCATAGCTAACAGACGAGTGACACCACCGGCACCCAGATCGCTATGCAGTTTATTGACTGTACATTACTGGCGGCCATATCATCGTGTGCATCTTTCCCAGACAACTTCTACGAGCCATAACCAGTCTTGACGGCCAGAATCGCAGACTGGCACAATGCACGCAAAAATTGAAGTTGAGAACTATCGGCCAAGCCTAGTGCGTTTTCGAGGTGGTCCCTCCGGACACCACAAACGGGCCGTTCTTGGCGCCGACCATTCCACTAGGGTAGGATGGGGGCGTGGACATGGGCCCGGCCCGGTGCTTCAAATCAAACTCAGAGGGAACCTCAGACGGTGGAGGTTTAGGGGGAAGGTGGGAAGGGGTACCCCATTTTGCGATCGAATCACGGGACATTGTGTTTGAGGGGCGGCCTTGGTTGCCGTGATCGATATTTCGGTTGAAGGCGGGATCAGGGTATCCATTCCATTGGCCCTGGGCTCCGGGGCCCACATTGGGATATGGTGGCATTGGATGACGAGGCACTGGACCACCTCCAGGGACGAACGAACGCGTTTGAGGATTGAAGTGAGATCGTGCCATATGTCCCGGCATCGGAGAACCATTGGGGTTCTGCATAGAAGGATTCAGATGCTGCCCGGGGTATTGGGCATAAGGGTAAGATGCCATATTGGGGGTCATCGACTGAGCAGGGTAGTGGGGCCAATGAACAGGAGCTTGCGTCCGCTGATGCGGAGCTTGCTGATGGGGAGATTGCTGGTGATTGCCTTGATAAGGCTGGCCATTCCAGACAGGAACTTGTTGGTATGGAGCAGACTGAGGGATGGCAAAGTTATTCATGGCCGGAGACGATTTGGTGGATGATTGTTGGCTCATCATGCCAGACTGATTCATCGATGCGTATCCAGGGTATGGGGATTGTTGTGGCATGTTTCCGCCTTGCCATGAGCCATTAGAAGTCATTTGCGGCAGTGTCCCCATTGGGTACTGTGGCACGTTGTTGACACCGATGTTCCCACTCATGTTCCCGGCGCCCATATTTCCAGATCCAATGTTTCCAGATCCCATATTTCCAGGATATCCCATGCCATTCCCACCGGAAGGCACAAAGCCATTGGTTGGGGGCTGCACACCCGGCCCCACAAGGTAGGGCACCTGATTATTGTAAGATGCGTCGTTGATACTTCCACCTCCACCGTATTGGGCTGAGCCATTGCTGTACGGCACACCGGGATAGTAAGCATTGAATTGCGAACGGGCTTCGAATCCATCATCGAGAGGTGTCCGCTGCCGGCTGTTCTTCTTACGTCCAGTTGTTGAGCTAGAGCGAGACATGTTGGGGTTCGAATCGCCACTAGCCGGATCCGATTTGGCACTATCGGGGAAGTCACGGAAGATTCGCTCACGAGCCTGATTATATTTGGCTTCGCGTTCCTCTCTTGTCAAGGCGAGGCGATCCTTGGCCGGGGATCCTCCAGAGGATCCTGAATCTTGACCATCGCCAGCTTCAGAGGGGGCTTTTGACGGGGCAGATGAGCTGGCTGCTACACTGCCCTCAACGGAAGGTCGTTCCAAGTCTGCTCGGCGCATGATTTTCATAGCGGGAAGAGTTGGAGGTGGCGTAGTATTGTTGGCTGCATGTATCTCAGATAAAGGCGTGGGACTATTAGGGGTTAGCTTTTGAAAAGTTTCCATTCTCGACAAAACAAGATTTGCTTACAGTCGGCAAAAAGGTGTCCGATGAAGCCGAACTGATGTCACATTGTTATCCACAAAGTGCGTTAGATGGTAATAATCCCCCAATTTATGTGCAAGAAGTCGTCCAAATGCATTAGATGGCGGCAATTCTAGGGATTGTTCACTGAATGAAGGAGATTAGTCAAGGGTGTCATTCATATCAAATGCCAGATAGTACTATCAACATACCTATTGTCTTGGATAAAACAACGGATTTTGTCCTCCAACTGAAGAATCAGGAGACGATCCTTAGGGGATTTCATCGCCTCTAAAAGCTTCTCATCGGGCTCAAGAGGAAATCCATGTAAGGCTTGGTCATCTGACAAACAGCCAGGGTTGGCAGGAACCACAAAATTGTTGGATACGGAGTCTGATGGAATAGTACCAACAGCCCGCTGAATTCCCCCATTGTACAGAGAACTAGGCACTGTGAGAATGCCACGGGGTCGTTGGCCACTGCCATCTCGGAACTGATCACGGTATCCACGACCACCAGCCTCAGAGCCAGTGACTGAATTTGGTGCACCAGATGCAAGTCCTGACAGAGATTCCTCCTCATCAATGGCCTGGACGCTGGCACTGTCATCAGGTCGTACGGAGTCTTTTTCATCCATTGCAAACGTTGTCACCGAGGCTAGGCTCTTGGAATCGAAATTGGTCATTTTGGTAGAGGAAGTGGAGAGATGAGTGCGATCATCATCGAAGAAGTTGTCTCGTTTAGGAAGGCCACTCTCTTGGTCATCTACTGAGGATGATGACCCTTCATGGTCTTTTTGCGAGTTAATATCAATACCCTGCACTGTCCTCTCTAGGCCATGGACAACATGGTCCACGGGGGAGCTCTCTGAGTTAATTTTGGTCAAATGTTGCGAGCTGGGTAGTGAGGAACCAGCGTCGAGTGGTTCCGGGTAATTCGATGTGTGCTCCGGCTGAGCATTGTCGCTGACGTCGGATATCGAGGATGGTAGAGGTTCAGTGGGCGCAGGCATAGCGGCGATCTGATGACGAAACGTTAGCCTTGAAGCCTGAGATATATTCAGAGGTTGGCGAACCTTTGCGAAGGAGAAATGGCTGTCCCCCTGCGATGTACTTGTTGAAGCCATGTTTAGGATACTGCCCGCGGGATGGGTATTGAGACTGGATTTTTTTTTTTTGAAAGATTTCCAAGGAGAAATCAAGCCGATGCAAAGCTTTAATCAGCAGGCTTTGATGGTTTTACCCGTGGAAATTGGCGATTGAATCGAAATAAGGTGACTGGATAATTCCGTTTCACACAAGCCCAAAAAGAAAGACATATCTCAGGTACAGGGCCTTCGCCATATGGAAAAGCTGCAAGAGAAACCTATGTCAGAGTTCATTCAAGGGCTAAATCATGGAATGTAGCCAACGGAAAGTTGACATGATAAGCGGGTCTTACACGATGTCAGATCTGGTTCATGGTCAGAACGATAGACCTCGAATTGAGATAGGAGGAGCGTTTTCGCCAGGGGAAATTACTAAAAACACTCAAATACCAGAATGCACTACACCCAGTGCAATCCTCGATAAGGCTCCGAGTGAGGGAGAATCAAGAGAAGAAGGAGCGTTGGGAGATTGAAATTCCGAATCTTCGACGCCCGAAGAGTTTCAGTGGGCGATTTAATTGCCGCGCCCGACCGCTTCTACCGCGCGCCTACATTTTCCTTCAACAGCCGCGCTCACTGTGGATGCGCTGTGGACTCAGGCGTGAAATTCTTTGATATTGATCGTGAAAACTTCCCTCTTTCAACCCGTTCCTCAGCCTGCTTTGTGTGCCTTTCAAGCTCCATGAACCGTTATCGGAACGCTCCCAGCCTACGAGGCCCCAGCAAGGCTTCGGCCAACACTTTATGTCAAAAGTGCCTAAAACGAGATATGTTCCCCGTGACGTCTACTCACGAATGGTATCATACTGACTCTGACCCACGACACTATAGCTATGAATGCAAGGCAACGGCGCAAGAGCGCCCATACACCGCACGGCCATCGCGGACCCAACAATTGCAGAACCCACGATTAATGCCCAAACTCTCGACGGAGAACCCGAATGTCCTACTTCAAACGTGAGTAGTCTTTGAACCTAATCCTCAAGAGCCCATTTGGGCTTTTGGGCCTGATATTCAAACACCGGATCGAGATACTAACAGAGTACCAGTAATGGCGTCGCGGATGGAATACTGGCCAAACGAGAGGAGGAGCGTGGCCGTAAAAGAGACATTGATAATGAAGATGCAGACCACCATACACACTCGCCGAAGCGAGCACGGTCGCTTTCATCTCATTCTACAAATTCTGTCTCCACGATATCCACCACCCGTTCCGCTTCAGCGTCGCCTGATCGCCGGAGTAAACCTAGGGCGCATGCGAAGGACCGCGCAACCCACTCAGTATCACCACATGCCGACAAGTCGCGCAAGAGAAGACTAAGTGACTCTGGCGAGAGCTACTCAGGGTCTTCCTACTCGGGAATGAGACATAGATCTCGGTCCCGAGACTGGGCTGAAGATAGAAACATCCGGCGACGACGTCGCGAAAGCAGCCCCTCAGAACGTGGAAGACACAGAGACTCCCGACAGCAAGACCACCGCCGCAGCCCAAGTGTAGACCATGCTCAAGTCGCAAAGGAGAGACGGTCTATGACTCCCAGAACTGGCCACGATCGCTCTGGACACCGGTCGTACCGGGATCGAGAAAATCCTCAAGTACATGCTCAACCAGGACGATCCAGACAGGAACCTCGGACCAAACCAGAGCCACCCCGAGAACGAAGTATGAGTCCATACAGCAAACGTCTTGCTTTGACCAAGGCCATGAATTAAGAAAGAATACCGAAACGTCTTAGTTTTGTTTCTCGTTGATTGGACAATTTTGGGATTTTCTTTCATTGATGCAACTTGCGGTTCTTGATGAACACATATTGCCGACTTTCACGTTCCAAATGGAACAATTTGTATTATTAGCATATCCATCCCCAATGTGCAGATCCTTTCCAACGCCCCCATTTTGAGACTGTCAAGTGCTCTTGTCCCTGGTTAGACGCCCCACAAGAAACAATGCTACCAAGTCCACGCAAATAGACATGGGACAAATAAAAAGAACAAAGATAAAGAAACAAATACAAGAAGAGCAGGGTAAAACCGAGTCCATGCGCGTAGTTCTGCAAAATAGGGTATCACTTGATTGAAATCAGTCCTCGTCCTCTTCCTCCCGTTCACGGACATGGATCCCCTCCACCAGCATCTGGCCCTCGATGCCCACTTCCTCCCCTTGATCATCTCCATTGGAAACGGCTCCTCGTTCCTTTGCAGCGCGCTGTGCACTCTCTATCCGCTGTCGAACGAGGCGAGCAATTGCATTCTCCGTTCTCACATTGAGAGTCTTGAGCTTCTCATCCAAATCCCGTCGCAAGTCCCAGTTGGGTTTTTTGGGCTGCAGCTTGAATAGATCGACGGGTTGGTCACCATCTTCCTCCTTCTGGGACTCTTCCTTGATGGCCTCTGCGATCTGGGCCGCCTGCGTTTCCACGGTCACTTGGCCCTCTTGTGGGCCTTGCTCAAAGCCTAGTTTTGGCCCTCGGGTCTCGGCATCGTAGTTGCGACCGGAGAGAAATTTGGCTGTAACTTCCGAGATAGGTTCACTTGATTCGTCATTGACTGTGCCGGGTTCCTGAGTATCGGGTTCGGGTTGCTTGCGCTTCAGTGCCGCGAGCTTGGCGAGGCGGGCTTTACGGTCGCTGGATGCTGCATCCAGAGAGGCATGGCTTGACGACATTCTTAAGAAGCGCAATGGAGGAGAATAGAATGGAGGATATGATAGTTCGGGCAAGGAAAGAGGAACTGGTAAAGTGACGTTGAATAAAGCCCCAGAGTCCTCCGCAGCTTGAAAAGTTGAGTACCAATTGATGTTGCGATAACGATTAACGCGCCACACACTAGCCACAGCAAAATCGGGCGGTCTCTTCATCTTTTGGATCGCGCGCTTCTCAACTTCAACTTTATCCACAATTTACACCATACACGCTCTCGTTCTCCTTTCTTCATACCCACCCTAATGTCGCCGATCGCAAACCCCTGAATGTCATTGCGTCTGCACCCAATCGCTCCTGCTCGGTTCAACGGGCTGTTGTCGGCATCATGTAGAATTCCCGGCTTATATCGGAGGTCAAGGACACCGATTATTGCATGCGGAGCTCATCATGTGTCAACTGATACCCCATTGATGAGCCAGGAAACCGCGGAAGGACTCGATGTTTCAGTCTCGGAGGTCTCACAACCCAAAGCCCACGAATCGCCCGAATCTTCACACTCGACGACCGGTCAAGCTTTGGCGAGGAGAACAGGGCAGACAAGGCCTCAAGAACAATCAAATAATCCATCGGAGAACACAGGCCTTGCAAACGAAGGAACTAAACATATTCACCGCTCGGGCCTCGTCACGCGCCCACTATCCAAGACGAAAATTCGCTCTGTGCTTCAGGCTCATAACCTGAGCCCCAGCCTTGGTGATCGCGTATCTCGCTGGTTGAACGCTGAATTAGAAAATAAAGGGCAGGACAGATTTATTGATCGAAACACATTGCGGTTAGCGGTGGTGCTCCGTGGCAACTCTCTCTATTCCCGATACCTGGGTTTTCAGCAGTGGAAGGACGGGTTCGCGGAGATCTGGAAAGCCAAGCTTTACAATCGCGAAGTACAAAACAAAGGTTCTATACTAGCACTGAAGGAAGACGGGTTGGCGCTGCTGGCCAAGGTCCAGACTGATTGCTTGGGAAGCTTTCGAGAAGCATGGCAAGCCATGGACCAGAAGGCTCAAGCACATGCTTGGCAACGCCTAGCCTTTTGGCTCTTGCAGAATGATCCTAAAATGATTTTGGAGTTTCTCATTGTGACAACAGAGGGTCAGGTGAAGCCAGACTTTGGCATGGTTGCTGATTGTTTGAGGTACTTGGATGCTTTCTATTATGCAGACTGGTTGAAGAATTGGCGGAGTGGTACCTGCACCTATCAGTCCGTGATCGAATCATGCCTTCATCCAAGCCAATGGCCTATATTGACATTACCACAAAAGGGCGCTCGGCTTTATATACGACGTGCAGGGCACGAAGCGGTTTCTCTGGCCCTGCAATTTGCCCAAGAGAGATCCCTCTATATTAAAGGCGAAACAGCATTGTGCTTCATGTGGCGATTTACCGAGTTCAATGATGTGGACCGAGCACTGGAGGCTCTCGCAATGATTCCGAAACTCAAGGATGATGAGTTTTCTATGGACTCACAGGGCGTTCACCGGCATTGCTGCAAACTTTTGACCCTGGACACCGTGGAAGAGGAAACGGGCGAGCGTAATTTCAAGATTCTTCCGCAACTTTTGGAGATGGGCATTACACCAGATCGAGATATGCTCAACGTTGTGCTTGCCAATGCCTTCAAGACCAATGAGGAGCTCGGATCTGATATCCTGCAGTTCATGCAAAACCACGGCCATGAACTCGACTCCTACAGTTATTTGACTTTGCTGAAAGACGCAGTCGCTCGTGGAGACCGCGGCAAGGTCGAATCTCTCATCCGCGATGTTGAGACGCAGGAAGAGCTGCGTAGCAATCCATGGATTGCCAGCAAAATTTTCCACTCTCATTACATGTTCACGGTCAAAAACATGGATGCGGATGCTGATCCTTCCGGCATCTTTTACTCGATGCTTGACATGTACAACCACATTTATGATATCACACCCCTCAAAGAACTCTCCATCATCCCTCCTCGCTACATCCCTCGAAGTGACGGCGCCAATGCTCCTCCTTCTCCAATTCCCCTTTACATCATGCTGGCGACATATTTCCGCTGCCAAAACCGTCTTGCGAACGTGCAACGGATCTACGGTCGTTTCCGTGAGCTCGTCGCCCAGGGCCATCCTTCCATCGCTCCCATGGTGGAGACCGATCACACCTACAACGAATTCCTCATCGCCTTCCGTAATAGCCCGCGTGGCTTGCGATCTTGCGTTGAGCTTGTTGAGGACATGCTCCACCCAGCAAGTCCACAACTTGGTCAAACGGACAAGACCATTACCCCGGTGAAGCCCTCGGTGCGCACTTGGACCCTTCTCCTGAGCTCCTTCATCTTCCACAGGCAAATACACGCCTCCGAGAAGATCCGGGAGATGATGGACAAGCACAATGTTCAATACAGCGATGTGACATGGAATACCATCATTAATGGCTATGCCAACGTGCAGAACATCCCTGAGACGGCTGCTGCGATCAAGGCAATGGAACAACAAGGCTTCTCTATTGACTCTTACACGATGAAAAGCTTGCGTTATCTCCGTGACCCAGAGCGGCTTTGGGTCGCTATCGATGAGCTGGACCGCAAAGCTACCGAGACGAGCCTGGCGCTTGACACCTTGGAGCCCGAGTTTACAGGTAGCAAGGAAGAGGAGCGCGATCAGCTAATTGACAGCGGACTAGAAAAGCTAGGCTCTAAGATGAAGTCCCAGTTGTGAGACTGGACCGTCTATCTCCCAACTTCTTGTATCATACCCTTTTGTATCATATTCATCACATATAGGCCCTAGGTTCGGCCCCGGAAGGCAAGCGTTGGTTTTGTGGATTTGATATCAATTCGGCTCATGTACTATACATAGAATCATTATGGCAAACTGCCACGCGCTTGAAGTAATCATAAACAGGCTGGAAGACGCCCCAGTGAACCTTTTCTCTTTGTTTCATCTTTCTTGACCTTTCACTCTCTCTTTCTCTCTCTGGTTTCAAGATCTCACCCGAGCCAAAATAGCCAAGGACATGTCTAACCACCGACAAAGATCGAGACCTGAAAGTAAAACATCAGTGAGCATTGAATCCTAGCAAAAGAGGGGCCAGAGTCTTACTGCCATCATGAAACAGCATATGCTGACATAGGGGCTGAGTCGTTCCCCTATGCGTGCGCATTTCCAGAAGATACCGAATAGCCTGCAATAACCAGACAATCAGTTATTGTCACCTTTATCTCCTCCCACTACCGGTCGAGTCTCAAGGGTCCTTACCCGCTCTGGTTGCGATCCATGATCCCCGGCATAATCGAATGGGCATAGGTACTCGTGCAGATCAACAAGAGAATCACCAAGACCAGTGATTGCAGGTTAAATAGGGCCGTCTAGGTGAATTCTCGTGGTTAGCCTGTCGTTGGTCATACCAAGTGTACACAGTATGCTGATATGCGTCATGGCTAGACAGCTCCGGACCCGGCCCCCAGCAACTCGAATAAGATAGGAATCTCAAACAGACTTACCATCTTGAAACAGCGGTGCCCTATGTCCCTTCACGGAACAATAAAAAAAAAAAAGATCGAGAGAGACTTATGAGAAGGAGGAAGGTTTACCAGTCGTGAACGATATTCTGCCCGCCATGTCCGCTCAATGCACGGGCCAACGGGGAAGTCTGAAGCTCCGACTGAGGATGCCGCCTCCCTCCAATATCAATTTGACTCCTGTCTCAACTCCGCCTGCAGTACGTTGCCCATTGCCAACGACATCTGCTGCATTATCCCGATCTGCACCGGCATACATACCCGGCGATTTCTCTCCATCCTGGCCCCATAACCCCCAGGACACCAACCTCCTCCGCGCGGGCTACCAACCCGGCTGGAATCCCAAGGACACTCCCACTCCCATCCCATCAACCTTAAAATCCGGACGATTAGCCCCTCCACCCGGTATGGCGGAGCCTCGCGCCCGTGCCGCCCGGCACAAGGGCCAGATGAATTTTTCATCCGAGCGTAAGTCTTTCTTGAACCTCGAATTACAAGTCTATCCAAATCCCAAGCACGAAACACTAACATTGCTATCCAGTACGACTACTCCTTCTCGCCTACGGTGACCCACGTCCCCACCCCTCATTTTCAGCCGAACCACTCCCCGAAACCGTGCGCGTCCTAGACGAAATTGTCACGGATTTCATCCTCGAACTCTGCCACGGTGCCGCGCAGGTCGCACACCACGCGCGCCGACAAAAGATCAAGGTGGATGATTTCCGCTTCGCGCTGCGCCGCGACCCGAATAAGCTGGGTCGTGTGCAAGAGCTGTTGCGCATGGAGCGTGAGCTCAAGGAGGCGCGGAAGGCCTTTGATCAGAATGATGATCAGGTTGCTAAAGATGCTGGGAAGAAGGGGGCTGCTCCGGACGCTGATGCGGATGCTGGGAATGAGGCATTGCCGGCTGCGACTGGGAAGAAAGGCAAGGGTAAAGGGAAGAGAGCTGCAACTCGCAGGGGATCAGATGCTACTGAGGAGTCGGTCCCGAAGAAGAGGAAGACTCTCGGATGATTTCAATTTCGGGTTCCTTTTCTAGGACTTCCATTAGGGGCGCTGGGTTTGCTTTTTATGGATATGGCGTACGGAACAAGATGACAACAAAAATACCCATGGATATAGTCGCGTTGAATTTACCATTGTTTCTATGATTTGTACGGCGTAGAAGTCGATTTCGGGATAAGAGATTCGGGTCCAAGCGAATCAGCCAGTCAGATTGATTTAATCTAAAGCGCATGTATCATTCACGCTAACCCGTAGTGTCCTTCTTTGATACGAATACGCGCCAGGGCATGGATCTCAACCTAGCCCTGGACACGAGCCTAGTACATATGGAGTTATGTTCTAGATCCACCTCTGAGATCTCCATATATCAAACTAGGGAGTGCATAAATCACGTTGGCGCCTTTGATGATCTACACGCTCTTACACGTAGACACGGACACAAAGGCAACTGCCAAGCACCATGATGTCAGCCAGAGCCTTTTCCGGCGAGAGATCGGCTCAACCAAAAATAGACGAACGATTCAAGTGTGGAAGATGGGATTGGTCCATTCGGTCGCCCCCTTACCCTCAAAACCAATTACTTCGAGACGGACTTTGATTGGATGCCATCATACTAGGGGTGTTTCAATATGCATGGGCTGTGTGAGACACATCTAACGGTCCATCTACTCGAGGGTGACAGTGTACCGAACAGACCCAAATGATCCATACACAAGCACCAAAATCAAAAATACCGTTGTCCTCTGTATCTTCCTCCTGACGATCTCGTGATCCACGCATTGTGCGAAGGGAAAGTCGTCAATCTCCACCAGACATGGCGAAAAGTGGGTCGCGACAGTCCCTGCTGGAGGGAAATTAAACCAGTGAGAACAGTGAATGGAAACCGACTCCACTTTGTCAGGGTCTATCCTAATTTCCAGGGCCCAAGGCCCTGTAATGTGAGGCTCGCGGGGCAAACTGGGGCTTACCTGATTGCTGTCTTTTCCCTTTTCCATCGCATTGACTTTAGCTTGTCAAGCCCCGAAACCACGCTATCCATTTCCTTATCCATATCACCTCTCTATCCCGCCGATTTCTCTCGGCACTTTCCGCCCCATCGCTCTAGCGATCTCGATTTCGATTTCGCTTCTGGTCTCGCTTCCCACTCACAGTCATGCAGATTAACGGCACAAGGTCAATATGTGCAGTTATTCTGTATGCGCTGGCGCTGGGCCGACAAGTCCTGGCGCTGGAACTCGTCGCCTCGAGTCAAGGTATGGGACGATGATAAACGGTCTTACGTGGGGGTCAATCCTGCTGACACGTCCACAGACTCCATTAAAAGTGCCGCCAGCACCGCGACGTATGGGATGATGACTTACTATTCCGGTAACGAGACCGGTGGAATTCCCGGTGCATTCCCTAGCAAGTGGTGGGAAGGTTCAGCCCTGCTGTTGGCGCTCCTCAACTACTGGCACTTTACCGGGGATGATACCTACAACGAGGAGCTCAGTGTTGCCTTGCAATGGCAAAGTGGTGCGAACGGAGATTACATGCCGTCGAACTACAGTAGTTTCCTGGTAAGAGCGGAGATCAACCCGCGACGATGGCTAGGATCGCGCTCGAGAGGCTAACACATTTGTCTTCCAGGGTAACGACGATCAAATGTTCTGGGGTCTTTCAGCCATGACCGCCGTCGAATACAAGCTTCCTGATCGCCCGACCGGATTCTCTTGGTTGTCGCTCGCCCAGGGTGTCTTCAACACACAGAAAGCCCGATGGGACACGACCATGTGCGGTGGTGGATTGCGGTGGCAAATCTACATCTACGAGGGAAGCGGATACTACATGAAGAACGCGGTTTCCAATGGTGGTTTCTTCCAGTTGGCCGCTCGCCTCTACCGGTACACCGGCAACGAGGAATACTATACATGGGCGAAGAAGACCTGGGAGTGGTCCTGTTCCGTACCACTGGTCAACAACAAAACGTGGACCGTTGACGATTCGACCAATGGCCAGCAACAATGTGCCAACGGGGATCAGGTCCGATGGACCTACAATTACGGCGTTTACTTTGGCGGTTGCGCCTATTTATATGCCAAGGTACGTTTTAAGCTTTTCTCGTAACCATTGGAACAGACACTAACAGAATGACTAGACCAACGACGAGTATTGGCTCAATTGTACTAAAGGCCTGCTAACCACACTTTGGTCCACATTCTTCACCCAGAAGAACAACTACATCATGTCCGACTGGGAGTGCGAAACTCGCGATATGTGCAACAACAACGAAATCCTCTTCAAGGGTCTCGTATCCAGCTGGCTGGCCCAAACCGCTCTCTTGATCCCATCCCTATACGACGAGATCCTCCCCAAACTCCAAGCCACCGCCCAAGGCGCCGCGAATTCCTGCTCGGGCAACGGCAACAGCACATGTGGTGTTCGATGGACTACAGGAACCTGGGACGGACAGCAAGGAATGGAGGCAGAAATCAGCGCCAGTAACGCCTTCAGTGTTCAGATGCTGCCGTGGATCAACGGCACCGAATACGGGCCGCCTGTGACGTCGACAACGGGTGGAAACAGTAGCAGTAACGTTGACGCTGGTGAGAACGAAGACGCGGGCAACGGAAAGTCATCGTCGAAACCGATTACCACGGGTGATAAGGCTGGTGCCGGAATTTTGACTGTTATCTTTGTCGGAGGGTTGGTGGGTATGGCCACCTTCATGTTTCTTGGTGCATGATTTTGGCGTTCACTGTATGGCTGTTTTATAGTTTTTTTTATTCTGATATCCTTGCACATACTTGCACATATTGTACCATATTGGAACGATTTCATTTTGATTGATCTCGGGTCATAGCCCTGGAGGCTATCAGTGCAGAGTATCTAAATATGTTTATACTCATGGAAATAGAGACTCCATCACCTTAACCACGACCATGGACACAAGGAAAACAACCTACGAGCCTTACATCTATATCAGAAGAGCCAATCTCCACTGAGTCTCTAGATAGATTGGATTGTAAACGTATTCATCATAGGATACCATAGACCTGAGATAGCTAATAAGTATACATATAGATTGGCGTCATCCCAAGGTCCTTGGAGTCAGTTGTCATGCTCTGCTTCGGTCAGTTGCCGCAAGTTCTGTGGCTATGACGGCGCTGTACGTGAACATTGATTTGCCTGGCTTTTGACTCTGGCCCAGTCATGTGTGTTGTGGTGTCTCTAGAGAGAAAGAATTGAATCTTCGTGTAGCTGAACAAATGGGTAGATCTGAACGGAGGATCTGTACAATGTAATTAGAGTTAAGATAATGTATGTTTTGAAATACAGTAAGCCTCCTATATAGAGAAATAATGACCACCCAGTCCACTCCTTATATAGGGCTAGACGAAGGTGTCGTGATATACACCAATACGGCAACAGATAGCATTCACCCGGATGCTCATAGTTGTGTATCAATATCTACCTAGGTATGCACCGCTACTATGCTACTGCTACTCTGCACAAGATGTAACATTTTTATGTCCATTTCATCATAACTAAACGCCGCGCCCAAGTAAGATGCGACTTCGTGAAACCGGGAGTAACAAAGCCCGGGCTGTCCTCTCGACATGGTCTCAGACTCTCTTCCAAGTCTCTCTGCTTACTCGCAGTACCTCCATCACATACCCCAGCTCTATCTGAACAAAGCCAGATCGACTCCGATGCGCCACTTTGCTTTTTTTTGGTCTGATCGGGCCTGGGCGAGAACGGCCAAAGCAGACTGCGGAGAAATGCGTCTCCAAATGCCTGTCTCGTAAAGAAAATGGAGGTCGAAAAGGAGAAAAAATAAAAAAACGTAGATAGAAACAAATAAACACGAATCCATTGATGGTGGAACAAGGAATCGAGACATAACATCAACGGGGAGGGATTGGAGCTCCACTGAAATCACATGCATCGTTTCTCCGTCATAATCTATGCGCGAGCTTCCTCGGTGGGAGCACGGTCCTGGCGTTGGTTACGGCCACCCTTACCACCGCGCTGGTTGCGGCCCTCACCAGCGTTGGCACCCTCACCGCTACCCAGGGTCAGCTGGGCAGTTGCTAGGCGGTTGGACAGCTCCATCTGTGTGCGGATGGTGTTGGCCAGGTAAGAAACAACGAGGACATCCTGGATGTGGTTGTTGCTGTTGCGCCGTTAGTACAAAGATAAAAAAAAATAAGACAAAAGGAGGGAAGAACGTACAAGTCGCGCTCAATGTCAGCCGGCTCGACCTTGGGGGCCAGAGCAAGAGCGTTCAGCAAGAACTGACCCATGGCAGTTGAAGCGGGGGCCTCCTCATCGATCACCGACTCGACATATCGTGACACACGGTCGATCATGGAAATAACCTCCTCAATGGCACGCTCGAGAGCCTCAACGTCAGAGGTGATGGAAACGGAGCGCTCCTCGGAATCCTTGGCGTTGGCAATGGCCTCGAGACCACTCTTGTCGGCCTCGCCGTATCGGAGCTCGTAGGGGACGGGAATGAAAGCGGCGCTGTCGGCGGCCCGCTCAGCGGTGACACCAACGGGGGCGGAGATGTAAGCACGGGTCTCGAGATCCTTGCCGGGCTCGGTCGAGACAGTCAGGTGAACGGCAGGGTGAGGCCATGTGCCGTCACCCTGACCGCTGTAGAAGTTCTGGATCAAGGCGGAGAAAGTGTTGAGCTCAGAGGCGGTGGCATACCAGCCGACCAGAACCTCGCGCGGGTTGGCCTTCAAGTGCAAAGCCAGCATCTGCTTGTGGTACTCCATGTCGACCTCAACCTGGTCCTCAGCCTCGGAGTGGCCCACGGCAAACGCGGAGCGCACTTCGACCTCGCCTCCATCCTCCGATCGTGTTCCAAGCAGCGTTCCGATGACGCGTTCCTGATCGGCATTACGGCGAAGCGAGTGGTCGAGAATGGAGAAGATGGCCTATGATAGGGATGGATTAGAGACCTAGGATATGATTTGATGTTGGCTTTCATATTCGTACCTGCGGCTGGATCACCACGTTCAGAGGGGCAGTGGTGGGAGCGGTCCCCACAGAGACAGGGCCCAGGGGGCGGGCGAGGTGCAGGAAGGAGTCTTCGGCCATGGTGGGATTGAAGGGTGGATGTGGGTGAGGAGGTTTTCGACACTCTCTCACGGATTTGGAGACTTCGGAGGGACAATTTTTCCTTGGAGCAAGTGGAGTGCGCCGTGACTTGGTTGTTCCGATTCTTTGTGTGTGGGAATTTTCGCGCTAAGATAAGATAAGCCGGACCACCTCTTTTTCGCAGGAAAAAAACCTCATTGACAACCACCTTGAAATCCAACAATTCGCGATGCCTGCTCCAAGAGGTGGAAGAGGTGGAATGTCCTTCAGAGGCCGCGGTGGCTCTGGCTCCCGCGGTCGTGGTCGCGGTCGTGGTGGTCGTGGTGGTCGTGGTGGTGCGGGTCGCAGAGGATTCACATCGTCACGATTGGACGAGATTGAGTAAGTCCGGGAATCGCGAGCTCATACACGGCCAGTAGCTAACTTGGAGTAGATCGGATCCGTCCTCCGGTGATGAAGCTAACAATGATCAATTGGAGGATATCGAGGACGACACCATGGACGAGGGATCATCTGGCAGCGAAGACGACGAAGAAGAAACCACAGCGCGCCCATATAACGAATTGCTCGAACTGCTCCACGCCAACTCGGACTCGAAGCCACCAGCTGCGAAGCGGCGAAAGCTCGCTGAATCAAAAATAGAAAATGCGCCGGAAGAAGACGAGGAAGAGTCTGGAGGTGCCAACGATTTGGAAGCTCAAGCACCATCCGATGATGAGGAAGAGGACCAAGAAGCTGAAGTTGAAGACGACGATGACGATGATGCGGTTGGGCCGTTTGAAAAGCATTTTGATATCGGAGAGGGGTTCGAGATTACCAAGAAGATTGCGCAAATCGAAGCCAACAAGTGGTCCTCGACTAAGAAGGAAGTGGATGGGCTGCGACTGGTGCGCACCGTACCTGATATTGGTGATGACACTACATCTCTGCTTCCAGCGATGAAAGCCACGGCCAATCTTAAGGTCAAGCAAAAGCTGAAGCCTCGCGTCGCAGAGTCTCTGCCCACTCTCGAGGGTGACGCTCAGCAAATTGCGCCATATGTATTTGACTACCAGGATGTCCTTTACGGCGCCCGCTCCACCGATACCGCAGACGCCATGCGCGATGTTATGGCCCTTCACGCTGTCAACCACCTGATGAAGACCCGAGACCAGGTGTTGAAGAACAATGCTCGTCTGGCCAAGGACCCTGACACCGATGTTGAGTGTCGGGACCAGGGATTTACTCGACCAAAGATTCTTTACCTTCTGCCGACTCGACAGGCCTGTGTCCGGGTCGTCAACTCGATCACCAAGTTTTACCAGGTTGACCAGCAGGAAAACAAAAAGCGTTTCCTCGACGCCTTCTCCTCGTCTAGTGAGGGATGGGATCACAAGACAGAGGATGCCCGGGAGTTGTTCGGCGGCAACAATGACGATATGTTCAGACTGGGATTGAAGTTTACGCGCAAGACGGTCAAGTACTTCTCGCAATTCTACAGTTCTGACATCATCCTGGCCAGTCCACTGGGCATGCGGACAATCATGGACCAAGCGGAGTAAGTACCTTTATATTCATCCTTTAAATCCACGCTAATCTTTGCGCAGTGCCAAGAAGCGAGACCATGACTTCCTTTCCTCTATCGAAGTCGTAATTGTCGACCACGCCGATGCATTGCTCATGCAGAATTGGGACCATGTGTCGTATATCTTCCAGCATCTCAATCTGCAGCCCAAGGAAGCCCACGGCTGCGACTTCAGCCGTGTCCGCAACTGGTACCTTGACAACCAGGCCCGACATGTGCGACAGACCATCATGCTTGCCTCCTTCATCACACCCGAGATCAACTCACTTTTCTCCACCCAAATGCAAAATGCCGCCGGTCGCCTCAAGGCCACACCAACCTACGCCGGCGCGATCACCGAGCTTCCCCTCCCTGTCTCGGTCAAACAGACCTTCTCCCGGATCGACAGTCTCTCCCCAGCCAAGGACCCAGACGCACGGTTCAAGCACTTCACCTCGACGGTGCTCTCGACGCTAGTGAAAAACATCACGGGACGCGGCAAGGGCAGCTCAGGCACGCTGATCTTTGTTCCGTCGTACCTGGATTTCGTGCGCGTGCGTAACCACTTTGCCACCTCGACTCAAACGACGCACGTCTCCTTCGGCGCGATCTCCGAATACAGCGAGACCAGCGAGATGTCGCGGGCCCGCAGTCATTTCATGAGCGGTCGTCACTCGGTATTGTTGTACACCGAACGTGCGCACCATTTCCGTCGCTACCATATCCGTGGAGTGAAGCGCATTATTATGTATGGACTGCCGGAGAACCCTGTCTTCTATCAGGAGATTGTTGGGTTCCTAGGTCTTGATCCGGCCGAGCTGGTCGAGGCAGTCGAGGGTGGCGTGCGAGTGCTGTTCTCCAAGTGGGATGCACTGAAGCTGGAGCGAGTGGTAGGCACCCAGAGAATCGGTAATATGATGCGTGAGAAGGGCGGTGATACTTTTACTTTTGTATAGTTAAAGATGAATGTAATGTAGATCGTTACTTTTACTGTACTCTATATACTCGATACCTGTACTCCGTACTCGATACCATATCACATTTCATGCAGTTGCAACGTACGTCAAAGATCAACAACGAAAAAAGCAAAAACCGGAGATAAAAGCCCAATGTTCGTGACTACATACGCTGTGATCAACTGGGGTGAACTCACAGGTTATAGTGGATCCACTTTGTCATGCGCTACTCGGCTTTTCATTTCTTCACTTTGACAACTTTCTTCCTCACTTCTCGTGATCTTTTTTTGTCTTTTTGTTTCATATCATTATTTCTCCCAATAAAAGCCCTATGAACACACTCTAGGGCAACGAAGAAACGACCGATACGACGTCACGAAATAAGCATGGCACCCCAGCCCGAGTCCTCCAATAATGCCCCCAATCAAGACCATCCCGATGCACCCCTGCCGATCGAGCAATACAGTGATGATGAAACCCGGTCCTTAGTAACCTATGAGCCATATCCGATCGAAGACGATGAGACCGAAGTTGCGGCAGCCGCATCGCGGCCTCGTCACGCAGCGCATGCAAAGTTGCGCCTATTCTGGTTGAAGAATAAAGGCATGTTCCTCGTGCTATTAGCGCAGATGTTTGGCGCCTCAATGAATGTCATGACACAATTATTGGAGATCAATAGCTCTATGCATCCATTCCAGGTAAGTGTGATATAAATCATATTTTATACCATCAAGCTATGACCACCATCCGGATCTATATATTCCCAAGCGCATTACTGATTACTAGATAGATCCTATTCGCCCGCATGTCCATCACCGCAGTAGCCAGTTACCTCTACATGTGGTACGCTCGTGTGCCCGCCCCCTTCGGCACACGGCCTGTCTTATTTCTACTTATCACGCGTGCCACTTTTGGCTTCTTAGGCGTCTATGGGATGTACTACTCAGTCGGATACCTTCCTCTAGCCGAAGCCACGGTGATCACTTTCCTAGCCCCGATAATGACCTGCTACGCCTGCTCGCTCCTGATCCCCGGCGAGACGTTCTCAACCCGGCAACAGCTCGCCGCCCTCGTCTCCCTCGGAGGCGTCATCCTGATCGCGCAGCCATTCCGCAAGCGCGAAGGCGGCAACGGGGACAGTCCCGGGTCGGCAGACTCGTACCACCACGTTCTCGCGACGATCGTCGCGTTTGCAGGGGTGATCGGAGCGGCAGGCGCATACACGTCCATCCGGATGATCGGGCGACGTGCGCACCCCCTTGTCTCCGTGACGTACTTTTCCAGTGTGACGACGATCATCTCGCTTGTCGCGATGGCGGCCGTGCCAGGGGTTCCATTCCGGTTACCTAGTAACACACTGGAGTGGTCGTTCATGGTCGGGCTGGGTGTTTGTGGGTTTCTCTTGCAATTCCTTTTGACAGCGGGTCTGTCGTATGTGCCACCGGCCGAGGTGTCGGTTAGTAAAGCTGGGCAGGGATCCCGGGCGACGAGCATGGTATATACGCAGGTTGTGTTTGCACTTTTCTACGATAAGGTGATCTGGGGGACGACGCTGTCCCTTGTGAGTGCGGCGGGGTCGGTGCTCATCCTTGCGTGTGCGATTTATGTAGCAGTTGTGCAGGAAGGTCGATCGGAGCCGAAGCCGAACCCAGAAGAAGGTGTTGATCAGCCGCGCTACAAGGATGCTGACGAAGAGGCTTGATTCCTGAGTAACCGAAAAATTGAGTTTCAAGGAAGATTTAAATGGCGCACATCTTTGTGTTCAGATCCATTACGCCACTGCGCATATCTGAACCGGAGCACTCTGCTCCTCATAAACCCGCATCAGTCCATTCGACGTCATAAGGTTGCAGCGAACGCCAAATCCGAATTCGCCCGACACATGTAATCGGGGACAGATAGCTTCATGATGGTCAAAGATAGTGGAGACTATAAAAGAGCCCACTTTGCCCCAGTTTAGTGGATTCATCCCCGGATTTACCTGTCAGAGCAATTCTATATCTTATAGAGATCATCTTGCATATTCCTAGATGCCTATATCTACATTCATATATTAAACATGCGCCACTTCGACACCTGGGTCGTTCGCGACCCCTATTCCATCTGGCATTACTATTCGACCGGGCAACGATGGCAAGACACCGTCCAGTCCCTCGTCCAAGACCGCAAGATCTGTTCACCACCCAAGCCCAATGAACCGCCAATCAACCCCAAGCAACCCATCAACCCCCAGTGCACCAGCACCCTCCATCGCCTCCCCCCAGAAATCCGCCAAATGATCTTCAGTTATGTCTTTGGCTCCAACACCATCCACCTCGTAACCATCAAAAACAAAATTCGCCACGTCCGCTGCCCTGAAGACAATCCCTCCCTATCCCAACACCGCCACTGCTGCCCATTAACCCCAGCCCGGTGGCGCATCTACGACGGCCGAGTCCCAGGCCACTCGGACCGACTCTTATACCCGCACACCCACGATCTCCTCCCCGAAAACCTAAGCAACAGCCACGCCGCCCTCCTCCGCAGCTGCCAAGCCATCTACGCCGAATCCTCCGCTCTACTCTACAACAACGCCACATTCGACGTAGACGATCTCCACACCTTCATCGCCTTCACACAAAGCATCGGCAAAAGACATCTCGCCTCCATCCGACGTCTAACCGTGCAATGGATGCCAGTCTGGCAACCACTCTCCGGCCAAGATCATAAAGGCTCCATCTACGCGCATACGCACAGCGATGCACTCTGGATCCAATTCTGGGATACCGTCGCGCAATTGCCGAATCTGTCCGAACTCAAGCTGAGTATTGACCTAGGCCGGTTCACGGGCATGGTCTCGGGTGGTGGGGTGGTGGTGGTTGCAGGGGGACAGCAGCGGATTCCGCTTGTACTGACGGAGCCGTGGTTGTTGCCGTTGTTGAAGGTGCGGGGGCTAAAGGAGTTTGAGATGGCGGTGACGGCGCGGTGTGATTCTGCGGCGAAGGGGGCTCTTGAGGGTGATCTGGTTAGGGATGCGGCCTTGTTGAGGGATCAGTTGAGGTGTGTGATGTGTTCACCCGTTGGAGTAGCCTTGGAGGAGATTGAAGGATTGGGGGTGAAGGATTTTGCGGGGGCCTTGAAGGCATTGAAGAAGACTCCTGTTAGAAAGAGGCAGTTGGCTCTTACTGCTTGATTGGATGAGCTTTTGTTCTGTTCTTGTCTCGGTGATACCCCTTTGATCTGCATAAGAGTCTGTGATAGCGAGATACAGATGAAAAGAGTCAGCATTGCATATGAATTCATATACTTTATCTTCTACTTGAAAATCTATACCTATACTTTTGACTCAAACAACAATCCCTGCTAATATTCGAACTTATAACCGAGATACCAACCTAGATACCAGGGCAAGTCTATACAAATCCCATTCCATTAGTCTTTCAGTCAAACCCAAGCTTTTCTTGTCCCACCATGGTCTCATACTCGATTTCGAGCAAAAAAAAAAGGAAGCAAATGCATAATCAAGGCCAATCCACAGCTACAAACAGAGATGGGTTCAATTTCGGAGTATTAGGGAAAAGCAAGTGACGCCACAACACCCGACAAAGGAGATCGCAATCTGGGGAAGAAAGGTATAAGACAAGAACCGAATGCAAATATGGGATGCAAGAGGAATCGATGCCAATTCCCTACTGGGCCGAGACACCCTTTCGGCCACGAAGTTCATCATCGTAGCCGTTAGTCTGCTCGGACTCGGGCTCCTCTTCTTCTGTGGGCGAGTGCATTTGACTGGGGGTTTCGAGGGAAAGACGGCTACGCATCATCTGGAAAGGAAAGTTAGTGGGAGCTCATGTAGAAAAGCAAAGGAGGACTTACCCATGCTCGTACACCGCCAATCAAACCCAGGCTGTAACCAGTTGCAAAGTCCTCGTTCCGGGCACCACCCATCGGGCTGTCGGGACGGTTCAGTGCCTCCACACGAGACAGGTGCGACTTGCTACCACCCGTTGGGCTGGCCAGGGGACCACGAGCACTGCCGTAATCAACACTGTTGCGGGCACTAGGTGCCGGGCTACTGGGCCGGCTGTTCTGCCAGATCTGTCGCAGTTCCCGACCCAGCTCTTGGCCGGTCATAGTCCAGTTGTTCTTGATGTTGTCCCGGAGCTCCACCACGTGTCGCTTGATCTCCAGCTCGTTCTTCTTCAACCAAGACACATTGAGTTCCTGGCGGGAGGCACCGCGCTTGAACTGACGGGAGATATATTGGTCGTAGTCTCGGACAATGCTAAGCAGGTCCTTCGTTAGTATCGCGAAATGAAACGAACCTGAAATTTTGGTCACCACTTACCGAGTAATAAGACCTGTGGTGCTGACTCCCTCTGTGCGCTGAGTAACCAGGAACTTGCCCTGAGCCTTGATGGGCGCGTAAATATCATCACCCTCCGCCGCCTCGTAAGGCAGGTCATCGTGGGCGACGTAGTCAATCTGATGCTCCGACAGAAACTCCGGGGTCACCACCCATGGGCAGTTGGGGATAACCTCGTCCACCCACTTGCAATGCCGCACTGTCTCAGCTCGCTCGGCACCACTCAGCACAGTGAGACCCTTGCGAAGGTGCGTCTCCTCGTCGCCAGTGACACCGACAATCAAGTAGGTATCGGGGCAAGCATGCTTAGCTTGCTCAAGCTGTCTCATGTGACTGCCACCAAGTTAGCATCTGTCCATACAGACCTTTATTTCCGACATTGAACGTGCGATCGAGTACAGATCAGAGCGTCGTGAGTGGAACATACCCAAGGTGGAACAAATCGAAGACTCCATCCGCGTAGACTCGCACCGGCCGTCCCTTTGGCGGCGGGTTGGTCTTGTAACCGACCGGGTCTTGCAACACACCACGTTGCGGCGGAGGCATGGACTCCTGGTCCTTGGGCAAGTCAATGTGAAGACCAGGTCGAGTCCGAGGGGGATTCTCGATGTCGGAAGAAGCCACAGTGGTCTCGGAGGGCTCCCCAGGGTCCTCCTTGTGTATCGGGGTGTCGGCACCATTCGCGGTCACCGACGCAGCGCCGGAGCTCTTACGGGCGCGTTTGTGAGAGGAAGTGGTGGAGTCCTGTGTCTTGGATTTAGGTGGCGCATTGGTAGGACCGGTCGAGTCCTCGCCGCCTTCCTCGCCGGACGCGTCGCGCGAAGAAGGCTGGAGCTCAGTTGTGGGCTGAGGAACGGGGAGATGGGAAGCGCTGCGCTTGCGCTTACCGGCGGGAGAAGTGGAAGACATGACGGAGATAAGGGAGGTGTGTTTGTGTTCTCTCGAGGAAAGAGAGATGGGAAGAGAGAGTTCAAGGTGCAAGCGGCTTGATCCGGTTTTAGGGGTAATTTTCTTTTTTTGGGGCACAAGTGGGGGCGCTTTGATGACGGCACTTGTTATGAAACTAAACACTAGCAGACCCTGTAGATCGAAACTATTCCTCCTTTTCTTCCTAGCCATGAATGAAGATGAATTTACATGAATTTAGAGGGATTGAACAACGGAAGAAAGTCGGTCTCATTTGTATCACGGATGAGCTCCCCGGAACTCCACTGCTAAGAAACAGTCAAATGTCTAGGAGATCCACTCATATACCTCATAAACCGAGTGGTAGTCCCAGTCCCTCTTTGGGTTCACTCCCAGTCCCTCCCAGCTACCTAGGATCGGGTCTAGGGACTAAGGACTTGAAGAGGATAAAGTATAAAATGTAGGGCACGGCGTGAATAAAGTGTAATGGTTCGTCATAGCGAGGCATTTTCTGCGGTATCTCGTGGTGTGAAGGCATAAAAAAAAAGGACAAGACGTGTTCATGAAGGCCCGTGGCTCCCGGCGAAGGGCCTCCCTCATACCTATGATCAACCCTATCTCTCCCTCCCAGACCCCTGTCTCTCTTTCCACGCGACATGAATCCCAGGGCGAGAATGCACCGAACGGACTCCCAAAGGCCCAACAGATGACCAAGAAACAAAGGCAAAGCAGAGAAAGGGCAGAGAAAGCGGGAGCATGGTTCGTAGGGGGTGGCAGGAAATCGTAAGACAAACAAAAAACGGTCGGGAAGGTTAAAAAACAAGGAATGCCAAGCAAGGACAGAAGGTTGAATAGAAAAAGAGATAGATCAGCCCATGGCTCCTCTCAGAATCAGAACCTAGGCGGTCGACTTGTCGTCCGTAGAGGCTGGGGATTCGGATATTTGAGAGGCGTCATGTTTCCCTTGCGGTCCAGGGGTGGCCTCACGGTCATTCCGGACGGAGTCAGTCGGGTGCACCTGGTTGACCAGATCATGGTCTTCCGTCTGATCAAATAGCTCCTCCTCGTTCTGATCCGGGATGACCTCGGTGCCATCGCCAAGCAGAATGATCCGGCCCCCGGCCGAGCGAACGCTAAAGGCCCGCGAGCGCTCCATCTCCAAGTCATAGTCATCTGGCTGATCCTCGAACTGGTTCCGTATTCCAGGGCCTCGGAATTCGGCTGTGCGCAACTCTGACCGTCAGCACGAAGATGGACTTCCTTCGGATTCCTCGTGAGACTTGCCGTACTCGGGCGGAGCACAAGGACCGTCTCCGCTCGCAACCCGCTCTGCAATCTGGTTGTACCATTCCTCCTTGGTTTTGCCGTTTAGCAATCCGATGACAGTCATGGTCATGTTATCGCATCCGACTCCGCCAGTCTCGCTGTTGGAAGCCAGGCAGTTATCCATCATGTTCTCGCAGATCCGGTAAAGGTCCTGCTTGGCGGCGATACCTCTCCGAACAAACTCAACCACGGCTTGAGAGGACTGGCAATCCCAGATGCCTAAATTTATATCAGTATTAAATCTCCAGTGGCATCGAGACATGACATACCATCACAAGCAATGACGAGGAATTCATCATCCTGGGTCACTTCGTGCACGGTCACGTCGGGGTACGCGGTGACAATCTGCTGCTCGGGAGAGAGCTCGGGGCTCTTCTTGAATTCGAAATCACCGATGGCACGGGACAAAGCAAGGTTTCCATTGACACGGCCAAAGTCGACAAAGCCACCCGCAGCACTAATGCGAGCTTTCTCGCCTATATGAGGTTTGAGCAGAGGACTTTAAATCCGGAATGGAACAACACTGACCTTCATTCTGGGGCTTGTGATCAAATGAAAGGGGCTTTGCGCGGCCCTTGACACCTAGAACTGACCGGGAGTCACCGGCGTTTGCCTGTTTCCCATGTTAGTCATTCTCCGATCTTTTCATCACCCTGTCATCTCCAACCACGTACCACCCAGATCTTATTCTTCGAGATAATGCTAGTGGAAGCAGTGCAGCCGGACACTTCCTCCTCATATTTAGGGTCTGCGCCGAGGCAACAATCATGGTTAGAAACACATCCCGAGGGTGAAACGGAAAAATCGAGTAGATGGGGCTGAATCCATCTACTCTCTGGAGCCAAAACCCCACGAACCTTCCAAAATTGCCCGATCAGTGGCCAGGAAACCATCCTTCAATGCCTGCTCAATATCTCCCTTGGCGAATGCGTCTTGCTTGGCCACAATCTTGTGGAGGTTCTCCCCAGTAAATAGAGCAACCTTGTCTCCACCGTGGCCATCATATACACCGAAAAAGGCTAGACGCTGGTCCGGATCGGTCGGTTTGTTGTCCTCGCTGGTGTACTTTGCTTGAAGATCGAGCACGGCCGCGTGGGCGTCCTCCATGCTAATTCGCCAGCCTTGCATGGCGGACACGCCGTAGATGCAGCAGTCATCTCCGCCCTCGGCCGATGTCTAAATCAAGAATAAAGAAGAATAGGTTAGCCATGCTATCAAGCCTGTTTGGTGACGGCAGTGGAAATGTCATAGCAGCCAAGGTTGGAGCGTTGGGGCCATGATGTGATCGAAGCGATTTCAGCCCCTCCGAGTCAGCAGGACCCCGCATGGCCGATCCTCAAAAAGTGGAATTCTGGCGTTGAGCGACAGGGCCTGCGACCCTGTAGATCGCAGCGGTCCATCGTTTGAATCATCGAATAAAATATACAATCGGGCCTCAGACATTTGCGGGCCCGAAGTGGATGGTGATGGGCCTCGGGCGAAGAAAAAGGCCGGGAGATCCCATTTGACAATGTGGGGAGGGGCAGGGGCAGGCAATGGAAAATTGCGACCAACTCACCTTTTCGACCACCGGCTCCGACAAGGTCTGACCCATAATGGCACGGATTGAAATATGGAAGCGGGGAGAGGTGGAGGGGAATCGGAGGGAAGCTCCAGATGAATGGGAAGAGGAGAAGGTAAGTCAGGTGAAAGAGGACGCAAGGCCTTTCAGCGCGTTTCTGGGTCCCGCGATAAGTCGCCTGCCGAGTGGGGAACAATGACGATCTAGGGCTTTTTGGGTGATTGAAGAAAGAAAAAACGAGAAACAATGAATTCAAGGACAAAAGCAAAAATCCAGCAAGGAATCCGTGAGAGATTTTCGAAATTGAAAGGGGCAGAGATTTCTGGGGTGAGATTGGATTTCGTAGAACAGAGATTTCCCCGTAAAATTACATGACGAGAAATGAGTCTCGTGGGCCTTGATAGCAATCAGGTGACTGTACACTATGATTCATGGCCACTGGCGCGCCAATTATTCCAGGATTTTGAGAAGACAAGAAACATGTTTATCCCACTTTCATGGTCAACTCAAGTAATCTGGGTCATTTCTCTCAGATCTTGATGTATTTCCATCAAGCCATGAGCGGGAAGCCGTATGGTCCATACCAGGGGGAAATATCACCCGGTCCAAGCATGCCATTTAGGCTCCTTTCATGCCTGATACTCTATAATAGCATTTTTTATACTTTAAACAATAAGAATCTTGAAGGCGCACGTGCCAATACAGTGGATCAATGACTCGGCAGTTATTGCAGATGCTCGCTTGCTCGGATGATCTACTGTCCTTTGAATTGCGCACAGTGACCATAGCTAGTTGTGTTCTCGGGAGTGAAGGGTAGTCGAGACTATGATCACATCAAGATTACAAGAGCTATTTATTTTTCAATGCGTTAGTCAACTTTGCTACTTGTTAATTACGTGTACAGCTAAAGTTGACGAACATTTCCCTCTTTTCGCATACATTGAAACGCATTGGTATCTCCCAAAAAGCAGGATCAGCCTGACAAAATTTCACGATCCAATGCTTTCACCGGAATACCTACTTGTTCCCTGGGGTAGCACAAGTACGCCCCAGCGACCCTTACATAAACACCCACGTGACACATCCCGCATATGGGGCTTCAACTTTTTCTATCTCTGAACCCCACCCGATAACCTTAGTTATGGGCAATCATGAAGTCGTTCTCGAGTTCTGCGATCAGTACGTGCACACGTTCATTTCCCGATATAGCAAGCTCTCTTACTAACCGTGTTTCCTCCAGATAAGTCGGGCAAGAAATTTGCGCCGAAGGCGCCCGTTCGTCGCGCGCCCGCCGCGCCGGCGCGGCGACCCAGTGCCGTTCAACAAGCCCAGGCTCAAGCTGCTCAGGCTGCACAGGCAGCGGTAAAGGAAAAAGAGAATCCTGAGACGACTATCGTTGAAACCACCGATTCCCAACCATCCGCCCTCCAAGCCCCAGAGAAATCAACTGCTGTCGAAGAAGCACCCGTCGTGGCGGACCAGCCTCAAAAGACAGTGCAAACAGCGCCGAAGCCGACCACATCTATCCCAATTCCCCAACCGAAGACCAAAGCTTCTGTCTCCGTACCAAATTCTGTGCCAACTCCTGCTGTCGCTTTCACAGCAACCCCACCCTCCACGGCCGATGAACCGACATCTCCCCGCACTCTCTCCACTGAACCAACTATTGTGCAGTCAATAGAACACGATGCTGAACAGACTGCTGCAAACCAGCCCGCCTTGGAAGCTCCGCAGCGCACAGAGACCGTCACCGCAGAGGCACCCTCTGCTCCAGATTCAGGCGCCGAATCCCAGGCAACGCCTCCTATCTCGCTGAAAGGGGCTAAGAAAAGCTCTGAAATTACCAAGATGAAGATCCAGCCACGGCCAAGGGGACCAATCGCGACCCCTCCGGCTACTCGACGTACTAGTGAAACCCCGGCACATTCCGTGGCGCCTTCCTCTGTTGCCCTTTCGACCCCAGAGCCAAGTCGGGCATCTTCCAAAGGCAAACGCAAGGCTTCCAAAGCGGGAACGTCAGACGTCGATGGCGCCGAAAAGCCGAAAAAGATCCACCGACGAAAGCGTGAAACTACGCCTGAAGGTGCCGACACGGTAGAAATTCTACCGAACGTTATCAAGATGTCAGAACTCTGCAAGGATCTGAAGACGGGTAAAAAATCGAAGCGCGAGATTGCATTACGGCGTCTAGAGGTAGAAGAGCAAGAGCGGAAGCAGAGGGAAAAGGATGGAACACCTGCAGTGCCCCTGGCCTCCAAACCAGAGGGTCCCAAAGAACAGGAGAGACCTGAGAAGGCAAACGGTCCTGTCATGCGTATTGTCAATGGCGAGATTGTGCTTGATGCTGCCTCACTTCAGGTGGATCGACATGCGGACGCAGCTCGGGACGCGGGTGATATGGACGTCGTGGAAGAAAACCAACTTACCCGGAAAATCAACCAGGCCACTTATGGCAAGCGTTCCAAGACGGAGACCTGGGATGAGGAAATGACGGATCTGTTTTACCGCGGTCTCCGCATGTTCGGCACCGATTTTATGGTCATTAGCAAACTTTTCCCTGGACGATCCCGCCGGCAAATCAAGCTCAAGTACAACAACGAAGAGAGAAAGGATGCTCAGCGGATCAATGATGCTTTATTTGGCCCCCGTGAGGTCATTGGTATCGAAGCCTACTCGCAGTTGACAAACGCAACATATGACGATCCCAAGGTTATCCAGCAAGAACTGGATGAAGAGAAGGCGAAGATTGAAGAACAGCACGAGAAAGAGAAGAAACTACAAGAAGAAATGATTCGCAATCCCACCAATGCTGAGGATGAGGCTGATGATAAATCCAACGCTGCACCCATCAAGGGTAAGCGCAACAATAAGAAGCAGATCAAAAGTGCAGGTGGTGGAACGGAGGAGGTGCTAGGGTCTATTGAATATTAGGCCTTGATTTATTTCTTTTCAGCGGGCGTTACACAGATATGATGGGGTGGCTAGCACTGGAATGTGCTCTAAGGTATCAATGGCGTTCTTTGCATTCAGCGAATGATACACAGGTGGGCCAATGGAGTTTTACAGCTAGAGGCTGTTTGTATAGCATAGAGAAGAATACTATGAAATTTTTGCTATTTATATTTCTTGCCAATCAATGGATCCAATATCCAACTTCACAAAATGCAATCTGTAGCTGTCATAATTGGCATCCACTATCTGCGTTTTGTCGATCCAAATCCAGTACTGCTGGATGGGCTTGAGAACCGTGGTGGTGAGCGACTCCTCGAACTTCCTTCGCCCGCATTGAACCCACCATACCGCCCAGTCGACCGCTGAGACGATCCACCACCTGAGCGTCGTCGTCCCATTCCGTATCCAGCAGCCGCGCCTCCGAGAGCACCAGTCCAGAACCCAGGGGTCCAACCCTGAGAAGACCGTCCTCCGTTAGGCTTATCACTATTCCACCAGCTACCGTAGGCAGGAGGTGGTCCCGAGTAAGGATCATAGCCACCACCACCACCTCCTCCTCCTCCTCCACCGGGACCGCCACCCCCTCCAAACCATCCTCTTGTCCGACGCGGACCCCTGGGTGTTCGAGTTGAGGCAGGCCCACAGCACAACTGCCATATGATCACTCCGAAGACGCCAAAGGTGAATGTGAAAAACAAGAGACTCATCCACCATTCCCATACCGGCTGATCAGAGGCCATGGATTTGTTCGCAGATAGTCCGAATCGCTTTTCACCCTGCTCCGTCAATAGCATCCGGTATTCAACACCGCAGCTTCCCTTGAGAACATATTTGTCGTTGGCATTTCGATACCCCTCACAAATGACATCTGTTGCACCAAGCTTGAATTCAGATGGAAGCGATGCTTCACAGGTCCACTGTACATCTTCTTCGTCGTAGTCATAGCCTTGGTTGGTACAGCGCATTACTTCTGGCTGGTAGAGGTCACATATCTTTTTTGATGGGCCCACGCAGGTAAGCTGCGGGATGGGTGAGACCCGACGAGAGCTGGTCATGCGGTTTGCACGTAATGTCAGAGTGTTGACATTAGAGAGTAAAATGGCATCCTTGCTTGGTGGGTTCAGTCTTGCGCCTAGTGCTGGTGAGGCGAGCAGCAGTGCGGTGATGGCAGATGTAAGCCCGCGCATGTTTATGTTTGGGATCTACCAGTATGTAGTAGCAGGTGGCGGCTGGTGCAAATGATTATAGGTATTTGAAGACTGCCAATCTTTATGAATGATAGCTATAATAGCTGTTGTACTGGATCACAGTGGGGTGGAGTACCGAGTCATGCAGCGTGTCCTGAGGATAGCGATAAGCGATAATCGATAAGCGGTTCGGGCCAAGAAAAAGATCCACTCGAGAGGAACCTCCAACTACTCACGGGGATGGGTGCACCACAAATAGGCATTGCCCACCGCTGATGATGGCGCTCCAACAACGTGCGTATGAAAGACTACAACACTTGAATACTTTGTGCTGATGATCTTCTAGCTGACCCTGCGCTTGTGGCGCCTCAATCATCGTACGCCCACCTGATGACGAATGAATGAGATCTAGATCGCTAACCCCTCGATGCAATAGCTTGTCCTTCACACAGGGCTTTCTCCTAGGACAACTCTCAGTGGTACTACTGATCGGCGCATTCATCAAGTTTTTCATCTTCGGTGAAGCTCCGCCGCCTCCTTCCCGTGGCTTATCCAACCGCACATCCCACCGCCGCTACAGCTCCGTTTACAACCCTCCACAAGATCAAAAGACACTCCGAGAAAAACCTTCCAACTCAAATGTTCTCCGCCCGGTGCCTGCTACCTCCACCAATACACGTTCCATTCTCCGAAAAACCTACTACAGCGCCATCCCTACCAACCCGTCCAAACATGGTCGGCATCGAATGCACCACTCGTCCCACCAACCGGAGTCGCTGGACTGGTTTAATGTCTTGATTGCACAGACCATTGCACAGTACAGGCAAACTGCCTACGTGCTGAAGGACTCGCCCACAGCCTCAATTCTGAGCTCCCTGACCGCGGCTATGAACAATCCGGAGAAGAAGCCATCGTTCATTGACAAGATTACGGTCACCGATATCTCATTAGGGGAGGAGTTCCCAATCTTCAGCAATTGTCGCATTATCGCGGTGGACGACCCCAATTCCGATGGTGGCAGGCTACAAGCCCTATTGGATGTGGACCTCAGTGACGACAATCTCTCCATCGCCGTAGAAACCTCCATGGTACTCAATTATCCCAAGCCTCGCTCTGCCATTCTACCGGTTGCTTTGTCAGTCTCTGTCGTTCGATTTTCAGGGACCCTGTGTATTTCATTGATTCCGGCATCGACAGAGGATCCTCTTGATACACCTACAAAGACACCCGAACCTCCAACAGAACCAGGCTCCAACACAGCCCCTGGATCTCCCCAGGGCGCATCATCCCAGGATCAGAATCCACCAAAAAGCAGTCCCAAAAGCAATGTCGCATTCTCATTCCTTCCAGATTACCGACTTGATCTTTCTGTGCGTTCTCTCATCGGCTCGCGCAGCCGTCTCCAAGATGTGCCCAAGATCGCCCAGTTGGTCGAGGCCCGAGTTCATGCGTGGTTTGAAGAGCGCGTTGTTGAGCCCCGTGTGCAAGTTGTTGGACTTCCAGATTTATGGCCCCGTATGGGCAGGACTGGTGTAAGGACTGGCGAAGAATCCGATGCCGGGTCTACCGCACCTCCACGCAGTGCTGGCTCTGCCGAGGCTGGAGGGAGCCCGTATCAGTTTTCCGATAGCCGTGAGCCGGAGGGGCTACGGTTCCGTGGGCCTATGCCTTTGGATCCTCGCTTAGGACTCGGAGCAGGCTCGCGTAGCAGCAGTTTCAATGCAGATGTGGGGAGCTTGCGGAGCCCGAGTATGACTCGACAGGATAGCGCTGGCGGCGCAAGCGACCAATTCTCCATGCCGGGTGGTATGCCAGCTGGAGTATCTGCACGCAGAGAGTTATGATTGCCATTTACTGCTCAATTTTGCCAAATAGTTACTCTGCGCCAGAGTTATGGTTCTAATTCTGTATAGTACTGCAGTAGTCCACCCGTCAATAAATGATGATAGACTCATGAAATCCACAGCCTTTGACAGTCCAATGAAAAATCGGTGGAGAGTACAATCAGGGCTTGGAATGTAATTATCCATGTTATGAAGATTTAGGTGGGTGATCATATAATTCATGCTTTTTTATTTTTGGAAAAAATACAAAAAAGTAACCGAAAAGTCTCGCCTATACTATGCAAGATGTGTGCAAGAACACCCCATTCAAGATCAATATATGTATTGAATGAACTAAATCCAATCTCCTCCATTAAGTCAATTCAGTCGTTACGCATCAGGTCTCCATTCAACCATGCCATCTCATGCGGCAGCCGACTGCAGGAAAGTGCCCGTGTATTGCTGGCGGTAAGGATTCACATCAACCTCAGCACCACGGTTGAGCGGTGTCCACTTAGGCTCCTCCTGGAAGAGACGCATAGCCTTGACGTACTATAAAACAAGTAAGCTAAACATCCGAGCCACCTGGAGAATTCTTAATCTGTCAATACACGTACGTTCTTCTCATCGGTCGTGAACCGATGGTAGATACCGGCAGGGAGGATAATCATATCGTCCTTGACCAGGTCGATCCGAATCCACTCATCTTCCTGACCACGGACATCAAAGTATCCCTCACCGTCAAGAATATAGCGAATCTCCTCGTCCTCGTGCAGATGCTCCGCGAAAAAAGTCTTCACCTTCTCCTCATACACATCGCCCATACTCTGAGGCGAGACGCAAACCTGGTCACGGTTCTTGTAGCCACGCTCAGCCGCAATGCTGTCAACGTGCTCAATCGTTGGGCAGTGCTTGTACAGAACACCAAGCTTGGCAAGGACCTCTTCAGAGACGGCACGACCGGAGTCGTGGGGCTCGCGCTGGTCGCCCTATTTTATCCGCAAGAAATTATTTAGTTATCCACCGTTGATCCATTTGCGTCATCGGTGGTATATTTGAAGGTTTCGGGCCATTTCGTATAGGATCTGAGGCAGATAAAACTTACCGGCTTGTTATCGTACCAGTATGCCTTCATGATGAAATACTAAGTGAGGGAGTATTCAAAGAACTGAAGTCAGGACGAAGTAGAAGAGAGGGAAGTAGTCGCTGAACATCTGCAGCCCCGCAATTGGCCGATGGCGCAAGATGATTATGTGAGCCTCTTATCGGTACACGTGACTACGGTAACTTTTTTGTCTTATCGCGATAACAAATGTTGCAAACTTTCGTTTCGATTCGTGTTTGCCATTTTGGACATCTCGAGATGGCGTTTAGAGCTCGGCCTGTGACTCTGTTGCGCCCGCGCATCGGGGTACGTCTGCCCATTTGCAGAATCCGTGGTCTGGCAACGGTGGCCGAGGGCTCCCGGTAGGTTGATCTCCTGATCAGATCCAACTATCACTAACGCAATCCATGTTCCGGAATAGACCCTACGATGTCATTGTAATCGGTGGTGGCCATGCTGGCTCGGAGGCATGTGCCGCTGCAGCTCGTTCAGGCGCTCGCACTGCGCTCGTGACCCCCTCGTTATCGAACATTGGTGTGTGTTCGTGCAACCCCAGTTTCGGTGGAATAGGAAAGGGCACAATGATTCGAGAGGTGGATGCAATGGATGGTGTCGCAGGCCGAATCATCGACAAGGCGGGCATCATGTTTCGGATGTTGAATCGCTCCAAGGGTCCCGCGGTGTGGGGGCCGCGCGCGCAGATCGACCGTGATTTGTACAGGAAGTACATGACAGAGGAATTGGTCAGCACCGAGAACTTGAGCATCGTGGAGGGCAAGGTGGCAGATATTGTGGTTTCCAAAGAGGGGGTGGAAAACACCCCGGGTGCACAGGGCAAGATTGTCGGTGTTCGATTGGAATCTGGGGAGGTCCTCCCTACTGGCCGGGTGGTTATCACTACTGGAACCTTCTTAGGTGGTGAGATTCACATTGGCCTCGAAGCGTACCCATCTGGCCGGATGGGAGAGGCCCCAACCTATGGGCTGAGCAAGTCTCTCCGTGATGCGGGTTTTTCGCTGGGACGTTTGAAGACCGGCACGCCACCCCGTTTGGATATGAAGAGCATTGATTTCTCAGGTCTGGAGGTTCAGCGTGGTGATTCTCCCCCACAGCCGTTCTCATACTTGAATAAAACAGTCGAGGTTGGAGATGAGGGACAACTCACCTGTTGGATGACCCATACCAACGAGAAGGCTCACGATATCATCCGTGCAAACCTAGACAAGTCTATTCATATCAGAGAGACTGTACGGGGACCTCGCTATTGTCCGTCTTTGGAATCGAAGATTATGCGATTTAAAGACAAGACCCGGCATCAAATCTGGCTTGAACCCGAGGGATTCGCACCGAACGATGTGATTTATCCGAACGGAATTTCCATGACCGTTCCAGCAGACGCGCAGTATGCTATGCTGCGCACTGTACAGGGTCTTGAGAACGTGAAAATGCTGCAACCGGGCTATGGTGTAGAATACGACTACATTGACCCACGCAATCTGCGATCTACATTGGAGACCAAGCTCATCAGCGGTCTCTACCTAGCGGGTCAAATTAACGGCACCACTGGCTACGAAGAGGCAGCCGGACAGGGTATCATTGCAGGCATGAATGCCGGCTTGGAATCACAGGATCGACAGCCTCTCAGTCTGACTCGGTCAGACGGTTTCATCGGTATCATGATCGACGACCTCATCACCAAGGGTGTGTCTGAGCCATACCGCATGTTCACCACTCGAAGCGAGTACCGCATCTCCACACGATCTGACAATGCTGATCTTCGCCTGACACGTATGGCTCGCGATGCCGGCGTCGTTTCGGACAAGCGTTGGCGCCATTTCACAGAGGCAGAGGCGCAAATCGAACAACTCCAAGCTCTCCTTGCCAACACCAAGCTCTCGTCCTCTGCTTGGTCTCGAAAGGGCTTCAAGGTGCGCGCCGACACGTCGATCCGTTCGGCCCTAGAAATCTTATGTCTCGACGGCGTGGACATCAACGCCCTGATCCCGCACATTGAGTCTGCCCCTGGAGTTGCCTATGTCCCTGATTCCTTTGATCCAGTCATTCGATCCCGTGTCGCCATTGAAGGCCGATATGCTCCGTACCTCAAGCGCCAGGAGAAGATGGCCAAGCGGTTCTTGCAAGATGAGAATCTCCTCTTGCCGGCCGATCTCGATTACGGCATGATCCATGGGATTAGCAATGAAGAAAAACAAGCACTTGAACGCGTGCGGCCTGTCAGCGTTGGTATGGCAAGACGAATTGAAGGTGTCACCCCCGCTGGTGCACTGCGTCTGCTAATGCATGTCCGAAAGGGCACTGGGTTTACCAAAGAGGCTGGTGATGAGGATCCTGCGGTGGCTGAAATGTTGCAGTCGTCCCCTTGAACGCAGCCATGTAAACCATTTCTTCTTGTTTTGATATATAGCATATGCTGGCATTAGCGAAGCAACATACGGCGCCTGGGAAGTCTGCAGTGTACAATAGGGTTGGTTTGGACATTCTCTGCTGGATATGTATTCTATTTGATCACTCCGTGTAGCATGATGGTGCATAGAGGATAATTAACTGGCAATATTGCCCTGTACAATAGAAATTTTCACAATATTGCACTTTCTATCTCTCTTCTCCCATGTTTGCTCTCAAATAAAACGCCATATCTTCCAAGATATCTACATATCAGGGTTTGTTCTACATTCTCAATGCGAGTCATAAATCACACGCTGACCTCGATAGAGTTTTACACTAATCTGGGGAAAAGCACCAGTGAATGAGGATGGTCAAATGGAAAAGAAGGTTTGAGTCTCAGTTCAGATCCCTGTTCTTGACCAGTATGGAGTATCTGATCTTGGAATTTATGAATGGCTTCCAAGAAAGTACTCCACTGTACATACCCATAGCAAACAACGATACAAACCATATAAAGTCCAAATTGATAAATCCAAAGCTTGACCTGGGGGACTAGGGAACCCCTTCCAGCAAGAAGAAGCAAAAAAAACACGTTTCGAAAGGCAAAAGGCAAGCCCCATGCATCACACATTCCTCCACGCTCTCCCCCACGCGAACCGAACCCAACCGTGCGAGATACCGCCAGACTGGTACGTATTCCACGCAAGGGGAGCCGATCACGACCAGGACAGGGCAACTTGGAAGTTAGCACGGACGTAATTCGTAGATCCTACCTCTTCCATTCCCTTCTGGGTGGTTTATGCTTTGTGGCTTCATCACTTGCAGTCTCGACATCGACTCACATATGATACTGTTCATGCGAGAAGCATTGCCCAAGAGGATGTAAGATAGGGAGAAGAAATGGGAGAGATAGAAGGATCGAAATCTCAGATCTACAGAAGTAAAAAAAAAAAAAAAGATAGATCATGCACCGATCGTCGATCTCTCCATGAGAGTGGACAGCGAACAAGATAAGCAGGAAAGGAGGAAATGAACTCCGACGAGTCCATGACAGGACCCAACTCGGGAAGGCGTGACGAAGCGAGCAGATTTCCCCAAACAAGGTTTACAGGGATACTGACATCCCTGCGGCTATCCTCGCCCCTTCCACCGTGGATTCAAACACGACCTGATCTCAGCTTGATCGCGCAGACAAGCACTTTGACCTCGTGACCAGACCGCAGGGGCGGTTCAGCAGGTGACCCGATCGGCGCGATGGCTCAATCACAGGCCGCCACTTCACCCGCAAGATAACCATGCAGAGTGGACACTCACGTCCCCGGAGGAAAAAAGACCTCGAGATAATTAAGGATGCAGGGTTTGTGATGTACCTATCGCACGGTGTACAGTTGCAGCGCGAAGTGCATGCCTCCATACTGCACCTGGGCCCGAGAAATGGGGAATGGTACGAGGTGATGGTACCGAATGAGAGAGGTGCAGACTGGAGCTGGAGCAGTTACCTATACTAGACATCTGGAGCGTGAGTCGCTCTATCTAGTTTACGTATAGCGTGTACTAGTGGCGTTGCAAGCTACCGTTATTTGCACCAGTTCGTCTGAACTAGGCCATCCAAGAAACACTGAGGCTAAGTCTAGGCCCGGGAGCGCGGACATTGGAGGTTGGACCACGCCATGTCTCGGAGGGAACATCCTTGCGTTGACGAGAAACGTCAACAATGTGGCAGTGACCAAACAGGGAATTCGAGGCCCAATGACAGCATCGTACGACACGAAACTGGGCGTCGGTACGTGCGCAGATGGTCGTACCCTTTGCACACGGTTAAGCGGCCACATGGGCGCGGGGACATGATATTAGTTTTTTGTTTTTCCCCCCTTAGCAAACATGAAGTCAATAATGTCCATATAGATGTTGCTATGGATGATAAATTAAAACCCGACCCAGTGGTTCGCGCTCGGGTTTGGTCGCTAAGTTTAACATTAAGTTCGCCCATGAGATCGTTTTACTGTGCGTAAAAGAATCGCCAAAGTCAATGGTCGATCTCCGATGTCAATCTTTCCCCAGCTCTCAGGATCCACCGTTGACCATGGAAAATGAACTGTGACATAATGGACTCCATAATGGCAGATTAACTGGGTCGATTCCAGCTTAACACCTCAAATGGAATAAATAGACGATCGTGTTGATCCGTGTTCTCAGACCCCGATCTCCTATTTGCGGGACAATCGCTCGGGATGTTTCCAGAGGAGGTCAGTGCCGGTGACAGTGTGATCTACCCGATGAAAAGGTGAAAGCTGGAAATCTGGAAATCCTGGAGAAAAGAATAGGGGCCCCCTCCCAAAGAAAAAAAAAAATAAAAATAAAAAAAGAAATCACCGTGGTATTGCAACTTCCCTTGTCCACTTGGCGCCCTATTCACATGCGCCAGGCACCTGCATACCCAGTACCACACAGCTCGGAAGATGGGGCTTCTAGATTCTAGATTCTAGCTTAACAATCGTCGGAACACGGGATGATGATTCCCACTAGTACAAACTACCAGAACCAGAACCAAACCAAAATCAATTGATAGCGCCGGACCAAGAAACCGGATCTTCCACAGAAAGGAATTAAAAAAATAAAATAAAAAAAAAACCCAATCAATAGCTCGGCCGGTGCAGTTAACAGTTAGGTCGAGAGATGATCATCCTAGACCCTGTGCTTGGCCTTTGCGGGATTTCCTAGTTACGCGCTAGACTGCAAAGGTAGAACGCAACGCCACTCAACAGGACCTTGCGGTGCGTTAGTGTGAGGGTTTTTATTATTATTATTGATTTATTATTTTTTCCCTTCTGAACCGTTCGAGGTACGTGCATCTGGCCTTGCGTGGCCCCGCTGAATTTATTTGATTTACGATTTTAGGGATTTGGTTGCGTGTTGTTCCGGGATCTCAATAACCTCGGGTTCTGGCTTGGACTGGTCTCGGACTCTTAGTGGCGTAAATACGAAGATCGACCGTGACCCACGAGTACATGATTGGGACATGAAGCCCCCTGTGTCCACAGTGATATAATAGCATGAGATCCCTAAGCCCGAGTAGAGTTACTGCTAGACTGTTAGAATTAAAATAAGTCTAACAGGGATTAGAAGGGCGGCCTGCACGAATCCCCACCTGTCTCATGTGGCACGGATGCCTGGCCCGAGTGTCTGGTACAGGTGGTGCGCCGTCCGTGGCTATGGATTCCTTAGTGCGAGTCGAAAAAGAATCCCGAAATATTTTAATTTCCCCTTCCATTCCATGATCAAGGGGGAAATCGGGGAATCCAGGAAAGATAGGCGCTGGGTCCCCAACCTAAGCCCATCTCGTAGACTCAGAATTGGGTCATCGCTGGTTGGTTCGTGTGGGGAAACGAGATTGGCGCGTCCAGTTTTCAGGACTTCGTAACCGGGCGGAGCATTGTCGTGTACTCCGTCTCCGCCTCGCGCTTAGAATGTACGGAGTACGCCGTTCATTCAGGTGATAGGTACTTTTGTTTTCTTCTATATGTGGACCTCGGTTGTGATTGTACGTATACACATCTATAATGGTTGATCAATTATTTTCTCTTGGTTCGGGTCCAGAACCTCTGGGCATTGGGCACCTTGATCGACCCGTGCAATCTACGAATCTGGGTCGGGTCAATCTACCTAATTGCACGGGAATAGCGGCAGCTAATCGTGTCACAAAATACAATACTGTATCTACCCCGTACAACAGGTACAAGGCGATAGAATACTTGCTAACTCGATTCCGTATCTCTTTGCGAATGTCAAGGCCTTTGAACGCCTATACCGGAATCGAAATCCAAATCTGATTTGGCCCCTTCGCTCGTTTTTGAGTCGGTGTGATAAGACTCATCACAGGTGACATCTGTCATGGGCGCCAATTGAGTTTTCACAAGCGTGCGCCAACCTAAATCGACTCCTGTTCACCCAAATCTCTGGGACCTTTGCCGACCAACCTGAAACGACGGAGGAGGACCATCCGTATTGAATCTTGAATCTCCCATGTGTGGAAGAAGCAAAGAAGCAATCACGAGAAATTGAAACCCAAAGAAGGTTTCCGGTGGGGAATGCCGATCTGCAATTCGGACTTAGTACGGAGGCCTGTCGGGATCTGATTTGCTCTAATTAAATCAAAACCACAACAACCCCAGTCAGGACCAGGGAAGAGGGGGGGTTAGGCTAGAACAGAGGCAGTGTGCTGGATCCGCTGAGGATCTCCCGCGAAAGTTTTCACCAGGATCCAATAAGCCCCAGTGCATCAGGTACGGGACCCTCTTGCCCCTCAGAAACCCAGATGAAGGAAAGGTTTCTGGAGGACTAAAGTTACCGGGAAACAGAATGCTCAAACCTTGCGACGCGTGGTGGGCGCTTCTGCACATCCATCGGTGCTGATTGGAAACGCCTGAACGGAGATGAGCCGGGGATACCAATTTACGCTCAGTCCTCGTAGAGAGTGGAATCTACTCCATCCCTTTGGGATTCGCTGACGACATCCTTTTTGGGGAGGATGAGCATGCACTCTTTCCTTTTTATTCGGGGAGCATTTTCTGTCCAGGGGAGCCCGAGCTAGACCTTTCCCTCGGGAGCGCTTTCAAAGCCAGTCATGATGAGCATCACTTCACCACGTTAGGTCATTCCCCGATCTCTCTGACGTGCCGTTGGAGGATCCTATCCCGCCCCATGGTGTGTGGAGGTTCCATTTTTCAATAGTTCCGGTGCACTGGCCAGTGTCCACTCGGGCGCTCCCCACTTGGGGATTTCCCCTCTTCTTTTTTTTTATTTCATGTTTTATTTTTCTTCCATTTCTGTTTTTCTTTTTTCTTTTTTCTCCCACTGGGCCGTTGGGAGAAGTGGAAAGAAGATGATTGGATCCAACGAAAGTCTCGATCGGACCCTGCTGACACCGAGTGCTGTGAGTGGAAAGGACTGAACCATGGAGAGAAGGCAGGTGGAGTCGAGACCATTCGGTGGCTGACCAATCAACGGGCGATCATGGGCGTTGTCGAAAGACCGCATTTCGTCTGTAAAACATTAACATTTTAACGTTAACGTTAACAAGTTTAAAGGTTAACATTTAAGAACGACGGACTAGAATGCTCCAGAGATGTAAATACACCGCCACCCCAGCGATGACCGATGCTTAAATAAGAAGGTGGTTAAAGTGGCTGAGTCAGATTGACGTGGTGACTGCGGGCTCCACTAAATCGTCCATGGCACGTCGATGATGATTGCATTTATTCTGATCTTCTAGATAGAAACCGACCATGACGGAATAAAGAATAAACTCGGTACCTGCTTGGTCACTCTTACTATTTGACTTTGGATTTTCCTTTTCCTTCCGCAGACCGAGGACTCTCCTGCAGGCATCTGGTGAAATCATCGGATCCTCGCCCGTATTTCTCCGCCCTGCTGCCCCTCCTGTGGACTCAATTTTGGTACGAGAGTTCTGTCAGATAAATCTTGAGTTCGCCCCGCAATTTGAACCCTCCGATATTTCTGTATATTACCATACCGTCGATCCTTTCTGCAGTTCTTGGCCCCCTGATTACCCCCTTGTAGATGAATGAGTACTATGCCTTGACCATACCTACAGTAATTTTTTTTTTTCTCTCTACTACCCCAGGTCTTCGACGTAACTTGTTCACCTGGAAAAGCAAGCTTGGAATTACCGCAGGATCCGTGGAACCGAGTTCGAACAGATCCCCATCTCCAGATCGGTGCAACCTCTCTCCTCTCACGCTGACTTGGGTCCGTGCTTTCCCTGGGCGATCCCTGGACTCCAAGAGGAGGGGTTAACTCAACTCAAAACCCTCCTCCGCTCCCACTTCTCCATACCCTGGTCGATCTCCTTAGCTTATTTTTTTCCCTATCCCTATCCCACACTACACATCTCCGCCTTCCCATCATGGTGAACGGGACTGCGGCGGTGCTAGAGCCCACGTTCACAGGCTATGTGGCTACGACACAGGATGCGCTGATTCTATTCGAGGCCTGTCTGACCGGCGTGTTGCATCATGTTCCTCGTCGACCACACGACCGCGAGCGGAGTCATCTGGTGCGCAGTGGGAGCGTCTTTATCTACGAGGAGAACTCATCGGGGATCAAACGATGGACCGACGGAGTGACTTGGAGCCCCAGTCGCATCTTGGGCAATTTCTTGGTCTATCGGGAGTTGGACAAACCATTCCCGCCCGGTGAGAAGAAGCGCGCCATGAAGAAGGCCAATCGACGGCCGGTGCCGCCCACTCGACCTGGAGAGCCATATCCGCGACATGACAGCAACGGTCAGAGTTATTCTCCGACATCGCCTCCAGCGGCCTTTGGGGAACGAACACATCAGTCAGAGGTGGAACGGGCTTTGGTGGGGTCGCTGGTCGATTCGTACGGCTTCAAGGACTCGGGGTTAGTCAAAAAGACGATGAGCGTGACCGTGATGGGGATCACCCACCACCTGGTCTCCTATTATAGCGTGGACGATGTGATGCGCGGGGCACTGAACCCTCCTTCCATGGTCGAGTCGCTGCGCTACATTCGACCGCGCATCGACCTGACTCAGAAACAGAGCTTCCGCGCCCCCATCGACGACTTGGAGTCAAATGCGTTGGAGAGTGCTCCTCATGATCCGTCCCACGCAGCTCTCTACGGATACCGCCCCCAGATGATGGCACCCCCTGCCTATGGAATGCCGAATCCATCGGCTGATTTCTACATGCACGCCAACCACTATGCTGCCACTCACGCTCCGCAACCAGGCCCCATTACAGGATACTCCATGGGCGGCAACATGCCCGGCCAACCGGCCCCGAACCCATATCTTCCATCGCCCGCCGTGGCAGCCACGATGGCCCCGAAGCAAGACGACTACCATGCCTTCCGTGCTGGTCCATATGGAGGAAGCATGGATTCCATGAGTGCGCACAGTGCTCTGTCCTCATCCATCCCCGGGGGAATGAACAGTATGCCCGGATCTCTCAGCGAGCGCAACCGTTCAACCTCGGACCACAGCCCTTCTGCATACCGCAACTCCTCCATCTCTTCTCGTAGTGTCGCCACCGATGCTACATCTCCTATGGACCCCTCGACCCCGGGCACGTACTCACGCGGCAGCTTCGGCTTACCTAGCCATATGGAAAACACTCATCTCGATTCTCGCGGCATCGGTCCACTCGACCCGAATGTACCACGCCGCGAATCCAACCCCGTTCACCCCTCCTATTACGCCCCTCCCGATCGCTCGCAATACTACGTTGGTGCGGCAGCCCCTGTCAACCACGCCCACTATGCGGCCTGGACAACCACCGCTCCGGCCCAGCCCCAGATCTAATTTTTTCTGAAACCAACGTCTTATTTCGCCGTTGGCCGTGGGCTTTAACGACCTTGTTTTTCTTGTTCTTTTCCTCTTTTATTGAAGGTGCAAGGAACCTTTTTTATGTTTACTTTTATTGTTCTCCCACGATGGTCATTTCCAAGTTTCAAGGATATTTGGGAGCGTGGGGAGTCTTCTAGGGCGGTTTTGTGCTTTCGATTACCCCTTGTTTTGGTTCTAGCTTTTAGGGACGGGTTCGTGGATTTTGTTTTGCTCGGCGAATAGACTTATTCTGGCTTTTGGAACGCGAAAGGGTGGGCGAAACCCCACCAGTTCCCTTCCGTGCAGTGTACTCATGTCTGTCTATATGGCCCTTTGTCAAGTCTTTTCTTTGTCTTTTTTTTCTCTCTCTTTCTGTGGTGGGACTCTGATTCTGATTTGCGTTTGCTTTTTTTCCTCTCCCGATTCCTTTCGATGGGGCAACAATCCCATATGGGCGGCGTTTTGTGTGATTCCCTGACGATGTGATGCAACCGACAAAACTTCTGCTTTTTCTATATCATTCCATTCTGAATGTGCTCCTGATCTCCTTTTTTCCATTTTTTGCTTGGCTTGGCTTGGCTTTGCCTTTCTGCGGCTCCGCTAGTTATGGGGTCGATGGGTCCTGTGCAATATCCTGAAGGTTTGATGGATTCTCCACTTTAACTTTAACGATACGATGCAGGGTCGATATCCATGACTAACTAGGTTTGAGTGGAGGTGTGCCCCTTCTGTACCGTACGAGGTCGAGGTGGATCTGTTGGGATAGCTGCTGTGCCGTTTGTTTATTCTGGCTGTTCATTTATGGGAGGTTCTTTGATTTATTTGAGCTTGGAAATGAACGTGATACCTACTTGCCTTCTGTTTCAAATGGTCTGGTGTACCGAGGGCAAGGCCTGTACGCACCTCCAGGGCTTCTCATCATGATCATGACTGTATGCTTAAACCTTACCACTCTGCCGAGCCGCCAACCTTAGTATCCAATTCTCCGGGCTATTGTATATCCACGATATCCTTACCTTGGGTACTGGGTATCCACCAGAGCACCCATTATACCTATCTGCCGGGGCTTTCCGGATGTCTGTCCCAGATCCACCTAAGACCATGCTATATGCTGCCCTCTATTACTCATGCGATGATACGTGTCCAAGTGGTGAGATAAGCAATCACTCCAGCAGGCTCATCTACACCTCAAGGATTCACACTCGCCCCCAAACCTACTAGCCCCACAAGCAGATTAGAAAAAACTCTTTCACAATAAATTTTACTCGGTAGTAGCCAACGAATGCTTGAATAAAAGAATGCATCCTTAGTACCTGAGCTACGTAGTCGCGCTGCGGCTCAATGAACTTGGTGGCCAATCAGAGCGTCATCACACATCAGGCCCCCAGTCTTGGTTTCAAGGAATGACCTGATTCGGCTGAACATAATGTACCTGGAAGTCTCAGGATCTTGGTTCTTTCCCTTTTCTACAGGTGGTTGCTTTGGCTTGGTGGGCGGTTAAGACTGGCAGACCTGCCTGTTCAACTAGATAGTTTGTATATTCCAAGATTGTAACATAAACATATAAGCCCCCGAAATGAAGATCAAGATCACCCGTAGTTGATGCCATACCTGCCAAAGTAATTCTCTCCTCTCGGTGATTGGTAGCGCAAAGGCACTATGTCCCAGGTGCCATGCTTCAACAACTCCCACCGTCCCAGCAGGCCTTGGTGTCTCCTTGAAAATTACTTCTAGCACCAGATCCATAGGGGACATTTCAAATATTGATTTGAGTTTCTTCTGTGCACGTATTCCACAGCTAGAAAGAGAAGTGCACCCGTCGTGTCATATATACGCTCTGTATATGCACTATCTTTGCTGACCATGCATAAACCTACACGCATAGCCTTACACGGAATTGGAGTCGAGGTGATAGAATAGTCAAGAAAGGGAAAGCGTCAAGCTTACCAGTCTCCCGAAGCAAACTCATTGAGTCGCACAAATGGAAAGCAGGAAATCTACAAATCAGAAAGGCGCGATTTTTGAGCACAACCCCCCCCCCCTTCTCTTTTTCGATTTCCAATTCTTCTCCTCTATTTACTCCTAATTCTATTCACGTTCTTCCCTTGCGTTATTTTAGGTTCATCAAATCCCAAGACGATGTCGAGAACGAAGATATATATACTTGTCATCAGGGCAGGAATCAGAGACACCAATGACATATGCATATAGATTGAAAAACATTAACCAAACGCAAGCTATTAAGACTGAGTGAGAAATCTTGAGATCAACGAAATAGTCTTGGTTTTCTTCTCGAACGCCTCTCCAATATCAAGCAGAGGCCCAGAAAATGGCAGCCGCAATACCAGATTTGTCCCCCTTCCACCTCCATCTCTACAACCGAACCGAGTCAACGATCTCTGAGCCAATTCACTAAGCTACTACAAGGTAGAGGGCAAGGAAAGAATGATTCAAGCTTAATAGACCCAGGAGGACGTATCGAGGCAAGCGTCGAACATGATTCATAATTGTGCGGCTTGCCCTCTAGCTACCTGAAGCTACAAAAAGTGGAGAAGTAGCCGATGAAATGGCTAACATATATCGTCCAGTTGGCCAATCAGAGTTACTGTAGTGAAAGAACCCCCATTCTCTGGTTTCAAAAAACGACTTGTTTTAGGAAATCGTTTCTTCAGGCATAGCTGATTGGCCATAGCGCCATGCAGCTGAGCCATGAAGTCCCTGCGTCAGGTGGAGCCGCTTCGATCTAAACCGAATACAGCAACATCTCCACCGGCTTGTATGCCGTTTCCCCCGCAGGAACAATCAGAAATCTCTCCACATCACACAAACATGGCCGAGTTACCAACCCTCGTCTTCGTACCTGGTGCCTGGCACAAGCCTGCCTGCTACCGCGAGATCATCAAACTCCTGCAGCCCAATTTCAAATGCGTCTCAATCACCCTCCCATCCACATCAGGAGGCCCCGATGCGTCATTCAAAGATGACCTCGATACCGCCCGCGAAGCCATCTCCAGCGAGATAACCAGCGGGCGCAATGTCGTGGTCGTCGCGCACTCTTACGGCGGGATGGTCGCCAATAGCGCGATCAAGGGATTCACGCGAGACAAAACCACAAACCAAACACCCGGGACAGGATCCGTGATCGGGCTCATCCTGGTCGCCTCAGGATTCACATTCACAGGCCTCTCATTTATGGATCCATTCTTCGGGATCCCGCCTCCGACCTGGTGCGCTAATTGGGAGACGGGTTACGCTGAGCTCGTCACTCCCCCGCGGGAAATGTTTTACCACGACCTACCGCAAGAAGAGGCCGAGTACTGGGTTTCTCAGCTTACGCCACACAGCCTGAAATCTTTGTTCGAAGGCGGCGAACATAGTTATGCTGGCTGGAGAGATGTGCCGGTTTGGTATATTGGTACCGTCGAGGATCGGGGGCTGCCTGTGTTGGTGCAACGGACGCAAATCGGCATGGCGAGGGAAATGGGCTGTACTGTGGAACATCGAGAGCTGCAGACGAGCCATTCGCCGTTTTTGAGTCAACCTGAAGCGACAGTCGAGATCATGCGGGAGGCTGTTGATGCGTTCACTGGCCATTCGGGGACTCGTGAGGCTAGTGAGCGTGTGAAGGGCCTGATTACGGTGGCTGGACCGAGACTCTGGAAACCTTTCACGTGGTTAAAGTTTGGACTTCCGCTTGTCTTTGGGCATGTGTGTGGACGTGGGATTCTGATATTTGAGTTTGGAAGGAGGATGTGGAGGTCTATCTTCCATTAGCACAATACCCGTTCGTAAGTGAGCGCCTTGTACATTATTCCTCTCTCCGCTCACCTAGCCTTAATATGATTATAACTCTACTCTTCTATATAACATGTGTCAAAATTTGAAGTTCAATGGCTCAGCTGGGTGCAAACAAAACAAGGCTGAAACAAATCAAAACCAAATACAGGGCGACAGACCCTTTCTCGCTTGTTTATTGGTCATTGCAATCCTGGACCTGTATAAACTGCAACTTCAACTCAGAACTATATTTGCATATCACTTCGTTTCATTAAGTAATTGATGATATATTAATTGTCTTGCTGTTGAGCAATCACTTGAAGACAAGCCTGACCCTTTTGAGATTGAAAATGCGCATTCAGAACATCAGATCGCGAAAACGCTTGCTGACACCCACCGCAAACCCAGTCTCTAGTCCCCAGATGGATCTTCCTATGTCGAGTACAGTCATTCTTCCTAGCAAAAGTCTTCTGACAGAATTCACATGAGAAAGGCCGAATCGTCTCATGGACTCGCATATGCGAACGGAGATTATACAGTTTTGTGAACTCGCGGGAACAGGTTGGGCACTTGAGATCTTGGAGCTGTGGCTCGACTCGTGGAAGAGGTCTTATTTCCGGAGGCTCTGAATCTGACGATGAAGAACCTTCTGGTTCTGGGACGGTTGTCGTGTCCTCTACGGGATTAGGATCTGGCGCGCGGGTGCTGGTTGAGGCTTGGGTAGGCTGTATCCTGGCTTGCTTGTTTTGAATGACTTGCTGCTTGCTTAGCTGGATCTCTTTATCTGTGGGGAATTGTTCGTTCTGCGGAGATGCTGATGGGTGGTAGTTTCTCATGTGTCTTTTGTATTGACTCTGATTGGCGAAGCCGATCTCAAACCCGGTGATGCAGTCTTTGTAGTTGCATCGGAGTGGAAGATCATGTCTTGTAACATGTTTGTCTCGTTCGTCGGCAGTGTCAAAGCCGGATGTAAATGACCGACAGCTGAGTCGCGGGCACTTGAACAAATTTTCGCCATATTTTCGAACAAGTGAATCCTTCGAAGAGTGGTCAACGGCATTAGTGAAGACCTTTTCTATCTCTTCCCGGACCTCACGAACGATATCGACGATATCTGTGGAGACTTCGTCCCTTTTCAAAGCGCCAAAGGAGTGGAGTTGTTTCCTCGTGAAGACATATAATTGCTCCAGCTTGTAGTAAAAATCCCAGCTTTCGAAGACCTGCAGCTTCTTCTTATTTCGTGAAGAAACCTCCAGTGGCATCTTTGGCTCGGTCCAATGTTCATCGATAAAGACACCTAAAGCTTCAGCAAAGGGGACCATGACCTGCAGATAATCATCCTCTTGCAAAGTTGGGTAGACGACAGGTCTCTCTTGCTCTTGCGGGATGGCTTGAGCGCGATGACTGTCTTGGAGCTTAGCTCTTGCCATTCTTCGACTAGCCTCCCAAATGACGCCGTCGAGATGTTTGATCCAGTAAATGACTGCATAGTCCATAAGACCATAGTCACCTTCGGAAGCGGAATGGCTGGAGATAGGATCCATGAACATGGGTAGATTCATGTAGCTGAGGCATAGAGATCCCATCTCTATGTCATGGTATAAAGGGTCGACAATGCCTTCGTCAACAAGAAAACTAGGCACGATGTCAGCCAAACTCCAACCAATCAATGCGAAGAAGGCGCTCATACTGCTTAGCCGTTAAATGAATCAACTCGACCGTTCCATCTTCTCGAACGTCAACCAGAGACCCGCATATATCTTTTGCAGAGGTTACCCGGAACATTCGCCGTTCAAAGTCAACGCGCCGTGCGTGTAGATTGATGGACTTTAAGACTTGAATTTCGCGCCATTTAAGTGGCCTTCTAGCCAAAACTAACCACCGCAGCAGCACCAAAACATCATTTGAGTACCCTGTGGAGCTCTTCATTTTGACGAGAATCCGGCGATATCTGCTCCTTGGTTAGAAAAATAACGCGATAATAGAATCGCTATACATACGCATCATCAAGATCCACTGGGAGCCTGCTTGGGTCCAACTGCTGTTCCAAACTCTCAATGGATGTGGATTCCAACAACGAGTCCCATATCAACCTTGCAAGGAGGAACATTGCTATCATTGAATTAGTACCTTAAGTCTAATAATTCCATGTCAAAACTTACCTCCAGCTCTGTTAAACACATCGGAAGCAATTTTCTGTGCCCTGTCCGGTAATAACGAAAGCTTTTTCTCCAGCTTATCAGCTTGAAAATGACAATACTGCTGCAAGTCCCCCTGCATATCTTGTTGTCGAATACTCAAATAGTACATTCCATCGAAATCTTTGCGACCGGGGCCATCATCTCGACTAGTGAATAGACATCTTAATCTGGATGACTCGTTGACCGGAAGACTCTCGACAAGTTTGGTAAACCACTGTACAATCTCCTTGCGATCATCCCGTTTGCACTCATCTAGTCCGTCAAGGATGATATATGCATTTTTGCATCTCTGAAAAGCAAGGGTCAGCAGCCTTCGGACTTGATCGGGAACAGCAAGAACAGCCTCTTTACTCTTGCTGCGCTCTTCATAAAAATAAGTCAGCAGGTCCTTGTCTTGGTGCAGAATTTGAGCTAGGATTCCTCGAGCAAGCGCCAAAAAATTGTCATGCTCAGGATCGTCATGCTTGCAATAGAAGAAGAGAACCGTGGGCTTCGTGGAGAGTTTCTGGGCTTGCTCCACTATAGAAGAGGCTAGAATAGTTTTACCTAGACATTGTATTAGGATGCCTTCCACCAAAGATTCAAGGATATCCGCAACATACCTGATCCCGGAATCCCATTAATCCAAAGAAGAGGAGGTATTTTGGGATAGCTAGGATCAAACCATTCTTTGAAAGACTGGTTATCCAGTAGCCATCTCCCAGAATCGGGAATATCCAACCGGACTTTGGTAAAATTATACTGATCAACATCCGTATGTGGAGATTTCAGCCAATTGAAAACCACGAGCGATCGATTCATGTCTTCATTTTGCATCATTATATCGAACCGATCATTCTCGAGACGCTGTAGCTCTTGAGAGTCCTCAATTTGAGAGATCGTGGCTTGTCGTTCAATTAATATCCGATGCCTGGACAGATTGGTGATAACGGATTCAAAACGAGACTTGTGGCTAGGCCAAGTTGCATCGAAGAGTTGTCTCCATACTATAAATGTTAATTGATGAATCTCAGTAGGAAGGAGAATGCATACGGCGCTTTTGGAAATATTTCATGGCAAGTCGATGAAAGTTGAGGATATCTTCGTATATGAGTGATAGCACACTAATCATATGAGGTTTGGTTCGAAAGAGTTCCTGATATTGGGACAGAAGGGGAAGACTCTCCCCAATAGATTCATAGGTATTGACAAGCTCTTGAAAGGCCTTTTGATATGAACTTGCGACCTGGTATCTCTTAGTGGACGATCCATGCAGGCGATAAGATGAAAGGGCCATACCAGCAAAAGGAACTTAACGGGCCCCTAAGAACAATCAGCCTCAGCCTCAGAGTAGCTTATTGGGTTGTTGCCTCACCAAAACAAATGCTACGATCTCATTGCTGTTACAGAACGGCTCCACGACCTTGGTGTATTGCTCAATAGCCTCCAGAAAGACACCCAATCGACTCAGATCCTGAATTCGACGTGTCGATTGATGTTTTTTCTGGAGATCATCAATACTTTTCTGGAGGTCTTGAAAGGTTGTAATCTTGAAATTGTCTTTGTCCCGCTTGGTCAGGTCTTTCTTGAAGATGTCAAGTGCGCGGTCAAAAGGCGACTGTGATGCATTCTTTCCATTGTGAGCCATTTCGGGCTTTATCCATTCTAACGATGACAGAAGATGAATGTCAATCTGAGATAGGAGATGTGTTATGAATCTGCCAAGATATGTGCAAGGGTACGAGTCTGCCTTGTTACTCGAGGCTGACACACAGCCACGATCGTGTATGCACGCCTGCCTGATTAGAGCCGCATCCCAGCCACAATTCACTTTGCGCCCGACGAATCACTATCTTGTTCGCGACAATAGCATCATTCCAGAAAATTCAACGCCTTCTCACTTTGGATAATTTGTTGCCAATGTGACTTCCCAGACCGATCGCGAGTATCTAATCAACGCGTGTTCAGACAACACTATACCCCCGTCATTCCAATGTATCAATTTCACCCATACCAAGACGACTTTCAATTCATAGATGACCCGGGAGATACGCTGAAGCGAAAATGGCCATTTGAAGAGGATGATTCCATCTACTCTCCAATATCCTCTACAAATCCAGCAGGAGCCTTCGAGGGGGCTTCAGTGGAAGTAATAGAGGAAGCCACCGAGGGCGAGGTTTGTTTTGGAACTGTAAGTACTGACATAACTACAGACGTTGAACTGCAGTCTAATCCACAGCAGCTTGTCAGAGTCAAAACCCAACTTCAAGGCTCTGGCTTTCTCGATGGATTTTCACTAGATTCCAGGTCTTCGCAATCGTTCCAAGTACGCCAGGAAGGGCGATTTTTCTCACTGCAGCACAACGGAGGGAATTTTGCACGCCTTAACAAATTAATCAGTGGAGACCTCAGCGAATTACTTCAAGAATTCCCCATGGTACGGCTAAAGGCCTTTTTATCACGAAAAGACCTCGAGATTGGCTCTGAATCATGGCGTCCCGGAAACGCGATTACCGTTGAAATCAACATATACGGACCTGAAGCTGAATCGGAAACAATTGGAAAGAAATTGAGCAAATCGGGCAACTTCTTACAACAGCCGCGGTTTGGAGCTGGGGGGATGAAATACGTCAATCCTCACATTCTTCGCATGCCGGGCTTTTCAACTGATCATGAGATCTTAGATCTTGATTCTGACACCGGAGAAGATCAAGTATTAGAGTCCCCTGGTGGCAATGATGATTCCAACGAGGATCCGATTGATGTAGAACAGATACTTGACTCGCAATTGCAACATATTTTGACAACAAATATTTCCATCGATCGGAGGGTCAAGAGCCCCCTTCTACAGTAGGTCTTTGTATGCATAATCCGAGAAAAGGCGTTTAACAGTGCTATAGACACCAGAAAGAAGCGATTGACTTTATCTCGCAGCGTGAGAAAGGAGCAGCGGATTTGGAAGGACTTTGGAAGTATAATGACACCGATGAGGATGAGCCATTGTAGGTGATGAAATGCAGATAATACTGCCCAGAAGTTTCACTAATAGAACCATAGTTATCAGCATGTTCTCAACGGAGAAAGACGTCGAGAACCAGATCATGCCAAAGGTGGAATTGTGGCTGATGAGATGGGTCTCGGCAAGTCTCTGGTGATTCTTTCGGTGATTGCTGGATCTTTAGACGAAGCCCGACGGTTTGGTGCACAAAAGTCTCCTCAACAAACCCGGACTCCCTCCAAAGCGACGCTTATAATTGTGCCATCAACGTGTAAGTTGACTCACAACCGGAGAACACCATATGAAACCGAGTCCTCAAGTCAGCCATAGCTAATGTGCGCAGTTTTAATCGACAATTGGATAAAGGAGATACAAAGGTAAGGGTGACATAAATTGAGTTGTTATAACTGGACTGATAATCCAAGGCATATTTTTTCGGCAACATTATTCTCTCATCAGCACATTGGGTGGGAGCGACACGCTGAAGAAGAATTGCTAAAGGAGAAGGACATAGTGTTTACGACATATGCAACGCTAGCAGCCGAGGCCTCACGGAAGGATAGGGGGGAGAGCATTCTGACAACGATTGAATGGTTCAGAATCGTTCTTGATGAGGGTATGCTACAACGAAACATGTCCTATCCATACCAATTTTGACAAGCTGGTAAAATAGCGCACTTTGTGAGAAACCGTTCCACAAAGCAATTTCAAGCGGTGATGCGTCTTTCTGCTCAGTACTATTGGTGCCTTACCGGAACACCGATCCAGAACGATATTGAGGATCTCGGAGCATTAGTTGCCTTCGTCAGGGTGCCGATTCTACAACGCCCAGCTGCATTCCGGAAACTGATATCCTCGCCAATATCTTTAAATGTTAAAGACCGCTTTAACAATCTTCAAACACTCCTTCGTTCAATCTGTATCCGGAGAACACGAGAATTGCTGAACATTCCCGAGCCGATTGAGATCCGGAAACCTCTTACCATGGCACCAGCGGAGTGTGAGCAGTATCGGGAGCTGTTCCTTAGATGCAAAATGCGCATTGAGATGGTTGTCTCTGGACATCGAAAGGGAAGATTCAACTCCACCATTCTGGAGCTATTTCTAGCCCTTCGTCTGTTTTGCAATAACGGAAAAGCAGAAGAGGGAGCACCGAAAGATATGGATGAAGCTCTTTCTCTACTTCAACAACAAGACCAGGACCACTGTGTCTACTGCGGCTGCACAATACTTCACCTCAGTGAGGCTCCGGAAACAGACGGAGGGATCATGATTCCTACCTGCTCACATATTGTGTGCCATGGTTGTCTAATACAGTACACGATGGAAAATCAGCAATGCCCTTCTTGTGGTCCTAGTACCATACAATCCCAAACAACCGACGCAACTAGATATCAACTGGCAAGACCTTTGGGTGAGCCCACAGCCCGTCCATTTGCGCATTATTCGACCAAATTACGCGCTCTCTTATTCGACATAATGCAAAACCCCTCCCAAAAATGGTATGAAAGCCATGTATTGTTGATAATTTTCCATACGCTGATATTTTAATGTAGCATTGTTTTCTCAAGCTGGAAGAAAAGTCTCACTCTTGTCGCTGAGATGCTCACCAGCCAGGGCATCGCATATAGCATGATTGATGGATCATTGCCACTATCCCGACGAATAGCCGAGCTAAAAACATACGAAGAGCCAGATACCAACGTGCTCCTCATGACCCTGGGCACAGGTGCTGTTGGGCAAGTGAATCCGTCTGCTTCATCCTGCACAGTTCTAACTGGAATTCTAGACTAAATATTACATCCTCATCCTGCATTTACCTTCTCGAGCCTCAATGGAACCCATCTATCGAAGACCAAGCCATCGGACGAGCCCTTCGACTGGGTCAGCTTTCCCGCGTGACAATTGTTCGGTATATCATGATAGGCACGGTGGAAGAGGTGTGTTGATCTACCGGCCACCTACAGATGTCATCTAACTTCTTTAGACGCACGTTGTTCCACGCCAACGCAAAAAGCTGCAAATTGCGGGCGGCGGATTCCAGAAAGAAAATAACAGGAATGCGGACAGACTGAAGTCTTTGCGGGTAAGCAATGCCAATGTCGCAAGATGCAAGCAGTTGCTGATTTGAACAGAATCTATTTGATGTCGATTCAATGGTGCAGGATCCGAGAACTCTAAATTGACCATGCTTATATACAGAAGTACGTGGTTGTGAACAATAAATTTGGAAATCCTGCGGCTGGGGCTGGGACAAGGGGCGTTTTCAAAATGATACAAACATCCAATATTATATGTTGCATGATTTGATCAAGGACATTGCTATTCAGGACCTGCGTAAAGGTAGCAAGAATTCCCCGAAATTAATATCGAGAGGTTGATCGTTGTCAAAAGACTCGTTGCTTTAAGCTGCACCTTCGTAACTTTGCATTGTATAGTCCCGCTTCCATTGCTGATAGAACCCGCTATGTCGAGTCCGTGGAAAGATCCACGCTGATCGGCTCATATATGGACATTACTTACTGTACCAAGAAACTTGTTTGTCCCGCGCAGAGCGGATTCTGTAGCCAGTACAGCCCCTTAACGAAGATTTCCCAAGAACTGAACAATCCTCCGATAAGTCGACGGCCGCGGCCCCGTCGAAGCCGTCTTCTCAGCAACAAGATGATACGCCTGCAAAGTATTGGTCTTGAACGCGTGAGTTCCGCCCCAGAGGAACATACGGAACACACGATAAGTCTTTTCGCCCCAACCCGCAATCACCTCGTCCCGAGCCTGATCAAGTCTCTTCGCCCATTCGAGCATAGTCAACTCATAGTCCTTCGTCTCATTAACCACCTCCCTAACCTCAAAACCATGGTACAGGAATTCCGCCATGACATCTTGCACAGTCATATAAGTATGCGTCCCACCCCAAATATTATCTCGAGTCCACGAACTAACTGCATACTTAGTAATAGCCGCCGACCCATCAAGATAGATCCGTCCACCAGGCTTCAACACGTCCCAGACGCAACGTGAGAACCGGCGGTAATCGGGGAGGTGCTCGATGACACCAAGTGTAATGATATGATCATACAGTTCGTCGGGCTTATGCTCAAGGAAATCCTGCAAGAAAACTCGACCAGGGAAGTGATTCTCGGTAATGATTCGCTCGACAAAGCGCGCCGAGTCCGCCGACAAAGTCAAGGTCGTAACGTGGACGCCTCTCGCACCACAATACTGTGTCACGCCACCCCATCCACCGCCCAGATCAAGCACCCTCATCCCGGGCTTGATATCGAGAGCCTTGAATATCGTTTCCAGTTTATTCTCTGAAGCCTGCTCGATGCTTTCATCCGGATTCTTAAAGATCCCGTGCGTATAGAATCGGAATCGCTTATCGATGAACGAAAGGTACAGATCATCCCCGCGGGTATAGTGGTCGCCGATGGCTTTTTTGTTCATAGCGGTCGCGGATCGGATGCAGTAATCGTACAAAAATTGGAACTTTTGTCGCAGAGGCACCTTCTCGGTCAAATTCTCACGTGCGCCGAAGAGAGCGCCGAAATCGCCTTCAACATCAACATCACCTGATACGTAGGCACTTCCGACGCCCATCTCCGTCATGGGAGTGCGAAGTGCTTTCTCCGAGCGGAAAATGACGCGGTATTTGGGCGGCTCTGTTCCGACGGGCACGACCACGCCAGATGGAAGCTGGATCTCACCAGGGATGTTGAGGCTTGCAAGCAGGGCCGCTAAGCCGGTGCGCGGCAGCTTGCTTTGGGGTGTTTCCACGGCCATTTTGGGGTCAAAAATGGTCTGAGGAATTGAAAGTTCGCGTGCAGCGAAGATAAGGGTCAGCTCTAGCTTTATGACCTGGCAAGGCGCGTGGAGATCTTGATGCAGCTCTTATTTGTCAATGCGGAGATGTCTGATCTGACTATACATATCTGGCCACTTCACTTACTGTCCCAGACTTCCATCACACGCTAAAATGCATCACAATAGTGACGGTCACATATACTGTCATTGACGGTATAAAATCTGAATTCTGTGTTGTGGTTGGCCATTGGGCGTATTTGGTCACTTCAAAACGGCCTGACTAGCCGTGCAGGAGAGCTTTGTTCTGCAACTTAGGTGGTTCATCGCTGGATGATGATAAGCGCTAAAATGTACCTATCATATGCTTCTTCATGATGGGTGTAAGATGACGATGGATCCATTTGGCCCACTTTTTAGCAGCCAATGGTTAATCGATAGCATGAAAAACGTAGTACAAAGATACTAGTCAAATCCACGGGGATCGACAAAAACTTTCCTTACCCAGATTTAGCTCTACAGAGTAAGCAGAGCGTTCTGGCTATGACTGGCGAGCGAGCTGCGCTGCAGGAATGAGGGGAAAGCGTGGCTGACGTAGCCATCACAACGATTCGAGATGGTTCTATGCAATGTGCTGAATTAGAGAGCGGTGAGCCGATTAGCTTCTCAGAATGATCTCGAAGACTGCTGTAAGTCGCAGTTATTAGCTAATACCTTTGAGCCTCATGGCCCAGCCGAGCCTAGCCCTGCGCCTCATGGAACGGAAATATGGATGACAGCTTGATAATCGCGCTGTGATTGGTTACCCCACAGCCCTGCAACTCAACTTGGCGGAATTGTGATTCCCCAAAGTATGTACGGCTTGGTGGATGCAAAATTTCACGATTTTTACTACGGATAGGAATAGATGCGCAGTTTTGATTGATGTTTCGTTGTGTTTCAAGGCTACCACACATGGCTGGGGGATATCTGGGTTAATTTTCGGCTAGTTATACAGTCGTTCTCGAAATCGCCTTGACCGACTTACACTGAGAAACTCTTTCTTGGCCCTACCGCCAAGACCTTAGCGCAGATCATTTATTGAGCAGGCCGCATCGACATGGGGGCTTCAGTAAAATGGGCTTGGTATGTTACAAAACCTAGCTACGCAAGACTACACTATGCGTATGAAAAGCCCGTGGAAATCCATGGAACCCTACAGTGGTGCCACCTCATGAGCAAGGCTCTCACGTGGCATCAGCTCCTCTCCGTGTCAGCCGCATTATGGGCACGCACACCTTGATCCCTAACGGTCACACAATTGCGACCGTTGTTCAACAGTGCCTGATTTCTTTCAACACCTCGTGGACTATCACTTTTCAATACCTAGAAGTTATCAAATACAGAAAAAATACATGCGATGTTTTCCGTATGATCAGGACATTGCTTTCTGCCGCATCGGAATGAAGAACTTATCCTCAAAGACACTACTTTACATTCGTAACGCTTAAGGCATTTAACTTAGCCGCAAGTCGCCGGGTTCTACTGTGACCTGGACCAAGGGCCTTCTCGTAGCCTGCCAGTGCTCGCTGGTACATCTCTTCTGCCTCCTTCAGCTTCCCCTGACCATGGTACAGACTCCCAAGGTTATTGACTATAGCCAGGGTCGACATATTATCCTGACCGAGTGCCCTCTCACAGCCTGCCAGTGCTCGCTGGTACATCTCCTCTGCCTCTGTTATCTTCATCTGCTCGGAATAGAGACTCCCAAGGCTGTCAACTGTACAAAGAGTGGACTTATGAACGGGACCGAGGGCCTTGTCATAGCCTGCCAGCGCTCGCTGGTACATCTCCTCTGCCTCCTTTAGCTTCCGCTGATCTCTGTAGACTTCCCCAAGGCTGTCTATCGTATTCAGGGTGGACAAATGATCGGGACCGAGGACCTTCTCACGGCCTACCAGTGCTCGCTGGTACATCTCTTCTGCCTCCTTCAGCTTCCGCTGCTCAGAGTAGAGCCCCCCAAGATTGCTGAGCGTATTGAGAGCCGGTAGGTGTGTTTCGTGATCCCGACCGAGGGCCTTCTCATAGCCTGCAAGTGCGCGTAGGCACATATCCTGGGCCTCCTTTAGCTTCCCCCGATCATAGTAGTGAAGACCAAGGTTATTGACTGTGTCAAGAGTGGACATATGGTCTGAACCTAAAGTCCTCTCCTTGCCTGATAGTGCGCGCTGGTACATCGCCTCTGCTTCCTCCAGCTTCAGCTGTTCCGAGTAGACAAGACCAAGGTTATTGATTGTATCGAGAGTAGACGAATGATCGGGACCGAGAGCCTTCTCAACCCCTACTAATCCCCGATGGTACATCTCCTCTGCCTCTTTTAGCCTTCCTTGGGAGAAGTAGAGAATTCCAAGGTTGTTGACTGTATTAAGCGTCAGTGGGTGTGTTTCATGATCCCGACCGAGGGCCTTCTCATAGCCTGCAAGTGTGCGCAAACATATCTCCTCGGCCTCCTTCAGCTTTCCCTGGTTAGAGTAGAGAAGACCAAGGTTGTTGGCTGTACTAAGAGTAGACATATGACCCGGACCTAAGATCCTCTCCTTGCCTTCCAGTGCTCGCTGATACATCGCTTCTGCCTCTTTCGGCTTTCCCATATTATGATAGAGACTCCCAATCTTGCTAAGTGTATTGAGAGTGAATGGATGATCTGGACCTAGGGTTCTCTCAAAGCCTGCCAGTGCTCGCTGGTAGATCTCTTCTGCCTCCTTCAGCCTTTGCTGATTGGAGTAGATAGTCCCAAGATTGTCGAGTACGTTAAGAGCTGGTAGGTGTGTTTCGTAATCCCCACCGAAGGCCTTCTTATAGCCTGCTAATGCGCGTAGGCACATCCCCTCTGCCTCTTTCAGTTTCCCCTGATTATTGTAGACTTCCCCAAGGCTGTCTATCGTATTCAGGGTGGATAAATGATCGGGACCGAGAATCTTCTCAAACCCTGCCAGTCCGCGCTGGTATAACTCTTCCGCCTCCTTTAGCTTCCCTTGATGGACGTGTAATTGCCCTAGATTATGTAATGCTCCGCATACAGCTAAGTTGTCTGAGTAATTCCTATGGCTCACACGATGTGCGTGCGGAACAAGCCGTTGGTGAAAGCCGAGACAGTTTCCGTCACTTGTACTGTGATGAGTGTGTCCCACACATAATAGTGCTAGTTCATTGAGCTGAACTGAATTCACATTCTTGTCGGTCATGGCAACGTGAATACACCAGTCTTGTACCACTGGATGCATCGTATAGCTCCCGTCTTGTCGCTCGACTTCAAGAAGAGAGAACTCAATAAGAATCCTGACAACTATCTTGAAAGCAAGCCCACTTGATGTAGACCTTTCAAGCCACTCTGGGACATCAGAGTTGTCACAGTCACGCCGTACTAATTCATACCAGATATCTCGATTGTCAAAGTGAGCAAGTAGCAATAGCAGCTGTGCTGCGTTAGGGTCCCGCTTCTGGATTTCTCGATACGAAATCATCCATGTCTGTATCATGTTTCCTTGATCGTACTGGCGTCTAGGACTTGATTGCAACTGCAGGGCCGACCAAGCCTCTCGGTAATACTGTAAGTACTCAGTAATGCTAGTTCCAGTCTCCCGCATAAAGGCCCCAGCGATCACAATTGCTAATGGAAGGCCATCCAAGCGAGTAAGTAGGGCAAGAGTATCTAAATATATTAGTACCAGGATGAAAATTTAAGGGTTATAATAATACCTGGGTTGCTCTCAAACTCTGTAGCAGTATCCTTTACTGATAAGCGGCTAGTTTGTAACAGAAGCTGGGTTGCATCCTTAGGGCCAAATTTATGGACTGGAAAAGATTTTCCTAGCTCTGTCAACCCTTGTAGCCGAGAGGTAATGAGGATGGATCCATGATCTGCTGAAGGGAAATATTTTGCAATATCGTATACATTATCATCATCATCACGACCATTGATAGGGGAATATTGATCGACGTTATCGAAAATGATCAGCCAGCGTGAGTTTCCTTCTAATGCTAACCACTGTAAAACTTTTTTGGCTCGTTGCTCTACCTCATCGTCATTGGTCGCCTCGGCTTTTTGATATAAGCCCGGTAATCGGGGAAAGGTAGAGCTCAAAGATCGTAAAAGCGTGCCTCGATCTTTGCTACTCAGCCAGAAGATGGCAGTAAAGTCATATCTGTGGTCTCGTGCGAAACGAACTGCTAGTTGTGTCTTTCCAATCCCTCCAAGCCCATGAAGAATTGCAACCTTTCGTGACTGGGAATATGTTGGCTGTACATACTGCCAAAGTTGGTCTAGCTCGTCTTGTCGTCCCAAAAAGTTTTCAATTACCGGGATAGCCGTTAGGTCTAATGGGACATCAAAGCGGTGAACTATATATATATAATATTTAGCAATCGTTTCGAATTACTTAAGAAAGACTTTTAACATACTCTCACCAGAGTCTGCGAGCGTGTCTCTTGCAGTTGGTGTGCAGTTGATCTGATCTATTGCAATCACCAAGAGAAGCTCTTTCGCATAGGCCGCCGCGGCCGCGGCCGCATACCCTTGCCATCCTTTATTTTTGTGTGAGTCGGCATAGTCGCAGATGCCCCGAATGACTAGACACGGAAAGTCGTTCATCAGTCCTGCCGCTTCCATCTCCACACAATATATGCCTAATTCCCGAGCCAGCTGATCTCGCCGCCTGCCATTCTTTATAACCTGATTTGCAGATCCGATAAGTCCGTAGTGAATCACTGGTTCTTGGTGCTCTCGTGGGGTTCGTGGAATCAATTTAGATTGATCGCAATCTATACACGTATCGGATTCGACATGATCATACTCTGCGTGGAATAGACAGTCCTCTTGCGTCGGTCGCGCGAACTTGGTGGCTTTGTGGGGCGCTATTTTGGCTTGTAAGTTAGAAATAAATCTAACGATCTGGCTATCTTCCGTGTAGTGATGTGCTTGGAGAGTCGCGAGAGCGGTTAATAGAACCTTAGGAGGTCGATTAAGCATTCCGGTTCGCGTGAAGTGGCCGCCGCTTAGCGCTTTACCTAAATCGTATTGAATCACGCCTCCAGAAGTGTCCGTCGGCTGGCTCACGACGATATCTCCAAGTCTAATATCTACATGGCTGCTTGGTACCCCGCCGCCGACACCAACCATAAAACCGAAGCGGATGGCGTGAAAACTAGACAGCAACTGCATCCCAACCGTTGCAGCTGATATATTGGCATATGCGCCGGCCGGTAAGCTAGCAATGACAATGTTGTGTTCCCCGATGCTCCCAAAGATGTATGTATTTTGGTCCATCGGGAGGCGAGGCAAAGGCGGGTGTATTTTGTCCAGCATCAGCTTTGCAGCCGCCGTCTCCACTGGCAAGGCGCATATCCATCCGACTGTATAGTCGTGGTGGAATCGGGTCCTGGCATCCATAGTGGACTGACTCCCGTACGATCGGATCGTGCGTTATGATTTCTGATTTGTCAATGTGTTCAATGTGTGTGGAAGATAGGAGAAAGAATAGTAAATCGGAGGTCATGTGAATTATGTCGGGAGCTTGTTAGGAGACGGCGGGGTTCAGCTGAGGCTACGCGCTTGGGTTGTCAGTTGAGTGCACGTGCCTTTGGTTAATTGTGGAGAGGCGTAATTGATGCAGCTTATATCGGATGGGGGAGGCGGGTGACCAACGAGATTGGTGCGTGTTTTGATGCATCGATTCCCAAGTGAAGCGCCATGATTTAATTGAACACCATGATCATCATGGCTATTGAGAGAACAGGAAATCTTTTCCTTGGGCCTACAGTAACGACGGACTAAGGGTGAGTGATAATCAGTTGAGACTCAAACCATTAGGTGCCAGGAAGGCCGTTGGCCGCCGAGATCACCTGCTGAGGTTCTCTGGACCAAAGAGCCATCTTGTATGTGATGACTAGCACACACCGCACAAAAGGATGGGGAGAAGAACAAAAAGGTCTCTAAGCAGATCACCAAGTCACTTGTGCAAGGTGGCATGCCCCACATCCATGGAATTCTATGGGCCTTCCTTTCATACACATATTGTAATCTTATGTCACATGGAGGCTTACTGAAGCCTGATATACTACTTGATGGATCATGGATGGAGTAGCTGGTCAAAAAAATCCACTGTTGGAAATCTAAGGCGGGAGGATGTTTGACCCCCAACTGATAAATCACGGCTCAGCTATATAAAAGGTGGGAAGCAGGGTGAAAATCGAAACTAAATATGGCCCTAGGAAAGCTGGAGCGACCTTTGATTGAATACCACCAGCACCGCCACATCAAGGCAACCTAGACAATCACGCTTCCCTGACAGATCATGGCTCAGCTTAATTTTCCCCTGAAGTAAGGAACCTCAACCAAAACAAATATAAATTAAGGAAGGCCTAGACAAATGTTTGATTGGATAAAGCACCGGCACTGCCCGTCCTTACGTATTTGATTGGATACTCTAGGCAAGCAGTGTAAGGTCTAGATCTCGTCCATGGCTCAGCAGCAGTGGGTTGCGTGGAAAATTAAACTAGGAAAAGGGGGGCAGCAGTTCTCGATGATCTATCATTGGTCGGAATACCCGTCACATATCTATGCTACTCATTTCATCACAGGTCGAGCCGGCTATGTTGTAGGCCTCTAGGCAGACATACACCCCAACAGATAGGTTGCGGCGCAGCCAGCCAAGTCCCATCAAAGCAATTTTGCCATTCACGAAAACAGGGACGAGATTGGGCGGAGGAAATCTATAGTAGTCGTTGATTCGATAAAGCAGCACAGGCAAAACTCGATAGATGTCCACTTCTCACTGCTCAAGTGGTAAATTCCGGCTCAGCTATAGGATAGAGTGCGACACGAAATACATTTTGGCCGAGGGGGGCCTACAGCAAGCACTCCCGGAGTTAGGCAGACATCGCTCAGCTGGCTTATTATGGCTCAGCTCTTTCTCCGATCGAAGAAATCAAACCAAATATAGCTAGAGAAAACCTACGGTATCATTTGATTGGATACAGTACCAGCACTGCCGAAGTTAGGCAGACATGCCCAGCTGGCTTATTATGGCTCAGCCGCGCTTCCCAAAAAAAAAATGAAACCAAACATAGCTAGGGTAACCTTTGATATCATTTGATTGGATATGATCCCGCATGGAATACGTCCTTCCAGTGCAAACCTTGGGACGCTGCAGATCTGGGATCATGGCTCAGCAGAGCCCCATTTGACCGCCTTGTTCCCCTCAACTCGAAACCAAAAAAATGGGGGAGCATTTCGAGATCAGCTATTATTGGTCGGAAATCAGGCATCTTCCATGACTTGGTCCATCACGTGTCCCGCTGGTTACGTATGAGGCTGGAAGATACGTCCATAGTTTCAGACTTGAGTATTCACCTGATGCCGAATGTTCAGGTGATTTGTAGGTAATATTCTATATACCGAAATATTTAAAATTGGCTTCCGTGTTCTGCACAGAGAAACTATCTTAAGCCCCACCGCTCAGACTATGGTGAAACGGCTTAGGCTAAATAATGTCAGGCCAAAGATCACCCAATGCGTCATAATAGCAATGTATGTAAGTTACTTTACAAAATAATACGCTACGGATCATTGTTTTGAATGGCTAGCCCGTTAGGAAAAGGCGTTCACACCTTGTTCTAAATATAGAATTGAACAGCGCCCAGCAAGTCACCCGATAGTAAGATTGATAAGCCCCGCCTGAGTTGATACCCTCTCCTACCCCAGAAATAAAGCTGTGTCTACATAGCACATTAGCTATGACAACCATATCGTTAGGTCAAGGAGGCCAGGGTCTTCAGGTGGGAGTCAATCACGGAATGATCCATATTCCCCCGCGTAGGTTTCATAAGACCCTACCAAGCTGAAATTGACTAATCTCCTTCAAAACACCTAGACCGACCAGAAACTCCACCAGCCCCTCTATCAACCGTCCCATTTCCCCGCGACCCAGACTTTGTTAGTCGCGACACATTGCTCGATGAGATACATACAAAAATCTCAGTTCCCGGTTCCAGGATAGCCCTTGTGGGCATCGGCGGCGTCGGGTAAGTGCAAGGAGTTTAGCGAGTGGCTTAGTGCTGACAATCGACAGGAAATCGCAACTTGGTTTAGAGTACACCCACCGAGTCCGATCCCAGTCACCGGAGACATGGGTTTTTTGGGTCTATGCAAGTAACGCGGCTCGGTTCGAGCAAAGCTTCGCGGACATCGCCCGCAGCGCCAAAATTCCCGGGCGTAATGATCCCATGGTGAACATATTTCGCCTAGTCGAAAGCTGGCTCCAGGATGCCAAGAGTGGAAGGTGGTTGCTGATACTTGATAATATTGATGATGATGGGTTCCTTCGCCAGCCCTTCACGACAAGTCAGCAGCGCCAGATCAACGGTCAAAACCCCTCAACAAAGCCACTATTAGAATTTATCCCCCGCAGCCCTCACGGATCAATAATTATCACAAGTCGGAACCGAGAGCTAGCATCGAAAATTGTCGATCACCGGAACATTATTCGAGTCGAACCAATGAAAAGATCCGAAGCGCTAGTGCTCTTTCAAAAAAAGCTGGAACTGCCTGAGGAGACTCAAGAGGCCGTCAAATTAGTGGAAGAGCTCGAATTCCTGCCACTTGCGATCGTACAGGCAGCCGGCTATATCAAACATCGAGCACCCCGTTTCTCGGTATCACAATACCTAAAACTTTTCCAGGAAAGTGACCGTCGGGCCACTAGGCTACTTAATTTTGAGGCAAGCTTTCAATCCCGAGATTGGGAAGCAGGAAACTCTATTCTGGTCACATTGCAAATATCCTTTGCTCATATTCAAAAATCGAGACCGTCAGCTGCAGACTTGCTTTCTCTCATGAGCTTTTTCGACCCACAGGGAATCCCAGAGGAGCTTCTGCTAGCTCCTATATATATGAAAAGCAAGAGTACGCCCAGTTTACCGCAGGATGTCGCGGAAAGCTCTAGTCCAAAGGATTCGGATAGTTCGTCTGAACCCGACCTAGATACTTTTATAGACGATATCACAACCCTCAGAGACTATTCATTCATTCATATGGGTACGGATAGCACAGTTTTCACTATGCATCGGCTAGTGCAGCTAACTGCCCGCGCTTGGCTCAAGACTTATGGTAAATTAGAGCAATGGAAGGAATGCTTCATCCACAACCTTCGCAGCAATTTCCCGAAGGGCAAATTTGAGAACTGGACAAGATGCCAAGTGCTATATGCTCACGTGCAGTGCGCTATCGCACAGAAGCCATGTACAGTGGATTCGTTACAAGAATGGGCGTCATTGCTACACGAAGCAGCATCGTTTACATGGACTCGAGGAAATTTCGACGAAAGCAAAAGAATGGCAGAGAAAGCAATGAAAACAAGAACAAAAATATTCGGTCTGGAGAACGAGGAGACGCTTGATAGTTTGGAGATGCTAGGGCTAGCATATAGCCTAGGGGGTCAATGGAATAAGGCCCAAGAGTTACATATACAGGTGATGGAGACCTGCAAACGGGTACTTGGGCTTAAGCATCCCTCTACTCTGACCAGTATGGCTAACCTGGCATCCACGTACCGGAATCAGGGACGGTGGAAGGTAGCTGAAGAGCTAGAACTACAGGCAATAGAGATCCGTAAGCAGGTGCTTGGGCTAGAACATCCTGATACTCTAATCAGCATGGCTAATCTAGCGTCGACTTATGGGGGTCAGGGACGATGGAAAGAAGCTAAAGAGCTAGAACTCCAGGTAATGAGGACCCGCAGACACTTGCTCGGTATAGAGCATCCCGACACTCTTACTAGTATGGCCAACCTAGCATTGACATACTGGAATCAGGGGCGATGGAAGGATGCCGAAAGGTTAGGGGTGCAGGTGATAGAGTCTCGCAAGCAGGTTCTCGGCCTAAAGCATCCCTCCACTCTGACTAGTATGGCCAACCTAGCATCGACCTACTGGAATCAAGGGCGATGGACGGAAGCCGAACAGCTAGGAATGCAGGTGGTAGAGACTCGCAAGCAGGTGCTGGGGCCGGAGCATCCAGATACTTTGACCAGCATGGCCAATCTGGCGTCGATTTATGGGGATCAGGGACGGTGGAAGGAAGCCGAAGAGCTAGAAGTAAATGTGCTAGAAGCCCGTAAGCGGGTTCTCGGGCTGGATCACCCCGATACCTTGACCAGCATGGCCAACCTAGCGTCGACTTATGGGGATCAGGGACGATTAGAGGAAGCCAAAGAGCTAGAAGTACTGGTAATACAGACCAGTAAGCAGGTGCTCGGGCCAGAACATCCCGATACTCTGACCAGCATGGCCAACCTAGCGTCGACTTATGGTGATCAGGGGCGATGGGATGCAGCCGAAGAGCTAGGGTTACATGTGCTAAAAGCCCGCAAGAAGGTGCTTGGGCCGGAGCATCCCGATACTCTGACCAGCATGGCCAACCTGGCGTCGACTTATGGGGACCAAGGACGATGGAAAGAAGCAAAAGAGCTAGAATTGCAGGTGATGGAGACCCGTAGACAAGTGCTCGGGCCAGAACATCCTGATACTCTAGCCAGCATGGCTAACCTTGCTTATACCTTACGGTCATCGGGTAGAAATGAAGATACTATGTAGATGACCAGATGTGGATGTGCTCAAAATCCACGGTCGACGATTAGTTCATATTTCGGTTCTGTGGATATTCCCTGTCAGTGGCATGGTCAGTAAATGAAAGACTTTATTTGACGTACAGAAAGAGTGGTCAAACACCACATTTCCCCCCATCCCTAACATAGGATAATTCATCGTTCGCAAGGAATATCAGGTGAAGCAGGAACCACTATGTCGTACACAATGCACAGTGTCACATACTTCCGATTCTCTCAAGATCTCAACATGGTCTTATCCCCATAAAGCTGTGTTCGTCTCAAGCATCAAAACGCCCAATCCGGTACCACCCGGTGGATTCACCCATACAGCTATACAAGTTTATTGTAGAATAAAAGCTCAATCACTTCTTCACCAACGGGGATAGAAGCATATCGTGCTCTCAATTGCTGGTCAACCACTTTACTCATTGTTGAGGCTTGATGAATACGCCGAGGAATATCTCTGGGCCCGGCCTAGGCGCAGATATATCATTGAGCAAGCCATATTAAAATATGGGCTCCAGTAAGATGCTTCGGTATGGTCCTGTATCTTGCCGCTTGAAATTCCATGCTACGCTTTGATTTCTGCATGATTAACCTTTAAGAACCACTGTATCCTATAGCCGCACATTGGAATACTACCACCCTTTATTCGATGCGGCGGGTTCATTAATTTATCTGCGCTTAGGCCTTGGCAGGGAGACCGGGAAGGAACTAGTTATTCAGTGTGTATTGGCCAAAGCCGATGAGTAGTATCGTCACGTGCGCCCAGCTCTCCTCTTCTCCCAGGCTGCGGCTGAGTGGATTGTTTTCCTTGATCATGCCCGCAGACACATTCTCTGTGCTCCTGCGCCAACCCCACGGCAACCATATCGGAGGACAGGATTTGCTTCACACCGCGGGCGGAGAGACCAAAACCAAAACCGGGTCTTCGAGCATTATCTGTCGCTGGTGCTGACGCCGATTCTCTACAGAAACCTTGCGACACTGAGAGATCCAAAAATGCGCCCTAGAACTCGCGATGACTTTGAGATAGCAATCATCTGCGCCCTTCCTCTGGAAGCAGATGCAGTGGAAGCTCTATTTGACGAACACTACGATACACTTGGCCAAATATATCGCAAGCAACCAGGAGATGCTAACAGTTACACAACGGGACGGATCGGTCAACACAGTGTCGTCCTGTGCTACATGCCAGGAATAGGAAAAGGGAGCGCTGCAAGCGTCGCTTCAAGTTTGCGAGTGAGCTATACCGGAATCAGGCTCGCTCTAGTTGTCGGAATATGTGGGGGGTCCCCTTCCCGTCTAGAAGTACCACAATCTTTCTGGGAGACGTTATTATCAGCGACAGCGTCATTGAATATGATTTCGGCAGACAATATCCTGATGGATTTCGACGCAAGAGTGATCCAAAAGACACCCTTGGACGACCTAATCGAGAGATCCGAAGCTTTCTTGCCTGCCTTAAGACACGCAAAATGCGAAGTAAAGTACAGGATCAAATTTCTCATTATCTTGAAGAGCTTCAAAAGCACACACCGAATGAGTGGCAGTATCCAGGCATCATGGAAGATGTGCTCTTCGAGAACTCTTATCGCCATAAGCATCATCAGCGACCCCCGACTGTCAATTGCATTTGTACCCGTTGCAAATCCAGCTTAGATATGGTTTGTGAAGATGCATTAATAAGTGATTGCCGAGAACTAGGATGTGAGGGGAAGCCAGTCCATCGCGACCGGCTGAGTGTAGATCGACCAAGCCCTGTTGTGCACATTGGCACAATGGCATCTGCTGATACGGTAATGAAATCCGGTGAGCACCGCGACAAACTGGCCGAAAAGGAAGGGATCATTGGACTTGAGATGGAAGGGGCTGGGGTCTGGGACAATGTACCTTGCGTGATCATCAAAGGAGTTTGCGACTATGCAGATAGCCATAAGAACAAGATATGGCAAGATTATGCTGCAGCCGTTGCTGCATCTTGTACCAAAACCTTTCTTGACTATTGGATACCTACCAATAAAGAAAGTCGGTGAGTTAGACTAAAGTGATACCACTTAAATCAAAATTATCTGGATAATGATAACTGATCATAACAATTTCCCGTATTTAGAACCAATCGCCTTCTGTCTGAGCAAAGCACAAACCTAAAAGACCTTAAAGTCTCTATCGAAAATATCAGTGCGCAGTCCCGTGCGGCTGCTTTATTAATGCTGTATGATTCTGCGATGTCAAGGGAAGATCTAGAGGCTAATATCTCTTAGATTTGCTTTTCTCTATTGTCGGAGAGTGCTTATGGCAGTTCATACTCAAATGGCCAAGCTTATAAGCCCCTGGCCTGAACGACCGGCATTTCTTGAAGATGCCCATTTAAGACCCTTTACAATTCCTCTTGACACGATCAGTTCTTGGAAGGTATAAAACCTCCTATAAATTTTCCACTCATGCAAAGTATGGCTTTTTTATTAACAAGGAAAATAGATTTTCGATCACATGCTTGAACTCAACTTTGAAGATATGCCAGGCTACCAAAAAGTGAAAAGGGGAAGCTACATACTTGAGGACTCGATCACACGCAAAGAAATCAAGCACACCAGTGCATTCAGGGTGTGCTTCAGACCTGGGCGAAAGATTATCATGAGTATGCGTTTTCACCATACTCAGCATGAAAAATCTAGTTGTCCCGCTTGTCATGCGGTCAATCTAGATTCGGGACTCTCTGATGTGTGCTGGTAAGACTTTCGGGGATGATATCTCCCCGCATTCAGAGTAATCTAACTTTTGCGACAGTTCCCTCTGCGGCTTGCAGTATCGCAGGATAACGGAAGTCTCCGAAGACGACGAAGAGTCCCCTTCAGTTGTGTCTAGTGCCGCAGAAAGTTCAAAGGCAAATTTTAAAGACCAGTCTTTGATCGCTGGGCCTGAGACTCCTGCCGAAGCTGATCCTACAGATGAGGATGTTGCCGAGTTCAAAAGGATTCAAATTGTGGCCCCAGTAAATGTCACAGGGGCTGTTAAGATTACAGAATTAGATGAAATTGCGACCATTTTGTCGGCCTCTCAATCGGCTACGACCTCACTCCACCCTCTTACGAACATTTCATACAAAGGTGCAAGTGGTTTTACGTCTCCTGACATATTCACTCCAACAGAACCTAGCGAAAGCCAAGCCAGCAATCGAAGACGAAGACGAGCAGAACGAAACCAAATGCGGCGGCAGAGACAGCAATTTGGCGAAGTGGAATACACCTGATACTGTAATAGAACATCAGTTAAGACTGGCTGTCTTCCGCAACTACTATAGTTTCCGAAATCAGTAATACCTCCATACTCTTATGACTTGATTGTCCGAAACTAATTCCTAGGGCAGCGAGTCCTGATTAGATACTATAACCAACCTCGGCTTTTTAGATCGCTTGCCGAAATGCTATCTGTAACTAACTACATTACTACCGTGAGACAAGCGGTCGTCACTAAGGAATACCCATAGATGAGTGATTACAGGGCTAGGCTATACTGTTTAATGCGAATCCACATGAAGATTAAATCTTTGAAACCCATAAGTCCAGAGATTTCTGGACATCAAAAAGCCCTGGAAATTGTAAAGGAAGCAGAGGGTAGGCAAGTGTCAGTTGGAACTGAGACTAACAAGCAGGAATTGAAGACCGCAAGAGAATACTGTCCAAGCTGAAACAGTCACCTAAGTCCCTTGCGATGGGCAATTATGACTCCAAGCTTAATTTAGATGTAGGGTACCATTTAATTTGTATTTGTAGATGAAATCCCTCAATTTTGGACCGAAAACTGAATCGCTAAAGACATACAAATATTTCTACATGGGAGCAAACAGAAAGCAGACTGAATATAAGGATACAAGGTGAAAAGCGATCATTCAAAAACAACTGGCGACCTTAACGACCGGCCAAATCTTGAGCCAGGGCGAAGAGTAAATTCTCAGTGAGTGGCACATTGGCCAGCATCATGACATTCCCTGGGGCCTCCGACATCGACGCAGAACGAAGCCGACGTGCTGGCGGGCGACGCACCTCCTCTTCGTAAACCTTCCCTCCGATCACACGGGCACGGCTCTCATCGTTGGCATGCAGGTAGGTGATCCGGCCTGCGGTCTCGTCGATAGAGTCTCCCTGAACAGCGTCATTTTCATCGCTGTCGGTGCCGGCGGTTGCCACGGTAGGGTTGTGGACTCCGGTGTGAAGGTTCCTTACACGAGAGGAGGAGGCGCCATAGTTATCGAGAAATAGCCGCACGTTGAGAGTGTTTGTGGCGGCTGTGGAGCTTGGCAAAGCTGATGTCCTACTTTTGTTCGTAGTGGACCCACTCTGACCTCCACCAGCCTGCAATTGGTGCAACTGGGACTGGAGAAGTCCATCCACAACGTTGTCGCGGAACGTAAAGCCCTCATTTTGCAGCGCCTGCACAGGGTTCAGAGTATTGTATTGACCACTGGCATACTGGCCAATGCTCCCGTAGCGGCCGACATATAGTCCATTGCCGAACTGGGGGAAACCCTGCCCCAGGTTGTCTCCAGGATAGCCACCGTTTGCAGGAAAGCCATTGTTCTGGGATGCTGAATTATCTGGGGGAATCTCGATCTGTCACCGGGATTAGCACGTTTCTATCATTTCCACACCCGACAGGACGTACCGTTCGCGTGAATTTCCTTCCTGGCATTGCGATGTAGTGGTCGAAGGAACTTTCCAGAGCTGCAAAGTTGAATCCCCGTTCCCCCTCCGCAGGCTCAAATCTCTGGCCTACCTCTTGACAGAAGTTGACGGGCCGACGTGCCTGGGGCTGGTAGGCCGGTAGCGAAAGCATGATGCTGGGGTAACTTCCATACCACGTCTTGAGAACCGGCTCGATGTCGAGAGTCAGGTTAATTTTGGTATTCGCAGTCGGTTTTTGAATGAGCATGATAAAAGTAAATTCGCGAGGTAGACCAGAGCGCTGCAGGTTGTTCTCCTCCAGCGACCAAACGATTTCACCGGCTTCGACATCGAACTCGGGGCCCAGGGTGCTTTTCAACGTACGGGCAGAGCCTTGGATGCGCATCATCTCATAGCGGCGGAACTGTTTACTGACACTGCCGGATGGAATCAAGCTGGCGCTCACTGGGGCCTCGGAGATCCCAAGGGAACCGGCCAGGCTGAAGGTCCATTGCATGGTCTCGGGGGACACGGTACCGAAGATAAGATGAGGGGCGTGCATCAGAAAATGGGGGTTTCCCGGCGGATAACCCTGGGGATGAATAGTAGAGGTAGCTATTTCCTGGCTTCCGCGAATGGCAGCCCGGATAGTAGCAGACTTGAAGCGGTGGGTTAGAGTGTGGGGAGAGTGGAAAACAAAGCTAATAGCGAGAAAATCAACATGCTCCGCATCCATGTCTGAGACTGAAGCGCTGGCATAGAAGCCATGCTGGAGCCGCTGAACGTGTGCCGTTATGTACGCATCACCAGGAAGCCGGCGCTCATAGACACAAGGACGATTAACAAACAGGCGAGGATCTGACATGTTGGGGTCGCGAGGCTTTTTGTCTGGTTGATCAGGTCCAGAGTTGACCGGATCAGCGACAGGAGGAGGTTGATTGCCATCCTTGGTTGGGAGTGAAGTAGCCATCGTGAATCGGTGCCACCCGTGAGACAACCCGCGATATCCCCTGCTAAAGGCCGCTGTTTGCTCTCCATCTGGAATTTCTTGACTTAGTTAATGACTGACACTTTACAGGCGCATAGCCTTGTCAGGATATATGTATCTAAGATGTTAGTTCGTGCAAAAGAGGGTAGGCTATATCCCTAGGTCTAAGATTGTGCTTGCCATCAGGCGGGTAGTCATGTGTAGATCGGCTATCAGGTGAGTGAGGCAATGTGGACAGTCACAATGACTTGAATGGCTCTTGGCGTATTTCATTGCAAGTAAATCCTTTGATCTGTCACAGATCAGAGTTAGTCATTCAGATATAAAGAAAAGTAAAAAAAGTAAATGATGGGACGGTGATGATGATTGTTGTGAGTCGCGACCCGTCGATCCCCAAAGAGCTGGGGTCGGAGCCCGGAGGAACGGTTAACCCGGGTACCCACTGGAAATCCGCGTCACTTTTCTTAAGCATCCGGGGACCTCGGTTCTATCAAGACATACTCTACTTGCAGTTTTGATACTTGGTGGGATCATTGGTTCGACTTGGGCTGCTCAGGAGTCGTATCTGGGCCTCTTCATTGAACCTCTGGCTTGTATTATAACATCCGAAGTTCATTTTGATCGTGTGACCGCGTGACCCCCATTGACAGTCCCAGTTGTCAATCTCCTTTACAGAAAGCACCGGTATCAGGATACTAGCTTTGAAATTAGATCTTTTGATTGAAGGCCAGTGACAGAGTGACAAGGCATGGGCTACTTGTTGGCTTGATTTTTGCCGAGTTCATTCGTTTACACTCCACTTTCCACCGAATATTTCACAGGGGATCAGGTGTTTCGTTGCGGGTTCTTTACTATTCTGTCAAAATGTTTCCTATTACGGTATCGCAAATGCTGCGGCCTTTCCCAGCAGCTCGGGGTTCCCGGCCCCTCTATGGCCCTATCCGACTTCATATGCAGGCTCGAGGGGATGCGCTACGCCCTCAATGCATGTCCACGTTGATAAATAGCTCATCGCCAGGCCAGTTGTCAACTAGGTATGATAGCTTGCACATCTCGAAAGGTCCGAGCTAATTGCTTTCAAGGCCTTTGCAACCCCGCAGCTGCCTAGTCTCGGCTCCAAGGATATCGTTACTGGGCAATCGCAGATGGACATCATCAAAACCGACCGGCGAGCCCCAAGAGCCTCAATCAGAAGAGTAGGTCGAAATTCCCAACATCTGTATCGTGGGTGTGCCAGCTGACCAATTTAGCTCCAAACCCACGACTGCTGCAAAGCGCCTATTGTCTAAGCTACCCATGGGGAAAAGCCATGAGAATATCTACACCGTTCCCAATATTCTCACCTTTACTCGGTTAGTGGCGGCACCTGTGGTGGGGTATCTGCTTGTCCACGACTACCATGCAGCCGCTTTGTCCCTATTCGCGTATGCAGGCATTACCGATCTGGTCGACGGGTGGATTGCCCGAAAGTATCACCTGCAGACAGTTGTGGGAACCATTATTGACCCTATGGCTGATAAACTGCTGATGACGATCGGAGTGGCGTGTCTGGCGGTGAATGGGTCGCTTCCTAGTATGTGTGTGCTTCCCTGTCGTGTGTTGCTTTTAACCTGACCCTTGCTGCAGTTTGGCTGGCCGTTATTATTCTTGGTCGTGACATTGGACTGGCCATCTCGGCAATCTATTACCGATGGATTTCTCTCCCTGCTCCGAAGACTATGGCTCGGTACTGGGATTTCTCGCTTCCATCTGCCGAGGTCAAGCCTACCGAAATATCCAAGATCAATACTGCCCTGCAGCTGGTGTTGGTAGGCACCGCCATTGGACTTCCTGTGGTTCCCGAGGCTTTCATTAGTGCTTGGCATTTGCAGGAGGCTATGACTGGATTCCAGTAAGTGATACCCCTATGGCTTTGTTTTAGCACATTTGCTTGATCCTGTGGGGTGAACATGGGCCCGCCTTAAGGCAGTTCGATGATGCACCTAGTACATACGACCATAGGGTGTGGAGAACAGGGCTTCCCGTCCGCTCAGCCGTACTTAAGCCACACGCCGGTCAGTTAGTAGTATGGTGGGTGACCACATGCGAATCCTGACTGTTGTATGTAATTTTTTTTTCTTTCCTTTGTGTACCCTCTGTGCCTTTTACCTGATGCATGCGCTTTTGTTTTACCTGATTGGTTACAATGGCTTACTAACCACGGTTGCAGGTACCTTGTGGCGGGTACAACCATCTGGTCGGGCCTGAGCTACGTCTTGTCTAATAATGCGGTGAAGATCCTGACTAATGAGGAGATCCAGAGACGGATTGCTGCAGCGGCTGCGAAGAGAAAGCCTTGAGATATATCCGATCACATTCGATCCATGTACAGTAGCATTAGGCGATCTTTCCTTGTATCAGCATCACATTTCCAATTTAGTCTCGATTCCACTGGTTTGGGGTTATGCCCGTTGAAGATGCATGCGAATACGTGTCACAAAGGGCGTAAACGAACCCGATCTACCAGGGTGATCCTGGTGCCGGGATTACCCCCCTATCTGTCGCGACCACACAGCTCGGCAGATGGAAATTTCGCGTGTACAGGCTAACCGAAGTGGGTAAATAGTCGTCAAATTTGCATGTGGATACTAATTTATAGAGAGGATTGATAAGCAGTCAGAACGATTCAGAAAGGCTGAAACCAAGATGGGTCGGCACAAGTGCCGGGGAGAAGCCACGAGCCGAATCGGAAACTTGCATTGGAAAGTCGCCGAAGCGCTTGGACTCTGATTCAGGTGCGCGTAGGAGACCGCAGTCAAACAAGTCGCATTACTCATGCAAACGCGGAATATAAATTCCCCCTGCAAACATCGCACGCTAAACCTAACGCGGATCCCGCCAGTCAGCAACGGGGAGATCACATGCGCCCTGATTGGGCAAACCGCGGAATATCGAATTCCTGTGGACTATCGGCTAAACGCCGGGACTATCTCCGACCATTTACCAGGAAATAAGAAAAAAAAGTTTTTTTTTCTTCTATCTTCTATTCGGTTGATCCCGCCCAGGCCATGAATCATCTTTACTCATGGGATCCACACCTTGATTCCTCGGTCGCATTCGAACTTGACGAATCCCATCTTACAAATCGAAAATGGGTCCCGGACTTAAGCCGTATTTATGAACGCATTCCTTTTATATTGACTTTTTCTGCGTCGCCCCTCCTCTCTTTCCTTTTTCTTCCCTTGGGTGATTCTTGTATATATACACACCTGACCTCTTTAATACATTTAATACCTGCAATTGAGCTTCGCTAGTAGACCCAACTACTTCGACCCCGGCGAGATGGATTCCGACCATCAACCGCTGGAGGCGCAACACCACTCGGAGCAATCGACTTACCAAACCAACACGACAAGCTCCCAGATGTCTCAATCAAACTTTCACATTACTGAGCAATCTAATTCTAGCAACGTGGTGGAATCCAATAATGAATCCAACCACGAGGAAGCCCACCAACACGAAATCGCTGACCCCGTCATCTCGAGCGCATCGTCTACCCTGTCTTCCCATGAAAGCACCAGTGGTGGCTGGGGCGAGCAAAAGGCCGGCGAGCCCGTCTCCCGCCGGGGTGCAATGGAGGATCTGGAGGAAATGCGCCGCGAATTGACCCGTCTCAGTTTGCACCGCACTCGCTCAGCGACTTCCAAGAGCATGCACCGCCTCAAATCGCGTGCCAGCCGTCAAGATGAAGAGAAAGCCCTAGACGATGAAACCGACTCGGAGGATCATGGCTTTGATTTGAATGAGTTCCTCATCGGTGGTCACCTGGAACGCCGCACGACTGCTGGCGAACCTGCCAAGAAGGTCGGTGTGGTCTTCAAAAACCTCACTGTCATGGGTGTGCAGACAGGCGCATCTTTTGTGCGCACCCTGCCTCATGCAGTGATAGGCACATTTGGTCCTGATTTGTACAACGTTATCTGTCGCTTCGTGCCGCAGCTGTGGGTCGGAAAGAAACCGCCGGTTCGGGAGCTGATCAGCGACTTCAGTGGTTCCGTGCGCGAGGGTGAGATGATGCTTGTTCTCGGCCGTCCCGGTGCAGGATGTACCACTTTCCTCAAGGCGATTGCCAATGATCGCCAGGCCTTTGCTGGAGTCAATGGCGAGGTTAGCTATGGTGGTCTCTCCGCCGAGGATCAGAACCGTTATTTCCGTGGCGAAGTCAACTACAACCCCGAGGATGACCAGCATTTCCCGTCGCTCACGGTCTGGCAGACTTTGAAGTTCTCCCTTACCAACAAGACACGCAAGCATGATCGTGATAGCATTCCTATTATCATTGATGCTCTGCTGAAGATGTTCGGCATCAGTCATACCAAGAACACTCTAGTTGGTAACGAGTATGTTCGTGGTGTCTCCGGTGGTGAAAGGAAGCGTGTTAGTATCGCCGAGACCCTGGCTACCAAGTCGACCGTGGTCTGCTGGGACAACTCGACCCGTGGTCTGGATGCCAGCACTGCCTTGGACTACGCCAAGTCGCTTCGCATTATGACCGATGTCAGCAAGCGCACTACTCTGGTCACCCTCTATCAGGCGGGAGAGAGCATTTACGAGCTCATGGACAAGGTGTTGGTCATAGATGAGGGTCGCATGCTCTACCAAGGCCCCGCGCAGAAAGCGCGCCAGTACTTCCTGGACCTTGGTTTCTACTGCTCGGACCAAGTGACAACTGCCGACTTCCTAACCTCCGTCTGTGATGTCAATGCTCGCGAATTCCAGCCCGGTCGTGAGGCTTCCACTCCCAAGACCGCCGAGGAACTTGAACGGGTGTTCAAGAGCAGCGACGCCTACAAGCACATTTTGGATAATGTCAGCACCTACGAGAAGCAGCTTGAGGAGACCCAACAAGAAGATACCCGCCGCTTTCAGAGCAGTGTCGCCCAGTCCAAGAGTAAGACTGTTTCCAAGAAGTCTCCTTACACTGTGTCTTTGGCCCGTCAGGTCGCTGCCTGTGTGAAGCGCGAGTTCTGGCTTCTGTTGGGTGACAAGACTTCTCTCTATACCAAGTACTTTATCATCATCTCCAACGGTCTTATCGTTTCGTCTCTGTTCTACGGTGAATCAATGGACACCAGCGGTGCCTTCTCCCGTGGTGGTGCTCTTTTCTTTTCGATCCTGTTCCTTGGCTGGCTGCAATTGACCGAACTCATGCCCGCTGTCAGTGGCCGAGGAATCGTTGCCCGTCACAAGGATTATGCCTTCTACCGTCCGTCGGCTGTCTCAATCGCCCGCGTGGTAATGGATTTCCCAGCCATTTTCTGCATGGTCGTTCCATTCTGTATTATTGTCTATTTCATGGCCGGTTTGGATGTGACTGCTTCCCAGTTCTTCATCTACTTCCTGTTCGTGTACACCACCACTTTCTGTATCACCTCAATGTACCGCATGTTTGCAGCCCTTTCGCCGACCATCGACGATGCTGTCCGTTTTGCTGGTATCGCGCTCAACCTGCTGATTCTCTACGTGGGTTACGTGATTCCAAAGCAAACTCTGATCAACAGCTCGATCTGGTTCGGATGGTTGTTCTATGTGAACCCGATCTCATACAGTTACGAGGCTGTCTTGACTAACGAGTTCTCGGATCGGACCATGGAATGCGCTGCCTCCCAGCTTGTTCCTTCAGGATCTGGGGCCGTTGCAGGACACCAGGGATGTTCCTTGACCGGTTCATCTGTTGACCAGACTTCTGTTCCTGGTGCCCAATACGTGGAAGCAAACTTCCAGTTCACTCGATCCCACCTCTGGCGTAACTTTGGTGTTGTCATTGCTTTCACTGTTCTCTACATTCTGGTCACTATTTGGGCCGCTGAGTTCCTCTCCTTTGTGGGTGGCGGTGGCGGTGCCTTGGTCTTCAAAAAGTCCAAGCGCTCCAAGCAGATCGCTGCCCAGACTACCTCTGGCAACGACGAGGAGAAGGTGGGTAAGTCGAGTGACGATGCAGCCTTGGCCCGCGGTGAAGCCTCGTCGGGCTCCGACGATGCGGGATTCAACCGCCTGTCCTCCAGCGAGCGCTGTTTTACCTGGTCCAACGTCGAATACACGGTTCCATATGGAAATGGAACCCGCAAGCTGCTGAACAACGTCAACGGATACGCCAAGCCCGGCGTCATGATCGCTCTGATGGGTGCTTCTGGTGCTGGAAAGACTACTCTGCTGAACACTCTGGCTCAACGCCAGAAGATGGGTATCGTCAAGGGTGATATGCTTGTTGATGGCCACCCACTTGGCGCTGACTTCCAACGTGGTACCGGATTCTGTGAACAGATGGATTTGCACGACAACACCTCCACAATTCGCGAAGCCTTTGAGTTCTCAGCAATCCTCCGTCAGGAGCGCAACATTCCTCGCGAAGAGAAGATCGACTACGTTAACCGGATCATTGACCTTTTGGAATTGGAAGACATTCAGGATGCAATCATCGGCTCCCTGAACGTTGAGCAGAAGAAGCGTGTCACTATTGGTGTAGAGCTCGCCGCGAAGCCTAGTCTTTTGCTGTTTCTGGATGAGCCTACCTCGGGTCTTGACAGCCAGGCTGCATACTCTATTGTCCGTTTCTTGAAGAAGCTATCTCAGGCCGGCCAGGCCATCGTCTGTACCATCCACCAGCCTTCTTCCATGCTGATCCAGCAATTCGACATGATCCTCGCTCTCAACCCCGGTGGTAACACTTTCTACTTTGGACCCGTTGGCAAAGAAGGCGCTGCAGTTATCAAGTACTTCGCCGCCCGTGGATTCGTCTGCCCACCCTCCAAGAACATTGCCGAGTTCATCCTTGAAACTGCCGCTAAGGCCACCGAGCGAAATGGCAAGCAAATTGACTGGAACGAGGAATGGCGCAACTCCGAAGAGAACCGCGCGGTTCTTGCCGAGATCGACCGCATCAGAACCGAGCGCAGCAAGCTCCCCGTCGACGAGTCCGGCAGCACAAACTACGAGTTCGCCGCGCCCACCATGGTCCAAACTGAACTTCTCACCAAACGACTGTTCCTCAACTACTGGCGCGACCCGTCATACTACTACGGAAAACTCTTCGTTAGTGTGATCATTGGTATCTTCAACGGCTTCACCTTCTGGATGCTCCCAAATACCGTAGCAAGCATGCAAGACCGCATGTTCTCTTGCTTCCTCATCATCCTGATCCCTCCGATCGTCATGAACTCCGTCGTCCCGAAATTCTATATCAACCGCGCCCTTTGGGAAGCCCGCGAGTACCCCTCTCGCATTTACGGCTGGGTAGCCTTCTGCACAGCCAACGTTGTTTGCGAAATCCCCGCCGCAATCGTCACAGGCCTCGTCTACTGGCTCTTCTGGTACTACCCCGTCGGTCTCCCAACCGACTCCTCAAGCGCAGGCTACGTCTTCCTGATGTCGATGCTATTCTTCCTCTTCCAAGCCTCCTGGGGCCAATGGATCTGCGCCTTCGCCCCCTCTTTCACAGTCATCTCCAACGTCCTCCCCTTCTTCTTCGTCATGGTCAACCTCTTCAACGGTATCGTCCGTCCTTACGCTAATTACCCTGTCTTCTGGAAATACTGGATGTACTACGTCAACCCGGTAACCTGGTGGCTACGCGGTGTTCTCTCCGCGATCCTTCCAGCCGTGAAAATCACCTGCGCAGACGGCGAGACGACCAAATTCACCCCGCCATCCGGTATGACATGTGGCCAGTACGCGGGCGACTATGTTCAGAATATCGCCGGACAGGGATACCTGGTTGACACAAGCTCCACGACCGAATGCCAGTACTGTCCCTACAGTAACGGAACGGAGTACATGCAACAGCTGAACGTACACGATGGAGATAAGTGGCGGTGCTTCGGTATCTTCCTGGCCTTCGTCATTATCAACTGGTTCCTTGTTTACTTCTTCATCTACACCGTTCGTGTCCGTGGCTGGAGCTTCGGACTCGGATACGTATTCGGCTTGGGCGGCTCGTTGGTTGAGGGCGTCAAGCGGACGTTCCAGCCGAAGAAGAAGGAAACTCAGCAGTGATTTGAATGCTGCTATTCTTCAATTCTTCCCTTTCTTCTATCACTTGATCTTCGGTTTGGATATCTGCTTGGGGATATCTGCCTTGTATGCATTTACATGGAGCGTGAGCAACATGCCTGAAGACATGATGCCATTTTGTGCGCATTGTCTTTCCTTTCCTTCTTACTCCATATTTTCTTATTATTTAGATATCAGCATCCAATGTTTTAGAGTGTCAAGGTCGAATTGGCGACCGACAAAAAGTACATAATCAAATTGAAAATTTCAAAATTTTGATAAACTTCTGTGCCAGTTTTTCATACAATAACCAAATGTGGCCTCTGGTTGCTTGAACGCAATCAAGACAGCTGTAGCGTTAGGACCTGGAAGTGAATATACGGAAGCTTATTTCTTCTTGAGGGATCGCGGCTTCGGGCCGTTCCTCTGCTCGATCCGTCCCTGGGGCGTCAATCTCCACATGAGCATCATGCATGGCCGCCAAGATTACAGAATGGCGACCCGTAGCCGTCCCCGCTCGCGAAACGGGGTTGAATCGTTGCCGGATTGTTACTCATCCGCTAAACACCAAATATGAAAATGTCACCCCTAAGAAGATTAGACCATATGAGAATATCCGAAAGGACCTTACTGCAGCCCCATAGATCGCAAGAGCGCCCGGAGGAGGCACCACCGAGAGACCAACAGCAGTAGGATCGCAACTCCTATACAGCCACAAATTCGAGTTGCCGTGATATGGCAAGTGTCGCCGTTACCAAGGCCTCTATGCGCGATCCCAACACCTTCAGAACAGCAAACACAGTTGGGAAGAGCGAGAGACACAAGACCCGGAAGATCTGACCTGTCTCTCATCCTAATCAACTATATTTTGACCATCAAATATGCATTGAGTTTTCACCCGATGATATTTCCTCCTTCTACCACGAAGCCTCCGCACTCAAGACAGTCTCCCGGCTCCCTCCCCCTCCGTGACCACGCGCCCAAAGTCATCAAAGCAGAACGCCTCTCCGGCATCCTTGTCCCCAGCTATCCTCGTCTCCATTGGGCGCCACTATTGCAACGGGTCGAGGCTTCTGCATTTGGCCTCGAAACATTGCTTGAGCTAAAGCTGAAGCTATGCTCATAAATCGAAGTGCTCTACAGGAATGGCGAGGCATACCGCGTCAAACAGGACTGCGTGTATCCCGTCAAGAAAGCATCGGGAAAATGGGCGCTTTATTTGGGTGGCTGGCAAGATGTATCAAAGAAACCACGTATAATCACGCATAATCACGCATAACCAATCAAATCACGCAAATCAATCTTATCAATCAGTGATATTGTTACGGGAGAATCCTCCGCATCATCCCCCCGTTAAGACTATCTCGATCCGCTGCATGTTAGCCGCAGAAAAGACTAGGATTGAGGAAAGGTCTATTCGCTTGAGTAGTGTTCTGGCCCTTACCTATATATATTTAGGATCCTTAAGGAAGACCTGATGGTTCTTTAAGGATTAGTTTCTGTACTATTTCGGGATATAACCCGTATACACTCCGTAGTATCTCTTATTTCTTACCTAGTCTACCCTACCCCTTATAATTCTAATCCTTCTACCCTTAACTACCTAAGGATAAGATAGTGTCTACTCGCTAGATAGAGTCCGTATAAACCCCTAGCATTACTAAGCTAAGTACTTAAACCCTAACTTAAGGCCCTTTACCCAAAGAAGACTTTATAGCCTACCTTAAAGTAACTAATCGCTAAATCTAGTAGTGAGAGTAAATTAAAGCTACCTAAGAAAGGATTATAGACCTATAGGTCTAGCTCTATATTAAGGAAGTATAATAGCTAGGTGAGAAGAGGAGAATAATATTATTGGGTAGAATATTCCAAGACTAATTCTTGAAGAAGAGAAGAGAAGAGTCTGCCTCCTCTTCCAATTTAAAGGGGAATCGTGGGCGATTCGCATGCATATCGGGAGGGGTAAGGTCACCATGTATGACTACCCAACTCTATGCCTTAACAATAAAGCATCCCTATTTCCCCCATAACAACCTCATCCAATTGCTAAAGATATAAATGCATCAAAGATCTTGTAATAGAGCCAGACTTTCGGACGGTTTCGAGCAAGTTCGACATAGGTCAGCGCCACCTATAATACGAAACAGCGCCTGCTTTGTACTAACATAGAAAAGTCGAGCTAGTACTACGAATTATTGGGTTTCCAAAACCATGAACTTCAAATCATTGATTCGAGTAGAATAGAAACACTTTTGAACTCGGGGACAATTCTTTTCCCACGCAACTTTGGGACGTGACGATGACGCTTTCGGATACGGTTATGGCCCAGAATATAAACTACCCAGTTGCGAGACTCCAGGGTAACCAAAAGGCCATGATAACATATTAGTTACATACCTATGTGGACTACACATATTTGATGTCACGCAGTAATTGTAACTCTAACACGATGCTTTCTTAATTATGAAAGAGATAATGCTCTGGAGGTAGGGCGTAATTACAGCCTATAAATCTATGCTATTAGGTAATTAGCCGGTTTTATTTGCGATGTCTGAGTATGCCGAATGAAGGGGCGAACTTTTTAGAAAGTTTAGAAAAAAGTAGAAATTTAGTAGCTAGTGGAAATGATTGCGTACGGTAACCCGTTAAGTGGCTTCAACTTTATTACTCTAAAACATAACCGGTTCAGATGTTGATTACGGATCCTCGAGTTAAATTATTGAATTTCTTTCCTGAAATGGGTCACAGTATCTACTAAAAACTTATGACTAGTAGTAGCCTTCAGAATCTTCATCATTGCTATAAACAGCGCCATCCTCATCATCGTCATCATCGTCTTCATCGTCATCATCGTCCTCATCCTCATCATCGTCTTCCTCATCATCATCATCATCCTCATCCTCCTCTTCCTCATCATCATCGTCTTCCTCATCATCGTCACTCTCCTCATCATCATCATCCTCATCCTCGTCTTCCTCATCATCATCGTCTTCCTCATCATCGTCACTCTCCTCCTCATCATCATCATCCTCGTCCTCATCATCATCATCCTGCTCCTCGTCTTCCTCATCATCATCATCATCCTGCTCCTCGTCTGCCTCATCATCGTCTTCCTCATCATCGTCTTCCTCATCATCGTCTTCCTCATCATCGTCTTCCTCATCATCGTCATCGTCATCGTCACTCTCCTCATCTTCACTTCCACCTTCATCCTCGTCCTCGCCCTCGTTGCCCTCGTATTCTTCGCTGCTTTCGCCTTCTTCGCTTTGGCTCATGCTCGCTGCCAGAATAGCTGCACCACCCCCTCCTATCAATAGACCCGCAACGCCAGCGGCTATAGTCCCTCCTCCATTACTTTGTTTTTGGGACTGATAAGCCTGATCATAGCTGTGACCCTGCATATTATACTGCGCATGATTCTCATAATGACCAAAGCCGTGCCCTATAGACTCAATCGGACCTGTAGGCCAAACTGGGTCTGCTTGCTTCACCGGACCTGCAGACTCAATTGGCGGGTTTGTAGGCTTAAACGGACCTGCTGGTCTCACTGGATCTGTTGGCTTTACTAAACTAGTAGGTTCAACTAGTCTTCTGAAATCAACAGGACCCGGAGACTCAATATAATGTGTGGGCTCCACTGGATATGTTGGCTCAACTGGGCATGTAGACTCAATCGGGCGTGTAGGCGTAGTCGGACCCGTAGGCGCAGTCGGATCTGTAGGTTCAACTGGACCCGTAGGCGCAGTCGGACCCGTAGGCGCAGTCGGATCTATAGGCGCAGTCTGGCTCGTAGGCGCAATCGGATCTGTAGGTTCAACTGGACCCATAGGTGCAGTCGGACCCGTAGGCTCAAGTTGCCCAGCCGAACCTGTAGGTTTGACTGGATCTGTAGGCACGACAGGGCCCACCGACGTAACCGGAACATAACTGCTGTGACTAGAAGGTTGACCTAGTCCATGACTAAAGCCATGACCGTGGTCCATCTGGTTACCATATCCCCAAGCTGAATGCTGCCCTGACCCAAATTGGCCATTGGCATGATGGCCATGCATGAATGGGTCTGGCCTGTGTTTCGGCGGGCTATGGTATGATAGGGGCATATTTGACGGGGCCTTGTACGGCTTGTACGGGTTAACTCGTGATCCTGAGTATGCCCCAGGGCCTCCCAAAGTGGGCGGCTTCAATGGAGGCTTGTATGGCTGGTATGGGTCATTTTGGGATGCCGAAGGCTTTCCGGCACCTCCTGGGGTGGAAGTAGGTGCCAAACTGCTGCTAGACGAGTACAGCCTCTTGAAGAACCCGGACCTCTTAGGAGGTGGGGTATATTCTGGCTTGGACTGTAGTTCTCGCTGGCCTGGCTGTAAACTGGGAGGAACATGGGTTGAAGGAACTTTGGGGATAGTTCCACCTGTGGTTTGTGGCTTTGAGGGTCGTCTAGCTCCTGGGTCAACCTTCTGTGGACGGAAATCTTGCGGCACCGGCTTCGTCCCTTGTAGTTTTTGAGATTTAGGGACTTGGTCGCTTGTTAAAACTTGCGGTGTCTTTGCCTTTTTCTTTGAAGGGGCCGCTTTATTTGGCCTCAGAGGAGCCGGATGGGCCGCAGGGTGCTTGGTAGGAGATGCATGTAGAATGGTAGGGTATTGGTAGGTGACTGAAGTAGGCTGTGGGGCGTAACGCTGGAGTGAACCCGTCGGCATGGTATTTGTAGTTGCATGATGTATTTGTTGCTTTCTCACGTCAGAATTACCATAGCTAGGAAGCACCGGCTCATTACCAATGAGATGACGAGTAACCAGTGGCCTCAGTGCTGCATTTAAGACTCTCAACGGTGGTTTCACGGGGCTCAGAGGGCCAGGCTCCTGCAGTTCTTGAGGTTTATTGTATGACTTTGAGGAGGGCCTTGGCGCAAGCGCTGTAACTGGAGCATTGATGGTTATGTGTTGAGTGTGTTGTGTTTCCTGTCCTGATTGTTCAGGTACATAATGAGGCCCTCCTGGTAGTAAGGTAGGAAGTTGGCGTTGCGTAACAGGCTGTAATTCGCGAGCAGATGAATTTGGTATTGGCCTACTAGGAGGCTGACCCACTGGACGCCTGCGAATCTGCCTACTGGGGTCGATTTGTGGGAATATTGGACTAGGGAAGTGGGACGGGACAGAAATCACTGACGCATCCTGGATTTTGCCATGAGCAGGTGGCTGCTTAACCATGGTCATAGGAGTTGGCGACATTCCATGACCTAAGTCCCGAGCACCCAGTGCACGCAGTGGCATCGGCGAGGATGGTGTGGTTGCATTATTGGTAGCGGAAGCTGCATTCTGCAAGCTGATATGCTGTCGACCCACCAACGAAGTACTTGGGAGAGCATGCACAGTCGTCATCTGGGATGCTTCCCAGTCCCAGGGATTTTGGCTTTCTCGAGTGTGACTGTGCAAGCCGGACTCGGGATAGTCAACAGCAGCAACGGGTACCGTATCACTTAATGCTGCTTTTCGGATTCTCTTGATAGCAGAGAAAATTTCTTTGTAGTTTCCATCGTCCCTGTCTGGGAAGTATGCCATGGAAAGGTGACTGCAACCCGCCATCAATATGATTTTCTCGCCGCGAAGACCAAAAGCTGCGGAGAACTTGTTTAAACTCTATAGGCAAGATTAGTATATCATTCTGCCCATGTAAGAGGCTGCGAGCTAAAACTGACAAGTTCTTGCCGTGATGGTGTCGGAATCTCTTCGTAGCAGGAAACCAATTTCAGTTTCCCAGCCACTCTTGCGTTGAAGCCCTTGGAGATATCGCGCAGAACACCTGCATTTCTCTTTGCCCACTCAAGGCTTTTCAAATCTGACAGCTCAGCTCGAGTCAACCATGGAGGTATACCGTCTATGGCACATTGCGTCAAGAGCTTCTCCCAGGACATATCTTGTGGCGTACGTTGCGGCGTACTAAGAAAAATGACCCCTCGAGCGTAATCGAGTATCGTTGGAAATGGTGGCTTGATTGCGAAGGCATCATTCAAGCACTTGATGTAACAATCCCTCAGCCATATGATACCACAGGATAAGGAATGCATCTGCTGGAAGAAATACTCACAGATTCAACTATAAAGCCACCGAACCCATGGCAGATCAACACCAGAGGCCGTGTCACCGGTACTTCCTCCCTAACAATAGCAATTTCAACAAGCAGGGCCCTACCCACGTCATGGATGCTCCTTATCGGCGCTCCGCTGAACCAGACTGCCTTAGCGTCGTAATTAAATGTGAAGACTCTGGCCCCGCGAACGTCCTTAGAAATGAAATCGCGCAGCCAGAAGGAAGAGCCAGTATCGGACACCCAGGGGGTCAGGCCATGAACAGCTACAATATCAATGGCCTTCGTTTCGTTGTGCTTCTCGGGTTTGGGAGTTTTTGTTTGGAGCGCCAGATTTGCGGCTAGGCTCTTCTCGCCAAAAGGAACGGGTGCGTTATATGTAAACATGGCGAGATTCTGACGCACGTAGACTTCAATGAAACGCTTTGCAGGGATCGATTGAGGATCTGGCTCTCTTCTAGTGGGGAATAAAAGGATTATGTAGTGGCAGAGATGGTCTAAGAGCGTGAAGTCCAAGCATGGGTCTACCTACGGAGGGAGGGGAGGGGAAAGATGTTAGGAGAGTGCCACGGGAGGCTTTGCTGTTTAGCCGCATGAATATTCCAAGTTCAAGTGAAGCGCTCTTACAACCGTAAGCTAAGCCCCCAAACCTGATACCTTAGGCTTTTCTGCAATAGGTCATGTCTTGTATCTCGGGCTATGATTGGGGTGGCTTATTGCCTATATTTGCAACATAACGTTCATCAAGGCACACTGGGTAGGATACCATAGGAAAGACCCACACAACAACCCTTGTAGGGAGTTTTGGACGAGCCTGGCGAGGTATGCGCCAGCTGAGCGTGCACAGACTTTGGCTATCCGGGGTGTCATTAGAGACTAGGATCCTTGAGTCAAACATGCAGTAGTTGTCGAATTCCGGTTATCAGTTGTTGCTAAATTTACTCTGTTCTTGACCGTAATCACAATTTAATGTATATTATACAAACTTGTCAGGTAAAAACCACGCCAATAAAAGCGGAAATCTTGATTCGGGCTTGTTGTCTTGTCATGGAAACGCCCAGACTACAACGTTCATGATTCAGGTATAGCCTTGTGCTTAATTTATGTCCACTTTTGCCCGCGTGTTCGTGGCATAGCCTCATTCTGTCAAGGTTAATTCAACCCAAAATAAGGACCTGCAGGAAGGCTAGTAGAGCGTACATGATTCAGTTGAATGTATTGCGGCTGAAAAACGCCCGCCCCTCATTTTGGCCCCCGTGCTTTCCGATATTGCTTTTTTCCAAGATACGAGCTGCAGGTGTGAGATATGCAGCGACAAGGGTCAACAGAAAGAAATGTGGCTAACCAAACGGTTGGGTCTAGCATGCCTTGGCCATTGTACCCATTGGATACAGCAGCGTTGGATCGGCAAGAAATCTTCCAAGTTTGGATACGAGGCACAGCATTCGAGGCTTTCGGGGCGAACCGCATTCCCCGCTACTCTAACCATTGGTTATACTTGGATTTGCTTTAATTATATTCCATGTGATAGTGATAGACTATGCAAACTATGCGATTATGTTGAAATTGGAATGGTCAAATACGTATGCATTTTTTTTGTCATTGAACATTACCTACCCATTGAAAGGGCCAAGTTCTTAGCCTACTTGAGCCGGTGTATATAAAGGCTTGGAGATCCCTGGAGTTACTAGTATCCACAATCGCGTGCTAGCTTTGGTGACATACACCCTGCCAAATATTTTACTACGTTTACCTTAGCCCCCTTGAGCCATGGAGTACTCCAGCACCTCAACACTTCCACGAAAGAACGTCAAGAATGGGGTAAAGAAGACAGGGAAGAAGACAGGGAAAAAGTCAGGGAAAAAGACCACTAGCAAGAGAAAGATTACTTCATCTGCCAGTACGGTTCACCTTCCCACTCATCCTCCACCCGCGAGCTATCGATATGAACCGACATATACGTCTGTTCCGCAGACGCAAGCGATCTTCTTCGAGAAACCAGGTAAGAGAATTGAGCTTCTGCTGTCGCGGCTAGAGCATTCTGGAAAAGAACACTAATGAATCTTCGTGAGAAGTTAGTCGAAAGAAAAAGGGGGCAACATGCCTACTCGTGATACTGGCAGTTTTATCCTATCTGGTGGCCATAACATTGGGTCGTAAGTTTTCACAAAGTCGGTGATATGGCGTTTCTCTGATGGCATTTAGTCTATGCCATGACCGGCTGCATCTCACATGCAGCAAACGCCAATGATATTTACCTCGCTGAACTCTCGACAAATGAGACATACGATATGTCGCTTCGAATCGGCTACTTTGGTGAGTGTTGGATAAACCTAATCTCGCCTGGTTTATAACAACTTTGGAAATGTTTACCTGGACTGACTGTATACAGGGGGCTGCGTTTCGGTCACCGAACTAACCGAAGCATCCTCCAGCGATGGGAATTCCTCCATGCAAACGCCCACCCACTGTGTCGCGAACATGCGCGGCAAAAATCTGGACGACCTAAGCGAAGACCTTTGGGAACCTCTACACCTCAACTCTTCTACCATTTCATCCAGTCTTCAATCCTTTTTGAACGTCACCCTCCCACAAGCCAAGCATCTCCAGGAGAATGTCTTCTATTGTGAACCTCCCCTCCTACATGTCCTCTTGTTCTTCGTCACAGGTATTATGCTCTTCGTCGCTCGGACGGGCACATCCAAAAAGAGATCGTACAAGGTAATGCTAGTGATAGCGATCACCTTGAGTGCCTTCTCGCTTGCCCTCGCACTAGTGACCGTCCTCGGCTCTCTACAGAGTATGAATGCTTTGCTTAACACTTCTGCGTCTGGGGAGGAGAGCGATCTTGGTGATTCATTATATATGTCGCGTGGTAGAGCTATGCAGGGGGTTCAAGGGGCTCTTGTTGGAATTGTCGCCGTATTCTATCTCACGATGGGGGCGCTCTTTGTGCAGCGGACGCCAGAGGGAGGGGTTGGATTTGGATACGTGAGCCAGGGCTTTCGGACTGCAGGAGGTAATTTGAAGAAGAAGATGTGGGGCAGAAGATAGGAAATCTGTTACGGAAAAGGGGAAGTTGTGTTATGCGAGTGGTGTCTTGTGGGGGAGGCAGGTTGAAGGGTAGAATGGGACGAATTCCTATACCCGATCTTTGCTTGCGGTTTATCTTAATTACTTGCTTCATTCAGGATGACGTCTTGATCTCAAATATTTGCTTTGCTATCTAGAATCCTTTTTAAATAATAAACTACTTGGGTCTTGTTCCTACAATGGATCGTTACGCAATATTGGTAAATTAGTTCACTGCGTACAGTTGTAGCTTAGACATTGAGAAATTTGTCACTTTGGCAGCTAACAGCATCGGCAAGGTGAGTCTCGAGAGCCTCCAGAAACCTTCTAAGAATATCGTCGATGATAATTCTGCCAAGGGAAAGTGGAGAATCGCCAAGCAAATTAATTAAGGCAATTTCACGGGATTTGCCTGGTAGGTACATTCTTACGCCTCACACATGCATAAAGCCATATTAGTTCATGCCACGTCTGTATTTTTTATCCAGGTTATTATAGCGTAAGCGGGGATCACTGATCCCCTCTGTAGTCTCTGCCCGTAGCCAGCACAGCAAAGCAACTCTCAACCTAAATCAAGGAGAATTCCCGAATACCCAAGCACTACCCCCGATCTACTGCAGAAATCATTTTAGCCTGCTCCGTGTCTAATTTTCCGCCATATTTCACAGGCATCTACCTCCCTACACCAATGAATTGTACTTTTCACAGCTCTCTGATGGGGAGATCTTGCAGAAGGTCATTGATTTGAATGAGGATGCACCGGTTGTGCGCCGCAAAGAAGCTAATCCGCCACTCTACTCGCCTACGGGAGGTATCCATCGCAACGGATTGTTTTACTACTGCGTTGGAGGCTCGAGTCATCAAGTTGTCGGGCCAAGGGGCACAGGGGCCAGGCCGGGAATTTATACGTATAATGCGACAAGTGGGGAGTCTGATGTGCTGCTCAACAACTATGATGGGTACTGGTTCAGTACTTGTTATGATATTGCCATGGATGGGGAAGGAAATATTTGGTTTACTGACGATGGTATATTATCTTTGGCCCTTCTGCCTTCTTGATTTTTATGTGCATTTTCTCTTTTTCTGCAAGATTTACAGTTTTTAACACTGGGACTAAATAGACTATTCTTTCGGCAACGGCGTCTCTGCCCACCGACCGGTGCTTGCCCCAGCTATCTACCGGTTCAACCCTCACACCGGCTCTGTGCGCATCGTCGACTAGCGCTTGAAGGAGCCCAACGGCATCGCCTTCTCTCCGGATTTCCAGACTCTATATGTTGCCGACTCCGGGGCCGAGACTGTCCCCAACCACGCCCCTGCTGTGGGACAGGTGATCTATAACCCATACAACGTCACGGACCCACATGGTGTATGGGCCTTTGATGTAATTCGGGATGGGACGGCGTTGGGCAATGCGAGACTGTTTCACTTGACGCAAAAGGTAAAATCTTTCCCGCTAATTCGAATCTCAAACTTAGTTCTCTATCTTTATCTCCTTCTCTTCAACAAAACTAATATACTGGCAGTGGCTTCCTGACGGCCTCCGCGTCACAGATAACGGCTACGTCCTCGTCGGCGTCGGCGATGGTATCGATATCCTCGATCCCAATGGCGAACTCCTAGTCAAGATCCAGACTACTTTCACTGCAGTCGGAAACACGTGGGCTGGACCTGAGGCGAAGGACATCTGGATCACTGGTGTCGGAGGCGTGCAGAAGGTCACGATGATTTTGCCCGGGGGGAAGGTGAATGGGTGGCCGAAAGCTTTGCTCGAAAGGATGGAATTGTAGATAGTGAGACAATAGATAGAGCTTTTATCTGTCTGAGACTCTTCATAGATCGAACAAAGTGTGAGTAGCAAAGAAGGACAAGAAAATACTATCGGAGTAAGATGGTCGCCCGTCATAGTTCAAGCCTTCGGAGATAAATGGCCATCGAGTCCATATAAAAGCTCTCTGCATCTTCTACTCTGTGTAATCAATTTAAAAAACTCTATGCTGTCGATGGATCAACCCTGAAATATCCATTTAGAGAAAAAGAAAAGAAAGAAAAAAAAAGAAATGTCTCCTCTCCGCACCGCCATAATCGGACTTTCCTCTTCCGCAACGACCAACTGGGCAGCAGCTGCCCATCTCCCCTGCCTCCTCTCCCCGACTGGTAAGACCCTCTTCACCATCACTTCGCTCTGCAACAGCAGTTCCGCTGCAGCATCCAACGCCATCTCGACGTTCAATCTCGACTCGACCACAACACCTTATGGCGACCCTGCCTCTCTCGCCGCGGACCATGCCATCGACCTCGTACTCTGCAACACCCGGGTCAATAAGCACCTAGAAACAGTCCTACCCAGTCTGCTATCCGGAAAAGATGTGTACATTGAATGGCCGATCGCGTCGAACAAGCATCAAATAGATGAGTTGATTGCCGCTATGGCTGTCGGCGGGGGCCGAGTGGCGGTAGGACTACAGGGACGTTTTGCGCCGCCCGTGCTACGAGTCAAAGAAGTCCTCGCGTCGGGAAAGATAGGCATGTTGTTAAGTACTGAAGTGAGAATATTTGGGGGCACGAGAGATCGGGAAATTTTACCGGTGGGACTTGAATACTTTGCTGAGAGGAATACTGGGGGAAATCCGATTATGATTGGATTTGGACATGGTGAGCTTTTCTTTTTCAGTTCTAATTGCTTTATGGTTTATAACTGTATAACTAATTTCATACTATCAGTCATCGACTATGTCCAGTCCGTCGTGGGCGATATCATCCCCGGAACAGACGATGCGCAATTCCAGATCCAACGTCCAGATATCCGCGTTCGAGATCCCCAGACAGACGAGATTGTCGAGAGGATTTGCTCTGACGTACCCGATTTACTGAGTCTACATGGTAAGTGGATAAATAAGGTCTCTATCCCAGGTGCTAATAGAGAACAAAGGATCTATACCTGAATCCTCTCATGTGTGTGCCAATGCCAGTCTTATCGCATACTTCCTCCGCGGCCAGCCTTATCCTGGTGATCCATCCCTGTCGTGGACCCTGACCGGAGAAAAGGGCACGATTCGATTGACCGCGCCCGCTGGTATCTCGCTGCAAGCCGACGCATATGGCGAGCCGGTGACCATCGCGGTGCACCAGTTCGACACGGACAAGGTGGATCCGGTCTTGTGGACTTGGTCGGACAGGCAGATGGAGGTGCCGATTCGGGCGCGATCAGTGCAGCATTCCTTGATTAGTTTTGCGAATAGAGATGAGTCGGGGTATGTCTCGCTGGAGGGTGCAAGAAGGAGGGCCAGCCAGATTGAGAGCTGGTTAGATAGCTGGCGAGAGAGCCCGTAGATTAGTAAAACCATCCTGTCTTTGTTATATATAAATTAGAATTATCTAGTAACCACCAATATGTGACAACCTTGGAATCTTATACTTAGTAGAGGTCGCTGACAGCCAATTCAGCAACCGCTTGAAGCTTGATTTAGCTGACTAGAGTATTCTGGCAAATAATAGGTAGCAAAACCCATTGAGCGACTCTTCTAAGCATCCACTATTAACCAGCGTCTCAATAACCCCCCTTAGCTCAAAGAGCGGCATCTGAATTAGCCCAAATTCATTAGAAATCCATTCTGCAGTCTAGGTACTGTTCACCACACTGATGATCAGTCGCGGCAGCTCGCCCAACATGCCTACCCTTAACGACTGTTCTAACGAGTCACCCTCAGCAGTCATAGCATCCAGAACTTCACCCAGGCTCAAACCATTCAGGTGTTGCTGGTCCAGGTGCTGGCGGGCTCGAGTCCAATCCTCTGCGTTCGGCGCATTCCACATCTCCTCCCCACAGGGCAAACGCAGCAATCGCAGCTCGGCCAAGGCCAGCAGCGGCTCGAAATAAGCAGGCATTAATCTCTTGCTAGCGCCCAGAAGGTGGTGAATGAGAAACACTAGATAAAACGTGCGGCGAAATGTCTCATTGACAAACCATGTTTCCCATTGGGTCTCTGGACTGCTCCCCAAAAGAATTGCGTGATGAGTTTGGCCTAAGCGACGCGTCATCTGATGTCTAGTCAGCACAGTCTACGACTGGTATAGAAGAGCGCACTTTGATGAGATATTCGTGATGAAGCTCAGCGGATGAAAATGGGGCTTCATATCGATTTGAAGATAAGAGTCCTTCGATTTGATATATGGACAAAGCGTGGAGGTAGGAGCAGATATCCTCGAGGCTCTGAGGACCGGTTGGCTAGCTTCCATTAATATCCTGCTTATTCTAACACAAAACAACAAACTCACTAATTCGGCAATGATTTTCTCCCGCTGGTCGCGGAAAGTATTACACACAAAGTTCTTCGCCGGACTCTGAGACTGCAGCTTCATGCCCACACAGGCCAGCGCGATGGCGATCGGCTCAGGCATACCCTGGCGCGAGCCGTGGGCGAGCCGGTAATGTATAAAGGGCGACTGCGAGGTCTTTGATAGCATCTGGGCGGGGTAGTCGGAGATGATCTGCAGTGCTTGTCGGATATCGGCTGGGTGTTGTGGCAAGTGAGCCGGACCCTGGCTATGCGGTGATGATGACTGAGACAGGATTGTGCCGGTCGGGAGCGGGTTAAGGACTACGCCCTCACCGGGGGGCCCTAGCGATGTCAATTCCTGATGCGACGCGACCGATGTTCGTCGGTCGGCCGGTGTTTGGAGCGACAGGGAAATTGGATCCCCCTCCCCCGTAGGAAAGCCGGAACCCCACGAGCTAGGCGACGGGGGTAGCTGAAGGCCATAGACGAATGGAGCCGGGTTCATGAGGGGGTCGAAGCCCGTCTTGTCGGAGGTCAGCGCGGCCAGGTCCTCTGTGAACCAGAGCTGGGAGTCGAAAGCATCGTCAGCTATCGACTCGCCGGCCATTATTTGACGGGCTGGATCGGGCGGAGTGGCCACTGAGGTGGTTGTAGATCGTCGTGAGGGATGGGTCGGGACATCAAGCTTGTACTCGCATTGAATCTGTCGACTGCGGCAGCGGAAGCCTGCGGTATCAGTCAGAATGACAGCGCTCGTATGAGTGAGAAGGGGTCATTTGTACAAGATGGATGGGCCCAGTCACACTTGACTTTTGAGGTGATGCAGCTCTGACACGACTTTTTCCTAGTGGTCGGGACTTTGTTGATGGACTTTTCGCAGCGTCGACGGTGGCGTTCTTTCAGATCTCCTATCCATCGGAAGCCATGTGAATATTAGTTCGTTTCTCAATCTCATTTGAGATTTATTTTTATTCTTATGTCTGTTCTTTTAGGCAGGACGTACTTCGGTCGAAGCTTTTATCGCAGTGCGGACAAAGATGGACAGTTGTCGGAGAGGTTGCGGCGGTCATGGTACTGGCACCAGCGGCAGGAAGAGGAGCAGCAACCATCCAGCTCCGAGATGCAGACAGGAGACAGTCAGAGTCTTGGTGTCTGAAGCAGAGAGAGATGCATAGTGGATGAATGGGAAGCTGATGATGACATTGGAAGGGTATGTTTGTAGGGGCCAGACAAAGAAAAGGGCCCGGTGGCGTGACCTGATGCAAGCTACATGGCGTGTCTGTATCTGCTGCTAACCGACGTAACGATACTTCCACTACCCCCCACCTGATCTTGCTCGCCTTAGACTGCCAAGAGTATAAGGGTAAAGCTTATCACATCCATGCATAAATCTAGATATACGCATAGGCCCCACTTCCATGGGCTCCGGTGAGAAGACCTCCCTATACCCATCCTCAGGCCCCTGTCGCCCGGGGCTCTAAACCCCGAATGCCGAAGCCCCTATATCACAGGGGCCCCTACCCCGAAATGATAATGATAGAGCTGTGCTCACAGACAATGGAAGATCCATGGATGATGGATCGATCACCTTGAAGGGTCTAGTTGGGGACCATCACGTGTTGTAAACTTGGCTTCCTCTTGAGCTCGATTCCAAGTCTCTATAGAAACGGCATGCTTCCCTTTCAAAAGCCTTCACCTGGTGTAGATCATTGTTTCACGTTAGGGGCCTCATTGTCAATGATCGGCGATCAGCAGAGCGGGACCTCGGGAGGCGAACCAAAATGCACCCACACGATCCTTCATGCAGCTGACGTGAGATTATAGTCTAATGGTGGCTTTTGCACGCGCCGCAACCGGTGGTAATAAACTTTGACACTGGTTCAACAAATTAAAGCTGCAGTATATAGAGGCAGAAGCATCATTGCTGCTGAAATATCCATTGGGACGCGTGTATGCAAGGCTGTAATTGAGGGGCAAGAAGATGAAAGGCCGGTATGTATCGGAGCTCGGAGGTAAACGATTCTTGTATATTTATTGGTTCATCTCATGAATTTCAACCTGGCATGTATCTTTCATTGCACATTTGATATATTAATTGCGAGTAGACACAGATGTTTTATGATTGGTGCAAGAATAGTTGACCTTTTATTAACTTCAGACAAAACGGCATATCAAGTGCCAAGAACCTTAGGTAACGAAGAACCAATGAAGAATTCAACCCTCGCTTAGACCTGCATGAACAGGAACGAAGATGGCGACGGTGTATATAGGCGGTCAGGTGGTCAGGTTTTATTTCGCTTGGCCGCCTAATGTCCCAGAGCGACGTAAATAAGATGTATAACAGCATGAAAACTATGCATGGGACTTTGGGAATTGTGACTCGCCGTGCATGCATGGTAGCTGAGAGGGTGCCTTTTCTTTCGGGCAGAAACACGGATACTTTGAAAGATATTTTTTGGGGGGTTTTCTTAGTGTCTGGATTCGGAGTTACAGAGGTAGTTATGGATTATAACAATAGGCCGCTGGAGTGAATGAATGTGAGAGCAGAGCTAGCGATACAAGGAGATACGTAAGGACATTGGCAGCGTGATGTTCGATATCTAGAGTTAGCGAGTAGCCCACCCACGGACGATACGCAGGCGTAGGCACCACAAACGCAGTAGGCAGGGCGGTGGCCGAGGCCTCATCCCAAACACCTGCCACGACCATGCTGTGTATGGCTGGGTGGTCAAATATAGCGTCTTCAAGTTCCGTGACGTTGATGCGGCTCCCGTAGCCGTCGCCCACCCGGAGAAGCTCCTTGAGCCGGTCGATGATATAAACATTGCACGCGGCGTCGAGGTATCCGAAATCGCCCATATGGAACCAACCATCCACATCAAAATCGCGGTTGGCCGCCTCGTTATCCTTATAGCCTTTGAATGGAGCCAGCTTGTTGCGGACGAGGATCTCGCCACATTCGTTGGGCCCCAAATCTTCACCGGTCAGCGTGCTAATCACCCGTGCTTGCATTCCGTTGACCAGTGTCCCGCTGGACCCGCTCTTCCGTGTTGCAGGATCGGTGGTCTGGATAGCGATGAGCATAGTCTCACTAGCGCCCCATTCCAACGTCAGGCCAACCCCGGGCACCTTCTGCCCCAGAGCAAGCCGCAGATTATCTGGAATCGATGCTCCTGCTGACAGCAGCCATTTAAGGCTACCCACTTGTTCGGGGCGTAAGTCCGATTTCGCCAATTTGGACACCAGAGGTGGAAATACGAGTAGAAAGGTGATGTTATGGCGCGCAATGGCTGAGGTGGACGTCTCGTCCATAGCCTCGGGCATGATCACGACAGGTACGCCCAAGAGAATATTCAGTGACAGGAAAAGCTTGGCATTGATGAAGAAGCCGAGCGATGAGCTGGCCAGCCATGTGTCAACGGCGGGATCAGTATCTGGAGGTACCGTTCGCGCAGTGCCTTCCAGTGTAGCGATGTAGTGCCGATGAGTTGTAAGCACAGACTTCATTGCACCAGTGGAGCCACTCGTTCGATTGATGATAGCATCATTGTCAGCTGACCCCTCGGGGGTGGTCAGCTCAAAGGCAGCGAGATCTGCTCGGGACTGAGCAATCAGAGTAGCCATGTTGGGCGTGAGAGCATCCGCTTGGTCCATACTGACGATCCGGACGCAGCCCGCAAGGCTGGACGCACATTCTGAGAGCTTGAGCAGCGAGCTGTCGGTGATGAGCAGTTTAGATTTGGCCTGAATCAGTCGCGAGGCAATGTCGGTAGCCGTCATGCCATCCTGCATAGGAACTAGGGCGACAGTGGCGCCAGCAGCTAAGACACCGAAGAAAGCCACAGGGAACTGGATCTGCATCGTTCTGTCAGCATGCATGTTTCTGCCAACTGGGAAAAAGGAAAACCTACTCTGTTCTTGGCATAGATAGAGATGGCGTCGTTGGGTTCAATATCATATTTGTTCTTTAAGGCCATCCCCAGCTGACGGCTCTGCTCTTCAAGCTGCGCCAAGGTCAGAGTCTCATCAGTGCCGTCCATCCGATAGAGCACTTTGCTCCAAGGGTACGCGCGTCGACCATGGTGGAAGACATAGTTGAAGACGTCGCTGGACGGGATTGGTGGCTGCTCGAGTTGTGATTCAAACATGATTACAGTAATACTGATATCTGAATGCAGAAACAAACTGAGGCTTTCCGTCTAGCTACGCAGGCTCAGATGGAGAATATGGGGGTAATGCTTTGATCTCTCCGATCGAAGCTATCTAAAAACTCAGGCTATTTAAAGCTTCCAAAAAACAGAGAATATGGCAGCGGATATCGATCTCAGATGCTGGTGGCAATGCTACAAGAGTCACCTTCATAACTGCCACGTTTGCCCCGAGATATCCTGTTTCTGAGCTTTCACTAGAGATTGAGTTACTCGGAATACTGTGGATGCGGCGCCAAACTCCGGTTGATAGACAGTGGTGAGATTGTTTGCGACAATGATAATCATCGGGGCTGAAGACAGGGCTCCAGATAAAGCGTTTGTCGCTAAAAGCCAATCATAGCTTCAAGTCGATATTGACATTCCCTATCTTTTCGTGCGTGAAGGTAGTAAAAATGCATAGCATGACGAGAAGGGAAGGATCTAGATCGGGAAGGATTCAGATGCTTGCTGTGGTAGTGAATCCTTCGGACTTCGGTGGTCAACGGAGATCATCATCATTTTTTCTGCACGGCTTGAACTAGATTGAATTCATGTGTAGTTCCCTTCTGACTCAGATAGGAAAAAGCTCTCTGATCCTTGTATCACCAATGAATGTGGTGTCTGGGCCCGATATGATATCTGAATGGATCCTGGCATAAGTGGAGAATGGGCGTAAGTGCATAGTGGGATTTCTCACTGTTGTGAGCGTAAATAAGGCGCCAGGAATCATGAAGGGCGTTTGGTAAAGTATGCAGTGTGAAAACGAGGGCTATTTCATAGTGGTGGTATCTCCCATGGTCAGCCTTTAAATTTGCATTCTCATCATTCAGAGAGCCAGAGGCTGTTTCTAAATTATCAGAGTCCATCAAGATTGCACTTGCCATGTCTTCAACATTCCAGTACAGTCAAGAATTGACCTCCTGGTCCTCCGTTTCCTGGAAAACCAAGGAGGCATATCCCCAACGGGTCAACTACCTCGACAGCCTAGGTATGGAGCGAGCCTGTGCACGCATCGGCCGATTACCTGCCCTTGTCAGCCAAGCCAGGATCGATGAACTCAAGGACCATTTTGCAGCCGCTGCTAATGGGTCAGCGTTCATCCTTGTGGGCGGCGACTGCGCCGAGAACTTTGATGACGTTCAAGAAGACATTATCCGAGATAAGTATCGGCTACTGCAGGACCAGGCTGCGAAGATCGAGTCGGTACTGCAGGTCCCGGTGCATACAATCGGACGGATTGCGGGCCAGTATGCCAAGCCGAGGTCTCAATTGATGGAGACTCTGGAGACTGGCGAAGTCGTGCATTCTTTTCGTGGCCATAATGTGAATGGTATTGGGATTCAGGAAAGGGCTCCTGACCCGGAACGTCTGGTTCAGGGATACTTGTATGCTGCGGCGACGGTGAATTGTCTTTCTGTTATTAGCAAGCTGGAAGGGTAAGTCAAACAAACACTCCACATCAACTTTCACCGCTAACAAGTTGATAGTCGAGAAATATGGACCTCGCATGAAGCTCTGCATTTAGAGCTGGAAACATCGCAAACAAAACAAGGCTATAATACCTCCGCTGGTTTTCTGTGGCTGGGCGAACGAACCAACCAACCCAATAACGCCCATGTCGAATACCTTCGAGGCTTGGAGAACCCTCTCGGCGTGAAGGTTGGACCCACTGCCACGCCCGAGAGCGTGCTGGCAGTGCTGAAAAGGCTATGCCCTCAAGGTAAGCCTATAGAAGGCCGAATAACCTTGATTACCCGCTTAGGTGTGGCAAACGTGGAGAGAGTATTGCCTCCATTGGTAGAAGCGGTGCGGAAGAGTCCTTACCGAGTTGTGTGGATGAGTGATCCTTGCCATGGGAACACCATTTCGGCCAACGGCATTAAGACACGATGTGTTGCTACCATGCTTGAGGAGGTACAGAGGATTATAGACGTGCTATGTCTTCATGGTCTCGCCTTGGGTGGTCTGCATCTCGAGCAGACGGGGGAGGATATCCATGAATGCGTAGCCGGTACGACGGAAGAAGGCCTACAGCTGACTGCAGGCGATAAGTATCGCACGCTCTGTGACCCTCGTCTTTCTGGGGAGCAGGCACGTCGGCTCGTACATGATGTTGCTGAACTGCTGAAAGAAAGGGGACCTCGATTGGAGCAAAAGCAGACCGGATGGAGAGACTGGCTTTCATTGAATTGGAACACAGAAACCAGGTACCCAGATTTATAGTCGCCATGTGTATTTTGCCAGATGTTGGCCCAGTAGCGGTCTGCTGAGACTTCAATATGTCGGAGATGTTGTTACTACGCTTGTTCATTTTTTAGGTAATCTAGTCCCCACAGTTATAGATTGCTCAAACAGGGAGAATAAATGAACCAGAATTGTCATCATATTTGATTAGGCGTAGAAAATACTCATTCTGACACAATGAGCGTTGTATCTCTTTTCCCCCGAGGCTCAGTGTTTCGGTATGGAAATGTAGTTTACACTCCTGAAATGTGATAAACTTCTAATCATCTTGCAACGTTCCTTGTGCTACCTATGTTGACAACTTTTACCGGTCGCAGATTATCTATAAGACTTATTCCAACAATTTTTCTAATAGGATATTAAATAAATTCGAAAAGGCCATTCAAATACATCTATCCCATACATAGATCCACCTACTTCCACTCTACTCCCCATTCCATTTCTTGCCCCATGGCTTTTAGGCTAGAAAAAACAAAATGGTTTCCACTTCTTCACCAGCCTCGCCCACGTGAAGAAATAAAACAGCACTATGTTCGACATGGTAAACAGCAAGAACACCGCCCAGTATGCCCACATGTTGTTCGCCAGCTGACCCCCATACAGGTTGAAGGTGGCTAGGTATTGATTACCAGTGGTGTATTGACATACCTCGCACAAACTAGTCGACATGGGGTTCAGCAGCTGCATCTGGGCTTCTGATGCCCAGGAGCCTGCGTAGTCATTGCAGCTCTGATTGTCAGGCGGGGGAAAGGTGAACAAATCCGATTCAGAGCAGTGGACTACTTGGTTCTCGACGGCGGCGATGACGGTGCCTCCGAAAAGGTACGCCAGAGGGTTGAGGTAGTATATCTTGTAAGAGAATATGTGTTAGTCAAGAAAATTTCTGAATCTAGTAGAAGAGAAGAAAGGTGCTCTAACTTACCCAATATCTCCAAAAGACTTGGATCTCATCGTAAGGCACAACCAGACCATTGAACCAGTTCATGGTAGTAACCAGGAAGACCAGTGCGATTCCAGCCATTTTCAGATCTGGACTGGCAGCGGTGATCAGAAGACCGAAGGACATCTCAAATACCTCATATGTCATGATCATCACGAAGGTGAAAATTGCTGACTGGCCGAGAGGAAGACCCGAGAGGAAATACCAAAGAAGGAAATACACAACACCCGTGAATAGAATCGCGGGGAGCTCTGCCAAAAAGCTGGACGTGCACAGAGCAACCCAGCTGTAAGCATGCCCTGGGCCTTCCCGCTTTAGCCACAGGCTTCTGTTGCCAAAAAACCGAGCAAGGATAGGGTTCACGATTGTGTTGACGAGAAAGATCAATGCGAATGCGCCAAAGGCCCTGGGATATAACATCAGCGACTCCTATCCATCACAATGCGTGCAGTCATCCCCTCTAATTGACTCTCATCAACTTACCGGCTTTGAAGATCATGAGGCGACGTTCCCAGCTGATAAAAAGTAAATCCGACCAGGATTGCCTGAACAGTATGCACCCATATTTTACTGTAAACATAGGCAGGCTGACGCCACTGGTTCTTTAGCATTCGCCTAGTCAGCAGGACTGTTTGCTGCACGGACGAGGCGTTGTATGCTCGTTCGTCTTCCATCCGCTCATTCTGAGCATCGTCAGCCCGAACCTGCTGAATTGTTTTCTGCAACTCTCGCGCCTCAGAAGACTCATTCCACCGCTGCGTCCATTCTTTTGGACTTCCATGCGATCTACCATGGATACCTGCCCCGACTGTCTCGAGCACGAACTCGGCTGGATTGGCGTTGGGCTTCGGTGCTGCTCCGTATCGGGCGAAATATGGAATGACCGATTGAACTGGTCCAAAGCTGTGTAGTGTAAAATGTTAGCTCGTGGCTGGAATTATTTCCAAGTTAGATTACAGGAGTTCACTTACTAGAGCTGTTCGCCGTTAGATGATAAGGCCAGGAGTTTGTCAAAGAGACCGAAGAGTGATGCCGAGGGCTGGTGGACCGTTACTAGAATAGCTTGACCCTGACCTGCCAGCCGTTTCAGGTAACTGATAATGGCAGCTGCACCCTGAGAGTCCAACCCAGAAGTGGGCTCATCAGCGAACAGGATTCGGGGTCGCGCGGCCAGCTCGACGGCAATCTAGTTCTCGTGTTAGCTAGGTTTCCTGTCTCTTTTCTCGCAATTCTTAGCAGTTACTGTTACTCGTTTCATCAATTCCACACCTAGCCCCGAGTCACCATTACCAATCATAGCATGTTGCAAAGGGACCAGGTCCAAAACATCAAGCACGTGATTGACGTGTGCCAGTTTTTCCTCTCGAGAGTAGAATGAGGGCTGTTTGAGGAGCGCATAAAACTCAAGTGCTTCACGTATGGTTGCTGAGCTATCGTGAAAGTCTGTCTGCTGTACAAATCCTTATGTCCAACGTCAGTGAGTGCATACCATGCAGGCATTCCTCCGCAGGACTGGACTCACCAGAGGACTTTCTAAATGTTTTGCCCAGTGGCTGATTTCCGAATTCGACCACTCCTCCCAACGTCCCCACTGAGTTCATTTGGCCCAAGTGTGTCAAGAGAGTCGTCTTACCTGCCCCACTGGCGCCGCATAGCGCGATGAGATCTCCTGGTCGTACAAAGCCCGATATACCATTCAGCACCCGACGTTCCCCTATGTCGACAGTCAAGTCTTTCCAGACAAGGCTGGGACCTGCTATTGACACACTGGAGCTATCAGTATCAATTGCGGCGGCTTTTTCGACATCAGTTTCAGCAGTCTTTTCGGCGCTCTCGTTCGCTGGCCGGTGCGCGAAAACCACAGCGGAACCTCCCTGTGGGGTGAAATGCATGATTTCACTACCGACAATCCCGATAATCATATAGGCTGCCGCGAATGCGAACAAGATTCCAACATTTCGCCATCTATGCGCATAGTCAAAGCCATAGGCCTCCACATACTGCAGTCCCGAAATGGAAGATTGGCCCGCCTTCGCGCCACGAATAGGACACACCTGATTTTCAATGCTAGCGCCCGAGATGGCGGGAATCAAGCTGTTTGCACAGGGAATTTCAATAAGGGCGAATTCGTTGGTAAGCAACGCCTCGTAAGTGTAGCGGGGGGGCTGATGTAGTGGATCCACGACCACACGGGATACATCTCGCTGATGGGTATGAGGAAGCCAGCGAAGTACACGGTTGTGGTTGAGGCAATGCCTCCGAAGCGGAAACAGTCTTCGATGCTGGGGACGTAATCTAGCATTGCACTTGTTAACATTCTTGCGTCTTTGTCTGTTTTCCATCGTGTGGAGCTAGCAACATACAGGCAAACATGCGGAGGAGATTAGCGAAATTGATAGTTGACAGAAACAATACAAAATAGAAAAAGAAAAAGCTTCCAGCTGTATAGGACACAGTGTGATGAGACAGGAAATAGAAAGCGATCATGAAAAAGGCGTGTTGAATGGCGACGAGCGGCAAATCCAGCACGATGCGTGCAATCGCCACCGCAGACGGACGGTACATGTTCAGCGAGGATTGTCGCTCCAGCACTGCACGGTTACTGTGCGCGTCGAACAGCTCGGGGTACTGCATCCAGGCGTTGGCAATAATGGCGTAGAATACGACACCTTCTCGCGTGAAGGCGCCGAGCGAGGTAGTAGACACATCGAAGTACTCGCTTCCGATGATCAAACACAGGACCACTGTGTTGATCCATTTCTGGTATTGTACCATTCGTTTGCCGTTAATGAGCAAAAACTCTCGGTGGAGACAGTTGTATATTTGAGATGGATACGAGCGACTGGACGACGCGATTGCCACGGGCGGCCTTTTCTCTGCGGACGAGAAGGACCTCAAGATCTTTTCGTCCAGTGTTTTGAAGATCGCAGAATCCCGAAAGATCTTCACAAGGTCACCTACAGACTGCACTTGGGCAGCCACAGAGGACTCTTGTGCCTCTCGCTGTAAGGGATCTGTGATGGTGGTTAAGAACTCGGACGTGGTCTGACCAGGGGCTGCAATGAAACCCAGCTCCTCGAAATACTGCCGCGCCCCTCGTGTGCTGCCGAAATAAATGACATGGCCGCTGTCCAAGAGAATGACCTTGTCGAAGTGGTCGTAGATATCCTCACCTGCCTGGTAGAGCGTGGCTAAGATAGTCTTCTGGCCGACGTCAGCGAGTATGCGGAGGGCACGCACGAAGTCCAGCGCGGTCGAAGAATCGAGCCCTCTGGTGCTGTTGTCGAAAGACAAAACCGATGAGCCACATGTCAGCACTTCGGTGATAGAGACCCTATGGGATGATTCTTGAATTAGTGGGGGGAAAAACAAAAGCAAAGAAAGAGCAGAACAGATTAATTCACTCACCGTTTCTTTTCGCCTCCAGACACGTTTGCGACAAGAGTGTCCAAGACATGCTCCAACCCGAATATCTTTGCAAGATTCACTGTGGTGTCGTGGACCTTCTGCTTACTCCTGGCATCTTCTGGCAAATTCAGACGCAGGGCAAACTCAATAGTCTGGCGCACCGTCAGTGTCGGGATATGCTTATCCTCCTCAGGCAAGTAAATCGTCTCGCGCCGATATTTCTTTTCAAACTCTTGACTCTCAATACCCGCAAATGCCAGCTCTCCTGCGATCGAGAGCGTAGATCGATTAGATGTCGCGCGGAGGAAGGTCGAGCACCCACTGCCTGGGCGTCCCAGGACCAGAAGCAGCTCCCCAGGTTCCACTAGGCCAGTGCAGTTGCTCAAGATCTTTCTGGATGGCCCTGATCCACCTGGCCGTATGGACCGAGGAAGCATAGATAGCAGCCAGCTGACTTGGTCGTATCCAAAAGTGTTGATCATGGCCCGTGGGAGGGTCTTGACCATCTTGGGTCCGCTGTCGGGGGCGCTGACATTCAAATCACGAAAGGAGAGCCAGACACCCCTACGAGAGCCATCTTGTGAGGCAAGAAAGCTTTCGATGTTCTTTATATCTTCAGCATCGTGTGTCGTTGGCGCCTTGGCTGCCTCCATTTCTAGCGAAAATTTTGTGGGGAAAGAAGGGAAGCAGTGTTGTGATAATCCTACTTCGCAGCTGAGTATGATTCGGCTAAATTGATCAAAAATATAACATTCTTGTAGCAAAAAGCTTTAATGAACGTATGGCCTTTATACGTATGCCTTCGCGTCGGGAAAGAGACCAAGCTCCTGACCAGCCCCACAATGACCACTCAACTCCGAAACCAGTGACCAATGGAGCAGCTACCTTGCCAAATGACTTCTTTATGCTTGAAATTATGGCGGTATTTTGCTCCTGCTTATTATGTCTATCGTGACAGGAGTCCATTTTGGTCAAGTTATCGTGTGATGGTTGAATACGTAGCTCTGGAAATTTTTGAGCGTCGGAATGAGAAGTTATTAGTGAATACAATCTAAGATTTCTGACTTGGGCATAGGCCAATTGCGTAGATATATGCATGAATATCACTTTTCATTGAGTCTTGGAGATATATTTATCTCATATTGCATCTATTCTCAACTCTCCCATAGAACCTATAGAACCTATTACTACCAGCCTATGTTCTCAGAGATGCCACCGCATTTTTCCAATCTAAATAGTGCCTCGGCCAAGCAAAAGAGTAGAAACTAGTAATATTACGTTCGATTTGATCACATCCTGAATTTGAATCTTCAAAGACCGAGAAGCGCAGTATCAAGATCAAAAGAGACGGTCTCTCCATTATTCTTTTTTCCAGTCAATTGAATATTGTGTCGCAAGCCGGAATGCAGTGTACCAGTGCTGGCGTGGCTCGTGACCTGTTCCGACTTGGTATCCAAAGCTATACATTCCGGCTCTTTCAAGAAGCCATTGTCCAAGTTGAAGTTGGGGAAATCAAAAAGCACACATTCTTCTTCGCCGTCAGTCTCATGAACGTGGACAGGAAAATATCGGAGTAGACGAGTTTCGGATTGCGTGAACAAGGCTGCCGGAAGGACTGTTCCTCGGGAGTATTGGAACCCGTAACCTCCCTGTGGAAGGGTTGGTGCCGTCAACACTTTTGCAGCCTCAAGAATATCTGCGTCGGTGTGCGTCTGGGCCCGAATACTAAACAAGTAGGAATCTCGGAAGCTCTCCATTCGGCGAGTACCGCGATGAGACGGGTCCGACAAATCTAGTTGAACTTCCTTGAAGTTCTCGAAGGAGAGAAGTGAATCGCGAAGACAGGTGATCTGATGCAACCATTCGTTATACAGCATCATGAGAATAGGCGAGCCGCGTGAGCTCCGCAGAAGTTGTCCGGCTGGGGGCACCCACTTATGGCCTTCGCAGGGACTAAAGACCTTCAGGTCGGCAATACCAGCAACTGAGTAATTGTCCTCCAGCGCGTACTGCAGGAGCGTGTCCCCAATGTTTTTGGCTTGTTGTGTCATTTCGGATGGGGTCGCACTTTTCCAATCGGGCAGGGGGAGCGTCGATTCACGGCCCTCCTGCGAGAGGCTAGAACGCAGGCCATCCATCAAAATGTCTCGGGAGGTCTGTTTTGATGAAGCATCGTCGGGCCCCAGCTGTACCAGAATGCTCTCTGGGATGACTGCCAGCTGTGCGATGAATTGTCTGGGGGTGTAGATGCCAGGCAGGAACTGCCACTGGCTGTTCTGGGTTGATGGCGCCATGTGCGAGACAGGATGTATGGAGTTTCCAGTTGAGCGACCGATGGAAATACTTCCCAGAGGCATCGCACGTTGGAAAGGAATGCTCATTGTGTCTGTAGGGTTGAATAATGATTGTGACATGGAGGACGTTGATTCGGACTTGAAGTGTAGCCGCCTAAAGATGGATGGAGTGGAAGAGAGTATCAGCAGAGCAGGTAGCAGGAGGCTGGTGACCACGAACGGATTGGTGAAAGTTGTTGCTTGCAGCTGCGCTGATTTGTAAGGGATTCAACGTCTGTAGATCATGGACGTCCAACGTCCTCCGAGCTCCGAGATTGCCGCGATCTCCCCCAACTTTTAGCCGGACTTCGATGGCTGACCCTCCGAGGCATGCAGATCCGCCTTTTTGAAATCAAGATTTTTGTAGAATTGCTTAATGTGGACAAGCTAGTTACTGAGAGCAGAGCAGGAGGGGGGCAATCTGACAATCGACGAAGGTTACCATGAAAGTCGCTACTAAAAAGGGCGGCCATCGCCGTTCATTATGGCTCTTCGTTCAACAACAGTTCTTTTGAGCAAAGATCACAGCTCTAGTGCTACCTGGTTATTTCAATTAAACCCTCCATGGCTGCCACAGTGACTTCGTCTGCCCCGCCTTCAGGCCCCAAAGGCAACGTCTTCGTCGGAACTGAGGGAATCTACCTCCTGCCGCATCATCAACGGGAGATTGAGCGACTCCAAAAACAACACAACTTCTTTTTGTCATCTACCAATGGCATTCTTCTCACAGTGCCTTTGCAGAATCAGTCAGACTGGCGGATTTTGGACTCTGGTGCTGCCGATGGTAAGTAACGCTATGTCTCGAAGCAAATTCGTAAGTTAATGACTCAACGCACAACAGGCACTTGGCTTCGCTCTTTAGCCCAGAATTATCCCTCTAAGAATTGGTCGCTCCATGGGGTCGATATTGGCTCGGCTTTGTTTCCCCTCTCATCTGCGAACGGACCGGTCCTGGATCTACAAGAGCTGGATATTCGACAGCCGGCGCCGGAAAGCCTTCACTGGGAAAACAGCTTTGATCTGATCCATCAGCGGCTACTCATATGGGGCCTTCAAGGCCCAGAATGGCTCAAAGTTCTTCGAAACCAACGAACATGGCTGAAGCCTGGTGGCTGGATCCAGCTCGTCGAGGCTCAATGGGTCGACAAAGATGTAGCCTTCGACCCTGTCCAATCCCCCAACCTGGCCAAGATGACCATCATGCAGAAATGGAGCACAGCCGCGTTCGGTATGAATATTTACATTGCCTACGATCTCGAAAATCTGCTACAGGAAGCGGGGCTTGAGAACATCCGCCAAACCTCTTTCAGTCTAGGCTACGGAGCAAAGGCTCGCGAGGAGCAGTGGAAGGTGCCCTCGGCAGAGATGTGGGTGGACACCTTCCGTAGCTTGGGTCATAAAATGCCACCTGAGGGGATCCATGGCGTGGCGCAGACCCCGGACGAGTTCGATGCGTTCTTGGATGCTTTGAAAGTGGAAGTTTTGGAACAAGGATATGCGCCCCAGTTAAACTTTGTCATCGGACAGAAACCTCTGTAGATATTGATAGACAGCAATGAGCGCGATATTACTTGCCTCGAAACGCAATGACGTGCCGCCAAATGTAGCTTCTAAAATGGAAAACCCATCTATTGACCTTCTCTTCGTAACGAGATATACACTTTGTTATCTATAGACGACAGACGCTGACGAATCTTGTCAATCTGGCTTTCAACGGTATCTTTAAATATTATGATCGGGGGTGTTTAACAAAACAATTTATTCTGTCATCCTAGCAGCGATGGCGGAATGCCTAGTAATGGAATGAAAGCATGTTTACGGTGACTGAAAGCACATTGTTGTTTCCGAAGAGGGCCCAGGAGAGTATTCCTGTAAGTGACCGAAGCTAAGTTCTATCCATCTGTAAAAGCATTTCCGGTCATAAAATCCGACGTCATGCAACCCGAACGCCCTAGAAACACCATCACGAAACTGAGTATGAAAACCCCAAAGCCCCAAAATGCACGTCACAACAATCGTCGACAGTGTCAATGAAAAATCAGCAAATTATCCATAGGCGTGGCTTCCGAAATGCAATCTGGTTTACTAATCGCCCATAAAAAACCACGGCTTGTTTCGCTCGTCTAGCGGAGGTGCAGGAACCATCATCGGGATGGGAATGGTATCCTCGAAGATCTCAGTAGGAAGGTGCTTGGGCTGAGTTTGCGACTTAGCATCCTGTGCATTCTGCTGAACAGATGTTTCAACGGGAACCAGCACACCACATTCCCAGTTGCGGCAGTTTAGTTTCGCTTTGTTTGTTTGGCGATCTTTGACGAGACGGCCCCTTGATTATTATATCAGCTATATTTTGTGACGAAGGCGGAGTTCACTGGGAGACACTGATAACAAAGACTCACCAGGCACTTTCGGACATATTGGCACTTCCGACGTAGGCCCATCCTTTGCATATACGGTTGTTCGGGAGGACGATTGGCTCGGAAGGCCAGACGTAAAGGAGCTGGTATTTCGTCAGTAAGCTGAGCCTTTGATATGTACCTCGGCAGCAATCAGTACCTTATTGTGCATCAAAACTGCCTTTTTGCTAATACAATCTCTCATCACTTGCTTCGGGAATTTCGGACCCCGCCACCATTTTGACTGAAAGCAAACAGTGCCTGCGGTTTGTTCTGGGGAGTCATGTGCACCGTGGACAGTGTCATCTGAAGGGAAGTATACCAGGAGGCGGTCTTTCCATTCCTCGCTAGAGTTCATCATGAGTTGATCGGGGTTAGGGGCATGAGATTTGGACTTGTCGTATCTCAGTGTGTAGTCAGCCAGACCGTCATCTCCTGTGTAACACAATTAGTTTATGATCAGGTAGACTTCTCAGAAAGCAGGAAAAACCTTTGCAAGCGAGGTAGATGGCACGAAGAAATTCGTTGTTTAGTGATCCAATGGAGGAGGCCTACGACCGATTAACCGTGATTCCAAACTCTTCCTTGTGGATACCTTTAACCTACCACGTAGTCAACATTGATGGGTGAAGAGGTCCGTAATCCCAATTGTTTCACAGCACGACCTAGCCCACAGTATCCTGTTCGTCTCCAGGTCTCGTTGGTGGGTCCACTGGTCCCACCACTAAAATTCCGTTAGATCGTGGATTGTTATTATGAGCAAATACAGCCAGGGGCGGATGCTAAACTGACATTGTGTGCACAAATGCATATCGGGCTGTCTCGGTGAAATCGTAGCCCGCAAGTTTAGCAAGGATGCGCTCGTTCACTGTACTGGCTTTTAAAAAGTGGGTTAATTCTTCATAAAAGAATGTGTTCGGCGAGCTGAGCCCGGGCTCATTCTTTGGTAGATCGATGAGAAAAACAGTCTAGATGTAATCAGCAACCGAAAGTAATGCTATAGATTTGAGAACTTACATTCTCCATTAAGCGATCCTCTCCCCAGTCCGTCATTGTCAAGTTAGCCGTGGGAACGGCGATGCGAACATACTCCGGGTGAAAGAGAATCATTAGTTTGGAATGCATGGTGTTGACCTGGCCATCCATTGGTGGGAAACATAGTCGGATATTCTTCATATCCTTGGTGTCCTCCAACATTGAATCGCGCTGTGTTATAGTATCTGTCAGTTTCCCATTTTTATGATAATAGAGAGATACTCCATTTTCTCACCATTTCTTGTTCTTTGGCATGCATGATGAGCAGGAATCTCGTCCTCCACGTGTCACACTTTGTGAAAAACCATTCCATGTCCCAAAGAAATGAGCTGAAGATCCCCAGTTCAAGGTCACCTCGCTGTATGACCTCTTCGATGGTAATCTCATTGTCACCACGGATGGTATTGGCAACGTGTGTCTTTTTGACAGTTCCCAACGGCCACTGAAGGGCTAGTCGCGCTGTAGGCCTAATTCTAGCTATGGAGTCCTTTGACGAAGATGATGGAGATGAAGGCTTGGCATGAGATACAGAAGGAGTGCCAGTTGAGATTGGCTCAGTCTTATAAAGTTTGGCTTGGGGCTGTCCTGGCGGAGACGCAGACTCCCGGGCTTTGCGCTTTTGGATGCGGGCTAGACGTTCCTGCTCCATTCTTTTTCGGTTCAAGCCCAGGAGACCCTGTGGGGGGAATCAGATGCTTTCGGAACAGGCTCCACTGGCTCAACTTCAGACTGCAAGTCTTGCAGCGACATGGCGATTGCTCGCCTCAGCTCTGCTTCATCATCATGCATGCCTTGCTCAGCTTCTTCGTCGCTGTCGGACTCCACCACAGAATTAGACTTTGGAAAGACTTCCTTGACATCTGATTGATCGTCAGAATCGTAGGTCAGGTCGACAACATTTCTTGGCGCCTGCGAAGGCAAAAAAGGACCGGTGTTGCCACTATCATCTCTGAGGGAAGCTTCAATCGCTTCCTTCAGCATGGGATCTTGCTCTTCGTCAAAATCCATTGATTGAGATGATTCAGGAAAACCGTTCAAAGGTAGAAGAGAGCAGAATGAGAAGGTGGGTGATAGTAAGGGGATGCGTGATGATGACTGAATGAACAAAAACCACGTGGTCTCCCCTTGTGGCCCTGAACGTGGTTAGGTGGTCAAGCACAAAGTGGCAGTGGGAACGACAATGGAAATTGAATGAATTTGTGTTATTCTTGATTCCCCTGTTTGTCCAACAACTGTTGATTTGGATAACGCGTCCCGACCGACTAGGTGGTGTGTCACGTGATGATGATGTATACTGTACACATTGAATCAGATTTGACAAAGTTAAGAAACCATTTTTCTTTGACATTTGAACTACTTGGACTGGAGGCTGCTACTGGATTCGAAATCTGTCTCTTCAAGTCTCATTCCCATATGACCTTGCTTTCGCTGGAACGACTTAAAGCTGTAAATTGTCGTATATATTGTAGTGGGGAAGAGTGGTATGTGGTGACTAAGCATATGTGATGTATATAAGCCTAGTTGTGCAGAGATAGCAACTCAGACCATCTTTCCTTCTCAAGCCACCCCTAGGTTCTCCTCTCTTGTCTTCCGCTACCCAAGTATCTGCCCCGGTGGTGTCTGGTTCGCAGACAGACACTACCAGCACCAACGACGCGTGCCCCACTTCATATGGTGACCGACGCAGGGGGTAGCGTCAACCGGAGACAAGAAAGAGGGGTGGTTTAAAGACCTTGCCAACCGTTATATGAAGCGAAGATCTATCGATTCTCTACCTCTACCGCCGCTTAGCGTTGCCCTCCTACGAAACCCCCGTTTCGACCGTCTAAAGAGACACCAAGTTTTACGTTTTGAAGTCTATGATATGACATGATTAAGTACGCCTATGGATATGGTCTAGTGGAACCTTAGTGAAGAGTTACAGGACATCTATAGGGTGCTCTGATATGTTTTGTTCTTGTTCCCTGGTTTTATGTTGACTGTCTAAAGAGACACTAGGTTTTACGTTTTGAAGTCTTGTGATATAGTACGCCTATGGATGAGGTCTAGTGGAACCTTAGCGAAGAGTTCTAGGATGTCTATGGGGTGCTCTTGTGTGCTTTGCTTTTGTTTCCTGGCATGTGTCGACCAGGGGACGGTCGACTTCCTGAGGGGGGTGGTATGTAGTGGGGAAGAGTGGTATGTGGTGACTAAGCATATGTGATGTATATAAGCCTAGTTGTGCAGAGATAGCAACTCAGACCATCTTTCCTTCTCAAGCCACCCCTAGGTTCTCCTCTCTTGTCTTCCGCTACCCAAGTATCTGCCCCGGTGGTGTCTGGTTCGCAGACAGACACTACCAGCACCAACGACGCGTGCCCCACTTCAATATATATTCATACATTCATCCAAGAGAACATCACCATTGCAGCTAGGAATTACTAGCAATTTAAGATTTTTTGATTAAATAACTGGCCACTATCACCAGGTCCACCTGGTTAGGTCACATATATCCTTTTTATCATCATGTGACCTGATTGGGCTTAACGGCCTTAATAATTTTAATCGTAGCTACTAGTAGCTATAAGTAAAAATTCTCAAAATTTCATATGACCTAGCCAGGTGGACCAGGGGGACATGTGACTTGACCAGGTCAAAAAATCAAAAAGCCACCTGGTCACCTGATCATCTAAACGCCCCTGCTTTCTTTAATGCCTGAACAACTCTTTGATGCCCAGCTTTTGGTGGCTGCCTGGAGTGCAGTTTGGGCCCCAAACCCAAGATGAACATAGTTCGGATCGGCTCCTACAGCAAGGATCTTTTCAACAAAACCGAGGCGACCACTGCGCGCGGATTGTAGTAGTGCTTCTTAGAGAATTTCCGGGCGGGCAGTAGACATTGCAGCTATTATTCTCTCAGTGACACGCCGATATCCATTCGCCGCAGCCGCAGAGACTCCGAGGCAGCATCTATGACAGAGCGGCCGCTCTTTCCACTTTATTTTCCCGCGGGGGGGTTTTTCCTTTTTCTTTTTCCTTTTTTTATATTTTTTTTTTAAATGGTTTTTACTTAGGCGTGACTGCTCTATGCCATTGCAGTATCGCCCTGCCAGCGGAACGATCCAGAGGGGGGATGTTGTGATATGAGGCTGGCGCAGACCAGGAAGCTAGCCACACTATCGGAATTAGGTCCGAGATGTCTATACGGACAACCAAGTTGATTGGAAACCAACTTGGCTCCGTGTTGTATATAGAGCTTCATCTTTCCCTCTAGAATTGAGAATTGAATAACACAATTTATACCTCTGAAATACAACAGTAACAGCCATTTTATTCCTCTAGTTCCCCCAGAGACTAGTCCTATAAAGATGATTTCATGATCCTTGCCGAATCTGATTGAAGAATTTGAAGTTCAACCAACGCAATTTCAACCGCATCAAGTGCCATTCCATACCCAGCCTGGAATCCAGTCCCTCCAGCACCGTAGTTATGAACAACGATGCCATTTCTTTCAAAGCCATCTAGCTGCACGACTTCACTAGCAACTCGGGCACCTCCTTCCCTTGACGGGCGCAAACCTGCAAACGCTGCAAGTATCTCCGTGTCGGATGAATCAAGCTCAGCAAGCATCGCCTTGGTCCGGGATAATATAGACTTTGTCTCCTCTCCAATCGTATCACCAATGCTATAACCGTTAGTCTTTGAATAATAAAAATATGAAAATCATGCTAGAATTGGTTATGCTCACCCCACTCCCTTCTGCATGTAGCCACCGAGGATCACATTTCCATTCGAGTACGGTCGTGGTATAACGTATGTCTCATAGTCTTTCCCGTGTCTCATCACATTTTGCTTGATGTGTGGTGCCCTGGCAAGCAGAATTTGACCTCTAGTTGGGTAGCATTTCGGGTCCCTGACTCCATGCAGCGTACGAGCAGCGTTACCAGTGCAGTTAAAGACTACCTTCGTATCCTTGTTGAGGAAGCCAGAGGTTATATCCGAGACTTTCTTGCGAACGACCCGGACTCCGTAGTGCTGTGTAAGCTTTTGAAGAAGATATTGAATATGCATCGGGGCATTGATGGTTATTGTCGTGAATGTAATACCAAACGCAACACCTTGCGGCAGTTCCTGCTTGGGAACCTCTTTAAACTGTAGAATCTCTATATTAGGGACCTGGATAGGGAGAGGCAAAGGATAGACTGTCGGCAAACGACTCACGTTCTTTAGATAGCTGGCCATAGAATCGAGCTTCGTGTGCGATGGCATTTCATCCCAGTACTCGATGGAGGATGTTTCCTGAACAAATGCCTGTTTCCCGTCCTTCGCAGCAATATTGAGGAGATGCTTGTACCCGAGCTTGTCCCACCGCAAAGCATTCTTATCACTTGCAGAAAGAGCAGAAAAGTTTGCGCCAGCCCTAGGTCGAGTTAATATCGTCGAAAAACAAGAAGGAATATATAGCTAGTAGCAAGGGTAGAGCCGCTCACCATGGCGAAGTATAGTTGATGGATGTATCACCTGGGAGGTGCTCGGCTATGATGGTTGTTTGACTAGCATAGCCTCTTTCAGCGAGGATTAGGGCAACATTTAGTCCAATGATGCCGGCACTTTGTGAAAACATGTTAGGTGTGAGCTGCACGATAATTTTTGTTTGAGAACGTACCCGAGAATTACCGCAGATTGGCTCTTCATTATGATGATTCAGTGTCCAGAATCTCAATCAAATGGCTAACAATTGATTCGTCTAGACTGGAAGATATTTGATTTAAAGCACAGAAAATCAGGAAGACTTCTCGGTTCCGAGAGACCAATAACTGACTCCTTTAACTCCGTTTCGCGTAGTTATCTATTACTGGATTTCTAGTACTGAGATGTGTCGACTCGAACGAGCGCCTATCATGGAGAATTAAGAACTGCTCCGATTGGCGGCATTCCATGTGTGGGGACACGCGGCATCGCTTGTGGTTGGTGCGGGGGGTTACAGCTTTGGCTGAATTAGTTAACTATCAGAGATTGTCAGATCATAACGTAATTCATAATCGAGCTGCGGCACCCTAGAACACCGAAGTCAATGCCGTAATTTATAACACTATAACGTGGATCCCGGCGGGTCCATCATCCTACCTATCTTTAAACGCCTATCATACCCCTAAAACTAGGCTGTGCCATAACCCGTAAATAGGTAGGCCAAGTCAACCCGCAACCCTCCCTATACGGGTTACGGTTTGGGTTGCGGGTTACCCACGCTAGCCTATCTTTGCATAAAATTCTGACACTTTTCCTAAATTGGCTAGATAAATTAAATTATTTATATAATTAATTACTGTACTACACCCGCTCCAGAACCCTAGGTTAAACCTACACTTCCTATTTTGCCCCCTATACGTCGATAAATCACGTGTTCTAAATGCAGCAGAAAAGGGCATAGATATTCTAGATGCCCGCAAGAGGTTTAAAATATCAATTGAATAGTGTTTTGGTGGGATAATTGAAGTTTAAAAGATGTGTAAAATTTGAAGTTTTGATGGGGTGACGGACCGGCAGGGATGACGAACCCGCCGGGATCCACGTTATTTAAACAGCCATCGGTTGATTTGACTTAATTATTTACCGTAGCTATTGATGTAAGTGATTAATACTACGATTTAATGTAAAATAAACTTAGAAAAATGTTTTGTTGCCTACCTAGAAAATACACCCAGACTGCCAAAAAAAGTGTTCCTTTGAACTGAATAACATGATCTTATTCTTATTCTAGAAATCATATAATTAGACTAGATATGAGAAATGTTGAGGGAAAGTGTAAAAGAAAGGCTTTAAGACGAAGATACAGCGGCGCATCTCATTACCCATTTCACGTGTGATATTCGAAAAGAGAAGGTAGAAAACTTGATAGGTGGAAATATGTTGATAATGTAGGCTATATCAACAATTTGACACCTACTGTTCACTATGTTTGCCATAATCAGTAACATGAGTAACACGTCCCCCTTGCCCTTGAACTGGGACCCCTTCTATGAGTCCTGGAGTATCCGGATCAAGCGAGTCGCTCTTTCTGAAGCAAAGGTAAAATATACACCCTGCTACGAAGCCTACAATGGCTAGAGATCCATACATCCAGACAAGATACGGATCTTGAGATACTGGGCTTAGTCCAATGCAGATTGCTGCCGCAATGCCGATCATGAGCCAGAAGAGTGCAGAGACAAAAGATCTCAAGCTGAAGGAAGATGTGTTTAGTTTGGAATAAGGTATATATTATGGGCGACGGTTGACTCACTTTTTTGGGGCGTGCGTGAAAGCAAGTTCTAAGCCTGTCACGATAACGAAAGCTTCGGAGATAGCGACAAATATATACGAAGGAGCTTGAATCCATACGTGTATGCTATTTGCCGGTGAGATATAAATGTAATGCTGTAGCACGCTGGCATAGACCATGGAGAAAGAGACTAGCAGAAATCCGGTGAAGATCCGACAGACTGGACTGAAGTTGATTTTCAACTTGCGAAGGAATGGATAAAGGCCCACTAGAATACTAATCATGAGCAGAATTTTGCTGATATTATCATGTTGGAACTCACAGTCAAGCACTGGAATAAAGATACATAAGGCGATCGGATCTAGGTTTTGCAGGAGGTCATTCGGCGTTCCATGCAATGCCATTTGGCCGGCTTGTGAGATAAGATTATTCCAAATCTGGACCCAACAAACGAAATAGAATGGGAAGAATATAAACATCTAGAAGACTTATAAGCACAATTAGTGGAAATATTGGGATCAATTTACCCTGCAGCTTCTAAAGCCTCGACGGACGTCTGAGACGTACTGATCCGTGTAGCGCGGTGAAGAGGCAAACGGATACTTGCTCAAACGGCCTGCAGCCTCCAAAGCTGATGGCTTTGCGTTATCGAAATCTTCCTGTCGGACAATATTCAAGACCTTGCATGCATCGATAATAGCGGACCCCTGTGGAGGAACCTTGACATATCGCTTTTGGCCGGATAAGAAGACAACAGCCGAGAGAATAATCGCGCTAGCAGCAATTAGCGGATATAACACACGATGGTTCTTTCTCAAATTTACATCAATGGAATCAAATATGCAAGCCAGAAAGACTTCTTAGCCTCAACATTGACAGTAATCAAGGGCGAGAGGGCGCCGACATTGACGACCCAGTAGAACCACATGAAGAGTCGCTGCACGGTTAACTCGGGGTCAACAACCACGCGCTCGCCTGATTTTAGCGTCTTCAGAACCAATTGTGCATTTTGGTATTGCTCAGCACACATGGGAGTCACGTTGGCCTTGATTCCACCTGTTCCCAGGCCAATGATAACCATTGCAGCAATCAAACCGCCAAAACTAGCATTACTATGAAGTGCAGCTGGCGTCGCGGTGGCAACTAGGACGGTCAATCCGATGATGTAAATTCCTAGAGAGATTGTGATGGCTTTGAATTTGCCTACATATTGATCTGATGCACTATTAGCATCAAGGCTGTAAACTGCTTGAGCAATAAATAGACCATACCTGCAACGATCGCGCCAATGATGGTAGAGGCATAAGCCCAGAATTTAAAGAAGTTTCCGAGCGCGGAAGCGACTGCTTGCCCTTTGCCGAGCGCACCGGGAAGGTCTGACCAAGGATCATAGGGATTACTAGAGTGAAAGGTGTTAGACGTAGTCCCCCAACGTATCCGCTAATGTCTGAGCATCAAACTTGACGCACTTGATGTAATTTTGCATTGGACCACTGAGGCCAAAGTAAGTAAACCTTTCGCCAAGCTAGCGGGTGTTAGCGTACGAGATTGTCTATCGGCATGCAGTGGTGGGGTAACATACCTCGACCACAAGGATCAGTAGTGCGATAGGTGGGAACTTGTCAGGGATACGCCGGTATCCAGCATGATCATCAGTGGGAGGCTGGTCAACTGTGCCCAGGTCTTCATCTGGCTTTTCTCTTTGATTTTTGGCAGAGACAGAATCCATCTAGGCGGAACAAGATGTGTATGAATGGCGTGGTTTGTCAACGCGAGGTGAATGTAAGATATAAATATACTCTACTGCATGGTGAATAATCAGAGGAACTGCGTGTTAATCTTATCAGCGCTTCGGTCAGGGGAGGCTTCGTGGGAACGAATCGAAGGTGTTTGCCCCGCATTTTTCGTGTAGATAAGAAGAGCCCACACCAATGCCTATCGGGTGGCGTAGATCGGAGTCAACATGCGCCCAAATGCCGCCAATTAGACCCTTGCAGTATAATGCAATGTATTGAAGGGCAGGTGACTGAATTTACGAACTCTGGCATTTTCGCTTGCTCAATTGAATTTTGTCATTGGCATGAAATTGACTATTGACCATTCCTTTCCTTCGCAATTTCTATTTATTTCAAAGCTAATCGCTTCTTGGGCACATCATAATGTCGCGTACACACACAGCAGTCGTGGTAGAAGAGAAGAGAACTTCACGCTTGTCTATACCAGACAAGCTCTTGCATGGCTTGGATCCCGAATGGGTAAATCTATGGGAAAAACACGGTAGTTCCATGGTGAGAGCCGACGAGCTATCACTTGAAGAATTCCGGAAAGATCCAGCTGCGTACAGTTTCACCTACCCAACATGTTCCGGTAAGTCTGCTTATGAGATTGGATGGGTGGAACTAGGACCTTTGAGAATCCAATGCTGACTACCACCCAGGACCGCCCGTTATGCACGTTGATGACATAGAAATCCCAGTTTCGCAACCAGCTGGAAACATCATGGTCAGGGTCTATACGCCGGAAGGTCCAGGACCGTTCCCTGTTCATTTGAACTTCCATGGAGGTACGCACATTCTGGCACTGCACTCCCACTTGCCCAACGTTGACTTTCCGACGTATTCTTTTGACTCCAGGAGGATGGGTTCTTGGAAATCTTAACACTGAAGCTGCTTGGTGCCGGCACATGTGCAACAAAGCCCAAATCAAAGTGATTGATGTCGACTATCGATTGAGTCCGGAGTTCCCCTATCCAACCAGCATCTATGACTCATGGGATGCTGTAAAATGGGTATGTGAAATATCCCACACCGTTGGAAAAGCGCTTCATTGACGCTGATTGTGTGCACAGACAATCGCCAACGCTTCTAGTCTCAATGTTGATCCATCGAGTGTTTCTATCGGAGGTCTCTCAGCCGGAGGCCAAATGACTGCAGTAATGGGACATTTTGCCCGCGACGAGGGCATTGACCTCAAACTCCAGCTGATCATAGTTCCGGCGACAGACATGCGCTACTGTTTAAGAACCAGAGAGCTGAATAAGACCAGTTGTCCTTACGAAAGTGTCTTGCAATACTATGATGCACCTTGGGGACCCCTAGGCAGAGAGCAATGGTTCCTGAAATATTGGCTAGGCGATAACGACGGCAAGTCTTCCTTTTTTGTCTCTCTCTTCCAGATTACTTATGTCTGTACTAACCATTTTTTAGATACTCAAGAAAGGATCTTGACGAAGGATTGGATTTGCACACCTGTGCTCGCCCCTTCTTTCAAAAACCTTCCGAAGGCACACATCATCACAGCGGAGATTGATCTTGAGCGAGATGAAGGGGAATTTTATGGTCGACTTATGCAGGAGGCTGGGAACGATGTGACAATGAAGAGGTACCCGGGCATGCCCCATGCATTTGCGCACTACAATCACCCAGAAAGAGGGCTTTCGCAAAGCTTTGTGTACATCGAGGATACGAGTCGACTCCTTCGGGAGGTGCATTTTGGCAAGGAGTGAAGAATAGGTTTGGATACAATATGTTACATAGCATGGGAAAGAATGAAAATCGGTCAAACTCAGAGGTTCCATGGTTGATTCGAATTGTTTCCCTTGATTGGTCGGCTGCGGGAAAGATGGGAGTCAACGTTTGGCGGAACGGATCCTTGGGCTGATTAAAAACAGAAGTACAATTCGCATTAACTTAGTAACAGCCACGGCTGTCGGAGCAGCTGTGGGCCTTAGTAGTATGCACGAATGAGACAGCAAAAAGTTTTGATTGTGAACGTCTCTGTTACCATACGATTTTTGTATGGCAGTGGCAGCTCGGACAATCTATCTACCGAATATTACAATCACGTTACTAAATACAACATATGACAAACCAAAGCTTCACACGTTCCGACAACAGCTCATGACACTGGTCCTATTTGTGCGTACTTCTGGATTCAAATAAACAAATTGAGCATAACAACGACATTCGTAGTGGAAAAGTGAATGGTCGGGGACTCTAGGACCCGAAAGCCAGATTTATCGCAGCTAGGGAAATATTCTGACAATCGAAAACCGGTGAAACCTCGATTTATGCTCGTCGGAAACGTATTCAAGATGCGGGTGTTTAATGCGTATCATGGCTACGAAGTTACAGTCTTATAGCCACTCTTTCGCGCCCTACATCACGTGAATTCCCCAACCATGCCATCATCGAAGTCTCTGATCACGGAACCAGATGTATTCTTGTCAACCAATGATGTCCTCTCTTCCGTGTATCAGTCTCTTCATTCTCCCTCTCCTGCGCACGCGCAAAATACGATGCGCTGACTAATCCAGATTATTTACCCAATTACATAGATCCACAATTCCGACACGAAGATAAGGTCACGTGGGAATGGGCGATCGGCTTCAGTCATGATAAACTGTACTGCCTCTAAAGTTTAGTGACTGATACGTACCCATGTCAACTTCTTCAATACAAGATGTCAGGCGGAAGTCGCAGGTACATGAGTAAACGAGTTCGCGCTTGTGATTCCTGTCGGGCCAGGAAGGCAGCTTGTCGCATTGATCGAGCACCACCTTGTTATCTTTGCACACTTCACGGGAAGGAGTGCACATTCGTGCAGCCAACTTCAAGACTACGTCAACCCGATTCAGAGAGGGCGCACTCGCGGATCCCTCAACATGCCAAGATAGCCTCACGCTCCGGATTACCTGAGTGTTCGCCGGTTGATGATTCGGTTCACCATGACATTCTGATGTCGATAGATGGTGATGGGGTACATAATCCAGTTGCCGCTGTTCCTGAAGAGCTTCAGAACTTTTTTGAGGAAACGGGGGTTTCATTGTCGGGTGGCGTGGGGGATATCACATGGGCCACTGGGTTTAGTCCAGGGAGCTTCATTCATTCATCCCCTGAACTGCCAGAGACTCAATATTTGGGGCATAGAGTTTCCTCACCGGCTGCTTGTCAGCCATTGCTTATACAGGAGAATGGCCCTTCAATTTGCCTTGGCACCCAAGGTGTGATGACACCACAATTGCTCGGCAGTAGCGGCGATATGGACCCTTTGCTGATGAGTCGCTATCAATACGACACATCTGGGGGCTTCCATTTCAAAAATCTCAATATACAATCTGTATCCCCATGGCCCAATCCAACGCAGTTTCTATTGTCAAAGCCATCAATATTTGCTGCCAGCAGGGAGGAAAATGGATGCGATAACCTTTCGACCTTTGAGTTGAGGCAGGAACTCGAATCCTTAGTCTCGGCAGATATCGGTTTAAGACTCATTCACCTGTTTGAGAGGGTCGTCGCGCCCGACTATCCGATGCTTGGTCCACCAGGCCAACTGAATCCAGGGACCAGCCCGCCATACCTCCTCGCGAGTGTATATCTGATAGTTGTGCCCTTTACTAAATTCGATGAAAGACTTCGCATTGATTTCGCATATGATAAGCCATCAGGCGCGGCACTATACGAAATTATCAACAAAGCGCTTCCATATGAGATACATGCACCGAAGCTATGTATCGTACAGACCATGCTCCTTCTGGCCATTCGACCCTATCCAAATCCAATCGTATTGGATAGTGGCTTCAAATGGTCCCAACTCGCCACACTTATTGCTTGCGCTCACACTCTCGGTTTGCATTTGGATCCGAAATCGTGGCGGATACCTCCTTGGCAAATCTTCCAACGACGTTGCCTGTCTTATCTAATTTATTCGACAGACAAATGGCTTGCGTTGAGTCTTGGTCGGCCACCTTTACTGCATTATGATAATTGGCTCGTGACAAGTCTTAGTAAAGACGATTATCCTCTCAGCAGCCTTGCGCCTTCTGCTTGGTCGAACATTATGAAGCGAACGGAACTTGATACCCTGCTCGACCGTGTCCTAACCCAGTTATAGTAAGTCAATCTGCTGGTCCATTATGTAGCCGTTGTTCGAGACTTACCAAGGTAGCTCTCCTCGTGCCATTAACGCCATATGTACCGATTATGAGAAGACTATTGCGTTGACTGGTCCATTGCTTCAAGATCTCTTTTCATGGTACGAACAGGTATCTACACCATTGAGCGATTCCAGGTCCTCAGAACAAAGCAGACCAGTGGCACCAGAGAGAACTCTTGAGATGAACTACCATTATATTCATTTGAGTATTTGCAGAGCTATTCTGAGATCATTCCTGCAGCCCACTGCCGGAAAATCGAATGATGCATATTACATCTTGGCGCGTGAGCAGGCCCGAATCCGAGCAGAAGCCTGCATCACGGCAGCGGCTGAGTTTATTCATGAATTAAAACCCGAAGACCTAGATACTCTATGGCCAGCCTGGAGTGCCACCGCGTTCTCATCCGTCTGTTTCCAAATTCTGCAAATGGCCATAAGTTCCGTTGATGGGAGGGAGGCAGAAAAATGGGTCACTTGTCTCCAGAAAGTGCGTCGGGACATGCGCCTGAAGGCCGATGTTCTGCCTTGCCTTCATCTTGGCCTTCTGCGAATCGATTCCCTTTTCTGGAAGGGAATGGATAATGTGTTTCATTTGGAGGAACATGTCCGACAAGCTTTTGCGTCGTGTTCAAGCATGAGTGGACTTCTTGACATAACCGGCACGGTCAAGTGATTATGTGCAGTGTTGATATGTAAATTTCAAATAATAAACTACGGGCATTCTGCATGACCAACCTCTTGTTGAAGTAACTATTGCAGCAGCCCTGACAGGTGATATTTTCTTGTTCTGAATAGCCTGAATTGCAAGCTCGATCCTACCCTCCTGAAGGATAGAATCTTGTTTAGATTTAGAACGAATATGTGGCATGGTGGGTGATTAAACTCAGTGGGAAGAGATGGACACGCGAAAATTAAATGATAGGTTCTATTCGGGACTGTTGCGAAAACCCCTTGCGTCGGGCCCGCGATATTTCGTGCGGGACATCGCACACAAATAGATACTCAACCCGTGGATCAACTTCGTTATCGCAACCGCACGCGTTTGAAGTACCGTTTTCAAGCTATAAATGTTGCCAAGGATTTGGCACTCCTGATGGATAATACGGGCGGAACGACCGCGGTTTCGGGTATGTGTCCTCCAGTATTTACCTTTTGAGATTATGCCAACGCTAATTGTTCTCAGTGTGCGCAAGTAACCCAGTTCATATTAATTTAGCTGATTGCGAAGCCTGAGGAGCTAACCTAATTAACTAATATCCTTAGTCATTGCAAAAGCGCACGCCGGACGCACTAGCAGATCCACATTGCTGAGCTTTTCCAAGCCTTTCGTCCGACGCTAAGATCTAGTTCCCACCACCATCAATAAATTTAAGCGGATGCCTTGACTAGGCAGTTTGCTGCTATTCTACACAGCCCAACGGCCAACGTTGATTCTCGTAGACTGGTCATCCGAGGTACTAAAATTCAGCTAATGCCCGCGGTGGTTTGAAAAGCTCAGCATCATCTGCAACCCATTTTAAGGTTCATCTTGGGAGTTAGGGTAGCAACTTAGAAATCTTTTGGGGCTACATAGAAAAGTGTAGAGCGCCTGGAGGAGCGTTTGAGCCTTATATCTGCCATTTTCGTATTAAGATGCCGAGAATTGGCGTGGAAATCTGCCAGACTTTTAAATTGCAAATCCAGCCACCGATTGATAAATACATGGTACCTTGTTGTGGCTAGGCCAATCTGAAATAGTGTTAAACAAGTCACAATACGAAGCTAGCCTTCTCAATACTCTAACATCTTCACCGGGGTTTCTTGTACGCTGCACGGTGCTGGAAGCCCGCGCTAGTGACCTATTCCAGAGATTTCCAGGCGTTGAACTATATTACCCATGCCACGAAAACTCCAACGCCAGGAACAGTATTCAGTCAATAAAACAGACTAATTTCTTCGCCCTCTAACGATGATACCCTCAGTTCCCCAGCGCAGTTTGGCGGCTCACATGGTTTACTCATGATCTTCAGATTCCAAAAGTGTGATTTTTGAGCCTGAAGAGTCCCAAAAATTATACGCTACTCGAACCATAGAGCCGGTGGCGCAAGGATAGTTGCGTTATGGCCCGTACGCGCTGTAATTGGATGAAATGCCATTCTCTAATAAATCCTTGCATTTTAGCCTATGGTCGTTAGCTAAAGGGTCTAAAAGTAATTATAGGCCAGACTCGATTGCAGTTTCGGGCGAAAGGTACGGCGCCAGGATAGACGCTGACACCTTGACCCCCATTGCGGGGTCAAGTTCAGCCTCACTTGCCTCGCCGACGTCTTTCTCACACATTCTCCACGCCAGCGGGGCGAGCCAAAATGACGACCAATATTTCCATGAATGGTACAAATAATGGGATGCAAGTGGCTTACAACTCTGGCCAGATGAATCATTATGTTTCCCCTCAAGGTAAAGCCCTTCAAATCATGGACCGAATATATGGACTTAATGGCTTTGACCCACAGAACGCGCACAGACACCACCTGAACCTCTTTCCACGGTACCCTTCTCTCGAAACCCGGACTTTGTTGACCGTGGAACACTGTTGGAAGATATACATGAAAAATGTTCAGCACCAGATGCGAGGATAGCTCTGGTCGGGATGGGCGGTGTTGGGTAGGTTGGGCTGACTGTTGATGTATGGTCTCTGCTAACTTTCAAAAGAAAGTCGCAACTGGGAATCGAATATTGCTATCGCACTCGTGTGACATCACCCGAAACATGGGTCTTTTGGATTCACGCCAGTAACGCCGCCCGATTCGAGCAGGGGTATCGTGAGATCGCTGAACAAGCCAAGATTCCAAGGTACCAAGACTCCGATGCCAGTTTGATGAGATCTGTTGTGAACTGGCTATAAAACCCAAAGAGAAAATGGATTCTAGTTCTTGATAATCTCGATGACAATCGATTCTTATACGAGCCTCGATACTCGGAAGGCGGACAAGGAGGTGCAAAGTTGCCACCCGTGGAATACCTGCCGCATAATGCCAATGGATCCATAATAATCACTACTCGAAAACGAGGTGTGGCGCTTGACTTGGTGGATGAAAACTATCTTATTCGGATCGGCCCAATGACTCAATCCGACGCAGTATCTCTGCTCGAGATAAAACTAGGAGACGAAGGCAAAGAGCCTAACAAGATGGATGTTTTGAAACTCGCCGAAACACTTGAATACCTGCCTCTCGCTATTATCCAAGCTGCAGCATATATCAGGCGACAAATCCCCCTTTATTCAATCAAGCACTCTCTCGAAGACTTTGAAAGGAGTGATGGTGAGAGATTGAAGCTTCTTGCACACGAATCTGGTAGCCATCATCGTGACTGGGAAGCTAAGAACTCCATCCTGGTAACCTGGCAACTGTCCTTTGACCAACTTAGAGCAGACAATCCCTCGGCGGCAGATTTACTTTCTCTCATGAGCTTCTTTGACAGACATGCAATTCCCGAGGCGCTGCTTCACACCCAGCCCACTGAGTATGATCAGCAGAACATTGACGACACGCCCACCTGGACTCTAGCCGAAGAGACAGAGTGGTTTGAAATTCGGACACCCATTAGAGGTCGACTTCGACAAGCCTTGCATGATCGTCTGAGCTGGCTGCGACCGTCAATTTGGGCAGCTAAGCTCCGTTCGCGGGACCACCAAGCTCCAGAGTCCGCTGGCCGAGAAACAGCTTTCAAATACATCCTTCCAGAGAATACCGTCAAGTCTAGGACGAATACGCTGAGGGATGACATATTAGTATTGAGAGATTATTCTTTTGTCTCTTTTAGCTCAGACCCCACACTGCTTGAGATGCACCATTTAGTGCAGCTTGCCACACGAAAATGGCTTGAATCCCATGGCGAATCCGAGAAATGGCAGGAACGGTTCATCCGCCGGCTGAATAATGCAATCCCCAAGGAGTTAAATAGGGAGCCGGACTGGGCAGTATGCCGCTTGCTTTTACCGCATGTCGAATCAGCACAACTACAACGACCTTCATCCGATGCGCTGATGGTACAGTGGGGCATTCTTCTACATCGCACAGCATGTTACCTGTCTGAGGCAGAAGTCCCTGGGGTATTGCTGCCTTTGTCTCTTGATTCCCTTCAGGTATTCCAGCGATGTCTTCTTCCGGAGAATGAACTTATAATCTGGAACACCATCGATATTGCCTTGACCTACATGAGCCTTGGAAAATATGCAGATGCCGAAGAAATTACCAGACCAATAATTGAAAATGCGGAAAGCCTTGAACGCATGGAATGTGGTCATGTATCAACTGCTATGATGCTTTTGATCTCCATTTATAAAGAGCAAAACCGATTGCAAGATGCAGAGTCAGAAGTATTCAAATATATTGAACTGCAAAAGCGAATATCTGACTCAGGAAGTCGCAAGGAACTTCTAGCCAAAAGCCATTTGGTTGACATATATCTGTTGCAGGGCCGATATCAGGAAGCAGAGACCTTGGGACTGGAGCTTGTTGAGACAGCAAAGCTTAAGGATCCTGAGGATATTAGTACCTTTGTTGCTATCGGAGCTTTGGGCTCAACATATATGTATTTGGGAAATCTACCAAAGGCCGAGGAGCTATTTCACGAGGCCGTGACAGATACGAAAAGGATATTTGGGCATGACCATCGTGAGACCATCAGATACATGAACAGACTTGGGAATGTATATTCCCTACAGGGTCGGCTGACTGAGGCTTATGATTTGTTCAAAGACTTGCTCCCGATAGCCATCAGGAAGTTTGGTGCGAGACATCCCGAGAGTCTCAGCGTAATGCAAAGTATCGGATGTATGTATTGGGAGGATGGAGGATGGTTGGAAGGCGAAACCATAATGAGGAAGATCTTGAAGGCCCGGCAAGAGATATTCGGAATGGACAATCATAAAGCTTTTATGCCCATGGAGCCGCTGCTGAATATGCTTCGAGAGAAGGGTCAATTCCTGGAAGCCGAGGAATTTGCAACGGTATTTCTAGACAGCAGCAAGAAAGCTTCGGGCTCTGGGCATCCTCAAACCTTGAGGATCATGCAAAGCCTGGCTTCTATCTGGAAGGCCAGAGGAAAGACGACGGATGCTGTGGACCTCCTTTCCGAGTGTATCAAGCTTCGCCAACAAGTTTCTCCAAAGGATCACTCTGATACTCGCTTGGCCATAGACTTGTTGGAAAGCTGGTCCAGTGAATCCTTGGTACCAGACGTGGCTTACGCGGGGCAAGATGATGATTCTAAGTCCCCGGTAGACTGATCCACGCTGTCGAGGTTGCTTATGGGTGCAAATAACTCTTAATGGCGGAAAGCGGTTCACACAAGTTGTTTCCATTGTTTGAAAAAGAACAGTGAACAATGTTGTCTAGTTGCAGATGTAAAGGTTTTGTCATCAAATGAAAATGAATCGGATGCCTGGATTTTCAAGTAATTTCATACTGATTGTGTGCAAGGTAATTTCATCATTGACGCATGTAGCCAATGAAAAGAAAATGGCTGGTGCCTGGTCAGCGCTGATGGATTCTGACATCCACCATTCGCGCTCTAAACTTCGTTTCTTTCTCTTTCAGTTCCAAGCTCTACCGTGGGCTACTTATCCAGGTACAGGAGATAGGCATCTATTCATTGGCAGCTGTTTATATGATTCCGCCCTAGCCTTATATTTCGCACGAATCTAAGCGGACCTGTCAATAGGCAGCTAGGATTAATATCCCCTTGATCCACGGGCATTGGGACATTTGAAGAGTATTAGGGTTTCCTCTTTTTACATCCTCATCATCCTGCTGTTCGTCTTCACAATGTCTCAAAATTTGCCGCTTGCGAAAGACCACTCGGTGTTAGAGTCACGACGGAAAATTGGCATCATCGGTAATAGCCTTCTCCTTTCATCCTACAAAGACCAGCGTCCTCGGTTGGTAGCTAACTGTCATCCGCCACAGGGGGTGGAATTGCCGGTATAACTCTGGCGCATGCATTGAGAAAGAATCAAGACCCCGCAATCACAATGCACGTGACAGTATTTGAGCGAGAGTCATATGTTGGCGGTCGAATCAAAGAGGCCCGCATGTACGCCGAGGCCGGCGAGAAATCCCACGATACAGTCCATACCGGCGCCCAGTCATTTGATGCAGGGGACGCATTGCTTGCTGACTTGGAACAAGATGTGGGTCTCACATTTGAGACTCGACATCCTCACGTTCTTGGATCTCCTTTATCTCAGGTAAACGTATGGAATGGAGAAAAATTGATCCCTCAGCAACTGGAAAGACTTCCTTTCACGTGGAATGTTTTGAAAAGGGTTGTGTTGCAGACATTGCGGTCCAGTCGCTTCTGGGACCAGTTGGCGGTAGATACGCGAAAGATCTGGGAACAAGGTGCGAACTGGGCCACTGTTGGTCGAGATGGTCCTGATGAAGATGAGATGTTTCGATTCGCTCAGAAATGGGGTATCAGCTGTGAACCTCAAAAGTCACTTGTCCCTCGACGATGCCGCGCTTCATTTTTGGAGGAGCTGGCTGGGAAAAGCGGTGCAACCGTTTTACTCAACTCCACCGTGACGCACATCAAAAGGTTGAGAGACAATACGTTTGACGTTTCTTGGGTTCAAAATGCCATGGGCGAAGAAACCTCTCATGTTGAGAATTTCGACACGGTAGTATTTGCCCATGCATTCGGCCAGACGGACATCGATGTTGATCTACCGCTACCAGCCGCCCCCAAGGAGATCACCTATACTCCCCTCCATGTCACTCATTTTATTTCCCGTCTGCCATTGGACCCTGTCACATTTAACCTGACAGGGAATGCAGAGGTACCTGACCTTATCTGGAATCTGGGAAATTGCTGCAATCCGTCTGGATCAAAGAAGAACCCACCATCATTCCTGGTACTCGAGAAATCAGAAAAATTCTATTTGAATGGGTGTTCCGGAGAATCAGAGAATGTTTACCGAGTTGTCTCAGAAAATCCATTCACCGACCAAAATATTGCCTCCTTGATGGAACATAACGGAACCGCCAGGAAGAATGTCACGTTTCCAGAGCAAGCAAGCTTTCCAATTATTCCGTCCTGGCCCCTAGAGCGAAGCGTAGTAATCAACTACACTACCGGGATGGTCAGAATCCAGGATTATGAGGAAGAGGAAAGCCCAGAGGTTAGATTATCTTGGGATCCAAGCCAAGCTTCGGCTCTTTGGCCGTCTGATGCGGCTATGTTACTGGCGAGTCAAAACCCTGAGATTGCCGGCATCGATCCAACCGTTCGGTGGGTCCATCGCGAATATTGGCGCAATGGGGTTCCGATTACTAGTAATGAGGATTGCGTTGGTATTGATGATCACAATACTGAACTTGTGCCGGGCTTGTTCTATATTTCTGGTTTCGAGCGAGAAAGCGGAGCTTCAGTCTCAAAAAGCGTTGCAAGTGCGGTTGGGTTATCGGAGAAACTGTTATCACGCTGGACAAGCAATTCATAGATACACAATTTGATTTTATTTTCTTTGTACAGTACTTTCGAAAATCGGTGTCACTACCTGCACTCTTTCATTGTTTCTAGAAACTAATGCCAAGAAGGGCTAACCTATTTTAAGCGTAGTCGACTAGTAAATTTTTATCAGGACGCTACTAGACCTGCAACCGCTGAACAGCGTTGACGTTAAAAATGGATCGGAGGAGACAGAAATATGCGAGGTATCTGTCCCTCGCCAGATATCCTGACGTCCAATCGGCAAGCACTATGACCACGAACATTCTGTACCCAGAGCAAAAGGGAAAGACCCACCTTTCTCCAGCTGCGACAGAGATTTCAAGTCGTCTTTATATGGCGTATTGACAACATCTTCCGATATAAACGCAGTCTTTATCGAGCTGTGAATTAATTAGCCATTATTGAAAAAATATTAAGTGGGATACTTACTCCAGTAAGGAAAAGAACTGATTCTATACCAGAATTCATCGATGCGACCATTATACCAAGATATAAAAGCAGCGATAACTAACATCAAGAAGGATAATGCCAGTGCATTATCAAGCATTTTTTTGCTGGTTTCAATACTCCACCAGCCGGGTGGACTTTGAGGCGAATTGCTGAGTCCAGAGCTGTGTCCAGCCGTAATGAGGATTTCAAGATTCAAGTCGTTAGAATAAAAGGTGAGCGTAACAAAGATAGAATAAAAACAACAATCACTAAGTTCTTTGTTTAATGGGCGTCTGCGTTGTCCAATGGTACGAATGGTTCCTATATAAGCAACAACAACCATGCTGATGGCCGCGTCAGTGACGCGTCACCGACCAAGGAGCCTCAAATTTCTGCTCCACGTTGCCAAGCCTTGTCTTATAATACGTAATAGCTAGGACTAGTAAAATATTGCAGTCCTTCTCAGTCAATATGAAATAAGCGGTGTGAGTTGAACAAATTCAACACGACTAGTCAAGATTCTCTCTTCCTTTACAGATCTTATGCTTTCAAGTTTGTTTTTTTCTCTCTCTAAATGCCAAGGAGGAAATGAAGTCCTTGTTTGTATTCAAAGCTACTATAATTCTATACGAAAGGTTGTTGGTGTCCGTCGGACTCGAGTAGCGTGAATTGGTAGCTATCTTACGTTTTAGTATCTATAGCTTGGATATTGGCTGTTCCAAGTACGAAGCTTGAGAGACTAAAAGTGGGACCAGATCCTGCCAGGACGGAAGGTACTAGTCCTAATCAGGACGTCAACATATGGGATCTTAGCATTAGCGCTCGAGAGAACAGTGAAAGAGTGAAGGTGGTGACACCGATTTCCGGAGGTACTGTAAGCAAAGTTCTTATAAATTCGATTTTCTCAATGCAGCGTCCTTGTCCCTATTCAGACTTTCCAGTGAGTCGAACAATTGTTTGAGCAGCAGCCTCGAAATCGGGCTCAACTGTAAGATTCCCCGTGTTCGAGTTCTCAATCTTGGACATTTCAGCACTGCAAGCAATACCATTTTGAGGAGTACTCACCAACTTCAGGCCCTTGTCACAATTAGTACCTTGCAAGCGCACCACGACCGGTATCTTGAATCCACCTGTTTCCGCCGCGGCGGCAACTATAGACTCGGCAATCATGTCGCATCGCACAATACCTAGAAATTCTTCAGTCAATATGAGATTTTCATCATTGATCCGCCGCACTCACCACCGTAAATGTTCACCAAAATCCCCTTAATTCGCGGATCATTATTCAGAATCTCAAAAGCCTTCGACAGAGTCTCCTTCGTTGCTCCCCCACCGACATCAAGGAAATTAGCACACTTGCCACCACACAAATCAATCAAATCATTCGTGGCCATAGCAAGCCCAGCACCATTGACAATATTACCAATATACCCATCAAGCCTCACATACGAAAGCCCCAACTGCGAAGCCTCAAACTCCAATTCCTCTTCAGGAGACCGTTCCTCCAACCCAAAAAGACCCTGTTGTCGAAACCTCGCCGAATTATCAAACGTGAACTTCGCATCAAGACACACGAAGTCTCCCTCAGGTGTTCGCACAAGCGGATTCAGCTCAAGGAGAGTAGCATCCTTTTCCTCGAAAAGCTCAACCATTTGATGAATAATATGCGACATAGTTGCCATTTCCGAATCGGAGAATCCCAGTTGCGCTTGGATATAGGCGAAAATTTCTGGGCCGATCCCGTGTGGCATGTGGAACCAGAACTTCTGGAGTTTCCCGACATTGGACTCGATGTTAACGCCGCCGTCATCGGATATGAGGAGGACGGGCATGCCGCGGTCGCGATCGAATGTCAATGCGACGTATAGTTCTTGGGCAACATCCACGGCTTTGTAGATGTAGAGCTTGTTCACTAGGAGGCCCTCTGGTGGTGTTTGCTTTGTTGTCAGGTAATATCCGAGCATGTTGCTGGCATTATCGTATGCCTCGGTAGGTCTGTATGTTGTCAGAGACAGTTTAGGTTTCGATTAGGATGGATATATACGTATTAACTATGCGGACTCCTCCTTTGCCATCGCTGCTGTACTTTCCTTTTCCTCGGCCGCCCGCTAGAACCTGTGCTTTGATTACTGAGGGTGCATCTGCAGAACGGTCAGTATGAGTGACTTGCAGAGAATAATAACCTACGGATGGTAGACACCACCCTCTGCGCCTCTTCTGGATTCGTGACCACATGCCCATTCGGCACTGGAATATCGAACTTCCCCAGATGTTAATGACAGTCATGCTCAGGATACTGGGTTAAGTCTTACATGTCTCAAAAGCTTGTGGGAATTGAATTCCAGTAGTCCCAGCCCTCGTCTTTGGGACTTTGATGGGATTCGGGCCTGTCCACGTTCAGCCTCAGCCTCCCGGTCATCGCGAGGCAAGACTCACACATCGAAGCAGACGCGAAGTCGGACGCCAGGGAATCATTGCAAGTTCTGGACCTCAATTTAATTTCTCCACGACAAGATGAGAGTACAAATTCCCATGTAAATATATTGGAATGTGGGGTTCACCATGATGACATCAACACTGTCACCCATCCGTCACGCGAAACGGATTGACTTTGATGAAAGCTTAAATCGTCAGGGTTTGTGGTTCTTCCCCGGATTTACGATCGTGATCCCCGCATTCACAATGGTCTTTCATGGGAGTTGCATTGTATGTCTGTATTAGCAGTTTGATGTGACATCATTACAGGGTCGACATTTCCACTTTATGCACAAGTATCTACGATGACCACGTCCCTCGTCGATATTGAGAATTTATGAAAAACACAAGATTCTATCGAATCCAACCAATTTATAACACAGAAATCTTGAAATCGAAGCACCTGAATTGCAGTCGCAGGTTGTCCGTCTGCCTATTTTTGGCCCCATGAAACTACTTCAGCCTCGACACGCTTTGGCCCGATTCTCATCGAATGAAAAGCATTCTATGGGGGTAAATCGATGTCCACCGGAGTATTTCTAGCCAATCGACCGCACATAAACCTGCACCGGTACAGGGGTCGTGCGCCTCGAATATTTAGCCCCAAGTTAATTCCAGGAATGGAACAACTTACCCCTCTCAACACAACTCCTCAGGAATCCCCATGTCTGTCAACGAGACTTACGACTATATCATCATCGGAGGCGGCCTCGGTGGCTCAGCTCTAGCCGGTCGCCTTGCTGAATATCACCCATCCAGATCAATTTTAGTCCTGGAAGCCGGCTCCAGCGTTGTCGGACACCCGTTAACTAGTACCCCACTCGCCTGTTTTGGGGCACATCTATCCCCGCTTGACTGGGCATATACCACCGTACCGCAGGCCCATCTCAATGGTCGTGAATGCTATGTAGCCGCCGGTAAGGCACTGGGTGGTGGCACAGCCACTAACTACGGCACATGGACTCGAGGAAATGCGACCGATTATGATCTCTGGGCTAAACTAGTGAACGATGATGCCTGGAGCTACAAATCTCTTCTGCCGTATTTCCTACGGACCGAGACACATTGGGATCCTAATGCTGATGCGTCCATTCATGGCCGATCTGGTCCCATTCATAATGCGACTGTTACTTCTAGCAGTGCCGACCGGAAGTATCCACTGCGCGACACCTTGCGGGAAGCGTGGGGTAGACTGGGGGTCCCGACCATATCGGATGGGAATAACGGATCTCCATTGGGACTGGCAGAACTCACCGAGAACTGGCGCGACGGTCAACGCCAACTCGCGAGTGAAGCTTATGGAATAACCAACAAGTCTAACATCACAATCAAGACCGAGACACATGTCAAGCGCGTGCTGCTCTCAGAGGGTAAAGCCACGGTCGCAACTGGGGTAGAGCTCCTGGACGGAACGATATTCCACGCATCCCGTGAAGTCGTGGTCTCAGCAGGAGCCTACCGTACGCCACAAGTTCTCATGCTCTCAGGTATAGGTCCTCGTGACGAGCTTGCCAAACATAATATTTCCGTCCAAGTAGACGCACCAGAAGTAGGCCGCAACTTCCACGACCACTTCTCATTCAACCAGTGGTGGAAGCTTCGCAACCCCGAAAGAGGGTTGACGCTCGGAACACCTCTCTGGGACAGCCCGGCATACGGCCTTGGACTTCCCTGTAACTGGGTTGCCACTTTGCAGACACCACGCGAGGAAATGGAGCGTGCGTTGCAAGCAGACGGCGTGAAAGAGACATCCATTCACCCGTATTTAGCTCCAAACTTCGCCCACGTCGAGACTCTGGTTGTGTATGCTCCTGCCGGTGCAGCCGTAGCCGGATTGGAGGTTCCCATGGACGGAACTCATATCGCTTCTGCGGTGCTGGATTTCGTCCCTACTTCCCGAGGAAGTATCACGCTTGCGTCAGCTGACCCCAGTGTGGCACCGTTGATTGACCCGAATTATTATGCCACCGAGGTTGATCGAGCGGCACTGCGGGCGGGTGTGAGGCAGGTCACGAAGCTACTCACAGATACACCCGAAGGCCAGGAGACGGTGCTGGAGGAGGTTCCTCGTCCGGGTCTTGGACCTTTAAGTGCTTCGTCGACAGATGCAGAGGTTGATGAGGCGATAAAGCTTGGTGGTGTGGCGTTCTATCATCCAGGTGGATCAGCGGCTATGGGCAAGGTAGTTGATACGCAGTTGCGGGTATATGGAGTGGAGGGTCTGCGTGTTGTTGACGCGAGTGTATTTCCGTTGCCTTTGGCAGCTCATTATCAGGCTGCTGTTTATGCCATTGCTGAAAAGGCTGCTGAGCTCATGTCTGCGTAGAGCTTGGTACACAGAGCGGTTAAAGGGAGATATGATATAGGTGAATTCTATGAGACATTTTGAATTGATGTTCATGGTCAGCTCAGTGGATCATTTAGCATTTTGCGTCGCAAGGTAGGTTGATTAGCTCCCGAGTACTTGCAGTATCAGCAGATAAATGTTACAATACGGCGGGGCAATGCTTTTAATTTACTTCAGTTTAAACTCAGGCTATGGTCATATGTAGTCAGGTCCGGTACACATAAAAAATATAATCAGAATATGCCATCTCAGCCACAGTCACATAAGTCGTTGTCGACATAGGAATAAAGGCACGTCAAGTGCAGGTCAGAGGAAAACCTCTCAAACCACTCCCTCAATCACATGAGGTCAGGGGGTGCCAGGTCAGTCTCATCGAGCTGGTACAAAACCTGACCAATCTCGCCTTTGACTTCGTACATCTCGCCGACTTCACTATCCTCCCACATCCAAGGAGTCAGGTTTCCGCGAAACCAGTCATCGGCAATTGAGAGGAGAGTCTTTTCAGTGAGCTCAAAGCGAGTGGAGCGGATGAGTTGTCCGTGGTGGTCGACATAGACGAGCAGGGGATGTCCAGTCGTGAATGCATGCCGATCAACAACGATGATAAACGCCGCAGCCATGGCGTAGTGAATGCCAGCAGCGCACATCTCGATCATGCGATAAGGGTTTCCGAACCACTCGCCAGGCTTGCAGTTCTTCTCAAACGCCAGTTGCCTTTTGAAAGCATCAATTCGATACTTCTGCCAGGGAGGAAGGACGCTCCAACGAATGGTATCCTGCTCAGGAGCAAAGACAGCTTCAGGACCAGCAATCTCAGGGAAAAGAGCGAAGATACGACGCCAGTCGGGGTATTCGTGAGGGATGACCTCACGGATTCCGAAAAAGCTTGCGTCATTGATCGCATAGAATGGGCTGGTCAACGAGTCCGGGTCGACCATTTTACCGAGTGCAGCCCATTCATCCATCATCACGTCATCGCCAGGCTGCGAAGAGTCATAATGAGTGCGCATGAGAGTAGGCCAAAAGGTCGATTCGGTCCACAGGCACCAGGCAAGCTGACGAATGTGGGGACCTCTCCAGGGTCGGAGAATCAAGTTGACTTGGGCCTCGGTGGGAGTGATAATCTCCTGCGGGTGATACCAGGCCCGAGGTATAATTGGCACACTCATGAATTCTGCAATGAGCTGCATGCGTTGGATGCTAGCGGGTTGAGGGCAACCGTAGTCCCAGTTGCGCTGCGGGTTGGTTAGCCTATAGTTCGTATCCGTATTCATATGTTCGGCACTCACAATCATGTACTGCTCCACAGGCAAATGGCCCCAGTTGGGCAAGTGAGAGTCGGAGTAACTCATGATCTTTCATTCTTTTCATATTAGCCACACGTAATTTTAAAAAACTCAAATCTTGAAATTCAGAAGCTCACCGTTGCTTGGAAACCGATGGGGACATAAACAAAGGGCGGTGAGGGAAGGAAGAGAGCGGTGAAAATTCCGATCAAAAGAACAAACAGGCATGAGTCAAAGGTCTACAAACGTGTTTCCTGTGCTGCAAACGAATCGCCTCGTTTTGTGATTGTTTCATTTGGCATTAAAGTGGAGCCTGTTTCTATGAAGTAATTGAGGCATACAATTGCACATCAATGAAATAAACCCATATAGTACAGATAACAACATATCTCCCGCAGGATATGCTTGTGAATTAGTATCCCTGAACTTGTTCTTCGGACCATTCCCAGTATCTCTTCGTCAGCTCCGGATCATACAAATCTTTTCGAATAGTAATGACCCTTCCCCAAGGAGCAACTTGGACAATTAGCTAGGTCTGGATGCAGGAGTTATCATGGGTCTTACCAAATGAAGCATTATTTTCTTCCGTGATTTCGGCACTCAGGCCTGCATAGAGCTCTGTATAAGCACCATAAATAGGAGGGTACAGAATCAGATTCTGTGACTCGAGATCAGCGAGATGAACAAACAAACAAATGCACTGCAAGAGCATACCGCCACTAGAGTCTGTGCTGTAGACATATGTCTTTGCAATCCACTTTTCAGATTCCCCGGGTTCAAACTCTATTGACATTCCACGAGTTAGCCAGTCATGACACTGCCAGGAAAGCCTATCTTATTGCACAACGACATTTGTGCATCAGAAGACAAGACCGACTCACCAAACTGAGTACTCCATCTCCAGCAGTCCTGTTGGCATATTCAGCACAGTGAATTACATTTCCAGCTTTGCTGCGACAGTATTTCTTCATTGCGCTTTCCTCTTCATGGTAATCCATATTGTTGAAGTCAATTGGCGGGCTTGGGGCCATCAATATGGCAGAAGACGAAACCCAGATAACCCGAACACTACCCTTTGGTGCCGTGACTGCCGTCTTTTTCAATACACCATGGAGGTACTTGACAAACAGAAAGTGTCCGAGGTTATTGGTCCCGAGCTGAAGCTCGTATCCTTGCTTGGTCTTGCTACCCTGTGGTGGCATCATGACCTAAAAGAAAGGTTAGCTATAATTGCGAGGTTGGTAGGAGTTTGGCATAGCCTACCCCAGCATTGAGCCACAATACATCGAGGCGGGACTCAGCCGCAAGAAATTCATTAGCGGAGCTTTTGATGGTGGTCAAATCAGACAGGTCCAATTGAAGAAACATCAGTCTCCCGGTTGACTCGGGGTGTGCAGTCTTGATTTCTTCGATCGCAGCTAAAGCCTTTTCTTGGGATCTGGCAGCAACGTATACGGTGGCATTTTGGCCGTATAATATTTTGGCCAGTTCGGCACCAACGCCGGAGTTGGCACCAGTCACAAGAAAAACCTGATATTAACGTGAGCTGTGAGGTATTTCACGAGTAGTAGGATGGTGATTCTACCTTGCCAGATTGATCTGGAATATTCTTCTCCGTAAGAGTTGGTGCTGGAGGACAGAAAGTTCGAAAATACTCCATTCTGAGCAATGGAAGGTCAAGCCGAGTGAATGACAAAAGTCAATGATGGTAGGGAAATCCCAGCAGTTAAATAGGCAGCGAAGATAAACGGTGCAAAGGATCCATGGTTGACGAATTCTCGTGCCTTCGTGTTCAATTCAACATTCTGGTCTCTGGACGAAGATCTCGTTGATTTCATGGGAGACATTATACAATCATGATGCAATTGGCAAAGTAAAGTTCCCATTAAGGTTAGTTTGTTGTCATCGTCTTCCGAGCTCGGTTAGACTGAGTCATCATTTCCGCAAGACCCACATCCCCGCCCGAGTTAAGTCTAGAGCCTAAACTTTGGCAGTGCAAGCTCCGATGAAGGCGATATTTCCAGGGGCTCTGTTGATCAGATTGAGAGCAGAGTTGATCATCGCATTCCAAAGAGCTCGCAAGAGATGTCAAACAAGCTGCCAGTGCTAGTAAAAGATTAGTTACGCAACTAAAAGACAAATGCAGGTACAAAGAATATAGCCACGGAAACCCGTGTAAGGGAGTGGGACCATTGAGACGCAGCAACATCCCTGTTAGCTGTATGACACTAATTCTTCCACGTGGATCAGGAAGATAAAAACTCATCTGCCTACTCAATATGCATTTTTCAGCTTCACCAAATACACGGACCATTTAAACGCCAGTTCTACCAAATCATTGTTGTGCTAATGCCTCGAAAGGGCATTAAGAGAACTCACACTGGATGTGTGACCTGCAAGTCAGTTCCCCACACGCATCGTCCCTCACTCCTTCTAATGAAAGTATCAGAGCCCGTCGGGTCAAATGCGACGAAACCCAACCCCAGTGTATCAGATGTCAATCATCCGGCTGGGACTGTGAAGGATACAAAGAATGGGTCCCGAAGGCATGTCGACAGATCCAGCCCTCTACCCTCCCGGGCGCAAACGCTCCAGACCTCCGGAGTTTGACCTTTTTCCGCCAAGCGGTGGCCCCTGTACTAGCAGGACCGATACCGCGCTCCTTCTGGACCCATACAGTCATTCAAATAAGTCACGATCAACCTGCTATAAGAAATGCAGTTGTGTGTATCAGCTCGCTTTTCGAGGGGTCCCAGAGCGCTTTTGCAAATGGCCAATCAAAAAGGAAACTCGCCATTTCCCGTTACCACGTCGCTATTCGGCAGATTGCTAAGTTCAATCAGGGAAGCCTCGATATTGTGGTCATAGCTTCCGTCGTTTTTATGAGTATTGAACTTCTACGGGGTAATTCGATGAGGGCGATGATCCACTATCAGCACGGTAGAAGGATTTTGGCCTCGTACAACGCCTCTGCCGTGCCATTGGCAATCTTCCGTCACTTCAATGTTTTTGTTCTCTGCTTATCCCAGTTGTTTGGTATACCTTTGTTGGTCCAGGCTGACTTCTCATCCCCTCCCCCATTCGTCACTCTGATCCAAGCTCAAGAGGCACTTGATTGGCTCACATATCGGTCCATGAACGTTGCATATGCGCTAGATCAAAGCGCTGCAAATGCATCAGATAAAGAAGCATTTCTACGGGCTCAATTGATGAAGTCCTCTTTGGATACGGACTTGGATGCGTGGTCGCACGACGCAGCTTTATTCACATCCTCCAGTTCCATCCAAGGAGCAAGCGCACATAGAATGCTACATATTCGATTGTTGGTTTGCAAGATATGGACAGATCCCAGTCTTTATCGGAAGATAACCTGTACCAATGGGATGTTTCAAGGTACTTCGGATTTTACGTTCGGGGCGGTGTTCAATACTTCCAGTCTCGGAGACTTCCTTTCCAGCACCGGGCTTTCTCCGGTTTTATACTTCATGCTCATGGAATGCAGTAATCTTCAGATTCGACTGGCAGCATTGGCAATGCTTCGAAAAAAGTGCCGGTCGGTGGACACATCATTGGATTACAAGATGTTATACATCGAGACGAAAAGAGCGATCGAAAATGATCACGGAGTTATGATAGACTCGGAGTGGAGGGAAGCAGAGGAACTGGAGAATTTAATTGGCAGCCAGAATCTCAGCTCGCCAATGTGCAGCGGGTTTCAGTTCATGTGTCCTTGGCCTGTTGTGCTGATGGATGTTTGTGAGAGAGTACATCAGTCTTTCTAATAGGGTGATTATGCAGAGTACGTATTATGTGCGCATCTGGGCCATTAGATGAGAATTATTTAACTAAATCAGTCCTTTAATAATACAAATGGAGAAAGCTGGAAGTTTTTAGACTGGATACAGGATGAAGTACTTTTCAAACCAGAAATTGAAGAAATTGAAGATCCCCGAAACTCGCTACCAAAGTGAATAACTGTTGACCAAAGACGCGACGACCTGCATACCAAATGATGGATATTACTCGGTATTTTTGACCGGATGCAAGAGCATAGGGGGCAGACAAAGACGCCGGTGACTTTCCTCGCGCTAGCAATAGTTAGCATTGACATGCGTCAAGTATCCAGGAAAGAAAGCCTACCTCAACAGCATCATCAAGCCCCAACCAAGCTCTATAGAGCTTCCCGGGGAAGTCCGACGAAAACATATAAGACAATTTCAACATGATATCATCATGCATCTGCCAGGTCCAAATACTGTTCTGCCCCGCATTAACATTGCCCGGCTTCCCTGGATTAGCCCTTCCATTCAACTCAACAGGATCCCACTTCAACTCATGGTAAATCGGCATCGGAACCTGAACAGACTTCAACCCATAAAACAAAGCCCAAGAGACCGGTGACATCTCCGACGCAAGACCAAATCCATCGCGCGTCTTATCCTGATGCATCAGTCTGAGCAGCCGTGCCGAAACACGCGACATAGCAACCGGAGACGCACGGACGGGCGTACGAGTACCCTGCCAGAAATTGAAGATCCGGTCACGGAAGGGCCAGCCGGTGTTCTTGGGGTTGAACTGGGGCATCCAGGTAATTACGTCGGCTTCCTCGCCGATTCCCCACTTCCAGAGGTTATCCTGGTTATCGGAGGTCGGGACCTTTGGAGCCTCGTCTTCGACGTTGATGCCGAGGGCGGGCTTGGGCCCCCAGATTCCTTCGCGAGAATTCATGCTTTGATCCACTGTATCCATGAACGTTTCCCAGTCGCCGTGGACGGCTGGAATGTAGAAGTAGGAGTTGCGCTCCCACATGTTTTTGCGTGGTTGTTTCTTTGCGAAGGCGGCTGCCTGTTCAAGGAAGTGGTATAGATGTCCTGTGTAGCGTGCGTCCAACTCAAATTGCCAGGTGTATTCGTATTGTGGATTCAGCCGAGAGAAAATTTGGATTGGTTGGAAATATTGTAAGATCGCCCTGGGTCACGTTAGTATCGCGTGGAATAACATGCAAGATACTTACATGTGGACATCAATCTTTGGGTACCAGTCCGCCAGAATCTTCTCGTTGAAGAAAACCGCAATGTCTTGGAGTTCCTCTGGGAGATGGTCCTTTTTGAATCGATCCATGCCTTCTAGGTCTGCCGGGTTCGGTAGTTCAGTGCCGGTTGAATCTATTAGAAGGATGACTTCATATTCTGCGCCGGAAAGGAGAGACAGTTCCATGACCATGGAACGAATGAAGTGGATGTCATTTGCTGTGTACACTTTGTTGATCCATGAGCGTAGAATGACTGCCGTGCGACTGTGATAACCAGTGCTAGAGTTATCTTCAGCAGTCGCAGCCGCGTCTTGGTTTCCAAATACATCATGGATCTTATCGAGAGTCAATGCCTTTTCCGCGGGGTTGCGATCCTGATATCGCTCAGCATTTCGCTGTAAACATTCTTGTTGTAAATTCCCCAAGTTCACATTCGCCCAGATCTCATTGGTTTCATTGCCGTAGCCATAGGCACCATACTGGGAGTACCGATCGGTACAAAGACTATTGTCGAGATTCCATGCTTCGTATGAACCGAAAACAGGTTTGGGAAAGGCTGTCTCAATTAGTAAGAAACACCAAAGAGAAACTGTGATTTCAATATCCGTACTTGACATATTCCATCTATATCCTTTCATAAATAAGTCTTTGTTCTCTCTGTCCAGAAGTGCTCCGCTCGGACCAACACATTGCTGATACGCGCCTTTCCATTTCGCTTTCCAGGCAGCACTATTGTAGTCCGGATAAGGATCATAGACAATCTCATCCGATTCCTGTTCGGTTTCTATAATATGTACCAGTGTGTCATTACCACCCGTGGAACCATCGATCACAAAAAAGCTCGGCTCGGGAATGGGACTAGGGAAGGTTAGTGGGTCTCAATTGAAACCTGCTATGGAGCATACAGCTCGCAGCTTCGACTCGAAGTACCTACGCTGGTTTATCAACCTCCACTGGGTGCTGAACGGAGCTAACAGGATCAATTGGGCTAACAGGAATAATATGCTCTTTTACCCCTGGAAAAAGCAAAATTATAGCGAGAATAGCGCAGAGACAGACAATGGCCAGACTGCGCCTAAGCTGGTTGGCATGGTATCGCCGGCAGACCTGCACAACATAGTCTGTCACAGACCTCATGTTTCGGTGGTGTCGCGTGGACGTCTATAGGATCTGCAGGAGGTCATTTCTACCGCAGACTCCTGAGGAGCGATGACTTTTTGAGTGGTGACAGGCGTAAACCCACTAATGGAAATCGTAAGCCATTATTACGCGTCCTTCTTGGTACTCAGCTCTCAGGAACATTAATTTCCCCACTTGGATAGTTTTATGCTAGCCTCGTCAGTCCGAGTTGTTATTGGATGGTTCGGGTGGGTTTCGGATCACGGAGGCTGCCGTCGATCAATCGGCTGTCAGTATGTGGGTCGTGGCTAAGAGGCTTATCGTTGATTTGTTTGACAGCGCTGCTGGGTGGATGCAGCAGGTGCGAGATTGCGGGTAAAGGGTTTTGAGGGATAACAATGTAGTGTATCTCTTGAGTTCTTGCCTAGCAGTGTTCGGATATGATCTAATCTGTTGAGGCCTCCGCTAGGAGACAAAACCTTTCAGTGAACCATATCGCGAAACCCGTTCAATTCAGACGGCTATCACCAGAGGAGACGATACCGCCGCAGGAAAATAGGATAATCAGCTTGTTATATAATGGGCATACGTACATCAATGACTCCAAAAACCAACCTTGGAACTTATCTGTGGCCATGCATTGTTCAGAGGTTGAATGCACACCCAGAGCACCTTGCTTTTTCCAGCGATGGATGTGGCGCACTGCAGTCAGACAAGCTTTTCTCTAGTGTGCTGACTGTACATTTTGCGCTGGCTTGACTGCAGTTTAAATTGGATGGAATTTCCTCAACCTCAAGTATTGATAAAGCCTCGAGCTCTAAGGTTATTCTATTCACCAACTTGAAAACATATTTTGCCATTAACTGCGCCTTTCTTGACAATTTTCAGGTCTATAATCTAAATAATGTGGTATGGGCACCTCGGAGGTCCTATATGTTCCAATGAATTAAGTCTGAATTTCAATATCCGAATTAAGATCTTCTCGGTTTATAGAACCATAAATGCCAACACATGTGTCTATCCAATCATGGTACCTGCACAGTCAGACACCTGCAGGGCCCCAATCGAAAGTTGCACAACCGATCCCTCAAGTCAAATATATCTCAATACATTAGTTGGTAACTTTGACATCATTATTTGGTACACATCTATGCCTAGAATTTGATCATTCATGTAGTATTCATCATTACACGATTAGCGTAGAAAGAAAAACCTGGAAATGGTCGATCGGACCTGATTGACACTATCCATACTCCATAATTCAATCTGATATAATCAACATTATTGCCAAGCACAGTAGGTATTCAATCTCCGATATCGAAATATGCGAATAAAATCCAACTATGTACGTAGTAAAATTCTGAAAAGCGGCAAGATTTTCTACGGCTCGTCAACCGTGGCTTTGGTCGCGTGAGGCCGCCCCACTAGTGGATCCTCGACCCATGGAACTAATCGCTAAGTCAGCCACACACGGTCACATGTCCACGGTCCACGGGTCTAGAGCGGCGACAACGCCGGGTTTGCCGTGGCGACGGTTTCGTAGGGAACATGTGTTCGTGCGCTGTACCTCCCGGGCTGAGTATAATCTCCGGGGATGCAGATATATACCAACAGGTATGACTAGATCGCCATGAGGCAATCAAGATTCGACTTTATGACTGGTGCCAAAGAAAAGTGCTTCAACCATAACAGTCCGCAAAACTGTTGTTTGACGGAACGGAACGAATGCCAACACATTGACGTCCTTAAAAACGCAAGTATATACCAACTGATAGTCCAATTATCGACAAAAGACTGTTGCGATTCTGAACCTCGGCTCAGTATGGGTTACACAGGCGTCAAATGCCTCGAACTTCCTAACCTAGTAACCCGTAGAGCAAGACCCTAATCGTGTTTTGTCAGTCATTCCTTACCGCAAACTCTAATTTAATGACATGCAGGTACCACATGTGGGCTGGATAGGTGCAGATCGGAGCTAGAGCTATATCCTAACTTGATCCTTGGAACCTCATATTGGAAACTTATGAAAAATACAGAAACAGAGATTGAAAACAAGTTATGTTATGGCTCTATTTCGCATCCACATGCTTCAATTGATGACTATATGGCTGCTGGATGCTAAATGATATGTAAAGTAAATGCTCAACTATGAAAATGCAAAACCTCCAGGGCTGTACTGAGCGCACTGCGGCGCTCTCTGGTTATACTCCAGTGATAATGTTGAATATCAGGACCAGCCAAGTGACTTTTCAGTCACGTCCAAAGGCTTAAACCTGACATACTTACTTACGAATGGCAAGGACGGCATCGCTGACGGCATCATGTCTATCGTACGGAATACCAAATGTGTGCAGCAGGTTAGACGCAGCGGTTTCACCCGTCTTATACGCACCATGCACACAGCCATTTGCCACCATGGTACAGTGCTCACCTGCAAACTGCAAGGTGCTGTCCTTGTGATTTTCAAATGCTTCGATTAGAGATTCCGGGTCATCGCCGACCTTGTCGGCAGAGTAGGTCCCGTACCCGGCCAGCGGGTCCTGGGTCCAGTGTGTAGTTTCAACACTGACCAGGCGGGGGAGAGCTTTATATGGCTCCGCGCGGAGTAGTTTAAAGAGGGGTTCGAAGAAGCGATAGATCTCCTTCTTGTCGGTCATCGCTTCGATGCGCTGAGTAAGGGGTTCGGCGATCTGCACGCAAAGCTCCTTGCCGCCGGTCATGATCCAGAGGTTGATGGTGACGGTGGCGTAGTTAAGGATGTTATCCTTTTCTGGTATGGAGTTCATGCTGTTGGATGACTCGACGGAGGATCCGGACATGGTGTCCAGGTCTTCCTCCGAGGGGGAGGGGTAGAAAATAAACTGGTCATTGTCTTTGGGCCAGAATACATCGGTAAATTCAAAGAAGACTTTGCCAAGTGCACCGTAGCTGAACTTGGACATACCCTCTTGGATGTCACTCGGCAAGGGCGGGGTGAAATTAATCAGGTTGTGATGATAGACGCCCAGTGGGCAGGTCATCACCACGGCATCTCCTTCAATCGTTCCAGGGGCTCCGGTCGCATCTCTGTAGTGAATGCGCGCGGGCGTGGTACCCTCTTCGTTCCATTCGACGTTCTCAACGTGATGGTTGAGTCGGATAATGCTGGGATCCTCGTTGAGGGGTTGGGCGGTCCAATTTACAATGCGATCGTATCCGCCTTTCATGTATAGGTTTCGCTCGGTAATAAAGTAGGACAAATGTTTCGACGAGGCCAGACTTGTACTGGTTCCGAGCCATAGTTCCACCTCTCGAATCGCCTGGGGGGCCCAAATGCGATCATTATCAGTGATCAGCTGGTGTTCGAGGACGAATTCCCGGACGAATTCGTCGACGGGACGATCCTCGGCGTCGGGGTGGGTATCGTAATACCACTCGCAGTAATCCGCAAATTCATCGGCGACTTTCTTCGCCTTAAACTGCGAGCCGGCACGACCCTCTCGGGTGAAATAGAGCGGGGCGCCGTCGTCATAATAATAGGGGATTTTAAGCCTCGGGATGAGTTTCACCAGACCATTCTGGGAAGTTTCGTGCATCCAGGCAGCACCTGAACGATCGTCAGCACACCATTGTTCCCTCATGATCACCACGTTAAACGAAACCTGGAAGGTCAGGGTCACCACCGGTTTTCATCGTAACCTCGGAACCCTACCAATATCTCGAACATGATCTCCATTCCGGCTGGTCAGGATTCGGCCACCGATGCGATCGCGAGCTTCCAGCACGACGACTTCACAGCCGTGACGCTGCAGGACCGCCGCGGCCCGAAGTCCTGAAATTCCAGCACCAACTACAATCACCTTCTTGGGCTCCGACCTTGCTGTGCGTGGTGCCTCATCGGGCGCAGACTCCACCAGAGTCGCGGCGTTGAGGCGCGCAGCCAGGTCGGAGCCACAATTACTTGGTTTTAACGGACTATGTCCGGGAAGGGAGGAAGAGACGTGAAATGCTTGAGCCATTCTGAGTTGACAAGTGGACATTCGGTTGCAAAACTGCAAGTTGGAGGAGTGATGATCGGGAGAAAGGAGAAGGTGGCGGGTTCGAGGTACTAATAATTTTTAGCCCTGGGGGGAAGAATCCACGGAACCGTTGTGTACGGGTATGGATACAGTACCCACGCCACATTTAATTCCGATTTTTTGAATTATCGCTCAAGGCTTAGTTACGGGCGATTCTTCTCCACTTGCTCTTTTTGTTTCGTCATTTTTTCTCTGAAATTCCCAAAGCCACTGTGTAGACTAAAAGTCCCGCACTAATAACCAAGGAAAAGAAAAAAAGAGATAACGCTTATCGCCCCTCTTTTTCGCTTTTGTTTTTCCTACAGAGTTTTTTATTTTTAATCTTTCATCCTCTCACACCCGCATGAGCACGTCCCGTGCTAGTCATATTTAAGCAAGTCCTTGCGGATTGACAGAAGCGTTAAGCTTCTGTTATCTCTCCTCCGATCCCTTGGGACCCGTAAGAACAATCCGATGAACGTTGATTTAAATGCACCAACATGGGCATCGACGGAGCCCGCTCCAGTCGACCCTCAATCCGACATGGAGGAAGCACCTCTGAATGGTACGGAACGCTTGGCAGACGCGAACGGGGATATTACGTTGATTCCAACCCCGACCAATTCTCCCGATGATCCACTGAACTGGAGCACGTGGCGCCGTTATTGGCACGCGTTTCTGATCTTATTCATCGTCGCGTTCACCGCCGCAACTTCCAACGATGCTGGCACCGCTGGAAATGGTATGAATGCCCAGCTGGGAATCAGCTGGGATGATATCAATATTGCGGCCGGTGTGTTGTTTGTCGGGATCGGGTACTGCACCTTGCTTCTGAGTCCGGCGCCCTTTCTCTACGGGCGCCGCATCTCCTACCTGATATGTTTGGTGTTTTCGATCGTCGGCTCGATTTGGTTTGCGCGCGTGCAGACCGTGCAGGACAACATTTGGAATCAATTGTTCGTCGGCGCGTCGGAGTCATGTGCCGAAGCGATGGCCCAGTTATCCCTGTCGGATATCTTTTACCAGCACAATCGTGGTCTGGTTCTGGGTTTCTATATTCTTGCGACTAGTATCGGGACGTTCATGGGTCCACTGGTCGCCGGGTTTATCACCGATAGCCCGGCGATGGGGTGGAGATGGGCAGGATGGCTCGCGGTCATCATTTCGGGATTCATGCTCATCCTTTTCTACTTCGGGTTGGAGGAGACTTTCTTCGATCGCAAGGCTGTCCTGCAGGGACTGGACGTGCGACCGGAGGGTACGACCAGCCGCCCGCCCTCGGACGAAAAGGCCGATCGCCCTCCGATTGTCGAGCCAATTCTGGTGAACAACGCTACGGACGAAGAAAGTGGCCAGAAGAAGGGGAAGACCTACTGGCAACGCATCGCGTTGATCACGCCTTCTCCGACCTTGATCGGGACCGGCTTCAAGCAGTACTACCGCCGCATCTGGCACACCCTACGCATCTTCACCTTCCCCGCAGTGCTCTACTCGGGACTGCAATGGGGTGCCCAGGATGCCTGGCTGACCTTTTATCTCACCATCGAAGAGGATAATTGGTACGAAGCGCCCTGGTACTACACCGATGCCGCGGTGGGCATTATGAACGTGCCCACTCTGATCGGCGCCCTCATCGGCTGTATTTACGGTGGTTGGTTCTCCGATTTTTTTGTCACCTGGATGGCCAAACGCAATGGGGGCATCTTCGAAGCGGAGCAGCGCCTGTGGCTTATGTTCCCCGTTGCGCTCGTCGGACCGGCAGGTCTCATGTTGTTCGGTATTGGCTCCGACAAAGGCTGGAGCTGGCCGTGGCCGTACGTAGGACTGGGTTTCATTGGATTCGGCTGGGGCTGTGCCGGCGATCTTAGCATGGCCTACCTTCAGGACGCGTACCCGGATATGGTCCTTGAGGGCATGGTGGGTGTGTCCGTGATCAACAATACGATCGGATGCATTTTCACCTTCTCGGCCCAATACTGGATCGACGCACAGACGTTGGCTCAGGTCTTTATCGCCATTGGTATTCTGAGCTGGGCTTTCCTCATGACGACTGCGCCTATGATCTATTGGGGAAAGAAGTGCCGTCGACTCACTCAGAAGCGATACGAGAACTTCCTCCGTATCCGCGATGGTCATCTTTAGACATGACATCTACTTGGGATAAATCTACTTGGTATATACTGCATTTTTTTGCAGCTATTTAGCGACTTGCTCGCATTTTACTTTTTCTGGCATGATGTATACATAATTTTTGTCTACGTTTTTGCGTGTTCTTTCGGTCGATCTACTTTCTCTTCATGTCACTCTTTTGCTGCATTCTGCATTTATTTAGATTGAACAGCGTGGGCGTTAGCGCGCCCGAATACCCATTTACTTCTGCATTGAAACATGAACACATTGAGATGAAACTCCGTGATAAGCGAATTCGGCCATCATATCCACATTAGGCTTTTGGTCCGGCAGTGGAGACTCTGGATAAGCCCGCGCTAAGCCTCTTCCCGAAACGCTTAAGCCTTATCTCTGAATCTCCGCATCAGCTCGCGTCGAGATAAGAGAGTCTGATGACCCATTGTCCAGACCTCGTAGCCCCTATTATCACAACAATAGAGATTGAATCCGGATCTCATTCAACCTGCTGTACGCTCGATACATTCATAAATAATATTTAACTAAAGCATGACATTACTCAGGTGCATAGCCAATCTCGAACTTATCAATCAATCCCGGCGAATCAACGGCATGAACCTAGTGTAGATGCGCCCAGCCCACGACCGCATTCTCCGTAACGTAGTCCGAGTCCCCGCTTTATCTTCGACGTGGAGACTGATCTGCCGTCCACGAGTTCTCCAAGTGGAACTCATCTCTAAACAGGCAGTCCAAACTAAATCCAGCCTGAAAGATCAATACATACCGGTACTGACGGGCGACCGGAAATGAATACTCGAAAGATAAATATTATCTGGCTGGACCTACCGGGAAAGGAACTTGCGGCTGAGATATCCCCGCAAGAAAGACTGGCGATTGAAGATAAAGATTAGATTAGGTAGGGATTAAGGGGCTTATCTCGGCAGTTTGGGCGTGAGTTCTATGCTAGGAATGTTTTACCGCTGCCTAGGATTGGACTTGCCAGATTTGGCAGTTGGAGCTGCCTTGTGTATTGGTTGGCTATTGTTTGTTGAGGGGATCATGTATCCCCCATTCTATCTGTGGAAAGTTGGATGCTTACCCCTGAAAACGCAGTCAAATCAATGACCTGAAATGGAATTATAACATTGGATGCCTGTTCTATGAATCCTGGTCCCGCTGGAAATGGAACACCAAGTGACTTTTATCTGTCACTGAAGAACGCATACTCCAACTCCGCTGAATTTGGAAGGTCCTGATGCTCTCGGAATGGTCCATGGTATATTTTTGAACCCCATTCCAAGGCGCGGAATTATATTTCTGGCTTGACTTGGGATTCTCAATGACAACTGTTATCGACCGTGTGGCCAATTGGAAGCATCGAGCAAGTACGAAATCCAGCTCTTCCATGGGAAGGAACTCCAAGGCCGAGGCACAGAAAATGTGATCGACTGTTTCTGTTCGTGTTGCGAGGAAGGACTCCATGCGATCGTGAATCAAATCACAATACCCGCCTTCTTGGTGACATATACCCAGCATCTTCTTTGAGATATCGACTCCAACCAAGTGGGTAATTCGATTCCGTGGGTTGGATTTCAAAGCACGACCCAGACTGCCCGTTCCACATCCGAGATCGAGTGCAGTGCCTTTGAACGATGACAGTGCAGTTATTTCTGTAGTCTGATCCGGCGCACAACTTGTCATAGGCATCTCATCAAAAAGTGACGCCAGCTCAGCGAAACGGGCTCCTCGCACACCCGGGTTCTTGAGGAAGTAATTCGTGATGTAAGTGTTGATAACGGCCCTGTACGCCCCAGGGAATCCGTACTTGACATCCGTATCCTCAAGCTGCGACCCAGGCGGATAGAAGAACACAGGAAGAGGATCAACTTCGATCACATAAGCTCTCCCATCTTGACCGATTCGCATATCCACGTCACATCCCATGCCATTTGTGTACATTTTTTTGGTCGTGAAAGCTTCGACGGCTGTCTCTTGGAGATGTTTCCACAATGCCGGATCTTCATCTTCGGACATGAGCTCATAACCAGACTCTGCATCAAATTTTAATTCTAGCGTCAAGATTCGCGCGTTATCGCCAACCTGCTTGTATTTTGCGCGTTGAGGGATCAGCGGAATGGGGCTTTCGCCCATCGCAATCACAACTACAGAGTACTCTTCTCCAGCGATGAATTCCTGAACCACGATATCCGTGCTCTCCCGTCCTGCAGCTTCGCATGCATTGGCGTACTGCTCTCCATCCTGATGTCCCAGCGCCAGTGCTCGTTGAATCCGTACAGGGCGCATCAGCGTGTTCAACCGGTGGATACAGCTCTCCAACTCGGCTTCGTCGCGACAGAGAGAATGCTCATCGATAAACATACTCCCATAACTAGAAGCCGGCTTCACAAACAGAGGGAAGCACTCTGTGCCAGGAATGAGCGGACTGCCGGCTCGCTTGGCTTCGGCGAAGAAATCCCATTTGGACTGCGATCTTTCCGAGCTTTGGACACCGGCATGTGGCAGATTAAGCGACTCGAAGTATCGGATCGCATCAATACCAGCTAGTGAGTCCTCATGTGTGCCCCAAAGGAAATTTAAATAAAAGTCATAACCCTCTGCGACCGCCTCGTCGATTTGTTGCTTAGCTGTCTTTTTGTGGATGGTCTTGTGTGATACGTGATGTTGAGTCGTAAAGACGCCTGGATTCATGCATAGTTGTTGTGACTCCGATTCGCCGACTGAAGCCTGGAGCTCCTCGAAGCAAGATTGAAATACGCAGATTCTCATTGGGGATTATGCGGGTTGGGAAATATTGGACAGAGTTGACACGCGACCAGCTGTCGCATGTACTGCAAAACCCCACCAGATCTGCATGAACCTCTCCAAATCGATGATCTCCAAGATTCTTCACGATTGGTCAGTAGCGCCTATCTTAGTTTCGCTACCAGATGGATGAGACAGATCTGGGCTTTCTTGAGCCAATGTTTACACCGCTCTGGTCTGAAAGGGTAAATGATCAGGTTGTGGTGGAGACGTTCCGTGTTGTCGGGATCTTCAGCTGAGCACGCAGATGTTGTGTATCCACTCGTAGCTCTCCAAATGACGTTACTGAGAGATTTTTCAAAGCTCCAAATGCGCGAATTGCTAGAGAAATTCCGCATTCTCAGTCAAAACATGTCAAATTATATGGAAACAATATACATCCATGTAAACAACACTTAAACATAACCCGGGAAAACCGCAGTAGCAGTAGCCAACGCCACAATACCCTCTTCGCGTCCCACAAATCCATTCCTCTCATTTGTCCCCGCTTTAACAGAAATACGACTCCGATCCAATCCGAGAATACGCGCCACAGAGTCCCGCATGGCTTCACGATGGGGACTAATGCGCGGTAATTCGCACACAAAGCTCACGTCACAATGCGTGATAGTACCACCCACCTCAGCGACAAGCTTCGCAGCATGCTGCAGAAACTTATCAGAGGAAGCACCCCTCCACCGAGGATCCTTGTCAGAGAAATGAAACCCAATATCAGCCGCTGCAATCGTGCCGAGGAATGCATTCGTCAGAGCGTGTAGACCGACATCCGCATCGGAGTGGCCTAGTAGCGTTGCCTTGTGCGGAATCTTGACGCCACACAGGGTGATCTCTTCACCGGGGACGAGTCGGTGTGTGTCGTAGCCATGACCGACGCGGACATCTGGTAAGAATGTTTTTGTAGGACGCTTCACTTGTAGGAATCGCTCTGCCTTTTCAAAGTCCGCGCTATATGTTAATTTTATGTTATCCGATTCGCCGGGGACGATGCGAACAGGGAATCCCAGTTCTTCGAATAGGGCGGCATCATCTGTGTAATTCATTCCAGCAGTAGCAGCTTTTTCATGTGCATCGAGGATCATCTTCAGGTCGAATCCTTGCGGTGTCTGAGCACGGAAAAGTCCGTCTCGAGGGACAGTTGCTGTAATGCGGCCATTTGAATCGGCTTTCTTGAGGGTATCTGCAACAGCAAGGCCGGGAATCACGCCAACCGAAGGTTCTTGGTGGATGGATTTGGATACACTGTCCAGCAGTTGGTGGGAGGCGAAAGGCCGTGCTGCGTCATGAATGAAGACATGTGATGGGGCATCTTGCAATGTAGAAAGGAAGCGAAGACCCTTCAGAACCGATTCTCCTCGCTCGGCACCGCCATCTGTAGTATAAATGTTGCTGTCGCAGTCGATAGAAGCCTCGAGCAAGGCAGTGTCATCGGCATGAAGAACAATCACGATTGGACAAATTGCATTCCACGAGCGAAATAGCTTGACAGTACGGTTGATCACTGTGTCTCCTGAGATTCGACGATAGGCCTTTTGACAACCCTGACCTGCTCGTGTCCCTCTCCCAGCAGCCGGAATCACGATACCGAAGGTCACTTTTGTTTGTTGGTGCATTGCGATTATGTGTAAACAACGGAGGATAAGTGTGGGAAATGACGCGGATGTAACACGATCTGCCCCTCCACAGTTCGTGACGATCGGCAGGGCCCGTCACATCGGCTATTTAAATGACCCATGGATCCCTGGACCTTACATACACGTCGCGTGCTTTGTTTCCTCTTTCGATTTTCCACCGCTATCTTTCTTTGTTACATTCCACCGCCCAATCTGATTGGAGTGAGAAATCGAACATTGCAGTTCGCACAATGACTATCAAATTTCCACCGAAAATTACCATGCAGGTTCCTGCAAAGATCAACCCCCAGATTCGTGTGGGGCCCCTACGAGAAGATGGATACCATGATATTATTCTAGCCTATCAGGCTATATCGCTATATGACACTCTGACCATTTCATATAATCCGGAAGGCCCCACCATGAACGTCACAGGCATGGACAGCGACCGCGTTCCAGCGGATAGTCGGAACCTGGTGATCAAAGCAGCATTACTCCTCGGAAGCCACATGGGCATCGAGCCACGGCTACATTTCGAGCTTGCTAAATGCATTCCTTCTGAAGCGGGTCTTGGAGGTGGAAGTGCTGATGCCGCAGCCGCTTTGGTGGGGTGCAACATCATGTGGAGATCCAAGGTTAACGATGATGATCTCATGGAACTTGGGGCTCAGATCGGGGAAGATGTGCCTTTCTTCATTAAGGGCATGATGGCGATTGGTTTGGGCCATAAACAGCCGCTCATGAGCCTGGAGGTGGCGGATCATAAGTGGATCTGGGTTTTAGCGGTCCCGTTCCGCGGTCTGTCAACAAAAGCTGTTTTCCAAGAGTATGATAGAATCTTGAACGGTTCTTTACCGGAAGAGGAGGCAAAGTATGCTCTCAGGCGGCAAGGGTGTATGGACGTTGCTTGGGGAACCCGTTCACCAACTGAATTGTTTGGCTCTCTTGTTAATGATCTCGAACTGCCCTCGACGAGACTGTTGTCTGATATAGGCGTTGCGCTGGAGACTGGGAGGTCGCATGGTGCGGTTGCAAGTCTAATGAGTGGCTCTGGGTCGACATGTGCCTTCCTGGCGAAAGATGAATCCCATGCAATGTACCTGAAAAAAGGATTGGAGAAAGAGAACATGTTCAGGGAAGTATTTATCGCATCAGGGCCTGTCAAAGGGGCTCGTGTCATTGAGAACTAGTCCGTAGTATACAGAAAATCGCTTGTCTCTGAGACAGGACTATACTCCGAAAGGCATCGATATTTTCGACTATACCTGGCACATCATCAAAGCTGAGCTGATTGTCGCATGATAGTATTCGTCTGCGCACCCGGGTCTATGAAAGCTTGAGCAACATAAAGAATGCATTGTATGGACGTTATAGTTTCAAAAAGACATATCATTTCAAATTCACCGCTGATGCTCATTCCTCCTCAATCGCACTCCTCAAATTCTCAATCAAGCGAGAAACGCACCGAGCTTAGCCTTATCTAAGATCTCCCCTTCAATCAACTTCCCTGTGGCGGAAACCTTCCCTTCCACAACCTCAAATCGCACCAGCGCAGGAACATTGTTAATATTCCAATTTGTGCGATAGACATTCTTGGGATCTCTCCACCTAAAAAAAAAATCAGATTCAATTCCACTCATCTTCAACATGATTCCTTCAAACATAAACAACTTTAAAAGCCACATGTCATATAACGTACTCGGGTTTCTGCCCGACGGGGACAATAGCTACAGTAGGCGCATCGCCCGCAAAGGCAGCGTTGATATGGGGCAACGCAGCCCGGACATCGGGGCACCAAGGCTGCGACGTGACAGGGTCATCTGAGGACACGAAAGCGATGAAGAATTTCGGGCTGCCCTCGGGCAATTCAAGCAGCTGGGCGTTGGCCGGTAGGGCAAAATCTCTGATGATAGGCATGATGGGCCGATCGACTCTGAAAGATGATGAATGAACAGCTGTGGAGACAACGATGATTAAAGGCAAATGTGTTTTGTGCAGTCACGACGTGGTCGATGATACCATAATCGCCTTTTTTGTTTGATCGGGGATTGGGGGTAAATCAATTTTGCTTCGCGGCCCCACATTGCAGCGCTGTCGAATCAGCAGCCATTCACGGTTATCTGTTGATCGTGTTTCTTTTGACATTGTTTGCATATTTTGAATGGAATCATGTATTAAAAAGGCAATTTCTGAAAAGTGACATCTATGTATTTTGGTCTAGTGCCCATTGAAGGCTTGACGAACGGTAGATGTGCAATTCCTCATGAAATGACCCTAGCGACCGGTCTCCAAAAAACGAGCGTAGATATTCATGGCATCAATAATGAACTTATGATGCAATAGGCAGTGTCCAGTAGCTGCGAGGGGGGTGGGAGAAGGTACATTATGAGCAAACGATTCACGTCGCAATACGTCCCACCAATCATACTTAACGTTCAATGCCATGTATAAATGGAGAGGGAATCAAGAGGTAGAAGACATAGAGAGAAACGGGGAGATGGATACTGAAGTGCTTTTTAAGTAGTTAAGCTCACTAGGTTTCCACCATCAGCTTCCTCTATCTTTCAAGTAGCCAGGTTCCTAGATCATGCCGTCGAGATTTGTATGTACGTGTTCAATTCACAACACGATCTGTATTGGCCCGGTAATTGTTATCTAGCTAAAATGTAGATTGCCTGAGTCACCGAAAGAAAAAGCGCTCTGGCCATACAATGTCGCTTTGTGAGAACAGACCAAGCAACAAGAGAACAGTCAAAGATCTAGTGATCAATGATGTGGATCCTGCAGGTTGGGGCGCAGGTTCGTTTGGACATTTCTACACGTAGCTTCCCCTGCGTCATCGTGCATTCTATGTAAGACTGCCTTTGAATCTGCCTTGCCCGTCAGATGACCCGAAGATTTTTTCTGTCAAAAGAGTGCCCCGGTCGCCTGTTATATAGCTCCAGGGGTGGATGATTATTCAATATTGACGATAACGTTCACAGGTGCAGCCAATAGGGTCACACCGGCTGGAGTTATCCAGACGCCTATGTGCCGTATACCGGGGTGATGGTGGCTGAAATGCCCAGCTGAAACTACCCCGGGTGATGTCTCATACACACCCTCACCCAGGTTATCTCTTGCTTTAGACTTTATGAAGAGATTTACTTCTAGAGCTGAAGTCGACATCATGCTGACAGGGACTTCATGTAAAGTCAAGGTTCAACCCTTCATGTCCAGGTGTTCTCCGTGCGGGGCGCGCTCGAAGTACCAATCACGTTGACCTCCAGCCCCGACGCCTCACTGTGGCTGTGTCTCGGGGATTATGTGCTGGCTTAAGTTACCCCTGAGCCTTGCAGCGTCTAGGCCTGAAAGCAGGAAATCTCCACTGCATGCGTGATCAGGCCAAAAAAGGGAATCGGCAACCAGTTTATAGATACCACAGTAACATGAAAATTACCTTGAAATGCTAGATTGCGATGAGTTTAATATACATGCACCCACTCCATATTGACCATTCTTCCCGTGATTAACGCCATGTAAGACGGACATAAGAACATAGAAAAGCAGAGATAGAGGAAATTAGAGAAAATTAGGAGAATAGACAGTTTCAGCTGGTGATCTTGAACCTTGGGAATAATGATGCACGCAATGAACCGATCGGACATGCGAAACCAAATTGTCTTTGCGATTGAAAGGCTTGCACTTCGGATTGACCGGACACAGATATTGTTTCGGAGAAAGATGCATAAGCCGAATATGACGGAGCAGCGTAGATTGTCGGGCAAAGTGGCCCGTGTACGTACAGCCCTCCCATCTGCACTCTAGGGGAGGATCCTGCGATGGCCTGCGACCGGATTAGTTAAAAGCACAATTAATGAAGTATTGAGGGGTGATCCTACCGGTTACGCGGCATCTCGCGGATCTGTTTCATCGATGAGTCATGTGGAGACGGGGCAGCGGGGTGCTCTACTGGGGTGATTGACCCTGAACTCGGTGTTCGATAGATAAGGTTCTCTTGTGGACGCCAATAGGTTGGCTCGGGAATCGCGTCCCATTTGGGGTCTTCGTAAAGCCCCCTGGGGGGAGATGTCGGGTGAAAGCTCTGGAACTGACGCGTAATAGCGAGTGTCGATGAAGAGTGAATTGGCGTTGCCATGACCGGGCCCTTCAGCGACGACTGGGTTCCCGAAGGCATTTCGGTAAAACGACATTGTGAGGATGCAAACCGAGAGGAATGATGGATCTAATGATGACTGTAGACTGGAATTTAATCAAGCGAAGAGTATGCGCAAAAACTGTAGTTGGAGAGGAATTCTGTGACTTTAAGGCATAATCTAGTTCTAGGATTGAAAAGGCGTTTAAATATGATCCTCCATTTGACCAGATCTACGCATTTGACAAGTTTCCACGCATCTGGCAAGAGGTTTGCCAATTGTCAAGGACTTTGACAAGGCGGTTGACGGTGCCTAGGCAAAAGCCAAGTAATCGACGCCCTGCGCCCCCTCATTGGGCGACCGCGGGTGGAGGCTTGACAGTTGCGCAGTTGTCGAGTACGAGGCGGCCGATTACTCTCTACGTCAGAGAATCGGATACATAAGCCCTGGAAGATTAATAACCTGGGAAAGATGGCTTTCATTCCGTTCATCTTCATATGAGCTTTTGTGTTCAGCGCGATGACAATGGACTCCAAGACCGGCCCAGTTGCGGCTCAAACCCCGCACCGAAGAGATTCCAACGTAAACAAACCTTCCAATCTTCCGACCCGTGGAACCTTCCATGTTTATTCTTTATTGACTGACGGTTCCTAGATCTCCGCAACCAAGATTGCAACCAAGATCGCAAAGAAGGACTTCATCAAAAAATGGCTTCACACCACTCCCCGCAAAGTGATCAGCGTCCCCGCAAAACCAAAGTTCACCTTAGAGAAGCCAGATTTCACCCCAGGCGACTTCATGAAGCACATGTGTGTGGACTTTACCGCCATGATTCAAGAAGCGATCAAGAATAGCCCGTCTAACAAACAATCAACGAGAGGCGTCTGCAAGGAAATTATGCGCACCAACGCCTGGTACCGCACCCACCAAAACTCGGGCTGGCAGGAAATTGTCGCTCAAGAGCTTGCGAATAATCCTATCTTCCACCCTCTGATCGAGTGTCACAATGGGAAAATTAGCAGGACGAGGAGTGTGAAGTGGTCGTTGAGCTTTGCCGCGTACCCCAGCACCACGCACACCGGTACCGCGGAAAGCACTTCATCAGACACAAACACAGATTGCGGATGGAACGTCCAAGAGCTATCGGACACGAGCACTGCGGTGGATTCTAGCACAGAAAGTGCACACCGACTGCCACAGCGAAGTTTTACTGAGGCATCATGCACCACCACCACCAGCACCACCAGCAGTGGGAGGACAAAACACGAAATACAATTGCCTCCTGACTACCTTGCCGAGCTTCCCGCATCTGGCATGAATGCTGAATTACCGGAAAGTTGTGTCACGAAGCCGAAGTACGATCCTTCGGAGAGTACATACTCCATATCTCGCGCAAGCACCTTTGAGACTCATGATGGCGAGAGGTTTCCAGAGAGACCTTTTTCGATGTCCGAAATGACCCTGGTCTCTCCTATATCTCCGCAATCGCCTACCCGATTTTCACCCAGCCCATTTTCAGCATTTCCTCTGCACTCGCCATCTGAATACTCATACTATGACAATAACATCAACACCCCTCCCCCGCAATACGTGGATGTCTCGCGCAAGCGGGATGAATCATTCCACCTGGAATTAGAAGATGATGCGCCTCACATTGATAGGAGAGTGTCGTTCAATATGCCATTGAGCACTTCTCGGCCACCAAGGCGCATGACGGCAAGCCCAATTTCCAGCATCACCGAGGTACAGGAGAGTTCCAACTGGCCTCCGGTCAAAACCCAAGTGTCATCATTCACGCTTCCTTCGACTGTCTCGGAGTGGCCTCTTCCCAGTTCCGGCCAGGATTCCAGCAGCTACACGTGTCCTCTCAAGCGCGGCACTTATGTGAGGAGGTCAAAAGAGCCTGTCCAGTTACAGCAGAGAGAGGAAATTGGTCGTTGGATTGAGGAAATACCCTCCCACAACCAAACACGGCCGACCCCACAAGACTCCTCTTCATCCCATTTAATACGATACCAACTTTACGATACTCCGATGGAGGATGCGGAGGACGAAGAGGTGAACAATAATGGATCATCATCTACGAACAATGGTGGAAGTGTCCCCTCGGGCACGGGCGACTCCAATGGCTCTGGGGAACAAACGCCGCCCATGAAGGGTGGGCGATCTCCACCACAGGATAATAGGGGAAGTGGACGCGACGATGACGGCAATCAAGATCGAAAGAGGAAGCGGCTTCATTCCCCAGACAGAGATGAAAGACGCAGGTTCGCATGTGTGTACCACAAGTTCGACCCTAACAAATATGGGGTCAAGAACCGAAAATATCTGGTCTGTGCGGGTGGTGGGTTCAAATATACATCTGAGCTTGTGTGAGTACCCATGGTCCATAAATCCATGCCTTGTTTCTAATAGTCCCTAGCCGTCACCTCACTCGAGTCCACAATGAACATCTCTGTGGAGTTTGCCTTGAACAATTTCCCGACGATGAACAGCGTCAAAGGCATTCTGCCGAGCAGTGTACTGCTCGGCTCCGGTACTCCCAAGAAGAACGTTGGCAATTCCTCTACCGCGCCCGGTTCCCTGATTCTCCAATTCCGGACAACCCATGTATGTCCCAATTACCAATCCAAGTTAGACTAGAATGAATGTACTAATGAATTTTATCAGACCAATCGGGCCCACTGAGAACGCCTCCTCCAAGAATAAACACCAATGTCGGACCAGCAATAACCAACACAGATCCGAGCTCGAACGAATTTTCTTCAAATCCTTCCAGTTTCAGCGAAACATCATCCCCAAAGTTATTGGAGTGTCTCATTCGCGTCCAAAGCCTTGAAAAACGTCTACCCGCCATCGAAGATCGGATCTTCCAACTAGGCATGAAGCTGGATCCTACGATGCTCAACACAGCTACCAGAACACACAGCCAGTCATCACAAATTTGTCCAACAATCTCGCCATCTTCAAAGTCCGCCGCGGATGAACCCTTCTTTTCATCTCAGGGTGGTACTGAAACAACTGTCTCGAGCTCGAAACCGTCTCCATCTTCGGATGCAACCTTTAACTGGCAAACTATTCAGCCATCAATAATTGATCTGAGTCAACTATTACGAGATACGGATGTAATTATGGACGACAGCAGGCTTTTGACCGAATTCGCAGATGGGACGAATGCTCCTGTTACTGCGCTTAATCCCTTTTCGACTATATGGAGCAGTGATGGGGAGAGAGATTCGTTTGGGAAAGGAAGTAGTCAGCAGACGGATCCACCCTCAACAAATTTGCCAGATCTCGCGTGGGGGGACGGTGTCACGTTCCCAGGACAAAGTTTTAATTGAGTTTGAGTTTTGGAGTACCGGAATGATCGGAGTTATATACCACTTGCTTTACTAGGTTGGTTAGGGGTTAATTATGAGGATTTTGAAGTATTTTACATGCATGCCGGAGTTAGCTAAATACGCATTACGGAATAATGAAAAACAATCAGATTTTACATGGAAGAGTCTAAATTTGATCATTCATATAGCATCATTGCATTTCTCATGTAAGACAAAATGCCCGTCGCAGACATACGACAGCCTGAAAGGCACCTCCAGTAGATGAAGGGTGCGTAGAGCAAGTAAATATTTAAACAAGATACCTGAAACCCTTGCGCATCCGCAAAGACTCATCCGCACTCTCAATAAAGTCCGAGGCTCCAGCCTGCGCATCAGCAGCTTCGCTCTCCTCAAGCTTCTTGTTCAGGTTAACAAGAATCATCCTGAATCCCCAGAAGCCGACAATCGTAATACCGAACATGGCAGTGACTATTCCGTAACTCTTCCGGTACCCGTTGTCGGAAAGGTCCCACACGTAGGAGCCGGCGACGTTACCCAGCTGACTGAATGCGTTGATCAGGGCCAGAGCAACGGCTCGCTTGGCGGGGGTCGGGGGAAGGAAGAACTGATCCAGGAGTAGAAGACGATGAAGCCGGCGTAGGAGCCTGCTTGGAGGAAGAGGGCGACGTAGCGGGCTGCTACGTTCAAAGTTGACATGCTGATGACGAAGCCGACGATTCCCATGACGAGAGGGCCGTAGATGTGCCAGATCTGTATTTCGTTAGTTGTAAGGTCATGGAGGTTGGATGGGGTGGCTGACCTTTTCTTGGGTTCTGTCTGCGTGCCAGGCGTTCAGGACGGAGAAGATACAGGAGAAGACCCATGGGGGAGCACTCATGAGCAGGGTAGGGACGTAGGAGAAGCCAAGAGTACCGGTGAGGGTTGGCTGTAAGAGGAGATTAGTAAAGGTCATAATTGATAACGAAAGAGCAAACTTACGAAGAAGGCGTTGAAAGACAGTCCGACGACATAGGCAGTGAAAGACAACATCATAACGTAGATCTTGAAATCCTTGAGGGCCATAACGAGTCCAGAGAAGGGGCTCTGCTCGTCGGAATCGGTATCAGCCTCACCCACATCCTCCATGAGACGAAGCTGAGCAACAAGACGCTCCTCTTCAGTGAATCCGCGAGCGTTGGTGGGCAGATCGGGCAAGATGAAGGCGGAAGAGATGGCAATCGTCATAGTGATCGCACCCTCAATCCAGAAGAGCCAGCGCCATGCGGCGTGACCCAAAACACCCTGCATATTGGATAGAACACCAGCAGCGACGAGCGAGGAAAAGGCATTGGAAATCAGGTTACCGCAGAACAGGATAGCGTTCCGGGTTGTCAATTCCTTGCGGGTGTACCACTTCGAGAGGATGAGGAGAGCACCAGGGAGGAAGGCAGCCTCGACGAAACCCAGCAGGAACCGAATGGCCACCATGTGGCTGAAGTTCTTTGCCAGTCCGGAGCATGTAGAGATCAGACCCCACAGTGTCATGGAGCAGGCGATGTAGATTGATGGGCGCGAGATGCGGTTAATGAACATGTTGGAAGGCACCTGCATCAAAATGTATCCGACATACAGAATACTCAGACAGGTCGAGTACTGTGTGTCGGAGAGGTTCAAATCGGACTGCAGACCCTTCAACCGGGCCGCAGAGATATTGTTGCGGTCGAGATAGTTCATGATGTAGATGAGCACGAACAAGCTGCACCGGGCATCAAGTTTGCGCTTCAAGCTCTTCTCGACGACAATCCTCCGAGCCGGATCAATGTGTGGGACGACATTCTGAATCTCAGTAACATGTTCTAAGTTCTCAACCCCCTCTTTCTCGACCTCAGTCTCGATCCGGTCGTTGTTTCGTGAGATATCGTCCGCCATGATGTATTCTTCCCAGTTGCACAAGAAGAAAAGAAGTGGAAAGAGCAGAAATCTCCTCTTATGACCAAGGTGACACCCACAAAACCTTTTTCCCAACCCCACGCTAATCTGCTTGAGTGCAAACCCCGGTGACCCCCACGCAGAAATTATCGTAATTTGCGGGGGCCCCAGTGGAGATAGACTCTTGGCGTCGGGATGGACGCACCACGGCAGGTTTTTTCGGGTGCAGGGTCTCCGAGAACCGGAAAACTGACTTTAGTGGCTCCCGGTTCTGTGCTGCTGATTGGCTGATCGGGCCGGTCAATGCGTGGAAAATCGGGTCGAATTGAGAAAAAAGGCCTTGGCTGTCTCCGGGGTTGAGGACGTTCTCAAATCCCACAAAGCTTCGTCACTTTTGCATGCACTGTAATGCGGAGAGATGCTCACCGGCGGTTTCAACCCCCACCTCCTGTCCGGGGATTTCGCTTTAAAATGCTTTGCCTGCACGTCACTGCATGGGGTAGCAGCCAGTTGTAACGTTCCACGTCATTTTTGAATTTGTGGCTTTCTTTCCAGACCCGGTCCGATCATTCACCCCCTGGAGAAGGACCGGGGAAGAATGCCAAGACACGGCAGGTTTAGCCGAGGGAATGCCGTCGGGAAAGTCTCATGCGGGAGTCTGTCGTATGACCAAGGGCTTCAAGAATGCGGAGACCCCTGCCACAAGACTTTTAACTTAGTCTTCACCTTCAACTCAAGCGTAATTTAATAAAAATCATTCAAATCCTGCATTATCCTCTGTTTACTTCCCTAGCATAGGAAAATCCAAGTAATACAAATCAAACACGTTCATGTTGATTTTTAGCCCGATTTCATTGGCAATCCTGTGAGACATCCTCAGATCCCCAGATTCCCCGTCCCATTCTGGGTCAGATTCAAATACCGCACTGCCCTTCCTCGGCTTGAATAGCAGCCCATTCGCACTCTCCGGGAAAATTTAAGTCAAGCCGCACTGGCCAACCCCTCCAATTCAGGAAAGTAGGTCTCCCCAAAATGATAGAATCCGCTAACACCATAGCATTGGGTTCTATGCAAATGAATGGCCTTTCATGCCATTCATGGAATGCGAGGGCACGTGCTTCAATTTGAAGGACGATCTCATCCCGAGGAATGATGACTGATTCGGAAATGCGCTGATATGGCTCGACATATGACTGGAAACAGCAGAGACCATTGATGAGGCCCATTGACCGTCGCTAATTCAAGCTAATACCGAGTGTCTTAGGAGGAAACGAGAAAGGAGAGGCTGTGTACGTATTTTACACAGGAAAGATGGTTTATCTCATCCCACCTGCAGGTTACGATCGATGTAAATACTCCTGTCTGATCAAGCATTGGTATTCAAAATGCAGACTCGGCAATTGAGGTTCGTTATACGTGAAGATCTCCCATGCGACTGACATGGAAAATCGTAGTGACAGGAACCGGTGCCGTATCTAGGGTACTATCAATCTTCGATATATCTTTCAGCCCTGGAGACGGACACTGAAATTTCTAAAGGCTCAAGGCACATATTCTTGTACAACTTTGTAACAGCTGTGTTGTAATCTACCGGGAAGTTAACGGCACTGGCCATTTGGTTCACGATCGCAAGGCTATTAGCAGGCATATGTCTCCAGGTGTCTATGTTTCCTAAAAGATGCACGTTTGACTGGTGGAGCGTTGTACGGACCAGGACGAACTTCCCAATACATGGGCGATTTTGCTTGGATTAATGTGGCTGTTACACGTGGGAACAAGTTCGAGCCCATATGGCTTAACCACCGACTGAACCCGCCCAACCAGGCGAACGAGATACCGGGGATAAATCATGTACTGGAAACTTTCAGTCTCATCTCAACAACAGCACGCTCAAAAGCAAGACGCAAAAGTGGGGACAATTTTCTTGTTGCTAATTGGTTCGTCGGGAATGGCTGTCGCAGGCCCCGTCCGTGGCCGTGCATCAGTACTCCGCACATCATACTGAGAGCGCTGTATAATAAGATAATGCGGTAGAGTCATAAGAATCGGATTTCGGGTTTCGAGTTCCAAGCCCCAGGATTGTGGCTACTTTTAAAGCGGTGTTTGTCAGCAAATAACATTGGTGTAAACCTTTCTCCGCATAATATATATCCGACGGAAAATGGTTATTCTATCTATAAAATCAATGGGCTGTGCACGCAGACCCCAAAGCTTAGCTCAGAGTTGCTTGAAACTCACAAAACTCTGCATCTTTCTTGCTACAGATTTTCCAGATAGCAGACACGTCCTTCCCAACAAAAATGTCGAACCCAGGCCAATTCCTCGCGGGAAAGCGCATTATTGTTGCCGGTGGAAGTTTCGCAGCATTATCCTTCGCGATCGCTTTAGATCAGTTATGGAACCCCTCACTTCAGCTTCCAGAAATCACATTGTATGAGCGGGATGATCGCAACAAGTCAATCGAAAAAGACCCCTACATGTTAAACATCAACGGAGCGAGCCGCGACGACGGACTGGTCGCCATTCAACAACTCGGCTTACTAGATGAGCTTCGAAACCATGCGACTTTAAACGGCGGTGATATTAAAGTCTGGTCTGACAACTGGAAGTGGCTCTCGTCCATCAACCCAACTGCATACGGCAACCTCCCCGCCGCCACGATGCGCATCACACGCGCCAACCTAAAGCGCATCCTCATTGAAAAAGCTGAGAAAACCAAGACAAGATTGATCTGGGGATTAGCCTGCAAATCAGCCGAAAGGCTGCCCAGCGGAGAGATCAGGGTCACGCTTTCGAATGGCACAACGCAAGACTGCGACCTCCTCGTCGCGGCAGATGGCGCCAACAGCGACATACGAGCTTGTTTCCGACCCAATGACATGAAGGCCGAATACGCTGGCGCAACCCAGATCGGTGGAATCTCTCATCTCCCAACCGGAGTGCCCAAGCCGATCGACGAGAATTACGGGCTGCAAATGTCCTCCGGCGAGGGCGTCTGTTGTATCTACAACCCCTTCGACAAAGAACGAGTAGCCTGGGCAGTAAGCACGGTCGGACCCGAACGTGAACCCAAAACTGAGTTCACGACTGAAGAGTTTTCAGCACTGAAGCAAGAAGCACTTAAGACAGCATGCATGTTCCAAGAACCCTTCAAAACAGTGGTTGAGGCCACACTCCCTGATACCGCATTTATCCGACCGGCCAAGGAGAAGTTCGCTTTTCCACACGATGCCCGTCTGAAGGGCGTCATCTTCATAGGAGACGCGAATCATATTCTCAGCCCCTTTGAGTATGTGGGAGCTAATTTGGGGCTGAAGGATGGGTGGGATTTAGCGGAGCAGATTTGTCGGAATACGTCAATGGCTGCGGCGGTTGCTGCTTATGATCGGATAAGCATTGCTCGGTTCGAGCCTGTTTTCAATTTTTCGCACGAGCGGATTGGGTTTGGTCATTGTACTGGGAAGAAATGGACGTTTTATAAGTATGGGATGGCTGCTCAGAGGGCGTTTAAGCAGGTTCATTAAATGTGTTTGGGTATCTGCAACCCCGGTACTTGCTTTTTGGACGTCATAATCACTATTTGCCTGATCCACTTCCAAGAAAGAAATAATCGTGATCGGCAAAGCTGTAATATATTAGATAACATTCAAGGGGGTAGATACAGGAGAGCTGAAGCCATTGAGATAACAAGGGTCGACACCTGAAGCGCCAATGTCTCCACCCCGGCTGATCGCCCTTCGTGATTTTCGGATGTCGACTATTTACTTTTGCGTCAAGCCCTGCTGCTTGAGCAAGTTACCGTGTCGAGTGGATGAAAAATAGTAAATATTAATCAATATACATTAGGTACCTAAGTAACCGTATCTAAGTTCATCAGATCCGAAAACGACTCCCAAGGTTACCCCTTGAAAGAACCGAGGACGACCAACGATTTCCTCTAGCAATAGGTAGCGTTCGAAGAAGCCTTGGTGATAACACCAGCATCAATAAGACGCTCGTAAGACCAGTAATCCTTCTGGGTACCCTGTCCATCAACAGCAGCACTGCTGTTGTGCTTAATGTTCCAGAAAGATCCACCCTGGACGTACAAGCTCCAAGCATAACGTTGAGTATCGAAGAGGTTCTTGCGGTTGGCATAGGTGTTGCTGTAAAGAGTCTGCAGAGCCCATTCACCAACGAAGACAGGGAATTTGCCATCGCCACCGAGGACGGAAGCTTGTCCACAAATGGCGCCCTGGGCCCACTGGGAGTAAACACCGGAGGCAGCGAAGTAGTAGACGTGCATATCGATAACAATGTTGGTACCAGTGGGGAAGTAAGGGGACCAGTGCTCCTCACCGACGAAGCAGTCCTGGAGCATGAGGGGAATACGCTTGTCAACCTTGGCAATGCGCTTCAGGACACCCTGAGTGTACTTGACGATCCAGGCGGTACCGTTGGTGGTCAGAGTGTTAGCCGAAGCAAAGGCAGTCGGGTTGTCGGAAGCCTCGTTGATGGGGGCAATGGTGAAAGCCCAGGGGTATCCAGTCTCGACGAAGAAAGCGAGAATCTGGTCAACAGCCTGGTAGGAATACTCCAGGTTGGTAGAGTTGAAGAACCAGGCATCGTGGCCGGAGGCCTCACCGATGTCCAGGTTGTTGACACCACCAGGGAGAGAGTGCAGGCCGACGATGACGCGCATGTTGTACTTCTCGATGGCGTAGACGGAGATCTTCTTCAGGTAGTCCTTCTGGTTTCCGTGATACAGAGCCGATCCGGGGACCTTGATCCAGGCGGCGTAGGTGGTGGGGATGCGGAGAGTGTTGACACCTAGGTTGTTTCATTAGTACTGCGTGATTCAAGGTGTTTAAATGGGGAGATAACATACCGACAGCGGCCATCTTATCGATATCGGCAGTGGTGACAAAGGTGGCATAGCGTTCCTCTAGGACGGGGCCACACTGGGAGCCAAGGGTCTCGCAGAAAGTCCACTCATCATCAGCCTCAGGGGCGTGCTGGTCCCACCAGTACTGGTTGAAGACCTGCTCCTGCTCAAGCCAGCCACCGAGGTTGACACCGTTGGCCTTGTAGGTGGTCCAGTTGGTCCACTGACCGGCTGCGACGGTAGCAGTGGTAGAAGCGACAGTAGTCGTGTAGGTCTTGGTGGTGGTAGTTCCGTGGTGAGTGGCAGTCCGGACGATAGTGCGAACAGCAGTCTGGGAAGCGGGCTTGGTGTTTAAGTCAGTGTTGAAACCAGAGCCGACAGCGGAGCCACCAGCAACCGGGGCAAGGTTCTTGGTGTGAGATATGGTAGTGGGTTCACTGAAGATTCGTTAGACCTGGCAATTTGCATCAAATGTGTGTGAACATTAACATACGAGTTAGAGGTCTTGGTCTTGGTAGCGATCTTGGTGATGACGGTACGGCCATTCTCATTGGAAGCAGCAGCCTGAGTGGCGGTGGCTTCAGCAGTGACGGTGGCAGTAGAAATGGTCTTGGTGACAGTGGTTGTCTCGAAAGCGTAAACAGTGGTGTGCAGGTGGGTGGGGGCATTGGTGCATTCGATCAGAATAGTGTTGTCGATGGTGATGACAGCATCCTCCTCCAGCTCAACATCAACAATGACGGGGTACTCAATGATGTTGACAGACAAGTGCAAGACTTCGCCAGTGTTGATAACATTAGCGCAGGTGTCTTCGTTGGACTTGGCCTGGATCACTCCCGCGGCGGCAGCACCAAGAGAGGCAGCTCCTGCCACAAGGCTAAGGAAACGCATCACGGCCGATTATTTTAACGAATGACTAGTGTAAAACAATGAATAGAAACGAGGGAATATGGCAGTGCCGGAAATAAGTGTGAGCGATCTGCAGAGGTGCATTCTCAGAGCTCTTGGGTGATCTTATACTCCGCTCCATGCCGGTAATTCCTATCTTTCTTGCCAGAGTTAGCTTCAGGATCATTCCCTGGAAACTATTGCCGGTGGGGATGTTTAACATAATAGGTGCAAAGCTTGAAAAATACCGAATAGGACGCACGTTCTTCGGGCCGAATGGAGCTCTGGCACTTAGCGTGTCCAAATCCAAGCTTTGGAAGCCGAAGGCCCCGGCAAGCTCGGGATTGAGGCACCGATTCAGCATAAACCTTATGGTTCAGAAGAGTGGGTCGGTAGTTTTGGACCCGATTCAGGTATCGAGCTGTGGTATCAATCCACTTCCCTGGTAGATTAATATTTAGATGGGCCAATCAAAACCCCATATTATGAAATTCCTTCCAAGCTGAAGCCATGCTAGAACTCAATAGTGGTTTTTGGGGCGTTTAGCACTGGTAAACCTCGTGGCCAAGCCTCGATTTACGTAAGTTTCGCCAAGGCGAACGGTCCAAGGTTCGATGATATGAGATCAAGCGAAGAAAATACTGTCCTGCATTAGATTGATGATGATGTGGTGCTTCAGAATTGTAACATTCTGGTGCGGCCGGACCTGATGAATTTCAAGCGTGAAAATTTGCTGGTGAACAAGATCTCTTGCTCAGGGAAAACGGGATTCGGCCAGGGTCTTGTACCTGAATGGACCCACTCGTGCCCACTCGTTCTCAATCTCGGCTGCCTGCCATGCAGACTAGACTATTTGTCGGCAATACTTCGCTAAATTTTATCAGTGGCGTTCGGATTATCCGAGTAGCTAGAATTCCAGAGCAAGGAACCGAGGGATTGGATAGGCGCACCTATGCGTAATCGAAATGACCATAACAGGTTAAATACAGTTCGAACTTGAGCTGTGTGTTTGATTGAGGTGGGTTGAACATCTGTGGAAACCCTGATCACAGCGATATTTCACTCGCGAAAAGACAATTCCTTCGTATAGCGAAAGTCTGTGGAGACACTTCCGAAATTATCGATGTGTGAGAAAGCCATGACGTTTCCAAAACAGTGGAATGTGAAGATCGAAAAGAAATGAACTAATTCAGTTCGGAGTTGGAATCGAACTCTGGTTGTATCCATTCTGCCGCGACACGCCGAGCATTTAGAAAGTCATGTGTGGTCCTAATCGGGGTATTTTCCGTAGTCGCGCCTCCTAGTCCTAATTAAGCCAGGGTGAAATCTCTGCTTTTTTAATTTTTTTTAGTGAACCTATCGTTTAGGGAGAAAATTGTCGTTCTCCTTAAGCTTAGCAGAACTGGTCAGGGTATATACGGGGCCGATCGAGGTTCCTCCACCCTGACCAGTTATATTGGTCAGGGCGAACGCTACCCTCAAGCTCATATGAGACTTCCGGGCAATTTTCTTGATTAGAATAAGGCGAATATAACGTGGGGGGTGAGCTCAAGCGCTATGGACCCTTACACCATCTCTTAGCGTAGGGGTACTGAATGAATGAGATCCTAGGCCCTAGTCCCTTTTTAATTAGCTCTTTGTTCGAGCCACTTTGTGGTTTCCTAGATTTTTTCTACTAAATTTTGAATAATCCCCCTCTATTTCCGCGTCAACATTTCGTCCCCCATCATATTTCGTCGCTTTACCCTGATCACTCCTAGTAGTGGTAGTATAATATGCTGCTGAATATCATTAGCCTGTTCGTATTTACGAGTCAGAACAGCGAAAGTGCCAGAAGAACTAATAGATAAATAGCCTTATCCTCATTGTGGTCTTCACCTCCTTTATCCCTCATCTACGTTATGCTTGGCTAGGCAAGGGCACTAGAGATATCTCATTACTCTACCTACTATTCAATGTTATTTGTTCTACAGAGCATTTATTCTTCGCCTTCTTCTCTACCATCAATATTCAAATTTTCGATCTCCCGGACGATCTCCCTCCCGACATCCATATCGTGCCCCACTGGACTCACTTTCCGCGCAATGCACTTGACTGGATTAACTTTTCCCAAGTGATAGGCGTATGGGCATTGTTTGATATGCTGTGATTTTACAACTTTCCACTTCCTATTTAAGCGACCAGCGACTAATTACCTTTTTAGGCTAGGGTTAAACCTCTACCATAGACTGACTAGTCGCCTTCGCAAGACCTTGATAGTACTCGTTTACATCAGCTTTCTCATTTTTTCCCTAGGGCCTGTGATAATAGACGCAGTATCCGACACCTTCTGTCCTTTAGACCATCCGAACTGCCCTTGGCACGAGCGCGACGCTATCGCTCTCATTCCTTCATTCTCCTACCATTCTTTACGACTATACCTCTGATCATAGGAATATACAAACAAGTCCGCAGCCCCCTACAGACTCAAAGTCTGACGGGGCTAAAGCTTCAGACAGCGGCTTTTATGCTATCGGCAGTCTTCTGGGTCCCCAGACTCTCTGCTCCATGGGATTTATTCCTAAAATACCTCAATGAGGGACACTCGATCATTATCTTTTTAATAGGATGGTACCAAGCGGTTGGGTTTGAGACTATTAATGATGCGGTATTTGCTCTAGGGCAGGGAATGCTACTATGGTTGACGTTGCGAGCGAATAGACGTGCTGAAGGGGAAAGACAGCCGCTTTTGGCGTGATACACTATACTTACTACTGGTCAGGGTGGGCCTAGAGCTGCGCTATAAGAATCCGGAGTGATTAGATGCTAGTGCACGTGGCGTTCTAAGGTACGCAACAATGCTCCTGCTTACGGGTCTTTCCTCACCTCTCACAGGTTTTTTCTAACCTTGCTTCTTTCAGTGTGATTTTCAAATATTGATGCTGATGTCGATAATTTTGCTTTATCTGATCATGAAGATTCCGCGTTTCCACCTTCCCACCTTCCCAACCTTCCAAGAACCATGGAAATAGATGTTTTCCCAATTGGCATAAATTTATAAATAGCCCGTCTTCCAAAACTTTCGACTTGTCAATTCACAGTGTACTTTGGCAGTCGCACCTTAGAATGGCTTTATTCGAAATTTCATTAGGAATTTTTGCGGCCTGGAGAACTCGGATATACCTTGAATTGAATTAAAGTTTCAGCTGAATGCTTAGAGATAAAATACCCATGCGCTGAAGTACAGCATGAACCCTGCCTCCAGGGCAAGATTGGAAGGCTGATGGTTGAGCTCACAGGCCCTGAAATTCGAGATATATAGACCCACACATGCCAACCTTGGAAGGTCTCAAAATATTTGCACAGGGACACCTGGGCACCTACATGGAGTTTTGATACCAGCGGACGTAAGAATCGTAGGTATGATCCCAAGGAAGCGAAGAAAATCAAAGAGCCCAGGGAGGTTTGCTGAGAAAATTGGCTTCGTCAATTGATAAGCGCTAATGGAAGAAGAGCCAGTAAGCTGATAGAAAGAATGAAGAAGTACTATTCCACGATGTTCTGAGGATGAAAATCTACCAGGCAACGCCATACTTGTTGAATAAAGGATCGCTCAAGAGTCTGTCCAAACAATTTGACTCCACTCCAACGAGAACCTCCATTCCGCCATTTGGCAACTGCGGAAGAACAAGCTGAGCTCCATTGATGACACCAACATGGGGAAGTCGCACCGCCTCAATTTTGTTGCCTAGGATGGGTCCCCACTCGATCCCATATAGCTCAAAGCCAAGCCATGAGCTTTGAACGCAGTGGTTACCCGGAACATCCAGGAAAGCTGTAGCGACAAAGCGATCCACATCCTCAACTGAGTCCACCAAGGTAATCAAATCATCGGTGAACTGATCATCAACGCGATTCAGAGCCTTGCGAATCAAGATAGCTAAATCGGCGATATTGAGCGAAGTGAGCATTTCACGGATAGATGCCGAGGGTGCAAACCACTCAAGGAAGCAGCCTAGTGTATTGGAGTGAATGCGAGTATTAGTCCGTTGGCGACCGTCCAAAGCGATATTGAAGACAGAGACAGGATCACCCTCCAGCTCTTCAATGGGATGCTGCACTGCCATAACAGTACGCCAGAGTAGAGCGGAGAGGGCATCATTGGTCGAAATCCACTTCTGATCGGTCGGCTGGGTGGCGTTGGCTGGCGAAGCATCGGCCTTTAATGCGGCTAGAGACTCTGGCGAGAAGTAGTAAATCTGTCCACGGTGGTTGACGGAGGTCATCTTAGGCGGCATTCCGGGAGGCGTGAAAGGCAGGACTGTAAATTCTGGGTGATCCTCGGGCCTGCCTTGGTTACGGCCAGAGGGCTTCATTACCTGTTCGCGATCGTTCCAGATGGCTTCTGGAAGGTCAACAGGGCTTTTATAGTCTCCCTGTGCGCGTCGGCATCCCTCTGCCCAGATTTTTGTCCAGATACAAAAGGATGTGCCGTCACCTGCCAAATGCAGAATACTCCAGTTGAGAATAAGACCACCGTGAATAAAGTTGGCCTGGACCTGTGCAACTGGCAGCCGGTCACCGGGTTGAGGCCAGATACCGCGACAACAGAATGTATCGGCATCGAAAGAAGCGACGGGGAAATGCTTTTCTTTCAGCTCTGCGTATGTTGATAGATATGAATCGCGTAGATCTTTGATAATGAACGCTACCTCGCCATCATCTCGCTTGGCATATTTTAAAACTCCAGCTTGCTTTGAATCGGTATCGGGGACGGCTTCGCATGCAACTTCTGGCAATCTTGCGCAGAGAGCATCATATCCGGCTTGAAGAATGCGAATCAATTCAGTCTTATCATAGTCCTCATCTAGCTGAAAAGGGAAAATGTATCGCAGATATCCTTTAGGCCCAATACGTTCAAGGGCTGTGAGCTGAGGAGGTCCCTGGTTGACGGCGGTTGAGCCCATGGTGATAAGATTGGCCTGCTATATTTTAGAAAAGGGGGAGATGAATCCAACAAATAGGTAGAAGAGTAATGGTGAGTTGAGTAGTGAGAAGAGGGGTTGTCAGTCAAAGATGCGAAGTTTTCACGGAAATATCCTCTTTATAGCCTTACGGCCTTGTAACAACCTGGACTGCGCGGTCCAACTTGGGAAATAGCCCAGGATTATCATTGCGCTAGGACGGTGAAAAGTCAGTGCTACAGACAAACATGAACCCTGCGATTGTGCTCCGGAGAATCGGAGTATGTAGATGATTCGGGTTTTCATACCAAAAGAAGTCTAGCCACAGGTGCCATTCGTTAATGAAGGGGGGGCCTAACATCCCACTAGTTCCAGTCGGCTGAAATTAAAGAGCCTACTACTTTGTACGAGCTACTGATCCATCTATTCCCCGCTCATTGAAATATGATGATACCTGAAAGAAGTTACGTGAACTTCCCTGGTGGACGTATCCACATACGATAAAACATCATTCCACAGAGGAATATGTCAAAGGCGAATTTCCGACCGGAACATCCCTTGTCCTTCAACCGTTTAACCCCTGATCATTATTCGCACTAATGATCCTTCCATATGCAAATGGCTAAGATTGGTAGTGCAAGAGCCTTTGGAAAGTGTGCTCCGTCGACCCACATCGCCTTCCACCCGGATCCGCTAAGAGGGTTAGTTCCGCTGTCACCTTGGAATAAGGTGGGTCATTGAACAAAATTGTCGAATAGGAAAAACTTCCAATTCCCGATGCAAATCCTCCACATTTTAGACTGCGTTTTTGAGCACACGGCCCACTGGTGAAACTCCCGAAAACCGTTGGAATGGATAAATCCTGGAGAGCCGGCATTTGAAGATCAGCGCACCCAGACCGATAGCCCCACCTCACCCAGAGGCATAGTGATAACCCTAGCTCATCCTTCGGATTTAGCTGCCGACGGATGGCCATGTTTTGCTAGTTCAGGGGTGTCAGGTGAGAAGTGTTAGGGGCAGCAGATCTCGTCGGGTTTTGGATTATTGTCGAGTCAGGATCCAGGAATGGGCGGTTTGTCCCGTCCAACGATTTTTCTGAGAATATCTTATCCGCCGCTTTATAACCACTCTTCCCTGTCTGTGCTGCCAGGCCGCTGGCCAATGTTCTCTGGTCAATCTGCCGGAAAGAACGGTTGCCATGACGGTGGACCCTGCCATTGAGGCGCTCTTTGGACCGCCGCCTTCCAATATCAACCTCAATGACACCTCGGTGGGCAATAATAACAGAGGCGTTATCGCTATGTTATGTGTGGCTGCGCTTGCTGTGATCACTCGTTTCATCACTCGGATAACATTTCGGAACCCAATTCTGGCTGATGATTATATCATCATCATTGCTCTGGTGAGTCTTAAACTCGCGGCTTGAGTGACGAAAGCTGAAACGCCATCGTGAAGCTTTGTATTGGGGCCACTGCTGGAATCAGTGTTGCAGGTAGGGCAGACCACTCTCAGTACCGGGAATATCACAGTAATGGAACTTGCTACAGGGAGCACCTTTGGTGCTAGCCACCATGTCTGGTCGATTTCCTTATCAGCGCTAGAGGAGACCTACTACGTGAGTTCGATCAATTACGCTAGAGCTACGGTGGTATTAACCTACTCATGAGTTATAGCTTCTCTACATTTACCCCTACATTTATGCAGGAGCGTGCACGGCGACCAGAATATCGATCCTCATTTTCTACCACCGCATCTTTTCGCCATTCGATTCCTGGATGAAGTGGGCTGTCGTGTTTGGATGGTTTCAGACATTAACGTATCCGATATATCTTTGGACCTGCATGGGCTGCTTGTGTACCCCACGAAAGTGTTTCTGGCTCCAATTTGGAGGGACCCTGACTGGAACCTGCCTCGATGTTGCCAAATTCTTCATTGGAGCAGGAATACTGAACATGTTGAATGACTTCATTCTCTTGATTATTCCCTTCCCTCGAATTGCTAAGCTGCAAATGTCGATCAAGAAAAAAATGGCTATTGGTGGTATTATGGCAGTCGGGTTCTTGTTAGTATCATTGTTGATTCCCTGATAACTGTTGAGACTTTGAAAGTAAATGAGTCAGGATCTGATCATTCAAGCACAGTGCCTGTATTGCGAGTATAGTCTGTATTTGGATCCATGGAAATTCACAGTAGCCACTGATGTGACCTGGGCCATGGGTCCCCTTTTCATTTGGTCGACAATCGAGCCGGGCGTCGCCATTATCACTGCCTGCTTGCCCCATCTTGCACCACTTTTTAAGCTGGCCACTCGGAAAATGACATCCTACAACTCAGAGAACACTGGAGCCGGCGGAGCATCTGGAAAGCTTCAGAGGCTAGACAGCGGGTCTGGTAGGCAAAAGAGATCGGGCAATCGGGCACCAAACTTCGATTTTGGCCTGACCACTCTGGGGACACAAGGTTATGATGACGAGATCGGGTTGACCAAGATAAGAAGCCGATATCTCCACGTAAAGCGCGGAGTTGGTGCTTCAGGCCTATAATATGAGAGCCATTTTGCATCAACTTCACCAGATTTGATCATCTAGCCAAACAAAATTTGTTCTCAACCTTCAAATACCCCTTCTTGCAAAGCTCCCATCCATTGCATCTCCCATTTATTGGTACTTTTCCTTGAACATCCCCTGGATTTATTGCTAGATAGCATCGGAAGCTAGTTGACCAGTAAAGGAATATATTTTCCAGCCTGAACAACTAACGTTGACTTTGTTTCTCAGCTCCAAAGTGCATGATGTACGTCGCAATCAAAAGTACCCCAATTTTTGACCAGGATCCACAAAGAATGTTGTCGTTTGATGTTGAAGCGTTTCAAATCGGAGCAACCTGCATCGCCCCTCTAGTTTGAGTTTCCAGATGCATGCTTGGCCCACCCACAATTATGAACCGTTCTCCAAACACGGGAGAATCTTTTGAAGAGACAAGGCGTACCGAGTTCCGTAGCTCGTAAGATGTACTATTTAGAGTGCAAGTTGGAGCATCTGACCCAGAATAAGCAATTTGCAACAAACTGTCATCCTAAACGGTCCTCGGATCGATCCAATGCAAGGCCCCTGGAAATGAATTCGATACACTTATCGTATTGCAACGAATCATGATTTGGAATGGTAACTTTGATATGACTTGCTTGCCCATCAGAAAGTTCGTTTTCGTTGCTGGGCTTCACAACGTTGAGCACCATCCTCGTGCGGGTCCATATTGACTTTGAGTTTATTCCTGACAGCTTGTGACTCAAAGCATGAAGGCTTATTGTCAACTATTCCCACCATAATCACAGAGTAGGAAGATATCAAATACAGCAACAGAGACCGAAAACATACGAAAGGATTTAGCATGCGATGATCCTTCCTGTGGGGCAAGCTGAGCCCGGTTGGACAGAACGTAGGAAGATCGACCGCTTAGCGGAGCACCGAGTAGAATTGGTTGCTCATCAAAATTCGATAAAGAAAGTGATTAGTACTTTTGAAGGACCTAATCCTTTGCCAACTCCTTTCCAAAGTGGCTTAAGAATTCACCCATCACGCCCAGAGGCTTGATATTTCATTTCGGAAGACCATGACCCTTGTCATTTCTCAGAGCGTTATTCATTAAGATTCTAGCTGGTGAGAACGTCAAGGAATGCCACGATGGGCTACAACTTGCCTGCGGAGATGTTCTCCGAGTGGGCAATCGGAGGAATTGTTATTGCTGTCCGCTTGTATGCGCGGTGGAAAGTTGGAAAGGGCAAATTTGACTGGGATGATCTTTTCTTATCATTTGCCACGGTTTGTTTGCCCCTGCTTATTCGCTGGTGTATCTGAAATACTGGAAGTCTGTTAGATCTCTTGGACTCTCCTTGTTGTGACCCTTTACCTTTGCACATGTAAGTGTTTTTGAACGCGCGTTTCTATCAACCACTGATCCATTGGAACCAAAATAGCGGTGCACAAGTCGAATATTGGACTCAGCGAGGAAACAGCGATGGAAGTTCCAAATGATATGATCTCTGATTATCGCTCAGGCTCCATCGACGCCTTCATCGCTTGGATCTGTTATATTGCCGTGGTCTGGTTGTTCAAATGGGTTCTTATGTTTCTGTACATGAGGATTACGTAAGTTACTTGTGACGTGCGTCCTACAGGCCAAGATACTAAACCAACTTTCTTCTAGCAAAGGGCTCTGGGAACATCGTCTCACTATCGCTGTTGCAGTTTTCTCCGTTATGACCTTCGTGGCGTCAATGCTGTTGCATCTTTGTATTTGTCACCCTATTCAAAAGAATTGGCAGATAAAGCCATACGCTGGTGGTAAGATTACCTGCTACCATATTCGTTCGATAATAGGACCTAACGCATGAAAAAGATGATTGCACGTTACGACCCCTTAACTACATCATCATCGATACCCTCAGTATCGTGTGCATACATCTCAGATTTCCCCATTGCATACTGCAGGAATTAACAATCAGTATGAAATCAGAACCGACATTGCCATCATGATAGTACCTATACCTCTCGTCGTCAAAGCAGGAATTGCTCTACGGCAAAAGCTATTACTATGTGTCCTATTTTCGTCGGGAATATTCGTCATGGTCGCCCGCGGTCCTACGAGCCTACTACTCAGTCAAGGATATATCCACCTTATCCACTGCCCTAGGCTGGGCATCTCGAGAATCAATTGTCTCCGCGTTGACAGTCTGCGCGCCAGGAATCAAACCGCTTATCAGCAGCTCACGCTGGTTCTCGACCAACACCAACAGTGGTAGCACATCTGCAGGTTTCAGCAGCACCTTCAAAGGCAAACGGAGTAGTGTTTTCCCTGGATCGGAAAGTCACGCCGAAGACAATAACGCTCTACACCCGTATGAACTCTCCTCTTCTTTAGCCTGGAGCAAGCCCCGACCTGAGTCGAGGGGTGAGAGTCAGGAACATATTGTTTTGCAGAGCAAAACGAGCACAGAGCTTTCCCATTCTCCGCCAAACGACAATGAGATCGTCGTGACTACGGATGTCACGCTACCAGAGGCATATATGCCATAATAGAACTCGTGCAGACTTATTGGAAAAAAATATTTACTGTTGCATGAGAATCAGAAGGTGCCTGATATGTAGTAGATGAGAATGTCTTTTTGTGATGCGTAACATTCTTGGTCAGATTGTTTCCCCTAGCGTGTATTTATATCCTCAACAACGAAAACGGCACCGGTAACATATGAGAATACCCAACCTTAGAAAATTAACTAATTGATTAATCCAATATCAAACATGCAATTTCTTTGACAATGAATTCTAATTTCAAGTATTTATTCATGAAAGCTGGAATTGTTTGAAGGAATTTATGATGAACGTCGTGAGTTGACTGACGGAGGAGAATCAACCTACGATTGGGGAGAGTTGAAATGCCTCCTTGGATAGGCATGCGTACTCGAAATTCAAAGCAATTGGGTTGGATCTGCTCTTGAGGACTTCAATTCTTGACTTGAGCGTTTCGGTGGACGTTATCTCTTTCTGCTTTCTCCGATTAGTTCAATACTCTGAACAGGCAGAGCCAGGTAGGCATCATTCAATTCAAGACCGTAGTGGGGCTTTTTCGTCTGTATGTTGTCTTTTGATATCGCGTATATATCAGTGTTCGAGTAGAGATTCTGCCCGTGAATTTGATGGGAGATATTCCCGGAACTTGTTCTAAGCAGAGGTCTAGACCCCATCGCCAGGTAACTCATCCGGCATGAACCGGTCAATTCATCAGGTTCCACTTGTGGTTGCAAATCAGATAATCCTTCGTTTGGGTTACTGGGCAATTCGATCCCCTTCTGGTCTGTTTTTTGGAAGTCTGGATTAATGACAGCTCGATCCCGGGATGCCAAGTAACTCACTACTGATGCTGACGGGAAAGAAAAAATCGGTCCAAGCTTCCAGCGCTTGGTCTTAATGGGCAATGCCATATCGAAACGCGAGAAATCCAGTTGATTGCAGATGCATGGAAGAACCCAAATGTGCCTCTCGCCTTTGCTGACTAAGTAGTGTAGTGGGGAACTCCCTGTTACCTGTTATTACGGGTTCTTGCGGATAGAGTTTTTCCGAGGGTTTTTCCGGTTCGGGCCGTAACCAATAGTTTTCAGTACGTGGGCAGGTAGGCCCAGGATAGTATAACTAGCATCTAGTAGATAGCATGGAATAACACACTCCTACACCTCTCTCAACGGACCATGTGGTTCTCTCGTACGTCCTGCTGTGGCTTGTGTGGTTGTTCTGTGTGCTGAATCGACCCGCACATCTTCGAGTGTGCTGCCAACGAGCGTTCCCCTCTTCATATGGTGACCGACGCAGGGGGATTCTTTTTGGGTGGCTGACCACGCAGACAGTTCAATAAACACGGCGAGCTCAAGCGACGAGAGCATGGTAGGCGAAGAGAATGGAGTGTCAAGCGTTACGAGCGGGTAGTCAGTTTGACCCCGAAAATCAAGGGCTGGACTCGCCGGGACCTGGAATGCGCCAGAGTTCGCGGGAGCCGCCAGGAATTGCCTCAAGACTGCCTGGAATTCAACGAGTGGTGGACATGAGTGGTCCTTATACGGAATATGTGCAGTATCTACGCGTGCGATTATTTGACTGGTTTAGCAGCTATGATGAGGCAAGACTCCGAGAAGTGGTATGTATGACCCCTGAGGTACTTTGTTCTTCGGCCGAAGAGATATGGCCAGGAATATGTTGTTCATGGTGGACTTTATGGTGGAACACAGTACAGACACACACATACACGACTTTGATCCGTTTTCTATACACAAGAGAGACCCCTAGAGAGGATCCAGCGAGCAGCGTTGGAGAGCCTATCTCGTGTGTTTCGTCTGATTTGATTGATTTGATTGATTTGACTGATTTGACTGATTCGACTGACTCGACTGTTTCGTCTGTTTTGAGTGACTTGGCTGTCCTAAGTGACCTGACTGGCTCGGAGCTGTCTTTTGATGGTTCTTGTGGTTCCTCTATCTCTTCCACGACATCTATCTGTTCCTTGGACTTTCTACGCGATTCTGTGGACTCTGATTCTGTGGACTCTGACGACGAGTCCAGCCTGACCTGCTTATACAAGATGGGGGAGAATGTCTTTCCTACCGAGGCTCCTAGGAGTGCTTCCTTAGAGCCTGGGGCTAGTCCTCGCCCTGAGCCCCGCGACGAGACCGCAGAGCCGGCTAGTGGCTTAGCAATAGACCCGCAGAACCCATCTTTTACTAGCTACCGAGAAACCACTCGCCATGAGTCTGAAGCGTCTACGTCTACTAGACCATATATTCGTCCTGCTCTAGCCCAGCCAGCGCCGAATGATCCTCCTATCTTCCACCCAGCGCAAGGACCTGACCAGTCCCAGCAGACGCCTTCTTACCCTATGATCCAACCTCGTCAGATCGTGGTTCACCAGCAGATGATGCCGGATCCTGGAACCCCTGGCGCCCCCTTCTTTGATGGAAAGAATGTCTCTGAGTTTATTAGGACCTATGAGGGCATGTGCAAGAGACGAGGAATCCTAGACGGCACCAGCATATGTGATGGTCTCGCTGACTACTGCGAATTCACCGTGAGAATGTGGATTGAGTCTTCGCCAAACTGGAAATTCAGAGACTTTAAGGCACTAAAGGAAGAGATGCGAGTAAGGTATCAGGACCAGGACGGAGAATACTACCGCTATTCGCGCACTTCTCTGAGCGAGCTAGTTGCGTAGAATCATGAGTCTTATGACGAAATCCGTCAGTATTTGACGCAGTTTGCGGCTATCTCGGACGTTCTTATGGAAAGAGGAGCTTTAGGTGAGCTCCAGCGCTGTGAGTGCCTTCTTCAAGGCCTTCCAGTCTGGCTGAGCGGAAAAGTGATTAAAAAGGGTGGAATTAGCTTTGAGAACCCTTCCCGGTCCCAGCCAGTGACTCTCTTCTGGGTTACGAGGCTTATATACACGATTATGGACGCTAAACGCGACTTTGACACGACGATCAAAGGTGTCCTTCCTCCGCGGACTGGAGGACAAAGAAATCAAGGAGATCAGGAGATTCCACAGTTGTTTGGTCCCGAAAGACAGGAAGGACGTGTACAGTGGCCTAGAGAGCCCACTTCTTCGGCCGAAAAACCCAGTTAGCCTAGTGGACAAGTCCATGGCGCACAGAATGAGCCGAGCTCCGATTTCGCACGAGCTCTAGAGCAGCTAAACCGCAAGTTTGACCAGATGGATATTAAGGTGAACACGATCCAGACCGGACTGGCTAGGAAAGATAGTAGGAGAGACCCCTAGTGGGTGCTAAATGACCGCGAAAACCCTACCACGAACCCTGGCTATAGCGGATCGAAAATCTGTTTCTTCTGCGGTGGTCCGGGGCACATTTCGACGCCCCAGTCTTGTAAGGAGCTAGCCACCTATATTGAGGAAGGAAGAGTTCATTATGGAGAGAGCGGAAGACTCTGTCTTGGGCGTTTAGGAGACGGAGGACCCTAGATTAGGAATAGGATGGGATTGCCAATAAGAGACCTGATCCCGGAACAGCTCGTAAGCTGGAGGACCAATTCTGCGCCTATTTCACAGCTTCAGAGCAGACTATATACGGATAACTAGTCTTCCCGCCCTGCCTATGACGAGCATGGAATTCAGCGTGCTCGAGTCAACTATTTAGGGATGCGCCTAGGTTCTTGTCCTAGAGAGAACCAAGAGATTGATGACGACTCAGACGAAGAAGTGACTGGCTTTGAGCAAGCTGGATTGAACGCTGTGGGCACCCGGAGTTCGCAAGATCCTATCCGAAAACGACGTCGAGAGCAAGGAATTGCGTCCACAAGGAACCTACAGACTGGCAGATATGAGCAACCTATGGTGACGGACCTTGAGAATGAAGAAGTTATGATGGAAGGTGGTCCGAGTCAGTCCTTATATATGACGCAAATTGAGAACACGCCTACTGGTAGCCAGGGTGCCCCTAGAGACTCTAGCTTAGACTCACGTGCACGTGGGTCTAGGTCTCCGCCTCAGCCTCAGAACTCGTCTAAAGTGAACAGAACGCCTCCGTTTGTGAGTATGGACACGGCCTTGGAAAATGACATAAAACGACGATTCTTGGATATGGAAGTCTCCATTAAGCTCTCAGAGATGGCAAAGCTGGCTCTAAAGTTCCGGAATACCTTATTTCGGGAGGATACACCTGGCGAACCTAGAGCCTCTAGCTCTAATGCTCTGGTCCTATATCGAGACTCCGATGAGTTGATAAGACCACCCGTGAACGTCGCGTCTGGGCAGATCATCACGGACCATAGACGCTCGGTGCCTGTTGGAGATGCCCCTGAGACTGATGAAGGGATATACTCGCTCCCTCTCCTTTACACGGACGTGCGCATTAACCAGTTTATGGTCCGCGGGATGTTAGACTCTGGCTTAGGACTGAACGTGATTGGTAAGAGAGAGGCAAGAGAGCTTTCTCACCCTATTCAAAGAGATCCTTAGATTTCTGTGGTGCCCGTGAATGGAGTGGAAGTCCGCTGCCTAGGCTGTATGCAGGACGTTCCTATTTCTCTTGGAGACCTTACAATTAGGATCAACATCTTTGTGTTGCCAGCTTCTCCTGGCTTGATCCTAGGAAGACCATTTATGGAGAGTACCTTACTAACCATGGAGCACCGCGAGAATGGTCACGTGCGTTGCACAGTCTATAACGAGTCTCGGACGCGAAAGCTCCAGTTTAACGCCGCAGTCCCGCAAGAAGGACGAGTTGTGGGCTCATCAAAGATCTGGCCTGGCGAACCGCGTCTACGTCGCTTAGATCCTTATGGTGGAGAGACTTATGAGCAAGACGAGGATTCAAAGGTGCCTTTAAACTGATTCGCGGGTGTCTTACCTCTGGAATACCACCCGCGACGTCTATGAGCCAGAGAAAGAAAGAGAAGAAGAGAAGGACTTCGAGTGATTTATTAACAGAAAAGGTTCTCTTTGATCCAGCCCCGAACTGTAACCAGCTCTATAAGGAAACAGTGTTCCCTAGCACAAATATGCTAGAGGCGGTTTCTGGCAGTGTGATTGAGCTAGAAGACTGCTATCTACCGCCTAGGTGGACGCTTGTGGAGCTTGACGAGAACTTGAAGCTATAGGACGTGCACTTTAGGTCGACGGTGCGAGACCCTGGGATTCTGCCTAGGGAAGTGGACTGGGGAGAGCGGTTTCTTCGGCCGAAGAAAGACATCTCGGATAGACTGGTCCCAAGTAACACGCTCTATAAGCGAGTCGCGGATAAGGTCCACCCAGTCAACACACCTCTACAAGATAGATCAGTCCCGGAAGGACACGCTAGCTAGCAGGAAGTCTGCATAAAGAAATACCACACGCGATTTCGCGCACGAGATCAGCGGACTAGGTTCGACCAGTACCTAAAGCCCAGGATTGCTAAGTTCGCACGAGGCGCTCGCCTAACCCCAGAACGTGAAGAGAAGCTAATTATCGGGACAAGTCTTTTGCCGGAAGAAAGAGAGCTACTAAGAGAACTGCTGTTTAAGCGAGAAGGTGTGCTAGCGTGGTCCTGGGAGCACATCCAGAGGGTACACCCAGAGGTTTTCAGTCCACAGAAGATCAGGACGGTGGATCATGAACCCTAGCAGCACCCTGGGTTCCAGATTCCACGTTCCTTGCAGAAGACAGTCACGGAGATGCTTCAAGATAGGCTAAAGAAAGGCAGTATTGAGCGCTGTCATGGTCCTTATCGAAACCCTTGGTTCTTGGTTAAGAAGAAGGCTGCTGGGCAGTATCGAATTATAATAGCCGCCATGAAACTCAATTCCGTGACGATTCGGGACGCGAACATGCCCCCAAACGCTGATGAGTTCGCGGAAGACTTTGCGGGCATGCAGATATGCTCAATGGTGGACTTGTTCTCGGGATATGATCAGATTTCTCTAGCAGAAGACTGCCGAGACATGACTGCGATTATGACTCCAATGGGCCTAGTCAGGATGGTCACAATTCTACAAGGAGGTGCAAATTCAGTAGCGCAGTGCCAGCGTGTCGTGCAGTTTGTGCTCGCGGACGCATATGGTAAGGCTGTCCAAGCATTCCTAGACGATTTTGGGATCAAAGGACCAAAGACGACCTATAACGACGAGATGGCGTTTTCTGGAGTTCGCCGCTATGTTCTAGAACACCTCCAGAACCTAGACGAGACCTTATACCTCCTAGAGCTTGCTGGGATAGTGATTTCGGCCGAAAAGTCGCAGTTTGCCATGAGTGGAGTTGCGGTGGTTAGCTGGGTATGTGATAAAGATGGGCGCCGCCCAGATAAGGTGAAAGTTGCGAGATTAGTCTTCTGGCCAGTACCTACCTCTGTTCCTGAAGTCCGCTCATTTATGGGACTAGCAGTCTATTTTCGTGTCGTCGTGGAGAAGTTCGGAGTTATTATTACCCCGCTATACCTTCTTCTAAAGGCAGGTGCGGACTTCAAGTGGGAAGATGACCAACAGCTGGCGTTTGATGAGATTAAGCGGATTCTGTTAACCTTTCCATGCGTCTTACCAATAGACTATGACTGGCTACCGTTGATTATTATAGTCGCTATAGACGCGTCTGGAAAAGGGTAGGGGGCTGTTATGATGCAGGTGCGAGATGGGGTCCGGAAACCTGCGAGATATGAGTCAGGCACCTGGTCCGAGTCCGAGCAGACCTATAACGCTGGAAAAAGGGAGTGTCGGGGGGTTCTGAAGGCGCTTAAAAAGTTCAGGCACTGGCTATATGGAGTCCATTTCACGCTGGAGATCGACGCTAAGACCCTAGCTACACAACTAAACAGGTCTGCGACTGACTTGCCAGGTGCACTAGTGACGAGCTGGCTGGCGTGGATTAGACTATTTGATTTTGAGGTTAAACACGTGCCTAGAGACCGGCACGGCGCTGCGGATGGCTTATCTCGAAGACCACACACAAAGGAGGAAGTAGCGGAGCAAGAGACGGAGGAGGACGTTGATGAGTTTATATTGGCTGAAATAGGCACCTTACGGGTGATGCTAAACCCAGTCGCGGCGTCTATTGAGACCCCGCTAGGTGTGGATATGGAGGATATGACACAAAGCCAGGAGCCAGGAGACTACACACGAGTCCTATCTCTGGAGTACTCCGACGAGTCCGAGCAGGTTGCAAGGTGGCTAACCACGTTTCGACGACCACAAGACATGCCAATCCGGAGGTATAAGAAGTTCAAAAATCACGCGTGTGACTTTATGGTGCAAGGAGAGCACCTCTTCTATCGAGGAAAAGGACTGAATCTACCACTTCGTCGTGTTCTAGACCAGGTAGAGACCCAGAAACGCGTGATTATTACTGCCCATGATGAGCTTGGCCATAAGGGGCGAGAGTCAACCTACCACCTCCTGAAACTACGATACTGGTGGGATGGCATGTATTCTCAGGTCTCTGAGTACGTCCGAGGATGTGCAAAGTGCCAGTTTCGGGACCCAAAACGCCTTGAAGAGCCACTTCTTCCAAGCCGAATCCAGTATATCTGGGAGCAGGTCTATATTGATACCGCTACACTACCTAACGAGGATGGATATCAGTGCATGATTCAGGCACGTGAGGCGCTAAGTGGATGGATTGAAGCTAGGCCCCTAAAAGGGAAGGCGACTGGCCTCGCAGTCTGTGAATTCATATGGGAAGACATTATATGCCGCTATGGATTTCCGTTGAAGATAGTCATGGATAAGGGACCAGAGTTCAGGTCGGAAGTGCAGTTTTTCCTGCAGAAGAAAGGTATTAAGCGCGTTGCGATCTCTCCATATAACCCGGGCTCAAACGGGGCGATTAAGCGCAGCATGAGAACGTTTAAGGACGCATTATCAAAGATGACGTCAGGTTATTCGGCCAAAAACGCAGCGTCTGAGCTGGAGTCTGGGTCTCTAGCCTATTCTCAGAGACGTGGGCATTCTAGGCAGCATGCGGCGCCTCCTTCATGGAGGGCTTTCTTCTACGCTGCACTTATGGCTGATAGGATGACGACGTGTGCTACCACAGGCATGACCCCATACCATTTCTTATACGGAAAGGACGCTATCCTTCCACTAGAGATAGAAGTGCCTACCTGGAGTACACTACCGTGGGAAACAATCTCTAGCACTGAAGACCTGATTAGCCTACGAGCTAGGCAAATCCTACAGAAAGACCAGGACGTCACAGAGGCAATTCATCGATTTGAGAGGATCCGAGAGCGGAATAAAACCTACTTTGATAGCACAAAGGTGATCAGACTACACCCCCTAGAGGTAGGAAACCTAGTCTTGGTGCATGATACTCAGATGCAAGATGATATGCGTGCACTTCAGAAGCTCCGTTTTCGGTGGCATGGACCCTACCGAATCAGAGAGGTAGTTGGAAATGGGTCTTATAGACTGGAAGAGCTTAACGGAACGCCCATAAAGCACTGGTTTTCAGCGGGCGAAGGCCTTAGTCACAGCGCCATCAACGGAGACCGGCTAAAAAGGTTCTGGTTATATAGGGAGACTGGCGTGAGAGAGTAGTTATTTCCACCACGGAGTGCCGAGACTGAAGGATCAGAGAGTGAAGGTGGATAGAGAGACTGGATTCTGTCTGGATTGCTTTGAGTTTTGCGTGCGTTTCTTTTGCAGTTCTATAGCCCTGTCCCCTGACTATTATCCTTGCTTTTGTTCTTTTTTTATGACGTTTTCTAAAGGCGTGCCTAATATTCTGCGTGCTATCCTGCGTTTTTCTTTGTTTCTTTCATATTCTTGAGTTTCTTTCGTGCTTATTGACCTTCTTTAAGTTTTAACGCGCTATCCTAGGCAAGCAGCAGGGATAGCAGGTTTCTTAGGTGGGGTGGGGCCTTACAAGTTTCGCGTCTCGAGGTTAGCTTCATAAGGACTATGGAGAGCCCTCTATAAGACTCAGAAGGATCGGAACGACCTAACTAGCTGATTTCGGCCGAAGAACTCGACTTAGTGAGGGAGGTAGTCTCAGCACAGATTCTAACCTCTAAAGACTCAAAGAGATGCGCAGTCTCGGAAGACCAGCCTTTATTATCCGCTCATGAAGGTGCTTCACAAGGATGTGCAAGAATAGAAGAAGGATAGGTAGGAAGGATGAGACAAAGAAGACATGGTCCTATAGAAGGATAGAAAACCAGAGTCCTCGTTAAGCAGTCCTAGTCTCCTCGCAACTTCTCGCAAACATCTCACAGACACCTTCAAGTCTCAGTCATAAGAAACTCCAAAGACCTCATCATGCAGAAAGACCCTCCTTGCACACCTCCACGAGCGAGACTAGAGACCGAGACGTCCTTAGTGGTCGTACCAATTTCTCCAGAATCTGTTATCACGGAGTCTCAGGAAGAAGGGTTCTTACGGTCTCTAGATCTTTCGATCTACGGAGTCAGCGACTTAGAAACCTTCAAGAAAGGGATACAAGGACATCCTGCCGAAGACAGGTATGAGCTTCAAAGGCTAGTTTCCGCGTGGCTCCTATAGAAACATGCGTCTTATGAGTCCGCGATCGCTGACTGGTATAACTACGTCTATGACGATGACGCATGGAGAGCGGAGTGCTCCTTAGAAGACTTCTTAGAGGAGTGGAAAGAACTCCGAATTGTCAGGACCCGGCACGCTGAGAACCTGACCTACCGCACAAACATGCTGAAGAAAGCTATTAAGGCATAGGGCAAGAAGAACGCGGAAGGACTATTCCGGAACATTCACACGAAGACTATGGCAGAGGCAGTAAGCAAGCTGCTGCAGAAACGGGTTCCTTACAGCCATATGGTCTCCGCGGTCAATAATGAGGTAATTAAGCGCCTTAGGCGAGTGGGAAGAGGACACCGAGTTCAGAAAGGCATGATTCAAGGAGATCTAAAGAACGCAGTCTCAAACATGGACCTAGGACGACTTAACGTCCTAGTTGCAAGGGACCTAGGTCTTCAAGTGGACTCTGGAGGAGTTCTCTGTGAGAAAGGACTAGGATCGGACTTAGTCGAGATGGACCTAGACTTGCCAAGCGGGACTAAGGACTCGGAGTCGGAGACTGACCACGAGGTGTCAGACCAGGGCTCAGACAAAGACTCTAGCGAGGATGACGGGCCTAGGAAGCCTCGGAGAAAGACTGGTTCCGCGGAAGGGAAGAAGCCAGCGAAGACTCCAAAGAAAGGATGTGGGTGTAAGCTCACGGACTCGACGATAGCCCGGTTTCAAGGTCCACAGTTCGAAAGATCTGCCACACAACAGGAGAAACTGAAGGTCTTGAGACATGCTGGAAGAAGCTTAGGAGACTTCAACGAGGTGAACATCTATTACGCCCACGCCAAGTCCTTTGGATTGTTTCTTGGACTATACACACGGACGTATACCCACCCCCAGCTAGCAACTCGCTTAACCGTCTGCTATAAGCACATTGGAGACTAGAAGAAGTTCGAGCAAGACAATCCCACGTGGTTCCACAAGAAAACTGCCTCGGGCGCGCCAGCAACGATTTTCCGATTTCGGCCGAAGACAGCCACACCTGAAATTGCGGACTTCGAGTCCTATGGACTGTCCTCAAGAGACTTATATGAGAGATGTTTCGGAGTCCTAGAAGGACGGGATAAGGACCTCGCTAGCTCTGTCCTAGAAGAATTCTCCTTGGAAGGAACGGTAGTCTTGGAAGGGCTATTTGCCTAGGTCGTGGAGTCTCTAGGAGACCTTGTCACGCTGGAATTCGACATGTATGATTACCATTTCCTGCCTCCAGCAGGTCAGCCTCGAAAAGGCTGGTCGCGTCTGATGGCCCACAGCCTAGTCCAGCAAGTTGTTCGACAAGACCCAGCGTATTATGCATGGTATGTGATGCTACAACCCGACCACGCATATAGACTAGTTGCTTGGCCGTACTACACAAAGAGCTCTTATCCGGAAGAAAGCACGTTTTTCAGACACACCGATATCAGTCTTTCGGACTATCTACAGAGCGGACGAGGTGGAAACCTGATTCAAGGATCTGTATCCTTCACGAACGAAGACCCAGAGAACTGTACGGAAGTTCTGCCAAGGATCCACACGCATCTTCGAGACTGGTGGCCGAAGGTTGAGTCTTCTCCAAAAGCAAGGACCACTGGCTTGAAACACCGTATTTTACCTTGGATGTGGACCCAAGAACAAGTGAAGAAATATGGTACGGACTGGAAAAAGATAGTCTGCAGGGCAGGTGACGTCCGCGTGTCTCTGCCCACGATTCCCCATGGAGCGACCGGGCCCACAACCATGATCAGACGTACAGTCTTGCCGTGGTACGTCAGGATAGAAGAGGACGATGAGTGTTTTGAGACTACAGAGAGTGGCAAGTGGGAGGACGTGGCGAGGTCTCATCGTGACCTTGCCCTATCTAAGAAAACTCCGTCGGGTATGGCTAGTGGGCACTATACTAGCCCCGAGCAGGTGTTTCCAGCGACTGCGCAGATGACAGGACTGGGTGCTATCTCGGACGCCTTAGTCGGTCGTGTTCGGTGGAGCTCAATTAGTGTGACTAGCGAACTAGACGTTCTCTTTGGAAAGGACCAGGCTGCTGGGATCAAGTTCATACAAGACTGGAGAGCCAGGGCTGTCCTCCGATATAAGCAGCTATTCCAAGAGATTGTTGTCGCAGAAAAGCGCATTTTTGGAGAGAATTCGTTCTTCCACCTCCATGAGACTGGAAAACCTATTCCGCCACCCTTTCTGGTGCCCCCGGCTGGAGAGCTTGCCTCAATAGAGGTTTCTGACGAGGAGATGGAGGTTGAGGAGTAGATTCAGGTCTCTTTCTTATGTTTTCTGCATGTTTTCTATGTGCTTTTGGTGCGTTCTTGTTGCGTTCAGGCTCTGCTGTTTATGTTGGTTGCCTGCGTTCTGTCTTGTCATCTCTGCTGCCTTGCGTTGTCTGCTGTCCATATCGACCAGGGGACGGTCGATTATTAGGTGGGGTGGTATGTAGTGGGGAACTCCCTGTTACCTGTTATTACGGGTTCTTGCGGATAGAGTTTTTCCGAGGGTTTTTCCGGTTCGGGCCGTAACCAATAGTTTTCAGTACGTGGGCAGGTAGGCCCAGGATAGTATAACTAGCATCTAGTAGATAGCATGGAATAACACACTCCTACACCTCTCTCAACGGACCATGTGGTTCTCTCGTACGTCCTGCTGTGGCTTGTGTGGTTGTTCTGTGTGCTGAATCGACCCGCACATCTTCGAGTGTGCTGCCAACGAGCGTTCCCCTCTTCAGTAGCTACGACTCACCAAAATCTTGTAGGATAGTGCACTACAACTAGTGGCAAAACTACTGGATTCTTTCTTGGATCCATCTGTGGCCCCCATCCTTCTAATGAAGATCGGCGCGACATGGATGACTCAATTGTCTCCATGAAATTGGGGGCCACGGGAACAATAATAGCAAGATATCGTCTCCACCATGGTGAGGGGAAATTTGCGAGCTTATAAACTCCATTTCGGTCTTCGTCATTCAAGCCCAACTCCCAACTCCATGTGATCCTGACCCTACGCCCTCCACTTTCATCCTTTCACATCCTCACAACACAATGGCTGACTTTCGCAACTCATGGTTAGTTCCACTCATGAAATGTCAAATAAATTTCGAGGATCCCCACTGACATCTATCAAGTCCAGTGGCTTTGCTGCCCAATGATTGCTGGCTGATTATCCTGGAGTACCTCTCCCCCGAGGATTATTGGCCGCTTCTTTTGGTGTCCAAAAGCAGCCATTCTTTCATCGAGCCTCTTTTGTTCCGAGACATTGCTTGGGAATGGCGCCCGATTCCTTTCCGCAAACTTCTGCTTTTGTTTCGAGCTATATTGCAGAAGCCGACACGCGCATCTTATATCCAACACTTGAGTCTTTTATCCCATCAATTAGTTGAGAGCATCGACTACTGGGAGACTCCAAGCTACGAGACGGACCCCAAGGAACAGCTCACGGGCTTTCAGGATGTTTTACAGCACGCGAAAGCTATTGTTAAGACGGCTGAGTTTCCAGATGCTGATACCTGGACCGTTGCTCTGGAAAGTGGGAACCCTTATGCCTTTGCGTCGATTTTTCTTTCTCAACTCAGGAACCTGAATTCCCTGCGTCTTGATTACACTTTCGTGTGGCAATCTGGATTTCCAGGGCTCATGTTACGGCATGCACTCTCATCTTCCTCGAAGTCCTTATTATCACAGTTCAATTCACTGAGAGACGTCGATTATGGCGGCAATATTCGTCGCGATATGGTATCTGAAGGTCCCGACGTGATTGACGATGAGCCCGGCTATCCCCAGTGCATTTCTGAGCAATTTCCTGCTTGGTTCTATCTTCCATCTTTAAGATCTCTTGCAATATGGCTTCGGACTAAGCAAGGAATAGAGCTACCCGGTAGACGTCCCGATCTTTCTCAACTCGAATGTCTTATTCTAGCTCGAACGACTATTAAGGAGACCCAGGTTCCTGAAATTCTCTCCCTTGCCCCTCATTTAAAGACCCTACACTTGGGGATGGCATATAGATGGGGCGAGGAAAGAGCCTTACAGAACGGACCATGTATTGTTCAAGGCCTAGAATCTGTTCTAGGATCTGTCACAAACTTCTCTTATGGCATGGAGTGGTTTCCACCTAGCACGTGTGACGTTCTACTGAATGAAGGAGAGGTGGAGCTCACCAGACCATTTGATGGCCTGTTGACGCGATTCCCAAACATTCGCTCCGTCGAGATAACAGCAAACCTACTTGTAGTTTGCTCAACAGACCCATCAACTGATCTAACACCGTTGTTGTCGAGCGAAGTGGAGCGAATATGCCTGCGACTGGATTATTCGACGGTATATTGGGAGGACTGGAGAAAAAGCATACTGAACTTGGTCGCAAACAATGCTGCGAGACTAAGAGTGCACAGGCCTAGGCTAAGGTGGGTCTTTGTGCGAGGGTGGTCACGCGGCTGGAGCAATCCTCACACGCAAAGAGAAATAGACTTGACACGAGCTGCTTGTGCTCAGCAAGGTATCCATTTCGAGGTGATATCAGATCACCTTTCTAATGGGATCTGGACAGACACAAGGATGTGTCCCGAGCGACAGGTTCGTTGAAAATTCCCAACGATGGGCCGTGAGCTTTCGTCTCTATATACAGCATTAGCTTCAAGCTCAAACGTTGTCCTTCTATGCTGTTGATGGCCGAATTTCTTGCATTGCTTGGTGTAATTTGATGTTTGCTACTTCTATATTTCTCTTTCACCTTCTTCTATGCACCCAATCTGCTCCTTTCAACCCTTTCCTTTTAGCCCTCATACATGACCATGATCGTAGTTCACAAATTATTGACTCAACAAATCCTGAGTCCTTTTCCTTCCACCAGATATCTGGGCTTTCATTACCTTTCGCCCGTACCTAGGTTCCTTGAGCTTATGAGACATCATTAAAACGAATTTATACGTTGGTATTTATTACGAGCAGAGTTTTTGAGTCATTCATGAATTTACTACAAGAAAGATTGCTAGAGGTTCCCTTTATCACAACTTTGATATCTCACGCAGTTCCTGCACAGAAGATTAGAATACTCACTGCGCACAAAAGTCTCGACCTTCAAAGTCGGTTGTCATATCACTCCCTACCCCCTGGATTGTGCACGAGATACCTCCGAGCGAAAAATCCCCTGTGAGGTCACGCTCACGGGCATATTATTGGCGTAGCTCTCGCGTTGCGTTTTAATCACGTCCATATCGAAAGTGAGCGCCTCCAAAGTATCACTGCATCCAATTCCATCGTCCTTCCAGCAAGGAGCCTTAATTCTACCGCCCCGGTATATTCCAGTATCAGTATATCTGCCCTGCCACGTCACAATTCTGAAATGACCTCCCATGCTTCGGGGATCTATTTGAGTACTGGCATAGACCTCCAGCAGAGCATTCATTTCGCCACATTTGGCATCGAATTGGTGCTGCTTTGCCGATGTGCTCAGATCATTTTTGCACGTATCGAGGGCATTCTTCAGTGAATTCGGCACTCTTCCCCACACCGCACCGTTGCAGGGTTTGTTCATATACTTCGTAACCTTATAGACTAAAGATCCGGAACCCTTTGCCGATGACGCAAGATAGACGGTCGTTGGGCCATTTTCAACTTTATGGGCTAATGCCGTCATGACAAAAGGCATCTGTTCTTCATAATTGTTTGCAAATGCGCCTTGGAGCATGGATTTATATCCATCTTCAGCTATTGCCACAATTTGTCCGTCGGAGAGGTCTGAGTTGAATGTCGCGATCGAACTCCAAAGGTAGATTTTAGGGTTGCCGTCTGGATGGGTTGGTACAGTGTTGTCCATAGATACCGATATTAACGCCGCCAGGGAAAGACGGAAGAAGAGATAAAATGCAAGGTATATGTTTCGGAAAAACATATTGACTGTTGTATCGGGGTTCACTGCAGCAAGTCTTCTTCACTGGACAAGAAAAGCTGGAATCTCTCGATTGGCTATCAAAACCGTGGCCCGATCTCTTCGGGTAATCAGAGATATATTAAGAGGGAGAGAGAGGGAAAGAGCAAGAGGGGGAGGAAGGATTTGAGCAGCACCGTCGGACGTAACTCTGTTTAGGAGCTGGAAAAGCCCAAGTTATCAAGCATTTTCCTGTCCTCAAAGCGACATGGCTCGCGGCCAATGTCCCCACTGTTTATCTTGTGTTCTTGGTTTGGCCTCTTGGGGGCAGAACAGAGCACGACACTAAATGCCGCATGATATTGTAGTTAGAGCAGACCATTATCGTCATTTCATATTGCCCCTGGCCCCCACAAGCTACTAGGCAGTATTCCAGGGCCGATTCTAAGATCGAAGTGTGTCATTTCCCGGTGGGGAAATTGATGTACGGAAATAGAAATTATTCCAAAGCTGTGGATTGCAGAGAAAGCCCATTATGTCCTTGGGGTATCTGTGTAGGCCGCCGAAGAATTGGACCAAGCATCCAAAAAAAGCATCATATTAACTTTTATAGGAACGATCGCCACGATCTCGATGCTGAAATGAAGCTAAGCATTACCCGAGACCCACTATTGATGCCGTTGGGGTCCGTAGGGGCCATGTTCAAAAGTGATCGTCATTGGATCATGTCAAATGGTCCCATGGCAATATACCCCTCTTCGGCTGGCTTTCCCTATGTAAATTGATGAGAGCTATGTTCTCTCCTGGCCCCAGTGGAGACTATCAACTGCGATATTTACTGCATACTTTGCCATCAGAGGCTCAGTACTTGTTTCACAGTAGAGCTTCACATTTATTGCGAGCTACATCGATGCAAATTCTCATGCTGAATCCTTTCGCCCCATGAAATATTTTTTATCTTGCGATTCCGTTCTGAATTCTGCGAAGCTTAACGCGTTATTCATCGCAATCCCTATACCTTTCCTAAATCGAAATAATTTCATAAAGGATTCCTCCCGACATTCCCCATCAATATACGTGTCTCAGTGACTAGATTATTCTCGATATGAAGATCAAGGCTATACTGCTGTTGCTTCCCCTGCTGCAGGGAGCTAGCGCAGACTGGACCACCACTATCAAGACCAATCTCATCGTTCCCAACACCGCCACTCCTGTTGTCTACTATGTCACAAAACCACTCTCCGTTTCAACTACAGGGACGCCGACATCGATTCCATTAACGTTTGATCACACACTGAGCCATAGAGAGCAATTTATCTCTGTGGTTACTGTGTCAGATGGCAAAGTTCCTACCATTCGTTTCAATCCTGTGGCCCATACTGGCGTCTCTAGCCCTAGTGCCCATAAAGGCTCAGCTGGGACTGCTGAGACTGGTGTGTCTTCCTCTGTGACTTCAAACTCTCGAAGTCATTCAACTACACACAAAACAAACTCCCCAACTAGCGACTGTGGGGAAGATTGTTCGAATGAACGGTCTACGTCCGTGCACGTTCATTCACCGAGCTCTTCTTGGGGTCCGTCAAAGTCTACACAGAGAAGCTCCACACACATAAGGTCTGGCTCACCTGAACAAAGCACTACATCCGGCCATGAAACGCCCAAGCCGGTTATTGGGAATTCAACCGAAAAAAGCACTTCATCCGGTCATTCGAAGTCTAAGTCAAATGCTCCAAGTTCCACCGAAGAAAGCACATTAACTGGCCACACAATCTCCAAGCCAGTTGCTCATAGCTCGAGCGGGTTAGACTCGCCAAGCTCCTCTCCGACAAAACCAGCCAGCTCCGACTCAAAAAAACACTCAAGTAGTTCACATTTCGGGATACCATCAGACATTCCAGGTAGCACATCCAGTGGCACTGGCTCAAAGTCTTCGCAGAGTACATCTGGTCATCCCACTTCCTCGGCTACTCATTCAAACTTCAGCCTGAAAGGAAATCCTAGTGGCTCAGTGTCAGGATCACCGACAGCCCCTCCAGGTAGCACCGTATCTTCTTCTCCTTCGGTTTTGTCGGTTCAGCAATCAACCAAATATAGTCAGTCAGCCTCTCACTTGAAGCTTCATAGTATCTCCACGTTGAGTGTGGCTTCATCAAATCAGCTTGGTTCGGCGGCTCTAATGACCGCTCCTGATCTCCAATCTCTTACTGCAGATGCCACTGGTGGAGATTCGGCGATTGAGATGTACGCACCTACAGCATCACCTTCATCTGAGTCATGGGGCACATTGACTACCCCTCCGTCTGGTACGATAACTGGAGCCCCGGCCAAGGCAGATGCTATCAGTATTGCATTCCTCCTGAGGAACACATACAACAACATTGACGACCTCAAGAAAGACCCGAAAGAATATAAAAAACGCATCGAAGATGTTGAGAGTCAGTCTGAGGATTATCTCTCCAAGGTTAATTTTGATTCAAGCAAATCTCCTTGCTCGGGCTCCAAAAAGAGATCATTGGGAAAAAGAAGTCTATTCAGTGCCATTGGTAGTCTTGCTTCAGAAGCAGCCGATGCCACTGTCGACACCGCAAAGAGCATCGCTGAGGCTGCCATTAGCTGCATTGGTCCCATAGCTGATGATATCACAAGCGAGATCCCCGATTATCCCGAAGATGTGACAGACAAAATTGAGAATGAGGTCAAGAAAGGAACTGAGTATTTGGATGAAATCAGCAACATCGTGGATAGCATGGAGAAGAAGGTCAAGGAGGACGACAAGCAGACCAAATCTGACTCTGAATCTTCCGAATCATCTACAGCCTCTGAATCGCCCACATCCTCTGGATCGTCGACTTCTTCTGGATCGTCAACCTCTTCTGGATCTTCAACATCCTCTTGCAAGTCAAGCACTACAGTTTCAGAGTGCACCTGGTCCACAATTATCTACGCGATATCTGGCACAGCGACTGATATTTTGAGTACGACCAGTACTGAGACATGTTCACAGCTTACTGCTTGTGATGCCTTCCCCACTACGTTGAGCACTACCATCACAGAAGATTCGTGTCCGTTGAGGACAACATTTTCGATACCTGCTCCAGTCGAAATCACGCCAGCTATTTCTTTTGGAACTGCGGCACCTGGCTCTACTGGTACCTCGGCCTTGACAGCTTCGGTTCCTTCGACCACTCCACCAAACTCAGTATTGGGCACTACAACAACTCACAATTCAACTGGTTCCAGTACCTCTAAAGGCTCTGCTCACACATCTAGTTCTTCTGAAAGCCCCACCCATACAAGCTCGACCCATACAAGTTCGACCAATACAAGCTCCACCTATACAAACTCCATCCACACGAGCTCCGTTCCTACAAGCTCCACCCACACCAGCTCCATCCACACAAGTTCCACCCATACCAGCTCCATACATACAAGCCCCATCCACACAAGCCCTATCCAAACAAGTTCCATACCTCGGAGCACAAGCAATGCCGGAGCCTTCACGACTACCGCATCGGATGGCTCTGTGTACTACTGTGGCGACTCCAAATATGAGAACTCTACATCCGATAGCACCAGGACCTGCACGACCTCAATGTCCTCCGTCACTGTGATAGCCTCGATCCATTCGTCCTGGTCCGCCTCGCTAGCCTCATCCGAATCCGCTAAATCTGCACCCGAGGCAAGCGTTTCCGCCTCTAAAGCAAGCGCATCAAGCGCATCCGCCGAATCCACATCTGAAGCCACTACCACAACCGCATCGGCCGCCAAATCCACCCCAACGGATCAGCTTTTCATTGTTTACGAGGACCCCCAGAGTGCTTTGACCACCTACTGGCGTATCATGCATGTCGACCTCGATGTTACAAAGATTAACTGGTGTGATATAAGCGCGCTGGGTCAGGCTGAGGCTTCTGGTGATATTACGGACTCGGATGTTCCAAACCCGCCTACAATCGATTTCAGCTCTGACGCGGACGTTACAAGTGACACCTTCAAGGGTTGCACCTATGAAGGAGACAGTGCAACTCTCAAATGCTCAGATTTCAGTGTCGTCTGCGAGACTGACATGCAGACCATGGGTAGAGAGTACTGCACAGGTACATTTTCTGAAACATTGTATGTGCCAAAAGTACGGTGCAGGTGGGGCTCCGATGATAGTACTTGATTTTGTGGGATGATCTGACCCATGCATTTTTGTATTTGGATTTTGTCCTTTGTCGCTTCTTTTTATATGTATTTGGTGGTGGAGTATTGGTAGAAGCTTCAATTGACTATTTTCCCCGTGCTGAAATTACCTGTGAGAGGTTGGGGGGCCAACCGAGGTCCCAAGGTATCCGAACTGAGAAGAAGACCAGTATGAAATGCAATTAAGGATCCACCTGTGCAGTGACAGTAACGGCAATGGCCCATCGTGGATCTTCATCACTGACGACTATTGGCAAGTATGTTTACCCGTTGTAGCATTTCTAAGCTGATTGTATATATCTCGAATATGGACAGTGGTAACGAAAACCAGAGCAACCAAGGAAATCCATGGAATGATTGATAGGGCAGAATCACTTTCAAAACTGCTTCTAGTGAGCCTGAGTGGAAGGATGTAAAGCCAGTGGTGTTGAGAAGGTTTCTATTTAGCCGATAACTATCTCCGCCCCAAAATTAAAGGTTCCATATAGTACCCAAGATAGCGCGCAATATGCTGTGAATGACACCGCCCTCAACATTCATGTTACCAGTCCGGAAGCTTGTGGGTTGACTGGCTTTTTGCAATGCTTTAACTGTTTCTCTGGACATACTGAATAGGTTGGATAAAGATTTTGAATTCGAAGACTTAATAATCTCAATTGATTGAAAAGTTGAGAATTCACATGGAAGATTGAATGTCAACTTCTCACTCTCCTACACGGTAACCCAAGCTCTCTTTCTGTTTAACTATGCCTTCGTCACTTCACTAACGGCATAAAGACTGGGACTACCGGTTCTCCGAAGCCGCGATATCATCATATCCGAGTTCGTAACCCCGAAGTAATCATTTGCGCTGACCAATTCCACGGACCGATCTGGCATGAAATTTCAATTCTCCACAATACATATTAGCTGTTGCTGTAGTTGAAAGCCTGGAGAAATCTTCTGGGCAGATGAGTGGAGCATTGTGGGGCTAGTAAGACTCCCAGCTTGATCTCAAAAAGACAATACCGCAAGGTAATATCTTGCCGTTCGAACAGGTACACATTGGGGTTGTATTTGATATCATTCATTCATCTATCTCTGATCACCGATCTTCTCATTTTCAGCTGGATTGATAGGGTCGGTCAACTGCGGGATTGTGGCGCATATAGTAGAGATTCGTGAATAGGTAGTCTGTCATTCCGACCGCGCGACCGGACGGAAATGCCCCTTTATTTGCCTTGTTTGCAATTTTTTTCTCCAGAAGCTGCTGAAGCCATGCGTCTTCAATATAGATGTACATCTTTGTGCGGTTATTTACGCTTGTATCAAAATACCACCGGGTTAGGTAGGGTAGGGTAGCCGCAATAGGTATGATAGGTTTAGAAGGAGGGTTCGAAGTAGAACCCTTCTGCATAATCAGTGGAACGGCCTCCGATCGTCTTTTCATCACGCAGATCACTTGAGTCTGAAAGGCGATCATAAACACAACTTGTCAGGTTCACCGAGAGTCGGAGCACATCAAGTGTGTTCTGATGTCTTGGCGGTGACCCACAACACATCTTTCGCCGAACCACAATCAGCTCAGCTGGTCCCGAGCCAATCATCGCTCGAATTTACCGACGCTCACCGATATCACAACAACGATTTCGGATTGACAAAAACCGGAAAGCGAAAATGGGAAGTTTATGGTGAGACTACCGCTGAAAATGATTTGAAATGTTATCAAATGACCTACGGCCCACCATATCTCTTATCAGGCTCGAAACCCTCACGGGCCTCAACCACCAAGGTCAATTCATTCAAAAATACTTGCGCCCACAGAGACTGCAAACAGCCTTGCTACAAGCCGCACTATTACGAGATGCTCCACCAGACATCAGACGTACCACCCCTCCCGATAGTGTCCGAGGGGATGGACGTGTCAGACACCAAATACCCTGAGGGAGGAATTGAGGCTTGGTCTGTTGTACTTGGAGCATGGTGTGCGATGATCCCATCAATGGGTCTGCTCAATAGCTTGGGTATTTTACATGCATGGACGAACAATCACCAGCTTGCCGATTACTCAGAATCAAGCATTGGCTGGATCTATGGGGCATATGGCTTCTTCTTGTATGCTGCTGGGGCGCAAACTGGTAAGTCGGTTCTTTCCCCTTTGGAATCTTATACTGAGGAGGTATTAGGTCCCATCTTTGATACCTATGGACCCAAATATGTCATCATTCCAGGCTCAGTTGGCATCGTGCTGGCTCTCATCTGCTTGAGTTTCAGTGAAGGTAACATCGCAACATGCCCTTCAATTGGACCTCTTAACCAGTTAACTGTATCAAGAGTACTACCAGATATTCCTTTCCTTCAGCGTTTTGGCCGGACTTTCCGCGAGTGCCCTTTTCACTCCGACAGTTTCTTGTGTGGGTCACTGGTTCAACAAGCGCAGAGGCTATGCAACTGGCATTGCCTGTACCGCTGGTGGGCTTGGAGGGGTTATCTTCCCCCTTATCATTCTCTTCGCAGCACCCAAGATTGGCTTTCCCTGGGCCATTCGCATCATTGCTTTTCTTTCTGCGATACTCTGTCTCATCGCCTGTCTCACACTAAAAACTCGCCTCCATCGAAACAAAAAGGGAAGTGCATCTGTCGACTTTCGCGCACTTCGAGATAAAAAGTACGCCGCAACCACAATCGCGGTTTTCTTGGTGGAGTTTGCTGTGTTCATCCCAATTACTTATATTGCCTCATATTCAATTCATGCAGGACTGAACACCACACTCTCTTATGCTCTGATTATCTTCCTTAATCTAGGAGCCGTTCCGGGAAGGTTTCTTCCAGGGTTGATTGCTGATCGAATTGGAAGATTCAATGTGATGGTTTTGACTTCCGCTGTGTGTGCAACCCTGACATTGGCTCTGTGGACTACTTCAGGAAATCATGTTGCTGCAGTTGTTTGCTACGCAGTGTTTTTTGGATTTTGGAGCGGTGCTGCGATAAGTCTTACCCCTGTGTGCATATCGCAGGTTTGTGAGACGGTTGATTTGGGGAAAAGAACCGGAACAACGTTTACAATATCGAGTGTGGGGACTCTGACTGGTATTCCAATCGCAGGGGCCATACAACAGCAGTGTCAAGGGGATTACTTAGGACTTATTGTGTTTGGGGGCGTCTTGTATGCTACTGCTGCGGTTGCTTTTGCAATTGCCAGAGGTGTCTGTGCCGGCTGGGCGTTGAGTACAAAGTTTTGAATTTTGAGAACTTTACCTTATAGCCTGCCTTGCAGTAAGAAAGGCTGTACGTGGCTTACAGTAGAATATTATTTGAGATTAATACATTCTGGGTTTCGTGTATTAGAGATTTCAAAGCCGAATAAGCAGAAGGCAATTGTCGAATCTTTGAGTATAGGCCCGGAAATCCAAACAGCAAACATAATTTAGTGCATGTGTGACAGGCCACGAGGTAGAGAGATAGCATTATCATATTCGTTGTCATAAAAGAAGGTCCACAGGGAAAAGCTTTCTTCTAGATCCGGGGCTGGAAGCAGAGATTACTTCCCTTTTAAGCAAACAGAGAGATGATTGACGAGATTCGGCGAACTGAATGCCAGACCGGGACTTTCGGCGTAGGTTCGAAATGCCATCAGATAACGTACCTAGGTATTGCCTGAAGTCTTCCGGCAGGTTGAAAGTAGTGAGTTGTAGATATGCGGTGGTACCTAATGAAAGATATATTTCGCCTTTACTTCGCCGAAAACCTGGAAGTTTGCAGAGCCGAGACCGTTATATATTATTAAACTCTTTCATGCTACCTGTATGATTTCCGACATGTATAAATCGGCTTAGTCTATATACAGACGGGTGCTGGATACCGCTAGGTTATAGTTCTTTCATCGGCTTGCTCGACACAATGACTCTAAAAGACAAGCAACCATTATCAAAATCAGACTCCGTTCTTTTTTCCACGCCACAGAGAATGCTGCGAGCAACAGTTCTGCGTATCCAGAAAGCCCATCCACTACTAAATTGACGAACGAGTAAGTAGCGGATTTTCACAGCCTCCGCGCAATCACTGCTAAGAGTTGGCTAGCCACGTGGAAGATCACACTATGGCAGACACACAGCAGTACAAAAGGTCCGAGTTCCCTATTCCTACTTTCTATAACGGTATGCCTCGTTTGCGACCATTCTCATCGTCAAGAGATCGCTTGATTAATACAGGAAAGGTGATCATTTTTTTGGAGTATTTTGTCGAGGAAATGGCTATCGACGGTGAATGACACTGGCTGTGGCTCAGGATTTCTTATCCAGTGCAACGGAATACACACTCAAATTTGAGTCCATCTTTTGCGTTACGGAAATTGCACGAATAGAGGAATCTCCATTGCAAGCTCTGATACTATTGAGTTCATCTGATTATTCGGACGCTAGATTGAACAGTAGGAAATGTACCGACAGCACCTCTCAACTACGTATGTCGGCCGATAAGACTTGATTGGATCTGTGGCTTAAAACTTGGGAGATCCGCGCCTTCCGACAACATGCCCAGGAATTCGTCGATCCGTGCCGGCGGTTACCGAATAGGAGGACGACTTCGCCGAATCTCTCGGCCGACATCTCCTTTTGATATGCAGTCTCGCGCTTCTTATCACTAAGATTTTTGTAATTTACTTGAACGTACAAGAAGAGTATTATGGAGCAAGGTTACGGAGCAGCCCTTCCGAGGTCGAATTCATCAGCAACTCGACAAGTGGCGACCGTTGATTCTACGCAGGTTGAGGTGGTATCAGCAGTCCAACAGCCACAAGCGGAACAACATGCAGTCAACTTACCTTCTAATGATTTCCCGGCTCTCAATCACGAGGAAGATTCTTCAAATGCTATCAATGCTCACTTGTACGCGTCATATACGGCGTATGCCTTCACCGAGAGATATACGCACCAAACAATCCAAACACTTGATGGATTGGGGGGATTTTCGTATCAGGTTATTGGTGCATCGGGGGAGTCTGACCCCTGGCTTTTGAGGCACGGCAAATTTAATGACAGAGGATTTCTCCTGTCCCATCAAGTGCACTTTCGGAATGCAGGAGGTGTTCCACTGGACGAGAAAATTCCTGTACACTTCCTTGTAACGGCTGATCAGCTCTATGAGCCTTTAAAACAACAGCCAGAAACCCCCAACTTGAGCCCTACGCACGATGAATTAAACAGCCTTGTTCCTCTGGGGTGTGCCCAGAGGTTGATCATCCTGTAGGATTTCCTTTTGTCGGACACTTCTCTTCAATTGTTGACAACAAGCCTTCAGCTTCTTTAAATTTATCTTCCCAATGTTACCAATTCTCTCCCGGTCGCAGTTCGACCTTGCAGCAGCAGGCAAAGTGCCAGATCAGTCTATAATTCAGAAGACACCTGTGTGTCTTCTTGCTGCTATATATGCATCAGCCCAGCCGTTCAGTAAATTTGACGACTATCTTTCCCTAATCTACGCATACTCTCCGCCTCCCATCGAAAGGCTCTGGAGCATAGCCCTGGCACTCATTTTGCGTGATGGTCACGCTCCTCGTTTGGGCACATTACAGGCGGGAATTCTCTATCTCCATCGACCAATCAGCGCGACTGAAAGCGCTGTAGCCGACAGTGTCTCCGTTTGGTCTTTTGTTGGCATGCTTGTTGGTATTGCTACATCGCTCGGACTACAGTTGGAATGCCGACCGATGGGCCTTCCAGTGTGGGAGCGGAGAATACGTCGTCGGCTATGGTGGGCAATCTATGCCGAAGACAAATGGCGCAGTTTGCTCATGGGTCGTCCGCCTTACATCAGAAACGATGAGTGGGATGTGACAGATCTAGACGATGACGATTTTCTGGTGTCAGACAGCGTGCGCGATGCAATGCAGCGATCATCGCCCGATGACCAATATCAGCATGAGGCTTTCAGTGGTCAATCGTTCCAGCATTTCATTCGCTTATCTCGTATCGCAGACGAGCTTCAACAATCTTTATAGTGAGACACTGGAACTTGCACGCATAGTACAAATATTCTAGATGCTGACTTTGTTGCTTTTATAGCGCACTGAAATCAGCACAGCGTCTATGCTCTGATTTCCAGGCAACTCTGGACATCGCCCGTCCACTGCTGCAAAAGTTGAAAGAATGGTATGAGCATTTGCCGGCATCTATTCGCCCTCGGACTCGTCCCTCTATCAGTACAGGAAATAAGCCATCACAATGGAACCTCCTTCACTTCGCATATAGTCTTCTTGAAATCTTCATATTTCGCGCTCTGTTGCGGCCCATGGTCCGCTCCGCCACTCCACCGCCCTTGTTTGAGGAGGCGCACGACATCCCCGGTTTAACGGATCAATTTAATGACCTCCTAGCGCAGGCTTTTGACATTGATGAGTTCGAACCGTCATTAGCTATTGATATGTCAGATGAAAACAAGACCGGAAGTGCAGTGCTCAAAGCGGCAGAAAGTTGTGCAGCGAAGATGCTCCGCGTGGTTATGCGGATAGGCTGCGGTGACTCTTCAGTATTTTGGTTATCATGTACGTCCGAGTTTGTGAATCTTGTCATCTTGACATTTTCTTTTTGATCAATCGTGATACTGACAGTATAGGGTCCCGTATTATCTTCGCGACTGTGACAAATTTCATGATGCTTCTTCTAGTACAGGCACCTACCAAGGACCACGCTGTCCGAGTCAAGCGTTTGTTAGATCTTTGGAGGGAAACATTACGAAACCAAAGTAAAAGCTTCCCGTTGATGAATCTAGGCCTCGTGAGATTAGATGGACTGTTTTGGGCCGGACTGAGTACAAACTTCTACCTTCCGAGGCATGTCAAAGAGGCTTTGGATGGGTAATTACTTTTATGTGCTGGTATAGTGTATTTGTTGACCTAGAAAGCATGCTAAGCCGGTGGGTTTGCTTGCGTGATTGCGAATCTCACAGGTGTTGTTTCTTTGTATTTTCTTTGTGTTTGGTCTCTGTCTGACAATCTGGCTTCCCCTCAACTTTTACATTCTCCGTGTATCATTGTTTATTGGTTTCCTTCGAAAAGTGACTCCTTTTACCATCGCTCAATGGTTTCTTTGCCTTCTGTGTGTAGTGCTCATGGTTGCATAAGGGCTTAAGTGCCATGTCTCAGTCTGCCTCTCCCTTCGATACTTATGTTCCGATCGGAAGAGTTAGCCATCGCAGCTGCTTCCTTGACCGAATGAATACACATTTGACTCGTTTGGAAAACTAAAGGTGTGATATTGCATAAGATTCCATCAAGGAGTTTAAAAAGCCCGGTTACGAGAAGCAATAATCATAAAGCCTGGGGCACAATATCACGTAATCGGTCTCATTGTCTGCATGGTCTTGAACCGCAATTGTGCCAAGCACATCATCAAAGCTGGGCACACTAGTCAACGAAAAAATCGCAAGATTATGCGACAATGCGAGGGGGCTATCCACCTTGGATTATCGCCTGGGGGCATTTCAATCTTCACATACGGTGTTGTAAATATAAACATGCCCATCACACGTACGATTTGAATCAATCTATGCGTTACGGTGATATGGGAGAGGGAAGCACCCAGGCAGACACCAAGCTAAGGAGATACAGGTTCAATGAGCTACACCTAATATTTATCTATAAATTTATTCATTTGCCGAAGACCTTGAAACGGGACTCAAGAGGCTGGAAGGTCTTCTCGCCGGCCTCAGAAGTGGGAGTGCCGAAAACGAGCTGAGCATCCAGCTTCCAAGAGGCAGGCAGGTCCCAAGTCTTGGCAATCTCGGCATCAATCAGAGGGCTGTAATGCTGGAGATTGGCGCCGAAGCCTTCAGACTCAAGAGCAAGCCAAACTATTAACGGTTAGAATCACAATAACTGCAACGACCATCTGGGTAATCGGCGTCAGGATTTAAGAAAGCTTACCGAGGTACTGAGACATGGCGTTGGACTCTTGGGCGAAGGGGTCGAATTTGTCGGCGTAAATGGCAAATTTCTCCTTAATGGGGGCAAGAGACTCATAATCGACGAAAAAGAGAACCTTTTTGACCGTTAGTCATCTGAACAACAAGACTGGTTGAACCAATTGCTCCAGTAGAGCATACTGAGTCGAAGTAATACTTACAGTTCCGTAGGCAGCACGGAAGGCATTAAGCTTAGGCTTAGTAGAAGACTCATAGGCCTCCTGAGGAAGGGCACCGGTGGCAACGAGGCCCTCCATGGCACTAATAGTAATGTCCCACACCTTCTTGTGCTCCTCTTTCAAAAGGAGAACGACACGGGAGGTCTGTGTGTTAAATGAGCTGGGAACATGAAGAACCGAGTCCTGAACAATGCGCTCAATGGCATCATCAGAGATGGGGCTCTCGGCCTTGAGACCGTAGTAAGTTCGGCGACTCTTAACCAACTCGAGAAGAGAGGTCGTGGCCGGGTTCTTGAATTCAACAGCGATGGAGCCCATTGTGTAATTCGTTGGTGTTATCAATCGACGGTAAAAATGATTTGGACAAGAAAAAAAATAAATGCAAATGGGTTGTGGGCTGTTTCTATACTACGTGGCATTGAGGGACCTTGAAAATTATACTCTACTGCGTATGCACTGTTTGAATTGCATTATCCCACATTCCCATGTGGGATTTCGTTCCAGTGGTTTCTAATCCAAGTCCCCGGTGACGAAAGCCGGGCCAATGAAAAGTGTCGGCTGCTCGCAGTATCTCCACCGGATCATATCATCTGGTGTCAGTCGTCCAATCAGTGGACTGGCGCTTCCAGGGACTTTGTAAGCGGGTCGGACATAAGTCCCATCAACCCCGGCCGAACCTTCAAACTCTGTAAGCGTGACAAATCACCAGAAATGGCACCATTTTTCACTGCTAAGCCGACTGCGGAAAATGGTAGCAATGCGGAATTACTTTACCAGTCGACGAACGGTCGAGCACACCCACACTTAACCACCGATTTCTTTTAAACCTATGTTCAATAGACTGAAAATATTTCTTTCGAACAAAGGTTCATCCCCCATTGATTGAGAATGTTGCAACATATGTCCGTTACACTCGTGAAGATTGATACATTCTTCACGTGTTAGACTGTATTCGCAGTGCCAAAGATATCAAAGCATGGACAAGCCACTCCCATTCGTTCGGCTTGTGTGGCTCAGTAACGACGGCTCGCATGCCCGAGTGGCTTTCAACACAGAGCGTTGATGCTCTACAAGGCGCTAATTAAAATTCTCAAAGGGGGTTCCATCAAATTGACACCCCTTCCTTCCTCGACTTGGACTTCGAACGATGACGGCATATCCAAAGCTACTGGCTTCTTAAAAAGGAGAAAGCCTCACATTCATGGGTAGCCTCCACTACAGACCGCCCCGGAACTCCCAAACAAAGATAATTCACCACGCATCATATTATGAACAGCCCTATGTCCAGTAGCATATTTGGCAAGGGGGAGGGATGAGCTTGCAATATTATATTATCCACCGAGAAAATTCAACAAAATTGTTAGTTGTTCTCACCGCGTCGTGCCTTCAGATCGCACTATTCTTGATGAACTTCTCCGTAGTATCTCAGAGAGCTTCTCATTGCCCTATATTGACCGAAAGAGAAGCCTTTCGATTTCCTGCGTTGGTCATTGTCCAATACGCAACTTCGGATACTCGGGCAAAGGAGAGTCTGTGTAAAGTTATGCTCATCCGCGGGTTCTAGGACATTTGCGTCCCAGCATGATTCACCAAAGTTTTTGCCGGTGGGACCTATGCACTCCGCATTGGCGCCTATGGAAGGGATGTTTAATATGTGCGTGAGCGCAATTGCTGCAGTGGCAGGACTTGCCAGGTTCCCGGTCAAATTTGAGGAGGTAGCTTTCATATTGTTCTTGTGCAGGTACCCAATGGAGAGAAGCTTTCGAAGATTCTAACACCGCAAAGTTTTGTATGGATTATTTCCTGACCGATGAAAGCCATGGGTGTGGAAAAAGATGTTTCAGCCACAATGAGGTAGCGGGTACTGAAGTGTGTAATTGGCGTCCAACGGGAATGAAAGAGTTCAAAGCTTGAGGAAGACGAAAAACGTTAGGAATATCGTTTATATCCATTTGTTATCGAAATGATGACCTTTCGGCAAAATGTACACGCGAGCTCAGACGTAATCTCGCCGGGGATCTTAATGCGAGGGGTTCGCTAACAAAACGTCCGCTAAGAAAACATCCCATGATGGGGTTAGCGAATGGCTCCAAGGGACAAGCTCCTTAATGTTCCTCAATAAATAAGCCATTTCTCCCCGGGAGCTCAACATTCCTCTTCCTTTCCCAACTCTCTACTTGACTCGACTCTTGATCACCTCCACTTGTTGAACATGCATACATCTTATTGTGTCATTCTATTTCACCATACTCTTCCATCCTACATGACATGATCTATCGTTGATCACTATTCACCAACACAACAACAGCCTTCTAAAATTCGTAATGCTTTACCTCTATTAATCCTTGATGATCTCCAAACAGAAAAAAATCTTCTTTCACTTTGGAATGTGGGCCGCTGGGCCTGCGAAAGGGCGGCGTGCAACTCTAGGCTTCATAGGAAAACCATGCATTTTCTTACAACGGCTTACTTATATAATTCTGATTGTATTAATTTGGACGTGCTTATTTTTCTCACGCATGCGTGGAACTACTTGGTCCACGAGGCCATATTTGCCGAGCTTGAAGGCTCAACACAGATTTCAAATATTTTCTGGCCACCTCATTCGACCGAATTGATCCGGGGGCCATGCAAACCCTGCCTAAAGTGCTTGGAAGGCAGGTCGATGTCCACAAAAGGCCCAGTTATCACTACTGTAGGCCCCAGCTAGTCTAAGCCTCGTTGAAGGCCTGACGGCCATATATAATCGGTTCGACCTTTCGTGGTGGAGATTATATCTATCGTGGGGTTTCGTCCGATTCGACTCGTAAAAATACGTAATCGTAAGCTATCTCTACAGGAGCTCACTTTGTCCTCTGGTTGGCCTTACCCCCTATCACTTGCATAATATCGAAAATCACAACCCAAGATTAGGGGCTAGCCTTGAGTTACCACCCAAACCTTATAGTCGTCCACGACGGTTACTAACAAATTTATAATACGATTATTGCGAGATTGCATAAGAACGGGGGTCAACCGTCAAGGCTCATTAAGGGTATCTGAATATATAGTAAACGCTCTTCATAAGTGCGATTCGGGCGTAAATGGACAGTAAGTCACTAGAGCGATAAAAAGTGAGGATAAAATAGGCTTAACTAGGGGGCCAGAATTTAGGGGCCAAAACCAAGTAGCCTAGCCCTAGCACGCCTCACAGGAATTAGAATATAACTATATGTCCTAATAGCTAGTAGAAGGGGTGATTAATCTCTCGTACTTTATCTTTCTGCTAGTAGAGTAGACACTCACCACCCACTCTATACGTAGCCTATACATCGGGGAGATCTTTTAGGTAAAAGGAACAATATCGGAGTGCCTTAACGAGTAAGTCTAAATAGTTCTAGGTAGTTATCCGTCGCGGTCGTGTCATTCGCCCCATAGCGGGGCAATATGGCCGTTTCTACAACCGATCTAAGCGGAGAATGCGATCATTATATATAGCAAACAACCCCATAGATTAGTACCCCTACCTAGGCGGCAAGAAAAACTTAGAGTGACTAAGGGAGTTGAGCATGAAGATCCGCTGTATCTGATAATCCTTATTAGGGCAAGCGATGAATAAAGATAGGAGTTTTTAGAGCATGAATCGGGAACTATAGGTCGCCTCTAGCGTATGGCTTGCTATAACTATCGTATGAAGAAGGTTAGTGCGTTTCTAGCTACTCTATTTTATAAATACATACACTGATACAAAGGTAAGATTCGATATAATAGTCGGCGGATAGGATACTATCGATGCATATCGCTTAGCGTACACAGTACCTACTCTAGGTTAAGTCCTCGTAAACGGCACCGCAAAAAATCATCTCGTTCCTCTATTTCTAGTATAGGTGATAGGGACAATCAAACACCCAAGAATACTTCAAGCGAGAGCGCGGAACCGAAAACAAAAGGCCACTCTATAACTTATCATCATCAATCACTTAACTCATCCACGCTACTCGATAAAAGTAACAATAGTACTCTATATTTAACCTAGCTAGGCAGCGGAGAGGTTCAAGAGGAAGGCGAGTAAATATTCTTCAATAGTTTTAACTAGGGTTTAAGCGAGCAACATAGTGAACTTACGTCACCTTCATTGTCGACGGCTACTCCCGTCGTCCACCTTCCACTAGAACCGAATGTATACCTCGCGATGAATATTAATAAGAACAACATGTCTCAACCAAATACCGGTATATCTCAGGGCGAAAGAACAAGCCATAGTGCGCCCCCTATATGCTCTTCAGATGTGATCGACGATCGTTTGGATCTCGATCCTAGGCCTCGCACCTCTACATGCATAGCGCCTACCCATAGTATCAAATCACGGCCACCACGCATGTTGGAACCATCCACCTCGTCTTCATCGCCGCACCTTCGATCCCGCAGCCCCCAAAGCCAGCAGTAGTCTCCCACAAAATATACTGACGCTCCCTGCGCGTACACGTGGCGGTCAAGATACATTATAACTCATTTCGAAGTTTTACATAGATGGTCATCCCGGGGGGTTAGCAATCAGTTATGGGGACAGAATTGTTTCATGCGAAGCTACAACTAAAACTGGATGACCATTATGTGGAAGGGTACGATTAGCAAAACCGAGGTATATATAGCAACTCTTATGGGAAATATCGAACCTCAGCTTCACTTCTGTCTTCGCTCTATTCTAGCCGACCCGAGCGATTTCTATAGCTGCGCAGTGTATGAAGTCGAGGAACACCCTTGCGGAGGGGAGGTCGGTGTCCCGCTGCACCATTTTATTGGAGAAATTCCCCGAATTTTTGGGTCCTCTCCTAATATTTTGCATACATGACAAACCGCTTAAATCAACACTATCTTCTCGCACCGGGAGTCACTAATATGTTGCAGCAGTTTGGCATAATTTTGAGCTCACGAGACGGACTATCTCAACTTCACGAGTGATATCGGAGAAAGATGAATTGAAACCAAATTGTTTACCTTATTCCGGGGCCCACATATCCTTGTCACTTGATCTGGACTGAGCTTCTTTCAAGGTCACCAGACACTGGAAATTTTGCTTGACAAACCAAGCTGTGCTGGTTTCCCACGGCTTCTCACATTGCTCGAATCGAATGCGAAACTTGCTCAAAATACAGGGAATCACTTTTGACATTTCCAAAAGACTAATGTTTTTCCCAATGCATGTTCGAGCGCCGGCTCCAAACTGATCTATTTTAGCCTTGGCCCAGTCACATACAATGCAATTCCTCGCAGTGGAAACAAAAAACCTACAGTGAAGAGATTCTTTTCCATGATCGAAACCTTTTCTTTGCCTTCGAACCACCGTTCTGGCCGGAAGAAAGTGGCACCTGGTCCATATATCTTTTCATTTAGTTGCGAAACCCAGGGGTTTACCCCTACCACTGTCTAGAGAGAGAGAGGGTCAGCACTCATATCGGCTGGAGCCTGAAGGAATGATTCAGGTCTTCTTACCCCCCTGGAAAGAATTTGCCAGCCAACATCGCTCCCCCTGCGGAACGACGCGTAGGAGAGGATAGCCTGTAGCTGGGTGAAGTCGCAGAGACTCTTTTATACAAGCCTGGAGATAAACCATTTGCTGTGACTCAAGATAGGTCAAGGGCCCACTTTTAGATCTTCTCATCATCACCCTGTCAATCTCATCTTCTAGTCTCTGAAGCTTCTCGGGATTTCTTAAGAGGTAATAGAATATAGCGCTCAAGGAGATGGCTGTGGTGTCAGAGCCAGCAGCAATATTTGCCCCCATGGAATTGAAAACATCTGTATAGTCGACCTTACCGGCATGGAATCGTATGAGCAGTTGGGAGAGAAAGTCCGTGCCTGGCTTGTCTGAAGTAGTAACGGAATTCCTCTTTGCTTTGATCTTCTCTGTGATATAATCGGATACCAGGTCAAACGGAATGGGGATTCGTAAAATCTTGGCAATTTTGGCTAATGCCCAGTGAAGCTCAGCGAAAATTCCAAGCCGACTGCCGTAGACCATGCTTTCATGGATAGCACAGAGGATGCCATTCCAGTCCGATCCGATTCGAAGGAAGCCGAAAGATTCTCCAACCTAACCAAAACGTCAGTCAGACTGAAGTGCGGAAGAGAAATAATGTAATGGAGTCGCTGACTGTTATTTTCCCGATGACATCAAAAGCATAAAACTGCATCCATGCGGGAAACTGGAATGGCGTTTCTGTGGTGGCAAACCCGTTCATTTTCTCGCATAGCTCTCTGTTGACTTCGTCAATGGCGGATTCATAGTTGATCAGCGAGCTCATTGAATAGAGCGATGCCAGCTTTCTCCGCTTGATTGCATGTCGGCCATTGTCCAATTCTGAGAACAAGTCTGCGTGGACTTTGTCTGGATTTCCAAAGGCGTAGTAAAATGGAGCCTTTGTGAAGGCTGACCCAGCTCCATAAATTTGACGGATAGCTTCTGGATCATTGATGCTATACACATGGGGAGAAATACGAACAATCGGGCCTGTATTTGTACCATTTTAGCATGTTTATAGTGTGGAAATAAATATCGGAAGTTTACCGTAGCGCTTGTGTAAATCAATGTTGGTCTTCTCAAAATTACCCTGGCATACCTTGAAAAGTTCCCAGAGTCGAGTCCACCGCGCAAGAAAAGGCCCCGGGATAGCGCAGAGAGGGCTAAATAGGACTTGGTAGATTTGGGAAAAAACTAAGTAGAACACCAAGGCCACGGCTAAATAAAAGATAGTAGACATTATTGATCGGTTCTCGCTTTTACTCCTAAAAGACAGCTGGAGTCCAGACACATATATGTGAGCCACCTGGGCACTTCATCAAACCGAAAGGGGTCTAAACCCCAGAGTTTCCCTCCGAGAATAGTTAGCTCAAAATACAATAAGCGTCCCCACCCTAGGTTGAAACCAGCCGAATGTCTCTCTGATCGACATCGGCTCTCCGCAATCATTTCCACATGCCCGCTCCGCGCCCCACTCACCCGATCATTCAGCACATGATTCCCCTGCACCCTGGAGAAAAGAAAAAACTAGACTTGATAGAGGGAGTTTGTATCCTGTTTATCTACGATCTATAAGAGCTGCTATTTGTACCTCGATTCTGCTAAATGTACCTCGGTTTTGCTAATCGTACCCTCCCACAAAATGGCCATCTAGTTTGAGTTGTGTATAACATTGCTCTAATACAAAAATAAATCATTTTTCTTCTTCCTGATCTACCAACCATATTTTCTCAAAGTGAAAGATTCAAGTTCGAAGGATGTTATGGGAATGTAGTCAAATTATATAATTTTACAGGGGGGGGGGGGGGATAAAGATTGGTTAAGGGGAAGGGGACAGGATTGTTCCATGCGGAGCCACAACTCAAACTGAATGGCCATTTTGTGGGAGGGTATGATTAGCAAAATCGAGGTACAAATAGCAATTCACTTATCTATACTACTTGCTAACCCCCTTCAGCTAGAGAAAAGCGTATATGGTAAACCATGGGGAAGGTTCACAACTTTGGACTCAGTGTCTCTTTCCACTGCTTCTGTCGCAGCTGTTGTATCAACCTCATACGGCTTAATAAGACTAATTCCCAATTTTTAGTTGAATGACTCCGCTTTGAAATTGTGAAAAGACTCACCACTCATCATGCAAGCACCAAATGACCTTCTCCGGCATTCCCATCCACCTGACCAGATTCGTTGCAAAGGTCGCCGCGGACCCATCGAATGGCCTCCCATTCAAATTTGCCCGACCAGCAATGCCAAGAACTGCAATATCTGGCTTAGTCTGAATACTTTTCACTATTCCCTCATATGCGCCCAGGTGGGCATTGAACAGAATGTTAACCATTTTTCCACTCTTTTCTTCGAGGAAAATGTTAAACATGAGTTGTCCCCCGTCGCAAGCGGACATGACATTTCTTTCTTTGTCTTCCATCCAGTTCGTAAAGGATGTAGTTTTCTCATCCATATTGTTCTCCCCGATGATGTCTTTCATTCGAAATATCCCATACTTCATTCCTCGGGTGATATCCAAGGTACTGTCAAATGGGGTATTGCTGCCTTTGTATTCAGCGCCAGAGTCGAAGATGTCTGGCAAGGTGGCATGGTCACCAGGAATGAGACAGTGGAGGCTTGGCCAGATATGAAGCTCGGCAGTAGCAAGCGTATGATGGGGCTCCAAAGGGGCGCCTGGAGGGCCTCCGCGTAGAGCTACTTCTCCTGCTTTCGCTGCAGCACGCACGGCTTTGGTAAATAGAGGGATCCGCTCACCTCCAGCGACAGGGACAAGTTGCTCATCTGAAACGCCTGCTTCACGAAGACGATTTATGGCTTCGCTGTTTGCGATGATGATAGCTCCTGTACGTTTCGCAATCCTGTCGGCTCCAGGCAGACTTTGAGTAGAAAAAGGCTCAGTTATTTGTTTCCATGTAACGTGTCTGAATATACGTACTGATCAAAGTGTGCATGTGAGATCAATATGTAGTCAGCATCAGTCACGTCATTGATGTTTAGATACTGGGGCATCAATGATGGCCGATCCAACCAGGTGTCATGGAATATTGTTAGCCCTGGTGCGCGAATGCGAAAAGTAGTAGCGCCTGGTGTGGTGGGATTAGCGCGTATCGGCAAATAAGGAGTTTGAAGTAGATTTACCAAAGTATTCTAGAGTAGCTTTGCTCTCCATTGCTCTGGTAAATGCCTTGTTCAGAATGATAAGTCGTCCGATGAATGAGAATGGGAACGTGTATGCAACAACACATAAAGAACGCCAGATGACTGGCTAGGTGGAGTCCGGGGGATTTCTTGTTGCCCAACCCAGAAAATAAATTTCAAATGCTCCCAAGGGTCTTGGTAATTTTACGGGGCTGGGCTAGCCAATTGAACGTTAGTTGGTCATGGGCATCGGCTCCCCGCAATCGTCATAGCGAAAGGATCACCGGTCTCTAGCGCGACTAGCTCACATTCTATTGCCCTTCCACGTGAATAATTGATATCCATCAGTAAACCCAATTACTAGGATCTTCATTCCGACAATCTATCCTTCTAGGATCCCTTCTGTTTCAAGTTTTGTCGCAACTCGGGCCAAGATGTCAGAGTCGAGCTCATTCAAGGTTATCATCATTGGGGCTGGCCTGGCAGGTGCTTTGCTTGCCAATGGACTTCTCAATAACAATGTCCCCTTCACAATTTATGAGCGAGAGGCAGAGCACTCCAAGCGGGAAGGCTACCAAATCCGCTTGGGAGACTCCGCTGTAGCCGGTTTCAAAGCTTGTCTACGCGACGAGGATTTTGATGCAATGATTCAAAAATTTGGACAGTCCGCCACTTCAGGGGCCGCAGCTCCCTGTGTTTATACAAGCCAGTTCCAGCCTGTTCTGAACCTCACCAGCTTACCCACGTATTCGAAGTCCTTTGCGATCAATCGGGTAGTCTGTCGCAACTTGCTTCTCAACCCGGTGAGACCAAGTGGAAACATCCACTTCGAAAAGGTTTTTTCGTCCTATCAGGTCATTCAAGACTCTTGTAGTGGCAGGGAGAAAGTAAGGGTTGTCTTTACTGACGGTACATCCGACGAGTGCGATGTTTTGATTGGAGCCGACGGTAGTGGCTCACGGGTCAATAAAGCACTTGGTCTTAATAATCTGGTCAACATCGACACACATTGGTGCTTTTTAGCCAAAGGGAGCCTCCCCAAAAACCGATTGAAAAGGCTTCCCCCTCAGCTTCAGGAAGGGCCGATTCTAGTGTTCGCGAAAGGGCTCTCTTTCTTCTATGCCTGTAAGATACATTTCCCAGTTTCAAATCTCGGAGCTAATGTGGTTTATGAAGTATATATGCCCGCAAGACACGACGCGGATAGATCTAGCAGCGATGAAATAGACTACGACGAGACAGAGGCCTCTTTCTACTGGGGATTGAATATCCCTAAACACCTCTCAACTGAGCACCAGGACTATGCAGATATTCCAAACCGCTTAAAATTTTGCCTTGACATCATTCGAGACTGGGCACCCGAATTGTAAGAAGACCTTGAAATATCGGGACCGGGATCATCAAGGTGACTAACCAATTTGGTTATGAACGAATAGAAAAACATTGATCACCACGGGTCAAGATGATGTTCTAGCCTCTGATATTTACATCGCTCCCTTAAGAGCCAGTATCAAGCCCCCAGAAGACTGGCGAGCGCGCCTCCAAGAGAAGAATCATACAGGGAATCAGGAAGAAGGGCACCCTCGTGTCTGGCTTTTGGGGGACGCGATGCACGCGATGCAGCCAAACAGGTAAGGCTATAAGTCTTACAAGCCCCCAAATCTCACAATACAGTCTGCGCCAGCAAATTGTATTAAATACAAAGTTTTCACTGACAGTCATCCCGCATCAATAGGGGCATGGGTGGAAATCAAGCAATGCATGATTGTGCCGACATCCTCCCATCTCTGCTAGAATTGAACCGTATTGCCGCTACTGGAAGGTTACCCACAGGTGAAGAGATCTCTTCTGCGTGTGGAAAGTATGAATCTGCAATGATTGAGCGATCCTTTGCCTGGGTCTCGAAAAGCGGAGGAGCTTCGATGCCGGTGCGTGAAAGATCCAGTCAATCCTTGCAAAACTTTAGCTGACATTCTGTGTGGCTGCTCATTAGAACTTGGACTTTGACGGGATCCTGGGCAAATTTATTTCCGTTGCGGGGAAAGTCCTCGTGCCCGTTGTCTCTGCCTTTCTTCGTGTGCCATTGTTCAGGCCCTCAGAAAAAGAGAAGTCTGATTGGTAATAGCCCTTCTCTATCTTTGAACATCAAGGATTGGATAAGATATTTTATCAAAGACCCTTTCATATAGCCATTTCTGGGAAATTTCAGTTTCATGTTTTGTTCCACATCTTAATATATATTGTTGCTTGACCTTTGGACGGCAGATCTCGAGGGTACGGGCATACTAGGTTTCTGCAAACGCTCCTTGTAATGAAAGATTGTGCACCAGATTACACTCGGCCTACCACTAGAAGCGATGACGTCGAGCTTTTTTCCTCTTATCGAAGGTACTGTACTGTATATTCTTGGAGTTAAGTTGCTTTGAGACTGAATTTGCGGGGGAGATGGGCTGAAAAGTGGGACCGACCGTCTCATTCCCTCGGTTAAAACTCCTCACTTGTTATTTCGCAGTATTATCTCGAGAAATGTGACAACCACGTCGCCGCTCTGTCCCTTGAAACGTTGAATTAAGTCGGTCGTATTTTTTATATATTTCCTTTGACCAACCATCGTCAAAAGGCGCGTGGCTCAGCAGCATGAGTCCGCTCGACATTGGTCAATAGACCGGGCGGCAAGGACCAATAAAGGGTTCGCTCTCGAGAAGAACCTCTTGGGAATCTCTTTTTGGCATAATGGAATGTTGCTACTGTCATGAAAGGTTCAGCCGCCGCGAGCATCTTGATCGTCATCTTCGTCGCCATTCCGGGGTCCGGCCATACCCCTGTCCGATATGTTCACGGACTTTCTCAAGGCAGTGAGACCCCAATTTATGAGGAGTTGTGTTAGGCGAACATCATCTCACCCTTACTTATCATAGAGACACCCTTGGTAGGCATCTTGCGACACACGGGGCGGATGCTGAGGGTCTTATTGTTCGCACAAGGGGTATCAGCGCCTGTCAAAGCTGTTCCCAAGACAAGGTGAAATGCAGTGGCGGAATACCATGTGCTCGATGTCTGAGTAAAAACCGACGATGCCTTAATCGGAGTCGGAATCGTAATTCGAACAGCAGATTATCCTACTCCAATTATGCAACGAACCAAGCTCTTAATTTGAGCCCTGATTCGCCAGATGTTCCCACCAGCAACATCGATGATTCCATTAATGGGTCATCGTCGACGCCTCGGTTGCCATCTGGACCGAACAGCTCAGGCCTCAGCACAAATGCCCTAGAAGAACCCCCGAGCAATCATGCTGCTTTTTTCCCGGTTATTGACGATCTGCCGCCGTTCGCTCTGGATATGAGCGCTGACTTTCCTTGGACGCTCGAATACAGCGATTTCTTCTCTGAGGGCCATTTTGGCCCGCATTATTCACACCTTGAACCGGTTGGTCACTTGGAGTACTCACTATTTCCATCTGCCTCTCCTGCGGAAGTCATTACAAACGGTGGCACTGATAAAGCGCCTTTTCAGGGTGCTGTGAAAGCGCGAGATCTTCAGAGCGAGGGTGAAAGGCCTTCTCCAACTTTTCGAACACAAGAGCTGCGTCAATTAGACTCTTCAACCCCCGTCCAGACCCTTGCTATGCAAGCTACGGACGAAGATATTACCATGGCAGAGAACTTTTGCCATGTGAATGTTCCCTTCAATACTGTCTATCTATCTATTTTCGCCTTCTACAGTCACCAGCAAGATGCTCGATTTCGGGAAGCTCCATTTCCAACGCTTCCTATTTTCGACTCGTTCATTCAGCTCTATTATGAGTATTTTGATGACCAATTGCCATTCATTCATCCATCATTGCTAGAGGAAGCAGATACACCGTGGATTCTCACCTTGGCTGTGGCATCTATTGGATCTCAATATTCCAACATCGCCAAACGGGAAGCATATGTTTCCATGCTTACCGATCTTCTAACAATATCTCTTCCTCTCGATGTATGTCGTGACCTATCCCTTTGCCGTTATGGATGTCACTGACTGACCTGCAGGCCTTGAAATCCCGAGGCTTTGATACAATGATATTAGCACAGTGTTTCTTGCTGAATTTAGTTAACCTCATGTTTAGTGGTTTCAAAGATCATGTCCTCAATCTGCAAGTTCGACGAGCCTGGCTTGCTACACTGATACGACCATTTCTCACTTCTTCTGAATTCAAACGGTCATTATTATCCACAGAGCCAAATACTACTCAATCTGATGGACAATGGCGTTCGTGGATTTGCCGTGAATCAAAAAGGAGACTTGTCTATTGTTTTTCTGGTAAGTATTGTGGATTATGATTTGACCACGAGTCAATCATACCCATATCCATACTTTTATCTCTTCCGTTCAACTGACCCGATATCTTTTCATAGTGGTCGATTGTTTCTTTTCCATCTTTTTGGGGATGCAACCGACCTTTTCGGCAAGGGATTACGAGGAATTACTTCCCTCATCTGACGTATTGTGGAGAATGCGCAATGAAAATGACTGGAGCTATTATTTGAGGGCGAGCAATGGTCAGTATCTACTCAAGTCCTAGACTTCGGTCATTTATAAGCTTACATGCGCCAGATACACCGCAATCGCACAGTTTGAACGATCTTTTCTCCGTGAATTGGACTTCAAATAATGCTTTCCAGCTCTCGTCTGACTTCACCAAACTGGTATTGCATCTTACTTTGTTTGTGGAAGAACGACGAGCCATAGACGCATCCAGGTCCTCTGCACTTCTCGACTTCAGTCAGGAAATCCAATCTCTGAATTCAAATACGCGACCACCGACATCATACCGAACGTTGGACTGGAAGTATGAGATACTTGCAATAACGGAGGAATCCTCGGCACCCACAAGCACGCACATGTTGGATGCAAGGAACACGTTTTCCCATTTGCTTGGGATTCTCAGACATGTCCCATTGAAACAACTCTATGCCTATTCAAGATGGTATGCATCAGAAGAAGACATTGCGGCAGGAGGAGCATATCTAGCCGGTTGGATGCGAGATAATCCTGTTTTAGCTCGGGTCTGTGTCTCACATGCAGGAGCCATACTTCGGCTTATCCGATCAAACCCCAATACTGCCTGCTATCACTACTTCTGTCTACTCATAGCTGTCTTGTATCTATGGGCCTTCGAGCGTTTGAAGCCTGACGCGTCTACGACACTTGAACAGCCTTTGCGACCCAATAGAGCCGGAATCCTCCTCAAAATTGACCAGCATCATGAGTTGAGTGTAAAAGAGGGTTGGGTTGAAGGTAATCAGGGTATACTTGTTCATGTGACGGGGGTTGGGATGTTATCAAGTCCAGGGAGTCCGCAACGCTTGGTAAAGGAGCTCTTGCGGGTACTTGGGTCTCGAACAGGATGGCCCACTCTCCGCAAAGGTTTAATTGTTTGCGTTAGCCAGCTTCTTAATGGGGAGTCTAACATACAGGTCCCTAGATAGCCACACCAGGACCATTTCAATGTTGATATTTATTCCAATAATGATTTTAACAACTTCCAGATCCACGAGAAGGTCATCTGCGGGACTCCGCCCCATTTATTGGAATGCATTTGCGTTCACTCACCTCAAAAAACTAGCCTCAGTGAGCTACCGTGCCGCTTTTGGACGCCGCGGTTATTTTCCATTTGATAAGGCACAACTAGGCGTCGCCATTACGGGCTGCCATGAAATAGGCACAATATCACAGGCGAACCCAACTAGCTCTACCAAAAAATTAAATTCATATTTTGTCCTTGGTGCTGTTTTACTTCTCTTCCCTTTTCCGTCGTAAAGAGGGCGTTTCACTGTGTTGCGGAGAACCGATGTGGGGAAGCATATGCGGAGAGCCGGTATACCGCCAAACTCTCCACAACTCCAATCTCATCACGGCGGTGGATAACTTCGAACCCGCGCTTACGCTACATTTTACGCAAATAGTGGAATACCGAGGACGATCAATACCAACAAATTGACACTCCTACGGAGCAATAAGGATGTTCGATTCCCGACTATTAGACATGGAAAAGTTTGAATTCCGTGCAAGTGCCGCTCAATCCGACCTTGTCCATTTCCCGTGTCACCTCAACTACTATCGCGCACACACAAGCACTGCCTGTGTCTATCGTTACCTTGAACGTAAGTCGTTAACCTTCTAGCGAGCGCTTAAAAATGTGGAAGGAATTGCATTATAGGATATATTTATGACGATAGATCCTGTGAGCCTTGAAAGTCACCCTCGACTTGACTTTGTAGGTTGAAAGGGTCTATGCCTCATAAATTTTGAGTATATATTGTATTTCATCGTTTAGCACATACGACTATAGGGTGTGGAGAATAGGGCTTCCCGTTCGCTCAGGCGTACTTAAGCCACATTATATCCGCTACTGTAGTACACCCTGGACATACATCTACCAATCAATGGAATATCAATGCATTCAAGATACTCTATAGCATTTTTACATGTCTAAAATCTAGGTGAATCCATCTGCGCCTTGATGAACTCGAATGTTTTTGTACGTCAAACATCTATACATATGCATGAACAAGAAATCAGTGGAGAGAAGACTAAGGACATGATTGTTTTGCGGATGGCCATGGTCAGAAACTAGATGGCCATTTTGCGGGGAGGTACAATTAGCAAAATCGAGGTACATTTAGCAATGCTTTATCTTTTAGGCGAGTCCAGAACTCACTTGATCTAGATGCTGAATCAGAAATAATTCAGCACCATTTCGGATGTCTCATTATTCCTGCCTTAGATAATTGGTAACAATCTTTTCTTCCATAATACTTACTTTGCTTCTCACCCAGCCTATTGCGCACTCACCCTACTTACCACCAGTCGCGCAACGCTAATGCGGCTCTCACTCATTTCTCACCCTGGCGGCACCAACCGAACTACTGGCCATAGATAAGCCACATGTCGGTTAGTTAGTAGTATGTTGGGTGACCACATGCGAATCCTGAATGTTTTGTTAACAAAATAATTCGATACACATGAGCTGCCAACTTCGGGTCTCCGAATTAGGGTGGAAATCTAAGGAGTGCCCCAATAAGATTTCCATCACTACTTGAGACATGATCCGGGCCACAGCCACCTAGGGTAGTGGAAAGCAGCTAGTAGACATTGCTTACGCTTTATGTTGAAATTACCAGTCTAGTTCCTGCGATATCCTGGGTAAGCTTTCGGTCTTTCTTGCTCATATCGTTGCTCACAGAGTTCTCAACAGCCTCAGTATACGGTCAAACTTGTTAAAGGGAATTTATTTAATATACACATGTCATTCATGATGCCATTCAACTAACCCCGCACTTTTCGTGGCTCAGATGTCTTGTGAGCTTGATTATCTTGCTGTTAATCTGGAAGGTGCTCGTAGTCATTCCACCATATGGCTGGCCTGGGTAGCCCTCATTCCACTCGCCACAACAACTTTCTTCTAATTTCACACCAATGACAATCACTCGAGTGCTAAACAAAGTGAGATGATTGAAATAACAAGGCTCACCAAGGCACACAAGCTGGGGGTCCCATTAGAGATAGCTGCGTTGTTTGATTCTTCTGCAGTATGAGTGGCAGTGGCCGTCGGCGTATACGAATACAGCGCTGTTATTGTTACAGAGCTATACACGCCTGGGGTTTCTGTTGAGGTAGGTGCTGTCTCTTGAACAGAAGCCCCACTAGTGAGACTCCAACTTGAGTTGTCAGAAGAACTTGGAGCATCGATTTCCACGATATTAGTTTTGTCACTGCCGAAAACAGTTGGAGCGATGGCGATTTCCTTGCGGTCGATGTTGTACACAACATATGCCGAACGAAGGAAAGTGTCACCCAAGATAGTTGGTTCAAAATCCACGTTAGGTTGGAACCCAAACCAGCATGCGTCGTGACCGTTGCTAAGGGTCATGGAATTTCCATCCACATCCATCATGGGAGGGCAGAACTCCGAGAAGGGTACTGGAATCACTGGTCCGTCAGAACCACCGAATCCTACGTTGAGGGTGCCTTTATATTCCTGCACGATCGCACAATCGACATAAGAATTTCCATCATAGTCGGAATAGACGTTGGCAATGGAGGCAAGTCTGTTAAACAAGTCCACGGGGATATAAGAGAGTGTCGTGCCCGAGTCGAGGAGTGCACCCTCCGTGAAGTTATCTCCAGTCAGGCTGATAGTCCCTTGAGTGGGATCTGTAATTGATAGCGATGTCCATGGAATAGTCATGGTAGTGATTGTGCCCGATTCTTCCTCGGGTTGGATGGCGATTGGGGTCAGATTTCCCTTGAATTTCTCAGTGTCGTAACCACCAAACAAGATATTTCCTTCTCCAGAATCTTCAATAGAGTATTTGAGTCAGCTTGTGCAAGACTTCCACGCGTAGTGAGTTCTTAGACTTACCAAGATCGTTCAGCCAGAGGCTGTATGCGCGGGAGTTGATGAGACCTTGGTCGGCCATGGAGTCAATGATATTTCGATAGGGCTTGCTTCCAAAATCTGTCATGGCCTCGTTCGTGTCAAAACCAATACCCATGATACCCATAGTACCGACTTCGTACTGCTCAGTCGCAACGGCAAACTCCATTTTTTTGACTGTGAGCGAACCGACCCGGAAGACATCTGAGACATAGTCCCCGGAAACCTCGGACCCATCCCCATACTTTATAATGAACCCATCCTCTTCTATCAAGCTCGAGGTGCTTGATCTGGACCTTTCGTCTTAACGAGCTAGATGTTAGCAACAAGATTATAGACCGGACGATGTAGGCATTCCAAGTACTCACAATAATCACAATCATCATCGTCACACACGTCCGGTCCAAAAACCCAGGCGTCGCTGCTTCCAGTGTCAACTGCGAGTTTGACTTGTTGCGGAGGGGTTCCAACAGTAGCATTCAACCAGAAGGAGCTAGAGGCGTAATTTAGGGGTACAGCTGCAGAATCACGTTTCCCAATTGAGCGCTCTTTATTTCTGTACAGCGGTAGTGAAACGACCTTTGACTGCTCTGACGCTCCTGACACAAGTGAAATAAAGGTCCAAATGACAAATAGCGTGGTTGAAGCCTTCCATCCAGGCATCTTGGGGTAAGAATGAGATGGTGCCATGATCGAGAGTATCCTCACTCATGGATTTGAGTTTCACAGCAGCACATTTTAATGCGGCATGTGGACCCTTTTATCTCAAATTAAGGGGTCTTGCGGCTACTAATTTTATTTAATCGAGTATTGCTCCATGAACGCGCCAAGAAAGACGGTTGATCTTGGCAGGGTGCTATGTTTGGACCGCTTCTCGCTTGATTGGTTTAGCCGCAGTATTTGGGTCCACCATGGGATGCACGAGAGGGAATTTTTCTTAGTTCCGCAGCCTTGTACCGTAGCCTCGTACTGTACACAGCCCACGAGGGACTGTTCATTTGGAACACGAGCCGTAATCCACAGACTAAATTCAGGCTTGAGATACTTGAGGCTACATACAACTGCCGATCGCTCGGACTCGTAGCCGAACGCCGTATAGGACACTAAAATAATTAAAAAATCTATTTTTAATAGTAACGAAGACCCTGAATTCGTTCTAGACAAGCAGCCCAATCACCGTCAGCAAAGACACGAGCCCCATCGCCCGAAAATTTGTTTTATCCCGCACGGTCCACAATTGTGAATCCTTTAAGGCTGGGAAGTTCCCGCTACAGTGAGGTAGCATTGAGGCACAGGCAGCAGGCTAAATTTGGTAAAGAAGAGTCATGTTAAAAAGAGCCCCCTTTTGCCGGATCTTAAACGACAATTATGGAAATTATGCAATCGATATGCAATCTTTACTATTGGTCGTAAGTCACTTTATCATTAGCGATATGGCTAATTTAATCAGTTCTATTTCATTGTTGCTTGGGCTTAATCCGGTTTGACCCGGGGCCATCTCGCCAGTCTCGGGGTTATGAATATATTAGGAGTCGAGCACTTCTACTCTAGTCCTAGTTTAGTCTAGCCCAAAAGGCCTTAGGGGCTGACCACAATTCTGGTGTTGCAATGCCTTTGATGAAGATATCAGTAGTTTTGGTTAATTAATATGACTTCCCAAAGGTAATAGAGATTCCAAAGTTCCTTGCTTCCGAAGATGCGGTGGATGTGATGGTTACTGAAGAGGCTCCAGAGGCATCCGAAATTGTCCACACTAAAACCAAGTTAGCGGCTTCAAATTGCACTGTAGACTCACCGCCCATGGGGCCCCGCAACGAGATTGACGTTGGGTTGAGTGTGGGTGAGAAAAGTGAGAATTTCCACCCTGAAGGGTGATAAGGGCCACTTTACTCCAGTACGTATTTCAAAGCCTACGCTCATAGCCAAAATCTATCGGCAAGCCCCGGCCAGGTGGCCGATCACGCTGGCCCACAAGATTCCCACCCGGTTCTCATCCTATCTATTACGCACTCGCCCTGACCACCCCAGCCTCGTGATGCTAAAGCGGCTCTCACGCATTCCTTGTCCTGGCGGCACCCACCGGACTACTGGCCGCATTGAGGCCACACATAGGTTCATCCCTCATGAACATGTACTATATAGTTTACTTCAACGTGAATTCAAGCACATACGACCATAGGGTGTGGAGAACAGGGCTTCCCGTCCGCTCAGCCGTACTTAAGCCACATGAATTCGTATGGCCAATACGTTCTATAGCCCTGCTACACTAGAGCGGCGACGGATATTGCGTTAGGTGAGTGTGGGTGATATGGGTGAGAACTTTATAGACTGGGTGATAGAGGTGAGAATGAGGTGAGAATGGGGTGACAATTATCACCCAAGGGGTGATCGGCCCCGCTAGGGTACGAACCTTCCCCTAATGAATTTTAAAGAAACATATAAACCAACGGCCTAGGGCCCTTTGATCGGTCTGCCAGAATTTTTTATCACTCAAAATATGGCACCAAAGAAGACTTTCCAGGAAGCGTTCGAGGAGTCGATTACACGTGCTAGGTCACGTGGATTCACACGCGAGTATCAGGAAAAGAAGGAGTCCGAAGCTAACGTTATCGCCTACCGAGAACTTGCCCCCGCTACATCTCATAGGTACGAAGTTGTGAAAGAGATTTGGACTATGTGAGTTTGCGTTCTATATTCAGTTTAAAATTCTCGACGTCTAATAAGAATAGATGGAGACTTTCACGTGGTGAACCAATAGACGACTTTTCTGACTTGAAAGATGCATCTGATCCAACACCCCAGCAACTGAAAAATTTCGCGGAGCACTATATCACAACACGGGAAAATATACCTTCTCAGCAGGCAACTTTTCAGAGCGTTTATATCATATCTTCAAGCTGGAAGCGCGCTACATCACGAAAGCTTGACCCAACGGTTATACAGGACGTTATTAACGTAAGGAACTATACTATTACTAGAGTTTCTACTAGTCTTTCTCTTTCCTCTTCCAATCTCCTTATTGGTTTTGATTATAATCCGTTCTCCTTTCAGACCTTTGTTGGAATATAGCTACTCCACTGATCTTTGTTATAAGACGCTAACAACTACCTTTTAGCATATCCGCAACGAGCTTACGCCTAAATATGGCCTCCCAACAAAGCCCAGAGAGCGATTCTTGGTGAACGCACAAGATATCGATTATCTTCTTCGTCACCTATTTGAAAACGATTACCATGACTTCAAGCATGAAAGAGCACGTGTACAAACTGGTAGCTCACTTTCACTCTTTGCGGGCTCTGGGTCTCGGGCAGGTGCTGTTGTGGAATCAAGCTCCTATACTAACTCTAATGAATGTCTATACTATCAGGTTTGTGGGTAATCTGATCATCTTATACGAGTTAACTGATAGGATCTATATAGCATCTGTCGTTTCACATCAAATGGAACGAGAAAGGGGCTGGTCTAAAGCGCTGGGTCACAATAGACCCTGAGTTTTTAAAGGGTACCAGAAATAGCGATGAGAGGCCGTCGTGAGTTAAGCTATTCAACGACCGTATACTATGTTCTATACCAATCTAACGAGATTAATTCGCTCTAGGCCACTTAACTGGTTCCGAGAGCATCCAGTCCTTGGGAAGAGCTTTGTGTTTTGGGTTATTGTTCATGGAATAGCTGATGGTGCCTTCAAAGGCCTTGACACGATTGAGAAGCTCCTTGACACGAAGCCCCCCAGTGGACGAGAGTCATTGACGCTTGAGTGGACTAAAGAGGCAGAAAAACTCCCGTTCTTCCGTGCAGTTAATCCTGAAGGGCCTTCACCATCCGAGGCACTATCATTCTCCTCGCTTCACCATAACAATACCTGCTTAGCCAAGCGTACCGGATTTAGAGATCCGTTACGGGTCCATGGAATCAGGGGTGGTGTTGCAAATAAGATTGACCGTAGGGCCCTTTCTTATATCCATTACTTATTTTCAACACTGACTCAATATAGCAAAGGCATCAGAGGCCACCCGCGGCCAGGCACTCGACCACCAGAACCATAATACGTATCTAAAATACCAGTCCAGCCTGAAAGCTTTGGATATACAAGCTATATTCTATGATCTAGAACCTGACTACGAATGTCGTTCTATGGAGCAAAGCATGTCACACCATCGTGACACAAATGTCCCACAAAAGCTCAACGCAGAAGCTACCATGAAGTTTCACAGACGTGAAGATATCATCGAGATTAACCGGAAGATCTCGTCCTTGACATTTCAGATTAATGGCAGGCCTAATGATCACATAGACTTGACATCTGAACGGTCTAAGCTATACAACGTGAAGGCCAAGCTATTACTTGCCTATAAGACTGAGTTCATCAAGCAATGGTGGAAGGAATCTTATTCGGAATATCTCGCTGGGAACAAGTTTTCGGAACGTGACAACACGCCTCTATACAATATTTACAAAAAGTACCTACCAGAACGCGCCCGTCTTGCAGAAAATCTATTGAAAGAAGTAACTTTGGATAGCCCCATTGGTCAGCAGTGTCTGAGCGATATGGTCGCTCTTTGCAAGTCAACAGAACGTGTTGCTTACTACCCTGGATTGTCACCAGAGAAGGGCTCTTGTCCAATTTGCGCTAGGCTTATGTCAAGGTACGAAGATAAGCGGCCATCCCACATAAGATGTTCTAACAACTCAGTATTGAATTACAATCACGGGCGAAGCACATCTTACAATGTCGTCGGAAGTCGTTAAATGGCCCACCATATCAGCAAAGATACAAAAACGAAAAGCGAGCCCATCGACGCGTTAAGCGTAAATTCCTTCAATTCTGTTATCTGTGCACTGAGTTCATTGATAGCGAGGAAGCCTGGCTAGCGCATTGCCGAAATCACCTTGATAACCTCCAGCCTCGGTGTGGTATGCTGACGTTTCGGCATACACTTGTCGCTCCGGGATTTTGTCCATTTTGTTTAGGCAATCAGAGCAAAAAGCCGGACCAGCGGTTTGATCAATGGATGAAGAAATCAACTCTTCTAAACCATATTGACACGCATTTGGACCATATAAACCCTTCAATCGTCGTCGGCTGCCCACACCCCTGTTGCAAAACCAAAGAGTATGCAAATACTTCTCACTTACGCCGCCATTTCCATGATTTCCATTCTATTGAGGAGCCACGCTCAAACTGTGTCACCCGGAAGCGAAAGTGGAAATCTGAGCCAGAGCATATATTGACCAATGAAGACACAAATTCTGTGCATCGACGACGTTTGAATGTGCACCCCTACCTTGTTGAAGAAGGCTCTCCTACAATCAACTCCCCACTGAACTCTGATGACTGTGAATTTAGCGCCATGGACAAAATAATGGAGGAATATGTGCGTTCTGACGTTTTCGAGTGATCAAACCAAAATTTGTCTTCCGGTTGCTTGTCTATACCGTTGCGTGCTTGAGAGAGATTCCCTAGGTCTATTATGAAGAGGTCTTTAAAGTATAAGATTACCTTGTCGTTCTGCTGCTCATGGGTATTCACCTTTGTAAAGCCATTCTCCTCTATCTGGCTCATGTAGATACACATCAGGAACATTCAGCCCTAGGGGAAATACCACAGCAATTTCATAATATATGTGCCTTGGTAATTGGAAGGAAGTACCAATGAAAATATCTATTTCCTAAAAGTATCTGAATTGACCGGTAATTACCTAGTGAGCTCCATAAACATTATAAACAAAATCTAATCTTCAAGAAGTAGTTCGTTGATAGAAGAGATAACCGTCGACTGCCTCTTATGGGCTTGAAAGTCGCTAGTCATGGTGAACTCCAAAGCTCTATTGCATATATAAAGACAGCGTTCGACGGATCTCCTGGAGCGTGTAACCATTTGTCGTGTGTTAGACGTCCCCTGAATTAGATCTATAGATATGGGATCTCCATTTGATCTGTTAGGTCTTACTTAGCATGCTCAATCATGATTTGATATTGCTTAAGCACGACGCTAGCAACAGAGACTTGTTGACTTCATAAGACCATTAGATCATGATATTCACTTGATTGAAAAACAAAATACGCACAGTCTTGCTTTCCCTAAAAACACTCTGAATGTCATATTATAGGAAGATAGCATGTGTTTCCAGTGATCGATTGCATTGTCTCTTGGCTGCACGACACCTTGGGCAATTTTCTGGGTAATGGATGCACATTGGATACCACATTGTTGAAGTGGTAGCTCGAGTGCTAAAATTTCATAACCATAATCGTGTGCTACGCGCTCAAGGGCAACCAGGGTCTGTATTAGAAATCTTGCTTGGTCTTGGAGCTCCCGGACGGCAGCTGGGACACGGTTTATGCTCTTAAGGGCTTCATAAAGAGCATTGCCAGTGCCACGTAAAGAAACTGTCTGTAGAATGACTATCGAGGTCAAAACCGAAGGGATGTAAGGTTTGACTACGTCGTAGACTTGGTGACCACTCGAAATTGCTGCAATTAGAGTCTCCGAGTCCGGAAGGTTCTGTAGGACGAGTATAATGATCTCAGGAGGAAGTTTGTTGATAGACATGATATTCGGAAGGATTGAATGCTTTCTTTGATAATCCAACGTAAAATATGTGTAGAATAGAGAGGACAGACAGTAGGAATTTTTTTAGGCGTGACGCGTGATTACCAAAAATGAGGGGTCAGTGGTAGAGTAACTATAATAGGCATAGCGTGTTTTGAAAGAGGTTTCGAGAAAGAATCTCAGTGTGTACAGGGCCGCTCGAAATCAGCTTCACTTGTTTACTCTCTTTAAAACTTTTCGAAACCTTATCTTGCATTGCACTATACCGGTTTGGGCTAGACTACCCCTGACCCACTATGCGGCGATATTCTCATACAAGTGTAGATAAACGAGTAAAAATAGATTCCGTAACGTGCTGTACGGACGATTTTGTTTTCTAGAACCAACTCATCGCAAACAAGTCAAACAATGCAGTCCGTTGTCTGGCCACCTCTCTAGCTTGCATTCCAACATTCATCCAAACCCCCACGGCAGATCCAAGCGGATAGCGAACGAAAATTGAAAAAGAAAGGAACTGGTGGGGTCTTCATTACAATGCGTTTATCATCGACTCTACATCAACTTGGAACCCTTATTCATTGAACCTACCGCCTGTTGAACCTGGAAGCCAAACCGTGCTAACGTTGAATTGAACAGGAACCGTTCACCATGATCAATGGCTCATTCTGTGACCGTGATAACGCTCAACCCTATGCCCCCGATCTCTCGGACCAGGAATCGCAATACGCCCCCACTCCAGATACTATAACGAGACACTACACTCGCAATTTGAGTTCAGCCCTTCCCCGGATCGCTACCCCTAGGGCACTCCCGTAGCCTCAATATGCGCCCCGCAAGAAGCACCAAGTCTTCTTCAAGTCGGTGAGTGGTAAGCAAGTAGACCGGATGATGAGTTTCCACCGATCTTTATTCGGTATACAATCAAGTGGAAAGCGAAGGTGAACAACCGGTTCAGGTGGGAGGACACGATAAAGAATGTGACCCTGACACCAAGTGCCTATTGGCCTTCGCTCCTGAGGCTTAAGTTGGAGAACGTGCTTCAAGAGCGGATCCCACGTAGCCGAAGGGTGAGATCGGATGGCACGCTTGTAGTTATGTCGGTCAACGATCGCAAACACAAGAACGAAAAATTCTGGTTTCAATCCCTTGATGTTGATTGAACTGTAGTGGAGGAGCAACTAATTACTTGGGGTAAACTTCACACTCGAGGCAAGGAATTGAGGGTAATTATTACCTTCAACTATACAGAGGACGATAACCTTTCTAGGAGTGCAGCAGGTAGGGGTGAAAAACGAGGGAGGTCATCTGTGACGAAGAGAATGCTTGGCGAGCGTGATGCATAACTTGATGCTAAAGAGCATGTATCTGGATAGCAGTCCATCTGGCGGGCTGTCTATAGCTTAATGCGTTGTCCTTCACCATCCTGCCATCTTGGGCCGTATTGCTGGTAGGATCCTTATGGAAAGAAACACTACTAATTGAGAACGCATCATTTAAAACGCCTGATTGCGTATGTCGATGCTAGGGGTGTTTTAGAGTGCTAAGATGATGTTCCCGATGCTATTCGGGAAGAATTATATATGGAAGAGCAGTAGAAGGTGGAGCATTCACAGTCCAAGAACAACAAATCGTTTACCCCGGGAAACTGCCCACCTATCAACATCAATTTCATGGGAGGACAATCTGCTATACAACCAGCAGCAGTTGATTGTATCCCACAATCCGAAATGTCTTCCCACCAGAAACAGCATAGATTTATTCTTCTCACAATTAATGGCCCACGGGATGTGGCTGTGAAGGAATACAGCGCCTGGCAAGAAACAAATGTTATCGACGAAATTTGAGGGCTCAATTCCAGCTAGCTTGTGATGTCACGCTCGCCAACGGTCTGGACCTTGAGCAGATTCACGAGGATCAAAATCCGGGATTTTTTGTTCAAGAAGGGATTGCGGTAGGTATTGCACGCCGCTTTGTCGATGATATCATTAAGTGGGTGGGGGAGATAAGAAATCAATAGGAAGACCCCCCGTCGGAATAAGTGGCAGCTTTGCATAGATTTAGATTCGTAATCCAGTTCCATCACTTTTAGGTGGCTTAATATATATAATTCACACGCTCTTATAAGCACAGAATGCCTCACACAATGCTCATCTATTATCCCAAAAACGAAGTATTATGTCCAACTAGATCAATACTATGCTCTGGATACTATGGCTCTAGGCTAGTCTTCGACGACTACGCCAGCATGCCGGAAATGGCCGATTGCACTTTATTCCCGAAATCCTACAGCCCCGACACATCCCACAAGGAAATTATCGAACCCTTGGTCCGGGCTCTGTTCATACTTTCGCCAGTGACGCCTGATGAACGCCTTCAGCTCCGAGAAAAACTCCTCGATGGGATTTTAATCAGGCGAGTAAGGTATCAAATACATCAGCTTTACTCCAGCATCGGCACACATCTTTTTCATCTGGTCAGAATGGTGGAAGGATGCATTGTCCATGATGATCACGGATTTCGGTTCCGGCCACCTTCTATAGTGCTGAAGGAGCTGCTCGGTGAAATCTTCGAACACGGCCGAATCAGTTGAGCCTTGAAATACACGAGAAAGCACAACGCCGTCTTGTGCGTACGTAGGCAAGATCTGGTATCGCTGGTCACGATGGAATTTAGAGATCTGTAATGGCGTCTGGCCTAGCGGACACCACCCAGTGCGTCTGCAACCAATTCTTTTATCACAACCCGACTCATCCACATAGACTAGATGGTATGACTTGAAGTCCGATATATTGTGGAGATAGAAATCGCGCAAATCAGCATTCTGTTCCTTTGCTCTCTGTCGAGCCACCTTCTTCGAGCAGCCGACCGAAGCAAGAGCCCGCTTGAGACTCGAGCTTGTCACCCAAGTATGAAACTCATCCCATAGAAAGAGAATCATTTCATCCACACATAATCCGGGCTTCTCGAGAAGATGGTCACAGAGAGTCTGTATCATTGGCGGTGTGATGCTTCGTCGCCGACCGACGCGAGTTGATGGAGCTCCGACATTCCCGAACAAGCGAAGATTCTTGCGAATACTGATTATCGAACGCTAGCTACACTCCGCAGCCGCGGCCATTTGTGATGTATTCAAGTATCCGTTATATATCATGTCACGAATCATCTCCAGTTTGGAAGGAGGGAGTCGAGGCGCCATTTGCGTGGGATCGCTGGGGGTTGACCATTGTGTCGTTGACACAACGGTGGAGAACGGTTTTCTCCAAGCTCACCCTGCTCACCCATCTGATCAGGGAGCGGACGAAATCATTTTTGATTGAACACCGGGGGGAGCTGGGGTATTGGGAAATGCACGTGACTAAGGGGCACTGCGGCTCCTGGGAAGCTATTTTGTCTTGGCGATCCGAAAGCTGCGGGTGTTGATCAGTGCTAACAGGAAGCAGACCGGTACGTTCACCTCATAAATAGACATTGCACTTGAAGCATCATTCTAATTGTCGAGGAACTGGACATTCTAGCGGAAACTGATTAGGTTGGTAGAAAAAGAAGTGAGCTTCAAACACAAAGCTTGATCGCGCAACGTCGGTGGTAATCATTAAGGAGGTTTGGGTGAGCCTGGAAGAAGCATAATGTGGTCACGTGTTACATATGTAGACATAGATTTGTGGTTGTCTAAACATAGATCAAAGGCTAGAAACGGGATTTTGTTTTGAGAGCATGAGGAAAATAACATGACCTGATGAGCAGCTGATCGCTAATCTGGTTGCATATCTGGCGAAATTGGCGTGAGATTTTGGGCGATATTCTAAAGGCAACCACAACAGCTTGAGTCCATTATAGGTTATCCAGGAACGTTCCTGGCTTAATCCGTACCCATACTGCTTGAGCGGCGAGATGAAGTCGTTAGACACAGGCGTCACCGGACCTTTTGAACCTATGTCATATGTGCCGTTATTTGTGTGCAGAAGATTGATATCATCGTTGTCGAATTGAAGGGATCTGCTGAAGCCAATAGGAAGATTTGACACGCTCTGGCCGGTAGCCGGATCCCAGATCCTGACTGTCTCATCATTAGACGCTGATGCGAGTCGGCTTCCATCTGGCGACCAGGTAATCGAGTTGACGTAATCACTATGCCCCTCAAGGGTTGATATACTCTGACTAGTAGCTGGATCCCAGATCCTGACTGTCTTACCATAAGACGCTGATGCGAGTCGGCTTCCATCTGGCGACCAGGCAATCGAGTTGACCCTATCACTATGCCCCTCAAGGGTTGATATACTCTGGCCGGTAGCCGGATCCCAGATCCTGACTGTCTCATCATCAGACGCTGATGCGAGTCGGCTTCCATCTGGCGACCAGGTAATCGAGTTGACGTAGCCACTATGCCCCTCAAGGGTTGATATGCTCTGGCCGATAGCTGGATCCCAGATCCTGACTGTCTTATCATAAGACGTTGATGCGAGTCGGCTTCCATCTGGCGACCAGGCAATCGACCTGACGTAACCACTATGCCCCTCAAGGGTTGATATGCTCTGGCCGGTAGCCGGATCCCACATCCTGACTGTCTCATCATCAGACGCTGATGCGAGTCGGCTTCCATCTGGCGACCAGGCAATCGACTCGACCGCATCACTATGCCCCTCAAGGGTTGATACACTCTGGCTAGTAGCCGGATCCCAGATCCTGACTGTCTTATCACTCGACGCTGATGCGAGTCGGCTTCCATCTGGCGACCAGGCAATCGACCTGACGTAACCACTATGCCCCTCAAGGGTTGATATGCTCTGGCCGGTAGCCGGATCCCAGATCCTGACTGTCTTATCATTAGACGCTGATGCGAGTCGGCTTCCATCTAGCGACCAGGCAATCGAGTTGACCCATTCACTATGCCCCTCAAGGGTTGATATGCTCTGGCCGGTAGCCGGATCCCAGATCCTGACTGTCTCATCAAAAGACGCTGATGCGAGTCGGCTTCCATCTGGCGACCAGGCAATCGACCTGACGTATCTACCATGCCCCTCAAGGGTTGATATGCTCTGGCCGGTAGCCGGATCCCAGATCCTAACTGTCTTATCACGCGACGCTGATGCGAGTCGGCTTCCATCTGGCGACCAGGCAATCGACCTGACGTAACCACTATGCCCCTCAAGGGTTGATATGCTCTGGCCGGCAGCCGGATCCCAGATCCTGACTGTCTCATCAAAAGACGCTGATGCGAGTCGGCTTCCATCTGGCGACCAGGCAATCGACCTGACGTAACCACTATGCCCCTCAAGGGTTGATATGCTCTGGCCGGTAGCCGGATCCCAGATCCTGACTGTCTCATCAAAAGACGCTGATGCGAGTCGGCTTCCATCTGGCGACCAGGCAATCGACCTGACCCAACCACTATGCCCCTCAAGGGTTGATATGCTCTGGCCGGTAGCCGGATCCCAGATCCTGACTGTCTCATCAAAAGACGCTGATGCGAGTCGGCTTCCATCTGGCGACCAGGCAATCGACCTGACCCAACCACTATGCCCCTCAAGGGTTGATATGCTCTGGCCGGTAGCCGGATCCCACATCCTGACTGTCTCATCATCAGACGCTGATGCGAGTCGGCTTCCATCTGGCGACCAGGCAATCGACCTGACGTAACCACTATGCCCCTCAAGGGTTGATATGCTCTGGCCGGTAGCCGGATCCCAGATCCTGACTGTCTTATCATTAGACGCTGATGCGAGTCGGCTTCCATCTGGCGACCAGGCAATCGACTTGACCCAATTACTATGCCCCTCAAGAGTTTGAAGACAGGGACTCCAGTTTTCCTCTACCACAGGATAATTTAAGACCCAGTCTGGTCTCCCATCCTGAAAAGATATTCTTGCGAGACTCTTTAGTGGGCTAAAGATAAGAGGTGAGCAATATACTTGCAGTGGGCTGCTTTCAATTGCTGTTCTATGATATCGAATAAACCTAGAGGCGTCTCGAGCTCGATTCAGTAGCATTCCTGAATCTTTTCTTCTCTGTTTAAGTGCGCCCCTTGTCAGAAGAGAAGATCATCTCTATTCAATTTTAACCACTCACCTCAATCAAAATCTCGAGCTTTTGCATCACTTGGATGCCATCCGAAACACTTCCCAAAATACTAAGGGCTTCGAGCCAGTGGAGGAATTTCTGCTGCAGAAACGTATCCACGCGACCTCTGTCATAAACTTCCAGCTCATAAGCTCCATTAACCAGGCTAGCTTCAAGATGGTCCATCCAGTAGACACATGAGTATTCCACCGCTGCTAGTGGATTTGGGCTAGGTTTGCAGATACCCTTTGTGTGGAGTCCAGGTAATTTGATATTCCAGATATCACGTTGAAGTGTCTTGAAAATAACATCGAGAGACCGTATAAATATCACGTCGTGTTCAGCCTCTATACCTCTAGGAAGTATCTCACTGAGTGCTTCCTTGAGTAAGAATTCCTTTGCAGACTGATGAACAAACACAATAGTTTGTTCTCGAACCGTTAAAAACGACCCACAGATTGCAATAATCTCTTTAAGGGGAACAAGATCATCGTAGTCATCGTCCGGTAGTTCAATCAGAGAAGTTAGTTCGTGTAGCGTAATAGGCCGCAAGACAGTTGACATGATTGCCAGTATCTCCTTGCAGAGCTCGGCATCTTCAGATTCGCGAACCTGGCCAATCATTCGACCATATAGAGCCTCTAACCCAGGAGGGAATGATTTTAGCTTCTTGAGTACATTTATTCGTATCTTTTCAAGATTCTGACACACCAAGGCTACCCAGAGGAAGGTACCTTGCGAGTTTGATAATAGGTAGGAATGAACGCCATTGCGAGTTTTATCGCTATACCTTTTCGCTTTTGCTAAGTCGTGGACTTTATGCTTGATAAATTGATTCACTGCTTCAGACACAGACGCCTCGTTCAGCTCTAATGAGATCGGAGCTAGCTGGGCAGCAATGTCAAGTCGATCAGTGATTTCAGGCCAGTTGCGGCTAGAAACAACCCACTTTATCTGTGGATTAAATGATGATTCCTGGACAATTAAGTCTAGAAGGAAACGGAGCCCATTGGTGCACTCATCTAAAGCATCAATTACCAAATAAGTCATCTGCAGTGTCGGGTCGTTTAGAATGTCCCTGAAGATTGTTGATAGTGCATTCCATGCATTGGCATCCTCAAAGAGGGTCTTTCCTGCATAGTCGTACCGAGCTCGCACATAGTGGAGAAGAGATGGATGATTCTTGACAAGTAAATATATCAACCCCCTCAGGACAGACGTAGCGCTGTTGATCCGCATGTCGGTAGCCTGACAGAAAAAGAACGAGATGCTCGCATTATCCCCATACAATCTCGTCAACTCTTCGATGACACCACATAGGAGCATCGTCTTGCCTTTACCAGGATCACCCCTGATCCAGAGAAGGCGATTTCTCTCGCTATCTTGCCATTGTTTGAAATCTTTATTCTCTAGAATCCAGCGATATGAGTCTTCGAGTAGTCCGCCCTTGGTATTCTCGATACGTTCTTTATCATCGACAGGGTTGGTGGCATGCAAATCACGAAGGCATTCTTGATTTAGCGTTTCGGATTGTACTGAAGCCGATCACTATTACTAGCCGTAGGTTACAGTCACATCTATTTTCCACTTACCAATAGTGACATTCCCGATATTCCCGTGTATTACTCCTGCCTGGAATCCAGAGTTGTTTTCGCCTTGGGAAATGCTAGTCGACATGGCTGTTGCGTAAGAACTTGGAAGAGGCTCAAATCTACGCTTGGATCTCCCAATCCCCAGTCTACCCCGCTATCAGGTGATCTGATTCGAGACAGAAGAAATCGACCGCCTTGACCATATTCCCTTGTAATCACCTTTGATAGATGATGTGTCTGTCCATTTACATTATTCAGGAGGTCAATACGTGAACGTAGCGCCATCTTCCTCGAAGTTGCCGCGGAAGACCAAAGCTCTAATCAAAGTGACGAACCTTGTGGTTAAACGTAGCGTAACGATTGTATCTGTGTTTCAGGAAAGTTACAACCCCGCAGTGGTGTAATTCACCCTTACAAAGGATTTCGCGACCCCATAATAGACTAAACCAAATGGGGACTAGCGTGTTTCAGAATAAATTCCAGAAAAGAAAAGAAAAGAAAACAAAGGTGAAGCTGATTTCGAGCGGCCCTGTAAGTGGTGAAACTGATTTCGATTTATCTTATATGTATTTTGCACTTTTTGACTTTGGGAAAAACCTTCAATAGGACGAGCCAGCTTTAGATTCAATCATCATATGTCATGCTTTGCATCTAGTTTCAATATTGCGTTCTCCTATACTTCCTCCTCTCCCTGGAATTCCTCCCCGTGCTCTTCCTTTCTTTTTCGACTGCGCTTACCAGTTGGCCCTTGATGATATGCTTTCCTCTTTCCAGTATGAATATCGTATGTCTGAACATATTCCTTTATCTCTTCTACCGACACTCTTAGTTCTGACCCTTCGTTCCCTTTCCTTGAGAATGGATTATCTCTTCGGGTAGCTAGTAATAACCGCTTTTCTACTGCTTTCTCATAGGTCATATTGATGTCCGGCGTCCCAAATCCAAAGTCATCGATGATGGCGAAGACATAGTCCCTTGAAAGATCCGCCAACTTAGTTTGCAGGCCAAGTCCCCCTCCTAGCATGTACTTATAATAAGCTCGGAATTCAAACTCGAAAATGACAATGACCTCTTTCTGCGACTGAAACCATGTGGCGAGAATATCTTGAACCCGTCGGCGCCCTGCTATGAATGTTCTGGTTTCCATTGGGGCAATGCAACTTAAATCTTCAAATCCTGCTGCAAGTGGGGGCTCAAGCATCCCATCCCAATTGGATTCCCTATGAGATAGGTCTTGAGTATCTCCAGCATTGGGTGAAGGTGCATCGGGCGTCCCTGTTGGATGAGGCTCCATATCGACAGGGTCGCTTATATCATATGTTATTGTGGCCTCATCTGGACCTTGTGAATACTGACTTGATGCGGCATCGGGAGAAGTGTTACCTATATACGAGTCCTGCCCTGCGAGGAAATTTGAAGTAGATGGATCCGGTTCCATGGATGGTTCGTATTGGATAACAGGTGAAGTGCCAGCCATGATATTAGGGTCAATAATAGATTGGCAAATGTCGATTGGCTCGGTGGCAGCCTCTTCATTCTGCGCCATTGGCTCACTAGGAGTTCCTTGAGTTTGTTCCTTTGGGTCGTTAGGGGTCTGTTCATTCTGCGCCAATGGTTCACTAGGAGATTCTTGGATTCTTTCTGGGTTGTTAGGAGTCTCTTGAGTTTGCATGTTGCCAATCTCATTTCCAAAAAACGAAAACATAATATCTCTTGTGACGCCGATGGGAGTTGGAAATTGTGCGGCAGGTTGACCAGAACCGAAGATTTGGTGTAAGAATAGATACCGCCGTTGTTGTTCGTATTGATCTCTTGTTGGTTTGTTGAATCTATGCGTGGCCTCTTGATTGGGGTCATCAGTCGTATAATCAGTGGCGTGAACGGCTCCCTCTGGGTATCGCTGAAGGATACGTATGAGGCCGTTCAGCTGCTTTGATACTGATAGCAGTTTGGAATCCTCAACGTTATAGAATTCCTCTCTGCAGATAGACTGTACGAATTCCTTTTCAATCGTTCTTTTCGCATTTCCGTTTCGGAGATTTCTAATTTGATCTGACTGAAAGCCTAAACGTTCAGCTAAAAGAGCTAAATTTGCAAGACTATAGTCTTCAATGGACCCCATGGAGTAACGCCGGTCAACCTTTGATCGGGGCTGCCGATACGTGAAGTGCCTTAGGGCGAAGAGCCAAAGCTGCATCATGCACATTGGAAAGGAATTCTCAGTGTGTTGCATGGTTATGTACTCATGCTCGGACTTTTGAATCTCTAACGGGCTATTTGGGGCCATTTTCCATTGACGACGCATAACCTTTCGAAAGCTGATACCCTTAAATCGCGGAAATAAGGAACGAAGAGCCCAGGCAGGCTCGTCCAGAAATAAAGTATCTTGTGTTAGTGTCTTAAGAGACAGAATTCTACCAGGAGTAGAAAGAAGTCCTTCCAAAATGGCCTGTCTATCAACGGCCCTAGTGACATGGGTAAAGATTTGACCAGTTTCCATAAGCTCTGTGATAAGTCCTCGGTCACTCAGAGATGACTCAGGCATCATACCCTCTAGTGAACAGACTGAAGCGGCATCTAATAATGAAGCATATTGCCCCCGAAAGATCCGGGACCATCTTTCGTAGATTAAATTTATGTACCGAGAAAGAATCTGCTTCCATGTTAGATCATAGTTTATATAAAGTTAATAAAGAGACGCTTTACCTCAGGGAACTTCAAACTAAGTAGTCTTTCAATTTGGGTCGATTTCAAGGGCTTCCATAGCCCGACAAAGGGCAAAAGTCTGTCTAGACTAATGAGAAGAAGCTTGTTCAGTTGTAGGCGTTTAATATCTTCACGCCGACCTTTGGAGGCAAGCCTTCCCCACCACTTGCTTTCTTGGGCGCTATTCTGTGAAAGCTGGTATAAACGTAGAGTGCGGTATATTTCACCATCAGTAAACTCAAGGCTTTTTGTTGATTCTTCTCTAAGTTGAACAAGAACGTCCGAAGGCATAACTGCAAACTTTGTTAGGAACTTATTAGCCCAGAGCGATGTAGCTACTAACCATTCAAATATAAATCTACCAGCCAACATTTTACCCCGAATTCATCAGCGGCATTGATACGATGCCTTCCATAGATACAAGGTAGCTGAATATCACCTTCAAAGGAAAGAGGTGACTGATTCGTCGGGTCAAGTAGTGAGTGCGGTTGGAGGTTTGATTTCGAAAGTGCAGTATGCAAGATTTGTTGGTCAATTAGCGCGGCGATCTTGTGTTCCGGCTCAAGATTACCGCACCCTTCGATTTCGAAAATATCGATAAGTCTGTTAACGTTGCCCTGATCTAAAGGCCGAGTACCAAGCACAGGACTTGCGTCAAAATGTAAATTACGAAGCTCAATAGTGGCGCATCCCTGGTAGAATTGTAGTCTTTGGTTGGCAAGTTCATTTGTTCGTTGACTCAAAGGGTTTCCAAGGGAATCCATACTGCTTTTTGGTGAGCGTTATAGGCGAATTTGGGTATAGAGGAATGAAAGTGTGAGAGAATGGAGATGACAAGAGAGTCCGGCCTGAAACACTAGATAGATATGACAGCATTGAGCTGAAGCATTAAATTAAGAGCAATTTTGCAACACTGTTTAAATTCCTGGCTTTTGGAGGGCGCCCAGCTATCGAATCGGCCGTGGCAATAAATGGGGCTTTCCGAAAAAGTCACGGTGGAGCCCCGGTCCTGAAACAACCCACTTATCCTAATCTGGGCGATCGGGTATAAATGGCCAGTATGTCCCTAGCTTTCTTATATTCTAATTTGAACTTAGAAATATTTACTACAGTATGAGTACAAACTCAAAGCGCGCTACAGTATTGCCGAATTCTCTTTGGAGAGGAGAGAATACAACCGAATTTATCACAAGCCAAATAACTACCCCTAAAAAGGCCCTTAAGAAAAACCATGGCGCCCCTCTTGAAGTCCCAGTCATCGCAAAAGAAATCCAGCAAGATATATTACGTCCTAAAGTGGGCTCACTCGATATGTATCACAGATCACATAATATTGATCAGGCTGGCCCAGGAGTGATAGCATTGAAGGATAGCGATAATCTGCCCACTTGTCTCATCAAGGAATGCGAAGCCCGAAAGTTGAGGTATATTCGAAGCCTCCGACCTATTAGTCACACAAACCTGATATCCTTACTTGATTACTTCCAATCAGGAGAAAAGGTTTATTTGGTATACGAGTATGAGCACATGGCAATCAGTCTTGGGTGCATTGCAGGAATAGTGGAATTCAATGAAGCAGACATAGCAACACTATGTAAAGAGATACTCAAAGGGTTGAACTATATACACTCGGAGTTAAAGACTTCATATGGACAACTTCATTTTAGCAACATTGTTCTTACCTGGAAAGGGGAGGTCAAAATTGGTACGTTTTTTCCATCGGTTTGAAGTGTTACTGACAGAGTTAAGCAAATATCGGCGAATGTCTATTGGCCAAGGAGCCTTCAGCCACAGTACAGAAGGATATCAAAGATGTTGGAGAAATTATGGTGAAACTAAGTGATCGTACAACGTCACTCTCTAGCTCCACTGCGGAAGATATATCATCACTTTCGCGGCTGGCCCGTGCCTTTCTGCATAGGACAAAGACAGAGCCCATTAGCGGCTTAATGAAGGTATTTTTTGTCTATTATATCGCATTCGAGGCGATGGTCTGATATTCATAGGATGAATTTCTGCATCTTGCAAACCCAGGGGGAGCTTGGAGTTTAAAACGGCATTACTTTGAAACATTACCTATGGGAATTCGGATCGGGAGCCATACTAGCAAGAATTAAGGCCGAAATATGATTGTTACGATAATATGTCCCTTTTTTTGTGAACCATAATATTAGGGCCTTTTTAGATATCTATCAAACGAGCTCGTGAACAGCACGAAAGGATGCCTTAGGTGCTCTACGAGCCGGACTTTCCTTGAGCCAACACTTGCTCGATTCACGTGATTAGGCTGCTGCTCGAGATAATTCGATAGTTAGCCATTTAGGAAACAAGAATAGTAATGATACGAAGAATATATGAGGATACTCCCTTAGCATTTGTTTACCTCGTGCTCAATTCTTACTACAATATGTAGAGTAGTGCAAGGTCTAATTAGCCCATACATGAATATTCTTTTGCTAATAGTACTGTATTCTTAAGACAAGTATGTCAGATTATTACAGTCGATAGCGAATTCAGCTTCCTCCCTATAGACAGCTTTTAATTTCTCGGGCCCCACTGCCAAGGCACTAGTGTGGATATCTATTTCACGGGCATCAATAAAAAGGCGACTGCTTAAGGTATTGACCGGTACTCAAAACCGAAGTTACGGTTCCATATTTACAAAACTGCAGCAAACATTTGAATTGTGTTTTGATTTGGGTCCAATCGAGTCCTGGATTATGCACGTGCGGGTACCTTTCTATGGAAATGGCCTTTTGAGACCCATTGGTAGTTGCGGCGCTCAATTTACTAACTGCAGGCATAGTTTGGTAGCGAACCCTTGAAAGCGCTGTGCAAATCAACACTTTACTTTCTCATAGCACTGACAAATTATTGTCATCTGATTATATATATCGTCTCATTCTATTTGACTTTATTGGAATAAGACGCAAGTTTGCGAGGGGCCCTCAAAAACAGGTGCTGAGGTTTACCCTTAATCGCTAGAAAACCGTGGAATGTCAAAGACCCACACATGCAAACGACACAAACGTCAAGGAGTGAAAGTGACTTGGTTAGAGCGACCGCGCTTTGCTGGTACTGTATTCCAACTGCTCAAGAAACGGCGTGGAACGGGCCGACCACGGTCACTGTTCCACCACGTAATACCCCACATCACGTACGTCCACCTGGCCAATGGCATTTGATCTCTTGCCGCTCGCTGCTGCGCTTCTTCTCAAGCACGAAGCCTGGCCTTTGCGGCTGACAATGGTGTCTGTTCTGCTTCCCATGCCGTCTCGGTGTTCTTCTCATCGAAATTTGCAGATAATACATTAGTACCTACAGTTATCCTTTGCCACCTTCCCAACATTTCTCGTATACCTTTGATTTCTATCTCTACCAGACCACTTCTCCAGGATGGCCCAACCCCCACTCGAGACGTTCCAGATCGGTTGGATATGTGCCCTACCGATCGAGGCTGCCGCCGCCAAAGAAATGCTAGATGAAAGCTTTGGTATTCTCGACGTGCAAGATCCAAGCGACTCGAACACATATACCTTAGGTCGAATCGGCAAACACCACGTCGCGATCGCCTGCCTCCCAGCCGGCCAATACGGAATCACGTCGGCCACGACTGTCGCAAATAACATGGTTCGCACCTTTTCGAAATCTCTACGGGTCGGATTGATGGTTGGCGTTGGCGGTGGAATTCCGTCGGCGGGTCATGATATTCGGCTTGGGGATGTTGTGATTAGCTGCCCGGAAGGCACTTCTGGCGGAGTGCTTCAATACGATATGGGCAAAGTTAGTACGAGCGGAGAATTTCATCGAACTGGCTCTTTAAATAGCCCCCCTAGGGCACTATTAGCAGCAACCAACTTGATGAGGGCCACCGAGCTCACGGATGATCCTTGCTATCCTGAATTTCTCCTCAAGGCGATCAGTAGAACGGCACGTACTCGAAAGGCCTTTGACCGACCACAAGAAGACCGGCTTTTCAAATTCGAACACATTCATCCTACGACTGTGAGCACTTGTGATGGGTGCCTGGCAGAATGGGAAGAAACACGAAGTGAACGCGAGACCACTGATCCACAATCACACTATGGTATTATTGCATCTGGAAATGCTGTCATCAAGGATGGATATACACGCGAGCAGCTTAGGCTAGCCACTGGGGCCTTGTGCTTTGAGATGGAGGCAGCTGGCTTAATGATGGACTTCCCTTGTGTTGTTGTTCGCGGAATCTGTGATTACGCCGATACACATAAGAATAAGCAGTGGCAAGGATATGCGGCCTTGGCAGCGGCGTCATATACTAAGGAGCTGTTAGGGTATATACCCACAACTCAAGTGTCGCAAGAAAATTTGGTGGTAGATATGTGCTGTAAGTAGAATCTTTGAATGGTCTATATTAAATGATAAGAAGCTGACTTATATAATAAGCCGGACTCAAAGAAGAAATTCAAGGTACCAATAAGCGCTTAGACCGAGCATACGATCAACAAGAACAACACCATAATGAGCAGAAAACAAGATCTTTAACAGATCAGCAACAACGTTGTCATCAAGTTTTCAAGGTTGCAAACTACGAGGAGCAAAAGAATATCAATCCAAAAAGGGTAGAAGGAACCTGTCAATGGGCCCTACAGAGCGCTGAATATATCCGCTGGTGGGAGAGCAGCAGCAATGATCTTCTATGGGCGTCAGCCGACCCCGGCTGCGGCAAGTCTGTACTGGCCAGATCGATCATTGATGATGACTTACAAGATTCAAGCTTGGCAGTGACAACGTGTTTCTTTTTCTTCAAAGATAATGACGAACAGAACCATATTGATACCGCACTATGTTCAGTGCTACATCAACTCTTTAGCCAACGACCTCAGCTATTACCCTATGCGCTCCCGTCCTGGGAGAAAAACGGGGAGAAATTACGAAACGAGGTTGATGAGCTTTGGCGGATCTTCATAACGGCGGCATCGGCTGGTGTATCCTTTAAGACGATTTGCATATTCGATGCGCTGGATGAATGTCGCGAATCGGATCAGGCCCGATTGATTGAGAAGCTCCAGTCCTTTCATCATCAAACAACTTTATCAACACAGGATGCCTCCTGTTTGAAATTCCTGATCACTAGTCGTCCCTATGATCATATACAGAATCATTTTCGAGCAATCACTGATTCTTTTCCGCATATACACATCAAAGGCGAGGAGGAGAATGACCGAATTCATGAGGAGATTGATCTAGTGGTAAAAGTCCGAGTGAAAGAGTTAGCCGACGACGTGCAACTACCACTAGAGGCCTACCAGCGAGTCGAACAGCAGCTGCTTCAAATGGAACACAGGACATATCTCTGGCTATATCTAGCCATTGATGATATCCGCACCACCTTTCAGCATAGCCTTCGACCAGCGAAGAATTCCATCACACTGATACCTCCTTCTGTGACTGCAGCATACGAAAAGATTCTATGTCGAGTGCCAGTAGATGAAACTCATACAGTCAAAAAGATCTTAGAGATTATCGTGGCTGCACGACGTCCTCTTACAATACGAGAGATGGCTATGGCGCTAGGTATTGCTACCTGCTCTGAAGCACGAACAATAATGGAGGCTGGGCTGGATCTAACTCATCTACTAAGAAAAGTTCGACAACTTTGCGGCTTGTTTGTGTTTACTAATAACTCTAAAATCTATCTCATCCACCAGACCGCCAGAGAGTTTTTGATTCGAAAACAAAATTCCGACAATCTCCGAGTCACGTACTGGAGCAGCCTAAGTGATGCAGAGAATCAGATGGCGGAGATCTGTCTGCGGTACCTTTTGATGGAGGATTTGGAAGACGAAGAAGGCCAACCAAGCTTAAACGTTCGAGACCTTTTGGAATACTCAGCAGTACATTGGGCCGATCACGTACGAAAAATGACTTTTATGTTGGACCAGAAAGCGCAGAATCGACTACATTCAATGTACGATATGCCCGGAAAACGGATTGCCCTGTGGTTTCCTATCTTTTGGAAAGCAGCAAATCCATACATGAACCTGCCATCAATGAATGCCCTCAATTTAGCATCATTTAACGGCCATGGGCAAGAGGTTGAGTTCCTACTGGCTGCTCAGAAATACCATATCAATTCTGCAGACGATACAGGAACAAATTCATTGATATGGGCCTCGCAGAATGGACACGATCAAGTCGTGCAGATGCTGTTAGAGCACGGGGCCGACGTCAACGCCCAGGGTGGCATCTACGGAAATGCGCTTTATGTAGTTTCTTCTGGAGGGCACGATCAAATCGTGCAGATGCTGTTAGAGCACAGAGCCGGCGTCAACGCCCAGGGTGGCCGCTACGGAAATGCTCTTTATGTAGCTTCTTGTGAAGGACACGATCATATCGTGCAGAGGCTGTTAGAACACGGAGCCGACGTCAACGCCCAGGGTGGAGAGGACGGAGATGCGCTTTATGCAGCTTCTTCTAGAGGACACGATCAAATCGTGCAGATGCTGTTAGAGCACGGAGCCGACGTCAACGCCGAGGGTAGCCGCTTCGGAAATGCGCTTCATGTAGCTTCTTGTGAAGGACACGATCAAATCGTGCAGATGCTATTAGAGCACGGAGCCGACGTCAACGCCCAGGGTAGCCTCTACAGAAATGCGCTTTATGTAGCTTCTTGTGAAGGACACGATCAAATCGTGCAGATGCTGTTAGAGCACGGAGCCGACGTCAACGTCCAGGGTGGCCGCTACGGAAATGCGCTCCAGGTAGCTTCTTGTGAAGGACACGATCAAATCGTGCAGATGCTATTAGAGCACGGAGCCGACGTCAACGCCCAGGGTAGCCGCTACGGAAATGCGCTCCAGGTAGCTTCTTCTAGAGGACACAACAAAATCGTGCAGATGCTGTTAGAGCACGGAGCCGACGTCAACGCCCAGGGTGGCATCTACGGAAATGCGCTTTATGTAGTTTCTTCTGGAGGGCACGATCAAATCGTGCAGATGCTGTTAGAGCACGGAGCCGACGTCAACGTCCAGGGTGGCCGCTACGGAAATGCGCTCCAGGTAGCTTCTTCTGGAGGACACGATCAAATCGTGCAGATGCTGTTAGAGCACGGAGCCGACGTCAACGCCCAGGGTAGCCGCTACGGAAATGCGCTCCAGGTAGCTTCTTCTAGAGGACACGACAAAATCGTGCAGATACTATTAGAGCGAGGAGCTGATTAGTCTGCACGCTATCGCTCCCCTTTTCAAAGATTGAGAAAATCATGACGCTTAGGAAACAAGATGTCTTCTCAAACCTAATCGAATTTAATTATACCGGGTACAATAACTCCCCCAATTGCTATCTTTTGTTAGAAGGTAGAAGAACACTAAGTCATGATTTTTGGAGAATGTGGCCATGGTATACATACTCTAATTGTTTCTTGAAGGAAAAGCATCTTAATATACTGTATCTATTCTACTTTTTTCCTCAGTATTCGCCATCTTTGGCCCATAAGCAACGATTTCTGTTATTCCCCAGGCCTAATATTCATCTTATTCACCTGTCTTGTAACTTACGTGGATAGGCAACGGTATTGTAATATAAGGTGTATGTATTGTGCTGGCTTAGTACTGTAATTTGCATTTAGTTATAGATGGCCGTAGAATGGAAACTTCCCACTAATGTCTTGGCAGTGGGGCACTTGTAATATCTTTGGGTGTTTAGGGTGGAAGCTGTTTTCGCTAGTGACTGCAGTGAGGATGCTAGCACGTGATATATACTATGTCGAACTAGGGTTCGAGAAAGATTCTATGAGAGCAAAGTGGCGAAACTGATTTCAGTCCATCCTGTAGCAAAGACTACGAAATTGTGGAGTTTTCAGCCATAAGATTAAGCCTAGCCAGTTCTATAGGATTGAGCGCGACCAGATTTCAAGTCAGGCCAAAACAGGACGCTTTGCCTATTACCACGGCCTAAAATGAAAACTCAAATGCAATATTGATTCAAAACGGCACTACTTAGAAAAGACATGAAACGTGTCCTGTTACTTGTGGAGACAATTGGGTAGCTTTTCGTAGACCCTGAGATTAGGGCCGTGGGTACTTAAGGCACGGCATACCGCATAGGGGATAATTCCCAAGGTGCAATTTGATTCAAACTCAAAACAAACAGAATGTTCGCTGTCGTCTATCTACTGCTCACTAGCATCTACATACGCGCCTCCATTGGTGGTGCCCTCCAGGTCATTGATTATGATAACCAATGTGTAATTTGGTCTCAGAATAACCATGGATGTACTGGATATTCGGCACCTTTTGCACTGCTCAACGGGGATGATTGTTCTGGTAGGCAAACAATTGATGATTCCATCAAATTGTTCTAACATGGCATAGAATTGAGTGAAGATGTCAACGGGACGCGTACGGACTTCTCACTTCTTTATGTGGATGCTTGTGGTACGGAGAACGGTGTCCCAGCTGCCTGGATCCAGGTAAAAGACACTGGTCTAGTGACCTTCTTTAATCAAAACGGCGACATTTCGACATGCGTATTGAATGATAAATTCAAGGTTGGCAGTTGGTGTAGTGTTTCCGACTCTGGGCTCACATCTTCTACTAATTCTCCCACCACGTCTATACCCACGTCGTCTGCTCCCACGTCTTCTCCCACGTCTTCTCCCACGTCTGCTCCCACGTCTGCTCCCACGTCTGCTCCCACGTCTGCTCCCACGTCTTCTCCCACGTCTTCTCCTACGTCTACTCCAACGTCTTCTATGCCTACTTCTACTCCAATCTCAACTCTATCCGAAGCGTCTACCTGTGGATGCCCTGCGATTTGAGCATCGATAATAAAGTAGTCTCACCTTCAATCCGGGCTGATTATTCCGCACACAGGATAATGCCAAGTTTCATGTTTGATTTTTTGCTAAGATTTGATTATATCGAATGTTTATTTGTTTTGTTCTTAGTGACTTTCCAATATAGTAACTATGTTATTCACATACTACCCCTGATTAATTAAAATTCCTATATTATTCTACGCACATAGGACATTTATATTACATTTTGACCTTGCGCTAGAGACTCGAAATTCCACAATGGAGTCAGAATGTGTTTTCATGTCACGAGAATATACAATTACCGTGCTAATTGCTAGTCGATAAGCTGCCCACGTATCTAGTACTTCTAATACTCATAAGGAATCTTATACTCTTAGCTCCTAAACCTTTACAGTGGCGGCCGGTATCTCCTTCCATGTCGGAAACCTCTTTCAAACCCTAATCACATGATACGCTAATCCAGATATGAATAGTGCGTAAATAATTCGGTTTGTACCTAACCAGGTAATGAATACCAGGAGCTTAGAATACCAGTATGAAAGATACAAGGGTCTAGGCGCTTGGGCTGGCTGGAAGGTTCGATGCAAACTCGGCAAACATATAGGTCTTTGGAAGGCATTTCCCTCTGCAAAGTTCATTACTGCAGAGAGCGCCTTACTGTATCATCTGACCATTCATACGTCCTTTATTATTGTAGTTTGTTTTCACCACCACCGATGCCTTTGGCTAAAACACCTCGCTCAACGATGACCCACTATTATTCGCGCATCTAGGCTTTTCTCTGGACCACTAGTCTCACCTGGATCATGAGCGGTAAAAGAAATATTCTCATTGGCTTCAAATGTGATGAAACCTTTCTAAGAGTTTGGGTTGTGATTAGCACCCACCATATAATCGTTCTGTATCTATTTATAACCGAACCTAAACGGCCCAAATTCTCCTTGGCGCTCGGTCAAGACTGCACAGCCCACGCCGGCTAATGTATTTACATTTCGCCTGGAGTATATCGACTCCAACCTGTGCTTAATTTTGATGCTATTCTCGCCTATTCTACTCTGCCAGTTTTTGCTACAGGTAAATCAGAACAAGAAAACCTCAATGTCTCCGACTGCAGTCAGAGCTTCGCCAACCAAGACTCTATAGTTGATCTATGCACCCTTGCTTAGTTTGAGAATTTGCTAATAGAACTCTCCCTGAACCATGCGTAATGGCTTTCGCTCCTTATTCATGTGATATAGATATAATAGATTCGGCCAAATTTCGTTGGGGGTAGCCTGGTGGATGTAGTTTTTCTGTGCTAGGTCGGATACGACGGTATAGCTAGTTTGGTAAATCAGCATGGGAATGCTCTCAAAGGTTTTCTTAAACTTACACCCACCACCGGCAACCCGAGCCTCCCCCGGACATCTCGTATCTATCACGGCGAAGGCTATAGATGAGGCGTGCGAAGAATAATACAGTAACTCCTGCCGCGACTGGGAAGTCCCAATACGTGATGGCAGATGTAGTTTGGGTGTAGCCATGCTGGGTCCACTCAAGGATCCCCGTCGGATCATCAAATTCGGCCCTCATGTTAATGCGAGTTGACGACACGCGATCAGAATGGAGCAAGTAGATTGACCAATGATTGTCGCTGGTATTTGGGCCGGCTGCACCAAGGGTGTGTACCACAACACGGACGTGCGTGACCGGCGTGGAGTCGGCTTGAACCACTTGCGGAGATAATGGAGACGGCATGGTGGAAATATAGGTATCGAGTATAGTAGGGTGAACTGTCAAGGATAATTTCGAATTCTCCTTAATAGCTGGGTCCCACGGCTTCCTCGCGACAATTTATATCAGAAAATGACGCATTAGAAGCCGGGGCAATTGTCACTAGCGTAAAGCTCACTAACCTGCAACCGCCAACGATTCAAGTGGCGGTGTTGTATGGTAAATCTGCCGTTTATTAATTGGGCAGGACTGGAAGTATAGAGGGCACGGTCCTTGGCAATTGTGATAAGAGGTCCTAGGAATAACTATTGCATGGCACGAGAACTGACCAATCAACTAGTGAAGCAGCCTAGAGCCGGAGTCCAATCAAAATTCGTATCTTCGTTACGTCATCAAACGTACTTTCCCCTGTTCTGCCCCTTCGCACCTTTACGTCGCCTTCTACTCCAAATTATGTCTCATTATGTCTAAGAAGCTCCCCTTTCTCGTCTTACCTCTCTGGCTTATTTAGGTCTCCAGACTCGATCTATCTCCACCCTTGATCTTCGCTCTCTCATAACTTCGTCCCTGAGACCTAGAGTCTGCAAAGCCAGAGGCTCTTCTTTCGACACCACATTGCGCAAGAGGATGGCGTTCCCCAAGGACATTCAACGATCATCAGTGATCGCCTATTGTCAAAATCCGTTACCTGACAATATTGTTAGTCAATACGGAAAACGTGTTATCAGGATATCTGATCAGGAAGTGGTGAAGTGGGGCCCGGATGTAACAAATGGAGAAGCCGAAAATCAAAGGATAGCCTACGAACTTGTGGATAGTCGCATAGTCCGTATTCCACGTGTGTATGCTTTCTTTTCTGATGAGCGGGGCTGGGGCTATATTGTGATGGAGTTTATAAAAGGGAAGGTCATTGATCCATTGGAGGAATTAGGCGCCGTCAAAAAGGTTGCGGGTGTGCTTGACTATTTCACAACACTACGGCACGCCACTCCTGGCTCTCTATGTGGAGGGCCTTGTCGTGGGCTCCTCTTCCCTGACACTGAAGATCTGGTATTCGAAAGTCCCGACGAGATGGAGAAGTGGTTTAATAGTCGACTGCTCTCGCACAATCCGAAACTGTCATTTCAGGGCTGCGACTTTGTGCTCTGCCACTTAGATGTAGCACCTCGAAACATCCTGTGGCAGGAAGATGGTTCTCTGTGCCTTATTGATTGGGCATCTGCCGGCTACTATCCAAGGTTGTTTGAGTTCTGCGTGCAGTGGATTACTGAAGGAAAGGACGGCAGCTTTAATTCCCTTCTCTTGGACACGATGAATCCTTTGCCCGGTCAAGAGATGGCGCAAAAAGAGTCCATTATGTGTGTTTGGAGAAATATTCAGAAGTATCCTTTGTGAGTGCATGAGACTCCAGTTATTTATTGATTGAAACTCACCCACTTCCAGCCGGACCAAAAAATCCAAATCATGCCAAAGAGTCTCAGGAGAATTTATCCCTGCCCCCCCCTCCTTCAATGCCAGAATACCCACCAGATTGGTATGAACAAGCCGGGCACGAATGCTCCACCCCGAAAAGATCCACTTCTATCAATTCTCCAAGTTCGGCTTTGGAAGCTAGAAAACCAAATCGAAGCCACGATCTCCTTGCACGTTGTTTGCCTAATTTACGCGCATTATTTGTTCCACGCGATAAGCCCTCCGGAGATGTCTAGTATCGGTGCTACCGCAGACGAATACTGAGAAATTTAGGAGCTATCGCCATAAAAACTCTCCTGCCCACCCGAGGGCATCTTGTGAATAGTATCGCCTTTTTCGCAGTACTGTATCACACTAGTATACATTCCAAAGTGCTTTCCTTCGAGAAACTGAATTTATCGGTACATTATGACGTGATCCCTCCAGGCATCATGTGGTTAGGGTTTGAAAGAGCTCCTCTGTGTTGTCCGACATAGAAGGCGAAAACGGTCACTACTGTACTATGAATAATTTTCAAGAACATATTAAGTACAGTGGCGCCCGATTTCGCTTTCCATGCTAGGATCATTGAGATGTTTTCTTTAACCCTAATCACATGATCAATGGGGTCACTAAAATAAATAACGGGCCTGTTTCGCAGATGAAACGTACCGCGCGAAACATATTCCTGCGGAATTTACAGTTCCGTTCGAATAGTCCGTGACCCCCCTTATTTACCGTCTATTATTCTGCCACGTTTTCTGCCGAATAAAAACCCCTAAATTTACTATCCAATAACTAGTATACCAACCCTCATTCTCAACATATTAGACATGGATATGGATATGGATATTAAGAAGAATACGTGTTAGAATATATGATATTTGTTTATATTAGCGTGTTAAAGCGCGTGTCTATATAAGCTAGCCTAATATGAAAAGCGGTGGCAAAAAGCGGTAAGGGGGGGGGGGGGGGGGGGGTTACGGATTAACAGAACGCCACTGTACCAGATGCTGGCGGTCGTTTCTTGGGTGTTTGTGGGAGAGGGCTCGGGCCCTCCCGTCGGTGGGTCCGACATCGCTTTGGGAATGGTTCCCGCTCGGTACACAACGTTAAAGTTTATATCGCTGTATCATCGACACCAACTTTTCCGCCCAAGGTCTCTCCTTCGGATATTACAGGGCCCGGTTGGAATCTAGTTGCTAGTTATCCACGCATACAGTCGGTGCTAAGGTACAGGATGGATCGAAATCAGTTTCACCACTTTGCTTTCACAGAGTTGTTCTCGAACCCTAGTCCGAAACATACTAATCCCTATCAGGCCTAGCTCAATCTCAAGTATTGAATCGTATTAAAAGGCATATCACGTGCTACAAAGTCCATTAATATACTCGTAATCCTCTTACAAAAGATATGAGCATCTTGCAGCGTCTTGAACATATTAACGACATTCCATCCATTCATCTCATTATTCTGTAAGAGCACCTGACTGGAGCAATAAGGCCAATACATTTCAAGGGGCACACATTAAAACAATTTATGCGGGAACATTTCTTTGGGAAACATAATTAGCAGAAAATGCAGTGTAAAAATAAATTTTAAAACCTAGAATCTATGCATCTATATCCAGTGTCTTGTTTACCTATTTATTTGCTATCAGTTTCCCACTCCTGATCTGTTTCCCATTCGCCTTCGTTGTTCAGTGTCACTTCTGTTTCCCATTCTGACAACGTTTCAGAATTAGATAAAGTAGTGGGATGGCTAAGGCCGAGTATTTGCTTCTGCTTGGTTAAACACTTTCTTAGTAGAGCAATGGCTTCAGCATGATGAGCTGAAGATTTCCAAGTGAAAGCAAGATTAGCCATACTGGTCAACGTGTCGGGATGGTCCTCGCCGAGCTTCGTCTTGCGAGTCTTCATCACCTGCACGTTGAGCTACTCGGCCTCCTCCCACCGGCCCTGGCTCCTATACGTCGATGCTAGGTTGGCCATACTGGTCAGCGTGGAGGGATGGTCCTCGCCGAGCTTCGTCTTGCGAGTCTTCATCACCTGCACGTTGAGCTACTCGGCCTCCTCCCACCGGCCCTGGCTCCTATACGTCGATGCCAGGTTGGCCATACTGGTCAGCGTGGAGGGATGGTCCTCGCCGAGCTTCGTCTTGCGAGTCTTCATCACCTGCACGTTGAGCTGCTCGGCCTCCTCCCACCGGCCCTGGCTTCTATACGTCGATGCCAGGTTGGCCATACTGGTCAGCGTGGAGGGATGGTCCTCGCCGAGCTTCGTCTTGCGAGTCTTCATCACCTGCACGTTGAGCTGCTCAGCCTCCTCCCACCGGCCCTGGCTCCTATACGTCGATGCCAGGTTGGCCATACTGGTCAGCGTGTCGGGATGGTCCTCGCCGAGCTTCGTCTTGCGAGTCTTCATCACCTGCACGTTGAGCTGCTCGGCCTCCTCCCACCGGCCCTGGTTCCTATACGTCGATGCCAGGTTGGCCATACTGGTCAGCGTGTCAGGATGGTCCTCGCCGAGCTTCGTCTTGCGAGTCTTCATCACATGCACGTTGAGCTGCTCAGCCTCCTCCCACCGGCCCTGGCTCCTATACGTCGATGCCAGGTTGGCCATACTGGTCAGCGTGTCGGGATGGTCCTCGCCGAGCTTCGTCTTGCGAGTCTTCATCACCTGCACCTCGAGCTGCTTGGCCTCCTCCCACCGGCCCTGGCTCCTATACGTCGATGCCAGGTTGGCCATACTGGTCAGCGTGGAGGGATGGTCCTCGCCGAGCTTCGTCTTGCTCGTCTTCATCCCCCGCACGTTGAGCTGCTCGGCCTCCTCCCACCGGCCCTGGCTCCTATACATCGATGCTAGGTTAGCCATACTGGTCAGCGTGTCGGGATGGTCCTCGCCGAGCTTCGTCTTGCTAGTCTTCATCACCTGCATGAAGAGCTGCTCGGCCTCCTCCCACCGGCCCTGGCTCCTATACGTCGATGCTAGGTTGGCCATACTGCTCAGCGTGTCAGGATGGTCCTCGCCGAGCTTCGTCTTGCGAGTCTTCATCACCTGCACCTCGAGCTGCTCCGCCTCCTCCCACCGGCCGTCGAGCCAGTATGCTATTGCTAACATACTTGTGCTATTAAGCGCCTCTTTATGCTCTTCACCTAATAAGATCGTTCTTTGCTCTTTTGATCTTGCTGCCATATCTCTTGTATCCGCGATATTACCGCTCTGCGACGCATACCATGCAGCTTCATAGAGCAATGCAGCCCATTGTAGTAGACACTCAGGTGATGCGGGTCGTTGTGACATTGCGGATTTCACGTGGGGAAATAGCGCCCGGCACCTCTCCCAGTTCTCGTATCCACCACCTGTGGGAAATTCTTCGCATAGATTGCTTATAAATATCTCCCGCCATTGGTTTATTTCTCCTTTGGATCTTAACCACGCACGCATCGTCAGTTGTACTAGCCGATGCATTGTAAAAAACGTGCCGTCTTCACTAATAGATATAAATGAAAAATCCCTCAGTGTTGTGATATCATCTTCAAAATCGGGCCCTATATCAGATCCAGAAGTTTCCCCATCACTAGAGCCATTTAAAAGCTCGGAACTTAATGCATAGTTGGCCTGAGGTCGAGGTCGGATAATATTCTCTGGTATTCCTTGTCGATCGAAAAGGCTCATCAGCGAAAGCAATCCTGCTGCAGACGGGTTGGTTCGGCGTATATAATCGAATGATATTTGCCACGTCACCAAGATTGAATTCTTTGCTTCCCAGTCCCGGTGGAGGTGACCTGCCTCTTTTTGCAAAAGCTTTGTTGCTTCACGATCACTCCCTTGGAAGTCTCTTAGGTACTGTGATACCGAATAGCGAGGCGCCCGTTTTTGAATATAGCTAGCGGCCTGTATGATCGCTAGTGGCATAAGCTCTAACGCGTTCACTAACTGTTGACCCTCTTCGCTTCCCCTTGGTTGACCAAGCTTCCTCTGAAGAAGCTCTTGCGCTTCGGGTTCCTCCATCGGTTTAACCTCAATAAGGTCCTTTTGATCGGCCATCTTTAATGCAACGTCTCTGGTGCGGCTTGTGATGATGATAGAGCCATTTCGGCTCCTGGGAATATATTCTAACAGTGGTTTTGTCGAGGCGTTTGTTTGGCTGCTTATTGGATCTTCCTTCCCTGCCACCGAATACGAGCAGAGAAGTTGCTCATTATCAACATTATCAAGGACTAGAAGCCATTTACCCCTGTCCTCATCTCGGAGCCAATTCTCGATAAGTTTGAATATGTTGATTTTAGCGTCCTGACGGCCCGGGATTTTGATCTGGTCCGCGATATCCCGAAAACTTTGCTCGAACCGGGCTTCATTACTCGCATGGACCCAAAAGACCCAGGACTCCGGCGACTCGGATCGCACTTGATAGGAGTATTCGATGGCGAGCTGCGATTTCCTTCAAATTGTGAGCCACAAAACAAGATATCGGTCACTTACTACTTACCCGACACCTCCAAGGCCGACCAGCGCTATTCTTGACCCTGGCACTGAGCTTTTCTCGTGGATCTGATGAAGTATCGTGTCGCGACTGACAAAGTCTGGATCACGCGCGAACGGGACAGTCGATAGAGGGCTAGGTGGAGTTTCCGGTCGCACTAGAATGCGGCGATTAGTCACGGCCGTGAGCCTGTCCCATTCCTTGAACTCACGCGGCGGCAGATGAAACTCTGCAGTAATTGAGGCATGGCTTTCTCCAACCTGGATCCCAGAGTTGTTACCAGCAAAAGATATCGATTTCATGATCACTAGATGTTATCCGTGTCTATGTAGAGGAACATTGCCTAAGTCTCTGCTGAAGGAGGGGCACATGTCCTTAGCCTCATGATCAGGTGACTTTGGCGGCGCTAAGACACGGAAATTGACAAGCAGCCACCCACATGAAATGCTAGGTTGGTCCTGAGTAGGGACCATCGATTCAGGAATATAGTTGGTCCGTGCCCCAACACCAAGATTACGTGTAGCACGCGATGTGTAGTATAGCTAGCCTCGTCCCAGCCTATTTCCCCCGTATCGAGGGAAGGAATGGATAATGCGAGATCATATTCTGTTGTCGCTATGGCGGAAATACCGCACGGTTTTCCAGTCTAGCAACCGTCTTTCTTGAGGCCCGCAATTTTGAGATGGCCCCCTAGCTCCCAGAAACTACGAAATCGCCAAGTCACGTGTATTTCCTAATATGTGGCACCCCCAGTCTTTCGCCAATAATTATTTCATCTGCTCACTGAGCAGAAGGGTGAGCAAGGGTGAGCAGATAGAGTCGCTCCCTTCTCCTCTCCACGGTCCACCAGCACTGCTAAACCCTTTCTCCATCAACGTCCGGATTTCTTTGCGCAACATGGCCCCAAGACTCTCCCTCTCAAAGCTTGAAATAATTCAGCATATGATATCGAGCAAATCACTGACTACCTCGCCAGTGGCTAAAACTGCTGAATGTAGTAAGCTTTCCATTATCAACATCAGTAACAGCCTTCGCCGATTCGGAAATGTCAGAGCACCCCCAAGTCGTGTCGGTCGACGACGAAGCGTAATACCTTTGATGATAGAAGCACTGTGTGATGGCCTCCTTGAAATTGCTGAGCTATACGAGAACGAGGTGGCAATCCATGCTTGGGGCGAGTTCCACGTCCAGGGCGTAATTTCGACCCTCAAACGGCCCTTGCTTCAGTGGGTTAGTCGAAGAAGGCAGCTCGATAGAGCAAAGGAACAGAATGCGAAATTGAAAAGGCTCTACTGCATGGTACGATGTAAATGACTCATAACTATAGATCGTTATTTCAGGAAAAAGACAAGCCCGACACGCTATCCAGGGTGCGAGGTAAGTTCCGACCCGATGCGCGAGGCCAATGGGGTCTTGTCGGGAATGACCATGATCTACCCTCTGCAAGAACCCCAGCCCATGACTATCCTTCAGGTACGACTGCCATTCCAGTTGATCGGAGCTGTGCTGTGGGCGATCTGTATGCCTTTGTTGTCGCCCGAAAATGTGGTATTATACGTGCTGTGTGCGTTGCCAACTTCTCGGATAGACAACTTCGAGATTGAATGGGAAACAACCTTGGAGGCGGTTTGGTCGGCTTCCAGTAAGCGTAATCTTTCGTCGATCTCTTGGATGGCCAAGGTGCGTTGAGCGCCACCGTCGTCGTCCTCACTTTCGTCCTCTGGGCTTTCAAGTTCGTTCTTGCGCTGCAAAGCATCGCCTTGCTTTCTCTGCGTGATTTCCATATGTTCCTGAACAGCAGTTCCAAGAACTCGTAGTTGCTTTTCTGTTTGCTGCCATGCAGTCTTAGACGTATTTTCTGATCGGGTCAAAATCATTCTTAAATCAATGAATTAGCGCAATCTCTCTAGTGTGTCATGAAATTACTTACAAAGTAGCGCTGTCGATAGCAAAGTGGACGATGGCTTGACAAGAATGGACCTGTGTCCTGAATGTCTGGATTTTCTCTTTGTTCCATAAACCGATCGTCAGTCGATCCCTCAGGGAAAGCTTCGTAGTGCTGGAATGCTTCGTCCACTGCTCAAGTTTGTTTGAAAAATCCGCGCATGCCTGGCCGCATTTGTTCACGGCTTCAGCGACGCCAGTCTTTTTCAGGTCCTCTTTCGTGTCAACATATATTACGTTATTAGACATCTGGAGATCCTTCAGGGCCGAAAGCGAATGCTGTATGGCCCCTAGATTAGATACCACATCTTGTACCACATCGTTCGCTTCTTCAAGGCCCTTGATTAATTCACGAAGATGGTGAATGCTGGATAGAGCGAATTCTGTGATACCAAGAGCGCCGGCGGTGATGCTGAGAGGATCCATGTGCTCTAATTTTTAGAACAGCGGCAAGATCGCAAGACGCGTTCGTATTTCGCGGATGGAAGTTGAGAGTATCGGAGAAAACCAGACAAAGACTATCTTGATACAATTGCACCCACTTCGGTGATTGAAAGAAAGCCGGAGACTATTTAACGACAGCTGCTGGGCAGTTACGGCTGTCAAGTCAATCCAATACGTGGCGGGCTGTTATTGGCGGGGTTATGAGGCTGAAAACCGATCAGATACTGTGTGATCGAGAAAAAAACCATGCTTTACCCATGGGTGATGGCACTTACACAGAGACTCCATTCGCCACATTTTAGTAATGTATAGTGCTCTCTCGATCGCAGTTTTCAGGGCCGCGGAAGGACAAGGACCAAAGATTGGGATTTTCTTTTACTTTGCTTGCAGGGTCAACATTCTAAAAGCGCCGAAGGCCATACAAGACTAATACAAATGCTTGTTTTGTGCTGTAATTTTTCGCTGTATTGTAATACTGCCAAGAAATGGGGCCAGTGGTAGCGCAACTGTAATAGGCATAGCGTGTTTCAAGAGAGGGTTCGAGAAAGAATCTCTGTGTGTAATTGGTGAAACTGATTTCGATCCATCCTGTACTGTAACTCCTAAACTTAATTATAAGAAATAAACTAGATACATATAGCTTGATTGTGAACTACTCAATAGTTCATAGTGGTAAATTTACCGGTAACCGCATCTCCCATTACCATCACTACGGCTCGCGTAGGACTCCTTCGCTGGTCGATAGTACCACTGACCATTTTTCCATTCCTTTTGGAATTCACGAGCTCTTTCGTTCGCTAGATGATCTTCGCTATAGGCGATTCCGATGCAACGCTTATTCTGATCGCCACGTTGGAATATAAACATCGGGTGACCATCTCTATTCTCACCCTTCTTCCATTCCCATCCTGCCCTCAATTTCCAGTTAGGATGAAAAATCTTTTTATCCAACTCTGATTGTGGGAGATTTGGGGAAGTTTGTAGAGTGAATTCCTCCTTATAACGATATTTTTTTTGGGCCTTCGACTTCCAAGCTAAAACAACTATTAATATATATAATGCCAGAAGACGAGGATTAGTCGAAATTTCTCACGCATGATAATATGGGAGAATTTTCCCATGGTTTCTTGATTCTGAATGCAATAGGGGCTTGGTGAGTCTTGAATATAAATGATTCTCAGAGATACCTGATGATGCGAAATGCTCGAGACGACCGGTACTATATACTTAAACGTAGTAGGCCGTAACAAATCGAACGGCAAAAGTGATATAGGGTGATATTGTTGAACGATAGCCCCGCGAGATGGTGATACCGAGCTTACGAAAAGAGCGCAGTAAAATGGCCAAAATGGAGGTTATGCTAACGAAATGATATATCGTGGTCTACTATTTTCTTAATTTCTTCGTGATATTCTATTAGTGTAAAGCTTATGAATCGGCATACGAGCCGTTTTCTTAGTTGCGTTAACAGATTTCCATTTTGATACATTGGCTTTCCAAAAGTGCGTGGCAGTAGCAGGGTTTCAACCATGCCTTACTTCAGCAAGTCGATATAAATCGAGAGAAAGCCGTAGTAGCATGCGCATACTAGCAATCCGGTCATGGACTTAACAGACCGTCATAAGTTTCATGTTTAGGGTCTATCACCCTAATATCAACTCAACATGAAATGGTACTACGGAGTTAAGTTATGGTTTATTGAAAGGTCAGAGCTTAGACAGGCCTGATTGGATTATGCTGACGTAAAGAAGGTCGCATGGGTTTAATGATAGTAATGATAGCCAACTGCCAATATCATACATACCCATCCACCCGCCGACATACGATCAGTCACAGTTTGAATATAATGATGGGCGACTTTTATGCCGATCTTGCCTTCGTCCACGATCGCGATCCTACTGTATGGCCTACCGTAGATGGAATCGCATCTATCCACAGCGCTTTCCAAGGGATGGTGACTGTAAGAGGCCAAAATGTATTTCCAGACAAAGCCGAATGCCGGCAATCGCTGAACTTGAATAATTTAGCCCTTTGCTAATTTCGAATTTATCGACGCGTGGTTATGCAAATAAGCTAGGAGTTCTCAATTTAATGCGCGTATAAAATTCCAGATGCAACGTAATGTGTTTGATCAGAGCCGGCGGCGAGGGCTCTTACCTGAGTGGTGGCTCTCTTTGGAGTGGTGGCTATCGCTGGAGTCGTAGCTCTCGCCGGAGTGGTGGCTCTATTTGGAGTGGTGGCTCTCCTAGGCATCGTAGCTCTCGCTGGAGTCGTAGCTCTCGCCGGAGTGGTGGCTCTATTTGGAGTGGTGGCTCTCCTAGGCGTCGTAGCTCTCGCTGGAGTCGTAGCTCTCTTTGGAGTGGTGGCTATCGCTGGAGTAGTGGCTCTCGCTGGAGTGGTGGCTCTCTTTGGAGTGGTGGCTCTCTTTGGAGTGGTGGCTCTCTTTGGAGCGGTGGCTCTCTTTGGAGTCGTAGCTCTCTTTGGAGTGGTGGCTCTCCCTGGAGTCGTAGCTCTCTTTGGAGTGGTGGCTCTCCCTGGAGTCGTAGCTCTCTTTGGAGTGGTGGCTATCGCTGGAGTAGTGGCTCTCGCTGGAGTGGTGGCTCTCTTTGGAGTGGTGGCTCTCTTTGGAGTGGTGGCTCTCCTAGGCGTCGTAGCTCTCGCTGGAGTCGTAGCTCTCTTTGGAGTGGTGGCTCTCCCTGGAGTCGTAGCTCTCTTTGGAGTGGTGGCTCTCTTTGGAGTGGTGGCTCTCGCTGGAGTGGTGGCTCTCGCTGGAGTGGTGGCTCTCGCTGGAGTGGTGGCTCTCTTTGGAGTGGTGGCTCTCTTTGGAGTGGTGGCTCTCTTTGGAGTGGTGGCTCCCATGAGGGTGGCCCATTTCCAGTTTGGTGCGACGACTTTCGACCACAGAATTTAATGGTCGATAAAGCTGAAAAAGTCGTTGGGGTGGTGGATTGGGAGTTTACAGCCGTCGAAGAATTACGAGAGATATAATGGGCACAAAGCCTATAGCTTAGATGATGTAATATAATTCATTCTGCTTTCACATATTGCATTATAAGAAAGGCGAAGCACGAAAGTAGAAAAGAAAGTACAAAATCAGATAGAATGAACCTTGAGCTGTGTTGAGACTTGCTCATAAAGGTTGGCTGAACAAAGATTCAAGAGCCGTGTTGAGACATGCTGATGAAGTTGGTTAAAATGGAAGTACAAAATCAAACGAAATCAACCTTGAGCTGTGTTGAGACCTGCTCATAAAGTCTGGCTGAACAAAGATTCAAGAGCCGTGTTGAGACTTGCTGATGAAGTTGGTTAAAATGGAAGTACAAAATCAAACGAAATTAACCTTGAGCTGTGTTGAGACCTGCTCATAAAGCTTGGCTGAACAAAGATTCAAGAGCCGTGCTGAGACATGCTGATGAAATCTGGTTAGAACAAAACTTCCTAAATTTTCTTATTTGAATCATGCTGTGCGTTCACGTCGTCGAGGCTTGGCGTGGCTGCGGTGTGGAGAAACAGGGTTGTCCATTCTCAATTGACGAAGTTGTCGTTCAAGACTCCGAATCTTCTCATCATTTGCCCGCTTCGGCTGAGCTGACCTTCGGCGACCTGATTCGCTCTGCTTCCTACCTCGATTGTAGGATGGCCGGAAAGAATGATCACTGTCCGTGTCATCCTCACTCGATGTCTGGTCCTTTTGGCGCCTAGTATTCCTCCTTGGCCGTACTTCCTCAATGAATCCACCATCGTTGTCACTTTCGAATTCATCTAGCCCATGTATTTTGCGATAGCTATTCTCCATTTCGCATGCTTTCTGATATAGCACCCTGTCGCCGTCAAGAGCTGAGCCAGAAGTGACCCGGCGCATGAATGCTCTACCCTCCAAAGTAAGGACGTTGTCTTTCCATTTAACTAGTGTTCGGGTCTCCGGATAGATGACACCTTTCTCAGGTCGCAGCAGGGCTAGGGGATCCAGATCATTCTCATCATCCTCAGAGAGCTTCCAGCCAACTCCAAGGATATTCTTGATTTGCCTGCGGTCCCACTTCCAATATTCCTCTTCAAGCCCGTTTCTCATCCGAATGCGCTTAACATTACCACGAGTTTTTGTAGTCAGAACGCAATCCACCTCATGGCGATTATAGCTTTGGTGGGATCCAGCCCGAATACGATAGATTGGGGTATGTCGATCTCCATATCGTATGAAGGTCTGAGAACCAGTACCTTTAGGCCACCAATATAGTACTTTTCCTGACGACATTCGACGTTGTTCGTTCTTAGTCCTTGCCTCCAAGGCATCAAGATCTTCCAAGTCATCAAGATCTTGTAGTTCCTCAAGATACGTTGCCTCATCCTCAGATTCGGACTCATTTTTAAGGGTGCCGGCCTGCTGATTCTCGGCGCCTGATAGGCTAGCTGCGTCGTCACTGTCATCTATCATTTTCGGATTTTCGCATTTCAAATCATTGGCCGTCCACGCTTGGCTGATATTCCAGCCCTTTGGGAGATAATGTCGCTTATTAAACATTCTTATAAGGGCATGGGTCTTATTGAATGCATCCCAGGCACCCTCCATGTCATTCTTGAATTTGGCCTTATCATGTGCCGCTTGCCAGGTGCGACACATGTCAACATAATACCTCTCATTAATCACACCATTGTCTAAGTCAATGGCATCATGTTTCTCATTGGCTGCTCGGATTTCCTGGTTGAGCCCTTGGAAGAATGCTATACATTCTTCATCGAGAGTAGGATTGTTGAGCCCGCCCTCTATAAAGTATTGCTCGATTCCTTTTACAGAAGTTCCTGCTGCCTTGGATCTAATAAGATCTTTCACCCAGCGGCCTACATCATTTGGCCGGTGTTCAATGGGAGCATCCTGATCAGATTCATTTTCAAGATCGGAATCGGTTTCGTCGTTTGAATCATGATTATCACTGATCTCTCCTGGTGCAAAGTCATCTTGGCGGGTAGGATCTCGGTTAAATCGAGCGGTTTTTCCCGTGTTCGCAGGAGCTATGGTTGCAGGAGCTGTGGCTGCAGGAGCTGTGGCTGCAGGAGCTGTGGTTGCAGGAGCTGTGGTTGCAGGAGTCTTGGTTGCAGGAGCTGTGGTTGCAGGAGCTGTGGTTGCAGGAGCTGTGGTTGCAGGATCTTTGGTTGCAGCAGAAGTTTCTGGCTTAGGGGAAGTGCTCTCTCGGTCGGAGGCTGGTGTTTGGATATCCCGTGCACTTCTCTGGGGGCCTCCTTTTTTCGGCATAATGTACGAGTAGTAAAGCGATGGAAGGAAAGTTCGTACCTAGTAGTTTTCACTGTTATTATGTACTTATATATGGACTTGAAATAATTCATACCTCTACGTGCGTTACTATTAAGCGAGTCGAATCGTTAAAGGAAGTCGAGGCCAAAAAGGCCCCATGGAACCAGTATTTTAGCAAGGGGCAGGAAACGTAGTGTATTCAAAAAAGTAGCAGTAAGTAATAAAATGGCCAAAAAGTTAGCAGCGACACAAAGGTCCACTCCCTGATCACCCACTTATTATCATTAACACGCTTGAGAATATCTTTCCTTAGCATACCCTGTGACGAGTCTGCACAGCATGTCACTCCGTATTTTCAGGCGTAGCACCTTGTAGAAATACCATCAGCTGGCCTAAAGCATCAGAACACTGGATGGATCTAGTCTGATACCACTCAGAGAGAGCGATCCAGTTGGAGATTTCCTGCTGCTGGCGATCAATGGTCATAGTAGCTTCTTGTATAATTGATCTTTGGTTTCCGATCTCCTTCTGTGCATCTCTAGCACTTGCTTCGTGATAGCTAGCTTCATTTTCAGCTGACCTCAATCTCTCCGTGAGATTCAGATTTTTTGCTTGTAAACTAGCAATGAGCTCAAGCTCAATCTGTCTTTTAACTTCCTATCGTCATCCAGTTTATAAGAAATCTCCCGTTGTATAATGGGATCGACTTACCCGCTCAGGACGAATAGCACGGAATGTCTTACCAACTTCTCTTTGGAGCTGCATATAAGCCCCCACTGAGTGCTTGCTCAGATGCTTTTGAAAAAGATGCTCCAAGGAAGGGTCGTCTATCTGCCACATATAGTCCAGATCGTCCTCTTTCTTCAATCGCACTTCAGAGGGCTTTACTTTGATACCGATTGTCTCCCCTATCCCAAACATTAGCAACTATTAAGTCAAATGACCTTAACACTCACATATATGTTGAGAAAGGCGGTTCCTACAGCTTAGCCGCCAGGAAGCCCGTTTTTTATTTCCAATGTGTTCTCTTTCTTCCATGCCGTGCATTGTTGCGCGATCCTTAGTAGAATTCTTGGTAGTTTAAATAATAGGTCATAGGCTATTGGAATCTCTGAAATGGCGTGCTTAAAACGATCTGCTAACGTTTTGGACGCAAGACGTAATATATATAATTTTCGTAATGAATCTAGTATTCTGCAAACCCTAAATTCTCGATCTAGTTCAAATCAGGAATCTCGTGTAATGACCAAATGTCTCAGCCTTTGGAGCAAAATCTCAGAAGAAGACCCTCCTCTGGCTTCCAACGCCTCATTACCACAGGTACGGCTATCTATATAGCCGTTGAGCTTCAGGAAATTAAACAAAACGGACTCTGAAAGCCAACAATTCCTTAATTCTAACCGCTGTAGTGATGGTAAGACGGAAGAGGATAATGCGATTATAAGGTCCGGACTATCAACCAGCGTAAGCTCTCTCAGGCATGCAAAACCGGCCTCCATTAGTTCTGCTGAAAGAAATGTCCCTATGCGCATTCCGTCGACTTGCATCGACTCCACGAATACTCCATTGTGACGGGCCGCCACTATGCCTTTAAGCACTGCTTCCAAGTGATCAGGAAAAGACTCTCTGCCTTCCAAAAATAGACGGTTGGCAAACCATAAGCGCTGGTCTTCCTTGGCTCCATTGAAGGATAATTTAATTGCTCCTAGGTTTGGAAGCTGTGGGAGACATTCAGAAAAGATGCGTATATCATCTCTCTGTTGTATAATTCCATTCTGACCTCTGGCAATTCTTCTAAAGTAGAGATATAATTCTCTATAAGAAAATCCCTTGCCTCTAAGGTCCCACTGGAAATCCATTTGGTCTTGCGCATACTCTTGTGGTGTATATATACAAGAAGTGAAGTACTCCCAGTGCTGAATCGCTATGGATGTAAGCTGAAGAGCAGTTGAAACCAAAGAATAGACATACATGGATCCAGCAATTCAGACGCTTCGTAATGTAGCACTTTCACAGACGGTGCCAAAAAGGAATTTGCAATTCCCTGTAACCTTTTCATACCAGATCGCGAAAATTCAATTGTGATGGCACGGAACAATGTAGAGGTGGTCGCGGCTCTACATTGTTTGTTCACCATAGAAAAAAGCTTCACCGAGTATCTCTCCAGGTTCTGGATCATCAACCCTAAAATTTCGAAAGGCATATCCTCTAGCTTTGCCATACTATTCAAACGGCACTGCAATTTTCTGGTGATGTGTCCTGGACTGCTACGGCTTATTTACGGCATTTAAGGGTTACTAATACGATAATTACTATCTAAGATAGATAACCATATCCGACGCACTTTCAAGTCGTTTTGTTAGTAGTACCGCGTGGCAATAAGACATTGGCTACAATTCGATATTTCTCAATCATACTGCTTTGGTGGCTACGGCAGTATAACTGGCTCTTATCGCCAAATGTACTGCATTTTCGGCAATTCAACTCTTCGTTTAAAGTTTAGAGGCACCAGTAAGGTTAGTAATCCATCCCACAATACTCATGACTTTATTGAATGGAATTTTAGCATGAAAGGAAGCATTTCTTGGCTTTGTGTCTCGTGTTCGGGATCGGAGACCCAGAAATTGAAAATCAGACTTATTCCTTACGACCCGGCGTCATCTGTCACCATATGTTGGTCCTTCTTTCTTCCCGCAAAGCGGCATATCAATATGCATACAATCTGTCATCATTGCTTGAAAATGTTAGGCGATATCTCATACGAGGAGCAGGTGGGTATCATCTTTAAACATAGAGATCAGCACCTGTTCAACCGGAAGGTACCCTGGATTAGGCAGAAATGGAGCTTCTGGATTCCCAATTTGGAATACCAGGACATTCGAGAGTCCGTTGGAGAAAACCAAGAGATATCTGTGCATCTCTTCGGCAGTGCCTACTGCCGCGCCTAGATATTCGGGTGTATTTCGAGAGCTTATTGCTAGCCCCCAGTCTAGAGTTAGCTAGTCAGACAATATAGCGTACCAATTATATCTACTATAAATATTTCCAATTTCAAGTAGATCATACACCTATTATATTAGGAAGGAAGATTCACGAATCAATCTCACTAGCAGTCACCCAAAATTATATAACAACACACAATGTAAGGAGGCCAATATGTAAAATTTAAGTGAACTCAATGAACAACATGGTGGGGGGTAGAGAATGCAAGAGGGGATAAAAAGAACTCGGATCACATGATTGGATACACCTGCGGCGCCTGGTAATTAACCCCGCGGGTTCAGCCCTAGCTGCTATGCGGTTGTTAAAATCAGCCAAAGAACACCTACGTAAGAGGACGAGGCCCGAGCGTAGTGCGGTTGTTGATCCGGCGGATCATATGATTGAAACCCCATGTGGTGGTACCTTAAACCTTGGATATAAACTCCACCTAAACTAAGGGGCTAGGCCCAAGCGGAAAGCGGCTCGCCAATTTACTCCCACGTGATAATGGTTGAAAAATTCTTGCCTGGATTAATACGCTGGTCCAAATTGAATATCATGTATTTAGTCATGGACAGCTTTGTCCATTCAAAACTGAGAATATCGGTATAAAGAATGGGGCGAAATGATCATGAAAGGGGTGAAAGATACCTAGTAGAGTTTCGGGAATAGGGCAATTAACTCCCGGTGTCGGGGAAGTTTGACGGGAATAGACGGCTTGAATCAGGTTTGCGCCCCTTTTTTTCCTTCTTTTTTTCTTTTTCTTATCTCGCTCTTTGTATGGTCATAATGAGCGAGAGCGGGGGAAAGGAGGACCAACCCAAAAAGAGTTGCTAACACCAGGTCCGAGAGGGGAACCCTGTAATCATTACATGCCTAGAGTAGGCACTCGGTGGCAAGTCGCCCCACGCTGAAAACCACCTTCGATTTAAACCAATAGCTCGCCAAAAATCATTATTGGATGGCTTTAGGCCAATAGCAAGCAATAATCGCGGTTGGTGACAGGACTTCGTAGAATATGTGACTTCAAATCTTAAACAAAGTAGGTCTAGCAACAAGCTTACCTCCTTTTATCGCTTGTTGGGTTATGGGAAAATTCCGAAAATTCCGAAAATAAGTAGCTGAAGTTCAAATTTGTCGACGAAGATCTCCTATTCAAAAACAATATGCTGGGCAAATTTCACGCTAAGGGTCTAGATCACAATTTCAATACATGACCCTTCCGATGAGCAATCATGAAGCTCATTGGTTGTGATGTCTTCCTCGGCCTCATTGACGTTGGCAGTTTGTTCCTCGCTCACCTTTCGGTCTAGAGTTTCTTTGAGCTCCTCTACCGTCCGGTCACGCGCATAAAGTGTAGACTGCAGGTGCGTGATTAACTCGCGCTGGTATTGATTCTCTAGTGCCATGCCGTTGTCCTTCTCTTTTCCATTAGGCCACTTATTGTTGGCCTCTTGTTCTCCAAGTTTCTGCAGTAAAGATGCAATGCCTGGCTGCAAATCATTGAGACGGGATTCAAGCTGCTGCACCTTGTTTCTTTCCAGTTCTAGATTCTGACATGCCACACGACAGGCCTCTGTTGTGTAAGTAACAGATGACTCGAGCTGTGATCTTTGGTGTTGTATTGCGATAACCAGTCTTTCCAATTGTTGAGAGTGAGCTCGTAGCTTGTGGTATTCTGCCGCATCACTATAGATTCTAGACTCGAGCTGCGATTGGTAATGGTTGGACTGTTGCTCCTGACGTAGCAGCCTATCGATCAAAGCGTAAGCACTGCTGTCGTACTTGAGGATGTTTTCATGAATCTATCCATCAATTAGCTTCTCGTATCAGCAAGTATCCAGGGGTTCTACCTGTTGATCGACCGGAGAGTTTGCCGACGACGGCGCGTCAAAGCCTTGCCCCTGTGCTTGAAAAGACATATTCTGATCAATGGCGAGCTGTATGTTGGGTTTCGCGACTGGTCTCAAAGCCTATGTTGACAACTGATGGATCTTATATAAGAAATCCGCATAGGCTCATAACTCGGAAGGATTAGGATTTTAATTGCCGGGGCATAGTCAGAATTGTGCTATCTTGTCACAGGTCTGACCGCGGACCGGTTTTTGGCCTCGGAGGGGCATCTGGGCCGCAAAAATGAATAAAATCAAGATTCAAAGCCCGAAATCGACCAGGGTGCGAGCCAAAAACGGTGCCGCGGGATGCTTTTCGAAAGTTTTCATTGTTAATGCACGCACCAGCTGGAGCCCCAATTTAACAACGCTGCTAATGTGGATGCTGATGTAAATCGGAATGATCGTTCTTGACTGAAAGTGCAGACTCATTATTCCTTTAACGATATCGAGTAGGAGCGAATCGCGCCCACCTTGTAACCCGTCACCCATCGCCTCAGCTTACATCATAGGGTGATCGCGTGTAAGTTGAAGGATATATATAAATATAAATTGTTTAATACAGAAAAAGAACGCGTTTTTGCCATGCCCCTCTAAACTTCCATTATTATAATTGCTGCAGATTTGGGAAGTCTGCAACTACCTCCCTCCGATCACTAGTGTTAGAGTGCTAGCCGACCTACGATGAGCCGGTACCATAATCAGAGGCTTGAGCCTATATCCGAAGAGATAACACCAATCGACCATCAAATATTATGCCTTGGAGGCACATCCTCGAACCTGGATCGATTGCCTTCACGTTTGCAGCGTGCAAAACGAGCGTCGCCCGACTTAAAGATCCAATTTGAAGAGCTGGCATACGAGATGAGTTACTTGAAAGCAGAGCTTCAATGGCATAAAGAGACAAAGCAGATATTCCTTCAGTTTCAGGAGAAAGTTGTCGACGTTTTTACATTCCTAGAAGACGCCCTCTCTCGAGCAAATGCACGTTTACATGAGTCCGAACAACAGTATATGACGCTATGGGAATCGCGTTCAGGAAATGGGGCGGGAGGCTTTCTTTAATAGCTGTAATAATAATCGCAAGGAAATAGCAGACTGTGTTACCTTCATATTTATGTGAACATGAATCGAATCCTAGTAAACCGCCAAATTGAAGCAATCAAGTAGATGTTTGCTGGTTATTAGGACATCCCAAGATTTTCATGGCTTCTATCTCCCTTCGTATCACTTCTTGGAGAATTCCGTTCAGCGTTGTGACTCTTCCCGCCAGATCTTCCATTGCGCGAAGTATCGCATCTAGATTACTCTCCAACTTTTCAACGCGACGCTCTATGGCGATGAGACGATTTTCCAATCGTTCTGCCATGAGTGACGGCTTTTCTTCTTGATCGGCGAATATGGCATCGAATTCATGGAAAGGTCGGATTCTCGTTGAAGATGGAGGTGATGTAATTTCACCATGTTGCCCGCTATACGATCAGCTCATGAGTCATAGTATGGGAGCTTGAATTACCTAAAGTTCGGTTCCCCACGTTGGTAGATCCCTTCGATGTCTAGATCTTGTGATATACCTTGGTGGACTTGGGAAGTGATGGGTTCATTTCCTATGGACATGTTCTGCCATGGATCTGAGCTAGCAACCCCATTGTAGGTTATGTCACTCATTGTTGCTGCGAAAATATCTTCGTTGACGTCAAACGATAACGATGGGTTGCTGGCCACCCATATATCATCGGGGTCATCGAGAGCCATGCACCTGGGGGGGGTATGAAAAGACATAGCGAACGATTAATATGATTGCAGCAGACCTTGTCGTCGGGGTCGCGTCTTTTATTTCCCTGGCACAAAGAACGCGCTAATTACTCCTAGTCGCCACACCATAGTGTTGGTTCTAACATGAGATTTCATTGGCTGCTAGGCAACTACTATCGCAGGGGTGATTCACTTGAGTCTGGGCCTGCCCTTACCCCTTTCGGTGAATCTTTAGTTAGGCCGTGCTAAGGTTCTGCATGTGCCTTTGATTGAGAAAGAGGTCAATGATTAACTTTTGCGTTTCTGGTACCATTAAAGAAGTCCTGATATCACCCTTGGTATGAAACGACCAAGCAAGATTAAGGAGGTCATGCTATACTTAAATAGTATGCCCATGAGGGTAAAAGAGTTGAAGAATAATTTCTAGCCTATGAACTTCGACATGCAAAATTCGATAGATATCGGCTGGCTTGATGTTGGCGTCCGGGAAGATTCCCGGCTCGCAGTCTTAGACCAAGGCCGGCTGCAGAAGGTTGTCGCTGAACTGATCGACCCAGAAAGGCAACGCCCATCTTTATGTGTCTTTCTTGGTGGAAAGAGCAAAGACTATGCTCTTCAGCAACTATACCCACTAAATAATATAAAGCGACATGTCTCAGACTCCCAAATCAAGCTGAGATATGATATCGCCTCGTTGGGAGGTCGCCAGCCTATGTTATTGGCTGACGGCGATCTACCCCTCTTGGAAAGTTACAGCCCCACGAAAAGATTACAGCCTGGGGCAGGCTTCCCTGTGTCCTGGGAAGATCATTCCGCGGCCAAAGTTCTCATAGGCTTGTGGTCGCGATTGATCTTTATGTTCACAGACGTGGTTTGCATCTTCGTTGATGATAATGCTGGTCTTGAAAGGATAATCACATTCTTAGTCGCTTGCTTGGAGCTTGGGTCCGCATCACCTTTAGCTAGATCTCTATTACCAAGGGTGATCTTTGTATACGGCACAGCGAAGGAAAATGAAGATTTGGAGATGCCAAACACTAGTTACCTGCTCCGCAAGATTCAAGAGAGTGGGCACAAAGATCTTCTTGGTCTATTTTCGGGTGCAGAATCTGTGTATATGTCGCATGAGGAATTATCCAACATCGCCCGGTTCCAAAGGCTTAAGACTACGATAGGGGAACAGGTGGATGTGGTTTGTTCTCACCGACTAGAAGATTACGCTCGCCCAAACGGGAAACATCTTACGGCTCTATTTCATTTAGCATTTCAGCATACCTTGAGCGATATTGCTAGCCCTTTCGACATAGTTAAGGCTACTCGAAAGAATCGCCCTGTGACTAAAAGCGTCGAATCACACTTGGTGCATTATCTTCAGATTGGCCATACTGCACACGTGCAACTCCATGAATTAGCCCCGTCAATTGCGTCCGCTCTTTTCATGGATCACTATGTGCCTAACATGTTTGGTCTGTTGAAGCTTTCTACCATCAAACGACCATCGGCAACATCTAACATCGAGTAGCGACGAACCCTAAGACCGTTTTCCATAGCCTGTATGGATCTTCTGTCATGCAAGTTTATCGCAATTGCCAAGGTTTGTGGCTAGAATGCTCTCCCATAGAACAGGCTAAATTGGTCGAGCATCATTTTTCCAATCTCTTTAAGCAACTCTCCACAAAGGTAGTTTCTTCGGCTGAACTACGAAGAGAACAACTCATGAATCAAAGTGGTCTACTTTGTCGCTTTCGTACTAATCGTATCTGCTTATATTGTCTTCTACATTCTGCTCAACATATCTTACCGTGTGGTCATACCTTATGCGATCGATGTGCACAGGTTTTTGGATCTCCTGCCCTCGGGTTAGAGTATCAATTTACTATTAAAGGCTGTGTATATTGTCTATACCAGAGGCCACTAGTTGTGGATGTACTACCGCCAACTTTGAGCCCCACGATCCTTGCAATCGATGGTGGGGGAGTCAGGGGGGTTATTCCATTGGAGTTTCTGCTTTTAGTACAAGAACATTTAGGCCCGTGCGCGATTCAAGATGTTGTTGATCTTGCCGTTGGTACGAGTTCGGGTGAGTCGGGTATTAATGATGACTTTTGCCACAATACTTGCTAAGAGTTCAAAGGAGGTCTTATTTCTCTCGGACTATTCGCAATGTCTTGGAATGTCAAGGATTGTTCCGAGCGTTTTGAAACCTTAGCGCGTCGTATTTTTCGGGAGAGACGCCCTCCTCTACTCCTCCGTCAAATTGCTGGCTCTCAGTCACTTCTCGGACAGGTGGCTAGATGGTTCCAGTGGCTGATTCACGATAGCTGCTATGACTCGCGGATCTTCGATTTAGCTCTAAAAAGCGCATTTGGAGAGTATCGCCGCATCTTTGGCGCTACTAGGGGAGATCCTCCGGGGCCACGACGCTCGGGCCCTAGAGTTGGAGTCGTAACAACGAGTATCTCTAGGGACACCAATACCTTTGTGGTCGGAAATTTTAATGCATCACAGGATGCTGGGGGCGAACCTGGTAAGTCGGACCCACTTGTCGTTTTCATGCACTCTTTCGTTAATAAGTCATTCGAGTTTTTTAGATTACCAAATAATACGTCCTGTGGATTTACGAAACGAGCCAACCGTTTGGAGAGCGTAAGTTGAATCCTACTAACTTTTCGGCCACGGCGCTAAAGAAAAATTTAGTGCCAGGGCCACGGCGGCAGCACCCTTGTAAGTGATAACTTTGCATTAGCTTCGCATAAGTGGCGCTGAACGATTGGGCCATAAGCTTTTTTACACCGGTCGATCTACAGGGAATCGGTTCTTTTCAAGATGGCGGATTAAAACACAACTTCGCGGGGGAAATTGCGACGCAGATCTCACACCAGATATGGCCTAGGGCAATGGGCTCCACGCGAATGGTGTCCCTGGGCACCGGGAAGGCTGAGTCAAGTGACCACACTCCCCATTTCCGCCATATCTTCCGTGACAGCTTTTTGCGTCGGGGATTCGATGCGTGGATGTCCACAATGGATACAGATAGTGATTGGAGAAAATGGAGAACTCGTCTACCTGATTTTGTTAGAGCAGATTCCCATCGCCTTGATGTGTCGCTCGGAAATTCGCCAAACGCTATTGATGCCGTCGAGACCATGGAGGAATATCGTAATCTGGTCATTCTTCAAGTCGGAAGCGCACGGATGGCCCGGGAAGCTGCCACCTCGCTACTCGTGTCTCGGTTTTTTTTCATCGTGGATTCCTTACCAGAGAATACTACGATGCCATTTTGGTGCTATGGGTCGGTGCGTTGCAAGGGGCCAGCCCAGAAGGTAGTCAAGGCATTGGAGCTTCTTTACCCGCAAGGATTATCTTATGTCTCGGATTGCGGCTTGATTGACGATATTGGGGGAGTAGAAAGCCTCTGTGGATTATGCGGACGATATAGTCGTTCAATATCTTTCCTTACTCGTCATTCCGATTACATTGTGAATATCTATATACAGGCACCGTCCAAGATGCGTTGGCGTATAGGGGGATTTCCGGACACAGTTGCCAACTTTGCCTCAAAGCAAGGTCTCGATTCGCCATTTGGCCAAGAAAATCATGATTTCCCTTGCCGACAGCCATGTCATAATTGTGACGCCACTGGAAGTCCCTCAAAGGGCAAAAGGCGCAGGAGCGAATCAGGAAGCTTAGCTGATGTTCGCTCTAAGAAACGCGCCTTGGTCGATTGACTGGGGTATCAGAATAATTCATTTCATTTTTTCTTTCAATTTATGAAATTGGAACTTATACGTATAAATATCGTAATGTCTTCCTGCCTTGAAATTCTAGACACTCTATCATTGTATATTACAGAGGCAGTGGTCAATTTAGAACGCTATGGCTGGCCCAGACAAGGACAGAAATTCTCGAGTGAAATTCATGAAGCGATGCAAGACATTAAAGGCTAAAGCTCACCAGCTGGCTGGCCTTTGCGGCGCCAATGTATATCTCTTCATTGATCACCAACGAGGCTCATTTGTCTATAACTCTGTCAATGATGGATCATGGCCTCCACCGGACGAAGTGCTGGTTAGTATTCTAAGATATTCCAACGCTTGGTGTAAGAAATACTAAATTGAGCCACCTGCAGGAACATCATTATCCAAACCTAGACCGTGCGGGCTTTAACGGAGTGGAACACTCTCCTGGACCTGCCACGGAAGAATTGGTAAACTCGCCAGAATCTTCCACGGGCGAAATGGACCGTGTTCCGAAACCTGCCACAAGTGAACTGAGACAGCTCCGTCAATATTTTGCCATGAGACTGCAACTGCTTTCATCATTGGGTAATTTCTACAAGGATAAGGATCTCACCCACGATATCACCCACGGGGGTGATTCAAATACTACGCGGTCAAACAGTCATTCCAAATAGGGATAGGCATTTCCTTCCCATGGATAGCTAAGATAAGCATGTCCTCTGTGGTGGACGTTTTAGCAAATTGAACGGCATTTAACAAGTTGAATCTCATACCATTGTAGTCTCACCTCTTTCATTTCTTGCTCGCTATCAACACTACTTCTATGTGTAATTTCCCCGCTTTATACGTAGGTTACTACTCCATCACCTCTTTACCCCTTTCTAGCGCTGCCAACTTATAAAGCCCTCACTCAATAAATGCACGAATATCAAAAAAGTAGGTAGTCACTCATTGTCAAAATGGCAACTCAACATCCTACCAATGGTACCGAGCATAACGGCGGACTATCATACGAATCACTCGAGACCCGTTATGTGCGGATGATGGTGGAAGCAGATAGGGTTCCCTGGCAATATAATATTATGGCTAGCGCAGCCCATTGGATCCTTCTTGCGGGATACTTAGTGGTCCCTGGCACATTTACATCGCTCCAAGCCTCTGATGAGGTCCACAGCAGCCTTTCAGGAAACAAAGCAGGCGCTTTAATTTTAAGCACTATTCAGAATCCCCCTCTTCTTGCGCTGGCAGCTGTGTTCTTTCTCTCGGGTATAACTATAATGGGATGGTTGTATTGGGAATATCAGTCGAATTACATTTGGCTTATTAGTCATATATTTTTGTTTGTTGCGAATCCCCTTCAGCCAACTATGAACTAATTTTGGTAGGCCTACCCTTCTGAATGCATCAGCTGGTCTTGTGACGACCCTCATCAGTTTATATACTGGTCATGGTGGAGATTGGTCAATTATGGCCCTCTTGACTGTGATTGCATCTGGTCTATCAATGGCATCTTCCCTCAGCCTGTTTGTCATTTATAGGTTCGGGATGCTTGGAAAACTGAAACAAGAACACGACCAGCTTATCTACCACCATAATCGTCCAATACATGCTTAAAGTCATAGCATTATGATAGCTATCCTCCTCTCATTCAGATGACAGAGCCAGGCAACGCATAATCTTTGATCCATGTTGGGAGGAGACACTAGGCCGCAAAAGCCGAGAAACATAGCCTTTGGTTCTATTTCTTCCCTTCCTTGCTGTCTCCATAAGCGTCAATGATCTCCGTTTTGTCTTTGTCTCGCCTCTCCCTCGAGTCATTGCCAACGTTTCTCGTTATTAGGTTATTGGCTTCCGCTTTCCTCTCTTCCTTCTTCTTTTGACGCTCCTCCTTGGAGCTGTTGCCTTGTTGCTTCATCTGTTCTCTTTGGCCAGGCGTAAAAAACGTTTTCGTCTTGTCTGACATTGTAATGACGGGATTTTGGGCCTGCTAAGCTCTTAGTTATTTCTAATCAAGCTTGCATCATTGATAGAAGACGTACCAAAGAGTAAATCAATGGAAGAATGAAAATTTCGTGATTGATTGCCTTTAGAAAAGCGGGTTTGGAAGAATCACCTTATGGAAAGAGAGAAGAGTTAATATTTAATCTCTGCTAATTTCGAAATTGGCAGATGATGTAGCAGTATTTATGGTCACAAAAAATCAGAAATGAAAGGAAGTTGTCAACTATTGGCCTCAGTAGTAAAACTGGGCGAATCGCCACCAATGCTAGAATCTAGGAGCGATTGGCCACCATGCATCGACCATTAAGCCGTCAAGACCCGGAATGCTTGACAGCGCCTACTGTACGTGGGCGCTAAGGAAGTTAACTAACCTGGAAACCCATGCCTAGATAACTGTATGAGGCTTCCGACTAATCAGAGGCTCGTATTATCCGGCCAGCCAATCAAATCTCAATATTTTGTGTCTAAGTTATTTCAGTCTGTGATCAGAGGGCGAATCGCCGCCAATAATGAAAGTTGCTAGTGTGATTGGCGCCTTTCTACCCCGTGAATGGGTAACGTGACATCATCTTTGAACTAATGTAAGTATGTTCATTCGGGTCTATATTGTTCCGGTCGCATGTCTTGCTACCTAATCGGCTGGTTCCCCTTTCTCTTGGTACCTAAATAACATCCTTACTTCGTCAAGAATTTCACTCTGACACTCTGCATATTTCTTCAACATTTCTGATTTCGTTTTGTCGCTTTCGTAAGATGAATCCACGATTGCCCTTCGATGATGCTGCCTGGGAAAAAAGCGACCAGATCGAAGACTACTGGCTAGATCTTCTCTTCGATGAAGACATCTATAATGAGATTGGAGTTTTTCTTGCTGAACATCATTGCCCTCGCCAATGGGCCGATTTCAAATTTTTCAAATCCGGCGGTTTCAACGCTAGCTTCCTTATGACATTCACGGATACCGATACTGGCGGCGCCGTTTTAAGACTCCCACTGCCTGGCGTTCATATGTTTCCTGAGGAAAAAGTTCGTAATGAGGCCTCCATCATGCAATTCATCACGGAAAGAACTTCACATACAATGCCGATTCCAGTTCCTATTGTCTCCCGCTGGGGAGAGAGAAACGAGAGCCCCTCAAATTTGGGTCCCTTTATAATCATGGGTTATATTGACCACGAGAGAAGTATATCTGACCTTCTCGAGACGCCGGGACGCCAATCAAAACAACGTCCAGAACTAAATCCGGAAATCAGCACAACAAAGCTAAAAGCCCTCTATAGAGAACTTGCCAATATTGTCTTTTCTCTATCTACACTATCTGCGAACCGGATTGGATCTCTAAAAAAGACCGGCAAATCAGCGTGGGAAGTGGCATATCGACCATTATCTATTTCTATGAACGAAATTGTGCGGCTAGGGACGCTACCTCGATCAAAACTCCCGACCGCGATGTACGATAGAGCGTCTTTATACTTTGAAGCCCTAGCAGAGCTGCACATTTCACACCTCAAACACCAAAGGAATAATGCTATAGACTCGGCCGACGACTGCCGGCGCAAGTTTGTCGCTAGATTCTTATTTCGGAAACTTATTCGAGATCGGGAGCTTAGGGACAAATGGATGTCTCATGAGCATGGCCCATTTCCAGTTTGGTGCGATGACTTCCGACCGCAGAATGTTATGGTCAATAAAGCTGAAAAAGTCGTCGGGGTGGTGGATTGGGAGTTTACGTACACCGCCCCAGTTGAATTTACTCATGCTCCACCCTGGTGGCTTCTTCTCGAAAAGCCAGAATATTGGACCAAAGGCCTTGACGACTGGTGTGCACAGTATGAGAGACGGCTTCAGATCTTCCTTCAGGCAATGATGGATTGCGAAGAGGACGCGTACCAGGCTCGGAAAGAACGACTCGAAGAAAGCCAGCGACTCTCTAGTCGGATGCGACATAGCTGGGAGAGCGGAGACTTTTGGATCATGTATGCTGCAAGGAACAATTTTGCCTTTGACGCCATCTATTGGAACAAGATCGATCAGCGATTCTTTGGGGACGATAAATCTGACGACAATATATGCGATATATGGAAGAAAAGACTTCATCTTTTGGGACCTGAAGAAAAGGAAATCATGGATGAATATGTGGATTTGAAGCTTCAGGAGAATGAGACAAGGCTTCTCTCTTGGGACCCAGATCAGTATACCCTAGATTATATGGCCAAGATGGAAGCATGATCGCTCTTGGATGACCTGGGAAATAAATATCCTGGTTTGCCACGTGCATTTAAATAGAGTGGGTGCTCTTGTATATGATGTTCCGTATTCAATCCAATTATTGTCGCTTACTGAGAAAGGTCACCCGCTTTGAAAGAAACAGTCGTGCCCTCAGATCGAACTCGCTGGCCATTTTTCTTTTTCAATTTGCAGAATTTCTCGAACGGCTGGTTTCAAAGCCTTGGCCCAGTGATCCCTCCCGAAAGACGCAGAAAAGCCCCAGGAGCTTTGTAGTAATGAAATCGCAAGATACAAAGAGGAAAGAGCGACTGTTGCCAGATTGCCCATTCAACGACTGCTATGTTTACAGAGTATGCATGGAATCCATTGAAGCTTACATCATACTTAGAGGGTCGCGAAGCGCCTTAAAAGATTGAGTGTCTGAAAAGGTAGCGATTGACATCAATAAGGAACAAATCAAGACAAATGCATATTTAATAGTGTCCACCCCAAAATTCCTGAGGCCCTGAAAATCAGCCATCTTTTAATTTTCCCGTTGCCATATTAAGGGGAAGCACCCCAATACGTTATTGTATCGAGGTAGTGGGGAATCAAGAACCAGGTGCGACCGTCTGGGCTCGCTTGTTGGAGAAAGGCGTGCTGAGAACCATCAGCTCAAATTGCTCATTTGGAAAATCTCTTACCTCGAATAAATACGAATAAGACGCCGACCCAAGTTGTTGAATAAAATGTCCCGCGAATATCGATAGATTGGGCCCAGGACTTTGCTGTTTGTCTTCATTTTTATCATGACTTGTAAGCCTATGCGCATGACCGAGCCGGATTATTAAATTAGCAACGCTTTCACGGTCTGACTGGATGCTAGTCTGACGATCGGTAATCATGGAGTCCCCGATATTGGCTGGTAGAATGAGTGTCAATCTAATACCATGATTTCAAGCCAAACTCACCTAGCTTGATGGTGCCATCAGGGCATAACAGAATGTTGTTGCTATCAACTTCGCCATAGGATATATGTAGCTGTTCATGTATAAACTTTAGGCCTAGGAGGACGCTTCGGCAGATACTTGCGAGCTCGGGCTCGTTTAGCTTGACAGCCGGGGTTGATATAACTTGCGAAAGGTTAACGGCAAACCCATGATAGTTATAAGCTAAGTAAATATGAGCATCGTTGTGAAATGCTTCTACCAAGCCAACGATATTCTCATGGAAGGCATGTTGTAGTTTTGGGAATTCAGTTTGCGGCTTTTCAATTTTCCTCTTCTTAATGAGGACAATTGAGAATCCATAGTAGTTCCCTACACTAAGCCAACCATTCCCAGCTTGTTCAATCTCCCAATTCAAGGAGTATTTCTCAGAAGGATGTCCTTGATGGGGAAATCCATGCCTTGGCGAGGATTTAAGATTAGATGGTAATGGACTGCGAGGATGAATTGAATGACACTCACTTTGCCAAAGCCATTCGTATATTGCTCATTCTCAACCCTTTTTAATCCCTTGTTTTGCGGCTAGAAAAGAAGGATGTTGACTTTGAGGCATTTCAGTTTATTGTTTAGATTATTTTGCTGGCTGTCTATATACGGTGTTATGCCGTGGCAATATCACTCACCCATCTTCTGGTATCAGAACCAGAACTGGGTCAATACTAACGATTGTTAGCAAAACTTAAACCTGAAGCAAAACCTGTACTTTAATTCTCTGCTTTTACTCTTTGCCGTATTTCTTTTGTTAAAAAACCCTCCAAAGCCCCAACGAAATTCACTAGACTTGAGTTCTCTAAATCATAATTCGATTTTTAAGGCTGCCTCTTGAGGACCAATATGGCACTTTTTACCGTCACACGTTATTTATCAGCCCCAGAAGTGATATATGGTTTAGTTGTTGTTCTAGCCCTTGTGGTATCTGCAGCATACCATTCTATGGTACATATCAGCTCTTTACTTTATTGTCGAATTCGTCCCTACCTATTGCGCCATGTAATTTACGCACGGTTCTACTGGAATTTTCTCGGCCTTGGGTCCATATCTAGGCTTCACTTGATTTTGGCCATATTTCATATTGCTGGGACTGGGGTATGCAACTTTGTCCAGGTTAACACTCTTCAAGCCGCAGGCAAAAGAGCCGCAAAGCTATCACTGATCAATTTGATCCCAATGTTTTTGGGTGGTAGCTACGAGTTTGGTGCTCGAATTCTTGGTGTTTCACTTTATTCATATGGATTTCTTCATCGCTCCTTTGCATTGGTGGCGCTCATCGAGGCTGTGACGCATGTTATCATAGTGATCCGCTTAAATTCAATCTCCTGGACAAACGAGACTCAATACTATGGGCTTTTGGTATGCAACCCCTCTGGTGATTTGTGCAAGTATTAAACATCAAGACAGACTACCTGCATGTTCTTGGCTCTGATTATTTTGCCACTGGTCAGGAAAAGGGTCTACGAAATATTCCTCTTGACTCACCTAGGATGCGCCATCACAATGATTTACGCAATTTGGCGGCACACTCGATTGACTGAAGGGCATGTATGGTTGTTTTCGTTATCATATTTATGCACCTTTGTTACGGCCGAAGTCTTACAAATGGCTCGCATCTTATATCGAAATGTGGTGATAGGAAGAAGAAGCCTTGTTCGAATGAGGCTATCGACGAATGTAGGTGAAATAGCTCGAATAACATTGTCATTGCCACGGCCATGGGCTATACGCGCTGGCCAACGTGTTAATCTAGGAGTGCCTCTTGTTGGAATCTTTTATCTTTTTCAATCCCATCCATTTGCAATAAGCTGGTGGGAAAATGACATGAAAGGCCGCGCAATATCAATCTCGATTTTGATTCGCCCCAGATACGGATTTACGAAGAGAGTGCTAGATCGCGTCGAGCCTAATATCGAGTGTTCGGCCTGGATTGATGGTCCCTTTGGTCCCGCCTCGATCGGGTCGAACTTAGCCGGTGCGATTGGTGACTATGGTCATATATTTATGGTTGCCACAGGGATCGGAATTGCCTCGCAGCTGCCATATATCAAAGAGCTCTTGGATGGCCATCATAGAGCAAAGGTTCGCACACGAAGGATCACGCTTGTATGGCAGCTAGATAAGGTTTTTGATTATGAAAGTGCGCGTGACTTATTACAAATGCTAGTGGCACAGGATAACAGCTATGTGAGTTACGTATCACGAGTACTGAAGGTTTATTAACTTTGACTTATAGATGCTCCGCGTTTTAGTATATAATCCTTTACAAGCTGTTAACGTTCGTGACATTGGAGAGACTGGACTTATAAAAGCGCACAGTGGCTATGCGAACTGGAAAACGTTATTACATCTCGAGATTGGAGATCGAGTGGGAAGGCTACTAGTGTCTGGTGAGTTTATTCTAAAACAATCATCACCAGCATGACTGATAAGGAATTAAGTCTCAGCACAGTCTCAAACTCGGCATGAGATCAGAAATACGGTCAGGAGTCAGGTGGATAAAGAGGTGGACTATTTTGAACCCGAGTTTCAACCTTGGGGTCAGACAGGGAGTTTACGTTCTTTTTTGAAGCCTTAGGCTTACTTTTTTTGTGTTGAAATCCAAATAAACTACTTTTAAGGTTGTCCAATGATGTAGATTTTCAGGTCAGCTGACCAGTATGGACCATATTACTCCACTTACAATCAGAACGAAAAGTAAGAGCAAGAGAACATGGAACGTCTGACATCTGGAGCTTTAGAGAGACAAGGAAAGGAAATGCTATCTAGCAAACGCTGGGAACCAACCAGGGAACTTCAAGGGACTCTGATAATATATAGGACCTTTTCTCTTCTTCTTCCTACATCTCTCTTACATCTCTCTGCCTACCACTGTTTCTTGTCATCTCAATATCTCTATCATTCTAGTTTGGTATGTGGAGAATGAAACTTGAATATGGAGCTCTTTATACAAATAACAATGCTAAGCTAGAATATCATCATGTCGTCGCCGTCTCTAGACCCGCGGCGTCCAAGTGAGACTCAGTCATACTGCCCCCGAGACCAAAATACAGTCTATTCTGCCCCTCACATCTCCTCCACATAAAAGGGAAGCTAATTATGTACAGGATGTACTGGTCCCCCTCTGGATTGGTGACTGGTTCTGTCCTTCCTTTCGACAGGAGGATGTCCCCCCTGTATGGACCCCGATGAGAGATCAGCTTGGATGCAGCATGGTCGACCCTCAGGGCGCAATTATCTGTGTCCCATGCGCACACCGGTTCGTTGAGCATGGTACTCACCCTGCATGGTGCCAGTTCACGAATATAATCAATGGAAGTCGCCAATCTAGCACTGTATGCGGTCAATGTAAGAAGGACGGATCGACATGTTTTCAATTTCATGTGGAGGAAAGGAGCATGGTTAGAACTGGCCTCTGGGCCTATTGGGCCTGGAATAATAACTTCGAGCCTGGTCTGTTTCCTGAGGCGCGGGTTGCAAAGGAGGTCCTTCAGGACTGGCTAGGGATGCTACAAGTTCCCGTTCGAATTCATGGATGTCACCTATGTGAGATGGCCGAGGAGGAGCGCGAAAATAAGCTTGAGGTCGCCCGATATGAGGTCACAGTGCAAGAGGCTGCCCACCATGAGGCTACACAGCATGAGGCTACACAGCATGAGGCTACACAGCATGAGGCTACACAGCATGAGGCTACACAGCATGAGGCTACACAGCATGAGGCTACACAGCATGAGGCCGACCTGTTTGAGGCTGCGCAGTATGAGGGTAACCAGTATGATGCCGAGGGTTATTGGCTTAGTGACCGCGTTGTCTAAGTGGTTATAACAACTTTTCTTATGACTAATTAGGGTATTACTTACCTGGCGTGACTGTTTGAGGTAGAACGGAGTTATAGAGAGAGCAAGTGGCATCCAATGCGCCCTCTGTCCTGATTTCAATAAGCTTTGTAATAATATCATCCATTGGAAGGGGCAGCTCGGCATTCGAAGTAAGCACCCGTGTGGAGGATTCTCGAACTTGACCGAGTTCAACGTCGGCATTCCAAGTCGTAGGGGTCTATGTCGGTGTATTGTTTTTTGGAATGAAGAGTCGGTAGACGTCTCGGAAGAACTGTATCATAGGACGGATAAAATCCATTATTGCGATACAAAGCAATGACGCATTAGAGGCGCGTGCCATTGACTTATACATGTCCACCAGGGCTGTGGAGGTCATGGGTTTTTTACTTGATTTAGCGTCTCTAGAAACACTAATTAATATCAAGCAAGTTCTTGGCACTCAACGGAACGGATTGTGGCCGATCAACGGAAAAGTCCATATCGCTACAGCTTATGAAGGGCTGCTTCTCAAAAGAGTTCGGTGACAGCGCCCGTGTTGATGATTTTCGAAGGGGGAACTTTTATGTGATTCGGCTTTTTCGTGAGATTCAAAAATACAAGAAGCTACCTATTTCACAGCTCATGCACCTAAGAACTAGTGATTTATAGTCTTTAAGCTCTCATAGTAAAATAAGTTGTAACTAAATCTTATACCTCAACAGCGATAAATCATTTGTACGATTTCATCGACTTGCTTCGTGACGTGCAATTCAGTTCCGATATAGAGAGCCCTCAATCTTACGAGCAAATTTCCGTTCCTGTCCTGGACTTCGCAAATCTCCTTTATTTCCAAAAGTGACTCGCCATTCCACTTGGTCGCTAATTTAGCAAAGAATTGCTCGGGAACAATTTCATGACCAACCAAAACCGCAATCTGAACGAACTTGCCAAGGTCACTGCTCAAGAAGTTTGGGTTGGTGATCCGTTTGCTGAGCTCTCCTGGTATCGAGTCTATGCAATGTATATTCCACATATCTTCAATAGCCATGGCTGCATGTTGAACTTGATCAATCGTGCTCAATAGGTCGGACACCCCATAGGCCTTGTGCCAAGCTAAGGTGAATGCTAGCGGAATAGTACATTTCAGGACATCGTGTGGCTTAGTGACAACGTTGTCTTAGTAGTTTTAGCGAACGTTGCTTTTGGATAGTTAGAGTAATTACTTACCTGTCATAGCTATCTGAGATGAGATGGAGCTAAAGTAGAGAGAAAGTGGCATCCAATGCGCCCTCTGTCCAAACTTCTGAATAATTGGCCTCAATACTCCTACCAGACGTCAAATCTTCGGTTAGCGAAGTAGATCAGTCTCGAGACCGTTAAGTACGATACCAGATTTGAAATTCAAAGCTAGGACAACCTCATGAATTGATCATTCACTGTTCTCATTTGGCTACCATCTTGTTGCTTTTATATTTCTTGACTGCCACTAGATTACCCACAGATGTAAGCATTATGGGGTCGGCGCGGCAATGACACTTTCGTCTTCTCGTTGATTCTGCGAACTGTACGATTTCGCACGGGATAGGCGAGATAGATTCAAGAATTCGACAGAATGGAATTCCTGGTCGATAGGTTATTCATGAAAAGCCGCGCGTCTCTAGTTGGCAAGTCACAATACTTGGCGGAATCTACAGCCCTAGGGCTTGAAATACTGAATCCTAAACCTTTTATGTGTTGAAATTGGATTGATTTGATTTAAGATAACACATGGGAATTTTCTCTATGGCCCAAATTTATTATTTGTTCAGTAGATAAACCTAGATCTATGAAGTGTGTCCTCTAAAGGTGTACAGTATTGAAATATTCCGACGCGGTATATGTTTAGTAAAACCCAAGAAGGTTAATTGCATAGCAGGTCCTTTATACTTAGGCCCTGCCGAGAGCTTCTTTTCACCCCCTGAAGTATCTCCTCTCTAGGTATGATTTGTGGATCGTCTTCAAGGGGCACTTCTTGCGGGCGCTTGGGCAGAGACTCAGAGCTGATTGCGTGGCCACTAGGGGCTAGATCGGGCTCGAAAGATTGATTCTGTCCTATCAAATACATCCGGTGATCATGAGACCCTCGGTCTGTATAATTTCGGCTGCCGTCTTGGTTGGCCATTAGCCTTTGGGCTGGATGGACGCTGTCTTGATGGGTGTTGTATTCGCTTATAAAAATGAAGGACTCGCAGTTGGCACTTGATTGATGACCTCTGCCATGGTTCAATAGATGGCGTCGTAGCGACCTCGGGGTTGCGAATCCTCGTCGTTTGCAGTTTTCGCGGTCGCATTTGAGTTTATCGTCTGGATGGAAGGTGTCTTGATGGACATTGCAACTACTTTGAGTGCTGAATAATCTGTCACACTTGAAGCATTTATGGGTTTTGCGCCCCCTATATGCCTGATTCTGATGGCGATCTGGAAGCCCTGGGTTTGCGGGTCCATCGCTTTCAGAGCCTTCGTGGTAAGATTTTAGCCTTTTTTCTGAATAAACGCTCTTTTGATTGACATTGTCTTCGCCTTGTTTGCTGTGGTGTAATAGATGGCGTTGTAGCGACCCTCGAGTAGCGAATCCATATCGTCGTTTGCAGTTTTCGCGGTCGCACTTGAGTTCGTCGTCTGGATGGAAGGTGTCTTGATGGTAATTGCAACTATTTTGAGCGCTGAATAATCTGTCACACTTAAAGCATTTATGGGTTTTGCGCGCCTTATATGCCTGACTCTGATGGCGATCTGGAGACCCTGGGTTTGCGGGTCCATCGCTTTCAGAGCCTTCGCGGTCAAAATTTAGCCTTTTTTCTGAATAAACGCTCTTTTGATTGATATTGTCTTCGCCTTGTTTGCTGTGGTGTAATAGATGGCGTTGTAGCGACCCTGGGGTTGCGTATCCATATCGTCGATTGCAGTTTTCGCGGTCGCATTTGAGTTCGTCGTCTGGATGGAAGGTGTCTTGATGGTAATTGCAAGTTCTTTGAGTGCTGAATAATCTGTCACACTTGAAACATTTATGGGTTTTGCGCCCCCTATATGCCTGACTCTGATGGCGATCTGGAAGCCCTGGGTTTGCGGGTCCATCGCTTTTAGAGCCTTCGCGGTCGGAATTTAGCCTTTTTTCTGAATAAACGCTCTTTTTATTGACATTGTCTTTGTCTTGTTTGCTGTGGTGTAATAGATGGCGTTGTAGCGACCCTGGGGTTGCGAATCCATATCGTCGATTGCAGTTTTCGCGGTCGCATTTGAGTTCGTCGTCTGGATGGAAGGTGTCTTGATGGTAATTGCAACTACTTTGAGTGCTGAATGATCTGTCACACTTGAAGCATTTATGGGTTTTGCGCCCCCTATATACCTGACTCTGATGGCGATCTGGAGACCCTGGGTTTGCGGGTCCATCGCTTTCAGCAAGCATATCCTTCAGATACATCGCTAGATGGCGATCTAGAGAGTCTTGGTCTGAAAATCCACAGATACGCTTGCAGCCTTTGTGGGGGCATTCTATATTTGTGTCTGGATGCACCGTATCTTGATGCCAATTGCGGGCGCGCATATTGGGGAACGATTTGTTGCAGTAAGAGCATCCAGCAGGCATATCCTTCGGATGCATCGCTAGATGGCGATCTAGAGAGTCTTGGTCTGAAAATCCACAGATACGCTTGCAGCCTTTGTGGGGGCATTCTATATTTGTGTCTGGATGCACCCTATCTTGATGCACATTGCGGGCGCGCATACTGGGGAACGATTTGTTGCAGTAAAAGCATCTAGAAGGCATATCCTTCCGATGCATCGCCAGATGGCGATCTAGAGACTGCTGGTGCGCGAATCCATAAGGTCGTTTGCACTTTTCGACATCGCATTTGAGTGTGTCGTCAGGATGGGCGGTGTCTTCATGAATGTTGCGATGTTGGACAGTAGCAAATGACTTCCCACAGGCGAGATCAAAGCAACTATGGGGTTCATCATTGCGATGAGTCACTAGATGATGGTGATGAAGACTGTGGTCGCCATAGTATTGGGGATTGTATTCGCGATGTTGAGGACCTTTTTCGCAAGAGAATGTCATCGCTAGCAAATCCAATGCGTATCTTAACTCGTGAGTGAGAATGCGGTGAGGGAATAAGGGCGAGGTTTGTAGAAGCTCAAGGAGATGCTTATCGAATTCCCATTCAAGCAATAGATTTTGGGGTTCCCATTGTAGTGGTGGAATAAGACCTTTTTGGGAACACAGAGGTGACATGATCGACAAGCTGGCACAAAGGAGCATCATATCAACTCTGCTACCAAGGTCAGTCTGTGATGCTCGGTCTGTTGGTGTTTGCCTGAATTTTGCATATGGTCCTTGAGTAGAAACCCTTTCCACCTGATAGAGTAGACGGTAAAGGTACTCTCGTAGATGCTCCTCTGTAATACTCAAATGAAAAGGGCTGTTTTCATTTATCCACTGATGGATAATCTCCCATGCTTTGTGTACATCCGTATTGGTCGCTTGCAAACTGCTATTTGCCGTCTGAAAAAATCGATCTGGACCAATATGAGGTTCCCAGTCCTCCTCTTTACGCCCAGCGATTTCTTGGAGCGGATGGTGGTCGGCTGGCAGTGGCTGTACGCAAGAGTGAAGAAGAACGAAAGATAGAATGAGAAGTAGCTGTGAGAATGAAAACCGGCTACTCATCATGTTTGTAGGGTAGATTGATGTGGATTGGAAGGGTTGATTCATTTTGATAAAACACGATATGCTTCAGGTTGGTATAGTAAGATGTAGAGGAAAGGAGAAACCAAAATCAGATGTAGGCTGTGGGTGCTAATCTATGTTCCTAAAATGGTATAGTGCAAACCGCGTACCCTAACTTATTCGTGGTAACCCTTATTCGTGGTAACCTGTAGGTAGCATTTGTTAATCTCATTCTTATCCTCTTTTCTCTATGTATCCAGCTCTAAGGAAATGCGTTATACCTACTTTTTGAATAATAAATGTAAAGGAAAGCTCAATTTACTACTTTCAAATGTTGCTTCATTTCATAGCTTCATAGCAGGGTATATAACCTGAAGAATTCCCGATAGATTTACTGTTCGAGGCCCAAGTCCCATGTTAAGATTCTTCCCCTATCGGCATGATTAAATTAAAAGAAAGCCAGGTTCCCCGAGATCGGTAATAGCTACATGACATATTCCAAGTCCAGAGACTCTTGCTAAGGTTCTCCTTCATCCGTTCCTCCCCTTGAATCTTTAAAATAACATTTCCAGTTCACTCATATCAACGGAGCTTCGGATTAAACGCAGCCACTGCCTCCTTTCCCATGCTTGTCGACATCACTTCAGAATATTTCAAGATTCTCCCCGACGTTCCTTTCGCCCCTTTCTGTCTAACTTCAACGGATAAGGTATCAATGACTGGCTTTGATTTTCCCTCCCGGTAGATGTAATTGATGGCCCAAACTTTGACAATCTCCAGATGGTTACTATTAGTGTCGCCCTCTGGTATTCCGGAATTTATATCTGCCCGAACGTTCATAGGGGCAGAATATTTCATATTTTCCCCCAACTGCGGAGCAACGACAATATTTCCGTCCCTTTGGCAGTGCCTCTCATCAGAAGGGCTTGTTAAGTGTTCTTCCCTTTCGTAGAAGCATGATTCTATTGTGTCCAGAAAGGGAAGTTTGCTCTGGACCCCTTAGCATAAATACCAAGTGAAATCAATGTAGTTTTCGTACCTTGAGGACAGATAAATACCGAGTAATTTGCATCGTTGTGGACGGCTGGTTCGACTGTTGAAAAAAATGATAGTAGTGTTGGTTGATAATCCCGATGTGATCGAGTATCCGTGGACCACAGTCAGAGAAGAGGATTTGGGGCTTCTAATATTATAATCATTATCAGGGGAAATATGCTGATCTACAAGGCCAGGTGTCTAGGATTCAGGCTACGTCAAAACCTGACCTATACTAACCATTTATGGATAATTATGTGACACCCCTATCACTATGGGCCAGACGTACGATTCTATATCTCAGTATAAGCTTTCTGGGTTTTTTTATTCAGAGCAATTTGACACCAATATTAAGTCTTGCGCTTGCAGTTACAGACGGGCATTTGAATAAATCCGGATGAACCTTCCTTAGATGGCATTCATTCACACAACAGATTATGTATACTCATAGGGTTATCACTAATCTCCTGGTGAGTTTCTATTCTCCCTTCAACATGCGTGCTCTCGCTATGCCTCCTGAAATGGCGATCCAAAGACTCCTGGTTTGCAAATCCATATGAACGCTGGCAATGCATGTATTCGCATTTCAATTCCGGGTTTGCGTGGCTCTTGTCTTGATGTTTATTGCGGACCCCTATAGTAGTATATGATTTTTGGCATTGGAAGCATTTGTGACGGCGGCCGTGGGCTTTGTGAGTCCTCTGCACATGGTAATATAGGGCTTCCTGGTCTCTGAATCCAATTCGACGTTTGCAGTTCTCGTAATTGCATTTGATCTCCGGATCTGCATGCTCCCGGTTTTGATGGACACGGCAGTTTCTTTGCAAGGTGAAACGCTTTTTGCAGTCGGGACATATGTTCGGTTTTTTCTCGGAATGCCTCGTGAGGTGGCCTTGAAAATATTCCTGGTCTGTAGATTTGTCTTCGCCATGCTCGCTAGAGTGTTCATGCCCGTCGGGGTCCATCATGATGATTATGACCTCGCTACTCTTATCTTTGGTTAGTGAGCTATTCCAAGCTTCAGATGGTTAAACATACAGTTCATGAGTTCCGCGTTAGTCTAAGGTATATGTGGGCGACTGTTTGATCGGAAGAATAGGGATATAAGACAACAAATTAAGAATGCATAAAATATGAGCCACAGGTACGGGATGCAGTCAAGGCTGTCATAAAAGGCGTCCATCATTGATTGTTCCTTTTTCTAAACTTGTTACTAGGCACTTCATTCGTTTTATAGTTTCTGAAATCAGCTAAAGCTTATTCAGACTCGTAGGAATTAAACTACGGCGAGTCTAGATTAGGAATAGTGATAGCTATAAGGGTTTTTATTAAGTGGCATAAAAGAAGCAAAAGAAGATGGGAAAGATTAAACTTTTTGGAACATGGTAAATCGGGTCATTTCAGCCTTACTACTTTAATACTTCTTAGTTTAAGATGAACTCTTATGAAAATAATATATAAAGATACTGTGTATAGTTGAGAAGTTCATCTGACATAAATCTTAATAGTGGCTCTTATCTTACTTCCTAGGCGAAAGAATGTAGTTCATTTATGAAGTAATAAAAATAGTAAATTAAAAGACCAAATACAACGAAGCGGGTCACACGTTAATTTGTTCTTCATGTTCCCGAAGAAGAAGGGTTAGATTCACTAGTTAAAAGGGAGGACAATAGATATTCATTACTTAAAGCAAAGAGAAAAAGATAGGCGAAGGAAACATAGACAGCCAGTACAGACGAAAGAAACAGTGAAAAGAAAGAAACCCAGTAACCATTTCAAATTCTAGACAGGTTGCCTAACACTCTGGTGACTTCGTAGAGCCCTGCGTTTGTCGTATCAAGTTGTAAATCATGCAAAACCGACGAGTTGATTCTGATGTCTCCAAGAGCCCGAACCTTTTGAATAGTAACCTCCTCAGGCTTATCAAGCCCTTCAGTAGTGGTTTCCTCGGTTCCTGGTGTTTGGCTTTCGAGACTTCGCGTGAAAGAAAGTACAACACGACGGGAACTATGCCAACATGCTGTTTCCACAATCTTGATCAACAGGGCAGACTTGAATTCGTTTTCTTGCCGCATGCCTGGGTGGATATTTTGCATCATCAACTCCAAGAAATCTGCGTTGTTTTCTGTGTAAGCAACTGCGATTGCAGCTTTGCACCAATTACTGTAGCTCATATGTTTTATGCATGTGTACCAATTGTCATAGCTCATATGCTCCATGCATGTTTGAAACCATTGTGCATTCCATGTGCACTTTGGGATGAGCTCTTCAAATGTTTTCTTAAAAAATAGATGTTCTCTTTCTTTCTCTCCCTTCTCCTTGAGCGCAAGGCAAAAGGTCACCATGTTGGCTTCTTTTGGCACGCCAAAAATATATTGGTGGCATTGATCGCAATTTGAAATTTCGTGTTGGAGTAGCTCGTATGAATCGTCTCGGTTGTCGATTATGTTTTCACAGGCACGATCGTCCCATTTCATTTTCCATAAACCTAGCAGCTCTATCTTAAGCGAAGCATTATATTTTTCGGATTTCTCTAGATCTTGAAGCTCATGGGCTGCATCGTGCGAACCAAGGGGAGTCCGGAGAAAATCGGCAATGATGGCTTCGATTTCTGACAAGGGGAGTTCGTCAACTTCCAAAGTGTTGTTATGAGAAGGCATCTGGATAGTCATAAGATGTTAGTTGTGTAGATCTTTTTTTTATATTTTGCTCACGTCAACTTGAACTTTCCATGGATCTTTCAGATTGGACTCTATACGTACTGGATATAAAGGAATTTTATTGTAATCAAAGGAACGTTTGCTAAAGGAGTTCAGGGACAGCACCGGAGCTGGGAATTCTTGAAAGGCTGGGTTTGGAACTTTTCCGAGCTCAAGGTCGTTCATAGGGGTCTCTTTCGGTGTATATCTGATGCGAGTAATGAACTCGTAGACGTTTTGAAAGAAGTGTTTCATAAAACGGAGGAAAGCCATCATTATATAGGAAAGTAATGATTTATAAGTGGCGCGTATTATCTTCAGGTTCAAACGGCCCTATGATATCCTTGATTGTTTTTTTGCTTAAAGTCAAAGGGAGCTCTTGGACTCCTTATTTGCATTCGTGTAAGTTCCGGCATTGTGTAGACACTATTGCTAATCATGAATTAAAAAACAGTGCCTCAGGCCATTTAGGCAACAAAGGTATTGCGTGACTTTTTGGGGCTAGGAGTAGCTGACATTTGTGATGCTAGCTCTTTCTAAGTGGTCTGAATCCAAGCACAAAAAAGCTAGTCTAGATTAGGGAGACAATATGTTACGGTGATACCGCTTACTCGAAGGATTAAATAAACTAGCGTAGAGCAAATTGCTAGTACCTCAAAAATAATAGCTAATTGGAAATTTGATGGGTATTGGTGGTAGATAGTTCTCTTCATTTCATTGAATACATACATCGATCTTTGGTACTAGAAATGGAAGTAAGAACAGAAACATGACTGGAATCTTAAGCCCTGTGATGCCTAGTAAACACTTGCGAATTGCCCAAGTAATTGATGGTACATGATACAGGGCCTATTCCGAGCTTGGTTCCAGATTTTGATACTAGCGCGAAATGTGTAGAGTTGGGTAAATCCGGAGATTTCCATATCATTACAACGATATGTATCATCCTCGATTTGCTGTTCTGTTTCCCAAAAAACATGCTGCGGCTTTTGGAGTTCGGATGGGGGTTCATCGACAATGATAAATGTAAAAGATATCACTAAAATTGACCTCCCTTTCTCGCTACTTTTGTCGAGAGAGAAGATGCATCGTGGCGCGAATGTTGAGGGAGTGTAACCGAATTGTTCTTCAAATTGTCGTCTGGCAGTATGAAGCAAGGAATAATCCATATTTGCATCGTAACTTCCACGTGCACTTCCTCGGGTTTTATCCTCCTTGAAAAACATAGAGCCCGCAAGATATTTGGTGTTGTCAAGATTGGGGAGCCCAGGAAGCTGTATATACTTCGGACTTTTGTTCACATCGATTGTAGATATTTCTTGTGGGTATCGAAAGGCTCGATGGCGCAATATAGTGTCAATTTCGTCCATCGTTGCACGGCTTAGGTATTGAAACTCAATGGTTCGCTTGCTTGGTGAAATTCAAAGTATTGGGAATCAAGGTAATATATAACAATCTTTGCATCCTGAATGTGAAATCATGTGATAACATATTCCGTTTCATATTGAACATTATATTTCGGAAATAGAAGCATAGTTATGCCATTGATACCGGTAGGAGCCCGGGCTTTTAATCATCTATACAAAGTGTTTTGGGGGTAGTATAAGACGTAGTTTAGGATTAGTCAATGTAGAGAGCAAAGAGTGAGGATAAGGTGTAATGAAAGCTGCACAGACTTTCCTACCACAGAGCAAGATTGAAGGAGTGCATAATAGTCAAATCTTTCAAAACGTATATGCCTATAGCACAAGACCCGGCTTCTTTGATACTCCATATCCTTTAACCCCTCTTTGTTCATGAAAGCAGCCGAAGACAATATGATGGAATTAGAGTTAAGGTTTAGCGGTTTTCTATTTTCACAGGATTCAGAAAGCTTTCCAGCGCTTGTTTTGCTGTAACAAAATCTCCTCGCCAGCAGCCTAGTATTATATCACCATGCGGGATCTTGGTGACATCTGGATACTCATGGTTTCTATATCGCCTTTCTATCTCAAAGTCAACCACCTCGTGCTGTCGTTTAATATGTGCTTTGATAGCACCGGGGTCATTTGATTCAAGCACGTTCAACTCGCTGTATGGTGCTTTACCAGTGACTAACTCATAGAGAGTTGACCCCATAGCAAAGATATCAGAGATTTCCGTATTCGGCAGGTCGTAATCCCGAGGCAAACAATGCGATGCTTTTTCATAACCAAGCGCTGGATGCCTAGGGCATTGTGCAAAATTGAAATCCCCCAACCGTAGGTCGAGATTATCGTCAACGAAAAATTGCCGTAATGCCAAATCGGAATGGATGATGTCCAAAGAGTGTATAACAACAATAGCCTCAATTATCTGTTGGAACCACTTCGACTGAAGCTCAGAGGTGATGGAATTGCGCTGGTTATAAGCAGCAAGGTCACCATGAGGGTAATACTTGATGTCGACATGCTGACCGTGGCTACCCATAGACATACATTCGGCAATGCGTGCATGAGGGCCAATAGCTTCATATATCATAGCTTCGCGGATGATCGATTGTATATCTTCATCACTACGAGGTAGCTTTCTGATAATCTTTCCACCCAGGAGATGGACTTCAGCAGATATCCCGATAATCAAAAGCTGCGATTTGCCCAAGCTGCTAATATGGTCGGCCGAAGATGGCTGATTGAGCTGCCGATTGAAGTCAGTGGCGTCAAATATTGTGACCTCTTCGACTTACAGGTGCACGCTCTTCATCATTCTGAATTGCTCCCTGGCCTCCCGTTGAGGGGCATATAGAAAAAATACGCCGCCGTAGGCATGCTATGTGCTTTAAAAGCCCGAAAGGGAGACGCCAAAACCAATTCCATTCTTTCCAATTCCAAAAAAATCTCATATTGATAAAAGATACAGCAAACAGCCAGTTGAATCAGACGTTTAGAGAAAAGTAGGTAGAAAGCTCGGTGGCGAACAAGGGGTCCTTGATCACACACGTGACGCATCACATGATTTCATTATATCCCCTTTTTTGTTATTAACTGGCCATGCTGCGTGAACCTTCGGAAAGAAAGACAATGATCAATAAATCCGATTGGAGAACTTCACATCGCAGAACATAGAATAAATCAATCATAAACCTAAATATCCCGTATAAGTCATTTGAAAATTCAAGATGGAACAATATGATAGCAAATACCTATCAAGGTAGATTCTTATCACTTGGCCCAGTCTGGCAAAGGGGTCTTCTTTTGTCGACTAGATCCCGATGCAACGAATTTGTAGTTGGGGCATTCCGCGATTTTTCCCGATGCGGGCTTTTTAGTGCATTCGACGATCTTCGTCTCCACCTCATTCTTCCCACCTACTATTTTGGTGATATGGTACTCGGTGCACATTTTCAAATGCTTTTAGGTTCAGTATAGCCGATTCATAGGCAGAGGAAAAGAAAGCCTTACAAAAAATGGTAGGATAAGCGTTAGAAGCTGGCTGACTGGATATTTCAAAGGATGTAGTGTAATATTTATATTCCGCTGTGGAGCTCTAGCACATTTTAGTATATGCAAAGCGCTTTTCTTAGCGTAAAACATAATTTAACAAACTTATCTATTCAACGTGCTCACATCAGATACTTCCCTTTATTATGTATCAACGCTAAATGAAGCGAACCAAGAGGAAGTGAGCACCACACGCTGAAAGTACTAGTAACTTAGGAAGAATTCTACGGCGAATCAATAAATAGGTTGACAGTGCCTCAATCAGTAGACTATTTAGTATATCGCACGGACCGGTTTTTTGTTTGCCCTCTTCTACGTCCCATGACCCCCCTTCCTCTATTCAGGGACAGGGATTAATTCCCACACTAGGAAACTTGCCACCTGGAGGCTTAATTTAGATTATCTATTGAGGCTGTCAGTAAAAGGCCGAGGAGGGCGATGCGCTAGATACCACTCATACAGAATAGGCTATAGATGATTATAAGTCGAAAAGGAACTAGGTCTTTTAGTGGCTGTAGGTATTTATCTGCACTTCCTATACATCTGGTAAGTGGCCAATGCCTTGGCCCACGCAATTTCAATCTCGCCAATCATTTTTCAGGACGGTTAAAAGACATGTGATAATGAATGGCGGCGCTAGCAACTCGAATTCTATTGGTCATCCTTTCATGTCTTGTGTTTCCTAATCGATGGACCGCCGATCTTGCCCGAAAATGGATCCGTGCAATGAGCGTTTGCAAAAGCAGTTTAGCGCTATATAATCAGGAAGAATAGCAGGACCAATGAGCGCCAGGTGAAAGCAGCAGGCACCTCGCCGACTAGAATGAAGCACCGAAGATGAAAGTAGGACTTTCGTTTATATGCACTATCGTTTTAGTGAGACAAAGTAGGTGAGGTTTGTGAAAGCATAGAATATTTTAAACCGATGAACATGTCGATCGAAAGAATCGAATGGGCGAGCTTTGAGTAAGGGATAAAAATGACGAAAGCAATGTTCCTAGTAGAAGAGCGGTGGATTCAGGGGTGGTCAAAAGAGACAATAAGAAGGTGGGCGACTATCCTTGTTATAGGTATGACTTTCTGGTTTATTCGTGGGTACCCTATAGTAGGTACTTCGTACTTGACAAGGGGCTAGATTGCCAATCAACCCCCAGGTGCATTGCACGGGCCGTTCCAAGTCGCCCCTTACTCCCCCGCACGCTCTATCTGTAGCCGGATCAACATTCAATCCTCAATTAGGCTCCAGCACCATTACAATTCGCAGCCTTTGGTTATTTTCCTGAATATAAACATCATGACATTTGAGCGTCGATATTCTTTTCGTGGAGATGATACTGCTTATATCAAGCATCTTGAGTCACGGGTTTTGGAGTTGGAGCGAAAACTCCCCCAATCACTACAGCGAGCATCCCGCGACAAAGAACAGCCAGACACGATCAACACATGTCCATTTTGTGAGAAATGTGGAAACAACACTGGTGCCGAGACGAATCTTAGCACAGAGCCACAAGACAGACTGGCCTCGGGAGACGATCAATCCTTGATCCCTGCGACAGGACTAGCTACGACATTGAGCGACCGTTTGGGGAATGCCTCTGACGCTCGGTCAACAGCGGCAGCGAGCGGGAATCGAGAAGGGGAGTCAAGTCGAAGTGATCAAGGCACCAGAGATGGTAATGTTGATTTTATTCTATGGAATCCTCATGTCGAATCGCAAAAGCACCGAAATGAGCCCAGCAAATACAGAATGCATGAAACTTTGCGCTTGAAGAATTTTATAGCCTCCGTGAGCGAACTACCGATATCTAAACATTGGAAAAAATGGTACTCAGGGAGAAGTGACACCCACTGGCGGGATATATGTGGGTTCACATTGGATTTGCCAATGATTCCCGCGAAGCTACCAACGGTCTCATCGTCTGCGGCGACCACGCCTACATCCACGGATTCACTCACGCCTTCACTCACGCCTTCTCCCACGCCTTCACCCACGCCTACATCCACGCATACTTCCCAGTCCTCACACACGCCTACGCCCATAGAAATTTTGCTCTCAGGTCACATCTCGTCATTAGAATCATTGGAAAACACAGAGCGTAATAATGCATGCTTTCGAAGGCTTGTACTCTGTTCCGCATGTGTAGTCGCTTTGGAAACCACCCATGTTGGCTTTCAAGAGGACGTATACAAAGTCATGAGACGAATTTTTGAATCCAACGCTTCCAAAGACCGGCTTCAAGCACTGGGTCGTGGTGCCAAATGGATCAACCAAGCCATTTCTTCTTTGTCAAGCACCGAATGGGAGTTGCGGAGCTGGGATATCCCTTTGCTTGGTACGAGACCAATTTCTAATGATTAGACGTCACTAACGTTCCAAGTCGGCTATAGTCTTGATTGCTACCTCCGGTTCTCTGGCTGCTCGTTTCAGCCAGAAGAACTCCGTGAAGGAGTGGAACAAAGTCTATCTAGGAGTCGCAACATAAGAGAGTATCTTAAAGTGTCTCCCAAAGCATCGGTGGTTGCTCCCATTCCTCTTCTTGTAGAGATAGTGCTTCAAAAAACGGTTTCGTAAGTCAAGTTACTCTCTATGCTTCGTGAATTCCCGCTGATATATCGCTTATTAGGTTAGAGACGATCTGCAACCATCTTGGCTGTGATCTCGCGCTACTTGAAAAATTACGGCATAGTACCTTATCCCACGACCAGACCCTAGCCAATAACGATTTCGTCATCGCGCACTATACTCCGCCAGTACGCAAAACTTCGTCCAAGTCTCACGCTCCATCGAGACAAAATAAAAGACGAAAGAAAACTCCATTCGTGCCGGACAGGCGTCATGCCTCTAAATGTAATAATATACCAACCCTAATTTTCGAAAGACTGGGCTAACTTTTGTACGTCATGGCTCGAAATAGCTCCAATACTTGAGAATTGTATTTCATCTGGCCAACCGTCACCCGAATCAATAACTCAAGGCTGCCATAGTAGTCCGCGCAGAGGTATTTTAGACACTATGGCTGGAAAACCATTATCTAATGAGAGGAGAACAACCCACGCTTCAGTGGCAGATAAAGAAAATACACATGACCGGACGAGCATTGCACAGTCTGAGTATAACCATTCAAATCCAGCAGAATGGGGCCCAGTGCCGCCCATTGAAATTCTAAGAGATTTAAGCGGCATCCAGAATGGCAGAGACACTTATGTTCAACTTGAGGGAACATTTTACGGCCCACAGCTCGATAGTATTGCGGAACAGACCGACCAAGAGAGGACACGCTTCAACCCGTTAACAAGTAATGCGTTGTTCAATCCCTTTCTAGACTCCCAGCTTAACAACATCCAGCTCGACCAACTCAACAACTCACAGCTTGATAACATCGCAAGGGAGACAGACCAGGAGAGGACACGCTTCAACCCGTTAGCAAGCAACGCGTTGTTCAATCCCTTTCCAGATTCCCAGCTTGACAACATTCAACTCGACAACATCCAGCTCAACAATCTCCAGCTCGACAGTCTCCAGCTTGACAACATCCAGCTTGATAACATCCAGCTTGATAACATCCAGCTTGATAACATCCAGCTTGATAACATCGCAAGGGAGACAGACCAGGAGAGGACACGCTTCAACCCGTTAGCAAGCAACGCGTTGTTCAATCCCTTTTCAGACTCCCAGCTTGACAACATCCAGCTCGACAACATTCAGCTCGATAACTCCCAACTCGACAACATCCAGCTCTATAACTCCCAGCTCGACAACATCCAGCTCTATAACTCCCAGCTCGACAACTCTCAGCTTGATAACATCGCAAGGGAGACAGACCAGGAGAGGACACGCTTCAACCCGTTAGCTAGCAATGCGGTGTTCAGTCCATTTTCCAGTTCTCCGCTCGCTAACACCTCGTCATCCCTTGGTCCGACCGGAACTGACTTTGCGATTGGTGAAATTCATTAGCCTTGAGGGGGTGTCCCAGTTCAAATGTATCAAGTCATCTATGCATTTAGATTGAGTGAGCAGGATACAGGTACAGAAATTATACAATGCATAGATTCGAAAAGAAAACATTTTCAAGAAGCCCAATTTCCTGCGATGCAAATTAGGGTAGAATGACAATCAGACAATCTAATTGTGCGTCAAGGTCCAGAGTCTTTGTGATCTTAGTATAGGTTCCTGGTTCGAGGACTTCACCGGCGACTTGGACGTCTCCGGACAGAGGGAAGAATAATAACGTTCGACCATCATCATGTTTCTCAATCGAAGCCTTACCGCATATCCGCAACAGCAAAGCGCCATGGCCCTGATTAAGTTAGCAACGCTTCAGTATTAATTTCTTGACAGTGACTTGGCCTTCTACCCTTGTGGCATATCCCAGCTGCTCCATTAAAGGTCGGGCTTCTATTTCACGAGCCTCGTCCACACATTCCAAAAGATTCTTTTCTCTATTATACTCCTTCATATCGGCGCTCCGGACCCATGCTGCTAGTCTCTCAAGTGCGGGCAAGGCATCAGCTTTGATATTGGTCGGCATAACTAACTGGGCGTGGCTTAGGAAACGCTGGAGGGAAGAACAAGCTGTCAGCCTTAACCATCTACAAAGCCGATAAGGTGGGCTGTTACCTGCAGTCAAGTTGGTTTAGTGCGAATAATGACCATAGACGCGATAGTTGAGTGTGTGAAGTATAACGAAGAGCCCACAGCGGCGGGGTAAAGGGAGGTGGGGTGGTTTAATGCCCGACCTTAGTTCCGGCAATGGAATAACCAATATCCGAAGGCGCGTTTAGTCAGATGTCGAAGCTTAAACCAATATATCGCTATAGAATCATCTCACTAACCCATGATTTATCTTTTCGTATTGTCGCATCATGTCGCATCATAGAATGATAAGTCTATGAAGGGGGTTTCAGCTAATGTTGTGACAATAGCAGCCGAAGCCAGCAACCTTCCGACATGGCCGTCGGCATCGGCATCACTATTGTTCCGTCGGCGTCCAACCTGCTCTCACCAATTATGAGCTATTGTTGGTATTGAGTTAATGGAAAGCTCCAGGGGCTCTAAACCGCATCTTCCACACCAGATAATAGGGAAGGATTTAAGTCCAGGAATTGGGGGGAAAGACCATCTAAAGGGATCATGTTCACCCCAGGACAATAGACCATACCAAGGCTAGTCACTGTTCAATCAGCACGGTGCTTCTCTACCAAGTCAAATCAAGTAGGGCAGTGCAACGACTAACTGATTGATAACTAGAACAAAATTTCATGATTCCATTGAAGTAAGTGAATGGCTGCTCTATACAATAGCCCCCTGGCTACCCCTATAGCTGCTCATCAGCAGCCGGTTTTTTTGGTGTAGTGTAAATACTTCCGCCGAACGCGAGAGTTCAACTAAAACCTCCTCAGCCGACATTAGAAAGACTTTCCCTCTCATTTTCGAGGGCCATATATCAACTCTATACCATTGCCACATTTCACTCGCCTCTTCGTTCATCATTAACGAACTTTTAACATCGTCGTCTACCATGTTTATAGGAAAGTCTGTCTCAACATCGGGGTCTTCAGAATTCAAAATAAATCCATCCCAACTATCAAAAAACCCTAGGCTGCGCAGGAAGGCTGGCCTATTGAAATTTGATAGTGGGTTCAGCGATGAATGGATTAGCTCGATGATATGGGGAGGTCGGAGGAGCTGAAAAATGCGGTGTGTGATGATACTCCAGATTTCGAATTCAGTTTCCCATTGAAGACCAAAATAATCGTTTATGTCTTCTTCAAACCAAGAGTCAATGCTAGAAGCTGGAAAGGCTTTACTTCCAAGAAAGCACCACACAAAATCAACAATCTCCACGATGTCAATCTTGTCTTGCAGAGGCCTCTGTGGGTTGTTTATGCATTTCTCTCGAGCTGAGTTAAAAGCATCTTCGAATTTTTCACCATCTGGCCAAACCTGGGTCTTGACCTGCCATAGGCTCTCTATAGATAGCCAATGTGTCGTTAATGCTTTATAGAAGCGTGGATACGGGACTTTTTCTCGATCTGGAGTTGACCCACGTACGCAAGCAGCCAGGTTTTGCAAACTTGGTAAATCAAATTCCTGGGGATCAATCTCTATGTCGAACTCTGGATCCTCCGCGATACCGGATAAAAGCGTAGAGCTCATAAAGAATGTAGATATGGTCTCATCACAGTAACAATCGAAAAGGAAACGCATGAGATGCCATCGGCACACGATATCCCAAACAACCTCCGCAGGTAAGTTCATGTCTTGCTCTAGCGGTTCTAGATTGTCAATGTGCCAGTTACGACGCTTGTAATTTCTCGGGATATTTGGTGTTCTGTAAAATTCTGCCGAGAATCGTTCATGATAACGAATTGCCTGGTGAAGCTGTAGATCCATTTGATGCTGTGGCGCGTGTAGCTAATGAGTAGTTAGCGCATCGCCAATGGTATTATAATTAATGCGTTCGTACAATGATTGATCTGAAGATCTTCAAGCGTACATTAGTAGAGTTGAAGACTGTATAGAAGTATCTGCAGCAACGGGCCAAATGCAAGACATCATCAATATTATCGAGTAATTCAAAAAACCAAAGGACGATTTCAAAGGGTAGCTCATGCTGATGCATTTTGTCGATTTAATGATGTACACTAGGCGAGACGCAGGACGGCTTTAAAATCGCAGGACGGCTTTTTAAATTCCGACCCGAAGTTTGGCCCCTTAAAAAGAAAGAAGGGCCTAGCTCGAGCTTGAAAAGGTTAACCAATTGATTATGTTAGGAAAGCTTAGGCCGCCGGGGGAAACGGGCACGAAATGGTAATAAATTCGAAAATCATTCTATTTGGTCCCCAATCAGACCCCATTCCATCAAAGGCTGTGCAGATGCCAAGATGCTTGCTGTTTCACGAAGGAGATCGTGGCCCAATGATCTTCTCCTTTTGCTCAGCTAAGAGGGTCAATGCGGCCATCGCCTGACGGGGTGAGAAATCACCCCCTCATTGCCTGCTTCTCACCCTAACTATTGCGCACTCACCCTTCTCACCCCTGGTCGCGCGACGCTAAAGCGGCTCTCACCCACTTCTCACCCTAGCGACACCCACCGAACTACTGGCCGCATTTAAGCCACACGCCGGTTAGTTAGTAGTATGGTGGGTGACCACATGCGAATCCTAACTGTTGTATGTTCTTTTTTGTTCCCACAGTTGTTTTCATTTAATCAAGTGCGTACTTTGTAGATAGAACTTGAGAATTTGGGAACTGGGCGAGAGAAGTGAGAACGCGATAGTTTAGAGCTCTTCTTCTACGAACATATCAAGTTTTAAAAAGGTTTAAGGAATTTTGAGGGGCGTTCAAATACAGCTAAGCTGTCAAAGAACTGCAGGCTAGCAGTAAATTGTACATACAGTACTCGGCTCGGGTAAAGTCATAGAGGAATGGCCTACATCAATTGTACACCCTCTAGATCAGAATTCCGACCCTGTATTGCACGGGCTCATTTGCCTAGCTCTAGATAAAGAGTTATATATAACGCATTCCTGCGCCTCTCCCATCTGAGTTTCACCCGTGGTTGCCCCGATTTCTTGTGAAATCTGCACCGGTTGGTGTTGTGGTTTTGTGCTGCTGAGTCGACCGGCGCACTGGGCACCAATTGCGCTGCGAGTGTTTCCCTCTTCACTATGTGGTTATTATTAGGACATCGTTGTCAGAAAATATTTTCTCCTCCCAGGCTGTCGACTTTGTTCGCGTAGCCGATTGGCTCGTGGATTACATGCCAACTCGGGTATAGGGTCACGGTGATCGGTTCGTCTAGACGAAGCTGATGCAACGATGGTTGAAATACGGGTGTCTGCAGAAACCTTTTTAGGCCCCATGAGGCTACACTGAGAGATAAGAGATAGAGGGAGTTGATGCTGGTCAGACAAGGTTATCGTAAGCGACCCACTGGGCTTAGGTATTGGGGTCTGGAAAACAATCGATGCATCCAACGTGAACCCTGATTATCTCGGTACTATTCCTGCCTAGATGGCTCCATCCACCACCTGTCCGTCAGCCGCACTAGATCGACCCTATATGCAGTAGCCACTGGGAACTCCCGACGAGCCTCCTGTGACATTGATTGGGGCGTGGCATACGTGTGCCAAGTCCCTGGTTTATGATAAATCATTCAGGATGGAATACTTGGCTATTGCTTTTTTCCATCGCCAAGCTGGGGTCAGGCTTATGGTGTTTCACTCTGATCTGTATATTTGGACGATGAGACTTACGGCCCGTGATTGGTGATGGGCTGCAGGTCGCCGCTGCCTGTACTTCCATCCGTGAAAACGGCATTATCCTTGATTATAGGGAGAACATCCAAAGTCTAGTCCACAAAAGGAGAATATTTAAACATGACAGGGAGCTCTGCTTGGAGGAGCTCACAGAGGAACTTGTCTTAGGAACCAGTCGCGATGTCTAATGGTACTCATATTTACATAGGCGTCTGGACTGACTGGTCTCAGGGTCAGATTTGTGGAGCAACATTGACATTGTCGCAACTAAATGCTGGAATTTTGATTTCCTTCTTAGCTCTCCTCGCGACCTCTGCCGGCGGATTGTTCTGGAGTATTGTCGCCTTCTCAATCCATCAATCAAACACAACACCAGATGGGGAAATAAAGGATGCCCTCCAGACCTTCCGTCAGCTCATTTTCCGCAATAAAGCTGCGATAACCGCAGCCTGGGCGTTTCTGAAGCTTCCATCCACTAATAAGGACACGCCAAAGCGCTTCTGGCGGTCCATCCCTTTTGCAATATTACCCATCCTCATTCTCCTTATTTTTGGTGTCTTGAGTCTTTGCACAAGCTATATTTCCAAGCAGGACAAGCGACTTTACTCTGATCGTCAGTTCGGACTGTGGAGGATTCAAGGTTGACACACTTTCCGAGGCATTGAATCCTTTAAACACGAAAATTCTTTTGGATACTTACGATGCGGCCACATACGTCCGTGAATGCTACCAAAAAAACCCAGAAGGGCTAAGCTGTGGTACATTTGTCCGCCCAAACTTGTATTTTTCTACAAATTCGAACGCATCTTGCCCTTTCGGAGACAACCTATGCGCCTACAATGATCCATCTGCATTTCAAATGGATACTGGCCACTTGGACTCACGCCTAGACTTTGGAATCAACGCGCCGCCCCAGAAAATAATCAAGTTCCGACGAGTCTCTACCTGCGCGCCAATACATCATCGGTCTAGCTTGACTACGGTAGTGAACGACACGCAAGAGGTGTTGATCTTTGTCAATTCCGGGCCTCAAAGTAACATGAGGCTTAACTACACATTTATTTACACCCCAGTTCCAAACTGGTCTGGAGTAGGGTACTTGTTGAGGTGAGTGATGGGAGCCACAGAATGAAAGACGAATTCAAACTAAAAATTGTAGCGCCATGTCCGCTAGCGCCGATCCCAGAGGCGCTCTGCATGCTGAGGGCATCCCATGGCAACCAGATTCAGTTTTGAATCAAACTGATTCTGATATCACTCTGATGATGCTGAGCCAAAACGACATATCGTATGTTGAGCGTAGTGACAATCCTTCGATCACGGCTCAGGCAGAGGTCGAAACCAATACTACGATACCAGGAACCAATATTAACGTCACTTTGTGGCTTAAAAGCTATGAGATAAGCCTTTTGGGCTGCGTAGACCAATACCAGGTATGCAATCCGAACATGCCGGGTGACTCCGGATGCACCACACCGAGTGGTCTCTTGAGCGCGGCCAACCAGGCCTACACAACCAAAATCAAACAGCTAGGTTTCAACTCCGAACAGACTGCTACCACCTCACGATTCCTCAATTGGCCGGTTGACAGGAGTATGTATTCCAACGTGGATGGCCGAGGAGGCGCGGCCCTGAATGGTAAGTTAAGGCAGCGACCTAGTCACACAAGGCTCAACTGGACGCTAAAGGCCTGTCTTTCTACTATAGCTGCAATGATGACTTACCAAAATATACAAACTCATGTTCCCGCAAATCAATGGCAAATAGAAGTATCGACCTGATTCGCAACATCTCTCGCCAAAGAGCAAACCGCGGTCCTCGAATGGGCCACGACGCCAAAGAATCTCCCCTCTACAGGATGGCACCACACCGCACCTACCGTTAGCCTCCTACGCTCTCAGTGCCATTCCCAACTCGTGCCCAGAGGTCCAGGATACCAGAACTTTTCAATCTTGGGACTAATCATCACAGTTGTATTCTGTGGGGTGATTGCAATATTGGGATTGAACAATCGATATGGTAGTGGGTCGGCTGCGGCGGGAGAATTCAAGGTACAAGCAAGTCTAGTGGGATTTGGAGGAGACTTTGGCCCTATATAAGGCAGCATTCCAGAGCCATGGCCTTTTGCAAGATGGCCCAGCAAGGATGAAGCCTAGTTCTGCTCTCCTGGATTCGAATGACAAATTTCCTCTCGTTGGGGTGAAGCAACCGACAGCGGGGTCCGCGCCAGTAGATACTCATGATTCATAGGTTTGGTCAGTGGCATCTTGAGCTGTACCAGCTAAGAGGAAGTTGTCAAGTCAAGTATTGAAGCTCCGAATTAATATGTATGTGTGTCTGAACTGTTTCGGGCACCGCTCTACTTGCACCGAACATTGAGACTGGGCGGGATAGATAAGAAAATTATTAATAGAATGGAGAATGCTGTGGCTATGGCAGGGTTAACCTGAGAAACCTATTGTTTCCTGAGGTAGGACTACCTCAAACCCGTTCTATAATCACTCAATTAGAACGCCACATTAGCTAATTTGAGAAAGGCCTAGACTGCTTAGAGAACCTATTAAGTTTCGAATCTGGCGTCAATCAAGCCCCATATAATGAGTGGGGAAAACATGGGTTAGTTACTAGAGTCAGAAAAAAACAATCGATCGAAGAAATTTTCGAAGGTTGAGGTATTTTCCTAGAACGAGAGCATGCATTGAGATGATCAAAGCGGCCATATGCTTGAAGATTCCACATTGGTGAAAACTTCTAGAAGGGGTCAGAGGCGCCTTGCATTTTTGAGTAGCCATGAATGGTTAACCAGAGCCAACGACGGTCTTCAATAATGGATCACGCGTGTTGTCCACGGAATTACGGATTCAGGGATCGGGATAGCCACCTACCGAAAGACCTCGGGTGATCCACATCTCTCCGCTGAGTAAGCGGGGAATTAGAACCATCGAATCTTAAAGCGGGTGAGTTTGAGAGAAACGATATTCATGAAAATAATGAAGAATAATGAAGAATAATGAAGAAATTTTCAGTGTACAGCTGCCTGATTCCAAGGCTCCGAGCCTAGAGAATAATACCCCTGAGCCTGCACAATCTCCAGTGTTTCGAAGAACCTTAAATTGTTAGAATCTTATATATTGAGGGCCCAACTTCCGCAGCTTTGTACGCCTCTTTCAATTCCAACTTTGGTTACCCACATATCTCGAATTTTGACTCATTCTTCTTTATCACCTACCAGGCAACATTTTCTCTTATATCTACACTGTGTCAAAAATGCTACCAAAAACCTCTGGCAGAGGCGCATGGAAGGAAATACAAACTGGCTTCCTCAGCGCTGTTGCAGGGAGTACCGTCCTCCTACAAATCCTTTTCCTGGCGAACATGTGCTACTTGTACGCAACGCAGTTCCAAGACTCCACTCGTGTTCACAACTTGAAAATGCTATTTGTCGATTACGATGGCGGGGTTGTCGGTCAAGCTGTGACAGATGCTTACCAGGCAATGAAGGGCAACGAGTTCCCAACTTTGTATACGAAGCCCACAGGTCAATATTCCACACCCGATGATGTCCGGGGGGCTGTATGCAGTGGAGATTACTGGGGTGCTATCTATACCACTAAGAACGCATCGTCTAGCCTCGACGCCACCTTCACAAATGGCACTGCCTCCTTGAATACCGCCTTAACCTATGTATGGAATGGGGCGCGATATCCTGCTTTTTCTCAAAGCGAGATATATTCAAATTTATTGGTTTTGGTTCAGGCATCTCGCTCAACCTATTACGCTAGCAGCGCCTCAAAAGTGCTCGACTCTGCCAATCTTTCCAATCCTATCATACGCGAAACCTTCCTCGACCCCATTCAAGCCTCCGAGATCAACATCAAAGAAACCACCCAGGGCACAATAGTTCTTTACAATACAGTCTCAATTGTTATGCCAATCATTCAGCAGTTTTTCTTTATGATGGCTCTTAATGGAATTTCCTCTCAATTCCACATTTGTACAAAACTGGGATACGCCGCAAATGGGCTCGTTCGCATGGTTACGTCCCTCGTCTATACCTTCATCTCATCACTATGTATGGCGGGATACATTTGGGGATTCAAGGAGTCATGGGATGTGAATGGTAATCAGTTCGCTCTTACCTGGATGGTAGTCTGGCTTTTCATGCACATCAACTTCATGGTCGTCGACATCCTCACTGCTTTCATTCCGATGCAATTTTTGCCCTTCTGCATCATTACCTGGGTCATCCTTAATGTTGGTAGCTCTATCAGCCCATTTGAACTGAATCCTGGATTTTTCCGATGGGGCTATGCACTTCCTGCTCATGAGGTGTACCAATTGCTTGTTCAAATCTGGAGTGATGGATGTCAGGACCAGTCCTACCGGGCACTTCCAATTATGTTTAGTTGGTGGATTGTTGGACTTGCCGTCGTTATTTACGCCACATACCACCGGTGCCAGACAGCGTTGATGGCAGAAACCGAAACGGACGTCGTCAAGAGCTCAAATGCAGAATTGAGACCGTCATCCAGTACTGCTGATATTGTGGAGCGCGAGAGGCGTGAGAGGCGCAGTACGATGGAGTCTATTCAACTCGAGCGGATAGCCTATGGACCCAGTTTTCCTACGCCAGGTGTCCATGGCCATGTATAAATACTCTATCGCCCACAGATTTGTATCCAGTTCAGATAATCAACATCACTCTCTCCTGTCGTTTCTCCATACTTGCTCAGCCTGGTAGAAGAGTATTTTTAGTCATGAAAATTGGCTGCTCCGGGCGATGAAAGATGAAATAAATAGCTGTCTATATCTCGTTGGTCAAGGTGGGATGGGCCTTGAGGGTCATGTAATACAGGCTAGACGTCAAGAGGAAACCACAATATTTTGTCACACGCGGATCAGGCATATCATGATACTTGAGCTTGCCTTAAAATTCTTGTTCGTCTACATGGAAAGCGCCTTCACGGTTCGTGTGAGAAAATTACAAATAACTCATTCATTTCAAGACTTCCAAGTGCGGCGTTTTTGTAAAAGATCCCAAATCTATCCAGCAGTCATCTTTGATGCGTGATTTACCTAATACGTGATTTATCGCATGTTGGATCTCTATAGGCTCCCCACCGAGATGATCTACCTTGGAGCATCTTCGTCGGAATGGCCTCTCCGGTGTCATTGTCCATTTGAAGGGTGGGTGCGGCACTCTAATTATATGCACTTCTATCTACTTCTGTGACATAATCGCGAGTGAGCTTTTACCCGCCATTCAGATCTCTTTGTCTCATATGCTGTGGTGGTCGGATGGATTAGTTCCTTAGAATATGGCTAGAACATGGTATGGGCATTCAGCACTAGCAACCTTGGGAGTCCGGAGCCTCATGAAGGAATCAAACATATCAGTTCCAAGGTTTCGGAAGAATGTTTTCATTCACTTATAAGATGTCGAAATCACATTTTTGCTCACAAGAATATAGGCCCAACAGATCTATAAAAGATGTCAAAGGATATACAATAAGTCCAGAAAATCCTAGGTCTCGGTATGATATCCATCAGCCATGCGTTAAGACCAGCAATTAGGTACTAGTTGAGGGTAGTTTTGGTATTGTCTAGCCTTAGATCTCAGTCAAGAGTTGCGTTCTGCTGATTATGAGAACAAATCATGCTACACCTAATGCATTAGCCATTGGACGTATCCACTATTGATTGGCATACAACTCCAGAGGAGCGAAGACGTGGGCAGAGCTTGACTACAGGGTTAGAAAGGAATGCAATTCGATAGAAATCAGGCCCCGCAGAAGCTCAGACGCTGCAAAACACGCCGCTTAAAAATTCAGGATTAGATCAGGGTCGAGAACAGAATTTCGGCTGGCTAAATTTGTGGCAAGCACACATCTCTCATGAATATAAGCCAGAGCCTGAATCATTTACCGAAACCACGTCAGTTGAATCTCAAGGGAATTGGGATTTTGCTAGATAGACCTAAAGTACGCTATTGGCCATGAAGGCAGGTTCAGTTTATTGCGCTCTACTGCCAATGCTATGAAATAAATCAGTCGAACGATGGTCTCCAATGTTTTTTTAACCGATCATAAACATTTTACTCACGTCTGATGCTCTTAATGTTGATTCAACGTCGAATTATGAGCTCCGAGGGTAGATAAAATAACGGCCACTGGGCACCCCATTTTGAAAGACAATGACTGCTGTAGTACCGTTACCTAGAACAGCGTCATGCAGAGGAAAGATCCCAGACATTGCACAGAGAATAAAGTTAAAATACAACATATTCAGGGGCTCATGCAGATAGCGAAATACAGCCATAAAATCACGTGATAATCTACGTCCCTGTTCGCGCTACCACCAATCGGACTCAATGGGGACAACATGTGATAAGATTGTATCTATTGCATGCCCTCCTAGAGCGCCATGTCGGGTATTTTAATCGCAATAGTCACAGTGTAAGACATTATGGGGAGATTAGCGAGAGACGCGGTCTGGAATGGGAGTGCAGTAGAAAGCTAGACTACTCGAGGTAGGTATGATCTTAATATCAAATCAACGAAGATCCTGACAGACAGTGACGCGGCATTCTGCACCAATTTAATGATCCTGAAAGCGTTATCAGTATGGTATCCACTCCTGGGTGTGTTCAACCCGCAGTTGGATCTTTATGATTCCTCAATAGAATCTACTTTTTATAATAGATTTTTTATCTCTAGACAAGAAGCTTAATTTGAATATTTTAATAAACTCTCCGAGAGGGGAAAAAGCTTTGTGTCTAGGATACGGCGTGGGGTTGAACGTCATAACCTTAAGCTAAATGAAGAAATATTGATATCGACCGCCGAACGGAGATCCAACGGAAATTGCGTTGAAATTGAATCTGGGCCTTGTATATTTGAATCACCGGTCAGAGACTAGGTGGAGCGTAACTCCAATCACGGAACACCGGCTGTAAGCGGGGCTCCGATCATCATAGCCACTCGGAGAACGGTTTATGTGAAACGAAAAGGGTATCATGAAAATGAAATATGTACAATGTGGAAGATCATTAAAAGAAAGTATGTTGAGATCCGAAGTGTAGTCCGTAAAAAAGGAACGTCGGGGGCATTGAAAATATACTAATAGGCAGGCTCGTGGGTCACAGTAATCGTTGTGTGCTGGAACACATGGTCAACGGTGGCGAGTTCAACTTCTTCCTGATTGACGATGGCTTCAGTCGAGCTACCGCCCTGTGCAGCACAGACGGTAGTGAATGGGCCCTTGTCCTCGGTGTTCTGGGAGTAGATGTTGCCGTAGCCTTGCTTAGTCTTGTCACGAGAAACATCCTTCGATCGGGTCTCCGACTCCAAGACAATGCTCTTGCGAGTCAGGGTATACTGGGCGACATCACAAGCTCCGGATAGGGTCATCAGAGCACCTGCTACACAGAAGTATGTAACGCTGGGCGATGATCCGCTGACAGACGCCATGCGACCGGCAGACAACGGCAGTGTCAGGGCGATGTAGACGATCGGGTAGAGGACCATGTATGAGACGACGCGATTTAGACGTTTGAGACTCTCGGTGTAGCTAGATCCCAAGATCTTGGATTGGGAAATCTTGCGTCGGAGCTGGACGAACATGATGGCATACAAGAGAAGGTTCATGAATTGCGCTGCGAAGATCCAGAAGTAATGGGTGAAGAGACGAAGCACTGGGTGTTGTGTGGTCATCCAGCACTATTTAGAGAGAATTTGTCAGTAATCAAGGATGATGGACATTGACTCGGGCATAACAGAAAAGACTTACCCATGCGACCGAAGGCATCCAGACATGGCTACCGTAAATTCCAATTGGAATCACGACCAGCACAACTCCAAAGATCCAGAGACCGACCACGATTGACACAAACACCTTGTGACTGATTTGGCGACCCAGACTGACATGCATGAACGTGTGCAAGGCGATCGCCAAAACGAACATTCCACTCATCGGGTCACCAATCTGGAGCCAGATACCTTGTAAAAAGCACCCAGGGTCTGTCGCATGAATGGAGTTTTGGCTGATCCATCGCAAACTAACAATAAACCCAAGACCTTGAATAAAATCTGCTAGAGCCAAGTTGTACATCAACACGACATACTGGTTGTATCCAATGTAGCGCTTGTAGTACTTCTTCCAAAAGATAAATCGGTAGGTAAAGAAACATAGCAAAGAGAATGTTGCAGTGAGCGAAATGAGGGACAATGCCCCAATGGCAATCAGACCACGCCGCTGAAGGGCGGGGAGGGGATCAATAATCCACGATCCAGCCGCCGAGTTGGCAGAGTTGGCCGCCACGGATTGAACCGAGTCAAATTCGCGGGGTTTAAGACCACGGCTGTCCTGGGCGGTGCTGTCATCCAGCAACCACTGCACCAACAAACTCGACATCAAGCTCGACATGGCGGCTGTATGTGTGTGGTTCAAGCGATTGACCCAGTTGGAAACAATGTCGAAACTGGCAACAGAGCATCTTTAAGAAACTTCTCTGGTCTCAGATTGGATCAGAACCAACCCCTGAGGGCTGGTTATCAACCCGCTGCCCCACGCTTGTTCAGGGTAGCAAGAACATTCGAGACTGGGTTAGCGCGGGAAGATTGACGGTTTCTCTTGCCCTATCGATCACCAACATCCAATTACCAAACTTTTGTCTAATTTGCCTTCTCCACGGCCCCTCCGAGGTGGGTGTCTTCAGCCACTAGTCTCAGCCACTAGTCTGATAAAAAGCTTAAGCAGCTCACGTTGAGCATGGAAGCCAGAGCGAAAGTGATTTCGGTGAGGGTGAATTCCCGGGGGCCCATGTAAAAGTGGACCACGTGCGGCGTGCACATCCCAGCAGATCATGATCGCGGAGGATCAAGTGAGGACTGACACGCCAGGCATATTAATGTGCATAGAATGCAAATACTCCTCCACGTACTAAGGCCCAATCCCAAAACAACGCGACCTTGGAAGTCAAATTATGATAGAATGTTATGCAGCCAAGGATATGCCTCGTGGTCTTCGGAACTGAATTTTGAGCCACGTTTTGTGGGCGATCGACACCATCGAACCAAAGGTCAAAAGAAATCTCGAAAGTGGAGTGGATTAGGTTCACAATATCCCCTGCCTGCTTGGCTAGCTGTGTATTGCATGAGATACTATAGGCGGATATCTCCGGTTGACCCGTTGTTGTTCCATTCCAGGACTAGCTTTGTGGATCCCGGCATGCTTGCCGACTCAGCGTACCGGAGGCAAGCCTGATCCGCAACGCGAAATGAGCCAAGACGGTAAACAGTCAGACTCTTGGATATTCACAAAAATTCAGGTTCGCGAACGATAAAGTTGCAAGTCTGGGAAGTGTGCGTAGCCATTGGTAATGCCGTCTGTTTCCTAGAAATTGCGACGTCAATTGAGTTTACATGGTTCAGAATAGCTCTTCAATATGTTTTGAACCTTCCGTTCTTGAAATGTCTTATTGCCACTCCAGAATGTGGTGGCAAACCGGGAGAACAGGGCTTGGAAAAGGAGCTTGTGGGCTCCGGAGATAACGGGCATTTCGCTGTGATTTTTTTTTTTTTTTTTTTTTGTGGAGAACCAGTGCCAGCAAGGTCCCGTGCTGATCACATGACATGTAAACAGAGCTTTCCGAGGCGAGCGATGGGGAATTTTTGATTTAGGTATGGACTGGCTCCCTACCATCCGGTAGATTGTACTAAACCATTGACAAATCTTATCTCCGGAAAATCAAGCTAAAATATTATCATTACATACGCACATAGGGATCTGCATGCTGGTTCCATGGTTGGGATTTCGGGTAATCGATTTCACGGTGTTGATATGTACCCCGTGCTCCAGCAGACCCATCTCCTAGACCATCAGAGAAACAAAATTCAGTTTCCATGGGTTGCAAATGGGCTATTTACCTACTGGAACCATTTCGGAATCCACACCTGGCCCGTTCATCGTCACTGCTGCCCCATCCCTGAGAGTCTCGAAACTCTGACTGGCGAGCGACGAGCTCACCCCATTTTTTCGCCAACTGCATGGACTGGGATGTGTTTTCCTCGGCGATTTCCAGAAGCTTGGCGGCGGGACTGGTCCCAAGGTGAACCTTTGCGTCCCCGATCGCGCGGTTCCTGGTTCCTTTGTCCCCACATCCCGCGAACACGTTCCAAGGTTATACCAATTCCCTCAAATGGTATGTTTTCCGGCGTGTTAAGGCTGCAAATAGAGTTTTCACCTCGTTCGCTGTTATTGGATGTAGACTCAGGGTGGCCTTGTAATGAGGGTATTCAGCGTCCGATCGGAAGGACTGATCGAGGTGTTCCGATCAAAGCCTTATGGCTATGGATTATCGGAAATAGCCCCACGGGAAGAGAATTCAACACCAGGCCAAGAATCACGCCGGCTGGATCCAAAAACCAGCCACCTATTCGCACTAGCGATCCTAACCACGTACCATGATATCTGAGGAAAGAAAATCTGCTGGTCTTCTCGGTGAGTTGTTTGCCATCGACATCATTGTTCTGGCCAAGAGCTGTGGTGGCGATTCGTTTCCCAGGGGCGAGACGATGCGCTATGCTGTTATCCTTTGTTTACGGAAAGATCCTGTCCGATGACTAACTTTGGAATTCATAACAATACATCGGTTTGGTCTAAACAAGCTTGTTGAGATATTGAAGTTGACTACACAGCAAATACAGGTGAATAGTATTCTCGACTGGCCTACTGCTAATAAGTTTTCGATGGATTCAATCGAGTATCGCTGGTGGTCGTGTCGAGATCGTCTGGCCAGGCCTCTAGATTTTATTGTGGGTAGGTCTGACAAATAGACCAGCAAGAGTCCCAAGATCCCAAGCTGATATCCACAGGCCCAGATCCTGGGTCAGGGGCTGAACAGTGGTACAATGGACCATGTTGAGCAAGCTTTCCAAGGTTGGTGCGCAATCGCACCAGTTTGTGCCGATCTCTCCACTCCACTATCTAGAGTCATCAAAATACAGATTAATGCAACTGTGGGTAGGATATGTAGATCCTTATTGATGGTCAGGCACAGGAGAAGATAACACATCAAGTAAGATAAAAACCAAATGAGATCGACATAACTACACTTCGAGAAAACAAAAGAGTGATAGGAAATGTTTCACAGCGGTGGCTCCGTTCTGAACTCCTTGACGATGCTGCTTTCTATGCCAACGTAGTATTGTGAGGAATAAATCGTACATCCCAAGTCAGGCCACTGAATGTCAACAATCTGTATACCAGCCAAAAAGAGGATTTCGAACATATTAGCCAATGATGCCTCAAGCGAGAAATGTTTTTGAAAGTCACGCTAGCCGAGATCCTCACCTTCATGGTGGAGACCGAAAAGAGCAATGTCCTGATGACATTGCCAAAGTTAAAAAAACAATCACTCAGCCGAAAACTCCCGATGTTCGAATGACGATGTCAACTGGAGGATCGCCACTTCTGTATATTCTGAATGTTAACGACCGGGCCGTGATCCCTGAGGAACAGAATTTTCCCTAGCAACATGCCTCTGTAGTTGTGCTAATGCTGCTTGAGCTATCTCTTTTTGCGAAGCATATGCTATGCGTTAGTTGAAACCCCTGTCCCAAAGCCGAGTACTCTCCTCGATGGCAGAATCACTGCTCTTTACTTGTCACTCAACAGATCCAAACAGCCTAGTAATTTGGTTGCCTACTGGGTTCGATTTTCTGTCGCATTTTCTGGCTAGCAAGCCTCATCCACCTGCCAGTTTATCACCGTAATAATACTATAGACTTGCTCTATTGACCAATGTAAGCTCTTTTGACCAATGTAAGCTCTCCAAGCTGAACGCGTGTACTATTACGCACTTCACTCTAGATGGGTCAGGCCTGCGAGAAGCCTTATCAGTGCAGCAGAAATTTAGTACGTAGAATCCCATTACGAATGTTATATGGGTAGGTACAACGCCTACTCGGAGGCTATAGAAAAAGGAATCCCCAGTTAATGATGACTATACAGTGGCGACCGTTATTGCATTCCATATTGGAAACAGAGATTCACATTTTCAAACCCTAATCACATGACATGCTAAACCATATATGGTTACTTCCGTAGTTAAAAAATTGTTCCAGGTTTGCATGGTAACAAAAGCATAAAGTATACTCATGTACCGATACATGTCCAGAAATAGCCGCGACCCACCATGGCATCGTCCGCTCCTAACCCACTTCAAAGATGGCAAGAAACATCGACCCCTGGCAGCGTAAAATGATTGTTCATATGATACGCAGCAAGGATAGACTCACTACATCGTAAATGGCAAAGGCTGCGCTGTGTAGTGAGCGCTCCGTCACTAAGATACGCAAGAACTTGCGGTTATTCGGTAGTGCCAGATCACCCCCGTTTCGGTCGGCCGACAACCAAGTATCGCTCCTATCATGCTTGACGCCCTCTGTGACCACCTCGCCGAAAAGCCTGGCCTATATGTTGAAGAGATGGCTATCTTCCTATGGGATGAGTTTAACATATTACTATCGTCATCTAGCATCAAACGTGCCCTTTCGCGGGCTGGCTGGACAAAAAAGAAAGCCTAACAGAAAGCCCGAGAACAGAACCCACAACTACGAGATTTCTACTAACATAAGCTATCTGAGTTTCGGTCATACCATATTGTGCTTGTCGATAAATCCGGATTTGATAAAAGGATTGGATATAGGCGAACTGGCTGGTCACCACTTGGCGTGACACCGGTTCAGGTGTCGAAATTTCATCGCGGCCAACGCTCCCAGATACTGCCTGCATATGCTCAAGACGGTATCATTCTATCCCGTATTTTCAAAGGTTCAACTGATGCCACGTTCTTCGAATCGTTTATCGAGCAGCTTCTGCAGCACTGTGGGAGGTGGCCAGAACCAAAATCCGTGCTTGTTATGGATAAGGCATCTTTCCATCATTCGGACCGGATCAAGACTTTATGTGCTGACGCGGGAGTCAAATACTGTACTTGCTGCCTTATTCGCCGATTTCAACCCCATCGAGGAATTCTTTGCTGAGCTAAAGGCCTATATCAAGAAAGATTAGTCAGCATACGAAGAGAATCCCGGTCAGGGTTTTCATACCTTCCTTCGGCGGTGCGTATATGATGTTGGTGCAAAACAGGATAGTGCCGAAGACCATTTCCGACATTCAGGAATAACAATAGAGAAGATATGATTGGCTGTCGTAATAAACAGCGTAGCGTCTGCGCAATACCTATTGTGCCAGTTGTTACGATTGTGGAAGACTTGGGACGATGAGGCATGCGAGGACATGAACAGGTGACGATAAGGGAACGGCACGCGCTGCTTCTCAGACAAGATATCAGCATGTCTCCGCGGAGATGGTTTCCTTCCTTTCTTCTCTCCTCATGCTTAGTCGCTTCATCGAATGTTACTACGTTGTTTGACTACCTGTCTCTTCGTACCTGGGCGTACAGTGCCGACCGTTATTGCCTTCCATATCCGGAAACACAGAGATACTCTTTCAACCTTAATCACATGATATGCTAAACCAAATATGTATTTTGCGCAAATTTCCGATTTTGCATATACTGTGTTAGAAGGCTCCACGCAACCCGAGCAAAATAGACGACCGTCCCGTTGTGGGTGGGCAGTAAGGCACAGATACCCCGCACACTATGAATGGTCCGCTTCGAGATCAGGTGATGTGATGTGTGCGGCTAAGATGTGAAGCCTGAATTAACCCACTGGCTGTCAAAATCTCATGAAAATACGCAGTGGACGAGATATCTTTGGCATTCTTACGGCCTGACTTAAGAAACCCAGAAGTCTTCCAAACCTGGCGAAAATTTCTCGGCGCAGTTGAAATTAACGTATACTAAAGATGTCTTTCGGGTTTTCCGTTGGTGACTTTTTGGCGGTCGGCCAGTTAACAGTCAACATAGTTGCCCTTCTGAGAGAGTCCGGCGGCGCAAAGTCAGAATACCAAGACCTCATCAGGAGCTCGAGTCACTTCACTATGCCCTTCAGCATCTTGACAAGCTACAACCCAAGCCGGGATCCTCATCCAGTGATTATTTAACTAAGTCTAACGCAACTCATGTGATCTGGTGGATCTGGTTGACCCCGCATTATCGACCCCCAACCATGGTTCCCTGCTCCCAACCTTCTGCATCGGTGAACCTATTGAAAGCATACTAGGGATGGTAACTCAAACACAAACACTTCTGTAGTACCTCTCTGTTGCCCTCCCAACTATACCGACCCAGGGGACGACTCCGAGTCCAAACACCACAAATCCTCAATACGATGCGGATGATATAACTCAAGTCGTCCCGTGGCCAGAGTTCAGTTATTCCACTGCCACTCAACGCTACGGGCAAGTCCTAAATACAAAACGAATTCGGCCTGACCCCTTTATGTCTCCGCCTGCCCCGCTTAAAGATGAGCCGACTTTTCATCTTTGGCCGCCTTCTTAGCATTGATGGATACAAGTGTCAGGTTAGTTGGACTCCTCACACGGAGTGTCTTTCAATCCATTTTAGAAACAAATTAAATCCGCCAAGGTGTGATACCCATTCTGGAAACTTCTTAGGCACTATTTTCTTTCTTGTACAGTACTTCCGAAAATTAGGGTCACCACCTACAGTACACTCTCCGATAGTTCCACGAAACCTGATTACTAAACTACTCCACTCCATATTTGGAATTCATCCGAAAATCCCTGTCGGCGCGGATTTGTGTTGTGTTTACAAACAGTGACCAGGACTGTAGCAAGTAGTATTCTGCCGGAGCAAGCTAAAATAGTATAGACTAGTATGTGGCAGAGCTAATGTGATCAAAAGATATGTGTAATGGTGATCATCTAACATGAGAAAAGGGGCACACGAAGATGCGTGTAAAATGAGTGGATCTAACCAAATCTGGCTAGTGGCTATCTGGAAAGACTAGCGGTATCATATATCTTGACATATTCACTTGTATCGTTAATATACACGACACCTCATTGCCCCACCTCAAGAACCACTGCCCCTTGGTAGGAAAATCATTATAGCCTCACAAAGTATGAGCTTATTGATGGCATGATATGCGATCGCGAATTTCAATTTCGTTCATCGCAGATTGAAGAGGTTATCAGCTAGCACGACTGTTATTTTGAACTCTTCTTTGAAATACGGCTGCTTATCATTCAGGGTCACCTCATAGGGAAGTTAGGCGGTCGACTTTCGCTTCACCGTGTGCTTGACAACGTCCACTATACAAAGCTATCTCACTATAGCTATGGCACCTGCGATATCTTTTAGTGGCTCAAACGCTGGGCTTCAAGTGGGGGACAATCATGGCCAAATCACTACACAGTTTTATGTCTCAGGTAAGCAGACGCCATGCTAGGGAAATGTGAACTAATAGCCTCTTCCTGTCTTAGAAAATGTTTCAACAGACCAAGCATGCCTACGGGATCTGCAAACGACGAATCCTCGCCACGATAAGGATCGTATTGAGACGGCCAAGGGGGGACTACTAAAAGCCGCGTACAACTGGATCCTCGACCATGCTGATTTCAAACGATGGCGCTATCAGCAACAGAGTCAACTGCTCTGGATCAAAGGAGACCCTGGGAAGGGTAAAACTATGCTCTTGTGTGGAATCATCGATGACCTGACTAAGTTCGCTCCGGACACCACTACTGTCTCCTTCTTTTTCTGCCAGGCTACCGACGCACGGATAAACCACGCCACTGCGGTCCTTCGCGGCCTGATCTTTATGCTAGTTGACCAGCAGCCATCCCTCATCTCCTATGTACGGCGACAGTATGACAAGTCTGGAAAGAAGGTCTTTGAGGATGTTAATGCGTGGGAAGCTTTGACAGAAATCCTCACTAGTATCCTCGAGGACCCGCTGTTACAGACCACCTATTTCATCGTCGATGCTCTCGACGAATGTACTACGGGTCTAAATCGACTTCTTGACCTTGTCGTCCAGAAATCATCAGCATATCCACATGTCAAATGGATCGTCTCGAGCCGTAACTGGCCAGCCATCGAAGAGACACTTGACGCTGCGACCCAAAAAACAAAACTCTGGCTTGAATTGAATGAGACGTCAGTCGCTGAGGCGGTCGCCACCTTTATCCACTCTAAGGTTCAGAAATTGACAGAAAAGAAGAAATATAGCAATGAAATCCGTGATACGATTTCCCAACACTTGTTGAAAAACGCACAGGGTACCTTCCTTTGGGTAGCCTTGGTTTGCGAGAGACTCACCAACGTCCCGAAAAGAAACGTTCGGAAGAAGTTAGAAGAATTCCCTTCTGGCCTTGATCAGCTTTATAAGCGAATGTTAGATCAAATTAGCGACTCGGATGATGCTGAGCTTTGCAAGTCTCTTCTCGGCGTTGTCACGACCGTTTACCGCCCTATCACGTTAGACGAATTGGCGTCTTGTATGGATTTACCAGAAGACGTTGCAGACGATCATGATTCTCTAGAAGAGATTATAGGGCTTTGTGGCTCTTTCCTAACGCTCCGAGGACGCACAATCTCTCTGGTTCATCAGTCAGCCAAGGACTTTCTGTTTCAAGAAGCCGTCTATGAGATTTTTCCCAACGGAAAAGACATAGTACACTATTCCATATTTTCAAAGTCATTACGAGCCATTGCCAGGACGCTACGACGCGACGTCTACGGCCTATCCCACCCAGGATATCCGATCGACCGTGTCAACCAGCCAGATCCAGACCCACTAGCTACAATACGGTACGCGTGTGTCTACTGGGTTGATCACCTAAACGAGTGCTCTCCTTACCAAATTACGAACGAAGGCCTCCAGGATAGTGGCTTAGTCGGCAGTTTCTTCCGCCGGGACTACCTTCACTGGCTCGAGGCTCTTAGTCTATCCAGAAGCTTATCGGAGGGAGTAGCTTCAATCCTAAGACTCGAGAATTTACTAAAGGTCTGTTTCTACTAGTGCAACTAAGGAACTATTTTAATAATATTATTTAGACACCAGCGGAGACCTCACGCCTATATAATAGAGTTCGAGATGCAAGCCGGTTTATCCTATACTATAAAACGGCGATTGAGCATTATCCACTTCAAGCATACACTTCTGGACTAATTTTTTGCCCGGCCAGGAGCATAACAAGGATCCAATATGAAACACAAGAACCGGCGTGGATAATTAGAAAACCAACCATCGAGGAGGGTTGGAGCGCATGCCTCCAGACCCTCGAGGGCCACAGCGGCTCGGTCCTCTCGGTTGCCTTTTCCCCCGATTCTAACCTCCTCGCCTCAGCTTCAAACGATCGCACCGTCAAGGTGTGGTATGCAAGCAGCGGCCAGTGTCGCCAGACCCTCGAGGGACATAGCGACTGGGTCCACTCAGTCGCCTTCTCCCCCGATTCCAGGCTCCTCGCCTCAGCTTCAAACGATCGCACCGTCAAGGTGTGGGATGCCAACAGCGGCCAGGTCCTCCAGGCCCTCGAGGGCCATAGCGATGGGGTCCTCTCAGTGGCTTTCTCCCCCGATTCTAAGCTCCTCGCCTCAGCTTCAGACGATCGCACCGTCAAGGTATGGTATACCAGCAGCGGCCAGTGCCTCCAGACCCTCGAGGGCCACAGCGACAGGGTCAACTCAGTAGTCTTCTCCCCCGATTCAAAGCTCCTCGCCTCAGCTTCATACGATCGCACCGTCAGGGTAAGGGATGCCAGCAGCGGCGAGTGCCTCCAGATCCTCAAGGGCCATAGCGACATGGTCCTCTCGGTCGCCTTCTCCCCTAATTCCAAGCTCATCGCCTCAGCTTCATACGATCGCACCATCAAGGTGTGGGATACCAGCATTGGCCAATGCCTCCAGACCCTTAAGGGCCATAGAGAAGGGGTCAACTCAGTGGTCTTCTCCCCCGATTCCAAGCTCCTCTCCTCGGCTTCATACGATCGCACCGTCAAGGTATGGGATGCCAACAGCGGCCATGTCCTCCAGACCCTCGAGCGCCATAGCGATGGGGTCCACTCAGTGGCCTTCTCCCCCGATTCTAAGCTCCTCGCCTCGGCTTCATACGATCGCACCATCAAGGTAAGGGATGCCAGCGGCGGCGAGTGCCTCCAGACCCTCGAGGACCATAGCGAAATGGTCCTCTCAGTCGTCTTCTCCCCCGATTCCAACCTCCTCGCCTCAGCTTCATACGATCACACCGTCAAGATGTGGGATGCCAACAGCGGCCAGGTCCTCCAGACCCTCGAGGGCCATAGCGATGGGGTCCTCTCAGTGGCCTTCTCCGGCGATTCTAAGCTCCTCGCCTCAGCTTCAGACGATCGCACCGTCAAGGTATGGTATACCAGCAGCGGCCAGTGCCTCCAGACCCTCGAGAGCCATAGCGAAAGGGTCAACTCGGTGGTCTTCTCCCCCAATTCAAAGCTCCTCGCCTCATCTTCATACGATCGCACCGTCAAGGTATGGGATGCCAGCAGCGGCCAGTGCCTCCAGACCCTCGAGGGCCATAGCGAAACGGTCTACTCGGTGGTCATCTCCCCCGATTCCAAGCTCCTCGCCTCAGCTTCATACGATCGCACCGTCAAGGTGTGGGGTGCCAACAGCGGCCAATGCCTCCAAACACTCGAGGGCCATAGCGATGGGGTCCCCTCGGTGACCTTCTCCCCCGATTCCAAGCTCCTCGCCTCGGCTTCATACGATCGTACCGTCAAGGTGTGGGATGCCAACAGCGGCCAGTGCCTCCAGACCGTTAATGTTGGAAGAGCCACCTTGGTGAAATCATTCGACATTAGCAACTCATATCTTGACACTAGCATCGGTACCCTTTGTTTATCTAGTGTTACAGATATGGGACTAACCAATAGCATCGACCCCGAACCGCCGCGATTTCAAGGATATGGTATAAATTCCGAGGGTACATGCATCACTTGGAACTCGGAGACTTTGCTGTGGTTACCACCGGAGTACCGGCCACTCACTTCCGCCTTGTCGACATCGACAATATGTCTTGGTTGCGCTTCGGGGCGGGTGCTATTTATCACCTTTGATTCCCAGAAATTACCAAATTTTCTTGTCAAGCGCTGAATCTCCTTAGATGAAGCATGTTTCTTGTTTGTCAGATCCTCCCAGCACCAATCAGACTTAAGCGGGCATGAACGAACATTACACTGCATACGGTGATATACAACACTCCACGTTGCAGTCGCCCAGTTCTCTCTTCCTCAGCTGCAATATGATCCTCTCGCTCAGCCAACATTCTGCTTGTTGCAGACACACGGCCTCTGTTGTCGACTCTCCTTGATGCTGTCTCAGAATGATCGTTATCTTCACTCCTATAATTAAAGGCAATAACTATAGTGAGCTTCTTGCTAATACGAAGCAAGTTGCTCCATTTACGTAGCTGCGTCTCCACTGGTTTCCAGTCGATGTTAGTGGAATTGTAGAATTTTCGGTATTTCTCTGGGACCGGTCGTTCGATTCATCGTAACGGCCGTGCCTTCAGATCGAACTCTCTGGTGGCGTTTCTTTTTCATTTCAGCATGTCTTCAACATCTGCTTTCAGAGTCTCCTCCTAATACTCGCTAGGGGCTACAACCAAATCTTCTTCGGTCACTCTACCTACCGCCTTGCGGTTAAGTATAAGCTTCCATTCGATTGTGTAGCAGACGTATTTCGGAGGCTCATCGTATTCACCACCTTCTTCCCATTCGGCAAACGGTAGAAATTGAGTTGATCCGATTGTTGCTGATCCGTGGCACGATACGGGACAGGGCTGGGGGAGTACAAGGTTGCGGGAGTGCTACCGAAATTACCAGGGGTGGGGGCATACTGCCAACTGTCTTCCCATGGGTCGACCATCCGGATTTGATCGGCATCGTCCGCAAAAGAGCTATGGATCATCGCGAATATCTCTGGGGGAGGGTAAGCCTGGAGCTGTAAGGGGTTAGCCAGGAATGCCTGATGCCCAATAAAGACCCGAAGCCCGCCACATGGCGATAAGCGATAGTGACCACGAAACAAATCTTACTGTCAAGCTTTGCCAATCAATATGACCCGAGATGGACCCCCAGGGCAGCACCAGACCCTCTGCAGTGAAGCAACTGAAGGATGGAGGAGGGAAGTTGACAGATGGCCAACGGTCGCCTAGTTTGCTCGGTTTGCATGGAGCCTTTTAGTTGTGCTGGCCACTGGCCCTTGAGTCTTGTATTCATACAGATAGGTACAATGTTAGGTATTATTACTATGTATATACAAGTTGGTAATATACGCTAAATCCATATTAGGTTAGCATATCATGTGATTAGGGTTTGAAAGAGTATATCTGTGTTTCCGGGTATAGAAGGCAATAACGGTCGGCACTATAATACCTTCGTGTGTGTTTTGATTGCATCATGGCTTCTCGACGCTTGACGAGTTTGCCTCCAATTTTGCTCCTAGTGGAGCATGCTGGTGGGAACGTTCATCATCACCAGTCTCGTTGATTATAGTTAGGTTGTTCTGGAAATAAGGATACAACTTCGTGGGTAGGCCTCAGAAAGACGCGTCACAGCTGTCAGGTGAAGTGGAATATATGGGGAATGCAGGCCACGGCCGTGGTATAATATAAGTATGACGCTGATGACGGTAAACCAGCAAACTGCATGTTCTACGCTATCCTTTTGTTTCGTGAGTCAACGTCACATCTCCTGGTAGTTCTGCCTAATTGTATCAAGAGGGTCAGGTCGAGGTCCAGAACTGGCCTGAGTGCTCTTACTGGCAAGGTTCCCGGTATTATCAAATCTACAAAATATTACGTTCTAAAATGCATACAAGAAGAAGGTTATGGGAACTTCTTACCAAGATAGTATGAGGGCTGGGTAATGGAAAATATGTATTCGTAACTTCGACCATCCGGTGCCATCATTGGATTTTCATGGTGCGTCCACAAATACTTCTACTTTAGATAAAGACCAGGCTCTTTGTTGCAAGATATAGAGAGTAAAATACCTGGATGCCCGTTCATCTGATGCTCCCCATTCATCAAACGTGATCTTACATCTCGTGGTCAAGAGCTGAAGGTGTAGATATGTCAATCGACCAATCGGAGAGTTTGATTAGCTGAGCTTAGTAATCAACCCAATTGGTTCAGATTTCCCCACTTTGTCCTACATGGCGATTAGCGTAGTAACGTAGCGTACATCAAATATGGACTTCCCACGTATTGAAACCCTCGGCAAATGAAAGAAATATCTACCCAGAGGAAGTTAAATTGAACCCCGGGGCCTGCTGAAACTCAAAGGTAACCCATGGCTAGAAGACCATGAGCCACGGCCTTCTGGTCTGTATACCCAGCTACATGTCACGCAGATCATGCCTTACCCATTCCCACCTTATTTTCTGTATATCATCAATTAATGGAATGTTCATACAAGTCTCTTCGCTTAATAAATTTCCAATGATATGTATTGTATCTACCTGAATAACATGGAGGGGGAAAAACAAAATATTGTACCGACCCGCCTCATGGAATCTACCTAGTAATTCAAGTTGATCATGATGGTCTTCGGTTCTGTATAATGCTCCAGTGCATTTCGACCACACTCACGGCCAAGACCACTCTGCTTGCTACCACCAAAGGGTGCGTTCGTGAAAGTGAGACTGATGCAGTTGACTCCCACCATTCCAGATTCAAACTCGCTGGCCATTCGCATAGCCTTGTTGATGTCTTGCGTGAAAACACCCGCCATGAGGCCATACTCGGTGGCATTGGCTTTCTGCAAGACCTCCTCCTCTGTCGTGAAGGAATTCAGAATCGAAACAGGGCCAAAGATCTCTTGTTGGTAGATCTCTGCGTCTGGCTTCACATCAGTGAAGACAGTGGGCTGCACGAAGAAACCTTTGTCTCGAACAAGGTTTCCACCCGTCAAAAGGGTACCTTGCTGAGAACCACGTTCAATGAACCCGGTCACGCGCTGGAACTGAGCCTCATCGACCAGCGGACCGATGAGGGTTGAATCATTGTCCGGATCACCGATGGCCTTGGCACGTTCCTCTAGAGAAGCCTTATATTTCTCTGTGAACCGATCAAGAATCCCTTTCTGGACATACAGCCTGGATGCCGCATAACACATCTGCCCAGTGTTTCTGGCGATTGCATTGACACACCATTCAACTGCATTGTCCAAATTGCAATCGTCGAACACAACAGCTGGGGACTTTCCTCCCAATTCCAAGGTCACACGCTTGAGATTAGACTCAGCGGCCATTTTTTGGATCAGTTTCCCGGTAGAAATTGAGCCAGTAAAGCTGATCTTCCGAACACGCATGTGCCTTGCTAAAAGAGCGCCCGTGTTCCCAGCCCCAGAAAGCACCTGGAATACGCCAGGTGGAAACCCCGCTTCACGGATTAGCTGACCAAGCGCTAGGGCAGCAAATGGTGTCTTTTCAGACGGCTTCAAAATAAAGCAATTACCCGTTGCTAGCGCCGGTGCAGCTTTGAGTCCGATGATTGCAAGCGGACCGTTCCAGGGAACGATCCCAGCGGTCACGCCTAAGGGCTCGTTTCGTGTGATACGCATGAACCCATCTTGCTGTGGGTATGACTCGCCAGCAAACTTGTCAATCCAGGCAGCGTAGTATCGAAACGTCTCGGAACAAACTCCTGCTTCGTATTTACCCATTGCCTCGAACGGTATTCCGAGAGTGATCCTACTAAGCTCTGCCAATCCCAGAGTATGTTTCTCGATTAGCGAGGCAAAAGCCATCAGAATTTCGCATCGCTGTATTGCCGGAACTGCTTTCCAGGCAGGAAAGGCAGCCTCGGCTGCCGCAACGGCAGCGTCAACATCCACTGAATTTGCAATGGATACTTTGTCCGACACTAGGGTACCATCCTTGGGATTGTAGACAGAGAGTGTCTCTGAGTCTTTGCTGCCGACAAATTCATTGTTGATAAAGAGTTGGGTGGGCAAGTTGGAGGCAGAAAAGGCTAGCTCTGGCCGCTCATTGATCGAACCCATGATGCATAAGAGTACAGACTTTTGAAATATGATGACGCGTTTCCTGCGGTGCATGCTTTTGTTTGGGGACAGGATGAGCAGGGACTTATACTCATCACATCCATCTTGTAAAATATGCGCTGTGTCCTCTTCAAGGGTGTGCTATATTGGAAAGCGGGGGCAAGCTGCGATGATAGTATCGGAAAGCATCGTCCCGTCCACCGGATCAACGGATAAGCGCATCCGGACCAGCAAAATTCAAGGGAGCTTGCTGATCTTCCTCAATATTCCCCAATCCGGATCTGCAATCAGAGGCGTTGCATATTTGTGTACACAAATGCAACCAAGTATGTAATAGCGCCAAGGAATCCGAAGGAAAGCGGGGGAGGGATATCTGACAAAGGCGGGGTTGGGCGAATCAATGATGACTGTATGCACAGGCTGTACAGATGACAGCGCAGCCACAGCTCGAGAGTGGATATGGGATTCGACGTGATTCAAGCTACATACTGTAGACACTGCGCAAGAAACCCGCATCGACATATGACTTGCAGAGTCGGTTCCCGGGCTCCACATTGCGGGCAGATCCTCTCCCGCTGGGGTGGGGTGAGTGGGACCGTCGTCCTCCAAATGCAGCGCGGCATTTCATAATTCTTCCAGCATGCAACCAGTCAGTGGCATGCGAAGCTCGCATCTTGCTGTTCATCAAACAGGGTCTGCACTCAAGGGTGGCGTTCAAGCCCCACGGTGCGGTAATTGATCGGAGGAAGTTGTCATGCAGACCGAGAGCCTCTCATTGCAGCTGACAAAGTCAAGTACCGCCGAGAAAGCCTAGAACACAGGTAGTGAGCGCACCTGAGCGAACCCCAAACTAAGGGCAAGGGAGGCGATCTTGGTTCACCGAGGCATGAAATGATAATCTCTAGTACGTCGAGGAATGGACTGATCGACCAAAGTAATAGGCAGCGAAGAATTGGAGCTGGGTTGGAAGGCGCGGGTGGGGAAAAAATGCATTTTGAGAATTGCCGTGGCCCAATGGGACAAGGTTAGCTGCTACAAATCTAGAAGCTGTTCCCACTTTTGTTAACAATGTCCAGTCATCCCCAAATCATGGATGCCATCTCCTGAAACTGCCCTATGGGATCATGCAGCTTTGGCTTCTACACTGACTTAAAGTGAGTATACCAAATTCCTGTCTAATGACGTATATTCAGAGTGCGTGTACGATATGCCGAAGAGTTTCATATTTCACAAAGATGCAAATGCCGGTGGAAAGAAAAAGACCGAGACCATTGATCCACATCCTGCTCTTCAAGATGGCTCGTAAGATGGTGAAAGATATAGAGGCACATGGCTGGTCCCTAATAGAAGGATGTCATGCTATTACTCCTCAACCAAGTTGTTACGGTTGCTGATGCATGGTTAGTCACTGAAGTGGCCACAATGACAAAGATACTCACGGAAGCTTGTGGTTCGGCATGAACCAGACCAGAATGAGCGCGGGCACAGAGGCTGCCAGTGCAGTGTATGTCATGTATCTCAGCACATCAGAGAACTGTTTCCCCTCATTAGCTCTCAACGCACAATAAGCTTTGGTTATCGCAGACTCACAGCCAGATCCACGGCAATGCGCTCTGCCGAGCCCCAAGCGGGAGCGACCCCAAGGATAGAGTTTGACAACGTCTTGATCAGTGCCGGGGTTGCTTCATCGCCAAGGCGGTTCTTCAAGGCCTCTCCAATGGTATTGGTGTAAATACCACCAGCAATGCAAGCACCTACGCTCGAGCCCAGGAATGAAAAACAGACCACCAGAGCCGTTATTTGGGGCATCTGTCCGTGAGGTACAGATATCTGTGCCGGAACTAGTAAGTTGGTTTGCATAATGCCGGATCCAATGCCCTGTATGATCTGCACAAAGAATAGCTCGAACATGGAGTTCGATGCTCCTCGGAGCCGGATCATGACCCCATAACCGATCAAACGGACAACTGCGCCAACCACAATTAACCACTTGTAGCGCCGTGTCCATAGCATCAATGCTCCTGCTATGATACCCGACAGGCACTGCATGACACCATTGGTGGAGTTGCAAAATGTAGCGTTGCGGGCCGAGAAGTTGTGTGCAACTGTGGCCCATGTGTACAGGTATGTATGGGTGCATGAAAAGCCAATGGAATCCGTGGCGATAAGGAACAGACAGAGACTGATGGTTGGGTTCTTGAAGTATGAGGGCGGCATGAATGGGTACCTGGATACCAGAGTCTCGTAGAACGGAAAAACTATAAGCATGAGAGCTCCAATAGCAATCAGAGCATCGAGATATGGCGTTTTCCATTGACTGGTCGTGGTTGCAGCCAATGTCAGTGGCACCAAGATCAAGGCAAACCCACCACTGAAGAGAATGATACCACCCAAGTCAATCTGCGAACAGAAATCATAAAATGTTATTTTCTGGCGGAGGACGAGGCCCATTTTCTTGGCTCGGATCTGGTAATACAGGAGTGTGGTAATGATGAAGCTGGCACCAAATGGCATTAGGATGGCGAACATGCCAATTCGCCAGCGCCAGCCGATCCCGTCTACGACACTGTCCACAATGAAGCCGGATACCCAAGGCGTGACAAGAAATGGGGTAAAAGAAATGCCAATTGCAAAGCCACGCCAGCGCGCGTTGCTGATGTCCGAAATGACAATGTCGTTCATGATGTTGGTTCCCGACTGTCCCAAGACGTATAGGATGTACCCCGCAGCATATGTATTGATTGTCTTAGCTGACGCCATCAGGATGTAAGATAGTACGTATAGACTGATGGTCATCATATACATTTCACCACGACCCATGACATTGGATATTTTCGCAATTGGTGGTTTGATCACGGCAAACAGGACTGCGCCGGCAGTGCTGAGTGTCGCAAGCTTTGAAAGCGCATTGAATGACGATGTCGAGTAGTTGTTGTAGACATAGACAGTGGAGTTATCCAGCTCGCTGAAGCATGAAATTAGCAACGAACCAGCATGTAAATGGATTTTTACCATGGTCGCCTACTAGATTACCATGATCATGGCTAATCTTGAGATGTCTATTAGTGAAGTTCATTCAAGACGAAGCAACAGGAAACTTACCCGATTATGACAAGCCATCTTCCTTTCCTGCCCCAAACAGCAGTGGCCGCCTCGATACCGGAGACGCCAGCCTCTGCCTCGACTACTTCTCCCACGGCACCCTTTTCCATCTCGGTGCCAGGTGACTGGGTTTCGCTTGGCCCAAATGGTGCCGGTCGAAGATGCCTTTTCAAGGCATTGATGGTTCTCTCCATCGCGCTGTGTCATTCATGCCCCGCCTTATCAGTGTGAGATGCGCCGATGAGAAGTTCCCGATGACTTGATGTATGGACATGAGATTGTAGATTGAGAGAAATATCCAAACGTCCCCTGCCCCTCAAAAACATAGGTACAATGTATCAGTCATCAGAAGTAGCATGCTGATTGCCTGCACAGCAGCCCGTTATCAAGGATTTTGGAATCACAGATTAGGGCGGTCGGTTGTCCCGACGTTACCTATCAAATCGTGTCAATTGGGTGTGTATATGTGGAATTTGCACGCGGTTGGCAATGTAGCAATGTTGTCTTGTCATAGGGTGAGCGACTTCTCCGGGGCTGGGAGGGGGTGGCTGGATCCAGGATCCTATCTTGATCCTTGCTCAAAATAGGACCTTCCTGATTTGACAGTTCTCATTTTCTAGACCGGGAACCGGAAGCCGGAAACCGGAAGATCATTGCTTCGTTATCTCGACATCCAATCAGGATCGCGTGGTAAATATGTAAACTCAAACTTGAAGTCCAATGAGAGGCCCCACCTTGTCAGCGATCAACACGTGATGTCCAAACATTGTGATGCGAAAGTTAACGGCAGATCTGTAACGCTCCGAAATATCCTCAGTATTGCCCTCTCGGGAGAAGAGGCAAAAGAAAGTATCAATCTGCTGGGTGCCGCCACAGTGAACCTGTACAAGGAATGTCAGTCCACTGAACGGCCACAAACTCCCAATATTCCTGGACCTAGCCAGAACTCACAACACATCAGTGTGATAGTCGATTTCAGCGGAATTGAAGCACATATCAACATCACGATCTCTTAAGGCAACCTGGTTTCATTGCAAGTGTTGAAGTGATTATGGTTAGCTGTATGGAGCGCGAGATCTATGACCTCGGAAAAGACTCAGAAATTTGGTTACCGGGATTGTTTATGACTTTGCCTGTCAATATAAGAAGGTTCTTCCATAGTTATCATAAGGAGGCATACAGCCTAGGCTAGACCCTAAGGATACCACCAATAAACGATTCAAAATACAAGTATAATCCAGTCTTGCACTAACAGATTTACTGAACTTGTAACAATGTGCTTGACTCAAGTAGTTCCAATCCCACATACAAAGCAAAGGCAAACGTACACCCGATTCTCGGGAATCGGTACCTTCAATTGGATATGTCTTCAATCATAGACACCGGGGCCTCTTTCACGTCTATCGGTAGTTCCTGCCTCGAATTAATGGGCCGACGAAATCTTCCAGCAACAATAGCGGGCCCCTCAAACACGTCCGCTATCTCTTCCAAAGTATATCCCTTCGTCTCTGCAAAGAACAGATACATGATGACCGCAATGAACACGAGAAGAACAATGTACACGAGGTAGTATTTCCAAGAAATTGCCTCCAGGGCGATGGGGTTGACAAGTGAGTTGAACATGAGCGCTAGACCATTGCACAAATTACAAACGGCCAGTCCTTTTTGCTGAGTATGGAAGGGAAGTATTCCAGCTGGGTAGGCTATTTCATCACTGTGTTAGCTGGATTGAACATAAAAGCGTTTTGTCGGGGTGTGGCTTACCAAACGTGAGAGGAGTAACAGCAATGTCATAAAAGAAGTAGTAGATGAAAATAAAGACAACCACCACCATAGCAACTGTATGTTTCCCAGTCTCCGCAAACACTGCTGAGCATGCTGTGAAAATGCTGTAGGTCACCAGCATGCCAATTGCAGAGAATATCCAGAGAGTTCGGCGACCCACACGGTCTACGAGAAGGGCTCCAAATATAGCGACGATGTAGTTGAAGATTTGGAGACATCCGTTAATCAAGGTCTTTGTGAATGAATCTTTTATGCCAACCGACTCCAGAACGAGGGAAAGATAGTATATGATGATACCATTACCAGCCCACTGGGTAACAAATGCTGTGAATGCGGTAATGGCCAATCGCTTTCGGTCCGCGGGAGTTTTCCAAAGCTTGACCTATTAGCTGACTCTCATGGAATCAGTATTATGGAGCTCTTACCGATGAACATCCCATTCTGGCCGCAGCCTGTTCAGCCTCAATGTGTGAGGATATTTCTCTGTATTCATATTCGACAATCGGGTTGCTTTCATCGCCGCCAGCATAATATTTGACAAGAAACGCACGTGCCTTCTCATGTCTTCCTTTGCCAATCAACCAACGAGGAGACTCGGGCACGAACTACAGTCCTATAAACTGGAGGACTGGGAAGAAGGCCTACAAAGCTGATGGAATCCGCCAGCTCCAGGTTGAATTCGTCATGTTGAAGGTACCAAATGTGCACCAGCTGGATGCAATGGCTCCCAGGAAGAAGCAGGTTTGGAACAAGCTCATTGCCTTTCATCGGTGGCTAGGGTATGCAATTTCGGTGATGAGAACGATAGCCGGAACGGAGGATAACTCGATGCCAGCGCCGATGAAAAATCGGGCCACAATGAATGTTGCTATGTTATGGGAGGCTGCTTGCATCGCAGCTGCCGCAACGAGAATAACGATACCGATCATCATTGTATACCGCCGACCAATGGCATCGGACATCCAGCCAGCTGGGATAGCCACGACAATCTGGCATTGTGAGAATTTTGCGGCGCAGTTTCACAGGAAGTTGAACTTACAACTCCAAGAGGCAGAACTGCATTCATCAAGCCAAGCCATGTGGCATCTGGGGACCCGAAGTACGTAAACCAAGTATCAAGACTTTGCAGTCCGTTCATCAAAAGAATTCTACCCATTTCTTGCCGTACAGATATAAGTCACATGAATCGGGATAGGTAAGGCTCCTGGCACGCAAGTCACCTCAGGTGGGCAACACCTACAGTGCCGAGGTCAGTGAAAATGCGCATCTGCGCGAATCAGATCCATAGGCTTTTGTAAATAAATATTTCCTTGAACAGATATCTAGTAGCTACTGATGTATATTTACCATCACGATGGCTTTGTTCCCTGTATAAAGCGGATGAACATCGGTCACACCTGGGATATGACCATTCAAGGGGAGCTGACACGGACCGACGCGGTTCCAAAATTGTGGCCTTATGAATAAGGCGGCAATTAGTGGATGGGCTCGGAGCCCCCCACATTCCCGGCATCCCCACTTCATGTCGGCCGCTTCACAATCGAGCAAGGGACATCCATACGACCGGGGCTTCGGCACCGAGATGAATTAAATAGTGTAGCCATGCTTCTTCCTTAGCCCTTTAATACTAATATTAACCGATAATTCTTCATCCTGGAGACTCACAAAATGGCTAAAGAGCAACTTCCTATTCTAGTAGCGGGGGCTGGACCTGTCGGATGCTTCATCGCTTATCGCCTGGGGAAGGCAGGGATTCCAGTTCAAATCTTCGAAAAGGAGTCCGCTCTCCCCTATACACCACGAGCCGTTGGTTACTATGGCGCTACCCAAGTCGTGTTTCAGGAATCTGGTCTGTACGACCTCGTTCGGGCCGAAGGGTTCATGACTGCTGGACTTTGCTGGCGCACACTTCCTATCGACGACGACAAGGGAGGAAAGCGCCTGGGTGACCTACTCGCTGCGCAGCCTCTTAGCAACCCCAGTGATCCTGTCAAAGCCTGCCCGTCCGGCCTGCTCAATCTTCGCCAGTCGGAGCTGACAAAGCTGATTTTGCAAGAGGCGCTGAAGACTGGCAACGTGACGATTCAGTTCAACAGCGAGCTATCCAGCATCCAAGAGGGGGAGGGAAAAGTCACCATTGATTTCGAAAACAAAGATCTCCCTGCTGTTACGGGTTCTTACCTCGTTGGCGCCGACGGTGGTAGATCGAAAACTCGCAAACTCATCGGAACACCTTGCCTCGGTCACACATGGCCTGAGAGACTCATCTCCACAGATGTCATTCTTGGAAACTATGTTGATCCGGTCTGGCACACTTGCTACATCATCGGGACAAAGAATTACACCATCATGACGCCTCTTACCGACCCGGTTGTCGGCGAAAAGAGCCTGTGGAGGTGTACCGTTGCGATTCCCCCGGAAGACGAGAGATCCGAGGAGGAATTACTCCAAGACGAGGTCATCCACGGCTTCTACGAAGAGGTGGTTTCTGGACCGCGGCCACTCCCAGCTGAGATCAAGGCAAAGGCAGTCTATCGCATTCATCAGCGCTTGGTCCCGACTATGCGCAAGGGTCGATGTGTATTAGCCGGAGACGCAGCGCACATGAACAACGTGAGTTTCTCATTCTCTTCTGGCAAATAAAATTCTTACATCTAATTCCTTGCAGCCATATGGCGCCATGGGCTTGAACACTGGCCTTCTGGATGGCGATGCTCTGGCGGAGGCCCTGATCATGGTCCTTAACGAAGCCCGATCGGACAATATTCTCACAAGCTATTCAGACGCTCGCAGAAAAGTCTTTCAAAACTTCGTTGACCCTACCACGACAGCCAACAAGCTTCGTCTTCACCTAGCAAGCGAGACTGCGGCAGTAGATGACGACTACTTGAGATTTCTGCAGAACCCCACCCCAGAGGAGCTGCAAAAAGGAGCCAAGCCGTACTTCGAGACTTGGAGGACAGATATGAGAGCTGTAGCCAAGGCTGCCGGGCTATGAGTGAATAAAAGTCGAAATTCTGTAGTGAGAGTGGAGATTCCGACCTCGGAATCGTCGGTCCTCCCCACATTCGGACCGAAATATTTAACTCAGGCATATCCATATGTAGCAAGTAGTTATCGGAATCAATCATTCAAGCGTTTTACAATGACTACGATTCAGCATCCCATTCTAGGCCGCATCCAGGGTAATAAGAAGAATGACTTGGTCGAATTCTTAGGCATTCAGTACGCGTCTCTCGCACACCAATTCGCCCCGCCTGTTCCCATCAACCGGAAAGACTTCGATGAATTAATTGATGCTACATCATATGGGTAGGTGATGGCTTTCTTGTCATATTTTGAACTGCGAGACTCCAGGCTTCTATATTACCCAAATATCATCTAAAACTCTTCTCTAGCCCAAGCGTAGGAGGTGTCGATGGATGCGACTCAGAATTCGATCTGATCCAACATAAACTTCCGCGCACGCACTTCGCCAAGTCTGCCACCCAGGGGTTGAATCTCAATATCACGGTGCCTAATGTGAATGATTCCCCCACGAAATTGCCATTTCTAGTCTTCCTACACGGCGGCGGCTTCGGCGTTGGATCTTCATCATGTCCGCAGCACCAGCTTACCAATCTGGTATCCATTACTAGTGAGCTAGGACTTCCTGTGGTCGGAGTTAATATCAAGTAGGTCAAGTTCTGATGATAACATCTTATAAAAGCTAATACATTCAGCTATCGGGTTGGCCCAGCTGGATTCTTGACGTCCAAAGAGCTGCGTGACGCCGGATTTACCCCCAACAACGGTCTTCGTGACCAGCGCGTTGCACTGCAATGGATAAAAACTCATATTGATGGATTTGGTGGTGACTCGGAGAATATCACACTTGTTGGACACAGCGCCGGAGGTGGTGAGTACATTTGAAAATCTATCAGGGTAGAGGCGTGCTAATAGTTACAGTATCTGCCTCCTTGCATCTCGCCAGCGAGGAGCCACTTTTCAAACGTGTCGCCTGCCTGAGTGGACAATTCCTCGCTGTGAAACCTCTGCCAGATCCAGCTCATGAACATTTCTATGCCGAGTCTCTTCGAATCCTCGGCTTAGATGACTTGTCGCCTAGTGAGCGGGTTTCCCGTATACAAGGTCTGAATGCAGACGAGGTGGCGAAGATTTCGGCATTCCCATCTCGTCCGATTGTCGACGGGGATATATGTCTCGAGATGCCTTCAGTGAAGGCTATCACCGATGGAATTCAGACCACGCTGCACCGAGGCTGGTGTCAGGACTTTTTTATAGGGGACTGTCAATTTGACGTGAGTATATTACCTTTTTTAGCCTCTGACGATTCAATAACAATGAAAAACAGGGATCCATTATGGCAGGTGCCTTGGACCACCGAAAATCGGGTATCGGCAAAGCCTTTGAAGAGTACCTGACAAAGGAAGTCGAGGACATCCCTGGCTTGTCGAGTAAAATCCTCTCGACCTATGGAATTGACAGCGACAACAACGATGACGAAGCATTGCACGGTATTCTTCGTCTGTTGAATGATGTGTTCTTCTATATCCCGACTGTCTACCTGGCCCAATCATGGAATGATGGAGCTGCCTATGTTTATCGATTCAATTCACTGAATCCATGGGAAGGACGCTGGAAAGGAAAGGCTTCGCATATAACCGACTTAACTATGCTCTTGCATAACTACGATGAGTTCTTGAACGAAGAGCAGAAGATTGCCGGCCAAGATTATACCCGAGACTTGCTAGCCTTTGTTTCTGGCAAGAAGCCTTGGCAGGCATCTTATGGGCAGGGAGCATTTGAAAGGGAGTATGGTCACCTTCAGGGTGGTCGTTCGAAGTCTATTTGGGATATCATTAAGGAGATTGAGCCTCTTCGAAGTCTATTTGGGATATCATTAAGGAGATTGAGCCTGACCGGCTTGCTTTGGTGCTGGAGCAATTCATTGCGAGAGGATAGGCATGCAACATTCTCTCAATTTCTCCATTATACACCACCAGCTTGTTGATGTTTGAATGCGAAGGCAAGTCGAATAGAATAGAAGGCAATGAAACAAACCAATCTAACCGAGCGAGTCCTAATGAGGTTTGTGCGGAGTTATGATAGCGGAAAACCCATGGAATGTTGCTTTGTCACACATGTTTTGTTCAATCCACTGAAACGAGAGATTCTAGGGTAGGGATAAACTTCTTCGCGATCTGTACCGGGGATGCTGAGAGAACTTTGATAGCTATATTCAATGCGGCGGTTGCATTGGGCATAGATATTTGGGGCCTCGCATCCTCAGAATCGGAAGGTGAGTATTGCCACTCGGCGTACCACAGAGTCAAGGCCGCGAAGAAAACACAATAGCTGAAGTGAGGGCCTTCTTCAGTCGAAATGGCATTCAAACTGTCCTGCTTCATTTTGACAGCCAATTCGATGACTTGTTTTGAATGCCAAATCGCATTTCGCCGATCAATTCTTGATGGAAAAACATCCGCCGATGACAGTGTGCCAGTACTCTTTGACGAAGTAGTTGCGGGCGAGGACCTCGGTTCTCCGCAATATTGATGGACCAATTTTTGGATTTTGATCACGTTCACATGAAGATTGAGGCAGATCATATGGAAAAGCATGAGAGTGGGTATAGGAGTTTGCCTATTGGTAGCTATGAACCATTTGTGAAGAGCCGACTCGAGGACCTCTCCGCGGCGCGAGTAATCAAAAGTTAGTTGCTCATTTCGAACCGTATTCTTGATCGCAGCCCAAGGTAGAATTAGCGATAAACAGCATAATGTCCATATGCCATATATTTTGGTAGGATCGATGATGCCTTCAGCTGGTAGTAGAGTCGGGTTGGTTGACATCATCCATTGCAGTTGCGCCATAAGCTCTTCGTCATATGGGCCCGCTTGTCCCTTTGCCGATGCAAAATAATCAGTGCCCCTAGAGACACTCGGAAGCGGCACGCTGAATGTGGCCGAACCACGGAGAATTGTCACCCGGTAACATTCTAGAGTACAAATACCTTCAATCGTCCTGTCATGGAAGAAAATTTGTGAGTTTCGCGTTGGCTCCACAAAATCACAACAGTCATCCTTACCTTTTGCGCTCGATTTCCCTTCCAGAGGTTGAAGGCGACCATAACTTGAAAGTACTGATGATCTGCCAGAAAGGTCAATGATTCTAGCGTAATCGAATGGATAGAGGCAGCAGAATGCAAACCTGGATCATTTCCCAGTGATAAACCTCGGAAATTTCATGGAACCTATCGTCGCCACTCAAATATCCGAACAGCTCGAGGAGCATATACTGAGGTAAAATCAGTCGGTCATTCTCCGTAGCTATAGATCCGATGGGTTATATCTCACTTACTGTCTGCAGGATTCCCAACTGATCATCGTTGGGCGAAGGTCTTCTGTGATGTACCTGGCAAGAGAATCAGCTTGCAATCCTCCAGTGATGGGAATCAAATGATCCTGGTACCTTTGAAAGAAGTACAATACGTGCGTGGTTATAAAGCGACTTTGCAATCTTTATGGAACCTGGCGTCATACAATACAGTGCTCCGACAGATGCCATTGACGTCCAGAGCTCGACAGGGGTGGTGTCGGTAACTACGAAGCCCTCAAAGCATCGAAAGGTTGTAGTCACGTGGAGTCGGAAGAGGTTGAGAAACACATTAATGACGAGTGGGTCGTACTGCACTTTCTGCTTTTTGCCTAGGCGATGCAACCAGCTTTCATGATCGGCCTTGGCTGCTGGAGAAGCAGGCCGCAAGAGATCTGTTGGGGATGAATAGGCCCGAAGCCGAGCATACGCACCATTTATACGCGAGGACTGTGTCTCTGGTGGCTTTCCAGATACTGGAGGGGTTCGTAATAGGTCCAGCGAGGGAAATGGCGGTATTTGATCCAGGATATTGAAGTCAAAATATGATGCTGTTTGTGTGAAGTCAAAGTCCAGTAGTCCCGAGGTAAACTCTTCTGAAAAGCCGACATCTTGAAACGACAGGTTGACGGTTGGGGATGGAGGCAATGTCCCTGGTGCAATACCGCTGATATCTTGATGCCAAGCCGGATTGCTGGGAGGTTCTTGGAGATGAAGGAAATTTCCATTGGAGCTTCGACCAGGGATTGAGCCTCCTTGATCGGAGTTGATTTGGGACGAGGCACGAGTGACCTGGTCACCCAAAGTGCGTAGAAACGTGCAATTGACACCTTCCCGAAGACATCGCTCGCAGGGATGTTCTGCCGAGTTGCATTTCACTTTGCGGCTATGACAGCTGTCGCAGGCGCCCTGTCCCCGCTTCTTGTCACCTGCCAAGAGAGAGGTTTGATCAGGATGCTGGGATCTTACATGTCGCTGATAGACATCTCGTCGACCAAACTTTCTCCTGCAAACCTCGCAGGAAAATGGTTTTGTCTTGGTGTCTGACTGGGTCAGCGCCAACCTGCCAACTCGGCGACTGGTGATTCACTTACGCGAATGAATGTGTCGCTCTCTATGTTCCTGTCGCGTAAAGGTTCGATCACAAAAGGGACATCCCAGCGGTGATGGCCCCGACTCGCGCCTAGACTTCATCGGTGCGAGTGGTTTCTGGTGGTTGAGTGTGCGTGGATTTCCCGAATGTGGGGTTCCCCGCAAAATCGTCGATTCGTGGCGTACCGCGCAAGGATTCCCCAACGCACGTGAGACTTCACCCCGGACTAGCTGAGGCACAATGACCAGTCAAGGTGGGCATAAAGTTGTCCTCCTATGTATTCTATCTTCTCACATTCCATAGATGGGTATCATCCGCGTTTCTCTGACTCGGCCCGCGCAGGAACGGCGCTGCCGGATGACTTCCTAGGGACATTTAAACAATCTCTGCTTGCAGATTACAAAGGTTTTGTTGAATCCGCAGACTTTGTATCTTTCACGCTGCCAGCTCCAAGCCACTCAACAACAAATACACCTGCGCGGCACATACAGCCTTCCAGGCAACTACCGGGTGTCATCCATGACGCGGAAAGTGACAATGAACTTCACCATCAACCCACCCTCACTTCCAAAACCGTTCCTGGAATCGGTTCGATGGGAGTGAGTGACTTGAACTATCCGCTATCCCTTTTTGATGGCTTTCCGGAACTTCCTCCCGCCAGCATCATCGAGGATCTCACTCGAACATTCGAGATCGAATTCTTGAAGAAAACGCCCTTCTTATCAAGTCTATCAAATCGAGACAGCCCTATTCTTGCCGGATTAACGGGGGAATCTCCAGTTCCTTCATACCTAGCTTTCAGCAGGGCTTTGATTGGAACACTAGTCCCCGAGCGACAAGACTGTCGTATATGGGCCCAGAATCTCTACGAAACAACGTTGAAACTGTTTGTTGGTTCCGTCGAGTTAGATAATAGGACATCAAGAAACATGCACTGGTATGAAGCGGTAAGTTTTGAATTGAATGAAGTCTGATCTGAACGAATCATTAACGATGATAAAAAAGGGAATACTTTTAGTGATCTATGGAACCTTACACTCAGATGTTGCACTTTGGGAGACGACCACGATGGTCAATGGCTATTTCTTGGTGGTATGCATACTAGTTCTGCGTTGGGCGCCCCCGGTGCGAGTTTCTGACATTTATAGCCATACAAACGCCGGGGTCTGCTAAAGACCGTCGACTCTCATCCAACATTCGACTGTCATGATATAAGCTTGTAAGTCCAACATGCACATACCCAAGAGGCGAAGGAAATGTAAACACTCGCTAAACAGTCAGATTAACATCGTTCTACTTTCTCATTGACATATTGCGAGCGATTCATTCAAACACGCCTCCATCTTTCAACCTCACGGACTTATCGTTCCCTTTGAGATCATCTTCTGGTAGCTTTGAAGATCTTTATAGACATGTCATTGTCAGCCGCCAGAACCTCCCTCCTGGTCTAGCTCCAGATGAGTATTTGCTGGCACTGCTGTGCATCCTGTCGGAAACAGTTCAACTTCTCCGATTCCTTGGGCCTTTCGCCGACGAAAAAATCCAAAATAGTCGAATGGAAGATTGGCAATCTGACAATGTGTAAGTGGTAAATCACACGAGCTGTACCGTTGGTGAAAGCTAAAAACCACAATATTTAGCGGCAGAGGACCCTACCTTCCGTCATCCGCAACCCGCGAGTATCTACAGCAATCAGAAGCTTTGATACATTCCCTCGAAGTGTGGCACAATTCTGTCAAACATGACAATCAGACCCATTTTAGCGTAGGGGGATTGCTCGACGTTACCTCTCAAGTCAGTTCAGCCCATAATACTCTTGGGGTGCACCGAAGCGTTCTACCGTTGGCATATTTTTGTCGCATTCTACTGGAAATTGGCCCTCGCGTATTGGAATTGCCCCAGATTGTTGGCTACGATGGAATGCCCCCCAGCGGACACAGTCAACATTCTCCATCCGACGAACGGCCCCATCGCCTCGGTATCCACATCAGCGACACTGCCATTGAATGCGCGTGGAAGGTCCTAGACGCATTGGATGATGATGAGCAAGACTCAAACTACACAGCGACCGCGAGTAACGATTCCTTGATTCCCCTCTGGCTTCCACTGGTTGTGTTTTATGCAGGCCTCGCGGTATGGGCTCGCATGCAAGAAGATCAAGACCGAGGAGTTCTCAAAGGAGCCCAGAATTCAGTATCCGCTCGTCGCCGGCTTTTGCGATCGTTTCAAAATGAACTACGGAGGATTGGGAAACAGTATAAAAGTGCCTCGCGAATGGCGGACGTCATTAAGAACTTATGTCCTTAAAGTCCGTCAAATTTTGCTTTTGCTTCCATATATCCATGTACTGGTAACAAGTCCCAAGAATCATCACTGGCCATATGCGCCCGCATACCACCCATTAGAATCCTGACCTTCCACCACGATTTCCCGAACCTCGATCAACCACTTTCCATCCTCAGTCCTTTGGAAGACATCCTGCCAGTAACCCCAATGATCAATTGTGGATATGCCAGTCATAGCAAAGAAAAGTGACTTAGTCTTTGCTTCTGTCTCACTTGTGAATTCGATATCCACACTAGTGAGATGGTGGCGGATAAAGGCTGGGGGTTTGTCCTGGACGACGGTTCCCATTTCTTGCGGGGGAACTCCGGCTCCGTTTGGGAGACGAAAAATGCCGTTGGAATGAAAAAGATTCGCCATTTCAGAAAAGGGGGCATTCTCGTGCGCCATTATGCAGTATTTGTTTAGAATTCGTTCGATCTCGGTGATTGCGATGACTCGCTCGATCGAGCCGGGCTTGTTTAAGTCGACCATGGCGAGAATGCGTTTGATGTAACCTGTTGAGATTTGAGAGATGGTAGGTAGTCTTGCTTCAATGGTTCAGAGTGCGAAGCCTTGGAAGCCTGGAGCAGCCAGTAATATATATGGCAAATGTTACAAGACCACCCACCACTCAAATCCCGGGGAGTCAATTAGTGGGACATATGTGGGGAGCCGAGCAACTGACGGGCACGAAGTAATGGCTGAAATGCACAAACACCAAGTTTCCAAGGTTGATTCCCAAGAATAGACAGAAATACCACGTGCGCATGAAAAATGAGGTCGCATCTCAAACATAATAGAGTCCGTTCTCTAACCTTTAAGGATAATAGCATCCCTTATTTTTTCCCACCCAGCAAAAATGTCAAGTGGTAGATGCTCTGTGGGTGGTCCTCTGCTAAGCACGGCAAAAAGAAATGGTTCCAGAGGGGGTCGAACCCTCGACTTTGGCGTTATTAGCACCACACTCTAACCAACTGAGTTATGGAACCCACTTGTTAAAGTCACGAGCAATTAATAACTCTAAGAACTTGTCATCTTGGTCCTTGGCCCAGCGAACATGTCAAGTCAAGTGGGGGGCCGACTCAAGTATCTGTATTTCGGGTCCCACCCGGTCGTCCCGCGAGGATCAGGAGTCGGGGTTCGGGTTTGGGACTGAGGGGAGATTGAAAAATCTTGTGGACTTCGGGATGCGATAGGTACACCAATTCTCTGTCGCGTACGCTAATTGAGGGTACAATTGGAGCCACGATTGCTCTATGAGGGGACGTTGCGCGTGACTTTCCATGGCCATACATAATGTCATTTCCTTCACAATAGTGCATGTCTTTTGGGAAGATAGCAGAAAAAGTTCAGCCTGAGGATAACAAACTCAATAATACTTACCTCACACTGTCATTTGTTCTGTGATCAGTCATTCCAGTCTCAATATGACAATCAAAATTCCTCCTGTTTCTTTTGACGGTATGGAGTTGTCACCTTAATTATTTCTGGACTTCCTGACCGAGGACATCCACCTAGAAGATCATCTTCAACTATCGAATTGTGTCTTCAACTGGGCAGACAGCTATGACCAGAAGGTCTGTTTCGTGGGCCCAACCAAGACCTAGCTTACCTCTTCACTAGGTCTGGGATCTTTTGCGCAGCATTGCCGCGCCCCAACTGAAGATATATTGTGGTCGCTATCCATCACATTCCAACTTGTTTTTTCGATGCTAATCCACCTACTAGGTCGACTACCGAGAGATCCTAGATCCAGATGGCTACTGGGCCGAAATGTCGATCGATGATTTCGTGGCGAAGATGTCAGATCCCAAGTTTCTAGGAGATTCTTGTTTGCGGACCCAACACCTCATTGGTGCGACTTGGTGGGAGCGTGTCTCCGAGACGGAAGTCATCGGGCGCCACCAAGTTCGTGCAGCCCACGTTCGGTTCAAGGATTCATCTTGTAGCGAGGAAGTCAGGGGTGGCCATTCCCATACCACTAATGAGCTCTACTATCGGAAAATAGATGGGGTGTAGAAATTCGCAGGCCTCGCTCCGTCTATACTGTTCAACGAGTTTGATTTCAACGTCATATTTCAAAGCCATACATAGTGTGATCCAGTGGCCCAGGTTGCAAAGTGTATTGAGATAGGATTTTGGAATCTATATCTTGTTCTCAGTCGATTGAGGCAATTCCAAAGATGGAATAAATGCATTGGTGAGCACGCAGTTGAGACCTGGAACTGGAGCCTCGGTATGAGATGTAGAAATTGCAAAGAGCGGATTACAATGAAGCCGTAAACGTTTTGCCTGGGAAGTCAAAATCATCAAGAATTGACGAGAGCTTGACATCACGATCATCGCCGCGCCATGCGACTATACCGTCTGGACGAACTAGAACAGCTCCCCTTTGCGATACACCACAGAGTTTCCGCCAAGTTCCATCACGGTCTGTCCACCCTCCGAGATCATCGACAATCTCGATCTTGATGGGGCAACTATGCTGTGAAACCCACTCCCACTGGGCTACGGATTCAGTGATCAATGTAAATCTATGTGTATCCAGTAGATCTCTGGTGGATGAAATCGAGCTCTCACGTTGGAGCCAGGCATGAGGAAGATGATGGCCAGGAATGGTCGAAGGGTGGTAAATAAGATCATCGAGGGTGCCATCTGGCTTGATCTGTCCATCATGATTTGTTCGCTCTCCTTCGTTATCAATGTCTGCCGAGGGATAGAACCAGCCTATCTCCGCGCCGTGTGCACCAAATTCACTGTCTAGCACTTTTTGGGCTTTTTCAATCGCCGCCCTGACCCGAGGATTATCTGAATGATCGGGATCAAGGCAAACATCAATAGCCTGTTGGTTTTCCTCGTGGGTCTGGTCCGTCGAGAGACCAACGGCCCTGTCCATAGCTCCACCATGGCTTTTCAAGTTGTAAAGACTAGATTTCGCGACACGTTGGGCGATTGGGCGGCGCTCCTGGTCATATGTATCTAACAAAGCCTCAGGTGTTTTGACATGGCCTCTTAACACGAAGCCTAATTTCCAGATCACATTAAACGCTTCTTGGATTCCTGTGTTGAGACCAAGGGCTCCCCACGGTGGAATGCGATGGGCGGCGTCACCAACAAGAAAGACATTTCCGGTCTTGCTTCGGAACCGCTCCGCAACAATGCTAGTCACAAACCAATGATTTACACTCTGTAGATCAATCTCGAGGTCATCAATGCTGAGCGTTCTGCCAATTCTTTCTATTGTCGACTTGGTATCAAATCGTTCGGGGTCTTCTGGAAGCATCGCACATCCAAAACACCACTCCTCCGTCTCTGGATTGGAGGGGTAAGGCCCCAGATGATACAGATAACCAGATTTGATACTACCACCTGTTGCAGGGTTGATAAACCAGCTGATGAAGACCCTAGGATCTGGATGATGACGCGAAAGAGGTGCCCGGAAATGCGCCGAGACCATGTCAAAAATCTCTTTCTCGCCCTGCCATTGAATACCAAGCCAATCTGTCACCGCTCTTCCCCCATCAGCACCCAGCACGTATCTCGCTACCATTTCGTATGCAACGCCATCAGCACGGCGAACGCTCACAATGACGTGATCGTCTTTTTCATCAATCCCTAGGACTTCACACCCATATTTCAACCCATCTGGGTTGAGTTTCAGTGCGCGTCGCTGCAAGATTGGCTCCAGGCGGATCTGTGGGAGTATAACATATGGTGACGGACTGGCACTGGCGAAGGCAGCTTCATATTTGCCCCCGCCCCACGCATCCCGGGAGTGAATTTCTCTCCCATTGGGGCCGAAACTCGTATACCAGGCAGTGCGAGTATACGTGTTTCTTGGGGCACTCTCCTTCAGTACCTCTGCTTCAATGCCGATGTGTCGGAATATTTCAATGGTGCGTTGGTTCAAGCCACAAGCTTTGGGATGGATAGAAGTAGACGGGTGGCGTTCAAAGAGAATGTGGGGGATATTTTGAAGAGATAACAAGATAGAAGAAACTAGCCCGACAGGACCTCCTCCGATAATGACAACGGGTTGCATGATTCCTGGATGGAATTGAGAAATCAAGGCCAGATAGAAAAGAATGCTCTAGCGATCGCACCACAGAACAACACGGATCGGAATTGATATTATGCGATTTATTTCGTAACGGAGGTAGAATCTATTCTTTACCCTCAACTACCCCGCTTCGCCAGCTGTCATCTCTACGGTCTCGGTGGGGCTACTCGAGCATGTTTACCAGATTGAGGGGTTTTCCTCCTGCTCTTCGACCGATTTAAACATCTAACTGGATCAGTATATAAGTGTCCTTTTGGGCTACGCCATCGCAGTGTCATTAGTCACTTCTTTGTTCAACAATAGCAATGTATCGATAACAAGTCATACATAATTAGCACCATATCCGCCACGTTCCCCGCATGCTGATATCTAACTAGGCCCGTTTCAATGAAGCAACTTTTCGTAAACGTTTGACCCTGAGGCATATGTGGAAAGCTCAATCGGACCCCCCTCGGGGCCATATATATAGCTGTTCAAGACCACCGAAGGGGTACTAATCATATTCACCATAATGGTACATAGGTACATATCAAGGTATGATCTCAGTATCGAATCAACCTACTCTGAATGGAGGAGTTGAGCTCGAACGGCATCTTCAAAATGTGAACCAAGCACTGTTCAACAACTGCACGTTGTGGCAGTGACTTTTGAACATAACGTCCTCGATACATTGCAATAAACGTATGGTATTCCAAGTCATCTTCGATAGCCTCCATACGAATGGCCATATCAGTGGATAAGTTGAGAGCGTCGCCGGGTAGGAATTCTTTTGCGGTCGGGGCCATTACACCGACAAGTCGAGGAACGAATGCTTGCATCATGAAACCAAGATATTCTCTATCACTGGCAGTGCAAGAGCGAAGATCGCTTCTTCCGAGAACGAGAATTGAACTACAAAGAACGTTTTAGTTACAACAGCAGAGGAGTGAACACGATAAATAACGTACATATAGAGAAACGGATCTTGTACGTCGAGATCCATAACAATTTGGTCACTATTGGTCAGTTATGATCGTAAAGAATACAAAATGAATTCTCACTTAGGTATTTCGGCTGCGACAAGGGATGGCACGGAGACATTCTTTAGAAGTCTTTCAACCAATGCTTTTGCAGGAAGGCGGCCCTCGTTTTGACCATCTACGTCATTGTAGACCCCATTGCGAAACACATAACGCGAAGAGGCATCCCCAGAGTTTCGACCGTACAGTCTGCTTTTGTCAGATGACCCATGGAAAGAAAGGGATGAATGCGTACATTTGACCTTGCCCGGTGAAAACCACGATGTTTGCCTCGACCGTCATCTGGTCGGGAACCGGAACGTCCCCGTGATTGCCATGACAAAAGAAATAGCGTAGGGAACCCTGTCCATAGGTTTCTGCCATTGTTCTAGACCTCAACCCACAGCGTTGCTGTTGATATCAATTTCCAATTCCTTCGGGCTCGGGAGCGATGGCGAAGCCATTCTGCGTTCCGCCGGCCCGAAGCATCCCGGACTATTGTGAACACGCGGAATAAAGTGGCTGATAAGCGTTCCACTTGGTGTTTAATTTTAAGTCGCCATTATTTGTGGATATTTTAAGCGCGGTTATGATTTGCAATAATGTCGGTCTTTTAATTTCTAAACAGGACCATGGTCGGGTCCCACGGTCCCACAACGTATGACTAGAGAAATCGGATTTAGGGACGAGTAGACTAGTCAGAATCAGGAAAGACGGATATATGTATGCAGATCGCTTCCTTACAGAGAAATCTATCCCGGAGAAGGTCTGAGTACTCTTACCCCACGTCTAGGGCTGTCGCGGATGAAGATCTACGGATGGTTCGGATGGCTTCAATAACAGACAAACGGTTTACACGCCAGTCCGCATGAATTTTGCTGGAACTTCATATCCGTGATACTTCTGTAATCTTCAAGCTGTTACGTCGCTTCGAAAATATTGTTCAGTGCAGTTGAGACTTACAGATGTTCACATTTCTTGGCCACCGAGCTTGAAGCAACCTGCCTCTCTTAAGGTTTGTGCTCGCGGAACTACGGAATTATCACGCATATATGTATCGACCAAGGTATGCTGCACTGCTGGAGATCGTCCCACATTCCCTTGGTATATAATGTCCACCCTATTCCACCCTGTGTTTCTTTCTTTTTCCTCTCCCGTCTAATACTGCAAGACCTGACTTTTCAATCATGTCACTAAAAGTAGGCTCTATCGACGTTCTACAGCGTTCGATCGAGGATCCCAATTCAGATCCCCGATATGACGGCCCGGAACCAAGCCTGACAATCCTGGAAAAGGGGTTCAGGAAGGAGCCTGACGCAGCGGCCTTTCAAATCGCCACTGTTTTTGAAAAGGACGTCAAAATCAGTTTGCGGGACGGGGTGAAGATTAGAGCAGATATTTTCCGTCCTCAAGATGATGTTAAGGTTCCTGTACTGATCGCCTGGAGTCCTTATGGTAAAACAGGCCGCGGTACGTCTTTCATGTTCATCGATAGGAGTAAAAAAAAAAACTAACCTGCCTTTCAGGTATCAACCCGATTGAAATGATCCCCGGTCGTGTTGGTGTTCCGAAATCACGACTTTCAAAATTTGAAAAGTTCGAAGCACCCGACCCCGCTGAATGGACTGCCCGTGGCTATGCAATTGCGAATGTTGACGCAAGAGGTGTATATGATTCCGAAGGTAACGTTCGGTACGTTTGGCCTTGTGCAGTGCTTTTCGTATATGCAATACCCCACGCTAATTAGCTTGTAGCTGGTTCGGTTCAGCCGAAGGCAGAGACGGATAGGGAACTTGTTGCAGAACATCAATATTCCCCTGCAGGATCTCAAGCTTGACGCAAATGACGTTGAACCAATCAATCCACTGAAGTACCTTGGTCCGTCAGGATGTCTTCGTGCTAGCCATGCTGCTATTGACAAGGAAATGTCGACCTCGTCTTTCCCCGAGCACGACTATTCATCCAGAGCTCCTGTGCTAAAAGGAAAGATTGTCAAATTGGAGATCGGCATCTGGCAGACCGGCATGGTGTTTGATGCAGGTGAAAAGCTCGTTCTCAGAGTCTCTGGTCACAGCATGACCTTGGCTGAATTCGTACCATTGAGAGGTCAATTAGCCAACGGAAACGTGGGGAAGCATCATGTTCATTGCGGAGGCGAGAACCAAAGCAAATTGGTCATTCCTCTGGTGGAAGTCTGAGAGAAGAGCCGATATGAATTCAAGCGATCTGGACCTTGTAAATTCCATTGTTCGATTTCTCTTAATTGAAGGTCACATTCGTCTCCAAATACTATCCTTCACTCATATGGTAAATACAAAGCGGATTCACTATTCTCATAGATCTCTCTCAACACTGCACGATCAAAGAGCTCGTACAGACCCGGCGGCATCAAGGCTGCGCAATCAACTTGCTTCTTCTCTAGGTCAAATAGCAAGGCCACATGTCCCTGTCGTCCAGGTCCTATCCAATGCACCAAGAATAAGTCAGTGCGAATCTCGCGCTGTTGGTAAGGAAGCGCAAGTATATCCGTTCCATCCGGAAGAGGGGGAACCGTGAAGTAGACTAGTTCTTTGCTGAAACTGATGCGATATTGCGGACCCGTGGGATATTGATACTCGAATGTGCGGCCGACCATACCAGTCGTTTTGGGTCCGCCAACTTTATCGGGAAGATGATCTGGCTGCATCACTATCAGCTTCTGACGTTTGGTTTTTTCGGATGTGTAAATGAGGACAGGCTTTTACATCGGGAACATTTATCGCTACATTATCCGTTGGGGTAGGCATTCTGGGGGTAACGAAGAGTCTTGGAATGATATTGAGCTTAGGTATGGGTGTGTGAACAGGGTTTCGGCGGGTTGGCTGAATAACCTATGCAACACTTTGCAAGTCGTCCGAGGCGTAAGAAGTTTTTCTGATCAAGAAGTTGAGTCAAGACGAGATATTTATAGGTTAAGATTCTTTTAGGCGAACGCAGTCCGTGACATTTACGAAAACATATTCCGCGGGCCAGAGTTCCCCACAATATGTTAGGTCGACCATTTGTCTCTTTTCTAGCATCAGCGCGGGGAAAACTCATGAACTTTTGTAAACAGCGCATTAATCCACCAAATCCCTCAACAAAAACCCACGGTGTGACTTATATGGAGTCAAAGGAGGTCGCCACCCGTGGTACTTTGGAGCTAGTGGCGGGGCCGACAAATTATTGGCAATCATCGGCCCCGCATGCTCACCCCGCACTTAGGACTCACGCGGGCTGTACAGTAGGAAACGGAGAGATGTCCATTAAGGTCGAGCCAAGCAAGGGATCTAAGTACCTTCAGTGGACAAGCATGAGTATCTAAGACAGACTTGCTTCATAATACGGCCGGATAGAGGAGCCGCTAGTGTGCCGGAATTCTTGAGGTAGTCAACGTACATTGATCGCGAAAATAAGATTGATCCCTTCTCTCAAGACGTCATCTTCTAAGGTGTTCCAATTGAATAGAGAACGGGATTGGATACACGGTAAAAAGCAGAGAACTTGATTGAGCACCTGACCCTCAACAAACATACATTCGTAAGGCTACCACTCCTTCAATCCAATTGGTCCCGTACATGTCCAATGCTTGTGGTTCAATTTGTTGTTCTCAACCTCGTCCACAATGGCCACCGCCATATCCTCGTTGTAGATCCCGTTGTCGATTCCATGCTCGGCAGAGCCGGCAGCATTGTCTACGTGTACCTCGTACTTTCCAGTTCGAATTCCTAATGCAATCAAGATATTAGTTTCGTAAGCGCATAAGATCAGAATTTGGATTACCTTTATCACGCAGCTGCCATGGGGGTGATAGAAAGCTCCATTTTGTCTCCAGGACGCCTTCCCACATGGTCAGCGCTGCACGAGAACAAAAGATAAGACCAAGTGGACCTGGATCGGTTAGCTTCGTTTGGGCCGACCGCAAGAACCAGTTCGCGAAGGGTCTGAATAACCAAGAGAACCCTGTTCGTAGTAAGGCTTGTTAGGAACATTCTTCATTGGAAGCAATGAAATATGGAGGCACCTACAGCCAGGATTCTCGCGGTTTGATCTTGCCCATTTGAACGTGCGAATGAAAGTACCAAACGCTCGCTGTCCGTGATCATGCATGCGTGTAGACATGTAGTCCAGATGGACATCGGGCCATGCATACCTATAGCTGGTTGATAACGCCTCTCAACAAGATAATAATAACGTTCATCTGCCTGAACTCACCAGTGCTTGAATGCAAAGCTTTCATCATCACACAATTGGACACCATTCTTGTAATAGAGCGATCCAGCGCCACCTGTGTAGATACTTAGAACCAGGATCAAACTTTACGGAGCAGGATCAGACAGTCATACCAATGATAATGAAAGGACCGCGATAAGTCGATCTGAGGATAGCCATCTTGATATTACCATGGCCTTCCACGCCCACAGTGTACACGGCGTCGAAATCGGTCAATGGGGGAGCAAACGCGGAGACGACTGCATCAAAGCCACCATCGGATAAAATCTTACTCAGGCCTCTGATGTCGCTGAAGTCGCATGGAATGCCGCCGTACTCTCCAGACTTCGGCCATGTCTTAGGAGGCGACCGAGAAATTCCAACCACACTGTGGCCTCTGGACAGGAGTTCATCCACAACGCATGATCCACATTGCCCTTTGGGGCCCAGAATAGCAACTCTGAGGCTTTCTGACATGACGAAGAATCACGTTATTTCTACTAGAATGCGATAATTGCAACACTTTCCAAGTAAGAAATTGTGAAAATCAAGGATGATATTGGAATTCAGAAAAAAAGGTCTTCAATTTATGACTTTATCGATTCATTCGTCGAGTCGGTAGCTCTTCGCCCGGGCCCATTTTTTTTACAATCTCATTGATTCCATTGTACTTGGCCCATGACCCCGCGAACTCGGATGCATCGGATCAACCCCTGGAAACCACTGTCCCCGCCAATATACCCCGTCGGAGCCCCACTTGCATCTGGGATCGACAGAGATGACTGAGCTCTATTGGTGGCGGACGGGGGACTTGATTTCGACGTTACGAATTGACTATTCGTGGATTGCAGCTCTGACCTGGGAACCGTGTCCTCTCTCTGACATTTAATATCATTATATATTCATTTTCTGATGGTCCTATCCTTCTCTAATCATTTCATACGCTCGACTTATCTTCCTCAATTTTGCACCCCATCAGCCACATGATGGCAGAAATCCAACCCCATGCCGACTTCCTAGTGTCATGTCAGGAAAACAGGAAAAGAGCAAAGAATTATGTTCACTTCTGTTCCCCTTTGGCTCCAGAAGACCCCAAAGCGCGCTTCCCCGGTTTCCGCCAAGGGCTTACCACCTTCAACGCTGGGCAGCAAGTGGAAAAAGGTGCCAAGCCCTTACCGGTTGACATCCTCATGCACGAAAGCATGCCTGTGGTTCTTTCCGATGGTACTAAACTGTATTGCGATATCTTCTTCCCGGCTGGGTATGAGAACCTCCAAATCGTGGATAAGAACAAGATGATCCCCGCTTTAGTTGCCTGGAGTCCATATAGCAAGCAGAAGGGCGGAACGCTCTTGGATGACTTTCCGTTTCGTGCCGGTGTACCCAAACATTGGCTGTCAGGTCTTCACAAATGGGAAGGGCCTGATCCTGGATTCTGGTGTGCGGAAGGATACGCAATTGTCAATGTTGACACACGTGGCGCTTACACTTCCGAGGGAGATCTCGAGATAATGGGTCATCAGGAGGCTCAGGATGGAGCAGAGTTTGTGACTTGGTTATCTGAGCAGCCTTGGTGTAACGGCAAGGTCGGGCTCACCGGCAACAGTTGGTTAGCCATGTCTCAGTGGAAGATCGGAAGTCTGCGGCCGAAAGGCCTGGAAGCTCTCGCGCCGTGGGAGGGAATACAGGATTTCTACCGTGAAAACACCTGTCAAGGTGGCATTCCTTCCGTGGAATTTCATAATTCAGTTGTCGGTAATAATATCCCACATTTGCCCTAGTTTATGTGTAAAAATTGCTGACAATTGACAGAGACTCTCGCTAGCTACGGGAAGATGGAGGACCTACCTGCGGTTCTGAATAAATATCCCCTTTACAACGAATATTGGGAAGATAAGAGAGCCAAATGCGAGCAAATCAACGTTCCCGCGTACGTGGTCGGCTCATGGACGAATCCAGTTCACACCCCGGGAACCATGAGAGCTTATCGATCCATCCCTGAATCCGTTCCCAAGTGGCTCCGGGTGCACAACTCGCAAGAATGGCCAGACTACTACGCAGATTCCAGCTGCCGTGACCTGAAGCGATTCTTCGATTGCTTCCTTAAAGGCCATGTGGAAAACGGCTGGCTCGACACGCCTAAGATCCGACTCACCGTTTTGAATTTCGGTCTGGATGGCTTGGATGACACCTTGAATCGGGCAGAGACTGCTTGGCCACTGGCGCGAACCAAGTATCAAAAGATATATTTGACACCCGATGGAAATATGAGTCCATCACCTTCAGCTCAGCCGGGTCAAGTCTCATATGACTCCAAAAATGGAAAGACAACGTTCCGGTATCACATACCTCATGACATGGAGACTACAGGGTACTTTATTGCTCGCCTCGCAGTTTCATGTCTATCCAGTGATGATATGGACCTGTTTGCTCAGGTTTGCTGTCTTCGCGGACGCTCTGCATACAAACAGGGCGTTCTCACTATTCGACCTGACAATATGATGGTGATCAAGTTGTTGAAGTTGCTGCATGACTGGCAGGTCGGTCTTCAGGGAGTCGGTATGTTGTTCCATTGGGGACCAGCCGGCCAGCTCCGGGTCAGTCATGCCCATCAACTGAGTGAACATGCTACCTCTTTTGAGCCGATTTATGCGCATACCGAGCGCATTCCATTGACTGAAGGCGAGGTTCGCGTTGTGGAGATTCCACTCCGTCCTTATGGAATGTATTGGAGGGTACGTATACGCTAAAGTGAACTGCGTCATCTTGTGAATAGACCGCTAACTGCCCTTTAGAAAGATGACATTATGGAGCTTACCATTGCCGGGAATCCGGTCATACCATTTCCGATTCCAGGTGTCAAGCCTTTGCAGGGAGCCAATACTGGAACTCACTTCATTCATTGCCTTGATAGAGGGGATGATAGTTCATGTCTTGTTGTACCATGTATTTAGTACAGGATATCGCTTAGTTTGACAAAATGTATTAAAATTCAATCTGAAGACATGTGAATATGCAGCAGAAAATACCCTCGTTATTTTACGACCGCAGTTCAGAGGCTTCAGATCGTATTCAAGGTAGACTGTGTGACCCAAAGAATAGTACCACCAGTGTGAATGAAAAATCACTAGTCCCCATTCGCCTTCTTTCATTGTCCACTTTCCATACCTAGCTCCACACAGCGATTGTGCGCCTGGATGACGGATTTAAAGATTCTTCAAATTAAGGTCAATTGTTATGATCTGCATATCTTTTTATTGTCTTCGTTTTTAGAACATTCCGCATCGGGTAGGACGGCTACCCGACTGAAGACTTTGCCGACGGGGCCGACGGGGCCGAAGGAGCAATCTGATTTACCCTCATTGCGTGTGTTGATTGGCAGATTATCCAATTATCTTCTTCAGAGGGCTTCTGGACCAGCACCAGACCTGTGGACAACGTATCGCATTGGACTATCCTGCAGCAGGGCAAATGACAAAAATATCTCTTCTAATAGGCCACCAGAATCGGTACCATAAAAGCAGCATGTTTTCTGCCCTGTTCACTGTTCTATTCATCTCACGAACGTTTCCATTCAGAGTCTAGTGCGACAAAATGGCCAAGCAGATGACTTTGCCATTCTCGTGGGGTGCTTCCGATGTGGGATTTCCAGAAATGGCCACTGGTCTAGCTTTGGTCATCTTTGTGGCGCTCATCGCTAAGCTTGCACTTCGGACATACCGCATACACATGCATCCTCTGACTTCTTTCAAAGGACTTCCAGAGGCATGCACTTCAGAAAACTGGCTTTACAAGGTTACAAAAAGTGGAAGAGCAGAAGAAACATTCGAAACTCTTCATGAAAAGTACAGTATGTATTCAACTGGTGATCTATCGAACAGGCAAGGGCCATGAAGTGGCATAGTTACTAATTTTTCAAATAAAATATAGACACCAAAGCTCTTCGGATTGGACCCAATGAGCTTCACATTACCGATATCGAGCTGTACAAAGTGATCTACAATCAGTCAAAGCCATTTCTCAAACATGCGGCATTTTACGATGGATTCAACACACCGCACACTGTTTTCGCCGAGCTTGAGCCTCACCTACACAAGGAGCGCCGACGCATGCTGAACCCTTTGTTCTCTAAAGTTGGTGTTTACAAGCTGGAACCTCTCATTTGTCAGAAAATCCATTTGCTATCCGCTAAAATCAATCGACTTTGTACAACTAAGAAAATTGATGTTTACAACGCAGTTCGGTGAGTCTCTAGTACTCAGCACTACTCAGCAATACTCTAACACCTCGTGACAGCCTCTTAACCACTGAAATTATCACAGAATTCGCCTTCGCGAAATCGGCTAACCTCATCGAAGAGAAGAGTGATGAACTAGACTCATGGTTCCTTGACGCTTTCGATGTTGGCTCTCAAAGTATTGTAGACTTACAGTATAATGCAGTGCTCCGACAAATCGTGAAGATTCTACCAACGGGTGCTGTCAAGATTCTGAACCCCAAGCTCCGCTCTATTCTAGACCTTCAAGAGGTATGGTACACCAGGAACTCCATTCAAGTTCAATCAGTAATACTGACATCTCAATTCAAGTTTACGGCAAGCTGCATGCGATACTGGCAAACATCTTCCGAGACATCCCCTTACCCTGTTATCTTCGATAGCCTGAAGTCGATCTCGAATGATGCCAAGGTTTCTGAAGCGATGGACATTCTTATCGCCGGTGCTGATACGACCGCATCTACTCTTACAACTGGATTCATTCACATTCTTTCCAATGACAAAATCAAAAGACGTCTTGTGCAGGCCATTGATGAGGCCATGCCGGAAACTGGAACCCTGATCTCACTTCAAGCCTTGGAGAAAGTGGAATACTTGGTATGTTAATATTCCATGGGCAGTGAACTCAACAAGAAACCTACTGACAGTTCGCAAGGCGGCTTGTGTTAAAGAGTCAATCAGAGTTGGAATGGCTGTACCAGGTCGTCTTCCTCGCGTTGTCCCCAACGGGGACCCATTCGTTGTTGAAGGCAAAGTCGTGCCTCCAGGTGTAAGTTTCATCGCCCATGGAACAAACCTTGTCTCTGCCATTGAGATGGCGCTAACGAGATACCTCCTTCAACTTATAGACAATTGTTGGCATGTCAACATACACCATGCACACTTCTGTGGATGCGTGGGGACCTGACGCCCGGGAGTTCAACCCGGACCGTTGGATTGGACCAGAATCCAAAGGCTTGGAACAGTGGATGTGCACATTTTCCAAGGGCGCAAGAATGTGTCTCGGACAGAAGTGAGTCTTGGAGACCTTGAATCCCTTTATAACCATTATTTGTTACATCTACTCACATCGTTGTCGTTACAGTGTCGCACCTGCTGAAATCACGCTCACATTTGCTTACCTATTCCGCAACTACGAACTGAGTCTTCCCAAAGAACACGTCAAGCCTGATGCCCTTGACCATTTCACCTTGGCCTACCAGAAGCCCGGACTACCTGTCGAATTCAAGCCTCGTCAGTAAAAGGATCTGGGGACCCGGTAACAAACAAGATACGTTTCAGCCTATCGTGCAGGGCTGTGTCTTCAAATTCGTGCACTAATTTCGGGATTATTTTCCGAGAGAGATCCGAAGGTCCATGACGGCTTTTGCAAGAATTCTTTGACGGAACTTCTTGGACGCACCAGGTGCATGTGTACATAAATTTAGCTACTCAGCCCATCTATAAATGTGATTCTATAGGCAAAATTGAACGTCGACAAACACCTATACTTTTTCGAAGGACAAACTCAATATGTAGTCAAGCCCTGTAAATCCCCCACGGCACCACATTGTGGGGTCAGCCGAGTAAATTCACATAGACAATATGAATTGAGAGGTACAGACGTTGGGAGACATAAATTTCTTCTTCATAACCTTGTCCAATGATGCCGGCGCGGCGTTAGAAGGGTTGGGAAGCACTGAAAGCTGTTACACGAGGTAAACGTGACGAACAAACAGACTTGAACTGAAGCTTACGTTCATGGAACAGAGATGATGGAAGTGATGTACCGACTGCCCGTCAGGGAGCGAAGTGGGACCGTTCCCCGCTTTTGTGTCATGTGATCTGCAAGTTCCGCTGACTCCGCATGTTCGCTCTTCAAGATGTTTTAACTCGCGTCAAGCTCCATGTACACTGGCCTGCTTCCTCACAATGGCAAATCTACCTCAAGGGTCTCAAACATCTTATCAACATGATGTATCATATCTTTACTCACCCCCAAGCATCAATGAGATCTCCTCTCCACCGAGAAGGTACAATTGCAACGTCTGCTCTACGTCCTTCAGGCGACGTGAGCACTTTGAGCGTCATCTCCAGAGCCATTCTAGGAAGAAGGATTTCAAATGTGATGTCTGTGACAAACGATTCACGAGGAGGTACGCTTTTCGCAAATGCGAACCTCTGCAGATGAAATAACCTTTTTTCTTCAGAGATACATTGCAACGCCATTCAGCAACTCACGGACAGGTAGCAACAAAAGTCCAAAAGTCATTGCCGAGAGCACCATGTGCTTGTCTCAATTGTGTCAAATCAAAACAGCGCTGTTCTGGATTTCATCCATGTGATCGCTGCAATCATAAAAATTGGCTTTGCCAGTTCCCAAGGGGCTCCAGGGAAGTGGGGCCGCAAGAACATGAAATCATTCCGGGCACCATTGAACAAAGAACGATTGATCCAAATGACCGAATATTGAGAGCACATGATGTTTGTGAGCCATCTCTTGCATCCGGGATCTCCCCTATAAACACAAGTTATTCGGATCCCAAAGGTCTAGGCAGCGCCACCTTTCCGGGTGGGGCATATGCAGACCCTGCTGTCTCAAATCATTTTGAGCAAACAGCACAATGCAATGATGTCGCTTCTATTTTTGAATCATTTCTACTTTGGCCTCTGGATGATACCTTCGAGAATTACACTATGTCTGGCGACCATTCCAGTCTTCAACCGACTTCTGTACTTGCAGGGACAATTACGCAACCGCCATCAATGTCACATGGAGCTGAGCTGGGAGTGGAGCTGTCAACTGCTTCTCAAGACGTCTCAAGACATTCTAGTGCAGTTCCTAGGCCTCTCTCTAAAGGCCAGCCGAATGATTATGTGCAAGGAATCAACCTCACAGAGGAAGACCAGGACATTTTAATATCTGAGGACTACGCACATGTCCCTAGACCTTCAAATGAAACATATGGAAGCATATGTGCTCTGTTTGCTGAAGTCAGTCGGTCTTCACCAGAAGCATCTCTCCCAAGACTCCACTCTTTGGAAATTCTCCATATATGCACGCAGCTTTACTTTGAACATTTTCACCCGAGCTTCCCAATTATCCACCAAAGTACATTTGGAGCTCGAAGCTCTTCATGGTTGCTTTACCTAGCAATAGCCGCCATCGGCAGTCAGTACTCGCGACTGTCAATCCGGGCCAAAGTATTCTCTGATTTAGTGAAGGTCATCCGAGTGTCCTTGCTCCGAAAGGTATGTCGTCAAATTGTCTTTAATACAGCCCATTGTGCTATGCTAAATTACAACAATAGCTCAATTACGCGTTGTCAATGCAAAATGATCTTGAACTATCCCAGGCGACTCTTCTATTCAACTTCGCCCTTCTTTTCGGTGGAACACGAGAGGGTATGATGCATTTGCAATACCAACGGCATGTGCTGATCACGATGTGTCGCCCTCTTCTGGTTCCAGGTATTCTCTTCGCAAAGAGCTGGATCTTGTCAAATGCTAGTATCCCGAACGCAGATTGGAGTAGATGGGTTGCGACAGAGTCTTGGAAGCGAGTCATTTACTTTACATGGTGTAAGTCCTTTTTATTTAAAAACAATGTTGCCTATGTTCCGTGCCTCATAACTGATTTAAAACTCGAAAGTAATGGAATGCTGTCAATTGATCTTGTTAGATCTCCCAACTATCATTGCGGTTGGTGACCTGCATATCAGTATGCCGTGTCATGATGACCTATGGCGGTGTAAGAGCTCTCATGACTGGGAGCGGCTTAGAGCCCTGCAGAGAAGTAAATCATCACATCCAACAGGGTTGAGACAAATCCCATATCTGACAAGGATCGATCAGATGCCGAAGAATGTCTCGGAACACTTTCCCTACTCAAAACAGACGTTATTGATCACGATCGCATCGCCCGGTTAAGCGACCCGGCACTTTGGATATCGACAGTTTCAGTATATGTTGCTGAAAGGCAGGCCTCTGAGCAGCATTCACTGAAATCATTATTTGGCGCGCATCATATAACAAACCACAGGATTGTGGATTATACAGAAAGGCCACACGCTGCCGAGCCCGAAGAAGATAGCGTTGATGCCATTCTCGGACGATTCCAACAGGCTGTTACCGAACACCGCTACGACTCACCTATCTGTCTGATTATTGCAAAATTCTCTCTCATCCTGAGGCTCTTACGCTTCATCAAATATCGGCCATTGTACCTCTCTTCGGGGTGGATGGCCCAAAGCGAGGAAGTTCGTGCCGCCTGGCAACATATCGAAGACCTACTACATACGAGCCCGAATAAAGCTCGTCAGGGCCTTTTGCATGCTACTCAACTGTTCCGCATAATTCGCTCTCAGCATCAATTCGACCCTTTCGACTCATTCCTTCTGCTGATGGTCACTCTATACATCTGGAATTACGATAAATACGTAATCCCACGGTCCCATCTGAATGGGGGTCAGGAGGAAATCTTCCGAATCGACCAAACTATGGACGCAGATTTACAGGAAAAGTGGATATTGGGCACATTTCAAACCCGCAAGAAAATTCATATTACTGGGATTGGTATCCTCAATGGCCAGGATAGCATGTCCCGCACCCTCAAAGAAGCCATGAGAATCCTAAGTCATGACAAAGCTTGGTCCCGCCAGGCAGATGCTATCAAACGCTCACTGCACCAAATATTGAAAGGGGGTGCCCCGTCATTTGCCGACAACGAAACGGTGACTAATGAAAATGTCACTTGAAAGGGTGATCTTTAAAAATACCAACAATGAGCGGACTTCTTGGTAACCCATTATTGCTCGACACACTTCCATATCAAGAATATATTTGTAGTGGTTTTCACAAAGCTGGCCAGCATGCAGACATTACCCATGTCCAGTCGTATTCTACTCCTCATTATGCGGCGTGTGGGTTCCTACTCGCACTGGTTGCTGTCGCATGCTTCGAAGCTACATGAGTTCTACATCATCCCGCCCCGCAATGCCATCTTCACCTTTAGGCTTTCGGGGTTAGGAATTGGAATCGGAAACGGCTTTATAACGTATTTCCCAAGCAAGCCGAACGCCCGGTCGGCCCGGACACCCCAAAACACATAGTAAATGCGATAAATTACAACTTGATATCTCAACAACCAGACATTATCTTATATTCTCCTTTTAAACAAATGTTCCTTATACTACCCTCTATCTTACCCCGGATTTGATTAAATTCTTTCAGTGGTTGAGTTAGAGATATATATTTAGACCTTAAGTAGCCGAATCACAGCGTATTTTATGGTAACATTGTAGAATCCTCAACTAAAGGACTCAAAAATCCAAAGCTAAACTATGCCTATCCTAAGGAAATAGTATCTAAAATCTAATAAGATTTTCATGCGTGGTTGTTGAAATATCAAGTTGTAATTTATCGCATTTACTATGTGTTTTGGGGTGTCCGGGCCGACCGGGCGTCCGGGTTGCTTGGGAAATACGTTATGAGTTCCGCTTAGTCATGATGAGGAACACCTTATTTCCCCACTGCGGGGCCGACGGGGCCGACGGGGTGCAGATCATTTCTATAAACATACTCCAATTTCTCTATCGTCGCAGAGTAGATGGGAAAAAAATAATTTCAAGTTCCTCCCATTTTCCACCGGGCTGGGATATATTCGAACGACGGCAGTTGGACTAATGATGTAATACGACCTCAAATTGCCAATTCCGGGATCACTTCCTTCCACTGTCGTAGCCACGTCTCCATGAGCCTCTCGTCAACAGGACCCATTTCGCGCAAACTAAGAGAGGCCGCTTGAGTATTTGCAACGTCCATGCTTGGCATCGGGTAGCTTTGCCGAGTGACGAGCATTCGGAAGAAATCCAATAGTCCTGCAGCAGGGAGCTTATGGAGATCAACATCCCCACTGCTGACCAGATGCTCTAGACTCTGGACCCATTCTTCAAGAGAGACAATGCTGGCACCGCATGCCTTGGCTACCAGTCCAGTAAGTGATTCCCACTGTGCTATCTTTGGGTTTGTGATATGGTAGATGGCCAATGCAGAGGAAGTTTGGTCACGGCGATTCCTGACAATTTCCGTCATTATACGAGCGGCGACATCCTAGAACTTGTCAGTTATCTTCTATAGATTCCTTTCTTTTACCTTCAAGCGGTTACGTACAATCGGAAGCCAGTCCACCTGAAATGGGCCCAAGCTATCAGGTAGCTTGCGCATAGTTTGCGACGACCACACCAAAGACGGGAGCCAATCGCGCATGTTCCACATTCCCGCCTCGGGGTTAGATGGTCCACCAAGCTGACCAACGCGATGGATTGCAATTTGCGATCTGTTGCGCTCGGACGCAATTTGGCAGAGATTTTCGCCGACATATTTCGACTCTCCATACCCCTGCCGAAGTGGCCCCGTCATTTGCGGCAAACCCTCTGGAATGGGCGATCCCGAAGGCATGGGCTGGCCCAGGACGGTTGAGACAGAGGAGACGAAATGGAAATTAGCATTGTGAGAGGAGTTTTCAATCAGTTTCAATAGTCGTCGAACCCCGATGATGTGTGTCTCAAAATTAGCGATTGGCTGGTTGAAGTTCACAAGCCAGGAATTGTGCATGACAATGTCGACATTTTGCTCGAGAAAGTCGTATTTTTCTGGTGTCAGACCGAGATATTCTTCACCTAGGCTGCTCAGCCAGAACTGTACGCGAGAAGTCTCTGTTAACCAAGTGCTGGAGAGCTGCTTCTTTTCGAAGCTCATGACTTGTCGCTCTGCTGCGTCGGCGGACCGATTTAAACAATATATCTGCGTGATTGATGGATCCTTCAATAGCATGTCGAGGATGTAGCTACCCAGCTCACCAGTTGAGCCTGTCAGGACTACCGTCAATCCACCCGATCCAAGGAATTGTGCTTGCTGCCAGATTGACTTTATCAAAGTATCCTCCCGTGACGAAATACTTGGTTTGGTTGAGTCACTTTCAGGTTCAGATCCGTGAATGCGCTTATATAGAGTTTGGGCTAGCAGCGGGATTGTCTCTAAGTCGTAAACCATCGCGCTAGTCCAGTTGTCATTCTTCTGATTGACATGCAGCTTATCTTCGGCAAGTTGCAAAACTTGAACAAGCCGGACAGTCTGAAGCGAATCCATACCTAGAGCGGCCAGATCGGTATTAGAGCCGATAGCGTCTTGAGCAAGTATCTGCGCAATCTGGTCTTGAATCCATTCGCGAATTTCGGAAAGCTGAGTTCCCGGAACTTCTTCAACATGCTTAGAAGATTGCGCATTGGTCCCCTCCGGATGGTAAAGGCCGTCTAAGACGGTCTCGTACGTTTTGGCAATATCGCGTCGCCGGAGCGTTCCTTTTGGAGATAAAGTAAAAGGTCTGTCTTGAGAGCTGAATGCAATGTGACTTTCAAGGACTTTCCCATGGGCTGGTAAAAGTTCATTCCCTTGTTCAACAACAGGCCAGATTGTTCGCTTCAGCTCATTGGGTGTCCAAGAAGGAGGCAATTCTTCCCAATTCAGCTCTATCAACAAGGCCGCCTGAAAACGATCCCGACCGAATATGGCGGCATGTCTCACAAACGTATGAGACTCAATCAGCTTCTCTGCCTCAATGGGGTTGAATTTCTCCCCATTACTCAGGACAAGAATATCGTCTCCTCGACCATCGTACTTCCAAAGTCCAGGCTTAGAGGGATGAGGGCGAAAGAGATCACCGGTTCGATATTCGTCTAGGTGTGGATGCGAGTGGAAGATACCGTGAAAATAAAGTTGCTTTGGCCTTGGTAAGACCAACTCCCACAAACCTTCCCCTGTATCCTCCATGCGAAGTTCAAATGCTGGATTCCACTCATGATAAGACCAGTCCGCAGGATCAACACAGAGCAACGCGGGGGTATAGGCAGTCTCGCTGCTTCCAATTATAGTTTGGAGTCTGAGAACTGATGTTAGCTTCTCCCCTGTTGCCTGTCCCATCGGTGCCCCACCGTAATTTACGGCAGAAAGCTTCTTTAGTGCTCGAAGCCCTTCTTCAGAGCCCGCGAGCTCTTCGAGGGCGTATGGATTAAAGAGACCCCAAGTGGGAGCATAATCCATGTTCATGATCCGAGTGAACAATTTCGTGGTTAACGGACGGTCCGGCGTAAGCAAGAATGGAGTTTGGTAAAAGAGACACTCGGAAATACAAACAAGACCCATGAAATGGAAGAATGGGCTATAGTAGAAGCGTAGTTTTCCTTGCTGAAGGTGAAACATAAAACAAGATTGACGTCCTGAAGGCACAGGAAGCGCCCTCAAGTTGTCTAGAGTAGCGAGATAGCCATGAGTCACGGTAATAGGCTTAGGATTTCCTGTAGTGCCAGAACTATGAATTATGACAGCAGGAAGGTCTTCAACATCCGCGAACTGTACACTGTGGGGGCACGGTGGAACTGGACTAGATGAGAAAACATCCCACATCGAGTCAATCTTCCATCGGTCAAACGGAACATCGGAAGAGTTGGCCTCGAGGTCATCGACTTGATGTTGCAGCTGTGCTTTTTCAATCCCATCCACTAGGATAGAGCACTTCGTAGACTGTAGAAGATGTCGCTGGGCTTCTTGAGAGTTCCGGGTCGAGAGTAGCAAAGTCTAATACATGCGGTCAGATGTTGGGATACACACAAAGCATTTTGCGAGGTGTAATCCTACCGCGTGTCCTAATTTCATACATGCTAGTATGAATGCTCCATATCTCAAATCATTGGTACCAATGTAAGCCAAAACTTGTTGCTCCTTCTGCCCACCCAGCTTGTGGTCGATCCACCAAGCCAATCGGTCAACGGCTTGAGCAAATTGCTGGACAGAGATATGGCACCAATCATTGTCGCTGGCTTGTGAGGTGGGATGGATGCAATACAACGAAGAAGGTGACTTTTGTGCCAAATCATCCAAGATTTGCGTTAGAAGCCGGCCCTGAATTCCAGCTGAGCCCATACTGAAAGGTATATGACAGAGTGAGAAAAGGATGTGAGGGGGAAATCTGAATTAGTGATTGATGCGAAAGATTTATTTCGTTCTGCCTGTCTGCGACGCATTTGAGTAAGTAATTCGACGTTCGAATGGAGGGCTCATATAGTTCCACAGGGGGATACCAATCTGGATTAATGCAGTGAGATGTGAGCAGCGGCGCTGATCCCTTTCAAATTTGCTATTCGTTGCATTAGCGTGAATCTGGAAGAGAATAGAACCAGGGTTGAGTGTATGTAGATAAGTGGCGCATTTCGCATCATATCTGTACGCTTTTGCAGATCTTGTACTACCCTTTGTGACAGAGGAAATCTCCCGATTCAGACAGCGAAAACTCTCCTGTTCCATTTTAGGCAGTGATAGTCGTTCGCGACATCTGGTTATATCGTGCCACAGCGAGCTTTGTGGATGCCAGTATTATTACACATTGTGATCAATGTTACTTTGGAAATCAACGTATTCTACCTATTTCGTACGCATCGAGTCATGGTGAGGCAATGACACCTTATGGACAAAGCTACAGCAGGTAGAGTAGATTTAACGGCCATTACTCAGCACATTATATCGCCTATAGCTTCACAACATTAAGATCTTCTGCAGGCCGCATCAATAATGAATTTGACCGCACCAGCATGGTTAATAAATGGCTAGTTGATTCTGTGCAATAACTCACTCCATAGCAGACAATATCTGGCGTATCTCTGGTCTGGATCGCGGGAAATTTTGTCCCACGGTGTGCCCGAGCACTCGATTCCAAGGTTCAAAACTTATCAACCAACAATTCACAGGTGCACATCGTGGGAGGCTCATTTATTCCTCGAATATGAACTGTTGGAACTGCAAGGTGGATTTGGCACAGCTCTAGATGCAGCATGAACCGAACCTCTGACAATGGCCGATCCAAATAATAGCTGCACGGCTCATGCGTGATCGGTTTGATGGCGTCCAGTAAGGCCGTAACTGAGGTTATAGCAGCGCGGGAGTCACTAGGGAGCTTTGCGATTTCTGTGTCTCGGCAGGATCGAATGCGTGCCTCGTCTTGCGAAGTGGGCGCAGCAAACGCTGCTGATACTCAGGATTGGTTGCCAAGGGTGCTGCCGTGGAGCAGATCATGACGAATTGAAGAGAAAGCCTCTTATTTCGGACAAACCATCTTCTGTTCAGTAAGATACACGACGAGAATAGATGCACCCTGACTGAAGCCAATTGCACCAATCAAAGGACCGTTTTGGGAAATCATCTCTCCCAAGAGAGCAGTTGTTGCATATTCGATACGGCTCGGGAGACTTGGTTTCAGTTCCTAGTATATGCAAATACCTTTGCAGTCAGTCATTGCGTGAAACTGTTCAGAGCGCAAGTCAGTCAATTTCCGGGAGCTATTAGACAGCTCTCTTCGCCACAAAGGTCGTGGAACTCCCAGGTAATAAGTGGTGCTCTTTTCAATGCAGGAAATTGATATTCCATCACGTTAGACCCTGTCCCGTGGCCATGGAGATAAAGAACTTGTGTCGCATTGGGAAAAGCCAAAAGGCGTGGAAAGGTTGGAGCAAGGCTAAAGCAAAGTGGTGAATATGGAATTAGTCTCGTGGTGAACACTACGATTCACGCGAAGACCAAAAAGAGCTGGTTCCAGAGATATGGGCATCAAGGTCGGGGTATTTCCGACAATCGCACTAATGCAAGCCACAGCCCCGAAAGTAAATCCAGATTGATATCAACTGCGGTCTTGGCGCAGGCCTGAAGTCGTGTAACAAACCATTTGGGCGATCTGCATATGCCGTGAAACCCACAGCCCGGTTATCAATGCGAATTCATCTGTGCCTAGCCAGACTTGCACAAAAAAACGCTTATCACTACTAAGTCTGATTATAATGTTTGAAGCGTTCGTTAACAATTTTCATATTTGGACATGCAATGATGCACCATGAACTACAAGCTACGTATCTGCCGTCAATCATAGTATACACCATTGTCACTTGGATGTCGACTTTTACACTTGGTATCGAAAATCGAGTAGCGCTGCATAGCTTACTCCCATTGATGAGATGATAGTGGCGCAAATTGCCGCCGATTGCAGGGTTGAGATAGTACCAAAACCAGCTCTATTGCATCATCTGTCTCATCACGAACTCGATACCCCACTTAAGGGTTGTGATAGTCAAAGGCAATATCTGCACCTAGATCGTACATATATTTTCATCCATACACAAATGACTTTTTGTCACTGATGGGCAGACTTCGAAAATCTCCAAATATCTCACTGAGGTGAGCGCATTTTAAGAGTGATATTAGATGTCTTCCAATACAGGCATGAGAGCCTCCTCCAAACTACATGCAATTAGAATCAATGATTCATCGAGTTTTAAGATTTTCGAAAGCGATTTGTGAAGGAATTGGGTCCTGAAGATATCATACCTGAAACATGCATCTTTCCATTTTTCTCAGCTTTTCATCATCGACTTCAATCCATCTTTCAGGTCTGAACACTCTGCTGTCGGTTCCAAAAACTGTCTCATCTCGGTGCATAACCCAGGCACTGACACCGACGCGGGTGGACCCGGGTAAAAAGGTACCGTTTACAGTGGCACCCCCCTCTGGCACTGTACGTGTAATATTGAAGGGAAGGGCAGGCTGCAGTCGCATAGTCTCCTTCAGACAGGCCTGGAAATACGGAAGTGCGATCGCTTGATAGTATTGGACGATAGGTGAGAGCGGTGCATCCAAAAGCTCAGCTGCTAGTTTGCGGTGAACGTTGGGATTTGCCAAGACATGCCAGCAGAAACTGTGCATTGTTGATGCAGTAGTATCCGAACCGGCAGCACTGTAGCGTTGTTAGTTATTGAGTCGAAATTCAATGCACGACCTCAACGATCGCAGGTAGGTTGCCCTACATGGCACCCATAGAAATCGCCATTACATCATCTATGCCAAAATGCTCTGGATTGTTGACATGTGCATCTAGAAGGGATTTCAACAAGCAGGCAGCTGTCCTCGACTTTTCGCTATCAGTCTGCTGAAATTCATTCAAGACCGACTCGGCAGTTTCGAGCATCAATCTCAGTTTATTCTTTAGCAAGAAGGGAACGTATTTCCACAAAGGGTTGGAACGTGTCAGGCGCTCAAGCTTTGGTATTTGCCCGAGAAAGGAACTTTCGTATGTCGATTGACTGATGGAAGAAATGAACTGATCAACGTCTCTGCCTTGCTTCAAGAACCCAAATGGGCGGTCGAATGCAAATTGTGCAAGAACCTAAATGTCTGTTTCAGCAATTATGTGATGAAGGAAAGGATCAAATATGCCCACGTCGAAGGCCAAAAAGTGTAGCCAACTACCGAGATCAAAGGTTTCCGTGTGATTTTTGACAGCAACAGAGTCCATAATTGCAAGCAAGTCTAATGTGATACCTTCAATTTGCTGATTTTGCTTCTTCACTGATGCGAGGCTATAAGGAGGGACTGCATATCTTTTCTTTCCACTATGCACCTTCTCGCGTATCTCCGTGAAGATGTCTTTAATCCCATCAGGTAGAAATGTTGTATAGAAATCTGTTTTATGGAACCTTCTTCCTGTCCGAAAGATGTCTACAGCGGCCTCGGGGGACGCGAAGGACAGTTCATTGGGGCCGATTCTCACTATTGGTCCTATGATCGCGGTCAGCGTCAAACTGCGAAAGGCACTGCTGTGTTGAGTACCATATTTACGATGTACTTCGAGGTAATAGTCTTCGACATGGCCAGCCCTTGCGATATACACTGAAAAAGCATCGTCAACATGCGTTGGAATAACATCATGTGTATTCATACGGTCCTACCTAACCAGAATCTTGTGCAAGATGCAAAAAAAGGTCCTGGGTATTTGGAAAGAGAGCTGCAATATCGGTTATAAAGCATGCGAACAAGTATTACAGCAATGGCGAGCAGAAGCATACTTAGGCTGGACGAGTACCACCCGGGCGCTACTTTCAGAATAATCGAGTCCCACAACATCGTGGCAAAATATACTGTTTTGAAGGGGGTGTACTGCCTAGTGAGATAGATGGCTAGATTACATTCCAAGATAGCACCCGAGAGATACCCTTACTTATAATAATGAGCTATTTCTAGATCATGCAATGAATCAAGGTCTGAGAAACTAGCCCCGCGTCAGAATGCCTGGATCATATGCGGGGTCCCACTCAGTGCCCCTCCCCCGCTCACCACTTACATAGCATTGCCTGCATCTCTTGGTTGTACTTGGCTTTTTGAATCGTGCATTAATCCCTATTGCCGAGAGGATTGATGCACTGGCTCTGGTGAGTGACGCCTCTCGGATTTATGCACCTGGGCCCATACCTTTTGTCTTCGCCCGCAAACACTGCAATATCTACGAATTGAAAGAGACTTACACCATGTACTAATACCCAATATAATATTCTACCGTAGCTCTCTATTGGCATGGGACTTGGGCCTATCTGTAATCATTGAAAGGATGCCATCTGTAAATTAAGTAGCTAGCCCTTCGACTATCTTTTGAATCGGGCTTGCGGTAAATAAACCCCTTTCTTACCATGTCGTACAGCAAATTACGATAGCGAGGGCAAACTAGCAAGGGCTACCTGACATCAGAACAGTTCTATTTGCTCTATCTAGGCTCACACTCGGGTAATCTCTCGTATGCAGTGCGACACACCTTGCAACGGAGCTATCCTTGGACCCCTCTCTAGAATCAGTACTGTGGACATATTTTTGAATATCGATCCTTTCCCACATTTCTCTAAATTTAGCTGAAACTCGAGACTGGAAGGCACCCTATCATACATGTGTCGAAGTTCGCCGAAGGCTGAAATCTGGAATTTCAAGCATTATTGTCAGCGCAATGGAAAACAGGCTCCACTCCTGTAGGTTAAAAATTAAGTGTTCCTCATTTTGCTACAGGGCTCTGATCAGTTGGCATTTGGCGCTCTCGTAGGTACTTATATCTATCTTATTTTTTTTTCAATATTAGGCTTCGCCATGTCTAAAGCAGTACCAAACAGTTTTGCAAAGTTTCCTCTAACATGACAGCCACCTGAAATAGGTCATTTCACTATTCTGATAAGAGAAAGATTTCGATGTTTCTTGTTCTTAGTTTGGCTCTTCATATCCTGCAGTATTAAACATTTCTTCGAAATTTAATGTGCAGACCATGAAATTGACATTCTCCCAAGACTGCTTCAATCAGCAGACTATTGAATCATACTGTAGCGATTCAAATGTTGAGCCGAAAGTTCTTCGGCGTCTGCGGGGCCGACGGGGCCGCCGGCGTCCTCACATCCGATTGCCGATGTGTTTGACGATTATAAATCTTCTTTAAAGCTTGAGTACCCATCAAGGTTATTTAAAGGCTATAGAGTTTCAGATTTCTCATTTAATCTTCCCCTACCTAGGTATCTTGGAACAGCTAATCCTTCCAAGCACATAATGAGTGCCCCCACCCGCGCAATTTTCACCGACCAAGACGGCAAGCCGTATATCGGCACAGTCGACGAAATCTACGAGCCCCTCTCAACCGGGGTCCTCGTTGAGGTTCAATTTTCCGGAGTCAACCCAGCCGACCTTGCTCACCCGAAGCTCGGTTTTAACAATTGTGTCGCCGGTTATGATTTCTCGGGGATCGTGATCGAAGCAGGAGCCAGTAGAAGCGATAAATTTAAACACGGCGACCGTGTTCTTGGATTCGCTGCCCCGGCATATGACAAGCCAAACCAGTATGGCGCACACCAGGACTTTCACTGCGCCAGACATTTCGTTTATCATGTTCCTCCTTCCATGCCGATGGAAGATGCTGCTTGCCTTATGGTTGTGACTCACACCGCTGCCGATGCCCTCTTCAACCAGCTCCATCTATCGTTCGAAAATGAGGCTGAACCACTTTTAGTTTGGGGTGGTTCGAGTGCTGTTGGGAGTGCTTGTATACAACTGGCTAAAAAAGCTGGATGCTACCCCATCCTTACCACCGCCTCCCCGAAGAACCACGCTAAGATCCTGGAGATCGGCGCAACGGAGTGTTTTGACTATAATGATAAGGATGTTGTGCAGAAGATCCGCTCCGCTCTATCAAAGTATACTACAAAGCCACTCAGACGTGTGATTGATTCCATTGTATTCCGCGGAGAGCCTTCGTCAACCGGCCTCTGTGAGGCTTGTGTGGATGATTTGAGCGATCTTTTGTTTACCTCTCCAATCCCCGCTACGAGCGATGCGAAGCACCATTGGAGTGGCACATTTGCCTGCAGGAATGTTGATGTAGACTTCAAAATCCCTAATGGACCTGTTCTTAAGTTCCCAGCCGATCAGGGTATGCAAGATAAAATCGACGAAGCTACTGACTGGGCTATTTCAAGTTACGGGAATGGATACTGCATGCCCAATGTTGTGGTGGTCAAGGGAGGGGAGGAAGGAATCCGTGCCATGATCGACTCTGTGTCTGGCAAGGCTAGCATGCAAAAGTTTGTTGTTAAACATCCCATTTGAACCGAGGGGTTTTGTGTATTGTGGAAGTCAACGATAAATTTATACAATTTTACCGCGGTTAGAATGTTCAATTTACTGATTCGTGGATGACAGCGTGACATTTGTCGAGCCACTAACAAGTGGGGGAGAGGCAAAGCCGAGCTCCGTCGGTCGTGCTGATTGGCTGCAAAAAGTCCGGGGTAAACGCTGCGGGGTAGATTGATCATGCAACTGATCAGTAGATATTTTGACTTGCCTGCCACTTTTCTTTCCTTTTTTCTTCAACTTTTTGCCGGGAAAATGACTTTGAAATTTTCCGCGATGTCACCACCAATTTTCCAGCCCATCGATATTGTGGCGCTGGAGAAGTATCTCAGCCAAAATATACCGCACGTCCAGGGACCGATTTGGGTCACGCAGGTATGATGATCTCCATGTTGATCGAGATACGAGTGTGCTTCTAACCCTGCGACATCTCCAATTAGCTTGGCATTAGCAAGTCCAGTCCGACATACTTTATCAAAGATCGCGCTGGAAACCAACTGGTCATGCGCAAATACCCACCAGGGTCATCTGTGGCAAATACTACCCATAGACTTGAGCGCCAGTACCGTGCTCTACGCGCCCTGGAAAATTCAAATATTCCTGTGCCAAAGCCATACTGCTTATGTGAAGACCCCAGCATCCTTGGAACATCTTTTTCTATTGTGGAGTTTTTGGATGGCCGAACTTTTAACGACCCGAGCTTGCCCGGGTTTTCACCAAGAGAGCGTCATGAAATGTGGGTTTCCATAACTCCATACACTCACTGTAATCGTGCTTCGCTTTGATCATAAAGCTAATAAGTTTCGATTGATCTAGATGGCATGAGGTCATGACAATATTGGCGACACTCCACAATGTCAACATTGATGTAGTGGGTTTGGATAGTTTCGGCCACCGAAGTGGCTACTACAGGCGCCAACTTCAGAATTTAAAGGACTCTGAGCTATCTCAACGTGTTTTGATTGATTCCAAGACTCACAGGCCAGTTGGAAAGGTGCCTGGCATAGATGAAATGATTCAATTTTTTTCTGACGGGGATTACCAACCAAGAAACCGTGCTTCTCTCATCCATGGCGACTTCAAACTCAAAAACATCGTCTTTCATAAAACAGAGCCCCGAGTGATCGGTATTCTCAAGTATGTACACCAAGCATCTTCAATGATTTCTTTGCTCAACTACTGACCTTGGCTTAGCTGGGAATCTTCCACGATCGGTCATCCACTCTCAGATCTTGCGAGTCTTTTACAGCCTTGGACAATCGCTGAGATGTCTTCATCTGCAGCTGAGACACTATCACTTCCGTCGCGGTCCCCAGCTGGTGTTGTGGGTCTGCCTTCGATCACCGAGTGTCTTGCTTGGTACAGCAGGGTGGCAGGGTGGAACCCACAAGCAGAGATAATGTGGGCGAACTCATTCGCTTTATTTAAGATGAGTGTTCTCCGGCAAGGCATCAATGCACGTTTTGCTGTTCAGCGAAACAGCAGTACTGCTGATGTCCAGGCTGGCCGAGGTACATCCGTCTGCGCGGCATTGACCCTGCGAATGATAAGCAGGATGAGGGACATTCATGTTCATACCCGTGCGAGATTATGAGCATTCAATATATCTTAGTTTGAATTTTTGTACATGTTATAACTGAAGTCTTGGGAAATTCATCGTGAACAATGCTACATTATTGGGAACGTGACCCGCCCAGCTCTGACAAATCAAGGTGATTAGATCTCCCTAGCCTCCGCGAGGAATATTGTCTCTATGTACCGATAATTGCTCGCGAGGTCAAGATAAGCTTTTCCCGTCTCGCCTGGGCAGCCCAAAACAGACGAATTTGGAACCTAAATTGGGTTCTCGATCTCATTCAACCGTATTTTCTGCCACGAGCACGCGATCGCCCATGAAGCTTAAGTTTTATCGCTCGTCGTTTACTAAAGTATTCGGACACGCATTGCACTAACGTCACTTTAGCATCCAGAAGCCAATATAAGATGCTAGAGCACATTAGATTGACCCGGTTAGCTAAACATATAAGCCAGCATAACGCAGACCCACTTCGGCACATTCCGTCCACAGAGACGACAGAACACATGGGTACTTGAGATTGCGTGTGTGCACATGGCAGCCCCAGCGATAAGATCCTCTAAGAACTAGCTTACAGCGTGGTGATATCGAGAACCAGTGAGCTTTAATTAACAAGAGGGCTATAGCCAATGAGCCCGGGGTGTGCACCGCCCCTAGCGCCGTTATGAGGTTTAGCGCAGGTCGCCGGGAATGATGGGCGGCCGATTTCAACCAATAACAACGGTAGTTTCATATCTTATCTGCGTGACTTTCAACAATCTAACTGAAATAGATTGGTTCATTTCAGCTTATATGCAATATTCCCCTCTAATCTATCTCCTCAAGGTGCCACTTGGTTGAAAACAGCAATTAGACGGCCGTCATCCCCATGATCGCTGAACAATCCATGTTCCAACCCCGTCCCCCGATACACTGAGACAATACTCTTTCCGTCATTATTTCGGCCAATATTTGTCTCAATATTCTGGAATGTCTTCACCTTCATGTTGCGAGACGAGTCCTCTCCTCCCCCCAACTCCCACACAAGATGACCCCTCTTCAAAGCCTCAAGGTGGGGAAATCCCCACTTCGCGCCGTCTGGCTACCGCCCTTCCCTACGTAATTGTTTTTCTGGTCATTGAATTATCAATGATGGTGGTGGAAACACCTCTATACCCTATACAGGAGGCAATAATTTGTCAAAAATACTTTCCTGCCTCTGCAAATGACGCAAGCGTGGACCCCAGATGCAAGACTGAGATCGTGCAAGCCGAGCTATCCTTCCTCAAGGGCTGGCAGCTTACCATATCATTGCTCCCGGGAATGATAACTGCCCTCCCATATGGGATGATGGCAGAAAAGTACGGTCATAGATTTATTCTCGCTCTATCCACATTTGGGCTCGTGCTAACAGAAGCTTGCTACGTCATTATCTGTATGTTCGAATAGCTTTTCCCTGGCATGCGGAGCAGTGTTTACTAAGTTGACAAGCTTCGTTTCCCGATATTTTTCCTCTTCGCTTAACGTGGCTTTGCGCTGGCTTGAGCATAATCGGTGGTGGGGTTTACGTCAATGCGGCCATGATGTATACGATCGCAGCTGATTTCTCGACTGGAGCGGAACGGTAGATGATATCAAGCTTGCATGGCTCCATTCGACAAACGCAAAAGCTAATTTTCCTCTGCAGTTCTACTGTGTTTTTTTATATCAGCGCAATTGGCTTGGTGGGTAAGCTAGTCGGCTCGCCATTGACATACGCCGCTATGTCTCACGGGAATTGGTTCGCGGTGTACATCGGAATGGGGTTCTTGTCAGCCGCTACGCTGGCAACGTTTTTTCTTCCCAGTACCGATAGCATAAAATCCATGCAGAGCAGCGATGAGGATAATTCCTCTGACCTTGATGAGTCGTCACCAGACCTGCAGAAGGATTTTTTCGATGGTGTCAAAAAGGCGGTCGCTTTGATTCGAATCATGTTCTGGGAGAATAAACAACTCGGTCTCCTGCTGTCGACATTCCTGTTCACATCGCTTGGCAAGAGTGTACCAACAATTCTTATGCAGTATATGACCAAACGATTTCAATGGACTTGGGCTGAGGTAAGAGATTAAGATACTACTGTCAAAAGCAAAGTTCAAAAGCTGATGTGTTTTCTCAAGGCCAATCTCTTATATCCAGTAACCGCCACCGTTCAGATGTCCGTGGTCACCTTGGCTCTTCCCTTTATCAGCCAGGTTTTCATGCAGAATCTGGGACTCACACCGATCTCGAAGGACTTGTGGCTGGCACGCGCAGGCCTTATTTGCCTGACCGTTGGAATGTTCGGTATGGGCCTAGCGAACACGTCCGTTGTCCTTATCATAAGTCTTGTTGTATGTTCTTTGGGTTTTGGTTCTGACCCGGCCATGCGTGGCCTGTTGGTCACGATGGCGGAAGGGCAACCTACTAGCTTGCTTTTCACCACCATGAGCGTGCTTGAGTGCCTTGGCCTGCTGATCTCTGGGCCATTGCTAGCGACGACTTTCAAGATCGGCATGGAGTGGGAGGGTGCATGGATTGGGTTGCCTTTTATATCGGCAGGGTGGTGCTTGGCTTGTGCGACGGTCATTACTATTGGTGTGAGAGTTAGAGAAAAGCCAAGCCAAGGTTTGGATGGCTTGACTTGACGTCACTGCTCCGTCTTATAGCTGCAAGACATCTCCAATCGCCACTCTATGTATAAAATGAACTAGATCTCCACTTTCCAGCCCTTTTGCTGTCTACACTGCTAAGCAGCTGCCATTGCTTGGTTGGATCCAGCCGACGTCTACCTTTGCGGCAAGTTGAACAAACTTTGCTCTGGCGGCTCTAGAATTGCGTCTGGCACGGAATTAAAATTCTCTTTACAGTCAAAGATTCCCTCAGCTATTCGACGAGCAAGAATATGCTTTGGGTATGAAGGGCTACGGATAAATGACATGACAAAGGTAACTAGTGTTCCATTCCAGGGTTTTACATAACAAGACATCACCTCGTGAATACACCGTTCACATTTTGTTCCTTCCAGAAGGTCTTCCACAGCCTAATTTCCATTCAAAACATACAACACATAATGGTCCGCTGCTCCATGAAAACATCTCTTTCCTAGCAATCCACATCGAGCAAATCAAGAGTGACGTTGCATCAGGTCACGGAGCTTCTCTTGATCTTTTATCAAAGCCTCAAGCTGTACTGTGAGCTCATCGGCCTTTGGCGTCAATGTTTCATCAGTCTCCAGCCCTGCAAGGATTCGGCGCTCAAGTGACTCAAGCTCAGTAGCTGCAGAAGTTCGTCGCCTCAAGATATCCATTCCGATTTCCATGAAGTGCGCCTGCGTCATGGCATGGACTATCTTGCGTTAGCATTTGCTACAGGCAACAAACTTATTAAGTCCGACATGATGTCATAGATGATATAGAAAGAGAGTCATGCTCTTACCTGGCTTCTGCTTTGTCTTCTCCTCGGTGAGCTTCTCCTCTTCTTCCTTTCTCATTTCATTTGGGTCATTTTCGGGCTGGCTGGCTGGGGTCACATCCTGTTGCTTATTTGTCGTCTTCTCGGCTTTATCCTAGAAGTCCAGATCATGTGGTTAGCCTGTTTTATAATCAATGTATAATCAATGTTGGCCAATGTGCCCAGCAAAATAAGAGGGGGTGGGGAAGAGAGCGCGACAGGTGATAGTGGGACATGAAGCTATTGCGATGTTTCATCACCAATAGAGATATTATCCTGGAGCTTCCACTAGTATCTAGGTATTTTTCCATGGGTAGAGCTTACAGGTCCTTCATTGATGGGGTTCATCGTCGAGGGTAAGTCTATGATGCCCTTAGTGCACGCAGTGTGGGAGAAAGGCTGAGGAGGTGGAAAGAAAGAAAACATGATAATTGTGGTGGAATTTTACACGTAAAAGTGTGAAGCAAGGACAGCAGCCTTTGGGGTGTTACTAATACATTGATGAAAGACCTAGAGTGGTTGGTCTTTCAATAAATAATGCTGAACTGTTGCACATCTGGCGGAATTTTCCCGCTAAGCTTCACGTTGGTACAGAAGACCTGAAATGAAGACAGGTCTAGGTGGTTGATTGGCGTTAATGAACTGACGGATGTCCTAGACACGTATTTGATGTTGAGATGAGGTAAGGGATGGATTCAAGAACTCGAGACCCACCTCACGGGCAATAATCTTAGACACAGTATCGACCCACGGATAGTGAGCAGACCTGTTCCCGGGATCATGCAAGAAGGGTTGACCATGATGTGGGATTCAATGATCTCTTCTTCAGCCGTTGCGGTAAGTGTGAGACAGCTGAAGTCTTTACCATCGTGTGTCTGAACTCTGTGTTACTATGTACTCTATTTGAGCGCAAACGGTCACAAGACCAAGCCGCTGACGAAACACGTCACTCTTTCCAAGGTTAGAGGAATGCATTTGCTAGCCTCCCTTTGACGCAGTCGCTACGTATTAGCAGGGTATCTTGTCCGAATGAAGAATATAGAAGTATGCGGTATCAATAGCGAATGTAACCTTGGAGCTGGGCAAGAGTGGGGTGAGGCAAGACTCTGAAAAATTCATGCATTATAGACTTTCGTAAATGAATCCATTGTGCCACCCGAGATAAGGAACAGACATGTCGGATGAGCTCATTCTATTCACCATCTGTCCTTGTTCAGCGTAAAGAATTCAGTCAATCCCACAGGCTTTTCAGACAAGAGGTTCAAACTCGAAGTCAAATCGGCACCGGCATAATATCCAGGATCCTCAAGGAGCATCAAGTTCTCGTAGATCTCTTCCTTCATCTCAGGGGACAGCCCAGGTAGGAATGATTTGAATACTTCACCTGGAACAGTCACGACCATCAATTTCTTCCCAGTCGCTGCTTCAAAGTGCGAAGGGATATCATCCCACTTATAATAATCGCTGGAGGCACAAATGGTGTTCTGACCTGAGTCGGACTGATTCAACATGGCCGCACAAACAAATTTACCTACAAGATCAGTTAGTTAATGATGAAGAAATACACGTATTAAGACATGGGAGAGTTTTACCCATATCGGCAACAATGTCAATGAAAGGTGCAGGCGATTGAGTCGATGTGGGCGTTGCAAGAATACAAGAGCCATCCTCCTGCTTGTGAATCAAGTTGAACAATTCAGTTGTAAAGATCCCAGGCATGACAAAGGAAGCTGAAAGGCCAATTTGTCTAATATATCGCTCAATCTCTGCTTTTCCATCGAAATGCGTAACGTGAACAAGGCGGCCGTTGGACTCTTTGGTTACATCAATCAAAGACGAGAAGATCAGATGCCTCACGCCCTCTGCTTTACAAGCATCTGCAACGGTCTTGCCCTGAGCAATCTCTGGCTCGGCCGACTGATGTTCCCAGAAATTGGTGACGAGAAACACAATATCTGAGCCCTGCACAACTCTCTTCATGTCTTCGGGGGACGACATGTCGCCCTAAGAACAGCTCGGGTCAGCTTCTTGGGGATGAGGTAGGTCTTTTCAAGATTAGCACAAAGCATACCTGAACAACTTCAACTCCTTGAGCAGTCAACGCTTTCGAAGAATCCTTGTTCACATCGCGGGTGACCCCCCTGATACGGAACTCTTTGGACAGGCATGAATCCGCAAGAATAGTGCGGATAACAGAGCCACCCTGGTTTCCAGTGGCTCCAAAAACAGTAATCAACTTGGACATGATTGAGGGTGAAAAGGAAATCGCCTGGAACAAAGGAAAATTTTTGATAATCTACTGTATACACTCTAGAAGTGCAACTTTATATCTAACATTCAATGTAAACCTCCCACGGACCACCAGCTCTGCCAAGCCCTCGCTTTGATAGGCGGGCCGGGGTTGGGGCCGCTTGCTTGATGCCTCAACGGAGTCCGGCTCGGGGACAGTGGATGACCGAACGACCGAACCCATTCTATTGGCCCTGGGCCAACCACGCTAAGCGCTTCAGGAACGAAGGAAGACCTCGATAGTATTAAATGACTCACTGAGGTTCTGACTCATGAACTGAGGAGTCATAGTCTCGGGTTAGCAATCTAATATTGAGCTGAAGGTCTTGAAGGAACGATAACAAGCTCTGGAATAGTAATCAGGCGGCGGGCAATCTGGACAAAACAAAAAGCAGCTTACGCTTTCCCCTTGCTGTGAACACTAGTCAGCCCCCTCATTTGAAAAGCTCAATGGGTGGGGATCGAGAAGTAACAACATATCTTCCATTATGGTCAGCAAGGGGCTGGAATGAACAGGCTCATGAGCAGCCAATCAGAAACATGTATATCCAGGCCACCATCGATAGGATCGCCAAGGTCCGCCAAGACTTTTCAATAGGGCGGAAAATGGGGGGCGAATCTGCAAAGAAGTTCACTGATCTTCCAATCTTTGGCTAGTTTTACACGAGGCCGACCTTGGACGGAGTTTGATTCTCGACCATCGATCTCGATATTCCCATCCAAGATCAGGATCCAAGCCAATCATCACTCTAATTCCTCTCGTCTACCGCATGGGGGCGTCAAATAGTTGCTGTGTGTCTCCCTTGATCGAACTGTAGCAGGGTTACCTCGTAGAGTGCCTGGTTAATGTATAATATCGCCAGCCAACGTATATAACGTGGGTGTTTGGCCACATGGCTGCGTTTTTTAAATATATGACTTCCTTGTCGGGGCGAAAATAGTTGACTAAATATAAAGCATCTCGAGATCCGATTTAATGTTTTCTTGAGATTAAAGTCTGACCGGCATCTCACTATGCTTTTTCCAAACCCCTTCCTGGTAACGATTCTGTCCGCACTTTTCGTGAGTGGTGCTGAATCGGCCCGGAACTCCCAATCGAAGCCCTCGAACTCAACATTCACCTATAAACAACTATGGAACCTTGAGAAGACCTTCTGGGACGCTTTTCTATATCCTGCAAACAAAATTCAGATCCAAGGGAACGCATCCACCATCTTCGCATCCGATGTAAGGCTCGAGTCAGACGAATGATGAATTGCATGTATAATTCTAATCTCATAATCAAATCAAGGTCCAAGGACGCGTCGACATCACCCGCACATTCGATGGCGACGAATTAAACCGCGAATATATCTTTGGCCTGTTCGCAGATGCAACGGCTGTCAGTCTTGTGGGCATTCCAATTGATTACAGTATCACCCAATTTGCAGCAAACGACAACATTGCCTCAGCAACAACCGTCGTCACCTTCAACGCCACCACATTCGGCGTGACGATCCCCGTGACAATTGACACCTGGATCGAATTCAACGAAGATGGCAAAATCGCGCAGTACGATGCCACATTCCGCTGGTTTGACTATCTCTTGAATTTCTTGCTCGATTCGACGGCGACTAAATACAATACCACTTCAGCCGGTGCCGTTTCAATCGTTACTGATATCCTTGCTAAGGATATTTGTAAAACTCATGATGCGCATTGTACTGGAGATAATCAGCAATATCCTGCAGATGGTCTGAGTTGCTATGACTATCTAACTCAGAAGACTCGGTTTGGAAAGAGTTATGAACTGGGTCGGAATACACTTTTGTGTCGGGAGGTTCATGATCATATGGTACAGTACAGGCCTGATGTTCATTGTGCGCATATCGGGCCTACTGGGGGTGGTTATTGTGTTGATGATATGAACTACACGCAAACTGTTCTTCAACAGTATTTTAATGATTCGTGGATTCCATTTGGATATGGTCGGGAGCAAGACGTGTGGCTGGCAAACTGAGATGCCAATTGAGCATAGGGGTAAATACAATATGTGAGCTGCCGAATGCAGCCAGATGTAGTTACTCTGAAGGTTTCTTAGCTCGAGCGACCTTGCACATGATGGTCGGCACTTGAGGGTACCTGCATAACTATGGCCTTGTCGTGTTAGATTGGGTGTTTCGAATATATTCCGGTCTACTTCAGGTGTCTTTTTACTGGTTCCTATACGCCACCTTGATTGTACTTTTAGGTGTCTATTTCCTTTTATGGATGAGTTGGATAGTAATGGTAGTCATTGAATCGTTCCTTCATTATTCGAGATACATAAACCTTCCTTGCACCACACATTATATTCTTCACGTAAAACCTCTCCGCAGTTGTAATCCGATGTACTTCTAACATCACAGTTCTCATGTCGTCGAGTTGTAGAGTTGTGTCCAGCCTCATTTGCACAAGAGAGCAGAATCAACCCTTACCATTTATGGTGTCTATGATGTCCATTATCGTGACCGTGACCGTGACCATGACCATAATCATGGTGTCTGCTCGATGAATGGTCTTTTTTTCTGCGATGCGAATCATGTGCTCGCTCAATCTCATTGGCTGCCACAGCTCCAAGCGCACCAGCGCCCACAGTGCGAACAATATGACCAAAACCAGAACTCACGTCCTCGCCCTCCTTCTTCCGGTGATGGTGGATGGCCTCAGCAACTGCCGCAGCAACTGCCGCTCCTTCGGCGAGATGGCGATCGTGGTGAGGGTTGCGATTCTTAGAGCTCTTGCGGTGATGTGAGTGTGAGTGTGAGCTTTTGTGGTCATCATGTCCGTGATGGCTATGGCTGTGTGAACTACCATGACGATGGCCGTGGTCCCGGCTGTGCTGAAGCGCGTTCCTCGAGTCACGGTACGACTCGGGTTCGTTGGGATAATAGTAATCTCTGTTGTAGCCCGAATGCATGTTGATGTTTTGTAGTGTACGACTTCCGCAGGGCAGTAGAGGCTAGTTGTGGGTTAGTCTGTAGGAGATAAACAAGTTAAATAATCCGACAAGATTTTCAACAGCGGGGGAGTTTGATTGTGTTTTGATGATATCATTCTCCACTGACTAGTTGACTAGTGGAACCTTGTGCGGGTTGACTCCCATGTGAACGCCGACCTCAGCCTCATACTCTGCGATGACTTCATTTTGTAGATCGTTACTGTTTTCTTTTTCCTTTCTCCATTTTGCTGTCTTGCATACGCATTCCCGTTTCACTACATAATTTATGCATGTGTTCCATTGGTCTCGTTTATTTTTCCAAGGTTTCGGACTAAATCCAAGAACTCAAAATATGTTTATGGTCGCAACGATTCCACTTGGGCGCAGTAGAGCTTCATGCGTTCGAATGTTGGTGGCAATTTCCACTTCCCTACGTAAGACTTAATGCCCGCGATCTTGGAAGCCCGTAAGCTTGTTTTCAAATCTTCCGGATCTACACTGCCAAGGATATAACACGCGAAATGCCGAGTCCGATCGGGATACCTAATTCAGGCTATACATTCTGCTGGAACATGTTTGCTATTTACTGTCTCTCATAAAAGAATTGAAATTAAATTCGAAGAAAGCTTGCGATAGACTTGAGACCTCGTGATATGCCTTTACAGTCTCGAGAGGTTGGCGAATTCACCCGGTGCATGATAGGTAGGCACCTCCATCTTCAAGGCATCGCCGGAGTAGCCTAAGTCCTCTGCAACCAACATAGCGCATTTCTCGCCAATGAGCAGAGCAGTCTATTGCCCAATGTCAGGTTCAAGTTCCTCAGAATAAAGAAAGATAAATAACTTACACTGAAGGTATTGCAGCCGACGTTGTCTGGACAGATAGACAAGTCACAAACCTTGAGTCCTTTGACTCCATGGACATTTAGTCGTTCATCGACAACACCTCCATGCTTCGCAATGGAGCTGCCCTCGCGTGGAGCCATGCTGCAGGTTCCGAGGGAGTGCCAAGTAGTCTCAACATGGCGTTTAACTGCAATTGTGAGCGAATATACAACAAGGAGATGTGAATTATTCGATTAAACGTACCCCACGTCTCAATGTGCTCGATATCCTCCTTGGTATACTCAATGGGGTCCCTGGCCTCATGTCTGCTCGAGTTCAAGCTTGAAACTGAAGCGGGTTGACCTGGCTTCAAGGGCTCCGACCAGGACCCTGTGTTCTGAGCATTAGTCTCACTGAATTAATGGAGTCATATAGCAAGCTCAGGAGTATCTTACCATGTTGAATGCCAGCTGAGATATGATTTGGGCCAGCGTAAGCCTTCGTGGTCGCAAGATCCAGATCGAGCGCCCGGGCCGGAGAGTTGTAGGCGAAATGAGGGTGCATCGAGGTCACTTCACCAGCATATGCTCCCATGCGTCGAGCAGTCTCACGAGATTTGATATAACCCCAGACCATAGGAGCCATATCCCGCTTATCACTCATGAAACCTGTATCAAAGTCGGGCTCCTCATATGGGTCAGCAGACTTGATATGAGTAGAGCCGCGCGAGAACGGGTATTCCTATCATTCTAGTCAGTATATTCACGCCACATTAATCTTGGTGGAGATCTCACCAGGAAATGGAACATGGTGAAGAACTTGCCCGGTGGCATAAGCATATGGTCACCGAACCATCCAGAGATGACCGCATAATGCATAACAGGCTTATCAGGCTTGTTTTTGAAGTAGGAATCCCATCCACTTCCAAATTCAGGCGTCGGCCACTTTTTCATCTCGTTCAACTCTTCCTCTGTCGGACGGATCTTAACACCGGCCTCAATACCATTCGTGGCTAAGGGCCCCGTTCCCTTTAGATTCCATTCCTCAAATACTTTCTTCTGAACAGCTGGGTCTCCTCGAAGGAAGTCATCAAAAGATTCGACCTCGGGTTTTGCTCGGTAGCCAGAGAAGAATAGGTAATGATCCTGGAAGTTCTGTCCGACTCCGGGAAGATTCACTAGGGGCTTGACGCCCGCTCGGCGTAGCTTTGCTGGGTCACCGACGCCCGATCGCTGGAGGACAAGTGGAGAGCTGAGAGTGCCACAACTGAGGATAATTTGCTTTCGTGCTCGGAATATTCTGCGGACTGGTTCTCCGCCATCTAGAGGCTTGGTGGACATGGTCACAACTCCTACGGCGCGGCCGTCTTCGATAATGATTCTGTCCACTTTGGTGTTGCACTTCAAGTGCAGGTTCGAGTGCTTAGCTCTGGTGCTGTGAACGTAAGCATGTGCTGCATCACTTCGTCGACCTATTTCCAGATATGTCAGATTTGTTAGGAAGAAATAAAAACGAACTTTGAAAGCTTTCGGATTTACCTGTGTCACGGTTGATCCACTTTAACCAATGCTCAGCTCCATGACTGAGACAAAATCCCCCAATTAGCATTTCATCAAGTAATGGGGTACTTCATTGACATACCCAGTCGTCAAGTCCTGAAGGTCATCGGTGATTGGAATGCCTTGGGACTCAGTAGCCCGCAGAAAGTCCTGCGCGATGGGATAGGTGTAGTTTCCAAATGATACCTTGATTGGACCACCAAACCCATGCAGGCCGCGGTTATTAGAAGCACGCTGGTACGTCTCATACTTCTTCATAAGGGGAAGCAATTCCTCGGTTTTCCAGCCCTTAGCTTGAAAGTCATCGTAATCAGAGGCTGACGCTCTGGTATACATCTTGGCAAAGTTAGCATGCATCAACAGATTCTTTTGGGATAAGCATCATACCATGAAGTTGATAGAGCTACCCCCGCCAAGGATATTTGCACATGGCACGATAGCTTTGCGCCCATCTAAATGCTCCGAGGGGCGCGAGTGATAAAACGATGCCGTCTTAGAATCAAGTTTCATATTGACGGGGTAGATTCCTGGGCGATAGACCCTAATCTTGTTAGCAATGTGAGCCCGTAATAATTGGTTCTCGAAACATACCATGGATTGTTGAGGTTGTCCTCTCCCCCTTCAATCAGAAGAACGGAAAGGTTGTGGTCGAGGTTTGCGAGGCGGCCAGCAGGAACACATCCTGCGCTGCCGCCACCGCAAATGATAATATCAACTTCGTCCGGGATAGTCATAACTCCAGATATCGACAGCTCGGTGCCAATAGCGAGTCAACAATTGAGCTGGTTAATTATTTTGATGGGGCTATCTGAAGCCTTTTATATGTTTTGTGAGCTCTGTGCCTGTGCTACCCCGGACTGGTACCTTCATGTACTTTTGGCAAACTCGATCAATCCCCAACTTCTTTTTCGCCAGACCCCGCACGCGGGGGTGATTTATAATCTATAATGAGGTGCAAAATGAGGGACAAACTTGGCCAAAATACGTGGTGCATTACGAAGGCTCTAGGTTGACTACTGGTGCTTCTTGGCGTGGTAATAAACTTATCTGGGCCTGCGAGGTATCCTTTCAAATGACTTGATGATAACAATGGTCAATAACAATGGTCAATAAATGTACTCTCCGAGACCAATCCATCTTAAATTAAGCTGCTTTTCCTACTTCCTATGGTCACAATGGCCTTGCTAATGATCCTAGTCACTCCAGGTGTATGCGTTCTTTGTTTGTTCTTTACTCTCTCTATTCATGGCCAAAACCGGATATTCCAAGTCAAGCCGCGTTTAGCTCAATCCACTGATGTGAATATCTACACAAGTACATCCTACCATGCTTGATGTGGGGTCTACATCTGCGTTGGCCATTGGACCCCATTCTCTCTAAAGCCTAATCGACCGGGATTTGCTTTATGTCAGATGCTCTTCCAGGCAATAATAAAGATGCACGATAGACTTACAGAAACTATAATTGATGGTGAAATATGAGGCACTCGGGCTAATCTTCCCACGGGTGCCTAGGGAACCACTTTAGCAGCACACAGTTCCATAATGATACGAGACTCATGTGTGATCGGCATGTCAGAAGGACTTTCTTAGCTGTATTTACAGGCATTAACCCGAGTTTTGAGTTCCAGGTTTGTTTCCAAGTTTCAACCTTGTCATCTCCACGGCTTCAACCTTGGAATATACTACAACACAACGGACACTAGGCCGAGCCTACTTCTTGGGGAAATTGAGTTTTCGGCTGCTCAGTTCCGGGGGTGTTACTGAGTTAAGGGATTAACTGCAAGTCGACTTATGTATTCGACTCGGCTTTGGCCTATTTTATTGGTGGGTAAACATAGACATGGCTGTAACCCGCATGGTACATGCAGGCACTGGTGCAGGGTTCTATTCAGCCAGTCATCTGCTATAATCTCCTAGGTCCTATCCAAGGTTCCCCGCCTTCTGTGGGGAGATCTCCCGGTGTGGGGTACTATCTGTTATTGATATTGGGCTTAGGTGGGATTTCAGTAAAATAAGCAGCATGAATGAAGTACGACACGGTGTACGAGAAAAGACCGCGACAAGAAGCACCAGGGCAAATACCAGTGCTAAGAAATCCACCGATACTTTCATAATTCACTTACGCTAACATTGTGTCTGGAAACATTCTGTGCAGTCTCCCTCGGTGGGGTTGGATTGGTTTGAGTATGTATTAATGTCAAGATGCACTCCAGCCCCAGCCCCACATAGTCTAGCTTTTTCCCCACAGCGGCGTTCGGCCGAAAATTGAAGGTAGCTGCCGACGCCAATGCACATTTCTCTGGGCAGGATCAGCTCCAATCCAGTCTGATTGTAATTGGCAGCTCCAAGATAACACTCTCAGTAGATTCTAGGCCTAGAATCCATGGTGATGCCATTCCACTTTCCCCGCTTAACCCCGCATCCTCTACAAGGAGATTCGATCGGATTGAAGCAAAACAGAACCCCAGATTTCTCTAGTCTGACATGTCACAGAGAGGGCCACGTCCTCTCAATTGAGTTATGGGTATCAACTTGTAATCCTTGAAGGATTCGTAATCACGTAGCAAGCGCAGACGGATTTAGGGAGCTCGTATGTATCGAAGAAAGAACGGATCGGCATTTGCCTCGTGAGCTGTATGGAGTCGACAAGGCAACGTTTTCAAGGACTGCACCATCAAATGCATTGCAGGACAAGGTCGATAATTGCGAAAAAGGAATCACGATCGGAGCCCGTCTTGCCTAGTCCTAAGCCAACGATGAGCAATCGCTGCTCAGCGGGGGATTTGGTGGCAATAGCAGTTCCAATTTGACGAGCTAGAAGCTGGCCAACGGTATCTTGGCCTGGCGCATGACCTCCAAGTAGAGAAGTTGCTGTCAATCCACTGAGGGGTAACAGACCGTCGTCTGCACCGTCCGAAAACGTATGCATGCCATCAGTCCCGGGATTTGGGTTCCCGAGTGGTACATGTAGCTGTAGAATTGTTAGTATTGCGCAGACAATGCCGGTACTTATGGACAAACCCAGTGTGCCAGTCGGCCCTCTTGGGAAATGGTAACCATGATCTTATCGCTGAAGTTCATGACCATGACATCAGTCTTGACCCCATCAACCAATCCCGCCACTTGTTTGGTGGGGGCTGGAAATGGTAGATTCTCAGAATTTTGCAGTACGCTCTCAACAGAAGCCATGGTGATTCGGTCTTAGTATTGCAGTACAAGGAAGTCGTTGCGTGTTGATGCTTTGCTCCCTCCGAGGCGGTCAGTCCCGCCCCACACCATTGTCGGGCATTACCACACCGCCCATTGACCGTCCTCATTTTTTTTTCATGAGAACGAGCGATAGCTCGACTAAACACATTACCTGATTGTTGTCTCTGACCTAGAGACAGGATCGGTAAATATGCCGCCCAAGTTTGTTCCACGCCTGCGAAAGCAGAAGCACCGGCAACAAGAGCCTGATCAGTTGGTGGACACCAATGTCGCGGAGCTAGCGCCCGTCTCCAAAGATGAGAAGGAAGCAAAGAGGGAGAAATTACGTGCTGAACTACGAGAGCAACATACCAATGTGTCTTCGAAGAAGCAAAAGCGCTTGGATAAGTACATTGTATGTGAAATTGCTGAAGCTTTTGACCGCATCCGCTAACATCCCGAAAGGAAAATAAATTGAAGAAAGAAGAGAACCTCGAACTCATCAAGAAACTCGCCAAAGCGAATGCGAATGCGAATACTTCTGGCCTTCAAAGCTCAAGGGAATTGGGGCAGCGCAAGCGACCGGAACGAGACAACATCCCAGTGGTCAAGGTTGATAAAGCTGGCAAGGCTGGCAAAGCTAGCAAGGCTGGCAAAGCGCAAGCGCAAGATTTCTCTGGATATGATTCCGACGACTCCGATGCCGATCTCAAGGCCTCCGATCCTGCGACAGATCCGGTGAATGCGCCAAAGCCTCAACAACCCCTAGCCCCTACCGGAAGTGGATTGAAGCGTCCTCTCGATCTTGGACCTGATGGATTCCCAATCATCAAGAAACGGAAGCGCTCTGCCAAATCTGCTCCTGCACCTGCACCTGAACCAGTGAAAGAGGTCGAATGGGAAGGATTTGGCTCTGATGATGAGGAGGATTCTGAGATGGACGAGGATGATGACGAAGACGAGTCCTCTGAGGGTTCGGACGACGAGGATGATGACGAAGATGAAGACGATGATGAGGATGAGGATGAATCACCTGAGAAGAAGATTCGGCCTCGGGAATCCGCCTTCAAGTCATGGGCTATACAACAGATCAATGAGGCCGTTGGCTTTAAGCCAACTGACGGCCCAATTATCCACGATCAAGCGCAACAGGCATTTGCTCCCCCCAGAAAAGAGCCACGGAATACTGTCGATGACGAGGATCCTCTTCCAGCAGAGCTTGCAATGACCTATAACAATCCTGACCGAAAGGCCTTCAGCGTCGCTGTGGAACGTTCAGAAGAGATTCAAACTGCACGTATGGGTCTGCCGGTGGTCGGTGAAGAGCAGAAGATCATGGAGGCAATCCACAACAACTCAACCATTGTCATCTGGGGTGCTACTGGTTCCGGAAAAACAACCCAGCTTCCCCAATTCCTCTTTGAATCCGGCTTCGGTAATCCAGATAGTCCCAACCCAGGTCTAATTGGTGTAACTCAGCCTCGCCGAGTCGCCGCCGTCAGTATGGCGAATCGTGTCGCCCAGGAACTTGGACAGTATTCGGATAAAGTTTCGTATCAAATTCGGTTCGAGACAACCGTATCTAAAAACACGGCCATCAAGTTCATGACTGATGGTATTCTTCTCCGTGAGATCGCGGATGACTTTTCTCTTCGCAAATACTCCGTGATCATCATTGATGAAGCGCACGAGCGGAGTGTGAACACTGATATCCTCATCGGAATGGTTAGCCGTATTGTGGACTTGCGCAAGTCAATGAGCGAGGAAGATCCGACCATCACACCGCTGAAGGTCGTCATCATGTCTGCCACTCTTCGAATTTCGGATTTCACTGAGAATGCCAGCCTTTTCCGCCAAGGACCTCCTCCTCTGGTTCAGGCAGAAGGTCGGCAATACCCTGTCACTGTGCACTTTGCCCGTCGTACACACCGTGATTATGTCGAGGAGGCTTTCCGTAAAGTCTCGCGAGGCCATCGCAAACTCCCACCGGGTGGAATGCTCGTTTTCTTGACTGGACAAAATGAGATTCGTCAACTGTCCAAGCGACTGAAGCAGGCCTTCAAACCTACCGAGCGATTGGATACCACACAAGCCAAGGTGCAGTTTACAGCTAACGATGCACCCTTGGAGGCAGAAGACCTGGAACTTGGTGGTACCGAAATGCACGACAATGGTTATGACGATGACAGTGATCTGGAGATCACTGGGCTGGACGATCCTGAGGATGACGAGGGCTTCGACCTTGGTGAGGATGCCATGGAGTCAGGTACCAAGGTTCACGTCTTGCCCCTATACTCGCAGCTTCCCACAAAAGAGCAGATGAAGGTCTTTGAACCACCACCAGACGGTTCACGTCTCATCATTCTCGCAACTAACGTTGCTGAGACATCTCTCACAATCCCTGGTATCAAGTATGTTTTCGACTGTGGTCGAGCTAAGGACAAGCAATTCGATTTGTTCACCGGTGTTCAAAGCTTCCAGGTTGGCTGGATCAGCAAAGCCAGTGCAAGCCAAAGATCCGGTCGTGCCGGTCGAACAGGCCCCGGTCACTGCTATCGTCTGTACTCTTCAGCCGTATACGAAGCCGACTTCGCAGAATACACAGCCCCCGAGATTCTGCGCACTCCCATCGAAGGAGTCGTTCTCCAGATGAAGAGCATGGGTCTACACAATGTGATCAACTTCCCATTCCCCACACCACCAAGCCGCCAAGGCCTCATCAAGGCAGAGAAGCTTCTCAGGAATCTCGGTGCCCTCTCTCCAGACGGCCAAGTCACACAAATCGGTCGCCGTCTCGCAACATACCCTCTCTCCCCCCGATTCGGCAAAATGCTATACATCGGCCACCAACACGGCTGCATGCCATACGTCATCGCCCTAGTATCTGCCCTCGCAGTCGGTGACCTATTCGTCTCCCAAAACGAAGTCGACCCTACAGCCTTCGACCCGAAGCCCAAGCCAAAGGATGACGACAGCGACAGCGACGACGACAACAGACCAGTCTACACAAACCTAGACCGGATAGAGGATACAGAGCGCGAGCAGCGCGTAAAGAACTATAACCGCGTTCAACGCCTACTCAGCAAACACGACGACACATCCGACGCCCTTAAGTTCCTCTCGGCAATCTGCGCCTACGCCTACGCCTCCGACGGCGAAGCCTTCAGCGAACAGATGTTCCTCCGCGCAAAAGCCTTCAAAGAAGCGACCCAGCTCCGTCGCCAGCTGACCGACATCGTGCGCGCAAACAACCCAGGCCTAGTCAACGCTTACGAAGCTCGTCTTCCCGAGCCGTCGGTTAAGCAAGTCAAGGCCCTGAAACAGATCGTCACGGCCGGTTTCATCGATCATGTCGCTATCCGCGCTGATCTCGCCCCAGTACCACCTGAGAACCCTCGTGCTCCCCGTCGTGCAATCGATGTCCCTTACCTAACACTCTTCCGGTCGAGGGAGGGTCCAATGGATGATCTCGCCCAGCGCGCTGTCTTCATTCACCCATCTTCTATCATGTCGAAGCTTTCGCCTAAGGAGATGCCGCAGTATATCATCTACTCACATCTCCAGCAGTCTTCCGCAAGTGTAGTCTCGGACCAAGCGCCTAAGATCAGAATGTTCCCGCTTGTCACTCCGAGTGGATTGCAGCTTTCTGCGTTGGCACATGATACCCCGCTTATTGATTATGGCAAGCCGATTGGGAAGACGGAGACTTTGGAGGGTATCCCGCAGCGTAGAGCTTGCTGGGTTATTCCCTCGTTGGTTGGAGATGCGGGTGGCACTGGGTGGCCTTTGCCGGCGAAGAAGGTTGTGCAGAAGAAAGACCCGAAGGAGGGATGGGTTATTGAAAAGTTTGTGGGTTGATCTAGGTTTTCTGTGAAGATATTTTGTATAGACGAGATTATGATATCCAACGCGCATTGGTTGCATCTTGTATCTTTTGCATTGCACTTGTAAAATGAAGCCATTTACAGATATCCCAAGCTTTCAATAACGCCAACGCCCATTGACTAAGACCATGACAATCATATAGATCGATCTAATCAATCCCGCGAATCCCTCGGCCGCCTCTCCCTGGTACTACTAATAGCCCCCGTCTCCCTATCCTCCCGAATCCCCAACGCCCTCCGCAACCTCTCACTCTCCTCGATCTTAGCCTCGGCAAGCTCATGAACCTGATAAGACTTAATCCTCCGATCCTTTGAGCCAGATCCCGAGCCACCATCCCATTTCCTCCCACCCCGGATCGGACCCGGCCGATCCCTCCCAGTAACATCCTCTTCCATCTCCTTAAGAAGCTTCTGGCGCAAAACCTCACACCGCTCATCAATCTCCTCCTCGGAAAGCACGCGCGGAGCATCATCATTCTCTGCATCTTCCTCGCCCTCTTCTTTATCCTCATCCACGGTCTTCTTATTGGCTCCCTTCTTTTTAGCGCTAGCCTCTTCCTCCTCGATACGTTCATTCTCTTCTTCGAGTCGCTCGCGCTCTTCCATCACCTTTACCTCAATTGCGCGGCGTCGGTCATGTTCGAGAATCTGCTTGTCTGGTAGGCGTTGCTTAAAGCCGTGGTCTGGGCCGCTGCCATTTGCGCCGGAGAGGGGTGGGTAGGGGGCGCCGGAGCCTGTGCTGCGGGGCTTGATGAAGGCGTTGTTGCGTTGAACGTAGCCTGATGTACCGCTTCCGCGGGGTGTGGATAGACCGACGTTAGAGGACATGATGTAGACCGGTGATCGGGAATTTGTCTGGAGGTTGGAGGTATATGTAATCGATGTTTGGGAGTGTATGTCGGGTTTTGTAATTGGGGAAGTTGAGTGGTTGCTTTCAAGCTCGGCGGACCGGTTGTCCTGATGCGCCTAGGCGTTTGGTGTATTGCGGATGAAATGTGTGTGTTGAGTTTGATTGTATTTGCTCCGCTTCCCTGCCAACTTGAAGCAAAATTGTAGCCGCGGTTGAGGTACGTGAAGCTGAAGAGAAAGATTGCGGTTGGAGCGCATTTGATAGAGCTTATCGGTCACGTGATGTTATCGCGCCTGTTCTATGGATATTCAAGGACTCTACTCCGGTGACAGGAGGAATCGAAAGATAATGGCCGTCAAATTTGTTTATATTGGGTACATCAGCCATAAGCAAAGTATCAACATATCAGTGCAGACATAAGCAACACGTTTCACTAAGTGTAAACTGTACGCCTCACAAACATAGATAGATAGCAAATCCCACAACAGATATGTGGTGCGTCTCAAATAAAGATGACCTCGAACGGGGAGACATGAAATAATAGACCTTGAAAAAAAAAAAGTAGAAATAAACAAAAGGACAACAAAAACAAGAAGGGACCGTGCCATGCAAAGAGGTTGTTTCTCTCCCGTATTTCCATTCCGAACCGATTCGATTTTCCCATGTCATATGCTGAAGATCGTTGAAGAGCGAATATCCGATGCCCCCATAAAAACACACAGACGCCGAGTTCCCCTGGGGGTGGATCCTCAGACCCACGAACCCATTGACGGTGAGAGTGACAATGAGATAGGTGGGAGGGGAGGGACAACACCATCACAAAGAAGAAAAAATAAACAGGTGAAAAACATGTCAAGGAAACACAAGAAAAAGAGAGAAATGAAGGAACAGAAGAATGACTGGTCCGAGATCACCATGAGAAAAGATAAACAACGAGGCCCTATTCTTGCGCCATCAAGCCATGGTAAAGGGTAAACACATAGACGTTTGGTAACTCATATATCCCGCCGGGTCCCCTGTATGTATACGCCCATATTAGATAAAGCAGAAATGACTTGGTTCACAGATCGCCATTAGAACAATTATGTGGGCAAGCAAAGTAAATTATGCAACGAATTAGTGAGCACTGGTGACATCGACCGAGACAGAAACACCGGTGTTATCCGTCTCGGGACTGGACACCGAGGTCACAGTGCTCTTAGCAAGCCCCTTTGACTCAAGAGAGCCATCGACGGTAGTCTGGTTGTCCGTCGGGGGAGGGGTTGGCGGGGCCGTGCCGGCAAAGGCACGAGGCTGCTCCATGGGGGGGATGGAGCGCTTGGAAGGCTGAGGAGAGGACTTGTGGGAGTGGGGAGGAGTGGCCGAAGTGGTGTGAGACAAGGGGCCAGTGGCTGGGGAGTTAGGGTCGAAGATGAGCTTCTCGATAGCGACGATCTGCTTTCCATAGCTGAATTTCTTCAGCTGACTCAGGAGTGGCTTGATCTGGTCGATGAGTGCCTCGCGTTCAGCGCCCTTCAGCTGACCGAGAACTTTCTCTGTGAAAAGTTAGGATGGGTGAAAGGAACAGAATGGGGTAGGGGGGGGGGTGCTTACGGATGACATAGTTGCCATACTGGTCTCGCATCAAGCCAAGAAGAGGGCTCTCTCCCCGGTCATTGGGAGAGATGAGGGTGGAAATGATGTGATGGGCCTGGCTTGGCTCGCCAAACTCAATGCTCTTCTCAACAACGTTGCTGGCAAACTTATGCTTGGAGTAAGCCAAGAGCTGTGACATGACAATGATGATCATGCGGTTGCGATCTTCCTCGTCGCCATTCTCAATGACATGTTGAATCACGTAGTTACCGAACTGGTCGGGGATGAGGTTAGATGTGCAAGCATGCAGCTCAGCAAGAATAGACTGGCGGTCAACCTCCTCACAGTGCTCAAGCATCCTCTGGATGACCCGGCATCCGTAGGGGTGCGCAGCAAGTCGGTTCACCTGGCCGCGGAAAGCGTTGATGATGAACTGGACGTATTCCGAGGGGACACGCTCAATCGCCTTCTGAATGACGTGGTTGCCGTTCTGGTCGCGAACGCACTTCAGAACGTGGCTTTCAAGCTCCTTGACCATAGCAGCTTGCTGGTCGGTGAGGATGTGTTCGAGGGCCTTTTGCACAACTCGGCAGCCATACATTTGAGTGGACAGGGCAAGGACATGACCCCGCATCTGGTTGGCGAGAATCTTCTTCTGTGTCTGATTGCCGTGCTCAAACAGCTTTTGCACAACGTAGTTACCGAAGACATCGGTCATCAGCTGCAAGCAATTAGGCTGGATCTCCCGGAAGACTTGCTCCTTTTCATCACTGTTGGCGGTCTCTAGCTTCTGCTGGATGAACCGCGAACCGTGCTGGTCACCACTGAACTCAACGACGTGATTGTAGATGTCCTTCAGCTCGTAACGCTTGTTGCCCTTACTGTTTGCTCGGAATTCCTCAAGCAAGGGGCTGCGGACCACCTGGGTGGGATCTTGCTCGCGTTGCGCGCGTGAAGCGACAGCCGCTGTCCCGCCGATTCCACCAAGCTGTGCCATGGGGTAATATCCCTGAAGAGCATTAATGCGCGCAGCATTTTGGTAGTTGGCGTATTCGTAGGCGGGCATCTGCATGCGCGGAACAGAGCCTCCCTGGGCTTGAGCCAATTCCTGTTCTTGAAGTCGCAGTCGGCGCTCAAAAGCGGCAGCCTGGCTGTCAGACATGCGGCCACCAGAGTTACGGTACTGAGAGGTGATATCAAGGCCGGCGTATAGCGGGCTATCCATTCGTGCGTAGTCAGAGGGAGATATAGAGCCATTATCACCACGGGAGCGTGGGTGGTATGAAACATGCATGTCTGCACCTTCTCCGCCGTAGCCAGCCAGTGACTGGTAGCCATCATCGTTCTGGTACTTGCCCCGAGGAAGAGATCCATCGAATGAGGCATGGGGCATAAACGGTGGTCGCTGAGCGCTTCCTTGGGCGCCGTACCCAGCATCATTGAACTGGAGCTTGCTAAATCCCGCGGATAAATCAATAGAGCCGCCTCCATAACGACCATCGATGCTGTGGTTGTCGGAGTAGAAAGAGGGGTTGGAGGAATGCACAGGTCGTTGAGCATAGGAAGCAGAATTGTGAGGCATATGAGAAAGTCCGCTGCGAGTCTGAGGTGGGGAAATGCCGTCCTGAATCCCTGAGGCTAACGATGAGATACCCATAGAGGCCATTTCATCAGATCTTTGTCCATCCATCGCGCCATTGTATCCAGCCTTCACAGGGAATGAAGCTCCCACAGGGCTGCCACCCAGACCGGTGGTGCTCATCTGTCGACGTCCATCGCCGTTTCGCAGGGCAGGGAATCCACCGAATGTAATACCCTCACCAGACGGAGAGACACCCTCGGATCCAGCACTCAAATACGGTCGGTGGCTGACTGTGTTGGCCGAGTTGGTCATTCCCGAAGTTCGAGGCAGGTTGAAATATGATCCATCTGACGATTCGTTCATGGGTGGGGCACTCCGGTCATTGGAGCGAGTCTGAATTGGAGATGTCGACATGCCGCGGTTCTGGTTCATCGCCAGTTGCGTGTTAACTGTGCTCCATGGAAGGTTGGGGCGACCCGCCCAGCCGTCGGACTCGGACGTCGACAGGAGAGAACCCGAGCCAGACTTGGCTTCAAATCCACCATCGCCGATTTGTTGGTCTAGACCCATTATCAGCCCCGATTCATAGCGCGTCATTCCGAAAGAATAAACCTCATCGCACGTACCATCAAAACCACTGCCGAGATTGGAGTCTCCCCAGATGTTGCTGTTCCAGCTCGATTTGCTGCCACCGAATCCTTTCCCGACACCGTTGCTGTGAGATCCACGCGAGCGATCATTGTTCATGCCGGACGAACCCATGTTGGAACCCCGGTTGGATCGTACCTGCCGAGCTGTCAATGTCCGTCCATTCTCCTCCAAGTCGTCCCCACCACTCACGTTGTGTACACTGGTTGCATTCGCTGCCATGGTAGAAGCCATCCCAGGGAAATGATCGACTGAGGTATGTACTCAAACGGGCGGGGCGATTATTTGCAAGTTCGAGCGAATCGAAACTAAATCACAGAAGCCGAGTGATTGTCGGCCGATATTTGCAGATGGGCACCAGGCACCAGAAACGGCGTACACGAAGGAATATAAAGACTGTTGATGTCGTGTGCCCTTGTTAGCAATGGATCACTATCCGCGGGGATGGTAGGATCTTGATCGGGTCCTAGGTCGAACTCCCCAGCTAAGGCATATAGGGTTGCGAGGAGCACTCACGAAAGGAGGGGAAGCGTAGGGATTCCGCGACGAGCGACACGGAAAAAAGACGAGAAAAAAAAAGCAGAGACCGATTACTTCTGAAGTCCCTTGTTTCTGTTTTCACAAACCACGGGCCCTTGACATGTACAGGTAGCAGAGGAGGGTGGGGAGGAAAGTGAAGCACTCAAAAGGCGAGAGAAGGGGTGGAGGATAAGAAGGGCGAGAGTGTTGGACGTCAAGGAAGAAATGCGGGAACGGCCGAGCAAGTAGATGCAAGGCGACAAAGAATTGGAAGGATGGAAAATCTCAGGTATTCCTTTCTCCCTTCGTTTGTCGCTGCAGCGGGGATCACAGTGAGGTCGGTACGCGACGTTACTCTGCTCCGTGCATGCTCCAGGAATCTCCCAGGTTGCCGATCGTCCTCATGTGCCTTGTGGAGAGGCAGATCCCCGAGAATGGAAGAGTGTTTGGGCAAGACCCTGGATGGGATTTGCGCAAGGGGTGGAGGAAATAGAGGAGGGATGGGAGGTTTGCGATTTTGCGAGGGGGCGATTTCGACTCGGGGGAAAAAAGGAATAATCCAGCTGGAATGCGCTCGGTTGCGCAAAAGATGGATAATCCGGGATTTAGTGGGTCGATGGATGGGAATGTGGAAGAGAGACAAAGCACGGCATTAATGTAGTCTCCAGCTGTCACACAAGCGCCAGCATGACAGCCAAAGCTGGTCGGATTTTTTTTTTCTTGCGGTGAGTGTCTGTCTGAGGGCGAGAGAGAGGGGAGGGATGGAGGAGAGAAGGAAGAAAGAAACAGAAATTGAAGTTGACAAACGTAACACGAAGAACGAGAAAAAAGAAATGTTTTCAGGGAAACTTGATAGATAAGAATTAACACTTTTTATGCTTTTTTAGTTATGGTCAAGAATGAGATGAGCAGATCAGCCGCCTGTATTGTCCGCGTATTACCAGGCCCAGCGATGACGCCTTGAAACGGGGCCAATGGGAGAAGGTACTTGCGGCGCCACCATCTAGGATACGTGGGTACAGGTACCCTTCTGGCCCCTCAAAAGTTGTTCGGGCGTTTGTTGTGGGTAACGGTATTGTCACAGTCGATCACTGGATCTTCATCTCTCCGAGCTTCTTCCTCTCCACTCCATTATATGTATACTCATCACGCTGATGATAGTTTAAGATTCTGGTTTCTTTCTGGATGTTTCTTTCTTCTGGATTCTCTGATTTCCAATGCTTTTTCAAATACAAAAACAGCCTAAATGAGTTGGTGCTGCACCTAATCCCCACTGACCGCCATCTCCATGGCCTAGATTTGACATGGCCACGGAAAGCAAACTCACTAAATAGGACAATACCTCCCCCATCTATAAATCTACGTGAAAGCCTGATGTCACTCTGCTTCGGGCAACAGTTCCTGTCCACTTCCTCTATCCGTACCCGACCCGATACCCCTCTAACCATGGTCTGGGACGGTCGTCAGAGCCTATCGGCCACGTTAGCCTTTGGGCAACCGACAGAGCCGGGTTCTACCTATACACTTGTTACATACCGTCGAGTATGTATAGAGAGTAGTTAAGTATAACCCTGCATTGGGGCCATATGGATAATAATAGGATCACTGATCACATAAACCCCCGTAAGTTACTCCGATCGGATCCACTTAAAAGGACCCTAGCCTGGATCTGAGCAAGGTACACACCGTGACCATCACGCTCTTCAGACTTCTATATCGGAGTCGAGTTCATTATTTACTGAGTCGCCGGTCAAGGACGGAACAGAACATTCTTGAGAAAACAAGCTAAAATGCCAAAATCCCAAGGACCGCCACCAAACTATGGACTCCTTCCCATTCCAGGCCTGAAGTCTCGTTGGCTCCTGATCTCCGCCCAGTCGGAAACTCAATGGGGGGAGGACATGGATCGACGCCCTTGATGGATCTAATGTTCTCTAAATCAATAGTCTGGATCCAACAACTCCAAACTTGAAAAAGAAAACATAAAACGATTAACTGAAATACAAATCTAAAGTCCAGTTAGAAAACAATGACAATGATATGCGAGTCTCACAATAGTGTGCTCGATCATCAATACTGCGCTTGGGGCATGAATGTAGGCTCGCGGTTCCAAACTCCTTGCTTCCGCATCTTGGATCTAAGATGCCCTGGAGATCTTATCCCATAATTCATCTCGAACAAGGTCGTGGATCATAACTCTACCGAGCCCATTATTCCAGCGGGAATCCTAGTGAATCCAGGCAGAACTCGAGTTCTCGCCCTTCATGTAAATAATCACCGTTACAAGGCATCCAGTTCAAACTCCGCCTCGGCGGGTTTCCAACGAGCCCGAGACATGACCGGAGTCAGAGTAATACAGTCCTCGTCTAGCAAGGAAGCGCACATTCGAATCCTTGCACAGGAGTCGCACACAAGCCCGTCAGACTATCACTCGCAGCAATCTTCGATCTTCCCCGGATCTAATGTATTGACTCGAGGGTCCGGCTTGCCTTGCCTGTACAGTTACGTAGGAGGTTCCATGTGGGGAACCCCTCTCTTCTTCTCCGAGGCGACCGTGTGTTTTGGCGAGTTTTGCGGTAGGGGACTGGTTGGTTACTTAGATAGAGTGAATAGTCGGGGTGGGGGGATGCAGTGCTTCATGTCCTGTAGGTCATTTCCAGGTTTTGCTTTACTTACATGACAGCTAGTTTCTTTTTTATGGTTTGAGCTTATTGATTTATCGATTCGCCCCCGCGACGGATGGTGATGTATCACATTCAAGGGTCTAGGGTATTGTTTATAAGGCTCTGCCGGTGGCCCCGGGGAATTACCTATTAGTGGTGAGCGTATGGTTTTCGAACTTGTGCCTTCCAAGGCCCAGGTGGAAGTAGGGCATGCAGTTGGTTTAATTCTTTGTTTACCATCACCTGGCCAAGCCCCGGCATCAAACATACCAACTTTGATGTCATATGATTTTGATCAGATGCATCCAGCTGGGTATATATATGTCCATTGTACTGTATGCTCAATAGGATGTTGAGGTCGATGGTTGGGGTAATCTGGGCAGGGCCAAATATATATCTATCTGATTAGGTGCCTAACCAAGTCAGGCTTATTCAGGTCTTCAACTCTTTGGTCAGAAGTCGTGCACGTCTACTGGTGGATATAAAAAGCCAACCTTTGGAAACAGGTGGATTTGGATAATGTCATTGGCTATATGATGGTCAACTATACCAGAGAAGGGAACAATGCCCTGGTCGGATGAGTCTGTGTGCCGTCCAGCAGCTTAGACACTTTACCTTTTCTATAGAAGCCTGTGTACAGAGAATCTTCAGTTGAGACAGAAAAGTTTAAGCAACTGTAAATACTCAAGCCTTAGAACATGAAGTACCCAGGTGTTTGAATTGTCACATTACTTACACAGTATTCACAATTCGAGACCTGGGTTAATACTCATGCGCTGGCTGCGGGTATCCGGGGATCTTGCGACCTTAGCAGAACGCCATGCCGACTTGGCAGATATGTGTCAGAATGTTCTAATTCAGTCTAGTGGTGCCTTGAATAAGACCACGCCATGAAGTTGCGCCCAAATCCGGGACGCCTTGGCACTGTAAGATTTAAGTCCGGGATTATGGGGTAGACTCGGTCTCTCGATATATAATGGGCGGAACCCTCAGCTCCGAGGTCCATAATGCGACCGTTGCCCCGGGGCTTGAACATACAATCTTCAAACCAGGGAAACTAAGACATATCCAAGCAAAGGAAGTGAGAAAAGCATAATTGATTTATCCATGCCCTGGAAATTGCCTTTCACTACTATAATGAGCAGTTGACACGCTAACCTTCTGGGGTTGGGGCGAATGGGTGCTAGGTAGCAGGTCAAGATAGATGCGGAGTTAATGTACGAAACTACCCCAGGGATAATAACCTTGATATGAACGAGCGTTTTGAATGTAAACATTTGCAAAGTTAAAACGGGGGTTTCAATGGACCTGAGACACATAATCTGCCATGTCCATTCATGTTGTTTCAAGTCTTGTTGACTGGTCCCGAGTATGAGACCCTGAATGTTTATTTTGATTCACTCTATCTAGGTGACCCACAATAAAGGTCTGCAACATCTAGAACCCTAAGTTAATATACCGTTGCTCGTGTGCACGAATCTTGTTTTACCGATTGCATCATCAGCTTACATACGTTCAGGTTCCACTAGTAGCGAGTAAGTTGTACTGTACATACCAATATCTTCCATAAGAGGCGTCCACTGTTAGGGTAGGCCTGATGGAACCATATTCGATATTGATCTCGATACCAGTTTATGCGCATACCTAGCTAGTTGATAGTCTCTAGGCATGCCTGTAATGGTTCAGGGGGCCACAGGACAGGAACCAAAACAAAAGGCATAGTTCGGTGGATCCAATCATTTCCCATTGACCAGTGAGAACGCGCCGCCCGCTGCACCGCTGCCGCGCGCCCAGGAACCATTGCCCTACGATTGGATGACCGAGGTAATAATCACGGACAAACACGAGCCCCGTTCGACCAGCTAGACCCTGATGAGTCTAGGGCGAACAGGAAAGACCCAAATCCAAAAATAAAGAGAATTGGACTGGAGAAGCAAAGTCAGGTCTAGGCTTGTGCGCACTAGTGCAACCTAACCGCTCTCCCTTTTCCTTTTTCCCCTTTCCTCTCCTCCATTCTCTAACCACATCCCTCTCTTCCCCTCCATTCTTTTCTTTGCAGTGTCAGCTTCACTCTTTCAGCTGTGCTGCCATTCATTCTTTTCGGTCGAATTAGGCACTCCCTTTCCTACGACCTCCATTCTTTCCCGACCAGCCTCGACCCCGACTGTCCGCGACTAACGTTTTCGAGTGCTCATTCCTACGATCTCTTTATACAACCCCGGATGATATCCGCGACGCTCTTTGGAATTTAACTTGGTCGATCATTGTCGACACTTCACGACACGTCTCGATCCTTCGTCTCGAACAATCAACCATCGACAATCGACATCCGACAAACCCGATCGACAAAATGATCAATATCATCCCCCGAATTGTGGCTCGTGATAACAATAACAACAACAACAACAACAACAATGATGGTCTTTCCGGTCCTATGGTCGATCTGCTGATCGCCTTGCTGGTGCTCATCTTGATCGCGCTCGCTTTGGTTGGTGGACTTCTTCTCATCCGTCGCAAGCGTCAAGCCCAGAAACAGTCTATTCTCCCTGTTCACAACGGCCAGAGCCCCTCGCATCAACGACGCTTAACCATTACCACCAACAAGTCCGACTCCGTTCTCGTGTATGATGAAAAGCGAAGCTTGATGCAGAACTCCGACAGCCCCCCACCCAGTCCGGTACCCGAGATTCGCATTACTTTCCCTGAAGAGGAGGATGCGTCTGGCAAGCGCCAATCCGGCCGCATGGTCGTGGTACGCATCAGCGATGCTGGCAGTATCGGTCTTGAACCGTGTCATGAGGACCTGCCTCCGTACCAGACCACTGACACTGGTCGCTTCCAGTCCCTCGATCTTGAGCGGATGGGTGGATTAAAGGAGAAGGGAGAACATTACTCCTAATGTCAATGAACATTGCGGCGAACTTCACTTGCGAATAATTATCCCCGCCACTCGCCGTTGACATATGACAATCTCCGCCCGTCACCACTCAACTTTCACTTCGACGACCCAAAAGCATGACGAGCATCTTGGCGAACCTCTTTTTCATCTCCTTCCCTTTCCATATACCTATTTTTCTCGAACATGCCCCCCTCCGTGGCTTGCACATACTTTGGCCGTTCATTGCTTGTTGACATCCAAGCAATTCGCTCTCCGAGGGGGAACTCTTATCCTGCAAGATATACTGTTGTTTCTCTGGAGAGATCTGTCGAAAACCGGATTGTGTATAGCGAGGGCCTGCCGCTTATTACTTGGAGTGTTTCAATGTTTTTTTTTCACTTTCTATTTCTCATGGCGTTTCACTCTTGCGGTCTATGTTGTCTTCAACCCTGTTACGTTCCTAGGGTATTTGGAAGACGTAAGGCAATTCTTTGATTTATTTCCTTTCCTTTTCCTTTCTTCATCTACACCTTTTCAAAGCGGCGTCTATTTTCTTGTCCTTATACGGACCCGCTCATATGTCCCCTTACTTTCTTGTGCCTTATTGGTACTTCCGGCAGCTGGATAATGTATGTATTTAGTCCTCTTCACTTTCCTTGCACCTAGGCAAGTATATGCACTTTATTTGACACTTGAACAATGGAGTATTCACCCAAGTAATCAACTAGTAGTTCGTAGATATTTCTTTGTGTGTAGTCCACCCGAGAAGCGGCCAATCAGAAATGCCGATCCGGAGCTCTCCCCAACCCGCCGCTTCCGCGACATCAGAAATTCGCATTTCTTCTCGCCTTTTATACAGACGCTCCTTACATTTGGGTTGAGCACTGTCAGTTTTACAAGCTATGTGCAGCTTTTAGTATCTTCATCTCGGGAAGCCGCTCGCCAGCAGAGCACAGACAGGGGCAAACCTTTGCAAAACCGCCTTCCTACTCCTATCCACCACGCTCATTCCCTCGCTTCCCCTTTGCGACTGCTGAAGGCGGGTCAATCGTCTGGACCCGTGCTGTTTACGGCTTCCCTCCCATCGAGTCAATTTGCGCCCGTGCACGCCTTTGCTGCCGCCCCGCTCTCCGACCTCCTGCATATCCTGCCGCAATCAAAGCATCCCCAGCCTGTCATCGCGAATTGTGGACTGTCGCTAGTCCAGATAGCTGCCAGAAATGGCGCCCAAACCTTCAGGTCCTGCAGGGGGCAATGCATCGCCTAGCGGACCCAAACCCTCATCAAAGGGAAAACAAAGTGGTGTGCCAGATTTCAAGGCCCTGCAGCTTGAGTCGGAGTTTAAGAGCAAGCACTTCGGTGTGCTGGGTGTATTAACATGGATATTGTGAGTTATTGTGGAGTGTGATAGATGGTTCTCTAGAGCTCTGTGCTTCGAAGTGAGCAATGACTAATTTTGGAACGCTATCGCCTTTAGGTTATTACATCTTGCTGGTATCTATCTCTTCACCAAGGGTTTCCTTCTTACGCGCATGGTACTGGATAACAAATCCTCATGTGATGTTCTCCCTTTCGACGGCTCGAACAACCAAGTCGCTACAAATACAAACGGAAAAGGGTGCTGGCATGAGAAATCATTCGACAAGGCCGTTGTTATCATTATTGACGCTCTCCGATACGACTTTACGGTGCCTTTCGCCTCGCAAGATGAAAGCGAAGAAGCTCACCTCTTCCACGACAACATTCCGGTTCTCTACGAAATGGCTGTCAAGAACCCCGCTAATGCGTTCTTGTTGCCCTTCATCGCCGATCCACCGACTACGACCCTGCAGCGCCTGAAGGGCTTGACTACCGGCACACTGCCTACTTTCATTGATGCGGGCTCCAACTTCGCCGGGACTGCCATCGATGAGGACAATCTGGTTGCACAATTGCACAGCGCCGGGAAGACACTAGTCCAGCTTGGCGACGATACTTGGCAATCGTTGTTTCCTGGGTACTTTGATGAGAACCTCACCCATCCATACGACTCGTTCAACGTGTGGGATCTACACACCGTTGACAATGGCGTCAATGAGCACCTATTCCCACTCCTTCGTCCCGAGAACAAGGGGAAGTGGGACGTGATCTTTGGACATTATCTCGGTGTTGATCATGCCGGCCACCGCTATGGACCCAACCACGCTGCCATGGCTGGTAAGCTCCAGGAGATGGACAAGGTCATTCGCAATATCATCGCCTCCCTAGATGATGATACCCTTTTGGTAGTCATGGGCGATCACGGAATGGATATCAAGGGTGACCACGGTGGCGAGTCAGACGACGAAGTCGAAGCGGCTTTGTGGATGTACTCTAAACGAGGAATCTTTGGACGTACCAGTAAGGAGACTTTGCTTCCACCTAAGCATGCTCGAGAGCGTCCTGTCCCTCAGATAGACCTTGTTCCCACTCTATCTCTTCTCCTGGGCATGCCGGTCCCGTTCAACAACCTGGGTTCTCCCATTGAGGAAGCCTTTGCGGGATCGAGTGGTAACGACTGGGCTAATTTGCTGGCTGTTAACCGGTTGACAGCGGCACAGATCAAGAGATACCAGCATGAATACACTACCACCCACGGGGCAGGTGACGACGATGAGTCGTTGGATCTTTGGTCTGCTGCGGATGCAGAGTGGAAGTCTTCCTCTAAGGGCTTCACTTCGAAGTCAACTAACGTACGGGCTAGCTATGACCTTTACCGCAAGTACCAGCGACACACCCTGGACATTTGTCGCGGACTTTGGGCCCGCTTCGATGTTCCCAGCATGATCCAAGGTGTCGTGCTCCTTCTTGGTGGCATTGCTTTGCTGGTTCTGTATGCTCGTGGCATGAAAGCAGACCGGACTGATCTCACTTCCAAACTTTTGTCATCTGTTGGTATTGGATCTGGTGTGGGCGCGGCGGCCGGTACCGTCTTGGCTTTGTCTGGCCTCACTGACATGGGAGCGATTGACCTGGCCATATTGGCCGCTGCTAGTGGAAGCATGATTGGTGGACTTCTCGCCCTAGTTAGGAAGTCGGCGCAGTTGACTGTGCCCCTTCCCACTGGCATGTGGGGATGGCTTGCCTTCTTCTTCACTGTGTCCCAGTCTATTGGATTCGCATCGAACTCCTATACCATCTGGGAGGATGAAATCCTGCTTTTCTTCCTCACAACCTTTGGTGTGTGCGCTGGTATCTCGTCTATGCGCCAGAAATCGACGCCCGACCGAGTTCTGGGCGTATACCATTCGCTTCTCTTTGTTATCTTGGGCCGCGTTGCATCTTTCTCCCGTCTGTGTCGTGAAGAGCAGATGCCTTTCTGCCGCTCAACCTACTACGCTTCTTCAACCTCGTCCACCTCAGCCCCTTGGCAGCTCGTCATCCCCTTTGTGGTCATGCTATTCCTTCCTAGTGTCGTGCGGTCCTTCTATATTGGCTCCAAGTCATACGAAGATAACGCTACCTTGTGGATTGGTTTCGCTTTCCGCTTCGGTCTTTTCATTACCTCGGTCTTTTGGATGCTCGAAGGTGCCGACGATGGCGAATGGCTCCCGCTGAGCAAGGAAACCTTGAAATCACTCCGCGTATTCCTTGCCCAGTTGGTGCTTGCTCTGGCGTTCGCTGCAGGAACAGCTGCATTCCTCTATGCCAAGCCCTGTGTCAGCATCAGCGTGAGCCAACCCCAAGAAGACCCGAACGCGCCCCCAACTCCCTACATCGTCGGCCAGGAGCAGAAGCCCCGTACAACCGTGACCGTCCTCGGCTTCGGCAACATGTACGGCACTCGCTTCTTCTTCATGGTGATCAATTTTGCCCTCGCCATCATCCTCATGTCTAAGCCTATGGGCCAAGGCGCACTCGCCCTGCTCCTCTGGCAAATTCTCTCCCTCCTCGAGATCCTCGACACAAATGCCCTCACTCTCACCAACTCCCCCATTGGGCCCGTCATACTCGGCGTCCTAGGATCATTCTATTTCTTCAAAACAGGCCACCAAGCCACCCTTAGCAGCATCCAATGGGAAACCGCCTTCATCCCCCTCTCTACAATCCAATATCCCTGGTCCCCACTGCTGGTCATCCTCAACACCTTTGGCGCTCAGATCCTCGCCGCCCTTGCCGTCCCACTCACCGTCCTCTGGAAACGGCCTTTGCAAACACATGACCGTGTCTCTTCTTCCTCTTCTACTACTAAACCCGCAAACCCGGCAACAAAGCTTCTCTCAGACGTCATACAGGCAGTCTCTACCCACGTCCTCTACTTGGCTACTATCAACGTTGCCACCACCATGTGGGCTGGTCACCTCCGTCGCCACCTAATGCTCTACCGCATCTTCAGCCCCCGTTGGATGATGGGTTCTATTGTCTTGGGTGTTATTGATGTAGTCCTTTTGGTATTTGCTGTTCCTGGTGTGCGATTTAGCACTGTCAGCGTTGGTGAAATCTTTGGCTGGTGAAGGAGTTCAGCTTGAAGGCTTGAGCTTTTAATAAAATCTGAATATCGGGTTGGGAATCGATTTTGATGAAATCCATCAATCCTGGAGATGATATCTCCCATCCCGCTGACTACCGATGTCTACAATCTTCCCACTTTTTCCCTCTTTCTATTTTCATTGTCTTGTCTAAAATTTACATGTAATTTACATAAAGAATCAATATATCCTGACATTTTACCTATTTCTCATCTTTACTTATAATAGAAACAAAAATCAATCGTCATACATAGATTTTGTATTGCTATTGCTATCTGATTCTCAAGAGCCTTAGCCCTCTTGATGTAAGAGAATTTATTTTTCTTAAAGGAAAGATAAGAAATGATAAGGCTCAGAAAGCTTTTCCAAAGAAAAACGCCCTAAAAAAGATAAACAAGACGTAACTTTTGGGGGCAATGGGGGTATTCACAAATGCTGCCGTGCTGCGTTACAAGAAGCAAATTGATGTACATGAAATCGTGACTTGGGTTCGTTCGTAGTGAGATTCTGTCGTTCTTTTCTTTTTTGAGTGAGCTGGGATGGTGGTTGAGCATGACGTAGATGTCTGACGAGGAGAAGAATAGAGTCCGCGTTGGTGTATTTGTAAAAGAAAGGAGAAAGTAGGTGAGAGAAAGGATGAAGGATTCGGTGGAAGGCACTTAGCGGCCCCAGCGAGAGAAATCCAAGTTCTGGAGAATATTGCCTTCTGAGGCGGATTCCCATTCCGAGGCATCCGTTCGCACGGGAGCATTGCGCGTAGGAAGTTCTTCGGAGAAGATGTTTGGCTTCGTGTTGCGGCGTAGGCCGGGGTAAGCGCCCTCGGCAGCTTCGGAGCCTTGAGCTTGTGCAGCCAAGGCACGTTCGCGGACCTTCTTGATCTCCCGGAGGCGGGCGCGCCAAGATGAAGTATGTTCGCCGCCCTTGTTGTTCCACACGAGCGAAAAGGAGGAGGCGCTGAGAGCCAGAATGCGGACGAAAGATGCCAAGTTCTTGCCGGAGATGACCTTGGGAGTTGCTGCGGCTGAAACGTCGGGGAATCCGGGCTTGCTCATCACTCTCACACTGTAGTAGAGCTTCTCCGGGTCCGTTTCTCCCTTTGCGGCGCCGGATTCATCATAAGCAATGCGACTGGAAGGAGTGATGACGATGTTGATGGAGTTGAACTCGGATGGGATCGTGTCGAAGTTGAAAGGGAGGTTCGATTTGTTGAAAACGATGGTGACGAAGTTATTGCCAATGTTTCGCTTCTTGTTGATACATGCAGGATCGTGCTCAAGGTTCGTAGGCATCATAGTCGCGACGTGGTATACAATTTCGGTCACTCGGTCACGCCAAGCATAAGTAGCCTCACCATCGGTGTCGGCATACAGGCCCTGGGTGTTGAATTGGGCATTCCGAAGCGATACTTTCGTGCCTAGGCCAGACAAGAAGTATTCGTAATCTGGAGAACCAACCGTATTGGCGAGAATTTCGGCTTCCTTGTTTTGACCATTGTCTAGATAGACGACTCCAACGCGATGCCCGTCCACAATATCGGTTCTATCAAAACTACCGATCGCCCGGCGAGTGATGTCGTCCTCAGGGACAGGAATAGGCTGTATCACCATGGGAGTAGGAAAGGCCGATGTAGTCATCTGAAGCATGATGTGACTGGGGAGAACTGCCGTGCGCATATCGTCAGAGTGCAAGTGTGCATCTGGTGTCGGAGGAACCTGATGTGGTAGAACAGGTGCCGTTCGCTGCTGGTACACAATATAGGTTGTTCCAGATGCCTGGCGTTTCGAGATTTGGGTCAACCCAGACACACCCGCAGTCTCAACGGTCACGATGCTCAGGCCTACAACCCAGGACTTCTTGGACACTGGGCCATCCTCGGGGGTGGGAGGGAAAGTTTCGAAGGGAACAGTCTCGCCCAAATCCGAGAAGGCAACACGTTGCATCAAGTCAATAAAGACCTGGCTCTGTTCCTCAACCACCTCTTTGCCTTGCTCGTCATGGAAAATGAGTCGACTAGTGATCCAGTTGACATGCTTGGCACGGTCTTGCAGCTTCAGAGAGATATACCAGAATATCATCACATGATACGTGAGGCTCATGATGTAACTAGACATGGCATCAGCTGAGAAATTGTCCGCGGCTTCTGCCGCGCCTGTCGCAATCTCTCGTGCACCAGCACTGAGTCTGGATGGAACTTGCGGAGAGGAGCGGGTGGGGGATTCGGTAGCCTTGTAACGTTGTTCCCGCGAGGTCTGTAAAAAGCGAATACAGATACCAAAAACAGTTCGAATCTCTTCTTCGCGCAGATTGATGTAGACGTCAGGCAGACGAGCAAGGAGAGCTAGGAACTCCAAGATATGAACAGCTAGGTTTGACATAGTAATGACCTTGGACATTCTGTCGAGAATGCTCATCAAAGACTTTGTCACCGACGCTGGGATTTCATGACAGCAAAGGGAAAGCGCCTGGATACAGCCACGAGATGTGGCACCCCAAGACCCAATGATTCCCGACATAAAAGCTCGGACGAGATCATCTTCTTCGCTCTTGGCAAAATGCTCGTGATAGCTGGTAAGCATGGATAACGCATCAAAGATACACGCAGCCACATCGCTCTTTTTCAGACCAGTAGGTCCAGGAGGCTCATGAAATGTCTCATTCTTGACTTGATCACACAGAATGCTGCGCAGCAGCTTGATCTGAGGACTGGAGCTCTTGAAAAAATCCTTGTTAGCAAGCTGAGGACCGAGGTGTGTGAGGACGTAGCTGTAAACATCCCAGTCGGTTTCCCGTTGCAGCAGTAAGATCACGACCTCAAGCCACATATTGACTTTCAGTACACCCACTTGTGCAGGGACGATCTCACTAACAGGGCTCTGAGCCTCCGCTTCAGCTTGTGTGTGGGCGTACACTAGTGGACTAGATTCTCCAGGGGGTTGCTCGGGAAGAACCTGCGGCAAAGCGTAGGTCCAGACTGGAGGTGTCAGCCTCAACGAGCGAGAAGATATTGAGCCTCGGGCTGGAACCGATTTGGACAACACGGAGGCTGGGAGATCTTTGCCAATGAGTTTGCTGGTAGGAAGTGGCGGCACGTTCTCGGTTTGAGGTTCTCTCAAGGGACTATCGCCGGGGCCTCGGGTTTTAGAACCGACGTCAATATTGCGACCCAGCACATTCATTAAAAAATCACCCTCCGAGGTCGATACCACGGAGACAGAACCAGCCGAGTCACACCGAAGCCGGAACAACAGCTTCATGACGGTGAGGCGGGAATCGGTTGGGCGATCTGCAGACTGAGCGATTCCCAAGAGCGATTCGTAGATAATAACAGATTTTGTGGCAGAATAATTCAAGGCACGGAGCATCATCTTCACAAGACCCACGGCACATACGTTCGCTAAGGTCAGCTCCAGGACACTCGTTGTAGACGTACGGCGTGATGAAGGTGCATAGCTCGAACTATGCCGTGGATCATCTTTGATGAGGTCATGTTTCATCGGCGAGCTAATTATGTCCACTAAGCGTTTGAACACGCTATCGTCGCTTATTTGCATAGCAGGCTCGGTTAGGAAGGAGACCAAGGACTCCAAGAAAAGCAAATCATGTTCAGCCGAGAAATCCTGCAGCAGGAGATCTAAAAGGCCATGCTCCTCGGAGAAAATGAGACATTCATTTCCAGAAAGTGATTCTTTCAAGGTATCCAGGGCCATGATCCGAATATCGGAAGACTGCTTTCGAGGCAGTATAAAACGCTCGATCAGGTCCCGACAACGTTTCACCCAAACGGCGCCTTCAGACGGACGGCAGAACTGATCCTCTCTCATCATGTTGATGATAAGTTCAGACTGAGAAGGCTCGATATGCTGGTGGCTTTTCGCTAAGAACCGGACGGCCTGATGTCTTTGTTCTTTGTTGAGCTGTTCCCAGAGAGACTCTATCACCGAAGCGATCCGGATTATGTCTGCCAAAATGCTCGACTTAATATCGTCGTGCGTACCCTTGGCAGGTGTCTGCTGTGGGCTTGTTGGCGACGCGACCGTATCTTCAGCATCCTGGAAGACTCTCCGAGAGCAAAGAACCAGGAGACTGATGAAGCTTGTCCAATCGCATCTCAGAGCGATACCTGTATAGTCTCCGTCCAGAATGTTCAGGCACAGGTCCAGGATCTCAGCATCAACCCGGCGGTCGTCCTTGTGGGCAACGATCATAAGCGAGTCGATCAATTGCTCAAAAGGAATCTGAGGCATGCCGCCCTGACCGTAGGCGTGAACAAGATCAGAAAAGACGTAAAGTGTACCACGGATAACATTCAAATTGCGGGAGGAGTCACCATCAGAACTCTGTCTCATGAAGCCATGAAGAGTGTTGAGCATCTCTGACTGTCTTCGAGATTTGGCCAAGCTACGCACAGATCGAGAAGTAGGTCCAGAAAGAGATTTGACGGAAGAATGGATGCTGCAAAGAACTTCCAGGAGAGGAGTAAAACTCTTGTCAGGTACGTCTGCATAGACGATCACGGCATCGAAGACGGATAGCGCATTCTTAATATCATTTGCGACACTAGTCTTCTTGCAAACGGCGAAAGTCTCCGTGAGAAGCAGTTCGATTTCTTCCTGAGTCGGAGGTTTGCGCTGTAGTGTAACCAAATCTACTGCGAATTGCAAAAGATCTCCAAGCACAATCTCTTCATGTACGACGCCGTTCGGGTGGCCCGACTTTCCCTTCTTCGTCTTGGAACGTGCCGTGGCGATGACCCCATAAAGAGGTACAATCCAAGAAGAGATAATGTGTAGGATGGATGTGGTGGTAAAATCCAGTTTCCGGCCATGATCCGACAACGAGATCAGTGACTGAACGCGCGAGGCAATTACATCTGCTTCAGTTGGGCAAGCAATTGATTCGAATATCAAACGCCTGGCCGACGGGCTTAGATCCTGACGAGCCGCAACTGCTTCCAACAGCTTCGCCCCACTTTTCTGAGCATCAGGAGATTCATGATGCAATAGGTACTCCGCCGCTTCCCATAGCCCCACTGATTGCTCCGGAGTGAACCATGAGATAGACTTGGATATAGATTCAGCTTCATCGATAGCGTGGATGACATTTTGCTTCTGCGACAAGTTCCGAAAGGAATTGTCAATGTCCGGAGCACTCGGAGTGTCCGAGGAACTGGACACCACACTTGCTCGATGCATGGATTCGAGCCCAAGAACTTGACGATTATGTGATGTCGAATCGCTGCTGTTTTCCGGGATCGATACGGGGGAGTGCGATTTCGGGCGACCAACGGCTAACGTTTTGAACACATCTGCAAAACTAGTTGAAGAAGGTTTGTTTTGGGGTACTGATGGAGCATCGTCGGAAGACATCCGCCTTATGACGGTAGATGGAGGCTATATTCGTGGCTGGGAGGTATATCTGTTCATCCGTGTCACACAATCAGCGTGAAAGGTCGCATGACATGGGTGGGTGATGGGCGATCAGGAGAGCTGATATGTGAATGAGTCACTTCACTAGACCCTGCAGAAGACCTTACCTTGATAAGATAGCTTAAGAAGAGCTATATACCACAAGGGTAGCTCTCAAAGGAATGCGCTGTACATTCAGGGATAAGGGATGACGCAAAATGAGTCGTGACAAAAGTACGATTCGGGAGTCGATATCAAAGCGGGACCCGGGTGGAGCAAGCCACAAGGAATTGAGGAGCTGCGCAGGAGTCACAGGTGCAATATGGGCGACACAGCACTGCCCCACAAGGTGTGATATCTTTGAATGTGCAAACTAGGGCACAAGAGAGGGGGTGTAAAAGATTGTCTTGGGAATAACGGGGAATGAGGTTATTCCAGCCCAAGTCACCTGATAGGTCATCAAGTATGTTCACCGCCCAATAGTTGGGGCAAAAGACTCCACAGCTAAGGTGGGGGGCGGTGAGCACCTATGATTCGTTGATATTCATGACGTTCCCCATCATCTAGTCGGAAAACGTTCAGAGTTTTCAGAGGAGTTGGAGTCTTGTTTAAACCATGATGAATTACCGGGGACTACTTTAAAGGCAGAAAGATGCCCTCTAATCCAAAAATAAAATGAAAATGGAAATAAAAATGAAAAAACACCGCTAAGCATCAGAAAAAGAAAACTGATTTGGGCAGGAATCAAACACCGGGATCGATTCTCATTCCCAAAGTCCTTTGGAGGCACTTAGGAGCAGTATCAACAACATTGGCTAGGTCCCACAGTTATACTGGCCATCTCGGTCTCAGCTTGATCCCAGATTAGGGCTTGCGGATCACTTTCCTATGTAATATTCGGGAATGTCTTTGTCGGAAGCGACTGCTCTTATACATCTTCCCGGAATCATGAGCTGCGGAAGACCACTAAAATGTTAAGAGTTAACCACAGACCTTGAGCTAAAGCCCAAGGTTGAATGCCAACCTTCAGATGTGCAGACAGTGTTTTCAGTTATCTACCTGGGCAGCCGAGATATGATCCATACCAAGTGCAAGGGCCCTAAAGGCAAAGCTGGGCACAATAGAAATCTACAGACTGGGCAGGACACTAGAAGTATGTACAGTCACTATGGCTTACAACTCTACATGAAAAAGATATTGAACAAGAACAGGTCGGTATACAGATTAGGGTCCAGCTAACTATATACTGCTCCACAAGTTATGCAGGAAATAGTAACAGATGTAAATCAACGCTTAAAATGATCAAAAATTCGTTCAAAGCTCCTCCTCTTCCTCGGAGTAAGTGGGCTGGTTAAGATCGATCTCCCAAGAGATAGTCTCAAGATTCAACACATCATCATTAGCAGAAGACTTGCCGGAGCCGAAGCCCTTCAAGTTCCACTTCTCAACACCCTCAAAGCCCTTAAGGTCAGAGCCAAACTCAGCAAAGAGCTGGGCGTTCAGAGCCTCATACTCGGCGTACTCCTTGGGCCAGTCGCCAAGGCGCTGGACAGCAAGCTTAAGCAGGTGGAGGTGCTGACGAACGTGCTCACCCTCAGAAAGACCAGAGCCGCTAGCGGTCTCTTCGATGTTCAGCTCATAAGCAGATCCATCGTGGCTGAAGCTGTTGTCGAGACCACCCTCCATCTCGGCGAGAGCGGGGTCGATGTAGATGCGGAGCAGGTTCTCGTGAACAGCAGCGGCCTTCTTGTAGTACTTGTTGGCCATGCTTTGACCGTTCTTGGCGGTCTGGTAGCGCTGGGCGATACCGGTATACAGCTGGGTCAGCAGGGTGGACAGCTCCAGAGTGCTGGAGTGGAGCGGACCGTTGACGCGGCGGCAGTTGTACACAATGTCCTCGGTGAGACGGACAGCCTTGAGGGAGTCGCCGACGAGGTAGCGGGCAAGGATGAAGCGGCGGGCGAGGCTGAGAGTGACCTGAGCGGGCCAGGTAACCTGCTTGTTGCGGCTGGCCCAGAGACCGCTGAGGAGCCAGACGAGAGTCTTGTAGTCCTGCTGCTCGCCAAGGAGGCCGATCAGGATGTTCAAGTAGTCCAGGCTGATCTGGGACAGGTTGATCTTCAGATCGCTGATGACGCCGAGCACCTTCTGGATGATGGTGGAGGAGACACTGTGTAGCTTCTTCTGAGTGGCAGCATCGGGCTGGGGAGTGATGGTGCGGCCGGTGATGAAGACACCAAGGGTGAAGACGAACTTGACGATTTCGGCAGTGCGGAACACATCGTGAGCGGAGATGTAATAGAAGGCGGCAAGGGCCAAGTTCGAGGCATCGTCGTACTGCTTGGACTCAAGCAGCTTGATGACATGCAAGTTGCTGGCAATACCAACCGAGCGAACGAAGTTCGAGGACTGGTGGTTCTGGAAGTGATCCAAGAGAACAGTCAGGAAGATCTTGACTTGGGCAGCATCAGTCACCTTAGTGCGCTTGCCCTCAGTAGCCACGAAGTAGGCAACGTATTCGTTGAAGACATGGGTGGCAGCGACCTGGCGGTTGGCCCGGCGCAGGAAGTGGTACAGGCGGGTAGCCGACAGGGAGACGCTGTGGAAGCTGGCAGTCTTGCTTGAGGTGACGCTGCGGAACTCCTCAAAGTAGACGTACTCGGTAGTCAAGGAAGCAAGGATCTCAGTGATGCTGGTGGTCTGCTGGCGAAGGCTGTGCTCAAGCTGAGCGAGGAAGACCAGGCTCTGGCGACCCTTAGAGGTCAAGTCAAACTGGGAGTTCTTGATGTTGGTGGTGTCCTTCATAACAACCTGGCGGTAGAGCTCCTCAGACATCTCAGTAGCTTTGTGGACCTGGTTGGTGGAGATGTAGCTGCTGGCAATGGCGATAGCAGCAGACACAAGGAGGGTGGACGAGGTAGATTCCTTCAAGATGTTGATGGTTGACTCCTTCAGCTCCTTGTGGACAGACTCGGCAGAGCTGTGCTTGTAGTTGAACTCAACAATCTCCTTCATCTTAGAGATAGACTCCTCGTGGGCCCAGCCGTGGCTCTCACGAATGGAGGTGACACGCTTACGAAGGATCTTGGAAGCAGTCTCAATCTGCTGCTTGGAGGCAGACTCGGAGTGAATGCCAATTTGAGCCTGCTCCTCGTAGATACCGTCCAAAGTGGCAGAAATCTCATCGAGATCAAGCTCCTTAGAGCCAAGCTTGAGCAGCTCCACATAAAGGGCAATGGCGTCAGACTCGTAGCGCTTGGATTCCTGGCACACCTTGGCAAGGGTGAGGGTAGCCTGAATAGTGATCGAAGCAGTAGCTGTGAACACGGTCTTCACCTTGGACTGGTAGTCAACAGTGACCTTGTGAATCACGTTGTAGTCAGTGCGAACGGAGCGCAAACAGTGGATGTACCGGGTGAAGATCTCCTGAACGAAGGAGGGGTTCTCGAAGCGGGGCTGCTTGGGCTGACTTAGGAAGGTGGTGAACAGCAGGGTGAAGTAAGCCACAGCATCAGAGTAGCGGCTCTGAGTCCAGAGCTCAGTAGCAACGAGGATGAGGGGCTCAAGAGCCTCAGGCTTGCAGGTAGGTGCGTCCTTGTTGAGAGCGCGAATGATACGCTGGTAGTACTCGACGAAGATGGGACGAGGACGAGTCAGCTCAGCGAGAGTCCACAGAGTCTTGATGACAACAGGGTGGTCACGGCCATAGTGCTTGATGTAATCATCCAAGGTCTCCTGGCGAGTGGCGATGACGTTGTCAGGCTGGGAGTTGCGCTCGAAGAAGCGAATTAGATCCTCAGTCACGCGCTCGCGCACCTTGTCATCGACAGGACGTCCAGCGCGGACGGCACGGTACACACGAATGCGGATGTTCTCCTCACGAGCGAAGCGGCGACGGTAGTGGTAACACCGGCTGAGACGCTCAGCAAGTTCGATGGCCTTGTCGGTGCTCTGGGCGGGGAGAACCACATCCTCGATTGAGGGAGCAAACAAAGTGGGCCACAGACCCTGGAGAACCTTCTTGATGACCCGGGTAGCATCCTTCCAGCGGTGCTGGGCAGTGAACTGGGCGATCAAAGTGGAGGTAGCAGTGAAGGAGCTCTCGTCGAACTTGTGAGAGGAGAAAGACTCGTAGATGATCTCCTCCATGGTGGATTCAGACACACTCGAGTGAGAAGATTGACTGGACTTGATTACCTGCTCGGAAGTGCTAGAGATGCTCTTCTGGATCTGCTCAAAGCGGGAAGACTTGGTCTGGCTGGTGCTCTGGAAGTAGTGGGCAACCTGCTTGTAGATGGATAGAGCTGCAGCGGAAAGACCAACAGAGGCCATCACAGTGGCGATCTCCTCGTAGTGGTGGGAAGACTGCTCGGAAAGAGCTAGGCTGGTGTGACGGTGCTCTTCCCAAACACTGGACAGGATGGAAGAGGCCTCAGACTCGCGCTTCTCGGTCTTAAGGAACTTGGAGTAGGCGACAACAGCCTTCAACTTGATCTCTTCCCAGAAAGAGGTAGTCTGGATGCGGCATTCCCGGTTGGCACGCTGCCAGATCTCAACATAGATACGCTCTGCCTCCATGATCTTGCCTTCAGCGCGGTACTTCTCAGCCAGCGCGATAAGGGCCTCGTAGTCAAAGCTCTCATCAACCGACTCATCCTCCTCGGCATCCAAGATGAAGAGAATGCCACTCTCGTTCTCTTCTTGCTTGTGGCCCTTCAGATGGACGTGGAGATCACCGCGGGAGCCATCCCCAGCTTCATAACCAGTGGTGATGGTAGTGATGATGGTGGTAATCTCCTGAATCTTCTTCTCCTCCTTGGTCATGCGGTAGTGCTCAATCAAGGTCTTCAGAACGTTCACGACCTGCTCGGAAGAGTTGCCGTAGTGGATCTTGTAGCACTCAACAACGAGCAGAAGGATCTCCTCGCGCTTGATCATGACATCAGTGCGGGAGGTAGTGGTCTGACTCGAGGTCAACTCGAGGAAGATGTTGGCAATCTTCATGGTGACGAGGTGCTTGGTGGTGAGCAGATCACGGCTCAGGATGGTGATCTCGTAGAAGAGAGGAATAGATTCGGTGATCAGGTTGATGTCGCGGCGCAGGAAAGCCAGGGTGATGATAGACTGGAGAGTCACAGCATGCTTGGGAGACAGGATGTTGCGGCACAAGTTGGTGACAATGGTCTGGTAAGTAACCAAGGTCGGGGTGATGATGGTGTGCCACAGGGTGTTCTGGAGCAGCAACAGGGTGATGGTTGCGGGGAAGATTTTGGAGAACTCCTTAGCAGTAGGGGCATCACCACCGGTAGTGTAGACGGTGGTCTGTGTCAGGTGGCGAGGCCAGTAGCGGACACAGAAGTCCAGGAAGGGGTTTCTCTGCACAAACGAAGTGGTGTCGTGGCCATCAAGCGGAGTAAGAGATGGCTCGTGCTGTTCGGGGAGAACGTTCTTCATGTAGATAAAGAGGCGAGTGACAAAGTCAGCGTGACGGTCCTTGACGGAAGGCACCAACTTGCCCTTGGACTGGATGTCCAGGATAGAGGTGCGGATCAGACCGTGACGCAAGTACACCTGACCATCCTGCACGAACACCAAGCTGTTCACAGGGCGCAGGAAATCCAGAGGCTTCACGATACCATCGGTGATGGTTTGCTTGGTGACATCAATGGCAGAAAGAAGGGTCAGCTCTTTCAAGGTGAAAGGACGATCCGCAGTGGCGAGCCACAGCAAGATCTGGCGGGTCTCGTCCTTGACGTCGGGGGACTGGATAGTGTTCAGGACAAAGTCTGTGACGGTGACCTTGCTGCTGACGACAGTCTCAACGGCCTTGTGAAGAGCCTCGGGGGTCTTCTCCTGGCGAACACGCTTGGAGCACAGCTTGGCCCAAAGGAAGGAGCCCTGAGAGCCCTCGGTGATTTGATCAATGATGATCTCCTGCTCCATCTCTGGCAGGTCCAAGAAAGTCTGATGCTCCTCAAAGCTGGCACGGACAACTGTGGAGACATCATCACCAATGCGGTCCTCGGTGATCGGCAAGTGCGCCAGACCTTCGGCAGCCTTAGGTTTCTCAGCACCCAGGGTAATCAGCTTCACGCCGGTAGCATGGGTAGTGGCAGAAAGCAGCTTCTGGAGCAAAGGAGCCTCGCCACCAGTGGCCTCGTCAACACCGTCAACGACAATGACCAGCTCTTTAGCGTTCTGCAGAGCAGCGTTGAGAGCACGCTCCAATGCAGTCCAGAGAATGTTTTCATACTGAGCCGCGTCGACAGTCTTCTTGCTGCGCTCATAAGCCTCGCCCATGATCTGCAGAAGCGCAGTGTTGCCAATGCGCTTCTCGAAGAGCTGGTACAGGATAGTCTTCGCGATAGCAATGGGAGTGGTCTCGGCGGGGACGCGCGCATTGATGGGAATGTAGAGGGTCTTGTAGGAGACACCAGCGATGGGGTCCTGAAGACGATCGATAATGACGGAAGCTGTGACCGTCTTTCCGGAGCCAGGCTTACCAGTGATGGCAAGGGTGCGGTTCTGGCTCTTCAAAAAGTTAGTCAGATGCTGAGAGACCCAGAGACAGGTCATCTCCTCGCGCTCATGGGCAAGGTGGGAGGTGTTCTCGGCCAGGTGGGCCAGAACGCGGTCCTCAGGGGCCAACCAGGAGCGAACGTCGCGAACGACGGAGACACGCTCAGCACCAATGTTCTCACGAACAAGCTGGTGGCGCCACATGGCCTCGGCAATCTTGCTGCAGCGCTCCCGGAACGCAAGGATCTGACCGGGGAAGGTGTCGTAGATGTGAACAGAGACAGAAGCCTTGGTCAATCCACTGATGGCCTGGTGGAAGTGGGTAGACACGCTGGAAACCAGGGTCACCAAGTCAGCCAGAGCCAAGATGAGCTGTTCCTTGATCTCTTGCGAGACATCAAACAGCTCGGTACGCTCAAGGAGGTTCACAAGGGAAGAGGAGGTGCTGTAGAAGAAGCCAAAGGAGGTCATCAGAGCCTCAGCATTCTCCTTGCCGAGCTGTAGAAAAGAGTAATTAACATTGACATATCCAATTGGTTTTGAGACAGGTCAACTTACATCAAGAAGCATGCCGCAGTAGCCGTAGGATAGCTGAGTGGCAAGATAGCTGTCGCCAGCAAACTTGTTGATGTTGGAGTCGAAGTGGTGCAAACGCTCAATGAAGAGGAGTGCCCAGGACAGGACCTTGTCGTAGTTGCTTCCCTCGGGAGGCAGGTGGCTCATACGCTGAACGCGGATCCACTCCTTGAGGGATTCATAGCTGCTGTTCATCAATCTAGATGACGCATGAGCACCAAGCTCGTTACCACTGCGCTGGTACAAGGAGTGCACCAGGCTAGTGAGGTTGGAGCCTCCAACACCGCTCATATTGCGGTGGACAAGGCCCGATTCCCGGCGTGAAGAACGACCATTTTGAGAGAAGGTGTCACTGTCAAAGTGGGTCGAGAAAGCAGAGGCATGGCGAGAGTTACCGGGACGTTCGCTGTAGAAGGAAGAGGAGAGGTTACCCGGGACGGGCGAAACAAGACCAGGAGCCATGGTGGTTGTTTGTTCAATTGAGGAGGGAGTCGAAGGATTGGGTATAGATGTTGGGATCGGGACTCTTTGTCGAGTGTTGGTATCAATATGGTTTCTTGGGGAAGGCGTTTCTCGTGGCGGATGATTAGGATCTGATAAATATTTTTCTTTTGAGCAGCAGCCCTTGAAGCAACAAAGTATTCGAGACAAACCGGCGATGAGTCTCAGTGCGAGATGCGGAAAGTTTTTAGATGTACAGGAGCATTCAAGCACAATAGAGGGTAAAATAAAATAGAAAGCTGGACCTGATCCTCTGCAAGAACGGGGGTCTACTCGGCTTTTGTAGCAGCTCCAGCCTGCGTGGCGGTGATGAGCGAACCCTAGTCCTTTCCTTTTAGGAATGGACCCGGTGGAGGTGTGTATTGTAGCTTGCTAAACTTGAAATACGTCTTTTTCTACAGATTGTATCATCAAGTGGGGACGAGCTTCAGCTTTGGACCATGTTCTCCACACCCACTAGCTCTCTACAGTACACGGACCTACCGAGCCATAGCTACGGGTTCCCTATCTTTGAAAGTATAGAGTCCAAGGTGGCAATTCAATCCCCAAAACGGGCCTGCACGCATTGTCAATAGCTGTCAAAGCAAAAGCCATAACGTGCATTAGTCGTTAGCTGCATGGTGGTGGTTCCGGGGCTTCAAGAATCCAATGGGCGATTTCTCCCAGGTAAGAGATATGCTCGTATAGTAATTGTATCGTATTATTTCAGGTCTGTACAGGTTATGTTCCCAAAGGGTGGTCAGCCATGTGGATCATCTCAATGGCATCTGCAAGGCCAAGGCTACAGTACTGCATGGAGGATAGTTTAACTTCTCCTATCCACCTAGGGTACTAGTTTGCCCCATAAATCATCCAGGTATGATGAAAGACGGCACATCTGAATCCACATCGATTCGGTCTCAATTTCGACAATCTGGCCAGCTCTCACAAAAGCTCCGGAGTCACCGTCAAAGGGAAACATTCGCTAAGCTCGAAACGGGCATTTCTCACAAGCTAGTTTCTTTGTGGTGTCATTTGTGTGGTATTTGGCGCCCGCCCGCATGCGCCGGCCAAAGCTGGAATGACAGGTTGTGCACCGTGCACGCATGGGCTGGCTGGACACCGGGGTTAGCGAAATGGGTTTTCAGTGTGCGGGGGTCATTTCAGATGTCTAAGCCTGTGACGGTCGTCAGTGTCGACCAAGGCTGGGGCGGGAAATTGGCCCTTGATCTGTTTCGGACGAACACTTGATCGATTGGCATCCACCTGTCTGTCCTTTTTTTTGGGAGCGGGATGTTCGATGACTGGATCCCGCCAGCACCAGCCATCGCCGATCGGAAATGGATCCTTATGAACTCATGCAGGTTTACTGACGAAATTAGCTCCACTTGGGTTCCGTCTGCCCCATAACAGTGCTCCCGATCTGCCGAACGATTTACCCCTCGGGCCACTTGTCATCAAGTTGACTGGCAGGAAAGTGTGTAGTTCCCCGTGGGAGGCTGGGCAAGTGACAGCGGCGCTTATCCTGGGAACCATGGGAGCAAATGTGATCTGGACCGGGGGCTGAAGATTTAGCGTCTCAACCAACACATCACCCCCTAACCCCTGTCCTCCCGTTCCGGTGGACTCCGCACAGAAGAGGAAAGAAAAAAAAAAAATCGAGAGCTGAATTCTCACCTTACTTCTCTAATCGACGTGCATTAGCACAATGGGGCGTGTGGAGAGAGGAGGGAGGGTGAACAATCGAACTGGTTTCGCACGGAAGGCTAGCGGATCCACCCGCGCTGCACCAAGATCCGCTTCGTCAGTGTGGGCAAGAAAAGGCGAATCCGGAAGGGCAGCGGACTGGCGAGCTGAACTCCAGACCCACTCAGGGCTCCACTTCATAGTTCTGCCGATACCGAACACCCCCTCATCTGGTGTCAAGGAAATTAAAAGCTGCTAAATAAACAAGCGCCACTGGCTGCCTCCTTCCGCTAGATCGGTTATCTGAACCTTGCCCTCGAACTGTGATCCTCCCCCCCGATATGAGATCTCGGTTCCTTTATTCTATGAAAATTAAAAATAGCGCATACATAGCACCTGCCCACTGAGAGCTCTGTCGGGCTTGATGTTTCCGAGTTCATATAATACTCCCGGGTCAACCTTGGTGGCCTTCCCGCGAATAATGGGGCTTCGGAATAGCGTGGCATCAGAAATGTGCGCCACCCGAATTTCTTCCTCCCGCCATGGTAGATGATCAACATCACTCACGTGTACTCCATATGTGGAGATACGCGATGGTTCGGTGAGCAGGATCCATCGTGTAATTCGAGTAATACTGTACGTACAAATATGAAAGATTCCAAGGTTTTCATTTTCGTCATTGTCACGACATCGGCGGGGAAGAAAAACAAGACATTCCAAAGCAACATGCTACATCATGTCAATTCGAAACTTAATTTTGAGACGGAGCTTCAAGGTGCGTGTATGCAAGTCGAAGAATTCCAAATCATGAGAAGATGGAGTTGTGGATATCTGCATCGTACTTTGTGCTCGGTAACTATTTCCCAGACCCATCTGGAGACCGTGGCTCAGCTGCATACACTGCACAGCTGGGACCGGACCCCTGAACGCAACATTCGTTCTCGTGTAATTTTCCTATCTTCCAGGCGACAAACAGATTATGGTTTCATAGCTGCATATCGCTGTCGCCACGGCGGGGAAGATGTGCACTTCGTCTGGACCTTGGGACGATCCTGTATTTACATGTACCACCGCCAAACACGAAAATTGATCCATGTAACTTTCAATGAAGGAATTTTGCGCATGATAATCCGCTTTTTGACGCGTAATGAAGGGTTCTTGAGAAGATCAAGAGATCCAATCTCTCCTTGGTTATGTAATACAGAAGTGGCCCTTGTGGGAGAAAACACAGTCTTCATAATTTCATGAGAAGTAACCCCCTATTGGGGATTGAAAATGCAATCAGCATCTCAAATACAATACATAATAATATGGAAGCTCGTGGATATTCGGGTTAAATAAATACCTGTAGCCTTAAGCTAGATACCTAACAAACACCCTCAAGGTCCGATGCGTACGTTGTACAGCCCATGCCCGGCGGCCTCGGTATCACCCAGAACGAAAAGCTCCGGATCATAGACGCCGATATCTGCAATCAGAGATTTAATGAGGCTTCCTGGATACGAAAGAGGATGCGTTAGTAATTAGCCCCACGGCATGTAATGTATACGAGTGGCAGTCGCAGCATCTCCAGCTCGATTATTCGTAGGCCTCAATTCAGGCGGGTCTCTGGAGGGCCCTTGACAAACAACTTTATTTGAAAAGAACAATATTTCTAACTCAAATTGAGTGTACCTGGAGTGTTGCACATGTCCATAACAATGTGGCCAGTGGAGATCTCCCCGGAGTGACAGCCAGAAGCGGCTATATGTCTTCAAGATCAGCAAATATCGCATTATCACGGTCAATTGTCCTTGCAGAATTCTACCTCAAGCGTCACTAAGTGACATGATATTGGAATTAACATCATAAGCCACCCTTTTCTTTTGCTAATTCAAGTTACACATCCAGCCACTTTCCCCGGATAATTTATCAAATTGACTAGGACAAGAGCCTCCACAAGCCACCAGAATACAGGTGGATCTTTCAGCCACGTGTTGAAAAGATGAAATTATCATACGCAAGTGTCATTACGGAAAACTGTCTGTAATTAGGAGATTATAGCTATGTAAGCCGTCTCCGCCTGGTCCACATGTGGATATGCCTATGTGAACATGACTCGACGCCAACAGGAAATTAGCATTCTTACTTGCATGACAGTGGATCTTGATGGTTAGTCAGGATTTCCTATAGCTAGCATGCAATAGTTTGTGGGTTATTGAAAAGGAGGTGGCCATGCAGCCAGGGATGTAGAAGGATGACAGTTTTCTCGGATGACTAGTACTTATTCACCTCGATTAGTCAAAAAGGCAACTTCAGCTAAGCTGAAAGCACCGGGACCGGAGACGCCGAACTGTACAGCACTCCACGTGAGTGATCTGCAGTTGAGGTAGTACAGTGGCTTTTCCTGCGTGACAAATCGGAGATTTTAAATTCATCTGTGAGCTGGGAGCTGGAAGCTGCATGGTTAATTGTACGTCATACGGGATATGAAGTTTATTTCCGCCACAACAGGTCCTGTTTTGATAACTACACAATTGCCTTAAGAAGACATTCGTCTCCTCCTTGAGGGCATTGTCTTTCTGTGTGGAATCTAGCCGATGTCCACGTGGTGAGAGCCTCGGAAGGATAGGAGCAATACATACATCTAAATAAACCAATCAGCACCTCAGTGATGTGTAATTATTTGAATTAACCTGATAGGCATCTGGTATGTTCCCAACTGCAAGGTTCATTCCACGTTGTCAAGACTCCTTCATAACTATATTTATACCTATGTCCAGATGGCTCATAATACCACCATATTGGAAGGCCGCCTACCTTTCAATCATATTTTGAGCTGCAAGCTCGTTATGTGTTCGGTAAAAGACAAGAAATCCTCAACATGAGACTATACATCGACTATCCGAAGTTCATTCCGGCTAGCCCTAGGATCCATGGATGTGCCATGGTCTTAGTCATGTATTGATACCTCAGGCACAAAGGCACCAGTGTGCAAGTCTAAAAATGCCTGAGGCACCAGCAACTCCTAATAAGGAGTAGTGCTTAACATGTGATGTTCTAACCATATTGGGTCTAGTGTGTTGACGCAGTGGGCTGCCCGTACAATTATCAACGCCCTCATTATTTGTTATGCTCTTTGTCCTGTGAGCTTTGCTGTGTCCCAACCCTTGCTGTCCCTGTGACATTCCATCTGTGCCTCTTGGTGGACTGCATATATCATCCTACTCTGGAATTCTGCCCAGATCAATTTCCTTCCTCTTCTAATCTCTTCCCCCTCGCTTGTGTTGATACCCCACGTACCGGTGAAAATGGCGGAGGCTCTTGGAGCTTTGTTGGAGGCGAGCTTGGATCCCAGACGGAACAAGGAAGGTAAGGCAATCACATCACATTGATCACGATGGAATCAGTCGCTCACTGTGTTTTTGGAATTTTCCAGCCGAGAACGCCCTTCGTCAGGAAGAACAGAAGCCCGGCTTTTCTCTACAGCTCCTCCAGATTACGGCGTCCGACTCCCAGCCCAACAACCTTCGTCTTGCGAGCGCCTTGTGCTTCAAGAACTTTATCAAGCGGAGCTGGACCAACGAGGATGGAGAATACAAGCTGCCTCTGGATGAGGTTTCGACCATCAAGCGCGAGCTGATCACCTTGATGATCTCCGTGCCTCCTGCGATCCGGACTCAGCTTGGTGAGGCCGTCAGTGTGATTGCCGACAGTGACTTCTGGGAGCGATGGGATACTCTTGTGGATGTAAGTGATCAGGGCTGCTGCTAAATTTCGATCTCCCGAGCTAACCCTGCTTTTCTCCGTGCAGGACCTTGTTTCGAAACTATCGCCATCCAACCCTGCCGTCAACATTGGTGTCCTCCAGGTTGCGCATTCCATCTTCAAGCGCTGGCGACCGCTCTTCCAATCCAACGAGCTTTACATCGAGATCAACCACGTTCTCAACAAGTTCGGTAACCCATTCTTGGCCCTGATCGAGGGACTGGACAGCTACCTCGAGCAAAATAAAAATAACAAAGAAAACCTGATTCAAGGTTTCACCCAGCTCAACCTAATGGTTAAGCTTTTCTACGACCTCTCCTGCCACGACCTTCCCCCCATGTTCGAAGAAAATATCTCCGCAATTGCGACCATTTTGCACAAATACCTGACATACGACAACCAATTGCTTCACACCGATGACGATACGGAGGCAGGTCTCCTGGAGTACGTCCGTGCTGGAATTTTCGAGGTCTTGACTCTTTATGTCCAGAAGTTCCTCGACGCCTTCGGACCTGAGGTTGGCCAATTCATTCAGAGCTCGTGGGGTCTTTTGACTACTATCGGTCAGGAGACCAAGTACGATATTCTTGTGAGCCGAGCCCTGCATTTCTTGACTTCAGTGGCTAGCATGCCCGAGCATGCCGCCGCTTTCCAAGCGGAGGAAACCCTGGGTCAGATCATCGAGAAGGTCATCTTGCCTAATGTGAGCCTGCGTGAGTCTGATGAGGAGCTTTTCGAGGACGAGCCTATTGAGTTCATCCGAAGAGACCTTGAAGGGTCTGATAGTGAGACCCGCCGCCGTGCTGCGACAGACTTCCTCCGACGCCTGGCCGAGAAGTTTGAAACCTCGGTGACGAAGGTGGTTCTCAAGTACACCGAGCACTATCTCGCTGAATACACCAAGGACCCTTCGTCCAACTGGAAGTCCAAGGATACAGCCATCTATCTCTACTCCGCTGTCGCAGCCAAGGGTGTGGCAACCTCAAGTCACGGTGTCACAGCTACCAACAGCCTGATTAGCATCACCGACTTTTTCCAGCAGCACCTTGCGGCTGACCTGATCTCCGACGACGGCATTCATCCTATTCTCAAGGTCGATGCCATCAAGTACCTGTACACATTCCGAAGCATCATCACAAAGGAGCAATGGCAACAGGTACTCCCTGTTCTAGTGAAGCACCTGGCTTCTCCCAACTACGTTGTTTACACATATGCTGCAATTGCCGTGGAACGAGCTCTGTTCCTCAGTGATGGCCAGGGCCAGCCAGTCATTCCTCCGACTGAGATCACTCCGCTCGCTAATGACCTTTTGGAGCACATTTTCCAGCTTATCCAGAGGGATCCGGCTCCCCAGAAGGTGCAGGAGAACGAGTTCTTGATGCGATGCGTGATGCGTGTCTTGGTTGTCATTCGTGAGGGTGTGGTTCCTTTCACTGATGTTGTGCTGCAACGCTTCATTACTATCACCCAGATCATCAGTTCCAACCCCAGTAACCCGCGATTCTACTACTTCTTCTTCGAAGCCATGGGTGCTTTCGTTCGATACGCTGCTCCTGCCAATCCCGACAAGCTCGAACAGGCTCTCTATGCTCCCTTCGCCGCTATCCTTCAGGGCGATGTGCAAGGTAAGCTCATTCCAATATGTCCTGCCGTTCCATGCTAATTAATCTTTAATGAAGAATTCATGCCATACGTCTTCCAGCTCTTTGCTGCCCTGTTGGAGGCCAACTCGGCCGCTAACCTGCCCACTTACTACCAGGAGTTGATTGCTCCCATCTTAATGCCTGTCATGTGGGATTCTCGAGGAAACATTCCTGCTCTTGCTCGTTTGCTTTCTTCGATCATTCCCCGTGGGGCCCAGTATATTGCTGAGCACAATCAAATTGAACCTATCCTGGGTATCTTCCAGAAGCTCGTCTCCACCAAGGCTAACGAGGGCTATGCATTCGATCTGCTCGAGACAGTGGTCGCAGCCTTCCCGCCGTATGTCCCACCACACCCAGCGTCACTTTGGAACAATACACTGACTTGGTTTTTAGGGCCGCTTTGGAACAATACTTCATCATGATCATGCAGATCATCTTGCAGCGTCTGCAGAACTCCAAGACGGAGAACCTGTCCATTCGCTTCGTTCGGTTCTTCCACTTCATCACTGCCCACGATGACAAAGGATACGACCCCGACTTCATCATGCAGGTGACAGAGAAGGTGCAACAAAAGTAAGTTCCACTCGCCCCAAGCTCTCCTCGTTGGGTTTGACATTAACCTCTGATCTGCAGCCTGTTCACTCCTGTCTACCTCAACGTCATTCTCCAGGACACACAAAAGCTTGCCCGTCCCTTGGACCGCAAGACTGCCGTCCTTTCCCTCACGAAGACACTGGCCAACTCGGAAGCCTTTGCCACCCGGTACGCCAAGGGATGGGGCTTCACCTGCAACACACTTCTCAAGCTCCTTGAGCTTCCTCCTGATGTGACTCACAAGGATGACCTTGCAACCGAAGTGGACGTTGAGGAAATGTCCTTCGGTGTTGGCTTCACTCCACTAAACACCATCAAGCCGCAGCAGAAGGACCCTTGGCCCGAGACCGGTGCTGACCTTAAGAAGTGGGTCGGTGCATACCTGAAGGAGGCGGACAAGAAGCATGGCGGTCGGATCTCGCAGTTTGCACAGGAGCGTCTGGACGACCAAGCCAAGACGGTGCTGGGTAGCTACATTGCTTGATCTGAGTTTCTCATTTATCTTCATTTTACGAATCATAAAAAAGTTAGCTGAGAATGGCGGTTGTCTTTTCTTGCAGAATTGAGCTTCCAGGCCGGCGCAGTTGCAATAACGAATCTACTAGACCAATGTGCCAATTCTCTTATCTTTCGTACTTGTTTATTTCTAATAATGACGACAACAACCTAATGCATCAATGTATTGGGGTTGAGCAGGATATTTAGAAGTACGCAACATGTACACTCTCGTATTGTTTTTGTATGATATTTCACCCTATTCTCATGAATGATGATCAGGAGTTTTCATAATGTTTGCCGCTACCTAACCATCGAACAAGAGCAACCTCGAGATCTTTTTCGTCAAAGACACCACCATCGGTAGCAGCCCAGGCTACAAAGCCATCAGGGCGCACCAGCAGAACATCGACCCCAGCAATTTTCGACTGTCTTCGGACCAGCTTCAAACGCCCAGCATATTTCTCAACTAGGCTCGCGGTATTATCATTTCCCGTCAAGTCAACAAGTAAACTGTGACCCTCATGGGCATGGTTCGCAAGGCGTGTGTCATCATCCAACCGGATATCAGGCATTGTCATGCCAACCAGTGGACATCCATCACCCAGATCATAATGCTGCCATAACCCAGATATCTGCTTCACATAATGCGTCGCTCCATCTGTAGTTCTCAGAAAATCACTCACAACACTCCTTAACGCAGAACCATCAGGATCACCACGCATGACAGCAGTCTGTGCTCGAGTCCAATCCAAAACTCGCACACCAATAGGATGCCGCTCGCTCGTATAAGTGTCGAGAAGGTTCTCGGTCCCCCATCCCTGAAGTACCGCACCAAGCTTCCAACCCAAATTGACAGCATCCCCAAGGCCCAGGTTCAATCCCTGTCCACTAAACGGCGCGTGCACATGCGCCGCATCTCCACAGAGAAACACCCTTCCGCGTCGGTAGGTACTCGCTTGGCGAGCATTGTCTGTGAATCGCGTCCCGTTACTGACTGTCGAGATTCGAATGCCTTCAACACCAGTAACTCGCCGCAGACTGCTCTCCATTTCTTGGGCTGTAACAGTTGCATACTTGTCCGCAGGCGGACCATCAAACTCGATTGTGCGCACTTGCGCTAGCCCCTGCATGGAGGTATACACATAGACTCCCTGAGGCGTACACTGCCATCCGTCCCCCAAACTCTCAGCACCTTCAATCTTGACAATAGCCGCTCGGCCCGTGATCTTCGGGTCTGTGCCTGGAAAGTCGAAACCTGCTAGGCTGCGCACGAGACTGTGTCCCCCATCACAGCCAACAAGCCAGCGTCCACGCACTTCGTTCATTCCTTCCTTTCCTTCTTCCTCAATTACCACGGTCACGCCGGACTCGTCTGCCTTCATTCCCGTCAATTCAAACCCCCTCCTAACTTCTACGCCCAGCTCCAACCCCCTCTCGTAAAGGATCCTCTCCAGCTCAGCTTGAGGTAATGGCGTATACCACCCATTCTTCCCCCGTCCACGTAGCAACGAATTCTCCCTATCAAGGGGAGCTGCCGGAACAGGGATACCTCCAAAATGGCCGACAGCTCGCGGGAAAGGCAATTTCCACTCACGAGCACCTTTAATTTGACCAGCATGTAATGGATTTTTCATAGATTGGATAGCATGGAGAAGACCCCTTCGCTCGAGTATCTCAACCGAGGCAGTGTTGATACCAGCTGCCTTTATGGTTGTATCGGGTGATATTCTGCGCTCCAAAACCAGCACCCGAGCATTTGGCGCTTGAAGCTTAAGTTCGGTGGCGAGGAGGAGCCCGACAGGCCCAGCGCCTGATATGATGGTATCGTATATTGAAGTTGAGGAGGATGAAGACATAATGTGGCTTTGACTGGTTATAGTTTGGGTGCGTATATCCCTGTACCATGGATATACTTATATACATACGTGCGGATGAACGGACCGGAGTTTACTTCAAGGTAAAGCTTTTCAATATCTCACTAAACAATTCCCATTGTTGGTTTTGCCTATAGTCTGCAGGATCCGGGGCGGATCGTCCACCGGAGCGGAGGGTCGGAGGGTCGGAGGATGGAGAGCCTCAACAACCTTGGAACCTTGTTGACTTCAACAGCACTTTGAAATTCAAAGATCTCGGCCCCTGGCCGATCATGCTTAATCCAATGGATAAGAATTGAAATGCAATTGATCCTGGAATATGACTGTATTTTGGGGATTTTCAATTTGAGAAATGTTGGAACCTCACCTGGAGGTAGATAGATTATGCGATATATATATACTGTACAGGCCCGAAGGCAAAACTACCCAATTTTCCCCACAACTTCTTCCCAATACATCTCTACAAAGCCGATCCTTTCTCTCCAGCCATTCCTGAATTTCCAGCAACCCGAGTCTCTTCTAACCCCTCCCCAGCTTCGTCTTCCTCTTCCAGTCCCTCAATCACCCCCTCCTTCCCATCCAAATCCCGATATTTCCTCCTAGTCTTCTTCATCTTACTAGCCTTCTTCTTCCTTGCAGCCTCCGCCTTCAACGCAGCCCGACTATCAACCCCCTTCTCCTTCTGCTCAATCTTATCCGCAAGCAACGAGCGCGCAGTCTTCGCATTCTGAGACCTAGACCGCGTGGCCTGGCACTTGACGACAATACCGGAAGGATGATGGATGATCTGGACAGCGGAATTGGTTTTATTCTGTGACAGCATCAGCATCGTATCTTAAGCGTTCACTTGGATGGAACGTACGATCTTTTGTCCGCCGGGCCCGGTGCCTTTGAGGTAGGAGATTGTTAGGTCGGCATCGTTGAGCTTGAGGCGGGGTGGGAGGGGCTTTTCAGGGAGAGCGGGTGTTGTACTGAAGGGACGTTGAATGGAGGGTTGTGGTAATCTGGGGAAGGCTTGGAAGGCCTTTGGCCAGGCTTTGGGGCGTAGCATTGTGTGTATTCGTCAAGTTGGTGGTTTCGATGATGTTTTTGGGGCGATAAGATAGCGGCGATAAGGAATGTATGTAACATGATTGATTTTGCGCTACAGACTACAGTGCAATGAGTGTAGAAGTACAATTTGTCGAGAGTATGCTCAAATACCGTCAATTAATATGAAAAAGCTACTATTATTCTCTGGTGATAGTATCATTGCCATGGGTACATACAATGTAGTCATTGGGCGGCAAATGCTATAGTGTCGAATGCCAGCATTAACGCTGCAGCCTGAGTATTATCCTTACAGCTTTTGTCTTCATGTCCTCAGTCATTGCATCTTGGTAAATATGAAGCAGATCAGTCAACATAATCCAAAACTTGCCAAACAAGTCGTGGCAACCTATGTACTATGCAGTAGCAAATGACCTGAGACAGTGGCAAAGCAGGAATACAGACCCGAACCATTCAATATTCTTATTGCTTGATTTCATTTTTGCTTCTTTCCGTTTGTGACTTTAGTTATTAAGTACCAACGATTATTATTGGGACAATTGGAGATTGAAGAACTCGAGCCCGCTCTTTCTGATCCGGAGCAATCGGGGCTCAAAACGGTTCCCCAACCAAAAAAAGTCTCACGCATCCACACCCCCACGATCTCCGCCTGCACTCCCGATCCTAAGCCCCTAAGACCCTAAGCCATTCTTTCACCCGTCGATCTTCTTTTCTTTATCCTTGAACCGTCGAATTGCATCGAGCACACCGGACGATCTATCTCTTCCATCCCGGCCCCTAAAGTAACGGCAAATACCCGCAACGCCACAAGAGACCAAAGACCCCTGAGTCTCTCAATCCTCGCAAGACATAAGGGAGGAAGCACGCCAAGACATTGTGACAGATTGCGTCCACATTTGACTGGTGGAACACGGTGACACTACGTTCGCTTTGTTCAAGGGGCCCACGGAAGACGACATACGCCGGGGCCGAAACCTTCCCTGCGCCTAAACAGACGTCAACTCAAAGATCAACACACCCGCTTCGATCAAACCAGTCGCAGTCATGGGTTCTATTCTCTGGCTGATCAGCAGTTTCGTCCGCTGGGTGCGTATGAAGATTTATCAGTACGAGGTCACATTCGCCATTTACATGCTTACCCCGACGGAAAAATTCATCTTCAGTACGTGCCCCTGACCTCGAGCCATGCCACTCTATCGCCATGAAACGCAACTAATCCTTTCTCCCGTACAGACTCTCTCCTTCTCACCCTGATCACTATGATCGCCACTGGAATCTACGTCTACCTCCCTAACCACCTCCGCACGATCTACGGCCACATGTACTACTACGCCGTTGGCGAACGGCCATTCATCTCCTCCAGACTCACATCCATGAGCGCGGTATTCGGCGAAGCGACGGAGACTCTCGACGTGATGTACCAAACAGCCAAGAGCGCGGCTGCGGCGACGACACAGCACTTGGGCGAGTTGTAATGAGGCCTCGACAACATGCCTTCTCATTCAATTGAACGGTTGATCAGACCGAGATGGAGTTGAAACGGGTGTGGTATTGGAGTTGTTAGGGAATTTCATCCATCGCTGGAAGAAAGAGCTGCAGCAGGCCCTTGTTATTTCCTATCCCTGCTCTGCTTCATGGCCTCCAGCCGATGCATCCTCGGCGTTTCTTTTGATTTTTATCCATTGTTGCTTCAATTCGGTTGTTGTCGACTGTCAAGTCGATCAATCGCCCCCGGTTCCCTGCTTTTTAGGCAGAACGTTGGACATTCAGGTACTCCAGTGATCTTTTATAGCGCGGCATTGCTTGTTCACTGTGCAACATATCATTACCTGTGCCTCATCACTGCAGAGGCATCGTGTTCCTTTCTGGGCTTGAGACCCTTTGCCTGATGCGAGTGTTTGGACAATGCACATAACTTTTGACGAAATTTTTTAATATGGTACACAGTTCATCAGATATAGTAATAATTAAGAATATGAATACAGACGAAATAAAGATATGAAAAAAAATCCAAAAATCCAGTCTTGGATACTGTACAATTGTAATAGTTGAGATATTCCCTTCCCCGAACGCCGAAAATGCCCAGAGCAGAATATTGTACAAATCTTCACACAGATATAGCCCATGCCAATCTAAGGGATATGATGCACTGTGAAGACACAAGAATCAAGTGCGATAAGCGTCGCATCCAATCACAGCATGAATACCATCCCAGCCAAATCTTCATGCTCTTCCACCCTCCAGTATATTCATGTAGATATGCATGACACGCGGAACATTTTTTTCAAAGACCTATTGTTGTCCGCTAGACTCCGGCTGGGCCTGAGCTTGGGCCTGAGCCTGAGCCTGAGCCTGCAACAGAGCAACCTCCCGCTCTCTCCGCTCCCGGCGCACAGATTCCACCATGCGCATACGTGCCAACTCCTTGTCAATCTCCTCCTTGTCGATCGGAATCTTGTGCGATTGTTCGGCAGTAGGCCAGAAGTTCTTGACGTTGAAGCGGTCGTCGAGGTTCGTGCCGAAGTAGTACATCCAACCGATGGGGAAGAGGACGTACATGCCGAACTAGAACAGAACAAAGCAGTTAGCGGATTGATTGAATAACATGATTGTTAGGCGCAATAATCTTCCATGTTATTGCGTATGGATGAGCTTTATGCCAGAATCCAGTGCATCGACAAAAGCAGTGGTATGCATTGCGTTATTTCAAGATTGAGTCTTACCTTGAAGACTTCCAGGTTGCCGCCCTGGAGCCGGCGGAGGGGGTTGGGAAGCATGGCAGATGTGCGTGAGTATTCTTCCTTGAATGAAGTATGCAATGGAACCAGCAGGTTGTTCTGGCTTGTTCGTTGGAACTTCGCGATCGGCGAGTAATGAAGTCTGGAAATAATGGGCTGATGATTATTTGCTTGGTTTGCATTCATGCGTTACTCAGCGATTGATGCCCTAGAGGAAAGGCACCAATACCCAAGGGTTATATATTACGTGATCTGCCGCGGGCCTCGGCTTCCGATTCCCCGCAATAATGGAAGGAAGATATACTAATTCAGGGACCATGCATGTTATTTGCTGCTTCTCCAACCTTTTACTTGCCCCGGACTGAGAGCTGATCCGCTCCTTTGAACGTATAAGCAGTACCAAGGTTCCAATTCGAAAATTGATCTTACATTGTATCTATTTTCTCTGAATATCCCAAAAAATGTCCAACGAAGAGCTCATCACCCTGACCTATCAGGATCGCATCGCGATCGTCACTCTCAACCGCCCCGACAAGCTCAATGCCCTGAATGTAGGACTATACTACACCCTCGCTGAGCGACTACGCGAAGTCGAGAAGCGAGATGACATCTACATCACCATTGTGACCGGCACAGGCCGGTTCTTCTCCGCGTAAGCGCACCAACTATCCACCTAATCCGCGCAAAGACTGACCAAATCTCTCACAGCGGTGCAGACGTAACCAGCGCCCGTCCTGATCCCGGAAACGCCGGAAGTGGCGGCATCGGCTCAACAGCCCGCCAAGAACTCGTCCGCGGCTTCGTCGCGAACAACATCGACACAACCCGCGCTTTCTACAACCACTCCAAGATCCTGGTCGTGGCTCTGAACGGTCCGGCCGTCGGTCTTTCCGCTGCCCTGATTGCCCATGCAGACTTTATCTACGCAGCTCCGCACGCTTTCGTGCTAACGCCCTTCTCATCACTGGGACTCGTTGCTGAAGGCGGAGCCAGCCGTGCCTTTGTCGAGCGAATGGGTATCGCGAAGGCGAACGAGGCGCTGATCTTGAGCAAGCGGATTCCGTGTGATGATCTTGTGAGGACGGGCTTTGTGAATAAAGTCATCAAGGCGGATTCAGGGAAGAGCGATGATTCTGCGGGATTCTTGAAGAATGTTCTTGTTGAGGTTGAGGAGTCGATGGGCACGCATTTGAACCAGTCTAGTATGGTCAAGATTAAGGAGCTTGTAAGACGACCTGAGAGGGAGATTTTGGATCGTCAGAATGGGCTTGAGGCTTTCATGGGGTTGGAGCGGTTTTTGGGTGGGACACCACAGGAAGAGTTCCGGAAGTTGGCTTCTGGGGAGAAAAGGCATAAGCTTTAGATCATTTGGTACCTACTTACACGAGGAGATTAGTAGACATGATATACAATATTAAGGCATGGACCTTAGGGTCTTTTCGGATATAATTGTTTTGAAGTGTAAGGTTGTAAATTCTTTTGCAGACTTCCATGAAAGTTGATAAAGAAGTACTTGAATGATTTGAATACGTGAAGTGGAACAGTCAGCACAATTATCGGTCTCATTCTCCGATGTCAATCGTCAGAGTACCTGTGGATGCAATATATGTCTACTTTGCGAAAAAGGATTTTTGAACTCGTTATGTGCAATGCATAGTTCAAACCCAGTTATTCATGGTCAAATTCTCTTAAACAAAACCAACTCCTTTTACAAGGCAATGCCTAATGTACAAGCTATTCCGAGTCACTGCTATCATCCTGCTGCTGCTGCATTGTCTGCCTGGCCAGAATCTCCTGCCACTTGCCCATAAACTCGCTCATGCCGCCCGGGCCCGCCAGAGAGGCATCGACTAGGTCCTTCGGGACCTTGTGAGCAGAGTACTGGGGCGTGGAGAACTGATATGCCTCAGGATCATTCTTCTTCACAAGACGTATCTCCGGCAGGAAAGGAGCAAGATCATCGTCGCCCTCTTCCACATTCTCCTCTTCATCTTCGGACTTTTCCACATCCTCAACAACACTACCAACCGCCTCATCCGAAGTCATAATGCTACCATCACGAAGTGAGATCCTCACAAATCTACCATTGAGGTCATCATCTTCCTCCTCCTCGAAGCCAATGGGATCCTTCATCCGCAGAATCTCCAACCAGCTAAATAGCAATGAATCTGTCCGCTGGGCCCAGGGGTTGATATCAACTAGCCAGACACGTTGATGTGGTGCAGGGACATAGACATCGAACACGAAGTTCGGATCCGGGAAGGTGTCGCGCAGCTTTTCGTCAAAGAATGCCTGAATGCGCGAGCGGAACATATCCCGCATGTCGAATAGGAAATCAAAGTAGTTCAAATCACGCTGACACATGCAAAGTAATTTCCGGTTGCGAACAAAGCAGCGGAACTCGAGAGATGGGTTGAAGTTGGCATATTTGCGAAGGACGAGGTGGTAGGGGACGTCCGGGATTGGTGAGTCGATGGTCGGAGCCTCGGAATCATGGCCATTTGTAGCAGAATCAGGAACACAGTCGTCAAAAGGATGCTGAAGATCGTGGGTGATGAAATCACTGCTTTTTAGGAGGAGGTAGACGTCATTGGCGGTGGCGCATTTCGTGTCGTTTGTAGCGGACATGAAGGTTGCGTCTTTGGGGGCGCTCCAGTTTAGTTTTGGGGTAACCTTTCCAAACTCGGCAATTGTGTCTTTGATTTGCGTGTGAATATCGGCCCATTCTGTTGAGGGGTCTTCGGCTTCCTCGCCGGAGTCGGAGAATGTGTCTAGGTCGTCGTCATCTCTTGGGCGTACTGGCTCCGGAGGGAGCACGATGCCATCAACGCGGAGGTAGGTGATAAATTGGGGTGACAGCGGGATCACTCGGGATTTAGGTGCGAGGGTGCGGTATCTAAGCGGCAACGTTAGAATCATATCTTGAAGATCGGTTATTTTAGATTGAGATACCGTGGGTGCCAGTTATGGTATGAGCAGTTGAGGATGTGGGAATAGGTGATCGGTGGAAATGGGAGGCGATCTGGTAGATCGCTGGGTGGCGCATCGATTGACGCTGCGTCTGACTCCATTATGGGCACTTTTTTTATATTTGATCGTAAGATATTAAAAGAAAAGCATGGTAAATCATGGCGGGGCTTTTCTTTTTTTGAGTCACGGGCCGATAAGCTGATAGGGATAGATGACATAAGCGCTTCATAACTGAAGCAGCTGGCCAGTCCGATTGGACCAAATGGCCTTCTCACTCTTGAACATCATTCACAGCACCATTCACAATGGCGCCGGAGGCTCCAGACCCCCATAGCCTCAAGTCATGGGCTGATGCTTTCCAGTATCCGATTCCAACGGTTCGCCGTGTGGAGCAGGAACTGCGACGGGATATTGCTAGCAATAAGGAGAAGCTCCGAGCTCTCGTGGGGTAAGCTGGTGGTGGCTGCAATGTTGTTTCTAAGCCCTGCTAATAGTGATTTAATGGGGATGTAGTACACGATACAGAGACCTTGTCGGAACTGCTGAGACCATTGTGACGATGAACTCCGAGATACAAGAGGTCGAATCCATTTTGGCCGACGTTGGACGTCGATGCAACCCGCGACTGTTGGAGAAGAAGCATATTTATGCGCGCCAAATGAAAGGCGATGCAGCGGGCAAAGGTATGGAAATAGTACCTTGCAATGGTTTGGGAATTGGAGTCCAATGGCTAACATTGCGCAGACACAGAGAAACACGCGTTCGGAGCGCAACTTGCGCTTCTTCACCGTTGCACTACATCTATTTCTCGACTTCTTCGCCGACGAGCCTCATTACTGCTTGTTGCTAAGATTCTTGTTGTTTCCCGAGTGCTGCAAAACAATCTATCGCAGCACGAATCGACCCCGCCGTTCCTCGACGATCTTCGCAACCAACTTGCGTCTCTGCAGCGTACCCTCTTGAAACGGATCAATAAGCGCCTATCATCCGCAAATGCCACGGAGGACAGCATCATCGAATCCTTGGCTGCTTACTGTCTTCCAACAAACTCCTCTTCCGATGATGCCATTCACCACTTCCAGAAGACGCGCCTAGACGTGATTACCAGCCAACTGGAGCTATCGCGCGAAAATATCCCCAAGGCTCTGCGACTTTTTGTTCGTACGCTACAAACCTCCAAGACATTGCGGTCTCGGCAATTTCCCGATGTACTTTCGAAGCTTAAATCTAGACCGATTCTGTCAGACCCAGAGATCCGCAGCTTAGATGGGCTGGAAATTGATGTACTAGGCCGATGGGTGGCTCCAGAGGTCAATAACTTCACTCCTTGGATCAAGATGAGTGAAATGAGTCGAACTCAAGGCCTGGAATCGATCAAGGAATGGTCTCTGCAAGCATTTAAGAGATTCTCTGAAGGGTGCGACAAAAGTCTGGCGCATAGCAACGACTTTTCCGCGCTGTTATCTTTACGTGCCGAGACTATTGAACTTTGGTTATCATCATGGGGCTCGACAATCACGCATGGCTCCGTTGATGTTTTGGAACGCCTGCGCAATATCTTCAACGACCATCTCAAACGAGTCCTAACAGCGCAGGTCCAAATCGTCGATGAGATCAGAACCCAAATTTCATCTACTATTACTAGCTGGGATCAGGCAGAACATAACACAATTGGATCACTTTGGGATTCTGATCTGATTGCTGCAGACTACTCAAACGGCGCAACAGCATTCAAGCAGGTCATAGCAGACCGACTTCTGGGCCGCGACAACGACGTCTCTGCCGTTCTTAGAAAGTACCAAACCTGGCTCTCGGCTATTGAAGAACGAAGCGAGTGCATAGCGTCTCTGCGCCGACTGAAATGGACCGACATTCTCGTTGGCGGCGAAGTAGAAGACGAAGACATTGACATCACGCCCCGTCTTAATGATGATGACCCGAAACTTCTTTCTGATGCGCTTCATTTAGCGGTTAATCAAGCATTTGATATGCTCCAGACATCGGTCACCGATGCCTTCAAGGACTTTGGGAGTACTCACCAAAGCGCAAAAGCCACCTTCCTCCTACGACTCATCCGGCACCTGCGACGAGATATTCCTTCTGGCTTTCTTGCACAGGACTTCATGCTCTCTGGGGCCGTTGTTCCAGATCTACAGAAGCTACTTGCAGCTGATATTGTCGCACTAAGTGGATCATTATCCCTTCTACCTTCATCAAGGACCCACCCTGATTCCAATAAGTTGAAGACTGTGCCTGGTCGTTCGTTGTGGGAGGGCGAGCCCGTAATACCGGTACAGCCGTCTCCAAGCACCTTTAAATTCTTGCGTCACCTGACTGCAACTATGGATGAGAACGGGGTTGATCTTTGGGATCCATCGACTGTGAAGGTCTTGAAGGGTGAGTTGCAGAAACGGTTGGAGACTTCTATCGGATCTACGCTCAATGATATGGGTATTTGGAAAAATGCAATTGAAACCACGTCAAGCCCCGAAAAGAGTGAAGAAAAGGGCGAGAAGAATTACGAGGGGGAAGAAAATAAGGAAAGAGATGAATTCATCGATCCCAAGATTGAGGATGATGCATCTCATGCTAATGCCTTGCGCGACTGGAAGATCCAACTCTTTTTCGATACTATCTACTTAGCGAACATGTTAGGTGACCCGACCCAGCTGGCTGGTGTCGCGGAGCGCATCCAAAAGAGTGCGGAGCTAAGTGCCGAGGCTGTCAAGAGCATCCAGAAGGGAGCAGCGGAGTACTGGAAACGCACGGAGCTGCTATTTGGTCTTCTTGCTGATCGTTAGTGGCTTTCCTATAGATAGACGGAGTGGCAGTCACACTTTGTTTTACTCCTTAGTGTGGTATAGAATAATAGCGCGTTATGTTTCACTTCTTCAAATGACATATGCTCCCACATTCCAATATATTGATCCACCCCATCAAGGTTCCAGCATAGAGTAATGAGTCAATTCTTGATTCTAGAAGTCAGATATCCGAGAGATCATAGATACATCAAAAGCAATTCCAACGAGAAATTGGAGTTCCAACAAAAAGGCCTCCACCATATCGCAAAATCCATGAGATCCCCTTGCGGAAAGCCGGTCCACATCAGAGTCCCAAGGCCTGTCCTAAGTGCCACAAGCCTTCCCGAGCAGGACACTTACCGAGGCACTGCCATCATTCGCGGCCACGGTATCGAGATAGCCGTCTTTGTTGAAGTCACCAACTGCAACACCATACGCAATGGCCATGACGAGGAACATAGTCGACGGTTGACAGAAGTCTTGGAAAGTTCGAATCGTTTTTCTTTGTCAACGATTCGAGCAGCGTAATCTGGTGGGATAAGAGGGTTTACAGAGAGTGGGAATTGGCTGTATCTGATTCGCGGAAACTGGGTTAATTGACTAGGAGAATAGGAGAAATGAATCATCTTAAAGGCCTGGAAAGTGTCTGCAAACAAAGACTGACGAGGGGTAAATGACACAAATGATGTTATGATGATGGATGTATACCCAATCCGACCAGGTGAGGGGATTGTTCAAGAGAGTCCCTGATGCTACTCAGCATATCTGCCTTTTGCAAATGCAAGGAAAATGTGTAAAATCTTCCTTGTGATTGGGTTGGGTTGGCGTAAAGGTGACATGTCGATCGGTGGCTCGGGCCGGGAAGCCCCCAATTGTATGTTTGGACAAACCCGACAATCTTGGAATGACGTGACACCACTTTGTTTATAAAAAAGCATATTCTGGCACAATGAATTATTAAAAAGCCTTTTCGACAATGTCGTTCTTGCTGCTGCGTTCTACTCGCATCTCTTCAAATTTATTTGGAGCGTCAATCCAACGGTGCTACTTATCTCAAACCTCAATGATGGCCGCCATCAGTGACGCGATCAAGAAAGACCATCGCGAGATCGAAGAATACTATAATAACATCCTCAATTCCACCACTGAAAAAGAGAAAACACAGTGGCAGAATCAATTCACGTGGGAACTTGCCCGTCACTCCATCGGCGAGGAGTTGGTCATTTACCCTCAATTCGAAAAGCTACTGACTGATGGCCGCGCCATGGCGGACAAGGACCGCAAGGAGCACCTTTCCGTGAGTAATATTCTGAGAATGTCTCACTTGTATATAGGTAATAACCTATACTGTAGGTCAAAGAACAGCTCAAAGCCTTCCAGAATATGCAACCTTCGAATCCTCAATTCGAGCCTACACTCAAATCTCTCATGCAAGATCTGACTCAGCATATCAAAGAAGAGGAAAGCGAGGACCTTCCCAAATTGGAAGAAAGCCTGACGACGGAGGAGAGCGAGGACCTTTCCAAAACTTTCGGTAGAACGAAGATGTTTGTTCCGTCGCGATCGCATCCCAGTGCGCCCGACAAACCTCCCTTTGAAACCGCAATTGGACTTTTGACGGCTCCAATTGATCATTTGGGGGATCTGTTCCGATCGTGGCCACATACCTCTGGCATGCCAAACCCTTCGACCAAATGAATTTCTGGGTACTATTTAAAACCATGACTTCTTGATTTCCGCTATGGCATTTTTTCTATGCTGAACATGATATATGAATTATGGAACTAAATTGAAACGTAATTTGCTAGCTAGCTAGCAATTGAATATCTGTTATCTCAGGTCTTCATGTCCTCATGGCTCTCAGCTGTTCTTTCGTTGGTCCGTCCGCGTTCTTGTTCTAATAACTGACAAGCTCAATTGAAACGTCAGATTCTTTATCACATCCACCACTGCTCTGTGGTTGCCTACTCTAACGCACCTCATTCTGATCCTAGGTATTTAAGGCAATTCGAACCCAATCAAAGGGAATGTAATATAACATATGAATGACGTAAATTCCAATGCTATGCAACATAGCTATTCTATGCAAAGGGATCAAATTTTAAATTGCCCATCATACGACATCATTTTTGTGCCCAAAAACGAGATCTTGCTTGCAAATATGGCTACTCGTCCACTGTAGGCCACTGTGAAGGCCGTAGAATTGGTCGCAACTCAGAACCGCGCCAAGCAGATTGCGTTCCATTTCTAGGGGTGAATGATGGTCCCGCACGTACAGCAGCAAAGCTAGTGAATGTCTATGAGCTTTTAATGGGAGGCGATATTAGTCCGCTCTTCACAAGCAATTCGGAATTTATTCCTTGATTCATCCTATAGCTAGTAAGCTAGCGAAATGCTAGTCCAATCTGGTAATGAACTTCCTCAAAATCAGGGACACTTCTATCTGCTTAAAAACCTTTGGATAATGGCCCACTCATGTAGTCTCTGGTCCCTGTTCAGGTGACAAAGTCCTTGGCTTACAACTGTAATTAACAAGGCAGTCTTTCTGGAACGATCGCCTTGTCAAAAAAGTAAGCATAAAACAAGAAATAAAAAATACCAATTAATGTTCTTCTTGGAGGGCGATGACGTAGTCTTCACGTTGCAGTTTAACGTTGGCCACGGGTATTTGACGCTTGGTTCCGTATCTGGAAACAAGCTGGGGAGCCGATGATGTAACGATGAAAAAACCTAAAAGCTTCTAGTTTAAATGTAACTTGAGCGCTCTGAAGCAGCACCTTATCTTTCTCTTCCAGTAATTATAATCCATCACTGTATATTCCCGCAATTCGATGAATGGCACCATGAATTTCCTTCGTCAACCATGCTTGCGCACTGCAATTATGCGCTCGGTACGCACCGGAGCTGTTCAAAATCGTTCACCTCAGGCAAATGTTAGCCGAAGATCTTTCGCTACTGCTGGTCCGGATGAGCCAAAAGGAAGTGGCTCTAAATTGTGAATTACCCTTTCGACTCCTGACCTAGCCCGCCAGCGGACAACCCGTTAACATCGAAACCGTTCTCTAGGCTGCCAATCTCCATTGCTTTGGGCGTTCCCCTCGCATACTACTTATGGCCCAGGGGAAATTCGAAAAAACCCAGTTCCGGCTCTGTTGGCGAGCATCATGGAGCTAATCAAGAGTATGCACAAAATGCGGAGGGCAACCAGGGCAATGATTCCAACCCAAATAATTCCGTGCATGATGAGGTTCGTTTTCCACTTATGTCTTTTAATTTTTTCACTTTCTTCCGCACACGCCCAACATGGGATGATGTAGGACCTCTAGCAACCAGTTTACTGACTTACGGATAGCCTCGAGCTATGGGTTCTGCACAAGGACCTACAAGCATGTCATTCAAGCAAGAGGGCCTTTCTAATGCCGATACCATGAACCCATATGTCAATGAGCCTGGCAAGAGTAAAAAGGGAGAGGGCGAGACGGAAACCGCAAAGGTGAAGGGTACCGTGAAGCCTGACCGACCACAGGCGTGAACCAAAACGCCGACCTTGCCAATATTTCAAGAAAATAGGCTCGCAAATCGGGGTATAAACGGAGTTCAAGAAGGTGCATTGACCAGGTACATAATCCAACCTGGGTGGCGTTTCGCCGGTATGTACGAATAGTAAAATCAGTGTAAACTAGTAAAGCCAGTGCAAACGAACGATTCTCCACGGAAACACTTCCCCCAAATTGTTAATTGAGTTTCGATTCTCAAGTCGAGGCATTATATCTCTCAAACCCCTTGTACATCTCAGGAAAGTACGCGTCGAAATTTGAGTTGCTGCTCACCCGATTCTCCATCTTGTTCATGGTGTATGCTATGGTCATCCGCCGGCGGCGATCCATAATCGTAAAAGATCCTCCATAGCCTGACCAGAAACACATTCCATCTTCTTCTGGAATTAAAGAAACTAAGCTTTCGCTCCATGGCAAAGCGACTCCGAGGGCGAAGCGTATCTTGCCATTGAGACAGGGATCGAAGCCTCTGATTCGCTCTTTCATCATCTCATCGATGGTTTGAGGAGAAAGGTACCTTTTACCATCGACGATACCATCCAGGGAGACCACAGATCCAATACGTGCTAAGGCACGCGCATTTGAGTAGCCACCCATGGCTCCATTTTCGGACTTCCGGAAGACAGGCTCATTGGGCATCGTAGGATACACCAAAGACCCTCGGAGGACCCGACCCAAGAAACTAGTGGGATCAAAAGCAGTAAGAGGAATCACTTCTTCCAGTGGGAAAGGAATGATATGAGCATTTCGGGGCCATTCCTCCTCAGGCAGACCAAGCTGGAAGTCAGCCCCCAAAGGCGTTGTGATCTCCTCGGTAATGAACTGGCTCAATGATTTTCCCGTAATTCGTCGGATAATTTCGCCTACCAGATGTCCATAAACACTTGCTTTGTATGCGCTCTGGGACCCTGGCACATACAAAGGAGGTTGTTCTGCAAGCAACGCGGCAGTTTTCTCCAGATCATGCAAGTCTTCGGCGAGCTTCAGAAGCATCGTCTCTCTATCTTGCATTTCCTCGGGAGTAAGGTATCTCTCGATGGTAGTAACTCCAGAAGAATGGCTAAGAATTTGTGAGATCTTGATGTCATCTTTACCATTCGCCGCAAACTCAGGCCAATAGGTTGCCACGTTCTCATTCAAATTCAATTGGCCACGGTTGACGAGGATGAGAGCTGCTAGGCTTGTGACAATTTTGGTATTTGACCACACTGCTGTAATCGTGTCTTTGCCCCATGGTTTTGGCTCGGTCTGGCTGGGATCTGCAAAACCACCCCAAAGATCCAAGACATTCTTTCCATCGATGTTGATACAAAGGGAAGCACCTACTTCGTGGCCTTCGGCAAGCCTCTGTTGGAGAAGAGCACGCAAAGAGTCAAAGGCGGGATCACAAAAGCCGTGGACGTCAGCCATTGTAGGAGCTTTTTCAGAGATGTAATACTGATCAATATTTGAAGCGAGGTTAATTAGATGAGAAAGGATGAATGAAATGAATTTGGGTGGGGGGGGGGGGGGTGTGAAGTGGGAACACACTCTAGATATTATAGGATAATTCTGCACGGTCCCGTTCTGTACTTTACAGAGCCGAAAGCTTGCTGGCTAGTAGCAGTACTGGAAGATACACTCTTTTCATACTTTGAAGCCCCCAACGGGTAACCTCTGATCTCTAAGCGCTGTGCGTGGTCTTTGATATGTGGCACTTAATAACGGGGTTAACCCATAACTCATCAAAGCTAAGTAGCATTCGAGCGTTCCAGTCATGGATAGGTAGTATTTACCAATTACTCTGGTAATTCTTTACCGGGGTTTTTCGATTCTCGTTGTGCATTTAACCCCGCGTGCAGGGGTAGCCTTACTTGTGGGGTCCAGAAATCACCATTGGGTCAAAGCAAACAAAAAAAAGGAGTACACGCGGCAGACCCGCAGAGATCTACATAGAGGGGTAAGTGTCTATTCAGCTTTGATAGGCTCATGGTCGCAGCTCATCTCTTCGGACGAGCCCCAAGCAGCGGAGCCCGGCTCATTCCCCTGACTCGAAAGGAGTCCAAGGTGTAAGGTGCTGCAGCTAAATGGACCGGCCCCTACTCCCTATGCTTATAGGGCCATTTGAGGATCAAATACAACCGAACACATACCACAGTGTACCATGCCCAAATCTACAAGCAATGCATAATTCCAAGAATCCGCACTGCTAGTCAGGATTTACTGTCTAGCCCTACGTCACGTTGGAGTCCAAATCCCAGCGAGCTGCGAAAGAATCAGCTAATGTACCCAGTAGTATCAGGGACCAAGTGGCACTTCGCAGCTCAGATGTTTCTAATCGATTGGCTCTTTTGGGTCTCTTTGTTCCTAACATTCGGCTCAAAGGTCCTGGCGAGGCGGTGAATGGGGAACGGGGAATGGATTTATCATACATGTAGAATTTGGGGGCCGTTTAGCAAACCTGTCTAACAAGGCGTGAGTACCGCTCATGTGGGGGGAGTGATTTACCAAAGACTGCATTGTGACGGACGGATGAAGAAGGATCAAAGGAGAGTCGAAAGAGACTAGAGAAAGCGATGAAGAAGAAGCACACCGAATGGTGATCAGGGGGAAAGAACGGAGCAAACAGAACATGGGTACTTGTATTGGTGGATGAAGAGATAAAAAACAGGAAACAAGACACGAAGCACTGATCTAAGGACAAACGTATCTCTCATCACATTCTGATGGACAGATGAAGATGAAATAGCATTTTCGCCCCTCCTTCTAGTTACAGGCTTTCGCGCAAGAACTCTTACCGGGCGCCAATGGTATGCTGCTCTCGTCTTTACTGCTGCCAATAACTCCAACAAGAGCTTCATGCACTCATTTACATTCGGAATCGATGGGTCATGGGAGCTGGCTGCAATGCGAAAGAGTTCAACGTGACCTGCCAAAGAAGTGGAGGTACATAAGGGAATAAGACTAATAGGCATCTTTCCGAGCTCGTTGTGTAAGATTTCCAAATCCTGTTGTTTGAGATGCTATTGTAATTTATCAAGCCAGCTGCGCAGTCCTGTCAATGTTATTCTATCCAGGTTTTACCATAATCAATAGAGCTGGCTTACTCGAAATGGATTTTAGCAGGTGTCAAGATTGACCGTACGATACGCTGAAAGTCCTCTGCTACTTTCCCGCGTACCACAGTCTTTCCGAGGTCAGCATCCTGCCACTGAAAATTTTCGCCTGGCTTTATTAGACCGGTCAGCCCAGGAAACTTCTATCTGGATCAATTCAGTTACCGCTTACTCAGGAGACTTGTCGCGTGACGGATGAGCTGACTTGGGTCATTGTCTCTCACGACGCAGTACCAGAATCGTAGACGGATCACATCATACTTATGCTGGAGGCGCTCAGGCACATCCTTAAAGGCATCGAGCTTGCTGAAGGTGATATAAGAAGGCCAAGAAGGTCGGGGAGGGAATTGTTTCTCGGATAATTCATAGCCATCTAGTTGTGCACTGTCAGAAATCTGAGATGCTAAGTCTATAAGCCACATGCTAGAGAGATGTCAGCTACATGTAGCCTTTTCAAGGATAAAGTCAGTGCCTGTGCCGATTTCCGCAATCTATGCCTGGAAATATCGGTATTTCAGGGTTCAGAGTATAGCCGTTATAGGTTTTCCAGAGGAGGTGTTGTGCGTCCAGCCTAAAGAGAGCAAACAAGGGTTAACCTCCAACTTTCCAACTTTGGCTTATACAATCTTTGTTGCGAGTGGAGTGACCCCTCTAGGTAGATCAGCGCTTCTCTCTCTTCTTCCCTTCTTCCCTTCTCCTTCCTTCTTCTCCCACCGCCGATCCCCCTCACAATACAACATCTTGATTTGTCTGTCTTGTCCTCTTGCGGATTTGTACCCCGTACTCGTACGCTTCTTTCTTCTTGTCTCCTCTGACCGCTTCGACCAGCACGCGACGTCCTGGTAATATTCTTGTGCCTGAAAGCCACAGATCACAACAGAACAACGATCTCCAATTCTTTTATTACAATCCGACTCCCTACTTTCTCTTCTTTATCGACCAAACCCGTTTTAAAGAGGAGTTTCTTAACTTAGAAAACAGTGGACGGTTTCGTTTCTTCAGACAAAACACGCTACTCGCTATGGCGCCGCTACCAGAACACTGATTTGCCACAAGCAGGATAGATATGGAAATTCTCGAATGGATTATTGAGATGAATCTCAATTCTCGAGCCCATCGTTGGCTCGGATCTGGTGTTTCCGCCAAGGACGACCCTAACGAGATCAGAGCCCCTGATGTTGCTTATGGGCGAGCAACGCCCCACCCTGGTTTCTCAAGAGGGAGACCTAGCCTTGTGCTCGAAGTCGGAAAATCCCAAAATCTTTCAAGCCTTGAGGATGATGCCAAATGGTGGCTAAATCCAACAAAAGGGGGCACGGCGGTTTGCATAACCTGCAAACTCGATCAAACTCCAAGACTAGTGATTGATGTTTGGGAGCGACATGCACTGGAGGGGCGGGGAGATGATATGGGTGAAACTATCAGGGTCCAGCATATCATCATCACAAGGAAAAAGCGCACCGGCGAGATTGTGATTAGAGGAGCGCCAATGACTGTTCAATTCAGTCTTCTTATGAGAAGATTACCCGATGCAAACTCAAGCAGAGAAAAGGATTTGTTGATTTGGGTTGAGGGATTAAAGGAAATTGCAGTTGATATATGGGAAGAGCAAGGACTGCTTCAAAGTGGAGATTGAACATTATCAGAATTGGACCCTACCTTAGGTAGGCGCCCATTTTCGTTAATATCTTTTGCTTCTGAGCTCTCCTTCCCAAATATATATCTTACCCATAGGTCTCGTCTTTAGATATAATATCTTCCTCGAATACAGTCTAAGAATTGACTAAACTATACGATATTATCATTAATAACATTATAAATTAGGTACTTCATTATATAAAGCTTTAGTGCTGGTGCTTAGGTGGTGGTGCTTGGGTGGCCGGCCTATAGGACGCACTTTGGCAGGAGTTGTAGAGTATTCAGGCATTCTGATTGATTGATAGCCCTGACTAAGCGGATGACAGCAAAATGGGATTGTATAAAGGTGAGTGTTCTATAAGTGAGTGTTTTATAAGCGGGAGTTGACTGTGTCATGTCGGCCCAAAAGTACGGACCAAAACGTAAAATACGCATTAAAGGGAAGCGCCTAACCGAACGCCATAGCGGGACGGACCGCCCTAATTGATCTCCGGTCGCATTTAATTCACCTTAGGACGAACCGCTTTTAGAAATGACTTACTTTGAATCCACAAAATTTCGCGGGCGAAGATATTCATTGAAATTTGACCCTCCTAGATTAAGCCCAGACGCACTTGAAACGGACCTTATTGTATTATGAAATGACAACCTATAGATCATATTTAGGCGCTTATAACACGGTGAATACTATTTTCTAGGCCATCCATATTACCATAATCAAATGCTGGCACTAATGATATGGGCCAAACAAAGAGAGACTGGGCCACACACTGGCTTACATTGTGTTAGTCGCCTTCAGGTATGCATAGCAGCAGCCGTTCATGACCACACATTACCCGCTTAGAGGGGAAGAAGCTGCAGGGGCTAGCATTCTTTTTAGCTTGCGCAAACTGAAACTCCGTGGGCGGCTACGTAAAAGACCATAATTAGTAGTAGAAATTTACAAAAAAAGCAAATCACCTGTATTATAAATTCTATGGGTCGATGATAAAAGTTCGGCATCACCTCGACTTGCTGCCTCAAAATTCTTTACTCTTCTGTCCTATACTAAATCAACCTCACCATGAATCGTCCATGTAAACGGAGACGGCTGTCTCCGAAAACTCCAAAAATGGTAGACCGATTGATGAGTCAATACAGAATCAGATTTGAAGCGTCAGATCTTTCCGAGACTTGGCCTCAGTATCATTCAGCAATTTTTACCGCCATCAAGAATATGAAACATGTCATCTACACCAAATACGTTGAACGGCCTCAATCCCATAGCCGGCAGAAGTCAAAAATTATAAAGAAGGCCAATAAAATTGTTTCTGCGGCGGAGTGCTGTCGAAATGTCGACACCAATGAGCAAACTTGGAGGCACGAGACAGAATCTATTCTTATTACACAGGTATTTGCGGAGAAAATGGAGTGGTAGGTGACAGGCTACCAAATATTGCTTCAAATGAAGTCTAACTTTTGCAGTGAAAAGTGCACATTACGGCTATGGCTACCCGAGTATCACTCTATGGACATCAAATTTGTGGAAGTGCAAGGAGAAAATTCACCCTTGACTTTATGCAAGTGTGTTGAAAATGATCAACCTGGATACAAGGTATGGTCAGGAAACTGGCAATTCTGAGGCGTGCGCGAAATCACAACTCATTGATAACATTTCTTACTAGATTTCCGCCAATCAACGTACATTTTCGTCGAAGCTGGATGCGGCAGTACTCCCACACTCGTCTATTCCTGAGATAGGGACCATAAAGCCAGACCACATCATCGGGTTTCAAAAATCTCCATCGCTGGATGCTGCTCTTCAAATGCATTCAGATCTAGAATCTAGTCCTGGGGGAAATGCCAACCACATCAAGTTTCCTTTCCTTGTCCTGGAAGCTAAATCAGAGACTCAAAGTTGCGGCTTTCGTGCTGTTGAGAAGCAAACTGCCTTTCCTATCAAAAGGCTCGTTGATATTCAAAAGAACCTCCGGGAAATGGGTAAGGAGTCAACGGAGAGAGCCTTGGTTTGGTTTCTGGCTTATATTGGCGATGAATGGAGGGTTTATGCTTGCGTACCGCATGGAGACGAAACGGTAAGAATTTTCAAAACATTGCATATACAACACATGAGATACTTACAAAAAGACAGCGAATCATCGATCTCTGGCATGGATCCATTTTGAAGCGCGATGAAGCATTACAACTTTGCATAATCATTGACCTGATATGTGATTGGGCTTGGGATATCCTTCACAGAGATATTATTCGGTTGCTTTCAAGGGGACATAAAACCATACTAAACAAACCGACCACGAAAGAATATGATCAAGGTTATGCTCCCTCGCCTTCGAAACGTGAGACTATCATTCGAAATGCTAGCGAAGTATTTTTCTCATTTCGTCATCTGGAACTACCTGAGTCGAGCCGCGAATTAGCCGAAATCCTGGAATCACCTAGCTTGGGAGGTAAAAACATTACTGCCAATGCTATCAAGCTTCTAGATCTCTTTAATCTAAAGCAGCCCCTTTTGCTCCCACGAAGCTTCATATCTGAGCTGGAAAAGATGTGGACTTGTGCGAGCAATAAATACCCGCTGCTTCACAGTGATATGTCATCATTCGCGCACATTTCATTCCAATCGTACTTTCGGCCAAGCGACTTCCATACTGTACGAGAGATCTCATGCATCACTGCATCTCGTGGTGCAATAAGAGTCCTGGAGCAGATGATTGGGAGGACGACTCGTGATTCTCCATGCTTGCTAGATATCTCTATCTCTATCAGGCTTGAGGATGTGCTCCCTTTGGCAACAGGGTCCGGTCAAGACTCTATCAGAGCAGCCGCCAGGAATTTACATCTCGCGCTGCGTACAATGCCTAAAAGCATGATAATCTGGAAGGACTTTTTGGAGGTTGATCAGGTTTTAAAATGTAAATGGGAACAAGCTTATTACCAAGGGGAATATGTATCCAGTTTCTGGAACAATATCGACTCCCGTTCTCCTGACAACCCATTACTTCTCAAATTGCGCCGCTGCAGCGAGCGCCGCTCCAGCGAGTTACGCACATTATCGATTGCAAATGAATTCTCGTATAAGACCATACGTGAGTTCCTCGGGGGAAAGAAAGAAGATTTTCCATACGGTGCTGTCATTCTCAAGATCCCAACACAATTACTTCAGCCACTTTACCCTCAGTATTGCTTGGCTGTGTTTGACGGTTACAATCTTGATGATAGATCTGCTCTTGGTAAAAAGCTATCGCAACTGATTCAGAAAGGTCGGCTGTTTGAGGGAAACTCCAGGAAAGAGATCACTAACCAAGACCATCAGTTACTCCATGACTGGGAAACTCGGCTACGGGGAAATAATGGGTTATCGACATAAATTGATTCGCTGAGATAGGCGCAATGCGCTAGTTCCTATGACCGTAACTAATACCAGTGTTTGGGCTTTTTGAAAAAAGCAATTATTCATTCTTACTTGTAGATCACTGCACCCCTAGATGGTAGAGAGGAGTGATGATATCCCAAGTCCTATGTATTAAAGTGTCCACTGCGTCGATTGGAAAGATTGCAAACTAAGTGGAACAAGGATATGAAAGAGGCCCTGTCTCCCGGTGCATAGTGTTGTTCACCGGTCGTTTGTCATGGTGACTTAGCTGCTGTATCTCGCTAGCAAATCTTCGATGAGCTTTGAGTCTTCTGCACATATTTTTTTGAATACAGGAAAGTGAAAGGGGCTTATAGTCGTGGATTTCCGATAATTATTGAGCAATTGAATTGTATTATGTAATAAGCAGTGTTCTCATGATCGGAATGAGCAAGTATGATCTTTCAGTTCGTTCTCGTTTCCTTAGAAGGTAGATACATGGTTCGTTTCAGTGCAGCGCAGCGCTGGCAGCACGGCTGGTCTTTATCAGGTTTCATTTTTTTCTCTTGGTAAGACATAAAGGCGTGACAGACCCGCTTTGAGGCTTTTAAGACGGGATTCTTGACCTAGAAAACGGCAACTTGTTCAGGATAGGTGCATGCCCCACTTTCGCCTTGCCCATGCAGCCTCCATCTGGCAAAGCAGCCGTAGGGCTGTTAATCTGTAGCTAATTAGGGTTTTGCTCGAAATATTGGGTGACAGTCTTGAGAGTCCTGGTAGTTTTCATCTTTAGGGTTCTTGAGTGCAATTAACTGCTAGCGCTCCTGCTGTCCGAGGCGCAGAAGAATGTGAAAATGATTCCCATATGGAAAGCGTGAATATGAGAGATAAATTATTTGCTAATATAGCGCAAACAGCCCGATTTGAAATGTTGTTTGGGGGCCAATGTGCATGGGGCCGAAGAAAGCTGAGCATGTTCACCAGGTAGGCGTCTGCATGAGGATGAAATTCTGGATATGCATGCGGTTTTGAAAACACGAAATCGAGAATAATGCGCCAGAAAACAAGTCTATTATTCATTAACTATAATTGGATGCCTTGTGAGCTATTGAGGATTACTAGTTATATTGCCCAAAAGTGCTAAATCCACCAAAAGTTTCCCTATGCAGGTTTGCATGCAATTACCCCACAAATGAACAAAGGTTCCAAGATCCTGAATCTCACACGAAATGTGAAACTACTCAATTCCACTCTCGAGATTAATACATTATAACATGAGACGTTGCAATACCCCAAGTCTGCACCAAGACCTCGCCTTCGATATTTCAGGTCACCTTTCCACTGATAAGTTATTCTCTTCTCAGCACCAGTCCAATCATTCGCCTTATCAGTCTTCATATTCTTACTCAGAATCCTAGGATCTAAAGGTCAATATAAGCTTTACCATAAGCACATTTAAGATCTGTAACTCATTAAAATAAGTTAAATGCCTTGTCCCTTAGGCCATAAGCACTATGAGTTTAAACCTATTTGTACTTTAATACAGTCCTTCTTTCTAGAGTTCCAAGGTTATCTTCTAGTACGAATACGGTAATGTGTCTGTAGCAAAGCCCGCAATAACTGAGTACCTTGAATCTTGGTCCTCGGTCTCATATTAAATAACGGTTAACAGTCAGAGTGGGGCAGAAGCTAGTAATTCCAAACGGGTATAACGATCACACGCCAAACTGCATCCGGGAGGGGCGCGGTCGACCCAGCACTCTTGGGCGAGACAACTGGCGATTGTCGAGCTAATAATAGCGTTTCCATGGAGTACTGTACTTTCTTTGAGCCGTATTAATAAAGCATGTTTCTTTGATCAATTTTCTGATACTGGTACCTAATTCGTTATTATCAATACATATTTCCTGTCCGTGAGTCTTTCTTTTCTTTTCAAAAAATCATTTGCTACTCTCGCAGCTCGAATTTTCGCAATCTCGTCTAATATACAACGGGGCTGTGCACAGTGTAAAATGAGTGCTGTATATGACTTTGTCATTATTGGTGGCGGTATAGCTGGCCTGGTGGTTGCTTCTCGACTCAACGAGGACCCTAGCACCTCCGTCCTGGTTCTCGAAGCAGGCGCCGACTTGATAGCAGATACTCGCGTGAACATCCCCATCTTTTATGCCGCACTTATTGGATCCGACGCTGATTGGCAATTTCGCTCTTCGCCTCAGGTAAGGAACGTCTATGTCTCGATAAAGGCTGTGGGCTTACTCATTTCTTTGACAGTCCGGTCTCAATGGCAGAATGCTTGGTCTCAACTAGGGCAAGGCACTCGGAGGATCAAGTTCTTTAAATGCACACCTCTTTGTTCCTCCTTTCATGGGAGTTGTTGACTCATGGGAGGCGCTCGGTAACCCCGGATGGAATTGGACCATCTTAAAGGACTATTTCTCCAAGGCCTACAGCAGTCCGGCTGTAGCACAGGATGCCAAAAATTGAGGATTGGCTTGAATTGAACGAAGAGAAAGGTCCAATCGCAACATCCTTTGGCAACGGGACGCACCCTATTCGCAAGGCATGGGCTAAGTTGTTTCGCAGCAGCGGACAATACAACGCCGGGGATCCGTTCATCCATAGCTCTGTGGGCCCCTTCAGTTGCCTTGCTAGCATCGACTCGCAGGGCAAGAGAAGCAACTCTGCCTCGGCCTACTATAAGCCTGTTGAGCTTCGAAAAAATCTTCACGTTCCGACGAACTCATTCGTCGAGAGAATCCTGTTTGACGAAACCAAGCCTCCTAAAGCTATTGGAGTCCAATATATTCTCGATGGTGCCTCAAAGACTGCTTAGGCAAAAAACGAAGTTATCCTTGCCTCTGGCGCTTTTCAATCCCCCAAAATTCTCCAGCTTTCTGGAGTTGGTGGAGCAGAGCTTCTTGAGAAGCATAGCATCGATACAGTCATGAACCTTCGTGGAGTTAGGCAGAATCTTCAGGGTATGTGAAAAGCTTCCATACTAAAACATTGAAAACCTTTAGCATGTCTATCTTGATTTAACTCTCAAATAACGTGAAAATGTCCCCCGCTTCGACGCATGCCCGGTTTTGGACGGATATGAACGAACATCTACCATTTATAGATCACATGATATTATACACCGCATTTCAGGCAAAGGATGAACTTGAGACTAAGGACTCTCTGGTCAGACAAGAGCCTAAAGCCCTCGGTCAGGCAATGCAAGAATATACGGCCACGCAGTCTGGGCCCCTAGCTTCACTCGGGGTTCACACTTATGCCTATTTACCTCTTCCTGCACCGGATAGAGATACTCTCCGGGCATTATTTACGGACCACGCCCCCGAAGACCCACAAGAGCACAGGGCGACACAAGCCTATTATGAGATCGCGAAGACCACCGTTCTTGATCCCAAACAACCATCAGCTACGTACCTTTCCGCCTTAGAGCAGACAAATTATGCCAAAGACCTCAACGATGCGAGTATCCCAGTTACTTCGCCTGAAAAATTCGTCACGCTTGGAGTCATGCTCTCTCAGCCGCTTTCCCGCGGAAGCATTCATATGTGAGTAACTTTTCGTTTCTTTCTTCTCTGCTACATATTTTGGCTCTTTACTCCAAATCTTCACGCCCTGTCCCCCCAACAAATTGTATATACGCCAAAGCTAACAAGATAATTCCAAGTACCTCCCTCAATCCTTAAGACCCTCCAATCATTGATCCTGGTTACCTGTCGAATCCTCTCGATCTGGAAGTTTTAGCACGGCACTTGCTAGGTGTCAAGGTTTTAGCACAGTCACCTCAGCTTGGGAAGCTGCTCGAACTGCCACTGATGTTCCGTGACCCAGCTGCAGACTTCCAGGGGGACTTGGATGCTGCAAAGAATTATGCTCGGGAGAATTTGATCTCCATGTGGCACTTTGCGGGGACCTGTTCCATGCTGCCCCGCGAGAGATGTGGAGTGGTAGATTCAAATTTGAGGGTTTATGGTATCGAAGGACTGAGGGTTGTTGATGCGAGTGCTATCCCGCTTATAAGCACGGCGAATCTGCAAGCCACTGTGTATGCCTTCGCGGAAAGAGCAGCGGACCTGATTAAGCGGGACTGGAGGAGCGAGTAAATGAGGCATTAGAGAATGTCTACACTATGAATATTCCTATCGCGTATTCTTTATATAGATAGCCCTTCTGTTTAAATGTGCTCCATTCCAAGATTCTATGCTTTGCGCCTTACTCAAAAGCTATGGTTCTCGAAGGGTCCTTGGCCATGGGTGATATTAATTGGTGACATCAAGTATCGTACTGCTACTCTACTAAGCTTCAGAAAGCTTTCGCTCATCAGCCCCTCGATCCTGCTTATTGCCCAGTTTTATCCGGTCCTCCGCATCATGGGGCACGCAGTTGGCTACTGGAACTGCAGTCTCTTCTAGTTCCGAGTGCTCTATGCTTAAGTTAGCCTACTGTGATTGATGATTGTCGACCGAATGCCCTTTATTGTGCATTGATTTGTTCAACGAAAGCCTTATGCGGACTGCGGCTGCTGCCACGGAGTGCTGAACATACCTAACAAGGAGAAGGAAAATCCGGTGTAACGAAAGACTTACCACTCTCCACGTTCTCCAGCCCCCAAGCAGCGGTATCCTCAAGCCCCTTAGCTGCCACAGTGTTGGCTAGTTTGAACAAATTTGCATGATCCTATCAGTCGACAGAGCTTTACTGAGAGAGCTTACGCTTTCGCCCCATCCCTCTGTCATGGTGGGAGGTCTTGCGCACTCTCTTCTTCTTCTTCGCTTTGTACTTCCGGCGCTCCTCCTTCTTGCGTGCCTTCTGCTTATAATACCATCCATATCAGTATTCTCATCTGGACCAGCCCTGGGCCGACTGAGAAGAATAGTGGAGCTTACTGCCTCCGTGCGAACACGGGGTCCGGCAGCAGCGGGGGCTTTGGGGGCTTGGGGAGCGCCAGCGCTACCCATAGGTCGGAGCGAGGTCGCGTTCGCGGCGCCCCCGGCAAGGATCACCGGACAAGAAGTGGGGCTATGGCCCCCGGCGCAGGAAATGCATACATTCTATTTGCGATCAGTAAGTAAAAATGGTCTTTCGCGCGTGTGAATGATCAAATGGCGCAGTCCCCGAGCATGTAGCTATCAGTTCAATACTTACCGCAGCAGGAGCTTTCTTCCCCTCGATAGTCATCTTGGGGCAGGAGAGACCGGCTATGGCGAAGAGGAGAGGAAGAGAAAACTAGAAGGAAAATCTGGTGAAGGTGGTGGTTGTGTCGAAAACAAAAGTTCGAAGGGGAATTCGATTTTTTCAACTATTTAGTCTATAGTTACCACAACAATTATGATTAAAGCCTACAAGCCTGTAGCGGCCTATCAATAAGATTCATGGTGCGAGTATCCACTACTATTTAATTAGTCTATTCACTTTTGTAAGTCATCCCCATTATCGTCCGAATGTAGTCGACCATTTATTTTGGTACCTCAGGCACCATCCTCACTTGTTGATGTGAAATGGTCTTTCTCTCCCTCAGGACACTTTAACAGCTTGTCTGTCCCCATGGTGGAAACTTCTTTCTTATCTACTCTACTTTTAGGGCATGCTCCAATACCTACAATGGGGCAGTAAGTATTTCCCCAAGTGCGGGTCCGGTAGGGTCAACCCAACAACCAACCCTTTCAACATTGTTTCCATTTTATTAAAAAGGGAATTTTTAAATTGTATCTAAATCTTATCTGTAGAGGAAGATATAATATTATTTAATAGTACATTCAGGGGTATGTAGCGGCATTATGGTGAGTAATACTATACGTAAAAATTGGTGTGATTGTATAAATGGTAATGAGATAATTACTAATGGTAAGAAAGCTTAGGGTAGATTTTTACAAAACATTAAGTGATTGTTCTGTGTGTTAAATGGGTATGAATAGCCATCCGTAATTATATGGAACTTGTATAAGATATGGTGATACGTGGAATTGTTTAGCGAATACATAATTGATGGGGTAGGCCCGGAAACTGATCTGGGGAGAGATTTTTGTCTACATGGTGTAGTGACATCTTCTTGCTGCTCTTCTAGATCAATCATTATGCCAGGGGCTCGGTTTGAGAACCTTTTTGTCTTGTCATGAAGATTGGTGGGGTATGTAGTGACAGCAACAACATACCTACAAGGGCACTTTCCCGAACAAGGTGAATCTAAGAACGAAAACAAAAACAAAAACATACAACAGTCAGGATTCGCATGTGGTCACCCACCATACTACTAACTAACCGGCGTGTGGCTTAAGTACGGCTGAGCGGACGGGAAGCCCTGTTCTCCACACCCTATGGTCGTATGTGCCAGAATAGTCAATAAAATAAATATTATAGCAGAATTTCTGACAAGAGAATTAAAGAGCGAACTACGATGCACTATCGCGACGAAAAGTGAAGGTTAGAAATCGAACTTTGATTGGTGGTTTGATCCATCCGATTCATAATATAACGCAGAATTCATCAATTGGTTCTGCCAAGGCTGGAACTTGTGTATAAAAATGTAAAAATCAGGTCTATTCCTATCATTAGTTATGTGTAATGTCTTTTCCCATTCTCTAGAATCATGACTATCTTGAAACCAAAGTGGCCTCACTCAATTTGATAAATTGGGTATATGTCAGCACAACGCAATCTTTGCCATACAGTGAATAACGCCAGCCACGAGTTCGGCATCGATGATAAGGGCGCGGCATGTCAGTTCAATTCAGATTATGGAGAATTTCTTCGGCAATTTTGATCTTCAGACTTGATTTCTTCGTCATAATTCAAGATGAGGGTGGGTTGTAATTTCGTTTTTTCAGGCATCTTGATATCGGGCTGCCGCTCTCCGCCTTATCACCCCGGCCAAGGTTGGGAAATTTAGAGCAAAGATATGTTCTCCACGATTGGGAGTCTTCTGATTCATGAAGGTTATCGCGATTATAACATAAATTTGACCAAGAGAAATCACAGGGGTGAGGCAAGGGAAGCAGTACATGTCGTGATCCGCCTACCTATATCTTGCCAACTCAAAGCTATTCCTATTTGGGAAATGTATATCTTTATTCGTACTAGTTGAGTTCGTACTAGTTGAGTCAATGCGCTACTGGAGTGGGTAGATCGGCGCCAATTTAAGCTTGATTTTCCTTGCTGACGACCAATAAGACCAAGGAAAGTATTAAGTTAATTTCATCACAATTTGGGTAGAAGTGAGAATCCGCGTTCGATATTGAGATATAAAAGTTAACAAAGTTGCTCTATAACAAATAGAGAGATTGGAGACAGCTTGGAATTCAATGTGTTATATCTAGATGTCCACACCCTGACATGCAAACCACAAGGTTCAACCTCTTTCACGAAAATGTCTACGGCGAGTCCCCTGAGTCAGCCAAAGTGCGCTATGGAGCGGAGCTCAAGCGCATTGCGGGTGTCCTAGACGGTGTTCTAAGCAAGCAAGAATGTTTAGTTGGAACCAAGTGCGCGTATGCGGACTTGGCGTTTGTGATGTGGAACATGCAAATTCCTTTCTTCATGGCTAGTCGCAAGGGTGAGCATGCCTGGCGACCGGAGGAGTTCCCGCATTTCACACGGTGGCAAAATGCCATGATGGCGCGAGCGTCCGTCCAGAAAGTGATGAGTGTGTTGAATGACACCAAGGCCAGGAGTTCCTGAAACAGGATTATCATAGCTATGAGTCAGAGGAATAAGGTTCAAAGGTGAGAATGTCCTTTAAGAGAGACATTCGGGTGACACCTGGGGTAATCATACTTGTGCACTGGACATAATCCAACGACTTGAATAGAGATTGTCATCAGGGCTTCAACTCCGAATTTCAAACATTATTATCCATCTTTTCCGTCCGACTTCATGTGGCCTCTGTCCAGGGGCTCACAGATATTGATGATTCAGCAATTCGAACCCACGCCTCCTAATTAGGTAACGATAGCTTCACCCAAAGAAAGCTACCTACCATGGCTAATTCGACAAAGCCGGGTGTTGGCTTTCAGATATCGAACATGAATGGATTTATCTCAAGGTTATTGGGAAATGAATCTCTATATATGAATAACATTGTAAGACTTACCGCCTGTTTCCGACCGATGAGAGCTCCTCGCCCTGAGCACTAATTCTGGTATTTATACTTCTAACGCCTTCTAACGCGGTAAGGAACGCACATAATCTGCCGAGCTCGAGAGCCCCTATCGGAAACAGCTTGCAACATGGATTTTCATCTGCAGCGAAGGTTGTTGCGGGTACGCTACCAAGGGATACGCGTCGTCGTAGGCGTGATCGCCCAGCTCTACATCGACACTGGTAGTTTTGTTGATCTCAAATCCCTGCAACTGGTGCCGATTATCGGATTGCGCTTCAGCAAATGGAGGATTGGCGTTGCTTTCGGCCGTACTTGATATTCCATTGGATGATGCACCAATTTTGCCAGAGCCTATATGGCGCTTGCGAAGACGGGCCCAGAAGTTCTGGACGAAGGTGCTAATTCTCCAGCCTTCGCCAAGCAGGTGCCCAAAAATAGGCAGACAGGCGGCAATGACGCTTGCATTTGGCTCAATTAAGGCCCATATGAAGGCGGGCGACCATTTAAGTTGGGAGAGGCCTGGAATGTAGTAGAGGCGAATAGCAGACGAGAAACAGCAGCTGGAACCGAACATTAGTTTCCTGCCTATATATTTACTCGAACATTGGTATAGTTCTTTCTTACAAAATTCCCAGCCAAAAAATACCTAACACTTTAAGCTTTTTGCGGGTAGACATCTGCAAGTGGTGAATAAGAGGAATGGGAATACAGAGCACTAGCAAGTCGAAGAATAGACTCATTGCGGCGAATGCTATAGAGAACTTGCCAACGTCATAGCGAAGGGGTGTCACAGATTTTGGGTCCCAAATTTGACTGATGGGGTTTGTGCATAGTAGTCGGACCTATGAAAGCATCAGCTAATGGGCTCTTGGCTTCCTGTTAAGTAATCCTACTTACTATGATGATGGCAACCCCCCATGCGAGCAAACCCCCAATATAGACCCACACGGTGATCTGAAACCATGGCGTTACAAATATCCTCCGATAAAAAAGGAGAATAGACACTTTTACCACAGTCAAGCTAGCGGTCAGTAGAATGCCTTGAATGTATAGTGTCTGCAGGTCAAGTCAGTCACAATCACTTCTGGAATCAAAATAAAACCAACCCGAAGGGAGACGGTGGCGGCTGAGAGAGCGGTGCCTTTGATCTGATTAACTCCCCCTAGTGTCGCGCCCACGTAGACATTAATGGACATCCCCCAGACACAGAGTTGGGCCAGAATGATGACATAATCGTCAAGAAAGAGGCGCTTGAGCTTGGCGAGATTCGACCAGAGTCGAAGCAGGACGGCGACTGTACTCAAGATAGGTAAAACGATGGCAACTACTAGGAGGTCTGTGGTGATTATCGTTTGAGTCTGTAGACCTGGAGAACTCATTGTTGCATTTCTCCCCAAAGAAAATCTCTTGAATGGTACCGATAGCGAAATGGGGAGCCGGCTGACAGTTGTAAAGTTTTTATTCCTTAGAATGAATTTCAAATGGCAGACCCTGTATGACTCCAAAGTCGATGTCGCACCTGAGGCCCGATCCGTAAACTTGGTATAGAGCGCCTAAACGCCAAGATTGGTTGTTGTCGAAGGAGCTGAACTGGCTAGTCCTTTATGGTATGCCATGGTGTGCCATGGTATGCGAACTCATGGTGTATGCTGCAGATGACAACAGTCATTTTTCCCAGTAGTGTTAGTAAGTGTCAGTAACACAGAGGCGGCATTTAATTTACACAGCATCCAAGGTGATGCTGATGGCAGGGATGGGGTCGTTAGGTGCTTCCACAACCCCATCATGATGGACAATGTAGTACAGAGTAAGACGTAAATTGGTTCCTTCAGGTAAGTCTTGCTACGCCCTGTGTAGCCTTGTTGTAGCCATTGGAACCTCAGCCACGGAAATAAAGAAGGCAGTCACTTTGGGGTAAGGATCAATTTGCCAGGTATGAGGCTCGCCGCATTAGTGTCGTATGTTGAATTTTTATTTGAATCTTAAATTGCCTTCTCACCACTGCTCCTAGTATTCAATATTTTCAGTGACTTTGTATTAGTGTTTATTCTTCGCTGAGTGGAGACAACGTGGAGACAACGGAAGATTGATAGTTGAGGTCATATATGCGCATTAGTGGTCCAAAATCAAAAAATAGAGGGGCACTTATATCGGTTGCTGAATCGCTACATTCCAATTAAAGTTTAAGCACCTACATCATGCGGGTGGGGCTTATGGTGCTGGTTTGAAACATAGTCAGCTCCGCTGAGGCGACGTATTGCGGTAGAAATTGCCGTAAAAATGGAAGCAGTACTTGATATAACACAATCTTGTGTATGAAAGGATTGTGCTATAAATATGAATCTTCTCATTAATAGGCGATCAGGCTAATCTCATCTATGTTCATAACCAGAAATGAAGAAAGCAAAAAAATGCATCAGATAAACAAAATGAGGGTACGAGAAATTGGAGAGCAAAACTACCTTCCAAAGCATGACTAACCGTTTATTGGCCACATACCTCGTTTCATGAAGGCTCACAACGTGGCTCGGATTGTTTCCCCAGCCGCTTACTCCTTCAGCTCCTATTACTATCACATGTTTTTTATTCTCCGTTTGTCCTATAAAAGCACTCATTTTGTTTAGATTCACGTGCCACTTTGGACTTTTCTTCGTCGCTTTATCTTGCTATCCACCACCTTGTCTAGCTCGGGATATCCCCGCCAAAAATCCCTTTTCACATGATTTAACGCCTGAAATTATATCACGATGAATATTTTCTCTCACCATCTCCTTGCTATGGCTCTCGGGCTTATCCCTGCCTACGTCGCAGTAGGCATCTCCACGGCTGGGCTTAGTGACATCTCTATAGGTTATTCCACAGGAGGAAAATCTATCTGTGTCTCCGGCTATACCAAGATCCCCATCTCTGTCAACGGTACCAAATTGGACTACATGCCGCCTAGCGCCGACGCCGCAGTGATCGAGTCTATGGTGGAAAGGTTTCAGGCCACCAATAACTTGCTTACTACTGTGCCAAATGGAACCCAACTTATCCAGGGAGACTATCAAATATACTGCAAACTCTGCCTTCCAAATTCAAGCTCAAAAGCAACCAGTGTGAAGACCGTTCAGTTGCTGACACACGGTGCGCCAATGGACCATTCGTATTGGGACATTAGTCCTGGCCACAGCTACATTGACGCTGCAACTGAAGCGGGTTATGCAACTTTGTCTTACGACCAATTGGGAGTTGGCAAATCAGATCACCCGGATCCAATTCAGGTAGTACAGGCTACCAGCCAAGCTGCCATCACACATGCCCTCGTACAGTTACTGCGGGGTGCCAAGATTGGCAATTACAAATTCCACAGTGTGGTCGGCGTAGGCCACAGCTCTGGCAGTACCATAACGCAGGCCGTCACTATTCGATACCCGAGTGACTTCGATGCGGTGATCTTGACAGGTATCAGCATGACTATCGAGTACCTCGCTATCTCGGTGGCTGCTTTCAACCTGATCCAAGCAAACTCCGACTCTTCCGGTCGCTTCGAAGAGTTACCTGATGGCTATTTGACCCCGCAGACCTCAGCGGGAATCCAATTTGCCTTTTATCGTTGGCCAAATTACAATACCACAGCCTTTAAACACCAGGTTGCCAACAAGCAGACCAATACCATAGGTTACATGCTCACCATCGTTGGAGCCTTCGCCAAAGCGCCTGATTATGTGGGTCCCGTAGATGTTGTGCTCGGTGAAAATGATTTTTTATTTTGTGGTGGTAACTGCACACATCCTCAAAATCAAGCTGCGCTACTTAGGTCTACAAACTACCCCAATTCGTCTTCGGGCAGTCAGCACTACATTGTGGCGGGTTCCGGACATTGTATCAACGCACATAATAGTGCCAGTGCTGGCTTCGAGCACATGATCAAGTTCCTACAGTCGAATGGAATTTATTAGGTTTTGAGGGAAGTGCCCAATTACGATCCTAATGTACTGTTACAACTTAGTCTCCATTGATAGGACTTTTGTATGTGATTTAGCCCGACCATATGACTTCAGGCCGGAAAAAAATTACTATGTCCTTGGTTTGTGTTGTCGACTCAGGTTCTTGGTATGATAAGAGCTTTGCCATTGAGCTCATGAGAAACCTTCATTTGGATTCACGACGAAAATTTACTCGAATCCACCCAATATGTCCTGGAACTATTCGTTATCTGCTTCAGTAGCGTGTCTTCTTTTGGTTGGAGAAAATTTGTGTCTGGGTCCACGGGTATGGGCCAGCAAATAGTCACCATGCTTTGTTCATGGGTTGCTTGATGATAGCACGGGTCTTGAGTGCTCAATGCACCGCAATTCAGAAGGCAAGTCCAGAAATTGAGAAATGACCTTTGTTCCTCTGGATTCGATCCAAGTTCCTCACCAGTGAGATCACGTCATATAAATGCGCATCCAACAGTGGGAAGAGACCCCAGGGGGCTGAAAAAAAAAGTGCCCATGAGGATTTAACCCAGATAATTACGAGTAGCAGAGGTGGATCTGTCCAAGCCTCCAAAGGAGGGCAAGGGGGGCTATAAAGAAGGAATGTGGATGGTATACAGTTGGTCCCATTTCGCAGGCAACGATGTGGGCCGAGCGGTGGGACGCTACCAGCTAGTCAGGAATCACGACTTCAAGTAGCGATTTCTATCAATTGCATCTGGCTAATTCATATTCACAATGATTGTGGTCAGGTTCCTTCAATGGTGAGAGGTGCAGCTTTTTAGATAAGGTAACAAATGTTACTTACGCGGTTGGGGCGATTTCTGGGAGCACTGGCGAGTAGAATTGCGAAGTGCTCCACCTGGCACTTCGGCACCGAAAATGCTGCAGGGTTTGTATGAATGATGTGGCATATGAATACGAGTCCTGAAGAAGAGCTTGGCATACTAGTGGCGCAAAATTACAGGTATTCTCAAGGCACTTCATCCATTGACTGTTTAGGCTTTGTTTGGATCACCATTTCATAGTTCCAACTAGACATTTCTTAAGTTCCGACATTTGAGTTTCACTTCAGCCCCAGTAAACGGTCGCTTAGTGGCGCGCTCTTTCTGAGAATTGGCAGCAATGTACAGTCTTGTGGGAGGGATTTGCATAGCTGTACGATTATGGGGTAAATTTTTCGTTATAGTTTGTAAGGCTCGCTTTCTACTAAGTTGCACCTATAGCAGAGGGATGGGCAGAACTACACTCAATACTTGAAATAAATCTCCTCAGTCCGCTTTTTAAGCTTTCCCCATCATAAAGATACTTCTGCGAAACACTAGGGAGTACACCGCACCACACTACTTTGTTTCGAAAATACAACTACGATGGATGATTAGTCGGGGCTAGCCCACCGGGCATATGACGCACAAAAGTCTCGTTTGATCCTCTGCGAAAGGCCCCCTAGCCTCTGGTCTAACCGCTAGCAATCTCATGGTCATCTTCGAAACCAACCCATCAATTCTTGCGTATTTACCATATAGCTCACAACTTGGAAAATAACCTTGACTACCATGGCTTAAATATTCTCAACCCAACAGGTAAGCTTCAGGTAAAACGCGGGATTTTTTCTAAGTGTACAGAGTGCTGTATCAGTTTCAAATTCGGAGAGTACCTTGGCGTATCGTTCATAATTGCCCTATGAACTTCAAACCTTAGGTTCCCGGCCTCTCCCCCGTCACCAAAGGTATGGAGCTGCATGCTACTGAAGAGCCTTCCCGTGGGAGAAAGTTTGTGCGGGGCCCCAGGCAAGCTCTGATAGTCTCTTTCAGACTCCCGTCACCATAATGTGAAGACATTTAGTGGAAACGCCTTCATGTCCCCGGTCCTAATTGCCCCCAAAAATATTAATTTCTAGTCTCCGGAACTGCATTCTCTGCCATGTTGACTTGTGTAATTACGTCTCATAATCGTTCCCCTTTCAAGCTGTGTCATGAAGTTTCCTTCAACATGTCTCAGAACAACCCCTCCAAAAAGCTAATTTCTGGTCCAATGGGAGGATTGATCGCTGTTTAAATCACTCTTGCCTGCGCTACAGATATGATGTTCTGATACATGTTCGGGGAGTCTTTGGATTGGGGGGAGGAGGCATCTTCAGTTGTCTTTGGGTAACTTAAATCCCCTGTCACCAAAATGAAGGAGCTTCGATGCATACAAACAAGCTGGAGTAAATAATTTCCCCGGCGTGGTCATCTAGGGACTGGCAAACATGTTGTGGTGTCAGATTGAAAGACCATCGAGCGATTTATGACGCGTCTTCTTCCTTCAATATTAGACAATATCTACCATAGCCCGGAGTTTAAAGCAGCCACCAACTTTCGGCAAACTATTAGTGAGCTAGCTTGGAAATTTACTACAGAGCTCCATCGGTGCGTACCTGTCCGAGACCATCGCTGTCCCGTGAAACGAATTATGTATGGTTGTTTGCCAATCAAAGACTAATATTGTGATTGCGGGTCTTCGAAGGTATCTATGCATAGCGCATTAAACTTAGCTTGACAAAATTAAGAAGAAGGTAGTTCTCCAGCCCTTAAATGAATGTATCACAAGTGTTAGTCTATTTTAGTATATTTCAACGTCGATCCATTCTTCAGGTTTGTCGTCCGGGTATGAATTAAGCGCACAGCCCTGAAACGGGCCGCATCTCCACATTAGTCCTGAAAAAGAGCATCTTCATTGGTTTATCTGAAACAAAACTCGTAAATGCCGAAAGGTAGTCGCCACCTAAATGTGACCGGCAAGTAGTGATGTGTCAAAGCAGAGGCGCCTGCAGCATATTTGCAGTCGTGGTCTGTACATTTAAACCTGCGGAAATGGCATCGGATTTTCTAACCTCACATTTCAAACTCGCGAGTTCCGGCGTGAGCCTATTACCCAAGTGGATATAACTAGCCATTGAACTTATGGCATCACTCTGAAGATCACGGCCTATCTGTGCCGCCCCACACTGAGTATACGTATTTTGGAGTCTCTTGGCACTTGGCACACGTTGTTTCCCTGCAAAGTTCGGCTCATTCTGAAAGAACAATGAGCGCGCCTTGTTTACTCAAAGTCAAAATGGCCGAATGTAGTATGAAGAGGCCGCGTCACAGTCTTGACGACGTAAGCTAGGCAGTAGCATCAAAATTGGGATTTAAGAGATGATCTCACCCGAAAATGATACCTTGGCTATCCATTTACTATTCACCTTGTCATTTATTTAAGCTCTTGAGCCACGCGTGGGAAAATACGATTCTCCACTCTTTTGCTGCCACTTGCAGTTACCCTCACCGCGGCAGCCTCCAAGTCCACCAAGTCGACCACATCCAGCAAGCCAACTGTGACCCTTGACTACATCACCCTTCAAGCAGCTGCTGGAAACGAAACCCTTGGTTACTAAAAATACCAGAACAATTCCCTTTGCTGACGTACCGACCGGTGACCTTCGTTTCGCCAAACCACAATGGCCTTCTACTGAGTCTGGTATCAACAATGGTACCGCTTATGCTGATGCCGATGTCGACTGCTCATCGGAGGAGGACTGCCCTTACATGGACGTATGGGCTCCAGCCAATGCTGAGGGTAAGAAGTTGCCTGTCATGGTGTGGACCTACGGTGGTGGTTTCACTGGTGGTTCCAAGTCGGAGAACACCCCTGAGGGCCTCTTCGATTTGTCCAAGGAATTTATTTTCGTCTCTTTCAAGTATCGTTTGGGAATCACCGGTATTGCCAACTCGGTTGCTCTCACTCACCAGGGTGCCACTGGCAATGTGGCCCTATACGATGTTGAACATGCGTATAAATGGGTGAAGGAGTACATCAGCAAGTTTGGTGGTAACCCAGAAGACATCACTGCTTTTAGATTCTCCGCTGGTGGCAGCATGCCCTTGTTCATGATGACTCGTTACGGTGGTCACAACGAGCAACTGTTCAATAAGGCTTACATTACTTCTCCTGGTTTCGTCCCTGGAGCTGGTCATCACCAGGGCGAGATCTTCTACCAGAATGTTTCCACAGCAGTTGGCTGTCCTGGTGGTGACTGACTTCCATGCGTGCTGTTTCCTTCACCAATCTCACTGATGCTGCGACTGATGTCTATGATGCCTATGGCTATCAGTTCCAACCCCGCGTTGATGGTGATTTTGTTGCCGACATTTACGAATCGCAGCTCTACCAAGGCCGCTTCAACTTTGATGGCCCCTTGGTTATCACCCATGAACAGCACGAAAATAACGACTCACCTACTTCTGGGGTCAGTACCGTTGCAGATGTAGAGGCTGAGCTCCGGGCCTTCTTCCCGGCTATCACCGACGACGTTGTTGAGGAGATCATGGAAGCCTTCCCTGCGTCTGACTACACTAGTCCCGGCTATCGCTTCGCGGATATGAGACAGTCCTTTGATCTCACTGCGCATGGCTATGCCCTGACCCACGCTCTGGACAACAACACCTGGAACGCTATGGTTGCACTTGAGCAGGCTACCCACGGTACTGACCAAAGCTACTACTGTGAGTTTTTCCGTAATATCAAAGTTTCAAGACATCCTAACGACTGGTACTAATGACCATTTCAACAAATAGGGTACAGCACCTACTCCCTTTCCTCTTCAAGCTCCTCTAGCAGTGCTGCCTCTGGCGCTGGTGTCGCCATTAGCAGTGGCTCCTCTGTCAGCTCCACTGTTTCCGTATTGTCCTCTTTTCTCTTATTTCGATAGAGGCATAAACAACTGACTTTTTTTCCCTCACCTACAGCGAAAGATGCAGAAGTACCTCCTTTCCTTTGTGCTGACTGGCAATCCCAACACCAAGTGGCCCAGTGACAAACTCCACTGGCCCAAGTATGGCGGCGACGCCATTGAACTGGTCTTCAACACTACCATGTATACTCAGACCGATGACCTGGCCAATGTTAAAAGTACCTACTGGAACAAAGCTCTGTGGTACTAGGATAGGGTTGACTACGCGCTTGATAAAGATGGCATTTTGCTGCTTTTCAAAAACGAGGAGTATCCGGACAGATATTTCCCACTTCTGTATACAAACTATCTCGATAGGTTAAGGATGTAATAAAGGAAGAAGCATTATTATTATTCGAGACTCTGCAAAAGGATACTACGTCTTGTTATTGTCTTTTGTGCCTTTCGCGGGGCGCAATGTTGGAAGCCCCTTGTTCCCCTTCTGGATAAAAAGAAATGAAAAGTCAAGAAATATATAACAGCTAGGACTCGTATCTGGTCACCCACAATACTATTAATATTTTTGGAACCGGCGTGGGATTTAAGTCCGGCTGAGCGGACGAGAAGCCCTGTTCTCCACACCCTATGGTCTTATGTACCAGTTTAATCCCGCAATGTTTATATTTGCACAAGACATAGATCAGGCCTGAAGATAAGACGACACTAGTGCTGTAGAGAGAGCAACACTTGCGCATCTTGTTCTCCCCTTCTTTTCCCATAAATCACAGAGCTTAAGACTGCTCTGTCTGTTTATTTTCTCCGCTTGTAGCAGCAAGCTGTCTCAGCTGGTGCTTACTTTCCGTTGATGCTCGATCAGCGCCACGCGCTCACAAAATAGAATTAGAAGCTAAAGATTTACGGATGCGGGTCAAGTTGGTGCCAAATGGGTGAAAAACAGGTCAGCTCCAAATTGGCGCTGTGTCTTTGGGGAAAATGAGGCAACCATACGGTAAATAGGAGCACGGTTTGCATGCCTCGAGTAACGATGTCTGAAAGTTGCACTATCAGACGCTATCTGGCCAATAAAATAACGCACAATATCCAATCAAAATCCGAATCGACATGTTCTCGTTGCAGCTCCATTTATAGTAACCTTTCTATCCTTGAGGAATTCCTAAGCCGAGCCATGGGAAAGACACGCTCGCTTCCTTCCTACCCTGAGTAATCGAATCCACTAGTAATAAAGATTCACTTTGACATATATTGACGCAATAGGGGAATACTAAGGATTGACTATCTCCTTGCACCTCAGCCTGAGACGCACATTGAAGTTTTTACGATGCACGAAAAAAGCATTGGTTAAATACATTGGCTCTTTGGATTCCGCCATTTCAACCTATCTCATTGCGTTAGTACTCACTTTCTGGCGATCCCGCTTGCTAGACAGGCTTCATTAGAGTGACACTTACATCGAATTTCCTCAGAAAAGTGGGTACCATCTTGTAAGTCTCCATGAGGCTTATGTTTTTTCCAATACAGGTTCGTGACCCGGCACCAAACTGAAACATACTTTGTCTCATCTTAGAGACCTGGGCGGGATCCGCACCATTGCTTTCCAGCCAGCGCTCAGGCCGATATATGTTTGCATCTGGACCAAAAATCTCCTTGTTCTGGTGTAAAACCCAGGCGTTACACCCCACGACTGTTCCACCTGGCACATACTCCCCACATATATGTGCACCTTCAGGAGGAGTAACCCTTTCGAGGAGCAAACCCACGGCAGGATGCATCCGGAAGGATTCGTTAATAACAGCATCCAGATAAGGTAGACTCTTAGCTGCAGTAAACGGCACCACGTCGCCTGCGCCCGTAGAATCTTTGGACGAAGCAAGTTTCCCCATTGCGTCAGCCGCGTCAATCTCCTGCATTAGCTTTTGGTAAACACGAGGATTTTGCAACAGATAGTAGAACACGCCGGACAAGCTGATGGCTGTGCTATCAGAGCCGGCAATGATGAGTGATGCGCACATGGCAGTAATGCGATCATCTGTCAGGAACTCGGGGTTCTTTCCTTGTGACTGAAGGAAGCGTTGAAGCAGGTTGACACCCTGTTTGCCACTGCCTTCCCCCTTATCATTCACATTATATTTGCTTTGCTTGCGCTGCTGGTCCAAAGCAAATTTGATGATGGTTGCATTCGGACTTGTCGGCCAGAGGCCTTTGGATTCGAGGAAACGCTTGACCGGGTTTTTCACAAAGAGGCCATCCAGCCAGGGGCTCTGACCAACAACGGTGCCATAATTCTGGAAAGAATCGACAGTCTGGATAACGTTCGAGATGTCTCGGTTCTCTTCTACAAAGCCGAGACGCTTCGACCACGTGATTTCGCCGATCACGTCAAAAGCAAAGAATTGAATCCACTGAGAAAACGAGCAATCACGCCCCGTGTCGGCGAAAAGTTTCTGTGTTTGCTGGAGGAAAAAGGACGTGCAGCTATCCACAAGCGGCTCGTAATCTAGGAGAGTGGTGAGCGCAAAGGCGTGATCAACAGATCTCCGGAGTTGGGCGTGGTATTTTTCAGATCTGGTCGAGAATCTAGAGATTGTCCCGCAAATCAGCCAAATTTGTTGACTTTCTGCTCGATTTCCAGCTCATCCAACCTCCAGCTGCAGCATGCTGGGCTGTGACAGGGGACACTGGATAAGACAGTCCAGGAAGAATCTAACGCGTGATGTGTTCGTGCCAGGAGGAAATCTACTAACTTACAGATTATAAACAATGTTTCCCTGGTTCAAGGTAGCGAAGACATCGTAATATGCGCTCTGCCGAGCAGGTCATGATGTGAATCAATGGTAAGCGCAGAAAGTAAATTAAACTCACTTTCGTGTAACCCTTATTCAAGCCGTAGATATCCGTTATAGCCGCTGGATCTCCGAAGGACAGTACGTTTGGAGCTACCCGAACGACATTGCCATACCGTTGGTGAAGGGTGCAAAATGTGATGTGCGTATTCCGGTTCCAAACGTCGATGAGGCGCCAAGCGTTCGTCAATGAAGCAAAAATAGGGCCTGGATATTTATTCAATCCTTTTTGATATCTTTGGAAGGCAAGATATATGATAGTAAAAGCTAAAATAATATGCAAAAAGTGGTTCGGGACGAAATCAACCGAGTCTCGCAGCATCTTGATTCGGTTGCTCCTTTGGTCGCTAATCGCGGATCCAGAATCAATCTTAATCTAGTTCGATAATGTCCTTGAGACTACCAGACTTTATTAGAAAATTTGAGGTCGACTGAAGGCTACAATGAAGTCCATATTATGCTTACGTTACCTGTCAGAACGTAAATGATAATAGCAGTGTGGGGATGTGGCAATGGGGTATCCAGTCCCACTGCGGGGTTCCGGACTCTGCGGGATTTCCGGGGGCTATCCGGAGGAGTGGAACTCCGGAAGAGTGCCGTTGATCTTAGGCCATTTTTGCCTGGCAACCATCTTTCTCACTAGTGAGGTGGCCAGTAAAGCAGGTGGGACGTGTCATATGCGGTATTTCGTCTTCGTCTTTCACAATGAATGCCATGAATTTGAATGTTTACGACAGGGTAGGGCTGTCGGCGCGTATAGGATTACGCATTCAACTATCGTATGTGACATTGGTTTCCTAATTTCATACAGCGCCCCACTTTCTACCCCTTTCCGAGACCTTACATATGCACAGGCTTACGCTTTAGTTAATCAAATATCTTGTCAAACTCATTTTGATCAATCTTTTGCACAGGAGCCTTCCGGCAATAGATCACCAATTGTCATGCAGTAGGCTGAAATTTGACTCCATGGTATACAAATACACCTCATAGCTCTGATGCCTCTTCCTTATGGCGGTTGAATTTGACATGAAAAGCGCGTCGCCATGAAACCCTGTGGTTGCTGAGCTTGCAATTATGCCGACAAGTGGGATATCTATATTAAGTAAATTCGATTGTACAAGGTAAAGCAGAAGGATTGGTTGATTGAAGCAAGTAAAAAGCTTTTCAGCATTCGTGTGGTAGAATTAGAGAGGCTAGTTTCCTTCATTATCTATGATACAATGTTCGCAGTGGCAATTCTTGCTTGGTACGAAGTACCTTTATAAACGAGCATGGCTAGTCACTTCTAGTGCATGCACTGCATTCAATGGACCAGACTAATAGATATTTTATCCATAGCTCAGCTCAAGGTAGCTATCCATATGAAAGATGGTAGGGAATTTTGAAGGCGAATATTAGAATTTTGGAAAACAAGTTGATCAAACCACAAATGAATATACAATTACCAACCCAAGGATAAAAGGATTTATTCTTATGCTAATTGTCTTGGAGTCAGGTAGGTAGTCTCTGCTGCGACGACAGCTTTCATTCCTGGCCCGGAATAGCTGCTAGGGGGCCAAAGTGGGTAGTCCAAGCTCTGATGCGTTTCCCGTACAAAAACATGAGAATAGTAAAGGAAAGGAAGAAATACTGGATCCCAACCATTTGCCCAAACGCCTATTCTCACAATTTATGTCAGAAACATCTGCTTCTTGGTGGCAGAGTAGATTCGGGCTTCTTACATTTTTGACGCCAGTTGATTCTTGCCAGTTGACGGTATATAATGCTAACAGCATTGCGATGGTATTCCGGATCACGAATACAATGACTAGAGCCTCACCCGCTAACTATAGAGAGTAGTGAGCATGTTAGTTGGTTTCCTAGGGTGGGGAAGCAGAAGGAAAAAAGAAATGGAGAAGTCCGAAGACATAGGTGAAGCCCGGTTCATGCATGGTTGCATACCTGATGGTAGCTGTCTACTGCATACGTAACCACGACGTTCGAGACGGCCGTCAGTCCAAATCCTTGCATAGCATAGCCAAAAGCTGCGCCCACCCAAGTGACCTGATTTGCTGTACAGATGCCAAAGGTTAAAACGCCCATTGGCCCAATTATAGCTGGCATAATAATTGCAGGCAATCTAAATTCGGGCTCCCTTACGCCGTGGTTTGCCTTGGTCATGCGGGCAGAAATGAGGTCGACAACCTTGCCGCCGAGAAAAAATGCAATGACAGCACCAATGAAGCCAGACAGAGCGAGCAAGCCAATACTACCAATCTTCCATTCAAAAGGTGGTTTAGTAAACAGCCGGCTCGCCGTCATTTGTATGACAACGTTCCTATTTAAAGGATCAGTAAATCAAAAACGAGCTGTGGGCGTGCGGCAGGAAAGCCGTACCATCCGACAAATGTGCCAACTAAAAGGCCAGTCCAAAGGATGGGTGGGTAAACCGCCAGGCATAAAGTATTCCAGACAGTCCTGAAGAATGAGACATCCGGCCTGTGACCGTGTGTAAGGGCCATCCAGGCCATAAAGGTTCTTTTAGGTGGATACGCCGAGGCCAGCAGCTCGGTATTAGCAGTCTCCCGCTGATAATTGGATTCTCGGATAGTGAAAATGCCAACAAGAAACGTCGCACCACCAGCTATAGCCAGGAATCCACATGTCCAGCGCCAGCCAAGTGCTTGAGTAATATATGCGCTGATGAGAGGGCCGATAAAAAAACCGGTACTAAGAGCAAAATGGAATATCATCATGCAATGGCCTCGTTCATGGACGAAAAAGAGATCGGTGATTAAAGACGGAACTGTCGCATCGGCTGCAGAGCTGGCAAGGCCAGAGGAGATCCGAGAAGATAGGAGACTTCCATAGCTCGATGCCTTGTATGTCCAAGTATTAGATGCCGTTAGCAAGAGAAGAGCGAGCAAGTAGACAGGCCTTTTGCCGATCACTCTCGACACCGGGACCCATAACAGATTGCCAATTCCCATGGCGAGCAGATTAAAGCAAACGACATAGCCTGTTCGGGTCTGCGACTGGTGAAACTCGTTGCTCAGGGGAACGACGGCGACGACGAGGTTACTGGAGTTAAAGGTTGAGAGGACGGTAAAGAAGCACACTGTCAGACAAGTCGAATATTTTTCGCAAGATTCCCAATTCTGCAGCCGAGGAGTTATTATTGTTCAATTTGCCCAATTCGTTCACATGATTCCTTGAATGAACCGTAATGGAGGCACGCTGGAACGATGATGACGAGGATGAGAAGGATGATCTTGGAGGGAAACTTGCCAAGGGGTCGTTCGGATCTCGTGTTGGCTGAGGCACCAAAACAAGCCCTTCAAACGGATTCTTGATAGACTCGTCAACCCTTCCGCATACGGCATCTTCGACCAACTCAATACGCATATCCTGGTCATGCTTATCGAATTCGCTATCTACCATTGTCGAGAATGCAAGATTGTATCCCTTTTGTCGTAGTTATACGCGCGACAAGCAGCAATAGCGACACTAGGGGACGGGATCATGTTTATAAAGTTAATGTCGTTATGATTCTCCCAGAATTCATTCCAGGTCTGATGCGGGGTTGAGACGGGGTCTAAATCCGGGGTTCATCTGGGGCAACCGGGGGTAATCGGGATTTCCGCTATTTTTCATTGGGGTTCTAAGCGTTGGCCTTTTGATTGGCTTGCATTTCCATTGTGTTGGTAAAGTTGCTATGGTACAGTTTCCGGTACTGCAGAATGAGTATACAAGGTCAATTTAGCGTGCGAATCATCGCTGCTTGAAGGGGACTAAGACGGGCATGCTAGTTTGTCCAAGCTCATCGACTGGCAAGACAACAACATGAACGCTGACTCTTGAGGATATCATTCAGGCTCCAGGTTCTCAGTAGGGTTTGATCGAGTGGCAGCCACTATCTTTCTCACGTCTTCTGGCAGGTGCGGTTGCCGCGGAATAGAGCCTACACTAACATGAGAGCAATAGCGGAGGTGTGTGATGATGGATAGTTAAATACGAGACATGATCTTACCATCGTTACTCTCAACTTGGGCCGCGCTAGATGTCAAAAGCGAAATGTAATTCCGAGTTCTACGCTGGTCAGCAGGGGCGACCACAAGTGTGTGCATTCATATCCTGTCCGCGATCCATAAGCTTCGTTGATGGTAGTGTATCTAGCTTAGTTCAACAGTTATACACCTTGTTCCAATATTGTCATGAAATATTCTTTCACCGGAAATTCCATCAGAAGCGGGGTCAGTTGCTCGGAATAAATAACTATACCTCGGGGTAGTCTAGTATGTAAATGACCGGCTATGGATTCGAAATCTTGCTTTAAACAGCGAATATTGCGTCTTGGTTGTCCGGTCGTGTGGTAGTCGCTTAATGATATATTTTGGCATCGGATCAGCTTAGCTGGTTGTAGATCACCCCGGCGTGTCAACCTCATACCCCGCATACCCAAAGTTGCAAGGGGATGGAGGGTGTCCACAACAGGTTTGGGCCTAAATGTCGGCAGTTGAAAACCCACTTTCCGGCAACTTTGATATGAAGCTTGATTACGTTTATGCAGGGCGGTAATCGAGACCGGGCGGAGCGACTGTCTGCTGATGTGTACAATTTTGTGCAAAGTAGCCTTGCGAGTGGCAGCAGAGCTGATCCATGATTCAGCTAAGTCAAGAGTCAAGATAATTCTTGGGGACACGGTTCGCTGGTAGATTGGTGCCAGGCTCCACTTCTTCCCCGACGAGCCGACCAATCTTCCCCGCATTTTCTCCCCATCTACCTCTCCTAATATCCAAAATCGCCATCTCCTTGTGGGTTTTCGAAAAAGGATTCTGCTTTTAACCTCTGATGATGGATCCCGCTATCAAATCCCAAGGCCCACCGCATGAACGTCTTCGGGCTGCTAGAGCGTGCGAGATGTGCCGGCTGAAGAAAAACAAATGCGATGAACTGAGCCCGTGCACCCATTGCAAGAGTACGTTAAGCGCCATGATATACACGTTTCTAGTTTTGATTCTAATATTGTCACACCATGTTGCAGATCGAAAAACTCAATGCGTCTATCGTGGAATCAGCAATGTGAGAAGCGACCGTAACTGCTATGAGTAATACCAGCCATCCACCCATGTACCACTGAAACCGGGTTCTAACTATGGGGAAAACCTTAGGTATGTTTGCCAACTTGAAGAAAAGGTCAAGACTTTATCATCCAATCGAAAACACCCCCAAGCCGACAGCGATCCTGGCTCATGTACCACTCAACCGGACATTGTTGGCCAGAGAGGTGACGCGTTGCTACAACAGGAGCCATTTGAGGCCGACTGCATGCCAACACCTTCAGGTACTTGGCCCATGAGTGAGCCCAGAGCCGCACGGGAGTTAGTGAGCGTGAACCGTCACACGCGCAGCTTCGAGTTCTATGGGAGTTCAAGTTCAGTTGCGCTGCTGGTACGGATGGGAGATACCGGTGACCCGAAAATCGGGCTTCCATGTGAAGACGAAGAAGTGCTAGTTTCCGCCCTTCACAATCCAGCCTTCTCTCCAGGACCAACTGAGGCACTTGTACCAGCAGCAGAGACCGGCACAAGTGCGCAATCAGTATCCGTATCAAATTGTCGACTCTTTGTGGACAGCTTCTTTGCGACGATACATTATATCCACCCTATTCTAGATAAGTCCGCATTTCTCGAGAATTGTGAGCTTCTATGGGCAGGTAACACGCTGTCACTCAGCCAAAACTTTGTTGCACTCTATTACAGCATTCTGTCTTTGGGTGCGCTTCTGAGGCCCAAAGAGGAAGAGCTCCATGGCAGTATGGGCAATATGCGACAGAGCAGGAAGCTTTTTGAGGAGGCTCGAAGACGCTCAAATCCCTGCATGGTGATGGACCTCGAATTGGTCCAATGTAATTTCTTCCTGGCATGCCAACCCTCCCCCCATTTAGACCGCATGTCATTTTCTGACTAGTTGGAAATAGGCCAAAGTGTGCCAGAACGAACTCAACCCCAACTGTAAGAGTTAACAATTCACATATAGCGTCTATTACCTCTAATCCTATCTATAGGGGCATATATGCACATCGGTCTAGCTATAAGAATAGCCCTTTCCATTGGTATCAATCGCGAGCCACCACGAAACTCAAAGAAAGGTCTTGCATTGCTCAAGGCAGAGTCCAGAACATGGTGGTCAGTTATCCAAATCACACTTTCTAGATATTCTCTTCTCATCATGTGATATAGGGGCCTTTATTTCTTGGAGACGTAAGCGAATTTTTTGATTGAGTACTGTTTACCCTTCATGCTCACCATTAGATTTAGTGAGATGGCCTTTTCCTTAGGCAGACCGGACACCCTGGGAGCAGATCGCTACCACAATCGCCACTATCCTATGGTAGTTGGAGACCCTCTCGATATGGGAACACCATCTGGACTTCTCGAGCAACCTGAATGTGCCATCATCAAATACATGGTGGACCTCTCAAGAATTACAAAATCAATCTGTCTTGACATTTATCTGTCAGATTCAACGCTTGAAAAAACTGTTATGATAGGGAGTCGAATTGAACAAGATCTTGAGTGTTGGGTTGAAAGTTTACCGCCAGCACTTCGCCCACTCAACCAGACGGGTCAAAGAAGACCTTTGAAAGCTGCAATAGAGCCTCAGTATGTCAAGAAACAAAGGCTAGCAACCACCATACGTAAGTTTGCTCACGTCTGGATTTTTCAAGTTACTTATTATCAGAGCAAGGTTATCACAACTTGAGAATCCTCTTGTTCGGCCCCCTGTTAATGAAATCTTCGAAAACTGAACACTCGTCCACTATCGACTTACGAAGGAAAGTAACGAATTGCGTCCATTCGGCCAAGCTCACAATAGAAATTATATACGAGACTTACCAGCATCAGGAATTCTTTCGGACCTGGTATCTTTCATCTTTTGTCTCCTTCATGTTGCCAATATGCTAAAAGTCTCGTCACATCGCCGTAGGTATTATAATACGACCTATATCATTTTTGCGGCCTCTATAATATTGGTCTATATATTCCAGGAGGCTGAAGAGAGCGAACTCGATTCTCTTCTCAAGCTGGTAGAAATGGCAGTTGAGATTCTAGAGATCATGGAAGAGTCTGTCGTAACGACCAAAGCGGCGATGCTCATCCGAAGGGCCCTATCAAGGGCTCAACGGAGAAATCCGAAGTCGGGCCATGCTAGTGAAACCACTGAAGACAGCAACCTCTTCCCATTCAACCAGCATTGGGGTGAATTCAGCATGAATAACGATAATTCTGATTTTGGCTTCCCCTTTCAGTTCAAAGATCTGGGAATGGATCATTATTTTGGAGATCTCATGGCATCTCTTGGCTCTCCCTGAAGGCAATAAGACGGTTTTTTGTCCTTCTTTCGCACTTTTCCCCACCTAGTTGACTGCTGTTTGGAGCTTTGTAAAGCCTGGGATATTTGAGATATCACAGACATGCAGATATGATAAATGGCCGGGGTATGGGATCTAGCCACCAATTGGTTCTGATTTGGGTTTGTTCTTGGTGACGAAAATTGGAGATAGCCAATGGCCAAACTATGTACGATGCCACAGGCGGCGACCACTTCAAAGGCAACCGGAACATATATAGCAACGATTATTGTATGAATATAAGAACTTTTACCCTTGTCTTGAGAATTAAAAGACAATTGATATTGCAGATGAACATGCTATATGTCCAGGTAACGAACAGGGAGTTTACAGGCTTCCGATCGCCTGCCCAGAGCTGACAGGCAGGGGGCGAAGAAATCCTTCTAAGACCAGGATGACTGCAGCATCAGTGGAGGTTCCGGTTACGCTTTTCGATTTATACGTACCGGACTCTGGCTCATCTTTTCCGTCGACTTGCTTTACCAGATTTTTCCCTGGTAAGTGCGGGGTCCCCGCAAATCGCAACATCTGCCAGAATTTCTGCCTTTCCATGCAACCCATTCTTTTTTTGGTTCTCACCTTCCGGTGAAGGTTTACCCCCTGCATACCTCTCAGCCCAGGCTATGGGTGGACAGGGTATTAATGTGTGTTTAAAGAGCACCCTTCGGCTCTGAGTATGTTAACTGGATATACAGTCTGAACATAGGCCATTCAGCATGCGGGTGCTGTCCCTCAGCTTTCCTTTCTCCACAATACACGTACGGCCAGGGGAGAGTCCTATGATGACACCCGTTCACTTTTCTTTCTATACACTAGAGCTTGCTAAGCTCAGGCTGTATACTGCATTTAAGGTGATGACATGTTCTGTACATAGGCAGCCACTACTCTAACCCGTCACATAATTCAAGCGTTTCAACGCGGAGGCAAATTATGGCCTTGCACTGCATAATCTTTATATTTCAATATTTCCACCCTCCAGCCATTCCTTTGCTTGCTTGTACAAGAGATCGTGCTTGTCACCAGAAGGTGTCTCCTTATGACGATTGTGACCCGGCATGTCCTTGATGACAGAGACTCCCATCGTTTGCTCTTGACAATATGCAAGAAATTTGTATCCTTCAGGATATGAGGCGAGCTTTGCATCGTCGATTTTGGGCAACTTGGTAGGAGTCACCGGAATAAGTTTGTCCTTCTCATACCAGTGACGGACAAAACGTGCACCCCATCGTCCATCAACCTTTTCGAAGAAAAAGCAAAATCGACAATCACACTCCACGTCAACCTCAGCGCCGCCTATCACAAATCGCTGTGTAATAGTGGCTTTTAGCTTGGTCACTGCCCGTTGGCCGTCTTTAGTAATATCTGTTGTCGTCCCGTGACATCTGTGCATGATGAAAGCACCCTGATCCATGCCGGCTTTCGATATGGCAATAAAATCGGTGAATAACACTTTGCCCGACCATGTGGTGTACAGATAGGCACCCTCGTGAAAGATGGATGCGAAATTCTTCCACTCGCAAGCATCACTGCAAAAGACCGAATTAGTCGAAGTCATCTCCCCAGGCTAGAAGAATTACCGATAACACGGCCACCCCTCAGCGAGTTCCCGCAGCTTCATTCTCTCTAGCAGTAAGTTTTCTGGGCCATTGTTTCGGATAGCGTGTTCGGGCCACCAGCCGTCCGGAAGTGAGTGTAGGTCAGGCATAATGGCGTCTATCGAGGATGTTTGAACTCGCAGTAATTCCTGCCAAATTGAACATCATTTTATACCAGATCTCAACGTCTTACCTACCCCACTTATTTTCCTCTGCTCCGCTCATTTGACTGAGTCAGGAGGGCCTGTTGTAGCGGAAATGCCGCCAAGAGCCCGGAAGCCGGCAATTCCGCGGTATCTGTGCTCGGATATTAGCTTCGTTCCACAGCTCCGGGTCTTTCGGGCCCCGAGCCCGAAATCAAGACAGGAATTTTAAGTCAATACCCGATACTAAACAATCATCTACTAGTACCGCGTTTGCACTTACGCTAATCAAACATGCCCTGCAGTCCATAGGTATTTTCAACCCGCAGATGACATCGATTTCGAATTCCATATAGCCTGAATGTGAAAGCTGTTGCGCGTGAAGTTGCTTTTCAGATGAAGCAAATTAGCTAATCTACACTATGCGGGTCGAAGCACTAAAAAGACCAAAAAGAAAAGAAAAACATACAACAGTTAGGATTCGCATGTGGTCACCCACCATACTACTAACTAACCGGCGTGTGGCTTAAGTACGGCTGAGCGGACGGGAAGCCCTGTTTTCCACACCCTATGGTCGTATGTACGTTTGGTCCCCGGAAAGTGATATCTATAATTCATTTCGCATAACTAAATCCACGGGCGCAAATCCAAACATCGTCCCAAAACAGATCAACCACTTTTGAAACCAAGGGTAAAAAGACCCTCATCCGCTGGATATTTCCTCGTGAAACCCATGGAACCTGCTAACTCCCTGTAAATATTATGACTCAGAGTTGAAGAAAGCGGACGGAATAACCAGTATTTGAAGTATTACATTCCAAGGCTGTGCTCCTTGTAGGACCGTATGACCTTGAAATGTGGTCACTGATTTATGGGTTATCAGTGATGTCATTGACTCGTAGGATATAAATGATTGGCTCCTCTTCATACTAAATCGTTTATGATATGAAACAAAATCTCAATCTGGCTTGCATCTAAGAAGTTGAATCAGAGAAGCACAAAATCAACTCTACAGCGTCCGCTAGAGTCCGCGCGTACTATTTGCAAGAAGTGTCTTTGAATGAAAGAAATGATGTTGTCAAGGTATCATGAATTGAAAAGCACCATACGATCCATTCCGAAAATGAGTACCTACTAATCGTGGCATAGGAATGTTTATCCAGCAGCTCTAAGCATTTTTGGAGTTTGCGGAGGGACCTATATTATGTTTCGGTATTTGTCACCAAACAAAGATGGCTCTCTTATTTCTCATGAAGAACGCCAAGAGGTGCGGGGAGGAGCCAATGGACAGTCCCCATTAGGAACAAGAACTGCAAGGGCACCACGCGGTACGGGTGGTTGACAGTAACACACATACCGTGCTGAAGTATGAAAACTTCAAAATTGATCTTATTTCATACATCATAACCTTTGATTTACAAATAGAACAGACAATGCCCCAAATTGAACCGACAAAATCCATCGATCAGCAGTTTTTAGAGAGGACTTATTCATCGCAAAAATTCGTTGCAATCCTTCGCTCTCATCTCTTGTTTAGAAACAAATTTAAAGACTCTTTCTTGTTGAAGCATATGACGGATCTATAGTGTCATCTCATAGCTGAAACCTAGGGCTACAAAATGTACGTTTTTTAATACGTCGGCACAAATGGTAATATCATCCGGCAATCGCACTCATGATTAGAGGAGCTTTCCTAAGTGGTTCAAATACTTTATATCGTTGATTTCCTTACAGGGTTCAACGATCATGAGATTATTTGGTAAAGCCCTATCAGGACTAATGGCAATAAGAACAGCACCACACTTAAAAAATTAGATCCCTGCCGACTCGTCGTCTCTGAAGCATCCGCCAGTACATTCTCAGCCACAATCTTGGCACTGGAAAGAGCCACTGGAACTCCTGCCCCGGGATGTGTACTTGCACCCACGAAGTATAGCCCCTGGATACCGAAATGCCTGATACTGGGCCTGAAGCTCAAAACGTTGAAGAATGAATGTGAAAGACCAAGAATCGCGCCGCGGTCGAGATTGAACTTCACTTTCCAGCTAGTAGGGGTCTCAATTGATTCTTCGATTATGCTGCCTCGGAAGCCCGAGGCCCCTGTTCGAGATTCTATTGTGTTTAGTACGACGTCCCGGGCATGATTTATTAAATAATTCCAGTCTTGAGGATTCGATGCATCATCGGTAAGATGCCCGACCGGCACTAATACCACAACTGCGTCTTTCCCATTGGGCGCTGCGGTGGGATCAATCCGACTTGGGACATTGACATAGAACGATGGCTCTTCAGGTAGCTGGTGCCGATGGAATATCGCGTCGAAACTCTCCTTGTATTCTTCCGCTAGAAAGACGTTGTGCACTTGTAGCTCCGGAATTATTCTGTCAAAAGACCAGAAAAATGAGATGCTGCTGCAAGATGCCGCGCGCTTCGTCAAACTTCGAGAATAGGAGTTAGGGGGCAGAAGATTGTTGTAGGCATAGACAAGGTCTGCATTAATGATAACAACGTCGGCGAAAATCTCTTCACCTGTGATGAGTCTTACCCCTTGAGCTTTGTTCTCTGGAGTACATATTATCGATGCGACTTCAGTATTTAAGCGGTACTCCACGCCCAGTCGTTTCCCGACATTTGCCAAGCCCTCAAGCACCTATAAGAATGGTTAAATATTTAGGGACTCGGTCAAAACCAGTAAGTTGCTTACCTTTACAAAACCCCCCTCGGGATATAGAATGCCGTGGGCTAACTCGGTGTATTGAAGAAGAGAGTATGTCCCAGGAGCTTCCAAAGGATTCATGCCAAGATACATACTGGCAAATGTGAAGGCACGTCGAAGCTTGTCTGACTTAAAATGCCGCTTTATGCGGCTCCACATACTCTCAAACGGATGCAAGAACGGTAACGAAAACAGAAGTTTTGGGCGAATCATGGCCAAGAGATTAGGAAAATCCTTCGATAAAACGTGTTCCATAGAAAGATCATAATGCTGACCCGACTCTCTCATGAATCGGAACAATTTTTGCAAGCCGTCTTTTCCTTCATATCGTTCTATTTGAGGCTTCATTTTGCAGATGTCTGTCGACGCTTCGAAGTAGTCGTGGTCCGAGAACCATATACGATAGTTGGGTTCACATTTCAGTAGTCGTAAACCCTCATCTTCAGGCGAAGTACCAAGATCCTCGAAAGCCCGGCGAAATACCTCTGGCATCAGTAAAAGGGATGGGCCTTGGTCGAATCTCTAGATACGGTCAGGGCAATGGCACAGCTAGGGGGAAATATTTTGACACACATATTCCCCATGACGAACAAGAGAGCATCGACCTCCAACAAAGCTATTCTTTTCGACAACCGTGACCTTGTAGCCGGCTTTGGCTAGGCGTGCAGCCGTAGCGATTCCGCCGGCTCCAGCCCCTAGATTGCGTAAGTGAATGTTCGACTAGACAACAACACCATTATACTCACCCACAACGATAGCGTTTGGGGTTTCCATCTTGCGGTGCTGAGCGTAGATCCAGTTCAAAACACCATTTGATCACCAAAGCAAGAAATATGACTCAAATCAGGCTTACTCTCGCCCTTGCCAGGTAACAACCTTCCGTCATCAATTGTAATGATTGATACGACCATACCCGGACCCACACAACCCGATCTGGACAGTGCAGTGTATCTCGAAAATCTCGACCGCTCTGCAGGACAGAGCCCGAGGGCACATACCACTAAAACAGAGTTCAAACGCACGGAATCCGGTTATTGCACCTGCAGCTAGAGGCGAACATTGGTTGTAGCACTGGCCCCCTGCCCTCGGCTAGCAAGGAGTGAATTCACCGAGGGTTTAGATTCAGCGCAAATCTAAATTTAGGGAGTTCCCAAAAGTCTCTTTGTGATATGAGCAGTCTAACAATACCATCCTTGTATCTACCTCCAGTATATTATACCTTCATTTTTTCAAATTTCTTCGTTTTCCCATTGCGCAAGCGAAGGCCTCTCGCGCTCATTGTATTTCATCAATCTCCTTTAAAATATCCCAGTATTTCTTTATTTCTTATTACTATACATCCCAGGACGGCAAACTTGTATCGTGAGTTGACTAGTGTAGTAAGGTAGGGCAGGGAACAGCTGCCTCCGGAACAGAGCCTACCTTCAGATCTAGGTTCGTCACGGGGGCAGTGGAAGACTAGAAAAGGGGACCCGGGAGTGGCTCAAGAAGAAAAAAATCATCTAAATTGATTCTGTCTGCAAGAATAAGTCCATTAGTATACGTGTCCTGCGAAGTCATAGGTACCTGGCATCGCTGGTAAATTTGACTTTCATTCTATACTAGCTATATATATATTCAGTCATTCATCCGGAATAATGGCTAACATTCATTTCCCACCACGCTAGCCTCAGCCTTCGCCACAAAGGCACTTTCAGCTTCCCTTCCTCCTTGACCCCAGCCTGGCGCCTCTTGCGAACCATCTCCCCAATTATCATGTAGCTCTCAACTGTTGTCTTGATAGGCCCTCGTACCTTCTTAGGTAGTTTACCAATGGCCTTCACGCTCTGCCCATATGCGTCGCTCGCTTTGCGCAGCATGCGATCTTCGAAGACGGCAAGTTTGTCATTGTCTGGATTCGCTAGCACATCGCTCGGAGTCATCCCTTCCTCTGCCAGCCATGAAGACGGAATATAAACTCGGCTGATTGCGGCATCTCGTTTGATGTCTCGCGCAATATTGACGTACTGTAAAGCCTGTCCCATTTGCTGACCAGATTGAATAATTTCGGTTTGTTCAGCTTGGCTATATCTTCTTTCGCCAAATTTGTAGTTATGGAGTACCAATTCAAGCAGAGACGATGCGACCGTACCGGCGACACAGTGAGCGTAGATTTCCAAGTCCGATTCAGTCGCAATTGGAAATTCCTGGTTTTTAACAGAAAACCTAAGATCCATTTCGAACCCAGACAAGAGTTCTAGCAGTGGCTTTATGGTGAGACGAGAAGTGGGCAGTAGCGATATAGAGGAAAGTAGAGGGGATAGATCATTCGTCTGTCCATGGCTCCCTTCGACATCAACGTATCCGTAAAGAGGCTCCGAGGGCCGTTTAGTTGAAAAGCACCAGTTTAAAACTTGAGATGCTTCCTTAATATTTGCCTGCGCTGTTTCATGATCTGGGGCTTCGTCGACTAGATCGTCTATCACACGACAAAAAGAGTATCTGTGACCTAGTTAATAAATTTATAATGATGGATCGGGATTGGGCCATCTCATACAGCATGATAAGGTCAACGCGAAGCCTATCGGAGAACATCGCGCTGCCTAGATACATGGTTTGGCTCTTTTGGGATAGTTTTTTAATGGCTGCGTTCAACCCTTTGAGAAACGGAGTGTCGAAGCACCTTCTTTGGCTGGTCATGTATGACCAGAATATCCGAAAAAATGAAGGTCGATGGCTGTCAGCCAAATTGCAGATTATCATATCGTACTCGGCTATCGCAAGAGCATGATCGATAGTCTCCATACCGAATACAATCATCATGTTGGTCATGAGGAAAAAAAGCGCTTCTCTTTAAAAGATATGGATGTAAGCGACATCCCCGACACAGGTCACATCTATACTTACTCCAGGTCCAGTGTTCCCCCAAGGCGTATATCCAGTTTCGTTCCACGTTCAATCACCCATGTGCCACGTTGGAGCGAGAAAAAGTCGACGATCCAGAGATATAAAGTTGGCAGGAATATGGAAATGATAATTGGTTTTTTGGGCAATGAAGTAAGGAAATTCCCGCAAAGAAGCCTAGCGATCAGCCTAGTAAGCATTTCCACCATTCGAGTAGCAGTCATCATAGCCTCACCATTGAAAGATCAATACCGGAAGAGTCCATACTAGGATCAAGCTGAGATACTTCAGATGGCTTTCAAGTAGCATGCACGTAATACCAACGCCGGTTCCCGCCACCAACGCTGCAGGACCAAATACACTGGTGAAATCGCCCTTGCTCGGCAGCAAATATGCCGGGAGCACCAGATTCTTTGTCAGGATTATATAAAGCAAGCTCGTGATATATGTCTGAATGACGAAAAAGAATATCTCCTCTAATGGAATGTCGAATATTGTATACCCGACAATCGCATCGGCTGGATAGGACCAGATACGATTGCGAATCAAATACGAGTCCCATGGTATGGTGCAAGAAACCGCAATCTAAACTCGTCAATAGTCATTCTCAAAACAAGGAGATGAACCTGACAATGGTCAAAATTGATATTCTGGCTATATCCAGTCGTGAGAAGAACGGCCAATAGGCTGTTGTGAGTAGCGCCGCAGGCGGGAGCGTCCAGGTCAAATGGCTACAAGGATTGTTCAGTCCAACTTCGAAATTCATCACGTGTTTCGCATGACATACACCAACCAATAGTCAAACCCCATTATGCCGAATGCTGGTTGTGAGGTACTTTTATAAACATTTGCCGACCAAACACAGGCATTCAGAGTGAATGTAGGAGTGGGAAGAGAGAACGACCTCTTGCTGTGAATGAGAGGTCGAGTAATTTCGACTAGAGATTGACCAATCAGGATGACGGAAGGAAGCTAGGAAATTTGTTGTATTGAAGGCCCTTGATTTGGGGAGACTTGGAAGGGAGACTTGGAATGAATATTGTACGGTTCCAGTTAGGATCAAGGGATACGTTTTACGATTTCCGCTGCAGAATGCCGCGTGTAACTACATTACCCGGAGTAATGTAATGGCGCCAGCAACCAGAAGCAAACCAATCGCTCTGGCTCGATCGATACATGGCCCAGGTTGAAATGATCGGTTAGAACCCGGAAAGCTTGAGCGATAGCTCTAGTTGCAAACTTGATAAATTGCGCTAGCATGCATCCCGGGCTTAGCCAAACACCTGTAACCTTGCAAAGATGCAGTGTAATTTATTTCAAATTAGCAAATAACAGTGTAACTTCGGGTTTTGGCATTTTCCAAGGTCGGTGACAGAACCTAGTGTATAGTATGGGAGCCATGACTGCATGTAAGACGAATAAATCAGGGAAATTGTGTCTTATCGCTGGTGTTCTTCCGCTGCTCCCGGTTGGTTGATCGATCGATCGATCGATCAAAGACTAATATCTGTACCTCTGACAAAGCAACCCAGAAAAACTCATGGAAGAGATTATTCGATCTAATTCTTGCCTCCGGAGCTTTGAAAATGTTAGGTCAGGTGACCGCAACAACCATATCCTCTCTCTCTAGATAGACTCAGAGTCTCTCTTCTCCATACCACACAATCATATCATTCTGATACACACGTTACATCTCGCACGTTCGTAGAGAACACATAGCGAAATGTCAAGGGGAAGGGTTAAATACATAATCTTAGGAGTTGCTGGCCAAAGCTGCCCCGATGATAATGAAAATGAAAATAGAAAATAAAATGCCCTTGCATGACGATTGAGTGAAAACACCCCATATGAAAAAACATGAAAAAGCATTTCTGCTTTGGGCGTTAGAAGACTCCCAGGGAACAGACACTTTCAGATCTTCCAAGACTCGATCCGCAGTGAGCTTTGCACCCGCAAGGCAGGTCGGAACTCCAGCTCCAGGATGTGTGCTGGCGCCAACGAAATACACGCCAGCAACTCTATCGTGTTTAATCTTTGGTCGAAAAGAGAGTATGTTGAATAAACTGTGGTCGAGGCCAAATATTCCGCCTTTCTCGGAGTTGAAATGTTCTTGCCATGTCGATGGCGTGTTCACACTCTCATGATCAATGAGCTTCTTGAATCCTGTGGTCCCCGTTCGCCTCTCAATAGAAGAGATCACATGGTCACGCGCGTAGGATACCAGAGTTGAATCATCAAACCCTTCTCGGCAAGGGTCTGCATCTCCTAAATTCTCGACCAAAACAAGAGCGATGACCGCATCCTTCCCTGCTGGTGCAGCTGTTGGGTCTATCCTCGAAGGAACATGGACATAAAAAGAGGGCTTCGCCGGTGAAATGCGCTCCATATATACAGGCATAGATCGCCGTCCAAATGAACTTTCGACGAACATGTTGTGGGTCTCCAACTGGGGGAACGTTTTCGAAAGCGACCAGTAAAAGGATATGCTGCTGCAAGAGACGTTCTTGGAGCGACTTAATTCATCCGATGTTGATGGGACGGATGGGAGAAGCTCTTTGCAGGCGTAACTAAAATCGGCATTGATGACAACAGCATCGGCTTCAATAAATGTGCTCGATTCCAGAGAGACACCCAAAGCTTTTCCACAAGACACAGTCACAGTTTCTACTGGACGTGAAAAATGATATTTTACACCGAGCCTTGTGCCAATCTGCAGTAGTTTTTCAACCACCTTGGAATCTTAGCTTGGCCCTCAAGATATACAGATAGAGACTCACTTCTTGAAACCCACCTACAGGGTACCATATGCCACCTACCAACTCGGCATATTGGAGGAGTGTGTAAGTACCTGGGATCTCAAGAGGCGACATCCCAAGATACATGCTTCCAAGGCTAAAGGCTTGACGGAGCTTGTGTGATCTGAAAAAGCTGGAGACCCTTTGCCAAACAGTTTGAAAGGGATGTAGTTGAAATAGATAAGGCAAAAATGCGGGTCTTAGAAGCGAAGAAAAGCCTGGGAAGTCTTTTTTCAACACATGGATCACACTCTGCTGATAATGTTGATGACACTCTTCGAGAAATGCAATGAAACGCCTAACCCCGCCGGGTCCTTCAATTCTCTCAATTTCACACTTCATGTGCGCAATATCGGTGGAAGTCGTGAAGTGTTCCCCGTCCTCAAACCATACCTTGCAGTTTGGCTCACATTTACGAAGTTGTATTTCTTCTCGAAACATTGATGTTCCCAGATGCTGAAAGGTTTCCTCAAAAATTTCGAGCATCAGCATGATCGAAGGTCCTCGATCAAAGCGCTGGGATAAATGTCAGCGAAAGTTTCAAGGTGGAGGCTTCAAGAATCTAACATAGCCATTATGAACAATGTTACTGCATTTCCCGCCATAGAAGTCATTTTTCTCGTACACTGACACTTGTAATCCAGCTTTAGCTAGTCGGGCGGCTGTTGCGATGCCTCCAACTCCAGCTCCTGGAACATAATTGATGTCAGCTTGATAGGCACATCTGAACTGGACATTTAGGTCCGTACCAACGACAACTACCCTTTTATTCTTCTCCTTTACTCCCTCCATGATCATCTCGGCCCAATGAATGTGTCCCCTAGATGCTCCGTGGATCCAAGACTGCTTTAAGTAAAGTATTCAAGTTCGCGATATGAATGACAAGAACCTGAAGCCGTGACACGTATAACCATATGGAGTCTAAATGGATGTAACGATAAATAATGTATACCCGTGTTTTCCCCGATCTGGATTCGAAAATTTAGAGACGATCTCGGGAAATAAGATCTCCCTGTCTTAGATTCTTGGCAAAAACACGTTCCACTAACAAGTGGCCCTTCTCGTTTTCGTATCTTTCTCCCTGGGTTCAATCAACGTTCCAGGTTTTTGGCTTCATGATGCGCGTCAAATGCATCTTCATCGATCCCACGATTGACCAATGGCAAGCAATCGCTTGATTAAAAAGTCCCGATCAATTTGCAATCTTACCCAACCACTTCCAGGATTTTTGAAGTAAAGTTGTGATGGTATTGTTCGCGACACTCTGGGCGTCATGAATGTGACGTCATCACTCCCGCTAACTGCCACTTACCTTCAATGTTTTGCACATTGCCCAACACGGGAAATGAAGACATGCACATGCGGAAAGTTGCACACAGTACCACGGGGCGAATTCCGGTTTCTCTATGCCTGCTTCAAATTAGAGAGCCAGTTGAAATCGCTTTGGGGCCAGAGAAGGTAAAATGACAGTCACCTCTAAGTGCCCCAGTCCCTTCAGCCAGCCCCAAGAACCCAAAATCTAGAAATGTTTTGGAAGACAAGCTTAGAAGGTGAAGGAACTCTGAAAGGTAATTTTGCACCCATTCAACGTCAACGCAATTTGGAGCTATGCACATACTATGGGACCATTCCCGTTGAGCTCCATGGTGGCCAGTATGTTCGAAACGGTGGGAATCCGACCTTTGGGGACAACTTCACCGGCCACGTACACATGTTTGATGGTGACGGGATGCTCGCTGGCGTTCTGTTCCGAACAACGGAACAACGCGGAAAAATTGAGCCTTGTTTTGTCAATAAGTATATCTTAACCGACGTCTATCTTGCTACAAAGTCGATGCCATGGACGCGTTCACCGATATTGCCAAGTATGGCGACCTTAATCAACCCATTGACCTCTACACTATCGACATTCTACCAACTTTGCCGGTTCTTGATTCTCATCATTTGGTCTCACTTGAACGGCCACGGTCCCCCAGTGCGCAAAATTAGTGTTGCGAATACGGCGATCGTGTACCATGACAAGAAGACACTTGCGACTTGTCAGACTGGACCACCGATGAGGGTGCAGTTGCCGAATTTGGAGACTGTCGAATGGTTTAATGGAAGCTCTACCGACTATCAGAACACCACCCCTGGTTCTAGTGAAAATTTACTCGGTCGCAGTGGGTTACTCGGGTTTTTGAAAGATTGGACCACCGCGCACGTTAGTGATAATACGAAAGGAAATTGGATAAAATTGCTAATACGAAAATAGCCACACATCGACCGAATCACCGGCGATCTCATTTCATTTCAGTCATCATTTCTACCTCCGTTCGTCTGGTATTCTGTCATTCCCGGCGGAAAGAAAGAAAAGTCTCAAAATCCAGCCTTACATGCTGCCATCTCAGGAATTTCGAGTCCGAAATTGATGCATGACTTTGGCGTTTCGCTCAAACATACAGTCATTCTAGATCTACCAATGTCATTAGACCCCATCAATATGCTAAGGGGGAGACCGATAGTTCATTTTGATCAAAACTCGCGATCGCGATTCGGCATTCTCCCCCGCCATGATCCTGCTCTACTTCGATGGTTTGAAACAGAACCCTGCTTTATCTTCCATACTGCTAGCACTTGGGATGAAATTCCGAGCAAGTCTACTAGAGACGACCAAGTGGAAGCAGTCAATATGGTCGCATGTCGCTACACTGGTGTCGACATGCTATACTCTATGGCCTCTATCGATATAGACTTGGTTCCTCTCTCCAAGGGACAAGGAAGTGACAGCCGGCTATACTACTACAGATTCTTACTGTCGGATCACACTCAAAACTCTATTACCCACCAATGGGCGTTGTCTGCTATCCCTATTGAAATGCCGGTTGTTTCACCCTCTACGAATACACCGAAATTTGTTTATGGGTGTTCTTCAAAAAGTAAAATGTTTGGATCCAGTACAGGCGAGCCAATGAATATTGATTGCCTTGTCAAAGTTAATATCAACATCTTGATACAGCAGGGAATCGAGAAAGGAACAAAGGCTGTGGATGGTTGCGTTGATGAGAGACAGATTGGCGAAATACTACAAAGCGAGGACACTGAAGATTGCATCAAGGTGTTTCAAGCCCCGGAAGGGTGGTGCGCTCAGGAGCCGTGTTTCGTTCCTCGAAGCCACGCTCGATCTGAAGACGATGGATACATCTTGACTATCATGTTTGATGAAGCCCAGCTGGATAAGAATGGAAGAGCTCTGGAAGATGCCAAGAGCGAATTGTGGATCATTGAAGCGCTCGATATGAGAACTGTGGTAGCGAGGATCTTCCTTCCGCAAAGGGTGCCGTATGGATTCCATGGCAACTGGTTTACTCGTGAGCAGATCAGGATGCAAAAACCATATAAATCTTTGCGCAAAGACCAGTGGCCTGTTTTATAAGCTCATGAAAAAAACCCTCAAATAAATTGAGCCTACTTCATTTTGGCTGAGTGTAGACCATTATGGGATTTGAATATAAATCTCATCTGATTTTCTAGAAATTAGGAGTCCCAGCACGTGGCTACTTTTAAGGGAACGGGAAACTTCTGACAATGGGTAATATTATTTTAAACGCCCATTATTCCTAATGCTTGCATCAAATGAAATTATGCAACGTGATATATATGACGCTCGTCTTAAGTGGTTTTCGGATATTTTTCTACACCAGTATATATTCCAAATCGACAGTCAAGAGAGGAACGCTCGTTGACAGCGCAGTGCAGTGCAGGTTGTACGAGAAAATGGGGCAATCACCTTTTAGGATAGGATCAGAAGGTGTGGAATGACCTTGGAAGGCTAACTCTGCTATTTGTAGGGACATATCAGGGTACTCAAAAGGAATAATACCAGTCGGTGAATAATAATCCTGCTCCATCACGTATTAAGTAGTGGGGGAGGGGCTCCCTTGTACATTATCCAGAAAACTTACAATAGACCAACTCAAGGGCCTTGGACTACTAATTTATATCTTCTTTTTAGAATTCAACTTAGAGGAAGTTAAAAAGCATGAGATTATTACCCTAGCCCCAATTGCCACTTCTAAATGAGAATTTTGGTCCCGTTCTCATTCTATCTCAGCCAATTCACAAATAAGGTCAAATCTGTTGGTAAAAAAAAACATACAAATGTCTAAGGTTGTGGTCACCTAGCGCCCACGGATCGGGCGTGGGCGGCTCGCTGCTCTGTTCAGCCCTCCTTATTGCAGTCCGGGCAGATATTCACCTACCTGAATATTCTTCACCTGAAGATTTAGCCCGTGCAGGAAAGGTATGTTTGGGTAATTTGGACTAAAATCCCCGTAAAGCTTTCGCTTTTCTTCTTCCCTCTCTAAGTAGACACTATCAATTGAGTAAAATATGTATAAAGCATAATCCTATACTAGCTTATATAAGCTATATTATTGACTTTAGAGAATATAATAATGATAAAATCTAGAGTAGTATTGCTAGGCTTCGGCAAATAGGTTGGGCCCGATGGGTTGGGTTAACGGGAGCACGCACGGTGGACTAGTAGGCTGGTGAAGAATGATAATAAGTAGTAGATTACCATTAGTGATAGAGTATAATATTAGGCCTATAGGCGGGCTATGTTAAGGTCTACTCCGATCATTTAAATTCCTATGGTACGAATTATAAATCCATTTCCTAGATACCTCTTCTTTTAAATCTACGAACACATCGCCGATGTTTTCCACGAGTTAAAGTTTCTGGTAGTGTGCCAACCAAACTACAGGTACATTTCACGGCTTGGCAAGTGAAGATAATTCCATCGCTATAAATCATTCCACTTTTAAAGATTCACATTTGGTAATGGTGTTGCTGGGATGGAATGTAATTCACCAGTCTAGGGACCAAATCTCTAGCAATCGGTATCGCGTATCACAACCTTAAAGCTCTTAGGGCTATCCAAATCAAGGCAGGTAACGCTTCCTCCATTAACACTTGTGAGCAAAGTACCACCGCAGTCTGTTTCCTCATAAAGACACAATTTGAACTCTCCCCCTCCGTTGAATGTGTACCGAGTACAACCGGCCGCGGCAATCGATGCGCAGGCATGCTTGGAGGAACTTCCACCTGACGTGTTACCTGTTCCCCTGCACGCTTTGGAGGCGGAATAGCAGTTAAATGACCATGTGGTCTGCAGCAAGGTGGAGTCAGAGATCAAGTTGGCGCTGGTAGTGTTTGACTGCTCTGACAATGGGAACGCTTGGGTGATTCCAAAGAGCGCGCTGGAAGCGAGGAGGGAATGGATCAAAGGTCCTCCACCATTGAGTAGCCCTTCATGATTGATTCCGGTGAACCAAGCCATGATTTGAAAAGATCACCAAAAGCTTCAATGTCAGTTGTAGGAGCGGTATAGCTAATGCTGAGGCTATCGCGTGATGTCTCTGTGATATCGGGATGGATCTCTCTGAGGGAGTTTTCGATGTAATAAATGTCTTCAGGAGAGGGGACTCGCTTGAGTGTCAAGGTGACTTTCATGGCTTAGGAAGCAGTCTGTCGACAGTTTATATTTTGAGAAGCTAGTAAGTGGATTGAATCAATATAGGAGATTATGATGAGGTGGATATGTGCTCTGCTTTCGCATCTGGGAATCTGAGATACGATAGGTAACTCGCGCCTGTACATCTTCTTGGGGGCTGCTTTGACGACAAGGATTGGGGCTGCATCGGGACTGCGTCGGGGCTGCGTCGGGCCGCGTCGGGCCGCGTCGGGGCTGCATGGGGGCTGAGTGATGGCCCAGATGAGATAGCGCGATAGACCGGCATTGGTCGAAGATGATAGATATTGCCAATGCACCCGAGTCAGCGACGACGTTTCGAGTTGCTCAAATTGGGTAGTAATAGTAGTAGAATTCGTTTGCCTGATCTAGCTTGCCTCTAGTAATGGCCACTATGCGGGGGTGCTGCCGGGCCTGCCCAGCTACGAAAAAGGTGCGCTGCACCTAGTGAAGAGGGGAACGCTCTAAGGCAGCATACTCGGAGATGTGCTGGTCGATTCAGCAGCACAAAACACCACATAAGCTTACGCAGGTTACTCGAGATACCCAGAGCTATCTATAATCTATAGGGATTATATGAGAGGAGTGTAGAAACGTGTATTCCAAAGACTATCTCGAGATGCCAGATATACAATTCGATCCTTGTATCGAAACTTAGGGTATCCATACCGGTCGGATCAACCTGCTATCTTGTAATATGAGTTGCGGTGGTTACCCACTTCACTAGGTAGCATTAGCCTTTAGGTTAATAGAAAACCATCACCATCATTATCATATAGTAAGATGAGTGACCATTATAGCCCCCTATTCTAACAGGCTCTCGAATAAGGACTTGTCTAGTCCTAGCAATGTCCCCCGCACCATGGAGGCTGATCCTGAATCTCAGGATCGCGAAGCGACAGTCGAAACTCCCAGGGCTTTAGCGTGTGCAGGGAGTTTGGGTGAAGAATATAGGGGCTTCAGGGTAATCAGGTGAAGGACCGAAGGATAGGCAACATCGCTTTCGTCATCCAAGTCCTTAACGTAATTCCCGGTCCAGTCGCCCACCCGGTCGGCCCGCCCACCCCAACCAACATATTAGAATTCAATCTAGAATAATTCAACCATATCCACATAATATTGAATATATAAGCTATCTAGCCAAATTTGGGCAATGCGTTATCTTATGCCCTCGAATTCCACATTTAGAACACTTTGGTGGAGCTCGACGTCGTGGTTCTTGAGCTTGATTTTGACCGGTTGGCTCTCCATCTTGAGGTTGAATTTGCGGAATTTCAACCTTTTGGGCTAATTCTTTGAGCTCTGCTACTGATAGACCTTCTGGATGAGCTATCTGCTGCTTTGATATTGCCATTTTCTTCTTCTTTTTCTCCATTCCGGCACGTAAGAGCTCATTTTCTCGAGTAAGAAAAGCGTTCCTTTGCAGCTCTATTTGGAAGCCTTTATATATCTGATCTAGACCAGTTTTCACAAGATTTGGTGGGCTCTTAGATAAGAGCTTTCGAATTGAAGAAGCTTGTTTCTGGAGTTGTTTTGAATTTGATGGTGTTCTTGGTTCCCACGCGCTGCTTTGGCTGCCTTGAGATGCTGGTGGTGGTGGTGTAGGTGTATAAAGTCGAATATTAAGCTTTGAAATCACTCGATCTGGATTATATGGAACTAATCCTGTTGCTAAGAAGCTATTTTTGATAGTTTCTGGCTTGAATGCCTCGTTTCGGGCGGTTGGAAAAGCGTTAAGGAAGTCTAACTTGTCGATATGGTTCACTCCATCCCGCATAAGATTTTCAACAATTCGACCGTACGCGCGCTTTAAAACGGCAAAACAACCCACATCAAGAGGTTGTAAAAGATGAGAAGAGTGCGGTGGCATACAAATTGGAATCACGTCGTTTTGATGGCAAAGTTCATCAAATTTTGGAGTTAAATGACTTCCATGACCGTCAAGAACTAAAAGTCGATATTTCCCCTTCATCCTTGGAAAAGTTAAGGGAAGAAAGACCTTTTTAAGCCAACGAAGTCCAATTTCGTCCGTAGTCCATCCATTCGCGCTAACTTTAAAATGCCAATCGTCCGGAAGGTCATTAGCCCAACCTACGATGAAGACTTTGCCTTTGAAGATAACCGTTGGAGGGAGGCTAAACCCAGACGCGCCCGTAGACTCGATTGAGGTTACCCATTCACGATTTCCAGGTTGTAAAAGAGAGCGCCGACCGTAATATTCCGCTCTCGTTATAACCTTTGCGGTCGCGGTTAAGCCCATCGCGAAACCGGTCTCGTCAAAGTTATAGATATCATCTTCGTGGATACCATTCTCTTGAATCGTCTTTTGAACCAGATTAAACCATTCCATAATGATTTTAGGGTCCTCGCATTTCGCTCGTTCGTAATTATAGCGTCTTGAGAACCGTGTATCGAGTTCTGGGTGTCGTTTAACGTAAGTTGAGACCCAATTTTTGCCAACGGTTTGAATCGGGGTTATTCCACGCGTCGCGAGTAAGAGATTAGCCATTTCTTGCACCATACTAGGTCGGGGTGCCGCTCCACGTATATCCATAGAGATTATCCAATTCTTTAGTGAATTCTCCTCAATTTCAGTCAATTTAAAGGAATTTGAGCGGAATTCAACGCGGTTTTCAATTCCATTAAGCCGACCTCGTAGTGTTGAACGTGGGATATCATATATGCGTGCTGCCTCGCGAATTGTCAATTTTTCCTGCTTTTTAAGAGCCTGGATAGCAAGTAATATCCGGCCCTCTTGTTCTGTCAATTTTTGACGATTTTGAGCGCGAATTGGTGGCATGGTGGTTGGTTGAATAAGAAAGGTTGAATTAATTGACGCGTTTTGGTTGGGGTGGGCGGGCCGACCGGGTGGGCGACTGGACCGGGAATTACGTTATCTCACTCCATTTTACCCCAGAAACCCCAGAAAAGGCCCTTATCTCCCGATCACATGACAGCAGGTGCCCATAGGATCAGTGCTTACCACCGCTACTTCCTTCTCTCCTGTAATACTTATATTCATGTTAAATTCATTCATATCGTTCCGTTCCTTTGTTGCAGCTACGTCTCTGGCCAATCTTCAAGGCGCAAGCTGGCTATTTCCATGTCACAGTCACATCTATCTTCAAACCTTGCCAGTTCCGGTCTAAATTTCGACAGCAATGGCCTTCAATTCCACTTCGGAGAACGCGTTCGGGCCCGTTAGCCACCTGAGGCCGTTTGACTTTACTGTCACCTTCGAGCAGGCTATACTGTCGATCATTCCTTCGACAATCCTACTACTGGCTGGACCACCCAGACTATTCCACCTGTCTCGTTGTGAACGAAAGACGCGATCCAAGCATGGCTATCTTTTGAAGTTGGTCAGAAACACTTGTCATCAAAGATTTTCTGCACTTTGAGCTGCAACTGACGATATAAAAGGTCGCCTCTTCAATCAATTTCGCCCTCCAACTATCCCTCCTGGTGCTTTGGAGCGTATCGGTAGCGTCGCGGACGTCGACTAGCATCCCATCTGCTGCTCTAGGCCTCGCCAGTTCTACTATCATCATTGGACTGTCCTGTGTCGAAGATACAAAGTCAACAAGTCCCTCTTCTCTGTTGACTATATACCTGCTTTTCTCGATTCTTTTCGATGCGACACAGGTACGGACACTATGGTTTACACATCGAGTGTCCATTGCAGCTGTACAGAGTGCGGTCCTTGGGATCAAAATTGCTATGCTTTTATTGGAAAACCGAGAGAAAACGTCTTATCTGAAGTCCCCCTATAAAGAGTATCCGCCCGAGGCAACCCGGGGCATTGTTAATCTGAGCTTTGTCTGGTGGCTGAATCGGCTCTTTCTGGCTGGGTATCGGAAGATCATTGGGAGTCAAGACCTTTTCGCTCTAGAGCCTGGCCTAAGCTCTGGTAGTACAGGTGAAAGGCTGAAAAGAGCGTGGGAGAAGCATGGTCTGACATACTCTCTGAAGTTGGGGAAGTCGTACGCTGACACGCCCCAGGTAAAACGGAAAACATGCTTTCCTTGCCCTGGGCTTTCATCTGTTCTTTTTGATGGGAATTTCTCGCTGTGGCCTTCCCTCGGCTGTGTATGATTGGGTTCACTTTCGCCCAACCATTCATGATTACGGCAGTTTTGGTTTACGTAGAAGACCCAATCACACCAGAGAGCCGGAATCGTGGATACAGCCTTATCGGAGCCGCTTTTTTGATTTACCCTGGGCTGGCGGTACGATGCATGCCTTTTTGTCGCATTTCATTAGCCACTAATCAAAGTACTAGCTTCCCAACGTTCACTACAGACATCGGTTTTCCAGAGTTAGCACTTTGTTCCGTGGCACAATGATATCATTGATCCATGATAGGACCTTGACACTCCAGGATAACCTCTTTGTGGAAAACACAGCTCTCACTTTGATGAGTACAGGTAAGTGAGAGGCACATGTTTGTCTGTCTGAGGACATCGGACCGAAATTATGCAATGCTAATCAGCACCAAAAAGACATTGACGGCATTATTGAGCATCTGGAAAACTTCAATGACGTCTGGGCTCGCACAATTGAAGTGGCAATTGGTACATGGCTTCTTGAAAGACAAGTGGGTGCGACTTGCGTGGTTCCATTGATTCTAACTCTAGGTAAGCAGCAGGCCCTGCACCAAAGAATGCGCAGCATCTGTACTTATGTCTTGAAACAGCATGTCTGGGTGGTCAGAAGCTGGTAGCGAAGACAATCGGAGAGAACCAGCAAAATTGGAATCTTGAAATCCAGAAGAGAATTCAAAATACATCCTCTGTACTGGGCTCTATCAAAACTACCAAGATTTCAGGGTTTTCTGGCAAGCTATCCCAAGCCCTGCAGGGGCGCCGCGAACGAGAACTCTTTGTATCTCGCGCTTTCTTCAGGGGAATTATGTGGTTAAACGGTCTAGGTCAGACAATCTATCTTTGAATGTTTACGTTGTTCCCTCCCTGATATCCATCAGCAAGTGTGCCTCGAATTTGGTCGCCTGTCATCACTTTCATTGTTTACGCAGTACAAGCACAAACAAAGACTGATGACTCCCTCACTACGGTGAAGGCCTTCACTGCTCTGAGTATTATTACCCTCGTCACTACGCCGGCAGAAAAGCTACTCGCTGTCTTGCCCCAACTAGCAGCTGCCATGGGATGCTTCCAGCGGATTCACGAATACATGGTATCTGAACCAGTGAAAGATAGCCGAATTGGCATGGAGGAATTTCGACCGATTACCTCGGTTAAAGCCGAGCCGGAAGTTGCCATTGGCTTGGACAGCGTGACCGTCATGCCCTCACAAAAGGCTGCATCTACCGCCCTTAATGACATGTCTTTCGAAGTCACCAGAGGCAGCCTGATGATTGTTATTGGTCCTGTTGGCTCGGGTAAAACGACATTGTTGAGAACCATTCTAGGGGAGCTTGGTTGCCTATCGGGCTCCGTGTCTATCAAACCGAGCAGAGTATCCTATTGCAGCCAGAATCCATGGTTGCTCAATACGACAATCAAGAAAAGCATCACCGGTATCTCAGACGGCGAGGTCGACGAGAAGTGGTACAAAACTGTCATATATTCATGCTGCTTAGATGAGGACATTCGTCGTTGGCCTAACGGTGACCAAAGTGAGATTGGAAGTAAAGGTCTTGCCCTTTCGGGGGGTCAAAAGCAGAGAGTGGTATGCAGATTTCCCAGGATGTGTGTCACCTTGACAAATGCTGATGGCTGTTCCAGGTTCTAGCTCGTTCTGTATACAGTCGCAATGATATAGCATTGCTTGACGATGTCATGAGTGCGTTGGATGCGCAAACGCAAGAAATGATCATTCAACGACTCCTCTCTCGTGACGGGATATTTCGCAGGCTGGGCACAACTGTGGTCCTGACCACTCACAATTGTATCTCGTCCTTCAGATCTTACGAGGATTAAATGCTGACTGTCGATATTTCTGACCACAGCTCGGCTCCTCGAATTTGCAGATAGTATAGTCTCTCTCACTTCAGACGGTCGAGTCGACCTCCAAACAACAGGCATTGAGGGCATTCGCAACAAGAAATTCTGGCAGGCTAGACAACCTTCAGATCCACATTTCCAGAATGACCTCAACGAAAAACTGAACGAGCATTCGGACATAACTGATTCGAGCCCCGACCCTATTAGTGATATCGAAGATATGGATCGAACTCGACAGATCGGAGATTTCTCAGTGTATTCCTACTACGCGAGAACAGTCGGCCCTGTGCTTTGCGTCGTGTTTCTTGTTGGACATTCCCTCTTAGCATTTGGTGAGAACTTTCCTCAAGTGTGGCTGAGCAGATGGACTACGGCAGGAGGCGGACATCTCCCTCTGTATGTACCCGTTTATGTGGTTTTGGCACTGGCAGCATCACTTCTTACCATTTACTGCATATGGCTCGTCTTCATTAAGCTGATGCCCAAATCGGCCATTCGCTTGCAATGGTTACTTTTGGCCGCCACTGATAATGGCACAATCCTGAATCGCTTTAGTCAGGATATGACCTTGATAGATTTGGCCCTTCCAATTGCGGTGATGTCTTCCGCGGAGGCAATTTTTGGATGTATCGCCACCATTGGTCTGATCGCCACAGGATCTGCTTTCATGGCGACAACAATACCCGCCACGCTGGTCGTGCTCTATTTTTTGCAAGAGGTTTATCTGAAGACAAGTCGCCAACTACGATATCTCGATCTAGAGTCTAGAAGCCCATTGTACTCACACTTTGCTGAGGTCCTCGAAGGTCTGCCGACGATTCGGGCCTTTGGCTGGCAAGACGCCTCATCAAAGATTCTAACTCAGCATCTTGACAAGTCTCAAACGCCGTACTACATGCTTCTATGTGCGCAACGCTGGTTGAATTTAGTCTTGGACATCGTGGTGATGGTATTGGCAACCGTTGTGGTAACGCTAGCTGTTGAGCTGCGTAGCAGCACAAACTCGGGCCTCCTCGGCATCGCGTTGAACAATATTCTTGGATTCAACCAACTATTATCATACTTCATCATATCATGGACCACTCTTGAGACCTCGCTCGGAGCGATAGCCCGTGTTAAGTCATTTGTTGAGACGACACCTTGTGAAGATCTACCTGGCTCATCCCCAGAACTGCCTGAGTCCTGGCCCGATAAGGGGGAGCTTGATGTACAGGGCCTCTTCCTGCGCTATCCTGACGGTACACTGGCCCTGGACAACATCTCGATGCGCATAGGCGCCGGAGAAAAGATAGGCATCTGCGGCCGCACTGGCAGGTACGTGTTTCCCATCTCCTAACTCTCATTTATTTCACCACGGTTCTAATGAACCCACTGTATTGCAGCGGGAAAAGCTCCCTCGCACTCACCATGTTACGCCTTGTAGAACCTTCACGTGGAAATATCACAATAGATCAGACTGAGATTCTCAAGATCGCCCCCGGGTCAATCCGAGAGAGGCTGATAGCTGTGCCACAAGACTCGTTCACACTATTGGGAACCATCCGCTATAATGTTGACATTATGGGCCTCTCCAGTGACAGTGAGATCACATCTGTACTCAAGCAGATTGGCGTCTGGGATGCAATTGAAACCCGAGGGGGCCTTGATGCGCTCCTCGAGGACCATCCACTGTCACAAGGAGAGCAGCAACTCTTGAGTCTGGCACGGGCAATCCTTAAGAGGCAAACCAGTAACGGCAAATGTCAGGTGCTAATCCTGGATGAAGCCACGAGCAGCCTTGATACACAAACAGACCAGAGAGTGCAAAAGGTCATGAGAGAGGCTTTTCGTGACTGTACCGTTTTTAGCGTCGCTCACAGAGTATGTTGTTATTTCTGTTTATCATCCGGACTCACAGGATATGAATGGTCATACTCTGTCTGTGAGTGAGTTGAGCTAACTGTTGGACAGCTTGACACAATCATAGATTTTGACAGAATTGCAGTGCTGGAAGCTGGACGTCTAGCTAAGTTCGATACCCCACAAAATCTTCTTGCCAGAGATGGGTTATTCTAGCAGATGTACTTTGGAATGGGTGAAAAAAAATCTTGATGTTATTTAATACTTCATGCCAATAGTCACAGAGAAGAATAACGGAAGCGAAGAAGCTGATGATTGATTGAACTATCTAAGAGAGATGTCTGACAGCACATAAATCGTATAGATGTTCCATCCTATTGGGTATCCACTTCTCTGATTACATATTCGTATACCAATAGCCTCTTGTCCGTAGAAGCCTGTGACCATGTTGGAGGCATGAAATGCGTGCCTCTGCTTCAGGCCTTCAATCCAAGTTCCCTCGTATTGAAAGATATCTCAAATAGTTTTTCTCCCTCAAATCTATCTCAAATATTCATCAAATCCCGTGCCTTCTTGATTTTTCTCATCGAAGACCTGGTTCCTGGGCTCTTGTGTCTCAGCCGTATCACGTATGTATCGAGATTTCAGCTAGTCTCTAGTCTGAAAAGTTCATCGTGGAGCAAAGACATTTGAATTGGAAAAGTCCCTGGTTTTTCATTCCACACCTTTTTCCTGCGATTAATAGTCTTACATAACTTTGAACTCGCCTCACAAAATGGTAAGGATCTCCACCCCTCATCCGGGAGTGGTGTCTTCCTCGAATGCACTTGCGACAGACTTAGCTGCCAATTGTCAAAGCCATGGCTATGACGTGTACTTAAAATCTTGCAGTCATCGGTAGCTGACATTCTCGGTTGTATTATTTGAAATATCGGTGATGGCCAGGTATGGACCAAGGTCAGATCTCCGTAAATACCGAAATCGGTAGGTCCGAAGAGGCAGAGACAGGTGACTGCTATAAAAGGTCTTTTGATGGGCCTGGCTGTAATTCGCTAGATACCAGTACTGTTATGTGCGCTGGTAACATTGCAGTAGTATTCAGGTGTCATCCTGGGGTCCAGTATCCGACTATACCCATGATGCTACTTCTAGACCAAGGTCAAATCAACGCAAACATCGAGGACCATATCTACATGACTGTAGGTCCATGATTTCTTTCGTCATGCTCGCCCCCAATACTGCAAACGGCTTTCTCAACTGGATATCTGAGCAGTGATTGCATCAGGACTGCTCTATCTAGCTCTACATACGGGCACAACGAGTATCATTCGAGATGCTTTCTTAGACTCTTTTGTCGTCAATGATAATCTCATTACGATGAATACTCGGAGCTTAATGCTTTCTTAGGAACGATGATGGGTCATTTAAGAGATGTCGAGATCCTCGAGAGATCCCGTTACTTCCGATCATCCACGAAAAACCAATTGCTTTGGAGAAAAGGATATCAATTTTAATTTCAATCTGCCTGGTCGAGAATTCGACTTCAGCCGTTCATCTACCATCATGCCATCCAGTCAGACGCCCGGTCCCACTCCTGTCAGTAAACCAGCCAATGGTGCCAAGCCAGTCACCGAACAACCCGATGGCTGGGCCCCGATTTTCGACGCTGCAATGAAAGGCGACTGTGCGGCTATAAAGAAGTTATTTAAGAAGCCCGAAGATCCCAAAGTTCGATTCCTTGGGTGCACCCCTTTGCTCCTCGCGACTATTGCGGGCCATCTAGATGCTGTCACTTTGCTTCTGGAGAAAGGAGCCGACATCAATGACAGAGACGACGACAGTCGCACAATCTTCACGTTGGCACTCGAAAGCGATCATAAATTCATTGCTGAACAATTGACCAGGATCACCAAAGGTGACCGTGACCGATCCCCGCTTGGAAAAGGGCAGGGACTGGTTGGAGAAGCAGTTCAACGAGATCTCTAAGCAAGTTGAGGACCCCGCTAGTAAACCCCCAAGGGAGGTACTGGAATACCTTCTTGCTTGGAATTTCTCCGACGATAAGAATCGGACGGTCCTGCGGGTCTACTGGGAGCACATCCTTCTGCGCTACATCGGAGATGTTCCTCGTGATATTCAGCGGAATTATTCACCCGATCTCAATCTTGCTCTCATTGGCACGTTTGACCGGTTGTTCAAGGGACATGCTGGGATTAGGGAGTCAGCGAGATTGTTGAATAGCAAGCTACCTACCACTGGCTACAATATTCTTGATACAATCGTCAAACCGAATCACTACTGGGTGACTGAGCGATGGTCCTATGACAACGGACATAGGATCACGGTCGAAGATGGCATCGACTCGTTTTTGATAGACGAAAAAGCAGGGAAGATCACAAACAAGATGATCAACTACCATGTGAAGGGGGTTGGAAACAAATATGTTGTTGAAGTTGATAAATGTTTCTGATGTTGTTCAGTGTCGTGATTTATGTCTGTCCTCTGGCCATGTCCAATGCGTTTTCTGAAAAATAGCATAATGTAGTCTGTAGTCTATAATGGAAAAAGAAGAAAAAAAAAGTATTGTTGCAGATACAAACATATGGCTCCCTTTCAACTAAACTTCAAGGAAGTGGTGGTGTGGGCCCGCCAAGAGCAGAATTAGGTTGCACCCGCCGGCCCGTTAGACTATGCCAGGTAAAGTAAGACGAGGAAACTGAGAAACCGGATAGTGGAGAAAGAGCACGCATCCCAGATAAACTGAATTAGAAGTTGAAAATATCAATGGGAATGTTATTAGTTGCATATGGGTTGGGAAATCGTTGCAGTGCAATTGCACTTTTCATTTTGTCACCAAGGCATCAGGGCACCAAGACACTTCCGGGATAGTACTTCGCAATATGGGATTCCTGCGGAGCATATCTCATTATAGACGCTTTTACGGACCAGTGATTTTCAGAATATGACCTGGGATGGTCGTCCAGTCCGCTACACTCTCAATGGGAGGTTGGTTCAATTTACCCAACACGGTTGCTTGTCGAATCGAAAATGCCCTTATAAAAATTAGCAGGCAATCACTAGCAGTCATCATTGGGCAAGTAACTCACAAATAAGACAATAGCCTTGCTGATGTTTGCGTATGGCTGTAACAAACTTTTGTCAGCTTTGAACCGAGATATAAGGGCCCTGGCGTAAGCACTTACTTCGTCGCCCCGACAATATACAAGGAGCCAATCACTCCAGAATCCTTTATTATTTGAATCACCATCGGTTATTGTAGCAATGCAGGGAAATTCTGGCTTGTCGGAAGAATGCGGTTGGAGTCGATTGCTGCCCACACCCCGCGAATCTCGTCTCTTGAAAGAATATCAGCTCTGAATAGGTATGTTTAGATAAAGACTTATAGTGGTTCGCCTTGTAAAGTGAAATATTGCCACTCGATGAAGAAGAACCCCCGTGGGTCAAAGTTCAACTTGAAAAATGGTTCGTAAACCATATTGACGCACCACGTATGTATACCCGGACTAAACATGGTGGAAGGAACACCTATGTTGCCAATCGAACGATCTCTTAACTGGAGATAGATATTAAGGCCGCTGCCTTATACTGGGGGTTTGGAGAAGAGTGATAAGCACGAACTATACAATAGTGTAATAATATACCTATTGTGTTGTATTAGTACTAGTATAATCACTAGGGAGCCTCCGGGGCCTCCACTATGGTTCTACTTCTGTTGTGCGGCTTATCTAATCAGTTACCCGAGCTGGTTGGGATAACCTTTCTCCCAACCGAAGTATATAGAGATATACTCATACGCCTCTTACATGGTACTTATATGCCTCCTTTCTGCATATCTTGCTCCGTTGACATGGCTTGTATAGGCAGGAGGAATTATAGCAAACCCGTGGCTCAGTAGCCGTCGCAAGGGCGTCCTCTTGCTGCTGCTGCTATCGGTAGGATATGGAAGGCCCTAGGATACTGATTTATATAATTTTCATTTGGGAAAAAAAAACGAAGGGGTAGGCTAGAAAGCCCTACGCTGGGCCCCATTACGCACCTAGGTGAGAAATCTCACCCCGTTCTCACCTCTCTCGCCCGGTCTGCGAAGTTCTCACCCATATCACCCACACTCACCTAGTATCAGTTTCATCGCCTCTATAGAGTGCTAAGGCTATGTAAAGAACTGGCCGTGCGGATGTATGTGGCTTGAATGCGGTCAATAGTCGTATGGGTGCTGCTCGGGTGAGAATATGGTGAGCGCCGCTTGAGCGTCGCGCGACCGCAGGTTAGAAGGGTGAGTGCACAATATACAGGGTGAGAAGCAGGGCGAGAGCGAGCGAGAATCGTCGTCCTGCAACCGCCGCATTGGCCTTTTGAGCTGAGCATGGATCGAATATTATTGGGCCGCATACCTCATTCTCAAGGAGTTTTTCTCCTGGAATTTGCACATAGCCACAAAAGAGCATAGTAAGGGTGTTGAGGGTCTGGTTATTTGCGACACTGTATTTTGGAGAAGAATCGCGGCTATCCCTACTAGCATTAATATAACCAGTTGTTTTTTAGGCACTAGTTCCCTCGTGAAAAACTTTGCCAGCCTAAAGATCAAAGCCACAACCGTGGTTGAAATCCCGATGTGTGTGGTTAGCAGGGGCATTTGGTTTACACCAAAATTCACTCAAAGGTAAGCCGCGCCACGAAATAAGGGTGCTTAGGCGCTCATTAGTCGTTGCAGTCCAACACCTTCGGGGTCATCTGCCCTTTTAAATCAACTCGACGGTAGATCTTTCCCTGCACTTTAGTCGCAATGTCCTCAGAAAATTAACTATCAGCGAACATCATGAGTGGCCTCTTTTCTATGTCTGGTATCGCGGTGGGCGTGGTATCCCTAGGTATCACTATGTGTCAAGGGCTGGCCACGTAGTATTGACAATTCAAATCATTCTATGAGGACGTTGACGATATCATATGCCAGGTTTGAAACTGACCTCTATCCTAAAAGCATGTCGAGGTGGTCCAACAGATGGCCGATTGGGCGGGTGGAAATCCAATGTTGGGAAACTGAGGAAGTTCGTCTTCAATTCGCGATGCGACATATGCCAGAGAGCTTAGCTCGATGGCCGGCAATGTTCAGATGCCGAGACATTTTGGAAATTGCCGGAATACGCCCTTATCAAGGAAGATAAGATGTGGTCAAAGCCATCGGAGAGATAAGAGACCAGCGACATATCTTGACTCCGGCAAAACTCTCGACGGCGGCAACTTTCGACCGGCAATTTTATGAGGTGTTTGATCACCTGAAATCAAATCATGCCAACCGCAATGGAGCAGACCGCGGAGGTTCCAATCAAGAAATTCACTCGACATTCGAAAGCCTGCCGGCAATGTCGCCGGCTCCGGACCAAGTGCGTGAATGATGGCCGGGCACCCTGTCAGTTGTGTCGGCAGAGTGGGAAGGACTGTGTATTTCTTCAACGAGGCCAGCCCGACAAAGATCGCGAATTCCGCCGCCCGAGAGCTCGCACCTCTATTCCTTGTAGGAGAACCAGCCCTGTCCCAACGTTCTCTGCGTCGTCCACTGAGCTGGACGGGACTTTCCAGACGAGTGAATCCCCGGCACCGTTACCCGCACCGGCAGCGAGAAAAACAGAACACTATTCAGTCACGCCCATTCCAGATGCTGGAGAAACGTTACCGCCCTTCGAAGAGCTGGTTGAGGGAGTATACATATTCACAACGTCCTTCTTCCAGCTCGGCTTCTTACCAAAAACGTTATTATTTGAGCGGCTACGAAAAGACCCAGATTCAGTCAGCAGCTTTCTACTGTTTAGCATTTTGAGTATCTCAGCTCGATTCACCCCTTGCCTAGTCACCCGATATGGGGATGGCTTGAGTGCGACCGACTTGTTTCTCAGTCGGGCGGCTGCGCTAGTGCCCGAGCAGATGTATGTTCCGACCTTGGAAGCGACGCAAGGATTCTTCCTTTTGAGTATTGCAGAGTGGGGCAAAGGCGACAAACATCGAAGCTCAATGCACATGGGCATTGCAGTGACTATGGCCGGAATCTTACGATTACATCGGGAAGAGACCTACCGTTTACCCGATGATGCGACGGCTGAGCAATTCGTACACGCGGAGGCAGGGAGACGAACGTTTTGGATGCTAGAGAGCTATAACAATCTACTCTCGGGTCTGAGTTCCCCTGTGTCAATCTCATATAGTGACATATCTGCTCTTTTACCCTGTACAGAGCATGAATTTGCATTTGGAAACTTGGTCACCCCCCGAGTACCCCTGGCTGGGACACTGCCGGCTCTTAAAGATCCCTCACTTGCCCATTCGGCGACGCGATCTTTATTCGCAACTCTCTTACAAACACACAATATGTGGGGCCAAGTAGCGCGAGTTGTTGGCACTGATACAGGGCAAGAACTTCCTGACGACGAAGTGAAGTTGAGCCGAGAGGAATATACAAGGCTATCGACCGCGCTAGATGAATTCGAAAGAAACACCCCACCACATCATTGCTGGTCAATCTGGAACCTACGAGAGTTCAAAGCGAAAGGACTAGACCTGGCATATCTATCAGCTGTGATGGTGTTGAGATTGAGTAATATTGTTTTACGCCGAAGATATCTCCACGACGGATCAAATTCCGAGACAATCGATCATTGTTTGCAAACTGGACATGACTCACAAAACCCGGACTCTGTTACAATGGAGTTATTCGAGAATATGATAATTCTTCACGAACAAATTGATGCATTCTTTGACTTTCGTTCCCATGACCAAGGCTTCCCAGCCCTGATCGTTTTTTGCATCTACGTATGCGGCTCTTTGGCAAACCATCTAAACCAACAACCAGAAATCTGCCCAAGTACTGCACCAAGGGCTGAGGAGATTCTCCGGAAATCTTTAGCGGGGCTGGGGGAGTTGCAGCATGCCTGGCCCCTTGCTCGACGTTGGAACAAGGCTCTCTGCAGAGCCAGTGCAAGGGCCCTCGACCGGGTCACTGAAGTTGAACTGACTGACCTAGCCGGGAACTCCTCGCTAAATGGATTATCCACACCCGGGAGTGAGACACAGCAGTTTTCATCAAGGGTTTTGCCTCGGCTGAACGATCCGTTCCCGACGGACGTGATGCTGATGGAATTCGAAACTTATCCTTGGAGCGAAATAATTATGGGCTCTATGAATCTTGAGTTTGCAACTCTAGGGTAATCAAGAAGTTATGTTCATTGAAAACCTTTGCAGCATTTACATGGATGCGAGTGCTTCACTCTCCATGCATGAGAATCTCTAGACTACCAAATAGTAAAGAGATCCGACACCTGTGGTGGCAGTCATTTGGATGTAGTCAACTTGATAGCTACTTATTCAGCGCATACCATAATCATTCACCATTTCTTTCTAAGATTTGCCATCGCCTCGTGCTCTGATACAACGTCCGCATACTTTGCATCGAGGTCGAATAGATTCGCATTTTGAATTTCGGCTGTGCGATCTCCACAAGCAGTACCTACAACCTTTTAAATTTTTAGGTCTGAAAATCATTCCGGAAAACTTTTGGTCGATAAAAATTTACGTACCATAGGTCTAAATCCGTGCTGCATTGCATCGAGCGTGGTTGCCCTCACGCAGCCTGATGTACTCACTCCGCAGATAACAAGTGTATCAACATTAAGGGTCTGCGAAATACAGCAATCTCAGATTTGACGGTAATTATATCTGTTGGTATTGGGACATACCTGGAGCTCAGTCGCCAAAGTTGTACCAAAAAACGCGCTCGCGTACTTTTTCACAATAACAGTGTCGTCAATAGCCGGCTCAAGGCCATCCATATAATCGGCAAGCCCCCTGTTGTCACCCTTTAACCAGACATCTAGAGGCTTTGCCTTCAGCCAGAATAATCCTGCATCGCTCATGTCTGGTCTTGAATATTTTACCTCACTCCAAATTACAGGAACTTCCCCTTCTCTCGCAGCTGATAGCAATTGTCGTATCGAGTCCGGCACCAGCTCTGCAGCTGGGTTCCCCAAAAGTGAAAGAGGCGATCCCTCAGTCCAGTACGCCTTGCAGACATCGATGATAAGCAATGCTGGTCGGTTACCCCATCCCATGCGATTTGAGAAGCCGGAACGAGCGTATGAGGTTGATGACGCGTGTTGGAGATTATATGACATGGCTGAAAAGTTGAATTATGGCTGAAGAAAAAAAAAAAAAAATGTGCCTGACATACAGAGACAGTTTAGATGCATACTTGTTGACACATATATCAAGCTTGAAGCGGGGAAATTGGATCCTGGCCGATAAGGATTTGCCTGCCGGAGTTGCCAATCAGATAATTTCGAACACACCATATTCACGGTCTGACACTTTTCCTATTAGCATTGTAGGAAAATTTCTCAAATTTGATAAAGTCTCTCATTTTCCATTTTCTTGCTGAAAACTACCTTCACTAATGGCGTCAGAACGACCAGCTAGAGCTTATCAACCAATTCACCCGGCGGTCCGTCCACTGCTAGACCCGCAATATATCAAGTTCCACGAGAGCTACTTTCAATATGTGATCCCTGATGATCAAAAACCATGGGACGGATCAGCTCGAACAGCACAGCGGCCCTGGTCATCTACAGAGTCAGCACTCACAAAAACAGCAAACACTCAGGATTTCAACCGTGGAAAGTACAAGATTCGCGTTTTTACTCCAGATGGAGAAAGACCAACCCTTGGTTGGCCAGTGCACATCTGGTTCCACGGGGGCGGCTGGTCGATTGGTGGAATCAATGATGGAAATGACCTTTGCACATTGATCTGCGCGACCGCATGTTGCGTGGTGGTGACGGTCGGGTACCGTCTAGCGCCCGAGCACCCGTACCCTGCAGCAATTGAAGACGCGGTCGACGCGTTGAAGTGGGCATATAGCGCAGAAGGAGCTCGCACCTTGAACGTCGACAACACGCGCATTTCAATAGGAGGAACGTCAGCCGGCGGAAATCTGGCAGCGGTGCTGTCAATTAAAGCTTCACAACTGGAGCCCCGGATTGATATCTGCTTTCAAATACTTGTTCTCCCTGTTATCGATAACACTGCCTCAGTGTCTACTATCTGGAAGCGGAATCGACATGCGCCATGGTTGACTCCAGCCCGGATGGAGTGGTATCGACGCATGTATCTCCCGAACCCATCTGACGCCATGAGCTGGGATGCTTCTCCTAATTTGGCGACACCTGAGCAACTGGCTGAGAGTCCGAAGACATGGATAGCTGTCTCAGGCCAGGATCTCCTTGCACCGGAAGCGCAGGCTTACGCGGGCCCATTGAAAAAGGCCTGGGAGACAACTGGCAGAGACAATCAAGTGGTTATTGAATTTTATGAAGGGTCAACGCATGCTCTCCTGTCCATGAGTGGTAAGAGCTTCCATCGAGTGGGCATTCATTTCCATTCATCAACTGACAACATCGCGTCCCTAGGTATCTTAAAACAAGGCGCTAAACTTCTTCGGGACTGCGCCGAACAGGTTCGCAGAGGATTTGCTCTCCCTATTGCAAATTGAGATTTAACCTTTAAACAATACCACTATGAAAGAGGAAGATGCGACTGAAAATAGTTACCAAAGATCTGAAGAGCATTATTCGTGGCTCAATTTATATAATATATGATGAAAAAAATAAGCTTGTGACATTTTTCATCAGCAAGTGTATTTCGTAGAATGCTCTGATATATTTAGCTCGTAAACAGCAGCTCCTTGGCTTTTTCTGATCGCGGAGTAATGACACATGGAAAACTGTCGGGAACACCACTCAGTCCATTTGAGAATGTCACTCGCGGCTCGATCCTTTCACCATTTGCATCAACGGGGCACCTCAAGTCCATAGTTGCCAACAAAGTTGCGACGACTATATAAACTCCGGCGAGAGCCAGATGTTGCCCGGGGCAAACTCTTCTTCCAAATCCAAAAGGTCCTTCAGGGAGAGGTTCCTCGTCTCCACCTTCCGTACGAGGAATGTATCGGTCTGGGTTGAAATCATCCGGCGATGAATAGAAGCGCTCGTCCCGTGACATAGCCCAGGCATTGGCGAATACCACCGATCCAGCTGGAATATAGTAACCACGGTAGGTATCGTCGGCAAGCGAAGCATGGGGCACACCAAGTGGAGATAGTGGGGCCCAACGTGTTGCTTCTTGGATGACGTTTTCAAGATATTTCAGCTGTTTTCGATCTTCAAAATTGGGTAATCGAACAATGTCTCCATTCTTGTCTAGTCCAACCACTCTATTAATCTCATCCTGTACCTTCACTTGGATTTCTGGGTGTATCATAAGGTTAAGGACACACACAATCACGGTAGACCATGTCGTGTTGCCACCGGCGATCGAAATAGCCCCAGCGGCACCTTTCAGGTCGGCAATAGTAATGTCGTTAGCTTTACCAAGTTTCTGATTTGAAAGATATTGACCAAAATGGTTCAGCATAAAAGATGGTTGAGTTGCTACGCCAGACCGAATAGATGACTCCATTGCATCCCAAGGTACATCGTGTAGTTTCTGAATAGTAGGCTTTGAGCGGCGGGCATGGACCAAGGGCTGAAAGATTGTAAAGATCCTTTCGGAGATATTTGGTAGATAGCGGAAAATAGGGAAGAAATCAACAATTGACGCGCCCGGGACACCACCTTTGCCGGTGGCTTCTTCGACATTAATTGCCATTTTGACGTAGGGATCATTTTCTTCCTGAACATCAATCCCGAATCCAATACGTAATACAACAGCAGTGGAAAATTGCCGCAGTAGCAATTCCCAATCTTTTGGTTTGTGCAAAATAGCTTTGACAGCCCGACGGGCTTCCTCCTGCTGGATAGGTCGATATGGCTTGCAAGCTGTTTGGGTGAAAGACTGCTGAAGGAGCTTGCGATGGAGTTTGAATCGAGGCGACCACCGAAGAAAAGTGAGGGTGACACCCCACCCCATTACTTCGAAAAGAACGAAGCGAGGGCGATCGGCATAATTTGCGCCTTTCTTATCCATTAGATCATGGGCTGCATCAACACTGTTGATTACAACCATGGGGCGACCGAGAACATTGAAATACAGTATATCGGAGTTGTATTGTTTTCCCCATTTCACAAATTGGTGTTCCGGGTGATCTGTGGGGATGACTTGTAAATGACCCCAGATTGGATTCCCCGGGGGGCCGGGGGGGAAAGGGAGACGCTTCCTTAGTTTATTGACATGTTTCCCGTATAGCACCCCGATCGTGACGACCAGGAGGACAAGGCCAATAAACACTCGAGGTGGGAATATAGCAGGGTCCATTTTGAATGTCTGGCGAGATAACACCAGGAAGTCGGGGCATGCACATTATAAGTGCCTTTTTAGGTTGGGAATACTCGGAATAGTGGAACTCTGATGATTGGAACGTATCCAGCTAAGCCGTGCCTGCTGACTTCATCGACCTTGGGGCCGGCAGGAGAAAGATAGAAAGAGAGAGGTCGAACTTATCGACAGACGCAGTAAGACAATCAGTCTGCCTGCCGGTCGCCTGCCGGTCGCATGCCGGTTGCCCGCGGCCAATCTGGTTGATGCTGAGATAAGAAGATCGGGGTCAAAGTTGCGGTTCAAAGTGGGGAGCCGGTCCTTCCTAAAAGGTTAAACTCCTCCATGGACTTTAGGAAGACACCTTCGTTTGCATTTCTCTGTCCATCCCCCAGGTATCAATATGCTTGCCCGTGGCGCATCTGCAACTGCCTCTTTTTCATCCACGCCAACAAAGGAGGATCCCTATTTGTATCAAGTGGGCTTCGGAAATCGGTTTGCATCGGAAGCAATCCCTGGCACATTGCCAAGAGCTTGCAATACCCCCCAAAAATGCAAATATGACCTCGTATCAGAACAGCTCAACGGCACGCCCTTTGTATCCTTGCGAGCATCTCTGCTCCATGCGTGGTTTTATCGCATCCGACCGTCTGTGATTCACAAAAAACTGATTTCACTACCTAAAAACCCGGACATCGAAGCCAACTTCTCACCCAGCAATGAGAAGGTCACTTTTACCCCGCAGGATATGGCATGGGATGCTTTTAGTATTCCTGAGTCATCGAGTTCCATCGACTTTATTCAAGGATGGAAAACTATCAGCGGCCATGGCGATCCTGCATCAAAAGAAGGTCTAGCCGTGCATGTCTATACGGCCAATTCGCCAATGACCAACAAAGCATTTTGCAATAACGACGGTGATCTTCTAATCGTACCCCAGGAAGGAAGATTGAATATCCAGACAGAGTTTGGACGCCTGATGGTACGGTCTGGTGAGCTAGTCGTGATCCAAGCCGGTATGCGATTCACAGTTACCTTGCCGGACGGCACTGCCCGAGGATACATTCAGGAGATTTTCGGTAGCCATTACGAGCTTCCGGAACTGGGCCCGATCGGATCTAATGGCATGGCCCTGCCTCGTGATTTTGAGACCCCAACAGCCAGTTTCGACATCGATCAGTCTAAATGGGAGGTTGTCGTGAAGTTGATGGGAAATATGTTTGTCTACGAGCAGGACCATACCCCTTTCGATGTTATCGCGTGGCATGGAAACTACGCTCCTTACAAATACGCCATGGAAAAGTTTATCAACACTGCTACTGTTGATCGGGACCAGAGCGATCCTTCCATCTACTGTGTGCTCACCGCAAGATCGAAGCGATCAGGAGTGGCCTTGTCCGAATTTTTAGTCTTCACTCCTAAATGGAGTGTCACACGCAATACTTTCCGACCGCCGTATTATCATCGAAATGTCGCGACAGAGATCATGGGCATGACTTACGGAACATGGTCGGGCTCTGCTACCTCCTTACACCCTGGGAGCCTCACTTACGAACCAAGCTACATGCCACACGGCGAATCCTACGAGCGATGGAGGGAAGCAACCTGTATGGACCTGCAACCTGAACGGGTTGGCGAAGGGGCCATGGCATTCATGATGCATATCTCTTCCCATGTCTCGTTGACAGAATACGCACTCGAGCGCAGCGGGAAAATGCAACATCAACCGGTCGAATTCTGGGATGATTTCAAGGGTGGTTTTATGGATCATTTAGAAGAAGTCAATGCAGATTTAGAAGCTGCTGGTCTTCCTGGTCTGGATGTGGAGCATCGCCAATGAGCTCGATTCCTGGCAACATTTATCATTTACTTAGTGATTGTAAGACAAAAACTAAATTTTGAGATTCCGAATTGCAACTTAGGGATTATGGGTAGTTTGTAGAATATTACACAGGCATATTTCAATGAGGGTTCCAGATTTTCAAGACCACATCTAACCACGAAAGTGGAGGAGCGGCGGTGCTTTCTCGGGTTTGCCAGAATATACAGTTTTATCCACCAACCTCAAGTGTTCCCGGTAAAGGCCCATGTGGAAGCTACACAGAGCGCTGAAGCTAGACTTTGAAGACGATGTTGACAGTCGGCCAGGAATCTGGACAATCCTGGTCCAGAACAGTATCGCTCCGAGTTCTTCCAATCTTCCCGGCAGGCAAGTTCCCTGCCCAATCGGCTCTTATCGTATCCCTATCAGCGTCTATCCCAAGCTAGCCAGCCGCTAGATGCAATTGAAATTAAGTCTATTTCAAAAAGGGATTCCCCACATATGCTGCATTCACCTCGTCAATCCATCTTTGGAAATAATTCTGGGGTTCCACACCTGCTATGGAGAAATCTACGGATAAGCTGCCAGCGACGGCATCCTACAGTGATATTGCCACAGCTGAGCTGCAATCCGATCACTCCCCAAGGGCATGGCTATCCAAGGTCGCATCTTGGGGCGTTGAGCTACGAGGTATTGCTCCAGTGCCTCTGGAGGAGCGAAACGACAAAAGATACATCAATGTTTTCTTCGTGTGGTTCACTATGAGTACAAATCTACTTCCGTGGGTCTAAACATTCTTTTAGAAATTTCAGGTCCATTCTCTCACATTGATTAGAATCGTGACAGGGATGGTGGGAACGCTGTCATATGGTCTTAGTCTTCGAGATTCATCCCTTGTTATCTTATTCTTCAGTCTGCTATGCACAATTCCACCCGCCTTCTTGGGCACATTCGGTGCCAGAACGGGACTCCGGCAAATGCTACAGGCACGATTCACTTTCGGGTAATTTTCTCCTAGTTCAACTTGCCCTTGACCAATATGGATAGACTGATAATCCCGGAAATACCACAGCTACTATCTTGTTTCTATTATCGTTGTGTTGAATCTCTGTACCATCGCCGGCTTTGGGATAATTGACTGCGTACTCGGGGGCCTGACTTTGGCCGCAGTCTCAGGTGGAAGCATCAATGCGACCGCAGGAATTGTGATTATTGCCCTGTGTGGAATGATAATCTCTTTTGGGGGATACAGATTGTTACATCAGTTCGAGCGGTATTCGTGGATATTTGCCCTGGTCGCGATCGTGATTGCGACTGGAGTCGGCGGCCATCATCTTTCCAAACAATCCTCGACGGAGCCTCCGGCAGTTGCAACGATTATCTCATTTGGGGGCGTTATTGCTGGTTTCCTCATTCCTTGGGCGGTTGGTGACCCTTATCCTTTTCATTGTCCCCTAAGAGACTAACCTGGGATAGGCAATGGCGTCTGATTTCGCAGTTTATTGTGACCCGAGTGTTTCTTCATACCGAATCTTTGCATACATCTATGCCGGACTTCTAGTACCTTCAGTGCCGTTGATGGTCCTCGGTGCAGCAATCGGTGCCGCTGTGCCAAATATTGCGTCTTGGTCGGCCGGGAACACAGACTACAGCGCCGGAGGGGGTTTAGAGGCAATGCTTCATCCCGCTGGCGGATTTGGGAAATTCATTTCTGTCCTACTTGCATTCTCCCTCTTGGGGAATCTGGCAGCCGCGATGTATTCCATCTCGTTGAACTTTCAGCTTGTCATTCCCATTATGGCACGCGTTCCGCGATCGTTATTTACCATCGTCTATACAGCGGTCGCGATCCCGGTTTCTATCTACGCCGCCAAGTCTTTCTTTAATAGCCTGGAGAATTTCCTTTACGTCATTGCATATTGGTCTGCAGCCTTTGTTGGTGTTATCGCGACCGAGCATATTGTCTTCCGCAACGCTGACTGCACCCTTTACACCGCAGAGGACTGCGATAGATCAAGCAAGCTTCCGACTGGAATAGCCGCTATTGCGGCTATTGGATGTTCTTTCGGCTTAATCGTCCCGTGTATGAGTCAGATCTGGTATACAGGGCCTCTCGCTGAGAAGACAGGGGATCTTGGGTTTGAAATTGCTCTCGTGCTATCCCCTCTGCTGTATTTACCATTTCGCTTTATCGAATTGAGATTTCGACATTAGTGGATGTTATATCATTAAATTATCCTCTGGCCTGTGAGCTTGAAAAATCTATGGTAGCCGATCGAATCTACAGACCTGTTCTGAAGTAGGTAGTCGGGCGGCTTACAGTCTCCCCAAGTCGGTGGCTTTTATCCCCATAATATCTTACCCACTCCGCATTGCACATAAGCCGCTTTCATGAAGAACGCTATAAAACAAAGTATTACGAACCAATACGAAGGAATAATATGGTATATGCTGTGGAGAGGTAGGAAGATAGAGAGGAGAGAGAGAAGGAAAGGGAGAAAAAAAAGACCAAGACCTTACCAAAGTGGAGATGCCTCGGGAATAAATCTTTTATAAAGGATCGAAAAAGAGTTCTGGATTAGAACCCTGATTTTTCTTGACCGGAATCCGGTCACTCTGGCTGAAAAAAGCTATCGATGTCATTCGAAAAGTAAAGGATGGATTTTTTGGTCATAATTCAAAGGACACCCGAGCACATAGAGGCCCGGGACACATAATTGCACTCTGTGGCGGCAGAAGCCTCTGATAAATAACCGCTCGCAAACTCAACATCAAACAAAAATCAAGGGCACTTTACTCTTCCTAAAAAAGCAAAAACAAAAAGAACATACAACAGTTAGGATTCGCATGTGGTCACCCACCATACTACTAACTAACCGGCGTGTGGCTTAAGTACGGCTGAGCGGACGGGAAGCCCTGTTCTCCACACCCTATGGTCGTATGTGCTAGACATCTCATAGACATAAATCATGTAGTAATGATATTTGTAAATTTAGGCGAATATTTCACTGGATAGTTTCCTATAGGGTATTCGAGTGTCAAGAAATATTTTGATAACCTATTTGGAGATTTAGTACTCAATAGAAGTATGAACGGGATGCACTCACCATGGCAATACCGAATGCATCACTGGCATTTTCACCACACGCGTCACTGGTATACGACACAGTTCCAGTACATCCAAGGCAAACTGCAAAGTTGATCATGGCCATGAAAACTCCACAGACAATAGCAGACATGCTGTTGTGAATGGCAGCGCGAAGACCAAAGCTCCCAATGGCCATTGCAATGGCCGCAGGGAAGATGACGAGAAGACGAAATTCAGGCACGTAGGTGCCGTGATTGCGCTTCGCCAAATATGTAGCAGAGAAATCACAGAGCCAGCCAGCCATCACTGTTCCTAATGCCGATCCTATGAAAGGTGCAATTCCAGATAAGTTTCCGACCGCAATCGTGTTCATATTGTATGGTGCACGGGTAAAGATCTGGGAAACAACAGCTCCCAGAAGAATGGTCCAAGTGAATGTCACTGCCCACATCAGAGAACCATAGATAACAATCGGATGAGGTAGTAAAACGAAAGGCGCGACGATAGAGTTCAAGAAGCTTTTCAATCCTGGCATCCTTACTACTTCAACACCTAATAAACAGCGCCACCGTAGACCAGATGGTTCTGTCAAGGTGTCGGAGACCATAGATATTTGGACAGTTTTATCATCTAGAGGCCCACTCTCTAGCTCAAGCGGCAACGGACCGGCACGATCAAAAGTTGTCTCGGGAAAAAGAAGAATGTTGCTAGTAGCAAAATCCCGAACATAATCGCCTCAAGCCAGAAACTCCATCTCCACGATAGGGTTGAGATAACATAACCGCTGATGACAGGTGTGAGGTTCACAGACGTGATGACTCCAAGGTTCCAAAGACCTACACGCGTTCCACGTTCGTGAACAAAAAAAACATCGTTTATCGAGGCTGTACCGGCGAGGGCGAAGAAACCGCCCATCCCGAGACCTATCTGATTCTTCAGCTTTCACGGTGGTAATAATGGATGTTAGACAAAGTGAAAGAGCTTACCCTGAATAGCACGAGAGCCTAGAAGGGAGTCATATGAAGTAGAAGCAACAGCCCAGCAAGACGCGGCAATGACCAAGAGAATGGTGAAAAGATAAACAAGGCTCTTTCCGAATATATCTGCGAAGGTAGAGCAGATATATGCGCTCACACCAAGAGTCAGGACCAACAGGCCGTTGAGAAGCGTCATATTTCCCACTTCGACATTGAGCTCTTGAGCAACCACTGTAAACCCAGGCACGAGAACCAGGCCTATAGATCCCGTGACAGATGAACCCAGAAGAATAGTAGCAAACAGTAGCTCTTTCCTTATTCTGGACCAATTCAGAGGATCCAACGGCGATTGAGATGGCTGCGGAACCCGGATAACACGCGTTTCTGATTCGTCTTTTTCGATGTTGTCTTGTATGTTGCTCGTTCCTGACGGAAATGAACTTGACGTGAGCTCAAGGATACCGAAAGCCATTTTGATCAATCACTGAAGTGCTTGTCCAGTATTCACGTATTTGCATGTGAATCTCTGAGAACGCATTTTTAGTCGGCGATGTGAACGTACTTGTCTTAGAATCTTAGTTGACAACGGCTGATAAGCTGATTAGCAGATAAGCAATTAATCAGGGCGGCTGTTCATCTTCCGCTGCCAAGAGGCGCACATCAGTGACAGATCTTGGTTGTTTATTGGTCACTGGTTACTATCTCAGCAATTTAGAGTGCCGCCTCTCCTTGAACCCGAAGACAAGTAAACTACTATTTGGCCCAAAAAAAATCGCTACAGCGGGTTTTATCTCCGATTGTGATAGGAATTATATTCATGGCGCTTCACGAAATACTATTCATCAGAAAATTTGGAACCCCTAAAGGTCCATTGTCATATGGAAGAAGGCCATATGATCATTTATACTAAGCTGTAGACTAAAAGGAGTGTTTGATTTCAACAGTTATGCTTGGGAAAAAAATTGAATCTCTGTGATCAGTTTCGTGATCTCAGTCAAGAATGCATAAGGCTCGAATTCATCACACATGTGCAGATCCATGAGCTCCACTTGATAGGATGCAATATTCATCATGTCCACATTGGCCCACGGAAGGCTCTCGAGTTCTAGTCCAAGAGCCGAGGACCCTTGAAGCCTCTCTGAAAGAACCTCTGGGGTCAAGTCAAGGAAAAGCTCCCCGGGCTTCTCAATATCGAAAGAAGGTGGTTGTGGGAACCCATTCAAAGGCAGAGCTTGCATAATAGCCCATCTATGCGCTAAATCCTGAAGAAAGGACACAAAGCGCTTCGCCTTGACCCATCTTTTTTGCATATTTATGAGGGCGTTGAAACATACTCGAAAATGACGGATAGATTGAATAAATATACATTCTGTATTTTCAAATCTTGAGATGACTCAAACCAACCTTATCAAAAGCCGAAGCTAATGCGCCCGTATCAATGAGGTAGTCAAATTTGACAAAGCATTACCCCGTGCAAAGCAATCGGTTGACTCCAATCTTCTCTCACCCTCTCCCAAAAAGCCGACTCTTAACAAGTAATGTACATTAGAAGTCACAGCATCTTGCAAATCCTCCACAGATTCTTCCGAGTTACCTGCCAGCAAATTCAATGGCGGCGCGGGACTTCCCAGAAGATCTGGGCCCTGATCAATGTAGTGCATGACCGACCAACAGGGGTGTTGTGATCCTTGTTGGCTGACCTGATCGCGCAAAGACGCAAGCCAATCTTCGTAGCGAGAACCTTTCAATGCTCGAGGCAGCGCTGCGTTGACAGCAGCCCAGAATTCCTTAACTCGCATACCACAAAGCATCTTCTTTTCCTAGTGGGGAGCATCTGCGTCCAGACCCGTCATCATGGCACGACCGATATCCTCTCCTCGCGATATGTAAATATATCCCTATCCATTCCCTTCTTCGCAGTATGCACCCAGCAACACACATGCTTTAACCAGTCTCCAGAGAAGGTCGTCTGTGTTGGCAATCCCGCCGTTGCTCTGACTGCCAATGACCAGACCAGGCTTCAAGGTCGCAAATCCCAAAGTATCGTCTTGGGTAGCGGGGGCCGTTCTGGCAACGAGCTGCTCCGCAATAAGCTTTGACTGACCATATCCGTTCGTACTTAGCAGGCTTTTGGTTAATTGCCCGGTATCAAGGCATGCGTCGTTCCCTTCGGGGTTCCACTGAGAACCTCCAGACACGAAGAAAGATTTATGGAGGACAGGGCTGTCGACCGCAGCCTTAACATTGTGCCACTCAGACGCTGGATAATTTGCTCTCCAACTGGGAGGGCTAATAAAACAATCACCACCCAAACCATCCTCTGTCATCAATCCCGAGGGCGCGGTGCATGATTCAGAAATCAGCTCGCCAATGGCACCCGGGGTATCTAGCAGCACATTGTGATTGTCTGGGTCTACCAGTCAAGGCTTGGTCGTGCTACTGGACCCAAGGAAGAACAATTCTCTTCCTTTGATCAGGACGTTGGTTTCCAAAATCGTGTTTGCTTCAGAGCAGCCGTAGTTCACGATGACATTACGACCATTTTTGTCCAGTCGCATAACAGCTTCAGGATTTGTTGCCTCACCAACGAAAATCAAGGTAGAGACGAATTCCAAATCTTCATCCTCGAGCGTGCTCACGAGGGATGAAGTGATGCTGAGATAGTTGGCACGCAAGACGCGCAGTGATTTGCCCAGCTCGTTATCTATCTAATTGGTCGTGGGAACACACAGTGTGCCGCCGTTCACCAGAGTTATGAAGATGTCGTGAAGAGCGATCACCCATTCAAATGCAACAAATTGATAAACTCAGGAATGTGTGCCATATTTGAAATCACGACCCAGACCGACTGCCATATTACTCATAGCTGCATGGCTGTACAAGACTGCTTTTGGCTTTCCCGTACTTCCAGAGGTGAAGGTGACGACTGTACCATCCCGAGCGGTATGGGGGATATTCGATGGTTCAGAAGTAGTTTCGAGCCCCGGCGCAGGGCCATCTGGCCACGATGATGGGATAGTAATTATGGGCAGCTCGAGCTTTCGTGCCTTTTCCTCGAAGCAATCATCTGTCAAAATGGCTTTGCACCGAGTGTGGTTGGCAATGTAGCTTAGACGCTCCTCCGGGAACTCGGGGTTCACGATGACGCACATTGCTTTGAGCTTCAGCATTGCAAGAAAAGAAGCAATTGTATTGGGAGTTTTGCTGCTCAAAAGCATCAGGCGGTCGTGTGCTCAAAGACCAGCATTCTGCAAGGTCTTAGACATGTAAGAAGTACGCCGCATCAATTCTTGGTATGTAAGAGACTCGCAGGTAGTAGCAATGGCCTGTGATGATGGTGTTATCTGAGCCTGTGCGGCAACGAGATCGAAGACATAGATATCATTACGTTGGACGGTTGCCAAAATATCCTCTGCGGTGTCTCGACCCTCTCCGGAAGTCATCATGTAAGGAGCTTGAACGCTGGATATTGAGCAGAATGAGGGCATAAGAAGTGGAAGATAAAGAAAGATGAAGTAAATAGAGCCCGGAGTTCTGAGCCAAGTTTGGCCAGGAGAAGTTACCATTGAGCATGTGGTAATCCTATATAACCCGAGGGGATTTCAGCGTAGCATTAAATAATAATAATATAATAATAATCGTCACTGTAGTCAGGCTCCTCGTCTTCTGAACTCGTATACTGTAATGTAAAAATACAAGTACGTTTTGCAAAATGTGGCTTCGGCTGATCTATACTCTAAGTAATGTGGATCGTGGACGAAGTACATACAGATGAGAGCGTGAACCGACGATCGCACTGCATTGATCGATGGATTGGATCGATCGCCGGTTTTACGCCGAGACTGTTCCCATACGCTCCACTTGGATCGATTACTAGTATGAAACCAGAGTGGGGACGGGACTTGAAAGAAAATCGGTACCCGGTCAGGCGAATTCAGCTAGGCTATGGTATGTCTCTCAGAACAAATCAACGTAGATTCATTCCCAGCTAATAATTTAGCTCTCCCGATGAGTGGTTGATTAAATCTAAGATTCATTCCTACCAATTGGCCTGTACCTTTCATCCCGCTCATTATGCAGCACACTATTGCGGCGCTTCTTGTTGCTGCCTTTGTTTACTACGCTCCAAAGAAGCTGTATTACTACTACTTTCACCCTCTATCATCATTTGATGGCCCTTTGGCAGCGACATCATTTCAGCAATGGCTCTCAGAAATATCCAAAGGTTTCCCTGAGAAGGAATTGGAAAGACTCCATGAAAAATACCGTTCGTGAGACTGAGATGTGTTCCTCAACTTGGATATGTCGCTAAATCTACTTTGCATATAGGAACTAAGGCTTTGCGCGTTGCACCGAACGAATTGCATATCACCGATGTCCATCAGTATAAGACGGTCTACAGTACCATAAACCCCTTCCCAAAGGATGCTTCATTCTATACTCTCGGCTGAGATGCCAAGCCACACTTCCTTCACAGAAATTGATATGCGGTTACATAAAGAAAGGCGGAAGCGTTTAAATCCATTATTCTCGCGGCAGGGCATCTTTAAAATTGAGTCCATGATCCATGGCAAGATACAAGCTTTGGTCAAAAAGATTAACAGGCTGAGAGACAAAGATTCATCAATGCATATGGCGCATTCAGCTAGGTTCAAAAACACAAGCTGAGTGGGTAAATTAGGATCAACACTAACGCACGTATTCAGATGCTTGACGACTGATATCATCGTCGACTTTGCATTCGCTAAATCGGAAAATATCATCGAAGAGAAAGAAGACACGTTTAAATCTCATATTGTGCAAGCTCTCGATGCTTACGTCGAAGGTTTCTGGGATGCCGGCCTTATGCCAATAGTTCGTAGCATCTTAGAGTGGGCTCCGGCTGGATTGGCTAAGATGGCCGACCGTCCATCTTCCTCGTTTACCAAGGTCATCACGGTAAGACATGCTTGCTAAGTGTATTGCCGTTGCAGGTAGATTGCTGACTAGGTGAATCTTCTGATTGCTAGCTTGCTGAAACCTGCGTTGATCATTATGCGGTCGAGGGCAATACTACGAAACATCCAGTGATCTTCGATAGGTTAGAATCACTGCTTAAGGAGGAGAAAGTTGGTGAAGCGGTGGAAGCCCTTGTTGCTGGAACAGACACAACTGCATCGGCTCTGACTAGCGGTCTTATCCACATGATATCTGAACCAAATATCCAGGAGAGACTTGCAAAGCTATTGAAAAAGGTCCAGCCTGACGAACAAGGATGTTTATCACTACTGGAACTGGAAAAAATTGACTACCTGGTAAATTGCACTGATCATATCAAGCCTTGGAACTGCTGGGCCTCTAACATGATGCCTAGATGGCCTGTGTCAAAGAGTCTTTGAGGATTGGAATGCCCGTTCCAGGACGGTTACCGCGTGTTGTTCCAGAGTCTTCACCATTAATTGTGGAAGGAAAGCTAGTTACCCCCGGAGTAAGGAAGCAAATTGGCATTGATTCATAATATTGAAAATTCTGACCTCGTCCAGACCATCGTTACTATATCTGCATATACGATGCATTTCAGCGAGGAGTTATGGGGTCCCGATGTAAGAACCTTTAATCCCGACCGTTGGTTCAATCCCGAATCGGGCAGCTTGGATCAATATCTTTGTGCATTTTGCAAGGGTGCAAGGATGTGCACTGGCCAGAAGTGAGTTTGACTTCCCACAATTATCTCAAATGGAATTAACCATCGAACCTGAAGTCTTGTCTTGACACAACTTACCCTTACTCTGGCTTATCTTTTTCGTAGCTTCGAAATGAGTTTGCCGAAGGGATTTATGAAACCACAGCTACTAGATCGATTTTCGATGGCATGGGCGCCAGCGAATGTCCCGGTCAAATTTAAAGTCCGTGAGTAGGTAGGAGCTCGGACGTGCGGGCTTGGTGGGACGCATCGGAGCACCTCGGAACTCCCATTGTGAACGAAAACGAAAAGTAGAAATGAATTTGCTGTTGCAACTCACCTTGTCCTCATACAGTAGCTAAACCTTGCCAAAGTACCTACTCCATGATGATGTAAGGAAGGAAGGGGGTCTCCCACTACACTACATCTGACTATGCAACTAGCCAGATACGTCAGGCCTCGACCAGGTAAGTGTATATATTACCGCTAGTGTAACATTCCAAATCCCGATTCCCACGAGCTTCAATTTGGTGGACCCAGTCTGGGGATCTTATTCTCGGTCAATCTTGGGAGATCCGATGAACAGGCCGCGACGGGGCTCGGGGCAAGTCCAGAGCAGATGCATCATAATACGTCCAAGTATCCGCGATGTTACAATACAGTAATTGCTTGTGCATTGTGGATCTCCCTAGACTTTGATTGGTCTATTGGATGTAAATCAAGAAAATATTGGTTATCCAATACCATCTTTCATCCCGTTCCTACGTACTTGTCTGTACAACGCATACATACCGCAATTTCATGCAACCACCCTCGATCCACTCGTGCTTCCCAGCCACTTCCAAGCAAGAATCCGAAACCCCCACTGATCAACCCCCGGTGTCCCCGCTCTCGTGTTCCTTCACGTTTGCCACAATTCGAAGTCACGTAAACCGAATCCTTTGTCCTCGATTAAAAGGACACTAGCCTTCTCTGCATACCTCACCTAGCCAATTCTTCATTATCATCGATATTTTCATTCCCGTGTAGAGAACAGAAAATCCAGCATGTTTCATCCCGGTGAGTTTTCTGCGATCTTGAGAATACTTAACTTGTACTAAAGTTGGACAGCTGTTCTGGTGCAAAAGTCCATGACTGAACATGGCTCCTATCGGGTCGCTCAGCTTGAGAATAGTGAGGTTACGTCACCGCTGTCTGGGTCGAAGAACAAGAGTCGGGTGTATTTTGACACAAGTGTGGATATCTTCAGGGTAAAGAAAATTGTATCAAGACTTGGTGAACACTGTCTAACTTTAGGTGTCTGGGACAGGTTTTTGGCTCCACCGATACACAAAACCACGACACTGAACTCGAACTGGAAGTTTATGGCATGAGTTTAGGTTTGTTTCGAGGGACTCCCAATCGAATGTTCAAGATCAATTTGGATTTGAAACTTGTGAAAGGCACGATTGATTTCAGAATAAATGGCTTTGATGAGTTATGGCTTGATATCGACACCAAGATTTTGCAAGTGACCGAGAAGGGACCGGGCGAATGGACAGGGTGTCGGAAGGCCCACTTAATTACATGTCTGCCTGCTCTTCAATGCGATGCATGGCTTGCTGTCGATGCTCATATTTAAACATGTTACATTGTCTCGTCCGTTTGCGTGTGAATTAAAGCCAGTCTATTTTGCGGATTTGCTTCATTTGAACAGCTATTCTATATTTCGGGTTTATTTCGGGTTAAATGAATCAAGCCAATTATGACATTTCCACTTCCGCGTTCTTGGGGCCGAGGAAACAGAAAGAAGCCACAGAAACAACTAGACACATGAATGCTACCGGAAGGATTAGCGGATGGAAAAATAATAACTGCTGATGGCGAATGCTTACAGAATGTCACGTTCATATAGTAGTAACCAATAGCTTCCGAAAGCGAGCCTGAGATCAAAGGCCCTAGCATGATGCCGAGAGTGAATGCCGTCTCTGCTAGGCTGAAGACCCGAGAACCTGCCCCGTTGGGTCCAAAGATAAGGGGGTTTTTGGATTCAATTTCCTCGGCAACAGCTAAACACAAAATGCACATTAGTAATTAAGATAACAAGTCAGGTAACAGACAGAGGTTTACCAGATAATTCTGTAGGTCCAGCTCCATATATGTAGATGTAGAATGGTGATTTGGTTCAGACACTGAGTTAATCAAAACACAGATTGTAAGCCAAAGTAACCAGGTGCTCAGTGCACATGTGAAGTTGAGCTATGCCCGCGTATTATGTTAACACTGAAGATGCTAAAATAGCACTGATGACGGTATGATGTGCCTACATCTTCATTCGAAGCTCGCTGCCTAAACATGCATAAAGTCTACTAATACTACATATCTCGCTTCTAGACATCAAACAGGGCATTTCAGAGCTTCCGGTATTTTGCTCAATTTAGCCCATACGGTCAACTGGTCAGTCCGCCATGGCCTCGTAAGTCATCCCTACAACTGCACATGTGATATTCAATGTTATATGTATCTGGTAGAATGAGGGTATTTTCTGTATTCAATGCTCATTCTGTGGAAAACATTATCACCATTGATTATGGTCATGGCAAATCCAAGCAAGACTATGCCCCGTCCTTGATAAGCGACAGTGTTGATGGGAATATAAAATCGGTATAGATGTACCTAGAGACTTTACGGAAGCTGATCGATTTATTAAAGGCTAAGTAAACGGTAAAGCGATCAATGTTCTACAAGTCGCTTCTTACATATTGGGACCGATCCGTAGTGATAAATAATGAATTGGTGATCCGGAACGTAACTAAAGCTAATTGAATCCGCAGAAGTCTCGACGTCTGTTCAACATTCTTTAATGCCATATACGCCGAGTAACCTTGCGCTTGCTACTTAGTCCTTAGACGGGATTAGGCTTGGCCATAGTCTGAAGAAGACTGATAGATGGAGAGAAGAAGTAATCTCCACCATGGGCCTGGATAAAGGGCTTGTAGCTGGTGGTACTGTGCTCTCCCTTGCCATTGGTGATAGCCGTGGTAAGCACATGGTGCTTGGGCTTCTGCGGCCGCTTGATAAGCTGGCCGACGATACAATCTTGTCCTGGGTTTTCGCCACCAGTGTAATTCCACTTCTCATCTGGGAAAGTATTCAGGTTGATCCAGCCTTGGAGATAGTCAATACATATTTGAAGGTTCTGGTGTGGCATGACTTACTTCTTTGCAGGAACTGGAAGCCGTTGGAAATACTGGACTGGTAGCATGTAAACATGAGACCTCGGTCTAGCTTGGTCTCGGTCTCATCGGGTTCCACTTCTGGGCCATAGGGGATACCACGACGCATGATATCGTTCATGTCTCTATCGCTGACGATGCTACGGGGCTTGACCTTGCGCATGTGTGAAGCAAATGGACAGTTCTTGTGGCTGTCAGTGGGGTAGTTGAACTCGTTCATTCTGGCAGCGGCTGGGTTGTCCTGATCGGGGTGCAGTTCAACAGGGCAACCTGTCATCCTGCCTTAGCATCTTGAAATTTAACTCAAACAAGGAACTGTAATTGCAGCTTACCGCTCTTCCAGCGACCCATCAGTCGAGCTCCCAGCTGATCTTCAGTAAAATGGAGCCTCTGAGACTCCTCCTTCAAATACCTACAAATATCGCAGTCAGTTACTATTCAGCTAGAAGGTCAGGCAGGGCTTTGTCTTACTTGTTGAACTCAGGGACAAATTGCTGGTATTTACGGATGACGAGATAGCTGCCATCTGTGGCCCAGTCCGGGTGCATGAGCTTCTTCTCGTTGTCCATATCTCCATCGTGTCCCAGGATGATGCGACTATCATTCCACATTCAGTGAGTGCTTGAATCATTGGGGAAGATAAGAAAACCCACCCAGGACGACACATAAATTGGTAGTTGCCATCGCCCTCCTGGCACTTCTCGTCGAAGTTGGTCAACCGAGGCTGCGAAATGGAGTCCAAGAAGCCGAAGCTGGGACGGAGTTAGTTTGAGACCCTTAACTGAGGAATCGAAGACTTACTGCTCATGCTTTGCCATCTCACCATCTCGCTGCCGTCCATCAATGGTAATGACGTGTTTAATTCCATGGGCTTCATTGAAGTAATCCTTAGCAAGTTCTGCGGTGGTCTCTTTGACCTTCTTTTCAGTGCCGCAAACAAAGAATACACCTTCAACGCCACCATCCTTGAAGGCATCATCCCACTCCTCGATTCTGTCTCTGCCTTCGTTTACCAAATCCCCTTGCATTCCCTTGATATAGGGATCATCTTTGAAGCCGCCGACGGCCTCGGGGAAGAGCTATACCAAAAGCAAAATTAGAAGCGGCTCCGATCCATTAGGATCATGATGGATGCTTGCCTTTTTCATTCCCTTGAAAGTAAACGCAATGTTCACCGCCGCAACATCGTGCATTTCACCCGGCTTCAAGGTCTTAAGCTCATGTATTTTCTTCCTGTTATTCAGAGCATCATTCGACGTCGTAATCTTCTTAGCATCCAGGAGTCTTTTCAGACTCGGCTTGAAGGCATCGGGAGAAGTGATCTGGAAGAAGAAGAACTGCTCGTACTTCTTCGACAGACCAGGCCTAATGCATGTCAGGATAAAGAATCGCTGTGATATTGGACGGGGGATCTCACCAGATATCGCCTTGAATATTATCAAGGTTGGGAGGCACGGTTTGAACCATAATGTAAGAATGAAGTTCAGAAGTGATGCTGAACAGACACTTGAACCTTAAAAATGTCTTGCAAGACCTGCTGCTTCTGACTCACTTTATACACCGTGGATTTATGTGGATAATTGCGCACCTGCTGCAATCTCCTCCGCACCTGGCCATGCCACACCTGGGCATATGACATGTCGTCATCAGTACAGAGATAGTTTCTGCGTATGACGGAGTTCGCCGAATGCGTACACACCGTACTTCTAGCCCCACTGATATGTACGTGTATTGAGATGAACCCTGTTTACGCAGTTGTTATCTCTGACAGTAACGCTCAATGTTACATGCGCATGTGTGCGAAATATAAGCCCCGCAGGACCCTTGCTTGTAATCCGGGTATGCAGCCGGAGAAGCCGGGGACTTTCAAGTCTACTGGATATCGTTGGTCGACTACTACAAACTATACATTGAGCCATTAGCTGGGCGCTGCAAGGAAACGCTACATAGACAAGTTCAGCTTGCGCCCCTGCGTATGGTGTCCATCTGCGCGATCATTACGATCTTCGAGTCTAGACTGCTAAACTGTACTGTATAGACTAAAATTGTGACTAGTATTCCTGTTGCAGTTGCACTGTAAGGCCTAAGATGATAATTACAGAGCTTCTGTACTTATAGGGGCGGTCAAGATGAATAAGTTATTTGGAATCGCCCTTAGGTATTTGGGCTAATGTCTGACTCGGGTTCGGCCCGTTAAGGTTCATCCGACGGGTTTTCAGGGCTTGCAGAAACCTAGTTCACATTCCGCTTACCATTTGGCATGCCTCAATAGGTTGAATGCAGAAAACACGGTAGTTCGAGTCTCAATCTTGAGATATTCTCAATATATCGAAGATCAACACGTTGATCAGCAAACATCAGTTCGTATCGGAATGAAGGCGCATGTATTATGCACGGTATCTTTGGCGCTCCTTGCTGACTGGTTACAGTACATGCGAGACGACATTTTACATACGTGACAAGATTCTGCACCTTACTGCAGGAATAAAAAAGAAATGTTGCATGTTTCATTCGTTTCCCCACCAACGATGGTATGCCGAGACAGCAATATGAATGGACCATTAGGTCTATGACGACTTCAAAATAGAGATTTTATAAGCATCAAGGACCGCAGCTGAATGAGCCTGTGACTCCTAAATCTGCAAGTTTTTTTTTGTTTAAACTCCTGCATTTTGCCGCCCAAGCGCACTTCGACCAGTCATGAGATACGCATTGTCTGCAGGAGCCCTGCTGCTGGGAACAGTAGCGGTAGCAACGCGAGACATTGATCGTCTCAAGCACCTGTATAGCAAAGGCACAACCCCTGACACTGCTCGTATCGGTGGTCGGGATATCGCTACCGTGTCGCAACCTCTGCCACAGGGTAGCACTATCGATCGCTCCAAATGGCAGATTACATGCTCCTCCGGTGCCGATCGCTGCAAGGACATAGCCGACAACTCGACCGACACCATCTGGACCAGCTCAGCTAGCGATTCTCAGAACATCACGATTCAGCTGGGAGGAGAACATGCCGTTAGCGGTCTGACCATGGTCCCTAGACAGGACGACGCGGGCGAGTGGATTGAAGAGCACCAGATCTCCGTCAGTACCGATGGTACAAACTGGGAGGAGGTTGCATATGGTACCTGGTGGCCTGACAAGGCCCAGAAGCTCTCAGCTTTCCAGCCTAAAAAGGCGAGCTGGGTCCGTCTGTCTGCCACGCAAGGCTCTGTCTCCATTGCGGATCTGGAGATTTATCAAACTGATTTCATCCCACCTAATCCGTCCTTGGGTGCCTGGGGTCCAACCATTGACCTTCCTCTGGTCCCCGTTTCTGCAGCAGTTGACCCCATCTCCGGCGCAGTGGTGACTTGGTCTTCATGGGGATACGATATCTTTGTTAACAGCGCGGGTGGTGAAACACAGACAGCTACATGGCACCCAACGAATAAGTCTGTGACTCAGCGAGATGTTGAGAATGTTCATCATGACATGTTCTGTCCTGGTATCTCCATCGACGCAGACGGAAAGTTCGTCGTCTCAGGCGGAACCGACCAACGTCGAACCAGTATTTTCAACACCTCCACCGCTGCTGATCGTTGGTACATTGCAGCTGGTATGAACATCGACCGTGGCTACCAGGCAACCTCGACCCTATCTGATGGACGCATCTTTACTATTGGTGGATCATTCAGTGGCGGAGTTGGCGGCGACGGCGCGGATTTGGGCCAACGAGATGTCGCTGCCCGTGGCAAGGACGGCGAGCTTTACGACCCTATCCAGAACAAATGGATTGAAATTCCTAATGCGAAGGCCGGGCCCATGCTCACGAATGACGTTCGCACTTACCGACAAGACAACCACGGCTGGATCTTCGCTTGGACCAATGCCACTGCCTTCCAGGCCGGCCCCAGCAAAGCTATGAACTGGTACTACACAGGTGGCAGTGGTGATGTCTCTCCTGCTGGAGAGCGCACTGGTGACAATGACGCTATGTGTGGAAATGCAGTCATGTTCGACAACGGCAAGATTCTCGCCATGGGTGGTTCTCCCGATTACGAGGACCAGCTTGCCACCAACTATGCTGCTGTCATCTCCATCGGCGAGCCTGGCCAGAATGCCACCGTGCAGAAGACCTCGAACCAAATGTACTACAAGCGTACTTTCCACTCTTCCGTGGTCTTGCCCGATGGCTCTGTGTTTGTCAATGGCGGACAAGAGAAGGGCCTTCCTTTCAACGAAGCAGGCAGCCAATACGTTTCGGAGCGTTTCATTCCTGGCTCCAACGGTGGAAAGTGGATCAAGCAGCAGAAGAACAGCATTGCCCGCGTTTACCACAGTCTCTCCCTGTTGCTTCGCGATGGTACTGTCTTCAGCGCTGGTGGTGGTCTCTGCGGAGATTGCGCTGCCAACCACTTCGATGGGCAAATCTACACTCCTCCTTACCTCTTGAACGCTGACGGAAGCGTAAAGACCGACCGTCCCGCCATTGAGAACGTTTCCCCCAACGAGGGCAAGGCTGGTGATACCTTCGAGGTTACTACTACCGGTGATGTTGACCAGACTGCTTCTCTCATTCGCTACGGCTCTGCTACCCACACTGTCAACACTGATCAGCGCCGTGTCAGTGTTCAGTTGACCAAGACTGGAGACAACAAGTACACCTTCCAGCTCCCTGCTGAGGCTGGTATTGCTCAGCCTGGTTACTACATGCTTTTCGTCCTTAAGGACGGTGTCCCCAGTCACTCTGAGAACGTCCGCGTTGTGCCGGAATAGATTTCTCAACTACCTAATGTCTAATGTGTGTTGATGGTGAGAATGGTTGATGAGTGTATGGATGAAGAAGAGAATTTGGAATTATGTGACGGTGCAGTTAATCTTCAGAAAACCATGTTATTTAGGGCAATATTATAGGGTCGAAATTTTGATCATCTTGAACTAGTCACCTATAAACTATGAAGTATAAGCAGTGACACTAACAGGACTTTAAAGAAACCGAGTCATCTGAAATCAGCCTAGGCATTGGGCAGATACTCTTTCCAAGCAGAAATCGATGGAGCAAAGAAGTAATTTCTAATGTGTGTTGATGGCAAGAATGGCTGATGCATGTATGGATGAAGAAGAGAATTTAGAATTGTGACGGTGCAGTTAATCTTCTTAAAACAATGTTATTTAGGGCAATATTATAGGTTCGAAATTTTGATCATCTTGAGCTAGTCACCTATAAACTATGAAGTATAAGCAGTGACACTAACATGACTTTAAAGAAACCGAGTCATCTGAAATCAGCCTAGGCATTGGGCAGGTACTCTTTCAGAGCAGAAATCGATGGAGCAAAGAAGTATTCTCCGCCGTGAGGAACAATGATTCTGTGCAGATCAACAGTTGAATCAAAAGGCTGGGAAGCAATTTTCGTAACGTCCGTGCTAGGGAAGGGAATCTTAGGAGGATCTTGGTATACGGCATTAATTCCAAAAGCATCGGGCTTCCCGTGTCGATGTGGCGCAACTTGGCCAATAAGGGCGTCAATCCCCTGGCTGATACCTCCACCGTGTTGAGCCATGTCTGATGGGGTGTTGGGAGCATTGGCCCATCCTGCAGAGCGTCAGAAAAGGACAGTTTTCGTAAAGTCGTTGAGAAGTACTTACGCTTTTGCTGCGTGACGAATCCGTTCTCGATGCTGCTCTGGTAACTGACAAACAGCAGACCACGCTCCGTCTTAGTAACACCAAGTCCTCTCTCATCAGGATCGCACAATGGCCCATAAGGAATTCCTCGGCGCAGCATGGTGTGTTTGGCGTATTCAGCATAGTCGTCTCGAGGGCCAGTCTTGCGCATGTGGGATGCATAAGGACACTTGGTCTGGTCCACGGGATTATAGTTGAAGGCATCCGTGTGGTTCAGCGCCTTCAACTCGTCCTCGCTGTATTTTCCTTCGCAGTGCCTCGAGTTGGGGTCTACTAGAGGATGCTCCTCCATTACAGCACCTAATGCGTTCCTCTTGATCAGTATCTTGAGCATCGACTAAGGACAGAAAGTGATTGCTTCTTGTGAGTACTCACCGCCAGGCCAGCGTCCTACCGCTCGTGAAGAGAACAGGCCCATTTCATCCAGCGCCTCGTTCGTCCAGTAAACCGGTTCCCCCTTTGCTTGAGCTTTTTTGGTCTCCTCGTCTGCAGTAGGGCAATTCTGAGAGCACCAGCTAGACCCGAAGGTTAATTGAGTCTGAAACATCACACAGCACTTTATAGGACAATGTCACGATCGTGATACTTACTGGTAGAATTCGGGGACCAGCTGCTCATAGATGCGAAAAACCATGAAGCTGCCGTCCTTGGCCCATTTAGGAGTCTTACTCTCATCGCCCTCATGTCCGACAATGAACACTCTGAGATACCACAGAGTTAGAGTCGAAGGATCGCGTAACAAGTTGAGATGATTATGACTTACCCGGGGTCGACTGGCTTCATTCCTTTGCCGTTGTATGCTGAAGTGTCGTCCAACCCTTTGACAAGGGGCTGGCTAATACCATCCACCCATCCGAAGCTAACGCAATAGATAGATCTTAGTACAAGCCAGGTATTTTGACGGGGTTGGCAAAACTGACTGTTCGATATGGTTTTTGTAGACGGTACCGTCCTTGCTGAAGACCTTTTCAATACTTTGCTTGTCATTGCCGATGTTGAAGACCCAGTCGAATGTCTTCCGGGTCAGCTTCTCAATGCCATCTTGAGTGTCACCAGTCACGGTGAGACAGCCGTCAATGAAACCATTGCTGGGCTTCAATTCAGGGGCCCAATCCCGCTGGTCGTCGAGGCCTTGGTGGTCTTCAGCTTTCTCGCCCTCCTCTGGGTAAGTCATGTCTTTGAATTGGCCACCGTTGAAGATGTCGTCGTTGAACTTCTCTGCACCAAGCTGTTGAAAGTAAGCATGTATTCACTTACAGCTGTTTTCTCAATGCTTACCTTGGCCAGACCACTAGCCGTAAAGGCAATGTTCATCGACACCATCTTAATGAGCTCCTTGCTACCATCGGCTTTCTTTCTCATGATATCTTCACGGTTTTTCACAGTCGTCTGGGCCGTGGTGATGTAATCAGCCATCTGTGGAAGTGCTTTCTTGAACTCCGCAGGATTGGTAATCCGAAAGAAGATGAACTTCTCGAATTTTTTAGGAAGACGAGGCCTGAATTTGTCAATTCGAAGGACAGCCCAAAGCCCATCAATGGGCGCGAAGCAGTAGCGGTTTGAGCCTCTTTGACTTACCAGACATCTCCCTGGAGGTTACCTTGGTCCACCATTTTGCTCAGTTGACTCGAACCCAACAGTAATTTACTTGGTCGACCCAATATTAGATTGTAGATCGCGCGCAAAATATCCGCTATAAAGGAAAACATTGCAGCCGATTGAAGATTTTATAAGGAAGAAAGGTCAGAGAGTCTTTGTGGGCCAGGATTAAGAAACTAATGTCAGCGCATGCATGCACCAGGTGGCGGTGTAACCTCAGGTGCAGAGAGGTGGGGGAAGACTCACAGGAGTCCGCAAGAGGCAAAATGCATATAGCCACCTAGCTGCCTAGCCATGTCGTGATATCATGGTTTGCTTCATGCAAGCAGGAAGATAGCTTGCAGCGAATCATAAGAGAGGCAATTACCACTGCGGATCAGCTTTATGAGATCACCACGGAGGTAAGGAGTCCATAGCTCGCTTGATGGATACTGTGTTAGTCGAGTAGCTGATGTCACCTCATGTGCCGGTTTATTTCTGACAATACTACATCGTGGTAAAGCGTGATGGAGCATGCTATGGATAGATTTACTGTATGATTCCAAGACTGAGATACCATTTTTATGATGTCAGTGATACATGAGATGGGGGGAATGCTGAGTGATGTGTAAATTCTCAGCTAGAAATGTCGATCTCCGAATGCACATACCTAATCCAAATGCTCAGCTGTACCCAAGTGCATGGGAAGGCTATCCACCAGCATATTTGGCCAGACGATCCAGCTTGGCGAGCTACAGCCACGGGGAGGCCGATGTTTGACGTATGCTAGGTATTGATTACATGTTCAGCGGTGTATAGCTAGGTTTGATGGATCGAATCTATTGATACTAGTGCTGCCGATCGCTTACATGTAATATACAATGCATGATCAGCGGTGTATAGCTAGGTTTGATGGATCGAATCTATTGATACTAGTGCTGCTGATCGCTTACATGTAATATACAATGCATGAACCATCGGAACTGAGACCTTCGAAGTCTTGGCAAGGCGTTCGACTTATTTAAGTATTGCCTTTCATATCCCGAGATCCCTGCAGAATACAGCCAGTCATTACCCATCAAGCTTAATTTCTACCACCCGACAGCCGAGATGCATCTCTACTTCGTCCTCACCGCCACTCTGACCTTGGCTGTTTCTACTGCCTTTGCCGGTAGTGCGACTCAGCAGTCCCTGGCCGACGTCGACTGCCTGAACCTTTGCAAAGACACCAAGGACTCCTACTCGTGCCCTCCTGACACTGAGAAATCCCAGCTCGATAACGTAAGCTTTGACTTCAAAGGCCTGCTCCGTGAGAATAATGATTAACGTTTGAATCGATACGCTCTAGGGATGCTGGACCTGCTGCGACTCTGAGTAAATAGCCTTCTACGACTCCTGGGTCGCATTGGAGGATAAGGGTTACTGTCAATTTGGCATGCAAGCGATCTGTTATGCTCTACAGCTAAATGTTTGGATGCTTTGGGCCTACGTTCGAGGCCTTGGAAGTGGTTGAGTCATACATACCAAGTCCAACAAAATGAAAAGCACAGTTCAAGTGTTCGCAATCGGGGTGTACGAATGTAGTTTGTAATAGATAAGCAATTAGTAATGCCTCATACGACGCCATTTTGAGGAGGAGAAGCAGGCTAAGCTTGAAAAGGGATTCAAATTGATTCCAACTTCATGCTCAATGTCCATCGGATACAAGTTGCCATTGAGTCAAAACAGATTCTCTAGTTCCTCGGAATAATTCGGAGCAAAAGCACGCTGAAGGATGGAAAAGAAGAAAAAGCAAACACGGCCCGTGAATCATGCACTGTGGAAGCGCAGCCAATGGCCGAGAGCTAGGGAATTCTGTGGTAAGGTTACGTTAAAATATTTGGGCTTGGTCCAATATCGAACCTAACCCAATTAGGAATGATTAGCGTAGCGGGGATCCCCCGGAGCAGCTCCGTACCGCCCATCGTCCCGCCCCCCGTATAAAACATTCTAACGAACCTCTCACATTTCTGCCCAGCCACACGTTTTTCCTCACGAATACATTCTTCGGGTGTTAACATCGAGCCAGAGCGCTGAGGTGGAGTAGCCGAGCCTGGAGGTTTCTTCTAGGCTCTCTAAAAGTCGAGTCTGACAGAATTAGAATGATCTTCAATACAACACGCTCGATTCTGCACGACGCATTCGGCGTAATTATAAGTGGGACAGACGGTATAACATAGAACTACACTGAAATAAAATACAATCAAAGGCGCCCGCGCTTGGCATGTATTGCCACTAAGCGCCGGTGATTCTAAAGAGCTAATTCATAGAATGTAACAAACAACCAATTGTTCTTGACCAGCTTGTCTCTTTTACGTTCTATTACATGAGGTAAATAGGGGGCAACTGGGTCTTTGCTGATCGCAAATCCATTAATTGAATGATTCGAGAGTCTACAGAATTAAAGGCCTCCGGACTTTGGGAGAGTATAGTAGAATGAGGACAACAAAGTAGCATAGAAATCCATGTAGTGTCCAAGGAATGCTATTTAGTTGTGGTAATACAGGCGTGGCTGTATCATTCTCAGATATTCCCGTTTCCACATACTGATCTACTGACGTAGTGGATGCCACGGGAACATTCATCCAGTTTAGGTATTTGAGAGCAAGCGTCCCGTGGGCTCAGATTGTTTCGGTGGTATGGCATGATGCGTATATGGCTCCTTGCATATCGCAGGATACAACAGTAGTTCTATCCCCATGAGAAATGAATTTGAGTGTGAATCAATGTAACTTACCCTTTACTGTTGATATCCTTAATTTGGATGTAACTCGCAGCCGCAACGGCTGTCATCCTAGGGCCTAGAATTCCATAGTCCGAAACCGCAACCTTCTTTAGATAAGTAACCAAGTAAGTGGTAACGGAATGTTCCTTTTTCTTTGTTAGATAGTGGTTTTCGAAATCTTGACAAACTTACCTCGCCCAAGATTGCTGCTTAGAGATTGTGCCCCCAGAGTCCGGGAAGTATCAGATTGGCCATTTCCACTCCCCTAGCGATACTACCCTAGTATATGATCATTAAATACCGCAGAGCCATGATGTCAATTTCGGTTACGATTCAATGGATTCTTTTTTTCTAGAGGAATTGAAGGATGACCTTTGGTTTTGAATCATATTTTCTTAATGTCCTGCGGCGGCACGCCCACGTACGAGTACTAAAACGCGTTAGCGAGGCGCCTATATCTGTCTAACGCCTCTTGAGAATATAAATAGACCAAAATTAGTAAGTCGAAGACTGAAAAGGTTTCACCTATAAATTATACGGCAAATTTCCGTAGTATGTTATGGTTAACCTTATCTTCCTCTTCAAATATGTCCACACTAGCAAATCGAAAGCGCGCTCTGGAGAGAAAGAAGTGCCGTGAATTTCTTTCAAACTACCTTAGTACGCTTGCTTATCATGCTGTTTGTTTAGAATACTGACTATAAAAGGGGTGGAATTAGGACTCTCTATACGACCGTTAGAAGTTCGGCTTCGCCCATCAGACAGAGACGAATACTAATTAGACTGTGCCATAACCCGCAAATGGGTAGGCCAAGTCAACCCGCAACCCGCATGGGGAGGGTTGCGGGTTGGGTTGCGGGTTGGGTTGCGGGTTACCCACGCTAGCCCATCTTTGCATAAAACTCTTAACACTTTTCCTAAACTGGTTTGATAAATTTTATTATTTATATGATTAATTACTATTATTTATACATGTTTTGGTCCCGCGTATGAATTTCAGGTTATTCAATTAGGGTATATTTACTTTATACATTATTTACTTCAACGATTCACTAGCAAATATTCTATTTAAAACCAATTAAGCTGTACTAGTAATATTCACAAATACAAGTAAATACTACATAATTTATGCAGAGAGAGCTATTTCCATGTTTGTCCTGTTTGACGACCCATTGGGTAATCCGCAAACCCGCGCGGTTTTCCCATAAGAACCCTCAACCCGCGTGCGGGTTAAACAGACTGACCCATTTCCCTACCCATAGGGAGGATGGACGGGTTCGGGTGCGGGTTCATGCGGGTCATGGCACAGCCTAGTCGTATGTGCTTTGAGTCACGTTGAAGTAACTATGTAGTAAATGTTTCTAAGGGATATATGTGTAGCCTTAAAGCAGCTAGTAGTCCAGTGGGTGCCGCCAGGGCGAGGAATGGGTGAGAGCTGCTTTAGCGTCGCGCAACCGGGGGTGAGAAGGGTGAGTGCGCAATAGGTAGGGTAAGAAGCAGGGTGAGAGCGGGTGAGAAATCACCCCCCGTCGCGCGACAACCGCATTTATCCTCCTAGCTGAGCATGGGTATGGTCTTGCCAGGCGATCAACTGGACGTTCAGGGGGATCAGATCGGCCTTGTTGAAGGAAGGATTCTGTTGAACGTGGCAGCAGTCAACGCCCGAACACAGGACACGGTCCTTCGCGCAGAGGCATAAGTGGACCAGGCTCCCACTGTCTACATCTTCACTTGACAGGGTAGCTAGTCGATGGGTATGGGTATGGCGTCCTACCGGTCCAGTTCGGCCGCAAGGAAGGTCTGGGACGATGCGGACCAGTTTCTCGTTGCGAAATTCGGCAAGTTATATTTGACCCTGTTGATACCATATTCCCCCTTTTTTGCTAACATCAACCGCTACGTAGGGTGGTCGGTGTTAGATCTTGTTCGAAACAATCCCAAGTCACTTGCGGTGTATTTCGGAGGTCAGCGTGGCAGACAGGTACGATCAAACTATATGGCGATGACGATCGACTCATATTGTCTGGATGGAAAGATCATCAAAAAGCCGATCATCAAGGACCTGACGAGCGAGAGCATGTCGTATACCTTTTCCAATCCCCGGGGATTGTTATTCTCTACCCAGTTCGCACAGCCAATTATCATATTACCCGAGCAGGTGGCCATGACAGACTTGAAGCACCGCGGAGTCATCCAGGAGGGCACATGCTTTGCCGGCCATTCCCTGAAGAATACAGTGCGCTGTCAGCCTTTGCTGAATCCATGCGCTTTGAGGATCTGCTCGAGGTCGTGTTCTCTCGTGGACTCGCGATGCAACTGGTCATTGAGCGCGAAGACCAGGGACGCACCAACCTCTCCATGGTTGCTGCGAATCCCAATCCCACACGCGTCGGCAAGTGTAAGTTGGAGGCCACTTTCTTGCAAAACCGGCTAACTTTCTAACCTGTCGCTGTAGTCTTCACGAAATGGGCCTTGAGAAACCTGGTGGAGATGATCGCGACGACGACCAATGCACTGACTGCTGGAGATTGTCAACTTCAATTTGGAAGGCGAACAGTATGTCCGTGCAGGAACGGTAAGTTTCCTTCTGTTTCAGGGCCATCTTCGGGTACTTATATTGTCTTGACAGCTGGATAACCTTCATGCCTTGGGGGCTATCCTCAACTACATTGCCAAAGCTCCCAATGGCGCAGCCATTTCCCGGGGGTAGCGGAAAATCCTCATTCGAAGGATAGCCTCAGCGTCGTGTCGCGGAGTGTTTCCGAAGCCCAACAGCTGGCCAGTCCCACCACTCTCCAGCGTGGCACAGTCACGATACCACTGCAGGGGATCGATGTGCCGTTTCATTTGGCGTATCTACGCGACGGGGTGCCTTCGTACCGCAGCTTTTTGGAGGAACGAATTCGCGACGGCGACGTCGACCCTCAACGGCTTATTGGGAAATTGGTTCCCAATGTTATGGGCAAGCCATTCTCATTGAGCCTAGAGTACATTCAGGATGCATATCGGTTGACCGCCAGTCCCATCCTGGGCGAGGTCCTGGCCGCTTAATCTTTGAGTATAAGTATCACCTTTAAATGCCGTTCATGTGCTTATCATTTCCCTCTCTGTGTATGCCGTACTTCCGACTAGTAATCTCCACCCCTGAACATTGCCAATCAATGGATCGTAAATGCCTATTCCTTGTATGCGCACGTAATTCTCCTCGGGCGCGGCAGCCGAACTCCGCATGACGGATACATATAGGCGGACACCTTCATTCAATCGCCTCTGTCAATTCTCTTCTCTCAAAATCAATTCAAATCTCACCACAGCGTATTGAGAAATTCCGCAATAAAGGTCAACGCGATGCCCGACACCGAGACGGGGCCCGACCCCCCAGAGCCGACGTGGGTGGTAGAATGGGATGGCCCCTGTGACTCGGAAAACCCCCATAACTGGTCCCTCCGGTACAGGTGGTTCATCAGTTTTGTACTCGTTGTTTTACCCTTGATCGTCAACATCGGGTCCAGCATCATGAGTGGCACTCTTACCTCACTGGAGAAAGAATTCCACATCAGCTCCGAGGTGGCCATTCTGACGACCACTACCATATTTTTGATGGCATGTCCTCCCTAGTTTTGTGTACCCTAACATTATTTGAAGTTAACAACCGTTGTTTACGAATAGGGGTTTGTCACAGGTCCCTTGATCTTTGGCCCACTGTCTGAGAAGTACGGAAGGCGATGGCCCATTCTCAGCGGTGTCGTGCTCTTCTCGACCTTCTGTATTCCGATTGCAGTGGCAGAGAACTTCTATACCATTCTGATCTCACGCTTCTTCAGCGGCGCCTTCGGGGCGTCGTCAATGGCTGTGACAGGGGGAGCCTTGACAGACGTTTGGAACACCGCAGTCAGTCGAGGCATCTCGCTAGACTGCTTCGTGGCCACAGCCTTCGTGGGTCCCGTTATCGGGCCCATTGTCGGCGACTTTATCACGGAGAGCTATCTAGGCTGGCGATGGACCATGTGGGTCACGATGATCGCCGCCTATAGCTTCTCCATCCTCGCGTGGGTCGTCCTGCCCGAGACTTATGCACCCACGCTGCTCACGGCCAAGGCGGCGCGACTACGATTTCAAACCAAGAATTGGGCACTCCATAGTAAGATGGAAGAGGAAGGGGAGACAACGTTTATGTCCTTCGCGCAGATTTATCTGTTGCGCCCGTGGAGTAAGTTGTGACCCTCGAGATCATGCCCCCACACCTACTCACTCTTCATACAGCTCTTCTTGCGACGGAGCCCATCATGATGCTGGTTACCCTGTACATGAGCTTTCTCTATGGACTGCTATTCCTGTTCTTCGAGGGCTTCCCCATCTCATTCGTAGAGGAACGTGGGTGGAAGCCCCAAATTGGATCACTTTCCTTCCTGAGTCTCTTCGTCGGCATCATCCTAGGACTGATGGGCATGGTGACTTGGTCTATGACCATCTTCGCCCACCAGGTCAACTCGACACCGGGTAAGGTGGTGCCGGAGCGTCGTCTGCCGCCGATGATCGTGGGCGCCGTCGGACTCCCCATCGGACTGTTCTGGTTCGCGTGGACAAGCAATCCTAGTATCCCCTGGGGTGCGGAGATCATTGCGCCGGCGCTGGTGTCGGCATCGATGTTCGCCACCTTTATCTCGGGCCTGAAATATATCGTCGACGTGTACCTGATCTACGCGAACAGCGCCATCTCCGCCAATACCGTCGTCCGGAGCTGCTTCGGGGCCGGATTTCCTCTCTTTGCCAATGCTATGTACCACCGGCTGGGCTTTCCCTGGGCGACCAGTCTGTTGGCGTTTCTGGCCGTCGCTTTGGCCCCAGTCCCAGTCATCTTCTATCTGTTTGGGCAGAAGATTCGACTGTGGTCGCGCATGTCGGCCAACAAAACCTGAAAGATGACCCTAGAAGGATTGCGGAGGACGGAATGAGGATTGGCCTCAGTGGTTGCAGGCTTACCTGTTTCAGGTGTTGCCAACCGCTTCTAGACAATTCCCATATCCCGATGACTGGCCTCCAATGTGTAATAAGGTGGTTATTCATTCAGTTTCTAATACAAAAACCATATACTGTACGGTGATACCAGCCACTTTGTCGTGCCTAAGAAATCATCTCAGTCGCACGGCTGAAACTCCTGTGATATTTTTAAAGAGAGCGTAAACAAATTCATGATCATAAATTCGGCATCTACGGGGCGAAATGTCCTTCTGAGAGCAGAACTTCAAGAAGTGCCGGGTCGAAGAAGTAATTGGGCGAATCAAATGTCTCCAAGATGTTTGCTTGCTCCCGAATCAGCGTGTTGTCAGTACCAGGCAAGTAAATCGCGGAGTCATGCCCGACCGACGCAGATGGCCGAAAGTCTCCCATATCAGTAATGGTCGACGGGGTCAGCAGGCATGGTGTTGGCCCCAAGGCCTCACTCGAGTCGGTGATCATGCTCATTAATTCGGTGCACCAAGCGACACCCAGATGTAGCTTCGTCGCATATGCATTTGGTATATCCTTGTTCTCTAAGGAGCTCAGTTGGTCGCGGACCCTGATCAGCTGCGGAACAATGGCCGCGAGGTCGACTGCACCCTCCCCCGTCAGGTATTGCGCGCAGAGGTCGTGAAAGGCAACAAGTGGGTAGTTCTGGAACATCCTACAAGTAATTGATCAGCTTCAAGTGGATGTGAGGGGTGTGAAAGCACCTACCGGCCCAGAACCATACAACTGCCTGGTGTTACAGGCTCCTCGAAGACATCCGTTATGGTCTTGAGAGCGGATACGGCATGCTCGCGGGTTACCTGCCATTCCTCGGCTGTCCGGTGGCAGCGGTGGATCAGAATCTTGGTGACATGGTAGCAGTATTTGATCTCCAGCTGCATCAGGCGCAGGCCAGGGTCGCGAGACACCAGCGACGGAAGTGGCGGTAAACGCTCGTCGCACAGACGGTTCAACCGATGCAATTGCTCGCGCCGATGATCTGCCCCCAAGAACACTGCTCGCGCCGAGTATAGCCCGATATAAATTTCCTCCCAGACAGCCATCATGTGTGCTGCGGTGGAGTGGAGTTGCATCTCAACGGGTATCAGCGGGGTGGGTGGGGGGGGTTGGAACTCAGAGTCAAAGAGATATAGATCGGGAGAATGTCCGCTGAGGAAGACACGGGTTTTATCCATGGCATACAAGATCCAGAAGAGTCGCTGGCGGGCTTGCAGTGCACTGTCATTCACAGTCCCGACGCACCGGTGGAGGCCGATGGACCGTGCTGTTTTACAGGCTGCAGAGCAGACCTTCTCGAATACCGCATTAATGAAGAACTCTCGCGCCACTAGAGCCTGTCATAGTCAATTTGGCCATTCGTGATACCTACAGGGCCCTGTTCCTTACCAGCATGATGAGAGCCTGGATGTTGACCACTGTTGGCTGCGACAGCGCGTCTAGCTCGGCCAAGGCACGGCGACAGTTGTTCAAAGCGTTTGAAATTACCTCTGAATGCTGTCTCCATGGGTCGATATCAAGGCCAGATCGTCGGGCCACACGGGTGTCGAGATGCAAGGTAAGCAGGACAATACTGTTCAAACATACCAGCCAGGACCGGTGGACAGAAGGACCATTGGATCGGTAGCACTTCGGAATGGTCTCATACAAGACACCAGCCTCAAACACAGGAGTATGAAGGTTAATGTGATTCAAGTAGCGATCGAGTACTGAATACAGGACATCCTGGGGAGGCGGCGTGATGGGTCTTTGGTCACTGGTGATGGGCGGCTCGGTACACCCCCGTCGAAACGGAAACATCTCGTAATGACGCAGCAACGATGGTCGTAAGGCGGGATTTCCCATTCTTCCTGCCAGCGGACCGCGTAGCGGAGGTTCGGTATGCAGGGCTGCCCCCAGCAGTTTCTGCGAGGCACGGAACAAGCACAGTGCAGCGGGATAGCCATACTGACGCTCGCCACACCCCACAGTCAAGAGAACCTTTTCTGAGGCCATATCTTCCGGTGGCCCTTCTTCCCTGTTCATCTCTGGTCCATTCCGATCTTTAGTGGTGGGCAAGGGCAGCGGCTCTGTGGTCACGATGCAATTTGCGGTCAACGACTCGACTTGCTGCGACAGGCGCGCCAGGGACCGATCTACGTGGTCTAATCGGCTGAGGACGGACGAGAAGTCATTTAATCTGACTATGTTAGCCTTTTACATTTTTGCATAACAATAATATTCAGAGAAATCGCACAGTTGTCTGGCGGGGTTGGTCCTTTTGAACGAGGCGGAAAAGTCGCAGGGGAACGCCAGCTTTGCAACAGGCGGAACATTCCGGCTGGTTGCGATCGCATCGAATCTGAATGGAGCTGATTTACTATTCGATCCATCCATACAGTGATGAGAGGACTGACCTTGCGCGACCGACATTGATTGCAGGCAGGTGTCGTCGAGTCGGCTTCAGAACTGAGACGGGGACGCTTCCTGGTCTTTTGCATGATGAAACACAATAAATATTACGGTGATGATATTCGAGGAGCAGATGGATTGGAAGAGGATCAATGATGGACTGATGGGTGATAATGATCATGGTGGTGGTGATAAGTGGCGGGGTTCGGCACGCGAGGTCCGAGTTCTTGTATTGAGTACGATCGCTGAACTCACAAATAGGCGATCCTCTACGTCTCTAGGTCCTGGATCCACGTTTCAAATTGCTCCTTATCGAAATTGGCCTCAAATTGTTTGCGACCGATAGATTTTGCTTGATCTGGTGTAAATCGCGTCGTAACCAGCCCCTTTCATAAATTACCATTTACTTCGGACTTATTGTGTTAACCGAGGATCGAATTAGCAGCAGCGATCTCCTAGCGTCTTTGGGATAGGCCAGCGAGTCTAATAATCGATATGTTGACGGAGAGTGTCCTGGCGGGATGTAGTATATCTTGCCTCCGTGCATCTACCTATACCGCTGCGGCGGGCTGCCTCCTGCAGGAGACGGCCGTTGTTCTCTCTAAGATTATTGTAAATAGTTCTTGGTCTAGCTAGATCAATCAGGCCAGCTTCAGCCTTTCACATATTTCTTCACTAGACTTACAGTAAAATTCGGAAACAGTTTACTCCTTCAGCACGCACAGCTTGTTTCTCGGCTCGTAACCGGTAACAGTTTAAGCCATATTTGGCTAGGTTGTAATCTATATAGATACCTAACTGGCTGATACCTTACCGCTTATCCTAATACATATCACCCTGGTTTCGGGTACGGGCCTAGGGGTACACTGTTTTCGAAGACAGGAAATGCCGATAGGCATACTTACTGAGGCGACCTAGCAACCCCATCCTCGGTGCATGGAGCTTCCAGCGATAAACAGTCGGGTAGCGCTGTAATGTCCTTGCATACAACGTTTCGTTGATAGAGCCGGCGGCAAGACCCTGGCCTTTTCCGACTGGAATGGTAAATTACTCACTTGAAAGTTGAAGAGACCATCCCCAAGTTCTATGGGTATAGCTATCTTCTCAGCTTCTACCAACATGTATGCAACACCAACCATCTCATCTAAAGAACATCGAGCATCCCTTCACCAGTGCTAGTTTGCCGAGCTTCGGTCCTACCCTGTTCAGAAGATCAGGAGCCCGGCGATCAATACTCTTCGTTACAAAATTTATTCTCTGGCCAATGATGGTCATCGGCTTGGTATCCTGGCACGTGATACTGTGGCTGGAGACATTGAAACAGCTGCTTCCCATGAAGCCAGTCGCGGACACATTGATCCAAACCTATGTTGACAAATTTGACATTACCCAACGAGTACAGAGTGAAGATCACGGAACACAAACCGTCTAGTAGACACATGGGAAACACAAAATACGCTGTTAATATGTTTAGTTGGGATTATTGGCATGGGTGAGGGTCTCATATGCCACAAAAAGTCCATTACTTCCGGCCGGCCGACGTGCAACGGTCCACTCGTCAGTATATGTCAAGTTTGTGTATCCCAATCTTGTCGCAAATGCATTAAATCCAATTTCCGTCGTGGAGAGCAAGGTAGAATCGAGAGTGCCGTCACAGAGCCACGATGGAACATCAACACCCTCGGAAAACTGCGTGTGGAACTCAAGGGCCGCTTGAAGACGAGTGCCGATAGAAGTCTGGTATAAATCTGTACCCTGGATGCGTGACATCTCGGACACATGTGCGATGGATGCCAGACCATATCCCGTATGCTCCAGGTCTCTACATGTCTCTTGTGCCATACCGCTGGCTTCGAATGTGCTTTGTCCCTCCCAATAGCTGATCAAGGCAGCCTCGGTAGTGATACCTCGCGGGTAAACGGGCAAAGAACCGTCAGAGGTCATGTAGATATAGGCAGGAACGCGAGCTTCAAAGAGCTCCATGGCGGTATCGTATGCAGTGGAATTTTTCAAGAAACACACCCATAAACATAGCGGCTTCTGTCATGACTTTTGCGCGCTAGGTTAGTGTTCTTATCTTGAAATGACTCGGACTTTTACCAACCTAACTCCCAGTTTCCGTTATAAGTTGAGCCACCAATCACAAATGGCATGTAGGCTGTGCGCAGCATATCCTCAAAGTCTTCGATCTGGATGGTGCTCCAGCCAGCATCAGAATACCGTATAAGTTCTCCCGTACGAGCCCAGACTGATCCGACCCAGCCGGACTGAATTGGCGCATTGGTATCATTATGACTTAGGATAGTCGAAGACCAAGAATTCATAATATCAATAGCTCTATCTGCGTATGACTGCTCTTCACTGACAATCCATGCCAAGGCATTGCCATACGCCGCAAGAGAGTCTTCGCGCTCGGCGGAACATCCGACATCAGGGTTGCTGTACGATCCACAGACAACGGTTGGTACTGGTGAGGGCGTATATGTCTTATCCGCGACCCCCGTTTGTTCAAGAAGCTGATCATAAGCCGCAAGCCAAGGTGACGAAGAGGCAGCCACCTTTGCTTTGAAGTAATTAATCTGTTCCTGGCTAATCATCACACCAGGGTGGACCCATGTCGAACGACGTTGAAAGCGTTCCGTCGGAGTTGAGAGTTTCGGATCCAAGGGAGCACTGGCTGCAATCCTAATTAAAAGGCACAAGGCAAAATTCAAAGTGAAGATAAACTTCATTGTGGGATATGCTTCATCAGAGTGAGATAAATTGGGAATATGCTGATATTCCAATAAAGGTGAAAAAATATCGCTGAAAACGGAGACGGGGAAAATTATAATTTAGCTCTCCGATCATCTTACTGCAAAGCATTACCTTCGCTATGGTTTTACCACGACCATTTCCGAGTGGGTAGTAGGCGAGTAGTGATATTGAAGGACTGCCAGGTATGAAGATCAACATGATACAGGGGGTATCTAGTGGAGCACTAACTCTAATTCGATTACGCGAATGGCTGGGTCGTATTAATCACGTTACAGAATCCGTTGCCGTCATAATAAATGTACACGGAAATTCCGAGGTCGGATTCGTCTCGATTGCCGACACATACTGTATCAAGTGCCGTGCATTAGCGCGTGCACAGTTTGCAATCTGTGGGAAACCCGGATCTCTATCTGATCGCGTGCGGAACATCTCGGTAAACACCCAGCCACGAGCGGGGATGGTTTCATCTCAAGACGCGGCCTGTCTTGGCGCAAATACTAGGAAAGAATGGGCCATAAAGATACGACTGTAAATATAAGTTGCAACAATTGAGATTCAACCTGTTCTTATCAGGTCGCAACGTGGATGAGGTTACGCTGGAACATGAAAGTTCTGGGCATGCTCTGATCCCAAGCTTCCTGTTGTTTATATAGAAGAGTTTCTTGTAGCCATCAAAGCCTCCGAGAATATAGCATTGCACAGATACATATCGAAGATGAAGACTTCACTCGGGCTCTTGACTGCATTGCTAGCAAGTTCATCAATTGTATCGGCCAAATTGATCTATGTTGACTGTTCATGGAGCGGCTCAGGTGCCCCGGATGGCTCACAGACTCGTCCCTACACGTCATTATCGCTAGTCAATGATTTCACCTTCAGTCCCGGTGATAAGCTTCTTTTCAAATCTGAAGTGAATTGCACAGGTCAACTGATGCCTCGGGGCAGTGGAACGGAGGAGTCTCCCATCATCGTCACTCGATATGGCCGCGGGGGACTCCCCGTAATTGACGCGGAAGGTCAATTCAATGCGACCGTCTACCTTCGGAACGTTGACTACTGGATAATTTCTGATCTTTTGCTCACGAATGCGGCTGAGGAAGAAGGTCGCCGTCAGGGTATTGATGTGGAGGCGACTGACGGTCGCATCCACGCTGGTATTACAATCCGGAATTTACGCATCGACACTGTTGCCGGGAATACAAATAAGCGACTTTATGCAAGCGACTTCTCCAACTCCGCCTGCATATTACTACAAGGAACCGCCAACTACTCCCGCTATGACGACGTTGAGATCTATGACAATGATCTTTCAAACTGTGGTGGGGGTGGCATTAAAGTACGCCTCGGCCAACTCGACAATCAGGGAAAAAATCTACGAGTGCACGATAACAAGATTGAAAAAGTTGGTGGTGACGGCATTGTAATCTCCTATGCGATATCGCCATTGATTGATCACAACGTTGCTGGAGACCTTGGGTATGGAGCATACCCATACTCCGGCGGAAACTTTGCGGGGATCTGGGTACTCGGGTGCCATAATGCGGTAATGCGGTACAATATTGTGTATGGATCCATTATGTCTGAGATTGACAGTGAAGCTTTTGACTGCGATTGGGGAAACACCGGAACATGCACAGTCGAGTACAACTACAGCCACGACAACGCCGGGGGAATCTTCCTGAACTGTGACGGTTGTGGCACCTCCCCTGGTGGCGCCACGCAGATTGTCAGATATAATATCTTCGAAAATGATTGTCGAATCTATAGTAATGGTGATGCTCCAACTCTGTGGTTCTACAACAATGTCGTCTATTGCCCCGACAAAGACCTTGAATTTCATTTGCCCCCCTCAACTCGTTTTTCGAACAATATCGTGGTGGCAACCGAGAACTCCACTCTTCCGTTTGGCGCAAATATTGAGTACCAAACAAATATGTTCCAGAATATGAAATTGCCTTCATCGTGGCTGGAATTCCAGGGAGACCCGAAATTTGTTGAAGCCGGACAAAACAGCAGCACTTTGGATGGTTTAGGTGGTTACAAGCTCCGAGCAGGAAGCGGAGCACTGAAAAAAGGAACAATAATTAATGATGACGGTGGAAAGGATTTTTGGGGAGCAGAAATACCCAGAGGGAAGCCAAATATTGGATCATACGCGGGTCACGGGATATAGACCATTCCTCAGTGGTGAGAACAATATTAAGTCTTGGTAGTTGGATTGATTTAAATTATTAATTGCACGTCATTCCCGAAGATCTGAGATTTTTGAAGCAGTTCATTCACATCACTTCCTTGAACTGAGGCGACAGAAAAGAAGCATGATGCCGGTCTTTAAATAGGAGATGTGCCGATTTAGACCTACATGGAGCGGAGGGCGCGCAGGGTATGAAGGGTGGGGTTCCGTTAACCTTGTGAATTCTATTGCTAGATTTCAAGGATCTAGAACGGGGAAAATATATAGTATCGACATGCAGGTGATTGTATTTTAATGTGGGGTATTAAAAGTGGGGAACCCGGAAGAGACTAACAGTGGGAAGGCCGGCAAATGATCACAGAGAGAGACAGAGGAGACTGACGGACAGAAGGGGGCGTCTGACTATTGGAAAGGGCCCGATTGGGGTAATCGTGGCCATGGCCGGCATCATTTGCTTCATCTTAACATTGGTGTATGCCGGAGGTTCCTAAGGAATACCTAGTGAAAAAGTGATCGGATTTCTGGTGAGCTCCGTTGCCATTCTCTTCGCTTTTGAATGCTTGGGGGTGTTCTACGGCGAGTATGTTATGCTCGTTCCACGGCTACTGAAGTAACGATCGATCCGGGCACATTCGTCTTCCAATTCCTCTTCGTCGGCCCCCTCTTTTTTCTAACCTGATACCTACCGCAATATTTCCAGGCCTAGATTCGGCGAGCACAACTCAGTCGGTGGTGGGTAATTTTCTACCTATAGCGATTCCAATTGCGTTCGTTCTTCTTGGAGGTGGTATTATTGTCACTGTCACCGGGCGTGCGGAGCCATTCATGTCGAATGGCTCGGCCATTGCGACCGTCGCCAACGGCCTGTTATCCACAATGACATAATAACCTCACCTGGTAACTTGTCTCTTAGCTGAAATTATCAAAGATACAATAGGACACGATTACAGGGCGTTCAAAATCCATTACGAAGCTGAATGCATTTTAGTTTGTATACCCGCCAACCGACCAATCAAGGCGGAGGGATCCTGTTAACCATAATCCGGTTAGGTAATCAGCTCTTCCCGCGGGGGAATGAAGTCACTCATTTCGCCGACGGGAAAGGTTTCTTTCTTCTTGCAACTCTCTCCTTCAATATGACCACACCTCGGTTGCCCTTCCTTTACCCTAATCTCATTCGAGCTATCCGACCATGTGAACCAAAAATAATACGCGCCATTCCGCTCCCTAGGCCCCGAAGGTCATTTCACACCAGTCACCGCCGCAAACAGCAAGCCTACCATCGACGATATGGACCAGCCGTGGAACCAAATATACCCCCACCCCTGCACTCAGAAGACAATTCTTCAAAACAACCGGCAGAAACCTCAGGGGCAGCTAGTGAGGAGGTAGACAATACAGAGGGGAATCGCTCGTCATCGGAGCAATCATTATCGCAACCACCGCCACAGCCACAAGAACAGGCTGAGTCACAGCCTTCGGAGTCACAAAAAGACCCAGCCGATGCTGCAGGTTCATATCTGTCGGAGCAGGTTGCAGCTGACTCTGCCAAAAGCAATGCTTCCGCTGCCTCGGCGCAACCCCAAGAGCAAGGATCGGATGCTGAGACCACAACAAGCGCTTCAGCTTCATTCCCGTTTGAAGAAGTAGGGGAAGGGATCTCTCAGATGTCTCCATATGCAAATACCAACAGCTCCTTTGAAGAAGTCTACCATATGCCCTCTCCATCGACGTATCTCACCCCAACGGACCCATCAAACGCCGAACACAAACCGCCACACATGTCGCCAGCGCCATATGTCCACCATTTCGATACCTACTCCCTCGTTCAAGACCTCTCTAAAGGTGGTTTCACGCACGAGCAATCCACGACAATTATGAAAGCCGTCCGAACCATTCTACAAAAGAACCTCGACTTTGCCCAGCAGAGCTTGACTTCCAAATCTGACGAGGAAAATGAATCGTATTTATTCAAGGCAGCGTGCTCGGAGCTCCAGCAGTCGCTTCAAACAGCCCGTGCCTCTGAGGTTCAAAGGCAAAGAGCTTCTCGGGGCCAGCTGGAGCATGAGACAGATATACTCTCCCAGCGCCTGAACCAGGAGCTGGCTGGTATGAAGGATGAGATCAAGGGCATGTTCAATGACCACAAGATGAGCACTCGTGAGCAACAACGGGTTATCGACACATCAGATCAAGAGTTGAATTACAAGATTACTGTCTCTCTGAACAGCGATGGAAAGAGCGAGATCGAAGGCCTTAGATGGATTCTGACAAGACGCGCTGCTATGGCAGTTGCCACTTGTGCCTGTAAGTCTTCTTCCCCGTCAAGATTCCATCTTCAATGCTAACACATCTTGCAGTCATGATGATTCTGTTCCTCAAGTACGCCTCTACTCGCAAGCCGCAAGAGCCAGCCAAGGCAGTCGAGGTTGAGAAACCTGTCAAGGAGGTCACAAAAGAAACCCGGGTCATCCATGAAACCCCAATAAAGACTAAGACACCATCTATCGCAGTGGAGCACCTTGGAGAATCACTGGGCTGAACATCATGAGCCAATCCCCCTCTTTTTTTCTTTCTTTTGAACTATACAAACAAACACGCAACCGCCAGTCCTTTGTACACCATTTCTACTTTTTTAAAGCGATGACTCTTCAAATGAGTCACCTGTACATCACCAATAGATCCAGATACCCACACTATACATTACAAACCTACAATTACTATAGACTGTTCAATTTATGCAAAGTTTTCCTATGCCGAGATGTAAATATTCTTCTGAGGTGGCAACCTTACACAACGATGCTTCTTGTAGAAAATGAAACCACAACGACAACGTTCTAGAAGCATTCTATTTTCAACGCCTTTTCGATAACATTCAATTCTCCCTCAGCCAAGCAATCTCCTCGGGAAGGTACTTATAAGCCCTGAAAATCGCATTACTCTGATTCGAAAACCCAATGCGCTGCATCTCCTCCAACTCCGCATCTCCCATGACTCCCTTATAATCCTTCAACTGAGGCACAACAAACTCCCAAACCATCTCTCCACCAACCGTAACCTCAAAAATACGTCCAGTAGCCGCCTCGCAAATCAAAACATTTCCACCTTTCAATTGCTGTGCAGATCCCATGAAAGGTGTGAAAAATCCCAATCCACCAGTTGAAAAATCTTTATATTCCCACTTAACCTTCTTCCCCTTGGAAAGTACCACAGCTCTTGAGAACGGCACTGAAACACCCGGTCTAAAGACTCCGTTGTCAAGAACAAGTATATCTCCCTCCGAATTGATCTGATGCGCACAGTGCTGCTGGCAGACCGTCGGCGCGGATACGGTCCAAATTACTTTGCCTGTCGCACGCTCGATGACGAAAACGGATGATGCATTTCGGGTTGAGGCGATGATGTTCCCGTCTGAGTTGAAAGAAACACTGTTGATTAACGGCCAGTGTTCGCGTGGGTAATGCGAATGCGCGGCGAAAGCAGCTGTATCGAGATGATCGATTGCCCGCCAGGACCATAGGAGTTTCGCACCTCCCTTCCCGTCCAAACCGTTGAAGTCAGCAGACGAGGATTTGTTCGAGGTAGACCAAGGATCTACGAGCTTGATGCAATCTGCGTATATGGTACCAGATGGTGCTTCGCTGCCTTCGATCCCGCCTTGGACACGAGCTGCTTCTTCGGCTGTGAGAGCCTCGAGAGTTGTGTACAGAATCGTACCGTCATCCAGATGATTCTGGTCATGATGCGCGTACGGATCGGAGTATTGGCGCAGGATTTCTCCAGCAGGATCGACCTGCATCATCACGCCGCCGCGGTATTTCGCCCACATAGGGAATAGCGAGGGTGCGTCCGGGTGCACGCCATTGTAAGCGAGATTGCCGTCGGGTAGGATGCGGGAGTGTCGACCTGCACGGTGGGGTAATGTCCACCGATGGACTTCTTCACCGGTTGTCGAGATGAGGTGAGCCGTGTTGGAGGTCAAGGGAGAGTAGAGGACGTAGCCGGGTGAGACTCGTTTCTCGTCTACGCCGCGGAGACCGACGCCGCGGCGACGAAAGGTTTGCTGCTCCATTGTAAGTAGGTGTAGAGGATGGAGGGAAATTACTGACAATACCTGAGCAAATACTGCCGGATCGTTTGCTTTTTATCTTCCAAGAAAACAAATGTCATGATGAGGATTCTATTGCTCAGCTCTAGTTAGGGCAAGATAGACCGGCATGCCGCGGGATGCCGCGGCAGATAAGTGGAGGCCATTCTGCATGGACCCACGGGGCGATATGAGCTGGCGACTGATAGGCTATTTTGATACGAGACTAAAACATGCTGAATGTTCCTGTTCACTGTGAACTTGTACTCTCTCTGTAGTCCAAATACAATTATACAATCGTGGGTACCTACCTGGATAGCTCCGGGGTATGTACCCGGTGGGTCCTCCAAGTATCAAACCAAGCAATCTCATTTGCAGCTGCAAAGTATAGTCTTGATGGCGTCAGATACGCCTGTGATATGCTTATCATTGAGCCATAGAGATACCATTGTACTCTATTGCAGGGGATAACGTAGATATAGAATGGCTGATCCTGTGCAAAATGGCATACAGAAATTTCCCATCTTCATAGTATTCCTCTGGTGTGACTATGAGCCACACAATAATGTCTACGGATAAGACCTCCGAGTTGTCTGGAGAAGGGGATTCTTCAAAGACCCAACCGTGGTTTTCAAGAAGAATATCCATTGAGGAGGGTGGCATTGAACGAGTCACCGATGATGAAAGAAAGGAGAAGACAACCAAGTTCTGGCACGCTACTACGTTCTGGTAGGTTCAATTTAATATTCGTATATTTCGTTATTCCCTATGAAGGTTTGCTAATTGTCGTCATGAATGTCACAGGTTCAGCGCCAACATGGCCATTGCTACACTGAATATTGGATCACTAGGAGGCTTCATGGGCCTTGGGTTCTGGGACTGCTTCATTGTGATTGTGGTGATCAACCTATTCAGTGATCTTCTCCCAGCATGGACAGCTACAGCCGGGTTGACAGGCTTGAGAATGACAACCTTTTCGTAAGTCGCTTCTCCTGCACCCCTTTTATCTCGACGTGTTGAGCAGCCGCGAACGGTAGATTCTCACATACCATGCACTTGAGTACCTACTAACGAACCTTCTACTCCTGCAGCCGGTACTCCTTCGGATACTGGGGCAACATGCTCGTCGTCATATTCTCCATGGTCGCAACAACAGGCTGGAATGCGATTAACTCCATCTCAGGAGCCTCCGTCCTCAACGCATTGTCGAATGGAAGATGTCCCACTTGGGCTGGTGTGATCATCATATGTACACTGGTGTGGATTATCTGCGCACTGGGTATCACATGGATTCATCGTCTAGACACGTTCATATGGATTTTCCCATTTATTGTGTGGTGTGTTGCTGCTGGTACGGGAGCATCATCGTTCACGGCAGCAAGTCCGAAAGACCTCCAGAGTGCCGACAGGGCGGCTGCTGTCCTCTCATACATGGCCAGTATCTTCTCTTTTTCACTTTCATGGGTGAATTGTGCTGCAGATTATAATGTTCGTATGCCACACGACACTCCGCGCTGGAAAATCTTCGCTGCGACATATGTGGGCATCTTCGTGCCAAGTGTTTTGGTGCAGTCGCTCGGCGCGGCGCTATATACTGGAACTGTGACAAATGTTGCATGGAAAGACGCATATTCAGCTTCTTCTATTGGAGGCTTGCTGCAAATGTCGTTGGAGCCGGCCGGTGGATTTGGAAAGTTCCTCATGGTTCTGGCAGCGTTGAGTTCAATTCCGGTAAGTCAATTTCTGGTCAACTCAAATGCCTAGCCTGTATTGATTGATTGGAAGAACAATATCCCGAACAATTATTCCTTTGCTTTGCACGCCCAGAATCTTGGTACATGGGCTATTCGGATTCCCCGCCCTGTACTAGTGACAGTCGGATCTGTAGTAGCAGTCATTGTCGGTTGCTGTGCAGCGAAGTATTTTGATGACGCCCTGCAGACCTTCCTCAGTGTCATCGGGTATTGGACAGTTATCCATGCTACGGTTGTGATGGAAGAGCACTTTATCTTTCGAAGACGATGGTCAGCGTATGACTTGGAAAACTGGAATAACCCAGCGGCCCTTCCGTTCGGCTGGGCATCGGTTGGAGCTTTCTGCTTTGGATTCGCTGGGGCCGCTCTTGGAATGCATATGACTTGGTACTCTGGGCCGATTGCTTCACTGATTGGCATGGGTGCAAACATAGGTCATGAGATGACATTTGCATTCTCTGCCATCATTTTCCCATTATTGCGCTGTATTGAGAAAAAGCACGGAGGGTATTAGAACATCCAATTTTCTGCCTCGAAGGGTTTCTTTCTTGTTTCTGAGGGATATGTTGGAGTTCATCTTTGCAGTGAATTATCCGAGGGGCTCTGATGGAAGAAGCCCAAGTCTGACAATAGATCCCAATTTCCATCGGCGGACGGCCCTAGCCCCAAGAACTCCGGAAAATAGTAGTTGGTGAAGCTCTCTTCGGGGAAATCCTGTATTGGGTCTGGCAAGACTTCAACGCGGGGGCGTAGTTTCTGATGTACTTTGGAGATGATATTTCCCAGGGTATGTGCAGCATGACAGGGAAGGCCAATGCAATGAAGCCAGTCAACCAGATTTTGGATGAGAGCATCTAAGTCTCTGGTGTCACATGCCCTACTTACCTGGCTTTCATAATGGTTGAGTAAACGACAGATGACAATCGCTGCGAATGTAATCATGTGATAAATATGATCGGTCAAGTGGCGAGTACGCTCATCTACTGTATTCATGGCTAGGTGCACGATAGCTGTTGAATGGCGGACCATTTCTGAGACGACTGACTCTTGAGCACGAGCAGTCTTTGATTTCAGTGCATGTTCGTATAAGAGAAGATTGGAAAAATGGAAACCCATCAGCAGAAACTGAGATCTTGGCTGCTCTTAAAGTTCAAATGTCAGCATTTCCTCGTGCCCACTGGGTTGATAAAAGACCCGGCGACGTACCAATCACAAATTCCCATCGTCTCCTCCACGCCTGTAGATCCGCGACTGACTTGAGCAAATCTACCGATTCTTCAATCAAGTGTCCATAGACAGTCCAGTAGAGGTGTATCTCGGCAACCATCCGGATTTCAAAATTAGTTGCATGATCGGAGTCAATAATAGCCCGACAACGCTCAATCTGCCAAGCCTGTAGCATAGATTTGCGGCTTGTGCCAACACAATAGTGCAAGTGTGCTAGACAAAGATGGTTCCACAGGCAACATCGATCAAGGGTCTTTTCATCCATCCTGGTTGGTGGCTGGGACTGAGATGTCACCGCTGCAAATAGGGGGCTGGATTGACTGTGCTGCAGGGCAAACCCACTTAGAAGCCAGCTATCAATGCTTAAGGGCACCTGGCCCACAGTTGTAGACCACATGCAAAGAATAAGGGTTGCCTGGAAGAACTCAATAGACTGTGGGGCGATCAAAAGGCTGCTCGAAACAGAGGACCGAGCGTAATCATAAAGTTTAGGAGCCAGACTTGCAGCTAGTTGTTCGGAGCTATGCCGCACAGCGATTAAGCAACACGCACAGAAAAGTAAGGGCGATCTCTTCACGCGGGGTAGGAGAGCAGCGGGGTCGCCTTCCGGGTCATAGAGAATCCATCGACCATAATACTCGACAAATCTGGGCATCAATGTTAGTATGAACTCAAGACAGGCTTATGTTGATGGATAGTCGAGCTTGAAAGGCGTACATTGTGATGAGAGTCAAAGCCAGATCGGGCGAAATAATGTCATCTAAGACTGTCTCGAGAGGCCTTGTGTCGGGTGCAGACTTGATACCTGTATCCGTAGCCAGGTCTCGGATTACCATGATCGGGGCGGCGGAAGATTCCGTCTCCTTGTACGGAGCTTCCCCAGCTTCCGGGGTCGTCAGTACGCTTCCCTTGCTGGACTGATGATCATCGGAGCCTGCCGGGCCTTCTCCAAGGCGATCGAGAAGAGCTGCCAGTGTTCTCTCCACGCGTTCCAAGCTATATCAAAATGTCAATACTTTCAATCATGGGGACTTCCACACGCGGGGCAGAGGAATTCAATTCATACCGCGCATCTGTGTTTGAATGAGGATTGGCTAAATTTTCATCGTCAAGTCGCCCTGAAGCTTCTGTTAGGGAGCATTTTTGACGAAGTCTTTCGCATCGCAAACATGCTTTGCCTAGGACACTGGGCTCATAGCATCGGGTTTTCTGCTTTCTGCACGAAACGCACGCTCGTGAGGCTCTGCCCCGATCTGGCGGCATTATCGAGTGAATTCCTACCCCGATGAATGGTTCTTTTCTTGAACACAGAGAATAAGAAGAAGAAATCAAGGTTGGTGCATTTAGAAGCGTGAACATCAACGATCGCGAAACATATATTGCGTCACCTGATGCGGATAACATAAGCGTGCCACGATTTGCCTAACGCAGACTTGAGTTTGATTAGATCTCGGTTTTGCTCGGGGTCCAGCCATGATTGCGTGAATTTCCAAGATTTTCAGAGATTTGAAGGTCCATTCATAGTGATGCGACTGTGCGCACTATTTCCAAGATTAGTTAGTTATCAACTTGGAATTACATTATTGGTACCTTGTAATTATGTATGTATTCCCCAAGTGTATTGTACTACATGTGGACCCTGGAAGTTCGACTAAGTGGAATTGTCTTTTAATTCTAAGGTTCAGCCCGAGCCGGAGGGACTCGGGAGAAAAATTGAAAAGGCATTTCGTGGTCTATACATTTGTGCACTGTTGCATTCATATCATATCACATCAGCTCGCGACAACATCCAGAATCTAGAAATCCATGCGCAGGGCAATGGTCGGTGCAGCTTGCGGTACATTATCATTTGCTTCACCGGACGCCGAGGAGCTGGCTCCAATACCCGCACTGCGGAGAACCTCCTCCACAAGCGACTTTTGGTCTACACTCATATTCGCCACCAATGTTCGGAAACTGGCTTGGTCTGCTTTGGCTAATTCAAGCAGATGCCCAGCGGATTCCTGGTGTACTGATTGTCCCTCGCGATTGGCACGAGCTAACAGGGCAGACATGACAAGCGAGACTGCGGCCGGAATCTCAGCAGGGGAGAAGGTCGAGTTTGACACACAGGACACGAGCGTGCGAGCGATGACAGCCCGCGAGTTCTCTGGGTCTGTGGGAATTTCGCCCGTGTCGGACGGACAACCAACAAGGAAGGCGATCAATCTTGGAAGTAGATACCGAGAAATCACATCATCTGTCATGTAACGGGGACTAGGCTTGAGCATGATCGAACGAAGACAGCTGGCGGCTACGGTGGCGAGGCCGACATCTTGGAGACAATCGAGAAGCTCATCGAGAACGCGAGTGACAAGAGGGTCCTGCGGTGGTAGGACATGTCCACCTGCTGTTATCAGGAAAGTGATAGCCAAAAGCGTATTTTTGGCGCAGGGCATGGAGGTCTCTGACTCCCGACGCTGGGCGATTGTGAGGATGGTCAAGAAACGTGTAAGACATCCTCGCATCTGGTAGGTTACCACATCCATGTCATCTGGACCTTCGGACGAACGCGCGATTCCATGGATGAACTGTCGGAAAATCGGAAGAGCCTGGGGTACAACTTCGGTCTGGCAGATTCCGGTTGCCAGAATAGTGGTAAAAATATGAAGGATACAAGCGTGAAGGTCATTGCGAATAATTGAAGGGAAGACCGACGCAACATCAACAAGAGAGCGCAGTGCCAAACGAACCAGGGCCAACGAATCTTCTGAGGACACGTTGAACCTTGCCAGGGGTGTTGATTCACGGAGGTTAGGGAGCATGCCCGCAAGAACCAGAATTATGTTCCTAGTCAGTTCAAACAACTGCTCGATATCATCCGACAAATGATCACTTCGTTCCTGGTCACTTTGTGCTGCAGGGTGGTCAAGCGAGAGGTTCTGCGCGATACCCACAATCACTGTCTGGATAGGTGTGCTCTCGGTCAAAACGAGTCGATCAAAGGTGTCCATGGTCTCCGAAAAGATGGCATCTTGGTAAATAGCATTACCAGAAATGATAGGTCTTAAGATTCTCTTGAGGGCCTGGAGAATAGCGAGCCGCTGTGATGGCGTAGTCCCTTGGTCGACCAGAGACTCGAAAGCAAGACCAAACAGAACAAAGAAGAACGCAACAGGCTCTTCACGATAGTTTATGTCATGGCCCTTCCCTTGAGACTCGCTAGTGGTAAGCTCTTGGCTTTCTTTCTTCGCATTCTCCTCAGGGCTAGTGGGATCCTCTGGATGCTGCAGCTTGCCATCCAAGGCGTCAAAAACAAAGTCAATGTCCTTTTCAACCAAACCAGCAATCGCATCAACGAGATTGAGCCAGGTATCTTGGTAGAACTTGAGCAATGTCTCTCTGTTCAATGCAGCATAAACCTCATCCAAGTCGTTGCTTTGTGTGCTTGTACCTAAAGCGCCAGAAATATCAGGCTCAAATCGCAGCCGAGCATATTCCTGGAGAGATGCAAGCCATAGTGGGGTGAGTTTGGCAACATAAGGCTGAACAACCTGGTTGAGGTACTCTTGGTCGATACTAGCAATCTGAAGTCTAGCCCAAGCAGAAAACAGCGCCAGCTTGACCATCACTCGAGCGTTTGAGTTCAAGCCTTTGAGATCGCCAATATCAGTAGTCTCAGGATTTTCTATATATTTATTAGTATATTTGTCATAAATGCTGAGAAGAGAAACATACTGGCAAAGTTTTCAAGGCCAAGCACGAGAAGTTTAAGAATTCTTCCCATGCGATCCACATTGGTCACGATTCCTGTCGCGATGAATGTGGCCGAGACGTTGATTGCCTCCGAAGCCAGCTCGGGGGACGAGTCGACCGCAAACGCAGGAGTCAGCGCGGACCCGATCTGAGCTTGGTACTGCTCAAGCAAAGAGGCCTCGGCGAAATCCGGGTCTGGAGTCTTACCAAACATCTAGAACATGGTAAGTAAATTTGAACAAACTGGGACGAAAGGGACATACTGTCAAGACTTGATCGATAATTTTCAAACCCCAAATACGCAGCTCAATAACATTAGCAGTCGATGCCGAGAATGCCATTCTCACGATATCGCCAACTTTGGATTGAAGTGCTAGCTCAGCAGGAATGGTCTGGTCAGGCAAAATGGCTTCTTGTACTGTCGCTAGAAGCTCGGAGAGGCAAGACATTGCAAAGTTGCGAGTCTGCCACTTCAGGAATTCCTGGCCTGCGATAGCTCCATTTGCAGGGTCACCCTGGCCATCTCCAGCGACCGCGGATGCAAAACCAGCAACTTCATCGTCTGGAATATCCGCCGCAGCTGTTTGGACAGCTGTAGTCGGTGGAATTTCTACTTTGTTGCGCGTTTTTGTCATGATGGTCTGACAGCGCTGAATCCAAAGCCCAGTTTCTGTGAGCGCTGTTTGTTGCAACCATTCATGAATCATAGTCCTGAGGGGAACGTTACCCGGCGCATCATCGAATGCAAGCCAGATATCATCTTCAAGAGTGTCATTTGCGATCTGGACCACAGATGTAGCGTCGCGCTTCATCAGATTGCTCAGACCACGAACAGCAACATCTCGCATGAATGAATTGTTTGCACGAAGCTCTTTTTGCAGACGCTTGACGTATCCAGGAATATCCATGTAGCTGGAGGCATAGAGAGAGAAGTGATCCAAGCACTTCGAGCTCTCGGTGACTAACGCAGTGTTTTCCTCTAGCTGGAATTGGCGGAGAAGAGTCAGAATAAGGTTGCGGGTTTTTGCAATATCTTGCAAATCTGGCCCAAGAACATTGATCAGCGAATCAACACATCGACTGATCACAACAGGAGTCAAGAATGACATCTCAATATTGGAGGTAGCCAAGGCTGCGCATTCTTCGTTGTGTGTGTCGGCATTGTAGAGCTGAGCCAGCATACCCAGTGAGCTGGAAGCAAATGGAGAGAATGTCAGACCGGCAGAATTAGCCACTCTTTCCAGCCCACCAAGAGCCCAGAAATGGACAACAGGGTGCGGATCATTGCAAAGAGACATTAGGACTCCAACAATCGTCTTGAGATGCAGACCGGCTGCCATACCGCCAACCTGGGAATGAATGCATCCAAGAGCAGCAGCACAGCCAGCTCGAGCATTTGGCTCTCTGTTAGCAACAATGGTGTCCACGAGCCAATTGACCAGTGTATTAGTGCAGGGGTTTCCAGCACTATCGCATAGACGACCTAGCGCCTCCACACCAATGATTCGAACAATAGGGTCGGCATCGATAGTGAATTTCTGAATGAGCTCCTGCAGGGTCTTTTCTGTCGATGTGCTCAACTTTCCAGCGACGAAGTCGGTTTCCTTGACGGCGACTTTCAATGCATGCAAGAGAGCAACTGCAACATTGACACCTAACGCGGCTTTGCGTCCAGGGTTTCTCTGGAGAGCCGGAGAGGTCAGAAATGAAGCAATCTGCTCCACACTACTCTCTTGAATTTTAGGCGAGTGAAGAGCAATGGCGACCGAGAACAGATCAATTGCTGAGTTGACAACACCAGTGGTTGGTGGATCCACCACGAGGGAATCACCATCTCGCAGGCTGTAGAGAAGGACAGAGTCATGCTCGCTTGCTTGGCATACAGGGAATGTGAGAGAATCATCGACGACCTCGTCAACTGAATCAATAGCAGACCACGCAGGGCTATTCTCACTTCCATGAGTGCCAGACAATGCAGCCCAGATATACTGTCGAGCAAGCCCAGTGACACCAAAGCCGTAATTATCGCACAAATCCCACAGGCCATCAAATTGGCCAGTTGAAGCGGCAATGGAGCTTTCCATAGGCCTGTACTGCGCATCTGGATCTGCAAACGAAGAGATAGCAAGGCTGAGCAGGCTAGACTGAGAAATTATGTCGCCGTGGCTAGGATGATGAACATGCACCAACTTTGAGAAGCATTGCAACACTCGACGACGCACCATCGTGGTGAAGTCGTGTAGCTGAAGGGATGGGTGAAGACGTTGCGAGATATCTTCCATGGATTTGGGACGTGGCAAGTCATCCAAAAACTCGACTGTGTTCTGCAACATAGCAGCGATTCTCTTCGCACCGTCTGCAGTGATAAGCTTGCTGTTGAACTCCATGAAGACCAGGAGGGCGCTCAAAGCACATTCACGAACATGAGCCAGGAAGCTCGTCTCTAGAGTGCTTGGCTGGGCGGAATTCTCCTTTTTCAAATGCTTTGGCAGAGCATTCTTCCAAAGCAGCATGAGTTGGGAGAGATGAATCTTGACAAAGCTCGGCCCGAGGGGCATCAGCCCTCCAATTAAGATCCATGCAACCTGGATTTGCGTACTTGCAACTCGAAGCTCACACGTGCTACTGGTCTTGAGAAGATCTGTAGCCTGGGAGAAGATGCGCGCAAAAACGTCAACAGCTCCGTAAAGCGGTTGCAGACGGGAAGTACTCAGCATCGCCGAAAGACCGTTTGCATATCCAACGCACCGACGAGGCGACTGTCGTGGTGTAGCAAGTTGCCCGATCTCCCTGTTTAAACTATTCATGCAGATGGTCACGCAAGAGAGAAGTTGGTAGGGACATGCGAGTACGAAGCTCCGCAAACAATGAGCAGTATGAATCTGGACTGTGTAGCTGGGGTGGGGTAAAACCTGCAGCAAGGCATCACGACAACTATCGGCATGGATGGCAAAGGCGGATCCAAGTGATGAGATCAAGGACGACAAAGCACTGACGGCGCTGGTCAACGTGTATTTGCTAGGCTCGCGGCGCTCTTGGACAACCTGCGGGTAGTCCTTCAGGATCTCGTTGATGATCCATTTCGCCGCATTAAGCTGGCTGCTTTCCTGAAGCATCTCACGTCCAATAGCGTCTTCAAGAATGGTCTTCACAAACTTGCGGGTCATGAGCAGGCGGAATCGGTTGTAGGTGACCGTCGGATGATTAAGAAGTTCGATAAGCAGATTGGAGGCAATTTCCCCATATCGCTCTTCGACAATCTTATCTCCCAGGTTGCGTAGTATAAACTTGTAGCACATGCAGATGCCAGCACGGGTGCGGTTAGAGGTTGTACTTTTCAAATACTGCGAAGAGAGCTGGCGTAAGAGATCCGGAAGAAGGAAGAACAACCGAGACTCAGACTTCTTTGGCGCAACAGACGATTCGGACATCTCAGCCTCTTCTTCGTCTCCGGGTCCAAGGCCAGGCTTCTTGGACATCCTCTTCATCTTCTTAGACTTTGGCTTTGGGGCCGCTATAACATGCGTTTCTGTGGCGTGGAGCTTAATGAGAGCACGGCCAAGACAAGCCGCGGCGGCATGTCGAACCGGTGCAGTAGGGCTATCAATGACCTTCCACATTATGGTCTTCAAGACCTCGAAGTCGTTAACATTATCAAAAAATGGGGTCGTATTTATCAACTGCTCCAGGCAGCGACAAGCATGCACTTGAACGAATGTCGACTTGTCACCAGTCGCCGCATTGCGCCCCTGCTTCCAAATATCGCGGGCAGTCGCCTCATCGATCGGGACACCGATGCCAACCACGATCTTGCGGAGCACAGAGAAGATGACACCGCGCAGGCCCGTATGATTACTGGCAGACTTGAGCAGCTTCAGCATGCCTGACGTTGCAACGTTGGACTGCATAAATGCGCTGTCGCCGGCGGTAACAAACACCTCACCCAGGCAATGCGCTGCAGCGAACTTGACTTTCAAATCTGCCTCGCTCTTGCTTGCATTTATAAGCCCAAGTAGATCTGTAATAGTCTCGAAGAGGATTCCCCGATCCCCTTTCGCGAGGATAGTACCGAAGCATCGTCCTAAGTTGTTGCGGAGGACTCTCGTAATCGTAGGGGAGGTGAGGGTCAAGATCTTGAACAATTCCTTTTTCAGAGATTTCTGCTGAGCTGAGAGCTGCGCGGACTCGAGACCGCAGATGAACTGCACAAGATCGGAGGTGAAGGTAAGCAGATAGAGGTCCTGTTGTTCGGAGGGGAGAGCATGGAGCTTGGAGACATCCAGCTCCGGGGCCGCGTTCTCAGGCTTTGTGGATGCGGGGGCAGGCTCGGAGGGCGACATTGAAAATATGATATTGAGGATTTAGCAATCCCCATGAAAGGAATGGAAAGGCAGTAAACACGAAGGTCGAAGTGTATGTATGTGTGCCTCCTTATGCCCGCGGAGCGGAGAGCGGATAAACTGTCGGGCCGGTTTTGGAATGTATGGATTTCGCCGCATTGGCTCTTGATTGAGATTAGATTAAACGCAAAAAAGAAATAAGTGAGATGGAGATGACGCTGCAATGGGGCAGACTACTACGACACCACCGTACGACTTCGGTATGCAGCACCTGTCGCAGATTCAGCTCAGCCCCCGTCTCGTTCTCTGGACACAGCAAGTGGTCAACGATCAAACATGATAAGGCCAAGAATGACAAGTCAAAGAGCAAGGAGCGCCAGATGGTGAGCAAGGAAATTAGCAACGCAACACAATGTACGTTCCTCTCAGTCAATATCAATTGTTCTCAGGTGGCTAATGCTTCTTTCTGCGCCAGTATGGGGCCCCGATCCAAAGTACAACCCTCGTCTAACCCTCGCCCTGACCAATGCGAAGCGCGCCTCCATCCCCAAAATAATCATTGAAGCAGCAATTGCGCGTGGACAGGGGCTCAGTGTAACGGGTCAAGCACTGGAGTCATTGACAATTGAAGCGATGCTACCCGGGTCAGTAGCGGCAGTGATCGAATGTCAGACGGACCAAAAGGCGCGCGTGCTACAAGACATCCGACACTCGATCAAGACAATTGGAGGCACCGTGACACCGACTACCTTCTTGTTCGAGAAGAAAGGCCGAGTTATCATGGAGAAGAAGGAAGGCTTGAATGCGGACGACTACTTGGACCAGGCAATCGAAGCCGGAGCGACGGATATCATTACGGACGAGGAAGGCCGCCTAGTCGTATTCACCGACCCATCAGAAACGAAGAAAGTCGGAGAGTCGTTCTCGAAACTATCCGGTTTGACAATTGAGGTTTTGGAGTTCTTCTGGGATCCGAATCAGGATACCATGGTTGTAGTACAGGATCCAGAGCATGCTGAGATTACTGGGAATCTTCTCAATTCCTTGCGCGACGATCCGAGTGTGCAGGATATTTATTTGAACACTTTGGACAAGCTTTGATAGTGGATGATTCTTGGAAAATTAGGCCTTGAATCAGGCACCTACATCTCAGGCTGGAAGAAGTATCATGTACAGTAGCCCTGGAGGCATAATAGAGGCACACATACATATTTCAATGTTTGAATACATAGAACTCAAGTTTGCCATAGCATCAAAGTTCTGTCAAGGTGAACTTCCAAGGTTGGGAACCGACAAGTTAAGGCTCATGACGCTGACCCAAATAAGAAAATTTCATATTGAAATGGGCAAATACGAATCACTCCTTCCGCAGAGCTTTCATAGTGCTTCTCATCAACTCGCTCGTGCCCGTACTACCAACTGCATCTAGCCAATCCAGCATATGTACCCGGTACTCCTGCCAAGTAATCTTTGCTCCTCCCTCCTTCTCAAGGGCCTGCAACGCCTTCGGGGCAACTGGCTTTCGCAACCTGGGCCCATCCTTCACGAGTTGCTTCTCGATTTCCAGATCCGAAAAGCAAGCCGCAGAGAGGTTAGAAAATGCGGCATGGTGGCTGAGAGAGAATATCGAGGGCAAAGTGCAGTGGAAAGCGCTTTTGTGGTCGTACCTTTTGGCCGTCTCATTAACGTCACGGATATAGTTGGTGAAGACCGATATGCTGGATGCAGGTATAAGACACGCGCGGGCATTGGGATCCTCTGAATTCAAGGCACGATTTCGCCATACTAGGTTGCATGTGTCCATGACATAACCGTTGAACTGGCCCACGACTTTGGAATCATACAAGGGATCCGAAGGATTCGCTGGTTTAATGGTTTTGGAGGTGAGCGAGGCTTCGAATGAGGATTTGTATTCCGCCAGAATAGAGCTGAGGATGGAAATGACGGAGACGATGGGTGTAAAGGTGATTGCGTATATTGATGGGGCAGGTGGGACTGCCAGTCGGATGCTGGCATTCTCGGATGCATGAGAGAAGAGGTCTGCAAGGCACTGGTAGAACTGAAGGATAGACCAGATGGCTGGTCTGAAAGCTGTCTGTTTATCATTGGAAATGGGCGGAAATTCTTGAATCGCTGATGCTAAAAGCTCGGCATGTCCTATCAATTCGGTTAAAGGAGCTGACTCCTCTGAGATGGCATGCTGAGTTCGGAGTTTGACACCCCATTCACTGATCAATGCGGAGTAAAATCCGAGCAAATCTGTTCTGGAAACGCAAGAGTCGTCCAATACGGAAGCCTCCAGCGGCCACAAAATTCTGGTACGGAGCGACTGGTACTCTTCGATTGGGAGGTATCGAAGCAATCCCAGCACCTGTTCGCGATTATCTCGCCCATTCCAAGATTCAAGATATGATTCTAAAAACGACTGAACCGAAGGTAGGAGTTGCTAGATTCCAATTAGCTAGTCCAATCATCAAAAGAGACAATCAGCAATCTTACCTTGGTGTATGCGGCATATTCCTCAACAAAGCTCAGAACGTAAGACAAAAGATCCGGATCATCATCCTCATTCTCCTCTTGAATGTGCTCTAGTCTATCTTGTAAGAAGTTTTTCAGCCATTCGTCTAGCCGATGATCTGCAACTTCAGACTGGATCAGATGGAGATATTTCTGCGCCATCCCATCACCAAGCGTTGAAATTATCTGGTTAGGCAACTCGATCAAATCTATCTTGTCAACAAAATGCTCGATGCCACGAAGTTCCTCTAGGGAAGTGTGTTTATTTGACACACGTGAGGTTTGCAAAACAGGGATAGCGACTTCGATCCTGCTTCTTTTCATTGCACCCCGATGAACAACCTGGTAACTTGAACCTTGCGCAGCTTCCGCCTTCTCCAGATTTGCGGTCTGCAGCATCTTTGCATGACTCGCCCATTCGGGATCGGGGTGCTTGAAGAACAGAGCGGCCCTCCTGGACCCGCCTACATCCCCAATGATGATCTCAGGATAATAGTTTTTGAAGATCTTGAGCAGAGTCACCAGTTCTTTATCTTCTCCACCCGCATTCTGAATTAGCTCCATCAGCGCCTGGATGCGGAATGGCTTCACATGTTTTCTTCTCGTAATCAGCGAGAGAAGATGGCACAGCGGCTTCCGTAAACTAATCATGTCAAGATGATTGAACAAGACAGCATAAAGCTTTCCAAGATGAGATTTGTCATCGAGAAATTCATATGTGAGAATCAGCCAGCGGACAAGCAGGGACTGCGTCGCCGGGCTGGGTTTGGACTTGCTTGGACCCAGGGATGATATGATCCGTGTGACATGCTTGGGTGTGATCCTGTCCTGTGGGTACAGGTTCTTGATCAACGTGGTAGTAGTACCTTGGTCAAGATTATTTTTAGTTGTTAGGATCTTCAACAACCGGCCCAGCGCATCAGGTGAAATGCCGCTCTCATATGCTTTTGACGCAATCATTTTAGCCAACTCTCCAGCATCGGTATATCTTTGCTTGGCAGGGACGAAAGCAACTATAAGTTCATAAGTTATGTTTACGCTGATTCGGAATTGACTTTTGGGATAACTTACCGGCTTCCAAATGTTCAACAGCTTCGAGCAAGTTGCCCCGCCCATTACTTTCTGTAAGTCTATTAGTCAATGTTCGGATTCACAAGTCGTTTGATTTTTTGAAAATACCTGAATCAAAATCCATTGAGATGCAGTGACGCTTGTAGTATCGCTGTAAGGAGATGCTACTTTATCGCGCCTGTCGAGTCGGGGATGCGCGCATACGCTTGATCCCAGTTCTTTGGCGCGTGTACACGTCAAAGGACGCGCTTCACACTGGGTGGCAGCAATGGGCACAATGTGCAAATAAGTCGAGGAAAATTACAGCTAAAAGCAGTCAAACAACAAAAAGATCGTTTGAGCTTGGGTAATAGTCGAAAAGCGTGGCATAGAAAGTAGAACGTGGGCGCGAAACGTCGAAGCCGCGCTTAACCCCGATCGGGCAACCCATAACAATGGGCGAAACCCAAGTTCATCATCTACGACATCAGTGCAATTTTTTTTTTTTTCTACATATGGAGTTATTCAATTAAAAAGGAAGTATTATTTCGAATTCTAAATAATAGTGTTGGTTTCAAAAAATCCAATCAAATAGCATCTTCCTTCGCAAAGCTGGTATGTACCAGATGTAAGCAAGGGACGAATGACAGCAAAACCCTTGAAGGAGTCATTATGCTTCCGAGAATCGTCAGGTTAGAACTCCCAAAGGATAGACCGCTCATTTACGCTTGCGGGCAGGCTTGGATGACTTGGAGTCAACGTTGGAGGAGGTCTGAGTGGCAACCTCGGGCTGCTTCTCAGATTCGACAGCGGGTGCCGTCTGTTCCTCTTCCTCGTCGCTATCACCGCCCTGTCCAAACTCGTTGACGCGCTTGTAGTCAACTTTGTACTTCCAGCCCTGGTAGAGCCAGATGAAGAAGATAACATCGTCGCGGAGAGTAGCCAGGCGATGCAACCAAGGCATCTTGACCGTGAAAGCGAAAAGATCGTCGATGAAGGTGTTGAGGAATTTGTAGGCCATCGCCTTGCCGGGCATGTGGGCAACAGACTAGATTAACACGTTAGTTTAGGAAATGATCCATGTTTCTAGGGGGCAGGTATTTTACCTTCAATCGGTAGTTGATGTATAAGCTGGGAACCATCATCAGGAATCCATATGCGTAGACACTGCCAACGAGAGTCTCGATGATATACGAGTACCAGGACTTGTGAGTGTTGTAGACCAGGCTGTAACCAGCGTATGCGAGAAGCAGGGGCACTGCAACAATGTACAAGTAACGGAAAGCGATCTCGTCATACTCCTTGGTCTTCTTCTCAGTCTCAGAGAGCTTGTGCTTGTCCTCGAAGACAATAACATAAGGCAGGAATGAAAAGAATGAATCGGCCTGTGGGGGACGCAGACGGACGTCCACTGTCTTCGTGACCTTCCAAGCTTCCAGGAGAATTCCGAAGCCCTGGCTAGCCAGAATCATCCAAGAAGTGTTTTCGCTATTGTCCATGAGGTAGAGAAAGATGACAGCCTGCATGAAGACATTGGCCAAGATCGTGCGAACGGATGTGCCGACGACGTCCTTCTTCTTGCGCCAATGCGACTAAATTATTTGTGGTTAGCAAGGAACCTCTTTTGGTGATATAGGCAATCCAATGGGTGAGTATGGATAACTTACAATATCGTTCTTAAATGCCAGAGTCTCAAAGAGCATGTGCAGAATGGTGACCACACCAGTGGTGCACAGGAGGTAGATGTTGGTATCGAGCAGGATCTCCTTGACCATCTCCCACTCAGTACCATCACCACCACCAGGCACGGGCCCACCGTGAGCAGCCTGGCGAGCACTCTGCTTGGAGCCCTCATCAACGCTAGTAATAATGCTAAACTTCCAGTTGGCCATGTTGTTGAGAGTGATGCGCAGGGGCACGCTCTCAACAGTAGAGTTCAGTTCCGTCATGTGGGTACGCAGCTGCCAGAAAGTATTCAGAAACACAATAGGATAGTACCAGCCATTTTTGCCGCTAACATCGCGAGCACTGGTGCGTTCCAGCTGGACATACTGGCGGACCGCAGGGTGCATCTGGGCAAATTTCACAGTGCCAGAATCAGGAATAAGAGAGACGGTGAAATTGGGGTGGTAGTAAGAAGCAATTGAAACTTTGGGAGTGGTGTCTTCCTCTTCCTCTATCTCACCTCCATCTGCCAAGAGATTCTTGAGCTTCTTGACCTTCTTCTTGGCCAGGTACTGGTTCAGGGGTCGCTGGAAGTGAACAGCATTGTCGCTACTGTAGCCCTTGGCAGTAGGATCAAGCTCATGTCCCGTGCGGGCCACAAAGAAGTGCGCCCAGAGAGTACCGTTCTGCTGAACCTGCTTTGGCACCTGGATTGTGGTATCAATTTCACGGGTATCAGTGTAGTTTCCGAGGGTGAAGTTCTTTTCCTGCAAAACGAGGACGGTTTCCGGAGACTTGAGGGAGGGTAGCGAGAGATGAGGTGTCACATAAATGCTAATGTCAAGGGCAGTATCCGCCGCCCAGATAGGAGCAATGATATCCGGGAGAATACTAGGGTCGGCGACCTCGCTTGGGTCCGGGCGATGCTCGAAGGAAGGCATCTTGCCCGTGACTGGGCTAACGCTAACATCGGATGCTGCATTATCCTTGTTGAAGAATCGACCAATCACGAATTGCACGAGGAGGAAAATTCCCAGGCCTTGCAAGGCGCCCTTGAAGCCCGACTAGATAGAATTGTCAATAAACCGAGTTCTTCGCACCCATTATCCTAATCAAGGCGACTTACGCTGGACGAGGCCGCCTCCTCTCTTCGTTGCCTCTGTTCAGGCATGATGGGATGATGAAGGGAGGGATGGTGAAGGAAAAGAAGAGGCCAAATCGGCCGGAGTGGAGGTTAGCGGGCACGTCTTACCCGTTAGTCTGGGCCTGAGAGCTAGAACCCAAGGGAAAGTTGACGCGGGGGCTTGGCATTGGCGGTGGGCAGTTATCTATTCCCCCTCCAACCAGCCCCAACTCTCCAACTCCACAGTCCAATCCAACCTCGGCAACGCCTGTATACCTGTCGCGAATTCTTTGTGATCGCGCAATGGGTATCGCACTCCAGTGCTGGCGCTGACCTCATGGACAACCACCCTTCCCCCGATTTTCGCGCGCAGCAGTTCCCATCGCATAGCGAGCCAAGAGTATGGCTAATCACCGCCGGAGACTCGCCGATTGGCATCTCGGTCGCGCGGCAGGTCCTTGCGCATGGTGATTCTGTTCTGCTGGGACTCGCGCATACAGTTTTGGAACGAGATCAACGCCGTCGGGATGGATACGAAGCTTTTCTCGCTGAAGTTGAGGAGCACAGCGACGAAGGATGGAAGGACCGGATGAAGGCGGTCCCTCTGGATATAAGGTACGCGTGCAGACATGCCAGCGCTGCGACCAATATGTGGGAGGAGAAAAAAAAAATACTAATCGGCGTCTTTCTCAATAGAATGATGGGCGAATGCCAAGCAGTTGTCGCAGAAGCGGCGGCGACATTTGGCCGGGTAGACATACTTCTTTGCTGCACCAGTCAAGGTAAGAACAGCAGGGAATGCATAAATGATGAAATATAGTATAATTGACAGCAAACTAGCTTTGATTGGCACTGTCGAGGAGCTGTCGGCTTCAGCGCAAACCCTGAACCTTGTGCGCGACCAATTCGAGATCAACTACTTCGGTCCTCTGAATATAATCAAAGCTGCCTTGCCATACATGAGAAGAGAAAGCAGTGGCCATGTGATGATTCTATCAGGAATCAGTAAGCTCCTTCGACCCTCGTGCGTAACAAGACTACATCTGACAAACGACAGCGGCACACATTGGCACTCCAGGCCTTGGAATGTACTGCGCAGCTGGTTGGGCCCTAGAAGGATTTTGCGACGTGAGTTTATGCTCCTATGCACTCGCCAATGACAAGTTGGCTAATTTTTATCAGAGCCTCGCCTTCGAGGTCGCACCTTTCAACATCAAAGTCACGATCTTCCAATGCAGCATCGAAATTGGCATTCTCACCAACCTTGTCACCAGCGTGCCACCGATCTTCCCCGCGTATTCACCATCAAACAACAGCGCGCCTCTCTTCCGTGGGATACTCAACCACCTCGTCCCTCGACTTCCAGACGCTCAATCTGAGGGCTTGCAAAACCAACCGACCTCGTCCCGGAAAGACAATCCAGAGAACACGAGAGTCAGTTCAGTTGAGAATGGCCCATTCTCCGTCCCTGAAGTCGTCTCTATGCACCCGCCATTAAGTTCGGCGCACTTGGAGGTTCTGGTGTCTGAAACCGTTTATGCTATCACATCTATTGGCGGGCATGAAAATCCGCCATCCCGTCACATTGTAGGACAGGAAGGCGTTGCCAGTGTGAAGGAGAAATTGAAGACAGTTAGCGAAGAGCTGGAAGACTTTATTCAGGCTAGTTTTGCGGTTGATGTTGCAGCAGACTCGGATCCTATGCCTCCAATCGTTTAAACTAAATACCCTATTGGAGTTATAATCAGACCCCTATGATATATGCAGAAGAGATCATCGTCTCACGTTTCATCTATGCTGGTAGGTGCAAAGAGAGAGGGAGAAAATATTTATATATCAATTAGCCTGTAGAAGAAATTTTGATCATTCACAGAAGGTCGGGCTCAGGGTAATGTACGCGGACAGGGTCAGCCCCCTTGATGTTGAGAAGGACCGAAAAAAAAAGGGAAGGAAGCGAAAATGCTAGAGCCATCTTGCTTATTATGGAGCAACTGTTATTTTTGTTTGAAGTACCATCTCTGACGTACATCCCAGAGTGAGCCCATATCTTGGTTGTTGCGGTAGCAACGTATCTCCTTCCAAGCATTAGCGGTGCGATTGCCTTTCGCTCGTCCGTCGACCTCCAAGATGTGACTTATAAGTGCCCTTGGTGCTGAGATATTGTGGACGATGACCTCGTCTATTTTATTGATGGGGTCTTCAGCCTCAAGTTTAGGATCAGAATCCAACTGTACGTGGAGAGGCGTGTGCGCGGTTGTAGGCAAATATTCGGTTGCATATGCTGCACTGGTAGATCCAGCGTCAAGTAGAGGATTGAGTGCTTCTCCTGTCATGTCATCTAGGTTTTGTACATCTGTGTTGTCGACAATCTTATCATGATTATGCATATGTGATGTGGGTTTGATCCTGGGCTCGGGATTTGGTGACCGAAGTACAACCTGCACCTTTGACTGATGTTTAGGTGGAACCATTAGTTCAGTCTTTGGGTCTTCTTCGAATTTTGATTCAACTGGTTCAACGATGGGGATTTTGGGTGGTCGGCCCCGCTTCCGCTTGACTGGGGGCTGTGCTGCGGGCTGAGGCATTGGACGCTTCAAATCATTGCATGGTGGCTTAACAGGGCTCATGATCACTACCTGGATCTTTGGTATGTCCTCTTGGGTCGAAGGATCTGGCTCACCCGGTGGACTAGATGGTAATTGGCTCGGTATTGGACTGTATGGCGGAGTAGAGAGCGGGGAGGACATGAGAAGATCTTTCTTATCTTGGTCATTTCTGAGCCCGGCACTGCGAGGCACATTCTCCCATTTTTGGCTTTGCTTTTTGTTGGTGCTCATTTGAAATCCACCCTGGGTAATTTGAGTCTGAGGACTAATATGGTCTTGATTGTTTCCGGTAATTTGAACCTCGTCTTCTTTCGCTAAAGATCGATCACTTGATACCTCCTCAGGCCCTTTTTCCACAATTTTGAGCTTCCTGTTCTGGGTTTGCTGGGTTTCATCCCCTTGGCTTGACGGTTCTACCTTGGGAGGTTCAGTGACGACACTTTGTAGAAAGGTACGCTCTCCAGCCGGCAAGACGAATGACAGTTTAGAGTCGTTGATCTCATGGACCTACATAACGTCAGTATAATTATTCACAAGCCTCGATCAGGTTGAGCCGCACTCTAGCCTCCTTATCAATTATTATGCGGTCGACTCCTCTACCATAAACATAATTGAATCTCCAAACGTCCCCAATCTGAATCACTCCTTGATTGATCAGAGTGATCAGCTTCACTTTGCTCGCTTCTCCCGAAGCGAGACTCTTATCCAGTTTCTGTTTCTGGCCCCAGAACTCTTCATATTCCTGTTCTTTGAAAGAGTCGAAGTCGCCATTCTCCCGCTCTTTTCGTGCCTCGTCTGCCTGTCGCAACCATTCGGGGTCATAGCGGCCATTTTGAAGATCGATCTGGAATTGGCGAATGCAATCCCGCCAGTTGTTTGAATACCGAATAAAAGAATCAGGGAGTGGTGGAATCTTTGCACTTGGGTCATCTGCTGGTGGATCTGCATTTGGGTGGGTATCGGCGGGAAGAAGATCTAGAATTTGGCGTTTCTCGTCCTCATCCAAGGCATGCCATGCTGCGGAGCTGGCAAGAAGTTTCTAACCATGGAAGAAAAGAGTTTAGTTTATAAGAAACGTCTACCGTCTTCTCCCGTACACATCAGGACATGAACATACCACCAAGTCTGCGTCGATCAAAACTGACTTCTCGCTTGTCAATGCTTGTTCCTCGCTCCACTTTCCCCGAGCTGCGGCTTTGCGGGGTTCTCTTTTGGTAGGGGACCCCGCTACTGGTCGTTTCCGGGGAGCCATTGCGTTGTTATAAATTCCTGCTGCATCGGCAGAGCTGGGCGCGATTTGTCTATGGCATGACCAGAGTTAAGAAGTCAAAGCTCCCGTACACAAAACCCAAAGCGGAGAGGTTGATAGCTTACCCCGAGCGCTTGGTTCTGCCTCCTTCCACCGCCTTCTTGTGGGCCATTCTGGCCGATTGCGCAGTGATTCTTGAACTAAACAAAGAGTGTTCCCAGCGTTCTTTCACTATTCGCGGCCGGCAATATGGTCAAATCAACTCAGATTGCAAGGATTGACAGTATGTCAGGCTCTTGAAGAGGGGAAGAAAGTGCTCTTGCTAACGACAGAATGTGATCAGGCTTGATGCTGGCTGCCTCAGTGGACGATGAACAGGTACGACAGTGAATGGATAAATGTGGCGCTGGATATTGACTGACAACATTCAAAGGCAGAGAGTGATCTGGCAGAGATCAAGAATCAAGCCAAGATGATATTCCGCCGCCTGAATCGTAATGCTGCGCCACAAGCAAGCATTGAGTCGGGCCAGTACAACCTTCAGTGAGTGAATACGATGTCTCTCATCACAACAAACTTGGATTCTCATGACAATACAGCTATCTGATCAAAGATGACATTTGCTTCCTATGCATTTGCGACCGCTCCTATCCCCGCAAGCTCGCGTTCACTTATCTCGCTGATTTGGCCTCCGAATTCACCACCACCTACTCCCCCTCACAATACCAATCCCCCAACCTCCGCCCCTATGCATTTGTCGAGTTCGATACCTTCATCCAGCGCACAAAGAAGCTTTACCAGGACAGCCGTGCGTCAGGAAATCTCGATAAGCTGAACGATGAGCTGCGTGATGTCACCCAAGTCATGACCAAGAATATCGAAGACCTGCTGTACCGTGGAGATAGTCTAGAGCGTATGGGCGAGCTGTCCGGCCGCTTGCGGGAGGACAGCAAGAAGTACCGGAAAGCAGCAGTCCGCATCAACTGGGAATTGTTGGTGAAGCAGGTAAGACGATCCACCCCGAAATCCCTGGTCCATCCAGTTCTCTGACCACATGACAGTACGGACCTTTCGTCGGCCTCGGACTGTTTATTTTCATCTTCCTGTTCTGGCGATTCTTCTGATGCCCCCTTTATCGCTGGAGACCTTTTTCGCCGGTGCTCCCTTGTATGATTGTATGCATAGTTAATAAATCATTGGTGGTTGCAGGACACGATCCACCCAGAATTCACACATGAAGCACCTGCAAACTGCAAAGCAGATACAACAAGCTTGTAGAGTTGAAATAACACTCTATATTTCATCTTCTTCCTCGTCAAAGTCATCCTCTTCGCCCATATCGTAGAGAATTCGGCCTCCTTCACCAGGTCCATCGCCATGCTGCGCATCAAAGTAGGGCAAGACAACACCCTCTCTGTCACGCCTCTGTCGATCGGTCAGACCCAGCTCGAAGGTCGATTGAGGCTCCTCATCGTCACCATAGTCAGGTTCCATGGGGGGATTATACAGGATATTGTCATCAAGAAGAGTCACAATCTCCTTCACATGATTTGCAGAGTACCGTGAAGCAGGAGGGAGAAGATACCATTCCAAGACACCTCTTCCACTCTTGCGGCGGTGCTCTAGCTCGAGAACAATTCCTTCAGCAGCACCGGTTCCAAGAAGCTTGTCCAATCTACCTAGCAGAACGCCATCTTGTTCTTCTTCGAGCCCAAAGACCGGAGCAGCCAGACTGCGATCGCGCGCAGCCTTCTGGGCTAAGATGTGAGAAAATGAATGAAGTGTGATGATGCTTGTGGCGAGATAAGTGAGAACAGAGAATGGAGATGGCAAGTAGGAATTTTGTGCCGGGAATCCAGGAGTATCCTGGTGGTATGTCACCACCAAGGATGCGTCGGACTTGAGAGTCGCCGGGTTTGTCGGGGTAATGAAAGCACCCAGAAACGATGGCAGATGGAAGTTAGGATCCACGGTCCTTGAGCTTAAGAGAGGGTTGATAGCATCAATGATAATGAGACGTCCTATACCATCGGTCAACTTGGTTCCTGTCACATAATTGAATGCGCATTTTATGACCACTCACTCTTTGAGGGGCCAGCAGATGCGACGGGCTGATATGCCGCAGCCACTTCTTTGATAATGTCGGCTGGACTTTTGCGACGAGTGTAAACAATTGCATCGCAATCGCTCGGTCGCTTTAACGTCTCAAAAGAGATGAGGGTGACGTGAACTTTGGAGAGCTGCGCAAATAGTCAGCATTGCAATTTCAAAGGCTGAGTTCATATGGAGAAACGTTGGTGCATTTTTTGTTTTATTTTTCGCGTAGGAACATGTACTTGCCTTGGCGCGTCTGATATACTCCTGGATGAGGGGTGTGGCGGGCTGTTCCAATGAGTCCAAGAGAAGCGTCAGCGGTGAGGCGGTGTCTCTGAGACTCAGAAGTTTAGATATGAGGAGCAGATTATGGGTTCTCCGGTGAGACAAATTGACTGGAGCCATTTTGATCAGCAGGCTAGACTTGAGATGGCTGATGGTGGAGGTTGAGGAGGTTGAAGTGGGGTAGCCTGAGCTTCGTTGCAAAAATTTCGTGTGATTTTACAGTTGAGGCTCCACGGGCCGAACCGCGAACTAGTTGCATTTGATGGCTTGCCCTTCCCTTTAGTGCTCACCCTTTGCCGCTTTTTGAGATCCGATTGAACGTGAGCGCGTCTCTGAGTATCCTCTAAGCAGCAAATCCGCTCACTGAGCACGACAGCATCAGCCAGTCTGGAGCGCATTTCAACAGTATCATGCTGACCCATATCATTGCATTCATACACCCAGCACTCTTGACTGTTGTCCCCGACGTAACGCTGTCGCCTTCCATTTAGCGGTCGTTCATAGCTTTTCCGCTTTTAGCTAGAGTTTGGGGGGCGAGTCCTAGCCCGCATGCAGGGCCCACTTTAAAACCATGCATAGAAGGATGTATTGGCAAAATAATGAAGGGGCCAACGTGATGTATTTCGAGTCTAAAAAAACATGACTAACAGACAACTAGTCAAATTGGGTATCTTTCTAGCGATTTACGTATTGGATCACTATTGGAATACCCAAATATGACTTGCAAGCTCGTTCATATCTGCTGCCGATAGAATGAAATCAGTCTCCCCATCTGTCGTCTCCCTCACAAAGACGTCTGAAAATCTAATCTCTAGCTGGCCATTGATCTGAGGGCAACCTAGAGGATTGCAGACAATTTTGATCCTTTGGGTGGGCGACGGAGGCTTGTCATGGCCCCTTCACCAGCTCTCGATGATTGGCTTGCCATAATGAATACTGATAGTGATTGCGACTTTGACGTGACTTTCCGGGTCATGTATCCAGAATTTGATGTCTTTTTGGAGCTTGGTGCGGTATTCTGAGCAAAACTTCTCGCCAACGAAAGTTGGCTATTTGTGCGATTGACGAGAACAGGGTGGGTAGAAGATTTCATTATCAATAGAGCTGGTTGATAGACATGGTCGTATATTTTCCCTGAATTCATTAGTAGTTTAACTCCCGAGTTCACGAACAACTCAAACAAGGAGTGAGTGTTCTTCAATGTGGTCATACACGCATCCGAGTGAGCCTTCTTCACGTTTCAATCTCTCGAGTTCTTGTTATAAAACCGACCCTTGCGCGCTCCATAACTCATGGTCGACATGCGACACATCAGTTTGAAGCTGTACCCAACCAATTTTACCCTTAAGGTTGTTTTACAGATCAATTTCATTTCTTTTCGAAGTCTTGCATTTTCTAGAGTCTCGATGCACCTGAGTCATGGAGCACTTTAGCCTGAATGATGGATAAATCAGTTCTTGTTGAATCAAACAAGCAAGTGTATCAAACTGCACTATAGGATTATCTCCGCCACCGGAATATTCTGGCAATCAGAATAAACTCAGAGCCGGCACCTGGACAATCTCCATTACAACCACATTATATCCCCCTTGAATTGCGCAAGAAGGATGCAGATTTGTATCTCTTAATCTTCGACCAATAAATTTCCTAAACCCTTCACCCAAAAAGTCCACTCTGATCCCCCGCGAATTTCACCACACGGCCATTCGCGCGAGACAGCTTCTTCGTCTTGAGCGCACCCCATGAGTGAGCCTCCAGCAAAGCGACCCCGTCGCGTCGACAGCAACGCAATGTGGGAAATGAATGACTCTCAGACCCGTCCCACAGACTCAGGTGCAGAGGTGGATCAAAGGCGCTCACCTGCGTCCCGAGGTCCGCGTGAAGATCGTCGATTCAGGTCACGCTCGCGAGACCGAACAAACACAAGGCGAGAACGGAGCTGGTCTCGAGATCGCCGCGACCGTGACAGAAGGGACAACCGAGATCGGGATGGCCGGGGAACTAGGGAACGAAAGAGGAGTACCAGCCGAAACCGTGGCCAGGATCGTGGCCAAGATCGACGAGGTAAGACCGGCTCTGGAGAATGCAAAAATTGCTGCGGTAAATTTTATTACACCTAGCTAACAGTAAGGCATAGGGTATGCACCTAAACATGACAAGCACCGCGAACGTTCTCGCTCACGATCACCCGCTGGAAACGGCTCTCGCCGAACCCGTTCACCTCCACTTCGAGGAAATAAAGATGACCGTCGGCCTGGTCGCCGAGAGCCTCGGCCCCAAGAAGATGAACGAAAGGCCAATGGCGCCTATATCAAAGGGGAGGAGATGAATGTTGACTTCAAGGAGGATGCGGACGAAGATGAGATGGAAGCGATGATGCGAAAGGCTATGGGATTTAGCCGTTTCCGAAGCACCAAGAACACCAAAGTGCCTGGGAATGATATCTACGGTGTGCGCAAGGAGAAGAAGACGGAATACCGCCAGTACATGAACCGGACAGGCGGTTTCAACAGACCACTCAGCCCGTCACGGTAAGGGCAGTTCACCAATCTGCTCATGATTGTTTCATTATTGGTCCGAAGGCTTTCGGCTGTACCCCAAATCGACTGGAGTCTCATTGCTCCAATTTTTCTGTCTTATTCCTAGCACAATGCATTCTCGGAGCATGGCATCCCAGGGTAATTTTACAAAAATATGCCAGAAACATTGCGACTTTATTCACCTACGCACTGAGTATGATAGTAATCAAGATTTCCTTCTCCGCCAATTAAAACAATGGCAATATAGTGTCGTGGATAAGAGCGATGCACATGACTGGACATGCCCCGATAGAAGTGACGTAGCCGTCGTTGACTAAGACAGGTCTTCCAACTTCCTCTTCCCTAACTTCTCCAAGGTGGCTTCGATTCGTCCTCTAGCTCGCAAAATTGCGCCGATAACCAAGATGTCAGTATCTGGAGATCGTCGAGAAATTGTCGTTGTCGGTAAGCATAGACATTTTGCGCCAATCCTGTACCCCGCACCCTAAAGTATACTGACCAAAGCTTTTTCAACTCAGGTGGTGGCATCATTGGATGCTGTTCCGCCTACTTCCTTACAAGACACCCTTCCTATGACCCAGCTAGACACAAAATCACCCTCCTCGAAGCCTCCGATATTGCAGGAGGAGCGTCAGGAAAAGCCGGGGGGCTTCTAGCACAATGGGCATACCCGGACAACCTAGTGGGCCTCAGCTACCAACTCCATCAGCAGCTGGCGAAAGAACATGATGGCAAAAACACATGGGGATATAGAGAGACCAACTGTGGTCAGCTTGTCGTCCGAGGTCGTACCATGGCAGAAGTGACCGAGAAAGAAACCGGAGATGGAAAGCACGAGTCGCTGCAAAAGCGTAGCGCAGCCGCCATGTCCAAATTGAAGGCCGCCAGGATCCCTCAGGACTTGGACTGGATTGAGCCAGATCTCCTACGGGCTTATGAGAGTATGAGTGGACCAGGCGAGACAGCCCAGGTCCACCCCTACCTATTTACTACATCGATGGCAAAGCTAGCCGAAGAAAAAGGCGCAGAGATCATCCTTGGACAAGTTACAAACATTGCGCGTCCAAATGACAAAGTCGACTCGGTCTCATATACCGACAAAGCAACAGGACAATCGCGCACAATTCCCGCCACGGATGTGATTGTCGCGGCCGGTCCATGGACCCAAGCTGTACTTCCAGAAGCACCTATCACAGCAATGCGCGCACACAGTGTTGTGATTCGACCAACAAGATCGATTAGTGCATATGCGTTGTTCACCAACATTGAGATTCCAGCCAACTTCAATCCGGCCAAGAAGTCCCGACCAACCGTGGCCGCGCCGGAGATCTATACGCGTCCTGATGACACAGTGTATGCATGTGGCGACGGAGATAAGACTGTGCCGCTGCCACCGACATCTGCTGAGGTAGAGGTAGACTTGGAGCGCTGCCAGGAAATCATAAACCACGTGGGTAGCATTTCGGATGAACTGCGAGATGGTGTGGTCAGTAAGCGCCAGGCTTGTTATTTGCCTAACTGTGCCGGTCCGGGAGGGCCATTGGTAGGCCCAACTCATACTAAAGGCCTCTATCTTGCTGCTGGTCATACATGCTGGGGCATTCAAAATGGCCCTGGAACTGGGAAGTTGATGAGTGAGTTTGTGTTCGATGGTAAAGCTAAGAGCGCAAAGATTGCATCTCTTGATCCTCGCGATCAACTTTAGTCGACTCACTTGATGCTGTACATACAGGATTCACGTACAATAGTGACTATCAATATATTTATACAGTATTGACCAAATAAACAATTTTAAACTTAACAATGGCTGCTCCCCCAGCCAATTGGAGACTAGCAAAATCCATCGATTTATTAAACTACACACTGATCTGAATTTGCATTTCTAAAAACGCTGCATTATTTCCGTTCAAATGTTGTTCCTGGTCCAGAGAAATGGCCGAATCACAAGCATCGGCAAGGAAGCTCGGGCCACGTCATTGCGGAGAGAACAGCTAATCCCCGAATCAAGTCAAAACTGTCCACATCTTCAATGTCCCCTCAATCGGGTCGTTGTTACTGAAAAGAATGCATCTCCGGATCACAACCCTCCTCACGTCGCTGCTCTATGCGACGGGGACTCTTGCAAGCCAAGACCCTAACGATGTGTCCGTCTTGATTAAAGAGGCCGCGCGTGCCAATAACGAGTCGCTATTATGGGGTCCCTACAAGCCCAACTTGTATTTCGGCGTGCGTCCCCGGATCGCAAACAGTCTCGCTGCTGGATTGATGTGGGCAAAGGTGGATAACTTTGCTACCGCACAAGGAAGTATGTTTTCGTTTCATCCTATCCAGATCAACGCTCAATCGCTTTCAAGGGTTAGCTCTGCACATGTTTACTGACTCCAATTGAATTGTGTAGACTTCCGACACACTTGCGAACAGAATGAAGGAATGGCTGGGTACGGATGGGATGAGTACGACATCCGCAAGGGAGGACGCCAGACTATTCACGATGCTGGAAACACTCTGGACCTCACAATCGACTTCGTCAAGGTCCCTGGTGGGCAAAACGGTGGTAGTTGGGGATTCCGGGTGAAGGGTACTCCACGTGAAGACGGCGCACCGGACCAGCCTACCTCGATTCTGTTCTATACAACCCTGGAGGGACTGGGTCAACTGGGCGTGGACATGGACAGCGTTGGCGATGCTCCTGCGCTCGAGGGTGACATCAGGTTGAATGGTTACTCTTCCGAGCTTGGAGACTTTTCTATCGATGTTACTGCTGGCCCTAATACCAATGATTATTTCGAGCATAACCACCCGAGCTATGAGGCGAAGCCATTGGGCAAGGGTATTGTGTCTAGTCAGACCGTGCGCCAGGAGGACCTTTGGCAGACTAAGGGTAAGCTATGGTGGTTGATGGCTTGGTTGAGCTATACTGATCAAAATTAGGACTTATGTTCTTGCAAATGAAGGAGGAAATTGAGCCGACCATCCAAGAATATGGAGCGGAGAACCCCCCGCCTCCTGCTCAGCTGTTTACTGTTAAGCATCAACCCGGTGATGGCAACGTTCACCTTGTTCAGAAGGTTTTCAATGGTCCTTTCGAGGTATTGTTACTCGCCCTGTCCGGGGAAATGTATATGGCTAATGGACCTAGTTCGACGTTCTTTTTTCATCTGGCTCTGCTGGTGAGCCTCTTACTTGTAAGTCTTGACATTTGCAGTTGAATGCCTTCTCAAGCTTCATTCTCACATTATACACAGCGGAGACGATTACCAAGGAGCTCAAGGAATCTTCCCTTTCTTTCTCCGAGAGGTTCAAGCAGGTGCTTGCACCGCAGGTCCCCTTTGACTCGGCCAAGTACCTGAAGTTTTCCAAGGCCATGCTTTCCAACCTGGTTGGTGGAATTGGCTTCTTTCACGGCGATAGTGTTGTCGACCGGTCCGCTTCTCCTGCTTACGAAGAGGAAAACGAGGGCTTCTGGGAGGAAACCGCAGCGGCTCGCGCAATGGCCAAGCCTGTTGTCGAGGCCCCCAAGGATCTCTTCACCTGTGTGCCTTCTCGTCCATTTTTCCCTAGAGGTTTCCTCTGGGACGAGGGCTTCCACTTGTTACCTGTGATGGAATATGATTCCGACCTTGCGTACGTGTCTCAATGCCCTTATCATTGCGTGCTTTACTGATATTCCCAGTCTCGAAATTATCAAGAGCTGGTTCCACCTCATGGATGAGGATGGGTGGATTGCCCGCGAACAAATTCTTGGCATGGAAGCTCGTAGCAAGGTGCCACCTGAGTTCACTGTCCAGTACCCCCATTACGCCAACCCCCCAACTCTGTTCATGGCCCTGGAAGCGTTCATGGACAAGGCCTTGAGTAACAAGAGCATTCAGTCCGAAGGTCTCGATTCCAATGATGTCGCCGAGAGCCTCCGCACTGCAACTCTTCGTAACCCCGACCTGGCCGTTGCCTACCTTCGTTCCTTCTATCCCCTGATGAAGAGACATTATAACTGGTTCCGTAACACTCAGCGTGGGGACATCAAGAGCTACGACCGTGAGGCGTTCTCCACCAAGGAAGCCTACCGCTGGCGTGGCCGCTCCGTTCAGCACATTCTAACCTCCGGTATTGATGACTACCCTCGTCCCCAGCCACCGCATCCCGGTGAGTTGCACGTTGATCTGATCAGCTGGATGGGCATGATGACTCGCACATTGCGCCGCATTGCGGAGACACTGGGTGAACAGGAGGATGCCGAGGAGTTTGCATACCACGAGAACGCTATCTCGCGCAACATCGATGACCTGCACTGGGACGAAAAGGAGCAGACTTTCTGCGACGCTACCATTGACGAGTTTGAGGAGAGCGTCCATGTCTGCCACAAGGGTTATATCTCCATCTTCCCGTTCCTGACGGGTATGCTTGGTCCTGACAGCCCCCGTCTCAAGGCTATTTTGGATTTGATCAGCGACCCCGAGGAGCTGTGGAGTGAGTATGGCATTCGCAGCTTGAGCAAGAAAGATAAATTCTACGGCACCGAGGAGAACTACTGGCGCAGCCCTATCTGGGTTCCCATCAACTACTTGACTGTGAAGAATCTTTATGTGAGTATTATTTCCTTGAGGATTCCATCCATGTCACATGCTAATTTCTTCTCTCCTAGACTATCGCAACCACTGGTGGTCGTCACCAGGAACAGGCCCGCGAGATGTACTCCAAACTGCGCAAGAACCTGGTGGAGAATGTTTTCCGTGAGTGGGAGAAGACAGGATTTGCCTGGGAGCAGTACAGCCCCGAGAGCGGCGCTGGTCAGCGGACGCAGCACTTTACCGGCTGGACCAGTATGGTGGTGAACATTATGTCCATGCCAGATCTGGCTGCGCCGGCTGAAGCCCATCACGATGAGCTGTAGTCAACTCGCTTGAGATGGATGTAAAATAGGGGGCATAGATTAGACAGCATATTCTGTCATATGCATAAGCAAATGCACAACTCGTTGAAGTCGAATGAGTCTGTTGACTTTGGAAAAAAAAAGTTTCATTATCATAGTGTCGTATGTCAGTGTCGTCGGTCGGAGTCACGATCCCTACGTCGCTCGGGAGAACGTCTGCGATTGCCCGGCGAGTAGCTACGTCCGGCCCGACCGAGCCTCACAGTACCCTCATCCTTGCGGCCCTGGCGACTCCGAGACCGTGAAGGGGCCCGTCTCCTTTCGCGATGGTGGTCCCTGGCACCTGATCGGGACGGTGATCGTGAGCGGTGCCTTTTGCTGCGGCGATGATGATCACGGTCTCGGTCTCGCTCGCCATAATGATGATGCCTGCGGTGTCTTCGTTCTCTATCACGATCACGACCACGGTCAACACTGCGCTCGTGTCGCCTTTCCCGGCGTGGACTGCGACTGCGACCATGCCGTCGGCTTCCCCGTGATTCTCTTTCCGATTTCCCAGAGTCCATAATATCCTTATCCCCGTCTTTATCTGCCATTTTCCCTCCTCCTAATGGCACCATATTCGCATTTGCGTCGCTTTTCGACGGCACCGGTAGTCCAAGTGCAAGGGCCATTGCTTCCTCTTCCGCATCCTTGACTCGTTGTCGTTCTTCGCGCTCCTGACGGACTCTTTCCTCTTCATCTTCAACATCACCTTTCGCATACCACTGGAGATCTCGGCCTTGTTGCCAGCGACCTACCGGGGCCATTACCGAATGGCCCAGGTAGTTCTCGCGATGGGTGGAACCCTGAACGTCCGACCATTTGAACTCGGTGCGGCCGCCACTAGAACATGATTAACATAGGAACAAGTCTCGGCAGAAGGAAGACTCACCGGCTGCCTTCTTTGCGTATACCTGCAACCAAATCCATGATGATAAGGTGGAGACAGTTAGTTCAAAGAAGGTTAAGCAATGAACCTCAAAGGCGAAGGCGGTGGCAATGCGGAGCTAGCCCGTTACAACTGGCATTAGCTAATGGAGCTAGTCCGGACACGGGAATGATTTGTCAAAATGCTCTTCTTTTGTGGAGCTTGTGAGGGGTGGATAGCCTCACCGATGATAATGCTCCTGTGTTGCCGGGCATGACCATGTGTACTCCTGCACGTCACCCCTTTTCGCTTCCTCCACGTCCCCGAGGCTCCCCGGCAATGATATTAAATCCACGTTCCCCCTCCGCCCTTACCCCCACTCACGAAGTACCTTTGTCGCCTGTTCCCCACTGCTTGCATCAACCAGCCCGAGCTTGACGACCTCACTATGTCTAGCCGTGAGGGCTCCGATGAGGAGCTCTTATTTGATGGTAGAGAGAACATAAGGCCCCAGGTCCTTGCGCTGAACGTTGAGACGCACAATGACAGAGTTAGTCCACCGAGCATTCCTCACGTGGGGTCAAGTTACTAATTAAAGCAGTTCTCTGTGTAGGTCTTGCGATGTATTGCTAGTTCGGACATGCCAATGAATGCTGACGAAACCCAAAGGAAAGAAGATCAAATTGCGCCGACAATTGCGACATGGAGGTCCAATCTGGTAGGCTCCCCAACCTGATCTCTAAGCCCTCCTCCGGTCCAGACTGACTGTTGGATAGGCAGCTTCCTCACAGAGACGAAACTTATTATTCGCGGCATACGGATCCGACATTTATGTCTGGATACCGACGGGTCCTTTTCAGCTTTTGGGCACTGACCCTGAGATGATTATCCGTCCCGTGATGGATGACCCGGTTGCAAGCGGATATATTGATCGATCAAATCCACATACTATCAATAATATCTTGGTGGACGACCTTGGCCGAGACGAGATACTACTGCTCGTCACCGACTCTGGTAATGTGTGCGCCTACCACGTGGAAGCGATTCACTCCGCCGTGACCCGATGCATCAGCCGGGGAGACAAGCGACCATTCGATGGTGCAGAAGTGACACCGTTTCTGACGGAGAATGTTGGCATGAGTGCTTGGGGGCTGGCAACGCATAAATATGCTCGTCTTATTGCCGTCAGCGCCAACACCGGCCAGATCACGATATTCGCCTTCGCGCTTGTGGATTCTACATCAGTCGACGATAAAAATGGTTTACAATCTTCTTCGAATCAAGATCTTGATCACCTGGATCGGACGTGGGTTCACATCCATAGCCTGAAGCAGTTCCGGGAACTTCGGGAGTTGATGCCGGTCAATCATCGATCCCAGAACTTACGGCTTACTTACAGGGGCCACTTTGACAACATCCCGTCCATTTCATTTGCGAATTTTGATCTGGATCCCAATGGTGAATGGATGGTCAGCACGGATATTAGCAATAGAGTCATAGTCTGGCGAGTCTGGGACAGTTTATACCCAAACCAGGTATATTACCCTGGCCACCCTGAGAACAATCCTCCCCAAAGGGGCTGGACTGTGCTACCGCTAGATCCGCGAACCTTCAAACGCCATCAATCCAAAGAAGAAGCATGCGGCTGTGAGCCAAGGTCTGAAATCATCGGGGACCGAACGATCCTTGATGTCTCAAAAGCAATCGAAGAGATCAATGATGCGTCTCAGGTCTTCGTTTTCGGTGACGGCGAACCGAAGACTCCGGAAGATTATACCCTCCCCGATGAAATATTTTCAGAGAACCCGTTTATCGGACAGGATCCGAAATACCTCGAACAAAGCAATACTGAAGATGGCGCTGTGCGTCACGATACCTCCGATCCATATGCAGACTCAGAAGATGAGCCTGGATTATCTCATGCTATCCGGGATAACAGTCGGCTATCGGGCCTGTTCGAAGATGACAATGAACACTACCGAATTGCTCCGCACCTGCATTATTCCTGTGCCAATGACCAGCTCTCCGACTCTGGTTCCAACATTCTAAAGGAACAACCTGTTCACCGTAAGGACTTCCTGGTATACGACGCACCATAAAATGATCGAACTAATACGATTCATAGCACGCTTCCCCTCTTTCTTCCCCGTCATCCACTTCTCCGAGCATCATATTAGCCTTGCGTCATACCCCTTGGATTCTGAATATCATTTGCTGTGCAAAAACCCCCTTGCTCAAAGATCATCCCCCTCTATCGACATCCACTCCGCCTGTGACCGCTTTAACATGGTCAAGTATATTCCGGAGGTCGGCATCGTGGTTGCCGCGTCGCAAAAAGGCCGTGTTGCCATCATCTCCCTGACCTGGCAACAGGAAATCGGCTTCGCCTTCCGAGTTGACTGGATCGTACCTTTCCTCACCCAGGAATTCCGCAACCAACGACCTGTAATCCCCTTGCTCGGCCTCGCCGTGAGTCCCATGCCAGGTTTCGAAATCCCACAAGACGTTCCCTGCATCCCCCAGGGAATCGACCCAGCCGACTGGCTTTCTTTCAACTATCGTTCCCTCGACCCGGACGAGGACGACGAAGCACCGTCTTATCCGCTTTCATCTAACCCCTCGTATCATCAAGAGCCATACCCTGCATCGTGTCCCAAACCAACAGACCAGAGCATGTCAAGATCGGGCTCAGGTCCTGAATCCGAAGCTGAACCTGAACTCGAATCAGAGTCCGAAGAATCATCTGAAGTTATCTCAATATCCGGCCGTGTCAGTTATGAACATACATTGCCGGAGCTTCACGCCCAAGCGTCGTTGGGCTATCGACCCGATGAGCCCTGGCATGGCTCACATGCCTCGCGACACTACCGCGTTCTCTTGTTGTATGCTGATCATACCGTGATGAGCTACGAATTCTGGCACGACTGGAATAATTGAACAAGCAAGCATGGACATCGATCTGTTGGGCTTAATTAAGGGCTATGATAAACGAGTATGATCCTCAATAGCCTAACAAACCTTGCCCTCCTATGCTACTTCTGCATCTGGAATGTATGAATATCAAAATTACTGTTACACCCAACTTTAATCTTGAAACTAGATTTCAACTGGAGGTGCTGTCGACTTTAAGACAGCTAGCCTTGTTTGGAGGCTCGACCCACAGAAAAGAAATCTGAGCATACGCCCGTAAGTCTACAAATCACAGTCTCGGAATGTCAAGGTAAAAAAAAGAAAAAAAAGCCAACGAAGCATAATGTGACACGAAAAATGGAAATCATTAATAAACGAACACTGAACCAGTCGCTCGACAATGCACCCAAGTCATAGGATTGGAAAAGGCGAGAACAATTCACCGACAAGAATTATTAATGGGAGAATAATAGTTGGGAAGAAAGCAAATGCGAATTGAAAAGATAGGGAATTCGGGAAAGGCTAATATATTTTATGAACAAAGATGTACATTTAAACAAGAAATCCATAGTACCGGTATCAGTGTCATCGTGTTCATTTCTCATGCAAACATCAAGGCTTGGAAATGGCCTGCACCCGCTAGTAGAAATAAAGGACAAGAAGCAAAAATGAAAATGAAATATCGGGTATCAATTAGCGCGAAAGCAGCACCAGCCAGCCCCTCAAAGGTCAGCTTCATCCAGCTCGTCGCTATCCCATTCGTCTTCGCGGTCGTCTTGTACGAGCGCCAGGAAATGCTGTAGACCAGCTTGCCACTCCAGATCAGGGCGAGCACCGGGAGCAAGACGAGCCGGACGGTTAGGAAGAGCAGCGGGACGACCTGGGAAGGGAGGACGGGCAAGAAGAGGGCGAACGCGGCGTCGAGGCCGTTCACCTGCTTGTCGTATGCGTACTTCAGCGATGGCCCGGGCTTGGGCTTGTCGCTCTAGTGCAGCGGCACGGGCAGCTCGGCCTTGGTCATCGCCGGGGCCTCGTGCTGCGGCATGAGGGGGACGGGGTGGAACAGGTGCTGGGGGTGGAGGGCGACGACGGAGATCAGCTTCATCATCGCTGAAGTCGAAGTCCCAGACTGGAAGTTCATTTTCATCATCGTCATCAGAATCGTTATCATCGTGTAAACTGTTATTATCGTCGTCTTCATCGTCGAAGTGAAGTAGGTGTTCAGGAATACGGTGCAAAGCCTCCGCGCCCACAGGGTTAAGGCCGTCGCCACCTTCCAGATCCCAGAGACGATTGAAGCAGCTGTTTTTGCCGTTGTTGAAGTGCTGGTATGGATTGTCGACTGGGAGCCAACTGGAGCAGAGATAGCAGAAATGAGTATCGCATTGGCGGCAGCGCATGTGGTTGCAACCCATAAGTTTCTGACAGGGCACGTTGCAGGTCGGACAAGGAGATGTGTAGAGTCGGAGATATTCGTCGGTGGCCTTTTCTTCCTCGGTCCTTTCTGCGACGCGGCGGGGGTAGCAACGGACTAGAACGCCGTGCCAATTACCTCTGCACACGGAGCAAAAGGCATAATTGCAGTCCTCACAGATAGCCACACGATCTGCAGGCGGAGGAAGTTGTGACTCATCCCCCGCGGGATCGAATGCAAGATCCTCTTCTTCGTCAGATGATTCGAGGTCATCTGTCATTGGGTCCAAGGGTTTGGGATGCCGCTTTGATCGTGCTGCACCTTGACACCATTGCCGTGGACAGTAAATGGTGGTTTTGTCGGCTTCAATTTTCTTTTTCCGCTTGAGCAAAACGTATCGCTGCACAGTCTCTGGTGCCAATGGGATCTGAAGAAGCTCATTGGGTCCGAGGGTTGGATCGTGCTTTTTGCGCCGTGGGGTCTGGACTTGACTACCAGGCGCAGGAATGGGAGCCATGTTTTTATCACAGTCTGGAGCCATACATTTAATGTTGTCGACGTCGCCCTCCGTGATGGACGTATTATAAAAGTCCTGCAGGCATGGGACGCAGAAGACGTGAGAGCAGCGTAGGAGTCGGTGGCAATTTACGCCTTTCTTTGGCTCAAGGCAAACCCCACATTCAAAAGTCTGCTGCTCAAAGTGTTCGCGTTCCGCCTTGTTGTTAAAGTCTAGTAACGCAACTTTCAAATCTCGCGATAGAGAAAGCTCGCCATCCATGGCGTCTTGAATGCCAAATGCCGTTTCAGCAAGTTGGTGTAGATGGTCGATATATGTGTAGACAACCATATCTTGGCCGCATTCGCTCCACAGTCGTTCACAATCCTCCACCAGTTTCGTGAGGGTCGGAGGTGAAAGCCATCGCGGGTGAGTGGTAAGATTCACCCGCGGGGGTTTTTCGGAGGGGTATCCATCAGGTAATTCGATCTCGAGATTGAGCGGCGGTAAATGCGATAGCATATGTACATCTCTGACAGCGGCCTGTTCGAGATCGGCCTTGGAAACGTCGACGGAAGTTGGTGGTGTCAGTGCTGCGGGGAGGCCGCTATCGAGCGGTTGCTGGAAGCTGACTCGAGTTGGCGATGGAAGTGCGACTGGCAGGTCCAACACAGCCTTGAACGGGAAATCTGGATCAATCTTTGTCTCTGGGAAGATTGCGACGATCGAAGAGAGTTCGACGGAGCGATCGTCCTCGGCGGGGTCTTCGGCTTCGGTCATGGTAGCAGAGTCCGGGATACTGAGGATCCCGAGCCCGGGTTGATGAAGATCTGATAATAGTAGAGTTGAGTCGCGGTCGCAATGTCGATAGGAACGACCTAGACCAGATGTGCTAGTCTTGGATGGTCATACCTTGCGACGTGGAGACTTGTAGGTTTGGGAGATTTTTTTTTGGATTGCGAACGTGGGATGGTCGTGGCCACCAAAAAAAAAGTGGCGACCCTCGGGATCGGGCAGAAATGGGATTGACCTGCAGGACATTTTCTTCAGCGAAACAGAACGGAAGAAATTACTCCCATCATGTACCACTAACCAATCGATCAAGGAACTCTAGAGCAGAGTAGCCGGAGGTGCTCCCGTGTGTTGAGTACTGAGGGGTCTATCAAATGATGTAACAGGAAAGCGGGAGTATATAGAGATAGCAACTGCGTCATTGTTTGCTAGCAAAACGAGTTCACGTAAAAGTTGGGTGTAAATAGAGAAGAGCAACAGCGAACGCACAAAAAATAAATGAGAAACAGAAAGAGGAGAGAAGCGAGAGGAAAAGTAATGTCACAAAATGCAGCCCAGCCTTTGGTGCCTAATGAGGGTATTTTGATCTGGACTTGAATGTGTGTCGAGGTTTTGTCAGGTTTGCTGGTATTTCACGGTATGTATTCAGGGCTGAACCATTTAAACTAAGTATTCATATAGATAGTTAACTATACAAAGTAGATAAGACATATAGTAAAAGGTAACGATACCTGTGTTGCAGTATTGTACTCTATACATGTTTGTCATGTTTGCTGCTTTATCTTATCGCGACCCTGAAGAGTGGCCCGTGCGTCTCTTGATTCTTATTGTTGTTCACTTGGCAAGTTTCCAAGCTGTGCTTATTCTCCATATCCTCACCATGTCTGATACACCCCTGGCCTCCTTGTCTCTGACACATGTCCACTATGTGACTCTTCCCCCAGTCTCAAATATAGGGATCAATGACTAACCACCAGGACAGAACCCGGAGGATCCCCTGTCCTTTGCATCAGCATGGCTCGCCCTTCTGCCCCAGGCGCTCTGCGTCTCATATACCACTCTGATCTGGGCCACCAGGGAAATTGAAGTGATCTTCATGTTTGCAGGACAGTTGGGCTGTGAAGGACTGAATTTTGTGCTTAAGCGTCTCATCAAGGAAGAACGTCCAAAGGGTATGTTGAAACGGCTAGCTTGAAACTTGGCACCATAGCACCGGACATTTACTAAGACCCCATTTTCACAGAAATGTTCGGCAAGGGCTATGGAATGCCCTCCTCACATGCCCAGTTCATGACCTTCTTCTCTGTCTATCTTACCCTTTTCCTCCTCTTCCGACACACTCCCGCCTATGCGACTTCCTATCCTTTCTTAGGCACTTTGCTGAGAGCCTTTGTGACTATGATCCTTCTCGCTGTTGCAGGTGCAGTTGCTGCTAGCCGTATCTACCTGAACTATCACACCACCCGCCAAGTACTAGCGGGCTGTGGAGCTGGTGTGGTGTGTGCCTTTGGCTGGTTCATCATCACTGGCTTGCTCCGTCGCTGGGGATGGGTTGACTGGGCTGTTGAAATGACAATTGCGCGTCTACTACGAGTGCGTGATTTGGTGGTAAGTGAAGATCTAGCTGAGGCCGGCTGGCAGCGATGGGAATTATTTAGATTGAAGCGCCGCAGTGATGCCCGCAAGTCGGAGTAATCTTCATACCATTTTTGCTTTTAGCTAGAGGTGATATTTTCGGTTATGTAAAGTAGATCATACAAGGACATATGGAGAAGTATATCGTGCTTGCAGTCATCGTGAAGCCAAAATCAATATACCTTCTAAAGTTGGTTGACGTGATACCCCTTTGCGTATAACTTAGATCACGTGAGATACGCCTATCTCCCTAACTCCGCAATCGACTTTCGGTATACCATTGGCTTTGGCTTGCACCATGACCCAGCCCCTTGAGGCTTTCTTGACCAAGGGCAATTTATTCAATCTCTTTCTTTAATCTTAATGTCTTTCGTTCTGTGACCAACCAGCCAGCCTCTCCTTTCTGGCGATTCCAAGGGTGTTGACAGCTTGGCATGAGAACACCCCCGCGTGAATACAAAATTACTCTGTCAAGATGGAGATCTCCCAAGAGCCACGCGACGCGACAATGCCAGAAGAGCATCATATTGTCATGGCCGATGAAGTCGATCAGACAGGAACTGATATCTCACCAGTCTCCGATGACCAGCTGATGGAGGAGGTTGCGGAGGAATTGCGACAAGAACAGGTTCAAGACCAAGCTGCTGAAGCTATACAGACCATTGAACCGACCAGTACACAGCCCGAAAAGAATATAAAACGACCCGAACTACGTCGAGACAATCCAGTAGCTCCTCCACCGCCACTTCAACCACCCCCGCCAGCCCCGGTGCAGCAAAATGCGGAACAAGCCACGGATTCCCTCAGCTTAGCACAGCTGCGCCGACTTGTTCAGGAGATGCCAAAGGTGGAACAGCCGGCATATGCATTTGAGTATGCGGACTCACAGGCGTTCCCCGAAGAATTGGACGAGTGGTTCCAATACAATGATTTCGATCGTGTCATGCTGAAGGGCATGAAAATGACTTTTGATCGTCAATGGAGCATCTTCTGCCGAAACAATAACCCACAGGCCCCAGATTCGTCTTGGGTGGACGCCTCAGACAATCAGCGTCGCAAATTCATGTCACAGTCTCTCGACAAACTTCAATATCCAGAGATATCGGTACGGATAGAAGCTTTGGAGAATCTCTGTTATGCTGTGACGGGTGTCTGGGGCCTCACTGCTGGTAGACCGACGCCAGACTATCCCACAAATCCAGACACGGAGACCGCTGCAGAATCACCGCGGTCAAAATCGCTACAGATTGAATGGATTGAAAAGAATGTTACGCTCATTCAGCAATGCGCAGGAATCCCGTTGCTGGTTAAGAGGCTGTCGGAATTATTTGATCGCACTCGTCACTCACAGACTGATCAAGAGGGATCGGAGTTTGACCGACTCCATCCTGGCGATATCCCTGCACCTGAACGTGAAGCCAACCTGGTGCTAACATTGCTGTATTTTTCGATTGAGATCGGTCGTAGACAGGAGGCTCGGGACCCTCAATTCACCCTGATCCGTGATGCATTAAGCGAGTCGGACCCCTGCTTGCTGGTTACAATTGTTGAAATAATTGCACGACTCCGATGGGACGAGACTGCCAATATTCCTCTCACTCGCATTATTCTACTACTATGGAAGTCTTTGCTTCTGGTCTTTGGTGGCAGTGCCCAATTGAAGAAAACCAAGGACCTATTGGAGCCATCTAAGTTCCCTGATGAGGATTCCAACAATCGCAGAGGGCCGTTCTTACATGCGTCTCCACTGGACTACCACCTTTTCCGCCAGGAAATTACATCCAAATACCCTGCTTACAACCCTCCACCACCTATTGTTCCTCTGGAGCTGGAAAACAATTCTATCCTACCTCCTTTCCCACAGCATCCTGCCAGGGGTAACACCTCCAGTGGTCTGTTTAGTGGAGTCGGACCGTCTATCGCTGGCGGAAATGGTTCAATTCTCCAACAAGCTGTTCATATTGCAACCCCAGCACCCTCTCCGCCTCCATCACCAGGTGGCCCTGGAGGCAAAGGCGGCAAGAAGCAAAATTACCAAACCAACCAGAACTTCCCCCTGATGTACCCTCCTTTAGATGACACCAGCAATAAAATTGGGGGCAAAGGTACGACTGAACGGCAAGATGTTTTGGTTGGAAAGCGGTGGGAAGGCAGCGATGTTCCTGCGTCAATTATCGAGGCTGGCCGACTGTTCTCTACTCACGTCAAAATGGCTCGGGCGATGAGACAGCTGTGGGAGGAGCGTGAAAACTTCATGAAGTACGACCGAGGCTGGAACCTATCGCCTGAAGATTTACGTGACGAGTTGGATCAATTAAATATGTCTTCCGACTCTGGTGCTTCGGGGGCCAAGAAGTCGACAAAGGAAACAGATGATCAAGACACCCAACGACGACTGGATGCCGTAGAAGGCTTTTATGTAAGCTCACTACTCGCACGTTGATCTGCAATATACTGATATCTTCTTGCAGTCTCAAACACTGGTTCACCTCCAGTCAATTACGATTGTCTTTTTGAAGATAATTCTGACCAACGTCAGTGCTGTGGTGAATCAGGCGACTTCTCAAACTATGGGGTATGTCTATATTCTGACACATGCATAAACATGGATTCTAATATTTCTTTAGCAATGGGCACGGTCTTGATGGGTCCTCAACGGAGTTTTTCTCTGACTCCTCTGTCGACGAGCTTGATAACATCAGGCTGCGCGAGATCACCTCGAAAGCCGTTTCTGGCACTTTACTTCTTCTCGTGAAATGGTTTAAGCGATCTCGTGAGTGTTTGCCTTGGATGCTCAGTATATCTATGGTCACTAATGCAAAGCAGACGTCTTAAAGTTCGAGTATATGACACAGCTTTTACTGGATTCGAACTATCTGCCATTGATTCTGAAGATGTTTGCTCATCAAGATGTGGATCAAACAGTGGCTCAAAAGAACGACCGTGATGATCTATCGTATGTTTTATTGCTCACATATTATCCAATCAGCTTTATTAACATACAGCCAGTTTCTTCCATTTCTGCCGCGAGAATACCGATCATCGATCAGATATCGATGAGCCTGACTGTGGAGATACCGAAAGCGAAGATGAAGCCGCGCCGCCACCAATCTCCCGAAATCGCCCTCATCTGTACCGCGCAGATACCTCAGTGCGTAACCTTTCGCACGAGGAAAACATCGCCGGGTCAAATGGCCCTGCTCGGCCCGAAGTCGATGAACTAGGCTATCCTACTGCCCCTCCCCCGAAGGAGCCGATAACCGTCTTCTCATTCCGCAATTTCTTCTCTGCTATCAATTACCTTCACATTATGCAAAAGATCACGCGTGACAAGGCACACCGCTGCTTGCTTCTTGTGCAGTACAAATCTAGCACTATCCTCCGAAAGGGCCTCAAGATTCCTGACCCCTACCTCCGATTCTATACACTCAAGCTCTTCAAATCGCAAGTGCCATACTGTGGCCGAAAGTGGCGACAGAGTAACATGCGCGTTATCACCGCCATTTACCTGTACTGCAAACCCGAACTTCGGGACGACTGGCTCGCAGGTTCGGATGTCGAAGGTGACGTCGAAGTGGCCTTGCCACTGGAACAGGCTCTTCGAGGACTGACACACTGGTGGCATTTGCGCCAGTACAAGGGCGTGATGGGTGGGCGTGAAGGTACCACCATTATGGAAGAGGAGCGTGATTTCTTCGTTCGTGAACTGGAGTCGATGGGCTGGGGATTTACTGATGACATGGTTGGAGATGACTCGGATATGAGTAACCCCGTGATGAATGGAACGGAGTGGGATGGTGGATTGCAGACGGAGGGCTGGTCATGATTTGCAGGAGTGCAATGTAAATGAAATGCATATACCCAATTATGATGAACGTTGCCTAGTTCCTTGTGTTATGACAATGGCAATCATCAAGACAAGCCTGTCCACGTGTCATTTAGCCAGTTAACAAAATATGTATTTTCCACAGATAGCTATACCTATTGAATGAAGTATCATTGTCCTTTGAATGTTTAGTTGGATATAGGTACAAGATATACCAATAAATAGATCTCTTTCCAAGGTTCCTCCTCCCATGATCCGGGAGTCTCACCTTGCAACTCCATTTCAATTTTGTTCTTTCATCGCCCCATCAAACCATGATCCTCACAGACTTTATGGGAAATCAACTCTTGATCGACCGTTCAAAGCCATGTCGTCGACGAAGGAGACGCACGGTCACTTGCCGTGTCCTCCCTGAGTATGGTCTAGTCAATTTGGAATTCAGTGAGTATGCTCCTCTTTAGACATTGGAACTTCCTTATTGACTGCCTCAGTCCTGCTAGATATCGCTCAGGGTTCCCCAATGGGTCTACTCCCTTTTCACGCAAATCACCTGTGGGTATAGTCACAAACTCGAGGTTATTGGAGTTGGGACTGTCATACTTCACAAACCGACCTCACTGGCCAAGGAAAATGGAATCGCGATGTATTGTATTGAAGAGCGTGTTTCATACTCTTGGTATGCCTTTCATCTCCTGGGGTGGCCTCTCCCACACGACTACGAGATCGTTGTTCGAGGAAAATAAGGTGAAGTTAAATCCGCTCCCATCAACACTCACTTAGACAGTTTCCCGGTAGCATTTTTCAAACCAACCATCCCTTGCATAATTATGGATGGGGGTTGTCTCAGTAACTATCTCTAAGGCCCCAATATGGGACCATCGACATTAGATGAGTCTGTTTCTGCTAGGCCAATACTTTCCTTGACAACGCAGAGAACCACAGATTGGCGGTCATGCGGTACTTCTAATCCCCTCTTGGGCATTGTAACACGACAACGCAATGCCACACCCCAGATGATGTGAAGAGGACTTCTCTAACGTTGCTATAACGAAACTGAATCTTTAAGCTCCTAAGCTGGAGATCATCGGACCACCAAAACACTTGAAAATTTTTGCCACTTTTCAAGGCATCATAGCCAAAGGCGAGGGGAATCTTAGGAAACGGCATTTGAGACATGGGAATATTGATGATGGTGGCTTATGCATACCAGAGGTACCACAAAATTGGCATATAGTTTTATATATACATGTCAATTGAACGCAAGAATTCTCGTAAGAATTATCTGCCTTAGCTATATATTTCTTCCAGGATTTATCTCAAATTGAAATTCCTACATGTAGAACCTTTTTTGCCAAATGTATATATATTAAACGATTTCGACGTGGCCCACCTGGGGCATGCGCAGCGGGCTTCGAGTCAGGAACCATACTGATTCTCCATCTCCATCACGATACTGTATTCCGCCGACCTAAAAGCAATAATTCACAAACTACGTCTTTCTGCTTTTGATGTAACCTAACTGACGAACTGATCAGTTGAGTATGGCTTCGACATGATGCATTACATAATCACATACATGTCGGGTGGACCACTCACCGCACGCCTATCGATAAGCACTGCACGTGACCATCAACTTTTTTTTTTCATCCCGATCAACAGCTGGGTAACGGCTCTCCAGTGTACACTCAACCACCTTAGCCCATCATGTCCGACGAAATTGTCTGGCAGGTCATTAACCAGCAGTTTTGCTCCTACAAACTGAAGTGAGTCACGTTCCAACTTTAACCCAATCCTTCCAATTTTCTACTTTTCATGGCTACCGTTGTCCCAATTCGCAAGCATCTCAAAATTTCGAATCTAATCAAAAACAACTTGACTAACCACTCTGCCACAGAACAACAAAAGGACAAAACTTCTGTCGCAATGAATACAATGTCACCGGTCTTTGCAACCGCCAATCATGCCCCCTCGCCAACTCGCGGTACGCAACCGTCCGCTCTGACCCCGAGACAGGCGTCATGTACCTGTACATGAAGACCATCGAGCGTTCCCACATGCCCAGCAAATGGTGGGAGCGAGTCCGTCTCTCTTCCAACTACGCCAAGGCCCTCGAGCAGCTGGACGAGCGACTGATCTACTGGCCCAAATTCCTCACTCACAAGTGCAAGCAGCGTCTCACGCGCCTGACGCAGGTGAACATCCGCATGAAGAACATCGCCAAGGAAGAGGATCGCCTGGGTGAGAAGATCGTGCCAAAGCTTGCGCCGAAGGTGCGGAGACGGGAGGAGACACGTGAGCGCAAGGCTCTTTCGGCTGCTAAGGTTGAGAGGGCGATTGAGCGGGAACTGATTGATCGATTGCGGTCCGGTGCGTACGGCGACCGACCGCTTAATGTTGAGGAGGGTATTTGGAAGAAGGTCTTGCGTGGACTCGAGCGCGCGGGCGATGGTGAGCGCGATGAGGATCTGGACGATGGGGAGCTGGAGGAGGAAGAGGAAGAGGAGGAGGGTGTTGGTGAGGTGGAGTACGTTAGTGACTTGGATGAGGAGGAGGATCTCGAGGATATTGAGGATTGGTTGGGTGAGAACTCGGCTGAGGACTCGAGTGACTTGGATGAGGACAGTGATGATTCCAGTGATGAGGATGAGGATGAGGAGAGTGATGATGAGCAGAAGAAGCCCAAGCCCAGTGCTAAGCGGAAGTATGCTGCTCCTCAGCAGAAGCCGAGGAAGAAGGGACCCCGTATCGAGATCGAGTACGAGACCGAGGGTGCTGACCGTGATACTATTATGGCTTGAGCTTGATTTTCTCGGGGCAATTGGGAAAAGTTTGATTGCATGGCGTTGTGGGTTTCTTTTCTTGTCTTGTGTTCTACTGTGATCGGGCATCATACCCAGCTATCGCATCTACTGCTCGATGAATCTTGTCAATACGGGTTAAGACACTTCATGGGTCTGTTATTTATCATCAAAATTATTATCATTCAACCTACAAGGTTCATGCAGTACTTCTCAAGTACCCAGGTGGTGCAGATGTCTCCCGAGGTTACATAGTAGGTATCAACCTCGAGGGTTTGGAGTCTATATGAAAGATTTTGAGGATTGTCTCTTGACTGAACCCCGGAGGATCAACAATGATCTTGATGTAGTTGGCGCCCTTGACAATGCGCGTTTCCCTTCCTCCAGGCTCGCAACAACGGCCTCAGCAGGCATATTGGGGATTTTGCTATGGGTGCCTTCAGGACTGACCTTCAGGAAGCTGGTTACTGGTGATTTAAGTTACACTTCTCGTACCAGTTTTTCCAATATCAAACTCAGAGAGCAGTGAAAGAGGAAAGCAAGAATAATGGATTTCTGGGCTTATACAAGTGGCTTCCTTATCCTAAGGTCTATCTGAAGCCTAAGCTTGCAGCAACTACATTATCTATTGTAGATTCAAGTCTGCGATACTACCACAAACAATAATGGTTTACTGAAGCTAAATGATAATGGCTCATGAAGTCTGGTATTCGAACGTTCATTGACTAGGTTCGAGGTATGCTGGAGTTGCGATTTTTTCACGCGCACGCCTAGAGCTGACGACGATGATTTCGCTGGCCCCCAAGTAGCGATAAGTTTTTTCCAGTCCAAAGATAGAGGCGACGTCGCTAGTTGGTCAACAAGACCAAGCTTTTCCCAGGAACCAATCCATGACGCATTTGCATACTGGTATCGTTGGATGCTTTTGAAAAGCGCCTAAGCGCCAGGGTTGTATATACTCCGATAACTCTAAGGGCCATAAACCTTAAGCAGCCTCACGGTCCCACCGCCTAGTTTGGCTACATGGAGTAAAGTGGTATACCCCTAAAGGGCCCTTCATCCAATCTACAACATCATAATACTGACTGCCATCACCACCTCCGCTATTCTCAATACCCGGGTATTTGATGGCGAGCAACTGTCAGAGCCAACCACTGTCACTATTGACTGGAATTCAATTGGTATCCTTGACATTACCGCCAGTTGCACATTCAAGGCAAAGGGCGCCTTCTCATTATCTGGGCTCATCGGTTGTCATACCCATCTAAAGAATCCGACGATCTCACCGATTTGTTTTTCCACCATGCAAAATGTCTGCCGATGGACAAGTTAGATTTTCTTAACCTGCACAGAGAGACTCTTTTATCTAAGACAAAGATAGATTTCTTCTATTTCGAAATCAAGAGAGTCGAGAGATGAGTAAAGCGTGCCGTGAACACCAGGCCTCGTTCACCAGTCTCCTGCATACAAAGAAATGGCGAGGTGCCTAGCAAAGTTGAACTCATCAACGAATACGACGAAGACTTCATTGCTCAGCTCGCGGAAGATAACGTAGTCTCGCGGCGGAATTTATACATTGTATCTATCTCTGGTGTTATTGACCCTGCTCAATTCGATCAGACTGGCTCCAATGCAAAGTGGAAGATTTCCAATGTGGAGTTCGCGGCGGGTATCGTGAAAGCGGGTCATGGTACTGGTTTGACTTTTAATGTTATTGGTATTAAGGGAGGGGACATTGTTGTTCATGTTGGGTCCGAATAGGGAATTTTGAGATGCGATTTGTTGGGTATGTGCTGGAACGGGTTCACTAACGGCTTGATGCGATTTTATAGTTTTGGACTTGGGAATTTTGGAAGATCCCTTTGGAAGTCTTACTCCTAAAATCATGCATATTCACAACAAAAGCGGATTTAGAGATCATGGTATCTACCCATGCGGCCTCAGAGCGTATTCATTTAATTAAGGAGACTTGTTATTGCAAAACGGATCGACGGATCTGTTGATGACGGTGTGCGACGTCGGGAGTTGAACAGACCTGCATATAAGCTTGTATGATGAAAATAGGCAGATAATTCCTAAAAGAGAATGCGTTGGCATGATGTAACTATGAATATTCTTTTGAAACAATCAAAGGCTTCGGAGGGTCATGAAAAAATGCCAGTTGGCGCCTTGTATAGGATCACGTGCCCAGAACCGCCTCTCCTGTTTCACTTCGGGTTTCGACTTTACCTCCGCCACTAAACTTGCAGGAGCCGGCTCTTGTGCGAAACACCTACTTAATTACCTTCGATTCCTTCAGCTTTTTGCTTCGGGATTCCCTACAATTCCTCGCCTCTCACACCGAAACCACGACCACCCCTGCACTGCACTCCTACAGGAAGCAGCTCCGCATCCATTGACCCCACCCCGCATCCAAGCTGTGCTTTCACATTACATAGCGTATAGCTGGACAACCAACCACCCCAGACTGAGGAACCAAAATGAGCTCGTACTTCTCCTCTCTAACATCCTCCTCATCCATATCCAATGTCATCGGTTCGCGGCTCAACAGCCTTCGTCGTGCCATCACCGTAGGTGACGAAGCAGACGACCCGGAGAACGAAGACTGCTCACACATCTCCAACGCGCTCCGCGCATACTACCTTGAAAAGGGACGTCCATTCCCCGCATGGCTTCCTCCAGACCCAAAGGCGTCATCGTCCTCATCTTCCCGCGTCGTCGCGACTAGCCAGGGCCAAGCCTCCGGTGGTGCTTCCCAGGGCCGTGGTGGCGGTCTGGGTGATCTGTGGGGTGATTCGGGCTCACCTCAACCGCCACCTGCACAGACAGCTAGTCTACGCCGAGGTCGAGGCGCGGCTAGTGTTCCTCCACTTACATCTAGCGCCAGTTCGCCTGCAGGGCCCGTGGGCTCGACTGGATCGCCGCTCACACACGCCCAGTCAACCCCCGTCATTCCAGGCTCTCTCCACCCTGCCGGAGCTCGACCCTTACCTAGTCAGCGAGCTGGATCATATCAGTCAACCCAGACACGCATGAACTCTGGGGGATCAGGTGGTTCTGCGCAAGAACGACTGCGGGCGCGGTTGCAGGGAGGGCGGTCCCCTAGTCCTGCCAACCTTGATCCTAGTGTTCGGAAGCCTGTGGGAGAACGCCGATGGTAAAGGGTGAGATGGAAGGGAAAGCTTGCATTGGATTGATTGCATAGTCATAAGCATGGCGTCGGGAGTTTTCATTCTTTTGTCTGACCGTTATATATACAATCCAATTGACCAGACTTGACTTTTGACCCACTTTCATTGCGTCGGAAAGGGAAGGAGGATGTAGTTTCATTACCCCAAATCCATGCAAGTGTCATGTGATTCCTGTTCTAGATCACCTTTCAGCCTCGTGCAATCTTTCCCTGTGATTTCATGTTTCATGGATCCTGCGATGATCTGACCACACTGAGACGCCAACAACATCCTGGCCATGGTACGCGAGCGCCGGAATGACGATGATTGGATCTGCAGTTCAGAGTTTTCCACAAACGTCGTATATAGGCTAATCGAGTCTTAGATCCGCTTAGCCAAGCCACCAACCCCACGCCCCCATGCTTTTGGCTAGCGAATGACGCCCTCGGCTTGGGAACGGGAAAATCCCGCATTTCCCACCCGGTCAGGTCGCCAGGGGGCGAAAACTAAAAGCCTTAAGCAGAGATCCCGTAAGCTCTGTTCGGTCATTTTAAGAAAACAACCCGGGAACATCTCGGGATCCGGTTCCCATGTCTCCACTTCACCCCGAGATTTGTCTCCCCGGCCCGGAGGTACCTGTGCGCTCAATGGAGGGGAATTTCACCGAGATGTCACCGACGATGGAGTCTCCATGGGGAACCCCATGCTGCGTAATGCCCTGTACCCTGAAGTCGGACACTGTCCGAGACTTCACCTCATGTGACGCACCTATTTTTCCAATTTATCGGCAAGCTGATATCGCCGACTCGTGTCGGAGCGTGGTCGGCTTTGTCTTCACCCGCAAGAAGAGCTCCACTTGCCAGGCCGATTTCCGCACAAAACAACGGAAAGCCGGGAATTTTCGAGAAGTGTGATGCCGATAGTGGATGCTGACATCTATTAAGGATCAGGGCAAGAATTGCCACATCGTGGCTCTGGATTGCAACCTTGGAACTTTCTAGTTAAGCTTCGGTGGGCTGCGATTCGTCCAAACGCCCGATGATCGAATTCCCCGGCTTGTTTTCCCCCTCTCCACATTCTCCTATCCCTGTCAAGCACGCAGATGGATACTCATTCGGACAGTCTTGACCAGGTTTGTGCGCCGGTGAGCCCGCACTTTGCTTCCCCTCCTGGTTCCCATCTGTTTCTCGTGGCCCCCGGATCCCGTTTCTCCACAGCCGAAAAACTTGGAGTACATACTCCAGATGCGAATTAGAAACACGGAACGGATCCCCAGCCGGCTTTTAGACTTTAGTTTCGCCGTGAAGTGTTCCCCACTTTGTTTTTTTTTTCTCCATCGTGCGTCAGTCGTCGCCAAAGTGTATTTCCGCCTGGGGTTGATGTGGTCTGAGACTGGCTTCAAATACTCCCTGTCCCCCTTTCCTGGTTTCCAATTCTTTTCATTAGACGTCCTTTCCTCTCCCTTCAATTCATACACCCACTGCGTGGGACCCGGCTGAGACGCCCGGTTTAGATTTTTATACACTTAGTTCCGTCTTATACATCCCTCGCCCTAGAAGGGCTTTATTTTTCCACCATGTCTGACGCTAAGGATATCGAGGCCACTTCGGACATGCACAAGGAGGCTCCTATTGCCCTCGAGATGGACCATGTGACCGATAAGGTCGAAAATGAAGTCAGTGAGGCGGTGATGGATGCTGAGCTGCAACTGCTCGAGGAGCGGTTGCAGACATTGCCCAAGCCTCGATTTGAGGTGACATTCTCCAACCCGGCTGTGTATACCTACATGCTGGTGGCATTCGCTTCCATGGGAGGTCTTCTCTCTGGTCTCGATCAATCGCTGATCAGTGGTGCAAACCTGTCCCTTCCCCATGCCCTGAGCCTTAGCTCCAGCGAGGCTAGTCTGGTGAATGGTGGTATGCCGCTTGGTGCTGTTGCTGGTGCTCTCTTGCTTTCTCCTTCCAACGAATACCTCGGCCGTCGCATGTCTATCATTGTTTCTTGCATCCTGTACACCATTGGTGCTGGCCTAGAAGCCGGTGCCATCAACTTTGCTATGATGTTTGCTGGCCGTATGGTTTTGGGTGCTGGTGTTGGTTTGGAGGGTGGTACTGTGCCCGTCTATGTTGCGGAGTCTGGTGAGTTTTTCTTTGGTTCCTTTCCCTGTCATCTAAGGGCCACTATACTAACGATTATCTTCAATATAGTTCCTGGCAAGATCCGTGGTAACCTCGTTTCGCTCTATCAACTGAATATTGCCCTTGGTGAAGTGCTTGGATATGCCGTCGCCGCCATTTTCATCGGCGTTGACGGTTCCTGGCGTTACATTCTTGGCTCTTCGCTCGTTTTCTCAACTATCCTTTTCGTCGGCATGCTTTTCCTTCCCGAGAGTCCCCGTTACCTGATGCACAAGGGACGCGAAATTGAGGCATATGGAGTCTGGAAGCGGATCCGTGGTTTCAATGACTACGATGCCAAGGACGAGTTCCTGGGTATGCGCCAGGCCGTTCAGCAAGAGTGTGAGGAGCAGGCCCAGACCAAGAAGTACGCCTGGATGGACTTCTTCACCAACCCCCGTGCTCGCCGCGCTCTTGTCTACGCCAATATGATGATCTTCCTCGGTCAGTTCACCGGTGTCAATGCAGTCATGTACTATATGTCTACCCTCATGGAGGCCATTGGCTTCGACGAGAAGACCTCCGTGTTCATGTCCCTTGTCGGCGGTGGTTCCCTAATGATCGGTGCTATCCCCGCCGTCCTGTACATGGAGCGCTTTGGCCGTCGCTACTGGGCTAATGCCATGCTTCCCGGTTTCTTCATTGGCCTTGTTCTTGTCGGTGTGGGCTACACCATTGACTACACCAAGTATCCTGCCGCCGCTCAGGGTCTTTACCTTACCGGTATCATCCTGTACATGGGCTTCTTTGGTTCCTACGCCTGCCTGACCTGGGTTATTCCTTCTGAGGTCTTCCCTACCTACCTTCGTCACTACGGTATGACCACCGCTGACGCCAACCTCTTCCTCTGCTCGTTCATCGTCACCTACAACTTCACCCGCATGATGGACTCAATGACCCGTATTGGTCTGACCCTCGGTTTCTACGGTGGTATTGCCGTGCTGGGTTGGTTCTACCAGATCATCTTCATGCCCGAGACCAAGAACAAGTCTCTCGAGGAGATTGATGAGCTCTTCTCGCAGCCTACTTCTATTATTGTGAAGCAGAACATGAAGCAGACTGCTCAGGTCATTCGTGATCTGTCTCACTTCCGTCTGCGCAAGGTTTTCTCTCCTGAGCCTTACGGAAACTAAGTTTCCCATGATATGATGGCGAATCAACCACATCACCTGTGGTGATTGTGATAGTTTTGGATTTTCTTTTTGGTTCTTTTTATGCTCTTCATGACTCGACATGAGCATGTGCTACGATGCGCTGCAATATACCCCTATCAATTGTATAACAATGAAGCCTGATCATAAATTATTCTGCTTTCTGCTTAAGTTCTGCACCCATCACCTCGTAGCGTATTATAAAAACATGAAAACACAAATAAAAGCTTTATAAGGGTATAAATACAAATCTTACTAACATTTCACCAATGGCTTCATTCCTGGCCAGCAGCGTGTGAAGTCTTGGGAGAACCAAGCTCTCCATCTGCATTATTGGTAAGTTTTCCTCCACCCCCAGGACTGCCTGCTTTACCCAGTAGCTCAAACCCACCCACATCACCCGGCAACTCCTGCGGCGAGGTAGGATCCTGCTGCGCCGGCAACTCCACCGGCGTAGTCTCGGGCAAATCAGCCCGATCAGGAGCCTTCCAAATACCTTGTTCCTCGGAATCCATTTCCAACTTGTCCTGCGACTTCCTCAAAAACGCAACACCCCCATCCAACTCCGGTTTGCCATGGTAAGGATCCGGCTCCGGAGGACTCTGCAACGCAATATCCGAACTTGCATCAGTCCCCTTGGCACGCTTTCTTCGTCGATGCCATATTATAAACGCAATGACAGCAGCGATGATAATCGCAACTGGAACGCAGACTCCAATGGCAATTTTGGCACCCGTGGACAGCCCTCCACTACCACTGTTATCCGAGGAGCTGTTGCTTGTTGAGGAGGGGATAGCATCGGTGATGGTATTGCGAATCAAAATTACGGGCATTGCTTGGAAGGTCGCGTCGCCGGTTTCGCCCTTGTTGCCTATGTGGCCGTTATAGTCGCTTGCCGTCTTTGTAGCGCATTGGTTATTCGTCACTGTGAGAATAGGGCGAGCTGTTAAGACAAGGGCATTGCTAGTGCACAGGTCGCCGTTGAAGTTATAGTTTCTGTTTGACCGGCGTGGTAAGCATCCATGCAACAGCAAGACCTATCAGACTACACAATACTTACGAAGGACAGCAGACAGTGGCAACGTCATTTTTCCCAAGACTGGTCACATATTCCGAAAGCAGAAACGATTTTGTTGCCTGAATATGGCTTGCAGAAAATGTCGCCGTGAATCCAGAGGGACAGATCAGTCCTGGCGAGAACGCCTTATAGTTGAGATTGCTGTCATCGGATTTGGACCCTGACCATCCGGTAGGATAGCAGGATGACGCGTACCCAACCTTTGCGGCATCACAGGTCGGTCCCCAGGCCAGGATAGTCGAATTGGTGTTATGCTGAATCCATTGTTCAGTGAAACAATCGGATGGGGGCGTAAATGTAGTCGTGAGAGGACCAAAGTTGGCAGAAGTGGTCGTCATTGTTAATGGAGGGGCATTTCTAGCGGAGAAAAACGCAGGCAAGACATAGATAGAATGGAGGACTTCTAGGAAAAGGAAAAGGGAACTTGTAAGCACGAGAGAGCACAGGCTTCACATCACATCATAGCACTCTGAACTTGAATCTGACCTAAGTGCCAAGGCTGGTGTATGCGACAGGGGGCCAGATAGCTGAACGCCATGTTCAAGGCACGGCGATCAAGCACAATGATACGATTCAAGCTCCACAATTCCAATCGTGCCAATGGTGCCCCCGTTAAAATTTTTGAGTTTTCCAAATTTGGTTGTTGCCCAACAATTCTTTAGCCCCCGATGCGTCAGTGGCTTTAGGGCTCGTATATGGTCCACCGGCGCGGGGCGTGGCGGGGGCCCCGATGGTTGGCCTTAATTAGAAGACGGGGCTCAGCTGGAAGGTCCGTGAACATTAATCATAGCAAAATCAGTGGTTTGCAATGAGGGTCATAGATCTTGTTGAAGCTGAAAATTTTCCGAGAGGGGTAGAATCCTCAGATACCCAAGCTACTTGAGCGAGGTCTTGATTGAATATCTGCAATAAAAGTGTAGACAACCAGCCGATCAAGTACCTACTACTTCCTACTACTTACTACCATCCTGAAGCCCATATGATTAATTAATGCCCACATGAGTACCTACTGGCCTTTCGAGTAGTTACTATTATTCTTTAATATTCGAGGAGATACTATCTCTCTTTCTGGGGGTTGGGCATATTTTTCGAAACGAGCCATCTAAATACCAACTCAACATATACGAGCTGAATAGCAGGGATCAACACGAATCACAAGGATAAGTATGTAGTATTGTGGAAGTGCGGCAAGGAAGAAAGATGAGGATCTACCAGAGATGAAGCCTAAGTAGTGCAGGAAGGAAGGTACTAGTCGTCATCACAGTTCAAACTCGAAGGCAATATCGTGGGAGGGTGCAATTAGCGAGATTAGGGTGCAAATGGAGTTTCTCATCCCAAATCAATGATAAGGCCATCAGTAGAACTGAGATCGGAGCCCGCGGCTGGACTGGCAGGTGTGGCATCAGGCTCTCTTACATCATTTTCATGGGCTTTCGGCATGGGGATTTGCTTTTTTTCTCTAGACGTGCTGAGAGAATCCCTCAATAGATCGTCACTGCTGCCATTTGGTCTAGTGGGAGAAGAGCCAACAGAGCCAATAGTTTCCACCTGTCCAGGATAAAAATGATCTTCGGTGGGTTCCTGATCCGGCGGATCATAGAAGAACAATGGCTCTGGCCGAGTCATGTCCTGTTCTTCCTCCAATCCCCAGAACTTAACGAGCTTGTCGCTATTACCTTGACCGACTCCCGATCCCAGGAAGTTCGAACCGCCGCCTTGGGCTGGGCCAGCGCCTCTATTCTCTAATGTTTGATTGTCAAATGGTTTACCCTCATCTTCCCTCGTATTGCTGATGGAACAGTGGCTGATGAAGCATTTGTAAAATGATCTCCAATTGCTCACCTCCAGTGTACAAATGCTGCAACGAGGCGGACAGGCGAGGCGTTGAATGCATGGCTCAATCTCCGTGTTGGTTGGCCTCCAATGGTGCCTCATGATACAATGATCTCTAAACCTTTCTCTTCGCCTGAAAAGCTCCCCACAACCAGGCTGAGAGCAGTGCATTGTGGAATTGGGATGATGGCGACTCTCGATATGCCGCTGGAGGCCTCCCGCGGTATTGAATTCAGTGCCACACCGGATGCATCGGAATTTGTGAATTTTCGACTTTCGCTTTATCGTAAATTCAGCATCGGGTAAAGAGAAAAAAGGATCTGACAAAGGTAGAGTTACAGCAGCATTCATTGATTGAATAGACTGTCTGGTGGTAGGCATGGGGAGATTTGAAAGAAGTTCTCGCTCCTGACTACTACTGGTCCCATCTGAGTCTTGCCATTCTTGAAGGAAGTCAAAGTCATAACCAAAAGGGACGGTAGACCCATGGCCGTTGTTGGTTGCTGACCGTACCGGAGGCGAGCTGTCCTTGGTGGCTTTGCTCGATGCATCGGCGTCTGAATCACCATTCCCATAACAATCATCGTCTCTTGGCAAACATGGGATTGAGATTTCCTCCAAATGGCGTCCTACGTGAGTTGCATAATCTTTCGTATCTTTCCATCCAAATTCAAAGCATAACGGGCACTTATGATCCTTAAAGTCACGCTTCAAAACAGTCTCTTCTGCTTCTGCGATCGTCGCTTGCAACGGATGCCCAGATAGCGCAATGTTATGGGCCATAGTGAGATGCTTGATAAAGTCCTCTTTGGTCGTAGTGGGGATTCTGCAGTGAGAGCAACGCCATTGTGATTGGGAAAAATGCTCGTTGATTTCATGGCGTGCCCACATGTCACGGCTCGTAAATGTTTTCAGCGTGTCTTTGCACTCTGCATGCGTGCATATATAGGACTGCAGATCCGCGAAAACATGCAGTCTGTTTAGTTAGCTGGGAATATTTTTATGCGAGATTATTCAGATACCTACTTCCAATCAATCCGGTTTCGCATGTTTACAACCCTTTGACAATATTCGCATTTGAAAGGCAGTCCGTATTCCTGTGTTAGATGAGGTACTCGGGGACGGCCTTGGCCATTTTCTTCAGCAGTTGAGAGAAATGACTGATGCGATGCTGCAGTAGCGGCATATTGCGACCTTGTAAAGACGGATGTTCCAATGGCCGAGTCGTGAAATAGGGAGTAGGGCTTAAATAAAGTCACGTCATCTTCGTTCGCGCGATTCTCCGCATTCGACAGCCGTTTTCCCTCTTCATCTTTCCTTTCTCCCTCTTTTCTGATGCGGACAGACCTTTCCCAGTTAGCTTCTGCTAGCCTCTCTACAAGAGAGACTGGCGCAGTGGTAAATCTGTTGTAGTTATCAGTATGGGAGCGGAATTCCCTGAGGAACTTACAAACCTATCACGAATGCGTATAGCAAAAGGCAGCGCGCTTTGAGATATATCAAATTGATTCCCGCTAACTTCGTGAGGTTGAGTCACCCTTTGCTGCAAACAGAGAGCATGTCGCTCAATTGCTGGTACAAGATCCATCAAGCAGAGCACATAAGAGTGGAGTCGTCCATAACGATTCATCTCACCGTCGGTGGTTGACGATGAATCGTCAGAGGTGTCTTCATCTGAGGATGAATTTGACTTCTCTTCAGTTGAAAGGAATATCTCTGCATTGTCTAAATGTGCCCTGAGTTCCTTCACCAGATTCTGAATAGAGCTGCTCTCAATCTGGAGATTGCTCATGGGGTCATCAGACCCCACATAATGGCTTATCAGAACCTCACCAATCCCTTTCAAATTTTCCACGACATTTGTCTTCAAACGACTGGACTGCCCAAGTATGATGTCGAGGTGCCCAGGAGCAAAATTCTCTTCCCATAGCGGAAGTTGAGCTACATCTTTCTTGAGGGTATTTCGGCGTGGGCCATACGGCATGAATCGAAGACGTGATCGCCATAGATGAAGAAATATGGATGAACATGTCTGGTATAGTGTTTCAACGAAGCCGACATTGGGATCTTGAGCGCTCTGTTCGATTTGAGATTCGATCCAGTCATCAAGTAAACCCGTGTATCTTTTTGATTTCTTCATATTGATAGCGTGATGAATGCCAACTGGTTCGAATATGAGAAGCAAACAAGTGGCTCGAGGTAATGAGGGGCTGAAAAGCAAACATGATAAGGATTGTCCCAGGTGAGAGGGGCTGACGCGGTACACTTAATCAGCTGAACTCCTCCAGACCCCGCAACTTTCAACCCGCGAGGAAGCCTTCCTAAGAATACCTTATTTCAGCGACCATGGCCATTTAATTTTCAAGTGAATGAAAATGACAAGTCTTTTACCTCCAAATAGCCGGAGGGACTTTGATGTTGCGATTATTTGCGCGTTACAGATTGAAGCAGACGCTGCGGAGGCACTCTTCGATCATTTCTGGGACGAAGACGGCGATCGATACGGGAAGTCAAGAGGGGATCAGAATGCATATCGAACTGGAGTTATCGGCAAACATAACGTCGTGTTGGCATATATGCCTGGCATTGAAAAGGGCCATGCAGCAAGCGTCGCGGCGAGTTTCCGATCGAGTTTTCAGGGTATTCGACTTACCTTGATTGTTGGAATCTGCGGAGGAGTACCAGACAGAACCAGCGATGGGGTCTTTCTCGGTGATATTGTTATCACCGATGAAATCGTGGTGTACGATCTAGGCAGGAGATTCCCCGGGGGCTTTCGGCGCAAAGAGGGAATAACCAATTCTACCGTGAACATCGAAGTCAGGGCCTTTATGCAGAAACTGAAAAGTCAAAAGGGTCGCGAGCAGTTATTGAAGAGGACCTCCCATCATTTTACTGGCCTACGGAAGCGAGATCTTAGTTATAATGGCCCTGGACGCTTGAGAGATCGACTTTTCGAAAATACCTATCATCATAAGCACCACAGCCCTTCAAGATGCAAGAAGTGTGAGAAAGATGAGCTATGCAGAAAGGCTCAGGAGTCCACATGTGAGGCGTTGAACTGTGACGAGAAGAGACTGATTGCTCGTTCCCGATTTCCCCTCGATAGGCTCGATATTCACTTTGGACGAATAGCTTCGGGCGACACAGTCATGAAGTTTGCCGTGGAGCGAGACAGGATTGCTCAAGAAGAGGACGTGATTGCGTTCGAGATGGAGGGCGCGGGAATTTGCAACAATTTACCTTTCATTATGGTTAAGAGTGTTTGTGACTATGCTGATAGTCATAAGGATAAAAACTGGCAGAAGTACACTGCTGGAAGAGCTGCTGCATGTATGAGATCGGTGTTAGAGCAGTGGGCGGCTATCGACCCACAAGGTGGAAGCGCTGGACATCAAACGGACTCATTGCAGGCTATTTCAGATCGCCTTGACACCATTTCTGAAGTAACACCCCCTCATCCACTACTCACCGAAGAAAGTCATTCGTCACAGCAAAGCCAAGATAACATCTCTGAGAAATTACTGCAAGGTAGAGACCTTTTTCCTTTGCATATCATGCTAGTATCTAATATTCACAGTCTTATCGGCGGTCACCTTGAGATTCAAAAGTGTTCTTGCTTCTTTCAAAGCAAACCGCAAGCGCTTACCTCGTGATGCTGATCTCAAGAGCTTGCTGAAGACCCAGCGCGTCGTTTTCCTAGATATTTTAGAGGCTATGTCCTCCACCACCTTGGAGCCCGCGAATACTGATCATGATTCGACAAACAAGCTCCGCTTGGATGGGGCTCAAGCGATCCAAACCAAGCTTGAGGAAATTGAAGACATGACAAATAATCTTCCTATTACCGACAAGGGGAAGTCGCATTCTAGGAGTGATGTGGACAAGCTAAAAGTAAGATACTAATGAAAAAGTTTGAGATTGGAAATAAGTTGACCCTCTTCCTAGGACGCCCTTGAAGATCTAGCCTCTATAGTTCAGGTTTTCGTATCTTTGATTCCTCACCCAAAAAGGCCTCGGTTAGTGGAAACTTCAAGAGTTGCTAGTTCCCTCAAAAGTTGCCGCGAGTTTAAGCATTTTCAAATTATCCAAAAAGCTGCTTGCAGTCTCTATGATGCTTTTGGAACAGCATGTAATGCACATACTGTTCATAATGTGCATTTGTCCCTCCAACCGAACCTTGATCAAACATTATCTCGGGTACAGTTCAATGTGGCCTACTCCCAGATATCTATGAGTCCAGGAAAGACAGTCTGGATCAAAGTTGAATCAAAGATAAAATCCACCGAAGCCATTCTCCAAGAAACGTCCCTATCGATGAGAGACTCACCTCTCGAGCTGCCTGTCGAGCGTCCTATAAAGCGCTCGCGATCTGTGTCGGATACTTCAACGAAATTTCGCAAACAAGTACGGTTCCAGTTCCATTCTCCACCCGAGTCTCTCGGGTCATTGTGCCCAAAAGAAATATTTCCCAGCGTCCCAAATCTTCATCTACAGCGAAACCTTTGTACTTTGATGAAGAGAATCTCACATCAACGGGAGTGCAATGAGTTCATTGGGTCACTTGGCGACAATGTCATTTGTACCCATTGAAGTGGGGCACGCGTCGTTGGTGCTGGTAGTGTCTGTCTGCGAACCAGACACCACCGGGGCAGATACTTGGGTAGCGGAAGACAAGAGAGGAGAACCTAGGGGTGGCTTGAGAAGGAAAGATGGTCTGAGTTGCTATCTCTGCACAACTAGGCTTATATACATCACATATGCTTAGTCACCACATACCACTCTTCCCCACTACACCATTTAGCATATATCGACAGCGAACCTGAGAACAAGAGCATCTCAACTTCGCTCTCTGAACTCATATCTCTGTCAGAAAGCAGATTGGCGGAACGTATGAGTTTTTATGAGCAAATTAGACTATGCAGGTATCTTGCTACTGCGGTTTTGTACTACCATGCTACGCCCTGGCTCAAAAAACCGTGGCGCAGCGACGATATTCACTTTTTCGGCGATGGTTCTTCCCTTCAACCGATGCCAGACAATCTACTAAACATTGCCATGGCTACTTCCGTCCAAAGAGAAGACGTTCCAATCGAACGTCAGCCCCAAGCCTCCAATTACCATCATGTTGTTCGCAACCCAGTTCTTTTCGGGCTGGGTGTCATGTTTCTCGAACTCGCATACGAGGCACCACTTAAGGCTCTTCAAAAGCCAATTGACCTCGAGAAAGGAGATATGCAGGGATTTGCGGATTATTTCACAGCTCACAGGGTAGCAGACAGCAATCGAAAAGTGACCGGTAGCTTTAAAGCAATAATCAAAAAATGTCTACATTGTGACTTTGGTCACGACAGTGATTTCACGAGCTCAGGACTTCAGGAAGCTTTCTATCATGATGTGATTGGAAGTCTTGAGCAACTGGAAATCAAGTTGCAGGATATTTGAGATTATGAAGCAGAATGATCTAGCTTGAGAGTAATGAATTATCGTGCGAGTAGGAAATTTCGCTAGACAAAAAAAGGACTCAAATCCCAAGAGCTATATTCATTGAAACCTTATGGGAACGGTTCAAGATGCCGAGATATATTATCAGTCAAAACTTATTTTCTCTTTGATTTGCAACCAAGCAATCCGTGGCTGTGGATCGCCCCGCATTGGTCCTAGTACATCATTGTTTTGGTCTGGGAGAGCCGGTCAGACTTGTTTGTTTTCCTTTTCAGCTTGATAGATACAGAGCACCTGGAGAGGCATTGAACAAGAAAATGATGTTACCAAACCCGTTGTTGATACCACGTCACGTCCCTAGTCGCCATAATATGGGCACAGATAGCACCATCCGTGATCACCAGTGAGGACGAAGAGTAGACTCGGTGGTTTGTAAGGAGTTACTCCCCTATTATTATTGTACAGAACACACTTTTTCGCAGTTGACTGACCAAGTACGCTAAAAGAGTAGTGATATACCTAGTTTCTGTATATATAATATTTAAGGAAATGGCTAAAGATAATAACATTGGGTAGTAGAATAGTGATTTTATCAAAAATGAAGTCCTAACGTGTTCTTGAAGTTCTCATTTTATTCGTATTGAATTTTTCCAAAGCTTCCTTGAATAGCACGCTCCTACTAGCTGCTTTCTCAAAGCAAGCCCCCACGTCTTCATGCCATGTGTAATAATCGGGTCTCTTTGACGGATTGAGGTAAGCGCAGTCTTTAAACCAGTGGTTCCCGTTATTTGGCACATTCTGACAAGGACAATGAGGTATCCGTTTGGTCGATTTGCCTGATTTGGACTGCTCTGCCTGATCTGGAATACGCTCAATGTCAAGATTCTGACGAAAACTGAGGCAAAGTTCATCAAAGTCGATTGGAATTTCTGCGTTGATCTTGGATATAAGCTCGTGATAGACTCGGTTATGCCAGATAGGGCTGATATGGCGTACGGCGTCCATAAAATCCAGTGGTGCACAATCATTAGTCTGAACAACGGAAATTTCCTCGAGAACACCTTCATGGTAGATTGTGAGTAATTTGGTGAGCCAATTGAAGATTGGCTGGCCCTGAGATGGACCCTGGATGGCTGTTCTCCACCGTTTTTCGACCGTTCTCTTATACAGCACCATGGGATGACGGGGAATTTGCGACGTCATAAGGGTCGAAACGGGTATTTCCTTCAGTAGTTTGGAATGAGATCGATCTACCCAGAGCCGGCGCTCTAGTGTCTCCAACTTTGAATTATGTGTTCAGTTCCACGAAATTGGAGAACAGCGATCGGTCGTTGCACACATGCGTGTTTGACCCGTATCAAAGGCTCAATCTGGACAATTCCGAGGAGCTGGAACGCGATATGACGCCCGGATTTGGGTCTCTCGCGGTTGTTTCGACCCAATCTGGCTGAAAACTGTCAGCATGCTGACCGCGTTAGCACTCATATTATCTGAGATTGGCAGGGCGATTGATTACCACTGTCAAGATATTATGTCAGATGATCAAGGCTATGTGGTAAAGATGAGCAGATCCGGGTCTTCTCAGGAGATTCGCAGACGTAGAAGATAGAGAAGAAAATAGGCAGGAGAGGGAAAATAGGCATGAGATTGAGACGTGGATGCAAACAGAACAACAAAACAAGAAAACCATCATGTGACGTTCCATAATAAAAGATAGCGGAGAAGTCTGGTAAAATGAGAACTCAAAGAACATTCAAAGACTCCATTCTTTGGCAGATTTAACGTTACCACTCTACTCAAACGTAATGGGAAAATAAAGCTCCTACGTTTCCGATCCTTAGGGGAAAAAGTGGGTTTCGGTCTTCTCCTCAAGATTTAGTCTTGGAGAATTCTACCTAAAACTATTATTTTCCGGATTTCGCCTAGCTATTATACTCCCAAAACAGGAAAATACCTGTGCATCTCCGAGGGCAAGATTTGGTTGTAATGGGGTTTTGCCTAATATGATCGATTTAAATGTTAGTAGAGCGTGCTACATACTATCAAGTATTCCCCTCTTTATAGTGACCGATATACAATAGTTCTTTGGCTGCTTCTTTCGTGTGCTCATCCGCAAGCTCGCTACCCACCATGATTCACTTCTATGCGAGGATCCTGCGGGTTGCTGGGGAATTCGGATGACTTTGTCAAGGCACACCTGTCTAGGGGAAATACTGGTCTGCAGATTCTCTGGAGGGATGCTTGGCTACGTTGAGGACCATCACAACGTGTGCCAGTTGCGTAGGCCCACCTACTCAGATCAGCCATATACAGTATCTGGCCAAATAACTTACGAAAACAAAGCTCTCTTGCATGGCTAGTTAGTCCGTTTCGAATAACCAATTACCCCCTATGGCCAACTACAACACAGATCGTTGGATTTTATGCCGTTGATGACAGTTTATTTTACAGTTACTATAGAGATAAATGTTAGCGAGTGATGGAAAGTTCGTAAGTTATTTGGCCAGATACTGTAGAGCCATCTTAATTGTTTACATTCTCCTCCACGATTGTCCATTGTCATCTAGGCGAGTCTTGACTCCGCTAAGTACACTGCTCACACCGTCTCTAGTTCAATGCTGTGACTTCCAAAGCTCCATGAATATACCATCCTTGGAATTCAAAGGTTGGTCAGGCACTCCATACTCCACAATCCTACCTTGGTCCATCATAGCAGCCATAGTGGTAGAAAGACCTGACATCCAGACTCCTTTTGATGTTTTGAAGCATTAAATAAGTTGCGGTGATTCGCTTTTGAACTGCGTCTACCCACTGTCTTTGAGCTTTTTTCGACATTTTCCCCAATATGAAAGCAGCCAATGTGCAACCTAGAGCGATGCCCACAGGAGGGAAGCATGCAAAGCCGATTTCCCTCCATAGAATAAATATCGCGAGTCCGACCTCAATCGGTGCCGCCCATAGCACGTCGAAATTCATCATCCCTTGCGCGATTTGGTCAATGTCGATGCTCATATGAGTCACAGAGGCAGCATCGGTGAGCCGAGAACTTTCGAGCTGTAAAGTAACATCGTAAACCAAGCTGGTGAGGCCCCCCTCGAATCATAACAATACAGCGATAGATTAGGTGCTTATATAGAGCCGTACTGAGTGCGATGCCCAGATATATCAACGCGATCGCTCCAATTAACGCCCTACCGGTATCTGTTTTGGCTTGACTATCTGCTTCTGATAGTAAGGAGATGGTGCGGTTGATGAGAAGGGGCTGTGAAGTGGTGAAGCCAATGAGACATATGCGCGGGTGTAGAATCAGCAAAAGTGGCTTGCGGAAGGTTTGAAAGGTGGTTTGGATCAGGGCATAATCCCGAGTTTTGTCACAGGAAGACCAAGCCTCCCGGAATTTATCCAAGAAAGAATTTGTGTTTAATTCGGGGTCAAGAGGAAATAAATCTTCCTGGCGGAGTATCTTCGATGACCCGCTGAGGAGAAGTGAGTTCAGCCACCAGAATACACTCCGGTTTATGATACCACCTAGAGCTTCTGGGGGATAAAGTCGGTATGGATCTTGTAAAAGCGCTTTCTTTTCTACGCTCTCCAGCCCGAGGGCCATCGCCTTCATCGCCACACCTGCCGTAAAGGTAGTGGGAAGAGATCCGTGGCCATTTCGTAACCACAATGTCCGCGCTTGGCAAATATCAAACAGAGTCGTCAAGAGCAGGTAAATAGCGAGAACGAGCGAGGGCCGTTCGGACCGATGATGGTCAAGGTAGGAGATAAGTGCTATGACTAGAGCACCACAAAGGGAAATGCAAGAAGCTGCGATGGAAAAACGCGTGCGATCAGCGATCGGCGATCGGCGAACTGTACAGAACGACGAGTGCAAACTGCGTTGCAGCATAGTATCCGATGACAGCCTATTTGATATTAAATTTTGATGGTAGATCACTCTGGACCCGTAACATACTAGCTTTCCACAAATAAGCCAGTCAATGCCCCTGGTTTTTATTTTGTTATCCTTCTTTAACAGATAGAAAATCCGAGGGGTTGCGACAATAAGCAGGAGGAGGGATGGCAATAGCGATAAAATAGCCTGTCCGAAGAGAAGTGTGAAGTCGAAAATTCCTAGACAATGAATTTTGGGGCCAAATTTATTGTCTGCTATAGTGCAGGTGGGTGTGGAATCCTTCATCATGCGTGCGGAGTTGTGTTGAGTGAATGAGAAGGGGAAAGACTGGGAATATAATCACTTTTACTCGCGGGATTTCGTTATCTTTGACCCCTGTCAGGCACTGATCTGCTTCTTCACCTCATCTCTCGACAAGCAAGCCATTCCACTCATATTGCAATACGGGCCAAATAAGTTCCACTGGACGATTGCTCATGTAAGTTCGATATCCCTATCTTGAGAAAGCATTGGCTTAAGTTACGTCACAGACTTCATATTTCCTATCACTGCGTGGGGCAGTCAATTTCGTTCCTCTTCTTGTCATCCTTCCGGCAATATCGGAGTTCCTTCTATCGAAGCGGTATAACCCAGCACTTAGGGATAAACGACTGACTCAGGTCAGTACTGCGCTTCATATAGGAGGTGCGATTATCATCTTCTCCGCCACGTCGTCTGGCACCTTTGTGGTCGGACTAATAGTTTTCGCCCTTGGGGGATCTTTACATATCACCGCAAGAAGTTTGATTACCTCATTGGTAGACCCTAATCTTTTGGGCACGGCTTACGCCTGTATCGCGACTGTGACGTCTGCTGGAATTATTTTTGCCGGGCCCTTACTGGCTTATACCTTCAAATGGGGCATGATATTGGGGGGCAACTGGATCGGGATGCCTTTTCTCACTGCCACGGGACTCTACGTACTTGGACTATCCGCAGTCACTATGACCAAGATTACGAATTCTAGCACTGGTCTTAGCTCACAATAAAGCTCATTTAATTTTTATGCAATTAATTTAAGTGCTTGTGGTGGCCTGATGAGGGCCCGGTAACATAGCCTTCGGGGGCATGTATATTCATATAAAAATCCAGAGGTTCCTATTCAAGATCTTAGTACCGGAGAGCTGCAAATGACATGATGTATTTACTCACTCGTTTCCGGCACTGATGGGGAATCTCATACCCGTTGATTGGTCCTGAGGCAACACCATTTCCTTTTTGAAGTGTGGAGTCGGAACAACTCGTCGGGATTCCTCCACTGCTTATTCAACCGGCCCCATCTCGGGGTCAAAGAACCGGGAATCTGAGAACCATCAAACAGATAGTGGCATGAATATCTACCCGATTAGCCGCGTCAGGGCCGACTATTTATACCAAGGAATTTACAGATCTTTTTGGTTGAAAGTATTCGCACCAACACCTAAAGTCGATACCTAATCATTGCGTTCCCAACGTTGAGCCACATCATTGGACAACCACAACGATGCCTCTCAAATACAACCCAGAATTGGATATCCCGGACCTTGCAGGGCGGTCTATTTTCATCACCGGAGGTTGAAAGTCCCCCACAAAATTATTTCCGTTCATAATGAGCTAATTGAATCCATCAGGCACTGGAGGATTGAGTGCATACTCTGCGCGAGAACTCGCCAAACATAATCCAGCTCACATATACATCAGCGGCCGAAATACAAAGAGCGCGGAAAGCATCATAAAACAATTCCAAAATACCAAGGCCAGCAAAGTCACAAAAATGACATTTATAGAGTGTGATTTGTCCTCCCTTTCCTCGGTCCAAAGAGCAGCCGAACAGTTCCTAGCACAGAAACCAAGTCCACGGCTGGATACTCTGATGTGCAACGCAGGAATCATGACGAGGCCCCCAGCTACATCGAAAGATGGCTACGAGATTCAATTTGCGACGAACCATCTTGGTCATGCGCTTTTGATTCGCAAACTTCTCCCACTCTTGGAAAGGACCGCAAGTGAGGGCGGCGATGGGCGCATCATCATTCTCTCTTCAACAGCCTGGGGCCTCCATCCCAGTGGTGGTATACAATTTGATCGCCTTCGCACGGGGCAAAGCTTTTCATTTGGCGGACCTTGGCAGCGGTACGGACAAGCCAAGTTGGCTAACCTGCTGTATGCGCGTGAGTTGGCCAAGCGGTATCCGCACTTGAGCTGCGTATCTGTGCATCCTGGAGTCGTGGAGACCGGATTGTTCGACGGGATGAGTTTGAAGAACAGGATTATCATGTATTTGGCATTCTGGTGGGTTATGGTACAGCCACATGAGGGCGCTTATAGTCAGCTTTGGGCAGCGACAAGGCCCAAAGAGGAACTTGTGAATGGATGCTTTTATCTCCCTGTTGGAAAATTGGGAGATGGAGGGCTAGGGAGGGAGGCAAAGAGTGGCAAGGGGACTCTTGCAGAAAAGTTGTGGGACTGGACTGAGGATGTCCTAAACGATTTTGAAGGGCGTTGAATTCAGCACCAAGGCTTCCTGTACGAAAAGACTACAAAGGGAGGAAAATCAAAGATAATCATATGTATCGACAGGGAGAAAAGAAATCACTTACGTAGTATACATGGGTCTTCTTGTAATGAGCGCCAATAATTATAGCGACATGAAAAGCGTGTTTGAGTAGTCCGGGTACCCTCACCATACTCATGCACCCAATTCTTACCTGACGACGTCGGTACCGGTAGCCGTAGGAATATATTAGCCATTGTACGTACCACAGCTTGCCTATGTGCTACACCGCGTACATCTATATAAAGACTCCACCTTGTAAGCGTATCCTCATCTAATCGAGACGCCTTGAAGGTTTTGGTACGCATGGGTTGGCGAAAAGCAAGCCTGCTGACGTGGTCCCGTAGTGGATTTGATTGAAAACCTCCAAAGTTGACATATACCCGCTACCATCCGCAAGCTCTATCGAATCTTGACCGATCATTTCCAGATCTTCTTTAGACAGTGCAATGTTTCTTCCTAGAAAAGAAAAAGCAAAATAAATCAGTACAAGCCCGGGGCCAAATTCTCACTCTTCTCAACATCTGGAATGAAAATGCATATATTTACATATATTGAATTAAGTATGGTGGTGAGGTATTATTTCGTGGATACTTGTATTTGATGGGTGTGGGGTAGAAAACTAGAATTTGACAGACTTTTTCGCGGGTAGTGTAGCTATTTTGGAGGCCACTGTGGAATAGTTGCCACAAGAGTCTTGTGGTCCCAAAGCTCCAGTTCTGCATCTAATTCGACCAATGGACAACCCCATGCATCTGCAACCTGTTTCGTTGGTCGATACCGTGATTCAAGATACCACTCAGCATCGCTATTTTGGTCTTGGGTTTTGAAGTTGAATCGAAATTTATAAGAATAGTTGAGGTCGTATAGCATCGATACTAAACGGGGCATATTTCGAGCGGCGTAGCCTATAGAAATAAGGACCCTATTGAAATGGTTGGAGTCGAGAATTTCGCGGCACACGAGACCTTCCTCATAATCACAAATGATTTCTTCCCAGGCTTCTATTGCGTCGAGCTCCTCTTGCTCCTCAGTAGTAGGGTGAACAAGCCATTGGCCTACATAATTTGAATAGTTAGTTCATTTCTCTTGGAAATTTGGATTGTAAAATCTATTAATATCATCATTCGTCCATCCAGGCCCAGGGAGATGAAAGTAGATAACTCGTCCGAGAGTATAGAACGCACCTGAAGGAATTCTTGGTGGAACTTCACCAATATCTACAGTCTCAAGATGAGGCCAGTGCAAATTTGCGGAACTAGGCAGCGGGCAGCCAGTCTGATCTAGCGGGAATAGAAAATCCGGCGCTAGAGACACACTTTCCAGTTTCAACTGACGGAGAGTAAGGCTCAGGCACCCAAGCTTTTGAGAAAGGTGACCTGTATCAGATATCAAAATGTTCAATCCAGGCATAGCTTCTTTCCAGGGCCTCTCGTCTTGGATAGCAAGATCAATACGTAAGCCTTACTCATGCCCAGTGAGCCGGGCCTGAGCAAGGCTTACGTAAGACTCACTGAGCCGGAGGCCGTGCTTAGATCTACTAGTGAGTAAAAGCGGCGAGAGGGTGAGCACTAAATCTGAAAAAGGAAGTCAACAATCGTCAAAGGGAGTCCGGTATGTTCACAAACTTTTCTCATGTCCAGATAGATAAATTGCAAACCTACCATGATAACATTATTTACTCTCGCTCCGTTTCCATACATATTATCAATAAATTACAGGTCACACCAGTAGTCAAACTCAAGAATACATATTAAATGCCATTAAATTTCTACTACTATCTTCCTCGATAACCTAAGCTAGCACCCCGTCTAGCTTATTTCGAGCTTAGTCCAGAATCAAATGAAGCACATGATCTAGACTTCCACCTGAGAGACTGCAGGAGCGACGCCAGCTTTCTCGTCGATATGAGTCGTGAGACCCATCTCGTCGGCGAAGGTGGAGTGGGGCTTCCATCCTGCCGAGGTACGGGGGTTGGTCTCTTCCATCATCTTATCGACCTGCTCTAGGGACAGGCCCTTGGTCTCAGGGATCAAGAAGTAGGTGTACACAAAGCAACAGGCACACAGGGAACCCCAGAGGAAGAAGACCTTAGGGCCCAAGTTAGCCTTATCACCATCAACCAAGTATGGGGTGATCACGGCGATTATCTGCGAAGAGAGTCAGCAATCGTCTAAAGCGTAGTCATGCAGAACAGAATCAGCAGATACGTACGCAGTTCCAGAGCCAGTTGGAAGCAGTGGACAGGGCAACACCACGAGAACGGATGGGCAGAGGGAAGATCTCGCCGATCACAACCCAAGCACCAGGACCCCAGGTGATGGCGAAGAAGAAGACATAGATACAAATGAATGCAATCATAGCGCTGACCGCATGGTTGTTCTGTCCATCGGTGACACCAATGATAGCAACAATGAACTGACAGATGACCATGCCTAGCGCACCCCATAGAAGAATAGTGCGACGACCAAATTTCTCAATAATGTAGAAGGAAATTGGCGTTGAGCACACGTTCACAATAGTTGTGATCATACTAATCAAAAATGGGTCCGAAATCGTTCCTAGTTGCGTGAAAAAGGTAGTTCCAAAGTAGAACACGAAATTAACACCAGTCCACCTAAAAGAGCATTAGAGATATGACGTTGGTAAATTTGGGAGAAGGTTGAATTACTGTTGCATCATTTGTAGAGAAGTACCAAGGATAGTGCGTCGAATGTTGCTGTTGGCCTTAAAAAGACTTCCAGTGAAGCAGTTCTTCCAGCTAGCAAAGTAGCCTCCATCAGGAATAACCTGCTGCTCGTACTGGAAATTGGCGTCAATCTCAGTCAACTCGAGCGTGATGTACTCGGAATCGATAGGTTGGCCGCGAACGCGAGCCAGAACCTCACGGGCCTTCTCTTTGTTGCCATTGCGGATAAAGAAACGAGGGGATTCAGGGAGGAAGAAGAGACCACTGGCAAGGATGATAGCCCAAAGGAGCTGAAGGGCAATAGGAATGCGGTACGAGCCGGAATCATTGCGCCCCTCAGTAGCATAATCGACACAGGATGCAAGCATAAGGCCGATAGTGACGCAAAACTGATAACCCGAGACGATAGTACCACGCACTTTGCGGGGCGCAATCTCAGACATATAGAGAATGATGATTGCCGACACAAAGCCAACACCAAACCCAGCAATGAGACGACCAGCGACCAGAAGACCTAAGCTGCTGGAGGCAGTTTGGAGAACCACACCGACAATAAATATAGCGCAGCCAGAGATAATGGTTGTCCGACGGCCATACCAGTCTGCGAGATCACCAGCAATCAGTGCGCCAAGGAATGTACCGGCGGAGAGAATGGAGACGATGAGGGACTTCTTCCACGAGGGAATGACGAAAAGGGCGGAAGGGGTGTTTTCTTTGCTCTATTTGAGATATAAGCATGTGTTTTCCGATATACTCTATATTGAAAGTGCAATTACCAGATGCTCGAAGGTCGAGATAAAGTAGTCCATGCCGATAACACCGCTGATGTATCCCGAATCATATCCGAAGAAAATACCGCCAAAGGCAGCGAATGCACACATCAAGTAAGTCTTGAGGGTGACCGGAGCCTCGACGCGCAAGGCATCGATGCCGCCTCCGGCGGCAGTGCTTACACCACCGGGCATTGGAGTGGAATTGTCTGGTAGATACAAGCGTGATAGGTTGTGAAGACCAATAAAAAGGTCCGCGAGAAAGTAAACACGAAACTGATGTCGGCAGAAGAAACGAGCATTAGACAAAAGGGGGGAAAGGATGAAGCTTTATAACATGCGGACAAATGCCTGTCAGGGATCCTCTCAAAGTCAAAAATAGCATGGGGTAGAAAAGTCAAAGCCTCAGCACGGTCTAATGCAACCCTAGACCGAAATCGACTACAGTTTTTGGCCACTGTCGGCACGATGGGTCACGGTCAAGGCCTTCGGCCACTCGGCTAGACGCGAGTTTTGGTTGGGCCATGGCTCCTGGACCCTTCCGATATGAAGAAATGCGCTAGGGTCGTATCATCGCTAATTCCAATCGAGCATAATGCAGGCGGCCATGTTACCTCCAAAGAAAGGAGTCATGTCATGCGGGCCAGGGAACTGGGATAGTCAAATTTCCGCGGGTGGGTTGGTTGGCTCTTGGCTCGGGCCCGACCGACATCAAGTGGTGGAATAGATCCGCCAAGAGATTTTATCATGCGATTGAGAAATGAAGCCGCACTCATTTGAAATTTGGGGACTCCCCCAAGAAACGCTTCCTAGTGGGAGCAATAATCAAGTTCTTCACATCACTGTTCACGTTTGGCTCAAGCGACTCGGAATGGGGCTGAGTGTGAAACCTTTTGACCAAGAAATCGCGTACTGCCGAACATCGTCGCACAAGCACTAGGATTGGAAGCAATGGAAGGAAAGAAGGAAAAGCCAAACACCTCTCGGTGGCGTGGTTGACAGAGCCTGTCAACCAATCAGCATCTGTTTCCCCGCAGACCCAGAACCCGATTCGGGCTGGACCCCGAGGTTCTGTTTGGCTGGCATCATGGGGTGCGTTTGGTGGGGAAAGAATAGCCGTGGGGAGTCTCAACTCCCGCGAATCCCCACTATTGGACCTTGCCCTATGCACCATGGCCCTCCAGTGTGGATGCAGTATCCGACACGAGAAGGTTTGCGCGCGGACTAATATCGGCATCCAAGACGGCCAAGAGTCTTGTCGCGGCTTGGTACCTCGTAATTGCCTTCCGTGCTTCGTCGGGTGTAGAGTCCGCAAGCTGATGTGCCCAACAGCGATAGTAATTGGTGAAATGAAAGGTTTCACTAGATAGAGTTCTACCTTCTCCGTTTTCTCCACCAGGCAGAGCGAGCGTCAGTTATGAGCCGAGTTTTGCTTTTCCATTTCTTTCACATGTGGAATAATTATGAGACCAAATAAATGATCCCAGTCTACCGCTTTGTGATTATGCAGTCAAGAAGGCGTCCAAGATACTGCTGTCGACACTAATAGCTCTAATATTTCATTAAAGAAAAACGACTTTTTATCTACTTTCGCTCACTACTGTTTCATTCAGAGATTGCGCAGTACTGAAACAGTAAGCCCAAACTCTCGGGCTTTCGAACCAAAGGCAAATCTAGAATAACATGCGACGTAAACGCCACGCTGAAGGAAGTGCGCTTACGCGAGACAAGTCACCAAACCCACCCCCCGTCAGCGTCCCTTGTCATTTTTTGTGTTTTCTTATTCGAGCGAATGAATTCAAGATACCACGGCGGGAAATTCGCATTCTGACAGAATTTTTGAGATAATGATAGATAAATTGAAGGATCAATAAGGGCCACTGTGTGATGAACCATTTCTAGTGTATGATCGACAAGAATATCGGCAACCGTTGATGTCCATATTAGGGTTAGTAGCTTTCCATCCTGGCTCCTTGAGCTTCATTTCCGTATATTCCGTTCGGACTCCTTTCCACCAGGTCAAGATCAAGCAAAAGTTTCCATGACTAAGCATTCAAGCTTTTCACCATCTAAGACACCGGATATGCGTCTATCCTCGCGCTCCTACCCTACTGGGACACAGACTTATCCCGCTCACGACATTCGCCTGCCCTGCTGGAAGACCCTGGTGAGAATATCGCCTGTCAAAAATCCGCGAAACCTGAACTTAATGGAATTTTCCCGCTTTACACGTCGGAAGTGCGATCACGCAACTGACCAGTGCTGCCCGCTCTGCTTGAATACTTTCTAAGATAGCACATATTATGTAGATAATTCCTTGGGTTCGCACGTGCCTGTAATCCTTGCAGACGTCTTGGAATTAAAGTTTATCTTATTCTCCTAGGCATAGATGATCCCAACAAGAAGAATTGTTGAGAGGCCAGGTGATAGACGCCTCTCGTTTGTTGCCAAGATCAGTGCTTGTCTCTTGTTTGTTGTGTTTTGCCTTCTGCTCTTCACTCATCACACACACACACCCCACACACACACACAATACGATTTGCGTTTCCCTCACTCCGATTTCCTGACCCACCACTATTGGTGGTTTCCTTCTCCTTTTCTCGCAGAGTGCGAGTCTCTAGTCCTTTTTGACGCTTTTGCATCAACACAAACTACCGTATTATATGTACACGATGTACAGTACACGAAAACTCTTCAAGTGCTACTTTTCAAGATTGTCATAGAATCCCCTGGACTACACATAAAATCATCAGGATGAATTCACTGGTAGTTCACGCTTAAGTTTGACTTGGTAGTTGATGTCAAGATGACCCCCTAACCTGGGTGACGTCGTCATATGTTATATATCTAATAGGCCTTTCCTCACGAAGCTTGCGAAATTGTTTATACACTATACATATCGTCTGAACGACAACACGGATACCAAACAACCGAACAGCCCACATTCACTGTTTCTACAGCGCGAAATGAATACCAGTCATACTTGGAACCTAGGAGATCGACGCTATCTTTATATATGCTGCGGAGTACGGATACCACACGGATGGTCGGAAAATCGCGTTAGTGAGTGTATATGAGAAACATTGCCGATGTTTAGGTAGCCCCTCTAATCCTTCACGGTTGATCTGGCAGAAACGGGAGCAAGGCTATCATATTCTAATGTAAAGAAGAACTGGATGAGATATGCCATTGAAGAGTCCACTGCAAACAATGGCGGATATGATTATCAGGCTCAGGGGCCTTGTTTTATGATGGTCAGGCTCAGTCCTACTAGATTCCTTATGTTCCATCAGCATTGTTACTCACTTTTACTTTGACATTTCGAAGGGGAAAAAATCGATCTTGATAGGCTTTGGGTAGTTGGTGAAGAAATATGCCGTACTCACTTTTTATACGAGGGTATGTTTCAAACCTTGTGACTTGAGAAGCGGATCTCAAATTCTAATACGATGTTTTGTAAATAGGTAGTCAAGAAAATTTAAGTCCCATGGGAACCCCCATGGTTCCAATACCCGCAGGCTTCATGGATGATCCTCCAAGTCTACAGAAAGAAATAGAAGGCTCTCAACGAACATCTGGATATTCAACAGATTGTTTTCAATTTCTGCCGATGGAGATCAGGATAGAAATTGCTATATATCTTGCCACTATTGATTTTCTGAGTCTTCGCAGTGCATCGCGATCAATGGCAACGGTCTTCGATATTCAATTATTCTGGAAGTCAAGATTTCAAATGGCGCAAGACAGAGGCTTCCTCGCGTATCTTGTGAATAATCCACAAGATGGTCTAAAGAAAGACTGGCGATTTATATACCGCTACACAGCTGACATAAGCCTTATGATCAAAAACAACATCTTACGTCCACGCGCCCGCGAAACCCTCCAGATTCTTTGGAACTTGCAACATATATGGGGGAGATTTCGTTGGGTAAGACACAGATACTCCATGACCCAAGCCTCCCATGAGCAGATTGCTTTATATGATGACCTGACTTATGAGCTGCGCTGGAAGAAGTTCTATGTTGGATTTACGTGCGACAGGAAATGGCAGCAAAGGGATTCTAAAGGGGGTTGTGGTAACTGCGGGTCTAAACATGTTCCTCTTCTCCAATCGGTTCCATTACAAGATTCGGTTGTCAGCTTGGCAGTGTCCATTCTGCATCAAGGCTCGCAGACCGTTATCACTGGCTTCGAGCTAGTGAGTGGAGAGAAGGTTGTTGCAAACATAGTCGTTGGATATCGCCTGCCAGGACAACAAGTGGTGGTGAACCTTTGCGGCGTGACATTAAGGGGTTTTTCTATTGTTAGTTGCAAAGGGCACATCCACGCACTACGATCAATTTTTTTAAAACGATGACGCGAATCCAAGTTGGTTAGGGCAACAAGGGTTCTCTATTGGCCATGAAAATGACTGGGGCTTTGGCTGCTGTAGAGAGTCCACCAAGCGGTCATTAACAGAGCTAGTTTTACAACATAGAATAAAAGCTTTTTGTGGAAAGTTTGATGTAAGTTCCTACCATTTTCAGATGATTTAAACCTAACGCAATATTACAAGATGATCGAATTGTGTATAGCCTAGATGAAGCCATCTTCTACACCGACCTGCTGTTTGAAATGCACCTGATGGCGATCTGGTGTAAACTCGGGGCGTTATTTGCTGCTCTATTGAGCTTGTTGGGACTATGAATTCTTTCCTATCTCTTGATCGCTGTTCATTATAGCCAATGCCAATTGATTGGGCTATTGACGAAAGACTGTTCTTACCTCATGCCGTATATGGATAGATACTAAGTTCTGCGCACGTAAATGGCACCTCTACATACGAAGAATGTCTAAGACTACTATCCTGGAGAGGATGCCAAGACCGTAGGAGATTATCTCAATGAAGTTCAGAAGTTGACCAACGAAAAGTCTGTATGGTTGATCTATGATCAGTGAAATTGATATCCAAATCAACTATTCCCAAATATTAGTGAACTTTGGAAATCATCTCAACAGAGAATCTAGAGTGATATACGGCAATTCTTACCGCTAAAATGTCGCAATGGCTTCCTTCCTTTTACAGGGTTATGTTACTAGGTAGGTCGCCCGTATGTTGAGCTTACACAGGGCTTCACAAGCATTGGCTGCGATTCTGAGCATCTGATTCTACGAGCTGAATAGCAGGGACCAACACGAAGCACAAGGATACGTATGTAGTATTATGGAGGGGCGGCAAGGATGGAAGAAGAGGATTTACGGAAGTTGAAGCCTAAGTAGTGCAGGAAGGAAGGTACTAGTCCTAATCAGGACATGAACATTGATGTTAAAGAATAACCTCTCACTAAGTTCCCGATACCAAAACCGTGTTCAAGTAATCAGCCTGACAAGCATGCGCCTGTCTTAAAGATCTATATTCGTTCTTTTCATTTTTTGAAGATAATGACAAAACGGGGAGAGTATAAATCGAAAATTCATATCAAGTTACCATTTCACGCGAAAAAGGTAAAAAAAACACTTCTACTGCCCCCCTCTATTTCATATCGCAATAGCCAGCCCTTTTCCGCAGCTGGCCCTTACTCCAAAGGTATAACATGTATTGCTCTCCCATTTTCGTCTCCATGTCATAATGACTAGAAAGCTTAGACCGCAAATTCATGATGCAAATAAATACATGACTGCGTGAGCTCAAGCGGAAGGACCAATAATTCGGTACGTCGTTTTCACCTCCGGGGATAAGCGTTTCAATGCCGAGGCAAGCTCGTCGGCAGCTTGAACCAAAGCAACGTCAGAAAGCGGCTCCAATGCATCCAAGATAAACAAAACACGTGTGCTGTCATCAGTCAATGCTGTCCGCGGGCCCTGTCGCCAGTTCCAGCGGCGGCAAGTGATGCCAGTATCGTCACACCATATAGGCTCGCCAGGTGCTGCGAGCTCGGTTTGTGGCTCCCCACCGTAGAATGTCTGGAATGATTCCTGCCCAGTTGCGCGGATCAGAAACGGCGATCCATCGTATTTATCGAGATCTTCGCCGCCCAGTGGAATTTGATGCTTGACGGAAATAGCATTGTAAATGTCCGTCAACCGGTTTACACGCGGTAGGCCTTGCTCTGCACGGCGTGTCAATGCCTCTAGGCTGTTGCGTGTCTTATTAGGCTTAGCTCCAAAAGCCTTGTAAGCATCCCTCCATGCGGCGATATGTGGAAACTCGGTGATGGGATGTTTCAAGAGCAGGTCTTTGATAGAAGATTCAGCCTCCTGTAGAAGGTTTTCACTGAAGTCATCGCTAGGACCCGCAGGAATACCCTCAACCACCATCAGGAGAGCTCGATAATCCGGACGTAGCTCATAAATCTCTGGAACTACTCGCGCAGCCTCCAGCAGCTTCTGTGCCGAGAGTGTCTCGCCCATTGTCAGCGATGTGATAAGGGACTGAAGGTGTGTGAGTTGGTGCGAATTCAAGCTGAGATGATGAAACAAGCGGAGAGAATTTGGGACTGTGGTCGCACATCAACAGAATTTTGGGGTTCTATCGATACATATATGAAGCTGCGGGGCGGCAAGTGTCCGGTTGCACTAATGACAGGAGAGAGGGTTACCCATAACGAATCTTTGGTTGCTTCACGCCAGTCAGCCAATCAGTATTTGTTTGTTGGCCCAGGCGGAAAGACGCCCCAATCAAACGAGAGAGAGGCTGAGAAGAGAGGAGGCATTAGAAAAAAAAGATTTTCGCCGCCTCTCTGAAAATCAAGATATTTAGATCTTAGCATCGACACGACCACTCACGCGAGAGAAGTGGGTCAGGCGGGCCCAGCGGATAGAGCCCCACACCAAACAACTTCCATTTTAAGCTACTCCGTAGAGAAGTCATCAGTAGCAGAATTTTACACTCGCATAGAGCAGACAGCAAAATGAATAGTCAAAGTATTTCTCACTCCCAGAATCATTATCAGTGCCTAAAGCAAGCAATACGAAGCTTTTCATGGACAAATAAGGCGACTGGGGTAGATTGTGGTTATGTGGTTTCTTTGTCAAGATTACTTCTTTTTATGAGCCTCTAGGCCATTTCTATAGTTTCGCGCGAATAGCAGGTCCCGATATGATGATGCGCGCCGTGCCAAGGGCCAACACGCCAACAATTAAAGCCACTCCAGCCCAGATCTGTGCCGCGAGGTAACTGTCGGTAGAAGTGATTAATGCTCCAGCGACAGAAGGTCCAGTCAACGGTCCAAAACTCATCAACGTCAGCGCCATTCCAACACGAGTTCCAATTTTGTCCAAATCTTTTGTCAACGAGGGGACAGTGCCAGCAAACAAAGCCATGGCGGCTGCTGACGCCAGACCGAAGAAAACGGCAAAGACATATAGACCAGCAACTGTATCAACAGCGATCCAGCAGAACATCAAAATGCCGCATAGGGCTACCCAAGGAATTAAACAATTCAGTGGGCCGATGTACCGGTCAGCCAGGTAGCCGCAAGGTGCACGAATTGGAATACCGCATGCATTAATGACGATAATCAGATTGACGCCATCTATCTGAGATAAGTGCAAATTCTCAGTTGCGTAAACTTGAATCTAATAATTTTTCAGTGTCCAGAACCCGATATGAAGAACAGGTTGACAACATACGTAAAAAAAAGCGAAGTAAAGGGTCCAATAAAGAAGGAACACTCCAAGCGTGAAGAGCATATAAGCTGGTTCTTTAAAAGCTCCCCATTCAATCAGCGGACCTGATTTTCGAGGAGGCAATCGAGGACGTAGCAGCGCAAGGATAAGGACGACCATAACCAGGACCACAAATCCCATACAACGAACCGCCCACGGAAAGCCTGCAATAACCAAATTAGCTAAAAACACCTACAATATTGTGAATGTATATGAACCGACCAATTTGCGGAGTCAGATACTGAATCATTGCTGGAAAAATGATTCCTCCTGTACTCGTACCTGTCGCCGCAGCTGTAACAGCTAAAACTCTCAGCCGCACAAAATACGTTGAAATCAAAGTCACGCTAGGTAACCACATGAGACCTTGTCCAATCCCAATACAGAGACCCTGCGCAAGAAAGACCTGCCAATAAGTTGTGGCTAGACTCGTCATGAAAGTGCCTAGCAGCAGAAAGACTGCTCCGGCGCCTACCACCAGCCGCGCGAGGCCAGCATCCGTCGCGCGACCAGACAGCATGGACATAAACAACAGACAAAATACTTGGAATCCGCCTATCCATGAAATATCGGAGGCTGTTTGAGGGAGAGTCACCTCATAGTGATTCTGAAATACTCCAAAGCTGGAAGCGTAGCCCCATGTGAGAGCGACAACCAAATGGCCCGATACCACCTGGGCCCAGGCATGAAAACCGCCATCTGGAGGCGGAGCTAGAGTCGCTGTTTCTGCCGATGAGTTGCTTTTATCAGTTTCCCTTCCAATTTCGGAGGTAGAATCCACATCAGTTGTCATATTTGCCTCCGGTAGAGCAGACGTTCAATTTTCCTTAACGTGCCTCAATTAATATATCACAAGCTTTGACTTCGATAATAGCCACACAGGGAAGGGTGAAAAAAGTAAGAACTTCATTGTCGTCAACCTTGCAGCACGGGGAACTGCAATAAATAGACTTGCAATGATCTGATGGTTGGAAAACCTCGACGAGGTTGTCGATCAGAGAAAACAAGGAATTATCCATGCATCGCACAGGGGCGTTCCAACAAAGAGCAAAAAGGCCGCACGGCCCAGATGCCAAGCAACGTCATGGATGAATAATCCACTAAACCAAATGGAAACCAGATGAAATAAATGAAGACTTAAACATCGATCTTGAGTGCTCGTTAGATCTGCTCTCAATCCAAATAGCCACCGAGCTAAAAGCGATCTATGATCTTGGAAAGGAAGGTCCACTTTGTAGCTACCCGGATCCAACACCGTTTGGTTGGAATCATTTATCAGAGTAAACGGCATCTGTTTGTAGTAGTGCGTGAAAGTCTCTGAAATATTCAATGATGCCAAACAGACTTGTATGCCTCTGTCTATCTTAATACCCGTCCGTCATGAATCCCATTCAAAAGGCTACATGTCATCCTCTTCGCCCTAGTGGCCTCAGTTCTCGTACTTTAGCCCTGCTTCCTGTCGCAGCACGCCATAGATGCCCACGTAATCGCCTTTATCGCCCTTCCGCTCAACCACCTTAGCCAGATTGCGATCGGCTATCTCCAGCGCGGGCAGTAGTGTACCCACAGCCTGCGCGAGGCTCATCGCATGTCTAGCATCCTTTCTGGCTAAGCTTGCAAGGAACAGTGGCTGCCAGAAAGTTCTTCTGCGTAAGTGAACATTCCTACACGTAGGTATTGATTTCATCAAGACTTACCTCCTCCCGGTTCCAGTAATCCCCCTTCATGATTCTTGAAGAATATGACGCATACACCCCCGGAAAGAACAGTGTCAAGTACTCGTGCAGCGCATCGCCCCCTAGACCGGTTTTTTCAGCCAACACATGGCCTTCTGCCACAGCCTCAACCATATTGAAGATGAATGAATTGCCAATGACTTTCAACGTGGTGGCCAGCTGGGTTGGATGATTACCCAGATCAATGACTGCTCTCCCTATTACCCCATCAAACCAAGGCTTGACGTAGTCAATATCCGACCGTGGGCCGGCTACAACACCGACTAGCTGTCCTTTATCGGCACGATCGGGTGCTCCGAAAACTGTCACAAACTTAGATCAATACATAAAACTTGAAAGGGAGAGGGAAAGCCTTATCTCACCCGGGCAAGCAACGAAGCGAGCATTCGCTTGTAAGACTTGATTGCATAAGGCCTGTGTTCTAAGTGGATGAATAGTGGAGCATTCCACGAATAACTTGCCCACAGGTGTACTCCCTAATGCTTCATCAAGCACTTGCTGGACCGCGTCATCATCGCTTAAGCAAGTAATAATGATATCGGAGCATTTCACAGCCTCGTGAATGGAACTAGCGATTTGAACACTACCATCAGGCATCTCAGCTTGGAGGGCTTCTGCTCGAGAAATCGTGCGATTAAAAACGGTAAGTGGCATCTTGTTGACTCTCTGAGGAGTCCATAGATGATTGCAAACTAGGTTGCGGCACATTCCCTATACAAATATTAGTTTAAAGGAGCGTTTTTACCAGGAATTCAAGACGTACCCGGCCCATGTTGCCAAGGCCAATGAATGATATATGACTGTCTTGTTCAACTTGCATTGTGTAGTGTGGCTGTCTGGTTGATTGTAATGGTCGAATTTTCAAGGCTTTGAAAGTTTTCAGGGTGCGGGGACAAGGTTTTTATATCCAAAGAAGGATTTGATATAAGGTGTTTGACAAATACAGTACCTCGCATATTACTTTGGAGCGGAAATCTTGATTCTGTGATGATCGGAAAATATGCGCTACAGTCTCTTCTAGCTATTCTGAAACCTTTTGCGGTGGAATTCTGGGTCTTGGAAAAAAAGATGAAGAATAGATTGAAACCCTGTGTATACAACATTTTTGGAACTCTGGCTGCCTTGGAATTTTCCAATGTGCGGGGCCAACCTTGCATCATCTGAACAACATAATTCCCTGCACACTACATATACTACAAATCACTCAGTCCACCCGCTCGCAGAGAGTAGGAGACCTCTGGAGAGCTATATGGTAGTGCTGCGACAGAACTAAATGGCAAAGACTAAGGACATGAAGAAAGGCCAAAGAAATGAACTTCACACATGCGAAGAGCATATGTGATACAAAATTATTGACTTATGAGCTTTAAATGAATATTGATTAAAGGAGTGATTGGATTGCAGATAACAAAACATGAAAATTCAGCATAGCACAAAGGAGTGTGATATCTAGTCCCCATGAATCCATGAATCATCCCCGGACGACTTAAAGATGCATGCGTATGTGAAAGAATCCGATCATTCATTAATTGCTTGCGACAATAGATTACCAAAGTAGATCAGCAAAGCATCTAATCTGTGCCACCTGTGGTAATAAGAGGTTCAGCCACAGGAGGGGTACTGTCGACTTGAATTCCACCCCTTTTGGGATAGAAACTGTCATGAAAAGGAAGGCACCAGCCACCTTCCTGTTCGGGAGTACCGACCCAAGTCCGCAATAAGTACCTTTGCGGCTTGGGGGGTGCAGCATCGGTAAATCCAGTACGGGAATGGAAAGTCTGGCAGCAAGATACGAATTGCATATCACCCATCTCACAGTCGTAAATGAGTCCATGACGCTGACAAGTCTCTTCAAGAACCTTCATGGCTTCAAGCTGTTCATGGGAGAGAGGTGGAATCAGTCCCTGATCACTGAAACGAGACAATGACTTGACAAAATATGGATCCCATCTATTATTTTGAGGCGCTGTTAGAGAATAGCACAGGAAAATGATAGTCAATGTTGAAAACTCACTTGACGTAGACACGCTCCTTGCCACCGGGTTCCTTCATGAAGACGGGGTTCCTGAACCAGGGCTCTTGACCATCTGTCACCTCACCCTTGCGATCCACGTACCAGATGTTAGAAGCCAAGGTCTTGGCTACGTCTGGTCGCTCCTTCACGAGGGCATTCCAAACTGTGTGGGCGGATGCGCAGCCAGATGCACCTCCTGTTTCTCCTGGCGCGCAGAAAAGAAGACCCACAATGTCCGTCTCATCTGTATGGAAGAATTGCCTGCACACAGTTAATGAGAGATTGAATGGGTATATTAAGACCTCACGCAGTCAGATGTAAAAGAAGAAAATAGAAGAATCATTCACAGGTGCAGAGTACTCACGGGGCATTAGTAGCTGAAATTTTGATTGTATGGAGACGATTGTGATAGTCAGCTCCTTGATTCGTCACATGGCCCAAGATAAGCCCCAGCTTGTTCTGCGACAGCAGATATCCGAAATGAACCGATATTCCCATTGTGGCGACGGCAGATTTATATCTTCCCCACTTATCGATAGGCAAGCCTCGAAAGACAATGAAACCACGGCCATTCAAGATATCATCGCGGATTCTCTGCAGCTCAGGCTCGAACTTCGGCATTCGAAAGTTACACTAACATTATCATACCGATTAGCAACCACATAATCGATCTCCGGCGAGTGTGGGTCGTTACCTTGCTGATATTGACGAGCGGAGTTCCCGAGGCAATGAAGTTTTCCACTGCTTCCAAAAGCTGCTGAAGCTCATTTTCCGTCCAGTGATGGATCCACTGCTCCGGGTGGTCGATCATTTCCTGTGGAGTCCAGACTGTCGGCCCACTAATCTCGCGTGGGAACTCCTCAAATGCGCGCAGTTGATCTGGAACCGGGGGGTGCTGACCACTCGTGCGTAGTCCATCGGGAAATAGCTTGCGGTCTATTGGAAGAACGCGAGGAAGGCCTTGAGGCATGCCGCGGAACCCGGGGGCAACATCTAACTGGGCAGACATGATAAAGTTTTGTAAGGAAGATAGTCGTCAAAGTCAATGAATTTGATGTTCTTCTGAACCTTACAACCCCGTCCGGAGTCCTCAACTTATACCCATCTGGAGACTTACAAAGTCTACCCATTCCCATGGAAACCATCAAGCTTTGTTGTCTGTCAAGTTCGATTGAAGCAATGGATATTCTGGACCGCACGGGCAAGATAACTTCCTGCAGGGAGGCTACATACAAAAGCTTAGTATGGCCGGTCGGTCATCACACTGTTCAGTTCCTGGTTTGAAAACTCCTGGAGCCTGCCTGAAAAGGAAATTCATCTCAGATCTTTGAGTTTGGTTTCAGAAAATGGAAGATCATTGCCTTTGGCCGCTGGGGAAGGAGGAAATATCTTGGGCCGTGCGACTTGATTTGATGGTTGGGAGAGGGTAATAGAATCCGGAAAATTTGAAATCAGGGCATGCTGGCAGGCACAGCCCCACAGGAGACAACTTAGCAGACCCTGATTTTGTTTGGGGCCATAAAAGTTGCTCACCTGATATAAGGTTTTAATTAGAAAGAAATTTTGAATACAGTCCCTTATCTCTAGCCACTTAAAGTGGGATATGCAAGATGAAAATCCACGTCATGTGGCGCCTTACGCGAAGGGCTAGTAATTAATCCCGGGGCTGTGAATCTCGAAACCAGGCCGAGGTCATAGCCATGTGTATATTCTGAGTTTTGCCCTCAACGGGAACGAAACCCCTATCCTTGAAGGCAACAGTCACCCAAAACGGGATATCTAGAGGGACAGAATTCGTTAATCTTAATCTGGAGCCTCGAATAGCTATCTTTTTTTCTCGGGGTGCTAAGCTTTACTCTACTAGCTACCTCCTCCGTCCTGACTCCGCTTTTCGGGATACTCGTTATTAGCAGCTGCCAACACCTCTACCGTATCACAAAGTGTGGAAAGAAGAACCCAAATATACATCAATGTACCAATCAATTGATAGGCAGGCACAGTCGCAGTTTGTACGCAGAATAATTCCATCAGCTGCATATTCAGGTTTTTTTGTAGTATTACACGAACGTGAGAGGGTAATGATTTATAGATCTACTCTTTGGCTTAGGTAGATCCGCGCTTTGGCCAGCCCTTTTGCTATTGTGGACCTTTGACGAATTTCACGTGGCAGGGGTTGAATGTCGCAATTAGCACGCCTCACGGTACGCACATCCTCGTCAGTCTGATTATTATTGGATACACCCCACCTGAAGGAATGAAGCCACATTTGCCACATTTGAAAACTTGAAAAGCTGAAGAAAATCAAGGTCTTGCTATTGCTACAAGGAGGGGCAAAGTGAAACACATGTACCTGGACTGAAGATTTAAGCATCGGCATCCTGGTGAATGATGAAAACAACGCCATAACAAACTGCAATTTCCCAAGGAGACGCAGCCCAGCGACGAGAGATAGCCCAGCGACTCAGGCATGGCGTTGGAAAATGAAGATGGGGTGGCAAATGCGCTAGATGCTTTGTCTCCATCTGAAGTCATGAATTCTCAGGTAATCCCGTCCCCTTCACAATGCTCTGCAGATGGGCATGCTAAATGGCTTGGCGGCAGCGACTGCTCTCTTCCTTCCGCGGTTTTTTTGCCAGGGGATCTGCTCGAGACTTTTGTGAATTACTCCCCGATTCTAGCGCAGAGAGATCTCGCTTTTCTTCGCCGCGAAACACCAGCTCAAAAGGTCGGGAATACATTGGCTCTCCAGCCAAAAAGGCAAAATCATCGTCATCGCAACAAAGCCCACATGAAAACCCGTCCACAGATATTGAAAGCTCCGGAATCAAGAGAACCGTTGATACTAATTTCGAGACACAAGAAGCGTGGACCTTCCTGGTGACGCAGGCATCGTCCGAGGCTCAAGTTCATCGTCTCATGAAGGTGTTGGAAGGGGTTCTGGAGGGCCCCCAAACAGACCGAAATCTTCTATCGCAGATTGTGGTCAGCATATAAAACTCAGATATTCGGGTGCCATGAGTCATCCAAGTCTCGCATTGTGCGTCTTTTTCAAGGGAGAAAAGTTATTGATCAAGAGGCACAGAGATTCGAATGCGCCGGTCGCTTCTCCCTCGTCTTTCTCACTCACGACATTGAGGTAATCAAAGCTCAGGATTGGAAGCTAGCGCCTGGACAGAGTCGTCAGCATGCGGCAGTGATGTCAATTTCAAAACAACTGAATGTGGAGCCAGATGAGATCAAGAAGGAGTGGAGGCGAAGTCGGAATTATGTTAAGTTGCTGGAGGAATTGGGTCCAGCTTCTCTGTTGGAATTGGGAACCGGGGTGAACTGGTAGTAAGTTGATGTTTTGGTACAGGGAAAGAAATCCTCGGATTAACACAATTTTGTTTCGCAGCTGGGAGAAAGCTCTTACAAAACAGGACGTCCTTCTCTTCATCCGATTTTTTAGGGAAAGGTAAGCTGCTTCGATCTAGTGAGTGCGTGATAGCTGGTAACAGTTTTCTCTGAAGGTTGCCGTTACTCGAAGCCCGGATCAAAGAATTCAATCAAGTCGCAGGCGAGATGATCTTGGACGGAATGCTCGCCTATGGGTGGACAAAAGAAGCCATTTGTCAAACTGAAACTCGGCTTAGAAACGCTTTATGTCGACATTGTCCCGGAATTTTTGGTCTTTCTCTCTCTACATCCAGCGGGGATTTAGCTGGCGAATTATCAGATGAGGAAATCGTTGATTTTCAGGAAGGCCTGCCACTAGCAGAAGAACAGCTGCTTGATTCGCTTTTCGGTCCGCTACCGTTCGAAGCAGATCTCAATATACCAAGCTTACTAGGAAATGAATGGAATATGGATGTGTCTCATAGCCCTGTGGCAAGTTTTCTCGAAAATGATGGCATATTTCAGGATAATTCGGCAGACTTGGAATAGGTAGTAAGGGGCTCAATTTCAATGATAATTCGAGGGTATGGAGCTGGGAAGAGGAGTGAAACTTTATGGCAGAGCGCAGCGAGGGTATATAGGAGTTGCTTAAGTATGTGTTACTGGGAATAAAATATCAGGAATCGTCAGGCACTCAGCCCAAGTCGTTTCCAGGCGCGGTTAGATGCGTCTATAATCAAGAAGCATCGCCGCCTTCTAATTATTTCCACAATCGCCATTTATCTCAAAGTGGAAAATAAGGATAAAGCAAGCTCTGCCCTCCCTTGAGTACGGTAATTACCGTGTCTGATAATTGATTTATGATTTTTCTCTTGCTAAGTCCAATAATTTTCCCACTAAGCTATGTCGCCTAAATACTGCCATTTTAATTTGACTGCTGCTTCTGTATTCTGTTTATGATCCAACCAAATTCAGATACCTGCCCAGTGGCATACTTTCAGGGTTATCTATCATCAAGCAAAACACCCGGTAGGTTACGGTCTAATAAGACAACGCTCAAAGTTTCTTGAGTAAGTAAGATATGTACTCCATATAATCCTTGGTTCCTCTATAGTCTAGTACACTGTGAACAGTAGACTAGTTGGAATTGGTGGTATTTGAAAAGTCTTCAGGAAAAGTACTTTCATTGTCTGAAAATCAAATTTTGCACACAGCTTCGCAATGGGCTATGTCTGATATATTTCAAAGAAGGTATTTGAATTAATGTGGATTATAATGGAAGAGATGGTATTATCCATGGGTGGGCAGTGGGGGCGAAGTTAACCATTCCGTACACAAAAAAGTGACACAACTTTGAAATAGCTTTCAAGGACTAGACATGACGTCAGGTTTTTCCACCAGAGTAAGAAGATTGAAGGCCACGAGGAAACTTGGAAAGCATGTCAATATTAGAATTAGAGTATTTGAACCGCACAGGTCAATTGGTATAGTGGGACAAAGGAATCCCAAGCTCAGTTCTATTCCAGATCTCGGTCACGTCGAGGATGTTCTTGGTCTTTCAAGAAAACCTTGGAAGTACATGCGCTGCTTCCAAAAGGTCTTTACGTTACTGTATAAATGAATCCTATAGAACTCATGAAGCTTGCAAAAACACCTGCGCACCTTCAGATTCTTTTTTCTCTGAAATTGAAGCATCTTCATCATTTTCGATCATCCTCCTACTTTTCCGGTTCAGAAGATGGAGCTCAGCGCCAAAGTCTTCGTGAACGATGACCTTCGGGCAAAGCTGATAGGTGTAGCCTCGACCAGTTCCACGCACGCCCCAGACCCAAGTCGCACTTTTATCGGGGGGTTCCAAGTCAAAAAAAGACATATCCAGCAAAAGCAAATTCATGCCACGCAAACGGTCTATGATGAGCTCCCGGAGGCCACAATGTGAGAATAAAGTGACAATCGGCTCTGAGAGAATCATCTCACACATTCATTCAGGTCCAGAGAAATAGCATACGATCTTCTACATCAAGAACTCAGCCATGACATCGTACCCCAATTCAACCTCGCTACGTTTGTCTCCACGTACATGGATCCCGAAGTCACCCAATTGATGGCCGAAAATCTACCCAAAAACTTTGTTGACCCCAGAGCATATCCAAGTGTTTCACAGATTGAGAAAAAATGCATCCAGATTCTCGCCAAATTGTATCATTGTCCTGCCGTGGAAAACAAATTGCCTGTTGGTGTGAGCACCGTTGGGAGTTCTGAGGCAATTATGCTAGCTGTCCTGGCGATGAAGGTTCAATGGGCGAATCGACAATACGCCAGCGGGAATCACTCCAAGCCCAACATTATAATCAGCTCTGCAGCCCACGTGTGCTGGAAAAAAGCGGCTCTTTATTTCGAGATTGATGTACAATACGTGCAATGCTCTGAAAATCGATACGTGTTGGACCCCATTCGGGCTGTTGATCTTGTCAATGATAGGACAATCGGCATTTGCTGCATTCTGTGCGTGTTTCCATTCTCAAAAGAGTGAAATTATCGAGACCGTTCCATGCTGACTACTCAAAGAGGTACTACGTACACAGGGGAATACGAAGATGTCAAGGCAGTCAACGATCTTCTCATCGAGGGCGGTCACGATGTGCCAATCCACGTTGATGCTGCAAGCGGCGGTTTTGTGGCCCCCTTTGTTGCGCCAGATTTGCAGTGGGACTTCAGACTTGAAAAGGTAAGATTCAGTGAACTGACATTAAATCTCACATGCACTTACGCCCAGGCAGGTGGCATCAATAAATGTCTCTGGACACAAGTATGGGCTCGTCTACCCCGGCATTGGCTGGGCTCTGTGGCGTTCTCCCGAAAAGCTGCCGGCGAATCTTGTTTTCTACCTCTCCTATCTTGGAGCATCCCAGTCATCATTTACGTTGAACTTCTCCAAGAGCTCATCGCATGTCATTGCCCAATATCGTGAGTTGTACCTTCCCAACAAGAAAGAAACCGGAGCCCAAGCTGATTTCAAGATAGATCAGTTTATTCGTCTAGGAAGAGCCGGTTACCGCAGTTTCATATATGGTATTATGAAAGAGGCGAGTTGCCTGGAGAAATCCCTTAAAAGCATGGGACTCTGGATCCTGAGCAAGCCTGATGGCATTCAAGGAATTCCAGTGGTAGCTTTTCGGGTAGGTCATGCCCTTAGTTTTAAGTTCGATGAATTCGAGCTATCCGCAGAGTTGGAGAGAAGAGGCTGGCTCGTTCCTGCATATCACATGGCGGATGGAGCATCCCACGTTACCTTGCTGCGAATAGTATGTCGAGTTGATTTTACATGTGAGCTTCGCGAGCAGCTCTTGAGAGATATGAAGTTGAGCTTGGAAACCTTGCAGCGGCAATAACAGTGAAAACTGAATGTCGCGACAGAATGGAATTGAAGTATTGCATCTAGACTGTGGCTTGCAATAATGGTTGGTAGGCCTCGTAAGGCCAAGGTCGCTAGTATAGATGTAGATAAGCTTTTACAGCCAGTACATCTCAAATGAGCTCTCGTCTTGGGGAATATGTCATCTTTCATATGTGTTAGAAGCTCTTTATTATACGGAGCCAAGCGAATAAGCATATCTTCTGAGGTGGCATGAATCAATTATGCGCGACTGTACCATCTTGGACATCTAGGACTGACGAATATAGCATATACGGCCATATCGTCCGTTTTGATGCGTTGAATCAGCGATTTGAGGATTTCGACATCTGAGGTTGTCGAAGGCTTATGAAATATCTCTTCTTGGCCCTCGCAACTTGCAAGCGGGTGTTGTATCAAAATAGGCTCGTTAGACTGCTGCTGAGGAACCGAAGAGTCTTTCCCAACTACTTTGCGTTTTTCTTGCTGCCATTGCTCCTGCACGTCCCTCTATTTTTGACTTCGGCCTGGGCCATATCATTCACCAAAGGCAAGCTTTTTGCAGTCACTTGAATCGTGAATCTGATCTCCTTCTCTTCGAGCCATTTACCCCCACGGGGTGCTTTCTCGATTGCTCGCACAGTGGGCTTGGAAGTACTTCCTCTCGCTTCTTTATAACGTTGGCCATCCCCGCAGGCTTTTGCTTCTCAGGTCTTTGTATGTCTTCGTGGCTGATATACTTTCCGCCATCAATTAGAGGTGTCGAAGTTTCATCATGGAAAAGAAGCGATGAGGACCGAGTTTTAGATGCTGCATCTTCACTTTAGGCATTAACTCCACACATACTGACTTTTTCACGCCCCTTTGTACTTGTTGTGTCGTTACCATCGTCTGAACAATCATCTCGCTGCGTGATAATTCTAGTCTGTGACCTCGATAGCATAGCTGGTTCTGCGCTATATAGCGAATGTGGACACGTGCTGAGTTCGTAAGAACGTGATGGACTGGCGCTAGAAATTCTGTGCAACGAAGAAATCACCAGAGATCGAAGACAGGGAAGTGATCCGGTGATAATGATGAGGTAACACTCTGCGATGGTCCAGCCAGCGAGTGGAACAAGTTGACGTGTTCCATCAGTGAAGCTTTCCAGCTTGCTGAGTTCGATTGTGCGTCCTATAGAAGCAAACATGGCACTGTAAAAGTTTTACAAAGTCAATAAATCTCTCGGAGAACAGCTTTCGGCCCTTCTACATACAGGAGGCCAAGACTGAGGAGAAAGATCAAGCTTATCTTCACAGGCAGGCGCAAGTTCAGACTCCAAAATTTGAATAAAGGAAAGACGGCCAGATATAGATCGGTGAAGGAGTTCAATGCTGGGGAAGATCGGGGTGAGATGTTAGCTGGTTTCTTGATGGCTTGGTCAAGGCAGGCCTTACATGTCTGAACCACGGCGTAATCTCTCTGCACACTTGCGGGCAAGCAACCTGTAGAATATTCCGGATTCCAAAGCGCTCTTATGTCTGGGCATTGTGTGAACATCAGAATCACGGAGATGCCATTGATGATGATCTGTAATGCGATGAAGAACCAAAGAATAAGCCAGTGCTTTCGCTCCGTCCCCACAATTCCCAGAAGATAAAGGATGAATGCGCATCGCCCGACTCCGGTTGCGACGATCAAAAATGCCTGAAGGACGGTTGCAAATTTCATCACCTCAATTTGGTGAGCCAGACCGATATTCGCTGACGATTTACCAAAGCCATAGTGCACGGCCACCGTCAGTAATACTGTTGCGATAATCGCCAAGACCTAAGAGACAGATGCCGTGAGTGAACGTAGTCGGCATCCAGTTACTGAATCACGTACTAGCGCCAGAAGCATCACAAAGTCGTCGGCGCGCACATGGTGAATCCGGGTTTTCGCGACGAAGCGCAAAATAAGGATGACGGTGGCAATCCCGGCTGCAACCCATGCACCCGCTACTGGTCCTGCACTGCTTGACATTGTTGAGGTAGTTATGTAACTGCGTTCTCAGACACCGACCCCGTCTTCGGAGGTTACCTGAAGGCGCCCATTGAGGGAAAATTCGAAAGAACATACAAGTCATGGAATACGAAGCCAGATTTGTCCCATGGTTTCAAGGGGTTCATGAAACTCTAAATGAATCTAGATCATCAAGTCGGATAAAGTGGGTACTCAATACGGATGATTCAGCAAGGATAGGCCGAGGCAACAACTTGGAGCATAAAGGATGAACAGAGGTCCAGTTGAATGAAGCAACAAGAATGTTGCGTCAATAATCGTGAAAAAGTGGGCTAGATTTTAACAATAGCAAGCTTCTATCATAAAGTTGAATTTACAAGCTCAAACACCGGCGGACGAGGGAGATAGAGGTCGCAAACTTGCAAGATTGAAGGCCAGCACAGGTTAGAATTTAGCTACTATGGAATTTCACCTTAGCTATTACTGTACAAATTACATTCCACTATACTAGGCCCTCGGAGGCATAGATAATATACAAAATACATCGGGGAAAGAAGTTGTCATCGGGTTGCTCCCGCAAAGAAACGTCCGTCAAAACTCATCCACCTTCGGGCAAGCCATCACACTCACAGTGTTAGTGATAGTCGTCGTGCGGGGGCCAGGAGAATCAGTGATCTGGCTCGGTATCGCGGTGACCACCGGCGAAGTATCGGATTCATGGCTATCGTTGGCCACTGAGGGAGTCGGAGTGGGAACCTTGTCCAAGGTCACAGGGTGGGAATAGTCTGAACACCAACCAATAGTCTTAGGCACAATTCCGGGCTTTACATATGCAGAGGTCAAAGTGCTAGTAGTGCTGGAGGACGGAGCAGGAAGGACGTGGGTATGATGATTGACGTGGGAATGATGATTGAAAAAACTGGAGCTGGGACTGGTGGGGCTCACCGTGACATAAACGGTAGACGTCGCAGCGCTAGGGCAGGTGGAAGTCGTCGGCAAAAGACCAGAGTCCACACAAGCGGTGACGGGCTTGGAGACAGTGAATTTATCTCCCTGCGCGTAGATGATGTAGACGTTGGTGCCGTTGATGCCGCTGATCTGGTAGCCCCATTCGGGGTTGGTGTCGCATGGGATTTGGACAGAGTGAGACAGATCCGACGTCAGGACGTCCGTAGCCAGCGGAACATAAGAGGGAGGCCAGGACACAAAGTTCCAGAGATAAAGACTGAAGTTGGTCGGATCGGTATCGACGCTGGTCCAATTGACGGTGATGGTGGACCCGGCTGCGTAGGTGGTGTTGGCAGCGGGACTGGTGATTTGGATGGCAGTGACAAGCGAAGCAAGCGAGACGATCAGAGGGATCACGGAGCGCATCATCTTGATTCTCTTATTTTTTTGCTTGAATCTCTTCTTTATTTTCGTACAATTGGCTTTCGGAGATCCACTACTCGGAATGATCGGCAGATAGATGGTTTTTCAAGGAGTGACTTATGAGGGAGCAAAAAAGATGGTCGAAAGGAAAAAAAGAGTGACTAGAAGTTGGAAAACGAATTTTGCCAATTGGAAGATAGAAATGGGGCCCAGGGGGATATAAGTATACAATTGCGGGGATTCGCTCCACAAACCCTCGAAAATGAGCCAATTTTAGGAAATTAGATGGTCTTAGAGTGATCTCAGCCGTAAACCTCTTTGAACCATCGTTCATCCTGACAGTCCCAGTGATTGGTTGTGTTCGAGTCAACATGTCGGGTCCGTGCCCGACTATTTCCTTGGCTACAACATCATTCGGATCCGCTGTACAAAAATAAGCGAGTGATTCAGTTGGCACCAGACAACCATCCTGAGCCACTAACACGCCACATGATTAACCAAAGCCGCTCTGCTCAACTCGCAAATTGCCAACATGGCCCCTATGCCTTCCCCTGACGTACCAACATGGCCCCCACCCCTCGGCTGCACGATCCAGTCTTCCGGGGGGAAGATCTGTTGCCTCCACGTGCAGGCCATCAACCGCCCCGCTGTCCCCGCAAGCCATTCACGCTGCGCTCAACACAGCACCTGTCGCCGGTCAAGAGCTGCAATGCACCTCCGACTCCGTTGCTACAGATTGCATACGCAATTCCGCGCTGACATCCTGAAAGCGAATACAAAGGTGATAACCGCAGGCCCCCCCCTAGGTCATAGCGCCTATTTTTATGATCAGCCGCGCCCAGTTGCCAATCGGGCCACATTCCTGCGTTCTCTGGTCGTTTTAGTGCAGGCGGAGATTTACCGGAGATCCGGCGGAAGGAAAGGGAGCAGTTCCTGGACCCCTGCCCTCAGGCTACACATCTCTTCCATCCGTAGGCAATATTGCTTTGTGGCATCTCAAGCAATGCTACTGTATACTTTGGGCAGAAGCGCTTTAGAGACTTCCCGACTTCAACGATCTTAGAATTGGTTCAAGCAATCAAGTTCTTTTTTAGCTATTTCTCACGGGTAAATTCACGAATCGTTCTTTCAACAATTGGTTTAATGATCCGATGTGCTTATATCAAGGACTAACTAATAACTTCCTGTTTTGCCTCAGCGTCAACAGAGTTACCATAAGCTTAAGGAGTACGATCAATGTTGTGACCTATCTACTCAACGCTGTGACAAACTGATTTGAGTCCGCCGAAAGGTCTTGGTCCCTTTTTTTAAGCGAACATTCAGTTGCTGTCAGCCTCATGTCATTCATATCTTTCTTTTCCCACGAACGATTAGGTATGCTGTTCAGGAAGTGAAAGGACTTTTGTTTACCGAAGTATCAAGACCCTACCAGGCCCGTAAGAATCTCGCTAAGAAGCTTTCTTGGTCGAATCTCACTACGGCCAAGCGCCAGATCCGTATCGGAGCATTCCGTGGTGAATTGGCCCTAGTCCTGGGTACCACCAAACAAGACTTTTAATTGGCTGCGTGGGCTCTCTTAATTTCCGATTCATCTATTGCGGAGCTTGAATCACAATGGCAGAATCTTGGCTAATAATTTTGATCTCCCTCGTGGTCATTTCTTGAACCTGGGGTCCATAGAGGTAAATTGCTAGTATCTTAAGTTCCTTATCATCTCCGTCCTTCTTGATAGGTCCGCTCTTTTATGCGAAAGATCTACCCAATCGATCTACCCAATCACTCCGCAAAATGATTTACACTTTTCTAATGCTGGTACTCACAGCGTTAGCCAGCCTGGCCGTGAGTTTACCCCCAAATAATCTAGCTTGACCTAGTCTTCCCACGCAATGACACCTAGACACCATTGGTGTTCACGCCCATTATCGTGGCAATTCAGAACGCCAACTTGGCATGATTTTGTTATATATCCTTGCTCATCTGAATTCGAACGACATTCTGGGCGTCACCAGTATTCACATACTGAAAAGTCCCTCTCGGACCGATTCATCTGGATTAATTATACCGACCGCACAGAATTTACCAAGGTTAGATGGCGCCCTTTTGAAAGCTATGGCTACCATGACACTGCATGTCGATAAATGGTTCAACTTTGCGAGCCAATACTGAAGCTCGCCTTCGGGGACTATACCTCACGACCGCAGTGGGTGGTAAACAGCTTGACTTTCAATCATAGAAATGTTCGGCACCTATAGCAATCGATATCCAGAAGGTTTTCAATAACCCCGATCAAATATTATGAAAGTGGCGGAGATATATGCGCCATCAATGGCGACTTTGCTCTGATTACTTCATATTCTGTGCTATTGAGTAATTCCAAGGTTCGGATGTGGACAAATTATCGGCGACCTTCACTTGTTGTCCAATTGTCCTTATGGAGCCTTTGCGAATGTCACTGAAGTCTGCATGTAGCCACATTACCAGAATTCTGCTTCCAACACGAAGCGGGTATGTTACTACAATCTTCTGGGTTATGGTTGCCACGAGGATTGTTTCAATTATGATGACTGCGAATACCTATGAAGAAATCAGGTAAAAGACTTTTCACAAAAATGTATTCAACTCAATCTGTTAGAAGGATATACAAAGGCACTAGAATCCTGTCGCCGCTTTTCGCATATATATCACGTTCACGCTTATCTGAGCACGAGAAACGAGTTCGTATATCGCATAATAGACTAACGAGTCATTAGCTAGCACGTCAGTACCCTCGTTTGTAAGGCTGGTCCGATTTGAGTTTCGCCTTTTCCAACCTCCATTGGTAACGAAACGCCGGGTATCTTATCTGATCTTACCCGATAGTTGAATATATTACTAGAATTGACTTTTCTTGGGGTAATCGGGCCGTTATGCAAGAAGCCGTGACCCACCAGTTCGATCAACAAATTCAATTTCAAAGTGACAAATTCAACAAAAATTCAACAAAGTTTCTTGATATTGGATCCCACTATAGACCCATCATCAGCTCCTAATGCTCATCACGATACATTAGTGCAGGCCTAGTACAGTGTCTAGCCTATAATGTGAGAATAGAGCGAGTAATCAGGGGCGGTGAAGGAGAAGAAAGCCCGATCATCGAATAAGTAAGGGTACTTAAGGCTTATAAACCATTAGAGCTGTACGTTCAAGCCTGTAAGGCATGCCTAGTTAGCTATCATAATAAGGGGAAATTGCAGGTATCAAAGAACTTCTTCTGGTCTACAATAGATACTAGTCTAGTCTATACAAGGTCCTCGTCCATATTTTGAGTAATGTATCAATATATGTATCAAATTAGAAGCGACACAGTCAAAAACTAGGCCAAAGGGTAGGACCCATTAGTACATGTAGAGTTACGCTTCAATCATCAAATTCGCCTGCTGGCATCCACTTCACTGCAATAGCCTCATGCTTAGTGCTCATGATCCTCTTGTCACGCGACCAGAGCTGAAAGGAGAGATCAGCAGGCCCGACCACCACCTTCACATCAAAAGTGGTTCTCCAGAATGTGGGCTTGGTATTGTACCAGTGTCTGTTTTTCAATTTCTTATCCACGTTTTCAGTGGATATATCAAGATCACAAACTTTCTGAACGCTTCTATGGGTCATGTTCAAGGGTAGTTGATTGGGTGCGAGGGCTGACATGACAATGCTGACTTTCCAGGGTTTATCCTCGCGACCTGGATCCGTCTTCAGTTGAAACTTTCGGGTCAACCCCTGATATGAGATTGGAGCACCCTAGATTGATCATAGTCAAATTAGAGAAGTCAGACAAATCAGTTGTTGGAACTAGGGACATGGAGTAATGATACAAGTGTTTCTGCCTGCTGGAACATACCTGAATAACAAGCCAATCGATCTGATCGATTGCATAGGTCAACTTGTCTCGTGGATCAAGTCGGACTGCCTGTCCGATATGCTTCTCGGGATCATAGATCTTGTCACAGAGAATTCCGTAACTGACGGGGGAGCATCGCGACCCAAAGGTGAGGACCCCACGTTTGATCTGCTGGATCCGATCTAAGACCAAACCATGAACTACTACCAGCTGTCTATATGAACATAACAAATTAGTGTACCATTTCCATGTTATGGTTTCAGAGGCAGACAGTACGGTTCATCAGCGACGAGAATTTGCATTCCGTCCGCATTTGGATGGTCATGGAAGCTCGAATCATTGTACGTCTCCACAAGACGCTGACGTACGTACGGGGAGCTTCCGAAGCCTCCTGATAAGACTAGATATGACTTTTCATCATTGAAAATGTAAGTATTGGCATTCCGGGCCCGGATCACCTGGAGATAAAACCTACGATGCTGTCTCCAGGGTATTTAGAATGCATTTGACGAATATGTCCATCCATGAGCTTAATCATTTCATCAATCTTCGTGTCAAAAGCGAGCTTCAGATCCTCCCTGACGGCGAATGAGTAATGGTCTAAGAGCAGTGAAACATCTGGAGAGATAATAAACATACCATGCAATTTGCATCTGCCCATCATATATCTCTGCATCAATATAATCCTCACTGGGGTTTGATAATGGAACATCTAGTTTCAACCAAGGTGTTGCCGTGGCTTCTGTCCCAAAGGCGCACTTCAAACGCTGGAAACGACCTGATATCATTTTCCATGCTGCCTCCTCTGGTGGATAACTAAGATGATCTTGAATCTTCTCCAATCTTGCACGTATCAAATTGTAAACACTTCGGTCAATGAAAGCTGAACCAATTGGCTGTCCTATAAATTGGTTAGATGGAATGCTTTTTGATCTTCCAATAGAAACCGAGGTAAATTGAAGTCTCCCAATACCTTCAACATGTCCAAGCTGTTCGAGCCTTGTTGGCTCTCCTCGTGACGAAATGAGTTTCAGGACATTCACATCCTGTTACCAGACACTTGCAATTAGTGTTTTGTTGTGAAAGGTATGTAATTAGTCAATTGTTCTCACTGTTGTTCCTCCCCCTGCATCGCAGACCAAGATTGTCTCATCTGTCTATATAATCAAGGTTAGATGATCATCCACAGCTGAAGCCGCCGGGACATGTGCCACTCTTACATGATAATGTTCATTGCCGGCATATACTGCAGCGGCTTCGGCCTCAGTGAGACCTATGGAAACCCGATGCATAGGCGTTTTAGCGCTGATTGCTTTTTCGAGCAGTCTTCTCGTTTCTTCCACCATTCGTACATCTTTCCAGGTAGTTGGAACACTGAAAAGAAATTCAACATGACGCGAAACAAAATTGGGGATGCAAATGTTGAAATGAGAAACTGCGTGTCGGTAGACACACTGAATATAATCCTGAAACCATTTTTGGGCTTGTTCGCGGCTTGGGCCTCCCGGATAATCGTCATGGTATTGAGGCGCAAGATGTAATTTGAAGAACTCCTTGATGTTGGACGATTTGTCTTCTTGATCGCATTGGAAACCCCAGCTTTTCACCAAGCCCTGTTCATCATATTCGATGCACGTTGGTACTTTATTGGCTAGCTCCCCAGGTAATCTTCCTGGCCAACGCTGTATTGTTTTCGGGGGAAGCCATTCCGGTGCGGAGGAGTAGGCGACACCTGTAGTCATAATCGTAACCAAGTCAGAATTGGCACGACGAGGATTATAGCAGGAAGTAAGGTGTACCGGTGAAGGTCATTCCAAAGTCAATACCCACAACAATGTCTGGTGTCCAAACGTCCGAACCATCATCCAACCCTTGATTCTTAACAATAATCACTTCTTTATCGCTCATGTTCGTGGTCAATGGGTCTAGCCATAGGCCTTTGCCCGTTCCGGTACACAGTATCTTTGAGAACGATGAGTTGAGACGTGAAAATGTCTACTTCCGACTTTCGCCCCCTAGACCCTCTGACAGGGATGTTGGCCCCATCACGCACCTCTTATCGGAGCTGAAAAAAAAATCAACCGATTTATGAGCCATTCTCTTTAGCTGCATTAGCCCCCCAACGCCGTCGCAGACTAGGATTCAAACTAGTCATTTGACTGAAAAGGGCCGACTAAATTCCGGTATTCTTCTTTGAAAACAATACAGCTCTCCAATAACTCCCATTCTGCTTCTACTTCTAATCCGCGCCCAAACGTTGAGACTTTCTACTTCAGAATGTCTACACTTCCCGAATCTCAGTCCGCAACTACTTCTCCACCTCCAAACGAATCCGAATATGCATCCACATCTTATTCGTCTTCCAGCGCTTCTAGTGCTTCCCCTACCGAGTCCAGCACAGTCGCCACTACAACAGTAGCTACAACAAGTGAGGGCATTGCGGGTGCTGCTTCTGTGACATCGTACACTAGCATATCGACTTCAGCCATACCATCGAGCTCTGCCAGCACCACGAGTGTGGCAAACAACGGCACATCAAGCATATCATCTTCACAGCAGCATCCCTCTAGTAGCAAAATAAGTTCTGGAGCACTTGCAGGAGCCGTAGTTGGCGCGTTTGCCGGAGGCTGTATCTTGGCCTTCTTGGTGGCCTTCTTTTGTCTACGCCGACGCAAAACGTCACCACATCCTACTGCAAAGGAAGAACCGTCCGTTCTTGTCTCCTCAAATCTCCGCAAGAACCCAAGGCAAAATACCAGGGACGTGCCCAGCTCTTTCATTTCTGTGACGAATGGTACCCCAAAATACTTGGAGACATCCGCCATTGATACCATTCCTGTTGACCTGTCATCATTCATTCCTGAGGCTGCAGATGATAGCGCCGTTTATAGGCGAGTTCAGACATTCTTTGATCAAGTCAGCTTGCATGTGGATAATTATTACTCACGTCCCGGTTCACATCGTCAATTGGCATCTGAGATGGTCGCTCGAGTCAATCAATATGATTCCTCTTTGCTCGGTACTTCGCTGGCGACACTGCTTTCAAACTCCAGATCGCAGAGACCGATCCTTACCCACACACTTCTTCATGCTCTTTTGTTGTCTATTCAACCTAACAGCCAAGAGATGTCCCTGATCCCAGCATGCTACGGCTTGGGGGCAATGGAAAGGGCAACTGATCCTTTGAATGCTGCCGGTAAAGCTCTTCCCTTCCTTGTCTAGCTATCTGTAAATTAACTGACTTGATTCCGGTAATAGATGATCGTGCGACATTTGCCTGGCGCATGTTAACATCTTATCTTTCCATCAAGAATGACCATGCTAGCCCAGCCCAGCTTAAAAGCCAAGAATATTCGATTCAATGCTTTGTAAATGCTTTTACTGAGACATTTGCGTCATACAGCGACCCTCAGTTCAGCGAAGCTGATCGCCTCGCACACTTGACAAGCGTGGCTCGGGCAGCAGCCGATCTTGGCATTTGGCTGTTTTCTCAGCCATGCTCTTTCGAATTCCGTTGGTCGACGGCTATATCCACGATCAATCAGGTCGTTGTTCTCCCGGCTGTGGTCAAAACCCGAGACGAGCATGGTGTACGACTGGCTGTGCCGCAGACTTTGCTAGAGGCGTTCGCACGACAAGTTTGACAACATCATTTCCTGTGCCTCAAATGTTAATAAGAGGAAGAACTTGGAGTTTGAAGGAAATCATATCGACGCGCATCTCTTCTTCGTGTTCTCAAGGGAGGATTACCGGATGCGAACCTTGGGAAGAAGGCCGTTTCTGCCAGTAATTCATATATAATACAAATTCGCATAATAACTGGAAAAAGCCTATCTTGAAGTAAATACAGTAAGAAGAGATGCTAGTCACAGAATCCACTTGCCTCACATAGGTACTAAACAGCATTTCCTTTAGTCCGACGCCATGCCAACATATCATTCATCTCATGGTTCAAAGAACTCTGTGTCGGTGATACCCACATGCTACTCTCGTCTAACTCACTCAGACCACTCACAGAGTCATGCAGACTAGGGGAGCTGTACATCCCAAATTTTTGGGGTATCTCTGCTCCGAGTTCATGCACAGGGACAGGCGGGGGCTGAGGAGCATCAAGCCGCTGGAGACGAGCTAGAACAGCCATGAGACTGGAATGACAAGCCAAAAGGCGGTTGATCATATCTCGCGCTCGTTGATTGTCATGATAAGCCCAACGGAACTGCCTTCCCAGGCCGATTTTGCCATTCCCGGTCTCTCTTTCTACTCGGATGGGTTCAAGAAGAATAGCCACGTCGCGAGCCGCGTTCTCGACGTCAAGGATGGTATTTTCCATCCATAAGTTCTCACCAGGATCAAGTAGAGGAGCTTTTAACTGGCGCAATCGCCGCACTTCGTGGAGTTGCGTCAGGGTGTGGTCTGTTTTTTTGAGCATCTCCGCTGTCTCTTCATTGACAGATGATAGATGGAAATCCCTTCGAGATATTCGCCGCCACATCGACTTCTCACGTTGCGACGTCTGGTCGGATACTATAGATGACTGAACTTCCGATGATTGGTGTTTGGGGTTTTTCTTTTTATGCAATTCAGGGACGCGAAATCCTCCCTTCATTAAGCCCATCTTTGTTGGCGAAATAGTTGATCAGACTGTAAAGGCACAAGAGGACCAGATCTTCCACCCTCCCCATATAATTGCTTTTCTGGTTGAATGATCAAACCTATGGAGAGGGACTGGAGGACCAAAATAGTCAATACGACGATTATTGGAAGAGCTGTGAAGAGGAGAGAAGGCTATTCAGGTGGAAGATCCGAATTTAGGCTAGCAGTGGGCACGGGCCAACCATAAAGGTCCACTCTTTTCGTAGATTGTGTACCTGATTCAGTCCTGGAGATCTCAGAGTGTAGGATCTCATATATCTCAAAGCACGTGGTATGAAGTGGGGACGGTACGGAATGAACGGAAGAATTCCACATGATAGAAGAGGTACGATCAGTGATTCATTAACTCCTCGCAGCAATTTAGGTCTCTATGGTCTGAAACTTGAGAAACCCGCCTCTAGTGCCTTATAACTTTGCTTTTTCTCGGCAGGTTTGGCCCCCTCAACCCGCATTAGCCCGTGATAACTCTGCATTAGCGTATTGACCTTTCGACTGAACCAGCACTCATGTCTACAAACCCAAGCCACGATTTCCTATTGGCCAGTCCAGCTGTGGGTACAGGTCGGTAGAATACAACTAAACATTCTTTTAAGACAATTACAGGGATGGGCAGGTTCGTGAAATCTCACGGATTTTGTCCATACGCGGTTTAACAACTTGTTCCACTCTAGTAAGGTAGTACAGACTGGGTGTCTGTCAATACCACTAAGGGTTTCATCTCGACCAATCCACTCAGGATCACCATGTGTCTAGCCGTACTGCTCCTCCAAGGCCGTCTAGATCCCTGTTTTCGCTAATTTTTGGCGGTTCTTGTTATCAGGCCCGGAGGCTAGGTCCGTGAAGATTGCAAATGAATTGGATGTTGATAGAATCAAAATACGTGATCCTTTGCTGGGCGAACGACATATTCAGGCGATTTATCCACGTAGGGAACCTTATCTTACGCCTTGTCGGCATTTCTATGCTACAATTTCCCACTACCACTCAGAGGCAAGTAAAAAGCTACATTATAAGCATCACTCAGAGAATCATAATATAGGAGGCTTAGAGTGGATACAAAAGCAAGCAATGACCAGTACCTTTGACCACAATTTCGCTAGGATTTGGCCCCCATTTAATTATAATTTGGGCCCCATACCACTAACAGCTTCGACGAATCAAAACTCTACACTATTAAACTAATGCATGTGGGAAAAGCACCCATTTCATTTCTTTAAGCTTGACCAGGAACATCCGCGCGCACACGTGGAAATCAAAGTGTAATGTTGCGAAATTGGTATTCCAGGAACCACCATTTCTTAGTCCCATTCAGGTGTCAACATCCACCGTCTTGTTCAAGAAGATTTTTTTTTTCTTGTTAAAGGAAACTATACCGGGAATATGAGGTTCCTGTGAAGTTCTTCAACGCTTTGGAACTGTTCGAATAAAATTGCGGTGTCGTGCATCTGGACTACAGCGTATCGGCGGTTTCAGATAGCACTTGATAACCACTACTGTACATTTTCGTTAGTCTTCTTAGACTAGTGCGATCGAAGGCTCTCTTGCGGTATTTTACAAGAAACGTTCGCACAAGTGGAAAATTGAATACGGGGACCTAAGACAGCAATAACATGAATAATCCCAAGTATCAGGATGTGAACGTGAAGCATCTCTTCCGGGACCGATGAAATGAAACTCTTTTCAGGCCTGGTTTTTCTTGAACATTGTGCCCCCTATACACATTTATGGCGCCTTGTCTAACTTTTCGCTATGGTAATTCTCGTTAAGGACAATTCTCGTGCGAATTGCTCAACCACCTCTCTCAGCTCCGATTAAATTAGACGGATACCCTATGAGGGCTAGGTGCGAGGAATCGAAGTTCATCCTATATCATATTCCCTGAGCCGAAGAACCACATCATTAAATTTAAATCAGGTCAATTACTCTTTCTGCAGTTGTTTATTAAATATCATGTTGTCTCTCTATCAATTAGTTTACTACTTCGTCTTCCAAGCACCATCACTTCAACGGATCCCACACTTTGAACTCCCATCCGCCACCCAAAGAATTGTTTCTCCCAATCCCAATCCTTTTGGTAAGCCCCGCTGGTGCCCCAGCTATAAAAATATCATCCAAACTCTTGATAGGGACCCGTGCCGCCTCAGGCTCCATTCGATCCGCAACGAGCTGCTTGATGCTCAATCTGGCACGAACTTCTTCGATCTCCTTGATGCGGGTAGTAATCAAGGCCGTTATAGTAAGGTAGACGCCTAGCCCGATCATGAGGACCACAGAGGCCACGAGAAAGTAGAGCGGCGTGATGGGGACCCGCGCAACAATCTTCGTGGTGCGTTGCCGCCCACTGAGAATCGGGGAGGTCTGAAGCGCTCCGGAAATAATTGACAACAGGACCCGGCTATATTCGAGCGAAAATGTGTTGGCCATGTCCTGTGTATCATTGGCCAAGAGGGCACCCAGATCTGCGGCATCGCGGAGTTGGAGATCCCCGGAGTTAAGGTTAGACTCTGCCACCATGAGTGCTGTACTCACGGAGCGGTTGCTGGGAGTTGCCGTGAAGTCCGTGACAGAGCCGTTCACGGCAGTGTATTTGACATCGTACACGGTGGTATTGCAGAAGAAAAGATAGCCGACGCCACCGAACTCCTGCGCGATGACCCCCGGGTCATTACGCTGGATGAGCTGGAGGGCAGCAGCGGAGGAAGGGTCTGTGAATCCTCCAAATCCGATGTAGAATGGGTTGCTGATTGTTTCATCCGACGATGTGGCGTTTTGGGTGCCGGTGGCGTCGGTAAAATAATGCTTGGAGAAGTCCTCGCGGGGGCCATTCACTAACCCCCACCAAGCAGTATATTTGGCACAGTGGAACACAGAGCCAGCTCCCGAAGTGATGTTGGCACGGCTAACATTGCAGTCTGCCGTTGCAGACTGGCATTGTGTAGAGACTGAGAACGTGGTGGCGGTGAAGTCATGTCCTTGATCTCTACCGTTGTTAGGGATCCCGAGAAAGGCGTGGGTGGTGTCGACCCCGTAGACGACATTCACGCTTCTGGTTGTCGAGATGTTGTTGAAGACCTCGAGCGTAGTAATGGGGTTCAAAAAGTAACCGCCTCTGATGCTGGGAGAGAGGGAGCAGGGGCGATTGTTCTGCTCGTTGTAGGTATTGTCCTGACTTGTGCAGTTGGAGTTTAAAACCATGCTGTATGCGGCCGTGTCGCTGCGAAGGGAGCCAAATTGGGTGAATTCAGTGGGATCCGTGGTGAAGTGTAACCAGGTGTCTCCTACAAAAATCAGCGCTCTTTTTCAGAGCCACTCTTAGTATCATGTAGTCTCTCTCGAGGGGAATGTCCATACCCAAAAGTCAGGGTCACGCAGGCTATTCTCCCAAGCTTGATCAACTGTGGGGGAGGGTTGGTCTGCTTCTGACTCTTGCTGAATCGAAACTTCAGCCACCGCCAGACGGTGAAATACCCGGCATTCTCAATCAGATCCAGCGTCAGATAATAGTGAAAGGGCGACAAAAGCGCGTCCGGATCACCAGCTCTGGTTTTGGTGAGCACCGCCGAAGCCAAAGGGTATGCGGCTAATCCAGCGGCAACAGTGGACAAGAACCCAGCAATGGTACTCGACAGTGATGCAATTTTCATGAGTATTGTTGGGTTAATGTCGACGTATAATGTTCCGTGGTCATTTTGCTGGGTTCCAGATCGGACCAGGAACCCGCTAGGCGTCATCTGCTCCACCCGGTAATGATAGATGAGTGCGAGAAGAAGAGCAACAAGAGCCGCCAGAGGAATTGTTAGTATAAGGAATCCCAAAAGGATGTTCGCATATTTCCCGGTGATCCTTCGAGGTGGTCCTAAGTTTTCCGTTGACACGGTAGTATAAACTGGAGGAGTCATCCTGGGAGAGACTTTGGACTGTGCTATGTTGCATCAGGCTATGGTCAGTCTTGGGTGTGGGCACGGGTCCAGTTATAGGCTTTTCGTATTCGGCCTCATCGGCTAATTCTTCACTTGCTTGAGAAAGTTCACCGGGGCTTGCATGAGCTGAACGAACACTTAAGCAAGCCCAGTGGTTAGAAGGAAATCCACCCACTGATGGCTGGCCGGCTGGATAATCGTGATCTCACTTTGCAGCTAAAGAGACCCACCGTTTGCACGCATGAGGCGCTAAGACTATACTGAACTCGTAGCCATGGAGAACGGACCCGTCACTGACGGTAGAACCTTGGACACATGTTAAACTACAGAGATCTCAAAGTATCCATGGATGAATTTTGCTTCATCGCATGAAGAAAAATGGCCAAAGTCGCAAGGTCTGGACCTGGCACTTCCTGGTATAAGTGTCCGCTGTGCTTGATCAACGCCCTCTTTACTGCGCTCTTAGGGATGGTCAAAGGATCATAACATCTCTAAAGATCTGCATGAAAAAATAGAAAAATAAACAGAAGGTCTGAGAAAGAGCTCTGTGCATGTATGCGCTTCTGCTAGCCATCACATTGGCCCTTGACAAGGAAGTCAACACCATCCAGCTTTTGACAACCAACCACGCCGGTATCATTTAAAGCCTTCTCAATCGAGAGCAAATATATCAGCGATGTATATGGATTGGTGGGCGTATCTCGCTTCTCGTGACTAACGCTGTCAAATACCTAGTTCCCACGTCGGAGATCTCTGCGGCAGACCTTGCTGGGCGTGCGCTGACTCTGTGTCTCGAGTAAATTACAAAATTATGATTTCCCACCTGTTCCGTAGGGATTTTGGAACATTTCTAGCCTGACACAGATTGCAGGCTACAGGTCGCTTTGCGACGCCACATTTCGTATTCCGGTGCCTCAAAGGGAAGACACAAGCGACCAGAATCATTCTACAGTAGATACATTGGTGAAACCTGTCCTCATTGTGCGATTATATTCCTATGATACAGAAAGTTTTACCAGATTTCAAGTTCCTGGCTCGCTACCGTCGATCGCTTCGATAGACACGCCCTGAGCCGCTCCTGTAGATCCCGAATGATGAGTCGATGGATATTTAAGATCGAGTTTTGCCCTTAGATTCCTGAGCCAATGTTTCCCAATTATGACAGAATCACGCGGAGATTTTAACCTCTGAGCTTCCAGTACATATTCCTTTGCTGCTATTTGTTTCTGAGTCTGGGCAAAAATGAGGGCGAATTTTGTATTTCGTACCGATACGAGACAGGACCCTGTAATCAAGTGACCAACCAATCATCCCCAAAAACCCCTCAATAATAGATCGACAATGCTATTTGAAGCATCCGCCATCCGTCGAATACGAGGAGTTTCTCAGCTGAGCGAAAAAATGAATCCTGAAGCAATTTGCTTTCAGTTGGTCGACATCAGTCAGTGAAGGCAACCGTCCCAAGCTTTTCCTGCTCGACGCAAAGCCTTGCGATCAGCCTGTGGTCATACGCCTGCTGCCTGATGGCTTGAAGACCAGCCATGATACATTGAGCAAGTTGGCCCATCCGCAAAGCACCTTCACACTTAACACTAAAACACTTCGTATCAAAGCGCACTGCTGCTTCAGAGAATACCATGTTCTGCTGCGCTACACACCTACACCGGCGTGTGGACAAACTAGTCTGAGGGTGCAGTCTGCGGACTCACTCTGACCTTGGTCGAGACGGATTCTGATCTGATTACGGTATCCACGACAGATGGTGACGTGACGTGCGACTTATGTACAAGTTTATGCAAGCCCAAATTTCGCAACATGAATGGGACTAGAATAGTTGAAAAGGCTGATCTTTGATGATTCAGAATCAATTTCGCCAAAGTCATTTTGACTAGCCCTTCTTCCGTAGTCCACACAGGACACAAAGCTCGGGTTTCAGAGTCGGCGCAATCATTCTATTTAGGACATAAACCTTCGGCATCCCAATCCTCACTACCAACACCAGTTCTTACAACGAACAGGTTTTCAGGGTCCCACTTCTGCTTGATTTTATAAAGACGCCCATAGTTGGAGCCCCAGAAGCTGTCCTGAAAATCTTTCTCATAACCGTCCGCCTCGTTGAGATAGCAACCACCTCCCGGTGCTGGGTCCAGCTTCTTGAGAATTGGAACCTCAACCTCAGTCAAATTCCGCTGAATTGCCTGCTGCTCCGCAACCGGTGTGTCAATGTCCCACCCACGGGCGATGATGAGATGGACTAGCGCACTTCGCCAGACAGGATGCAGTGCACTATCAACAACGTCGGCATTGGCCCAAACGGCTGGTCCAGCTACAACAAGACCCTGTATCGCATATTGGCCTAGAGTCGTGTTTCCCGGGTATACACGCAAGCTTCTCAGAGCATCTGTCACCTTTCCTGGTCCTTCGGCCGACTTCATGAAATCACGCGTCACGAGACGCGAGCCAAGGATAACGGATATGCCGACTGAGTCGGAACTCTCGAATTCGGCGGCGTACAAGGAGGATGATTTCGGGATATAGGTTGACGAATATGTGAAGGCTGCGCCGGTGAGGTTACCAAGCGTGTAGACTAGTGGTAGCATTAATTGGTCAACTGCAGCCTTGCTGGTTGCGTTCCCGAAGCCACCTTCCGCACTGATGGCAGATACATGGCCAAGTGTGGCATCGGGGTAATCCGGAATCAGCCAATAGTACAAGCTACCACCTGCCTCATTGAACTGAGGTAGAAACGAGTGGAAATATTTGACTGCGTTCCAGTACTCATCTGATTGAAACTCAGCACCGCCGGAGATGGAGATACTCACGAACGGAGCGTCTTCAAATGCCCGCACAGTCACAGAGGTGACGACACCCCAGGTTCCGCCACCACCTCCCCGGAGAGCCCAGAAGAGGTCTGAGTTTTGATAAGAGTTGGCAGTCAAATGTCTCCCCTGCATGATCAGTTAGCGCTGATTACTAAATCTTGCTATGACCACTTACATCCGCAACAACCACAGTGAATTCCAGGGCATTGTCAGAGGCCATGCCATGAATACCAGCAAGAAGGGAGTGACCTCCTCCCTGGATATATCCCCCAGTAACACCTACTCCATGTGCCGAACCACCGACGACCATAATATCATTCTCGGCCAGCCATGTGTACATGTCGTACAGCTGAACACCAGCGCCGAGGGTGACTGCAAGACCCACACCGCCATCTGCACTATTACAACCGACAGGCTTGAAGTTTGTGTGCTTAGTCTTATTTACAATTAGGTGTGTGTTAATCTGCAGCGACTCCGGAGCAACAGATCGTCCTGCATGATTGTGACCACTGTTCCGAATAGCCACCCGCAAATTATGCTTCCGGGCAAATTTCACACCGGCTTGGATGTCTTCTACAGACTCAGCCTGGACGGTATAAAGAGATATCCGTCCCTGGCCACATGGAATCGACTTCTTTGAGTCGATGTAGCAAGACTGGTTTTGTTCAGGCCATGCCTCCCAGTTTGGCCATTCCACAGCTCCTGTAAATTATTCGTAAGCTTATTTTCATTGCAATTATCAGGTGTGAATTTGTATGTTGAGGGCGCATACCGGGCTGGTCTGCCCTCCAGATGGAGTCATACTCGTTTTCTTGCGCGACAGCGCACGCTGCAGAATTATACGCGGATCCATGACAGACGGCTCCTACTGGCCTAAGTGCATGCACATGGCCATTGGTCGTTCGATTCAAGCTTTGCCATTCCGCATGAGAAGGCCAGCAGGATTCCGAGGGGAGGCATCGACAGGTCCTTGCAGACACCGCCACACCCGCAGAGGCAAGAAGGGAAAACAAGAGAGTATGGGAACGCATTGTGACCTGCCTAAGCCTTGCCATATAATTTCAAGAAAGAAGCGACGCAAATGACGATCTCCCAGATATTGAGAGAACAATATGCGAAGACTACATCATCAGAGTAGAGGCAATTTAGCCTTTATATAATACAATAATCCCGCACCGACGTCCACGAATGCATCAATAGGGGGCACCATGTATGTGCGCAAGTTAGACGACGTGCTGAGGGGCCTTGGCACAATGAAACGAGTTCCTTCAGAGTAGGAAGAGACCAATCGCTCTCCAATCACATCGCTCCGCACGGCTATATACTCGGTATTCAGATGGAAAGACCGACAGCTGTCCTGTGCGCGCTTTTTAATACACTAAACCGCAAAGAAAGCATCAATGCGAGCCTTGGGCATTCCTGGCCATTCATAAGGGTGCATTGATGCAAAATTTGACAAGGTGCATGCCGAATCTCCGTTCAAGACAAGGGCGGCCCCGGGGGCTAAGTGGTTAGGTGTCCCGTCCACAAGAGATTCTGACAGGCCCATGCACCACAGTGTTTGCAACAGATCATTTAGACCGGCTGTATGCGGATGACAAAATTCTGTAATGTCATAAAATCTGCGTGAGAGCATTTAGATTTCTTGGGTTTGTAGGTCTTTCAAGCTTGCTTCCAAGGCTGTCAACCATAATCAGTTGGAAGCTTATTATTTCTATACATGACCTAGCGCATCCTTCAGGAGGAAGGCTGGGCAAGAATAATGCAACACAGCCTGGTCATGTGTCGGATGGCAATATCCTTTCTGGGTGACTTTCAATGCCGAGTTAAGGCCACCAATATGCAGGGAAGGTGGTCTAACTACCTTTGGATGTCTGCACAGTTCAGCGTCCTTATGCAGTTCCATAATCATCCAACTCAGGCTATCGATTAGCGAAAGTTGGAATGCATGCTTTTAGGAAAAACCACGATATCAGTTGAAGTTTGTGTATTGCACAGAAAAGAGCTACCTCCATGTATGTTCATTGCGAGGGGTGTATGCATTGAAAAAGCAGAAAAGCATTACCATCATTAGTACAGTACAGACTTGAAGCCCCACGGGGTGTTGCAATTATTCCCTCGCCAAGCTGTGCATGTATCTAGCCCTGCACTTTGATGATGCTGGGGGGCCCCCAAAGCAGATTTGTTCCACTTGCCCAGTACCAAGACTCCATATTCCAGAACTCCAATATTCGTGAACAAAAAATGAACCATACTCCACGGCTAAATGCAGTCAGTGCTATGTGGGGCTATCGAGGCTTTGAGCCCAATTGCATAAGTTCGCCAAACGAGTCCCCACACCCCCGTGTGAAGACATCTTCCAGGTAATCCGCGGTGTCGTCGCGGAAGGAACTTCCTAGCGACGCGATAGAGTTTGCAGTGTTCTTCGAGTGGTTACTTGGGGGCGTTTGCAATAATGCAGGGTTGAGGGGAGGAGACTGTGTTTCGCGATGACTTGCTTGTGTAGTTGCAGCCGCTTCGGCTTCATTCAGGATATCCTCGTCATAAAATGCCGAGCAGTCGGAAAATTCGTCCGTGTCCAATGTGTCTTTGCTCACGTCCAGGCCTGGATCCTGGAAGTCGGGATCCCTTGAGGTAGCTGCACTCTCAAGAACAGGTAATTCTGGCTCGGGTTCTTCTCCCAGGTCATCGAAGCAATCTGAGTCCGGTTCGGTATCCCCAAATTGACTATCAAGCTCTGTGACTCCATTTTCATTACCGGGTTCAGGCTCAGCAATTACAGGCCCAGTAATTAAAGGGTCAGGTGCATGCTCGTTTGGAGGCTCGAGTGGAGGCTCGGATGAGGGTTCGGGCGTAGGTTCGTGTGGGGTTTCAGGCGAAAGAAGAGGCGAAGGTTCAGGTGTTGATTCTTTGGCTGAGTCTGGTTCCGGCTCCTCAGATGGAGAAGGCTTCTTCGCAGAGAACAGGAACTTTGAGAGCAGGGGCTGGCTGGCCGGGATCTTGCCCGCGTTAGGGTCAGGTAAGCCTTGTCGTCTAGCCTCTTCACGGGCCTTCGCATCAGCCTCAGCTTTCTTCTTTTTGTTTGCAATGCGCTTCTTGTCCTTTTCACGGAGCTCTTTCGCTCGCTTCTCCTTTTCCTCCTCGCGTTCGATGCGCTTCAGTTCCTCGGCGGTGAATTTGAACCGTTTGTTGCTGCGCTGGTATCGGCGTCGCACGGTGCTGGATTTCTCGAGGATGATACGAGGCCGATCTGCTGGCATTTTGGAAGCGACCGTCGCGTGCGACTGCCTGGCATAATTCCACTCATGGGGGACGGATGTCGATTATTGAAAGTGGTGCGTCATAATCGTTTGTTACGGGGTTTTGTTGGCGGCGATACGTTGTGCCGATCAACAGATTTCCTAATCTGGCGAGTTACACCGCGTTCTGATTGCTCCGCCGCTTGAAAATGGAGAATGATGAGATGTGATTTTTGGAAGATCAACCTCCATTAGAGAGGTAATTCTCATTATAATAATCCTAAATCATAGAGAATATATTCTAACGCCGGAGTTCTTGATCCTTGTCTGAAACTCTCACTTGCACACCAACACACCAAGTGTCTTGCAGCGTTGATCATAAAGCCCTCTTGCTTAGATCGAAGTCTAAACCCGAGGTAGGCAGGCCACATGGTTCTCAATGTTACACAATGCTTTGCAGCGATCGCAAACTCCCTGTCAGTCATTTCCCTTTCGGTTCCTTTTTTTTTTTTTTTTTTTTTTTGGTTCACTTATCTACCCCTCGACGCTTACTGAAAATCCATTTAAATCTTGCAGTCCCGGACAGGGTCCCAGCACACAGGCGCATACGAGTTCAATTTCAGACTAGCCATGTCCTCTGGGGAAAGCTCAAAATCAAAGACCTGCGCATTCTCTTGGATACGCGAATCTGTCACTGACTTCGGCAAAGGCACATATCCCTACGTAATAACGACGTCAGTCACTTCGCCTTCGCTCAGCATCAGAATAACATACCTTTTGCAGGCTCCAGCGAACCAGAATCTGAGCAGGAGTCTTTCCGTGCTTCTTGGCAAGGGTCTGCAAAACATTTTCTTTCATGCGCGTAGCTTGCACAAGAGGCGAGTACGCCTCAACAACCACGTTGCGCTTTTGCAACCATTCGGCGACATCATCGCGAGGACACCAAGGGTGAATCTCATACTGGCCAACAGAAATTTGACCGCCACCACCAGACTGAATGTATGCCTCAAGCTCCTCCAGCTGTGGAATGCCGAAATTAGAGACTCCCAGGGATCTGATCTTGCCAGCCTTCTGGGCTTCGACCAGAGCGCGCCAAGTACCCAGGCGGGCTTCTTTACCGCCATAGGGTGCGTGGATTAACATGCTAATAATGTATCAGTATGCGTCTAGCGCCATTCCGAGAATAAAGGATACTAACAGATCAATGTAGCCAAGATCAGCAGCCGCGACACTTTCTTCGATGGCCTGCTTTGCTTTCTCATAGCCCATGCATGTTCTTGGAACCTTGCTTGTGTAGAAGATCTGCGATCGGTCCAGTCCTGACTTGCGGATGGCTGAAGCGCTTTCTTTCTCATTGCCGTAAACTTTTGCGCTGTCCACCTATACAAATAGTCAATAACAAGGACCAGTAGTCAGTCAGCATTTATGACTTACATGGCGGTATCCCAGCTCGAGAGCTTTGAGCGTCACCTTCTCGGTAACATCGGAAGGTCTGTATTACCATATCAGTCAGCAGTCAAGATCGGAAACCCGAATCTACATATTGAGGTCATACGTCTGGTAAACCTAGATTGGAGTGACGATATTAGATTCTATCAGATCTTAAAAGCAAAGTGAGACATACACCGAAGCCGACCACGGGGATCTCATATCCCGACACCATTTTGCGGGTTGATTGAAGTGAAAGACCAGCCATTGTTAATATTGTAAAAGTTCAGTTGACCGAAGATATCAAGAAGCCAAAGATGTTGGAAAGAGTAAGAAATAAAGTGAGTTGAAGAAGGTAGATGCGGAGAAGAGGTCGAAGAGTCACTGATTGATAACACGGACCACTCGGTTCCATAATTTCCGTGCGTTTCCATGGCCAAGCTCGTTTGGGGAAATTTGTCAAGCGGGGAGCGGATTAAGCCGATCACAGATCAGTGGAATTGGATTCTGCAGACTTTGTAGACATGGATCTGGTAACTAACTTAATTGCCATGTATAATGTACCCATTGACCCAGTCCCCGTTGAGCTCACTAGTTGACCCGATGTCCGTCGCTCTTCAACTCTTCTTTGTCAAAAGCGATGTGGCTAGATGAGACCAATGGCACTCTGAAAGAGATTTCTAGGACACTTCTAGGTTTGTCACAAAATTCCCATTATCAATGAGTTTTTCAAAACAAAAAAAAACTCACTTTTGATTGTGGCCAAATTTCTCATAAGTAGTTCTCAATGACGTAGTTTGGCTGCAGATGGGAGAGCGAGGCACCTTGGGCAAATTAAGCGCCTTTTAGATGGGAACCCAAATTAGTCCTTCCAATATTCGAGTATACTTTATGCGAAATCACTTAGAACATCCCATGTGAGCGTCTTTCGCTGTGTAGAGCATATCAACATCCATTTATAGAGCTGCGCTGCCTCATCACCTTAGCGGTGACTCGTGGCAGTATTGTGCGGGGCAGCAAGGCGCGATTCAGGATAACAATTCTTGACTATTGACGTATTCCAGATCCGAGTGAAGTCCTCTCATAACCATGCGTCTTGTCAAGAACAAGATTGAGCACGATGGCTCCGGCACCGTCACATTGTTCCCCGAGGAGCCCGAAGACATGGTACGAGAATCCCATCAACAATCATGAATCCACAGACACCAAGCTCATTCGGTCCAATTTAGTGGCACGCATACAACCTTATTCGACCCGGAGACCTTCTACGCGCAAGTGCTATCCGCCGAGTCACCTCAACCCAAGACACTGGATCGACGTCATCCGCACGAGTACATTTAAACCTTGAAATCCGGGTGAAGAACCTTGATTTCGATCCCCAGAGCTCGCAACTTCATGTCTCAGGTCAGATTGTGAATGAGACTGCGCATACCAAGATCGGACAATTCCACACCCTTGACTTGGAATTGAATCGCAACTTCACGTTAGAAAAAGATGTCGGCTCGGATGGTGAGGGTGTTGGGTGGGATAGCATTGCGGTCGAAATGCTTAAGGACGCCGTGGATGAGGGTGGGAAACGTCGTGCAGAGGCAGTCGCCGTTGTGATGCAGGAGGGATTGGCACATATCTGCTTTATTGGCCAGTTCCAGACAATATTAAAGCAGAAAATTGAGATGTCTGTACCGAGGAAACGGCAGGGTGGAGGAGATCATGATAAAGTAAGTAGCGGCACAATCTTCGCTTCGGCAAAAAATCTAATATCAAATAGGGCATGGGCAAGTTCTACCGCGTCACACTCGAAACACTCCTCCGACAGATGGAGTTCAATACCAGCATTACATCCGGCTCAAACAATGAGACTGTGAGACCTATTCTACTAGCTTCACCCGGATTCGTCGCGGCGGGATTTCACAAATACATTCAAACAGAAGCAACAACAACACCCGCTCTCAGAAGACTCCTATCTAGTGTCGTGGTTGTGCATTCGGCATCAGGATATATGAACTCTTTATCCGAGGTTCTCCAGTCCCCAGCTGTGAAGACACTTTTGGCCGATACAAAGTACGCGCGCGAGACCAAATTAATGGACGATTTCTTGGATCAATTGCGCAAAGAGACGAACAAGGCTACATACGGTCCACGTGAGGTCGAGTCAGCGGTTGATCAGGGCGCTGTGGGCCGTGGCGGTGGAGTATTAATCATGTCCAACCGGTTGTTCAGATCGCAAAATATCGGGGAACGGAAACGATGGGTCGGACTCGTAGATCGGGTTCGTGATGTGGAGGGTGGTGAGGTGCGAATTCTCAGTTCCGATCATGAGAGTGGAAAGCGCCTTGAGGGACTTGGAGGTATCGCGGCGCTTTTGACATTCCCTATTTGTGATGAAGGTTTCGATTCCGACGACGATGCCTAAATGCCAATTATGAGATGAAAAATAGAATTTGATGAATCTTATGAAGCCCTATTAGTCGCAAAACCTATACCCATAATTAACAGAATGGATATCTCATCCGACCGTCACCTATCATACGAAGCATGCAGCAAAACTCAAGCTAAGCAATACCAGCAAGATAGTCCGCCCTCAAATAGAACCATCAGCTCATAATCCGAACATAGAGACATGCACCCAGACCCTAGCTACACAAAATTCAGAGCCCAGAACTCTGCAATGTAACACCGAGCCCAACTCGACTTTGAGGCGAAATTCTAAATGAAGAAACATGGGGCAATAAATGACCCGAACTAAGAGGTTAGTGATATGCATGGCCCCGATAGGTCCTAAATAGATGAAACATGAATCCCACCTTAAATATACTTAGAAACAAACTCTTAACGATCTTATTCGTTGGGGGCTGAAACTTGCCACTAGCTTAAGGTACGTCAGGTGGGTCTAGTTCTCGGTAGATCAATGCATGATGTTATGTAGCTAGTAACCTAGTAAGGTACCTAAGTATAGATCTACCGAGGTAGTTCCAAGGTTGACATGTACTGGTCAGTCTGGCCTTTACTAAATGCTAGTATTCTCTTATGAAACACCTAAGAAATTGTGATATGGATACAGGTCCCAAGGTTTCCGAAATATCGTATGAAGTTCAGTATATGACAATGTAACGCTAATCTCATGCAATGATGCAATGCTAAATGAGCATGTCTGAAACAGATATGTAAGACATGGAAATGCTGTATAAAATGCACAACAAAATGACGCTTGAATGTTGGGAAATGTATGCACGTTATTCCGGATCCAATGATTGAACCCGCGCTCGTTTTCTTGATTTTGGCTTTAGGGAGCGAGGAGGATCGGTCATGGCTGATGGTGAGGCACTGCCCATATTCCGATAATATTGTTTCACGTCTATTACCCGTAATTGAAGTTTGCATTGGTCGGGCGTATAATCTTTCGAAGCACCAAGTTCTTTCATCTAAAGCAAACAGTAAATAGTCAGTACTGATCCAAGTTCAACGCATCACAAGCGGTACTTTGATCGGATACCATGCAACGCATCTTTGCTTTTTCAGTGTAATTAGGACCTAGCTTACCTTATCTGCAATAAATCGAAACTTTTCCTTCTCCCACATCGCACTAGCGTTGATAAGAAGCTGGACCTGCACACATAATCAGTACACAATCCACATAAAACAAACATCACCCCTACCTCAGGGTCTGAAATTTGGCTCACGTACTCACATCGTGATCTTCCCAGTGCGTATTCCGTTGCTCGCGCCTCCTTTTCAATCGCATCTGCAATCTCGACTCCGATGCATCCTTGTCGAACCTTTCCCGATACAATTCCCGCACAACTTTCCACGCCGTATTTTGCTCGCGCAATTCCTCTACAAACATGTCTTCCGCTTCGGCCTGTGGGTCCCGTCGGCCCCTACCGGGGGCCCGTGGTCGGGGGTAAAGCTGTGGTGGGGGCCGGGGATTTAATCGCTCACGTTCCATACGCTCTATTCCCTCCGGGTGGGGCAGGATATTGATTGGTGTATCCCGAGAAGGCGTGTGAGATCTTGATTGGGACGGCGCGCGTCTCTTGCGCCTAGGTGCCGGGATATGCGCTTGCGTTTGCGAATGCATTTGCGGCGACATGCTGGAGGTGTAGGTGGGCAGACCATACTCGAGTTGTTGGAGCTCATCTGGGGCGTAGATGTAGGACGTATTTAGGGTTGGTGCTGAGACGGGGAAGTCTGTGGGAAATGGTGCGGTGATTCCCAGGCCTTGTGGGGCTATGGAATTGTTGATGTATTGGTATTCTGGGGCATATTCTGAGTGATGGCTCAATGCGGGACTCGGCCGCATTGAGCTATCGGGGAGACTGACTGGGGTCAGGAGTGCGGATGGGCCTATTGGTTCTGTGCAGTAGGCATTTGCACCTAGGTAGGCCTGGAATTCGGGCTAAAGATAGCACTGTTAGCTTGGGGACGTGGGTCTTGATGGAGGCTATTGGCCCCGGGGGCCAATGGTAGGGGGCGGCGTACTGTCTCGACCCCGGTCCAGTCGGGTCCAACGTCATAGTACATTGGTAGCTCCTCTGGTGAACAGCTGATGTCGGACATGATGCTCGCACGATGGCCAGGTAGAACCATGTATGACTTCTAGAAGGTTGTGGCGTGTGGTGGACTTGATTGGAACCAGAAGCGATGGTGGCAACGATATGAAACACGGATCAGGGTCTTGGTGCAGCAGATTGGGAGCACGGCGGTTGATAGAGACTGGTGGTTGGAAGCGGCTAGTAGATGAAACCAACAAAAATGGGCATGCGGCAGCTTGTCAGAATAGCTTCAGGAAGAGCTGAAGAAATGATTTCTTTATAGATGAAGAACCAGATGAAGAATCCAGGTACAGGTGGGGGTCGAAGGATTATGATATAGATCCAAAGACTGCTCTCGCAACTGCATTGGAGAAATCAATATCACAGCCCACGTTGGAATGCCTTGCAAGGCAGGATAAACAAACGTTCTTGCGTGGTGAACTATAGGCTCAGAGTGCACCAGAAAGCAAGGACTAGTAACGCCGATGACCGCCGTGCTGCATTAGAACCGCTCGGGGAAAGAAATGTGTAGACACGTCGAGGGCCTATATTTAAGCGCCTTGTGATTCAATCCCGATTTCTTGATATTGAGCATTTCCGCCCCCATCCTTCCCACACCCCCGGGAACGGAGCAGGATTTGCTGAAGAACGACCATAGGGCCAAAATGAGGAAAATGCAACGGTGAAGGGATTTTAGAGCAAGGGAGAAAAAAATAACATCATAGGGAATCAAAATAGAACCAACTAATCCAAGGTCTATGGGCCAGGGTGGATTGACTAAGGCAAAGGGCCGAAATCTACGGGATTTGATTGATTATCGGGGCTGGGAAATTAATAATCGCAAATCGGTTTAGTGGATATAGTGTTAGTTGTACCTACAGTATTGAGCGTCAGCTCGCCTACCCATCCACTAGGTTCCAAGTTTGCAGGGATTCGCATCAGTATACTTAACTCCCCTTTCGCCCCCGTTCTGCACAATTCCTAGCTGCAGCGGGATTTATCCTTAAATCCAGAATTTATCATCCCTGAAGTTTGACCCGTCAAGGCTGAATCCTTCATTAATTGACAATCTGCCTTGGAGCTGGATCTAAGAATTCCTGGATGATACCCTAATTCCACCCCCAACAAACCCATGTCTCCTCCTGGGCTTGATGTCAATTCCCCACTGTTACACTGTATACTGGGAAATGAGAATTTAATAGAAGGCCAAGCACAATTGGGGTCCACGTCCATCTGTGTCTCATCGAAAGGAATTGAAGAAAAAGGAACGAAAGAAAAAAAAAAGTACTGGGGCTGATGAAAAAGGAGATTATCGCCGGCGGCTCTTGACTGGACGAATGCCGGGGTCCGTGAGGCTGAAAGGCTACCCGCGCGCCGCAAGCTTTTTGCTCCGGAGAATTCTTGGCCCATGGTTAAGCGCCCACGAGGAGACCCTAGAACTTAATGTGCTTTTCCCGAATCTTCTTTCACACCGTGCATTGCTCTATAGCCGCAAGGCGGATTATTCGGGCCATGTTCTCCTTTTCGTGGCGCGGGCTTGGCTTGGCATCTCTCCCGAGCCCCACAATGAGGTCCCTGGTCCTACGTGGAGAGGCTATTAAGCGCCCGAGATCTGACCTGTTGTAGAGAGTCCAGATGAGGTGCTTATGACGAGTTCAAATGAGGGGAGGTTGATAGAGGGGTAATAACCGCAAGGTGGCATTTCCTGGGATGTGACTCTTTGTTTTGCTGTCGGGTGTAGATCTAGCCCCGACGTGATGCGTAGAGACTAGAGTAGTGATTTCCAAGTATAGTAGCCCCGGATGATCTGGGGGGCCTCATACTTATCCGCTTCATACTCATCCCTGCAGCAGTGCAGAGCTGCAGGCACATTAGCGTGGTTGTAAAGGGGCTCTTTTCTGCTGGACCTGTCAATATGCGAGGGAATGTACCGCAAGTCACTGGGGCTGGAAAGATTCTCAACCTCACGTCTCTTCGGACAGCCCGATTGGCGGTATCTAAAGTAGACCGGGGAGGTCGGCGAAACTTCATAGGCGTAAATACCATGCTCGTTGTTACATTGAGGTGCAAGGCAGACTAGACTTTGGGGCTTTTTCTCATGGTTTTTACAATACTGCTTGTGTTTGTGCCTTGTGAATTTGCATTGGTAAACAAACTCGCTCCCGAAAGATGAAAATTAAACAAAAAAAAAAAAAAAATGGACGCTCTTCATAACGTCAAAAAGCCCAGTACCAGGGACTGCCCTTGTTCATCATTTTCCTCCTAACATGATCTTCAAACTTGTGATATATCAAGTAATCTTCCATGGCCATCATGTGTATCATGCAGTGGTCTGGTGGCGCGAACTAGAGAGATCATGATCATCCTCGTCAGAACCATCATCCCCCAGAACTCCCTCAAAATCATCAGGGTTTTGGATATTCCCGTGGGTCTGGTGGTGATCGAGCGTGTCATCCGCAGCAATGGAGACACCACGGGCGCCCCAACGATTGTTGCTGCCTCGATTTTCATCTCCTTCCGCATCCTCTCTAAGACCCTGTTCCTCATCGCTAGAGCCGCGCACCCCGCGAAGGTTGAGAACACGATTGACCAGCCAGCTCTTGCGGAGATCCTCCGAATCAACCACTCCACCGTTGCGGAGCTTCACTCGCTGGCGCGAGTAATAAACCCATGCAAAGTCAACGTAGAAAGCGGTCTGTACAAGCCCGAAAACAAGCGCAATCGGATCCCAGCTCGGCGGATTGCCGAATCCGCGAACGAGCCAATTCAAAATGTAGAATGCCCGGTAAGATCCCAAAGCACCGAGGTAGTAGGAGTCAATCACGGTGGGGACAGTGGTTTGGCGCAGGAGTAGTAGCTGCGGCAATACGCAAACCGATTCGAGGATGATAGAGAAAGACCAGCAAAGCTGTCCTCGACGATTAGTATCTTATAGCGACGTAGAAATCGAGACATGTCTTACCTCTAGAAACCAAGGCGGAGGGAATCCCCCCTCCAGGATAGCGATCGCAATCGGCGCCAGCACCAAAGATCCAGCCACCGAGTAGATCCCAAGCTTCCATGCTCGTTCTGTTTCTCGTGTCCGAGGGAAGACCTTCATCATGATGAACACAAGATAGAAAGATGAGCTGAGGTAAAAGAGCTTGAAGAGAATATTCCACAGTGACGCTCCATGGCTAAATGCCCATGACGAGGGCTTCAATATATCCAGGTATCGTGCCACAAACACAACCGCATAGAGCCCTTGGGTGAGGAGCGAAACGCCTATCAAGAAGCCAGGTGTTAGAAAGCGGTCGCAGAATTCCTGTCCCGAATACCCAGATCACATACCCTCAGCACTTTTGTTCCGGTGAATTGCCCAGATCAGGATACATATCGAAGCCAGGTGGGATATGTCCGCCAGATAGCGAAACACGTTCCACCCCATGGCTGGTAGAATGGGTCGGCTGCGGGAAGAAAAGTGGGGATGATTTGACGCGTTGGCCAAAAGAATATGGGTAAGTGATTATGCCTAACTTGAAGGCGGTCGTGATGGTGGGTATCGCAGTTGAAGAAGTGGTGTTCACGAAGGCTGCACTTTCCCCCTGCCTACACTGGAGCCTTGCATGGGGAAGGAAGCTGAGCTCCTTCTCAGCGATCCGAGCTTGGGCCGCGTGTCCTCACGTGATCTATGATGTCAAGAGACTGTGTAGATCACGTGTTGCTTTTAGCATCAAGACACAGACTTGATTTTGCTTCGTTTCGAGCTTGCTGCCTCGAGGTATAGTATCATTGTAGCTCTTGGGTGAAGTTTCTGTTGATCACATAGAAGGTATGCTGTATTCAAACATGCTCAGGTGGCCGATCGAGACATTTCCATTTCAGGGATCTTAATCCAATTCTGGCCTGATATCGCAATCAGAATTTTATGAGCGGAGGGTAGTGCAGTCTGAGAAAATGTAAAAGTAGCCCTTTTTTCAGTTAAATATGCTGCTCGCCTTCTCGCCGGTCCCATCTTTTGGGTTTCAAGAGGAGGCAGTGAAGCATCGCAAGAGAAATGATGCTCAATCAATCGATGCAATCCGGCCGGTCTGATTAAATGTCTTTGCGGATGGAATAATTGCTTTCCTGGTTCAAAAACCTCATCAAGATTCATTTTGGTGGACTTCTTCGTAGGCGTTCGGTAGTCTCTTCAACGGCCCTTCTGGTGGCCTCGTTTATCTGCTCTTTGATCTCCTTCTGATGTTCAGCTTGATTTTCTGTATAATTTCCTCCTTAATGACTCTATCATCATTGCGCAAGTACCATCAAAGTGTATAAATTTGGCCCTGAAAGCGGTATCAGACGACCTCGGGAGTGGGGGATGTATTGCGTGGAAATGAAGATGAAGAACATAAGAGTAGAAAGGTAATACATGAAATTCCAATTATCTTGCCCTTTATAAAGCTGGTAAATGGGCTTGACTGATTAGTTTCCATTCATAATGATCAGGCAATCCGCTTTTCTGATAAATATTCAGGAATGTAAAACGGACATTTGTTTGCATTTCCGCCATGGTCAAGGGTAATAAACACCGCGATAAAACTGAATCGATTTCATAAATCTCAGGATACAGACAATCCGATTCCTTCCAGGTTTAAGGGTAAAGATAACACCCGGTCCCTTGATCCCTGTAAAATTTCCTGGGAAACAATCATCAAAGATCATTTTATCTGAGAGTTGACATTCAGCAAGCTTCGGATCTAACACTGTGTGGTTCTTGTCAGAGATTTTCTCAAGCACTTTACGGCGCACAGTTTTGCTCCGTTGGATTTGCTTTAACTTCAAGGCCCCAGCCTCTCACCGGGTGTTCAACTGGATTGATGTCATCACAGCTATGATTTCTAAGCCTATGACAATCGACATCTGAGTGGTGGCTCTAGGTCACGAAAGAGACTCACAGGTGCTCTTTGAGCCGCTTTAGCTTGCACAGTATTTACGTGGGTACGACTTTCCGAAACTGGCGTGCAGGGCTGCATATTTGTGCTCGGCGGACCAGTGAGATCCAATGATGAATGGCACAATTATCAGTGTCTGACTAAATGCTTGGCTACAGCATCCACTATCTCACGAGTCCGCCTTTGTTAAATGCTAAAGGCTCTTAGATATACTTATGTAGGTCGACCCAAATGACACTAAAACAATTGCAAAAAGAGGCAATATAATCAATATAACAAGCCTGACTCGAAGTAAAACTTGAACGTGTCCCAGCTTGTCCTGAATGCTCTTGTGAGCAAGATTAGGGACTTTGAGTTTTGCTGCATGAAAGATCGACAGTTACACACGTCGATATAAGCCGCATGTGGAGGGCCTCGAGAAACACCCGAGCCAATGAACTGGGATACTTATCGTGGTACATGTGGATAAGGAGGCGTCATCTTAATTCCGAATATAAAGTATCAGAATGGACATCACGCTATGCAAGGGTCTATGCTACGGATATTTTCAGGCCCGCCGCGGCTCTTGTTAAGATACTCAAGGTGACATCTGGGCAGTCTTGTCATTATCATATTGATAGGTGGCGAGTTGTCTGCCCAGGTGCGCTATATCCCTAATTTTCAAGCACCTTCCAATATGTCGATATTCACCACTGGTGCCTGGTCATTTTCATAAAAACAGCGACTTTCCAAGCCTGGGCCTTGGGAACCGGTGCCACATTCAAGAATACGGTTTAGCCTTACGGGATAAGCGCGGGTATATCAGCGACCACTCATACTTCCTCCGTACCCAAATCGTCCTCACATGCACAACATATCATTTCCACGACTAGGGTGCCCATGCCGAATCCATGGGTAATCCACCCGTATCTGAGGCAGCGATACATCAGATTCCAATTCTGACGCCCACGTCTCAAACCAACAAGGCATGCGAGTTCCTATCGACATCTACGCATCTTTTCTCTTCCATTCGGCAAAGCGAGATGCGTCACTAGTGGTCCCTTTGTAAAGTATACGGCCAATACGGAGTATTCATAACTCTGGGTATCAGGAATTGATACCGGCTTTCGCCGCATGCCAATAAACACAACCCGCGGTGCACAAGAGATCTAACGACACCGGTTTGGTGAGGATACTACGTACCCCCCTCATTTCCATGGTTCAATGTACATTGACCCGCATCTGACTTAGGTGGCTGTATTAGCTTCGGCAATTCTACCTCCATCATCCACCTACCTCCACCGCCAAGACATCTGGCACTTCGATATATCTTCCAGGGGAAACCCGATAGTGGCTTGGTTGGGCTTCACAGTGGTGAGCCTTGGACTATGGGCGAGGATTCAAGATATCTCCTTGATTTCAGCCATCTCCACGGTATGATCGATCGGTTTTGGTGGATTTGGCATATTTTGATTTGCCGAATTGGCAGTATACGATTGCATGCACTGAGACGGTTTGAATCAGCCTGCTTCGCTGATATGACTCTATATATGACTATTTTATTTGGTATGCGAATGGCAATGAGCGAATTGGGATGAAAGACATGAGTGACTGACCTTTTTTGGTTCTTTTTATGCGTATTATTGGGGGTTGGTCACATTGGTACGTTTCAATTGAAAGATATTCTTTCGTTGATAGGGAGAGTATTATATCGCTTACGTGCCTGGTCCACTTTCGTGTGACTTGAATCATCATCCTATAACCAGTTTAGACGGTCCATGTTTGTCAAATCCGAAAGATGTAGATGTCGCACGATGGAGCCAAAATCAACATTCAGCCTATCAATGGATCCCAAAGCCGATGGCCTATCAAATTTGTTCTAATATTTTCACCTCGACGACTCCAACCCGGCTATATCAGAATTGATCGATAAGATGTCTTCTCTGTTTGATGAAGTATAGCCGGGGGGTGGATGGATTCCAACCCGGTGGTGTCTCCTCCCAGAGCTTCCCTTTCTGCAGAGGGCAAGCCACATTGTTTCGAGAAGATGCAGGATCCTGGATCATATCCCCCATGTCTGCGTGGGCCCCCGGGGACACGGGCCGTTGATTGGCACAAAGGGTGGAATTTCATTGCATCCTGCCAACCACCTCCAATGGTGGATCGGGCACTGCGTGCAAGACCATGTGTGTCCCTAAGGAACAGGAAATGTTATCTGTCTAAAGTATACATACCCGAAACTTGTTCTATGGTTCTTATTATTTTCGTTTATAAAGACTCGGGGGCCAATGGATCCCATTATCACATATAGTGTAGGTCGCATGCAAGTCAGAAGCACAAAAGAGGGGGAAACCAGCGATTACGCTGGCTGCACCCTCTAACGCTCCTGTGGCTTGAAACTAGGCCGCCAAGAATCGGGTTAGACGGAGGGAAGAGGGATTGAAACGAGAACTTTTTTCTGATTATTATTCTGTTATGTTTGAGAAGTAAATAGAATAAGGTCTTGGGCCGCTCTAGGTCAGGGCATGTCATCCTCGCACGGGTGTGAGCGTTCGCCGGGTCACCGGATTCTGTAATAGACCACTCGCAGGTCTCTTCGGCCCAAATGTCTCATGGGGGAGCCGGGACGTGTCGATTCCTGCTTTCTGCAGAGTCTCTGGCCGAATTGGAGGGCTGCACGAGCCATCTGTGACAGGGTCCCCGGGAGATCGGTTCCTCGACGAAGGAATGCACCGGATTTTGATCTGGATGACTTGGAGTGTTAATAGAGAGGGAGACAATAGGGAGAGGAGAGAGAGAGGGACATGGAGAAGGTTGGGAGTAACAAAGTCTAAACCAAACACTCTAAACATTCCCACGTTCTGGACTCTTTTAACTCCAATGACATCAAGTCAACTTTGATAGAATTGGTTTTTATATAGAGAAAATAAGAATAAAATCGAGATCGGAATCGAAATCGAAATCGAAAACCGACTAATTCGAACAATAACAAAATAATTTTCTAAAAAAAAATACATAAGTGGGTGTGCTGTTATTACCGTTATGAGGTGACTCCATCCCCGCTCACTTCTTTCTCCCTCTCACTCTTCCAACCTCCCAACCTTTGTAACTTTCTCCTCTTTCTCGCCATCCCACTACATATCTATTACTCCTCCTTACACACCTTCCACATGTTCTCCCCATATTCAGAGGATTTCGAGGTTCCCGAATCCACTCTGAGGCCATGCGACTTTGATCTGTGAGCTCCCTCCCCTTTGTCGCGACTCCACTCCACCCCCCATCTCCCTCGACCTATCCCCCACAGCGAAACGCTCGGGGTTCCTTTCCTTCCCTCCCGGTTCCCTTCTTGTCCCGATCTGGTTCTGCCTAGGATGCGCCTGTGTCATCGTCTTTTAGTGTAACAAGAAGCCCACTTCCACTTTCCTAGAAGTTGACCATGGCGCGCCTGTAGCAGTTCTGCTAACCCCCCGATGCCGCCTTGTTGCATGTACAGATGATTTGGCGTGTGATTGAAATCGTGTGCCCTTCACCATGTCGTAAGTCCCTCGTCTATGATCTCCGTTCAGGCGGCTGAGAGACTTTGGATGGTTCGCGTTGTGGTGTTGTTTGACCTTGTTTTCTTTTGTCTGACATTTCCTCGCGACTGACCTCTGTTTGCTAGTTCACCCCCAACGTCCAAGAGAATTAAGACGTCGGCGACAAGCAGCGCTCCCTCACATCTTCTCTCTCAACAACAGATCCATCCGTTCCACCGAGTGCCCACGTTCGAAGGTATTCCCATTCCGACTGCGCCGATTCCCCAACAGACATCATCACGCAAACGCCCATCATCGCCGACCGCAGGCTCGTCCGCCATGATGGCTGGACAAATGAATCCTGGCTCGATCGAGGACCCTGGGTCCCTCCCCGCGCCCGAGCCCGCCCCGAAGAAGAAGGGTCGCACCAATACCCCGTGGACCGCTGAGGAGGAGCAACGACTGAAGACAATGCGCGATGCTGGCCGGAGCTGGAGCGAAATCGCCAAGGTGGGAACCGGTGATTGTCGTGAAATAGACTTGATTTCTAACCAGACCTAATCTTAGACATTTCCTACTCGCACTGAGGGGAGCGTCAAGAAACATTGGTACAAAGTATGTGGACTGTCCGCGCATCGGGAGTGCTGCCAATACTAATGCATTGGAAATAGGATATGCATTATGCCGAATTCGCCGAAGATGAAGTATGTGACCTGACCAATCACCCCAATGCTTAACTAACCTTCCCCAGTCCGTGAAACTCCGCGATGCGATCAAAGAATACGAGGCAAACAAGTGGAAGGTCATTGGCCAGAAAGTGGGCAAGCCCGCTAAGGTTCGCCAGATTCACCATTCATAGTCTGATATAAGCTGACGCGTTCGATAGGCTTGTGAGCAGTATGCCAAAGAGCACTTCAAGAATCTTTAAGCCGATTTCCCCTGATTTGATGACGACCCTGCTGACGACTGACGAACCTATTCTAATTTCTTATTTCTTTTCCGCATCTCATGAATTTGGCATCCCCTTCCCCCTGGATTATGCAATTCCATAGCGATGCAAAGTGTCATCAAATGGCCGGGGGTCTTTTGATACAAGGCAAGATGGAGTTGGTGATTCTGGTCGCGTTTTCGCGTCTTTTCCTTATTTCTTTTGATTCCACTGCAATCTTTCAATCTGCTTGGGGCGTTTACCAGTGGTGCTAGTGGGGTGGCTTTTCCATTGGCTTGAATATTTACATGGAACATTCGATCAATCTGATCAAATACACAGTGATTTGGTACATCTACATACTAGAAGCGATCTGCGGGCGGAGAACGGGAAACTACGCCGAGGCGGCCGATCTTATTTTTTCCCCGCGAGAGCACTTTCCTCCCCGTACAACTTGCATTTTGCATGCAGTTTAATCCCGAGTTCCCTTGAACCCTTGCAGACTCGGTAATTGATCTGGTATTCTCCAGGTTTGTATGTTTCGCTTATCGGCATTGACCCCACCTCCCCAACTAACGTCTTACTTCGTAGTGACTCATGGGAAGGTGACAACGTCTCCAACCTCGCTTCATTATAAATGCCCGGGTACACATCCCCTCTCCTATCAGGGACCCATCATGAAGACGAGTAGTCTGGTTTTTATCTGATCAAGGTACACAGTGGTAATCCCACCTGCATGCAGACCGGTGTTCGACGCACATTGCGCCGTTCTGAGATTATACGGTTGAACTTGATCTGGATAATTCCAGCGAAAGAACTCATGCGCACTTCCCCCTACTTGCGTTATAACAATAACTAACACCCATGTGGAAATAGTATGGCTCCCCAAAACGAAATCGCCACCGTCGACGTGCGCTCGGAGAAAGACGATGCGGTCCAACACCCCACTCAGAATCTGGATGCTAGCAAAAATGCCCATGATACACCTTTCCCCGTCGATACCTCGGCCGGTCGCAGGAACCCCGTCGGTTCGCGCTTGGGCTCTCTGCTGAGAGCCTTTGAGCAGCAGCTCGTCGAGTATAATTTGGAGGCACGGGGTATCGAGCGTGTTGCGCCGGAGGAGCGCATGAAGCGCTTATCATGGATGTCGTACCTGCAAGCGTTTTTGCTGTGGTTTTCGATCAATCTGGCGGCGAACAATATTACGCTTGGAATGCTGGGGCCTGCGGTCTATGGGTTGAGTTTCACGGACTCGGCTCTGTGTGCTGTCTTTGGCGTTACTGTCGGCTCTCTGGTTTCCGCGTGGATGGCGACTTGGGGACCTATTTCGGGTATTCGAACTATGGTATGCTATGCTTCAATTCAATTTTTTGTGCGATGGAGCTAATTCAACTAGGCGTTTGGCCGGTACTCGATGGGATGGTGGCCTAGTAAGATTATTGTTCTTTTGAACTTGATTCAGATGATTGGGTATTGCTTGATCGACTGTGTTGTTGGAGGGCAGATCCTGTCTGCTGTTTCGCCCGGAGGAATGTCCGTTGCTGTCGGTATGTTAATCCCGGTATAAAACTTGACGCAGACGCTAATTGGCTTAGGTATTGTCATTATTGCGATCATCACTTGGGTCGTGGCGACGTTTGGCATTCAAGCCTTCCACTACTACGAGCGGTCAGTCACCATTTTCATAAGTCCATGAGCTTCATAAGCTAACGAGATGTAGATTTGCCTTCCTACCCCAGCTCATCGTCTTCAGTATTCTGTTCGGTGTCTCTTCAGTGAAGTTCGACTTGACCACCGCTTCCACTGGCGATCCCAGCACGGTGGCCGCTAACCGGTAAGTCCAAATACCCTCAACCCATAATAAACAAATCTAACATCCAAAGACTATCCTTCTTTTCCATCTGCCTAAGCGCAGCAATCACCTACTCCCCACTAGCAGCAGACTTCTTCGTCTACTATCCCGAACACACCTCTCGCCTCACAATCTTCACCTTAACCCTAACAGGCCTCGTCTGTTCTTTCTCCTTCGCCTTAATCTCAGGAATAGGCCTAGGCTCCGGAATCACCAATCATGCCGAATACGCAGCAGCCTACACAAAAGGCCAAGGAGCCCTGTTAGTCGAAGGTTTCGGACCCCTACACGGTTTCGGCAAATTCTGCTCCGTCATCGTTGCACTAGGCCTTATCGCCAATACCGTCGCGCCGACTTACTCCTCCGGAGTGGATTTCCAGATCCTAGGCCGCTACGCCGAGCGCGTCCCGCGCGTGATCTGGAACACTGTTGGTGTTATCATCTATACCGTTTGCGCACTTGCAGGCCGGGCTCATCTGTCTGAGATCTTTACGAATTTCCTCTCGTTGATGGGGTACTGGGTTGCTATTTGGTTTGCCATTGTGCTTGAGGAGTTCTTGATCTTCCGGTGGAAGAGCGGGTATGTCTGGACAGCGTGGAGAGATCCGAAGAAACTCCCTATTGGGTTTGCGGCTTTTGCGGCCTTTGTTGTTGGGTGGGTTGGGGCTATCTTGTGTATGGCCGAGGTTTGGTATATTGGACCGATTGCGAAGTTGGTTGGTGATTACGGTGCTGATGTGAGTTTTCCCCTGTTCCCTGTTTCTGGTTGTGAGGCAAGTGCTAACTTGTTGTAGATGGGTAACTATGTTGGTTTTACCTGGGCGTTGCTTGTTTATCCTCCTTTGAGATACTTGGAGCTCCGGTTTGTGGGTCGGTGATTAGCAATTCCAAATGGAATTGTTTATAGACTTGGATCAACTCATGTCTTATGCCTGAATGTTTATATTAGCTTCAACAATTTTCTTATCTGTCTTGTAGATATGACAAAAATAATTGCACGTTTTCAACATTGGATTACTGGATGTCAGGTGTATAAGTTTGGAACAAAGTTCAGAAATATAGAAGATTTAGAAATTAGTCACACATCTCCAGGACCACTCTCATTTTCATCCACTAGAGAACTATTCTACAAAACAGACAAGATGCGCAAGCCAGACAGAAACAGAGACACGAATAAGAGCATGCTACAAAACCGTACAGTATCGCATAGGCTTTATTGTGCGGATTTACCGGTACCAGTAATCGGGCTTGACGTAGTCGGCAAAGGTCTTAGGCTCAACGTGAGGGGGGTGGTGGTGGCCGTGGTCGTGGTCGTGGTCGTCTATCGAAGGTTAGAATATAGCAAGATATTAGGCCGAGATAGCACATACGGGAGTGGTCCTCCTCGGGGCCGATGTAGTTCAGCTTAACGACGTTACCGCACTCGTTGCAGCGCTCAATGGGGCGCTCACGGGAGACCTGGAAGTTATTAGTTCCAAGTTTATCTTGTTGCTTTGAGATAGGGCGTCATACGGTCAACCAGTTAACCTGGTGGGAGTCGACGGGGTAACCAGTGCAACCAGCGTACTGCTCATCACCGGCACCGTTAACGATGATAGGGTCCTGGAGCGTTCCTGAACATGGCATTAGTTCCGAAGCTCAAGGCTGCATATGCACGGCTGCAGCCGCGATCCCGTGCATATCAATTCCGGCATGGTAACGTACCCTTCCGGGAGGCGTCAAGAGGACGCATGTCGAAGATGTCGATGCCCTGCATCTTTCCGATAAGCTCGAGACGCTCGAGACCGGTAGCCTGGACGTAGTCGGTAGGGATGGTACCGGGCTTGGCACCGGGGGGGAGGAGGTCATCCTCGACCTTGATCTCTGTAGTCCGAAATCGTCAGTTCCATTTATCCGGTATTGATAGCGACCGAGCTGATGTGGTGTGACTTTGAACGCGGAGGGGTCCACAATCCATGTACCCGATATCTCCCGCGCCCAATTGCGTGAGGGACATCATAACAATGGATTGTCGGTCTACCACAATCAAAGTCCCAGTTACACAGTTCGCTGGTCGCGTATCGGGGTTTCAATAGAGGAGAGTCACAAACCATCAAAGGCAAGGATCTTGCCCTCCTTCTTCACGGCCCACTTATTCTCATTGCCTATTGAGCGCAAAAATCGCGTTAGCTGTGTTCATAGCTTGTCGAATCAATCATTGTTGTATTCTGGAGTCATGTTGGAGGCCAATTGCGCTTGGGAAGAGGAATTGGTCGAGGTCGGGTTGGCGAGCTGCATCAGGCCACTGGGGGTAGGAGTCACGTACTGCGGACGATGGACGAAGAGAATGGGCGCTGAGCGAGAGTGATGGCGCGGGCAGGAGAGCGCCGCGCAAGGGCGGTGGCGGTACGCTGGAGGAACATTATCCGGCGAGTGGTGGGATAGGAGGAGTGGAGGTGTGGAATTTGAGGATGGGGAGAGTTTGGAGGTCTGAGGTTGGAGCGAGTTTGAAGTCCGCTACGGCCCGTCGGGCTTCTGATTGGCTAGATTAGCAGCCTAATGGGCGAGGCTCTGATTGGTTGTTCTGGTTTTTTGTACGGGATGCAGTACAGACCATGTATGCGCAAACTGCCGCTTTGGGTAGTGTTAGGGCTTAGGGTTTCATGCAAGTATGGGATGACATTTGATATAACATTTCGCATATGATATACCCCATCAATTTAGAGTTGATGTGATGGGTCTTAATGCATCGTTGAATGCATAAGCGCGATCAGAACAAAGATAGAGTAGGTTATAGCTTAAATGCTATGTCATTTAACTTTAAGGTTTCGAGGTTGTTACACACCTGGGCATGCGGATACATATATTTCAACTACTTCAACGTACCACCTGGGCACCTGACACCACCCAAATGTCATAAACGATGCGCAGTTTGGAGTCATCGATTTTTGGAGTGTTGCTATAGGAGCCCTGCGTCCATGCTCTGGATTGATTCACAAGGTAATATCATAATCAAATTGCCTAAGTAAAAGTCTACATAAAATAATTATAGCCGTAGAATACATCAATCGTCCTCATCGTCATCATCATCTTCCTCAGGTTCGGGTGGAAATAGCTTGGCCCGCTTTTTACAAGCCGCCGGAGTATATCCATTCCCGACTTTGGATGCAATGATCCTCCACCGGTCAAATTTATAGGTTTTCATAGCATGCTGTAGTCGTTCCACCTTTATTCATATTAGCACATACTCATGGATACCCCAAACAAGACATAAAAAATAGATACGAACCATTTCATCTGTCCAGACTACATCCTTCGCCTTCAACTTTGTACAGTATCGAACCTGCAAGGTCCCACTCGTCCGTCCTGGGAAGAAGTCCGAAACTTGCCTCCAAGACAAGTTCTTATCCTCCTTCAACTCCACCAACAGTGAATCCTCCTTGGGTGTGAATTTGAGTTTCGGTCCCTTGGGCCTCGGAGCGGGAGGAGGCATCCCAGGTTGACCAACCATGCACGGAGGGCCATTCTGCGCATTCGACCGATCTCTCAAGCTCGCCTGGGACGGGAGCCGGTGATGATGATGCTGCTGCTGCGGAACGGAAAGGGGAACCGGAAGGGGAAGCGAAAGGGACATCGGAGAAGCATAGCTGTGTGCTGACGAGACATGGGAACCCGAATGATCGCTTTGGATAGGGAACAGCATGTCAGATTCGGGAGCCGAGCCGGGACCATCCAGAGGCACCAAATGGATAGGTTGCGGGGGAGCCATATTGCGATCCATTTGGCGATGATGATCTCCGTCACTTCCTGAACGAGAGCGCTTCCTGCTCTCGGGGTAAGTTATGTCGTAGTTATATGGGTGCGGATGAAGCAGTTGATGGGCCGGGGAGAAAGCCGGAAGCGCCTCGTGGTGTCCGTTTGTATGGGGCTCTGGCAACGGAGGCAGAACGGCCTGCATGTGCCCAAAGTGAGATGCGTTGGCGTCTTGAGAGTGGTAGGAGAGTCCGCTTAGTAGCCTTTCCCGCGGCTGCGAATGGGCCTCATCGTAGGCGATCAAATCATGATCATTAGCCTTCTCCGCGTGGGAATAGGTCACAGCAAAGCCTCGATACGGGTCCGCCAATGTAGCGGACATGCATCAACGATGCCAGGAAAGACCCGGCTTGGGTTGCTGAGTTGTCAACACGAAGTCGAACCGGAATGGGGCCCGGTTTGTCGTTTTGAGGAGTCAAAGGGATAGATCGGAGGCAGTCCGGTGGTCCTTAAGACCTCGATTATATAGGGACACGTCCGTGTCTGGAACAAATTTCAATTTGCACCAATGATAGCAAATATCGTAACTTGATTGGCGTGGCGAACGGTTCTTGTCAAAGTATCAAAGAGGTACAACGACATCAGAGCCCAATGGATGAAACGCACTTGGCTGTGTAAAAGGAGGGCAAAAGCAAGTTTGAGGACATGCAGGAAGAAAAAAACCCACAGAAACAACCGCGGCGTCGGCCTGTTTATGTTCTTCACCGATTCCCCGTGGTCCTTGATCCGGAGCATTGCAGCCACCTGTTGGAGAGAAAAATCCAATAAAAAAGGGGAGTCTGTGTGCTAGCCCCTCATCCGATCGCAGGGTTTCGTTGGGCTTGAAGTCGAAGAAACAAAAACAAAACAAAAGTTATACAATTCCAATAGTTCGCTTAAAGACTCTTCCCAAGCGAGAATCCAACTCAAAGCGCGCGCTTTCTAAATCCCATACTCTATATGATATTTTACTATTTATTCAGGACCCTTAAGCCCCCAGTACTATAAGGGAGGGATCTGGAGAAACCTTCAACAAAGAATGACAAGGTGGATATGCGGAAGACAACAAGTCCGAGTCGAGGAATCCGGCAAGAACCGAAGAACGCCCCCGTCAGCCTTAGATTAAGACAAACATTGGGGACATTGTCATTCGATGGACCAAACTTCCAATCAATAGCCCCACGTCTTGTCGGGATGAGAAGGGAATGCATTGGGTTGGTCAGAGTTGTATTCAAGCCAAGTTGTAAGCAACCAGGGGCAGGATTCTTTTCGGCGCCAGTCTAAAAGCGCCATCGTGCAGAAAAGAAAGCTAGAAGGGTCACCGAACGTGCCGACACGGGTTCATAAATGAATCTGACAGTCTAGTGATTAAGCGCTCTGACCTTTGATATTTGGACAGGATAGTTCGTTCGCGATGAAACGGAGAAGAGAAGAGAAGAGAACAAAAGAGAGAAGAAGGAATCGATTCCCAAAGTTCCCCTACAATGCGGCAAGATACGAGATGCATGTTGTACCATCCCCGCTCGAATCGCATGTTTTCATCGATAGCAAATAGCGCGGGTGAGAGGGGGCAGAGCTGAGAGCCGGGTTACTGGGCTTGACTAGCTGCAGGAGCTTCGACCTGTAATGTGCTTGGATGCATTGTCTCATGCGTCCCCTCCCCGGCATATCAGCCTATGTGGTTTTAGCGTTGCTTGTTGGATAACCCCTGCGACATATAAAATGATCAGACTTCGGTGACCCGGCCGATGGTGCATGGCCTGATGACCATCAGTAAGCGCGTTACGGGGCGATTACCGGAGCTCATGGAACGCTTGTGAATAGAAAGCGAAGAGCGGAGGGAAGGTTTGGATACTGTAACCCCTGGTCATGGCCGATCTGTGCGTTGTAATGTCGCCTGGAATTATTTTTCTTTCTGTTCCACGCTAAGGGGCTTTGATCAATCAGAAACAACGCTAGAGGAGATCAGCCTAAGATTGGTCATCTACACCAGATCTTGGTTCTAATACTTTCGTCCAATACATGGAATTAAGATTGTCATAATACACAGCAACTACTTCAAAAAAAAAAAAGATACAATAAGAATACAGACGCCCCGAATGACACAAAAAAAGGGGTCATGGCTTTTTCTTAACGCCCACCAATAAACTCTCTTACTCGAAGTTGTCGGACCGGTCAACCCAGATATCTTCCAACTCGGCAAAGTTCTGGAAGTGCAAAGGTCGGTGCTGGTCATCGTAGAATCGCAGCGGAGTGTCGATCTTGACATAGATCGGTCGCTTCTCAACGCTGCCGAACGAGCTACCCATGAAACTATAGTTCCACAAGTTATCTTCAGGCACCAAAAAGTACCCACGCACTCGGTCACTGAGCAACAGCTGACACTTGGTGCCCATGTCAGTGGAAAAGCCTTGCGGTTGGTCCGAGGTCATATCCTTGTTCTCAGCACCCCATTTGTAACCCTGGGGGGTGAGTCCCCAAGCGGCAAGTGACACCGATCCAGGAGTGAATGAAACGGTCATAGTCACCGTCCGCTTGTCCCATGATGGGTGGGAGTTCATGAGACGAGCGTGTTGTGTAACATCTGCCGCAGACATGTAAGGTGGTTCGTTACCAGAGACGGTGTGGATGATGCCCAGCGGCTCCAGGCCGTTGAGGTAGTCATGCTGAGGCAGTTCGTGCGGCAACTGGACGTCCCGAGTGTTTCCAACCTGAGGAACCATGACGATAGTACGGACCTCCTTGACTTGGTCATTGTCGGCCGGTGAACTACCGTAAATGTATCCAGTGACCTGAACCCGGAGATCCGCAATGGTGATGAATCGCTTAAGGATGTTCTTCGGCATGACATAGGTGAAGCCCTCATCACGAACGTCATCGGACGACACATAGATGTTGTTTGATCTGGTTCGAAGATTGGATGTTGCGATAGCGCGAGTGCGCCACTCCGTCTTCGAAGCGAAGGACTGCTGCTCATACTGGGAAGTGGTGGTCACAATGATATCCTCGCCCCGAGCGTTCTGGGTCTTGGTGGTCACAGCGGTGAGTTGCTTCGCTTCTTCCTGTTGCTTCTCAATCTCCGCCGCCTGCTGTCGCTGCAAGGACGGCGCACTAATCTCCATACCCAGAATGATGTCTCGCACTTCACTACTGGTCAAACTCTGCACGTTCACGTTGTTCTTCTTGCCGTAATCGTTCAGGATCAGATCACGCAGCTGCACTTCGACCTTGATCCAGTCCTCGTCAGAAAGAGACGGCCAGATGTGGTGCTCTTGGGTGATGACGCTCTTATCGGGTCGAAGGATGATTTTCGCCTTGTCAATATTGACGTGGAGAGCACGCAGAATCAGGATCAATCGAGAGAAGGCAGTGTACGGGGAGATGGATTTCAGCCATTCATCGTACAAGTTAAAGAGAACCATCTGGGGTTCAGTGGCGCGGAGGATCATATCGGCAAGCTTCTCGACCTTCATAGCCGCCTGGAAAGGCAGTTGAAGTTCAGAGGCACGAATGGAGATATTGGGGAAATCGAGCAAATGGACCTCAAGAGGATCAAGCAAGCCCTTGCGAGTGACAATAAGTTGTTTCGGTTGCTCTTCCACGGGCAGGGATCGAATGAGAGCCGCGACTTCTTCAGCGGTCTTCCACTTGGCAAGTTGACCCAAACGCTTCTGACCGGCCCAGACACTTGTGTGAATGATCTTCAGGAACAATTGTCCGGTGCGAGGGTTGAAGATGAAGATGGCACCGTTGATAGGCTTCGTAGTCAGGTTACCCTCAAACGTCTTATGAATGGTAACACGGTAGACATTAGTGTCGTCAATGAACAACTGAATCTGGGGACTGAAAAGCTCCGAGTAGTTCTGGGAGTTCAGAAACTCCTGGTTGCTTTCCGAAGCATACAGCTGCAGGCCCTTGCGAATACGCTCTCGTAAGACATACAGGGCAGGGTTGGCCTTCATGACCTTGGCCATGGCTTGTTGAATCAAGGTCTTCAGACCCGGGAAGTACGAGCCAAAAGCGGAGTAGAGATTGTAGGCAAGATCGATACCAACCATAAGACCAGTCGCGGATGGGTAGATACTCATGCTGTCAGTGGTGTAATCGAGGTACTTGGCACGAGTGTAACGTTCGATGTCGTGAGAGTCGTAGTCACCGTATCTCAACTGCACGTCAAGCCAGAACTTGTTTGTGGTCGTGGGCTCATAAACATCCTTAGTGTCAAACAGCACGGAGGGCCTGGTGACATTCCATTTGTTGGTAGCAAAGAGGAGGATATCGGCGCAAGAACTGTTCATCTTGTAGGATTTACGAGGGTGAATCGTTTCCTTCTGAACAGCCTCGATTCCAAGTTGCTCCAATTCCTGGTCAAACACCTGACACAAGTCCATAACCACGGACTCGTGAATCTTCTGCCACAAGTGGGCTCGGAAGATCTGGATCAAGGAGATCTTCAGGGTTGGAATCTTACCGTGCAAGAAAATACCAGTCAGATCCAGTTGGACCTGGAAACCAACATAGACGTTCGCCCGGTTGATAGTCGGAGACCACCAGAGAGTGAATCGACGGTTAGGAATCTGGTTCAAACCGGAGCGCTGAGCATTGGTGAGCTTCTTGAATTTCATGGACCTATAAAACGCAAAAGTTAGCAATTTATAACTTCAAAAAGGTTAAAATAGGAGACTCACTCTTCAAATCCACTGTTATGCAGGACAAAATAGTCATGGCGCAGATAAAGCTGATCTTTATCTACTCGAAATCCAGCCCAAGCTGTGGCTTCGGATTCCAGACTGATATCCTTCACCATGAAGCTATGCGTTTGAGGAATTATCCGCTCAGCGGCCTTCTTGCGAGCCAGCAAGCAGGGAACCTCCTTCACATCTCCAAAGATCTGTGCGAACAGCATATTGACCTTCTTTTTATGAGATGGAACCCACATTAACCGGCGCTTCGTCCACACACTCAATCCCAACGATCGCGCCAAGCCTACTGTATCCCAGAATAGCTTGGAGTGCAAAGCCTCGCTTTGCGCAAAGCCAAGCATATTTTCCGGATATACGTACCAACCATCGCTGTCGATAAGCCCGGCTAGGACCGCAAGACGAACCGATCTGGAATTGCGAAGATAATCCAAAGGAATGTGCTTGGTGTCAGCTTCCTGTCCGGTTTGTCCAGGGCTCGTCGTAACCCCCAACTTTCTCAGCGCATCCAAGAGTGGATTCATATTGGAGCGCGAACCGGTTGGCTTGGCGTGACTCGACAGTTCAGCTTGGGGACAGATGTCACTGACCAACTGAATCTCCTCGTGCTCAGCCAGCTCGCCGTACATTCGCTGGCCGATCCTGAGACGAGTTTTTCTGCGACGAGTACCGGAATCCCCGCTCTCTGCGGACCGTTGGCTATCTGCGATTTGACTGCCAAGCAGAGATTGCTCGTGCTCTTCCTCGATCGGGATCACAGCGTCATCGCCTTCATCCTCGCTGTCCAAGTCGAACATCTCGAGATCAAACTGATCATCCATGGCGGGATTCCCGCATTGCTCCTCGAGCTGAGAAGCCAGCTTGGTGAGCTCCGAATCAACGCTCAGCTGGCTGAGCACATCGACATTGCCGGCAAGGGCAGGGAAACCGAACTCAAGAGCGTTGTCCGGAATCGAAGCATTCTCCTCTTCCGACTCTGGATCCAGCTCTGGATCCGGAATATCCGGCTTGGTGTCACTAATGATTGATTCAGGTACCATAGAGACACTGCGAGAATGGTCATCGCGGACCGCAGACAAAGCCTGGCGCTTATGGCGAGGGGTAGACTCCACGCTGGATGGCAGATTTCGCTTAGCTTGGCCAAGTGATTCCGTAAGCGGCATGGATTCCATCGCCTCGAGACGCTGCTTGCGAATCGTTGCCCTAGCTTGGCGACGAGCGGGACGATCAACCTCATCCTCATGAACCAAAGGGAGACCCTTCGTTGAACGCTGCCTCGCCACGGTGGCGTAAGCCAGTGGACTGTACCAAGAGAGATGCATATCCAATTCAGCTGCGTGCGCCACGAGAAACTCACGGATTGGCGTCTCATGATTGTTGGTAATCGTGGCGCGGGAGCGAGATCCATCACCAAGCCACAATCCAAGGAAATATGGATCCACCGGCACATCCTGCTCGGGCAGCTCGAATCCTGGTGCTCGGAAAAGTCTGTAATAGGATCTTTCCTTAGGATCCAGCTCAGCGAAAGCAGCAGCAGTCATCTCCACGGTTTCCCAACGATCAGCGACGGAAACATCCGGCAAATCGCTTCCAGCGTGGGATTGAGAATCCGGATTTGGCATGGAATCAAATGCATAGCTACGGGCATACTTCTTGTAATCCCGAGAACAGTACACCCGGATCTTCAGCTTGGAACCATTATTGTTCCACAACAGGAAGATGTTGGGCAGATTGGCATCTACCCGAAGTTCTCCACCTTTGCCATTTGCGGATTTAGCCATGAACCGCGAATGAAGCGTAGCTAGAGTGACATCGCCCTGTGAATGAAGCTCCCGACTCTTAGAAACCGCTGCTGCGAATGCATCCTCCTTCGTCGAGAAGAATTGAGGCGGATGGTCGCAGTGACCTTTCAGCCCCGGACGATCCGGATTTCCCCAAGCGAATGTGAAGTAGGATCCTTTGCTTTGAGGATTCTTCACTTGGTAGCACTCAGCCAGCGTGGTGAGTCCTATGGTCCCGTTAAGGGCATTCCGGATCACATTGGCGCCATTGCTGCTTCGCTCAGCGGTGAGGATCCAAGCTATCGCGCTCTTCAAAGCTGACACAAAATCATCGCGCTGCTTCACCAAGTTGTTGGGCCGACCAGCGCCGGCGGGACTAGAGCTTGGCACGGGGAATTCACCAAACCGCTCGGTGAATCGATCAGCTTGGCCTTGGATGGACAGACCCTTGTACACATTTCTGGCTCTCGTTTCCCGGTGGAAAACCAAGATGTGATTCGGTGTCACGACAAGATCTTCCTTGCTTCCACCAATCTTGATGCGGTACAGGCGGTCTTTTCCATTGACGATGTTGAATGCACGGCGTGGCGTGCCATCAGGGCCGAGAAGCTCGTCACCCTCTTTGACGTCCTCAACATTGACCTTGGTGCCATCGTAGCGCAGTAATTCCGTACCCGCGGCAAGACAAGCTCGCTCCCAGAACAGGCCCTCCCAAGATGGAAAAGCGGTTGCCTTGAACAAGGTGTGTTCCAAAATTGTCTCCACACCACCCAAAGCTTGGATGACATCAGTTCGGTAGGCATTCAAGTTCCAAAGTTTACCATCATGTCTTTGGCTAGTCCACCAGAATGGGTTGCTCTTCATAAGCTGATACTGCTTGAATTCGGCACGAAGACGGAAACCCTTATCAAAGCTCAAAGTGCTGCGATCTTTCTGGAAGAGAGTGTTGATACGAGGAAGACCACGGTCCCAGCTGTCCTCAAGATCCTCCAAAGTCAGACGACGGTTCTGCTGCTGCGCCTCCATACGCTTTTGAGAGTACTCCATCCACACACGTTGGGAATCAATGAACTCGGCTTCCCAAGGAATGATGTAACGGAAGATGTTAGGGATCAGTGTCTCTTCATCATGCGACATACCCGCACGGAAATGAGTGATACCTGTGTCTGTCTGCTTTGACCAACGCTTGTCACTGGTGGGGATGAGAATATGAGATCCTGAAATCATACCGAGACCACCAAGCTCCTTGGGCGTGTAGAACACAGCCGGTGGGAAACGAGAAGGCATCTTGGAGTTAAGACCAATCTTAACACGAGTTTGGATCTTGGTCTCACACTTGACAATAGTGTCGAGAAGATTGACGGTCGACACTGCAGCCTCACGGTAGTAAGTGAAGAGGGCAATGAGTGCCGTGTTCCACTTGTTAGCGATCTTAGTGAAGGTCGTTGATCCAGAAGACATAAGAATCTGACGGATGCGGTTGTTGAACTTCTGAATGTCTTCCTCGGTGACCTGGAGGAAGGCGTGTGCTGTGCGTTCTTTGGTGGAATTGTCTACGAGAGACCAAACGCTGTCCTTGACAGAGAACTCTTCATTCTGGTTGCGAATCTTGGGAAGGATTCGGACTTCGAAACCACTCATGGAGAAGAGCAGGTTGGGATTGTCTTTGCTGTACACACTGGCAAAGGTGTCATCCCATTCGATGGTAGTGATGGATCGGGGAAGACGGTTCTTCAAATCCCAGAAAACAGCACGTCCAAGGTTGACATCGTGACGCATCAAGCGCATTCGGCAGTCACGCGGCCAGCACTTCTTGTTCTTGTAGCCGATAACATTCTCGAAGTTGGGATCGGGGTTCTCGGTCAAGAAACGTTGAATAAGATCCCGGGACTCGTCTGCCTTGAAACGGAAGAAAACCCAGATCTTATCAACGTAACGAGTGTACAGACGAATGGGATGCCTGGTCTCAGTAGCCCGGTCGCGGAACTGCAGGAAGTCATTGGGGCTGGCGGGGGGACCTGCCATTTCGCTGGCTCTCTGCAGGCCAAGAAGCAGCAAATCAATCATCATACCATAGTACTGGAACACGAAGCCAGAGAACTGGAGACCACGGATCAAACCATAGCTGTTGGTATGATTCATATCCTTGTAGCTAAGCTGGACATTGTTCTTGGAAGTGATGTAATCCGCCAAGTTGTGATCCATAATCAGACGAAGCATACGGTTCAAGAGGGTAAGATCCATCTTCTCGTAGACCTTTGCGAGATCGGTCTCAATCATGACGTTGGTCTCGCCATCAGCAGTCTCCCAAACATTGGATAAGTTGTTGATACCCTGGGTCCACTTGTAGGTCAGAAGGGGTGGCACCTCGGAATCAGAAGGCTTGATCCAGGCAGGGAACAAGTGACGCTGCTCTGCTTGGTACCATAAATACTGGTCCAAGTAGGCATCGGTGATCTTCTCGATAGGCTCAATATCGTAAACGGGGTTGATGTTGTTGTAATTATCATTCATGTCAATGCCGACCTCCTTGAAGGCTCGCTGGGTTAAGAGGAAACGCTTGATTCTAGCCAATGTGGTTCCAGGGGAGTCGTAAGCTTGTTCGATCAGGGCAAGTTCCTCACGCTGACTCTGGTTGAGTCTGCCCTTCACGGAATATGATTCGCGAAGGCGCTCAAGGGCCAGAATGAGAATCTTGGTGTCATGTTTATACGATACACTGGGGAAAGGAATCGGCGAAAACTTGCGCGACTCCAACCAATGAACCATTGTTGTGTAGATAGCCACAGCCTCCTCGGATGAGACATAAGGACCGTCCTTGAGGTAGTTGTGCTGGCGTTCTTGCTCGGACTTGAGCCAGAGGCGGGTGAGACGACCCAAGTTCTTCTTTGCCACGGTCTTATCAACAGTAGCACCCCGACGAATTCTCTCACGGTTGTAGTGGGCGACAGAAATCCACCAGTCAGCCTTGCTCTTCACGTATCGAAGAATGATGTTCTCAATAGGAGCGGGCAAGCCAGGAACCTTCCAAGGGATGTTACTCTTCCAGCATCGCCAAGCTTCAGACAAATGCTGCAGAACAACATTAACCTTGTTTTGCTTGATACCCTCAGGCATCATGTCCATAAGATCAGCCATGACAGATGCACGGAGCTCCAGATCGAAATGGGACTCCACACGCTGCTTGGTAACAGTCTTGGCGACACCCTTGCTATGACGACCCTCGAATTGACGAGAGAGCAAGTTTCCAAGCCATCTCTCGAGGAGGGGAATGATACCGCGCATGAAGAACAACCAGACTCGCCAAGCAGGAGCCCAAAAACCGCAGCCAGGTCCTTTACCGACAGGACCAGAGTTGAAACGGTAGTAGATCAAATGCTTCAAATCCTTGCAAGAACGGATCTGGTGCATCAGCTTGTACTTGTATCGGTACATACCGGTCAACTGACCAACGTGGTTGAAGGCATACAGAATACCGTCAGCAAGCTGGAAGGCATCGATGTTGCCCAAACGGTACTGGACTTGGGCGTCGACAATCAACTTCGTTAAGCGAAGAATTTCTCTCATCAAGTGGAAAGCGTTTCCGAAACGAGACTTCTTCCGCTCCTTGGTTGTCAAAGTCTTCACTGGTTTCAGGTTGAAGTTGTAATCCAAGTGCAGGTAAGTCAAGTTCTTGCGGTGAATCAACAAGTTAAGCATGTTGAAACCCTGACGACAGACCTGCAGACCAGCCTCAACCCAATCGATAGTCGTCTGCTGGAAGAACTTGGTGGTCTTAAGTGTCTTCAAAAGGTTTTGCTTGCTCTGAGCCTTGGGTTTGCTCTTGTGCAGCTCGTTAAGGACGTACGTCTTGAGCAGCTTTTGATAAGAGACGCGGACCTTGACGGGCTGGCCTTGCGGGCAGTGTTCCAAATACCACTGCTTTACAAGCGGCACATCCTGAGCACGCACCATCTTTCCGGACCGCTTATCAAACGGATGGGGGGCCCACCACAGAGCGATCGCAGATGCGGTGTCCGGTGTGTAAAGCTCTTCATCGTCAAAGAAAGGCTCGACCTCTCCTGGAAGCTCAAAATCGTCTTCATTGTTGCCTTCACCGAAAAGCTCATCCTCGTGGCTGATAGTGATGTTCTTCGGAGCAACCGAGCGGGAGGAAATGGGATTAATGACAGGGTCGAAGTAGAAGGCGGGGAGGTTGGGATCCTCGGTACGGACATAGACCACCTGGGGGTGAGAATACCAGGCGACCTTGACACTCCGCGGAAGGGTATTATACAAGAAAGGGAAGGTAACGCGGTATTCGGTTCTGATCGGGGCACGGAAAATGATGCGGTCAATAGCGTTAAACTCGCTGAAATCCTCATCATTAGGGTCAATGTCCTTGTACAAAGGCTCGAAGCGGGGTCCACCGGGGATGGCGACATTGAGGGCCTTTGCTGTGAAAAAGCTGTTCAAGTCAAACATGTGGTGGTAGTTCTGATCCACGACATCGCTCAGAAGCTGGTGACTCAGACGGTGGAGAGTGGCCATCTGTGGCAACGACAGATTCCAACTCTTATAACTCGGTCCATTGACATGGGGGGTATCTAGGAGGGGTCGGTGGTCGTAAAGCCAATCGTAGACTGCCGCATCTTCTTCCTCGTCAAGCTCCATTTGGATTGGCTCCAGAGGATCGACATCCTCAATATTTTCAGACCACGACAAAGGCGGCTCCTCGTCATCAAATGGAGGGAAGCGCATTCGCTTGAAGTGCCGACGATCACTCTTCTCACGACGCATACACATCCACATAGTGGCCCACTGGGCGTGGAAAACCGGCTCGATGACGCGCGGGGTCTCGTTCACCAGAGTCAGACAACCGTTGACATGGTAAAGTACCTTGACTTCTCTTGCGGACTCCCAGGGCATCGGCATGTTCTCCAAAAGCTTCATGACGGCGTGAGGCATAAACTTCAACGCTCCCAGATAGCTTCGCTTTTCATTGGTAAATTTTCTTTGCGACACATCGCCAATATCCTTCACGATCTTTCGCAAATGCTCCGGAGGCAAATCATCCTTCTGGGTCTGTACGAATCCACCTTTGCGCTTCTCTGCGAAGCGACTGCGTTGTGTTCGCAGCCATTCATGCTTCTTCTGCGCAAACTTTGCGACGTTCGGGTCGGCAGGTGGCTGATATCCAGGCGGCGGCGGCGCCATCGGCAATGATGAGGGCGCTGCACTCCATCCTGGAGGAGGGGGAGGAGGCAATGATGCCATGATTGTGGATGTCGATGGGGGGAGTGTCCACCCTCCCTTCTGCGTGAGTTGGGGTCAAGAGTCGCGTCAGATCACGTCGGAGATCATCGACCGGTGGGGGATAATGATGAACAAAAACAAGGACAATAGGAAGAAACCAGATCAAAAACGCGTAGAAAGAGAATCGACCCGACCAGGAGTATGGGATGGGGGTACACCAATGGTCGTCTCTCACTCTAACTTTGCTGAGTTGCTCCTTTCGAACTTGGAACTTTCCGGTGGCGGCTCCATATAGCGCTAGGCCCGATTGGGGTTAGCGTGGCCTCGCCAAATTTGCGCTAGAGCGAAACCCACACAAACCCGTCCAACTCGAACATTTTACCGTTCACAACCCGACGACGACCAACGCCTTCTTGACCACCGAGGTTCGACACAGTCAAAATGGTGAACAACAGACTGCAATACGTGAGTTCTCATGAATCTATATCAGTCTGTTTTTCTGCGAAAATACTGACATCGACTTTTCAATTTTAGCGCCGCCGGAACCCGTACGTTCATGAAAAAATTCCGTTCCTACGCACAAGGCCTTCTCTTCGTTCGATTCGACATTTGATATGATCAGGATGAACTGGCTACATCGATTCAGAGCGATTTATTGACGATTTCTCCCCGATAGGTACAACACGCGGTCCAACAAGGTGCGCATCATCAAGACCCCCGGTGGCGAGCTCCGGTACCTTCACCTCAAGAAGAAGGGTACTGCTCCCAAGTGCGGTGACTGTGGCATCAAGCTCCCCGGTGTGAGTACCTCTGAAATTGATTTTTAATTCCCGGCATGTGGCATTGTGCGTCGTGTTGTGCGGTGTGGGTGGATGTGGGACCGACGGAAAAGGCACCCCTCTCGGAAAAGAATTCTCTACGCTCCGCCAACAATTCACACAATCTCTGCATCGTCCTTACTCCCAATTGAATTGAGGCGACTGACACGGTTTAATCTAGGTCCCCGCTCTCCGCCCCCGCGAGTACGCCCAGATCTCCCGCCCCAAGAAGAACGTCAGCCGTGCCTACGGTGGCTCTCGTTGCGCTGGTTGCGTCAAGGACCGCATTGTCCGTGCCTTCCTGATTGAGGAGCAGAAGATCGTCAAGAAGGTCCTCAAGGAGTCCCAGGAGAAGGCCGCCAAGCGCTAAGCAAAGTCCATTTTCGTCGGTGTTGGTCTTTTTTGAGGAGCGGACGTTACGGAAAAAAATGGTTGGGAATGGTTCTCTTAGAATCTAAAACGATGGACAGGAACCGCTAGTTCACGAGTTCAGGTTGGGCCGTGGCTACGCAAATGAAACCCAAATTATTACCTTCATGAGTTGATTCCCACAATGCGTTCGTTCCCATTCTCTCGCCTTGGGCATTCTGCTCAACTTCCTGCATTCTATCTACCTTTTCGCTCTGCCCTCCGTACCGTCTCAGATTAACCCGCAATGATACTTGCGGGGTTCAGTCTTGACTATAGACCGGGTGTGAGTATATGGCATCACCCCTGAACACCGTAGAGTACGTATCTGAATCGCCAGTCCATGGTAAGGATATCCATGCTGGACTTATCACTAGCAATTTTCTCAATGCTGCAGTTCTCTCCGCTTCAATCTTTCAACCAGTTTCCTCTTACCCGCGGAAATCCCAAAGACCCCCAAATTCTCCTTGAAGAGCCGCATCTCTTCACCGATGTTCCGCAGGTGTCAAATTCGTCACAAGTCTAGACCCCGTTCCAGTCATATGCCAAACACATATCTAACGCCTCCGACCACGACAAAAACCAGGCACTACCCTTCTCAACAATTCTATCATTACACTGCAGGTTGCGCAGACATCTAAGCCACATTGTCAACAGACAGCGTCATCAATCTCGTGGCCAGACCGCCACAAGTTACACATATGATAGGCTAAAGAAGCAGGTAGTGAGACGCCATCACCGGGGAAGCAACCGAATTACCATTTTAGTGCTTATTATAGACTAGAGCGATATCAATCGGCGAAGTCTTATTAATTGAATCGTCATGACCGACCCCTATCCCGGCAGACGTATCAGCAGGTTTGTATTTGGCCCGCAGCTGCAGAGACTTGGCTTCTATGGCTCGACCGCACTCGGAACCATCGATAGGAGGTCCTACGTGGGATCTTTGCCCCTGAAACTCAAACTTCGCTTACTCTGATTTTCCTGCTACGTGGCGCTTCTTGTGTTCGTGTTTGGTAAAGAGTGGCTATCTTAAGCGATCGTAGTCCCGTCGGAATGACGATGCCTTGGGCAGTAAGGCAATGCTACACATGCCGTGACCGCATTGTTTCCGCAGTACAATCTCGCGTGAAACATCAGGTTGCAATGGATTTCTTGTATTGTACACATGATACCATGTAGTAGAATGTTCTCTCGGCTCTGCTTATAATCTTCGTGTGGCGGATGTCCGCAGGGCCGCAGCAATAATGCACACAAGCCCCACAGAGCCGTAGAATGGATGTGTACGATGTACTATGGATAGTAGAAGAACCACTGGGCCTCGTCTCGTCCAGGTGCATTCCAAGGAATCAACTAGCCGTCATGCAGTCGACCTACCTAGGCAAGTGGATATAGTTCCACGAACGTCGGTTTGGCAGGGTGTTTGCAAGTTCGAACAGGATCTGCCTGATAATCCGATGTATATATTTTCGATGAACTATGGGGCATCGCTATACCATTCGAAGAATTGCCACTACACCCACAGAAAATTCAGGCAAAAAGTTAAAAAAAAGCAAAAAAGCTGCCGACGTACAGGACAATTCCTACTTCTTACTCCCTACATCGGTTTTGCCTCTTTAGTGCTAAGATCTTGCCGCTTTTTGCTGAGTAGAGCTGAACACGCCTGGGCGGTCTGGCCTCCATGATTATTACCCGAAGCGATCGAATCTCGTCACCTGATTCTCGAGCAGATCCACTCTTGCCTGAGCTGATTCATCACTGATCAGTCAGCCCACCTCAATAAAAGCACTTCGCTAGTTCCATTCAACGGACCGCCATCATCAAGTAGTTCCAATTGTCATTCCAAATAGCATGTCATCAATTCATGTGACCCTGGAGTGATGAACACGTGACACAAGAATAGTACTTCCGCTTATGGAGGTCATGAAAAGACGGTGAATGAGACAAAACATCAATCCTAATGGATTTTTAAAAGAACCTTAGGTGCTAGTAAATACATTTAGCCTAATCGCAGCTGGCCGCCTTGCGTGCGTGTTCATAAGACACGTCCTTAGCTTCGGTACTCGATTTGCCGCCGGCAATCGCACATTGAGTCTGGAATACTCCTTGATAACTCCCACGCGGCATAATACAAATATTACAAAACTCCTCGCCAAGTTTGCTCACACACACATTTTTGGTGAGTTTTCCTGGTGGGTTTTTGGCCGTGCAATCCAACACATCAAACCTCGCGTTATCCTCCTCCTTCAACTCGCAGGCGAAAAAAAAGCTCATGCCGTCCTCCAAATCAACTTGGTACTCTCCATCCTTGCATGTAATTTCGCATTCTTTGTTGTCTCCACAGGGCTGGTTGCTAGCAGCATGTGTGGAAAGAACCAGGGCGAGAGGAATGGAATATATTTTTTCGTTCTATTTAGTAGTGAGTTAATAAGACTTCGGGCGCAGTGTCTGAACTGAGCGTTACCAGCTAGAATAGCAAGTTAATTATAGGTATTTTAGAGCTAAGAAAGCGTATCACGGTTTCAAAAAAATGGTGGGTAAGATAAAAGCGGGAAGAATGTTATGGGTCTCTTAAAGCTCTGGCCCCTGAGGGGCTATATCAATATACCCATATGTCTCTAATTAGGTGGGACGGGAGTTCAAAAACAATTATGGCTGTTCTCCCTAAGGCTAGTGAACTTATGCTGAATATATGCAACATCAAAATAGATAGTATGTGACAATCATTAAAAGGTTGTATTGGGTAGAGGTGAACTCATCATTACAGCGTATAGCTGAGCAGCAAAGCTGCATCCTTGAGATCTAACCTGAGACCCTGCATATATAGTATATCCTAAGGTTGTACAATAGGGCACGCATGCGCTAATCATATCACAGTACGCCTATGGATAATATTTCCCACGTGGGTCAAAGACAGTGATCTCACCCTATGATGTCGATCTGATGATCACCGAGCCTTGCCGAAAGCTACGGGCCAGTAGAGGCACCTGATTAGCCCAACAAGTGATCATCCACTCGTCTGTCGATCGTAGCACAAAAAGCAAAAAGCAATAGCTGTTTTTACTATGGAGTGAGTTGTAGTGATATGGACATTTATAAGCCACAAAACAAAATGCATTTCACAGGCTCCATCATTAAGTATAGATATGACTCCGAAGATTAAAAGTTTTGCCAAGAAGCAAGCATGACAGTAAAAAAGAAAAACAAAAAGAAAAACCAAAAACCCCTAGAGAATACCTAGATACATTTTTCCTAAGCTGCGCAGGCGGATGTCGCGTCACCCCAAGATACAGCGCTTTTCTTGATTTGCGGAGTTCCGGAAATGGTGCAATCAATAAAAATTCAGGAGCGCTGTTCATAGGTACCGAGCCTTTCCTGGCGAAGATCGCAAGATAATATAGGCCTATCAGAGTTGTGAAAAGTAATAGATATGTAGTAGGCAAAGTGAAGACCTCGTGGGAAGAATGCGAGACTTCTCCAACGGGCCAGGGCTCCTTGAAGGTTGATAAACTCGTGACCCCTGAGTCATAGTAATTACAGTATAGCTCCGCACCTCTCAATGGGCCCTATACTCAATATGTGCTACATCACATTGAATAGTAGGTATGTGGCGCACTGAAAGCATTGGAGAATTCACGAATTAGGCAAGATTCAACATACTGGGCGTCATAAAGTATACTGTAGCTGAGCTCCTTGGAAGGGTGCAAAGGTTCTTTCTTCAATCTTATACAAAATGTGTATCGTAGGGGTGTACGTGTGCCAATCAGAATTTTAAATAGCACGTTTGTGGTAAGTTTCCATGTCGGTCGAGAGACTGTGATCATGCACTGTTTGCATCGATCCCAAGCTTTTCTGGAAGCTAGATAAGTACACGCCGTAGATTCACTGTTACGTACATTCTGAGGGATTCAATTTTCTGCCCTTGACCTCGGGAAGTTAACATCATCAAGGAGTCAATAGACGAATTAGGCATCAAAGGAAATCCCCTCTTCGCCTCACAAGTGATCAGCCACTCATCTACCCAAAGACTGTTCATCGTAAAGCGAAACACCCACAACGGAAAAAAAAAAAAAAGAAAATACATAGTACTTGTGCTATGGTGGTACAAAGGCTTCAACATAGACGCAAGGGGGGCCTTGCAAAAATACTCGGTCAAAAAATCAACCTGAAAGTCGCCATAGAAAGGATCAATGTCTTCACGTACAGATTTGGTCCTCATATATGTGTAACCTTGCCAACCTTAATGTGGCATTAGAAGCTAGGCGTCCCGACTTTATGATTTTGAACAGAGACCCGTAAAACTCTACTTCAAATACTTCCATGAGGCCAGCCGCTGCATAGCATACATAGGTAATATGCTTGCTAGCATCATTATTTGGGACGTCGAATCAACAGTCTATTGTTGAGATATCTCTAGACCGGCGATTATCTTATACGCCCCAGCGCTTCACCAACCCCGCTGCTAGCACTCCAAGAACCCAGTCATTATTATTATGACAAGAAGGGTTGGGAAGCACGCTTAATAGTATAGGAGTGCCCCTTTGGGTATAGTCTGAGCATTGGGTGCTCAGTAGATGCCTCTGCTCAGAGAACCTCGCGTCTCACGTGATTGACATTGGACTGAGTGAGGTCGGACTGATACTTACGCAGTAAATCTGACCCTAAACGCTTTCATAAAAGCAGCACCAGGTAAATTAGCAAAGCCCCACACAGTAGAAGAAATATTACGTATTCGAGGTAGTGAAGTGCGTGATTCTACAGCTAATGATTAGGTCCTGCAAATGGTCATCACGAGGCATCGCACACCGCCAGGCAGTAAAGAACCGAACCGAGGCAAATACTGTGAGGGATCACAGCAGGTACACAGACTTTCATTCCCTAAGGCATCTCAGATAGGCAGGAGTCTCTGACATAAGTACTATGCAGCCACAGATCAACTGCAGGGCCAAGGGAAAAAAAAAGGGTTTTTTTTTTTTTTTTTTTTTTTAAATTTAAATTTAAATTTAAATTTAAATAATAAAAAAAAGGGAAGACTGTCGCACGGCCCCGGCCATGAGGCGAAGTTAGGTTCGAACCTGCCCGTCATGTTGAATTTTCACTTTAAGGTTGTATGTTATGACAGGTGGTCAAAACATCAGGTTTTTCCCAGGTTTTTCCAACCTCGATTTTGCAGGATTTTGGGTTGTGGACAGTATTCCAGATTGAAAATTTTTTCAAACGCATGTCTGATCTTCCCTACCGAAGAAAGAGCATTGTCTCGGGCTTTAAACATTAGGATTATGCACCCGGTCATCTAGTAACCCTTGTCGAACACTGAAACGCTACTGGCTAGTACCTCTAGTACCTCCACACGGCACTTCCATGCTTAGATCTTAACCGCCCCCCTGTTTCAATCGTGCATGTCGAAAATTTGTCAGCTGGATCGTTTTGTCTAATCATATTCCGTCGTTAACCGTGACTGGGAATCCTTGCCTCGATTAGGAATGGAATCTAGCTTCCGGATTCCGCACATCGCACTCAGTACCACTTTTGAAATTTTTTTTTAAATATTTTATATTCATTTTCCTTATGCGTAGCGGAAAGAAAAATCATGTCGTTGTGGACCGCGTGGGATTCTTTTTCAAACCTTGCGATATGTCAACGGGAGTGGGATGGACCCGATTGGAAAAAGAGGGTCTTAGTACTGCACTACGATCCCTTGGTAAAGTGGAGAACCACACAATGTCAACTATCTTTGTCCGCAGCGAGCTATTGAGCCAATAGAACTTGCCTGCATGACAATTAAGCCGCAATAAGAAAGAAAGGACGATGGCTGTGAGTGCGAGAGATCACAGGAATGAAATCGTCAATCGTGTCAACGAAGGATCGCCACCGCCATGGCCATGGGTACGACATGCATAAGACTATACGATACAGTAAGACAAGGAGGAGTTTGGGCACGAATAGACCCGAGGCGCCGACTCAGGGTCCGTGCGTCAATCTAACGCCGGCTAGACTTCTTTGTCAGTGGCTGTTCAAGGTTACTAGTCCTTCCCAGGCCGAAGCATGCATAATCAAAGTTTTTGATTAGCGTTCCTGTCAAATCAACATGACAGGTTGGAAGTTCTTTCCGAGTAAAAATCCGTGACATATTGTGGATCTTTAATCCAATAGTTCGGTAGCTAGCATGTTGAAGAGGCGCGTGCGATTCTCCCGGGTCAACCTAGACCAGATTTAGACCCGCTCGATGATCATTTCCATGAGGGGATGAAGGGAAATCGAATGAAAATTTAGTCCGGTAATGACCGATGCTACAGATAAAGTAAGAAGCAATGTCTTTGCTCGGGGAGGAATATGTACTTGGAAATTGACATCATGCCATCATGCCATCATGCCATCATGCCATCATGCCATATGGTATAAATTAAGTGTCCTACATATGTTTTGTGTAGATTGATTACGGATCGACTGTGCAACCGAACTCCGCCCAAGCATGACATGTTCAAGGATGGGGCAGACCGTAAATAGGAAATGACACGAAAACGCCGTGCATTGGGTGACGTGACATGCGAACGGTATTGCAGCTGTCATCTCCTGTGGCTGAGAATTACACACTGACGTCTGCGGAGATGCCTGAAGGCAAGCACAGTAGGTAGTAGATCCTGTACCAGGTAAAGACCGCAATATCCCCAAAGAAGCATATGGTGGTAACGAAAAAAAAAAGGAGAGAACAGAGTGGGGGTAGCGATAAGCTAATCCGGCTTCGTCCTACTCGACTGGTCACAGAATCCCTGTCCACTTCGTCGATACCCGTATGAGCCTCTCGTATCGGATTACCCGTATCCAAGGCTCGGACTGTAGATCCGATGACGCCCGCTTCTGTCGATCTTTGATTCCGGGGAGCTCGTGCCGCGTTCCAGGGGGGAGCTATGGGCCGGCGCACGCGGTGCGTGCGTATTCGGACAAACGGTATAGATCCTTTCCAGTGGCAAGATTGTTGGCTATGATTACCACGTTGCAGATGTCATCTTCACTTGACGAAGTCATGACTCGTTGAGAGCGCCCCGGTGCGACATCTGTGCGATCTGCGAGCCGTATGTATCGAGATTACCAAGATCGGGGGGCGAAAGTGGGGAAGCGGGATGATCATTTAGGTGCAGCCGGGGCCCCAGCAATACTTGCCTGCGTCATTCGTGGCAGGTGGACAGCTGCAGTCGACTAGAAGGATATGTCTGGTGGCCCCTCAGTTAGGGATTTGCTTCGGTCTGACAGGACCGTTGATTGAAGGCCATCTTATTAATGCCAAGGCTGTGTTCTCGGAAGGTATCGATGCCGACTAGGGCACATATTTCCCCGGGATTTGGTCTTGATTCTTGTGCGATACACCTGAGCGTGGCAGGCATTATATTCTATACAATGCAGGATGATGGCACATCAACACCAAACAACCACCTTGATTTTCCTTAGGCAATTGTCAATCCCTGCCACCAGAAGGTGATATGCGGTGCAGACGCCATGAACCTTGGAAGTGGGACTTGCAAGAAGCAGGATATTCAGATTCCTAATGCCACTCATAATGAATATATGAGTAGCTTGTTGACGTGATGATAGATCGACTGAAAATATGGGTTTGGATGAACAGCGCCAAGAGCCCCTATGATACACTCGAACTGGTCCACTGGTCTCAGAAGATACGGAGTAGAGGAATGGAAAGAGCTAAAAGCAAAAAACTTTAAGATTTAAAAGTTATGAACTGATCAGCACAGTTCACGACACCTCGCCTTTTAAACACCAGTTTGCTTCCCTAATCGCAATGCAGCAATAATGCAACATGCCTCTCTATTTTATGAGGGCCACGCTAGACTTCGTTGACATGAAAAGTAATCATAAAACCACAGCAAGGGAATACAGATCAAATAATCAAAAACAAGTACCAATCAAAAGAAACACAGAAGCGAGAAAAAGAAAAAAAAAGAATATGCATGTCAGCTGCCCAAGCGCACGGCGACACTTGCCAGTTCCCCTTTTCATCCCCACCTTTCCTCCTTTACGGAAAAACCATGCATAGTCAACTGGTCCTCGGACCCAGACCCAGTAACGGCCCCATTATTGGGTCCGTACCACTCATAATTTTCCATCCCGACTGGTCCCCAGCTCGACGCAGGTTCCAGGCCCTCACAGAAAATCGGGCTGTTCCCATGCGACGATGGCGTGCAGCCATTCACCTTGTCGTAACCAAAGGGACATGCGTACCGCATCTCGGAAGTAGACATGGGAGACATCTGGAAAGGCTGTGCCTCCCCCTGAACGCCGTACTGGGACGGTGACTTTGTTGGGCGATGCTTTTGGTGTTTAAGGCGGGTCTCGTCCCAGCCTTTTTGTACTTTCACGCCCCGTTGGCTTTGGCACACGCCCTGGAGAGCCGCGTTGTCCGAATTCGGGCTCTTTCTGGAGTTCGGTCGTCGGTACCGGGTGGTAGATTCTACTCGGCCTTTTGAGATGGCTTGGGCGGTAAGGCTCCAGTAGTTCACGGCCCTCTTGCCGCCTGGGACGTCGGTTTTGATGGCTTCGAATCCCTGTGAGGCGCATTGGTTAGTTTTGAATGGAAATGATGACCTTGGCGTTACAAGGAATTGCGTAAAGCGGGGGGTTTATTTACGGCGTTCATGGAAAGATTGTGTCGGATGCTGTTTTGCCATCCTTTGCCTTGGTCCTTGCATTTGTTGGTGTTTTGCTCGAACCAGGCGTAGATGTCTTGGAGTTGGAGTCGATGGTCCTTGCTTTCTTTGAGGGCTTGGTAGATCAGTTGCGAGTATGGTGGATCGATAGGATGGTCTTCCTCACTGTCTCCGGAGATGGTTCTTGGGGAAGAGCTGTCTGCCATGATGCTGATCGGGTTTGAATGCACACCGTCAGAGGAGTGAGAGGAGTGATGAGAGGTGATTGAAATGGGGGATGGTGGGGCAGTAGGTATAGAATGGATCATTCCGACGGGATTTTCCAGTTTCATGGCTTGTTCCAGCTCCATAGATTGGTAATTGAGGTTTTGTTCGTGACTCGTCCACTGAGGGGATAATTGGTGCCCTTGATGAAACGGCATACCAGGGTCAGACTTAACCATCCTCGGACTCAGTGGTTCCATCACTGGTGCAGAGGCCATGGAAAAGCTTGAAGATGGCGTCTGATAGGTATAAACTGGTTCAGGCTGCAAACCTCTCATCTGATTAGGATGAAGTTGATGTTCACCGAAACCCGACATAGTGGCACCCCAAGGGTTACTATACCCAAGATCTTGAGAACACATCGATTGCGATACTAGGGCCGATCTAGATTCCGCCCAGTTGACGAATGGGTAGGGATTGTAAGATGGGCGTAAGGTATCTTGAATCAAATCGGCTGTTTGTGCCGGGAGACGGTACTCGGACTCCCGCTGGCCAGTTGATATTTGAGCCAGGTGCGAATGGTAGGATGACATTGAATGGTCCATATTGCGGCCTAATAAAGGGGGGATAAGCTCTAGCTTGAAACTGAAGTGAGAAGCTTAAACCGGATCGAAGGAGGAGAGTTGAAAGAAAAAGTCACTTCGAGAAGCAGAAATGGGCCATAGCAAGTAAAAGTAGGGGCATTAGCACAACCCAAATTGGATCTGTAAACTCTGGGGGAAAAATTACACATCTGGATGGAATTTCTCGCAAAAATACATCAAATTCCCGCCAGCACATAGGGCACATGCTATCTGCTGGAAACCGTCGCTCTGCATCCCCGGATCAAACAGCCTGGGCCAGATCCGTTTTTAGGGAACGCGGCAGTAAGGAAAAAACGGTACTATTAGCGCCATCTACACCCATTCCCCCCCCAAGCGTTGTGGAACTATCATCCTAGGATGCCTAGACCAATTATCTTCCGCGCGGCTCCACACCAATGGTGTTACGGACGAATTACTTCGATCAAACTAAAGAAGCCGGTATAGGACCACCTGTATAGGCCAGCCTAGATGGACTGGAAGGGCTGTATGGACTGAAGGCAACCAAAGATAGACGGAGCTGAGGGGACTACAGGACAAAAAATAATAATAATCAGAAAGTGGGGGGCGAAAGGCCTGGTGGCTGGAAGCACCCAATAGACCCGTGGCCACCGTTCAAGGCTGCAGGTAGATCGCGGACCTCCGGAAGACGACGGTGATAGGTGAAAGGGCTGTTCTGGAAACTCCCTAAGCCACTTCGGGGATTGGTGTTTTGTCCGGGTATTTTCATTAGCTGGGCTGCCTCCAGCCAGCGGGAATACGTCCCTCCTGCATGCTTTGCGTCGTGTCACCGGGGAAAGACAACGTAAAGGAAAGCGAAAACAAATGGAAATAAAAATCGGAAAAAACCGAAAAACCGAAAACAGGGCTCAGGGAACAGGAAACAGGAAAATAGGAACGACAGAATAGAAAAAGAAAAAGAGTGCTGATCCCCGTCAGCAAAAGCGAAAAGTACGCAAAAAAACCCTCCCCCCAGTCATGATTACCGAGCTAGGGGGCCCTGTACAATAACATCACCAGATAAGTACAAAGTGACCAAAATCCCAAGTAGTCGGATTAAGCATTTGATATTGGGCTCCACACGTGGACCGAGCTTGCAAAGGGCTTATGGACTATCAAGACCCTTTCAATGAGAAGGGGGAAATGTTTCCTGTCCAATCAGTCCTCTACTTCCTGAACAATTGGGCAGAATGACCGTGGAAAATACACCCCGATTTCCCTGCATATTACATATCAACATCCCGAGCCGTTGCGCAGGTGTCACTTCCACTAATAGATCTGAGACAACTGGTCATCAGGATTTTACTGGCATTCTTTATGAACAAGTTTAAAGCTACTGGCTTGGACAAGTGGCGTTGGTATCACCAGATTAGTGAGGGCTCGATGCCTCGATACCTCCGGGTTGAATACATGGAGAATAGCTAGGGGTTTCACTACAATACGGGCTTCGGAATTCTCGATGAACTCAAGAAGACGTTGACTTGTAACCTTACACGACCTGAGTTCGGGTTGTTCTGGTCGTGGGTAGTGCTCTCATAATGGCCATCTAAACGTTGTTGAGGGGCTTCCGAGACGTACTTGCTGGGGCGCTTGCTGTTTCATCCTGACATGTTGCCTTGATCGTAGGAATCCATCGGCATGAGGCAGATCGATCGTGATGGTATACTAGCTATCTATAATTGCTATCGCATAATTCCAACGGTAAGGACCTGGCGCCTGTTGCAGAGACACAGACTCGCCATGGGTCCATGATCCATGGTTCCGGGCATCCAGAACCTCCAGAGCTTCCAGCTTGGTAGCCTTCGCGAGAAACCCGAGTGAGAGGTTGCGATGCAACTCAAGTTCAGTTGTCCCTAATTGATCTGGCCATGGGCACAACAACCAGCTTCCAGTCTCTCCCAGGAATCTTGGTCGGCTCACTCGAGCTCGAGCTTTCAATCATCTGTCCTTCCACGGTTGTTTGATTGTTTCCGAGTTGAATCAGCGGAGAGATAGAACAAGGCGTGTACCTAGATTGACTCAGATACTTGCGGGGCGCTGTGTTCATATGGCCTGAGCAAATGACTGGTCGGTGGGAAAAGACAAGACCAAGCATCCTTCGAAGAATTAAATCGAGGCCACCAGGTCCACACCTGACAGTTCCAAGTCTCCCAAGCCATCCTTATATTCCCAGTATCCGATCGCGCATGTTCAGCGACTCGAGTCTCGGTCTTGATGGTCAGCCTCTGCTATCGCGGGGCATCGATCTGGGTCGGCGCAAGAAAAGGACATCGCGACCGGTGAAGCGACCGGTGAAATCAGCCTAAAGCACGTTAAAAAAGTTCCAAGAGAAGAGCGCATACCCGGCACATCAAGAAAGCACAAGAAAACGATAGAAAAACAAAAAGTAGCATCAGTCGCGAGGTGGAAAGTCAAATCGCGGTGCGGGACAGAGTTCATTGCGGCTCAGCTAATCTCCGCCCCAGCTTCCCCGGTCAACAACACTCCATAACCTCACGAATTAAGAACTCACCCCAACCATGTCTGCCACATGGCATATACTAAGTTTACAGCAGACAAGCTCACCCCCGCTTCTATTCCACTATACATGGACTCATCAAGGCTACGCGCTCTACGTCACGGATCTCACCTCCATCTGGACAGAAAAGCTATCACATAGAGAGATCCTGGCCCGCGCAGAAGAAAATAACGCAACGATCGATCCGAGCGAGGATCAAGAGCAGCTTGATGTACTCTTGGCCAAGCTCGGCGAAGCGCTTCGAGGTGAAGGCGGCAGCGCAACACTTAGAAGTGGATCTGAAGATTCGCTCGAACTGAGTACACATTCTAAACTACCCGCTCCGCTGCGGCCGTTAATATGGACGCTTCATCTATCGAAAGAGAGCTCATCCTCTTTGGCGAATCACTTACTTCTCCCGCTGTTGAAGGATGAAGCGGGCTGGGAATCGCGGCAACGCATTCTCTTGAACCAGCTGAAACAGAAGGACTGGGCTCTCGGGAAACTGCTTGACAGGTTTGAGGGATTGGGTGTTGATCTGGGAACTGTTTTCCCTGGTGCTGCTGGGTTGCGCACGAAGAAGGGTAGTACAAGGACCGACGCGGGAAAATTCGTCAAAGGCCTCGCACCGTTTGATGAGTCGGCTTGGCTCCGTGAGTCTGGCGCCGAAAGCTCAGGCTTGGCTGCGAACATCCTACACGAGCTTGGGGGGTATAGCAGTGCTGAAGAATTCCGTGCACCAGAGGACAAGTGGTGGGAGGATCTACCAAAAAGATCCGAGGCCTCATCTCAATCTGGAAAGAGAACCACGACACCGGAAGAAACCTTATCGCGGGATGAATCGATTCAAGGCTCTCAGCAGGATCGAGACCTAGATCTGGATCAAGATGGTAATTCAACAGCCAGTGATGACGATGACTTCCAACAACAAGAGACTCCCCCCTCGGATAAAAGCTCAAAGGGAAAAGCTCAGCGCTCCCTCGCCGACCAAATCAAAAAAAGGTCAAGATCAATCATCAAATACAGTCCCAGATATAGGCGCCGGCGAAGCTACGGCATCGAATTCAGAGCCGGAGGCTGATGCACCACAGCGTACGCCCACACCAACAAAACCCACACCAAAACCCGAGACCAAAGAATCGCCCAAGAAAACCAAAGTTAAAGGTCGTCTGGGTTTGATTGGAGGCAGGAAAAAGGAAAAACAGCCTTCACCAACTCCTCCTCCTCCATCTCCGCCTCGAGCACAATCACCCATGCCAACACCACAGAAACAGAAACCCAAAGGTGGCAAACTCGGCACGATAGGGGGGAAAGCTAAAAACAAGTCCCCCGAAGCCTCGTCAAAGCCTGCTACTGCTGCTCCAGAGCGCACACAGGAACGATCTAATGAATCTCCCGATCTAGATGATCCTGCTGGAGTAGTGGCGACAGGATTGAAGGAAGAGTCTCAGATCCCAAGTCGAGAGAAAAAGAGCGCTGAGACTGTTCCGGAGGAGACGGAGGAACAAAAAACGATTCGGAAACGGGAAGAGTTGAAACGGCAGCTTGAGGAGAAGAGTAAAGCTCCAAAGAAAAAGCGGAGATTTTAAGTCGCTTAGTCTACTTGATCTATGCGTGGTAGGCCATATAATAGCAAAATTGAATATGAATGTAAATGTCAATGACCATTGGGGGAATCAATCAAACAAAGCTCGCTGAAAACAATATTAAAGTGCATATCATACATGTCTTAGCAGACCCCAAGGCTGAATTAAAAAAATGGAAGCTTGTCATTAATCTGAAGGCGCAATATTGGGTCTATTAGAGGGTCCTCTCCGCACCTGCTCACCCGGTGTAACCAGTCGCACCTTCTTAGGTGAAACAGCTCCAGAAGCAACAGTCTGTCCCGAAGAGGTAGTAGAGACATTTCCACCAGTAGTAGCAACAGCACCAGCAGCACCAAGCATACCACGAACTTTCTCAACAGCTTTACTTTCGCCCTTTGTCCACGGATCACGTTTCACAAGACCAACGCCAGAAGTGCGGCTGGCAGAGTCGCGTCGTTTCGATTCGGCAAGTAATACACTGCGGTTGGAGTCACGCCGCGGACCTGGGCCGCAGTCGTGGGAGCAGCCGGGTGTGGCACAGCCACCTTCGCTGATGGAGACGTCGTTCAGCCAGGTTGTGATACAGGCAACGTGCCCGCCGTGGCCGCAGCTTTGGCACCAGGTCCAGAGGGAAGAGCCCTTGGGTCTGGGTGCAGCAAATGAATCAAATTGGTCTATCTCGGAGTTTGGGGCCGCCTCTGTTGGGACTGAGGAGTGTGAGGTGGTTTCGGATTCTGAATTGGGACTTGTGGTACCAAACGAGGTAGCTTGGTCTCTTTGTGCAGCGACCCACTCAGCGGGCGGGTCAATGCTCATGCAGATTGAGCATGGTGCCTGTGGAGTACTGCAACGGTAGCAACGAGTGTTGTCACGCTTGGGATTTTCGTAGGGTTTTTGGCAAGTGTAGCAGAATACGTTGATGTAGGTGTCTACTTGGGCGTAGTCGTAGACAGCGGGGTAAGTTGGCACGCAGGATAGACGGAGCTCAGCAGCCTCCAAGTCCATGGAATGCCGGATGAGATATTCATTGTAGGTCTTGAAGATCATTTCACACTCCTCATAGGGAAGGATCTGTTCACAGTCTTGGAAGAGGACGTGAAGTTTCTGAAGTAGATGTGCTGCAGTCTGAATATCGACAGAACTGTTGTTGCTGTGGTAGTATCGAACAGCCTCCTTCAGAATGGATTCAATGCTCCACGGCTTTGGTTCGGCTGTATCCGCAGGTAGAGGAATTTTGACCTGGGAGAGATCTTCGTAGAATCCTGCCATTGTTGGATAAGCCGAGATGTCCACAGACACCGAATGGTTCGAAGACTGGAATTGGTCTATCGAGTCTGGCCGTTCAAGTGGGGTTGATTCAGTCAACAAGACAGGAGGACTGGAAGGTCGTTGAAGATGAACTTGATCTGCTTCTATGGCGGACTCATCAAATCCAAGGTCTTCATCCAGCTCTTCTGGTGGCGGTTCCAGATTAGACCCTCTTCTAGCTGACACAGCAGACCGGCCCCCATATGACCCGGCCTGGCCAGCATCGGACAGTCGCCGGTCTGGAAATCGATGATTGGACGAATATGAGGCTCCGATAGACTTTGAAGGGTGTGAACTATCGGATGCGGAGAACATGGGAAAACTCTCTGACGAGTCATGTCGAAGATATCCCTCGGGCGCAGGAGGACGATTGGACTCCAATGGACCATCCAGCGTTAGCACTTTCTTGGGGAATTGCTTATAATCTCGAATGGCGGCCCGCTTGTCCTCCATTTGTTGATCATAATCGTCCTCTGAAGCTTCACGAGGAAAGTCTGGACGGTTGCGAGTACGCCAGTCTACTCTCCCAGCAATTGCTCTGGGCGCAGATCGCTGCTCATTATCCGGATCCAATACAGGACGATCAAATAAGACACCCGTTGAAGAATATACATCTTCGCTCGATACCGACTGGCCTTCCGGCAAGGGCGAGGGAGCAGTGAGGCGATTATCATGGTCTGGCAGGCTCCAGCCGTTATGCGAACTCAACACTGACGGTGGCAGGGGGTCAATATCAATGGCGTTCTCATCCAAAGAAGGGATTTGGGAATCGCTACTCCAAGAGTCCATCTGTGGGGAGTCAGGTAATGGTCGTGCTAGGGGCGTAGTCATGTTCGATGTGCTCTCCGCCTCTGTCCCATGAGTTTTCTGACCTTCCGTCTCCATGACCCCTTTGAACAAGCGACTTTTCACCTTCCCTTGACGATTCTCATCGACTGTTCGTGGCTTATCGCCCAAAAGGCCATCTTTGGAGGACTTCCCCTTTACACCGCCTTTGCCTGGCAGCTGCTCCCGCGACCTGCGCTGGAGCTCTTGCGTAATGGCAAATTTCACGATGCGCCAAGTCTGAGCTAGCTTGATAAGAGACACATCATCCGCGCTCTCAGCATTCTGGTCGAGTGAGTTCATCAAGGAGTTGAGTACATCGACATGGTTTTGTTGGCGATCATAGTCGATCATCAAAGGTGAATAGTGGCGGGCCAAATATCGAAATACTGATTCTTCATTTGTGACCCCAGGGATGCGTCCAATTGCTCCCAGCTGATCGGGACCTGGCGTGGTAATCTTGGTCAAAGCTTGGTCCAAGGGCAAGATAGGAACGCTTTCCACGGCCCCTGGTGGTGTGCTTCCCAGGGACTTTGAAGGGCGGGGGACGGTTGCCTTGGTCTGTGGATGCCGAAGTGAGGAAGCTAGGACCTCTTCATCGAGCATGTCATCTGCCGGACTTTGGCTCAACGACCGCTCTCCGTTGCTAGCCACATCCTCCTCAACCTGAAGAAATTGAGGAGCGTTGGCACCGTGGGCTCGACGTCGAAGACGCTTTTGGCCAAACGCCACGAACGCGCCATTAGGACTCCAGGCGACCGAGCATGTCGGCCGCCGAGTGACCACCGTGGGTGCATAGCGAAGATCGGTCTGAGTAAACGCTCCGACCTCACCGACAGTCCATAATAGGTCCTTTGAATGCCAAAGCAGGTCACTTGCAGGGGAGTCATATCGATCAAATTCTCGGAATGGGACATGAGGCCGACGAAGGTCCCAGAGATGAATCCGCGGGTCTTCTTTGTCATAGGCGGTGACGACTTGGGAGGACTGCCATTCTCCCGACCCAGGAGAATCACCGACCCACGACGGAGGGCGCCAGCGAACGTTGGTTACGGGCTGGGGGGTTCGGAACTGGAACGTAGGTTTCTGCCGTCGCTCTGCAGATGAGGAGAAATCCCAGACCTTGACCTGTCGGTCTGTGCCTCCGCTGACAATGTGCTTTCCGTCTGGGTGCCAGTCGACAGCGAAACACGGACGATCATGAGCCGCAATACGCATCAGCGGGGCGTTGGTCTTTCGCGAGTCCCACATCTGAATGGCGCCGCTGTCCGAGGCGGTCGCAAACACGACGCCATCGCTGGGGGACCACCGAACGTCCCGGATAGCGTCGCTATTGCCCTGGTACACATGCTTGCTGCCGCACGTGGAAAGGCCGCGATTCGTAGAGGCCGATCGAAGATCCCACATGCGGATGGTCCCATCTTGGCTGCCGGACAGCAGCCAAGAGGCAAGGTGAGGGTTGAACGCGAGCCTGTGAACCTGACGATTGTGGCCCTGGAAGCGACATAATTGGAGGCCGGGCCGCTGCAGGTCGTAAACGACAATCCGACCATTGGCTACAGCCGTGGCGATTATTCGGTCGTAATTGCCATGTGACCACTTTACATCCTTTACGTTCAACTGGTCCTTGTGTGGCATGGACACGCCCGCATCATGGTGGGTAGATGCATAGCTCACCACTGCATTGCGAATATTAAATTCCTCCGATGAATGGTCAGGCGAGACTCGGATGGTCTTGAGGATATCTTTACCCCCGATCACGGCATGGGTTTGCTGTGGGGAGATGTCGAGAGTAACAATAGGGATACCAGTGCGGTGTGTGACCGTCTGTGGTTCTCCAGGACTATTATATCGTGGGATCAGGATTGGTTCGATCTTGAGATCTCAACATTTTGAACACGAGGGAACGGGGATGCAGTAAGTAGGTAGGGGGGGGTCCAAGGTATCAAGTAGCCAGAGTGTGCCCAACTTTTCAAGCAAATCAAACGCACAATAAGCAGCGGTGTAGATGATTGGCAACGTACAGTGATTTGGACCTGATCGGCCGGGGACCATCGACCCGATTATTCTGCGGACTGGGGGGCCTCGACCCGGAGAAGAACGGCGCGAATCGGGCAAGCGCGTTGGCAGCGCGCGAGTACCGTTGTGGAGGTGGCGGAGGGGGGGGCACGGGGTAGCGTGACCCTGACAGGTCAGACATGACTTCTATCACACGTCCATTGCTGGGGCGAGGGCACACGACCAGTTGACCAAAGCGAAGTTTATCGGGTGGTTTCAGGTATGGGGGTTTCGGAGGTGTGATTTGAGGTGCAAAGCGGTGAAGGGGGGAAGTGGGGGAACCCTTGATCCCCAGCTACGTATCACAACTATCGCGAAGGATTTAGCTTAACCCGACAAGACGTACAGCACCAAGTACCGTCCAGTTGATTACCGGAGGGCTATATTATTGGTGGGAATATAGGTACTGTACCCTAAGGCACACTTGTCAAGAGCGGTCTGACACCGCCAACACACAACAAGAGAGATCAGATTTGAAAATCGTCCCACTGCAGGGCTCCCCGGACTCTCCGGGAACTATGGGCATGATAGGTGATGTTGATGTTTGGGCAGTGGGAAGAGGAAAGTCAAAAATAACAGAAGGACTCGAGGAATGTCTCACTTGGAGATGGATCAAGACACACCTCAACAAGCTCTACTCGGGGAACCGGATGGCCAATGGATTCTATGAAGAGAGAGGGATGGAAATAGAACTAACAACGTCATCGAGTGACGATGGAAACATCTCCAATCCAATATCATGCCAGCGCTGAGGGTGTTGAAAGCTAAATTTGATACATCAAGCCTTGGAATCATCTAGACCGTAGTCTAGGCTGATCTAATCGTGGTACTTCCTGCTAGATTGCCATCTGATCGCCAGATGTAAGTACGAAAGTACCTGGAGATATAAAGAATTCTTTGATCATGTTATGTTCTGATTTTTCCTCTTATTTCTCATGTTTATCACTTTCCTTTTCCCTTTGCTATAGTCCCCCCATTTCCCCCTCATTGAGACGTCCATCTGGATAGATTGTTAGGGACTCTCGACTGGTACCAACCCCTGCACAGTTTGATCCATTCTAACCTGGACCATCGGGCACACATCTGATTTGCAACTTCATCCACCTGGCAAAAGGTTCCGAAGTTGTGGTTCAGTCTGGATGCAAACAATTGTCTCCTCGGGCCCGGATATATATAGAGAAGCAACGGATGAAGTTGAGCGACCTGAGCCCACAACCTCCGGTGGAGTCTGCGTTAGCTGCATCTTCACCGTCATTCCAATTGTCGGAGAGATCAAGTTCTCTTTGGAGGAGAGTTGCCCTGATTTCTCATCTCTTGCCCACTTCCCCCCCCCCACTGATTTTCGGCTTTTTGCCACCTGTGGGTTCTCGGGTTTGCCTAAGGTTTCTGCGTGCAAGCAGCCAAAACCAATAAATCCCCAGGCAAAAAAGCCTAAAAAAAAACTCTCTCGCCCTGGCACTGGCAAAAGAGAGAAAGCCTCAGAAAAGCAAAAATTCCAAATCTACAAACGTTGATACGAAAAGGTTAAGATTTTCCTCCGATCTGGCCTCGTGGACCCAAAAGCAAGCACGCATAATCCCCGCGTGCGGCCGCGATCATTCCTCGCGTCGATCCCTTCTACCCATTTCCGATCCGAACCCGTTCCTCCTCCTCCAACACTTCGCTGTGTCATGGAAATCGCCTGAATCAACAACTCTCGTTTCCGTTTCTTGATCTGGGTTATTCGTGGGGGAAGAGGCATCATGGATCCCCACGCAGCTCTTGAGCTGCTGGACTACCTGCGAACATGTTATCCGTGCTTCCTCTTCGTTCTCTTTGTCGTGGCATTCGTTGCCAACACCGTGTCGACCGCCAGGAAATCGAAACAAGCTGACTCTCCACGCATGGGGCCGGGAGGACGCCAGCTTCCGCAACGATCGCGCAGTTCCGGCATCGATAAAACGCAGGGGTTCTCCAAGAGCACCAAGCAGGTCTTCAACTGGCTCTCAGTAGCCGTGCTTCTGACCTTCCTCGCGGATGCGACGATCTACATCGTCCATGTGATGGTTGCAAGGTCCGAACATTGGTGGCGTGGACAATCGGTGGTGGTACGTCCTACGGGGGAATTCCCAGCTCCAAAATTGCCGCAGACGGCTTGAAAAATCAAAAGCAAAAAAAAAAAGGCAAAAAAGAAAGATATGCTAACCATCGCAGGTCTACATCGTCGGCTCTTTCTTCGTTTACGCGGTCTTACTCATGACATTACTCGATACCAACCCATCTCCGACACTCGCTCAATTCGTCTGCTGGTCGGTTGCCATCCCGATCGAATTAGTTATTCTTAGCACTTCTATGTTCATTTATACCTCGGTCCACCATGAACCCGTCGTTGGAGACCCTGAGGGTGGTCGGATTCGCCGAAGCATTACACCTTGGGAGTCCTTGGAGGTGACATCGAATGCCATCCGGGTCCTCATCCTGTTCGCGTTGGTCGTCCTCTACATCAGCAAGTCAATTAGCCGTAAGCAGCATGGCAAGAACTCTGGACGCACAAATGGAGGTGCCACCGAGTCAACAGGCTTGTTAGACTCGTCTAGTGCTGAAAATGGTGCGGCCAATGGCAATGGCAATGGTCATGCATATGGCGCAACAAATGGAAATGGACACCCCGAGGGTGCGAAACCGCAAGACAAGTGGGTACGTCCGACAACGATCCCCTCGACTAGCTGGTGGGAATATCTGAGTGGCTACTCGCTGTTTTTCCCTTACTTGTGGCCCTCCAAGTCCCGCCGGCTTCAGATCACGGTTGTGGCTTGTTTCATTCTGCTCGTCCTCCAACGGATCGTCAATGTTTTGGTGCCCATTCAGGTCGGAGCGGTCACGAAGGCTCTGGCTGGAGACGAGGGCCAGTTCCGTGTTCCCTGGTTTGAGATCTTCATGTATGTCGTGTATAGATGGCTACAGGGAGGCCAAGGTTTACTAGGCTCTCTGCGTTCTAGTCTCTGGATTCCCGTGAGTCAGTACTCTTACATGGAGCTTTCCACAGCTGCCTTTGAGCATGTGCATGGCCTCAGCTTGGACTTCCACTTGGGTAAGAAGACTGGTGAAGTGCTTTCGGCACTGAGCAAGGGTAGCTCGATCAACACATTTTTGGAGCAGGTCACCTTCCAGGTCGTCCCCATGTTAATTGATCTGGGGATCGCGGTTGGTTATTTCCTGGTTGCTTTTGATGTATACTACGCCCTTGTGGTGGGTATCTCGACCTTTGGATATCTTTATGTGACCATCCGTATGGCCCAGTGGCGGGCAGAGATCAGGAGACAGATGGTCAATGCCTCGCGACAAGAAGATGCTGTCAAGTAGGTGTCGTCCACCGCATTCGTGAAAGTTATACTAATCTCGAATTCTCTAGGAACGACTCCATGGTCTCATACGAGACAGTTAAGTACTTTAATGCGGAGCAGTACGAATTCGACCGTTACCGTGATGCTGTCGGCACCTTCCAAAAGGCCGAGTACCACGTTCTCTTTTCTCTGACTCTCCTCAATACTTGCCAGAATACCGTCTTCATGATGGGTCTGTTGACGACTTGCTTCATCTGCGCTTTCCAGGTCTCCACTGGCCAGCGTCCTGTCAGTAAGTTTGTGTCATTGTTGACCTACATGGCCCAACTTCAAGGTCCCCTGAACTTTTTCGGCACCTTTTACCGCTCTATACAGTCTGCGCTCATCAATGCAGAGCGTATGCTGGAACTGTTCCGCGAGCAGCCGACTGTGGTCGATAGCCCTCGTGCGGTACCGTTGGCTATGTGCAAGGGCGATATTCGCTTTCAGAACGTTGAATTTGCGTACGACTCTCGGAAGCCCGCGTTGAATGGTCTCACGTTCCACTGCGAACCTGGTACCACCACCGCTTTAGTCGGAGAGTCAGGTGGAGGCAAGTCCACGGTTTTTCGACTTCTCTTCCGGTTTTACAATGCCGAGAAGGGTTGTCTTCGGATCGATGGCCATGACGTGCAAGACGTCACCATTGACTCTCTGCGCAAGCACATTGGCGTTGTGCCACAGGATACTGTACTTTTCAACGAGACTTTGATGTACAACCTGAAATATGCCAACCAGGACGCTACTGATGAACAGGTGTACGAAGCTTGCCGGGCTGCCAGCATTCATGACAAGATCATGGGATTCCCTGATGGCTACAATACCAAGGTTGGAGAGCGTGGTCTGCGTTTAAGTGGCGGTGAGAAGCAACGCGTGGCTATTGCTCGCACTATCATCAAGAATCCTCGTATTATCCTATTGGATGAAGCCACGGCTGCGCTCGATACTGATACAGAGGAGCACATCCAAGGAGCTCTTTCGACTCTTTCTCATGGCCGCACGATGCTCGTGATTGCTCACCGACTCAGCACTATAACCACCGCAGACCGCATTTTGGTGTTGCACAATGGTCAAGTCGCCGAGAGTGGTACCCACGAGGAGCTTCTTGCCATGAAGGGTCGCTACGCCGGCATGTGGCGAAAGCAGATTCGGGCCCAGAAGGCTGCAGCCGAGGCTCAGGTTCTTCAAGACCGAGCGGAGCGCCTCCGCAACGCTGCCACTAACAGCGATGACAGCTCTAGTCAATCAGACGAGGACCGCAATGGCACCGGCACTCCCCGTCCAGCCAAATAAATTCCACGCAGAACGACTTGTACAGGCATTTCAGTACCTCATTCTCCCCCATCTTCACCCTCACCCGTGTCCAATCTTCCCATATGTGCATACACTCTTGACGTTCCTTTTGGCCAACGGGAAACAAAACAATACAGTAATGTTGACCAGAGACAGGGAATAGCATGAGAAGTGTGGCCTCATTGCGTTTTTGATTTTGATGATTTCGGGACTTCCTTTGATAACTGCGTTACTTTTGGCGTTTGGGAGCATCATGACGCGTATGACATCGTTTTTGTCCTTGTTTCATATGGAGGTGCAGTACGGGCACGGGTGGGTTACCTGGAAATAAAAACTAGATTAATCACTAGGGCCACCAAAGGCGGTATATTAATACAAAGGACATTCAATTCCATTTTTCTATCTCTGTTAGTTTTCGACCTTGTCTTGTATGCACATATCCCAGGCACTAGATTAAAGCGTTCGCCAAGACCCGGACCCCGGACCACGGACCGAGCTTGTTAGCTTCAACCGATCGATAAAAATCCCTTCAACCACCGGCCTACACTACCATCTATCAAAACAACATCCAAATAACATTATCTACAATGCATATCCCATCCTCACAGCTCCTCCGCGCATTGCGCACCACGCTTTCCAACCCGCGCCCCATCCCCGTCCTCCCCCGTCTCTCCGCCACACCCATCCCATCCCATCGCAACTCCAGCACCGCCGTCCGACCCACTCGCATGGTCCCCCGTTCTCACACCCACAAGCCCGCCAGCCATGACCGAGGCCCACAGTCAGATGAAAGTACCCAAACCGACTTCAACGCGTTGAACGTATTGGGCGGTGTCGAGGCGCCTACCACCGCCATTGACGCCTGTCTCGATTCGGGATTCCATCTCAACAGCGGTCTGAAGATTACTGGTGGGTCTGGTATGATGCTTGTTGGTGGAGAGGCATTTTCCTGGAAGCCGTGGAAGGTATCCGAGGGGAAATTCGAGAATGAGCGTGAGGCCAAGGCTAGTATGATCAACGCCAAGGGCCAGTTTGAGTTGAGTGAGGAGGCTTTCGGGTTGTTGAGCGTTGTTTGGCCGCGACCTGGTACGTGACTATCTAATTTTGCCCTAAGGTTTTCAGCTCTAGTCAGATGGACAACTCCGCATCGTGGTCATCTGTTACGGAATTATGCATGACGTAAACCTTCACATGGAACTCGAAGCTAATTTCGGTCAGATATGCTCATTCTTGGTCTTGGTGCCTCGATTCATCCTTTATCGCCTGAAACGAAACGTCAAATTAATTCTCTGGGTATTCGTGTAGATATTCAGGATACGCGCAATGCGGCGGCACAGTTTAACCTGTTGGCTACTGAGCGCGGTGTGACGGAGATTGCGGCTGCGATGATCCCGATCTCGTGGAAGGGGAGGTCATGAGGGGAATCCACAATGTACATATAAGAACAGCCTCCGCTCATGAGAAAGTATTCTACATCTACATGTCCATGTTCCACGATTGAGTAAACCCCATGTTTGAAAGGGAGGTCATGTGAGCCGTTATCAAGGCACCCACGGGTTTTGGATGACATCTCTCATAGGAGGATTGGCTGGTCAGCTCAAGCTCCACCCATCCCTAGCCCCACACAATCATCGTAGATTAGGGAGCTTCACACCAGAGCTGCTCAACTGAGTTTCTCTGGTCTTTTGGTCTACCTCAACCATGGCAGCTATTCCACGGGAGGAGCCACTCTTGGCGCCCCCTGTCACCTTTTCCGATGACCAATCCTTCCAAGCTGAGGAAGATGACGCCCTCCTAACGGGTCAACAATCGCGCCGCCGTCACCCCGAAAGGCGGGGCTGGATCTTCTGGAAGGAGATCGGATTACTCGCCTGGGCCATAATCGCCACCATCCTCGTGGTCATCCTCGGAGTCGTCTACCAACACGAAGCGTCGAAACCAAACCACACAACGAAGGACACATGGGGGCCGGGTGGAAAGCCATCCGGCAAACGGAACCTGATCTTCATGGTGTCAGACGGCATGGGCCCCACCAGTTTGTCGATGACTCGAAGCTTCAGACAGCACACAGAGGGCCTACCGATTGATAACACCCTGATCTTAGACCAGCACCATATCGGCACATCTCGGACACGATCCAGTTCCAGCCTGGTGACGGATTCGGCGGCGGGAGCGACCGCGTTCTCGTGCGGCTTCAAGAGCTACAATGGAGCTATCTCGGTACTCCCAGACCATACACCTTGTGGAACTGTTTTGGAGGCTGCTGCATTGGCGGGATACAAAACCGGACTGGTTGTTACGACACGTCTGACAGATGCCACGCCGGCGTGCTTTGCATCCCATGCCAACCTGCGTCAATACGAGGACAGCATTGCGGAACAAGAAGTTGGGGAGAACCCATTGGGTCGGGTCGTTGATCTTATGATGGGCGGTGGAAGATGTCACTTCTTGCCCAACACGACCAGTGGTAGCTGCCGAAGCGACGATCGGGACATCAGGGAGGTTGCTACCAAGAATGGGTTCAACCATGTGAATGATCGAGCTGGATTCGACGCGTTGAATGGTGGCACCCAGGTCAAGTTACCGCTGTTGGGTCTCTTTGCTGATACCGATATTCCTTACGAAATCGACCGCCGCACGCAGAATGACGTGTACCCGTCTTTGGAGGAGATGGCTCGCACTGCACTGACTGCTTTGAGCGAGGCGACCCGCGACAGTGAGCAGGGTTTCTTCTTGATGATAGAAGGTTCGCGCATAGACCACGCTGGCCACGGTAATGATCCCGCTGCCCAGGTCCACGAGGTGCTAGCCTATGACAAGGCCTTCGCGGCCGTCGTGGAATTCTTGGAGAAGGACTCCACCCCTGGAGTACTTGTGAGCACATCTGATCACGAGACCGGTGGTCTGGCGGCTGCCAGACAGCTCCATCAGACTTACCCGGATTACCTCTGGTACCCCGGTGTCCTGGCGAATGCCAGCCACTCTGCCGAGTACACAGGATCCAAGCTGCAGGAGTACACCTCCGGAGCCGGAAAGGAGGCAACAGAGTCGGAGAAGAAGTCATACATTCGTGATACCCTCTTGAAGAAGTACTTGGGTATCACTGATGCCTCTGACACGGAGTTGGATGCTATTCTCAACCCCCCGAGCGGAGTTTCGGCAAACTACGTCTTTGCAGATATGATTAGTCGCCGTGCGCAGATTGGATGGTCCACCCACGGACATTCAGGTACGTCAACACCTACACATGATCGCACTCTTTCATACTAATGAACCACAGCTGTCGATGTCAACATCTACGCATCTTCCACGAAGGGCGCCTGGCCCTTGGTAGGTAACCACGAAAACACCGAAGTGGGCACTTTCCTCGCCAAGTACCTTGACGTCGACGTCAACGATATAACCAAACGCCTCCGCTCCTCAGCCTCCTGGAGTGCAGACGAAGTCTCCGCTCAAGACTTCCACTGGATGGGAGATCCGCTAGGCTCAGATATCCAGACTGTGGGTTTCGATACTTACCACGGAGACTTCAAGAAGCGATCCCTGGAGGACTGTGGCTGTGGCGGACTCCACTAGCTGTGAATATTTGCATTCTTTCTTTTCGGTATTTTTCAATTGCTCTTTCAGATTTAGATTGTGATCATGGAGTTATGGGCATGGGGTAATGCTCCGAAAACACAATATGACCATCATCAATTCATTGACATCTGAATCCCATGAAGTATGAACTGTAGAATTACCTTGACTGAATGGAACCTTGAGTGTAGTACGCAGCTAGTACCCGCAAGGTCCTGGCTCGAGGATTCTAACAGGTTTGCGTCCACTTAAAGGCGAAGATCCGAGTTGTTGGTAGTATCAATTGAACTCCATGGATCACTGTAATATCAAATACGAAACCGAGGTCAACCCTTCATGATAAAACACCAAAACGCCTTGATCCTTCGGTATCTCCGCCTCTCAGCACGCATCCTCAAATCAAGTTCGAATCCCACTCAATCTCCGGGATCCTCCACTCCTCCCAACAAGCCTCACAAAACAGTGTATTAGTCCACGCAACAACATTCGTATTCCACCTCTCTCTAGTCCCGGCAATGGCATGCTCAGCAACATTGTCGATGATGTTTCCGCTGTCGATTCTCAAGACCGTAGGCCGGCAGGAGTACAGTGGCTTGCAGGGGATAGCGTGGATATCACGGTCAGCCGGGTTGTTGATGCGGTCCAGTTGTTGCTTTATGGTCTTGCAAAATAGATGCAGTTTGAATGTGTAGTGGTTGCAGATGGTGTGGTAGCATGCTTCGTACATGCACATGTTTGCCTATTGAGAGTCAATGGGAACTTGATATGTTATGGTGGTTAGGTTTTGCGGCGTTTGTTGTGGGCAGGTGCGTTGAATCTCGTTTGAGGGGGAGGGGGTGCATACGGATTGCTTCTTGTCGCTTGATTTTGTTAGATCGGACGTTGGAGATAGTTTTGATATCGACATCGATGGCGCAGTAGGAAAGGGGATGAAGAGGAGGATTATTGTAAGATCACCGTGAGGGAATTAAGGCGAAGTGGTTCATCAAAATAGAGACTGACGACTAAGCGCACACGACTTGGCATATCTATGCTGCATATCAAACAAGACAAGATAAAAAAGCGATCAATAATTATTTCTATTTCCATCCGCTTATTCGCATGAAGACTCGCTATCTTGCTTTATACTGACACACATGGAACATGAAGGACATTGCTCGGCCAAGTCGGTCACCCATTGATTAACGTTCGTTGCACCTCCATCATCTTCCCGTGCCTCCATTACAATCGCCCCATCTCTCATCAACACACGGGGCAAGCAACTCTGTGGACTCTCACAGTGGCTGGCCTGTCCTATAGAGTCTTCGATGCGGGACATCTGATCAAGCAGGTCTTGACATAGCGTGCTGAGGTGGAACCGGACGTGCTGGCACTCATAGTACCAAATTCCTTTGTATCGACACATCATGGGAAGACGAGGGTCTCGGTCGGGAAGTCTAAGAGCTTGATAGTGATTCCCGCCTGTTATAGCTCCTGTCTGTACTTAAATCCAACAGCTGTATATTTCGATACAGAGCCTTGACTGACAATCAAGAATCTCTGAATCGTGTATTCTGTATTCGATGATCACAGAAAATAATCGCCACCTTTTTGTCACCACGAGCGCGAAGTCTCCTTCCCATGCATTGACAGCACTGTCCGGGCTCAATAAAGGTAGGTGGCTTCACTCGCTTCTAAATGTTGTATAGATGGAGTATGGTGACTGCTTCTGTATGGTTCCTTGACTGAATGTTGTTGCAGATTCTGAAGAGACCTGAAGTGATGACCAAGGTGTTGTTAGGCAGCGAATATAATAATAATGGAGGATGACACGAATACGGACACTGAGTCTCAAAAAACAATCGATTGTTGGGCTTATGATACCTTTTTGAGCGGAGAGTGGTTCAAAACTCAGCCAGACTTTATGAAGTGGCAAGTCTTTTCAGCGATAGAGAGCAGCAACTCGCCCTCACCTCTGATGAATATTGGAAGGTTTCTCCGTATGAGAAGTGGTTCACCCACGCCTTGGCTTCAGACCGAAATGCGCTTTAGGAGTTATTTCGAGGAAAGTTTTGCAATTTTGTATGGGGAGAAGACGTATTAGAGAGAAAGAGAGAAGAGGAAGAAAGTTGGAGGTTGGAAGATATTCATAGTCAACATTAAAGGTTGGGAAGATGTAAACCTATAGTGGGTGTGAAGTAGGCGACATGATTGTTGAAAGAAATTTGATGTATGTTCCATTCACGCAAGAGGTAGGTTAACATGAGATTTTGGGATGCCATTCACGTTATTCATTGTCGACTAATAAGAAGGAATGTGGCAATATTATTGGATAAGGCATGAGAGTGGAAGCACAGTCTAGCTACAAGATGTATAAAATCACGCTTGATATCCCGGCTGGTTCAATAGTACTGATTTGTGGTACATGTTATATCTTTGTATTGATTTGTTTTCATTAATTCTGATTTCTCTCCGATATCGTCATGGTATATGGGGTAGTGACTAACATCGTCGTCTTCACACGGTAGCCGGGGCTTCGATTGTGTAGATCAGGTATAACTTAGGGTCGCTCCGGAAAGACCACTATCATATCTACCACGGGAACATGCCGACCGTGCGATGCCAACTATGGTACACGCCTGGCTTGGTAGTGAGGGAACCTGCGCGACAATCAATAGCGCAATAACCCGTTTATCAGCTATACGAACGGTTCGAAGGTGACAGAGGCAGGGTGATCAACGGCTCTTAGATATGATTCCACTAGAGCCAGCGGAGTGCTCCAGGGGATCTCCGTGAGATAGATCTGTAAGTCGAAAAATGTCGATAAGAACTCTTTTAGACAAGAACCATGACCACTGAAGCCGGGCGACGCAATATCCAACGAAATTGATCTTGGCTGCCTTCATCACTTCCCCACAGATGGCCAGTAATGTATTGACAGACACTCGAAAGGGCCATTATGGGAGAGGTTTGCCCTGGTGAGGGTACATTGTAGCCATCATGGCTGCGAGTGCAGTAAGGAATGCAAAAATGCCAAAAGCTCCAGCTTCCACCCCGAGAATGAGACATCGCGATCTCCTTGCTGAGGCCTTATCTTTTTGGTCAGACGAGTCCTCCCCTGTAACGGTGCCGACATGCCGTCGAGGGCTTTCAGTCTCCGTCAATGCCGGAGTAGACGTTCCAGGAGGTCCAATCGGATGGTGAAGTGGGTCGGCATTGTTGCGGCACTTCTGGCCTTTGGGCTCTCATAAAGGGTGGTTGGAGGGGTGGTTGGAGGCGTCGGTGAGAGATTTCGTAATACACCACTCAAATTGTATGAAATCATGGCGAGACAGGTGTTTCTTTTTGGTCGCTTATTGAAAATGTGGCTCTTTTAGCCGCTGATAGTGCTTGAAAGACCACACGATGATGACGGATTGTTCTACCGGCTCCGCCTCGGCGACCAACGTATAGTAGCGGTTCGTGACTGTTTGGATTGCATACAGCCGCAGCTAATGACAATGGCCAATCAAGCCAGTAGAATGTACCACTACATGTCGATCAGTATGCTCAGCTCAGTCTGTGCCGCTTTAATTATGCAGTAGGTTGAGATTGAGGCTGGACCCTCATGCAGTGTGACTGAATGGGATATGCCAAGTGTGGGGTCGTTTTTTATGAACTCTTGTTAGAACACATTACTAAACTCGTGCTATTGATATTGTTCGTTAATTGCTATGAATCTTCGGGGTTGAAACTGATCTAGTTCGTAGTCAGCGTGGCCGATCTTGAGATATAGGGCCGGGCGTTGATTTGCTGCACCCTCTGGAAATATACCCCATCAACCGTTTGCTCGAGGTGCAGAGCCATGTTTATAGCCACAGACAGACGAATACAGGGAGATGCATAGTGGCGTGTGGTATGTCTCAGAAACGTGAAGGGGCAATCATTTCCCGAGGGCGAACCCTGATGTTCCTCCTTTTACCTCTTCTCTTCTTTTTCCTTGCGGTTTGTTATCTAAGTCAAGTTCCAGAATACGTCCTAATGTTTCAACTTCACTTGCCATGACACCCCTCAACCAAATAATATATTTTAGCTAAATAGAACCCGAGCGAAGCGCATGATAGAGAGTAGTGAGAAGACTATAGTAGTAGAGCCCACCTAGATTGTTTCAGAATATGCAGTAGCTACCGTTAAACCCCTGTTTGGGACCCACATGAGGCTGTTACAGAATCATAAACCTTATCAGGAGTTCGTCCGATGCCTGCAACTTAAAGACAGACTTCCCCATTGATCGGAGTTAGTTCCTGAAAACTGGAAGTCTCATCACATGTTTCTAGCTCTGCCTATTCCTGTCTCTGGACAAACCCGGACGACAGCTTGTGACCAGAAACGCCTTCTATCCCAATTTGTCCTCCACGAAGCCGCGCTATAGGAAGCCCCGCTGGGTTTGGTTGGAATTATATAAGAATTGGTTCCTGTTTAATATCCTACTTGAGTCCCTATACCACTATACCTAAAATAAATATATATATATATATGCAAGACTTTTGGCTAGGTACTGGGCAGATATGTTATAGCTCATTTTGCAACGCCCGGCCTAAGATCTATATATATCCGAGTTGCCTCCGTATCATTCCGTGATATTCTTGGAATACCTTCCTTCCAAAGCTCTTCAAGGGGGGATTAGACCAGTAATCTAAGACAAAAGACCAAAGGTTGTTATATCCACAGATGTTTCAACCAATGAAGTTATACGTAAACGTACAAAAATAGTTACCCACATACCCGACCCCTTGGTGACTATCCACCTAAATTTCAAAAGTACATTCCCTATTCCAAATCCAGTCCCACGTGGATATAAGGATGTGGCTTGAACAAGCCAGATAAGCTATTCAATACGAGCCGCAAGCTTAAATGAAAGCATGCATGGCGAGATAGTGGGTCGGGGATTGGTGTAGTGGAATAAATCATAGTAGAAAATTTTGAAAACTAAAGATCCTAACAAAGCGTGCTTATTATCCATTCCATGGTACCGTATATTACCAAACGCATTCCATGATTGCCATGAACAAACGTTATAACAAAGATCAGATATACCAAGTGAAAGAAAGAATGAACGAAAAATTCTCAATAGAGTAAGAAATGAAACGCTAAGAGGTATAAGAAACAAAAACGACATGTGCCGATGACATTGAAAAGCAGAATCTCAAAGAGCGAGAGTCTTCATTAGGTTGGATTTGTTCAAGTTGTTCAGAGAAAGTCCAGAAAATAATAGGGTTGAAAAATGTACTCGAGAAGAGTGAAAAATAAGATACATCAATAAACTGGTTGGACGCCAACCGAATGCCACACATTTACAGCGCAACGAGAGCGACGACGGCGACCAGGACGGCAAAGAAGGAGCCGTGCAGAACGCGCTCGTTCTGGTTGGCAGCACCGCTGTTGCTGGTGGTACCTTGGCTGAAAGAGCTGGAGGTGGTTGAAGCGGTGGTATCCGAGTTCGAGCTAGTTCCAGTGCTCTGACCCTGCTGACCAGAGCCACCAGAGGAGTTGGTAGGGATGCTGTCAGTGCTGTTGCTGCTGCTGGTAGCGGTGGAGCTGGAGCCAGCGCCGAGAGTCATGTCCAGACCAGTGGCACCGAGAGAGCCGAGAACAGTGGAGTTACCGGTGACCTCGACATCGGCCTGCATAGCGTCGCTGGAGGTGTAGACGTAGGAGTTGTTGCCGGTGGTGGTGACTCCATCGGGAGTGGAGTAGCAGGTCACATCGACATTG